GCGTGGTCTCCGATATCGAGTCCTCGGGAGGCCAGGCCATCGGCATCAACACCGATCTCTCAGACGAGGCCTCTGTGAAAGCTGCTTTCAAGAAGATCACTACGGAGCTATTCCCTAACACACCACTCGCGGCAGCCATTTTCAATCCCGGGGGTGGCTTCGTGCGCAAGCCGTTCCTAGAAATTACCGAAAAGGAGTTTGCATCTGGCTACGACAATCAAGCAAAAGGTGCTTTCTTGTTTTCCAAAGCAACGCTTCCGCTGCTGCTCAAAGGGGTGGAGGAAAATCTCGAACATCCACCTAGCTTGATCTTTACCGGTACACTTATTCCATTTTTGTAATGATGCCGTGAGCTACATGCTGACGAGCTACTGCAACAGGTGCCACGGCAAGTGTTAGAGGCTCTGCGAATTTCTCTGTATTTGCTGCCGGGAAATTTGCCCTCCGCGCTTTGTCACAATCTCTAGCAAGAGAATTCGGTCCCAAGGGAGTGCATGTATCACATGTCATTGTCGATGGTGTAATTGACATCCCGCGCACCAAGGCGTGGAAATTTGAGCATGAAGATGCTAAGCTAAGCCCTGACGCGGTAAGGCGATCTAGAGAAGTCCGAAAAAGTAGATGCAGCGATACTGACTGGGATAGATTGCCGACTCATATTGGTTCCTGCATACACAGCCACGCACAACTTTCGCCTTTGAAATTGATTTGAGGCCGTATGTAGAGAAGTGGTAATTGTTAATCAGCAAGATTGAATGGGCTTGCGATTGTTAGCTTAGCCCACCCTAAAAAGATCATTCCAAAGTCCTCTATTTCTCTCTAACCTCTATAATAAGCCTGGTCTAAACTCTCAATAATTAGAGGTATCGATTTTCCTCTGGAGGTAAGTGGCAATAGTGGATATACGGTGGGTTTAAAGATAAGACCAATCAGCACTCATATTAGATATTAGCTGCCTAATACACTTTAGATTCCACTACCAAGGCCCTTAATTCCACACCGTTGGAGGAATTTCCCAGGGAATGCTGTGGCTAAGGTAAATATTCCGAAGATTAAGCGTTCGCCGGTTTTGGACTCATTTTGTTTTTCAGAGATCTACTCAAAATTGGTTTGGATCGTTCATTCACTTAGCATCCGTTCCCATCATATACTTCATTGAAATCATACTAACGTGCACTCGCTATCGATAAGGAGTGGGGTTTATCGGAGAGTTTGCTATAAAGTTGACATTATGACTCCGATTAACTTTGCGAGTCACGAGCCATAGCAGGCTGCGCGATTGGGATGATTGAGATGGCAGCCTGAATCGAAATATTTTTACACTCGTCTATACATAGCCTGGTGTCTCGCTACCTCGGCCTCGTCTGAACACCCTCGACATCATCTTAGGTATACACCAACATGCCCAAAGCTATACCCCCAGAAACAATCGTCGTAATCGGGTATGATCAATTCTTGTCCCCTCAGTTACTCCATGTTCATGAACCCTCCTTAACCAAACCAGTGCTGGCGTCATTGGCCTCTCCGCGGCCCTCCTCCTTCAGTCCACCCTCCTCCCCTCGCAACGCATCGTGATCATCGCCCGAAACCTCCCTCACACCGAGTCCATCAACTACGCCAGCCCATGGGCTGGTGGGCACTACCGCCCCGTCCCTGGAACAACCGCACAACTAAAGCAAGAATCCCAATGGGCACGGCACACATACCAAACCTTCGAACGCATCGCAGCCGAGGACATCTCCGCCGGCGTACAATTCATGCGGGGCATCGAGCATTTTGAATCCCCTTCTCCAGAGTACGTGGACGTAGCGCTCGACGTGAATAGCTCTGTATATGCACACCTCAGCCCGTCTTTCCGACGTATCTCGCAAAAGGAGCTTGCGGACGAACAGGTGAAGCTGGGAATTACATATTGGACTTATTGTGTCAATACGCCTGTTTATCTAGGCTGGCTCCTAAGGAAGTTTCTTCTTGGGGGCGGTGTGGTGAAAGAGTATACGTTGGCTTCTATTGACGAGGCTTTTGCGCTCGGCGCCAGTGATGGTGGGGGAGTAGTGAAGGCTGTGGTTAATTGTTCTGGCATGGGGTTTAATGATGAGAAGAGTTTTATTATCAGAGGTATGTCCACCTGTTCTCATTCTTCTTTTTCGTGCCCATACTTAGGTATTTCAGGTCAAACATGTCTCGTGCGTAACCCCATCTCATACACTTTAACCCGGCAGGGCGCGGACGGAACTTGGTCATTCGCCATCCCACGTCCTTTGATGGGAGGCACTGTCATTGGCGGCACAAAGCAACCGGGTGACTGGAATCCACATGCACGTGCCGAAATCAGGGAAACGCTGCTACGGAATGCGTCGAAATGGTTCCCGTTTGAGGGCGGGGAAGGTGGTGAATTCGACGTTATCCGTGATATTGTCGGACGAAGGCCGGCTAGGGAAGGAGGGTTGAGGGTGGAGATTGAGAGGGTTGATGTGGTTGCGCCGGATACTATGCATGGCCAGAAGAAAGAGGGTAAATCTGTGGTGCATGCGTACGGACTTGGGGGTAGGGGGGTGGAGTTGTCCTGGGGGGTGGCAGAGGAAGTCAAAGCGTTGATGCTGAGGGAAGGACTTATTGCAGAACGAGCTGCGCTGTAGATATATGCTAAGGATGACATGATACCAGGCTTGTACATATATCAATTGATGTTATGTAGATATGAGAAAAGCAACCCAACCCGCTCACAGATGCTCAGCGCTGTATTGCCTTTATCCTGTCCCTATAAAAAGTGTCTTTTTGTCCTTGCAAATGACCGCCATGTTCTAACCTGGCTTATAAAAATCGCAATGTATGGTATTCCCCGGTTCATGATACTCATGTCAAATAGCAACTCAAAGTGGAATAAAAAGGAGAAGGAAATGTATTCTTTCAAGAAAACTTTTTAGCCATTAGCCTGTACCTCTTGGAAGCCTCCCCCCTGCTCTCCATGCAACAAGGCTAATCGTTCTTCTTCTTTCTGCTGACGCAAGCGCTCGGTTTCCTTACGCAAAGCTTCCAGGTTCCATGCACCTTCGTTGTTGTCGTCCCCGTCGGACTCTTCCTCATCGCTGTCGCCGGAAGGACGCCAGTTGCCAGATTCGAAAAGCATACGACCGGTCGCCTCCTTCGCTTTTTGAGCTTCTTCCTCTGCGGCCTTTTTGTCGAGGCGTTTCTTCTTCCATTCTGCAAACGACTCGGGTGTCACTGGCGTCAGTGTTCCGGTCAGCTTGTGTCGTTCCGACTCTAGCCAGTCCTCTAGGGTCAGGGTGTGGAGAGGTGATTTTTCCATCAAGGCCTTCTCGGCGGCGCGTTGTTCCTTTGTTTTAAGAACAAATCTAGAGATCTTGTCAGAACTGCCAATTCTTTTTTTAGGGTAAAAAAATAGTAACCAACCCTGGTGGTAGCGCGTGTCGGTACATGCACTTATCACCCCCATTCGGACACGTCCAGAACCAACCATATTTCTGATTCTCGACCGCCTCGATAAAATGCTTGCAGACCTTCTCAGTAGTCGTCCGTGGGTTGCCGTGCTTGCTCAGCACCACATCGCGGAGCTTGTTCTCGTCCCACTGATCCATCGTATCCTTATCCTTGGTATCAGCGGCAGCTTCCGCATCTCTCGAGTCAGAATACAAGTCCCTCTTAACCGCCTTGCGCTCTATACTGAGATCGTGGCTGAATTTGCATTTCTTGCCCTTCTCGCAATGGCCTTGCTTGTGAAACTGGCAAACAATAGTCTTGGGATCGACTCCAAAGGGCACTTTTTGTACTTGAACGGGCTTGAAGAGCTCTGCAGTCTCTCTCTTGGCTTGTTCGGCAGCGGCCTTCTCGGCCAGGCGCCTCTCCTTTTCGGCTTCTTTCTTCTTTTCCTCGGCGTTCTTGCCGTGCTTGCTTTGGGCTTCTAATTGGGCGATTTGTTTGCGGGCGGCTCCTCCTTTTTTCTTATCAGATGTCAATACTCCGGTCTTTCATGGTATATTTGCTGCCTGTTGAATTGCAAATGGGTAGGGTAGGCAGGTTGGTGGTGTTCAAATGAAACGTACATTTTTCATACCAAAAGTCTGTCATAAGCGCAAGTCAGTCGACAGTCCTCAGAAACAAAACGAAAAAGGATAGCTATCTTACCTTATCTTCCACACTCGCCTTCTTCTTCTTCGGCTGGTCTGCTACCTTCTTTGGCGGCATCTTCGCGACTGCTCTCCTCTCGGGGCTGTATCAAAACTGTATACAAAAAAGAACCCCCGCGCTCGCATATGCAAAAGTCGGGCCGCGGGAAAAAAAAAAGAAACAATCGTGGTGTCAATGTACAACGCTAAATGCAAGAAATGACTGAGGTCACCCAGTTCCACGACTGATGGTCAGGCCTTGCACTTTTTGCTCGACGACGAAGAGCGAGTTGTAACTTGTGGGCTGCTTGGGGCCTAGTCTCGCGCCTTGGCCAATTACTGCCTGAGGCTGCCGTGGCGGGGAAGATTCTGCGCGGGTCACGTGCTGATGATATCATTGGTTCTACATATATTATATAGTACCAGTATAGTACAGTGTATATTGTATATGAGTATATACATTCATTCATTCATTCATTCATTCTCATTACTCAGTAGTAATAGCAGTAGTATACGGTTTGCTGCAATCAGCGGGTATATTCGTAAATCATGACACCAACGACATCGTCAGTAAGCCAGTAGAGAACTATAATTTTGTCCCCTCGCGGCCACCATCGCTTAATCGCCGCGGCGGCATGTCACTTGCTGAATTCGCAGGTCGTACTGGGCCTGTGCTAGGTCCGGCCGCTGCGCTGCCAGATCCAAGTCGTTGACTCTGCTGCAAGCGCGGGTTCAGAAGCCAGTGTATTTGCATGCGAATTGTGTTGATTGCAGCACTCGTATGCGCCATGTCCTCCTTGATCCGCATACTTTCGTTCAGAATAGCCATGCTGGCCCGGGCATCGAGATCTGTGATAGCATGCGAGAGTTGAGAGACCTCCTCGCGGAGAGATTCGTGCAGGGACAAAAGATATGTCATCGCCGTAGACGAGGACATGTTGGATGATCGATCAACATCTTCCAGCTCCCCCAAATGGGGCTCTAGTGGGCCTTCATTCCCAGCAGATGCCTGTTGGTCAGCCCGGATTTCGGGCCTGATTCGAGCACTCTCCATCAGGGTTGAGCGAATGTTTGCAATTCCGTCTTCCAATATCTCATTTCTTTGGCGTACTTGTCTGATCGCCATATCAAGCGAATCGATGCGTGAGTTTTGTGCCTCAATATACGGGCCCATAGTAATCAAGGGGCAACTCCGTTCATGTGCCGTCAATTCGGTGCGTTTGAACTTGGCGCTGCAGCCGTACTTGGACGCTTGACACTGATGTATAGCCTCTGGACAAGTCTCCACGTGTTCTTCCAAAGCACTGCGGAATACCAAAGCATCACAATCAGGGCATTTTGTACGTAAGCTTGGACAGAATTCATTCTGATGATCCTGTAAATTAAAACAGTTAGCAGGTATTGAGACAGACCCGTTTATAGGGAACCCACTTCCAAGTCCTGCTCCATCACGCCCTCCTCGCACGCTTCACATCGCAGAACCATATGCATACACTTCCTTTCGGCTGTCATGTTTTTCTTGCGTGTCTTCTGTGTACATGTCAAGCTTGGACATTCCAGCAACCTGTAGTCGCAGTGCTTATCCACATGCAACTGCACATGTCCTCGAGACATGACCTCCTTACATCCCTCGCCCGAATACGGGCATCGTACTTGGACATCATCACACATGTTGATTAATATGCGCGGCACGTTACCGAAGATCTCGCTTGCTCGAGAACGACACGACGGGCAGCGGAAGTTGCGTGGATCGGAGTTTGCAGATGTGATAGCATCATTCAAACACTTCTGACAAAAGACGTGGTCGCATTGCAGTCGTAACGGTCTGACGAACGGACAGTGGCATATCGGGCACATCAGATGTTCATCGTATTTGGAGACATACTCCAATGCCCGGAGGTCGACGACCTCCTCTACCCCGCGGTTTGGATCCATCGATTCCAAGGGATTGAGCAGCTCGCTGGTGTCCATGGTAATAGGCACATGGGCGGCCTGTCCTTATATACTCTCACCCCTTTTCAAGCTGCGTGCTGTTACACAGATATGGTCTGGCTGGGAGACCGATCGGTACCACTGGGATTGCCGAGCTTGAGACCTGGACGAGAATGGTCGGAGCGACGGTGGGCCGGTAACTGAAACGATGCAAGCACCTTTCTTTTTCAGGTGCAGATCTTAAGACACATCCGGGAGAGCAGAAAGGGGTGTGCGGTGCAAATCAGGGATGGACGTATAGAGGAGTAGTGATTCCAAATAGCAACCAGAGCAAGAGCAGTCATCGAGCGTAATACTGTATGTAGTACTAGGCTCGGAATCCTGGCTAGCCTCCTGCCACAGCCGCCCGCGAATCGGGACGCAGCATTCCCGCGCATGCCCGGATCCAGCGTCCAGTGCAGGCGTCAGTCCCCATACACCTCCAGAACACTCTCATTCAACAACGACGACGACGACGACGACGACAAATTCCTGCAGTCGCACTCATCGCCCTCGTCGGACTCGCATTCCAAACGCGATTTTTCCAGAACTCCCACCGAAATTCTCTCCATTCCTTAGCCACCCTGCTAAGCCACAGAGATCGCGGCAGCCTGCAGTGCACAATCCGGCCTCGTTTCAGATCTAACAGCCTTCAGCCTGCGAACAATTGGCTTAGTAGCATTACTTGCATCTCTATCGGCCTGGTCCATCCCAGCATTCCTCGGCACCACATCTCCGAAAACCAACCGCATCGTTACATCTGCAAATAGATCATCTGCTCGCAACAAAGCATCCAACATGACCAATCCGTCTCAGCTATTCCTCCTTGCAGACCACATCAAGCTCTCCCTCCTCGAGCGACAACGAGCGATCTCGCTGGACTTGGAGCCAAACACACAAGACGGGGAGATTTCAAGGTCGCTCGAGTCGTTACGCGATGGGCTGGAAGGGCTGGAGAATGATAGTAATCTAGACGCCGATGCACAGGACCAGATCACGAATCTACGCACCCAATACGACGATCTCGCGTCCCATTTTTACGGTGAGAACGGGCCCAGCGATGCTACACTACAACCCAACGACCCGTCTCTAGGGCCGGACTTTGCCCATGCCACTCGTGGAAGCAACCTGCAGCAGCCTGTCCCCCAACATCCCGTATCCAAGTCCGTGCGATTCACGGATTCCGATCATACCGATGAAGAATACGAAGCGAATCGAGCTGCACTACTTCAGCCATACCGCGATGACCCTTCGCCCAATAATCAGTTTGACGCCAGCGAATTGAGCAATCAGCAGATCCATGAGCATCACCAGCAGGTCCTGCAAGAGCAGGACTCACACCTTGACCAGCTAGGGGAGTCGATTGGACGCCAGCACCAGCTAAGTATTCAGATCGGCGATGAACTCGAAGGCCAGGTCGCGCTGTTAGACGATGTCGACAACCATGTCGACCGTCATCAGGGACGGATCGACACTGCTCGTCGTAGGTTAGACAAGATCCGGCGGAAGGCCGGAGATAACTGGAGTCTTATGACGATTGTTGGGTTGATTATTGTGTTGGTTATCCTGATAGTGATTCTCAAGTAGTTTTCTTTCTTTGCTCAGTCCTCAGTGACTGTTTGGGACCGAGTTGCATCAAGCTGCATTTCATATGTTTACATTTCATATACTTATTGACGAATATGCCTGGCGTTGGGAATGGAATGATCAATTGATGTTATTACCGTATCACAACCAAGCACTCCTTCAAATATCAAGCTAGCTGTCCGATCTCATCCACCCCTCATACTCAATTATCGGATTCCCAACTCACCCCATCACTTTTTCCCCTTAACAACCTTCTCCTCCCTCTTCTCCTCCTTCCAAACCTCCACATCATCTTGACTCGCCCCAGTCTCCCCCCGATCCGCCTTAACGCCGGCCTCACTCTCACTCGCCAGCTCCTGTTTCCAGTACCTCTTGCCCTGTTTCGCCTCACTCAGACTCTGCTCTTTCAGCCGTTCGTACTCTTCGTTGACATTATCTCTGTCTGTACCATAAAACCCAGGCGTTAGCACAGTCCAGAATACCCCGGGCGACATGTAACAATTTGAAGCACAACATGACAATTGATAGTGGCATGGTATGTACATACTCGTATCCCCTTCTTTGAGCGCATTCTGTGCCGCCGAGGTTGAAAATGCGGATGTCAGAGGTGGGGGGATTGCTTTGCCTGCTGGCGCCGTTGTAGATGAGGTAAGTGGACGGAGTAGCGATGCTGCTTGTCGGCGGAGAGTTGGGAGGGCGGCCATTTTTTTAAGAAAAATTAATGCTAATAAGAGAGGTTTTGATTCATATGTTCGATTATTAGGCTCAGAGACGAGGTTGGAGTGGTCTGGATAGTTGAATAACGATGTCAGGCTAGCCTTTGCTCAGTATATATATATATACCATATCGCTTTTTGTAAAGGGCTGTGATGACTGACTTGCTCAGCTTCGGTCAAATCGACTCGTGGCAAGAGTAGTAGATATAACCAGACAATCAAAACGAACTTGAAATGTACCTATATGTAGTTGAAATAGATGAATTTACTGCAATGCATTCGTTGCGTGATCTCTGTGCTCTTTAACGGCTGCAGCCAACGTCGTCGCTTTGACGTCATACACGCCACCTACCAATCACCGCCGCGACATCACGTTAGTAATCGATTGATGGGCTAATTATTATATTAGTTATAGGTATATCAAGTTGGTTTCTACTGTATGGACTGGTAAGGCGAAATGAGGTATGAAATCGATTTATGTTCGACGGTCGACACTATCAACACGGAATGCAAACGGAAAGAAAGAAAATAGCGAAGGTAAGAGACAATGCAATACATGATAGTAAACAACAGCTATGATATATCGGTATATGACTGAACCCAGTGAACTCCTCTCCACGCAGACCAAAGGCCTGTGGCCCTGCTTCACCCAACAATCCATGTCACCCCAACCGCCATCCCAAACCAATGGATATCCGTGTAGATAAAGACATGAAGCGAAATAAAAGTAAAAAGTTAGGGCTGGCCTGATGCCCAGATATCGAGACAGTATGCTGAAAAAAATTCACAACCCAACAATGCAGACATTTGTATCGTTTCCAACGTCTAGTCCCCGAGGGAAATCACAAAGAAACATTCCACAGAAAACCATTCCGCCTAGCAAACCAGCAATGATAATGAAAAATAAACACAGGTAAAATGACGACATGAGAGGAATAGAATATCGTAGAAGTGACGTCCCACATATCAAAAGTTGCCAGAACCCAAGTAATCAAACGAAAAAACTCCCAACACTGAGGCATGCGCTGTGATATTAAACATAATGGCAGACACCACCGGGCTTTCTATACACCATAGCAGCAGTCGTGCGCCAGGCCGAAACAAACGAGTTTTTGGTATATATCCATCCCTCCCGAAACAGAAAACTTCAAGACACCGGCACCAAACTTAAAAAAATGTCGAAATGCTATAAACGCTTGCGCTGTCGCTGACAATCAAATTTTTTTTTGTCTCGCTCTGCAAAACCATCCGAGGTCTAAAAGAGAAGAATATTCTTGTCGTCATCAAATAAAAAATATATACAATTTCGATGCGGATTTTTCTTTTCCAAAGAGGTCGCAAAAGAGGGTAGTCGTCGAGACCAGAGAGAGAATAAACCCAGGATGGTGTAGATGAGGACGCCAGCGACGATTGAAACGCAAGATACACAAAGGCATGCCTCATGATGAAAGAATATGTACTGGTTTCTGGAACAACCTTTGCAGTGGTTTACCACCGTCGCTGGCTCTGCACCATACCTGGGTTAATGGACGTCGGAGGGCTGGACAAGGTGACCCCCGTCTGAGGGTTAACGATAGGAATGACTTTCCGGGTACGGGAAGCAGCAGGCTGCTGGAAGTGCATGGCATTAATATTATTATTAATCGCGGCCGCGGCAACGTTGTTGACATATGATGTTGTTGACGGGCCAGGAGAGAGCGAAACGCTTGGCGTCACCTGTTGAGCTGGCTGGATCTGGTGCTGCAGAGGCGATGAGTCAGGAGATCCGCTCGAGAGAGACGAGCGATCCGAGACCGACGAATGGATTGAATGCAGCTGCGTTTGCAGTCAGTACGGAGATCAAATCATCAGGCTCCTGGTGTAGGAATATCCCCATAGAGGAAGGGAGGGATGTTGGGCTCAACAAACATCGTCTTCTGTAAGCAAGTTGGGGCAGAATTCCAGATCATCATCCAAGTCAAAAGAGCGGCCAGCTTCGAAGCGCAGACGGAAAGCTGTGACTGTGGGAGCCTCGGCCAATTCCCTCATGCTCTTCACACCGCGGAACTGCCTCTGGGTGTTCTGAGAAGCCATGCGAGGCCCTCGCCGCCGACCGCCGTGGTGGTTGTTTGACTGCAGGTGAGCGTTGGCGGCATGCGTCTGCTGCTGCTGTTGCTGGTGGTGGTGATTGTAGAAGTATGTGGATGCCATGGCTGTTGTTGTGTTGGGTGTTTGTTTGGTACAATGGGACAAGCACAAAACAAAACAAGGCGAGAGTCGATTGGAGTCGAAGAGAAGGGAGAGATCGAGTGGTTGTAGTAGTGACAGAAGAGTGAATTATGGGGAGAGTGGTATGGAATGAATTACAAGGCAGAGAATGAGAATAAGCGTAGGAGACGGAGGCGGGTTGTGCGGGATGGATGAAGAGTCAAAAATAGTCGATGGCGGGACAGACGGTTGAGAGCGCAGGAGGGAGCGACTTATTGGGGGAAGCCATCGTGAGCCCGCGCCAAGAAAGTCCGAGAGGCAAAAGCCAGCGGGCCCACATGGCCCACTGGAAACAATGGGGCATGCAGTCCGACTGCGGCGAATGGGAGCGGCGATGCGGCGCAAGGACGGTATTATATTGCCTGCAATTACACCAGCCTGTGGTTTGGTTCCACCCTACTGGCTGGCTGGCGTCGCATCGTGCCTTGGCTATGCGTAATATACCTGTACCGCCACGATACGATATAGTCCACTTTTGAGCATAAATGACCAATGAATAACGCAGTAGGGATGCACTAGTAGCAAGTGCAGAGGCCAACCAAACACCGGCGTCCTCTAGGCTGTCGTGGAGTTCCCTCACTACCAATGACATTATGTCACTGTGGGCACTAAGTGGACCCGTATTCATCCGACAGCCAATAACCGAAACACATATTTTTGAGCCGGCCTCAAGCGGCGGCAGGGTTGCTTGTCGTCAGCCATGACGTTGATCCAACCAGCCTTCAGGGCGACTCGAATGTTCGTGATAGACTACTGTAGCTGCTGTATCGTAAGTAGCACGCATTGACGTCGGGTTGAAGATTCTACTGGCCCTTGAGCCCCCGACTAGCGCTAGAATGCTAGTGAGAAGTTGGAGGCAGAACACAGTGGCAGGGCTGTCTAGTGCTAAACGGGAATGCCGAATGCCGATGACGGAGAATTCCTGTGTAGGCTGTGTCGTACTCCATCGGTAACTGTTCAGTTGATAATAATAAATAATTGATCGATTTCATTTGCTAATCAGAACAAACGATGGCAGCCGCCACCAATCGCGGCAGCCGCAGTCTATGATCGATCATGAGCTTGGCTTAGACTTGGCTACAATTAGATGCTGATATGCTCCCTAGGGTGCCGCTGAGCCTCTGCAGCCCGTTCCTGCGCCTCCTGCTTGTGCCTCCTGGTCCCTGGATCGAAGGATGTGGAATACTCGGCAGAGCAGGAACGCCATGTTCGATGCCCCTTCATTTCATTATGGCCAGTCCGCTGGATTGCTGGATAATCAGGCGGCGAATCGGCATTCAATTTGGCTGTTTGTTCGTCTACGCCCCCTGCTGGCTCCTTGCTGCCGCCATGGATGAGTCACGTGTGTCGTGCAGGATCGGGGGCCAGGGAGAAATAAGCGGTCTGCGTGCACTGCACCACCAGAGCCAATCAAGCCGCTGACATCGCGGCCAGCTGACCTGAAAAACCCGAGGCAAGCCACAGCTTGTGCCCGATCGGGATTAGCTGAAGATGCCACTCCGCATCCATTGCGCTAACCTGAAACAGGCAAGATAATTGATCAGAAACCCTAAGCCGCTTTCAATCTGCCAGATTGTCAATAACTTGCCCAGTCCTTGTTCCACGTTTTATTAACAATTTAAAGTAGCCATCCAAACGGATTGTAAAGATTTGTCTAAAAAATTCACCGTGAAATGATAAATGTTGATGTCGCCCAACTCTTGCAGCTGAAACTGAATAGGATCAATATGTCGAACATATGTATTATTTCTGACGCTAAAATCAACCTTTCCCTGTGTCGTATTCGTTGCTTAATACTAATTCAGTGGGTGGTTGTCTATGAGATCAATAAATTCACTGCAGTTACACGTGATCAGCCATTCCTTTCATTCTATACCCCCTGTCGTATTTATTCGACATCTATTGCTTCGCAGAATTATATTAGTATAAATTTCTGGCCATGAATCGTATTCGTCGCTTAATAATTTCCTACGTGTGGATCTAGCTATCTATGAGACGATTCGGTTCACCAGCTATTAATTTGCATTCTATACCCTCCGTCGTATTTATTCGACATCTATTGCTTCGCACAATTATGTAATTACAAATGCCTTGTCATAAGTCCTGTTATGAGCAAAGCAATGTCTGAAGACAAAGATCTCTCACGCAAAATGTATAAATAGAGCAACAGGTCTGCTTTTGTGAAACCTGGAATCAAGCAAGCATTCAGAAACAATCTCTCTCCAATATTATATTCCTCATTTTAAAACCGCTTTCCAAAATTTATCATTTTGCTGGATCTCCTGCTCAGCACAGATCACCACAATGTCCTTGCCTGAGCCTGTTTCTTTTACCAAAACCTGGCACTCCAAGCCATACCCCTTCATTGACCCATCTCGCCCCGAGCTCTCTGCTGCCGGCAAGAACGTAGTTGTCACGGGCGGTGGCAGTGGAATCGGGAATGCTGTTGCCGTCGCATTCGCCAAAGCAGGCGCCAAGTCGGTTTCGATAGTGGGAAGAAGCGCCGACAAGCTCAAGCGCGGTGCGGAGAATATTCAGGGTGCAATCCTACCAAATGGAACCACTAAAGTCATCTCTGAGGCTGCCGATTTTCTTGTCAAAAGCCAGATTGACGCCGCTATCCAATCGATCGTTGCAAAGGTCGGCAAAATTGATGTCTTCGTGTCGAATGCCGGTATACTGCAGCAGCCGGGCCCGATTACCCCCTACAATGTGGACTTGTTTCTGTTCGGCGTGAGTGAGGGAATCCGCAGTGTGTTCAATGCCTTCCAGGCATTTCTTCCGGTTGCTGGTCCTGATGCCGTGGTGCTTAATACCTCTTCCTGTGTGGCGACTATAACTCCAGTCCCGGGTATTCCAGCATACGCAGTCAGTAAAGCGGCTACTTTGAAAGAGATGGAGTATTTTGCTGCGGAGAATTCGCATGTTCGTGTGGTTAATATACAGCCAGGATGGGTGACATCAGACCACAATGGACATATGGGGGAGGTTCGGGATTCCCGTAAGTCTCAATCTGAGCCTTTTGTTGTGTTTTCGTTCATTGCTAATAGTATTATAAAAACACAGCGGACCTCCCGGGCCAGTTCTATCTGTGGCTAGCTTCTGACGAAGCTAAATTCCTCAAAGACAAGTACGTTTGGGTGAACTGGGATGCGGTGAACATAATCAAACAAAAATTCACGAAGGAGCATTCCCGCGAGAATGTGTAGTATGATTTCTGTCGCCGAAGGCAACAAATATGGGAATTTGATATTCCAAGACTTCCATTAGGATAATGTGGACATTGATCAGGAGTACATGCTTGGTGAGGCCGGTGATGACGCTGTCAATTAGTTGGAGGCGATTGGGTTGGTGGTATGGAGCTTGGATTTTCCATCGAGCTGACCATTCGGGACAGACGTTAAGGAGTTGGTAATCTGCTGCTGGTAGGAGAAGGACGACTACCTGGGCAAAAATGACAAGGAGACCTCGACGATACCTGGAGGATAGCGAGTACAAAGACCTGCCCACTACTAGGTGAAAGTTTGCAAAGGTTTAGTCAAAATGTCCATGGTGAGTTGAGGAATGCTGTAGACGTCTTATTTCAGATGGAACGATTTTAAAGCCCATTAGTATCACGCTTATTAGTTCTAGACTTTGTCATGGTAGTGATGTGTATCAAAGGTTTTTGGAGGAGAGGAAAGTACCTTTTACATGTAATATGTCAACGCTCTATTAAAACGGCCGTTTTAAGAGTTCGTGGGAGCTCGAGGCTTTACGTAAATGACAAAAGGGGATACCGGTTCAAATACGAATAAAGAAAGAGTATTCCAATTTCTGCCAGGCATTACAAGTTTAAGCTTTGTTTCTGGCAAACTTTTGGTTTCCTAAAGGGTCTTCATATGTGATAAATTGTTTATGCTTACCCTGGGTTGTTTTATCTCTACAAGCTATCGTATGGCTAACCGTGCAAATATTTGATATTTCGATGTATGATTTGACAATAAAGATTGAATGGGTTTCGTGATCGCTTGCGATGAGAGAGGAAAGCCTACAGGATTGTCGTTTTCAAAACCTGCGGGACAAAAGCCCTATTTTCAATAAAATACTCACAATACCACTACTACATCGAATATATACCGGGCATAAGCAAGATAACCAAGTCATGGCTAAGAAATCTAGCCCATATTAATTGATTTTGCCTAAGCTACTAATGACCATACTTCAAGAGGTCTTAAGACCTATAGAACAAATATGTGTGACGCTAGACTGCCCAGCATGTCGCCGCTTTATGCTCAACCTGGCTCCAGGATCGCGCTGAGCATGCCCCAGGTGGTCCCTTGGCCCCTTTTCCTAAGCATCGCCTCAATCTTGACGCATGACCCTTTTTTGCTCTTCGCCCCCGTTCCAACCCTCGTCCAGCCGCCACCTCATTTCATCCTCAGCTTGACAGCGTGGTTGTTGAACGGTCAAACGTCACCGCCATGTGTGATCAATTAATCAACCCATAAGACTTATTTTATTTTCAACAGTCAAAATTTTGGTATTTACTCTTCTATGCCTACGATAGCAAGTATATGGTCATTTCAAGATATCGGTCAGAGTCTTCAGTAAGCAATTATTCATGGGGATTTTTTAACCAGACAACCCATAATATTCATAATCCACCACTATCTACGAGTTGGTATAATTAATATGACTATCAATGAGACAAATAGCTCTCTTTTATCATTATAATCTAGATCCATAAAGATCAAGCAAGGATTATTATCTGGCCCTGAATATTATATTAGCTAATATCCATTCATATAACCTATCCAATAAATGTCAGTGATATGTTCATACTAGAACCCCTTTCCATAATATAATAAGGGCTAATTTAGAAATCTAGGCCTTTATTATATTAGATGAATGCTACTTATTCCTTTCAAAAGACCCAATATATCTGATCTCAAATTTTAGATCTCCTGCTTTGTCTCACAATGACGTATCTCTGAGCCCCAACAATATTCTGTTGCCGAGCTGAGAAACAAGGAGGGGATAAGATATTTTCAAATCTCATGGAGCATGCCTCACGACATGTGATTGATGAGTTAGACTGATTACGTATAGCCTGGGAAACAAACCAAGCTTTGGATGATAAATGGCTTTTGATCATTGGCTTCTAAGGCCTTTAGTTCTAGACTTAGCTCAGCCTTTAAATAATAAATTTAAAAGCTCATAAATATCAACAGCACTAGATTATTGTTAAATAAGTAGATAGTAGGAAATATTAGAAAGCTAATAACTTATCACTATCTCCATTTTATAATCTGTATATTAAAGATTAAAGCAAAATAACCAGGTTCGCCTTATATATTGTGTTACGATCGGCACGTGGCTGAGTATGTGGTATCATTCAACTAGAATACTCAGCATAAGGAGTGAAATCGACTATGTACAGCCGCACGCCGCGGTTAAATAAAATGTGTGGGGCACATTCCGCTAACGGCACACGACATGCTAACCCGAACCCTAACCGTCTTAAGCATCCATGTCCGTTACTCAGGCATCCATATGCTGAGCCGGCCCTTCCAATCGACCCCGAGGCGGCCAAGGCACGGCACCTATATCAGTTCATGACCGGACGTGCCCCCGCTGGAGGCATACCTGCACCGAATCGGCAGGCGCGACACCCTCTAGTGTGGGGAGTGCTTAGAGGATGTAGAGACCGTGCCGCACCTATTGCTCCACTGCAGGCGGTGGCGGCGGCTGCGGGAGGCCAAGGCTAGCGGGCCCTCAGCAGCTGAAGGGACCCGGAGGGCCGATTGATGGGAGTGGGAAGTAATAGAGGAGGCGAGGGGCCTAGGGGGACCCTAGGGGGAATGGTGATAGCTCTGGGCGGCCTGCCATCGGTAGGCAACGCCCGCGCGTTTGGCTCCTAGGAAGGAGGCTGGGGGCCCCGCTAGCCCCTATAAGACCCCTAGCGCCTACTGAAACAAGACCTCATAGCTTATAGCTGGGTAAGGTCGTTAAACATGAATAAATAATAAATCAACGGTCGGATGCTGAATCTTTAACGCAGCTCTTCAAAGAGAGGGGGTACAGCCTATGACTTGCGTTCAACTCGCACTAGGCGTTCGTAAACATCCGATAGGTTCAATTGTCAGTTATTAGTTTCACGGCTTGGTAATAGTTCCGTAGCTGTAGCTAATAATCCCTGCCCTCACGTTTGGTCTGTACGAAGGATCCCTGTCTATTATCTCGCGGTTTAATTACAGATGGCCGGTGACCGCTGTCGTCCGTAAAAAACGGTGTGGCAACGATCACTATGGTCTCATTGAAAGTCGGAGATGCTGTAAGGACACCAGAGAATAGTGATAGCAATAAGCCTTATGAAACATGCTTAATTCGATTTTCTGTGTTTTGAAGAGGAAACAGCTAATATGGGAACATGCTCTACAATCATGTTTGTTTTACTATGGCAAAGCGTCGCAACAATTTCATTAGATCCAACGGAAGTTAAAATTAGAGTATAAATGGTTGGTTGCATGATATCTTCCTTTGTTATGTAGATCACTAGATAACCTCCTTTTGCTATTGATTGGTTTTCGATGTGGGCCTTGACTCCAACATCGCGCTAAGCATTCATAGACCTTCCGGATTATCACCGAAGGGGCATCCGATAGGCATACTTAGGCCGCCTTCGAGCTTTGCATTTTCCGCACTATCACTTACATCCCATGTCGGTCGCATTTTGACTCATCACAAGTCTACTGTAACCACAGTTGCTTTGACCAAATACTTGTCCTGTATTGTAAAACAACGATACAAGCTTTCACAGATCAGCCACAGTATTGATCTACTTTTTGAGTGATATTTAGAGGAGACAGATATTGTTTCGCTTCTAACCGCTTAGATATGTATATTGATACTTTATCTTGTTGTGACATGGTGGAGAACCGGGTTTCAAGGTCTCCGCACAGACCACGGAGTACTAGAAGGTAGTCAAAGCCGAGTCGAAGGCTACTGAGGCTATATGTATATAGGGAGATACAAGGCTTCCAGATAGAAACTGGGACTTGATTTAATTGAATATAGCTCTCCATAACTGGGAAAATCGTTGAAATTTCCAAAGTATGGCACAAGATCAAGCTTATACATGCGTATTTAGTATAAGCAGATGCTTGTGTACAGCGTCACCCTTCTTTCTAACTCGAGGTAAAGGCAGACCAATACCTAACGATCTAGCTGGCCAATCCAGTTGATTACACTTATTGTGTTGCGCACTTATTCAATGATGGAATTTGGTATTGATTTCGTGATTGCGCGATTTTATTGATGTAACATTCATCAATCCAATGTTGGATCGCGCGCCAACATCCCATGGGGAATGGCCATTTAAATATTTAGCAAAGAGCAGGGGTGGTGCATTTACAGAAATTTAAACCTAGGCATAATTACCGTAAGTACCGTAAATATACCAGATGTGTGGTATTACGATTCACGGAGTCCAGTAAGTGTAAAAGCTAATACAGTAAAATTCTAATATACGACATCGGATTTGGACACTAATGTGGGCTAGACCTGTCCTAGATCTAGGCCTAACATCTCGGCGAGCGTTGAAATCTACCCCGTACTGTACACTGCACTGATCAGGAGGATTTGCAGTAGGTCGACAGACTTACAACTTACAAATTGTGAATACCGTGCTGCTGAGCAAGGCCCTAAAAGGAAAGCAGTCGACTAAAGTTGTAAGCCAACAACGTTATGTAGTCGACCTCCGTACTTAGTTATGTAGTTACTCATGTGTAACCTTGAGTATATCTAAACGTAGTAAAGCGTTAATCTAAAATCCTACCAAGTATCTTAAAATTCTTAAATATCGATTTTATCATTACGCGTTACGAGGCTTTAATTAGTCTGTACCCAGAGTGAATAGCGTTTTGCATCGCTACGAATACCTAGTAAACCGTACGTAATATGGACGACGCTAAGCTACCTTTAGGACTGCTAGCAAGGTGTTTATTAGTAGAAGTTGTACGTTGTAAGTTGATAACCCACTTCAAATCCTCTTTATTAAAGCTGCAATCCTTCCTGGGGCCTGTATATCAGCGGTTTCCTGTTAGTATGTCAAGATCCTAGAATCGACTAGGCCTTGATGATCTTGGCTTATAAAATGGAACAGTTCTCGCAGCGTACAGCATTAGATCTTGTTACCATTGGACCGGATATTAGATCACCTAGCGCGACATCGTGATTCTTTTCGGAAAAAAACAATGATGAAAACTACGCAGAGCTTTACAGGTACGGTGATATATTATACGCTTGGTCTAAAAACAATTGTGAGGGTTGCACGCGTGGGGGACCTTTTTCCTTCCTGCTTTCTTAAAGTCTTCCCTGTTCTATACTCTGTAGAAATTCGACGCTTGTCCAAGGGAAAAAATAAAAGGGAAATACAACTAAAATTAGCTTTCCTAGCAGACTGAAGGCCATGGAAAAGCCGGAATGGGCGCAACGCCAAACCTATACCCTCAAACAGCTCCACCAGTATTTTGATCGCATCGCTTTGCCACCAACAGTCCGGACAGCCTTACTTTCGGGTAAAAACACAGTAGATGTTGATAAACATGATGAAAAGACTCGGTTGGATTTGTTGACTACACTACAACGGTACCACCTAGCAGCTGTTCCATTCGAGAATGTCTACCTTCACTACTCAACACACCACACTATCTCTATCGATGAACAGGAGCTATTTCACAAAATCGTCGAGCGGGGTAGCGGCTATGGGGGGTATTGCTTGGAGAACAATGGGCTCTTTGGAACTGTCTTGCGCAGCTTGGGCTACAACGCGTATTCAGCGGGGGCTCGGGTGAACGAGGCGGCGCAGCCGGTGGCAGCCGGGAAGAACTGGAAGGGCCCTAAATTCGATGGTTGGTGGGTACCCCCCCCCTACTTCGGGTTTTAAGCCGATACGCCTAACTAGACGGCGATAGGAATCATATGGTGAACCTGGTGACGATTGGTATAAACCAGTATCTGGTTGACGTGGGGTTTGGTTCCAACGGACCACACTCACCTATCCCTCTGGTGGCGGGGAAGACTTTCTTCAATTATGGCAAGCAGACCGGTCGTCTACGTCAAGGAACCCTGCTCCAGCACGTCAACAGCAGCCATCAGCAGGAGCTGTGGCATTACGAGTTTCAGAATGGAGATGAAACTGCGCCGTGGACTCCCGCCTATGCCTTTACTGAGGTTGAATTCACGCCGGATGACTTTGAGATCATTAACTTCTTCATGTCCACTCACAGATCCAGCTGGTTTACATTCTATGTTGTTCTCTCGCGCATGATATTAGATGATGCGGGCGAACAGATTATCGGTGACCTGACACTGTTCAACGACGAGGTTAGACGTCGCGTTGGTGGCACAGTAGAGCTGTTGCAAAAGCTCGAGTTAGAGGATGACCGTGTCGCGGCACTCGATAAATACTTCCAAATCCGCCTATCCAGGAGCGAACGGGCGGGAATCAAAAGGTCGGTTGCTCAGATTTTGTGATCATTATTGTGTGAAGTGAATAGAGACTATATGTATTTCTTGTTTCTAGTATTTTAATCATTACTAGCGTTCTTCGTGTGTAAATTCTAATTTCCCGAGTAGCCGAATGCTTCAGGCTATTTTGGTCTGGTCCGGCAAAGATAGCCGTATCACTTAAGAAATAGTATGCATTAGTTGCAAACCAATGTCTGAAGCTATGAACGAATACACTCTCCTATATTCACCTCTCGAGTGGCCTCTTGGGTCTTGGGCACTTGTAGCCCGTAGCCTGTGGGAATTTGGGCCCTATATGTCGGAAATTATTCTTGCTAATCATGGAAAATATCATACAAAGGAAGTGTCTGCTAAGTTTACGTGCGTTAGCCGCACGTGGTCATCTACAATCCACGAATGGACGGACAATTAGACTCCGATAAGATGGAGAAATGGGAGAATGAAAAGAATTTTCCATTAGCCACACAGGTAGATAGATATCTACAGGATGCCTAATATCAAGTCAGTAAAAATTGACAATGAAGGAATAGAAGAAATAGAGCAGATCTCATATCTTTTTTCGGGAATGAGTGTCTATATCAATTGATATAATACAGAATCAAGAGAAAGAACCATTAACAATTTGATCATCCAAGACAATCGGTGATTCAACAATGGGACCGTTATACTGATGGCGGCCGCGAATGGCGTACCAGCAGAGTCCAAGGATCATCTCACCGCCAAACACGACAATGGACCAATTCATATTGGTATTAGTCACTGGGTACATGGGAGGAAAGAAGGAAAAAGTGATAGAAATAATAAGGAAAAACATTGAGCAAGCGTTGACGAAGATGCCGAATGGACCCATGGTCCATGGTCCAAAGTCCACAGTCTCGCCGAGAATACGTTTCTTCAGGACCAGGCTGATGGCGATTAAATAGGAAGAGTAGAGACCGACAATAGTTAGCGATACAATTGCGTTGAACGCAGTGGTTGAGGCGATATTGATCACACAGATCAAAGCAGTGAGAGCGGTGCAGAGCAAAATGGAATTCATGGGAAGCGCAGTACGCTCGCTCACCTATATTTGCCGTAGTCAGTATGTTTTAACTATAAGTATATAGAGTGTAGGAGGAAATAATTATTCAACTCACATTGTTGATAATGTTCGAAAAAGGCGTACCACGGTCGCGCGCCAAAGCCCAGGTAAGGCGGGATGCAGAAGCCAGGAAACCGAAGCAGGCAGACATAACAAGGACGATCAAGATAGCAGTCATGATAGAAGTTCCCGCGTGGGAATTGGTGGCATTTTGAAACACCTCGATGAAATCGTAACCAGTGGGTGAGCTGAGCGCATCGTCTAAGTTGCCTATGCAGAACAAAAATACAAGGGTCATAGCAAGGCCCAGAAGGCCATTGATCATGACAGTGGATACCATACACCAAGGCACAATTATCGAGGCATTTTGGATTTCCTCCGCTAGAAAAGAATTTAGATCACTTGGAGAAGTTCAAAGGGGAGGGTGAATTACCCATATGGCATGGACCATCGTAGCCGATGAAAGGCAGGTTGGAACTCATCAAAGCAATAAACCACACCAAGCCATTGCTAGACCAACCGGATGAGTTCGCGAATTCGGTAAAGACGAATTCAGCAGAGCTGTGCGGAGCCAGGTAGACTAGCGGAATTAGAATGGCAAAGAAACCAACAATGTGAATAGATAGGATCAAGCCCTCGATCTTTGGTAGCAGTCGGGCAGCAATGGTGTTAACAAATACGACAACGATCAAGAAAGCGAACATAAGTAGCGTTCCTTGCCATCTTTCGATCACGTAGGAAGGCTTGTTGAGTACGAGGAGGCCCTGGATCATCGTGCCGGCGAAGTAAATAGCAGATGCAGTATTGGCCCACCATCCAGTCAAAGCACTCCACCCTGCGGAAAAATTAGAACAAAATACCCAAAACACGTAGTTATATGCTGGTAAATCTCTATCGGCTTACCAGTCAACCAGCTAAGGAAAACTTTGGATTTTTCAGGGGAGAGTTGAGCGACCCAGTGATACTGGCCACCGGAAGTAGGTGACCTTTCATAACCTTGTTAGAATCTTGACTCTCCTGATGGTTCATGCACTTGACAGGATAGCTTTGAGTAAGAATCTCTTACATTGAAGCCAACTCTCCCAATGAAGCAGCAGTAGCAAGGGTGCCAAAGAAGCAGAAAATGTATCCATAGACAAGCGAGACGGGCCCGCCATCCACCATAGCTGTGGTATTCGCACTGATGAGATTGCATTAGTTCAATAATCGACCATCGAACGACAATCGCGGGTGAATGTTATAAATTGATAAGAGCACTGAATCGCTGGGGTCGCTCACAAAAATACCGCCTCCCAAGTACACATCATCGTCGTTGTGAAACCCAGCATCGACAAGAATCCGTAAATTCGCTACAACGAAGTCATAATCGCATGTTAGCATACTAGAATAGGTGTTGAAAGTTGATCTTCTGGGTGACATCCTGCAATTTGAAGGAATGAACATACGTGAAATCGCTGCCGTTTTCCTAGCCTTGCCATATCAATCTCATCGCGACGTGTGAATCCCTTGCGACTGATATTTTGGGCTCCAGGCTGCTCCTGCACATCGATCTCCCTCATTTTGAAGGTCGACATGATTTTTAGTGTCGGAATGCGAACTTTCCCGTATAATTCTTGGTGGTTGGATTCTTATCTGACAAGCACACGATGGGAGGTAACCTCGAAAGTAGAGAGAAATACGGCTCTCCCTGTAGCACTAAATAAAACTAATAATGATGAGAGGAGGTGACAGTGGCACTAGATTCTAGACCAAGGACTGGACTAGAAAGAAACAAGGATTAAATAACGAAGGTTAGTGGTGATACCGTGATAGCGGGTAATTGGAACCACCACTTTCAGGGCATTAATTGTAATTTGATATTACATATTCTCGAAGTTAGCCTTGTATTATTCGTAAACTAAGAACGGAGTTAATGTCGTACGAGACAGGGATATGGTACATATGTAATCTTCGGTTCTCAGTCGGAAATAAATATCACTCCGTTGCATGTAATTACACCCCTTGTCTCCTTGGAAACTTTATCATTGGCCGATAAAAGCTCGTACATTTTTTATTTTTTATTTTTCATTTTAAATTTCCACAAAGTACGCAGTAGGCAACAAGTATTTCTTCCGTCACGTACTCGCTACAGGGGTGTGAGGTACGAGGATGACGTGTACTAACTAGTGCTCCGTACCCCAATCGACTGGAGTGAAGGCTGTGTTACGAAACTTTGGTTAACATTACTAGCACTTACGACTGCGGAGTAGTAAAACTGCGCAGGAGCGATGAGCATTAACATATTTCTTTTTATAAAGAACATGCAGGCAATGCCTACTAATGTTTGGAGACTTGAAACCCTTTCTGGGTTTAAAATTTATTTCCAGTAGAGTTTCAAGCACGAGGTATGCTTGGTAATTACATGCATTATAATACGCAGAACACGTCGATACCTCAAGTTGAATTGCTGTTGTGCCTTAAACCAAAGATATTTGAGATTTCTTCGTCTCGGTCGGTCTTGCGCTCTTCTCTGTCAATGATCTTGTAGGAATTGAATATGCGTATGGCAAGGTGATATCTGAAAAAATTCTTTCGACGACCATCAGGATTTCTTTGTCCAGTCTCTGGCCGCATCCTGATTATAATGTTGAATTTGCTTTTTCGTCAAACTACGTCGGTGGTGGTGACTGCGGATGACCATGGACCAACTATCGCCGTGGCTGCATGGTTTTGCGTTGTGATTGCGGTTTTATCAACCTTGATTCGTCTGATAACACGACTGATTATAAGACGAATGCTCTCTATAGATGATTTCTTTGCCATTATTGCCATGGTATGTCATCAGATTCTCAATTCCTGCATTTACGGACTCTTGACACCTCTTTATCAATTCCTGGAATCTATTTCTATCTCACTAACCTTTTGTCCTCTTCGACTTCTCGAACCAGATTTTCCACATCGTTGAATGCATTACTGTTTCGATTGGGGTTCAGCATGGGTTGGGGAAGAAGCGAGATCTCCTGACGACGGCACAGCTTCACAGCATTGACAAAAGCATCTATGTCAGCGATTTGTTTTACATTCTAACCACATCTTCTGCGAAGCTGTCGGTTCTGGAGCTTCTGCGATACTTGGCTATCGCGGATAGCCACAGGAATATTGCGAGGTGGACGTCGTATGCCGTTGGTATTTGGACAGTGGCGATAATCTTTCCTTCACTGTTTCGATGCAGTCCTCCTCAAGTTTGGAACCTACAGTCAGACATATGTATTAACATGGTGGGTGGATAAAGACAGCATTGAACTGTTAACGTACAGTTCTAACCTCGATATTTAGGAAGCATACTGGATTGGTGTTACTCCGATGGACATCCTGATCGAAGCGATTATGCTCAGCCTTCCAGTGATCATGATGATTGGAGTGCACATCAATCGGAGAAAGAAGCTTATGGTTATTGGAGCCTTCTCATTCCGTATCTTGTATGCGTTTCTTTCCTCTCATTCCCATTTCCTGTCTTTATTTTTTGACCAGTTCCAAAACTAGTACTGTTATCGTTACCATCGTACGTCTCTATTATATCACAAGCTCTCACAGCAATCCCGACCTCACTTTTGCTATTGTCAAGAGCGAAATTGTCACCCAATGCGTCCTGGGCGTCAGTATCATAACTGCTTGTATACCTTATCTCAAGCCATTCCTTGACACCTTCTCCTCCGGTATGCTCAATGCTGCAGTTCGGAATCATCATTCCGCCCATGGTACACAGAACGAATTATACGCACTATCCATCCGCAAGGGGCGATCGAACGAGGAAGAGACCAATCGACTGGGATACTCGGCATCTGCCTTTGCTGAATCTCGTCCCCCCGTACATCGTGGCTTAAACGTTGGTGAATCCGACCATCAAATGAGCCATCCACCACCCTCTGATAACCGAAAGATACTCGTGACGACTGAGTACAACATAGACCAGACCTTGGAATCAACATCAAGTTGGCTTTCTAGTTGATATAGCCAGAGACAGTTTCTAATCTGCTCTATATATCAATAGCGGACTTTGTGGGAACCGCTACCGGCAGGGAAACGGGTCTAGACGTCAATAGGGTGTAGTTACGATAAAAGATACAGTTATTTTTCTGTTACAAAAAATGTCACTATCCTAGTAATATCGTTGATAGCTAATATTAATCGATGGTTATTTTGTATATAATGTAATTAAAACGGATATGTTTTTAAATCAATGTTGGAACGTTGTGTCACCGGGACTGGAATGATAACTTTTCTTGAAATGTTTTAATACATTCCTTTTTAGGAAGTTTATTTCTGAAATGTGTGACGGCTGGCTCAGCATGTGGATGCTGAGCAACGGACATGGATGCTTAAGACGGTTAGGGTTCGGGTTAGCATGCCATGTGCCGTTAGCGGAATATGCCCCACACATCTTATATAACCGCGATGCGCTGCTTTGTACATAGTCGATTTCTCTCCTTGTGCTGAGTATTCTAGTTGTATGACACCACATACTTAGCCATGTGCCGATCGTAACAGCTTATATATCTTTTAAAAATCGTTATCTTGGCATATTTATCTTCTCAGTCTCTATTATATATGAGTTGGGAAAAAAAATCCTCCAAACATCATCCTTACTGACTTCTTCATAACATGATCAGCGGAACAAGTAGAACTTCCATAGCACCTCAAAGTCCATAAAAATCCTAAATATACCGTTCAATAAATCGATTTATACTCTATAGGAACGTATGCAATTCAGATATTCTCTGCACTGATCTTTACATAGATATCGAACATATCCTTGAAAAGACAGTCATGACAAGTTCTTCTCTTTAGAGCGATATTTACTTTCCTCTCTTATTTTTCTCAAGTAGTAACTAGTTATACTGATATTATATATTTCAAATTTCTTACCTCATTACTATAAATTATTAGCTGGCTGGAATATTATTGAAAACTGGCGCTAGGCCTGTTACTATCTAGCGGGTATACACATTGGTCTGTTCAGTATAGTCTTTATATGAGTTTTATTTTTCCCTTCTAACAATATAATATCTAACATCTAAATAGCTGGAAGAACAAAATCTGTACTGATGATACTGAAGAGCGAGCCCTTGTTCTTGTAATGATCTAAGGTATGTGTGCATTCTGATTATATATGGAAGCTTGTTCTAATAGTACATGAGAGAGACCTAGGGATCATATATATAGCCAAAGGTATACAAAGAACATCTATCTATAGCCTGAATGGTTTCACCATGGTGAAAGCCCTTTGATCATGACAGTTCTAGTCAGAATAATTCCAATGGTTAGTGCAGTTGGAGCCTGGCTTCCACTCCTGGTCTGGCAACAAGTTGATGCTCCTATACACCATAAAGGATTTATTATAGCTCTAGTGTTCAGCACTATTACTATAATTATTATTCCTATTATAAATATACTTCAGGACAAGAAGACTAAGGAGTAAGCTTTCTATCTTGTATTTAATAGAGATATGAACTAAACAACTTTCTTTTCTAGGAGATATTAATGTAGAGAGATAAATACAGATAGGAATATTATTCATGAAAATGTCATAGTAGAAAAGGGGTCAGAGTAGGGATCTGTAAATTTCTACTCGCAATGTATTCAGGTAGATTTTGAAGAACAGGAGATAGTATTCAAGATAAGCATTTGAGAAAAGGCCTGGGTTATTCAATTGTGGGATTTATAGGTTCCATAGTGGTATAATGATAATCGAATAATTACCCAACCGTGTTTAACTTCTACAGTGTTTCCTGCCAGTAATAATAGCTCACACTGACACGTTGGCCCGAAGCCATGATGAGCCCCGATGCGTGCACAGCGCCATCCCGGCAGCATAGATCCGATAGCTTCCACGCTGGATCCCTGGAATCTCCTGTTTCCAGTGCCAGCGAGCTGCAGCGGCTGTGAAAGCCAGCGGGAACGGATCAAGGCTTGGCCATTTTCTATGCGAGGCTGCGCGGAAAGCTCGTGGAATGCGTTACAGTGTAAAAAATTTCTTTTTGCTATTTAAGACCTATTAGGAACTCACGTACCTAATACCTACATTGCTTATTTGACCCCGCGCTAGGCTTTTGAGCACCTCAACTTCCCTCACTGCCGCTATCGCGCGTTTAAACTTCTAAGGCGGGTATTGGTGTCAACTTATCCAAGCAGAGAAGCCAGTAAAAGTAAGTTTATTCCCCGTCGAAAGCCTTGCGTAGCCCGTCCACGTCAAGCTTCTCCATGTGCAACATAGCAATATACGCACGGTCCCGTTTCTCTATCTCTGTACTGTTCAGCATCTTGTGGAACTCGTCAGGCACGATTTGCCACGACAGGCCGAACTTGTCCGCCAGCCAGCCGCACTGCCTCTTGCTCTTATCGCCGCCCTCGCTGAGCTTGTCCCAGTAGTAGTCGACCTCGGCCTGGTCCTTGCAGTTGACCATGATAGAGATTGCCCCCGTGAATTTAAAGTAGGGCCCACCGTTAAGGCCGACAAACTTCTGATCATTAAGCTCGAATTCGATAGTCATGAGGCTACCCGCCTCGCGCCCGTGTAACTCCTTACCGGTTTCGGGGAAGTAGTGGCGCCCCGTGATTTTGGAGTTCTTGAATATGGAGGTGTAGAACGAGGCGGCTTCCTCTGCTTGGCCGTCGAACCAGAGGCAGGTGGTGAGTTTGCTCACAGACATTAGGCCAGTGGTGGTGTGCTAGTAAGGGGTAGAATGAGTTGCAATAGCAGGCGTGGCCAGAACACGTCTTGTCATATCAGGGTCGTATTGACGACAAATTCATGTTCGTCGCAACATACTGGCTAGTTGTGGGGTTCATAGGAGTTTGAGTCGGAATATTTGGCACTAAGCATTTTTGGGGATAGGTTAAAAACACCCAAAGTTACGAATAACGCGACAAAACGCTATGCCGAAAGTTGAGTAATGTCAGTTTTTGGCGTAATGTTTTGGCGCTATCGAGTCGTAATTTTGGGTGTTTGGAACTTATCCCAATGCTTAGTGCCACATATTCCGACAGCACGTTTTGCGGCAGAGCTTCCATCACTATAATCGACGTGTCGATGCGTGTTTTAACTAAATACTCCGTATATATACTAATAAAAGACAGCAGATATACACAATTACAATGAGTCTACAAGACTATTTACTAAACTCCAAGTCCCAAAATCAATCACTAAATATCCCACAATGGATTTGATCCAATACACGTTATCAAATCGAGACGAATGGTCTGACCGAATGCCAATCAGATATGCCAAGAGGCGTTTTGGAATATCGTTCCTTTTTCTAATAAGAATTTACCGCAACTTATTCCGAAGTGCCAGCATGCAAACCGGAATGAAATGGTCCGTGTGTATCTCCGCATTTTCGGAATAAAAAGACCTACAGCCACCATAAATTCATCGATTGCCGCAATTCTTAGAGATTAACAAGGGAATCGTCTAGCTCGGGCTTACTATTGTTATGACTGATACAAAATTGCCATGCTACGTCGGAATGGAAAACGCACCTCCTGCGAACCATGCAGGATGGCTAAAGTGCGGTGTGACCATACTACGCCGATTTGTCGACGATGCCAATCGAGAAATATCACTAATCAGGCACGTATTACCATATGCTCAGTATCAAAACCTAGAGGAAATAAAAATAAACACTTATTTCTGACATATCCACCTCAGTGCTACTACCATCCTGCTCCTTTAACCAAAGAAAAGGGCGGAAATAGCGGTTCTCTCGCAAAACAGAAAGATCAGAGTCAAGTCAGATCGAAATCAAAGAAAATTGCCTACAGTTCTATAAACTCACAAAACTTTTATGCAAATTCTATTGGAGTATCCGATAATGCCTCCTTTCTTGGGCCAACTAGCTATTTGTCTGTATTCAGAGAGACATCCTTAAGGATATCCCGAAAAGAGAACGACTCTTTGAAAGCAGAATTTGAGCGGTGGCGAACTGACTATACATACACACGTGCCCGTCTAGTTCATCTAATCTCTATGATCGGATTTTACTATGACCAAATCGCTTGGTACTATAGCAAGGGAGGCTTCACTATTATTCCAGGGCCCCTTGTCCGGCGTCTACTCCACCTGGGGCGGGAACGTATCGAAAAAAATTCCTGGGATGTTACAGGCGATTGGGATAAGATCTACAAGGAAATAACCAACGCGACATCACGTCCTATTGAGTTCACAAGTAGCATGTCGTCCGATGAATTCTGTTCTTTGTTCACCCGAGAGATTCGGTGGGAATTCGTTGGGCTTATGTTTGCTTTGGCTGGATTTAGTGTTCACCGCCGGTATAAAGGCACTCATGTCTTGAACTTAGCTAAAGGTGTAGAGATGGACGCCGAGACGTTTGCAAAAGAGATGGTGCTCGCGGGTAATGCTTGTATTGACATATTCAGACAGCATGGACAGGTTAACGATGTAATAATTTGGATGCGGTATACCCATGCCCTCTTAGCAACAGAGGTATTAGGGGAGACTGGTACGTCCCTTTTCCGTGGTTCTATATGACTAACTCATCGGCATTAGGTGAGCGGCTATATAGTCTCTTCGGCGACTTAGTGTCGAGCATTTACGCAGTGGGTCTACATCGTGCCGTACATTCTACAAATATTCCATTTTATCTTTCTGAGACCCGGAAACGAATGATGGCAATTTTGCACAAGGGAGACAAAGGTCTATCAACGCTTCTAGGACGACCACCCCGCCTCCCACATAGATACTGCGATATCACGCCTCCGTTAGATCTAGCAGATGATCAGCTATTCTTGACTGACAGGGAGTTGGAGGTAGCCCTTGAAGGACTTAGTGAAGATGGCTGGAATCGTCGAGGACAATTCTATCCGGCAACCGTTCTACGCATGCGCCATGTACTATCAACCCTTAAGGAGCGGGTGCTTGACTTGGCTTTGGGATATAAATGTGAAAGCTATCAGGATTTACTGTAAAGAGACTACAGTTTCTACCCTTCTACCTATATATCTGACTGATTCAATAGGCAGACGTACCAATCATGCCAAAAAACCTGGGACCGGATCCCAGTCAGATTCCGCTATAATTCCAACTGTTGGCAAGAAAAAGACATCACTGAATGCCTGGCTCGAGCCGTTGTCTATTTTGAGTATCTCTCCTGTGTCTTCCATACGCAACGGATGAGATATGAAGGGAGTCGTGATACAGTACATGATTTGCTTGATGCCTCGATGCAAGTGGTATCTGTCGTCTTGGATCTCGTCAAGCATTATAATCACCATGAAGTCCAGAACCAATTTCCATGGATTGTAGGTATTATTTCACAACTTCAGAAATGCACTGAGTAAACACTTATGGACTAACTGCATACTTGCCAGTTTCTGGTATACGGCATCCCAGCCGCTGGAGTACTTGTCACTGAAGTCCACCGCCACACCATTTCCAATAAACCTCTTCCATCGTCACCATCTCGTTCAGAGATTATTCGCTCCCTAGTCTTTTTAGTATCATGGCTTCGAACTGTTGAAATGCCGTCTTCAGTCACCGCTACCGCATGCGTGGAAGCCACAAATATGATAAGTCGGCTTCTTGATGAGACGCTGAACTATCAGTCAGCCCTCTCTCCTTCTACATATTCTACTTTTCAAGACCTTGAATATCAGTCACAAAGTCACAATACCACCTTTCGTATTTCCACACCCTCTCCAGAACAATTTACTGAGGAAATGACTCAACCACAGCAACAACAGATGAGCATAAGAGAAACATCAATCGAATCGTCATTAGGATTCGGAATAGATACTAAATTTGGCGTTAATCTAATGAGTGAAGGACTGAATTGGCTTGATGATTTGGACTGGGATATGGGAAGAACAGTGACAGCGGACAAGGGTTCGTAATTGCATCCACGCGAACCTCGAGCACCTGCATGCTTAAGATTTAATACTCAGCATGTGATCAGCAAGCACATGATGGTTGCTCACTCCTGACTACAAAAAGACACTGGGTATCGTAATGAATTTCATTCGAATGATGTCTATGTGAACGAACAACTAGTAGAAGTTTATTCAGAATATTGTGAAAATCATTTTGCCAGTCTGCAAGTTTAAGAGTATAGAAGTGACTTTATATCAAAAAAATTTTAGTATTTGGATTGTTATGTATCTAGAGAAGAGAAATGTCCGTTACATTTAATTTTCTTAATTACTCGACAGAACCCTCGAAGTTTTAAAGACTCTGGTAGCTATTGTACATAAACCCATTTCTTCCGGGCGTGTTTAATGTGGTTGGTATTAGGGATCTGTTTATTCCGGACTGCATACCGACGCGTCGGAATTGACAGAAGTTTTACACGCTCATCTAATATGCCGTACAAATACATACAATCCTGGTATCCAACACCCAAGAGGGCATACCTTTGATACTGCGCTCCTTCAATGTTGTCACTAGTTACAACTGATTTATTTAATGGACGAATCCGTGCTGTGTGTGACAGTTTCGTAGCTCAGACAAACCAGGTTCCTTCTATTAGGCTCGCTATAGTGTTACTATAATGCAGCAGTACTGAGGTCAAGATGTAGTAACAAGAAAACGATGTCAAAACTGTTGCCCCAAAATTCATTACTTCCTTGCCATCTTTGGTATGAGAGAAGATTACTTATTTTCTTATACAACATAGAAATCAATAGATTGGATATATAATCTAGTTCGATGTAGCTTAGAGTTAAAATCACAATTTTTATGAAAATATAATTATGGGCTTGCTAAATGTAAGGATCTAAAGGTATTCCAAAATCATTTGACCGCGTACAAGAAGCTACATTGAAATATAACATCTAACTGGAAGATATAACTTTGATGAGACTAGCCTTATTATAAGGCTCTGTACAACTAAAAAAGTGATTGATATAGTAGACCACATCTGTTATAGCCTGATAATTGAGAATAGATAACTACAATCAAGCTTAGAATTTGAAATTTGAAATCAATATACGGAGTATTTGTAAACTGGGTCTCTCTAACCTATCTTCCACAGGTTAAGTTCAGCATTTGAACTCTTGCTAGTTATTCTGTTTTTTTTTTTAAATAACCATTTGGATGAAGATGCTGAAAGTATCACATCTGATTATATAATATTGGAGCACAAGACATGGTAACAAATTTGGCATTTGCGAAAGTGGAAAGCATCGGATTTTCGCATCCACTGGTGGCATTTTGGGTTTTGTTTGCATTTACAAAAACGGCTTGGTTGAAATCTATTGATGCGTACAAAGGCTGTAGGGACGGAAAATAACGAATTATAAAGTTCTCACTTGTCTATATTTTTCGTCTTCATCATGCGGGTAATGACTTCTTTGACATGTTGTATATTAAACCCTTCCATCAACTCGTACAATGATACCATTTCCTGGGTGCATTCGACGATTGCCCTTATATCGACATCACTTTCAGCAAGCCAATTGATTATTTTTTGGATCCTCGGATCTGGTCTTGCACCGTGTCTATCTGCGCCGAGCGCAGACATGGTGGCTCCCATGCCACCTTCTCGAAGTGAAGCGGCCATCGAATGGGGCATTGAGCCATGAGTCCCGCGTTGGCCGCCCCCAAATAGCACTGCAAGAAGGACTGCCATCACGGCAATGATATGGGGTGGGTATAGCAAAGGTAAATCAGTCTGGTAATGATCGCTTATAAGATTTGATGCTTGATTAACTTCCTCGGTGGACAGCTCTAGTTCGGCACTCAATTCCGATACTGTACGGTACGGATGATGAACAATGAGTTGGGAACTCATCTCAGATATTAAATAGAATTCACACTCCCCAATTTTTGCCGGATCGTTGGCAATAAATTCTAGAACACCATTAGCGCTGAACTAGATGGGCTGTAGATGGATCGAACCGGGCCAGAACTGCCGTGCTTCTCCCGTAATAAACCGGATATGCTGCGGGCATTCCTCCATCTTGCAGGCGAGATAGAAGGCTGTGACCATGACTAGGTATGGGTTCGTGTGTCGGAAATCTACCTTGGTGTAGAACCGTTTCATGTATACTTGGGCTGTTGCAACAGCCTGCTGGCGTGAGTTCATCCGCTTGGCAAGTCTGCAAATTTCTAATCAGGTCTTAGCGTCTGCTTGATGGCCGAGTACATGATATCGCCATCACGAACGGTCTTTAAAGTATATATTGATGATGCGCATGTCAGGAAGCTGGACCTGATGGCCATCTTTGTCTCTCTCGCGAAGGCTTTCTCTGACCTCGGCCAGCCGCTCCCGAGTGAACATCCAATGTCGACGCTGGGTCGACACCCAGTAGTTTGCTGCCATGTTCGTGAATCTGTGATAACGGGAGGAGAGCAGCTCGACCCGATCCGGCGTAGACACAGTGACGCTGTGGAAATACGGCCGAGCTGATTGGCTACTGGGCCCGATGCGGCCCGACACTGGCTCCTGCTCCTGCTTCTCCGCCCTGGCTCAGACTGGAGAGAATACATCGCATCGTCGCCTTGTTTTGCTCGAGCTGCGCTCCATGGTCGTTCCTGCACCAGCATCCTTTGCGCCTGCCGATCTAGGGATCGTCGACTCGTCTGTTCTGCCGGTATCGAGAGAGATGATGCTCGCGCCGCACCGATAGCAATTTTTTCCGCCTTCGAAGATGGGCCCCGTCGAGACTCCCGAAAGGATCGACCGGCTGTGGGAGACGATAGACACCCGGCGACAGGGCTCCGTGGACTATAATGGGTTGAAAAAGGGACTCAAGAAGATGGACCATCGTGAGTGGACCGTGTTCTGTTATTCTTGTTCTGCGCGCCTGCCCCTCCCGCTTGGAAGACTAACGGCTTTTTTTGTTTCCTGCCAGCCCTCAAAAATGCCGATTACATGCTCCGCCAGGTGTTTAAAACGGTCGATACAAGCGGGGATGGTCGTATACAATATAGCGGTAAGCTCGCAAGGTTGTTTCGCTGCCATTGGCGCCTAATATGATGGCCTTAGAATTTCGCGACTTCGTCTCTCATGCGGACGAAGCATTGTGGGAACTCTTTCAGAGCATCGATCGAGACCACAATGGAGAGCTGGACAGAAATGAGCTGAAAGATGCATTTTCAAAAGCAGGGATCACGGTGTCGAGCTCTATGCTGGATGAGTTTCTAGAGCAGATGGACCAAAACAATGACGGGGTGATCAGCTATAATGAATGGAGGTACGCACCCCGCAGTGAATCAATACCGCTCTGTCCTATTGTGCAAATGGCGTCTGACCCGCCACCTCAATTAAGGGATTTCCTACTATTCTTGCCCACTGAGACGGCCAGTTTACGCAACATTCTGTCCTACTACAAAGCAACGGGAAATCTAAACCCGGAGGGAGATGTAGACATCAACGAGACTCTGCAGGGTTTAGGTACTGACATCCCGCTTCTCTACCATTTCATCCATTCCCTGGCGAACATGCTCTACTATCTCTGTCAAGTTCCTGTCTCGACACTGGGCGCTGCTCCATTCAACCTGGTGGCTGTTGCGTATGCTGAGACGTCCAATTCTGAGTCAGCATCCGATCAGGAATTGCTCGTGTTTGACAGTGATCTTGAACTGGAGGTGCTATCTGTTCCTCAGACTGTCGCTATGTGGCTGTCGGTGCACTCTTTTGAACTGAAGTTGACGGACATCTTCCCTCACCTAGGTTATTTCATCGCGGGTGGAGTTGCTGGCGCCGTCTCACGAACAGCTACCGCGCCTCTCGACCGTCTGAAAGTCTATCTCATTGCCCGGACTAGTGTTCGCGAAGACGCTGTCCGTGCGGCTCGAAAGGGAGCTCCCCTGAGCGCCATCAGCAGGGGTGCAAGGAGTTTAGTTGATGCGACCAAGGAATTATGGCGTGCTGGGGGTATTCGCAGTCTCTTTGCAGGTCAGTAAAGCTATTGTTGCTATTGTTCCTTAGCATGACTCGCTCTTACTAATTCCAGGGAATGGGTTAAACGTGGTCAAAATCATGCCAGAGTCGGCCATCAAATTCGGTGCTTATGAGGTATGTTCATATCCAACACGAACTTGTAGACTTTGCTGAGATTTCCAGTCTTCAAAACGTGCATTCGCTCGCCTCGAGGGACACAATGATCCGAAGCAGATACGACCTACATCTCAATTCCTATCTGGTGGACTAGGCGGCATGGTGGCACAGTGTTTTGTTTATCCAGTTGATACTTTAAAATTGTGAGTAAAACTGAGGGCTCAACGTATATCTCCCACTGACGAGTTTCTAGTCGCATGCAATGTGAAGTCGTACAAGGCGGCAAGCAAGGAAACAAACTCATTGCAGAAACTGCTCGAAAGATGTGGCAAAGCACCGGTGGCTTTGCATTCTTTCGTGGTCTGCCTTTGGGTCTCCTTGGCATGTTTCCCTATGCAGCTATCGATCTATCTACGTTTGAGTATCTTAAAGCACGACTGCTTGCTAGGAAAGCTCTCTTGAACAAGTGCCACGAAGATGATGTTCCCCTGAGCAACTTTGCAACAGGAGCCATCGGCGCTTTTAGCGGCGCTTTAGGAGCCTCCTTTGTCTACCCACTCAACGTACTACGAACGCGACTACAAGCTCAGGGCACGGTTTTGCATCCTGCCACTTATGACGGAATTTTTGACGTCGCTCGTACAACCTACCGTTCCGAGGGATTTCGAGGATTTTACAAGGGCATTACTCCAAATATGTTGAAAGTTGCACCTGCTGTTTCGATCAGTTATGTTGTGTACGAAAACTCGAAACGAATTCTCGGATTGAAATAAATATTGACTACACTACCTACCGCCTTGCCTTCCGCCTTGCTTTGGTTGTTGAACCACCATCATATCTTAACGATCGCGTCCCGACAAACCCTTGAGACTTTTGTTTCTATATACCCAAACATAACAGTGTCGCGGCGTGACCCCACCTAGAAAGATCTAGTCGCCATACCATCAACATCCCACCATCATAGTCCGCAACATACACAATCGTCATCTTTGCATATCAACTTGGGCTCAATCATTGACTTCTTCCGTTTACTAACTACTATTACCAACGTTGGGCTGGCCATTTTATCCCTGTTACTCATTCACAATCATGTCCACCTCGAAATACACCCAGGGGTCTCCTATCCAACTCCCTCCACATTTTAACTCATGCATGGCTCTGGTGTTTCCTTTTTTGTCATTCCATGCTCATTTAGTCTCTGCACATGCCCACAGTTACACCACGTGATGTAAAGCCAGGAAATTCTGGAGGTGGATTTGATTTAGAACATACCATAGAGAAACAAACGGAGCGGTCCTGTATTATTTAGACACTTCTCTTTTCTGTTGAGCTGATGCTCCATACATGCATGATATTTGAAGAACCGGTACTAAATCGATCATTGTCATATCCTATATGTACCGTAACAGACATAATCAAATAAGCATACGTAAACGCAATCAAGACACCCTAGCGCCCCCTCAGTACTACTAATTAACCACGTACTCCGGAAAAACCAGTAACTACTTCAAAGCCGCAACAACAGCCTTAACCTCCTCATCCTTGGGAAGAATATCCGGCACTGGCCCCACCGGCGTAATCGCAAACTGATTAATCTGCGGATGCGACTTTGTATAATGTTTCTTGATATGCTCAAACTGCGTAGTCTCCCTGAACGCGGGAACATCCCAATACAAATGCCGCAACCATCTATGGATAGCCGGATATCCGGATCTTATATCGCGCAGATTCGTCTTGAAATGCTGCACATACACGGGATCGAATCTGACGATGGTGGTGTATAAGCGGATATCCGATTCGGTGATGCCGTCGCCGAAATAAGTGAGTTTGTTTTCTATTTGTTGGCGGGATGCGAGATGGGATTCGATTTTGTCGAGGGATGAGAAGAGTGTGGTGACGGCTTTCTCGTATGCTTCTTGAGTCGTCGCGAAGCCGGATTTGTAAACGCCGTTGTTGACGTCGTTGTATATCCACTCGTTGGAGGATTCGATCTGGGACTGAAGCGAGGGTGGGAATAGATCGAGGCTTTTGTATGGCTCGGGAAGAAGGTCGTCAAATTCGTGGTAGAACATGCGGATTATTTCCGAGCTCTGTGCCGGCGAATTAGCTGGATGTTGTTGGCTTGTGTGTAGGATTTAATCAGGTATACCTCATTGCTAACGATGTGCTTGGTCTTGGTGTCGTACAGTGTGGGCACAGTGAAGCGACCTTTGTATTCGGGGTCGACATCAAAGTATATGTCGCGCAGATGGGTGAATTGGGGGTGGAGAGGGTCAGGATGAACGTCAGCGCCGGGGAGCCTCTCGTCCGGGGTAACAAATCGCCATCCTAGTATTTCATAAGTACGAGATCTTGATATTTCCACGCCATATTTCAATGGAATATACCTTTCTCCCCCATGTGCCAATGCACCGATGTGACGGGGATGAACTCTTCCAAGCCCTTGAGCTTGCGAGTGATCAGAGTTCGATGAGCTTTATAATCAACGTCAGCGCATTAGAATTTATACATCTGTAACAGGAATAAACATACCCCATGGACAAGCGTACGAGACATAGAGATGGTATCGGCCCTTCTCAGGCGGAAACTGCGCGCCAGGCTCTCGCGAGATGAAGTTGCGAAACTGCGATACACCGCGCTTGAACTCTCCGGACTTGTCGTCGCGGGCGACCCACTGTGAGATTGGTTGATCGTTGCCAGTCTGTTTATTCAACCACTGAAAGTTAGAGGATTGATGCAACACGAGACATGAAGACATGGTGGGATGGATAGCTTTGAGCAAAGGGCGGGGTGGACGTACCGCCATGGTTCGTTTTGTGAGGGTTGTAGAGGTGGTAGTGATAGTGCTTGGGAACTTCTTTGAGAATGTAAATGATACTCTCAAACTCTGCAAAGACGAAGACATGGGGTTTTATGCCCGTCGACAGCTGCAGGTATTAGTACGCAGAGGAGGGGCGCTCAACCAATGACGTGATGGCGGCTCTGCTTATGAGCGATTATCAAGCAGTTGCAAATAAGGTTAATAGGGCAACTAGTCTGAATAAGGCTAGCGTTGAAATGGCGGATTTACGGAGCTACAAATATGTAAGCTCGCTGTGTGGTGTGACGTCGTTATTTTGTGGATGGTTGTGCGGTTTAGTTATTCGTAAGCAAGTCTATTCATATTGTGTGCTGAATAATAATACTATACTATCCAGGAACCCAAACATTGTAAGTCGTTCTGTCATAGCCTAACCGGTGTACCAGTATCCAGCATCGTTTCCAAATGGTCAATCATCTGTGAAAGTTACAACTTCACCATCACATATGGGATCTCAACATCTTCTTCCGTCTGGTCCTCTGCCGTGACTTCGAAAATAACATTCTTTTGATGCTCAGGGACAGGCTTTTTGCTGATGTGCTCTACTAATTTGGTCATCCTGTTTGGAGTTAGTAAGGGGGTCATAGCGTAGGCTGCTAGATAGTACATACTTGAGTGGGTATCGGTCTTTCAATTTCGACGGTGGGTAGAAGCTGGCATAGAGCAGGCTAACTCCAGAGCTGACCATGGTTACTTCTAAGCCTAGGTCTGAGAAGTGTTTCAAGAAGTCGGATAGCGGAATATCATCCACCTCGAAACGATCCCAGAGCTTGTCAATAGTGACTTCACCATTCTTGCCCTGGTACTTGCCCTTGGGGCTTGCGATCGGCTCACTGAAACCGAAGAACGGCAGTGCCAAGTTGACGAAGCCATTCTTGTATTGCTCAATATCCTTCTTGCCATCAATGATCTTGTACAATTCTAGGATAACCAGACCAGTCACAAGAGCCGTGGTTGTTGCAATGGCTGGAATAATCTTGCCAGCAATAAATTTGGTCTTGTGTCGGTCGGCTTGTTGGATTTCGTAGTTTTCTGCTCGCAAGTTACTAGCAGCCGTAATGAAGTCAATGTGGAAGTTGGTGTCATCATCCTTTTCAAACTCAACAGGCACTAAACGGAAGCCGGCAAGAGCTTTTGGCGCGGGTAGCGAATCTACCAGCCCTTGAATTTCCTCACCATCGTTGGATCCTGAGGGCTGAGCATTTGGATCGGGTTCGTTGTCATCAGCTTGAATCTTGACGTTGGAACTAGGGGTAAACTCAGGAATAATCATGTTGTCAACGACCTTTTTAAAGTATTCCTTGTCTGCTGTAGGAGCTTTGATTCCGTAGTTGAACGCATGCAGGTTAGCTGCAGCAATGACGAATGACAGATGTGTAGGGTTAGAACTGTCGAACTTGAGAGGAGTAGGAGCACGCTTGGGGCCTGACCAGAAAGGCTGACCAGAAGAAGTTTTCGAGTCTCGTGGGAAATTGTAAAGCAACTGTTGAATAGCATTATTGTACTGAAACTCGAATTGGTTGCGAGCCCAAACAATGCAGTCATCGAAACTGAGAGGCTTTTCCGTTACCAAGAAGTCACGGAGATGTTCAAGGGTTTGTTTCTCATTGCCGGCCTGCTTCAGCGTTTGCTCAATGTAATTTGGCTCAGACAAGTAACGGTTAACGGCTTCTGGAGGGCCAACAAAGTATGTCTGGAATAAGTCGCGAGCCCATGCAATAGTATGTTCAATCCGGTTGGGGAAGCTCTTCAAAGTACACATTGGGAATGACTTCTCGGGAGGATCCTGAGAGCTAGAGTAAGATTCTGTGATATGCGGCAGAACAACTTGTGTGTTGCCCTTGGTGCCCAAAGTCCCACTCTCCAAAAGTGGTTTGCGGAAGAAGACACAGCGACGATCAACATAGGTTCTGGCATCTACGTTGTCCAATGCATTGGTAACAATGTCTAGTTCACCCCAGAACTCCTCGTTGAAGATATGCTCAGTGTCAGCGCCGACACGATCCCGAAGCGTGACAATCTTGTTGTTTAATTCAGGGTTCATGGCTTGGACTGCAGCAGAGGCGCAGTCACTCTTAAGCTTGCCAACATCTTTAGGGCGAAACAAGAATTGTCGGTTTAAATTGCTCTTTTCAATTTGATCCATGTCAGTAACACGAATCTTGCCCTTGAGTCCAACGCCAAGACCAATCATCGCCCAGTTCTTAAGCATTTCACAGCCGATAGCACCGGCTCCGACCAAGAATGTATTCAAGTCGCCAATCTTGTCCTGGAATTCCTTTCCAAACACGGCAATTTGGCCATCATAGCGAGTTCCAAGAGGTTTGCAAGTTTCCTCACTGCGAGTGACTGAATCAGGCAAAGATTCCAACGAATCAAAGTAGAGCCACTGCACCGCTGGATGAAACTTTCCAGACACACTCTTCAGAACTTCTTGAGCTACGAGGCCACCGAACAAAGCAGCCAGTGGGTTGAGATCTCCCCGTGCCTGGTAGCTAAGCTCTTTGATAATCTTGTCGTCGAGTCCAACTTTCTCTTCGCCTTGACTCGCTAAATCTTTAGCGATCTTGAGGACCTCTTCAGCATCGTCTTCATTATGGGGTCGAGGGAATTCGCCATTATGGGCCTCGGCAAAATGATGAAGGGCCTGTACACCGATGTGCAATTGTTGAGGTCGGTCAAATTTGGCAAAATCGGAAATGAGAAGCTCTGGTTTCTTCAATTGCTCTTGGAAAGACTCAAAGTCAATGAACTTGGGCATTTTAACTTGGTTAAAGAGACCGCCGCCCTGGTACTTGCCGAGGCCAGAGACGTCTCCAATAGAAAATGAATAAGGACCCTTGACAGTTACTTTGCGAGGATCACTGCTATTGAGACCTTCCATCCCCTTGACTTCGGTGAAAGTGACATAATCACCGTCTTCCAAGCCGTGCCGACTTTCGTCAAGCGCAGAAACAAGCCCTGTCTCGTCAATATCGGCGATAATGCCACTCACGGGATCTTCACCAGTGGCATCACCAACTGTAAAGTTCTTCCCGAAGTCGTTGAAAAGGTATCCAAAGAGACCAAATGTATCTGCAATAACAATGTAAATCCCATTGTTGTGGCAAAAATCCGCAATGGTGAGCTGATCTTTGAGCGAGGTGTTGGTGAGAACGACGACTTGGAAGCGTCTAAGCTGGGAGAGGTCGGCGGTGAGGCTGTCCGATTCAAAGGCTGTAATAGGTACATATGAGTTAAGCTCTGCAACGCGAGGTGCAGTCACGTCCACACGGCGCTTTCCAACGTCCTGTTGCTGAAGAAAGAATTGGGAGGATAGATCCGAGATGGCGACGGGGGCGGGGTCGAATAAAGTGAGTGACTTCACGCCGGCAAGGGCAATGTTTTTGGCTTTATAATAGTTAGATCAGGTTTGCACTTGGTATTCAATGCGCTCACCGATTTCGACACCAAGACCTTTCAAACCAGCGACGAGGACATTCGACGATCCCATTCGTTTCATAGCCTCGTGCCCTAGAACGTATCTGGCACCAACTATTAGCAGTGGATACACATCGTGGCATGTCAAAGCACTCACAGTTGCCTGCTGTAGAGCGATTCGTCGATTTCCCCATGTTTGATCAGCTCCACCGTTTCCTGTGCGTTGTCGAGTTGCATCTTGGCGTCCTAGGAGATTAGATTGACGGTCAGCGCGAAGAGCTCGAGATAGAAAAGTTATTTTGAACCAAATGTGATATCTGGCGGCTCGCCACCTTTATATGTTTGCTTGAAGCGGGTGGATGATGTGCCTAGAAAGTGGATTAGAAATCAGCGTACCGTCATGATCTTCTTATCCGGCCGAGCGACTTCTTGGTCCTCCGAGGTTTTTCGCTTTCTAGGCGTCGCAGTTTTAGGAATATCGACGTGTGAATGAATGTTGAATGTCTCCCAGGTGAAAGCCTTGCTGCAGGGCAAGGCTTTCTACTATGAAATGAGACAAGTCCAAGCTCCTAGTGCTGGACTCGAAGAGAGTGCATATAGAGGAGGAGAGAAGCGAAGAGAATAAAGCGCACGAGACTGATCGATTCAGAAGAAGGGGGACCAGCTCAGGTATGCAAGACAGGCGAGGATGGCAAGTTGGTTGTAGAAAAGCGAGAAGTCGAGAAGTCGAGTGTTGATGAGGCGTGGTTGTCTCCTACGTAAGAGCAGCAGGAGGGGTCCAGACAGGGCGCTGTGGCTTTTTATTGGCCCACAGTGGAATGCCCCGCTTGCTGCCTCAGGCAGAGACCAGCCAGGCTTCCGATTCTCAAAGCAGTTAGTCTTATGCCAAGACATTACATATATCTCACTGTAAGTTAACATTTCCTAACAACCTAACATTTTTGGCCTGAGAATAGCTGTATCGTACTTAAAATCGTATGAAGGAGTTTAGTCTTCAGATATGGTAAACACAATTCGACAAGTGTGAAACAACTCGAGAGCTTATATACTCGATGTGTACTTTGAATGGCACTGGCCTTTCAACTGCTCGAGAAGACAGGCTGGAAATGTCGAGCACTTGCAATATAGATTGATATCGATGTCTAATCTATTGATTCGAAAATTTATTATAAATTAGATATGTAATTTACTCTAGATCAATTTAATCTGTTCTAGCGTTGAGCTCTGCCGATCCGACCATTGATAACATTGTGGGGTAGGAGCTATCGCGGGTCGCGTCTCTTGAACATTTGACGTGGACGTTTTGAACTATTCAACACGTCCACCTTGGGGGCCGACAAAGATGTCGACGAATCTATGCGCACTATGACAGTGGATAGAATTCATACTAGAACAGAGAATTGACAACCAATATTCCTGCCGCAACTCGCCCCCCTCACAAAGGCAGAATACACCAATAAATGGCGACGCTAGAGCACACCTCCGAAGATGCTTCATGAGATTCTCCTTTCCCTCGCGGGCCATCCGTCGTCCCTTCTCGACCCAGAACTCGAGTCCCTCGGTACATCTGCGAGATCGTTCCCCCTCCTGTCACCACCAGAGAAGGAGCTGCTCGCGTCTCTCGCTCTGCTGAGCCGACTCCATATCCAACTACGCGCCCAGACCGCCCGAATCTCGTCGTCTCACCATTCAACCATATGCCGTGCTGTGTCTACTGCTATATCCACAGAACACTTGAGAAAGTTTCAGAACCAAATATTGGACGTGGAAAAGGCAGTGTTGGGAAAGGATAGTGGCTACGTGGGTGGCTACGGCATTGTTCCATTATCTACGATAGTCTTGGAATTCGCACCATGGACGCGAAGACTGGAGTGGTTATGGCAGGTATCCAATCGAATACTTCCGGAATCTACTTCCAAAGATGCTGGCCCGCCGGAAACATGCAGTGGGGCGAGCCTCATCGATTATTTGCGCGCAGAGTCACATACGGGTTACTTGGATCTCCAAGAGATTGCGCTGCAATTGATCAGTGCTGCTGAAAAGGCGTGGATGAGACAGCTGTCGATGTGGCTTTTATATGGAGAACTGCCGACATCTGGAAAGGAAGATTTTTTCGTTCGTGCGACTGTTGTTGATATCGAGGACGACGAACATAGCTCGGTCAAAACAAGTGTCGAGTACGCCATACAGGTGGACCTGCTACCAAAGTTTGTATCCACTGCAACTGCGTCTTCCATACTGTTTATTGGAAAATCATTAAACCATATCAGGAGTCGTCGGAATCGTTCTACAGTGGACAGCGCATCAGGCTCCGTTACGGGTATCATGTTGGAAGCTGATCACATCAGCCATCTATCCTCTCTTACTTCTCCAATCTCAACATCAGCGCTTTCGAATGCAATCACAGTGATAAGGCTGTCGGTTTCTCAGACTTCGCTATCTAAGCTCTTGCCTTTACCTAAAATTGTCGAGATACTGTCTATTATTCATGGCTTTCTACTTCTAGGACGTGGTGGATTCGCCACAGCGCTGGTTTCACATGCTGATTCCAGGCTTGCAGCCCGAAATCGACGACCAGGACATAGCTCTGGAGGCGGATTAGACAATCTAGTCATCAAAGAAGGTGAAATCTCAGCTGTCCTAGCACAAACATGGACAGAGATGTATTCCTTACAGGATGAGGAGGCGCCAGTTGACGAGGAACTCGATCTTGCACGAGATTTGTTACATTTATCTATACAGTCTCATAAGAAAGGAGGTCGTACTATGACTCCCTCTCGGGATGTCGTGGGCAGCAATATGCCAGCTGAAATATCTTTGGTTTCATTTGACGACCTTTTGTTTCCTACTTCTACCCACCTTTCCCTCAAAATTCAACCCCCTATTGACCTGTTTCTGTCAAATTCTGATATGTTGATATACTCAATAATTCACTCCTACCTTCTCGGTATTCGCCGCGCCCAAATCCGGTTGAGCAATTTATGGAAACATACTGCAATGCGCCGCATACATCCAGCCCCATGGGGACCGCCCCGGAGTAACTCTCGAGGCGGAGAGTTTCGCCTAAATACGCAAAGACAGAGGTACAACGAGCGTGCAGTACAGATGCGACCTGTCTGGGCTACCGCGAGCGCTTCCATATTTGTGCTTTCGGAGATTGGGGGGTACTTGCAAGGTGAAGTCATCCAAGAATCATGGCAACACTTGCAACTTTGGCTTGAAGGAGCTCCTCCAGGTCCAGTAGCTGTCTCGCGACCAGTATCTCGACCGGCATCCCGACCCGGAACCGCGTCGACAACTACAAAACATGCCCGCCAAGACCCTCTTTTCGATAGAACTCTCAAATCAAGCTTCCGCCACTTATCAGTATCACAGCAAAGCCAACCATCACTGCCACAGACACAGCAACAGCACGATCCCGAAACCATAACCGTTGCCCATCGGCGCTATCTCTCGTCTTTAGTCCAATTCCTTTTCCTTACAGAAGTCCCCTTCACCAGCGCGTTACGCTCCTTTCTCTCTGGTGTAGATCATTTAATCGCGCTGATCTCTCGTCTTGAAACAGTTCAACGAAATCTTGATCTCGAAGCAGACGAAGGCGTTGTCGACACTCTCGCTGACTACGCACAAGAGGAGCGTCTATTACGGAGCGAGCTGCGTGAAGCGCGCGAAACCGTCGAGACTGGTATCAAAGAAATTATATCCCGTTTGCATGATATTGACGATAGCAGATCAGGGGAGGGAAGGCAGATGTTTGACTTGTCATCCTCCTTGACAACTACTAGCGCTGGACCAGCCGAATCTCAAAGTAATATGTACATCCCCCGCAAGGCAGCTGGAGTGGATCGGCTGTTGATGAAGTTGGACTTTGCTGGATTGAATAGTGATATCAATGGTAATGGGGAAAGGGGGGAGGACTTGATGGATGATCATGATGAGCCAGAATGAGATACGCGGTTTTCAATGTTCTGGCATAAGGAAAGCAATTATTTAATTAATGTTGGGGCAGGATTTCGAAATTCGAAAATATTTCACGGTCACTCATTTATACATGACTCTGCAAGAGACCCAGTTAACCAAACACCGTCGATTATCAGAGAGCAAAAAACGGAATGAATGAGAACACACCCTTGGGACATGCGAAAACATGTCGAACTGCAAAGTTCCGTTAGTAAATCTTTTGCGCCAAATAACAAGATTGAAGTCTCGCATCAGACCCATGCGCCTCTGCGTTTATGCCTGAAAATAATAGAAGAAAATACGGAAAATAAGGAAATGTCAGGACATCAAGGCCTCGTCTCTATCATCTGTCTATTCCTGCTTTCATTACCAGGCCGTGTGCCCACCATCAATCACTAGATTACTGCCGGTCATGAAGGCGCTAGCATCACTCATTGCAAATAAAGCAGCGCCCCTGAACTCTTCCGCTTGCGCCAGTCTGCCCAGCATATTCTCCGCCTCCCAGGTAGCTCGTGCCGCAGTGGTCTGTTCAAAAACCTGCTCGACCATGGGTGTAAGAATGTGGCCGGGACAAAGACTGTTAACACGGATCCCATGCCGACCCCATTCCATAGCTAAACACCTCCCCAGCTAAATAACGGCCGCCTTGGAAGAATTATAGACGGGGGCTAGTCATTCCCTTATTCGCAATCAAGCCGCTCATACTCGCGACCAGCAGAATCGAGCCGTTATTTTTGCGATGGAACATCTGTTTTGCAGCCGCAGTAGTCGAGTTGAAAACCCCATTATAGTTGATTTTCATGACCTCCTCCAACGCCTCTTGTGAATGGCCGATGGCGCTGTGCACATGGTTGATCGCAGCAGCGCAGATAATCCCATCGAGACGTTTCTTTTCCCCCGCAATTTCGGCCATTACGCTGTTGACGTGGGCTTGGTCGCGCACGTCGATGCGAGTATAGTTCATACTGCCACCGTAGGCGCCTTTGGAACGCTCCTTGGCAGTTTCGAATTCAGGATCGGGGATTTCGAGACGGTCGAGACACCATACTGTGAAAACGCGGATATTAGGTTTACATTTCACTATCCTCGCATCAACAGAATCAAAATAATAGTCTCACCATTCGCCCCTGCTTCCATCAACGCTTCTGCCATGGCTAGACCAAGACCGCGGCCGCCTCCTGTTACCGCCACGATGCGCCCTTCAAGGTTGAACTCGCGAAACCGCTGTGTATTCTCGTGTCCCGCGACTGGTGGGAGTTTCGTTTGAACATGATCTGGGGTTGTTGTCGGTGGTGTGGTTATGGATGCTTGGTTGCAAGTAATACCATTGGGAAGCGACACTTTTCGCCACATTGATCTTCCTAGAGTAGAAGGTCTTCGCAGCGCGGAAGACATTTTTGATTCACCAAAGAGATAGATATCGCGAGACTAGAAAATAGAAGAAAAGAAAGGAAAGATGTAAGACGCGAAGACTTGAAACCGCGCAAGTCAAGATTTCTAGCTAGCTATCAATAGTCTCTTTGACATGAGAAACAAGACAGGCTGTATATCAAATCCTATGTAACCCAGTGAAGTCATTTTGCAATCGAGCGGCAAAATAAGAATAATTCGCCGTTGAGCTCAGGCACCACTGAACTAGGGAACGCGTAAACGTCATTCCTAGGTTATCAAGAGAGGAATTCTGCCCATGTATCGCGATATTCTGGGAAAACAAGCCAACGAATGAGCGTTCATAGCACGTACGTGAGCAAGAGGCATGTAGGTAGGTAAGTAAAATTAGAGGCTGAAGGCTGGATCGGATATCTGACCCGCCTTAGCGAAATGGATATAGTCTGGTAGCAGTTTCGCTGCTCAGGAAGGAGTGGGGTGTGTCGTTGTGGCTAGGTAATAACCCCTCTAGAACCTACACGGATCGTGGAGATGGACAGGACGTCACGGCCAAGTTTTTCGTGGTAAGATGCAGAAGACGGCGATCAATTATGTCAACACTACAAATCCGACGAATCGCCACTAAATAGATGTTTAAGAAACGGTTCAAGTCGCGTTTTTCTCTTCCGCAAACCTTATTAAGATACTTTACCTTTGGACAGTCCATTCTGAGTCATGATGCAGGTATTCGACATATAGATGCCTTGTTTGAATGCCAAATTGTAACACCCAGCGGCGGGGATATCTTTGTCATGTATTTCCCTTTCATTTTCGGGTATTCTATCGCTGCCACATCATCGGCCATGTGCCTCCTCTCACAAACATAACGAACCTTTCTTTTAGAGAACTTACTCAGCTTTCTTCTCTAGAAAGATTTGACATTTTACATTTTCTCAAAATGAATGTCAGCGTTCTCCTCCAACAGTTGTTCTTACCGCTCTCTGCCATTTAACTAGGACATTTCGCACCAATATTGACGAACCTCGCCTAAATCCCAACCCATGTAAGGACTTTAATGTGATTTCCAGAGTCGAAACCCATAACAATAGCACCGACACCCTCGAGCTTACCACCTTCCTCTCCCCATATCAAACCGAACGAAAGCTTCCGTTTGAATCACAACCAACCAACTGAAGACCTATCACCGGGATAATACGGAGCAGTTAGAAGGTGTGCTGAAGCGCACTGACCGTATGCAGAGTGAGAATATGCATATCGTGGTTGGGTACCACACAGCACGAAGCGAAGTATTGTGGAGCTCTCGCGAGAGCAGAAGGTTTCGGATGTAAAGCTGGTGATCCTACTTTCAAGTACATTATCGACATTAGGAGTTGTTTTGCCATGTGGTGATTTGGTGGCCCCAGGCCGGCTCTGATGGTGCGCAGAAGACCATCAACGATGGTTTGTGACCCAAGGATAGCAAATAATTGCGGTACGATATTGCAAGGTCCACTTTAAATTTTTCTTCAGCGAGGGTATAGACGGGGATGCTGGCCAAAGAGGTGAGGGAGAGAGATGACCGACTTCGTTACCCCCAAAGAGATGAGGAAGAGATGGTGGATGTTTTTTTAGAGGAAGACTTCTCACTCAAATACGATTGTGAGTGCAGGATCGCGAGAGATTATATTTTCGAATATGAATCTCGATATGTAAGAGTGATCTTGGCCGTTCACTCTATCTCTTCTGCCCGGCTACAACATGGTTGACGTTGACTTTGTAACCTCCTGCCAACGCGGCCTGAAGCGTTGTGCCATACTTGTTTAGGTGGGTAGAGCCGTTTGCTATGCAACAGGGTGGTGTGAACCACTCGCTTGCGTTTAACAGGTTGCTGCACTGAATATGGACAGCAACGGACACCGACCAGAGCATGCGACACGCTTATCTTGAAACTGCGAACCCCGAGATAGATCAGCCCAGAGAGAAGAAGCGGACGAAGGCGCAACCAGGAAGACTTTTGCATGAGATGAGGGTGTGGAAGAAAGTCAGTTGGTGAAAAGATGCACAAATACATTTATTTATGGTCTCAATATTGAAGCCACCTTGCCGCTAGAGTTAGATATGCAGAGGCAGATAAAAGTTGATCTGCACACTCATCTCAACAGCAGAAAGGGGATATTTGATTAATTTTATAAAAAAGAAGCAGAAGAGAAGAATGCGCAAGAAGACTCCATATATCACCCTACTAGGACTGTCTCCACCAAGGAGTCGGCGCCGCCATCATCATAGAGGGCCCAGCGCCAGTGCCAACGATTCACCGCAGTTTTGTCAAAGTGGTCAACAACTCTTCACTAAGATCGGAGATCACAGGGGATATTATGCAAACAACAGAGAGAGTCCTGTAAGGCAATAGAAGGTAAAGAGCTATTTATTACAGTAATAATAATAGGACAATAATTTGTTAAATACTAAATAGTAGTATGTTATTTTGCGAGAAAAGTATAACATGATTAACTAGATATGTTTTGGCTGGGAATCGTAACAAAATAGAAAAGATCACAACTCTTTTACGTGAATTCAAGTAGAGGAACACTAGATAGGAAAATTAACACAAGCATAGAATTTTATATTCTTTACTCAGGCTTTGGTCTGTACCGATTGAATTCACTCCTCGGCGAGCCATCGCCAATGACAATTTGTGGCGCGATCACTCGTGGTTTGACTGGATGAGCACTGCGTCTTCTTCTCAACCCTTACGATACGCCGACACAGTAAGCTTCGTTTGCCCAAAACCCTTGTGTACAGTCCGATGATACAGATGGATTCCAGGCATGGAATTGGGCATTTGTTATTCCATATTTAGCCTCAGGGGTTGCGCATGTGTCACCAGCTACAGATGGTAAAACTCGTTAGTTTGATCTCGCGGAACGAATTAATTTGAGAGGAAGGGAAAGATTAATAATTGCAAAAGAACTGCCGTCCAGCTTACATTGTGCGATATAGTACTCGTTGCAGTTTGCTGGTATACCAGATTGTGTTGGGCCTGGTGGTACTACTTCGGTGCTCGACGGACCAGATGTGGCGGTTGTGCCGCTGCTCGATACGCCGACGCAGTACGCTTCGTTAGCCCAAAACCCTTGTGAGCAGTCTGATGAGATAGACGGGTTCCAAGCGTGGAATTGGGCACTTGTGATCCCATATTTAGCCTCAGGGGTTGCGCATGTATCGCCGGCTAGAAAAGTTATTAACGGCTGGCCGCTATTCAAGTATTCACGAAAGCCACTTACGCTGAGCAACATAATATGCATTGCAGTTCGCGGGGATGCCTGATTGTGTAGGGCCCGGCACAGAGACTGTTGTGGTTGTCTGTCTAGTAGTCGTGGCGGTATTTGAGGCTATTGACGTATAGGACGTAGTGGCGGAGGACGTGGGGGTGATAATAGTTGTCGTGGTGGTGGCATTACTGGTAGAGTTAGTTCCCCAGTTCCAACCTGGTAACGGATCTACACAGTAAGCATCCCCTGTGATTAGATCACTGTCACAAGTTGTCTTATTAAGTGAAGGATTTGCCGCAGTAAAGAGATTGATGGCAATTTCATTCGATAGACAAAGCTGTGCGCAGGTGAGGTTGAGGCTCGCGTTGTTGACAAACCACTGCCCACAGTTTGTTGTTGTCCCTGGAGCTACAGTTGCACCAGCTGGGGGGCTAACTATCTGGGATCCAGTGGTTGTGGATATGTTCAAAGCTTGACCTGTGTAGGTTCCTCCTGGGGTGGATACGCAGAGCGTTGAACCCCAATAGGGATTAACAGATTGCAAATTCGTGCAGTTCCAATTGAGCTGCGAGTTGAAGGAAAGAAGATCCTGAGTGCTGATGCCGTTTGCTATGGCAATGCTGGTACACGTGTCATTGGGTTGCACGGTGTAGATGTCGCTGCATTGCAGAGGCAGACAGAGATCTGTTCCTGGTAGGATTGAGGAGCAGTTGGCGATAGTTGGATTCGTGTAGAACATGGTAGCGGCTGATACACCATGGCTGATAGCAATCGAGTCGCAGGTGTCGCCCCGTTTAGTTGCATATGTGACGTTGGAAACACAACTGGGAGTGACGGATGGCACGGACACATTAAAGACACTCGCTGTGGCATTGAAGTCTGCCACGGTGATTTTACAAGTCTGCGCAACATATTTATATGTTGCCTCCCAATGATCATCATACACGTCTGTGTACGCATCAGCCTGCATCAAGGCTAGTTTCTCAACATTACAGTAGGAACACAGGTCCGATGTTGGGAGATCGGAAAGATCTGTCACGTTCGGGAAAGCAGCAATGACATCTACAGAGAGAGAAAAAATCAGCATTACGAATTTACTGAGAAATCAATTCCTAAAGGATTGTTTCGGGGCAGAATTCCTTACCATTGCAGTTCTTATTAGTGGTGGGATCAACGAAGCAGGATTGGTTCCAATTGCTCCAGAACATGTCGACAAGGCCAAGAAAAGGAAGACCGGGAATTAAGCCGACTGTATTGCCACAGTTAGCCGAAACAGCATTATGTAAATCTGAGATTGAAGATCCGCAACCAGCGTCGCATATCAGGGCCGTCAATGTCGAGTTGTCAAAGCTGCCAACGTAACTGCTACTCCCAAGTATCGAAATAGAACCATCGCAGTTAACCTTCTGGTACAGGGAATTCTCACAGTTCGGCGTGAGATTCAAGTTAGACAAAGACCCATTTGGAAATATGGAAATCCCAGCGAAGACCATATTGCTTGTACTGGCCTGCGTAGCATTGGTCGAGCGTTGCTCTAGATGTCGAACTATGTGCGGACTACCATAGTATTCTATAAGGTTGCTGGCACTAACATGGCCTAAAGCAAGGTAGGATATGAACCAAATAGCATAGAATTCCCAAATCCGGTCTATAGCAAACATTTTGAACGATATGAATATATTCAAAATGCACTATTTTCGATAAAATGAGTAGTTTGAAGCAATGAAATGGTTGGAGTCCGAGCCGAAGAAAACAAAGAGCATATATGGTACATGGTCTGGATCACTTCCGTGTTTTCCAGGGCATGAGTAAATGGTATCGTACTATGCTCTAAGGAGCACGGGGATCGGATGTCCTCGACAAAGATTTACTAGAAATGAAGCATTTTCCGGAGTACCCCGTCATACCGCCAACTAGTGTGTATAAACCAATGGTGGCAGTACGTAAAAAATTGGTAAACCTATTACCGATACGTATTTCCAATGCACCCCTCCATATGCCACCAACTTATGTCAATGTTCCGAGGCAAGGATAGACCATATCGACTCTAGTCCGGAATATGGTTACCGGGAGCCGCAGTGTAACCTCGAAAAATCGTCCGTGAATATAGCACTGTTCTTAGTCCATGGCCAAGACAAGGCTTACCACCACCTGATAGGAAAGCCACTCCTCTTGTTGGGCTTGTTCTAGGCATAACATTACGCCAAGTGGGCCGGATGGAATCGCCTTGATATTGCGGCAGCGAAAGAACCTACGTATCTGCATTTGGTAATTTTTTGTAATGAAATGAAACAAGCCAGCGTCTTGTAATGAAAAATCCAGGACATAAGCTAGTTTCATTGGGGGTTATACTAAGTGTTGAGGTCATGCAAGCCTTAGGACTGAAGTGGGCCTGGCTAGAAAATCAACCAATATAACGAAGTCATTAAGCGCTGACATCGCGAGCCTAATATCACGAGAAAGGGACCGGATGAATAATTCTGGGCCCCTGTTTTCAACATTTTAATATCAACAAACAGGCCCCTGTTCCTGCATATTGTGGAAATTGTAGCGTATTTTTGAAGCATCTATTGGTCGAAATCTTCGGCTGCTTTCGCTTCTCCCAAAGCCATCGGAAGAAAAATTTTGTTTATCCTGCAACGAAAACCAAAAATGGAAGATTTACAGGTGGCACTGCACCCTACCTCCTTATGGAGCTGCAGTTTGCGGCGCAGTATATCGGTATGTGGAATTTAATATACGACAATCCTTGTCTCCAGAAAATTTTTCTTCTACACTAAATTAGAATATGCAATCTCCAGTTTAGTCTTTGCCTCAAGCTATCACATATCAGGCAATATAATGCTTAGTGACAATGTTGGAATATATCTGCTCAATTTTCAGCGACAAGGATTCCTATTACCAATTGTAAATGATAAATACTTTACAAGGCCTCTAATAGAGGCATAGTACCGGCTGGTGTGATGTTTTTTTCACTAGATTTATATCATATTTCTTATTAAGCATTCAAGGTTCTCTCTGAGTTTCTCCTCATGAGAAAACGAAACCGCGGTCGACTTCTAATCTCTCCTTGGGCAATTTTTTCATTGATCCCATTCCTATACTGACACTGAACAATCAAACCATGTTAATAGCTATCGCTGTTATCCTGCTTGTCGGCCTAGGCTATCTTCCCTTGGCCACCGCAGACACCCACTGTAGTGCCACTGTGCCATGCGTCACTGGTTGCTGCGGTACAAACAATATCTGTGGCCTTGGGCCAGACTATTGCTCTCCTGCCAAATGTATCAACAATTGTGATGCCAAATCAGAATGCAATCCCGGCGACTGGCCGACGCAGTATACCAATGCTACTACATGCCCACTAAATGTGTGCTGCAGTCCATACGGCTTTTGCGGAACAACGGATCTTTTTTGTGGAAATACAACTGTCCCCAGACCTTCATGTAGTGCAAATTCGCACTCCCTCGCTCGTGTCATCGGGTATTACAACTCGGCAGGTGCATCACGGCCCTGTGGTGGTATGACCCCTTTGGGCTTCCCCCAGGGTGTCTACACACACATCTACTTCGCCTTTGGCAGTATCAATCCAGACACATTTGGGGTCATATCCGGATCTCCAGGAGATGAACAACTTTACCCCCAGCTTCAAGCGCTTCAGTCTCGAGATTTAGGACAACAACTATGGCTCTCTATTGGTGGCTGGGATTTTACTGACAGCGATTCACCGACCGTCACAACCTTCTCAGATCTCTCAGCGGCCGACACAGTTCATCAAAATGCCTTCTTCACATCTCTAACCCTCTTCATGACTACCTGGGGCTTTACAGGGGTCGATATCGACTGGGAATATCCCGCTGCTGGTGACCGTAATGGTCGGGCGGAAGACTATAAAAACTTTCCCATCTTCTTAGCTAATCTGAGAAAGGCGCTGGATGATTATAAATTTGGTCTATCTGTTACACTACCTACCAGTTATTGGTATCTGCAGCACTTTGATCTAGTCTCTATTGAACCTTCGGTTGATTGGTTCAATTATATGAGCTACGACCTTCATGGCACCTGGGACATTGGCAGCCAGTGGACCGGTGCCTATCTAAATGCCCATACCAATCTGACAGAAATTGAGTCGGCTCTTGACCTGCTCTGGCGGAATAACATCACCGCGTCCAAGGTGAATTTGGGCCTGGCCTTTTATGGGCGTAGTTTCACTCTAGCTAGCTCATCATGCTCCGAACCTGGTTGTGCGTACCTCTCAGCCGGTGATGCTGGTGATTGCAGTGCCACAGCAGGGATTCTTTTCAACAATGAAATAAATCAAATCATTAACGACAATAATCTTACTCCTATACTGTATACAGATGCAGCTGTCAAGACTATCACGTGGAATAATGATCAATGGGTTTCGTTCGATGATCAAGACACATGGAAGCTCAAGGCTGATTTTGCTAAGTCAGAGTGTCTTGGCGGCGTCCTGGTCTGGTCTGTCGATAATGATGACAGTAATAACACCTTTTCGCAAGGGCTGGCGGCGGCTCTGGGTAATAAGATCAACCTAGATCATTCTACAGGCCTGACTGGTGAAATTCTCGAATTTCCAGGGACAGCTCACCTATCTGCACAGGGCGATTACTGCCGCTTCATTAACTGTGGGGAGGTTTGTCCAAGTGGCTTTACCACTATCGTTCGTGGCGATGAGACGTCGCAGCTCATGCTTGACTCAACTGAGTGTTCTTCAGGTTCTGACGCAACGCAAACACTTTGTTGCCCTACCTCGAACGATGTTCCAACATGTCAATGGCGAGGCTTTCATAATAGCGGAAAGTGTCAAGGTGGCTGCAACAGCGATGAAGCAGAGGTGGGAACCATCGCCGCTGGTTGCAGCTCGGGATATCAATCGGCCTGCTGTACCCTCACGCAATCAACAAAGCCCTGGTCGGAGTGTCAATGGACCTCGAGCTGTGAGAGTGACAATACCTGCCCGTCTGGTTATCCTACATTCGTTGTAGGCTCTCGGGATGGTTGGGGCGGCCTGCCGTCATGTGATAGTGGCCAAAATTATAATTACTGTTGTGGAGCCTCTATTCCAGATGCTTTCACAAACTGTGACTGGTTTGGCCATGAGGTTATATTCACTAATGAGGCATACTGCAGCGACTCGTGCCCGTCTGGCTCGGTCCGCATTGCTGAGCAACAAATAAGTGTGGTTTGGGGGGCTGAGAAGACGGCGAATTCGGAAAACTGCTGGTTTGGAAACGAGGCATACTGTTGCTCCGGTGTGTCTCCCAGCACCGTAGTTCCACGAGGTGTTGGGCCTGTGGTAGATCGGACGCTGCAAGAGTTCGATGCATTGGTCAAGGAATTCCTTGCAAACCCTGTGTGCCCGAGCGGCTGGGATTCCCAGTACAGCGCTTCTTTTACCACTCGAGATCTGCTGAGCACTCGCGCTACCGATCAGTCTAAAACCCTCTCGCAGCTGCTACCGCTGCTAGCAGCTTGGATATCGTCTCAGTATCCCCGAAAGGACTATGCCTATAGGTGGGACAGTGATCTAGTAGAATATGGGTTTGGCAGCGTTGGCGCCAATTCCTCTACTCTTATCAACGTATTATACGGCTCCGTGGATAGATGGTCTGGGCTCCCCATTTATTCTCCTGAGAGTTTGATTTCTGAGGCGCTTTGCAACATCGCTGAGTCGGCTCAGGGACTACAAAATTTGACTTCTGCCACAGCCGCACTATGTGAGATCCCGCCCAGCTCTTCAGGCTCGAAACGCGATCTCTTTAATAATTTCCCAGTGAGAGCGTTATCTGAGATAGGGGTAAATGATCGCACCGACGATGGTACACAGCCGACTGCCGCTGCTGCCATAAGAGGAGTTCTAGATGTATGTTGCTTCATTATGGGTCGAGGTGCCAAATTCTGTTACTGACTAGAATATTCATTAGGGAGACCTGAGTTTACACTACCTACGCTGGCTTGATACTCAGGGAAATGATGGTCGTCAAGTGACTCTTGAGGTTGCCTTCTGGATTGGCCCTCAAGTAGGTGTGGCGCCCACGCCATCTATGCGTGCTCGGTACGCCGACACCGCGCACACAGCGTATGAAGACAGCTGGATCATCTTTCATCTTCACATAGACTTGGATGAAAATACATTCTTGAGCAATGAACCGGGTTACTACCCTGGTGTCGTGGCTACCACCGTCTATCAGAGCCAGACATTTACCCGACCTAGTGCGGTAACACGGGGCTATACGGCCGATTTTCGCGCTGAATACAGGTTCTCGACCAATTACGGCGGGAGATACAATAGGGGCACCTTGCAAAATTATAATTCTCGTACTAATGCCCTCGCATGCCCGAGGCACAATGGCCGATGGTATCCTGGCCATCGACCTAACAATGGCGTCGATTCTGGCCTTCCGGAGTTGATGTTCAACTTTGTAAGTGTATTTTTCATCTACAGCATCTGAAATATTTCCACCGTATATCCTCAGTCTTTGTTTCCTTATTCCTTCCTTTCCTCCTCTTGCATTTTGTTCAAACAAAGGCTAACTATCAGAACAAAGGGGACATGGCTCCAGGCCGAGAATATCTTTTCAGCGAGTGTACTTCGTCAACTGTGGCCAACTTTGCCTGACGCTGGTAATGGATGGAGGATGACAAGCTTTAATGGCCTGACCAACCTGAGTCCGGTGGATGGCGCATTCGACTACAACTTTCGAACCGATGGCTCTTCTCCAGTTGAGTTTGGCTCATTGGGAATTACCAGGACTTAGTGTCGAGGGGTTGCTACAAAGTGCTCATTAGAATGCAGAATAAGTTTCCGGCACTGGACTTGAGATGAGAATGATTTTTAGATGCGGTTATATGGGAATATACCGCAGAGATTGTATACCAACTAGTGTAGATCTGCCAACATACTGATTAATGTAGTCTCAAATCAGGCTTAATGTAGATACAGAAGATAACTACCATTAGATATAAACCGGACCTTTATCATTTCAATTGTCAGGATACACTTCGTTAAATATATGTCAACTATAGTAATGTTTATATATAGTAGGACTTTTATAAAATATTAATAAGCTTATGGAGTATATCTGTAAAAGTTCCTCTAATGTTGTGAGATGATCAGTAGTATTCTACAACATTGAATACCTGGACACTTGAAGGAAACTATTTCACTCTGTACATTCGTTTTTTATTTGTGTGAAGCAGAGATCTTAATACTGGGTGTATAATATGTAGACTGTATCTAGAAATTGATCTGAAAGTTAGAAAGCTTAAATAATTACCGATACAAATCTCAGACCAGATCAAATTATTTTAGCCGTTTATTGAAGTCTACAGCAGTTTTTTAGCGATTCCATAACCGCAATGCTTAACTTTTGTCGCTTGATAAACGGTAACGCTGCCAATCAACCTATACGATCGGCCAAAGAAATATTTGGTAAGTTCATCTAGGCGTGCCATGGGGAACAGCTTCAGGAGTTTGGTGCCATCTCAATCCAGGGGCAGGGACCGTCCAGTCACTTTTCAAGTGTTGAAATACGACTCAGTCGTTCCCGCTCCTGCTGGCCCCATTTATTTCGCGTTTCCTCCAGCAGCTGTCGTGGAGTTTTGCCGTCTGCATTCTTTTTGTTCATCATGTCGAACTCATCACCCGCTTCTTTTAAGACTTTCATCATCTCGTCTTGTGCTCTGATCTTAGCATCCAGCGGGACGCCATGCCTTTCAATGCCCGGTCCGTCTCTGTAGGGAAAGACCTTTCCTTGTGCTGCCTGATGAAGCGGAGTATCACCTCTCAAGTTCTTTACCGCTATACTGGCCCCGCAGCCAAGTAAAGCCCGCACGGCCTCAACTTGACGCAAGTTTATCGCCATTTGGTTGAGTGGAGTATTTCCACGTATATCAATATCATTGATGTTGGCACCATGGGATATTAGGTGTTCTATTATTGCGGCATCTATGGCTTCACCGTCCTGTGTGAAACCTAAGAAATGCAACATATTCATACCATCTTGGTCACGTATATTTCCGTATGCTCCATACTCAAACAATGTCTTCAGAATATCGAAATGCTGGTTAATACAATCTCTAAAGCCAAAAACTGTATACCACAAGGCATTGTATCCTTTATGGTCTTGAACATTGATTATGTCTTGATTGATAGATAAAAGTAGGTTGATAGTGCTGACTGCATGTGTAACAATTTCGTTACGAGGAAGCATATAGTGGTACTCTGAACTATGAGCCCCTCGTGCAGCCCAGTGAAGGGGAAGGCGACCGCCGCTATCACTAGACAAGACCATTTCCATAATAGTAGCCTTGTCTCCACGATGATCAAACAGGGCCCGAACACCATCAATATTCGCATGGAGGCTTCCAAGATGAAGGGGAGTAACGCCATGCACTTGCTCGTGTTGACCGAAATCAGCCAGCTGTACAATCTTGACATGCGGGTCCGCTCCTTCGGCAATGAGTCGTTTTATTAAACCATAACTGGCCCTCGAAATGGCCCGACTAAGGACTGTTTCTGAAACCTGTTGATTAATAGACATCATTACATCTTTGGCGGAAGCTCCTCTGTTAAGGAGTTGATTCATAAGCTCTTCAGCACGAGCCTGTTGGGCATGGATTGCAAGGTCATCATCTTGTTCGAAGCGGCGTGGCAAATGAGTGAAGGAATCTGCAGCCGAGAGCAGTGGGGTGTCACCGTCCTTACAGTACATGGAATTATCTCTGGCGTGGAGGCTTGCCAGTGCAGATTGGGTATCCAAAAGAAACAGCGCAGTCTCGACCCGAGCGTTTAAGCAGGCCACATTAAGCAGACGAAATTGTCGTTTTTCAAATGGTATCATGTCAGTGTCGTTTAAATGAGCGTTATAATGCTTGAGAAGCAGGTCAAGCGCTTCAGTACTCCCAGACTCTGCAGCAACATAAAATGGGTCCCAGTGGTATACCTCAACCTGGCCCAGAGTAGCACGAGTGTTGATATCCAGATATTGGGCTAATTTAGCCACGTCATTGTATCGCACAATATCATTTAGAAGGCCGCCATAAGGGTCTTCATAAAGGACTGCACCGTCATCGTCAACAACTCCAACACTGTAAGAGTCCTCATGAAATTCACAATAGTATTGATATTTCGATATTGGTAATTTTTCACCAGCTTGTGCTGACATAGTGTATGTTCTAGTTCTTTCCGTCTAAGGGGAAGAGATTTTGCGATTAGAAGAAGCCGGCAGATGTTGAGAACAAGAAAACAATAAATAAGAATTGTGAATGCTGCCTAGTTAACTTAAATTACGGCCACTTAAATAGAAAAGTCCAGGGTCCAGCGCACAGACCAGTCTTGAGAATATTGAGCTAATGAATATTACTGTGTAAAAAATACCCTTATTTTAGGTGTATTTGAATTACAAGAACAATACGCTTCTCTCATACGCGTAAATTTAATCATAGTGCTATATCGAATTCGTACATACTATGGTTGACCCCATTGATTTTGTTAATACGTTTTTTATTCTCATGCTATGTGGGGATTATGTAAATTTGCATCTTGATGTTTGGCCAATCTTTAGTGTCTGGTTTGCTTTATAATGGGGAGACTTGACCTTACAGATCTAGTGAAAGCCGCATATTAACTATTACGGCAAAGTTGTGAGGCCCATCGTACTAACAAAATCACCGGGGTCAATCATAGTAATCCACACCAGAGTTGCCCACCTAACCGAATGGGGGTGCTCTTCGATTGCGAAGAGGACGGAGGGGGCGGGGCGGTGGACAAGGGAGAGAGGCGAGCTCACGATAGACACAGGGGGGGCTGTCGAGGAGAGGTGAATACAGAGCAAAATACAAGCAGGGCGACAAGAGAGAGGCTGTCGAGGTGAAATGGGCAAGATGGGCGAGGTGGAAAGGGCAGTAGACAGGGCAGACAGGGTAGGCATGGTGAGGTGAGTGAGTGAGTGAGTGAGTGAGTGAGTGAGTGAGTGAGTGAGTGATGCTGCAGTAGCAACGGCCGAGTGTGCGTGCCATCTTGGCAGTTTGCGCCTAAGGCTCAAACTAAGCATCTCCTAATTACCCGCAGGTGTTTCGGTTGCCATTAAATATTTAATATTAATTATCATGATGGTGATTGTCCCACGTGCTGTGATGCGGTGAAGTGAAACACGTATTAATACTAGGCCCAAATTCCCCCCACTGCCTGCCCCGGACTGGTACTAGTGCCTAGCGTTTGAATGTACAAACAAATTCCTCGCCGCAATCTGCGTATATGCGCAGGGCGACTTAGAGGCCTTATAGTGGTTGGCGGGGCCTCGGCCTCCTTCTTGGGAGCCAAACGTGTGAGCTGTTAGGGTTTGGCAGGACAACTCCGGCAAGAGTTATATTTCTGCAGGAGATCTCCCACCTCCCCATACAGATAGTGGTTTTCTGCAGGATATGCACTGCCAAATATAGATAGATTAGTCTGGGAGCTCAGGCTTATAAACCTGAGCTCCCCCCTGCTTAGTTTTAGTGCTTCAGAGTTCGTCTTGTTAATGAATTGACTCATGTTCTTGACCTCTCGCCTGGAAACCGCAACAATGTGAGGGGTGCAATAACTGAAAGTCAATCTGTATCTATGAAGTTCAGAATGGTTTTGTCATGATCAAAGGGCTTTCACCATAGTGAAACCCTTCAGGCTATAGATAGATGTTCTTTGTATACCTTTGGCTATATATATGAGCCCTAGGTCCCTCTCATGTACGATAGAACAATCTTCCACATATAACCAGAATACACACGTGCCTTAGATTATAACAGTGCCAGTCAAGACGCCTCTTGAGAAAGATATACATACTTATGAAGCAGGAGAATTACATTACTAATACTAAATTCTGCAAAGTTGATCGCTTAATTGTATTAGTAATCAGATAAGACCAGACATTATCTTTATTAGATGTTATATAGGATGATACACGTTCAATCTGAATTAGATATAGACGTTGTGGATCATATATTCATATATTTGGAATATGATCTAGGTAAAGGAATTATTTAATTAGACAAATATGGGCTTCAACTACCAAGATTTGTTGATAGTGATTTTGCCGGGTGTGAAGAGTTGTGTAAGTTACTGACTGGATAGGTGTTTATACTTGCTGGAGGATCCGTATATTGGTCATCTTAAAGACAGAAGACAGTGGCCATATTAATTATAGATGCAGAATATATTGCATGTGTGGAGGCTTTAAAGGAAGCAGTATGGATTTGTAACTTTATCAATGATCTCCACATCCCTCGCGTTCACATTGATGGTAATTCTGTTTAAAGCCTATTAGAAACAGAATTCTATAGCAAGTCAAAATATATTGATGTTAAGTACCACTTTATTTGCGAAAAGGTGGAGGAAGGAGTTATTGATGCTCAATGTGTTGATATGAAAGATAATTTCGCTGATATATTTATTAAAGCTTTATACAGGCCCCTATATGAGAATTTGGTAAATTGTCTGAACCTCTTGTCAGGGGAGATGGCATAGATAGACGATTTGATGTGGCCTAATAACTGAAGTACTAGTCAGGCTCTGTCTCAAAGCAATGCGAGGTCGGATCTGGATCTGGGATCCTTTGAGAGTGTTAGGATACCTTTGGTCCCTGGCACAGGGGTAGTGTTGGATCTCAGATCATGTGATATGTATACTGCTAGGCTACCAGTGGTAGTCTAGCAGGCAACAGCAGCTACTATGACTATAAATAGCAGTATCTGCATACATAGATTTAAAGAAATCATCATCAATTGTACCTCAGTTCAGGGTTACAACTCAAGGGGTGAGGTCAGCGAGTGAATACACCACCACCACCACCACCAAGTGTATAGAAGGCGCATTTACGGAGGAGGATTTTTGATTTTTATCTCCGGTCTGTTATACTATTTCAACCCATCGATGAAATCAAGATGGAAAAGTAGGGAATGGTAGGTGGCGCAATTGAATGAAGGATTCAGCCTTGTCTTTTCCAGTCTTGCCATCACCTATCTAGTTATTCAACATCAAACTGGATACTTGGTCAATTAATCCAGCTTTAAGTCGTAAAGTAAGTCTCTTAGGACATTGCATTTTGATCAGCACTTTTGACCGACAGGTGATCTAAACCACCGCATAATTGCCCTATAGGAATAACTGGAGCGACTAGCCTAGGGCTTAACTAGGCGATTTACTCGAGACAGACCCCGAGCGCAGAGTTTGTACGAGATGTGATGATTCGAGGTTTTGCCTCTTTCAGTTGAGCGGTAGAATGCACGAGAAATCCCTCTCCTTTCCTGTGAATATTCTAGTCGGTAATTGTCGATAAGCCTGGTGACCCTCCCCAAATTTGAGGGAATGTACGACCAGATGATGATCATATTGATAAAGAGCGGTCACATCGGCTTTCTGGAGGAGTGAGCGTGTGATTTTTTCAGCATTGAATCACTGGGGTTAGGCTACCCTTCCTTCTAATGCAAGCTCCCATTAGCTTTTTACCGTGACCTTTGTATCATAATTAAAAAGTTCAACCTCCTCAAATCGCCACTCAAACTTCGTATTAACATTGTTGAGAATGTGATCCTTTTCCCTTCTTCTAACCGCTGACTCGCTTTTCCTGGGAGATAACATGATAATGACTGGAATATTAAATCTGAAAACTCTTCTTGATTCAAATCTGCCCACAGGGTTGTCCCAGATAAACCCCTGAATGCCGTATCCATAATAGAGTTCAGTAATAGTATCGACTCATAATAGTATTAATCGAGTGCATACGGCATCCTCTCCAGCGCATATCTTAGCAAGTGCGATGCCCGACCTCGGAAAGACTCAATATTACGAAGCTGAAAGAGGAGCTGGAAAATTGTACATTAGGTCAAAATACCAGGCTAGCGAACTGACTGCAAGCAGCATAGATGAGCAGTGGGAGAGAAGGGTTACTTCGGCAAATGTAACTCGGCATATTTATCACGGGCCAAAATGCGGGGTTGCAAACCTAAAAGTTATTCCTCATCCCATTGTAGTGCCGAATGAAGTGATTTTCCAAAGCTAGATATACGGCTAGTTGTCTAACTTTGAGGGGTCTCCAGGTACTAGCTAAATCTGCTCTTAATCGTTTGGCGCTTCTTATTAGCGTCTGAATTAGTTTAAGATTAGCGCCAATCTTGTTCAAAACCTTGTCGGTATATTTGCTGGCTTTGCATTGCTTCTATACAAATCAAGACCTATTCGAGGTTATTCGGGATAATCAGTCGATGACGTTTACCAGTGATGGTTCTTTTGAATTAAAATGCCCTATCCACTTCAGAGCTTCGGTATCAACCCTATAATAAAACATGGATTGATCGGACTCCGTGTTGCAAAGGTATAAAGGCAAGCTTCCAAGCAACCAGTGTTCAAAATAATCATCCATTGATCCTCATACTGGTCATCATGGCTAAGCTCACTCCATTCAATATCGCGATCTCCTGCTTCGGAGCTTTAGGAGCCTTCAGCTATGGCTTTGGGTTTGCCATTTTTGTTACTAGCATTGGCCAGCCAGGATTTTTTACATACTTCAATCTTGATCGTGAGTCATGACTTGCTCCTGTACAGCTCATGTTATAAAACTCATAAATATTAGCAAACAGTAGTTATACGGCGAAGTAAGTACTTCCATGATAAAGCGGATCAATGGAGGCAAGGAAGAGCTAACATTAAATCATCAGCATTCTAGGTGCCATAAGTGGACTGTTTAACTTTGGACTCGCAGCCGGAGCCCTTTTACAAGGATGGATTTCCGATTCTTTTGGTAGAAAGAAGGCATTTGCTTTTGCCAGCATGTGTTCTTTAATTGGTGGTGCTTTAGTTGCTGGCTCTGCTACTATTCCGATGCTGATCATTGTGCGAATGCTGCAAGGAATTGGTTTGGGGATACTTGTTGCCTTGGTGCCAATATATAATACCGAGGTCGCCCCCCCTCATCGCCGTGGCATGCTCTCTGGGCTTACTGCTCTGAACTTTGCACTTGGATATCTAGTGTAAGACCATACACCACGTCTCTTGTTCGAGAAAATGCTGATGTTTTTGAAGGTGTGCATGGGTGTCTGTTGGTACTTACTATGCGAAGGATATCACGCTGCAATGGAGATTGCCCTTAGCCTTGGCTTGTTTGGGGCCTCTTATCATTCTTGCAGGCCTCCCATTTATCCCTGAATCTCCTCGGTTCTTGACCATGACAGGAAAGACAGATAAGGCTTGGGAAGTTCTTCGAAAGATCCATCACGATAAGAACGACCCTGAAGATCTGGCTGCTCATGCAGAGTATACTCAGATTATGAGACAGCTTGAACATGATAAAGAAGAGGAAACAGGATATATAAAAATGTTTACAAAGCCTTCTTGGAGAAAAAGAACTCTCCTTGCAATGTTTATTCAGTAAGAAATAATCTGCGAAAAATGATGCTACGGATACTGATCTAGTTAAATATAGGTTCGCAGCACAATCTACAGGAGTATATAGATCCATTAATTCTATATTTAATCTACGAAGTGTACTAATGAAACCATGCTATATAGATCCTTGCGATTGCGAATTTTCTCATCCTCATATTAGACACCCTTGGAATGGAAGGAGCTATGCCACTTATATTATATGGTATGATTGCATGTAAGCGACTATTGTTTAAGCTAAGTTAACATGAACGCTTGTAGGTGTTTTTGCTACTATCGCTAGCATTTCTCTCCTCATCTCACTGTTTGTGGTCGACCGAATTGGACGTAGAAAACTATTCTGTACGTTGTTCCATTATACTATGTATAAATTGTATTAACATAGGCTACCTAGTGATTGGGTTTCCGGGACTTGGAGTAGTCTTGTTAATTGAAGCCTTATTACAGAGGCAATATCTAGATTCAAATAACAAAGCCGGTCTGGGAGCATGCGCAGCTATGCTTTATGTTTATATGGTCATATACACTGTCTGCATTGATGCAACCTCTTTCGTCTGGATGTCGGAGATATTTCCCACAACAACTCGTTCAAAAGGAGTGGGCCTCGGCTTCTTTGCCTATTCTGTTGGGGCGATTACCTACACAACTCCATCAGCCCTTGAATTCCGGAATATGTGAGTACAGTTGTTAACTGTTGAACTTGAAGAATAGTATCACTGATGTATAATTGCAGAAAGTATAATATATTTTACCTTTACATGGGTTTGTGTTTCATTTCTACTGTTGTTGTATACTTCTTTATATGTGAAACCAAAGGTCTTCCTGTTGAAGAAATTGGGGGTTTGTTTGGGGATAAAGTTGTTGTTCACTTGACTTCAGATGGGCAGGGAATTGTTGAAGACAACTCATCTAAGGCGGAAATTGAGAACATGGAAGTTGTTGAAAAGTTCTAATCCGAAGGCGCCATCACAGCTCTAGCGGCGTGTAACTTAGAAGTTGCTTCGCAGATCAGCCGGACTAGTATAGTCACTCCAATCCTATATTGGAGGTCTCAGCCGTCTATTACTTATGTGTTATTTCCTGAATTATCAATGTTAAAGTGCTCTTCCAAAGATCCTGGAGTCTTGCAAAATGGCGCTAATTAATGTAATGGCCCCAGGCATTTGGTGACAACCGCAAAGAATATTATTAATAATAATAAAAAGAATAAAAAATTAATTATATGTTAGAAATCACCCGGGAATCAGTATGATTAAGCCTTATCAGGAGACTCCTATCTCTAGGTTCGTTGGGGATGTGAGAGGTCACATCAGGGGTGCGAATAGGGGGGGCAGTTCAGGGCGGGAGCCCCGTCCTGATCTGATCTGAACTGATCTGAATTGCTCTAGGGAGAGGTTATCTAAGGGAGCTGGAGATGCTTGGCATTGATTGCATCCCGCATTTTATACAGAATTCTGCACAAAATGCTCCACCGTACCTGTTATGATATAGTTCTGGCTCTGTTGATGATGCATGACGTCAGACGGCCGCCAGAGGGGTTCTTCCTCATTGCCAGTTAATGGCCCATCTCTTCCTATGACTTCAAAGCTAGCATGCTCTCCGATAACATCTGCATTTAAACGTGCCCGATTCGGTCGTATGAGGCGCCCGGCTACACTAAAGAGGCTCAGGCTCAGAGCTCAACCGCGTTAGGGTCATTACCAAAGAGAATCTGACGGGCTACCAGATTAATGATATGACGTATACAGCGTATCCGCCTCTCTTCCCAGATAAATCCGAACTCGTCAGCAAGGACTTGCATCCAGGTATCACTATTGCCAGCGTTGTCAAGGATGAAATAGCCAATTCGGTCCTGTAAGTCAAATCCGCGGATAATTGCCGCTACACTTTCTGCTACATTAATGCCGTAATGAGACCCGACCAGCCGCGGGATGTTGAGTAGAAACTGATTTAGCTTACCACCTATGTCGATGAAATAAACCACTAGGCCGCAGAAGCTGAGGCTGTTACGTGAGGACCATAGGTCGAATGATATGCTAACCTTTCCTTGTGCTGTTTTGAGAAGCTCCACGATCACACCCTTGTAGCCCTCCCAATAATTCAAAATCCAATCCCGAATTCTTTTGCGGATAGGTAGACAGCCTGTCCGTTCAAAGTCTTCGTTGGCGTAGAGCATCATCTCTCGAAATGCTGGGCTATTTCCCTGATCAAATGCGACGTTATCAAGGACGATCCAGCGTGTAAGAAGTTTTTTGAACTTCTCAGGGTTAAAGGAGGATATCAGAGAGTTGATTAGATGCTGTTCTAGCGGGCTTTGATTTGGAAGTTGTTCAAAAATCCGAGACCGTTTCTGTATAGGCCCTTTCTTTGTAAGTTTATGGTGTTTTTCGAGGCGCTCTATTGGACGTTTAGGAGAACCGTCTTTCCAGACATATCTATGACACTTCCGCTTAGGCCTTGATTTAAGACATTGCTTGCAGACAGCATATTTAATCCCTGTTGCTGTTTCCTCGATCTCATACATCCGAGTCCATACCCATGCTCTGCGACCTAGTGTGTACTAATGTGGAACTTGAAAGCCAGGAAATAAGTCCCAATTGAAGTCATCATAGCTAGGATATTCTATATCACGGGAGGTGTCGATTTCAACGGCCTCGCTGCTGTATTCGGACGTGCGCAGAATCCCGGATAAAGCTGATAGCTCGCTGCGAGTCGTAGATATGCTAGGTAATTGAGTCTCGCCATCTAAATAGTCAGACATAATGCTAGCAGTGACAATATAGACAATATGAGGCCATATTATGACACAGGACATGGGGCCGATATAATGGCCTTACAGGCTATACCAAGTTATCGGGCGATTCGGGCTATGCCCTCGTAATTATTCTAGTTTATAATCACGCATAAATAGAGAGAGAGAGTTTGAGAATTCCCAACCTCGTTAACGAATCCTTGCTACATGAAAGCTAGGTAGTAGGAATATACCCTAGAATTAGTCTGTGACATTTGATTGTTGTGATTGACTGGAGGGTGGAATTATCTGTACCACAGCCAACCGAGCGCCGAAGAAGCTAGCATCGCACATAGTACCATCACTGTAAGCTACTATAAAAAATATAGATATTGTAAAATCCCTCGTACCCCGTAGTGTTTGGCTCGAATTATTCTCATCATTAACGATTAAAACCTGGAAAATTTTTCAACGAAAAGGCTTGATAGCTTTAATAAAATCGTTCTTATCTTCCTCGAAATTAAATAGGTTGACTAGATTATTCACTTTAAACTTGATCCCGTAATGGCGACAAAACATCGCTACTCGCGACACTGTAGATAGATGTGATCTACTTCCCCTACCTATTCTGATATATGTTTACTCATGTAAGGAGTCGCAAGACACTGTGATGATATTGATATACTTCCCATATGATTCAACGACTGCATCTGTGATTCGACGTCTATTAGTAACTATTGATATGATTCAATCTTCAATTGATCTTTGCAGTATTCGATGAGTGAATTGAGATATCTTGGGTAGAGGAATGTCTCTTTATCCGCAAAATTGATCTTTTTTATTCTAGTAACGCCGAGAAGTCTTAGGTCCCTTTTAGCTGATTTTAAAGGAAGTTTGTAGGAAGTTTTGACTGTATGAAAGTAGAACTCACACTTATAGTTGCATTGCCGCGTGAAATGAAAGTTCATTGACATGGGGGTCTTTGATGTGATTTGCGAAATGTAAGCTATATGCAGACGCAAGCGATGACTATTCCAGCAATTAGTAAAATGATCATTGTGAAGAGATTTATTGTGTGATGTTTGTCTTTGGCATTCATTGAAGTTGAAGACAGCTTCGGAATAACGAAGTGATGGGTTTCGATAGAAATATGGCTGATTAGGTTGAATATATGGGGATTATTGATTGGTTGTGTGTTTATATACCTCCTTATACCAGAATCTTTGGGCCATCTCTAGGATGTCCCTAAGAATCGAATAAAAGAATGGCGTCAGTAAACTCCTGTTTTTGGAACACAGCAATATTCTTTTTTGTATTAGGTATGTATCTATAAACGACTTGTATAGCACAGACTGAAAAGTTCTAGGAGGGTCTGATGCAGGAAAGGGAACATAATGCGCCAAGTTGGCGGTCGAGTTCAATGCTTACTTTTATGACCTTTGCTAATCTGGAGACTGGAACCCAACATGGATTGTTATGTAGAAATCAGAAGATTCGGTAAATATGCCTGGGCTTTTACGTGACAGTCAAAAGACCGGCAAATCTAGAGAGTTTTAATCTTCGGGAAAATGTAAATGTGGAGCTAGCCTTACAATAACCCGAGAATGGGGGGCGATACGCACCCAATCCCCGAACCCATGGACCCCATGGACCCCATGTGTTCTAAGTAGATACCTTAAATAGTTTCTAATCGGTTAACGATTTGGTTGGCCTCACTGATATTTGTTCCCACTTCTCTTTGGCGATCAGTAGGCAGAGGAATTTAACTGCTTCTTGCATAGACCATGTAGACACTGGGTTACTTATCATTGACCAATCTTCGGTCATTCCCCGTGGGGAATATGTTGAGAACTAAACACGGGGAAAACTTGGACCCACCCTCTCTGACGTATTGCACCAACTTGGGCTGAAATAATCCTTGCACTTCCCCCCAAATCTAGTTGAATAGTGGAGCTACAAACAGCCTTTAGTACCGAAATTTCTCTATATCTGTCGGCGACCATAGGGAAGTATATACGGGTATGAGTCGTGAAAAGCCGAAGAGCAGCAAATACACCATCAGACTTGTATCCATAGACGATGAGGCAGTTGATTTAAAGACAAGCGCTGCGGGTACTTTCCACAGGGATTATGAAAGATAGCCTAGTAACTAAGATCTCATCATCTCTTTTCATCCTTTTTGGATCACTTGAAACACTGGCTGCATTACCCTTTCCAATGAAAATGGAGACCCTTGCACTCACTTTTACGAAAATTGTCAATGAGCATAGTCGGATAGGGCTGATCTATGTCTTTGGCGGCATTGGCTTCCTTGCTTTCATTGCGATCAGGACTATCTATCGCCTGTATTTTCACCCTTTGAGGAAAATTCCCGGTCCGAAATTGGCCGCTGCAACACATCTGGTCGAGTTCTACTACGATGTAATTTTAGGTGGCAAATTCTGTTGGGAGCTAGAAAGAATGCATCAAAGATATGGTGAGTGGGAGGAACAATTCCTTTGATTGTACAGCCAAAGAGCAACCCTTTTTGACGTCAGCTTGCATAAGGGCCCATTGTCCGAATCAATCCTCGTCAGGTTCACATAATCGACCCTGACTTTTACGACGAGATCTATGCGGGTGGGAATCGAAAGCGAGACAAAGATCCTGCATTTCCTCCTCGCTTGGGTATGTCTTTATCAGTGATATCAACGGTTCCTCATGATCATCATCGGCTGCGACGAAAGATTTTGAATAATTTCTTTTCCAAGCAGTCAGTTACAAATTTAGAACCTATGCTGCAGAGTAAGGTCGACAAGTTGGCTCAACGCTTCAGAGAGGCAAAGGAAACCGGCACAGTGGTAAAACTAGAATACGCTTTCGCAGCTTTAACAGCAGATGTCATCAGGTTTGTTACCCAAATACCAGTTCCTGATAACCACACCTATTGTCATTTTATTAAACCCACCGACGTTCTCTCTAGAGCCTGTCTGCTTTGTTGACTTTGATTTCTAGTCATTACTGTTACGGTAAAAGCCTGGGATATCTGGACGAACACTATCCACAAAACGACCTTAAAGAGGCTTTCAATACTCTATTCCAGGGCATACATATTTTGTATTTCTTTCCAATATGGGGAGCTTTGATGAACAAGTTACCGCCCTGGCTAATGGTAAAGTTGAACCCCAAGTCAAAACCATTGGCATACTTCCGATCTATGGTGCGAGAGCAGTCTGCAAACGCACTAGAAATGCAAGCAAAAGGGAAAATTTCCAATAAGAAGCAGAGCATTTTTAATGCTCTAGTAGATCCAGCTCTTCCGTCAGAAGAACGAACAATAGATCGGTTGACTGAAGAAGGGATGATTGTGCTAGGTGCCGGCGCTGAAACAACCGCAAATACTTTGACACTGGGAGCCTATCATCTCATAAAGAATCCAGATATTATGTTGAAGCTGCGAGACGAGCTAACCAAGACGGTGATGCCTAATCCAACAAGCCAACCAACCTGGAACCAACTGGAGCAGTTGCCATATCTCACGGCCGTTGTAAATGAGACTCTTCGTCTCGCAGTTGGAGGTTCCTGGAGAATGCCCAGAATCCCAACACACGAGACACTTATTTGCAATGGCTACGAGATCCCTCCTGGCACACCGTTGGTAACGTCAAGCTGGTTTGTTCACATGAATCCGGCCATCTTCCCAAACCCAAAAAAATTTGACCCAGATCGTTGGATCGCAGCAGCTGATAGTGACGTACATTTACCGCGCTATATAACCAATTTCGCGAAGGGGTCACGAAACTGCCTTGGTATCAAGTAAGTGGCCGTTGGTGAAATTGAACACATAAGCTTTGTGTAGCTGACTGCATTCCTGACAGTCTGGCATATGCCGAATTATACTTGGTCATAGCTCGATTTGCTCGGGAATTTGACATGATGCTTCACAAGACAACCGATGCGGATGTCGCGTATGATCGCGACTTTGCCGTCTTTCACTCAGATAAGGGGCCTTGGAGTGTTAAGGTTCTTGTGACCAAGGCTTTGGATTAGGATATATTAACATCGGAAGTTTATTGAAAGACTAGAAACGGCAGCCCAGATTCTAGTGGCGGAAGCTCCATATTTGATTCATTTCCAGTTTAGTTAATAAAAAAAATCGTGTCCCAACCACAAGCCCAGGCGGTAATAATCGAATCCCATAGAAGAGGGAAGTCGTTGTCCGGATGATCCCGATAGCACTGTTCGGAGATGTGTGTCTATATAAAGTTAAAATCCTTTAGTGTTCTTACAAACTATTTGAATCCAATAACATACCAAGCAAGATCTAATTACTCGATATTCGAGACCTGTGGCTGTTAAGTGGTTAGACTGCAACTAAGATTATATCATTGAGTGCGAGACAAAATGGAACGAAGCACAAAAATTCAGGAGGGGTAGCTAATTTTGCACTACTACAGTACACTGGAGTAAACAGAATCAATAAACGATACACGTAAGCCAGTCTACCATATAATCATGCCAGGCCAAGTGATTTATATATATCTATATGCAGAATGCGGTCATTGATGTTGTGTTTATATTCCGGTGGCTCTGCAACTAGTTCTCCAAGTTTATTTAAGCCTTTCAGGAAGTGAGCGGTTCTGCTGTGAGCAAGTATATGGCCATTCGCGGTTCTTGTGTCTAGAGGAGAGCTACATGTTAGCACATGGGATTGGGGATCAGCCATACCAGAGCAATAAGTCCCCCCGTGACAATTTTATAGCTGCGCTATTTACCTTCGGAGAGGGCTATCACAAATTCCATCATGAATTTCCAAGGGAACACCGCAACGGCATTCGGCTGTACGACTATGATCCAACGAAATGGGCCATATGGCTATGGAGCAAACTGGGCCTGGCATACGATTTGAAACGGTTTCCTCGGAACGAAAATCGAGAAAGGCCAATTGTAACAGCGACAGAAAGAGCTAGATGACGACTCCCAGAAAATCAGCTAGGGAAACCCTCTCTCAGACTTACCTATAATGGAGTGGGAACAGTGTGTATATAATGCTGGCAAAGGGCATGATTTATTGGTGATTGATAGAATCGTTCATAATATCGGCAATTTTATGAACTATCATCCTGGACGGGGAGAAATACTAGCACTTGCTATTGGAAAAGATGCAACAAGAATGTTCAAAGGGCGGTTTATCAGCATTCAAAGGCAGCTCAAAATCTTCTGTCAACAATGAGAGTTGGATTAGTTCGTGTACCCTCATGCCGAGGCAGAGATTCAGAATTAATCAAGCAATTCATCAAGTTCAATTATTCGATAGTAAATCGGTGCAAATCATAATAAACCACAAGGCAGGCTGACATAACGGTCAATCTAACAGATCTTTGGGTCAGAAGATCATGTTTACATACGTCATAGAAACGAATTGATTTACTCTTGGCTAGAAGGATTAGCGACGGCTTATAGATCTTGTAGTCGTCGCTTCTACAAACAAACATAAAAACATAATTAGAGGCTTTGATTCTGGTGCATGCAGAGAAACCTGCATAAATGCTGCCCCGGAAAGTACCCCACCAATGAGAAGCTCGGGATTTACTATGCTTGTAGCGGGCTGACGCTCAAAATTGGCTGCTTATAAGGGATATTCCGAATGCATAAATAGCAGCTTCTTGCTTTCCTCGCTTTGATTTGTATTGTGGTTCTTTGTAGCGGTAGCTGTCTTGGAATTTGGGCTAGTTGGGCCCACACTTTGATATCATTCCATGGCTAATTAGAAATAATATGTGGATGGCTGGCTAATTAAATGATATATGTAAATCTCTGGGATTGTGCTGGCAGCTGGGACTCATCACTGATAAGTCCTTCTCCTTCAGCCATTTCAATCCCCATTTTATCCTCTTCCTCGCCAGCCTTGCGGTTCCTCCGGGCGAGAATAAGCCGTAGTGAGAAGGCCAAACTGGCAACGAACAGCATGAACACGGAGCAAGTAAGCATTCCGCTAACATATAAAGGTCCGTCACTGTCAGGATACAGTCTGGTGCCGATAAGAGGCCCAAATTGTCCAACAACGTTGAGAATGGCGACGCTACTGCCCTTACCCTCATGGGCAACTCGGTTGTCCATGCTCCAGGTAATGATAATAGTAATAGCGGAAAAGAAGCCAGAAGTGGCGGGGTATATACAAATATATCGGATAACAGTGTCAAGAGATTTCGGAAAATGCGAGTGAAAGTACCCTGTCAGTCCAATGACGAGATACGCAGCTGCGGAAATGAGTGCGTGGAAGATCAAATATGGGCTTCGGCTACGACTGCGGTCGGAGAGTGAGGCAGTGATTAGTACTACCACAAAGGCGACTAAAAATGGTGGTGCTGAAAGTACTTGGGAGGCTAGAGGAGAATATCCCATACTGAAAAACCAAGGTGAGCTACATCGGAACATGCTCTGCTTTCTAAACTTACTTTTTGATAATTGTAGGTAAGAAAACAGGCATTGAGCTGAAAGCAACGTTGCAGCCTAGAAACATTAACTGCACAATGGATTTATTAGTACCGATTACTTTGGAGAGACCAAGCAAAAGGGTGCTTACGGCGACGAGATATGACATAGGATCACAAAGCGTCTCACGCACTGCCTTCCAATTAAATTTCTCATCCGAAGACTCATGCCGTTCTATTTTGGTTCCCTGTAGTCGTATTTTTGCAACTTTTCGTTGCCGCGCCGTCAAAAACTTGGCTTTGCCAGGCGAATCAGGAATTAACATCCAAGCAAATATTGCGACCACCACACTCGGGAACCCTTCAATAAGAAAAAGCGAGCGCCATGGTGCAATAGGAGCATGACTGCTCAGCTTAATGATCAACCACGCAAGACTGCTCGCGAACGAGGTAGCCAAAGGCGCCGCAGATATAAAAAGACCAGTTCGATATGCAAGCTCTTCGCGTTTATAAAAGAGTGATAGGTAGAATGGCACACCAGGGCCAAATCCTGCTTCGGAGATACCAAGTAATGCCCGTAGCAAGACCATAATCCAGAATGATGTCGCCAACGCCTGACAAGATGCAATCAAGCCCCACGAGAAGACGCATATTGGAATGTAGATATGCGCTGGGACGACTTTATACATTAAAGTCATCCATTCAAAGCAGATATAGGTAATATAGAAAGCCGTAAGGAGCCACTCATATTGTGAAGATGATAACCTTAGATCGTCAGAAAGTCCTGCAATTTTGGCATTGCCAATATCTATCAAGACACATGTTAGCAGTGAGTCCAATGGTAGGATAACAGAAATCACCGCTCACTTGATCGATCTAAAAACGAAAGCAAGTATAAGAATGCCAGGAACAAGACCAAGCGTTTATCCAATCGTTTGACAACATCGCGCTCTTCCTCTGGAGTGTAGCTGGCTCCTATCCCTGATGTTTTTCGTCGAGGAGAAGGCTTCAAATACTTGTCGGAATCGTAACCTTCATCATTGCCTTCGAATTCCTCATTCTCCCTAGACAAGAATCTCTCTGTCTCGTCTGGTAATTCGGCCTCGACATCGCTGCCAAGATTAGTTTGTAGCTTCGGGAGCTCGGCGGACCCAGGTTGCGGGCGAGTAGGCGGACTTCCTTCGTCTGTGCCGCTAGCTTCGGGTGTGAATTGAGGATCGGAGGGCTCGAATGAGCTCGTAGACGGCGTATATCCAGCATCGGACGAGGTGGAATCGGCGGAGATGCCGGGATGAGTGGTCTGGGGAGGCTCAAGACGGGAGGCGGCCATCATGGACAACGTGGAAACAATCTCCGCATAGGGTGATGTTCATCGCTAAGGAGCGACTACCGGTAAAGAAACCATAGATATAGAATATGTCCAAATCTAACGATGACAATAGCGAGAAAGGTATAAGCAAAAAAACCGTCTCCCCCTCGCGAAAGGGTAGGAACTGCGAGGATACTAGAGTAACTAGACCGTCGGGTGGAGCATCACGTGTCCGCCGCTAACGTTTTGAGTGGGCGAATCTAGTTAGGTTCATCGTTAATCTACTTCTTATCGCAACCCTTGTCCGAAACATTCTTGGTCCTACAGTAGGGTGACAAAAGTTCGCAGATAGCAGCACAAAAGTGGATTGGGTATAGGAGCTATACCTCAAGAATTCTCGCTGCGGGTACAGCTATTATGGGGTTGGGTTTTGTTTGGGTTGCTATTATGAGGGATCTGAATGTCAAGAAGACGTCGCTAACCAAGTGTAATGTGTTTTAATAGGAGGGCCGGCTCTTTATCGATATTGATGAAGAACTGGTCTTCATTGTTTCAGATGAAGGTGGTTTATTGCAATTCCAATCTATTTTAAGATAGATCGTTTTCATGCGTTGAATTTGAGTTGAGATATTGTTTCTGTCCTTATCAATTACATGTATCTTTTTAACCTTCTGAGGCTCTGTCATTACCCAGCCAGCCCATGAGATCGATTAAGAGCCCAAATTCGAGTAATATTAGATCATGCACGTCAGGATCATAATCTCTACACTCAAATCCCTCTCTTCAATACCATCTCCACCAACCCGTTCATCCTCTATATGCCTGTCTGGAGGCTTGAAAATACTTCGTCAATCGCAAGCATCACCACTCACGGCGTCCACGTTTATGTCGATATCTCTCCCTGCTATAACCGCCACGTTGGCCTTTGTAGTACGGTGAAGGACTGCGGTGGTGCATTGGACGTCTCATGGGTCTTTCTCCTCTCGAGGAATCCTTTCGAATCTCGAATCGCCTCTTCTTGCCTCCCAAAAACTCAACAGACTTAGTATTTGCATAGTCGCTTACCGTTTCCAGTTCTCGAATCAGAACCTCAGGGGTCAATCGGTGCATGTTGATGTAATTCAGAGCGTTTTCCGCACTGTCGCGTAGATACTTGGCTGCAGAAGCGTTCTCCTGGTAATCGCTAGATTTGAGTTTGTAGAATTCATACTTTGCTTCAAAGTACACCTCTATCAATCGATATATGTGCTCATTGATGACGGGGTTTCCGGTGTTGGGGATTTCGTAGCTCTCTATGTATGAGTCACTGAATGGGCCGGAGTTTTGCGGTGAAGAGTCTATAGCGGTCACAGCTTCGGTTTTGACGGCCACGATTTCGGCTGCGGTGAGTGCGTTGGTGCGAGGTTGAGAGACTATATGGTAAGCTCTTGATTCAGTGGGGTGTTACGAAGAATATTTAGCTGAAGACAGAAATTGTACACGGACATTTTGCAAGTATACCCTTCGTCCAGGTATGCTTAGCGATAATCTCTTCAACTGCTGGTTCAGGAGCGTTCGGGTCGATTCCCATGAATTCTCGAATGTAGAGCTCTTGACCGCTAACGCTGTCGATATACTGTCCATTTCGACAGAGGGCAAGCAAACACTTGTCATAGACAGTAACATGGCCGTCATCAAATGCCTGAGAGCGGCTCATGATAATGCTGATCTGCCGCTCAATGATTTCACAGAAGAGGCCGTAGAAATCCGCATCGCGCTTGATGTGGTGGAGTGCGGCGCTTGGGTGTTGTATCAATTCGTATTTACTGACCAATTCGTGGACCTCATCAATGGGGTTGTAATGTTTCGCATATAGCGAGGTTTTATCGTGACCTGTCATTCTTCTGTTGGGCGATATCAACAGTGCGACGAGAACAGCGGGGTTGGGTTAAATTGCTTCACTGGCTACGTGATAGATGTTTATTTCTGTTGGCGCGTGCGAAATTATGCGTAATCCAAAGATTGAGACGCACAGCTGTGGGATGAGTCGGACGTCGGGTCACAGGTGAGTAACATTCATCTGAAGTCGACCGAGAAGAGTAGTGTGCGAAAGCATCTTTAGTCTTAAAGAGTGATGGTTTAAGATATGGAAATGAGATGGCAAAAGATTTATCCCGAGAGTAACAGGATAAAGAACAGAGGAAGGCAAGACTGCAGTCGTGATGTAGTGAGTGTGTGCACTAGCCCACCAAGGGCCGTTTGCACAGCTTAAACCCCTTTGCTGAAAATAAAGATGACGACACTCAAATTACGATTCATTAGCAAATCTAATAAGGATAGCTGACTTCAATCATGCTGCATTTAATAAATCCTATGTTCATATTAAGTGCGCATAAGGTATGAGAGATATATAAGTACGTAAATTCATTCAGTAAATGGCGAGTCTGCGCAAGAAAAAGAACGAGGGGGTATCAAGAGGTATCAAGTTCGAGTGCTGCCACGATAATGCAGCTAAAAGTAGCCTGCGAAGGAAACAAACGATGATATATCGAATTGACTAAGGTAGTAGTGGGAGAAGAGAGAAAAGAAAACCATGCTATTGGTTCCTTTGCGCCCATAGTCTTTCGACCTCTCCAACCAAGGCGGACACATCGCCACTTCCACCGGGACAATCAGCCCACTCCCCATTGTCCCGGATACACCAAACCTTCTCGTCCAGCCTCACGGTACAGCTCTTTGTAACGCCTAGGTCTGCGCTGTGCTGAACGCTCTTTCGCAACAAAGCAATGCCGGTTGGGTCGTCTGGTGTTGGGTCTTCAGGGTCGTTCAAACCGTCATCCTGACGACTGGCACACTCGTTCAAGGCATCAAAGTCAATTCCATGCTCCAGCGCACAGCTCTCCACTAGAGATCGTGATGGAATTTGTTCGTAGTCTCCGATCAAGCAGTTGGCAAACCCGAGAGAGCGGATCACTGGGGTACGCGAGGTGGATGAGCCGTGCGAGTTGGGTGGGAATGGGAGATTGGCCGCGCAAAGGATGATCATGTTGCCGATGCATTCAGTTGGGCCATGTTTGCACTCGACGTCGGATGTCTGCTTGGAGATACTGCCAAGGAGGATTAGCATCGATGGGGTGTTATAAGAAATACATAGTAGCATACCTTCCTATAAACGATAAATCAAAGTCGACCTTGTCGCTGATTCTTTCCATGGCCGGCACAACAAGTTGCTGCAGACAGTCTTGGGCATCGGGACACTTGCTCATGATATGCGCCTCCAAAGGGATCTTGACGGTGCCACTTGTCAGCTCCTCCTGCTTATTCGAAAAGGACCTCGCAATAGATGCAGCGTATAAGCGATTCAGATACAGGAAATAGAACATCCAGCACGCGATGATAATGGCCAGGCCCCGGCGCAGGTTACGGGTCGCGGCGCGCTCCCGCCATGTCGTGTAGGAGGAGTCTTGGGTTGAGCCCGCATGGGGAGCAAAGCGATCCTCCCGCTCGAGCTCCTTGTATACTTCGTAGGCGGTGGGTGGCATTCTGTAGCCTATCAATGTCCAAATATAATATGTACCAAGCCAATAATCGAGAGTGACGTTGGACTGGAGGATATTAATAATGATGCTGCCGCTAGCCCGGTATAGTTAGGAACACAGGGAGTGGCACGTGCGCTGCTTGGCATGTGATCTCCTTGTTCTCGTCATCCTTTGTCATTTCTCCCTGCCTGAATCGTGAGGTGTCCACCCGATCTCCTGGTTCCTGTATGCATTAACTATCCTATATCCATCTGGGCGTGTTCGTGTACGGCATTTTAAGCAACACATCACTTGCACCAATCATATATTAATGTTTCCTACAATACTGGCAGAAGATGTCGGAACTGAGTGTAAAGTGAAATACCACTACGTCTGTATAGAGAATTCTAATTTCTAAATAATAATCTGTTACGTAGAGTGACCCCTGTATCCTAACATGCAGCCACTGAATTTTAGTATACACCCAACTTCCAGACACCGGCGAACTGTTGCCCAGTTAGGCCACGGCGCAGTGGCTTGCGTTTCGGCTTGCGGCAGTCCCTGATCGAGACACTAGGTGATTGGTAATTGGTGTTAATTTTTATGGGCCACCAAAGGGAAGGGGAGTCCTGGTATGAAACAGTGAGGAATATCCTATGCTCATTAATGCTTAATTGTATGGCATATACATGCAGGATATACTCTTTGGCCACTTAACACGGGAATTCCATCGGCTTTCCATAGAGGAAAAGCTACATATCACCTAAGGTCGTAGGCTCAGTACTAATAGGGTGACACCGAGTTTTGAAATGTGGAATCAGTAGTTGCATTATTAAATTAGTTTGTCCCTATTTCAAATGTTCTTATGTTCCTATCCCCGCCAGACATAGAAATCTCCTGTCTGCTTTCTTCCTCGTCCCGCATGATATTCGCCATATGACCGGGATATTGGAGTGTGTTTATATGAAGGTTGGACTGACGCGATATTCTTCCTGCGATTAGCTGCTCTATATGCACTGACATGAGACCGAGAGTCGACGCCATCCTGGTGTTGGGTGCACGGCTCTACAGCGATCACTAGGCTAATGATGCGAAATGATGCGACAATATTACGAAAATGCTGCACGGATTATTTAGTGTCGCGGAAATTTAGTGTTTAGCGCCAACTTCAAATGTTCTGTGCCGAAATGCATCCAGTAAACGCAAGTTCCCAGGACAGGAGCGTTACCGTGTTAGGAGTTTTTTGCCCAATCGGGACTGAGGAGACATGGCGCGATATGGTCACAAATACTAGTATAATACTAGGACGGTACTAGGACAGTAAGAAATCAAGAATATGCCAGGGACCGGTGACCGAGCACGCTGACCTGGGGAGTGTTATCAGCAGGCTTCCCCATCTTAAGGGTTAGGTGTGTCGCTCCTCCGCACCTCGCATCCTTTGCAGTCCCTGATGATCTTGGCGGCACGCAATGACCAGTCGACTCTGCTCGTCTTTGTTATATTCTCTTTTTTTCCTTTGTGTCTTCTCTTGCAATGTTCTCCTAGTGAGGTTACAATGAGCCGTGTTAGCTTTCTTTACTCTTATCATGCCGACGCCCCTAATTTAGTTAGGCGCCGAGTGGCGCTCACGATGGCTAATTACATCTCAAACGGCCTAACCATAGAGATTTGGATGTTCACATCTTGAATATTGTTCTCCCGCCATAGTGCGGGAACTTCGGCCGCTGCTTTCCACTTCGACCTGTCCAGACCCAGAGACTTGCTACATCAAAGGAAAATATACCCCATAATCATCTGCCGTGTGCCTGATTGGCTTCGGTTCGTCCAACGGGCATGATGTTAGGGCTATTACGAATCATCACTATTTCCTTGTCGGATGACCGCCTCAGGAGCCAGGACTCTGGCTCATCGCGGTGCCACGATGGGCCTTAAGAATTCAACACTGTGGCTGATTTAATCTTCCTTCGTCGACCTGATGGGTAGTATCGTCGTGCTCCGTCACAATCTTTGAGGAGCCCATGATAACATCATCTGCCACATTCGGCTTGGGCCCTCTATTCAGCGTCTCCGCGACCTCTATATAAACTGCTACCACCATTGTCGGTCTCCACCGGAATTTCCTTGACGATCATTCCCTTCAAGTAGAAGTTTCAGAAGTTTTCTTGCTCTAACCGGAGATCCCCTGGGGTTCTGTACATACTCTCCTTAACGCAAGACTTATTTTTTGAATCTTCAATCTTCTTCTTCTTTCCTTTAACAACATCAATCATCAAAAATGAACAGCCACATTGCTTCGTTTCTCCTCGCCCTCGCCCCTCTGGCCTCGGCCTGGGCTCCTCCTTCGTACTCAGGATACACGCTACAATGGAGTGACCAATTTGCCGGCTCAGCAGGGGCATCACCCAACTCCAACAACTGGAACATTATCGTCGGCAAATCAACAGTGAATAACGAGCTAGAGACATACACCAGTTCCAGCACAAACGTCCAGCTAAGCGGCGGCAACACTCTCCAGTTAGTGCCTTGGGCCGACGGCTCCGTATCCGGTGGATGGACTTCAGGCCGTATCGAGAGCAAATACGTCTTCACGCCAGCTTCCGGCGCAATCACTCTCGCCGAGGCTGATATCCGATTCGGCACCAATGCTATTTCCCAGAAACAGGGAATCTGGCCTGCATTCTGGATCCTAGGCAACTCGATCCATACTGGAACCTCATGGCCGGAGTGCGGTGAGCTCGACATTCTCGAAACCATCGATGGTCAGTTGACGGGCTATGGCACTTCCCATTGCGACGTCAATCCCGGCGGCATCTGCAATGAGCCCAACGGTCTAGGCGCGAGTGTCACCATCCCGGACCAGTCGTGGCATACGTGGCGCATGACCTGGGACCGGACCGCTTCTTCCTGGCAGTCTGAAACGATTAGCTGGTACATGGATGGCAAGCTGTTCCACCAGATCAGTGGCTCGACGATTGGTGACGCAAATGTCTGGGCTTCGCTATGCCATGATCCGCTGTATTTCATCCTCAACGTCGCTGTTGGGGGGAGCTGGGTATGTTGACAGTTTCCTTTGTGCATTTCCATTACAGGATGAGTGTCTTTATTGGATGAGTGCTGACGTGAAATATTTTATAGCCTGGCGACCCTAACTCAAGCACCGTCGGCGGCTATGGCAGCATGATGGAGGTTGGTTATGTAGCCGTCTACGTTTCTTGAACGTATTGTCAGCTAGTATGGCCTTTTTGTCTGCACTACCATTCGATTCTCTTGTTTATATTTTGAATTACTCTGTACATACCTGATTCTTTATGCCACTCGTTTTGTCCTTGCTGGATGGGGTACATACACTCGCTTTATCATGGTCCTTTGAGCCTGCCGGCACTGGTGATTGAGGAACGTCATCCAATACCTGTCGTTGCACACCAACCATACATATCATCGGCCGTCATCGCGAGGTTCGCCACGTTAGAGAGGATGAGGAATGTTATTTGTTTTAGCATGGCTTTCAAGACGTAGGCTAGCAAATTTGTTATATCTTACGTTGTAAGACATATTTTAAACCAAATAACACTTCTGCTTTCCTTGTTATTTCCTGCATTGACGAGGTGGAATACTTACACACCGACGAGACGTCCAAATAAGCCTTGTACCTTTTCATACCGTGAAACCCTCGTCGTGACAGTACCTTGGTAGTGTTACACGTGCCCAATGCACAACAGAGATTGCTAGAGATATTATAGTCTTCGGTTTTAGCCGGCTAAACCTCTCTATGTAGGCATTACACGATGCTAAATCGTTCTTTGGAGTGGCTCTGTTTTCTACATATACATGTACTAAAACGCGAATTACTTTTTAAAATGTTAAATTGTACATTCATCTTCCCATTATAAAGGTGATATCACAAAACTCATCAGACGGAGCCCTATTCATTCGAGAAACTTCCAATGTATTTCTTTTACTGGTTCAGTGAAAGCTGCAAGATTTCCTAATGTGCGAGTTGATATCTTTATCCTTGCTCTATAGCTTTCCGAATCCGTGACGTCGTATCCTCATTAAGAAGTGTCAGATAACGCTGTACATGTATTCAGTCAGCTCAGCTCAATTTTCGCACATATTCCCACACTCACGACAGCCAAACCATCTCCTTTCCCGTAGACGCCCTAACAATTCATATTTGCCGGTATGTGCTGGAGCTGTGCTAATCCTGGCATGCCGATTATATTAACTTGGTTTGCCTATGAGCTATAGAATGGAGTACGCAACTGGAGAGTAGCATTTCTTGTAACTAACTAGGCACCCTACCTACCTATGTACATCAAGATTCTATCCTGGGCGCGCCATGTTTGGTTGTCTGGCAGGTTCAGAGTCGAAGCCGATTCTACAGCTTAGCCACACCAATTCCTGCGTGGATTTCTAACATGTGGCGTAGTTTACAATGAATATTTTAGTATATAATAATATATTTAAAAGAAATCATTATTTAGATACTAAAGTTTATTATAAATTATAAAAAAAAAGTTTAATAAACAACAAACTCAGTCACGAATTCCGCTATCCGCTTTATTGGCCAATTTCATGATAATATCCTCACGCTTCGTTCAGAATGCCTGATGTGCTCCGTCCTGAAAGGTGAAAACCCAGTTACTCTATCTGGTACTTCAGGCATATTTGCGCGAGATCTACCAGCGCTATCCATTGTCCTCCACCGGTTATACACCAGAGTCAATCTGATCGACAAACGACGTACTGCTAAAACGGTCCCAATCTCGACACGTCTGCGCCATGACCATAGGAATTTGCGTATCTTTTTCTATCAGTTCCGGTTGCTCCTAGAAAATAGTACAGTTAGTCAATAAACAAGTGTTTCAATGGGCGGTTCCTACGCACCATGGCTAAGAACACCATTCCCGTGCTAGAGTGGATAGACATATGACAATGGAACGGCCAAACTCCCGGATTATCTTGCGTCCATTCGAGAACCACGTATGATGGCTGTTCAGGTGTTCCCGGCTGCAAATTATGTGTGTCACGACGCAGGGGGTTAGACGGGTTCGTGATTTTGCCATCCCACGTCCCTAATCCCTCTGCCAGTACCCAGAAGTTATGACCGTGTAAGTGCATAGGATGCGGGTTGGAATAAGTGTTATTCAGAATTAACCGCACACTAGAGTTACTACCAAAGTTATAGACATTTCCTTCTGTAGGGAATGAGAAATTTCCGGCTTTGACATCGAGCAGTATAGGGTTGTTGTAATCTGCGCGGAAGGATGAATTGTTCATGAACAGGAGTATAAATCCAGTGGCGTTGTAGCCAACAGTTACGGTAACAGTCTGAACGGTCGCGGGCTGAGGAGGTCTTAATGGGTAATAAGGGACTGTCTGGTTCAGCGGGTCATTGAGACAGTTATTGCTTTCCCATGTGGTGCCTGTAGTGCGGGGAGTAGAAGTAGTGTCCGCCGATTCATAGTAGATAGCTGCAAGTGCAGTACGAACATTGGCCGTCGTCTCGATACAACCCAAGTCTATATCGGATCGCATCCATACGGCATCAGTGGGAAAGCCTGTGGCATTGACGATGATATCTGTTCGTTGACCAGGACCCAGGGTGACCACTTTTGTTTTGTATGGCTTGACCGGAATATAATCGTTTGCAATGACTGTCACTTCATGATTATCGATGCTGAACTTCTGGTTTAGAAGTGATCCACTGTTTATAAGTCGCAGTCGATGAAGCTTTCCTGAATGAAATTTAAATTTAGCAGGTCCTACTCCATCATGAGAGTCACTATCCGTTTTGGGGGGATTGTAGTTATAACTGGCTTTGCCGTTGATCAAATTGTTGTCGACATTCAATGGCTGCGGTGGCTTCCCCAATGTCAACTCCATTGCCTTGTAGTAGCTCATATGAAAGTAGTCGGAGATCATGACTGGCCCCAAATCATATTCGTAACTAATTTCCGGCTGGAGCGGGCCATAGATGACCATTGGACCGTAGAGCCCGTCATCATATTGGGCACTGTAATGCGAATGGTACCAACCAGTGCCATACTGATCTGCTTGGAAGGTATATTTAAATCTACCGCCACGGGGGGCGATAGGGCATTGGGAGACACCAGGAACGCCATCATACCATGGGGTCTTTCTCTGGGTCACACCATGCCAGTGCAATGTGATACCTTCGTCTGGACTATCAATATTGTTGACTACAGTCACCTCAATCATGTCTCCCCAATTGGCTTCAATCACCGGACCAGGAAACTGGTCATTGATCAAGATTACACTCTTGTTGAAGCCGTCGGGGGACTTGAATTCACGCGTGACGACGAAATTGTAGTGGCGCGTCGCTCCTGTGAGAGGCGCGTCTCCAGAGGGATCTGCCTTGCCCCAAGGTATTCCATCTTCCAAAGGCTGCGAAGTGAATGCATTAACGGGCTTGTTAAAAAGAGAATGGCTACTAAAGCGCAATACATACCCCATCTATGAGATATTTGGGGAAGTCTGGGGATGGCAAAGTGCCCCATGTAGAATGATCTGTAGAGTTTCCGGAGTTGATTAGACAATTATAAACCGTGGAAGTACTGGCAGCGTACCGTTGGTGGCGTACTGCGACAGACTCACTGCAGTGGCTACGGTCAGCGCAATGAATTGCAGCAGGCGAGCCATGGGAATTTTTGAATATAGGCGGAGTTACATGAGAGATAAGCCGCCTTGGTTTTATATCCCCCTGGTTTATATCCGTGAAGGACCAAATGAATGTCTGGTCTTCTGCTGCGAGATTGACCATCCCTAGCAGCCCTGAAATTGAGACTGTACAGTGGACTATCGATTGTGCTTTGAACGAGTCTATACGATCACACTTGGTTAATAAAATCCCGCAATATTTCCCGCACCACATCCGCATGCAATCCGCACAACTCCGCACCAGTGCCCGCTCCTGCGCAACCTGTCCGCGTTTGCAATCATTCAATCATATAGCCCCTTCCAAATCATCCTTCCACCTAGAAGCAAACCATGTATAACGCAAACCGTAGCAGTGATCGACTCGAATCGACTGCGAGTATGGGCACCGATCGCCACACGCCGATTGCTAGGAAAAGCTTGCAATGCAGTGCCTAGAAAAAGAGATGCGACAGGGCAATTACTTAATGTGGCCCTTGAAAGGTAGCTAGAGCGAACCCTGTTCGCTCGTAGTAGGCTCGGCAAAACGTGCATGTATGACCTTCCCAGGGCGATGTCCTCGACTCGAGATGTTGCCAATTCTCCAACTCCTGAAATGAGCACCGGAACCGTTCAATCAGATCAGAGTTCTTTATCGACGACAACACTCAATTTGCTCCTCCACACCGATTCCAGCGCGATGAAATGGCATCGGAACATATTCGTAAGAAGCTGGATAAGTTCTGGAAGCAGACGGATGCACGACCAGGATATCGCTCGGTAGAATTCTCCGACATGGTCCCATACCGGCGCCGCAAGGGTAGACGTAATGTGCCTATTGAGACAATAATTCAGAAACTCCAAGACGAGGTCAACGGCAATGCCTCCAGAGAGTCGAGTTCAACCCCCTTGCCGCTGAGCAAGGCAGAGATGTTGCTTCGCTCAGGGGTGTGTTCACGCCAATCCATCACAAGGACGCTATCATCCAACAACATGGAACCCTCACCCCGGAAAATACCCTCGCAGTCTACTGCCGAGAAATCCGCTATTACTAGTACAATTCAGCCCTTCATACTGGGTAGACAATGCATTGATTTTAACATCCTTCCACCATTTGCCACGTTCATGCTATATCAAGCGGCAGCAATGCTAATGAAGGGGGTTATTAATGGATAGTGATTCGTACGAGGGACTGAGAAAAGTGAGAACATTAAGGAATTTCCTGGAGATTATGGGAGTACGAATGTCCGGCGATAATGGATGTACGTGTCCGTAATTAACAATGCACGGGAAGGTAACATCCGATCTCCTTATTTGTTCGATAAAAATGGGGCTTTTCCAACCCAATTTTTGGCCTCCAATTCTTCCAAGCACCATTGTGCGAGGCTTTGCCTGCTTAATTTCGACTTTGCACGCCCGTCCCCAACGTAGCCAGCATAGACAGGCATAGCACTGTGATTTGTCAACATTGGTATCCTAATTACTGTCCACTCCAATTGCTCCAAAGACTGGCTAATCGTGTGCGTTGCCAACCCGATGACCTGGAGTTGCTGATCGCGAGCTAAATACCATAACGCCCTAACTCCAAACCAGAAGAATAAATTCGTCTCATTTCTCAGTTAGCTCATGAGCAACGACATGGTGCTTTCACTAAACTCACTTTATCTTTTGGGTCAGAATACGAGGGCGTTGAAAGAACTATGACTCGTTTTACATTTTGAGCAATCAAAATGGGATATAGAGTCTTGATTCCATCAAGTAGCGGCTGGGAAAGTGTCAGAAAGCATGTAGAATGCTGTTAGTTAAGATTGGCGTACCGTTCCCTTGGTGGACATGTCACCACCAACAAGTAGTACTACCGAGTCCACACCAGTTTTGACAGCCTCAAGGAGCTTGCTTTGATCAGAAAGTTCGCCGGTAATCACGGTGACATTCTTATGAGAAGCTATGTCGGGATCTACTTTGCCGGGATTTCGTACGTAGATGGTGAGTTTGTAGTTCTTCCGCAAGGCAAATTTCGCAAAAAGTGACCCAGCAGCCCCTAATATTAAGTTATCAGCTAGCGATATTGGCGCTATAGATCTTGTAGCTAACCTGTGGCCCCAAACAAAAGTATATGCGAATACATTTAAGGATGTGGTGAGTGTACGAATATTCGATACTTTTGAGGTAAGGAATCGATATCCAAAATGGAGAGGGTCCATTTTACATAAATACTAATCACTGCTCGTCTCAATTCGCCCGATGTACCACTAGGATACACGGCAGAAGGATGAAGTTTAAGCGAGCCCCTTTGTCAAGCCACTAAGTTTTGAGGGATACGGGGTGCGGGTGCGGGCGGGTGCGGACATCTCCTCTAGCCGGTGGTTGGTAAGGTGGACTATAGGGAAGATCATTCATTAGAGACGCAACTGGGTTATGGCTAGGAAATCTACTGTGTGATAAAGGAATAAGAACAATTAGCAGGACGAGAATTGCTCTTCTTTGTTGTTAAGAGAATCTTTCCACCTCTGACTAAACCGGGAAAATATTACAAACATTAGGGCTATAATATCATTTTATCACATCTTATATATACTTAATACATAAACTACTTTTATTGACATACTGTACGGATACATGTATACCTTATATATTCCAGTCTTCGTACCAAAATATATTTTGATAGATTTGAGAGTAGGTGGATAAGGATTTATACGTACAATTGAACACGGACTGACCTTATTTTCCGTAACAGAAATAGTAGAAAAAATAAAAATATATGGAGCTTACGTATGCCTTAGAGGAGCCAAGTTCTCCGTTAAAACTAGTACCAGAGATGTAAATAATAATTATTCACATGCAATAGAGCAATTCCTGCATAGCCATGGATAATAATTGACTGGAACGGTGAGTAAGAAGATACGAATACGAATCCGAATTTGAGTTCAAGAGCAAGAGCTCTCTGCAACAGTTCTGTAAGTGTAACCTTTAGTTCACAAGACGGACATTGGAGCAGCATAGTGGTGGATAGAAAACTGGACACTATAAACTCAGTCAGTATTGAGTGTCTAGGGAAATCATCGACAGTCCACTTGAGGACTGTCACCCGTTCAACCATGTTGACGATAATCCATCGCGAAAACCACCCATTCACAATTGGAACATAGATTCCATCGGAAATGTTGTAGAGTGCAAACACGGAAATCGGTTGTGTGAATTTGTCCGCTGCTATCAGGTGTGTGCCGAAGAGGGGAAGTAATTCGTTGTTAATCTTTTCGACCTATGAAGAAATTTCGTCACATTTCCGAACGGCTCTAACCCCTTCTTTTGTCTGGCCATAGAATAGACCGTTCATTTTGAGTTCTTTTTTCCGGTTAGGTTTTCGCCCCATTGCGTCCAGTGCTGAGGTAGAAACTCATAATATGGATCGGTGCTTGCGATCTCTGCTGTACTGCCAAAAGATAACGACTAATATAGTGACAGTCAGCAATCAATCTGAGCACGGATCCAATTACTGGGCTAGTCCAGAACGGTAGACCTTTGTGTCCGCTTGTAGCGAAAAGAGTTGGGATAGCACTCAAGCTAGAGGTGTTAGGTATATTTGGTGAAGTTTGAAGCTTCTAGGGATAGTATGTTGGGATTGCTTTTGTATAATTTGTTAAAAAGATACGGAATAATTCCTCATTGGATAGTGGCTACAGCGAGGTGCTTCTATTCTCACTAAGTTCAAGGTAAGTATAGGCATAATGAAGAACAATATACGGCGCGCTGATCTCATTTTATACTAATTCTCTCGTTAATTCTATTTGGAATTTGATAAGTATCCGACACTTGGAGGCTGTAGGAACTTGAAAAGTAAGAGTATTTAGATTCAAGACTTCAATACTTTTATTTAGATAAATTGATGGATCGCTGTTAAAAATACCTCCTATAATGAGCATTTGGTCTGGGTATACTGCGAAGCATTTATGTGCACTTCGACCGTGGCCAATCTGACCACTGTAGGCATATGGTCTAGACAAAATGTGGCACAGATAAAACATATACATCATTGGAAGGTGTGTTTTACGCAGAAATTCCATTAAATCCGCCATATATGTATATATTAAAAGAAGAATAGGCGGCGGCAATTGCTACAACAGAACGAAGTAGTATTAATTGGGGCGGAATATCTCTAGTTATATTTTGCTAACACCACTGCTTACTTTCAACATCATATATAGAAACAATCTCCAGAAATATAGAGCTAATTCTTTCCCATACCCAGAATTAATAAGTGTCAGAAGGAGATAATACAGATTTACACTGCTAACAGCCTAAAAACCATTTAGAGACTAATTTCTAGTAAGAAATACTAGATTTATAACCCCACCAATTGTAACCAGAACTCTCTGTTCTCTTACTACAAGCTAGACGGGTTTTATATTTGCTTGAGCTGGAATGCTTGCTAGTAGAGTATCATTAGGGTTAGGTTAACTGTTGTCCTTCAACAGACATGTTAACAGTAATCAGCTCGTTGTCATTAGTAAACATAGTGCTGTCAATATAATTAGGTGCAATAATCATAGTTGGAAGTCCTCCGGTTTCAGATAACAGTTGAAATAAGGTCGTGAGATTGGTTGACCGATTAAATGGCTGACCTAGGTTAAAGATATAGGTCGAACCATTCACAGTGTCTAAAGAAAAGAAGAGTGTTAGCAATTATTCTAGCAGCATTGCAGCAGCTAGCAGTGCATTAGCAATAGCTGTTCTATGCATAATTGATATGGCATTAATGTGGTGTACATACCCTCGCTTATGGTGTAGGGATGATGTCCGATTGTAAAGAGTAACATATTTGTCACCTGTTCTCTATCTGAGGACGAAACTCACTTATTGTCCCACCAAAGACTCCCCCCATCTATATAGATGGTATCCCGAATTATACTTGCTGTATGATGTCCTCAACGCCTATGCCATTGTTCCGATGGAGGCTAGTTCACCTCGAGCCTCACTCCAGTCACGTATACCAATTTCTAATTCATTCCCTCGTACTCTTTCCACCACTGTAAAGGTTGTTGCGAATCCGAACAAAAATAGCAGCATTATTGCGTGAGTCCTTCAAACAAAGAGGTAAAGAATGTATTGTTATTCTAATGTCATGTAGTAATATTTTCAATTTATCGTCATGTAATCACCTCAAATCGGGAAGAAAAATAAACATATGTTGCAGTTAAGCCAGGGGTTGAATACTCCAGGTTGAACAAAATCAACCTTGACTGCCCACTGTTACTTCCTACATAACCCATGAATGGGAGACATCATGACAGGGAAGGCCGACGAATCATTATTCGAGATCAACGCCGGCTGAATTCACTTAGTCAGTAATAAGACCTGGCGATGTGGGCGAGCCATGAATGACCTACATATGCCTGGTACGGACCTTATTATATAGGCGGGGCAATTTCAACGACTACATTTCTTTTGCTCCGGTATTGGCCGTCGCTCACCGTTACGATAGCTGCATTGTGTCCAGCCGAAGTCTACGAATGGACTTCCTAAATAAGATCACAATTCTTGGGCTAGCGACAGCCTATAGTTATTGATTCGACGATCTCAACGAAGCAACACACCCTAGTTGACGGGCTCGAGTAAATATGATTTGATGATAACAGCTGTAGACTACAGCAGCTCACTTCAGCCGCTACGAATTGTGTATGTTATCGAAAAAGTTCTGTATAGTCTTGAACATAGATTGAATGGCCTGTCTCAGTGCTTCAGAAATTCAAACCTAGACGCTCCCGTTGGTTCACTCCCAAGGGCAAATCCTGGTTTGATGCTTCCAGTCGAGTACGTGATCTGGGTGGGCAGGTACCTCGTCCGACCCCCTGAACTGTCAACTTCCTTGAGTAGCACCTTTTCACGGAAAGAATCGGCGGCTGGACTTGGTATGTGTGCGACTTGATCTACCTCAAACATTCCCAAAGATTGCACCCACATTGCCACACGGCTCAGGTTGATGTGGACGCGATAGCTGCCGCCTTGCGTTGCGCGGCGACGTAGGGCCTCCACAATGCCGGCGGTTCCCAATATAGCCGCTAGATAGTCATTCAAAAGATATGTGGGTGGGAGAGAAGGTCGACCATCCGATCGAAGTAGGCCTTCTTCATGCGCGAACCCCGTTGCTGAACAGGCGAGTTGGTCGAAACCACCTCGTTGTTGCCAAGGACCTTCCTTACCCCATGCGTGAAAGTCGCAATAGATCAAGCCTGGGCGTGCTTTGATGAGCTCGGCAGGGCCAAAGCCTCTCTTGTCCAACGAGAGGTAACTCGAGACGTAGACGTCAGCATCGCGAAGGACCTCCCAGAACTTGACACGATCGGCCTCATCGTTGAGATCACAAAATGCAGATCGCTTGCCGAGTGCCGTCTCAGTAACCATGGTCCGCGGGTCCATATGGTCTGGTGAACTTATGAAAAGAGTTTCTGCACCGTGTTCGCAGCAAATCCGTCCAGCCATTGGGCCTGCAATGACATGAGTGTTGTCCAAAACACGTACTCCCTCAAGAGGCTTTCCCTTGGAGGAGTCGAAGATAGGCGCCAGAGGCTCGGGAAAACTTTCTCCAAGCTTTTGTATCTCGATGACTGGAGTACCCTCGATCAATGGGCATTGTGGTGATTTGCGCCACTCTTCGCGAGTCCTAACCGCGATGCATGTTCCCCCCAGAGAGCCAATGCGCTCTTCGAGTTCGAAGGCATCCCACTGGGCGATAGCCGTAGCGAAGCTGTCAGTTTCAAACGGGCAATTGAGCACTCTCAGGTTAATATCCCGTAAATGAGGATAGCTGTTGAGGAGGAAAACATATCTGCCGCCCTTGGCTCTGTAGAAGTTGCTGGTACTAAGCAATTTGGGATCTTCTAATAGCCGCCGAATAGGAACACCGTTCAGAGTCGTCATAAAGATGGCCATCAGCTGAGGAATCGCCATGGCAACAGAAGTCTCTATCGCTTCCTTCATGCCCGTCCGCTGCTGCCACAATGCAGCCATGGACGTACCCAGCGCTGCCAGTGCCGTGGCAGCAGCATCACCCAAGCGATGCGGACTCGGCACAACAGGATCATTGCCATGAATCTGCACGTCCCAGAATGGCTCAAGGCCTAGTTGGGTGAGCAAGTCCAGGTATATCTCTTGGCTGGTTGGAAACTTGGTAGGTTGAGAAGAACCCATGATAGATGGATGTATTGCCGTGGGAGCGTGTATGATTTCCTATGGCATACAATTGCAAGATCAAATGGTCATATAAATAGGGAAGGGGGAGGGGAGGTCAGAGCATTATGCAGCGCTCGACGTATGCCACGACGTTTGAAGGGCGTGTTCTCTTCCATATCATTATTACCTGATCGAGACATGGGGACCGGGACCCGCGACCTGGCACGGAGAAGTAGGCATTTGGATATTGGCTCCACCATGGTGGCGTCCAGTAAAATCGGCCAGAGGCTCCTGCTCTGTGGGGCTGCTACACGGGGAAGCATAAAATCGCCGCGGGGAATTTCTGGTTTTCTGCCTTAAAACCCGTGGTATTTCTCTGAATTTCATCAAGCACAACTATTGACATGGGTAGGATGAACAATAAACAATTCAACTAGGATGGACCCAGTTTTCTCATGTATGCAACTCCCGAGGCTGGATAGTGTTTGAGAACCGACACTCGGCCAGGCGGTCTGAGCACCTGGCCCCCTGGGTTTTCACACGATCAATTCAACCACCACGTCCATGTGACGAGGTGTCGCATAAAGTGATCTCGGTAGAGATGGCCGACGAGAAACAGCCGAAAGTGAAGTTCGCTCGAGCTTGTACTGCATGTTACCAGAAAAAGGTAGCCCAGGTCTTTTTGCGCTCAGTGTTCAGTTTCTGCTGACAATGGTCCGACCAGATTCGCTGCAATGTGACCTCCAAGATCCCATGTTCAAGTTGCGAATTGCACGGCAGCGCTTGCGTGTACGTCGCATCAATATTGCTTCATAAGCCCATCCAAGTTGACATATACTCAGGCTACGATCTCGAAAACGCAAGCATGGCCGAGTTCTCTACAATACAGCTCAAGTCGAAGGCATCACTGAATCCCCTTTGCCGTCCATGACACCTGAAAGCTCAAGCATAAGGCGAAATAGCGTAGCGAACTCCGGCAGTTCTTTCCATGTTCAAAGTACACAGCATGACCTTGAATCAGATTCGCCAAGTAGTTCGGGATGTTCCCCTGACCAACTTGGAGTAGCCCAAGTCGACTATGAAGACTACTATGGTGCGCCGGTGCTTCAGCAGCAGCAAAACCAAGACCAGGACACACAAAGCCCAGACCCGGGGATCCACCAGGTAAACATGGCGGTACTCCGATTATACAACGCGTTCGACCTTCCCTCCGCAGCATTTCGACACTCCTTGCTGGACAATTTCATGACCCATGTCTACCCACTGATGCCAATCGTTGACATGACAAGTCTCAAGTCAAGGATAGGGTATTCGCCACCAACTGCACTACTGAAAGCAGTCTTCCTTGCTGGAGCTCGGACTACTGATGCGCAACTTCCATTTTCATTCGAGCAATATTACAACGCCATTAAAGCCCTAGTGATGTCTGGCTATGAAAAGGATCCTGTCACCGCAATGGTCGTCGCGTGCCTGTTAGGTTGGTACAATCAATCAAGTGTTTACAGTGTCAATATAGATTCCAGCAGTGCCTGGCTCCGCTTTGCATCGAACATTGCGTATCAGGTAGGTCTGCACAAAGAGCCCAAGACCAAAGTCAATGCGGGCTACAGACGCAGACTATGGTGGACGTTGGTGGTATGTGTCTTCCTATATCCCTGCGTTTTAGGCTGACCTAGCAGGCTCGAGATTGTCTTGTGTCAGCCGGCCAAGGCAGACCACGGATATTTAATCTAGCAGACTGCGACATCAAACCGATCTCGACTGATGATTTCGGAGCCGATGAACAATATTCCAAAGTCTTCGTTGCTTATGTCAAAGTGTGCCTCATCCTAGGCGATCTCTGCGAATCCCATAGACGAAGAGAGATGTCAACACTGCAGCGAGACAACATCAGGAACAGACTCTTCTGGTGGTTGAAGGAGCTTCCGCAAGAGATGCAATACTTCGGGTCCTCCACCCATGCTTCTTTCGATAATCGCTTTGAGAGACAACTCTTTGTCATTTATTTTGCAGCAGTGACAATCCTCTACCGGAGCGACTTGTCGGGGCAGATGGTGCACCCTGTTGCACTGGTCGCATCATCATTTCTGGTTTCTTTGCTAGAAGATTTCCTTGCCAGAGACGAAGTTCAGCGGCTTCCCACAATTTTTACCTTCTATGCCGTTTCCGCGGCCGTGCCTCAACTTGTGGCTACGAGGCACGAGAATCTCAAACCTGTCGCAGAGACCGAGCTGGTGATTATTTCCCAGTTTTTACTGGCACTCTCCAAGAGATGGCCGACCTCTGCGAATGCGCTGAAGCTTTTCGAAACGCTCAGGAATTCAGAACCTGCGATTGAAAAACCTCATGTATGCTTCGGAACATTCTCAAGCCATGAGCAGCTCCTTTTTGACAATTTCGATCTGTCTGCCTGCAGGCACTCGTCCCTGCTAGCAGATCATAGCGCGCATTTATCAAGAACAGTGGAACCGACAAGCTTCACAAGAGATGCCCGTTCTCTCCCTACGCCACACTCTGAAACCGTTCCGAACATATTCTGTGAAACAGACCCAGATCAGGACCTACTGCAGACGGGTTCTCTACCCCTGGAACAGCAAACCATGAGCTTGGACTGGCCTCTGGATAATCTTGGCGATAACACCACAGTTGAGTTTTCTAATGCGATTGGAAGCTGGCTTTTTTCACAGGATGTCTTTAGGAATTATAATTTTGGAGCTGCGCACGGGTTGGATTTATAGCCGGCTTCCTGCATGGTTGGCGATCGTGGGAATGTGTCTCTCCAGCGAAGGATAGAGCAGCCCAAAAGGGGAGCCCTTATGGGGACGTCCACGAGCGACAGCATACAATGTTCTAGGGCCCCATTCTCCACGTGGAGACTTGTAGCCTAGTTGCAACCTCTGCGTCCAGACCAGGTTGCCCTCAGCCTTGATGCTTCCAATGCAAGGACGCGAAGGGATGTCCCTCGGGCGTTGAGATATGACCTGTCCGCAGACCTCATCGGCAATGCGTCCCGGCAGCAAGTCCTTTAGTACGAACATGAGCCAAAAAAAGGGCACAGTCCCTTCAGGGCAGCCCGAACGAAAGAATCCGTTTATCCGTGCCCGCCACTATAGATGGGAAGCACTGGATGGAAGGCCGCCGCAGTTGAGGAAGACAAATTGGACCAGAGGGCCCACCGGAAGGTCATGGGTAAGCCCTCCTCGACTCGGAATGTAAGGAGACCACATGCCCGAGCTGCCTGAAGCTACCTATTCCTGCCCAGAGGAATTGAGTCATTCGCGGTCTCAGGCGACCTCGGGTGTACTATGAAAGCGCCTGGCCCGCGAGAGTGAGAAGGACCGGGCAAATTGCTCTCTTCCCGGAGACCACTCCAGTCGCGACTCCCAGAGGAACCACGTCGATTTCCTAAGATTTACCGGACGCCTGCACTGTTCTGCAATGAGGAATGGCACTCAGTGGGACGGCGCTCAAACACCAGGTCTCCCCGGACCGTCGCACCAAGAATGAGGCCGAACGAAGGCGAACTTTATCGAGTGCATCGCAGGAGTACATAAACTCAAATAAGTGCGCCAACCACCGAGACAGAAACTGAGACAGAAACTGAATTGTGTTCCGTCCACTCGTATCTCTACCTATGAGATGGTGTCAGACCCAGAAGCTTGCCTGCTTGCCACTAATCACCCAAATCTACCTGGAGATACCTGCCGAGCGACAATCTCCAAAGGAGTGCAGAAGGCGGAGGCGTGCTCGAAGAGTCATCCGCAGGTCGAGTACAATGGCGAGCCGCAACACCGACTCTGAGGCAGGTAGTGACACGCCGACAACTGGAAGAGATCTCTCCCGCAAAATCGGTAAGGAGCAGACGCTTTCATCGTCGAGGGACGCTTCGGTGCAGCCCCCGAAGGCATCCCGGGAACGAGAGAGCAGGAAAACCATTGAGCCAAGGGGTGCCAATTGATTGTACGATCGACAACGGGCCAGATAAAGTGCACAGCTTCACAACCTCGGAGTGGGAAGAGATTTGGCAGAGCCGAACTCCAGATACAGAGCTACATCTAAGCAGAGCTCAGATAGATGTGGTTCAGAATTTGACTACGCAACTGAGAGAGATTTCCGCTGCCACCGAATCAAGAGTATGGCTTCGATTGTCGCCAAGCAAGACGGATAAGGACTTTGCTAACAAAGTCCAATCTGCTAAAATTATGGAAATACGGCCATTGGCGATAAGAGCTACCAGATGGAATCTTGCGTCTATATTTTGACCCCCAGAAACATCCATACTGGACGCGAAGTCAGCAAAAACAAGAAAAAAGAAAGCACGGGCCAGAAGCGAGAAACTCTGCACCCAAGACTGTCACCTAATCCTAATGTGGGCAATGACGTTTCAACCATCGGCATGGGCCACGGGAGCCATGATGTATTAGTACCTTCGACTTTCCTCTTGAAGAAATGGGGGGAGAAAAATTCCGCCAAATACCGGCCCGGGTTTCCAAGGTCTGCAGCTCTTGAAGAATGGGGGTGGGGGTGGGCTTGAACGACTTTGAGCTATTCCAGGTGTATATTGAAGAAATATCTCAACCGACAACTGAGCCTCAACGGAAGAATGCTATTATACCATGTATGTGGTGGTGTATGGCTGAAATACGCTAAACCCAGTGAGAGACCGCCGGACACTAAGTCGTGCAATTACTATATTCTGTTGGATTGGCAATGATGGCAATCTTGCCCGATTGGTTTAGACTACACACTATATATATATGGCAGTCCAGAATAATTGTTCATTCTCTCTATCTCTCCTAATTACCCCGCTCAGTTCAGTGCTTTTATGCTTATATGCACGTGACCTTTATTGGGTATTGTGCATCAGCACCGAGTCGACCCTGAGTCGACCCCGATTAGTCCTCTACTAGACTTCGGCTAATCTGACATATTCCTTAGGATATTTAGGCTAAATTCATGTCAAGACGAATACTGGAAGGACAAGGGGCCTTGAACCCTGGGGATTATGCTTAGGATTCTTTATGGGTTGTGTTGATATATTGGATTCCTCGTAATTGATCATTAGTTTGAAAGAGCATATAAACTATAAAGGTAATGTATCAACAAGGGGTAAACAGCCCAACATATAACAAGCAATAGAGCGCAGGACTCTTTACCTACCCCACATGGTTTTACCTGCAAGTTCGAAAGCAGGGTAGATATCATTAATCTTATCTAGACAATCCCACCTAGGGATATCCAAAATGGCCACTTTTGGTCATCGTGGCCCCTAAAATTTCATTTGGCGCTACGTACGAGCCGATTTTTCGTGAGTTAGTTTTGCGCAAGCCAATTCCGTACACGAGTTAACTCTGTGCCACTCGTTTGAGTCACTGGGAAAATATGAGCTATTGCTATGAGAGCAACAAAACTATGGCCTTAGATAGTAGATAGTACTGGCACAATTTGATGCAATCTATCATTCAAGTCAGTCCGCTGTTACAATATTCACAAATATCCTGATTGCAGTCTAGTCCTTAACATTGGGTTCTTTAATTTCAGCTTGGTGACGGTTCAGCCTGGGACTACAGTGCCTGAGACAGGAGGTCAGGTGACCGCTTGCTTGCCGACAAATAGCTATAATTCATCTCTGTATTATAATTATCTTCCAATATGATTAGTATTGAACTGTCCTTCTCAAGCTTGACCAAATTCATAAGATAGCATTGTGTTAGAGGTAAATGTAATCAAAATAGGAACACTCTCAATACTGAGAATGTAAAGGATGAACTTAACTATATAATTATAGAGGGAGTGTATAATTAAGAAGGTATATGAATTAGGCATTCTTTAAGGCTAATGTTTGTCTCTGAGTATTTATTTTCGAGAAACCAGTAGTATTTAAATTTTCTCTGCAGATCTTATTAGAATCAGGTCATTACTTAGATCGCACCTGGTAATAAGTTTTCTATTATTATTATATTATTGTATAGCTAACTTAAATAGAGGGCTTTTTATCCAGTCCTTTGTACAACGGTTGAGTATAGATGCGTCCCGGGGGAGGGGGAGGTCTGGATAGACTTGATGGAGGTGAGTTGAAGCTACACCATGTAATGAGGTACGTTTATATATGCCTTATCAAATCCGTCTTGAAGAGTTTGGTCTTGATATGCGTAACTCTTTTTGGGCATATTATATTATATGCCTTTATCTGGTTAGATTGGGCATTAACTAGCAAGGCTGGGACTGAGCCTTATAAGCTTGATTCCTCTCTCCCTCTTAGGAAGGGGAATCAAGCGATATTGTTGGTATTTACTTACCTCTAAATAGCATTTGGCTTGAAACTTGAAACTTTCTAAATCTTTATTATTATAACTGATAGGCGCCTTCCTAGTGGTCCTTCTCTATAGCCTCAGTATTGAATGGTGAAGCTTTAACTCATCCATAACTAGTATTCTCCCGAGAGGATGCTTGTAATTAGGGCTATGGCTGGTGGTTGCCCGGCTCTCGAGGCTGACGGTGGAGTTGTGCCATGCAGATTCTTCAGCGTGAACATGAGAATCAGAGTATGACTTTGGTCTCAGAGTGAGTACGCCTACACTCTGGTCAGACACCTCGATATAAGGAGAATGCTCCGCGAATCCTGCAAGCGAATTGGCTTTCCAATGCTGCTAGGTAGCTTGGCCGGGATTTTGGTATTTTTTGCTCCAAGTCAAAAATCTCCGCGGCGGTTTTTGACTCCCATAGTGTATTTTTCTCTAGCCTCCAGTGCCCCAGATTTGTGGGGTCCGGGGGATTGTGGAGAGGCGACTGTGGAGAGGCGTGGGGAGAGACCGAATGCAATTCACTGGGCACAATGAGTGGTTACTAAGGCCAGATGCCCATTATATATTGAAGACTAGACGTTCTCAGTCACGACGGTTCTTCGTTTCCACTTCCAAATTCTCCAAAGCACACTGTCATCATCGCAGCTATGGAGAAGTCAGAAGTCATGCAGGCTGAAACGCTGACGAACCCCGGGACGGCAGACGAGGCAGGCCTCCAGAAGACGGTTACTGTTGACACAGTCCACGGTGACGAGGCAACGACTGTCCTGGCCAACTACCATGGTGATCCCACTTGGGACGACGACGAAGAAAAGCGTGTCAAAAGGAAGATCGACTACCGATTACTTCCTATCCTTTGCGCAACATATGGTTTGCAAGTACGTCTCCGAGCTTCCAAATAGCCGTCGACCATCGGCGCTGGAGTAACTCATTCTCACTTTGCCAGTACTACGACAAGACAATGCTGTCACAAGCGGTAAGCAGAAAGCCTTCCTAATCGAAATTTTTCTGACACAGGAACGTACAGGCGCTGTTTGGACTTTTCAAAGATCTCGAGCTTGAAACGGGTAATCGATTTTCATTCTGTGCCTCGATCTTCTACTTGGGATTTATCGTCGGCGCATACCCTGCGATCATTCTAGCCCAGCGCTTCCCCATTGAGCGGGTCGCTTCGGGCACCGTCCTTGTTTGGGGGATATGCTTGACTTGCACAGCTGCCTGTCACAATTGGCAGTCCTTTTATGCACAACGGTTTTTTTTAGGACTGTTGGAATCCGGAGTCAGCCCCATGTTCATGATGGTCGTGGGTCAATTCTACAAGAAGGATGAGCAGGCTCTTCGAATGGGGTTGGTTTGCTCGATAGATATCACTTAATCTCTCGCTAACCTCCCGTTTCCACTAGAGTTTGGTTTTCTGCCACAGGATACATCTCGATTGTTTCACCTCTCATCAATGTATGTGCTTCAGAACTCCTGGGCCAATTTATGCAACCCAGTCCTTCTTCGTTATTAGAAAGAACCAGAGTGTACCGATGATACTTACTTTTAACACAGTACAGCCTTGGACACATCACTGGTTCCCTCTCTCCCTGGCGATATATGTATATTGTCGCGGGAATAATCACGATTTTGTGGTCCGCAGTGATCCTCTTCTTCATGCCGCCGGATCCCATTCACGGATACAATTTGAATGAGCGAGAACGATATATAGCCGTCGTCCGTCTGAGAACGAACAACTCGGGCGTCCGGAACAAGCACTTCAAGAAGGAACAACTTTATGAGCTGCTCATCGACTTGAAGTTCTGGCTCGTCTTCTGCATTACATTCTTAACCTTGTGGGCAAATGGCCCGATTTCTACCTTTATACCAACCATCATCCACGGCTTCGGGTTCAGCACACTGATTTCTTTACTGTTGGTGATGCCGTCGGGGGCGATCATGTGAGTGATCCTTGAAGTATATCATTAGTTTCTTCGAAGATAGGATCCTGGCTAATCGTGGATGTTTACTTCGAAATAGCGGCACCCTTCAGCTAGTAGCATGTTATATTGCGTACAAGGTCCCGTATTCAAGGTCTTACCTAGTTGTGATCTGCGAATTGAGCACAATCTTGTCCTGCCTACTCCTGTGGCTGCTTCCGACACATGCGCTTGGAGGACTTTTATTTGCAGCATACATCCTCGCCGCCAACAGCGCCGGATATGCCGTGCTGATGGGCATGCAGCTGGCCAACACGGCGGGATATACAAAGCGATCGCTTGCCTCATCTGGCATCTTTGTGGGCTACTCTCTGGGTAAGCAACAATCTCATCCAATCCGTCAGTGTTGAAGTCACAGCCGCCATAGCGATCATACTGTTTCAGGCATACCTCGGCTAACGAGACTTTACTGGGTGTAGGCAACGTTGTTGGACCCCTTCTGTTTACAACCACGGACGCACCCAGGTACCCTCACGGATTTACCGCAGTCTTCGCTTCTGCCTGCGCCATGGTTGTGTTGGTGATTGTCTATCGCTTCTTCTGTGTGTGGGAGAACAAGAAGCGTGACAAGGCTGGAATCATGGAAGGATATGAGCATGCCTACGACGACGATTTTACGGATCGTACGGTACGTCTTGTCCCACCCTGCGACTCTGTCGGTGCTGGGGTTGCTAATCAATCGCTCACAGAACAAGCAATTCAGATATATCTACTAGAAGGTCTAGATTGTGATCGGGTCCGCCATTCTGTCAATTAGAGCGGATAGTCGTAGGAGTACAATGCGTGGCTTTCTCTAAAAGTGGTACCGGAGACTCTGTCGTTGCCTGTTGATAAGGATGAATCCATGAATTTTTCAAACCATGGAGAAAGAGAATCAAGATTGCCTTAGGTATTCGAGTCGGCGTTCTCCAGTGGCAAGATGTATTTCGCCTAGGCACTTGAGCGACATACCGTGTGCCTTGGGTAAAAGACCTCCAGTCTGACTAAAGGCAGCTGCTCCACTAAGCCATTCTATTATAGATTGATGGCTTAAAATGATTTATTGTTCACATTTTAAACGTATAAAGCTAAACGAAATTACTTACGATGAGTTAAATCAAATAAAATTTCTCAGCCCTTTTGGTTTTAGAGTTTAGCGTCACTTCTTACTGCTGGTCTGTACTACTTTCTCAGGCTACATAGTGCGGTATTTACCGCCGTACAGTATACTTCATACGTACATAAAACCCTTTATAGTCATTTAAAATACAGCTTAGAAATTCGATCCTTATAACCTAATGTGTATTTCTTCCCATATATGGCATGTACTTCTTACCTCTTTTATGCACCGCTGTTGGAAAGGTTACCCATTAACGATCATGCTGCTCGATAAAGTCGACATCGATAAAGTTCAGCGCCACAGTAATGACAGCATCTTAATGAGCGTCCCGTGCTACACCACAATGCAGTAGTGAACTCCAATCGCCGGCATTTGTCTTTGAACATACAATGAGCGATAACATCCGGCCACTAGTACACTATTAACATTCAAAAACTGCTTTTTTGGCCTATAGCCTATGTTGGTAGGTGATGATCAGAACCATTTGTTAAATCGTTCAGCGAGTAGTCGTCCTCTCCCGTACAGACATCCTCTATTCGGAGGAGATCTCGGTCCTCTTCGACTTCTTCGACCTTTGCAGCTTCAGCACACAATCTTTCAACTGCTGAAGGAGGGCGAGGAACCTGGCTTGGGCGTGTGATATCGGGACTGCTTGAGCATATAGACCTGTGGATTTGTATTTAGGAATCAAGCGTATGATAATAATATCGTGTCATTAAAATGGTCAAGTGGGTTACATGAAAGTGGTCTGAGAAGACCAAGAGTCTAGGAGCGACTAGATCACCTGAGATGAATACGATGGCCCCAAACCGACCACCGGCATCTGGGAAATGAACTGTGGGTTGGTTCCCACTAGTCTCATCATTGCTCTTTGGCAGGGTCCATCGTTGTGTCCATTATTCCCGCAATGCTGCTGAGCCAAGATAGACCAAAGAAGCTGCCCGAGTATATAAACGACCCAGTTAATTTCCATTCCACGTTGCGCCTCTTGTTCCGGCAAACCAGGCCAAACCCTTCCAAAGACTCCAAACAAGCCTTGCGTTGACGAACATTCATATTAACAAGACGCAAAAAACTCAGAACCCCGAGCATCTGACCGATTACCATAGCTTCCCCCCTGCACAGACTCTTCATCGTCTGTTAGTAGAAGAAGTAAAGACCCTACTCATGATGATCGGCCGCAAAATATGGGGCTGGCCAGGTCCCGAATCCTTCTCAGAGCCAGAAGATCAGTCTGGCGCTAGAGGCGGCTACAAACGAGACTATTCACAATCCTGCCGGATCAGAGCCTTATGGCTGGCTAGAATGGGTATCGGCCTGCCTCGAGAAAGTGACCAGCCAGACAGCCTGCTAGGATTTCTACAAGATTTATTTCTGAGGAATGGACCCCGTTTAGAGGTGTTGAAGATAAGCATGAACAAACTAATTTTCCGCCTTGAGTTCTGGTTTAGGGGTTACAGCGATGTTTCAGCACAGTACTTTCGCGAGCGATGGTAAGTGGATCCAGCGAATCTATGAAACTAGATATCATATTTTCACTCGCTACAATATTCCATTGCAGAACTACTGCACAACCTCGGTCATCAAATCGACTGGCCAGCGTGGTGCGTCTTTGCCATTACCTCTTGTTCCTATATTGTACTTCAGTTGCACCTGATCATTGTCATATTTGATGACGGGCTTGGGTGTGCGTACAATTTTCCCGATAGCCTTGCTTTCGCGATCTTCAAAGAACGAAGGGTTGATAATTTTGCTGTTCTTCGTGATCATATCGATGTATCTCGGAATCGTATAATTCATGTTATGGTAAGAACTTCAGGCAGAGTAGCGTCAGTATGGCGATGATATCACGAGAGCAAGGCTCCTCAACGACTTCACATACCGGAACACCTGATTTCCGTTTCTCTTCCACAGATCTTGCCACACCTCTTCAGGATACTCTCCCACCGAATCGGCCAGCCATTGGTTGTAATAGTTCAATGCGACATCGACTTTGTAGCTTCCCCCTTGCTCAGCCTGTCTCATCAGCGCACACAACACACCGGTGGCCCCAGCGATGCCGGTCATGTAATCGCTGTTTGGAAAGATAGGAGTGACTGGTTCGTCGTTGGCCAGGCCCATGGCCTTCCCGAATCCGGCGGAGATCCCAACGCAAGCGTCACTTATTTGCTGCCAACCCGACCGATAGCTCCAAGGCCCATGCCATCCATAGCAGTTCTCTCGTACCGAGATGATGCCCCGCCCACGATCCCTTACCATCTCTATGATGGCATCTTGGGCGAACCCGTATTTATCCAGCACATCGGGGCGGTAGCCTTGGATTACAACGTCTGCCTCTCGGATTAGGCTTCGTAGTTTCTCCTTTCCTTCATCCGTCTTGAGGTCGAGACTGCAGTTCCACTTCCCCCAATTCAAGTCAATATGGAGAGCACTGCGATCTACAAGATTTGGGGATGTGACCCGCATAACGCTCGCACCGAGCTCAGCAAGACCCCTAGTCGCAGCAGGGGCAGCAATGACGCGGGTCAGATCGACCACTTTGAGGCCCGCCAGGGGCCTTTCTGGGGAAGTCTGGGCGGAGGGCGTCCACCACGAGGCTTTGTGTGAGGTATTAGGCACGTAATGGATCTCAAAGAGACCCACGTGAGCATTTGCTTTCCCATGCTCGGAGGCGCGAAACGAGTCTACCGTCTCGGCTATGACCCCGGCTTGTTTATAGACATCGGACGCAAGGTGTTGCATCTCCTCCGAGTCGATAGTCGCCAGTTTCTCAATGAATGGTTGTATTGCGTCTTCCCAGCTCTTCAGTTCAGGGCGATCCACAGGTAGACCGATACTCTCAAGCGATGGATTGGGGTTCATGCTCCCATGTAGATGGAAGAATCGCCTGTCTTTGGTTTGGTAGAGATTTGTCACGCAAGTCCGATATAGACTTGATCCCGTCTTGTGGAAATCATAGTTTGGGATGAAATCGTCCATCTTACTGAGGTTCTTGGACATAGCGATAGTTTCTTCCGTGCCTGGGTTTATCTGCCAGATAAAAGCACTCATAAAGAACAACTGTGCGTGGTCTATGTTGATGCTGGCTCCAGTAAGCTCGACATTGTATTTTCGTTTAAGCAGGGCAGAGACGATGCAGGCTTCGAATGCCTTTAGACTCGCAACAGACTCTGCGAAGCGCCAGTTGACTGGAACTGACGGGACTTCGGCGCCTGTGAATGTCACACGAGGGGCAAAGTCAATGGCATCTCGAGGTATGTCCTTGGCGATCTTGGGATTTTTGAGTAGAGCTTCCGTCAACAGCCGCTTAGATTCGGACAGAACTGAATAGGAAGAGACCGTTTGGGGAACTGGAGATTCGATGCTTCCCATCTTGATTCCTTGAGCGATTCACACGGGTTGCCCTTGCTTTGCCCGGCTAGTACTCTTCAATGGCTAGATGCGCTATGGCTATGCAGTTCGAGTTGCAGCTCAATGATTTGGAGGATGCGATGCAGACTTTGTGATCCAAAAAATAAAAGAAACTTTCTGAAAAGAAGCGAAGGAGGGCCCAAAAAGGTCTGCCAAGTGCACAGACACAAAACAGTTATAAGATCTATAGCGACCGTGGAAAGCAAGCGTGGAGCAAGCAAATCGGAAGCAGTTAGAACAGCACGGCTTACTCTATGGGAGCAAGAAGTGGGAGCACCTGTATTTAGAGATGAACGCTGCATAGTTGCCTATGGGTGGCTAGGACAGCCTATGAATCAATCAACTGTGGTGTGTCCCAATCGCCGTGGGATTCCCCAATCGCCGTGGTGTATTCTAGTGGCTATAGTATGTCTAATCATCATGATGTGCCCCAGTGACTTTGTTGTGTGCCCAAATGTCATAAATGCCACCGAATCTAGCTAGGCTCGGGATTTTGTTCGGAGATTTGAGATGCCACGGAAAACATCCGCGCAAGAGTGGCGTTCTCCGTAGATTTCCGTGGCGTATCCCAGCTCCGTGAATGCTAGGTCCATTTCAGTCCTAAGCTTAGCGGTATACGCACCTCTGGATCTTCAGGCGAGGACGCAAGAGACCGAAGCATCGTGGCTATTCTTCGGCCTGTATTGTACTGTGGTTGTCTTACCAGGTCAACGGGGTGCGCCTCAATCCGTAAGGTGCGTACGATGTCCGAACGCTTGGCCTTGCCGCAATCATATTCTCCCATACTTCGCACACTTACTGAAAATGGAAAGAACTTTCTCAAATCTGACTAACATACGTATACTCTGCTGTTGTAATATACTATCACATTTGAAACCTGCTCCCAGCTACCATTTCGTGGGATTTCAAGGAATAAATCACTCGTCATGCTGCGTGCAACCCGGACGTCGTAGAACGACGAGTCACTGTCGATCCAATCCATGGCGCCTACCATGTCTGCTCTCTGGACTAACCTCTGATATGTTAGTTTCAGAATGCCATCCACACAGATTAATAAGTCATTAAGGAAGATAATGGTATTGTTTATAGCTCTAATGACACACTTACAAGACATACAGCTACCACCACTATTATTATTTTCTCATAAATTTCATATCTCTAGAAAGTACCTTTCCTAGCAAATCTATTGACATATTTTCTACGGAGTACATTTTAATTATTAATATTAATAGAGATATTTACAGTTAAAATTAATAATTAAAAATAAAAAATCTTAATATTAAGATAATACTTACTGTAACGCGGTTTTATATAATCGGGTTCAGGAGTTTGCTTGCTACGCTGGGTTTGAGGGTGTTGAAGTCTGATACCGGCTTCGGACTCAAGCAGGAAATGGACAGAGCACCTCGATTGGATTGAGATACAAGCCTGAGTTGCAAAGAACTCATCTATCTAGACGTATTTGTATGCGAATTTACACTAATATTTATCATCAGGGGTAAGGTAATGAAAATTGGGAAATGTCGAATTTTTGGATATGGTTTTAGCACCGTTGATCGTAATTTTGCGGCGTTTCGAATCCTTTCCCAATATGCTTAGTACCAAATATTCCGACACTTATGTCTGAACACGTGCCCGCAGATGCCTGGCGGACCTGGCTGTTGGCTGAACGTTGCATACAAGGCTATGGCTAGAAACTGCACCTCAGCTGAGCGAGGGCTCGAAACTCACCACCATGCCTTCCCAAAATCATTCAAATCTTCTTCAATCCACTGTCTCAGCCTTGCCACGCGGCTCTTTAATAATTAGAGAGCATCCCATTGCGAACTTACGGATTCACTCGCTCCTGATTAATCGTCCAGTAGCTCACGGATCACGAAGCTAATATAGCTGCTAACGTCAAACCATAATGCGCCCGCGAACCCGCGACGAGTTCGAGATCGCCATTATTTGCGCACGCACCTTAGAAGCTGATGCTGTTGAAGCCCTGTTCGATGAAAATTATGACAAATTCGGCAAAATTTACGGCAGACAATTTGGGGACCAAAACGCATATATTACTGGAAGGATTGGTCCGTACAATATTGTTCTATGCTATCTACCGGGAATGGGGATAGGAAGTGCGGCAGGTGCGACGGCCAATCTACGAGTCAGCTACAACCGAATTCAGCTGGCTCTGGTGGTCGGTATCTGTGGGGCCGTTCCATTCCCATCTAGCAATGCTGAGATTGTACTGGGAGACATTATTGTCAGTGACAGTGTGATCCAATACGATTTTGGCAGGCAATACCCTGATGGATTCCGGCGCAAGAGTGATGTTAAAGAGACGCTGGGGCGACCGAGCCAAGAGATTCGAGCCTTCCTTGCCGGCCTGAAGGGTCGCAAAACACGGAGCGAACTACAAGAGCAGACCTACAAACACCTCCAGACACTTCAAGCGCTATCAGGCTCAGAGTGGCAGCATCCAGGAACTGTGCATGATGTGCTCTTTAAAGCATCCTACCGCCATAAGCACTACCAGCAGGGCCCCATCACTCAGTGTACCTGTTTCAACTGCAAGTCCAGTAGTGACACCGTATGTGATGACGCCTTAATGAAAGATTGTAAGAGTCTTGGATGTGCTGGGGCGTTGATTCAACGGAACCGGCTTAGAGCTGAATCTGTACAGCCTTACGTCTACATTGGGACCATTGCATCTGCCAACACAGTGATGAAATCCGGGGAGCACCGCGACAAACTAGCTGAAATGGAAAATGTGATTGGGTTTGAGATGGAAGGGGCTGGGGTATGGGATAACTTGCCTTGCATCCTCATCAAAGGCGTGTGTGACTACGCGGACAGCCATAAGAACAAAGTGTGGCAAGATTATGCTGCTGCTACTGCTGCATCTTGTGCCAAAGCATTTCTGGAGATTTGGCCGGCCACTACAAAGAAATGTCCGTAAGATTTCTGTTGCATCTCCTATGCAGAACAACTGCGATATAGCATCACACACGTATACTGATTTAATCAGCTACAAATGCTCGGAGTTGGTTAGTTCCATTTGAGCGAAATGAGGACTTTGTGGGTCGTGAATCACAACTTCAACAGCTGGAAGAAGGTCTTTTTGTTGATGACCGCTTCTCAAAGATGGCGCTCTTTGCTCTGGGGGGATGGGCAAGACGTCAATTGCTCTCGAGCTTGTATATCGAGTCAGAGACAAGTATCCAAACTGCTCGGTTTTTTGGGTGACCTCCACCAGTGCAGAGAGCTTTGAGCAAGCATACCGTAAGATTGGACAAAAACTGGCACTTCCAGGAATGGAAGACAAAACAGTAGATGTCAAGAAACTGGTCATGGATTACCTGAATGATGAAATTTCTTGTCAATGGTTTATGGTGTTTGATAGCGTCGATGATATTAACGCCTGGTTTGGAAAATCAAACATTGGCGGTTCTTACCGACTGGCAGACTACATTCCAAGAAATCACCATGGTTGTGCGCTTTTGACCACACGTAGTGAAAGAATTGCAAGAAACTTTGCTCGCCATTCTGTCTTGAAGGCACCCGAGATGGACACGAGCACATCATTACTTTTATTAAGGAAAACTCTTGGCCAGGAAGAGGTCCTTGATAATGATGACGATACAAGTGAACTCTTAGAGAAATTATGCTTCATTCCTCTTGCTATCGTGCAGGCTGGTACATATATATCTATGAACTACACTACCATCCCTTACTATCTCTCACTTCTGAATGATACCGAGGAGTGCCTCGTGAAGACGCTCTCAGAAAACTTTGAAGATGATTGGAGATACCAGGATCAGAAGAACCCAATTGTGACGACTTGGATTGTGTCATTTGTGCAGATCCAACGCGAAAACTCTTTGGCTGCAGATTATCTGTCATTCATATCATGCATTGAACCAAAAACTATTCCTCATGCACTTCTTCCTCCTGGTCCATCGAGCAAACAGCAGCTTGAGGCTATTGCTTGTCTAATTTCTTACTCCTTTCTCTCAAAGCAAGTCAGCAACAGCTTTGGTATGCACCAACTAGTTCATTTAGTAACAAGAAACTGGCTTAAGCAGACACAGAACTACGAAAGATATTATAGGGATGTTATATCCCGATTCACAGAAGTCTTTCCATTGCCAGTTCATGAAAATCGTGATGAATGGAGAACTTATTTACCCCACATCAAATTCACATTGTCACTTGATCGGATGCAGACCAAAGTTGATCATAGACTCCTAAGTAGATATGGTCAATGTCTACTGACTGATGGAAGGTACTTTGAGGCACAATCACCCCTCGCGGAGGCAGCAGAAGCTACCAAGCAAGTGCTTGGAACGGAGCATCCTGATACACTGGCCAGCATGGGCAATCTGGCTTTGACATACATGAAACAAGGTCGATTGAAAGAAGCTGAAGAGCTGGAGGTAGAGCTGACGGAGACTCGCAAGATAGTATTCGGAGCGGAGCATCTAGATATTCTGACCAGCATGGGCAATCTGGCTTTGACATACGCGAAACAAGGTCGATTAAAAGAGGCTGAAGATCTAGAGATACAAGTGATTAAGATTCGCAAGATCGTGCTTGGGGTGGAGCATCCAGATACACTGCTCATCATGGACAATCTGGCAGTGACATATATGATTCAAGGTCGATTAAAAGAGGCTGAAGAGCTACATTTGCAAGTAACTGAGGCTCGTAAGAAAGTGCTTGGAGCGGAGCATCCAGATACATTGACTAGCATAGGCAACCTGGCATCATCGTACAGCAAACAAGGCCGATGGAAGGAGGCTCAAGATCTAGAGGTGCAAGTAATGGAGACTTACAAGGTTCTACTTGGAGCGGAGCATCCAGATACTCTGACCAGCATGGGCAATCTGGCTTTGACATACATGAAACAAGGTCGATGGAAAGAGGCCGAAGATCTAGAGGTGCAAGTGATTAAGATTCGCAAGATGGCGCTTGGGGTGGAGCATCCAGATACACTGATCAGCATGGGCAATCTGGCTTTAACATACATGAAACAAGGTCGATGGAAGGAGGCTGAAGAGCTAGGGATGGAAGTAATGGAGACTTGCAAGACAGTGCTTGGAGCAGGGCATCCAGATACACTGGTCATCACAGGCAATCTGGCCTCGACTTACAGAAATCAAGGTCGATGGAAGGAGGCTGAAGATCTAGAGGTGCAAGTAATGGAGACTTGCAAGACAGTGCTTGGAGTAGAGCATCCAGATACACTGGTCATCACAGGCAATCTGGCATCAACGTACAGCAATCAAGGCCGATGGAAGGAGGCTGAAGATCTAGAGGTGCAAGTAATGGAGACTCGCAAGATTGTGCTTGGGGCGGAGCATCCAGATACACTGACCAGCATGGCCAACCTCGCATTAACTTGGAGATTTATGGGACGTAAGGAGGATGCACTAAGGCTGATGAGGATAAGTTTCCAACTCAGAAAAGTACAGTTGGGTCCTGATCATCCAAGCACTCAATCCGCGCTTTATTCGTTGAATGAATGGGGAGCAGCTGATTCGGAAACGGATAAACAAAGCTAACTTACTCGGCTGCACCTAAAGAACATTAAGTAACACCATGCACTCTAGTCTCGAGTGGGATTTCTAGAAATCTATTCCAAATCCTGGTGGGTTTGAACACAGGCGTTCCACTCTGTTCAGACCAGGCTTCCAGCTATTGCTCGTAGGTCTGTTGATTCTTGAAGTTCAGCGCTGAGATCCCATGTTGAAATCCCATGTTGAAGTCCAGCGTTGAGGTCCAGTGTTGAGGTCCAGTGTTCAAATTCGGTATTGAAATCCATTGTTGCAATTGAGTTTTGAAGTCCACTATTAAAATTGAGGTTTGGAATCGAGTGTTGAAATCGAGTGTTGAAATCAGTGAAATCGAGTGCTGAAATCCATTGTTGAACTCTAGTATCAAACTTGAGTGTTGAAATCCAGTGTCACATCCGAGAAATCAAGTGTTGAAACCGAGTGTAAAAATTGAGTGCTGACATCCAGTATTGAATCAAGTGAAGTCCAGTGTAGGCGCCAATCTGAGAGATAAACTAACAGGTGCAATCTCACTGGAAATACTAAGCTTAGGGAGAGAGAATTGAAGCTATCTACAAAGTGTGTGCCTTCTAGTAAGCGAGCGAACTCTCGAGTCACGGGACTCGAGCTGCTGCCTTAGGCCATTGCTTCTAGGCCGCCACATCCGGTGTTAAATTCCAGTACTAAAATCAAGTGTTGAAGTCCAGTAAGGTCTTCTCAACAATTAACAGGGGGCTTATTCTGCGCTAATACAGTAGTTTGCCACAACGAGAGTAACACCTAGAACTAACTACTTTCTAGTACTTGCACTAATGATTGTCCTAGGAGGATCGAAGGGGACAGAGTTGAGTCCCAGTTGAAAAGGTGATACGAGTAATTTACGAGTGTATTAATTCTGTAATAGTTCAGTACCTCAGCGGAAAAATTACAGTAACCAGGTTATTCCGACCCTAACTATATATTTACTACAGTAGTAGTTCTTGGCAGGTGCCTAGAACAAAAAGCTGAGAATATTTCAGGTGTAACGCTGATTGTGCAAAGTACTGTACCATTGGAGTATCTTATCAGAAAGCCTGTCATGACTGGTTTCCTGAAAATCGGTCTCAGATAGATCCCATTTATCATTTGAAGTATTCGGTTTCTCTGTCTCCTAAATATCAACAAGTATGACAAGTTTGGTATTGCCATCACTACCTTCCAGCCATCGCCGTGCATCTTCAAAGAGTTTGTTTGTAGGCTCACTAATACCAACCTCTAGAACTACATCTGGCCACTTACATTCAGACTTCATGAGAGACGCATCTGCTTGTTTTATAGAGCCACTAAATTTGTCGGCCAATGAAAAATCTAAGAATATAGTTATATTTATGAAATAACACATATAAGGAGATAGAGCTAACAGTTAAAATACCTGCACTTCCAGTCAAGAAGTATCGCGAGCCAGTACCACTCAACCTATCTCGTATTTGATGAAAGACTTCACGGACCACATCAGCCGCTGCCTCATTCATCCGGCCTGGACGTTCTTTCAACATAATACATGCATTCTGAGCATCATATTCCACACCACGAATATCATCACCAACTTTATTGATCCAGTTCTGATACTCAGCAGACGCGATCTTGAACTTGTTAATCACAAGAGAACGCTCAGAGATACGTCTCAGCTCAATAGCATTGTCTGCGGAAAGATCGTCCAAAGAATGAACTCGGTCAAGCATACGGTCAATTTGAGATCGTGTCTGATTCTCCATATTGGTAGCAATTGATACAGTGCTTTGCAGGTTCGGAGTAACAACCAGAACTCTCTTCTCTTTCATCTGAAACAATGCCAAGAAACGCTATGATATAAATGGTATAGCGTAGTATTTATGTTAATCCGGAAACATCTCGATACCAATTTTTATTTACAGTATATGTACGGTGATAAAATACAAATCTAGAATATTCGACTTAAGGTCTGAACACGTGTTCTGAATTTGCCTGGCAGCCTAGTAAACCTGGCAACCTGCTAAGTTCATTGCATCTCAGTATTTTGTATCTACAGTATCATAATGCAGAGACATCGACATTTGTAGCAGGGCTATTCTCTCATTTGCTGGTCGGCTAGTGCTCCGGAGTACTGCTGAGGAGGAACCATCCTCATGCAGCTGCTAGTCGTTCTTTTGAGCCTGTTAGCTGCAGTCCTCAGGCAACATGGTTTAGGATCCGAGACTAACCCTATGGTAACGCTAATCTTAGGTTTGTCGGTGGCATGTATTCCTTCGTGGCAATGAGTTACGGTTCCTATAATGACGATAATATTTCGCCCCAGCCTTATGAATTATGGGAAAGCACTCCTTTATACGCCCCTACACCTGGTTATCTGAGCGAGACTATCACGCTACGCATATATAGTCCTTGCCCCAGCCATATATTCGTTGAATCATGAGAATCACAAACGGATTAACTATGTTTTATCCTGTCTATTTTGTGGAACGAGAAAAAGACATATAATGAGTAATCATCAGTCTATATCCATTATCTGATTGAGTGGAAGGTTACTCTTAACAACCGAACAGTTAAGAGAGTTATAGAACCAAATTTGGTGGTTGCACCTGGGATATACTGGGAGAAATCTTTGAAGAAAAAGGTGCAGAGTGTTGAAAACCGAAAAATATTTACTAGTCGAGGTGCTCGTTTAGAAGATATTATGATAATGGCTTTAGTGTTAAACGACCGTTCGTAAAAACTCTATTAAAATTTTGAAGGTACAGATATCGACTGGGCGATGATAGAAGAGCAGCTTCTTATGTGGGAGGGGCTATTTTGCAGGGGGAAAAAGCTTAAACTTGATGTTTGTGTTAATTATGTTGCAGATGAAAGTGGTCTAACTTTAATAAGGAATGGCGAAAAAAGGAACACGCGATCAGTGATAAATGGGATGTTTACCGAACTCAGCGACCAGATTGATGCTGAAAGGAATTCTGGTCAAATTATTCCTTGGCGGGAGGTATATGATAAGATGAGATGCTCTGGACCGCTGTGTAAAAACTCTGAGGGATACTGCTGGCAGGATCCTGTTGGTAAAAAATACTATAAGCTCAATACGCATCATTTGAGATATCTTGTTGATATGGTAAAGAGGAAGTTTTTTAAGCTTGAGACTCACGATGATGTTCCGGAAGAGTTCTGGGAATAACTCTACGCGGAGGAGCAAAGGTTTCTGGAGCGAAAACAGAGATCTAAGAGACACCAGTCAATAGAGTCGCTATGTCTGTCAATCAATATCAATGTCTTACCATCTCAGTCTTCTTAATCATCTATGATGGTCGTATCAGCTGGTTCTCCGTCTTCAACGTCATATTCATATTTTAGATCCTCCTTGATGGACTCGCTTGTGGTCCCGGATCTCCCGTTAGATGAAGCAGTGAAGCAATATGCTAATTGGTAAAAGTCATGGGTAGTTTCTTAAGAGATGAAGGATCATGTCGATATTGCTTGCAGGGTGGTATTAGCAAAAGGCTACGACCTCAGGCAAATAGATGAAGATTAAGACTGGAAATTCTTTACTGAACAGGGTGTGATGGAGGGGGTGGCATGTCGCTTTATCCAGGATATCTGTGAGTGGTCAACCCACTATGAGCCTCTTTTTTAATTTTGGCATCGTTTTTTAGAACGCATGTTTATTTCACTTCATTAGATTAACCGCTCCGTAATAGTTAGTCAAGGTTTTGCTAATGTAATCTTTTCCTTAATGAGTAACGAGCCCTGTTAATTATTAATTAATTTGATGTTCAAACCCACTCGTCATTTGGAAGTCTATAAATCACCAGCTTCACTTTATAGGAGAGAATAAAGAGGCTTTTTGGTTAACTTGCTTCTGATGCCCGCCGTCGGTATTTAGCAGTGTTATGCAAAGATCCGTTGTAAAATCCGGGAAACGTTTCAGAAGTTCGTCAAGAAGAATATTATTTGTTCTACGTTGGAGAGTCGCCAAATGATCCTTCGTTGAGGCTACCAGCGCATTCCTAATCTGGTTATCGGATTTAGGTGTTGAACGATATATTTCCTTAATAGTGGCTTTGAAAGATCTCCTGTTGGACATATTATGAAATGAGGCATGGAATTTTTTCTTTGAAGCCACCTTTAAACTGTCGATCTGAAGATAATCGGCTTGAATATATATTAGAATGTGAAAATGGCATGCAGTAGTGACCTCTGCTTCTTGCAGCACTGCGGTATTTGGTGGTGTGGGACTGCTTTTAATTGTATCGCTTCCCACAGCAATAGGACCAAAGTTCCCTTGATGAATCTCTTGTGATTTCTCCGAATTGATTTGCTTCTCTCCATCCTTGTGATAGCGTCCTGCTGTCTCAATTTCGAGTGTATAATCGTCTATATAGAGGAATTGGAGCACTTTCTTAACTAATATCGGCTTTCGGTCTTTGAGTTTAATATTTCTGGAGGCCTCCTGCAGATGAACCTCAAAATCAATATTGTTAATGAAGTGGAGAAAGGCGACAAACCTTGAAGTTTCCAGCACAAGCATGCGCAAAGTAGGCGGATTTAGGGTAGACGACGTTTCGGTGGACAGGCAAGACTTCAGCGCCACATGTTATAGTCAAATTGCTATACTCTGGGTTCAAGAACAAGCTGTGTTATTATTCATTAGCGAACTATGCATAGATTGGGAATACAGTTAGGATTGTTATGTCCCGGCCTTACGAGTTTAATAGTTCTGCTGCAGAGTTAACGCTACTAATTGTAGACTGCATTTTTTTATCGTCTGTTCTGTATAACGGGCGTAAAGAAATATTTTCTTCTTTTGGCGTTGCAAATATGTTGTGGTTATATTATTTTGGTGGGATATTTGTGAGTCAGTGAAGTTTTAAATGTAGTGTAAGAGATAAGAGATTCCATCTAACTGCCAACACGACGTGGCATAAGCGCGGTAACTGTGCATACAGTTGTCAATCTGTGGGTTGGGCAAGCAGTCGTGCAGAACTCATCATCGGTCATGTCAATCTAAGTTTACTACGCTTTTTTTGGTAATTTTTATTTTTAATGTTCCTGGTTACTGTAAGTTTGGGTTTGTCTGGAAAGATTATATAGCGGTTATAGGGTCCTACTTGGAATCGACTAGGAGGCTACTAGGTGCTGAGGTAATATAAAAACTTCAATATATTAAAGGTAAACTTATATATTTTAAGAATAAACCGCTTGAGGCTTTTTTAAGCTCTGGGGCCTGTCTCAAGCTAATAAGTATAAAGGATAGATTACTCTTACTTCCTAATAGGGTTCCATATTGCGAGCATGAGGGGTAATTCCCTTATTTGTGATATATCATCTTGAGGTTTTTTCCAATTGGTAGATAATCTGCATGGCTATTAGGCCAATTGCTATGAGCTTGGTGGGCTGGATCTCACACTGCTGGTAGAATCTAGTGAGTAAAACGTATTACAGATTAAGAACGTATTATTTGCGTAGCCTTGTTAAATATGTTGAAAATAAAGGAGTCATTAATACTTATAATAACATTCTTAAGACTATCTAAGAATAGCTCTATGCAGAAGAATAATAACAAAGTGATTAACGACGAAAAGCTTATAATATTATTGTAAATTCATTAGGACTTCTTTCTATCAATATTATTATTCTTTTGACCTAGGCATTCTAGACTATAAGCTTTTTATTAGATGGTGATCAATTAAAATCTTTTAGAATTGAACAAGCTCGCTCGTTCAAGATAACTGAATCCTTTAAAGAAGCCCTTGAAAATTACACTAACTGGCATTTAGGATGAGTGAGCACTGTCAATTCTAAGGAAAATATTATCAGAGCACGCGATATTGTGTTGGCACAGTGTTTTGATCTGCAGCAGATTTTTGTTGATAATGACCTAGGATCTCTCTCTGGGGTTGTAATTGGTATGGCCCGCAGGTTCGCTAATGATGTTCCACTGTGGCTTAAGCATCGTGAATACAGGAACTACGCAGAGGAGCCTGAGGAGGAGTGAAATTATTATAGAGAAATAATTTGTAGAGCGCCGTCATCATATGCTAATCCATTCATTCATTTATTCCGTGCAAACTTTCGTTAAATTTTAAAAACGGTTGATCAAATATACTAGGTCTAAGGAGGATCTGCGCCATTGATTAAACCAAGTGGGACCCTATCCGTGTATGGCTTTGAACCGTAGTTGACAAGTCTTGGGAGGATTTTAAGTTATAAAAGCGTGGAGTGTGCCGATTCCCGCCAGTCCGTGATACAGTAGTCTAAAAAATAACCAATCAGCGAGTGCCTTAGCATGATGTGAATCGCAACGTACTAACTTTATATAGGCAGCCTTCACTCCCTTGGGCATTTTCACACACTATACGTAAAACCACGAGCACATCTTTGATTTAAAATTCAGGAAAAACCATTGAACATAAATATAAGTATTGTCTTTTAAAGTAATAGTATATAGCATTCTGTATTATCATAGATTACATTATAAAAAAAAGAGTTCAATACCAATCGGAACCGAAATATTGATCATCTCGAGTGAACGTCAAATGCCGTGAGTTACTAGTCCCTGACCTTCTGTCCCAGTTTGACTGTGTTCCTTTGAGAGAATCCCGATATGGGGCGCACGCTAACTTGGCACAGCCGGGACACTTGAAAGCGAATTTGCGAGTAGGAACCGAGCAACAGCTGCAAACAACACGGCCATCAACCTAATTCCACCAACATCGGTGGAGGCATGTTTGTTTACTATGAGAATTCTGTTTATTCTTAGCCTGGTCTGCTTCGTGTGACTCCTTAGCCTTTCTCTCTCTTTTTTTGGTAGCTTCCCGAGCCTTCTTTTCTTCTTGCTCCTTCATTTTGTTACGCTTTTGGCGAAGAATTTCTTTCTCTATTTTCCTTCTTTCTTGGTCCTCTCTAACTCTAATTTTCGTCTCTGTTGAGTGTATGTTTTCATTAATAGTATCAATAGCTCGTTTATAAGTTTGAATAATACTATTTTGTTGTTTAACAATATTTTCCTTGATACTTCGCGTTGCGATCTTCTGAAGTCGATCTCTATCTCGTTGCGTCTTCTTCACCTCTGCTTCTTGCGAATTTCTGGAAAAGAATGAAGCGAGGTATGCCCACATTGTGTTTTCTTCAGCTTGTTGCCTCATTATTTCCTCTATTCCTCTTTGTAAATTAAGAACCTCTATGCTCAACGCCCACAAACGTATCTGGGCGTTATATAACTCAATACTCTGCACCGATAGTTGCTTTCGAAGAAGTTCTAGTTGTATCTGCAATTGTCTCAATTCTTGTTGCGCCTTGTTTTGACTCGATTCGGGTGTATTGGGATGTGACGTCACAGGATAGAACTTGGTTTGAGAATATTCCCTGTCATAATCGCTACGTTTTATGGGGTCATTAAGGGTTGAGTATGCTTCTTAAAGCTATATATGCTGTTAGATCTTGCTAGGTCATGGAATAAAGAGATGTCCTTGCCAGTTGGAATTCAGTCGTAGTGGTGGCACTAGGGTTCTTATCAGGGTGCCTAATCATTGCTAGACGCTTATAGCTTGCTTTAAGAGTGGTTGGATCTGCCGACTGAGGGATTCCAAGTATTTTATAGTAATTATGATGAGGCTTAGATCCAGCCATTATGATAAGCTAATTTTGGGTTGTTAATATCATTGGAAGAGTGGAGGCTCCATATTTCATGTGGGGATCAGGAACTGGATCTATAGGTGACGATCTCATGTGATCCTGATTTCTGTCAACCGCTAAGATTGACTACTAACCCAATTCAGGTTAGTTACGTTTATAAAGCCTCTAAATGATTAAGGCGATTTCGGGCTCGACTGTATATATGAAATACCTAATAAATAAAATAGCCCTATCTCTTCCCAACACTTCGATAAGTATGTAGTAAGTTAAAGTTAATAGGCCTTTTAAAGTGCTCCATTAAGAAGATACTTGGAGATTGGTGAATGTGATGTACACTCGGAGGCAAAACTGGTGTCGGGATCTTACTCTACTCAATTGTTTCTCAATTCCTGCGCCAAGTGGAACTAAACTACTTTTAGATAAACGCCAAGACGGCTACAGTTCGTCGTATTACGTATGGTATTGTATCGGACGTACATAGACTTTGGTCAAGTTCTACATTACCTGTTTCTTGGTATACAAGTGACAGATAAATTACAATCAGGCTTACGTTTGGTCTTGGAAATGGATACTTGAAACCAAGAAAATTATTTAATCTTTTGCTGAGAGTATTTCATGAGTTATTTGTAGATTAATGTACATTCAGTCTTCAACCATAATAAACACGGTAGTTGAGTCATGACAGCACGGCGGTTGACAAATTGTTGCATCTGCAGGTTAGAATGCATGCACCGTCATGAACCAAGTGGGTCGAGATGGTCACTGGGTGGATTCTGAGGTTTTAGAGGGCAAGATTCGTTTCCCGCAACAAAGCGGGGCACGGTACAACGCGATCTCAGTCCCACTCTTGGGTCTGAGTTGGAATTTTTAAGCCTGTCAATGAGGGCCCGAAATTCTGCATCATACCCCACCCTCCCGCATTGCTCCATATGTGTCATCAGCGGATTACTATAGAGAAGAACGATGACACGAGGAAGCTCAAGAGGAACGTCTACTCGGACGGCAAAGAGCAGATTCCATATACGGCTTCCGATCCACAATCAGCATCATGGCTCCTCCTGAGTATAATGCCTTCTTCTCAGGGGCGTACAATTACGGACTTCAAGTTGGTCACAACGCTGGGAATGTTGAGACCCACCATCACTACACCGCTGGTAAGTCGCTGTTTCACCCACATGGAGCCGTTTTGACAATAGTCCCGTAGAGCGTCCCGAGACTCCACCCTGTCCATCGCTATCCATTCCGTTCCTTCGCGACCCGGATTTTATTGACCGTGGGACGATCCTAAATCAGCTCCACCGCCGATGTGCTGCGCCAGGGTCCCGGACCGTGCTGGTAGGTTTAGGTGGTGTCGGGTGTGTAAAATGTGCATGCGCTTTACTGGTAGCCATACTGCTAACTCTACGTGCAGGAAGTCACAACTTGCGATTCAATATGCATATGAAACCCACGAGCGATCGCCTGAGACATGGATTTTCTGGGTCCATGCTAGTAACGCCGCCCGGTTTGAGCAAAGCTACTGGGAGATTGCAGACACTGTTAAGCTGTTTGGGCGACGCGATCCCAAGGTTAACATCTTTAAAATTGTGCACGACTGGCTGCGAGATAGCAAGAATGGAAAGTGGATTCTCATACTGGATAATGTTGATGATGCTCATTTCCTTATCAACCGCCTTGATGGTACTCAGGCTCAGGCTGGTCATGAAAACGGCAGAGCGGACCGCCCTCTGCGAGAGTATCTTCCACAAAGCCTGAATGGGTCCATTCTGATAACATCACGAAGCAAGGAAGCCGCATTAAAGCTGGTGGACCAGCGCGATATTATTGCGGTTGAGCCAATGGACGAGCCGCACGCACGAGCACTATTTGACAAGAAGCTGGGAAAGCAGGATAAGAAGCAGGATAATAGCCAGGATATTTCTGAACTTGCAGCAGCGTTGGAGTTTATCCCGCTTGCCATGGTCCAAGCCGCAGCATATATTTCTGACCCGGATCGAGGTTGTTCGCTACGGCAGTATCTCAACGAGTTTCAGAAAAGCGACCGCAAGAAGTTCCGTTTATTGGACCACGAAGAGGGCCAGTTTCGTCGAGACTGGGAGGCCAAGAATTCGGTCCTCACGACATGGCAGATCTCATTTGACAGCATACGCCAAAACCGACGATCAGCAGCCGACTTACTATCGCTTATGAGTTTCTTCGACCGTCAAGGGATTCCCGAGGCCCTTCTTCGTGATCACGGCAGGCAGGAAATTGCAGAGCTAAATGAGGGTGATGATGCAGAAGATAGTCAATCTCAATCTAGCATAGTGGATGAGTTCCAAGATGATATTCTCATGCTGCGAAGATACTCCTTGATCTCAATCAATGTGGACCGAACGACCTTCAATATGCACAGCCTGGTGCAGCTAGCAACACGGAGATGGCTAGAAGCGAATAGCGAGCTGGAGAAATGGAAACGGCAGTATATCCAGAATCTCAATGCACAATTTCCCACAGGAGAGTATGAGAATTGGACACAGTGTCAAGTGCTTTTCCCGCATGCAAAGTCAGCGGCCCTCCAGCGGCCACAGGAACGAGACTCATTACTAGAGTGGGCTGCCGTGTTGTACAAGGCCGCATGGTATGACTGGCGAAAAGGCAATGGGGCTGAGGGTAAGCAGCTGTCGGTTAAATCGATGAATGTTCGGAAGAAACTCCTAGGTCCAGAACATGAAGAAACGTTGGCTGGTATGCAAATGGTGGGGTCAATATACTTGCTTGAGGGTCGATGGAAGGAGGCGGAAAAGCTGAATGTGCGGGTGATGGAGATGAGTAAGAGAGTGCTGGGTGCAGAGCATCCTGACACACTGAATAGCATGGCCAACCTAGCATTGACGTACTGGAATGAAGGACGATGGAACGAGGCGGAAGAGCTGAACGTGCAGGTGATGGAGATGAATAAGAGAGTGCTAGGTGCAGAACATCCTAACACGCTGATTAGCATGGCCAACCTAGCGGCAACGTATAGGAACCAAGGTGGATGGAAAAAAGCAGAAGAGCTGGAGGTGCAGGTGATGGAGACGAATAAGAGAGTGCTGGGTGTAGAGCATCCCAACACGCTGTCCAGCATGGCCAACCTAGCGTCAACGTATAGGAACCAAGGACGATGGAAAGAAGCGGAAGAGCTGATTATGCAGGTGATGGAGATGAGTAAGAGAGTGCTAGGTGTAGAGCATCCTGACACACTGAACAGCATGGCCAACCTAGCAGTGACGTACAGGAATCAAGGACGATGGAACGAGGCGGAAGAGCTGAACGTGCAGGTGATGAAGATGAGTAAAAGAGTGCTGGGTGCAGAACATCCTAACACGCTGATCAGCATGGCCAACCTAGCGTCAACGTATAGGGACCAAGGTGGATGGAAAAAAGCGGAAGAGCTAGAGGTGCAGGTGATGGAGATGAGTAAGACAGTGCTGGGTGTAGAGCATCCTAACACGCTGTCCAGCATGGCCAACCTAGCGTCAACGTATAGGAACCAAGGTGGATGGAAAAAAGCAGAAGAGCTGGAGGTGCAGGTGATGGAGACGAATAAGAGAGTGCTAGGTGTAGAGCATCCCAACACGCTGTCCAGCATGGCCAACCTAGCGTCAACGTATAGGAACCAAGGACGATGGAAAGAAGCGGAAGAGCTGATTATGCAGGTGATGGAGATGAGTAAGAGAGTGCTGGGTGCAGAGCATCCTGACACACTGAACAGCATGGCCAACCTAGCATTGACGTACTGGAATGAAGGACGATGGAAAGAGGCAGAAGAGCTGGAGGTGCAGGCGATGGAGACAAGGAAGAGAGTGCTAGGTGCAGAACATCCTAACACACTAACTAGCATGGGCAACCTAGCAGTGACGTATAGGAATCAAGGTCGATGGAAGGAGGCAGAAGAAGTGAATGTACAGGTGATGGAGGCAAGGAAGAGAGTGCTGGGTGCAGAGCATCCTAACACACTGTCCAGCATGGCCAACCTAGCAGCGATATACTGGAATCAAGGACAATGGAACGAGGCGGAAGAGCTGGAGGTGCAGGTGATGGAGACAAGGAAGAGAGTGCTGGGTGTAGAGCATCCCGACACGCTGTCCAGCATGGCCAACCTAGCAGTGACGTACCGGAATCAAGGACGATGGAACGAGGCGGAAGAAATAAATATGCAGGTGATGGAGACAAGGAAGAGAGTACTGGGTGTAGAGCATCCTGACACGCTGAACAGCATGGCTAATCTGGCGACGATATACTGGAATGAAGGACGATGGAACGAGGCAGAAGAGCTGGAGGTGCAGGTGATGGAGACAAGGAAGAGGGTACTAGGTGCAGAGCATCCTGACACACTGAACAGCATGGCCAACCTAGCAGCGACATACAGAGATCAAGGACGATGGAACAAGGCGGAAGAGCTAGAGGTGCAGGTGATGGAGACGAGGAAGAGGGTACTAGATACAGAGCATCCTGACACACTGAATAGCATGGCCAACCTAGCAGCGACATACTGGAATCAAGGACGGTGGAAAGAGGCGGAAGAGCTGGAGGTGCAGGTCATAGAGACAAGGATGAGGGTACTAGATACAGAGCATCCTGACATGCTGATCAGCATGGCCAACCTAGCAGCGACATACAGAGATCAAGGACGATGGAACGAGGCAGAAGAGCTAGAGGTACAGGTGATGGAGACAAGTAAGAGAGTGCTGGGTGCAGAGCATCCTGACACGCTGAACAGTATGGCTAATCTGGCGACGACATACTGGAATCAAGGACGATGGAACAAGGCAGAAGAGCTGGAGGTGCAGGTGATGGAGACGAGTAAGAAAGTGCTAGGTGTAGAGCATCCCGATACGCTGTTTAGTATCGCCAACCTGGCGACGACATACTGTAATCAAGGACGATGGAACGAGGCAGAAGAGCTGGAGGTGCAGGTGATGGAGACAAGGAAGAGGGTACTAGGTGCAGAGCATCCTGACACCCTGTCCAGTATGAACAACCTCGCCTTCACTTTGAAAGAGCAAGGCCGCTACGCGGAAGCTCTTGACTTACTGCAAAATTGCGAACAGCTACAGATGAAGATTTTAGGCGGTGGCCATCCCGATACCCTATCATCCTCTGCGGCATTGATCGGTTGGCAGACTGAGAAATTGGAGATTGATATGTCAGCAGCCAATGACACTCACGGATAGTGCATGCTCCCCGCGATTCAGTTTAAGCCTGTATCCGTGGTAGAGAGAAACAGGCATTGCAAAACTTTGATCATGTATATGTCCGGTACAATACCATACGTGATACGGCGAAGTGGGATTGTATTTGTTAGAAAATATGGGCGAATTTTGGGAGGCTCCGATTGGACTTCGAGTCGACTTCGACTAGTCGGATTTTTGACCAATTATATGAAAACACTTGTAAAAGGAGGGGTTTGAAATCTTCAAAACCGAGGACATTCCCCCTAGTAAATTGGGTGCAAGTTTGTCAATTACACAGAACCATCTGAATTCTCAATTTTTTTTTTTGCAATTCGTTCCAAGAATTTTCTCAATCAAGTAACGCAGGGTAAAATTACCACGCTAAATCTAACAGTATTTAAGTTTCTCTGAAAGTAGTTTAGCCCAGCTTGGCGTAAGGTTCGAGAAACAATCGAGAGTAGGACCCCGACACCGGTTTTGCATCCGAGTGTACAGTAGCATTTTAATTCATAATTCGTCTATTTTCAAACCTGCATTCCGGAAATGGCCCTTGGCGCTTTGCTCTCGCATACCAACAGTATCAACACACCATTCCAGGAAGTTATCAAAGCCTTGATTGGGGTCCTCTTCATAAAGTTGCCAATTTCGTCTTATGAACGCCTTCAGCTCAGCAAAGAATTCTTCGATAGGATTCAGATCTGGTGAATATGGGGGCAGATACACAAGTTTAACTCCTTTTCTCAAACACATCTCTTTTATCCGGTCGGAATGATGAAAAGATGCATTATCCATAACAAGAACAGACTTTGGCTCTGGCCACTTTCCACAGTGATTAAGGAGTTGTTTGATAAAATCCTCAAATATTGTAGCGTCGGTTGAACCCTGGAAGATACGAGACAGAATTATACCATCCTGGGCATATGCAGGCAAAATCTGATAGCGTCGGCCACGGTGAAATTTGCAAACTTGGATTGGTGCCACACCCAGAGGTGACCATGCTGTGCGCCTGAATCCCGCTCGTTTATCACACCCCGACTCATCGACAAACAGCAGCTGATCTGAGCTGAAATCTGATATATAATTAAAATATTCATTTCTCAGCTCCCTGTTGCGCTCCTTTGCCTTTTGACGTGCTATCTTTTTTGATCAACTGATTGAAGTAAGAGCCTTGCTGATAGTGCTGATTGCCACGTGTATGTTGAACTCGTTCTACAAGAAGACTGCCATCTCATCCAAATATAATGCCGGCTTTTCCAGGAGATGATCGCACAATGCTTCTAGTATTAACGGTGTAATAACTCGTTTGGGACTGGGGCGCATTGAGGGAGCTCTCGCGCTACCAAACTTGTCGAGGTTCGATTGTACAAGATAAACCGCTTTTCGATTACACTTAACTGTGTTGGCAATCTGGGCAATGGTTAGTTGCTGGCTGCCTGTCAGCATATCACATATCATTTGAATTTTTGATGGTGAAAGATTTCGTCCCATTATAGAATATCGCTGATATCTCTAAAATTAATTTGTGCAAAGAAATGAGCGAGTGGACAAGACAAATTCCTGGTGTTAGGTTAAGGTGCCAAGCCAATACAAGTAATTTACGGTAGTGTGTATCTCATTACAACTCAGTACCAAAGATAGACAATTACCATAACCAGGGTTATTCCGGATCTAGCCATATATATACTAGCGTTCTTTGATATTGTTTCAGATGAAAGAGAAGAGAGTATTAATTGTCACTCCGAACCTGCAAAAAACTGTACATCCAGAGGAACTGTTCGATGACCATGGGTCTTTAACGCATTTTTTATATGCTGGAGAGCGGGTTGATAGAGGTACTTGGTTCTGAAGGTTGGCACAGCGACTCCTCGTTTGTGGGTCTGTAGTAGCTCGGCCATTGGTTCAGTATTAATAGTTAAAACCTCCGACGTTCAGATCAAGAGATTTTGACCAATCGAGTACTGACGATGTTAATGTTGAAGGGAGATGATGGTCAGTTGAAATTTCGTAATTGACAAGACACACATATATATATATATACATACAAAAGAAGAGTCATGAAAGCCATTTAATTTCATTATTCAGGATTATCTCTGATATATCTAAGTTCATCTTTTCTATGGCTCATTATTTCCTGATGCTTTGATGTCTCCTTTACGATCATCAGTACGGAATACATTCTTTATAAGAATCAAAGAAGATAAATTTGAATACTGCAGTGCCCCAGCTCCAACATAGGCTTAAGATAAATTGTCTCCTATGTGACGGTTACTAATCCTAACAAATGGTGGATTTATACGAGAATATCTAACATGAGGAAAAGAAAGAAACCGGGGGAAGCTAGCTAGGGGCCACAGCCTCATATACATAGGCAGAGTAGCGCATATAAACGTCAGATATCTCAAGTGCATACAAATATTATAGAATTCAATATCTCCAGAGTATGCCGTTCAATATCTCCCAGTGCGGCTCTGGACCACGGTGTCAACAAAGCCCTAATCAACAAAGCTAACCACTGGTGCACAGCGTGGGCGTCATATCCTACAGTAATGTAAACAACACAGCCAATTTGTATAGATGGCTACGAATATGATTCTAAGAACTCCGCCACTTAAGTTACAGATTAAAACTGATATTATAAAATAAAAGGCAGCTCTCATTTTTGTGATATAATATAGTTGTTATAATCTAAGGCATGTGTGCATTCTGGTTATATGTGGAAGACTGTTCTATCGTACATGAGAGGGACCTAGGGCTCATATATATAGCCAATGGTATACAAAGAACATCTATCTATAGCCTGAAGGGCTTCACTATGGTGAAAGCCCTTCGATCATGACAATAGTACATGGCTTTCCGTTATATGCTCGTAGCTAATCATTATATGAGACCCATTGCAAAAGCTCTTTCATAAGCAGCTTAGAAATCTAACAACCCTATACTGTGACGGTCCTGTTATTAGATGTCCTGGAGCCTTGTATGTGTCTTACTGCTTAACATATGCCCTCGCCTATATCTTCTGCTCGCACACTTGCAACTTTGTTCCTATTCTTCTTCCTTCTTCATGTTTTGTATTCTAGTACACAGCTACCCTAGGTAGGCAATGGGATATTGTTGAGTTCTAGATTGAGCAATCGTTACATATACAATGATACAGTACATGCCATGATTTAAGGGCTTTCACCATAGTGATACCATTCAGGCTATAGATAGATGTTCTTTGTATACCATTGGCTATATATATGAGCCCTAGGTCCCTCTCATGTACGATAGAACAGTCTTCCACATATAACCAGAATGCATACATCCCTTAGATTATAACACCTGCCCCTGTACTCCCATTGTCCAACTGGGAGCCGTCTGACCAGAGCGTCGTCCCTGCGTCGCTGCTTAGGGCTTCTTATAGTGCCTCGCCGGTGCTCAGCACCCTAAAATTTAGGGGTGGAAGGGCATAGCTCGGGGGGCTGTCGTCTCGAAGCCTTCCGACGGGTCGATATCGAGGCAGCCCGCGAGTCAGCGCGCTAGCAGGGACGCTATGTTGGACTTGCCCCGGGGGTTGGGATTGGCCCAGGCCATATCTTCCAGAGGCTGCTCCCCGGGTTAGGCTGCAGATCGCCCTCTCGAAAGGAGACTGGGAGTACGTTAGCGGTTGGGTACCCCTGTGACAGCCCCAAGATTCGGGCGGCGTAGCACCGCTGCTTGGTGTCTAATAGGACCTTTGCTGGTTCTAAGGCTGCCTCTCTGACTAGGGAGCCTATGGGGGTGCCCCCGAGCATACCTGTCACAGCGCGTGCCTGTGCGTTAACTAGGGTCTGCACCCCTTGCAGGCTGCCTTGCTGGCGGTGCCCCTGGCTCTGGCACCATAATTCAGAGCCATATAGGGCTCCTGCGGCCATCTCATTAATATATAAGCTATTGTCGGTTTATTGAAGCAATCGAGATTCCGCGCTTCCTGACGCGCCGGCCGCAGGGCGCGCGAGGGCTCACGTGATCTTGTTTGGAATGGGGGTTATAACAACACGTTGGTGTCAGGTTCAGAGAGTACACAGAATAATATACGTTTTACCATACTAAATTGAGTACCCTCATAACACCACGTACGCGTACATTCATTTGTTACCGTGCACGTAGTCTTCTTGATAAGTCATCCCACAGCTATTCCTTAAGTTATATAGTTACTCCACTCAGACTACCGAGTATTTTTTTTTACCTTTTTGCTTGGTTTACGCATATTACATATCTCATCCTGACCTTGTTCAATGCCTCTAAAGTTCAGAGAATATACGATTAAATCAATTCAAAGCTGAAATAAAGAGTATGGCATACCAAGAATTCCGCAATTGTCGAGATGACTTGTGCAACATGGAGAACGAGCAACTTTTCAACGAAAACGGTGAAGCCCTGTATGAAACAGAAAATAGGGACTTTTGCGCAAGATAATTGAGGTTAATGATGTGACTATGCTGAATCAATATATTAAATCCTATGGCAGAATTGCTCTTGATCCAGCAGAACTTCACGATCCTTTCTGGATAGCTGCTAAGTGTGGAAGCGCCAATGCACTTCAGGTGCTGCTTGAGTATTACAAAGCTGATCCAGATCAGACACAAGCTCTGGCCGCCCGAGGATTCTTCCTGTTGAATACCGCTTGTCAGTACGCGCAACTTGAGACGGCGCGGTTTTTGCTAGATAGCGATCCTCCGCTTGGAAAGGCGTATACAGGGGATCACCGTGGAGGGGGGGCATTGCTGTCAGCGGCGATGTCCTTGGCCCATAGAGTCGCACGAAAGAGTGTAAAGCTACAAGGATAATAGGGGTTGGTTCCGTGATCGAATTACTCGTAGTGAGGACTTGATGCACATGCTCCTTGATAGGGGCGCTTCTGTTCGTGATGTTGTCCAAGTCCTCCGGCATTCAGATGATGATAATACTGAGGGAAAACTGCAGCAGCAACAGTGGCCGTTGCTCAAGACCGTACTTGGACAGGCAGTCTCTAGGGCTAGTTACAAGTTATTGTCTCGTCTCATTGCCGAAGGGGCGGATGTCCATACCCGGCAGTACGGTATGGGTGATTTTTCAGGCTACGGATCTGCTCAGGAGGTCACTGCACTTCACATTGGGAGCTCCTACTGGAACTCGGAAGGGGTCCAAGCGTTGATACAGCACCGTGGTCGCGAAATTGATGTTGCAGAGATGGTTTCTGTGAGTGACAGCAACGGGTGTCTTCCACTACACTGGGCAGCTGTAGGCTCCAGCGACGAAGACCTTCTCACAGAAGATAAAATTACTTCCAAAATTATAAGCACCTTCAAGCTTCTTATAGATGGAAATACCAGTACCATCAATATCCAAGACAAGATGGGGTCCACGGCTTTGCATTATGCAGTCGAAAGCCATGCTGCCTGTGGTAATAGACATGCATATCTCGTGATAAAATTCTTATGCGAAAATGGAGCAGATGCGAGTTTGCAAGATTATAAAGGACAAACTGTTTTACATAAGTTGGCTCTTCGCTCTATTGACGGTGCACCCATTGATAGAGCCCTGATAGAGCTACTACTGGCTCACGGTGCCAATCTGGATCATATCGATGCGGATGGCAATACTGCTCTTCACATTATGGCAAGAATTCTGCGACAGAGGCAGGCTGCACAGATTTTAATCACCCTGGGGGCTAATTTCCATGCTAAAAACGTAAAGGGGAATATCTCCTTGCATGAAGCAGTGGTTGGAGTGCTCCGGCCACGGCAAAACCTAGAGGGAAACCAGGAGAATGTAACACCAAACGATCGAATCAAAGCGCAAGATGAGATAATCGAGGCCTTAGAAAATGGTGCAGGAGATAAAAGAAGTTTAATGGATCAACCCAATGCAGCTGGCCTGACACCAAGACAGTCACTGGAGGAGACAAGGACTAGGTGGCAGGATATCAGGACCAAATTATCGCGACCCGGTTCCAATCAGCAGGGCTAAGAATTCTCAATGAAAAATGAATGCAATGCCAAAGTAGAAGCAGAAGCTATTAGAAGGGGGGAGGATATTTCAAGGCTTAGGATTACAGGAGTAAGAGGTACGCGCAGAAATCAGTGCAAAACGAGCCAATCCAGCTAGAACTTGCTTGGAATGTTTCGCGGACCCGAGAATACAGTATGATTTGGTTAGAAACTGTAATTCCTATTGATTTCCAACATGCCTCTTTTAACTAGTCGATAGTTTCAAAATCATCCGTTTGTAAGCAGACATTTTCACACGATGGGTTTATCTGCAGATGGTGATGCGGGCGAGGAACGCTTTCCTGTTGTGGCGACACCTAAAGGTAAATTACATGAATAACTTGAATATGCTAGTTAAGAATCAATAAAACATCTTAAAGATACTACTACTGATACAGTCATTCTTAATCAGGATATATTTCTTGTTATAATGTTGTCAATGTTACCAATTGGTAACCTAGATCTATAATTCAGCCCACCATGTCCCACACCATGAAGGTTCGTCGCATGCCGTAAATCCAAATTCCAAGCCGAATCTAGCCACCATTGCTGCATCTCTTGCCCCTGCAAATAGTGCCCTGGCCTTATCATCTTGGGAAGGAAAAGGCTTCGTATACCGGTCTAGAATGGATTGATCGATATCATCACGACTATCAATCACGTCTTCGAGCACCCGAAGCAAGTCTGGATCGAGCGCATGTGAGCCAAGAAGAAGAAGATAATTAACGGTCGCGTTTCCAATCACAGATTCGATAGATTCCCTGATCTCTGTCCAATATTTTGCCAAAGCTTCTGGGTTAGTGGTATTTGCTTGGCCAGCACCAAGTGTTGGGTTTTCGTTAAGACATTCAGGCGATGGCATCAAGCCCAAGAACCTTGTGTTTAGAGTCACACCAAGACTAGCTGCATTGTAGCTTACCACAAGAAGAGTGGGTAGATTTGGCTTCGATAAGTCGCAATATTTCCCCCACCCCTCGTCATCACAGGCGTTATCTACTCCTTCATATCGTAAAGCGTAACCAGACACGATATTACCCCAAGGTAAATTGTCTAACCCTGCCAAATAACATGCCAGGCGGAATCCATCATTATGCATATATCCTTGCTCAAAGTCAGGCCGGGTAACAAGAACATAATTATAGTCAAGCGGTGGATCAATGTTGTTCATTGCAGAGCTCTTGACTCTAGATAGCATATCAGCGATAGCTTTAAAGGAATCGTCAGCCAAATGTCCGACATCCCTCAATCTAGATTGCTCTTCGGATAGTTGAGGCATTCTTTGAGCTGATCTATACCATGTATAAGGAGACCACCAGTATTCTCTAGGAGGATTTAATGGCTTATGAGGTGTTGAGAAATGGATTTCTTTCCTAAATAGAGAGATAGTTAGTCTAAATTAGACATAAAGTCTATACAAGGAATGAATCTCACAATGATGACTTCATGCCATTTCGCACATTTTGTGCATCTTCAGCAAGGGCTCTCATAGCTAATAGATATTCTGGCGTTCCATCAAACTTCCCAAGGTCTCGCGTGGTGCCATTCTTGAAATGGATTGCGACCGTCCTATCAGAATATTATCAGTGACACTTGGTTCATTATTTCTTAAGCATTGAATAGATGAATTTGCCCATATGCCATAGTTAGATCGATACCCACTCCTAGAGTTCTTTAGTCATATCCACTTCGGTGGCCATGAATCTTGTTTCAAAAATCTAGTCATACCTGGTGCATTCTTCATTTTGATAGGTCTACATTCCTTACAGAGGGTCTGGCTTCCGGCAACTTGTGAAAATAAGAGGGCAGTGAGAGTTATCCACAATAACGGACATAACTGTATCAATTGCATAATGCTTATTGTAGTATAGAAGAGGTTATATCCAATACCTGAGATGAATAGGAAGGTTGATGGTTAGGTTAAGGCAACAGAAAGGCTGACTTCGAGAGCAGCGGGGTTCGTGGTATGAGACTTGCAGGCTGCCGAGCACGCCCAAAGCATAGCGCCTTTTAATCTTGTTGGTTCCGAGACGCCCGATGAACTGAACAGTTGTCAGAAATAAAGGTAATTTTAGAGATCCTGATTCGCCGCTGTGTCGGCTCCGACAGAGGAGACATCTGGCCAACTAGATGGAAATAGGTTTTATAATAATAAGGGTATTGAATTCTTCAAAATTGAGGATAATTCCCTTAACTGGTGTCAGGATCTTAGCGACTTTTTCAAGTCAACCCCAAGAGGAGCTGAACTACTTTTAGACCGATTCTAAAATCGATGTTATTTCCTATCGAGCAAAATCCCCTAAAATACGTATAGTATTGATGGAGTGTGCCGCGCTGGAGAAGGTTTGTATTAGTTGATTGCTGTCGTAGGATTTTTGACTTAGTAGACATACAACGATCTAGATTCTGATATTATTTTTCTCACATGATTCTTTCACATGGAATATGAGAGAGGTGTGTTATTAATTACATAAGTAGACTATAGGTGGTTAGCCAATATTTCAAATGTCATTCATAAATATTATAGGGCAACTGATCCTAGAACACGGATAGTATTTCTGCGCTGCTAATGCACCGTGCCACATACATGTAAATATATGTATTCATATCCAATCAACCCTTTGAAGTTGTGTCTCAGCTAGTAAACTTGGCATTGTATACCTTGTTTACTTGTCTGTTGCTAGTTAAGGTGTCTTCGGTCTTGTTAGACTGCTTTACCTTGTGGCAACCTTGACTTCAGATATTGCTATTCAACGAGTCTTGCAGGCGATGCGCTAAGATATGTTCTTTTATCTTGGAAAAACTATTATTGTTACCCTATCAGCTCTTCCATCTTCCTTGAACTACATCTCCTAAAATTAATATTACTTTTTTCGCACCGGAGAAATTCGTCCGGGGAGAGGACCAAAGGTGGAACTTGATCCCTAACACCAAAGGTAAGCGACTCCGGTGGGCTCGATTGGGCTTCTCAATCCTCAACTTAATTCACGAATACAATGTGTGTGTTCTCCATGGAGATCTACGATCTATAGTAGCGGTGTCATCGAGGTCCGCGACTGAGATGATTTATCGAGACTATGCGTATCAAAAAGTGAAAATATCAGTCCTCGAATATCGGCCTTGAGTGCTCTCCATTGTCAGCAGAATGCCTAATTAATTTCCGATACAAGAGGCAAGATAATTACACATGAATAACTTTCCTGATATCAAATCCATCCTTTGTAGCCGCGGAATCAACCTAAGGAAGAACATACCCCCGCTGATTGCTCACAACCCGTACCCCTCCTTCTCTGAAATCTGTTGTGTATTGTGTGTCTCCAAATACCCAGACCTTGACCCCATTTAACGAGTGCGAGAGGACATCAGTTCCAAAGGCGGACTTCCACGGATTCTGTGAGTGTTGCGGACTAGATGTTCTTTCCAGAGAAGGTGCATGGTGCGTCACCACCAGTATAGATTGTTTTTGGCTCCTTTTTTCAACATTTTCATTAACTTGTTGTATTGAATGGATTTCTTTTAGTAACCAGACAAGGTCTGAAACATGACAAGTATTATGATTGTCGACTCTCCAGTCTTTGATTTTTTGAAAGTCTTTGATCTTTGATTGAACGATGTCTCTTGATTCGTGAGGAATCTTAGACCATAGTGTGCAGCCTAGGATAGTGACACAAGATCCTGGAATATCATACCGTCCTCGATCAAGGATGATGAGTCGTCCATTGAAAGAAGATTCTTGTTCAAGCTGTCTAGCTTTTTCGAGTCCGAATGCAAATGTTCCATTATAAAATTCATTATTCCCAAGTATCAGAAATACCAGTTTGAACTGCTGCGTCTGCTTTTGTAAGAAACCGCGATATTTATCTTAGTCGGCTAAGCGCCCAATATCACCTGCAAGAATGAGGTAGTCCGCGCAGAGAGGGATTTCATAAGATTGATATTGCTGTTTAATCTCAAGATGGGGGTCTGAGAGAACTTGAAAAGAAACCGATGGCCGACAGATGAATGGCCAGGTCTTTGAGAACATTATTTCAGACCGCTGCACTGGTTGATAATGCGCCTAGGCGTTGAGGGGGGTTTCTGGACTTCGTATTAATTAACTGTTGCCAAGACTGCACTGCTGTTTCTGCGGACAGCGGGATTCTCTGCCCACGTTCGAAACCAGCTGGCGCCGTCGTCATTTGCACAATGTAACAGCTTCCCTCAAATCAAAAAGAAAAATGGGAGTTGTCCTCCAAGTCATAAAGGTCGTTGTCTCTAGCCTCCAAAGTGAAGGCATCCCATACTTTTTCCAGCCTCATATTTCATCTTTCTCCATTATACCAGAGTACTGTATGGCCTGAAGATAGACAATCCACCATCTACTGTCATCAGATACTGGATTTAATCCGTCGAGACGAAGTCCAACATCTTCCGGTCCCACATCTGCCTGTTTTCTTCATTGGTCTCTGTCGGAGATTCTTTGAGTCCAACATTGCATGGGTAGCATTGCTGTGGAGCAGCTGGTGGATTAATAACATAATAGACCAAAGGCCACAGTACTCTAGGTTCTCAGTAGTAAGTATGTATCAAATCTAGACATAAATGTGTAGTCCTAGAACTAATTTCAACCTAAGGCTAATCACCTCTGTCTAGGCAGTATAAACCTAAATCTTAGGTCATCTGCCTGATTCAAGTCGAAGGCCGCAGCTTCCGGATGACTATGTAAGAAACCAGATACAATACGTTTTTTTAACTAAAAAAACTATTTTTAGGTCTGGGTTTCCCCGGATGGTGTGGCTTACTTATACGAAAATTCACATAATCCACCATATTGGGACCCCGTCGGACCGGAAATCTTCAATACTGGCGTGGAACGCAAAGCGCTTCATTTGGTGGACTTTGATGGAGATGGCAAGGTAAGAGATATTTTCTACGCAATTTAGATGGAGAGCTATAGATATTGGACATATTAAACATACTGAACACTATAACCAAGCAAATATTTAACCCTTCTCTCCTATCACCTCATGTTGACCAATGTTTCTGCTAACCCTAATATCTGTCAAGACCATTGCTGGGCCGATGTGAATGGTAAATCCCTCATGGAATTCTCTCATACTTTACATCTAATTGATTACTTCTAGGGCAATGGTTTGGTTGATTTCCTCGGAGTTGACAACTTCAGTGGAGACACATGGGTAAGAGAGTCCATGTTGTTGAGTTTGTTGGCCGCGTAGGCTAATGCGCTGACGTATTTCCCTTCATCGTACTAGAAGAGACAATATAATGCTGCCTCAGCAAAGTGAAGATCGTTGCCTCCGATGGACATGGTTGCCTAGCCACTCGTTTCATAGTAGTTAAGGTCCATAACCCAGGGCATCTGGGCCTTCTCCCATTTTCATTTTCGCGTTCCAAGTCATTGATGATTGCTCCAGAACACGCTGAGAAACGCAAGTGGCACCTTGCGTCTGAAAACCTGCAGTTTGCAGCTGAAATGGATAGGATTCTTGACAACGGCGATAGTCATCATCTTCGAGACTTTCATCAAACTCTGATCTAGCCGCAATATGCCCTAATCCCAGCAGCATAGGAATCGCCATGAGATACATGTAAAGATCTGAATACCTCTACGTATATAATTATAAAAAATTTACCTACAATTACTATATTTAAGAGATAGCACTCAACATAATTAATTGATCATATAGAGTCAAAGTATATAAGATTAAAGTATTCTATATATGATTACCATGACTGGGTGGAAAATGATAATGGGCAACTTTTACCGACACCTCACAGGGGTGTCCAATCACGAAGAGCCACGCGAACATCGCCGCCCCCAAGCCGCATGAACTAGATCGGGACAGGCACCCCCGACCTCCCCTATGACTATCAATGTAGTATATTTACACAAGACGAGGGATTCGCAACGTGGGTAACGCCAGGCGGAACATTCAGTACTCCGATTGTAGGGGAGGAAGGTGATATTAAATAATTCTTTCGGGCTTGAAGATTGAGGGTCCTGGGGTTGCACGCGATTAACTAATTACCTGTAATGGGGGATTATGATCAAGCTTGGAGCATATAGAATATACCTCGACTACAGGCTAACTCTTAGATCATTGATATGATGTGCTCTAGGCATCATTTCGATTGTGTTAAATGTGAAAGCCTAAAATAGGCAGCAGCCTAATCATAGTCAGTAGTAGTAACAATATTATAATCACGAACCTGAATTTATGATTGAACACGAACAGTTAGTTGGATTCGTCATTGAACAATCTTCATGCTGACAGCCCTAAGGCCCGGGTGAGCACTCCGTAGTGCGATCATCGTCATACTGTATACTCACTAGCACGTACCAACTCCAAACATTTCAAACAATGGCAATCGATCGATGCCAGCCAGTTACAAATCCGCCGAGACCTGCCAATGCAATGCTTAGCAATGCTGGTTAGGCTGGCGCGTTGATGACTGTGCTGTTGTTGTCCTGTAGATCTGCGATTAGACAAGCTGACCGTCGTTTCACATTGAATAGAACACATCTAGAAGCCGGCATTTCGGACCCATGTGCCTGTCACACGCCCATGCTTGATGCTACTGTCTTAGACTGAAACCCCGGTTTGCCCGATTTGCCCGGTTTTTCAACCCCAACACGGCTGGCGTGGAGGAAAGCGTAAAATAGAGTGCTAACTATATACTCTGTGAAGCGATGGGGATATGTTGGGCTGGTTGGCCTGTTCTTGGCCAATCGGAACGCGATAGATTCTGCAATCGGGATGGCTGGATATAGTATAATCCTCGAGCCCAAGAGGTCCTGGACCGTTCTGCTCCGAAAGCGGAGACTCGACCCAAGTGAATCGACGTGCTGTGCGATGGCGGATGGGAGATCCAGCAATGAGTTGAGTCGTGATAAATGGATAATCGATAACGGATGATGGATGATGGATAATGGATAATGGATGCCACGCGACAACCGGGCTGTGGCTGCTGCGGCGCTGTGCTGTAATGCGCAGGAACTGGCTGCGTCAAAGAGCAATCTAATTAATTTTTATTAATTAAATCTGATCTGGTCAGCCAGCTTCGGAGATCGGAGCCAGCCATGCGCCTCGGCGTCACTGTTGAGGCTGTTCTGTAGATAGGTGCTGTAAGGATAGAAGGATAGTGCGTAAGAAGAGAGTGGTTGAGTGGTGACAGCATGGGAAGCAGCGCCGTCCGTCTTCCTCCATCCACCAACTACCACCATCACCACCACCTCCACCACCATCGCAATAACAACATTGAACCAGTCAAGAGTCACGGCAACAATCACCACCTCGTGGCTGCCTCATGCGCAGCGTAACATCGCCTGGAAGCCTCGTTACTGTGTGGTCGCATTGCTCTCCCTGCTCCGCCTCACCACGGCTCCAGTCAGCAAACCTGCTAATAATCATACTAACTACAAGTTGACTGTTGAAGTGCTCCTGCGGACTACCGCCGACCTCCCCCGGCCCTGTTCTCGTCTCGCTAATCGTATTCGACTAGTGAACAACAGCCGATCGGTGTCAGCCAAGACGACCCCTCCCCGGCTTGCGCTGCCCTGAGGACGCCCGTTACGGCGTGACCAGGTTCCCTTTTCAGCAATTGTGCAGCCACTGCAACCGTCGTATATATTTATCTCGATTGCTCGCCACGCGCAACTGACCCCAGAAACGGCTCCGTTACCAAGTCATCCCTCCATCCGCCTCTCCCTTGATTCGCGCGCGCGCTGCCGGGCGCTTGAGCCTCCCTCTCTCTCTCTACCTCTCCCATCCAGTGCGACCAACAAGTGACAGAACGTGTCTTTGCGACGCCAGCTTGACAGAGCTAAGGCATACTATACGAAACCAGCGCGTCTCATTGGAGTCGTCCTTGGTCGTGGTCATCCTTCCATCGCTGTAGTCAACAGCCTATCCCGCTCCTGGCTCGACCGGCCGAGAACCCCGCACACCGTCTCCTGTCTGCGAGGGGGACCGAACGACAACAGACCACTATGCCTGAGACCGAGACCGAGACCGCGACCGTGGCCGCAGCGACGGAGGAAATCCTGGTCCAAGACATCGATCAGCAGAATGCGAATGACGAGGCGGACCAAGACGATGCCGCGTCGGACGCTGACCAGAGGCTGGGCGTAGATCCCGTTGAGAAGTTCATCAAACCCTTGGTCTTGGAGGAGTCGCGTCTGTACATGCTTGCGCGGCGCTTCTCCGAAGTATATCGTTATCTCGCCTTGACGTCGGATCAGCAGTTCCTCCCGACGCCCGTGACGAAGCTGCCAACTGGCGAGGAGGTCGGTCGCTACTTGGCCATTGACGTTGGCGGCAGCAACCTGCGTGTGTCCTTTATCGAATTGTTGGGCGAAGATGCGGACTCGGACAAGGGCCCAACGGATGCGTCGGAAAGATCGCGCGATACCATCCGCAAGGCCCAAAGACAGCGTGTGCGACGCACATTGGAGAAAGCATGGCCGATCCAAGAACATCTAAAGATGGATAAGGCGGAGGATCTGTTTTCTTGGATTGGAGACTGCATTGCTGAAGTCATAGCCGACAGCCTTTCGTCAGATGCCACCAAGGGAAATGTCCCCGAAGAGTTGGAGATGGGCATTACTTTCAGTTTTCCGATCATGTACGTTTTAACAATGAATGGGCGTGGTTGTAGGCGATTTACTAATTATTGTACAGGCAAGAATCCGTCGGAGAAGCTACGTTGATGCCTATGGGCAAAGGATTTGCGATTACATCCGATCTCAATCTGCGAAACATTCTACTGGCCGGGTACGAGAAGCACACACGGCGAAATGACGATGATCAGCCCTCAAGCAAGAGGCGAAAACTCTTTGCTCTCCCGAAACTGAAGATAGCTGCCATCACTAACGACACAGTTGCAACTCTCATCTCGTCCGCATACTGTGTCAAAGCGTTACCCAATAGCCGGGTAGCAATGGCCATCATCGTTGGCACTGGCTGCAATGCAACGATCCCGATGCGTCTCACCGATTTACACGAATCCAAGGCCAAGCTTGTGAGCTCAAGAGAGCCTGATGCGACACAGACTGTAGTCAACACGGAAATAACCATCTCTGGCGCGACAGCGCCGCTTGGAGAGTTGAATATAACGACAAAATGGGATATTGATCTTGATAAAGCGTGTGCGCGCCCTGGCTTTCAACCATTGGAATATATGACGGGTGGACGATATGTTGGGGAACTCGTCCGTATTGTTCTCTTTGACTACCTCACCAGCGTGGTGGGGGTATCCAAGAAGGAGCTTCCTGCTACTTTGGTACATGACTACGCTCTCTCCACGATCTATCTTTCGGACAAGGTTGCGCGCATCCGGTCTGATCCAGAACTGGTGACGGAACTCACACGATCTCTTCCTCCCCCAGAATCCAGCGAGTGGAGCTGGGATAATCATACAGCAGCCGCGTTTCGGAGAATCGCCAGAGCTGTCCAAACGCGTTCGGCCGGTCTCATCGCCTCAGCAGTTGTGGGTTTACTAGCTTGCACGCGAGAAATCCAATTGAAGGACGATAGTACACGAACCACACCGCAACCCGCAACCGCAGACGAAGAGCAACACGGCACACAGCCCGAAAACCTTGTTGCTTCGACAACCAACTCGGCAGGTCACAGTCACAATCGGAACCTCATCGTTCCAGTTCTCGCTCCAGCCCCAGCGGACTGGCAGTCTGGGCCCGAGGAACTGGTCGTCGCATACACCGGAGGAATCATCCAGAACTACCCCAACTTCAAAGAAACATGCCAGAGCTATGTCGATCGACTGATTATGCGAACCGGCCCGCAGAAGAGCGGCCGCTCGGTGTTCCTCCGCGAAGCATCGGACGGCGGTGTAATCGGCGCAGGTGTGCTCGCGGGCATGGTGGCTCATCAAGCATAACCATTCAATCACTTCTGGGTAACCTCTCTAGAGAAGCATATTTAATGAATAAATATTAATGACTAGCCATAAATCGCCTGGTGTTTCTGGATAGAATCTCGCGATATGTACTTTCGGGGCTTTGCAATATCATCAAGCCAGCATATTGAGAGATATTTTATATATATTTGGCGTTGAAGATTTCGATCATTCCAATAGGCCAGGCCATCTATATATTGTGAAATTACGACCATTACAATTCACTCTGAAACTACCGTGCAAAGAATCTCGTAGGATTAATATTTCAGGCTGCTTCCGAGTCAGGGTCTGGACAGTTTACGTCAACTGGCACCTTGCTAGCACGAATCAGCTGAGAGCTTTTCGTTCAGCCCACACTGGACCAACGTTAGACATTTGACATACACGTGTAAGCAAGCAATACTAGTCGAGGCTTAGAAGGTGCCTTACTCGCGCTAAGCAGGTCTAGATCCACGATCTCGGGTTTGGACCGGTACCCTAATACATTTCTGAATGTAGTATAATCTATTATTGTCTAATTACCAACACCAGCTTCGGGGCAACGTTGGTTGGCTTCCTAGCGGCTTAGGGCTTAGACTAGGTGACGTCTGCTTATTATTTACCTGCATATTCCCCATCAATCGGTTGGCTTTGGTTGCTCTTTAGCCATCAGTAATTAGCACGGGGGGCTTGTTATTCACATTTAAAGTATATAAGAAATAACATAGAGATTTCGCTTCTTGACGGAGTATTCTACGAGGAACCAGGAGTTGGATTCATTTTTATCGATCATCTGTATTCAACATGGCAGCCAAAATCTCTTCACTCGATATTCAACTCCTTCGCCTGGCAACCAAACGGATCGTACAACTATCCTACACTCTCACTCCTGCCACCGCCCCCCTTCGAACAATTTCCTGGTTGTATTCGTCAACGGACTGGGCCTGCCACAAGCAGCTTGGTTCCCAGTTGTTTCCAGGCTCAAGGAGCGCCAACCCAACCATCTCCCCGCCCTGCTCACCTACGACCGCTTCTGCCAGGGCCAAACCACCGATCGCGACCCTGCAGACGCTGTCGCCTCCGATCCTACTCACGGCCACGACCTGACCGCCGCAGTCGCTGACCTCCATCAACTAATCACTCAAATCGTCGCCGACAGGACACCCATCGGCAACGTGGATGCCGCACAACTAGTCCTCGTGGGTAACTCCATCGGATGCGCGCTTTCTCGCCTGTACGCACACGAATACCCCGGCACTGTTGCCGCCCTCCTCCTTCTAGATAGTAACCTCGCAAACTCCGACTTCGTCTCCATCTTCCCGGACCCCGAGAGCCCCGGTTTCGACTCCGTGGCTCTGCCCTAGGGAGTGAGTGTGGAGACCCTGCGACTCGGTCGTGGAATGATGCGAAAAGTCTTCCATCCCGACGTCGGAAACAAGGAAGGACTAAGTCGAAGGAACCTCCCGACGCTCCTCCCATCCAGTGACTCACCCAAGCTTCAAGGCGTGAACGGTGGTGGGCCCTATGTAACCGTCATAGGACATGACTACGAAGCCTTTGCGGAGGAGTCGGCCAAAATGGGGTTTCCGAGGGCTTTTTTGACGCAGTATGTGAATCCGTTTTGGAATGAGTATAACCAAGGGTTAGTCAGGATTACTGATGCTGCGAGAGGCAATGGTCCCTTGTTGGCGCCTGGTTCCGGCCATTTTGTGCAGCGTGATAATCCGGATTTTGTGGTGGAGGAGTTGGTGAATATTTTGGGAAAGGTTAGGATTTGAATGAGGTCGATCTGATAGGAGGATTTCAATTTTTGGATGGTGGGTTGCGATGGAGGATTGAAAATGAGAGAAATTTATACGTTGATTAGGGTTAGAGTTGAACCTTCCAGATCAAGTAATAAGCGCAACCGAGTCACGACTGACTGCCTCGCCCTGGGAAAGTCCGAATGCCGTGGGGCCTCCCTGATAGTATATATATCCTTGTACTTGCCAATACAGACGCAACGCAGTCTTCATGACTGCCTTGTATCCAGGGTACGGTTTAAATAGTTCTACATTGGAGTTGCATCTGCTCGTGTGGCCCTCCCTGCGAACACTGATGACATCCCCGATTACATTGCAAGTCGACTTCAAACCCAGAGACTTGAGCCAAGACGACCAAAGGTGTACTGCAACGCGGACGTCATCCCTTTTCTGGAGGTGATCGAATCGAATCAAGACGTCTTGATTCTCTTGAGACAAAGGTGAGCTCCCTTGAGCTCGACAACGAGGGCCCCGAATACAGATCAAAGATTAGCGGGAACACTCTGATGGGTTAATTAAGCTAGCTGGGAAGAACCAGCGTGAATATGTCAACAGCTGTATAGAAGTATCCGAAAAAAAGCACCGGGAAACTGTCGAGCAGTATCAAAGTAGCCTGAGAGAACGTACCGACCTCTTTCAAGACACCAGCAAGAATTAGTCAGCCAACAGGAGAAACAGCTTCTCGCGATACTAGATCATTGTGATAGACAAGAGACAAAATGAGTGCTTCCAACATCCATATCGAAAATCAGTACGATCGCTATCTAGAATGCAGATTCGCAGAGCTAGACTCTGTGGGCCTCTAGATGTTGTCCAATCGAAATCGGAATATCCGAAACGAGACTACACACGGAGGGGGTATTCATATGTCGGATGTTGATGGCTATCACTTGGCGTTGGCAAGGGCAACATGGAGTGGAGCTATACTTCAGTTTAGTAGTGACTCATGGCTCGAGGTGAAGGACTCACGTTCGGCTTGGCCTCGTCGACAGCAAAATCTCGGGCATGGGTAGAGAAATGTATCCATATATCGTCGACTAGGTCACATGATGATAGACTTGTGTTGCCTCGTCGGTCGCTACGAAATGGCCGGACTCGAACCGAAAGGACACGCTTGGACATGAGCATCTACTCGACCATATCGTCCCACCTGTACGTCAACGCGCTTGAAGAGTGAGAGGCAGGAGGCTTCAGCTCGGGATTGGCACATTGAACATCGTGTCGCATTACTGATTGGGAGATTGTGGCTGTGAGCTGCGTGTCATCCTTCATAATTCTCAATGAACAGATTCATGTCTTCCGAATCAATCAGGTCGTAAACGCCATCGAAATGTGCCGCAAACTAGCGAGAGACTTGGTCAAACAGTTCGAAAAATACCCGGGTATGATGGCGAGCAAATGCCAGTGTCAGTTGACTAGGTACTAACGCAGTTCGTCCCCACGGCATGTTGGCAGGCTTGATAATCCGCGACCCCCATGGGTTGTGGCGCAGGGGTGGCAGCAGGCTAGCCATAGCGCCGTTGCTTGGAATGAGCCTATTTAGGAACTGTAAACACTTTTTTGAGCTTGTTAGGGTGCCGGCTTTGATGTTTACTCCGAGTAGCCCTCATGCCTGGTGGATGGCAACAAAGTCGTCCCCGAAAGAACCTTTTTGCTGTGCAGTATTCATGTTGAATCGTAGTCTGGCGAATCCAGACGAGTGAAACTCCACAGCCTACATGGTGCTCTACAAGCCTGTAAGTGAGATTTTATTTCAGACATGAGATGACAACCTACCAAAGAGCCTTTGTCTATACAAAGTAGCATTGCAGCTCATAATTTTGTATACCGTCGAAAATTCTAACTTCAGTTTCTTCATATTTTTGGCTCTTCATAATGTAGATGATTACCTCTGACAAAGACCTCCCTAAATTGCTTGGAACTCCAGCGAAACAGGTCAAATGGGCAAAGAAACTTGTCATCGAGCGTCTAGGCATTACTGCAAAGCATGTGTACAATCCTCCTATGCAGGGAATGTTTAGCAAAACTATATTTGTCACCTTAAAGGATGATAGTGAGATGGTCATTCAACTCGGTACTGAAGCGCTTGATGTCGATACATTTACAACTGCAAGAGGAGCGCTAGGTGCATATGTCACTGATTCTAGCGCTCTCATCGACGAAGAGCTGGAAAGTGTGGGTGCTTGGGCTTACACTTTTACTCTCATGCCGGGCAAGGCGTGGTGTTTAGGAGTCGCTGGACAAGGGCCTGAAGGTCGTATCACAATTAATAAGTTACTCGGCCATGTCTTTCGAAGGGCTATCTCGCCGGTAACAGTAATGATGCTTTTAGGAACAAAATTGGACCACATATAGACGATAATTTAGCGTCATCATTGGATGAAATAGTCCCTTTTAAAAATTACTTTTTGAACGCTTTGTCAAAAGTCTTAACAGCTTGACCCAGCTCCTTCTGTGGGTCGCAAATTATTGGTCTGTGAAGTAGGCTGAGAAAATTTTAGGGTAGGCTGATATGTGCCCCCATACTAGCAAACAAATAGCCAGTCAGCGGATACATTGTAGGGTAAAGCCTCAGTCAGATATTAAAATTCAAATCTATTATATGTGTAGACAAGATAGCTAATTAATAGTATACTTATGGACATAAGACTAATGCAATGCAAAGTCAACAAATAATGGTCAAAAAGTTCCGACATCTGACTAAGGCTTTGCCATGTTTTCTAATATCTATTGGGGCCTGTCGGTTGCGCGGAAAGTGAAGCATATGATTATTACGATTACCGATATAAATGTCAATGATATTTATGCCATTGTATGGACAACAAAGCCTACTAGTCACCTAGCTCAAGGTTAGCTCTATTTCAGGGGCTTGTTTTGCTCATACACAGCTTAGTATTGAAGTCTAAGTAGGTCAATGTTACATAAAGATATTCACGGCTATCTCGGCAACATGGATGTGTAGGTGTGGATGAGAAGGGTCAATAGACCACTACGTATTTCTCCGTAGCGCCTCAGATATCCTTGTCTAGTGGTATTTCATGCAATGAATCTAACATTAAAATTAGTTACGTTCAACGCTCTCAACCGAGGAACTGCATGCTAGTGCAGCCAACGTACATGAACTACCAGGCCGACATAGCCGCTTTGGAAGCGCCCCTAGCACGGCGCCAGACAAGGATTCCCGGGTTCCGTCATCCAATATTATGGGTAGACAATATCAACATCGTTGACCATTGGATGTTTTGTCTTGATCCCGCCGTACTGCGAGTGTTGAATACAGTGAACAGGTATCTTCCATGCTACGTATACTCCACCTTAAACAAGTTATCTCTACTGACTTTTACCCATGGCAATAGCTACTTTTCAGCCCGCCAGGGACTTTGGCATTATGGGAAGCGGCGTTCGTTGAGCTATGCAACTAGCTTTAATCAATTATGATGCTGGATAGCCCAGTCCATTTATCACTAGGAATTTTCCAGATCAATACACACATGTAGTGTATGTATATCTTGGTTGCAAAGTCCCCGTTACGTCATACCTGTATCTAATTCTTACTAATTTAGCATATGTGCTACGCCGTACAGCGATATTTTGATTTACCTATCAATATCCAATATTTTCCCCTATGTCGGTTATATATAATGGTCCTAATGTTCAATATCTAACCGCTCACCTCAACTTCCTCACTCCTAAATTCGCTTCTGTAAAAAGATACAGTTCTGGGACTAATACTTCTGGTTTTCAGTTAGCCTACGCCGCAAATTCAATAACTAGTAATGATCGTCACCAAAGATTTCCTGACTCCCACTAGTAAATATTCTTTATTTTACAGGTAGGTGACTAGATGACTAGATGCGTGATTGGTAAACCGAGGGCGAAATCTTGACATCCTATTCAATGCCGATAATTTGCCCATGTGCTGCGCTATATCGTAATTTTATTATAAATATCTGATAATTCAGCTCAAATACCGCGTCACATAATGCTTCTAACCCTGGTATCCGACACTGACTAATTTAGCATATGTACTTCGCCGCAAAATATCTATAATCCCTGTATCCAACATCGAGTGATTAACTAATGTAACTGTGGCCCTTGAGCGAGAACGGCGGAAAAGCCGTGCGAAGATTGAGAATAAAAATGAAGGCATAAATCATGATGAAGAATATTGTACCTGATAAAAAAATAGATCAGTCAAGCAGCTAACATTTTCCTTCTCAAATACATTATGTGACCAGCGCAAATTTACCGAAGTTTTGTAATTGAGAGTTTTCGGAAGGAATTCATAATTTTGAGAATGCACTAATGCACTACATACTTCTGGATATCAGTCAGTCTGCGCCGCAAATCCAATAACTAGTGCACAGGCACGGTTACATCATCAAAATGCAGAATTCAGCCTACAGGGGTCTAGACGTAACAGTAGCTTCGGCAATGCGGTGGCTAATAGTTACTCATGTTCTCGAAGTATGGCAAGGCGCTAGCAATTCTCTGCCATATTATAAATACCTAGTCTAAAACGAGGGATTTCAAGTCTCTCAAGGGCAGTCATTCACGAACTACATACCCAGCTACTGATTTAAAATTGACTGCGCGCCTCTGGCAATTAATTACTCAACAGTTTATGAAAAACATATACACAGAAACGCATATAGAGATACAAAACAGCATTTATAAGCAGCTTGTTCCTATACTGCAATGTTTTTTTATAATATTGGTCACAATGCTTCTGAATCCATTCCGGCCATGTGAGGGTTCTCCAACCTTTCAAGAGGAATATCGCGGCAGCTACGTGCCACAATTTATCGAAACAGAGTACGGCCTCCAGGTGGTAGCACCAGATACTCCATACGTAGCAGCCGCAGGCCCAAACCAGTTATATTTTATCGACACCCGGTTCGATACTGAGACTGCAAGGCACATAAAGGAACAAATAGAGAGGGCATCTGTGCCGAACATGGACGAATATATCTCTATAGACGAGCTTTCAGCTACAGCGGAAGTGAAAAACTTGGTGACAGGCGAAACGACATTCGTATTCGATCCCCCTTATGCCAGGGTGCTGTTTGCAAGAGGAATGAACAAGCGCAACCCAGACCTCAAACTGCCTCAACATGAAACTGCTGGCGATTGGTTGGTGACTTACGACCGCAGCACTACATTGGCGAAGAGCAGGTCGAGTTCTGCTACCAAATTGGCTGTTATACCCCCAACAATGCATAGATCAGTCAAATGGAAACTGTAATAGCTGCCACATATATAGGGTTGACAATGAGTGTGGCAGCGCACCGATAACGAATGCCGCCGGCATATGCCACATAGTCTGCATGAAGGCGGCCGACAAACCAAAGGAAGAGGGAGAGACAGACGCCAGCTACTATCAACGCATGGACAAGTTGCACTGGGAGTAAAACCACTGTGGCGGGTGCAGATTTAGGCGCTAAATCCTGATTCCCCGAGCGAAGGGGCATTTTGGAATGTTTGAGTAGAAAAGAAGAGGAAAGATTTCGTAGAGGACGATGGAAAGTAAGACAGAGCACCGGTCAACGAACCCGCCGCCGACTGAAGCACCCTCTTTTTCGGTCTTCAAGATGAGTCATCACCAACCTTCCTTATATTAGAAATCATATTTTTCCCTTCAATCTAGCTATCGATTAGATCAAACTTTTTTTCCTTTAACTTCTCTTCACCCATGATTTTTGACATTTTCTATACTGTACACTATCATACTAGGATCAGGAAGAATCAAGGGGTAAGTATGATATTCTTTGATTTACTATATTCTATTTCGTTTTTTATGTTTAGTTTCAAGGTAAAATTTTTTCTATCTTCTTTCTTCATAATTACTACTAGTCTTAAGTTTTAGGAGAGAAAAGAGAGGCAGAGGAAAAAGTTGACAGTTCGCGTGCACCCTCCTCCTGCCGCCTCGACGCCTCGACGCCTCAAGGTCTCAACTCCATCTATTTCTCCCTCAAACGACGATGCACTTTCTCTTTTCCTTATCTCCTATCTCGTCTCCCTCGCCGGTGCACTGCCCCATTTCCAAGGATGCCGTGTTATGCGACGACTGCCCTTTTCCAGTATGGCGCCATCCACAAAACCCCCCTTTTTGTTCGACCTTCAGCTACGGAGTCTAACTAGTTACCTGGGACCAACCTCCATGTCCCCCTTCCAACATTAGTTAATAACTTGACTCATGCTTAACTAAGGTGTAGGAGTTCGGTCCACAAATTAAAAGCCATGTCTAAGATGTCAGCCTCAGCGTCGGGATCTTCGTCCAACGGGTCAACAGATTTAAACACCGAGATGGAGGAAATAATCTTAGTTCATAATTGCGCCTCGTGATTAATCAAGAACCATGCCACACCTCCACCATTAGGAGTGCCGGGTAGAGCATTGAACTGTGTCAGACCCGGAGAGGAAGGCCACCGGATCTTCGTACGTGCCAATCGTTTAGCCGGTTGTTGCTTGGGTGATCATTTTCTTTGTATCTTTGATCTCAATGCTGAAGCGAGTGACTGCTTGTACCCCCTGGACGTTTGCGCTCGCGACTTGATTGCACTGGTTTTCCTAGTTCAGCTAGACAATATCGGACCACTGCGATAGTAAGACATATGGGGATCCACCCCTGGATCCTGGAGGACAGCTCCAACCGGGACCATAATTCTCATCTACAATAACCAAGCCTTCGGTATGGTAGTAGACATTCGCATACATACCATCGCTATGCTAGTCACAATTAGGCGAGAAACATGCGCGGTTGAGTGATGCTTACTTTGTACTTAACGCCATTTGCCACTACTTCGGCCGACTGTACATGTTCTATGGGTACCCCATTGGCCGAATTTAGGCTCAGGTCATTACTGATAAAGCCATTCAACGTTTCCCCGTAGGTCGGTTCTGTATATCGCTTAGTAAGGAGCCAACCCCATGTGTTAAAAGAGGCAAAGTCCGTCCAGGTGCTTGACATGGGGGTTCCAGGCTTAAAGGTGTTGATATATTGTTGTGCGCCCTCGACGGTGTTGCTCATCGAGCAATACAGCGCATTGCCCTTTTGTATGGCTTGAGCCCACGTCAGCGGCTCAGTTCTCTTTCTCAGGTGGTGCTCTTGGGAGTTGACTAGCTCGCCTGACACTATGCCGAAAGATATAAAGTAGAAAAGTAGAAGATAGATTATTACAAAGCTGGTCAATAGCGGGCTTCGCCATTGTCGGCGTGGGTTCAGCCTGTAGGCAAACATGGTGCAAAAAGGGTAAGAAGAGGTGCCAAAAGAGCGTTTTCGGGGTCCTTAGAAACTGTGTGCGTGCGTGTGTGCTTTCTCAATTAGGGGGGAAAGAGGGGAAGGGGGGCTGTGAACTTGTGACCTACTATGTAGGTTCTGCTTATACTGTATCCGCACTACTGTACCGATGTTACGGCTACTGCAGGATAAAGGTACTAACTGGAAAGCCACCCCTGTTAGTAAATTTGCCTTTGCAGGGCATGTACTACGTAGTACTCCCACTTATCATTAGCAGTGTCTTCAAAAGTTGGAACCAACATTAAAATTACAAAGCCGCTGCGTTATGGCAAGAGATGATGCGCCCCTCCTCTTACTTCCTTCGGACGAAGCCGGACCATGGCCATTGCCGTCTCCATACCATATGTTCGGTGAATGAATAAAACTCCTGTCTCACCGGCCAGAGCTTAATATTATCAATTGATGTGTATGGGTTTTTTGCTAGCCACCTGCCAATACGGATTGGAATCTCTCTCTAAAAGGAATTTTTTGCCTTCTTCTGTCGCTCCATACGTCTGTCCAGTCATTGTCCATTTGGAAGTTCCAGAGCCGCCATCGTGGTACAATGCATCCAAACTCCCCCCAGGGCGACCGCAGGTAGGTGAATGGCAGGCTGACGGACGTGGTGGTATCAAGTAACTGGAGCTCATGTAATAGCCTCCACCCGACTATATGGTCAATAACCAGGGTAACATATTCAACGCTGCCCCAGACAAAGGCATATACCCGGTCTCCTGTAGTCACCTCTACTAGAGGTTGAACGTTCATCTGACAGAAGTCTGCTTCTAGGGTCGCTGAATGGCCCGATCCTGTCCAACAGCCAACTCTCTACTTTCGATCAGAGCCAGAAGAACGGCACACAACACATGATAAAGCGTCAAAGTCGCGATTTCCGGATAGATGGTATCAGCCATGGAGAGGCAAGTGACCGGCGCCACTAATATCTCATGTTTCTAATGATTATTCCAGATGCCTATGGCACCAAGTGGCTATCAATTCTATCGCAATGTCATGGACTATGGGGCTACCGGCGACGGCACGACTGACGACACAGCCGCCATTAACCACGCCATTGCAGATGGCGATCGTCGCGGCGAGTCCTGTGGCTCTACGTCCGTTCTGGGTGCCCTGGTCTACTTTCCCGTAAGTCCTTTCTATAACCACTCAACGACGCCAGAGACTGAGGCCACAGGTTGCTCCAGCCGGGACATACATCATCAGCATTCCGATTGTCCAGTATTACTACACCCAGTTTATCGGCGGCGCGAACGATCAGCCTACTAAAGGATCGGCTAATTTCACCAGGATAGTACTGATTGACACCGATCCCTACATTTCCGGGGGAGATGGGGCCGAGTGGCACATCAACCAGAACCAGTTCTACCGGCAGATTCGGAATTTCGTGCTCGACCTGACAGCCATGAATGCAACTAACTACGATCAAGGACAATGACGGGCATCCACTGGCAGGTGGCTCAGGCCACCTCAATGCAAAATATCTACTTCAAAATGCCGCTCTCGACCTCAACTCAGACCACGACGGCGGTAGGTATCTTCATGAAGAACGGTTCGGGTGGTTTTCTCGGTGATCTCGAGTTTTACGGTGAAAATATTGGCTTCCGTTCTGGATCTCAGCAATATACCCGCGCGTGATCTCCAGTTCACTTTCCCTTTGACTGCCATCTCGATGGTCTGGGACTGGGACTTCACCTGGAAAAGTCTGAACGTGCAGGCCACTTATGTGGCTATCGATTGCACAAGCGCAGGGGGGCGTGGGAAGCACTAGCAGTCAAGGCACTGGCTCCATTTCTGTGCTCGGAAAGCTCTTCGTCCTAATACCTGGGCACTGACTGTTGATGCGTAGATACCGGCCAGATTCGACCTTCGACTCAGTTCCGTATCCGATTACCTTGCGCAACGGCGGACCCTATCCAGATATTGTGCTAGATAACTTGTATGTCGAGGAATCAGCTGCCGTAGTCTTGGTTTCTGGTGGTAAAACGATTCTTCCCGGTAAGTAGTCATCCATAAGTCGCTGTGTAAAGGCTCATTGCTTCTATAGGATGTTCCGGGGATATCTATATCACATCATGGGCGTACGGCTGACGATACACTTCCCAGGATGGGACTGGCACCTACACTCAGGGTTTGTTGGAGCCTGCCCCCAGCAAACCGGCGAGCCCCTTGGATGGGAATGGCAACTATTTTACCCAGTCTCGGCCACAGTACCAGACTTACTCGGCTAGCCAATTTATTCTCGCCACAGCCCACGGCGTGTCCAACAATGCCACAAGGGACCAGACGGATACCATCAACAGTTTGTTGAGTAGCAACGTCAGCTCTCCAGTCTTCTTTCCAGCCGGTATCTACCTAGTAAAAGGCACTGTCTCTGTTCCCCTCGGTTCGATCATCGTGGGAGAAGGCTGGTCACAAATTATGGCGACGGGGTCGTACTTTGCCGATGAATCCAATCCTAATGTCATGGTCCAGGTGGGTTCACAGGGCGATGAAGGAATCATTCAGATCTCCGACATGCTGTTTACCGTTCAGGGGCCGACGGTGGATGCTATTGTCATGAAGTGGAACGTTCACGAGAGCACGCAGGGTAACTCCGGCAACACAAATCCTTTCCTTTATTTTTCTCTCTCGTCTCGCTTACCCTAGGGCTAGGCTAACCTTAGGTCGCGTAGCTGCCGTGTGGGATTCTCACTTTCGCGTCGGAGGTGCCCAATAAGCGCCATCTCATTTGGGTCCACAACTACCGGGGTTCTTTTGTTGAAACTGGGGTTTTTAACAGATTTCTTTATTCGAGCATAGTTTAGTTTGTTCGTAACGTTGGTCCCTCGATCTCGATGGAATCGGAATTTCGCTTTGATTCGGTATCAGAATGCTGACTGGAAACGACACAACACCGCTAGGTTTGAATTGCTTCACCCTTGAACAGTAGGGCCATGAATTGCTCCCTGAGTTGTTGGTATGAATAAATAATATTGTTAGTTAGGGCTGCGAGCAGTTACTACTAAGTCTTTCTCAGTGGCCCTTGTCATAAGCCAGTTGTCAAGTCCACTTTCCATTAAATCACGTAATGGATACGGGTTGGGGATGGTCAGGCACGATTAGACTTCAACTCCGGAACTCTGGGGGAAACAAATTCTCAGCTGTCATATGTCAATACACCGACATATCAAGTCTACCTCCAACTAATCTTGATTATAGGGATGGGGACTAAATAAGGACTACGAAGAGGCCAGTAAATTTAGACACGCTTGGCTAGCTAAAGTTTCTAATTTATATCTCTGTTTCTTCCAGTGCTTGTCGAAGTGTCGGTTCTGCTTCAAGCGTGCCTTGGCTCATTAACACCAAGTCAAGGTCTTCCAAGCTTTCGAGAGTATCTGGATGATTTGGTCCTAATAGCCTCTCCCTTCCTTCTAGTGCTTGTCGAAGCATTGGTTCTGCATCTTCGGGTTTGCCTTGGCCCATTAACACCAAGCCAACTAAACTGAGACTGGTGAGTGTGTCCGGATGATCCCGCCCTAGAACCTTTTCTCTTCCTTCAAGCGCAAGTCGAAGCATTCCTTCTGACTCTTCCAACCTTCCTTGTCTTTCCAATATCACGCCAACACTATTGACACTTGTTAGTGTTTTTGGATGCTCTGGTCCTAGCACATTCTTAAATCCATCCATTGCCCGTCGAAGAATTACTTCTGCTTCGTTATACTTTTGTTGCCCATCCAATATCAAGCAAAGATTACTGGCACTTGTGAGTGTGTCAAGGTTATCTGGTCCTAACAGGCTCTCTTTTCCTTGCTGTGCCCGTCGAAGCATGGCTTCCGCCTCTTCAAACCTTCCTAGTTTAACCAACAGCAAGCCAATGTCATTGGCACTAGTGAGTGTCACTAAATCCATCGGCCCTAACATCTTCTCTCGTCCTTCTAGGGCTCGGCGGTACAATTGCTCTGCTTCATCATATTCATAGATACTCTTTAAGAGACCAGCAAGATTGTTGACACTTAGAAACGTATCCAGATGCTCTTCTCCAAGCACTTTCTCTCGTCCTTCTAGAGCTCGTCGATACAGCTGCTCTGCTACCTCATATACGCACTGATTATATAGTATAGTAGCAAGGCCATTCACGGTACTTAGAGTGTCTGGGTGCTCTTCTCCAAGAATCTTCTCTCGTCCTTCTAGAGCTCGTCTATATAGTTGCTCTGCTGCTTCATATTCGCCAGTATCTGTCAGGAGACTGGCAAGATTATTGATGCTTAAAAACGTATCTGGATGCTCTTTTCCAAGCACCTTCTCTTGTCCTTCTAGAGCTCGTCGATACAGCTGCTCTGCTGCTTTATATGCGTGCTGATCATGTAATACAGTAGCAAGGCCATTCACGCTGCTTAGAGTGTTCGGGTGTTCTTCTCCAAACACTTTCTCTCGTCCTTCTAGAGCTCGTCGATACAGCTGCTCTGCTGCCTTATATACGCGCTGATCATGTAATACAGTAGCAAGGCCATTCACACTACTTAGAGTGTCTGGGTGCTCTTCTCCAAGAATCTTCTCTTGTCCTTCTAGAGCTCGTCTGTATAGTTGCTCTGCTGCTTCATATTCACGGATATCCTTTAAGAGACTGGCAAGATTATTGACACTTAGAAATGTATCAGGATGCTCTTCTCCAAGCACCTTCTCTCGTCCTTCTAGAGCTCGTCGATATAGCTGCTCTGCTGCTTTATATGCGCGCTGATCATGTAATACAGTAGCAAGGCCATTCACGCTGCTTAGAGTGTCTGGGTGCTCTTCTCCAAGAATCTTCTCTCGTCCTTCTAGGGCTCGGCGATACAACTGCTCTGCTGCTTTATATACGCGTTGATCATGTAATACAGTAGCAAGGCTATTCACGCTGCTTAGAGTGCTTGGGTGCTCTTCTCCAAACATCTTCTCTCGTCCTTTTAGAGCTCGGCGGTACAATTGCTCTGCTGCTTCATATTCGCGGGTATCCTTTAAGAGACTGGCAAGATTATTGACACTTAGAAATGTATCAGGATGCTCTTTTCCAAGCACCCTCTCTCGTCCTTCTAAAGCTCGTCGATATAGCTGCTCTGCTGTCTTATATATGCGTTGATCATGTAATACAGTAGCAAGGCCATTCACACTACTTAGAGTGCTTGGGTGCTCTACTCCAAGCACCTTCTCTCGTCCTTCTAGGGCTCGTCGGTACAGCTGCTCTGCTACTCCATACTTGCGCTGATCACGCAGTACAGTAGCAAGCTTGTTCACGCTGCTTAGAGTGTTTGGATGGTCCACTCCCCGTGCATTCTCATTACCTACCACTTGCTGCGAGCGCAACTGTTCGGCGGCTTCATACTTACGTTGTGCATGCAAATTATCGGCCAAGACATCAATAGCTTCCAGGACATCAGGGCGGCTTTTGTCCAGCGTTTCAATTTCCTTCATCGGAAATTCCAGCATCTTTCGTGCAGTCTCGAATCTGCACTGGAATTGTAGAGTAGATGCAAGGCAGCAGACACATATAAGAGTATCTACATGAGTTTGCCCTATAAATTTTTGATATCCTTCTAATGCTTGCCGAAGACGTCTCTCTGCTTCATAATATTTTCCTTGCGTCCTTAGGAGAATTCCGTAGTCGAAATAGCTGCGAATGGTATCAGGATGCTCTTTTCCCAAGACTTTTTCATATCCTTCCATCACTCTGTGCTGCATTATCGCGGCCTCGGGGTAATCACCTTGTAGCTGAAGTATTAGTGAAAGGCGTTGAATATTTTGTAGTGTTACTGGGTGGTCCTTCCCATATTTCTCTTCGGTAGCGCATAAGACTTCACTCCATAATAACGCTGCCGCTTTATACTTCCCTGAAACTTCGAGCAAAGCTGCCAGTGTGTGTTTACACCTCAGTGTAGACGGATGATTTGGTGCTAATTCATTCTCCATTTCGGCGAGAAGATCTTGACATGTTCTCTCTGCTTCCACGAACTTTCCATGGTACCACTGGATTACAATATAATCAGTTCTGCTCTCCATGGTATCTTCGTGTCCCGGACCAAGTGTAATCATACGGCCTTCCAAAGCTTGCTGAATAAACTTCTCTGCTTCTTCAAATTTACGTTGATCCCAAAGTACGTTGGATAGGTTGCTCGCACTAGTAAGCGTGTCTGCATGTTTAGGACCCAGTATCTGCGTACGATACTCCATGGTTTGCCTATGTAAATGCTCGGCTTCTTTATACTGTCCACGATGCCACAGGACATTAGCTAGACCATTGGTGCTCATTAGCGTATCCTGATGCCTTTTCCCCAGAAGTTGCTCTCGGTTCTGGTGTGCTTGCCGGTGCATCCGTTCTGCTGAGTTGTATTGTCCCTGTGTGTCCAGATACCAAGCTACATTAAATTGTAAAGTCGCTCGTTCAATAACTTTCCTAGAAGGTGGTGGAATGTTCAATATCGCTTGCGCATGGGGTAACAACAAAGCACATTGTTCCCAATTCTGGTGCTCTCCATTGGGAAAATTTGAGGCTAATATCGTTGTCGCCTTTTCAGCCCAGGCACTGTACTTACCGTGGTCTTGTAGCCATCCTCGTACACAGAGTTGAACCAGGCGATGCATATCCACTGATTTCCCAACATGGCTAGGAACTACAAGAGAGTACCCTTTTAGTATACCCAATACGTCCTCCAACTCCCGAACGCTACGTAGTTGCTGGAGGAGGAGAGATTTTGGGATACCCTCACGATCGTAGAAACTCATAAGTGATAGCAATTCAGCTGCGTGAAAGTTTTCCTGTCTAATCTGATCGAAGGAAATCACCCAGGTCTTAAAGACGGCGTTTTTACCTTCTAAGTCTCTTCCAAGATCCTTAAAGTCTTCACTCAACAGAGTAAGTGGAGCGGATTCTGTCTCTTTATACAGTTCAAGATATTCGTCGACTGTTTGCGTTCTGCGATTGATTGATGCGGCTGCTTGAACTATTGCAAGAGGTAGGTATTCCAGTAAGACAAACAGCTCCTTTAGAAGTTGCTCACAAGCGTCAACACGTTGTAGTCTACTCCTGAACAGAGCTTCCGCTTCAGTATAGCCCATTGGAGGTATGAAAATCAGCTCTCCACTGCCAGTCAAGTCCAAACCTAGCTGTTTGTTCCTGGTAGTGAAAAGGATTGAGCCATTTGGACTCAGAGGTAGGTAATCCCAAAGCGTCCTGAATTGTAGCTGTGAATTGCCGCCTGATTCAAGGATAGTCTGACCAAAAAAGACCTCACTATCATCAGCATTGTCGATAATTAAGAGCCATCGACTACTCATCCTTTTGGAAAGCCACGCCTTGACCAAGCCGAGAGTGGATGCTGATGGATCACGAGAACCAGGGATGCCGATTTCTTCTGCTATTGCGTCATATCCTTGCTGAAATCTTTCCCGGCTTCCAGCATGGACCCAGAATACCGAGACCTGCGGGGCACTTTCGCGAAGTGTATATGCGTATTCTAGAGCTATCCGTGATTTTCTGTGTATCAAATTAGCTGGATGATAAGTCTAACTGGCTGCAATACTAACCCGACTCCACCAAGCCCAAACAATGCTAATGCTTGGAAACCTTCTCTAGGGGCAAAGCTTTCAATCAGCTGTTGCATTAGCTGCTGCCGTTCAATGAACCTATTGTTACGAGGATATGGTACTACCCCTGAAGTTCAGTCTCATTAGTCTACCTCGACAGTATCAACACCCCGAATTCGTTGCCCGTTACGCTGTACTCACAATATGGACCACTCTTAATGTCATCCAATTTGCCAATTAATCCATTGGTTGTGGCTTCACGTGTTCGTTCCGCAGCCATTATCCGTAATTGTTCTGAGAGTTGAAGAAATTCCCTTGGATTGGTGCCATCAAGCCTTGGTGAGCCGGAACTTGTGAGCGAGGTACCATGGTGGAGGTGGTCTATTCTTGTCTGATGCACTATAACGTTCATAAGCCTCTGTTCTCCGCAACTACTGGAGGAAATGTGCGGAAGAGCAGTTTCGCCTTATTTGGGATCTTTTGAGAAAAAAAATTTCCTCGCATTTACTTACTGGCTAGTGACGTTACTGGTATGATACCGATAACTTCCTTAGCACATGCCGCCGCTGTAGCCGCTGCATAATTTTGCCAATCATCGTTCTTGTGCGAGTCTGCATAATCACAAATTCCTCGTATCGTCGCACAGCCAAAGACATTCATTAAGCCAGCAGCTTCCATTTCGATAGCAAGAATGCCGTGATGAGCCGCAGCTATCTTTGCTCTTTCAGTACTGTCCTTAATGACATGATTGCCAGAAGCTATAGTCCCAAAATGCACGACCGGACTTGAAGTTAGACGTGGTGTCCTGGCTACAAGATGTTCACTGTCTTTCTTGCAATTTTCACAATTACCATCACCCTGACCCTCATGAGTATAGTTAATCTTGAATAGATTATCCTGGAGACTTGGGTGATGGAAATGCTGAAAGCGAGGGTTCCTAGCTGTCGCCTCTGCGATATATATGGGTATTTTACAGTCTTCGTCCATAAGCCGAGAGCTTAGTTCGTTGAAAGCGTTTCTCAGCACCTCTGGCACGCCATTCAAAAATGGTGTCGACTGAAGACCCTCGCTAGTCACTTTGCCGTGGTCATGGGCCACCACTCCTCCGGAAAAGCCATCTCTCTTGCTGATTACCACATCGCCAAGGCGGATATCTTCCTTCTCAGGAACACCGCCTGCAATTCCTACCAACAATCCAAACCTCAAACGTCGAAATGTGCCGTCCATCCGAGTGGCGACAGTAGCAGCGACTGTCGTGCCCGCATCTCCTTGGCAGACGATGACAACGTTGTGCCCGCAGATGCTGCCAAATGTATAAATGTTCTTATCATGTTCTGGCTGCGGAGGACTTTTATGAAGCTCGTCTAACATATTCCTCGCTGCTGCTTTCTCATGTGGGAGAGCGCAAATCCACGCCACTGTGTAGTCATCGTGTGTTAGCTGCTTTGTAGCTCGGAGAGGCCATGCCATAATCGTTATAAATCAAATGCCTCGCTCTCATAAAATTCGTTAGTCTAAGTGTGAGGGGAAGGTTGAGCATTGAGATGTTTCTCGCAAAAGGAAGGGGGGTAAAGCGGGCTTAACAGCATGTCAAACTCGGTAGGCGGATTGCTCAGCAGCCATATCACATGACGGGGTTGGGAACGAAGTACAACGAATCGTACGGTCATACTCGGGATCGGGAAAGGTCGCACATCATTGGTTAAAGCCCACGAAGGTTCCTGGTTGCTCCAATTGCGTTAGCTTGGATCCACGTGGACACCCAACAACTGTTTCATCAAGGCCCAGGCTCTCTCGTACGGCTCTGTTTACAGCCGCACACCTAGGTAGAAAAATAATACGTCGTATATTTTCTTACATAATGTAAGTGTCATTCTGGGGATGTGACAATTTGTCTGTTTGTTTGTCGTACGGCTGGATCATATCCTTGTGCTGAATGATTGGCTTATGCGGTCTGCAACAGCCCCGCACTCAGCCTTGCGGGCTTCGGTCACGAAATCTCTCTCCATCCCATGTGCGACTTCTGTGACACGCAATAGCGCGTAGGTATACCGACTCTTCCTCAGTGCTGCGATTGCTGATTCTTGCGCGCAGGAACGCCCCGGGCTCTCGAGTCTCTAGAAGTGTCAAGAGCGTGGTGGAGCCATGTCTGGCGGGCCGACCCTGGGGCGCCGAGGAGTCACCACCGTCACCTCAACCGTCGCCAATGGCGTGCCAGTGCGTCCCGGCGACAGGTGCGTAGCGATGCGGGCAGTGCGAACTGCATCCACCTCATCTCAGCCCAGCGCGGGTGCAGTATGTGCCATAAAAGGAACCTTTCAAATCCTTCGGTCTATCGACCCTCCTCTACTCGTTGACCATAACTCTCTCTAAACGGCAGTGTAGCAATGGTGCAAGCGCTGACGAGCAAGTCTAGCGGGGAGGCCAAACCCCTTTGACACAGCCGGACTCTGCCTGTCGTCGCTGGACGGCGGCGGCCTCCGGGGATTATCGACGCTCTATATCTTAAAGGGTATCAGGACCCGACTGAATCATGAACGCCAAAATGCTAACCTTCCAGTCGTGAAGCTGTGCGAAGTCTTTGACCTCATCGGCGACACTAGTACGGGCGGGTGCGTCAAATATCCTCTTGTTTGACTGCGCTAACGTGAATAGCCTCATCGCCACATCGCCTATCATGCTTGGCCGGCTTGAAATGGACGTGGATGAATGTATTTCGGCATACGTGGAACTTATGAAGACTGTGTTTGGGGAGAAATCTAAATGCTCCCGATGAGTTGGACAGGCATGGTCAAAGCACGGTTCATCTCAAGCAGGTTGAAAGATGCGATTGTGGAGGCGATTACTCGCCATGGTGCCTGCGAGACAAATCTATTCAATGATGAGAAGGCACGCGGATGTCAAGTGTAAGTAATACCGGCCGGTGGCGTTGTAGACGACTAACACTCGACCAAGATCTAAACGAGTGCTTTGAGATAACATACTATTCTGCGGTGACGGCGAATTACGGTGTGCTCAATCCGAATCCAGCGCTGTTGTTGCGCCTTGCAATCCTTCTCAGTATCTGAGGTCGCCTAGCCACGACGATGACGCCGGAGATGGCTTTGATTACCATGCAGCCAGTTAACGGCTACCACAGCCTTCTTCATCTCCTGCCTTTATTATCTTCATTACTTACTGAAATATCATAAGGTTCACGCTCCAAGGGTAAATCTCGGCAGTATTGCATATAGCAGTGCCTGCGAGGCTTGATTATGGAAGGGAAATTGGATATCAAGTGTCCAAATCCACTGGATCATGGAGTTTATTAACCTTAATTGAATCTGATAACACTTATGCGTTGATTGGATGAGCAGCTATCTAGTGATAATCTATAGTTTGACTTGCAGTTAGGTTGCGAGTCGCTGTATGTCTACAGAAAATGTGGGGTGCTTTTAAATTAACCTTATGATCATATGGATATATCTTTGTGGGTAAAGATGCGCTAGTCGAGTTTGTGAAGGGCTTGAAATATGAGGAGTTTGTGTATTTGTGTCTTATTTTAGTTTAAGGGGTATATGTGCCAGTACTACTTGGCAGCCTTAATCTTTGTTGGCTGTTCTCATATGATAGTATCATTGAGATGGTTCATATGATGTTCATGAGCTATATTGGCCGAACGTTGGCAAGGTGATATGAAATTGGTCCCACCTAATTGATTCAACAAGCTGAGGTATCTTTACAAGGGATTCATTGACTTGAAGTGCTCCCTGGGGAGCTAATAGCCGGGAACATGATCTGGAATGAGAAAGTTAGGCAGGTGATGTTCATTGATTTTGAGTGGGCATTAGTTCAAATAGAAGAATCCCCTTAGGTACCGTTTCTCTAAATAAAAAATGAAAATGAGAGACAAGCATAGGGGAAAAGTGCCTAAACAAGGATTTAAATTGCTTTTAGCATGAAATAAGATGTATGAGATGTGACTTGCGATGAGATGCAAAGATGGACTGTTTTTAATATTATATGAAGCGTCTACTATCAGTGGACTAGCAGTAATGTTGCGTGTAAACCGTGATTCTTATCACTGAATCTGTCAGATATGTCTGAGCCACTGTCACTATAGTGAAGAAACTTTCTGTATGATACCACTGATCTATGGAGTTATTGATAGCTTGATCATTGAAAAAGAGTTGGTCAGTATCTGGGCTCTAGTGGCATGTTCTATCGCTTGTTATAGCGGAATATGTTTCTGGTCCTTTATATTGGGTCAAGGGTCACAAGGACAATGCCCATCTGTATATTCCGCTTTTATACATAATACATGCGGCTGTTGATGGAGGCTTAATCATTACTGTCAGGAGTTTGTCTCAAGTCCATATCATGAGACGTCGAACGCTTGGCCTCGAAACAGCCACCGCTGCAAGCTATCTGCTAGAGTTCTCTCTAACCTGTGCAAGTGCCATTCAAGGATTGGAGATTACATTCTCTATTATTGCTTTTTCAATTCTCATACACGTGGTTATTTTGTTATAGACTAGCTATACGGATCCTAATATAAGAACTGGCTAAACGAAGACATTCTGCGTTGATATGACAGGAACTTGATTTTTATATATTCTAATTAGTATGAAGAAAGAGGACTGTTGCAATAAACACAAATTCCCCGACTCTTTACTAGTAGAATGTATTCCATTGTAGCAAAGCCATCATCTGTTACGATTAGCATAGATATCAATTTGTGGTACCATTGAACTAGAATTCTAAGCATGAGGAAGAAATTATGTACAGCCGCGCGCGTCGCGGTTAGATAGCTAGTGTGGGGCAGGTATCCGGCCAATCCCAGCCCTAGACGCCTTAGCCGCCTGAGGCACTCTGATACCAAGCCGGCCGTTACAATGGGGAACGTCCCGATTGGCTACGCATAAGTCTCGCTTCCATCACTGAATGTGGTTTAATATGTGAGCTTTCAATATGGAGAGGGTTTCCATATTGGAAGGTTTTCAACATGGAGGTAGTTGAATACTGGAGAATTTCAATGATGAGGCACTCCCAACAATGAATAGTTTCAATACAATATTAAATATTAAGGATGCGTGGGTGTCCAATTAACTTCTGTTAACTAAGTTATTAGTTAACTTATAGGATAAGCATTCCGCGTAGAGACGCATTCCGCCCACCCGTGTAATCCATATAAAATGGTGTAACACGGTCTGGCAGGGCCGTGTCCGGGGGTGTCTGGATAGACTAGGTGTGGGTGAGTTGAAGCTTCACCGGTTGATATTGATGCCGAAGAGCCAGGCTCCTAGGGAGGAAGTTATCGGTTTAGGTTATGTAGTTAGGGAAGGCTTCGAGCCGAAGGCTATTCGAAGCCGAGTAGACTTATATTGAAAGATATGTCGAAGATTATACAAAAGATATTGCTTGGTTTCCTTCCTCCGGGTGGGAAGCCAAGCCTATATGCCTGAGTCTCTACCTCAGGTCATTGATACCTAATCTAACTAGATAAAGGCATATATAGCGAGTTGAGGGGTACGGGCATCATGCCCGGGGTCTTATGGTATCAATTGTGATATATCACAATTGACGCCTGGGATATCCCTGAGCCCCCCGGTCCTGCTGGATTAGGCTTGAACATGCTCCCTGGGTCTATCCCTGTTACAGGCAGGGGTGGCCTATAAGGCCCCTAACATGCCCTGGGAGATGCAGCTGACGCCCCTAGGGAAGGGCAAAGAGGTGTTCGACGCTGAATTTAGTGGGCGTTGTAGAAGCACTAGAGTGGGCGCTCGATACAGGCCTTCCAGGCACGATTGGGGTGTTCTTAGACTCGCAGGCCGCTATAAACCGCCTGAAACATGGTAAGCCTGAGCCTGGTCAGCGCCTCGCGCTCCAGGCACACGACCTCGCCAGGCGCCTATTGGGCAGAGGCCAACAGGCCACTATCCATTGGGTGCCGGGGCATAAAGGGACTCTCGGCAACGAGGAAGCAGACAGGGCCGCCAAACAGGCAGCAACAAGGCCCCGAAGCGCCAAATACCCAGGCATCTCGCTCGCCCATGTTAACCGGGTCTGCACAGAGGCCTCGGGGGCGCAGCGGGCGGCAAGGACCACGAACGCCGGACGGGGGAGGCAGCAACGCTACGATGCTCCCCCAGGGTGGCATATCGACCCAGTGGCCGCCAGCGCCCCCAAACGAGTGGCGCGGCACCTATATCAGTTCAAGACTGGGCACGCCCCGATAGCAGCATACCTGCACCGAATCGGCAAGCGCGACACCCCCAGCTGCGGGGGCTGTTCGAGGGGGTCGGAGACCGTTAGGTACGTGCTGTTCCAGTGCGCGCAGTGGCGACGGCAGCGAGAGGCCCTATATAAGGGCCTCGTGGAGGCGAGAGTTGACAGGCCCTCAGCGGCAGAGAGCACCCCAGAGGCGCGCATATTAGGGGACCCGAGGGCCACTAGGGCCCTATTGGCCTTTATAGAGGCCATTAACGCCCCGGAGGATCGGCAGGAGGCCGCTAGGCAGGCCCAGAGGGCGGGGGTGGGAGGACTCGATAAGAAGCGCCCCGGCGAGCCCCCCAGAGGGGCGCCCGGGGGGCTTCGGGGGGAAGGGTGATAGAGCTGGGCGGCCTGCCACCGGCAGGCAACGCCCGCACGTATGGCTTCCAGGAGGGGGTCCAAGGCCCTGCCAGCCCCGAGAAGGCCCCCGAATCGGTCTGCGCATATAAGCGGCTTGGGGCGACGAAAAAGTCAGATCAGCTATAACGTTTGAAACCAACTGGGGGCGGCAGCGCGGGACATTAGGGGCTTAAACCCCTAATAGACCCCTAGAAGCCCAAACGGCATGTGACCTCATAGCTTATAGCTGGGTAAGGTCGTAAAACTTGAATAAATAATTAAATAAATAATTGGGCCATTGCCAAATTCCAGGGTTGGCACGCTTATAAGCTGTCAGGGGTGTTTATGAGAAGCAGGCGAACTGACGGGTGTGAGGCCGAATATAGGGATCAATTGGCATACAAACTGAACGCTTGAGGTCCAAGGGAACGCTCAGCGTTGAGGCTATCTAAATAGGAGGCGCTTATTAAGCCGGACTAGCGCGCACACGTGAGAGGGAGGGCCGATATAGCGGCAGCCGGACAGCCCTCTCACATAAGCCTCTGTGAGCCTGCAGCACGTCTGCGCGCCATGCGCTGCAGCGCCTCTTTGCTGCCAGGCCTCACATGTACTAGATTTTGAGCCACAATTTTTATATAATTTTGTTGGAATATTACAATTCAAAAAGGGGCCATTTAATATGGATTACACGGGTGCGCGGAGTGCGTCTTTGCGCGGGATGCTTAACGTAATCCACCCCCGAGTTGGCCACCCTCCCGAGTTGGCCACTTCCGCCCGAAAACGCGTTCTATATTATTTTCAAAAATTCAACGCGTTAATATGCCACCAATTCGCAATAAAAACCAGTCAAATTCTCAGGAACAAGAGGGGAGAATTCAATTAGCATTATCCGACTTAAAAAATGATAGAATTCGCTCTATACGTCAAGCTGCAGAGATTTATAATGTTACCCGTTCAACTCTTCAAAACAGATTAAAGGGCATGGCATATCGAGCTGAAACACGCGCTAATGGGCATAAATTGACCGAACTTGAAGAGGAATCGCTTATAAAATGGATTTTAGATCTAGATAAGCGTGGATTACCTCCTCGGCCATCTCTTGTACAAGAAATGGCTAATTATCTTCTCTCACAACATGGAAATCAACAGATTGGAAAGAATTGGTTATACAAATTTGTTCGACGTCGCCCAGAGCTCAAATCTCGATTTTCACGAAGATATAACCATGAACGTGCTAAATGCGAAGATCCAAAGATAATCCAAGAGCATTTTAACCGCGTTCAAGAGGCTATATTAGAATATGGCATCTTACAGGAAGATATCTACAACTTTGATGAGACTGGCTTTGCTATGGGGCTCTGTGCGACTGCAAAAGTTATAACTGGAAGTGATCGATATAGCAGACCACATCTATTACAGCCTGGTAATCGAGAATGGGTGACTGCAATTGAAACAGTTAATTCTACTGGATGGGCTCTACCTCCATATGTGATTTTTAAAGCAACAAAATACTTACAAGAAGCCTGGTTTGAGACTCTTCCAGATGGTTGGAAAATTGGTATTAGTGATAATGGATGGACAACAGATAAGATTGGTATGGATTGGCTTATTAATCACTTCATTCCTCGTACGAATGGCCGTGTAATGGGAAGATACCGAATGCTTATTCTTGATGGTCATGGAAGTCATTTAACTGCTGAATTTGACCGTACATGCACCAAGAATAATATTATTCCAATCTGTATGCCTCCGCATTCCTCTCATCTTTTACAGCCTCTTGATGTTAGCTGTTTTGCTGTTTTAAAGCGAGAATATGGACGACTTGTTGAGCAACGGATGAGGCTTGGATTCAACTATATTGACAAAATCGACTTTCTTACTGCATTTCCAAAGGCGCGTACGATAACATATAAAGCTGAGACTATTCGGAATGGCTTCACAGCAACTGGATTAGTACCATTTGATCCAGATCGAGTCTATCAACAGCTTACTATTCAATTAAGGACTCCAACCCCCCCTCTAAGTTGATCAAGCAATTCACAATCATCTTGCTTTACAAACACCTCAAAATCCACGTCAATTCAAGCGCCAATCAAGTATAATTAAAAGGCGAATTAGCCAGCACAAATCAAGCCCATTAGAAGCTATTGATCAAGCAATTGATCGGATTTTGTCTAAAGCTTATGAAATAAGTATAAATGAGCTTCTAATTGTACAAAAAGAAGTTCATGATTTACGGGCTGCAAATGAGAAAGAGAAGCAAAAACGTCGACAGTCTAAAAAGCAGATATCTTATAAACAAGGCCTTACCAGAGAGGAAGCTCAGGCGCTTATCCAAAGTCAGATTGAGGCATCTCAAAGTGCTATTACTGTTCCGGCCGAGCCTGAGCTTCCAGTCTCTCAGGTGCGCGTACGCCGCCAATTTCAGTGTAGTGAGTGTGGTATTCTTGGGCATAGAAGACCTCAATGCCCTAATCGTACTAGTAATTAATTTTTTGTATGTAATTATTATGTGGGCTAGAAATTGAACTTTCAAATCAATATAGAACGCGTTTTCGGGCGGAAGTGGCCAACTCGGGGGTGGATTACGTTAACTAACGTAATCGGACACCCACCCGCCACTGACACCGACCCGCCAATTCAAATACACATACAAAATGCCACTTTTACTACTAGAATAGTTGGACCTGCGGAATCGACGCTCAAAATGACCGCTACCTTGGCCTGTTACGGCGTCATTTCACCCCGTCACTCCCCACGAGAAGCCCGCCGCTTTAAGGTCTCGTCACGTGCGTCGCACCTGATTCGCTAGGGGTTAGGGTTAGTCAGTGGTCAGTTCGACCCTCGCCCTGGACCATCGTTGTGGTCGTTTGCTTCTGCATCACAGCAGGGCAACAGGATGATGACTCCGACCGGTCTGGTCGCTCGCTATATAAGATGGCACCGGTTTCCCCCCCTCTGCCGTTCCATCCATCCTCTCACCGGCCTACCCTCCTCTCCCTTCCCCCACCCCCAACCCCCGTCCATTCCCAGATTGCAAGTGATTCGTAGCATGAATCACTTCCATTCCCTACTTTTCTCAGACCCTTGGAAGTACCACCTTTTCCATGGCACCGCCTTTCCTTCCTCCAGCAAATCCCCAAGAGCGTCAATACTGGACGGACCCAATTCTCTGTGAAGAAACCCGAGCCAGGCTAGAGTACTATCGAAGTCTGGGGCGGCTTCCTCCCAACCACAAACCGAAGATCCTTGAAGGTATTGCCGTTGTTGAACGGTACTGGTGAAAGTAAGTATTTCACACTCAACCCCTCTGCAAGTCGTTCAGATGACTGACCGCCAGTAGATATTGCATCCAGTTTAAGGAAGAATATGTTTACTACCTTCTCTCTGAGGACCAAACCATCTATATGAACTTCTTTGACTGGATGGATAGAACTTTCTGTAAGAAGTTTCTTCAGTTGTATGACGAATACTGGCGGCGCCTGTGTCAGTATTTTACCTTGCTTGCCGAACGCCCTATGAATAATGACGTCCACGAACAGGTGCGACGAGAATGCGGTTCTTCTTTGACCTGACTAGATGCCTGACTAACACGGAATATAGTTTCTTAACCAACGATTTCCTGCTGAACGCAAGATCTCTCGACGGATGAAGAAAAAGAACACACTAGATGTGGGTGTCTTCTGTATTTTGTACCGCCACCACTGGGTCCATTCGAGATTTTTCCGTCATGGGAGCATGGTTCTCCAGTTTGCCACAATCCAACTCTGGTCTTCTATTACTGGGACCCGACCCGATGTTGTTCTTCTACAGAAAGCCTTTCTTCCCAATAACATATCTCTGGGCAAACGAAAACGAGGCCTGACTTTTCAAAGCGATATTCCGCAATATATGTCCGCTAACGATCTTCTAGGCTCGGTGTGTTATCGTGATATTGAACTCTTCTACCTTAAGGATCCGGACAGCAACCGCGATGTCCTATGTGCCATCATCGAGTTTCGCAACCTGAAAGGCCGGCCTGAAGGCGCTGATGGGTAAGAACTATACCTTGTCGCCTACAGACTCCGACGACAATGTTAATGCCTGTTCGTAGAACCAAGTTTTTCATGCATGGTGATTATCAACTGTCATATTGCCCGATCCTGCAAATCGTCTCGTACGCCTTTCGTGACAACACCTTCGTCAATACTGCGCTATCACCGGAAACCATATGGCGGCTCAAAGTTCCGGATCCGCTTACTTGTCTTCCTTTGCGGTGGAAACCAGAGTTGCTAGATACCCCCCTCCTTCGGCATGTCCACCGCACAGAATACAGCTACGAACTTCACCCATCTCTACCGATTGCATATGCCTCTAGCCGAGATGGGCTGCGGGAGTTGGGTCGGGACGCAAAGTTCGAGGAGGATGTTGTCCACCACAATTATCGGCGCTGGGCTACAAACGAGGTGAATCATATGTCCCTACCTTGGCGGAATTATGCTGTAGATGTTGGGAATATCCTTTGTGTCTAACGTGCGATTCACAGGGAATTTCACCAGTCAGGAGCGGCAAAGAGTGCTCAGCCAGTCAGGTGATGGGGTTTTTGAAAGGCACTACCAATCCCAATATGTCTAACGCGACCTGCAACGTGTTGTCCTTCTCCGGCCGCCTCAGGAGAATCTCCTCCAGGTTGGCGGGAGCATGCTCAGGAAATGGGATCCGTCCGCTCCCTCCTCTGAACTGACCGAGGTGCAGCGTCGCACGATCTGCTAGGACCCCCGAATCTTAGAGCTCCGGCAAGCTAAGAGAGAGGTGATGGAAGAGATGCGAGCCCTGGCTGGTACGAAGACTGGGACTAAAGACCCGGTCCCTCATCTCTATCAGCAGCACGAATCTTTTTCCAAAGACCTTTCCCAACGGAGGAAAACCTTAGCCAAGAAAACTAAGGAAAATACCAGGAAGGATTATTTTTACAATGCGCCCATACTCGAGGTCGACAGACAGATTAACGAACTCCTTGGTCAGGCGGACCCTGAGGACCGTGACGGTGACAGTCCCGATCATAGGAAGTGGGAACTGCCTATCCCTGAATACATCTTCCCCGAGCGGGCACGGCTGGTTGAGAATTTTTACGGGCCGGATGCAGAGAACTTTGAGGACAACAAGCTTCTTGCAAGACGTATCCAGACGACCAAAGATATGGTTGCGCTCAGTAAGCTCTGTGAGCCGAATCGGCGGGGCAATCGGGTCAACTGGGATTTCGATGGTAACGAGTCTGAGAAATCGGAAGAGCCATTGACCCCCAAAGAGGAGACTCTTGACTGTCCAACGGATGTTTGCATCATCTGTTACGGTCTATCGCGCCGTTCAGCATCCAATCCGCCTCTACATCGATTTCCTCCTAAGCGACAAGATTCTCTCCGTCGTCATCTCATCGATTGTCACCTCGCTAATGTAACGGCCGGGTTAGCACCTTGGTTGCCTCAGGCGGTTAAGGCGGCTAGGGCTGGGGCTAGCGGGACACGTGGCACGTAGCACGTGCCCCACACCGGTTATCTATCCGCCACACGCGCGGCTGTACATAATTCTTTCCTCATACTTAGAATTCTCGTTCAATGATACCATAAATTCCTGTTTATGCCGATCGTAACAAAGCGCCGAGAAATAACTAATCCGTAACGCCAATTGGAAATTAAATTTTGAGCTATAGGTTTCGATTTCCGATACTCGTCAGTAACCTGCCATCGTTAACTTGTAAACTACGCCAGTACGATTGATCGTAGTAGTAACGGTGTATTATGGTTAATTTCAAAAGTTTGGTGAAGAGAGGACATCCAAGGCCTGAGCCGTGGTCCAATACGCCAGAAAACACCTAGGCTATCGATCAATGTGAGATGATTCATATCTCAGGTAGTACTGTAACTGCATTTTGAACATTCTGGGGGTTTTCAGCATTGTAAAATGACCGGTACTGCGCGAGAGGTAAAACAAGACAAGAAATTGGGCCAGTTTAGTTCATGAAGCTCAAGGATACATTTCATCGAGAGAAGCTTGAAGAACAAATATTTCCATACTCTCCACCCTGTGCATTGACATCGGCCCCCTTCTCTAACAGGACTTTCACAATATCGAGATGTCCTAGAGAAGCAGCCTGGAGAGCATTTCCATACTGTCCACCCTGTGCATTGATATCGGCCCCCTTCTTTAACAGGACTTTCACAATATCGAGATGTCCTAGAGAAGCAGCCTGGAGAGCATTTCCATACTGTCCACCCTGTGCATTGACATCGGCCCCCTTCTCTAACAGGACTTCCACAATATCGAGATACCCTCTGTGTGAAGCAGCCTGGAGAGCATTTCCATACCATCCACCCTGTGCATTGACATTGGCCCCCTTCTCTAACAGGACTTTCACAATAACGAGATGTCCTAGAGAAGCAGCCTGGAGAGCATTTCCATACTTTCCACCCTGTGCATTGATATCGGCCCCCTTCTCTAAGAGGACTTTCACAATATCGAGATGTCCTTTTTGAGAAGCAGCCTCGAGAGCATTTCCAAACTGTCCACCCTGTGCATTGGCATTGGCCCCCTTCTCTAACAGGACTATCACAATATCGAGATGTCCTATTAGAGAAGCAGTCTGAAGAGCAGTGCCATATCGTCCACCCTGTACATTGACATCGGCCCCCTTCTCTAACAGGACTTTCACAATATCGAGATGTCCTAGAGAAGCAGCCTGAAGAGCATTTCCATACTCTCCACCCTGTGCATTGACATCGGCCCCCTTCTCTAACAGGACTTTCACAATATCAAGATATCCCATTAGAGAAGCAGCCTGAAGAGCAGTGCCATACTCTCCACCCTGTGCATTGACATCGGCCCCCTTCTCTAACAGGACTTTCACAATATCGAGATGTCTTAGAGAAGCAGCCTGGAGAGCATTTCCATACTCTCCACCCTGTGCATTGATATCGACCCCCGTCTCTAACAGGATTCTCACAATATCGAGATGTCCTAGAGAAGCAGCCTGGAGAGCATTTCCATACTGTCCACCCTGTGCATTGATATCGGCCCCCTTCTCTAACAGGACTTTCACAATATCGAGATGTCCTATGTGAGAAGCAGCCTGAAGAGCAGTGCCATACTCTCCACCCTGTGCATTGATATCGACCCCCGTCTCTAACAGGACTTCCACAATATCGAGATGTTCTAGAGAAGCAGCCTGGAGAGCATTTCCATACTTTCCACCCTGTGCATTGATATCGGCCCCCTTCTCTAAGAGGACTTTCACAATATCGAGATGTCCTCTTTGAGAAGCAGCCTGAAGAGCATTTCCATACCATCCACCCTGTGCATTGATATCGGCCCCCTTCTCTAACAGGACTCTCACAATATCGAGATGTCCTAGAGAAGCAGCCTGGAGAGCATTTCCATACTGTCCACCCTGTGCATTGATATCGGTCCCTGTCTCTAACAATACTTTCACAATATCGAGATGTCCTAGAGAAGCAGCCTGGAGAGCATTTCCATACTCTCCACCCTGTGCATTGATATCGGCCCCCTTCTCTAACAGGACTTCCACAATATCGAGATATCCTCTGTGTGAAGCAGCCTGGAGAGCATTTCCATACCGTCCACCCTGTGCATTGGCATCGGCCCCCTTCTCTAACAGTACTGTCACAATATCGAGATGTCCTAGAGAAGCAGCCTGGAGAGCATTTCCATACTGTCCACCCTGTGCATTGATATCGGTCCCCGTCTCTAACAGGACTCTCACAATATCGAGATGTCCTAGAGAAGCAGCCTGGAGAGCATTTCCATACTGTCCACCCTGTGCATTGACATCGACCCCCTTCTCTAACAGAACTTTCACAATATCGAGATGTCCTTTTTGAGAAGCAGCCTGGAGAGCATTTCCATACCATCCACCCTGTGCATTGACATCGGCCCCCTTCTCTAACAGGACTTCCACAATATCGAGATGTCCTTTTTGAGAAGCAGCCTGGAGAGCATTTCCATACTGTCCACCCTGTGCATTGGCATTGGCCCCCTTCTCTAACAGGACTTCCACAATATCGAGATGTCCTTTTTGAGAAGCAGCCTGGAGAGCATTTCCATACTGTCCACCCCGTGCATTGATATCGGCCCCCTTCTCTAAGAGTATATCTACACTCTTATAATTTCCACGCCAAGATGCGTATTGCAGTGCAGTCGTTCTTGAACTATCTCGGTGATGAGGGGTACTGCTACTCTGCAGCAATAACCGAAGGATTATGTCGTCATGTCCATTCAGGGCAGCTAAGTGAAGAGCATGCATCTTAGGCTTGTATTTGTACGGCATCGTTGCCTTCCAAAATACTGGAAACCACAAATTGAATCGTTCCGCGGTAAAGTCATATAATTGATATGCCGCCTCCGCTATTTCAGTTATTGGGGATGATACACCTCGGTAATGATCGGCCCAGTTCTGTGACGAATACTCTAATAAGTGTTGTCCACGTTCTCCTCCAGTGAGGATTAGATCGTCCATGAGCAAGTATCGGACGCAAATTTGAGTCATTTTGATTTCGGTTTCGCTTGGTTCAAGATACCATTTGAAACTGGACGACCGCTCGGCTTTCTGGACGAGAAACTCTCTTGCTGTCTGATGAATGAGATATATCCGAGAATCTTTGATGAAAATAAAAAGCCCACATAGCCGCCGAATTATCTCACCAAATTTGCTTACACTAACGCCTGCATCTTCTGCTATTCGCTCGCGGCCCAATGACACTCCCAAGGCAATGACCATTTCCTGGATGGTCAATGGACGTCGTGCACCAACGATGATTTGTAAAATTGTTCTCACTGTCGCTTCTTTCTCCGGAGTGACTCGATCTAGAATTTTTTCGTATGCCGCATCGACTGTTTTTGGAATCAAGGGAATTGATTCTTGATTTGGCCACAAACTATCTTTGAACGTCGTCCGAATATCATCGATCGCCAAATAAAGCCATAAATAAGTCCGATGCTCCATATAGAGAAGCTCTCTTTCTAGTCTTTCCCTTGTCTGAGCACTCAGGTCTAAACTTTCGTCGAGCTCGGCAACTTTAATTTTCACAACCAGATTAATTTCCTTATGGATCTGATCATTCTCCTCTTCACCGCGGAGGTGGATATGCGGGAACGATTTGGTCACTGGCCGAAAATGGTCTTTAATATCATCATATGGTCGACTAGTAACAATGAATTTCAACCAATTCTTTTGAGTTGGCGGCTGATGATGAGCATGGTACTTCTGTAGCTTTTCAATGAGCAGATTCCGGTCTTGTCTTCCACACTCATCAAGAGCATCAAAAACACAGATAGTATTGCTTGATGCCAAATCAGACATTGCGGCCATGAAAATGCGCCACAGGTCCTCAACTTCATACTGTATCTTTTCTCGACTCTTTTCCCAGAATGGTAACGCATGTCGCAGTAGTTGAGGCTGTAAACTGAAAAGTTGATGAAGGACAGCACACAACGCAGTGGCAAGATTGTTCTGCTCATCATTATCCTTAAAGAAGAAATAAACAATCGTCACTTTCGGATCAGCGGCCTTAAGGATGTCGTCAACCAATGATTTAGCAAGCACTGATTTACCGCATCCAGGATCAGCCGAGATCCATAAAAGGTCATTGTTTGTAGCTTTCCACCAGTGTAGATACTCGACACTGTTCAAGACCCACTCACAGGTTCCTTGGACTCGATCAGGATTTCTATTTTTATGTTTCTCATAGGTCGATGTCTTGAAGGCTTGATGGCAGTGACGCTGATCTTCTGTTAAGTTTCTCTTGACTTGTTCCTGGTGGTGGTTTTCGCGCTGTTCGAAAGCCTTCCCAAGGCCGTGATTCAAATCTTTGAGCTGCTTAGAGAATTCAGGTACTGGAATATTAAATGAGTATATTTTAATATTCGCGGTAATACATATCATTATACTTGAAGTAAACTACGTACACTGCTTGATTGGTGATAGCATTGAGACACCTTGTCCAGGAATAACCAACAACAACTCTTTGGCATATAACGCGGCCGTCGCAGCGGCATATGGCTGCCAGATCTTGTTCTTATGGGAGTCAGCGTAGTCACAGATGCCTCGAATGATGAGGCAGGGGAACGAATCCATCAACCCTAGGACAGAAGTCAGCCATCGACATTTCCCAATGGGATCAGACGACTCACCAGCAGCCTCCATCTCGAAACATAAAATATTCTCCTTCGACGCCCACTGATCTCTAAGGATTGCATCCTTCATCACTTGATCAGCAGATCCTATCGTTCCATAGTGAATCTTTGGAGCCGTCCCAGACCGTTCTTTCCTTCTTATCAGGTTAACATTATCGGGCCCACAGCAAGCTTTGCACGACCTTTTTCCCTCCACATGAACAATATTAGGTTTTAAGAGACGGTCTTTCTCGAAACCTTGATGCTGGAATTTTACCTCCATGGCCGGGTTTTCTGACACCATTTGTGAAAGCAGCTCGGGAATCTTGCTGCGTCCGCGTGCATGGTCAGCCTTCAGCCTAGCAACTGCATTGAGCACTATACGTGGAGGCTTGTTTAGCTTCCCACCGGTATGGATAAATTCCTTTTCCTGTAGTGACTTGCCAAAATCATACTGCACCACAGCTTCGGTTGATTTGGAATGCAGGCTGATGACGACATCACCAAGTCTGACGTCTGGTATTTCCTCACCGTCTGACTCATCGCCAGAATCGTTTTGCCCATTTTTATGACTGGGATCTTGTTCCTGAGCGCCGTGATATGGTACCCCTCCGCCAATCCCAACCATCAATCCAAACCGGATTGATGGAAAGCTGCGGACCATGTCTCTCGCAACAGTCGCAGCAGATACCTTGCCTGTTTCTTCTGCAGGAAGGCAAGCAATCACCACATTATGATCGCCGGTCCGGCCGAGGAGATACGAATTCGCGTCCTGTGGGTCGGCCGCTGGCAATGCTGGATGCTCTTCGTCCAGCATTGCTGCTGCGGCCACCATCTCCGTCTCTGGTAAAGCGCATATCCATCCAATCGTGTAATCTTCGTGCGAGAATTGCTGGTCAGCCATGATTTGGGCTTGGGAGGATCATTTGTCGAAGCAAAGAATTGATTAAAGCGTGCGTTTTTTGAGTGCTAAATAGAATTCGATGAGGCACTCCTCAAAGAGAATTTACTTTATCCAGCAACTTGAAATCGGCAAGGCTGACACCAAGAATATAACAAGGCTGGCTCAGTCCGCGGGGCTGGCGGTAAGCGAATATTCATGATTGGCTGTCACTCGCAACTGTGCAGCCTATTGGAGTTGGAGAGACAGCGATTTATTGAAGAAGTCCAAGCAAGCAACGGTTATAATCTTGTTGAACCCAACACATCATAACGTCGGCCTTTCACAATTTCCACTGTCAGACTCAGGACAGTCCGTGGCTACTGGGGCAAAAGGTACGATGCGGGGCGGGACACAAGTTGTCTGCAGTGGATCAACCAAACTTACCGGGAGTGGGGCACACCCCCTAGTTATCGTCCGATGGATCCGATCGGTTATCTGTAAATGTGAGGCATCAACATAAACGATATGACCCTCAATCATATTCAATACATTCATTCACTCAGCCTAGTTTTTATGAGAGCAAAACCAGCTTCATCAGTGGCCAGAGAAATCATTCTCCTTAGCCGCTTTCTTAAGGTACTCCACGCACTCCAGATCAGGAAGTGTAGTTGCAGCATGGTGCAGTGGAAATTCCCTCTGCAGCGTTGATAAAGTCCTCTGTCCGAGCTGGATTCCTACTCCATAGGGGATGATATAATCTCCCATTCCCGGCTCATATTCCCGGTCGTCCAAAGGCTCGATCTGAGGATCAAAGTCCCTGTCGGGGATGATCGACTGTGCTCTATGATTTGGATGGAACGAGTATGCAAAATACGGTGAGGAGCTGATGCGTCGAAACCCGAGAGATCTATAGAATGAAACAGCGGTGTTGCTTGCTTGAAGGTCGATTTCATTTTTCTGGTGCTTTGACTTGCCGACTTATTGAGGCTCGACATCCTCAGTAAGCCATCCAGGTATTACAATCGCATGGACTCTGCTCAAATTCTGAAACTGCGTAACCGAGCCGAATCCCAGAGCAATGAACCCGGGCGACATGTCTCTTGGCTTTGCGCCAGCCCCACACTTCTCACTGACCACGAGAAACTGTTTGACCATCGCGCGTCCTATACCTGGTCTATAAGCTTCATTACTCGGTCCGATCGCCACGCAACCATGATAATGACTAAGCTTTCTGTTTGGACAGCAGGAGTAAATGGGGTCGTGATGAAATCCTCAATCCAATCAAAAACCCAACCGAGTGACGACTGAGGTCTCTAGACAACATAGTTAAAACTAAACAACAGATCACCCGTCAACACCACCAGCTCATCATTTGCAAAATACCTGTTTTAATGCGCCTTTATCCAATATTAGTAAAATTACTCAATACAACTGTGAGTTATTTTAGTAAACCGGCATGTCTTGACAACACTCCTTGATTTCTAATCAGTTATGCACTATGAGGCTCTGTTCTCTGACCATCATTCTTGTGGGACAACTTAGAGATTTCCTTTTGATCTCCAAGTTGCCCCACTACTATAGGAGGAATGTTGACATGCTAAGCAATATTCTCAGTGCATCATAGGCTTGCTCCAATGAAGAGCATGATCTATACCACTTCCAAATTTGTTCAATCAAGTTTGGTCAAAGAAAGAAGACATGTGGGTATGGTTTTCGAGATCGGTCCACGCAAATGACTAAGCTCTTTGATTCAATGTATAACTTAGTTAACTAATTATACATGCAAAAGAGCATGAGTATGGAGAGCATACAGCCTGAAGAATTTAAGCTTATCCCGCTATATTCATATCCCCTGAGCCTGCCTAACAGTTCTTCACTGCCACTGACTTGGATCGAAATAGATCCTCTTTTTTTAATTTTTTAGCTTTCTTCTTATAGTATGAAAGTTCTTCCTCCTTGGCAACGGTGCAACTTCCTTAAAAGATACGGGTTCATCAAGTTCTACTTTACTCTCCTCAATCGGTTCCTCTGGTTTCTCAACGCAAAGTTTCATCCACGAGTCCTTTTCTTGGCCACTCAGTTTTCAGGTTCTCCAGAAAGTTATATTGATATGAGGTCGCACAAAAATTTTATACCATCAAGTTGCTGTAGTATTCTCTTTCCAGTTCTAGTCAGAGTGGAATTCGAATCAGAAGTCAGACACAATCCCTTTAGGTTTTCAACAACCGATCTCGTATTCAAACCACGAAGGGCAAGTTCTGCCTTTTGAATGTCATCTGTGAAACCCAGATTAGAATATAAATTCAAGCATTTAATAAAGATCACACTGACCAAGCATATCTCTCAATCTGGCATCTTTGTATAATTCATGAAAAACCTCTTTTACCCGATTTAGCTCGGGCATATTGTTTGATATAACGATTTTAATCTCTGAAGGAGTATAGAGTCTTCTCTCATCTATACAAAATGGAGAACCTGTCAGCTTTTTTAACCTATAGATCGTTCATAGACACAAAGATGGAAGCAGACAAACCAGAAAGTTCCTTCGATCTAAAGAACAAGAAGAACACATGCTCGTCATGCCTCTCATAGTGTTCAATTTCTGGCAGCTTCCCTATCAAAGCAGCAAAGTAGCCAGCCATAGAGAATTTCCAACTAGAGTCAAACAAGTTGGTAATTTCTTGTATCACACCCATCTTATCGTGCATTTCTTTTAATGAAATTCGTGATGTTATTGATTGTGTCATGACCATATTATCACGAAAATCGAGGACTGGCTTGATCCACCCTGGCTCCTCTCCGTCAGGAGGACGTTTGCACGTTACTTTAAAATAAGACTGGAGTATATACAGTCCTCTGTCAACAATCATTTGACCAGTAATCATTTGACAGTTGCTAATAATTTTCAAAGAGCCTTCTGTGAGGTATTCTCTGAAATAATATCAGTCTTATAGATTCTATAATCCTTTCAGGTTTTTTGGCAGAGAATGATTATCAAACTTGTGCCTCCCTAGTAGCCTTGCTCTATAACATCGATATCAATCGGTGAAGCTTCAACTCACCCACATCTAGTCTATCCAGACATCCCCGGACACGGCCCTGCCAGACCATGTTACACGTATTTGAATTGGCGGGTCGGTGTCAGTGGCAGGTGGCTGTCCGATTACGTTACTATATTAACCCACTTCAACACCCGCTGGTAGAACCCGACCGTGTAAAAACTTTTCAACACTACTTACTACAATCACTGCCAGTCTATCCTACCTAAAATTCTCTCTCACCTATAACTTTTGACCGTCCTTCCTCTTTGATGAAGTTCGGTGCTCCCAAAATGGCAAACTACCGTTACTCGAGGCTGAAAAACGACTTGAACGAGAATGAGCTCCAACAAACTTCCGCTGGACCTACCACAAATTGCAAGGATGATTATTGTATAAGGGTCCTAATCTGCTGTGGAATTCTTCTCGTGTTCATTGTTGCTCTCTTGGTACTGTACTGCAAGGGGGAAACACACTCTGTTTATCATCTATTTTGTGAAATGGTATGCACAACTTCAAAAACAATCTACGTTTCTCTACTAAATTCTTCCTCACATAGGGGCTAGGTTATTCCCAATGTTCAAAACCATGATTTCGTGGTGATAGGCAGTTATTGCCCTTTGGTGTGATGATATATGGCTCTTTCTATGGATATCAGTTAATAAGTACTAAAGGGTTGAAAAATGATCGGAAATTTATTTGGTGGATGGCTGGAAAGACGAGAATCTTGAGCACCATGAGGTCACAGGGTGTCATTATTATAGTCTCCGTGAGCTTGGTCCAACTGGGGAAGTTCTCAGTGCGAGTTTCTGCAATGATATCTTAGCTGAATATCGAGGGCCCGTATGGTTGTGGCTAGAAAGTCCATACAACATTCCTAGCGACGACTAAGATGGATCTGAATTCAAAAATATGGCCGATGTATTACCCAACCTCCTTCATTATCTATCATACTGTTTTATTGGATAGACTGGTGCTAATCGAAAGCCATTTTCTTTCACATGAGGTTTCCACGGGGACTGTTATTGGATAAATATATTCCAAAGCGAAGACCATATTTGAGGTTCTGCGCCGCAAATTTCTATAGATTTGTGTTCAAAAACATAGTTTGCTATGCTACGTGGCCACTTTGATTGAGTAGACCCCAACTGATCTAATGCCATGTTTCTTTCATATGACGTCTACTCGGAGAATATTAAAGAGGGGTAGTTCACGCTAGACCTCATCCAACATATTCTCATAAAGAGTAAATGATGCTATTGGGCGAAATCTCTAAGACATTGATGGTATTTGATTTACTGCGCCGCAAATTTCTGCATGGCTGTCACACCACAATATTGAGGGTCATGGACTCAGCTCTATGGATTTTATATCCGATTGGTTGCTTGATGCTGCCCACTAGGTATATTTATAGATTTTATTTTCATGTTTGGGACTAAACAGTTCAGTCTTTGCTATAATCTATTCCCTTCCGTAGCAAAATCGCTCTCTGATCGACTATACTAAGCACGGTCTCTTATCAAACCCTGCAAGTTATACGCTGACAAATCGCATAATCTGTTGGCATGTCCTACGCATGGCCGTGTAGAGTAGAAAGCATATCTTTTGTATAATTTTTGAGATAACTTCAATATAAGCCTCCTATACCTATATAATTAGAACCGATAGTTACTTCCTTAATAGCATTGCTCTATAGACTCGATATCAAGTGGTGAAGCTTCAACTCACCCACATCTAGTCTTTCCAGACACCCCCGAACACGACCCTACCCGGATTGTGTTACACATTCTCGCTTCCATCATACAGAATTTTCACCATCGTGCTTAACACAGTAACATTTTCCCTACGGGTTAGGTAATTTTCCTCTGCTTTAGTTGCTTCTTTAAAGGTGGCTTGCTGTATGCACATGCTTCTCGTAATATAGTTGCTCAAAAGGCTGAAGGCTAAGATATTTGAAAGAAAGTTTGATAAGAAGACGTACTGTGGTGCGCCATTCAATGAGCGTCAATCGCTTGTTGGTTCATGGCCTAGTGGAAGATCATCACCGATCGGCTTCCTCCACTTGATACGTTCGACCCCCTTGATGCTTGACTAGGTCAACTCCGATCTCATACCACTTGTGGTGAAGGATTAATAAGGCTTTTGTGGCCATGAGAGGCTGAGGTCTGGGGAATCCACATCAGCTGAGCTTACTAATTGGCTATATTCACGAGGCTGAGTATGGCTTCCAGAAATTTGGGCACGTGTACGACTACGTGATCTCGCTAACTACGAAGTCTAAAATTTTGTCAGTCGCTTTTCTACATTCATGAAGCCAGAAGCACTTTGGAGGGTTCTTTTATCACACAACCATGATCATCGCGTTCTGCTACTCTGCCTCTTAATGGTTTCTCCATCACTCTCTCAATCCTCCATTCTCCTTCTTCACCATAGTAAATGGCAGGCCCAGGCGCTTCAACAGCTTAATCTCCCGTGGCTTAAGAAACATCGGTTCGGTGACGGCCAAGTACTCCCGATAATATTCCTTAGGAGCCTGGAACTGTTGATAGCCCCGTTAGTAATTCGTCAAGTTCTCTCTCTCTCTCTCTCATTCTAGAGTGGGAAAGGGACTATCTCTCATCGTACCTGGAATAACCATTCTTTAGACTTAGACCTACATTCAATTAATTAGCGATATTGAAGAAAATTGGGGCTGTATGGTAGGGTGCAGGAGGAAGGTTACCAATTCTCAACCCAGGAGATCACTCCCGGTTCTGCGGGGTCCTCGTAGACCTCGAAGAAGGTACATTCCGGCTCCTGGATTACTTTCTCATAAGTGGGACGGAAAGCTTCAAAGAACTTGGGGACGTTTTCGGGGCTGATATAGATGGTGACTTGGAGTGAGACGCCTTCGGAAGACATTGTAACGATCTTTAGGCTTTACGGTGTGGAGGTGGGGTGTGAAAAAGAAGCAAACTGAGGGGAGTTGCGAAATAGAAAGGCAGGGAAATTTGGGAGTTACGGGAAGCGGCTTTTTAAATAGACTAAAAGACAGGCAATGAGGGGTAAAGAAAAGAGCGGGATTGCTTATACGTACCAATTAATCAAAGAGAGTATAGTCTAAATTAATCAGGCTACCCTGTCATAGATGGGTTTATATTCTTCAATAGCAGAATACAGATATGTATTACGATAGAAAAGCAATTGAATTCAATTAGTCACGAAAATCATACAAGTAAAGTAATAATTATACATCCAAAATTGAACAATCTACCGAATAAATCTTGCCTATTAGATAGAAGGGATTCATATGTGATAGTTGCTGATTCCCCCATCTAGGAAGCTCGACACGAGAACACTAAGACAGGAACAGAGGAAAAAGAACAAGGACAGTCATGCGCAGAGCAGTCTTTACATAGACGAGCGCACCAGCCTGCTAGAATAATCCATAAAAAGAATACCTGTACGGCGGAGACTTCAAACACATCTCTACACACGTGTATTAATTATATACTCTAGTATCTACTTCACTGTCCAAGCTTCTAGATTACGCATTTAAGCATTAGAGAGTAAGAACCCTCCATTTTGCAACCGCTGGAACACTTTCGAAGGGTCGTACTTAGCAGCAATTTTCTTGAGCTGAGCAACATTGCTCAATCCATATGAACTGAGTGGGTTCTGATCGCGTGAAGCATCGTTCATGTACGTGAAATTCACAGAAGCGCCTTGTGCTTCACTTAGCGACTGCCATTGCGCTGTTGTGGCGATCGAGACTCCACGCACGAGGTCATCATCGGCAGCGTCCACCCAGTCGATGAGAGTTGTCCACCCTAATAAGAAGAGAGATGGTTAATGGTTGCCTGGCTTTATTTCTCTGCATTAGAGCTGGGGAATTGGATTGGACAGACTTACACTGCATATTTTCGCGGGGAAGTCCCAGGGCATTGCCACCCCGGGAATTGCCAAAGTCGACCAAACTGATTGGGACTGGCTGCAACACGAAGGTTTGGTTGGCTCCAGTCTGGTTGTATATGGAGTTGGCCTGCTCCAGCCAGAAAGAATAGACATCTTTGTACAGCTCTGCGTTGACCTTAGAGCTAGCTGACCGATAGTCATGTCGCTCGGCAGCAGTTGACCCAGTATTGCCAAACAGCTCCACGACTTCAAGAATGGTGCCATTAGTTCCGGGAATGGCCACCTTAGCGGGGGTCAGATCGTAGAAAGGGGCAAAGGCAGCAGGCTGAGAGGCGTGTTCAGAATATAGGAGGCCCACCTCGATGCTGTCCAAGCTGATAACCATGGCCACTGTAGACTTAGAATCAGATGCTCCATTTTCTTGCCACTGCGCAAAAGCATCAAGGACATCAGGCGCCTGGTTGGGAGTGTAGACTAGAACTTTGAACCAGGTGTTATACACAGGGATCGTGTACATATCAAAGCGGGTAACTATCCCGAAATTGGGACCTCCTCCTTTGAGTGCCCAGAAAAGATCGCTGTTTTGATTAGCATTAGCATCTACAATAGCACCATTGGCTAGCACAAGCTATATACACATCAGCGGATCTATCTTCTGGTTCTTCTTGAGGAGGAATGTACATGAAAGTTCTTGACATTGTCCGCCGCGAGACCATACTCACCGGATAAATGAAAATACCCACCTAGGCGACGTTGGTAATAGTCCAGACACTATAGCAGCAGTCTTGAATGACGCAAGTTTAGAGAAAAGAGCAAAAAATCATACCTCCAATAATAAGTCCTCCAACACCGACATCGTTGATTCGGCCACCAATTACACTAACCTGGTATGGAGCCAGTGCAGAATAGACATCTCCCCATCGGTTTCCGGGCCCGAGACTGACCATGCTGGCGTCTGAACTGACGACGATCTCATGAAGGAGCTGTAGGTCAATAAGAATCCCCGGCTGGCCGACGCTAGACCAGCCAGGGTTGGGCGAGTGTCCTCCGCTGCGGACAGCAAACTTTGTTTGGAAGAAATTGATAATTTTCATGGCCAGTGATACCTGTTGATCGGAATTGGGTAGGATGGCGCATGTCGGTGTCTCCCAGCAAACCTCAGACCACGTGCCATCAGTTTCGGTTTGGTTGACAGGCGTGGTGTTTACGGCACTGAAACCAAGCACAATCTGGGCTATGTCGCATGCGAGTTTCACTACTTCCGACGATGCGATGCTCTGCCCACTCAAAACGGGCTCAATGACGCGTACATTGCGAAATAATTTGGTTTGTATACCCTTTGCACTATCTGCGGGTAGATTGAGCTCATTGATAAAGGCGTTAATTGCCTGGGATGCATTGACTGCCTGCGCTATCACGATCTCCCATGCGAAGAATAGGTAGAACAGTGTTTGCCGCTTCATTGCTAATAGGTAATGCTTGGCTAGAGATGGAGATGCAATGAGACCGAGAGACGAAAGAAGAGGATTAGAGGCAGGCAGAGAAAATTCAAGGGGAGACAGGAGAAATTTGATGAGATAGCATGATAATTACCATCTACTTATATCAATGCGGTTGGCCACAGACTAAAATCCGTTTGAAAAAGGCTTCTGCTGCACGACCGTCAATGAAAAAAGGCGCACCTAACATTCTTAGCACGTTTCGTATAAGCGAGCTATCCAGTTAGGACGACTAGAGCCTTGTTTTCGAAGACTATTTTAGCGTTGGATTTGTGGTTACTTAAAGATCACCAATAGCCAATATTATATCGTTGAAGCCTTATTCCCTATTTTATTTCCATTCCTTTTGTGAACTAGCCCCCAAAAATATATTAGTTTGACTCTCTTTCTCACTTTAGACTCGGAAACTCTCTTACATTTTCTTGCCAACTTCGAAAATCAGGAAGCTCTCCTCCAAATGGCGACGGCTAGTGATGTCCTTTCCTCCTCTTCCGTTAAAAATGCGAAAAATCCATCACCCCCCGAAGCCATCCACGTAAGATCATCTAATAAACACGGACCGGATCGATACGGCGGTAATTACAAGATCCGAATCTTGTCGTTTCTGCCAGACTCGTGGATTCCATACATCCAGCTTGCCCGCCTCTTTCCTCCAGCCGGTCTGTTCTTGATCTATTTCCCGCATGCCTTTGGCGTACTGCACGCGGCTATCCAGATCCAAGCATCCCCCGGTATGGTCTTTCAGGCCAGCACGGTGACGCTCGGCGGCAGCTTCTTCTTCTCCAATGCCGCACACGTTTGGAATGATCTGATCGATGCTGAGCTCGATGCAAAGGTCGAGCGAACCTCGCAGCGACCTATTCCTCGTGGAGCCGTCTCCCCCCGTGCAGCGTTCGTATTTACTCTCACACAGGCGGTGGGGGCTGCTTACTTTCTTACTTGGCTACCTGGAGGCTTCCTACATGGGTTTCTGTACGCATTACCGAACATCATTGCCACTATCTACTATCCGTGGGCTAAGCGACACACTCATTTCCCCCAACTTGTCTTGGGAGTCTGCCTAGCGTGGGGCACGATCATGGGCGAACTGGCGCTAGGAGTGCCTGCGTTCACTGTGTCAGTCGGGGATACATGGTGGCCATCAAACTTTTTGTCCTGTGCCCGAGGAGACCTCGACTTCTCTCTGATCTCCATCAAGGTGAAATCGAGTGTGATAACGCTATTCCTCGCCGGAGTGGTATGGACGGTCATCTACGACACAGTCTATGCCCATCTAGACCTCCAGGCGGATCTTCAGGTGGGGATCAAGAGTTTAGCGGTTCTCTTTCAGACCCGGACCAAGGCGGCGCTGTGGCCGCTTTTAGTGACCATAGCCGGCCTGCTGGTGGACTGTGGTCGCCGCAGCCAGCTCGGGGCACCATATTACCTCATTGGAGTGACTGGAGCTATTGGATCTTTAGGGACGATGATTGCCCTAGTCGATTTAAGGAATAGCCAAAGTTGTTGGTGGTGGTTCAGCAAGGGATTCTGGTTGGCTGGGGGCGCAATTGTTGCAGGGTTACTAGGAGAGTATATGTTGTCAGTCGTTCTGCAGTGCAAGACTGGTTTTCAATTTACATGACGTCTAGGGCTAATTTATATACAAATAACTAGCAAAGCTGTCGAACAACTACCGTCTGTACTTTTGAGATGCGTCACTATTAATGTAGTCCTGACTGATCAGAATTGGCCTGTGCTCATTCAATTGGGGAAAATACGCAGATACGATAAACAGTTAATCAATAAACAGTTCTTTAAGCACTTGCGGGGTAATGACTTGGGGGCCGATTAAAACAGTGTTAATATTAATAATTTACCTAGTGGGTCATGCTTATAATGCACAATAGGTTACATTCTCGGATCCTTCCGCATCATCAAGCGCACTGGCCTGCGATCCGCACCAACAGTCTCTCCGTACTAAAATCCACTTATGCAATGTTTACGGAGTACGAGATTACTAAAATATTCACTAATTTCAGTATCCACTATACTGTCAGTCAAGTAGCTGCAGATATGATCTACCAATGAGCATTGACGAAATTCCCTGCTGAGGACAGGGATAAATGCACCTAGCTTTCCCTAGTTGCCCGTGCCTAGTAATTCAGCTTGCCATGGTCAGAAATCAGAGTTTGGCATTTGTAATTTTACATGGAGTTAGGCCCCAAGAAGCTTGGTTATTTACCTAGTTAATATCAAGGTAGAAATCATTATATGCCGAGAGAAACAACTGATCTGTTGTCATCATCAATACGGATTGGTGTATGGCCCGATATTAAAGGGGGCGATAGGGTGTCACTGTAATAGCGGTCAACTGCAAGCCCCGGAATACATGAATAAATTATCCTTGCCAACACCCATTAATAGTAATTCTTAGGCCACCCAGTTGACCTACAGGGACACGCTACTCTACAGGGAAAGATGATATGCGCATAGCCTTTCTCAACAACGACTTTGGCTCTTACCATATGGTACTGGTAGTAAACATTCCTTAAAGAGACGTAGTTCATTCTCATCAGTCTCGTCATTATCGTCCTCGCTATGACCGTATTCTTCTGATAAAGAGCAAATGACTACTCAAACTTCGTCAGTCGCCTCAACAGCGGTCTCACTCATTCCTCCGCCGACCGAGATTGATAACGCGCATAAGGTCTACTCAGTCGCCATCGCTTGCATTATCCTGGGGATCATTGGCAGCGTCACGGTAATCGCACGATTAGCACAACGGGGACATGCACGAGCCTTTGGAGCTGACGACTATGCTATTATTCCGGGCTTGGTAGGCATTTCCTGTCGGAGCCATAAATTAACAAAATTGACAAAATCACCAGTTATTCTATATCGGCTGGACAGCCATGGCTGCATATGTGAATCTGAACGCAGGAGTAGGAAAACCACTATGGGAAATTACGCTCGGAGAATACTCGGTGTGGTACAAGGTATCAGAGTCATCCACATGCCCACATCCTGCAATCACATCAATTGATGTATCTCATGCACCTCTTCAAATCACTTTCTGCTAATGGAAAAAAAAAAAACAAGGGAATTGTTGGCTCCTCCTTGATCTATCCCGCCATGACGACTAGCATCCGCATCTCGGTCCTCTTTCTCTACTATCGCACATTCGCCGTCCAAATGCCGAATATGCGAATCATCCTCTGGGTCCTCATTATCCTGCAGGGCATCTACTTGGTCGTCTTCTCCATTATGCCAGGTTTTATCTGCCACCCACTCGACAGAGCATGGACCAGCATTACCGAGCGCCATGTCTACTGCAATGATTGGTACTACTACTACCTGAGTGTGGCGCTGTACAGCTGCAGTATGGCCTTTGATGGCATTCTGCTCTTCATTCCTCTCTACCCGATCTCGACGTTGCATTTACCGTTGCGGAAACGGATAGGGATTGCAGTTATTTTCATGATGGGTGCTGGGTAGGTCTATTTCTAGCTTCTATGTTTTCTTTCCATCCAATTTCAACCAGGTAGAGCCAGCTAACCAAACGAAAATCCTCCCAAAAAACAGTGCTAGTGTAGCTGCAGCCTACAAACTGGCCATATTTGTTCTACAAATGAAGCGAATTGACGAGATCAATCCATTATGTACGTTTTCCCCCTTGTTGCCGCTTCCTGGTCCCACCGAAACCAGAATAGAATCAACCACAGCTATGTATATGGATATTAACGGTCCTAGGGCTCCAATACGAAATGAGCCGCATCACACCCCCCCAATTCGACGATTACGGCAGAACGTTTTGGATCCCCTCACAGGTCGAACCCTGTGTCGCTCTAATCGGGACCTCGATCCCTGCCCTACGCCATTTATTCGTGGAGCGGAAGCAGCAGTTGTCTGCCTATTACTCTAAGAATAGTAAGCAGAGGTCTTCTGCGTCCCGGTCCGGTGGTTTCCGGAGTGAGCATAATCGGCATTCGACAAGCCAGCTGGTAAACGGGCTTGAGGATGGGGAGGACCTTTTGCGGAGGGAATATCTTGAGTTACGGGATCGAGGGGAGAGTAGATAGCCTATTCAGACTGAACATAGAGTAGGAAGTATGTATTTGTGCAAATCTCCGTCTTTACGAGATTTTAACACGAGGATCCTCACCCAAGTATCGCGCTAGGTACGCATTTACGGCGTGCATATTACGGAGTGGAAGTACATAAATGGCAGTGCTCCGTGTAAGACTTCAGGACCAATCGGTGCAAGGGAAACAAGTAGAAGTAAACCCCGGCAGGTCTATGCCCAATCGATACCATGAAATAACTATTCCGTACCCAGTATCCCATCTATGTCTTAGCTCTTCACATGTTTGCAAACTATAGCTGAGATTAATGACGCGCATGAGAGCGGGGCTGGGGGCCAAATGCATGGACTTTCAAAAGACATCGCAGAGGTTACGTTAACTTAGTAAGATTCCCATTTTCAGAGCCGACTCGGCGGGGGTGACACTAGTCCGCATTATTATTGGTACGTTCGACAGAAAACAAGGCTGTGGAAATACGAAGGCACTAGTCATACTATGTATGCATATATGTATCTAACCTAAAAATAATGTTTTACTGCCGCCTTAAAAAGGCATTACTCTTCAACTGCTAATATTTGTAATATTTTAACATTTGACACGTAAAAGCCACCTGGTCAGCGAGTTCTATCTAGGTACCCAGCTTGAATCCGCCTCGCACCAGCCGTCCAAACACCCTCGTAGGATCATACAAGTCCCTAACAGCCCTTAACTGACCTAAACTCTGCGATCCATAGTGTGCAATAACGTCCTGGTCCCAGCTCGCATCATTCATAAAAATATACTCCACATGGCGCCCTGCATCCACGGATGTCTGCTCGATCTGTTCCCTCAGCGTCCCGGTCAGGCGATGTGCCTTGGCATCATCCGTTGCATCGGCCCACCCGATATCCAGCACCAGCCAGGTCTGGTTGACTGCATTCAGGCCTAGGGCATTGCCACCTGCCGCTACACCCGCATCTACGACGCTGGAGGAGATAGGTTGGATGCCTAGGACAAGGGTGGCTGTGTTGACGGTACGCAGCTCGTTGATCACTGAGGAGTTGACTACTATGTCAGCGATCTGCGAGTAGAGGGAGGCAGAGGGTTGGAAGCTTGTTGCGTGCCAATCCCACCTGCGAAGTGTTTGCCAGTTGTCAGCTTGTTTCTCGCTTCCATTTTCAACTTCAAAAACAGGGAAAGACTGCAAATACCGTGGAATATCAGGCATAACTGCCCCATCCATAAAATCAACAAAAGACTGGATAGTAGTCATATCTTTCAACGGAGGGATTCCGTAGAAAGGCTCGAAGGCGGCGGGACTCGCCTCAGGTTTCAAATATACGAGATTTAGCAACACCCCGATACTGGAGTTCATGGTGGCCGCCTGTACCATCAGATTGGCGTAGGGATCCTTATTAGCGACTAATTGGTAGGTGTTGAGGGCGGCAAGGACATCAGGGAGCTGGTCGAGGCCGTATATCTTGATGCCGCCCCAGACATTGCCGATAGGATAGGTGCGCACGGTGAAGGTGGTGACGATGCCTGTTCGAAGTCAGTAATATTACTATGGTTCCATAGCAGATTTTTAAAGGAGGTAATTTGAGTTTTACCAAAGTTATTAGCGCCTCCCTTCAAGGCCCAGAAAAGGTCCGGGTTCGATGTGGCATTGGCATTGAGCAGCGTCCCGTTGGCAATCACCACCTCGAAATTCACAACGTTGTCACAGCCCAGACCATAGAGGTCGGAGAGGTATGAAAGCCCGCCTATGTTGCAGTTAGGATTTTGTCCCATGTAGTGCGTATCAGGTAGAGCTAAATGTACTCCCCAGTAACAACCCGCTCACTCCAACATCCATAATACGGCCTCCAACTGCTGTGCGTCCGTACTTCTCTAGCTCAGTGTAGACCGCCCGCCATCGTAGACCAGCCCCAATAGTGACAACTTCGTTGGTAGCATCATAGTCCAGCGTTTTCAGAAACGAGGTGTCAATCAGCACCCCGCGATTGATGTTAGCGCCAAGTGGCGAAGGTAAATGCCCCCCTGAGCGGATGGCAAAGGGGACCTGATGCTCTGTTACTAGACGGACGATGCCCTGTGCTTGAGCCGCATTGGCCGGTTGAACAATGCACGACGGGTATCCCCATGCTGTCTGGGACCAATTCTCCTCTGCCAGAGCGGTATATTGAGTGTTATTTCCAGCGAGAGTGGTGAGGTTGCTGTACTGCGATTGGAGTTGGTGGCAGACACGGTCCAGCGACGTGGCCTGAGCTGTGAGGGACAATAAACAAAGTAGCCAAGCCAGCCAGGCCATGGTGAAGTGGAAGACTGCCATGGGTTCGTTGCAATAGATTTTGAGATATTGTATTATTACTCACGGTTTATAGAGCAATAATAACATTCTTGATCTTGACAAAATGGACACATGACACTTCTGACCTTATAGATGTAGTAGATGTCAAACGGCTCATTCAATCAGTTTCTGAGTGTGCTAGCATTTACCACGATGTCTCACGGTCGCTTCTTACTAGGCGAAGAATGCGCTAAGGCTTAGTAGACTAATCACATATTATTTCTAATACCGGCTAATATAATGTAGGGGTACCTAGTGCGTACACAATGATTATTTAGCCATTACAACGTTGAGGACCCTAATATTCATTGCTATCGTTGTACTGTTGGTTTATATTTACGTAGCGTCTAAAACCCTCATGTGGGTAGGATTCTTAAGCTAATACTAGCAAACCCCCGTTTTCGCCCCCAATTACATGCTAAAGTACATTCCGGTATATGTCATACATAAATTACTGTGGCAATAAGAAATTAAATCTAGCCCTTCCATTTTCTATTTTTTGACCAGCCATACCCACACAAAATTTACGGCCCGATGCGAGATCCGCAACGGGGCCATATTCTAGGCTTCATTCTTAGTGTAAACTATAACTTACTTTCCGATACCTTGTTTTCGCTCTGACTGTAGCCAATTCTTCGATAATTATTGATGATTTCTCTTTATCTAATAAAATATAATAGAGATGTGGATGAAATGCTGTTCGCGCCATCCGGCATGTATTGGCGTCAGCGGCCCATATTAACATGATCTCCGTCACTATTGAACTGAAATTAATTATTAATTACCTCCCTCTAGACCGGGGGTTCTTTGTCTAGTTACATATCTGATGCATAATAATGTGCTCTATTGCCGCCCCCTGTCACACGGATCGAAGGATCCTTCGTTTCGACTACCGTAAGACTATTTATTGCTACTGAGACTCCATGCAAAAACCAAACTAAGGCAAGCAGCTCCAAGCCAGGAAAAATGGTGACCAGCTCTGTGCTCCTAACTGGCGCAAATGGCTCCCTCGCCATCCCAGCCGTCCATCACCTACTCTCCACCTATCCCAACATAACCGCAATTCTGACGGTGCGTAATCCGTCCGCCTCTTTAGACCACAATACGCGGCGTCTACAAGAAACTATCGCCCCATTCAAGGACCGTGTGAGCATCCATGCTCTTGACCTAGCTAATCTCGCTGTTGTCCATGACTTCGCTCGCTCGTTGGCCTCGGAGATCGCCTCAGGGAAAATACCCCCACTAGCTAGCATTATCTGTAATGCGTTTCATTGGAATCTCGTTGGTCCTCTACAGCTAACCAGCGATGGTTATGAGAAAACTTTCCAGGTCAATCATCTCTCTCATGCAGCGCTCATTCTGCATTTATTGGGCTCCTGTACCTCAAATGCCCGCATCATTCTTTTCGCCAGCGATGCCCATTGCCCCGGTAAGAATTCACTAGAAAAGTACCCGCCATCTTTACCAGATGTAGAAGAACAGAAGGGCGAAGGACAAGTCGACATCAACTCCCTTGTTCATCTTAAAAACACAGAGACAAATGAGGACCCTCTCGGCCACGGATTCCACCGCTATGCCGTCTCCAAACTCGCCATCATAGCCTGGATGTACGCACTGAATCGTCGTCTCCAAGCCGCTACTAGGCAGGAAGAGGATGAAGAAAGTGACAACCGCCATGTCTATTTAAAGCACGGCATTACGGCTATTGCGGTCAATCCAGGAAACCTGAGTGACTCACGGGCATTGCGGGTGAATACGCCCACCAGTATCCGGATAATGTCGCGGATGATTATAAAGCCCTTGAGTCCGTTGTTACGAGCGTTGGTAGATCCAACCATGCGAAAAGCCAGTGACGCTGGGGTAGATGTGATCAATTTAGCAGTTGGAGAGAATTATTCACATGCAGAAGGGTATTTTACATTGCGAAAGAAGGATGAGAGTTCGCCAGAGAGTATGGATGAGAAGAAACAGGAACTTTTGTGGCGGAAGACGCTGGAATGGACAGGGATTAGCGCAGAGGATACCGTGCTTGCTCTGTGAATTTCTTTTGTTCTTTCCTTTAGCTTTTCTGACCAATGGATTTATCTAGTTTTCTGTATGAAATAGTAAAAACAGATCAGTAGTGGCTATTATTTATCAGTCGTAGTACACCAAACTGCCCTGGCTTTGATTCTAAAGTAGAAATGCCGATAGACAGCATAGGGTAAGAAAGGTGATTAATCCTCTTTATTTCTTGCAAACCGTCGCTGAAACCAGCTTTGTCTCATTTTCTCACATGCCAGTCTCCAGTCGGATGTCCATTTAGGATAATATGGCTGATATCCCAAGAGTCCACCAATGCAGCGACCAACCAAGATCCCCATTGCCATGGACACTGTTCGTCCAAAAGGGACCCAGCATGGTAGAGAGAGATAGGAGCCTCCTGCATCGAACATCTGGTCTTTCAATTAATTCTGAATTAAGTTAAAGGAGATAGCTGAAGATGAAGGAAGAAAGGAATAAACGAGTACCGTTAGAACCTGAACCAAATCGATCGATTTTCCCGCCAAAATCTCATCCTGATACCCGTACCAATTCTCAAAGAAGATCGTATCTAACCGCGACACTTTATCAGTTTCTTGCCCCCAGAGCCGAAAACGGATTGGCTCTCCCCCTTCATCTGCCGCAGCCTGCGCTAGATCAGCTGCGACTGGATACAAGCGGTGATGTACCCATGGTTGGATGCAAACTTCGCCGTCCGCGGGAGTCAAGATGCTGACACCTCCGTGACCGCGCTGCTCCACACAGATACGACCTGTCAATACCTCGATGTATTCCTTCTGAAATGGGTGGAAGTGCATCGGAGGTTTTTCGGTGCGCAGGGTAGCAGGCCAAAGATGCCGGTAGAATACGACTTCAAAGGCGAAGGCTCGCGGGGGATTAGTGATTTCGGTAGAAACATGGGTTTCAACGGCTCCGTTAAATCTGGTATAGAATGGAAGTATTAATAAAAGGGCTTGAAATCGCCATAGCTGACATTGAACAATAAAGCGACAAGGCAAACCTGGACAGGCATACGCTACAACGATGCGATTAGGCTTGGTGGCCATTGCTCGTCTTGTTTGCGAGTTTGATATTATCTATTAGGAAAGTAAATTAGTGTACGTTACTTTCACGCAATTTGTGTCAGGCATTTGCCTGATAAATAGGTGGTAGCTTTATGCAAGCTGAGCACGCATCAAGCCGCGAATGAGAGAAGTGCGGGGCATTAAGTGTCAGTTGAGGGGGATTTCCACTGCGTTTTTTACGGAAATGCCCGACAATCTTTGTATTTGGGGGCCAAATTAGTCAAAAAAAGTGCCTTGAGCTATATCATAATTTAGTTCTGACAGCTTTAAATTGTCATATTCGACCATAAACTGAAATACAAGAACACAAAATGCATCCTAGCACTCATGTTGTTGTGATTGGAGCTGGAATTGGTGGATTGACACTTGGAGTAGGTACGAAAGATGATCCCATGGAGCCAAAAGAAAAGGAATGAAATAAACGGTCAGATAATCAGTGTACTTATTGTTGGCAGTACTGCGTAGATGTGGTCTGCGGGTTACAATCCTTGAGCAGGCCTTAAAAATTTCTGATATTGGAGCCGGCATCCAACTTGTGGGTTCTCGAATTGTTATGGTTCCGTAAGTTCCTTGCAATGACGAACTGACTGTATGTTGTTTTCGGAGGCACCAAACGCGACAAGAATCCTGAGACGATTTGGTCTCTTGGATGAGATTCTCAAACATGCGAATCACCCTTCAGGCACTATCATTCGGCGATACTGCGATGATGCTGAGATAGGTCCACGAGCGCACAAGCGCGCTAGCCAAAGCCGCTTTGATACACCTATGCTGGTGATTGTCCGTAATCAACTTCCAAGGTGCGCTTTTAGCCCAATATACTAACAATTGCGAAAGCACCGGGGCGATCTTCAAAACGTGCTGCGAGAAGCCGCACTCAGAGAGGGCGTTTTATTGCGTACCAATGCCAGAGTAACTGCAGTTGATACTGAACTTATAGCAAGAGTCACTTTGGCCAGCGGAGAACAAGTGGTGGGTGATGTTCTCGTTGGTGCAGATGGAGTTAATAGTATAGTTCGAAGAACAATGGCTACTTGTTCTGGGTTAGAAGACCGAATTATGCCCACCGGAGACGCGGCATACCGAATTTTAATACCCAGAGACAAGTTGGTTGACAATGTTGAATTCTTGACAGAAATTGACGAGTTATTGAGCACCCGCTGGCTCGGACCTGATGGACATATCATGGCCTATCCTATCCGTGGCAACACACTCTACAATGTTGTCATGGTGCATCCTCAAAAAATGGATGCTAATTCTGACAATGAGACCGACATCTGGGTGCGCAAGGGGCATATTAAGGATCTTTGCTCTTTTTACGGAAAATGGAGTCCCAGGGTTCAGCAACTTGTGGGCTGTATCGATCCTGCACAGATAACGGAATGGCCACTCAATACCCACTCGAATCTGCCTACGTGGTTCAGTAACCGGGCATGCCTCCTTGGGGATGCATGTCATCCAATGCTTCCTTATGTGGCTCAAGGTGCGGCCCAAGCCATGGAAGATTCTGCGGCGTTGGGTGTATGTCTCTTCTCCGCGGATAACTTGCAAACTGCTTTTTCGACTTATGAAAGTGTGAGAAAAGAAAGAGCGGAATATATTCAGGGATCTGCAAGCGCCATGCGGAAGGTACTTCATCTATACGACGGACCGGAACAGAAGGACCGCGATGCTAGGATGCGTGCTCCAAGAACGAGTGATTGGAAGCATCCAGATCTTTGGGAAGACCCAAGCTTCCAAGAGCTAGTCTGGGCTCACGATGTTGTACTGGAGGTGCAGAGGAAGTTCGCCAGCTCCACAAATTTCCATCAGAAGATGTCGAATGTGAACCTTTGCACCAACGGTGAGTACAACATGAAAGCATAGCACTAACTCTACTGTACGGGACATCTCCAGGAATGTTTGTATAAATCTATATGACACTAGTCTTATTTAGGCATATTATACTAAGATTTTATAAAATATTTTTTTTTAAAATTTATAGAATAATCTTTCTTAGTATCCCTATGAATCAGAAAATAATTAGTCATAATTTAATTATATAATATTATTCATTTATTCAGATTTAACAATTCTACTGTAACACCCCTGTACGAAGGCATGTGCGTTTGGCGTTGATTCTGTGTCAGACTTTTTACGCATTAGAACAAATTGAACTTAGTGGCAAATTTGATTGGATTCAGTTGTATCAGCCAATAAATACCAAATTAATTACCTTCACTAATGAGTGGGACCCCTTTTTGGTGTAGTGGCTTTTCGGTCAACAAGATACAAGCCTGAGCTGCAATGAGATATGTCAATTTTTGGCGTGGCGTTTTGGCCCGGTTGATCGTAATTTTGGGCATTTTGAACCTATTTCCAAAATGCCTAGTGCCAAATATTCTGACGAACCCCGTTTACCGACTGTATAAAACCATGACCATGTCTCCCCTTGAACTCCAAGAGAATCTATGAATTAATTATCTACCGTCGGAATTTTCTGTTCGTTGACCCTGACAATTGGACAAGTGTCCAGGAAGCTTCACATCATGCCTCCTAACATTCAAGTGTTCTTTCCCAAAGAGAGCATACCAGCCCTCTACCCAAACGAAAAAGTCGGTGAACGTGTCACTACATACGCCGAGAAACACACCTCCACGATACCTCGACATATCATTAACTATCATGATCACATTAAAACGACACAGCCTAAGACGGCCAATTACATGATTCCCATCTCTGAAGCCCAGGCACTGGTTTTTTTGGCTCATACTGTTGGGGCTAAACGAGGTAAAAAGGACTCCATACTTGGCTAGAGTTAATACATGAACTATACAAATCGCTGTCCTTCTATTCTAGTGCTCGAAATTGGATCATATGTTGGCTTCTCCATGCTCGTGTGGAGTCATGCTGTCGGACCCCAAGGCTATGTTACAGGTCTCGAGTTCGAGCCATCTTTTGTTCAAATGGCCAAAGAAGCATTTGCTGCCAATGGAGTCCAGAACACCGAGTTGGTCGTTGGTGATGCTCTTGAAACGTACGTACTGATCTCATCGTTTCTGCTGTGCCTATGGAAGTACTTTCACATGCGCAGTGTCGTGTCTCTCACCTCATTCTGACATTAAAACTCCCAATAGTTTGCAAAACCTAGCACCATCTGAACCGTACGATATCATATTCATTGATGCACAAAAGACGGGCTACCCAAGCTATCTCGCTACCATCCTTCGGCTGTCACAACCAGGTGCAGCGACCCGTCTTCTTCGTCCAGGAGGCCTTATCATTGCTGATAATGTCCTCCGATGCGGCTTTGCGGCCGACGATAGTGAGGACAACCCATGGCGAAACTATGACTTTGGGCCGCATAGAAAGGAGTATTGGAAGTCTGCAGACGTGCAGTCTGTCAAGGCATACAATCAAACGATTCTAGAAAGCCAACGAGTGGAGAGCTGGCTGTGTCCTCTTTGGGACGGGGTTAATATGAGTCGATTACTGGACTGATAGCGCTAAGAGATGCCGAGGCATTCATTATGTATTATCTTTATAATGAAACCTCGGTGCGTGGATCAATATTGTGTTATTGTTGTTGTGGGTTCGGCTAACGAACGCCAGAAACTAATCAATCTACTACGGCGGTTACACCGTTGAGGCCTGAGGCACGAAACATACCTCCTCTCAGACGCAGACGCAGATGCAGACACAGCAAGGAAACTCCATGGATTACCTGATTAGGAAGTTAGGATACATATCATGTTGTTGAAAAATCACAAATCCTTCACTTGTATGACTATCATTTTTAGGAGTTCTTTGAATCTCGAAAATTCGACCTTGTCAAGCACTTTAGTAAAGCCGTCGGCCGGATTATCGTCAGTAGAGATGCGTTTGAGAGTAATATTGCCTTGGTCATCCTGATGCTTCACAACATGATATCTTGTACTCAACCACCATGTAGCGGTAACGAGGCCGTTCTCTTGAACTTCTTTCATACTGTTATTGGAGTTAGTAAAGATCATAATTGAGTCAGATTCCTTGACTAGGTTGAACGCAGTTAGTAAAAGACTGGCGTACAAGGCCGATTTTGTAATATCGCTTAGGTATATATATTCGGGGGCAGCACTAGATGGCGCCACGACAGATTGCTTGGATGAGCCCCAAATTATTAGAGTTCCGGCATAAAATATGATCCAGCACTATGTAGATTTACCGTCAAGGTGATCTCCAAGCACTGCGTCGATGAATGCTTGAAGTCCTCTCTCCGGATCTTGATTCAATGTCAATCCATGGTTTTTAGTACCTTCGAGATATCTCAACACCTCTTTGGCGGCCATGTAGTCGGCCTTTGTAGACGTAGATTGCTTGTGTTGGAGACGCCTGACTGAGAACGTGACATCTAGTCTTGTCTTGTATTCCAATCAATTGAGGCATCTAGTAATGTTGACATGGTTATTTTGCAAATCGTCATTGTTCGGATCAATTGGCGAATCCAATTTATATCCCGAAGCTAAAGGTGTTTGGCGAACGTTAGTGGCTTCAAGATTGAAGCGATTGAGATCCTCATTGACGTACTCTTCCTGGCTTAGAGAGATCGTTTTCTTATTGAGATCACGGTATATTGAAGATCCAAGAAACTTCTTCTGAATGCCGATGCGCTTGCATCATCCTCCAAACTATGCATCTAGAACGTTAATAAGTTGGTCAATTGAAGCCATATCATTTGCTGCAATGAGTGTGTCATCGACGTAGAGAAGCATTATGGTTCCGTAAGAATATCTTGTATAGATGCAAGGTTCTTCCTTCGAAGAGTTGAAACCTAACTCGATAAGTTTGTTATCAAAAACGCCGGTACAAAAATTGGTGGATTCTCTGGGGTCATATAACGCTTTGCGCAATAAACAAACCAAATCTTTGCCTTTCGATAGGTCGGTTGGTTAGGCGACGAGTATTCTCCGGTGTTGCAACAATGCATGCAGATAGGCGCCAATAGTATCGTCATGATACATAACAAGTCCGTTTTTAGCGCAGTAAGTGAGAAGATTTGAGGCCTATTTCTCCTACCACGGGAGACCAGGTGTCCTCTCCAGATTTAACTTGAAAATTTCCACAAGCAACCCATCTGGCGCGGAATTCGGCGACCGTGCCCTCCGAATGAGATTTGAGGTTATAGACCCATTTTCCGGGTAATATTTGTGAACCATCTTTGGATGAGAAATCAAGGTCCAGGTGTCTTTTATTTTCTAACTTCTCATACTGACTTTCCATGGCTTTGAACCATAAATCGCTTTGCGGTGATTTCATGGCTTTGTCGAGGGTTAGTAGGGATATGGATCTCCCGCTTTGTGTATTGTTTGTCAGGTAAAGCCGCTAAAGCTGTTCTAATAAAGATTTCGCTGGAATCAGGGGCAGATGGGGTTGACGATTGAGATGTTGATTCGTCAATTTAACTTGCTTCAGGTGCCGATAGATATTCGGATTCGTGATCGGATTCAAGAAGGCGTTCGCGCTCCGGTGTTGGGGATAGCGTTTGGACACAGTCAACAGCGAGTTCGTTTGTATCGAAGTCATATTCCCAGATGGTATTCTCCAGGTCGTTAATAACTTCAGAAATCGATTGCAAATTATCTGTATTAGTCAGTAGTTGACGTGGCTTCTTCTTCTTCTTACTTCCGTCAGAATTTTGACACATAATGCTTCTCCAACTTGGGGTCTTGGGATAGCCTGTATCTTATTACCGCCCGCTAGGGAGTGTAGAGGCATCTTCGCCGTCCCAAAAGGTAAACATCGCGAGATATTGCGATCGTCCCTGTGTTAAGGTGCCAAATTTTGAAGGCATGCCCATAATCGCCAACATAACCGATTAATCTGCCAATTTTGCACGTGGCTCCATTTTCAACACTTTTTGGCGGTCTTCCTTTGGGGTACGAACGTATATACGACATCCCCAAACCCTTATGTGATGTAACGAGGGGACCGGATTTGGCACCTTCAAGGCTTCTCGATATTTCTGGATGGATGGCGAATCAGCGCCTTGCTGGTTCAAACGCGACATAATATAGACTGCACATTCCACAGCAAAGGGTCACAAATAGTGAGACGTCCAGGTCGGACGAGAGCTGCATCCAATTGTTCAATGTGATTGGTAGTCATTATCAACACCCGATCTTCCGGTAGAGAGACTCTGTCTATAGCATTCAATAATCTAGAGAGAGTCAATCAATGATAGGTTTCTGCCAGCCAGCGTAGCCTTGCGGTCAGTCTTGCCAGCGCTGAAACACCTCAGTCAATTGGTTGCAACACCTCAGAAACTGTTTCATCGTGGGCCAAGTTCCTGTCAGTCCCCACTCTCATCGAATAGTTCTGTTTCTAGTTGCGTGCCCAGGTATAAAAACAACCCATCGCATTCTCTTACATAATTTTATTACCATTAGCAATGCAATATTTTGTCTTCCTTGCTGTACTATTGTGCGAAATGATTGGTTCATACAGTCCACGATAGCCTTGCACTCGGCCTTTGCACTCAGCCTTGCACTCAGCCTAGCCTCGCGACTGCCGCCTCCCTAAGGACGACTTGGGTCTGAAATTCTTCTCATCTACCGGATGACTGAGAATTTAACTTTTACATAATACTGGAAAACTGGTACTAGAGCTTCAGTATATCGTTTGTTATGTCACATTACAATGGCACCTCCAACGCGTCGCACGATGAGTGTACCGTGGCATGGATCTGCGCGTTGCCGTTGGAAATGGCCGCTGCAAAGGCAATGTTGGACGACATTCACGGTCGTCTTCCACAGCCGTCAACCGATCACAACGCACACACACTGGGTAAGGTGCATGGGCACAATGTCGTGATTGCCTACTTGTCGTCAGGCATTTACGGGACCATGTCGGCCACCACGGCGATTAGCCTGATGGTTGGTATCGGAGGCGGAGTACCTCAGAAAACCGACGTTCATCTTTGAGACGTGGTAGTCAGCAAGCCATACATATAGTTGCGACTCCATACGTCATTACCAGCGTGTTTCTAGAATGATAGGTTATTGAGAGCAAGGCTATTGTAAGTGCTCATCCTTGCTAAGTGTTAGATCATGGCTATCCGCTTGGTCGACACTTGCGCGGCGGAGTTGGTATAACCTCGTCCATATAATTACGAATATAAGCTTTCTAGAGGCATTTGTTTTCATTTGTAGGCTATCGTGAGGCTGAAGCGACTATTGGCGTGGCATGCATGAACGATTTCAGTAAAATACGATCGGATGGTCAGCTTTTGCATATCTCATACATCCAACAAGTGGTAGCTTATTGATCAAAGGTTTTGGCGATTGGTAAGTTGCTGATGAAAAAAAGTGGAAGTTTCTCGCACAAATGCCTTCTCTAGTCTATAGAGTAGATTGGTATTGATACAAAGAAGAATGTTCTGGAAGAATACATTTCTTGAGTTACGTTTGAACCAGCTGAGAGATTATTGAGGCTCAATAATAGCAAGTAAGGACAAAAGAATGGATAGAGAACCTACTAGTCAGTAGAACGAATACGGAGGCAGCAAAGCAAGCCATGTCGGGTATCCATGCATCCATGCGAACACGTAATAGTCGGGTGATTAATCCCCGCATGATCAGTGTAACAGAAAAAGATAAGCGCAATGACTGCTAGTTTCTATTTTGATGAGGATATCAAAATATTTGACAGAATCGCAAATTTCATTCTATTTGCTCCACTAGAAAATATGTATAGTGCAGTTTGTCCTTGTCCTAGATTCATGATTTATTTTATCTGAATTGACTAGTTATCAGCCTTGTTCGGACATTGGAAATAAATAGGTACATGTAAGACTAATGCTCAACAGCAGTCTTAGCGTAGAAAAAACGCACCTAATTAAGAAAGTGAAATGCATAGCCTTCTCCTCAAAAAAGGTCCTTCTAAGGCTAATCGGGATTTATCCAAGGACTAGAAAAAGAAAACAGAAAGAGGAGAAATGGAGTTATTTTACGATATGAATAAATACTGTGGAGGAACAATCAAAATTAAGTGCGAAGGATACTAACCGCATTATTACCATACTTGAATTTTTTTCCTACCATGGAAGTAGTAGGAGCCGTTTCTGCTCTGGCGAGCTTGTCTGGCCAAATGACCAAATGTGGAAAGGAATTGAATACGTTTTGTTACAACCTCCGGTACGCCAGACGAGAGATCGGAATGTTGAAAAATGAGGTTAACACCTGTCGGAGCCTCACTTTGATGTTTGATGATACCACTGAACAGATAAAAGGCAAAGTCATGGAAATGGCTCTTCAACACGGAGTAGACAAGATGATTCGAGAGCAGGCTAGTATGGCTTTCAAACAGATCGATCGCCTACTAGATCGACTCACACCATTACATGAAGGAAGCAATTCAAGACCTATAGAGCAGCTTGTGGCCAAGGTGAAGTGGCATTTTGGAAAAGACTCCATCCAACTTCCAATAACGACGTTGATGAGTGTCAAAATCAGTCTTATTTTACTGGCTGCCATCTTGACACTGGAGAAGAATGTCGCTGAAGTGTTGAGGAACACCGCGCTGAGTGATGGTGAAAGGGCGAATCTTCTTCGAAAAATGTATGGATAAGCGCCTAGACTTCATACCTATTACATATTACAGTATCTATACTAATAACCTAAAAATCACTAGAAAAAAGCTGCGAAAAGAAATTCGGCGAAATCAGAACGAGTTTCAATCTGTTACTAAAAAGCTCGCACAGCAGCTTGACAAAAAAGACATATTTTATCATACTTGTATGGTGAATATGAAGGAAATTACCGAGATGATTCAACAGATTAAACAGGCACCAGTTGCAGAGGCAAAGTTGCTGATATCTAGCCTTCCATCGCCTACATCCACATCAAGACATACAACGAATGGATCGTTTGAACAATCCCAGGGACAGAACTCACATACGTCGAATTCGATCATTACACCAATGTCGTCTAGGTCGAGCCATGGACGTGGGCCGCATGACACCGGACACAACCACGTTAGGCGTGTACGACCGTCTACTCGGGGAAAGCTCCCGATTATTGAGCGACCATGTCCAGAATCACCGAGTACCGTGACTGTTCAATCTCAGATGTTAGTACTACGAGGTCGGCCAAAAACTCAGGAGAAATGCTCTTCGCTATTTGACTCTGAAATACTCGAAGAAAGCCACGATACAACAGGCAATCAGTTGCAGGATCTTCGACAAATTTCTTTATCTCGTCATCAAAATGAGCTCCAGGTGGCCGATACCCAAAATTCAGGTTCGGGGTACGTCGTCTACCATGATTATGGGGATGGTATCCGAGAAGAGTATGTACTAGAACGCGATCTAGGTCCGCGGGAAGTAGAGGAGAATGAGGATGAACCAAATTCTGCATCAAACGAAAGGTTTATTTCACCACAGAGATATGCCCCTATGCCACCCTTTGACAATAGCGACTTTGACAAAATTAGGAGAAGGAGAAGAAGAAGGAAAGGCACGGGTAATAAGTAGATATGAAGTGTTCAGATTACGACATCAAGAAGGTCACCTCAACGCACCCAAAATATGTTTAAACGGATCTCCGATACTTCTTTAACCATCAACGTTCGTCCATGAGTGTCCGGTATGGAAAATACTACCAGAACCCAGCATAGAAAAAGCACCACATAATGAAGATAGCACAAATGGCTATCCAGAAATCAGCTTCAAAATATGACTGACAGAGAGCAGAAAAGACAATGCTTTGGCCCCATCAAGAACGATTTCCATTCATCTTCATTATTATGGGATTGAACTCAAGAGTTGACCTCTTCAGGTCCTATCGTATATTTTTCGCGCGGACCCTCCAATGCCAATTCATCCTCTAGGCCGACCTCGACCATATCGAGCCCATTGCTGTGGAGGTAACGAGGCCAGTCATATCGTTCCCATTGTGTCTTCTTAGCCAGCATCGACTTATCGGCGTTCTTGCTGGCGAACCATTTAGAAGCGACCTTGCGATATCGTACAGCGCCTAATCTGTCGCCCTGAGCCATGAATAACCTCTGTTGATGGTCTGAATATCCGGCGGTACCGGCCAAGCCCGGGTCCACTAGGCTGGCGAGTGGTACGACTATCCATAGACACCCACAAATCCCTTAATTGTTGGAGCGTAATGATAAGCGATTTGCAGCGAAAAGCTGACTTGCTCATAAGTTATCATTTCTCTGCTGCGGTCAATCCTGCGGATACTGGCATCACTAGCTTCCCACCCAACACGACCTGTACTCCTCCGCGTGCTTCCACATGAGCGTCTGTTATCGTACGATAGCCAATCACGAAGTAAATATCATCATCTCCTTTCACTTTTCGCTCAATCCACCTCCTCATGTCCTCCGATTGTACGGCGTTCCGAAAGCATTCCCGTTATTGTCAAGATAATAGGTCTTGACTTAGTTCGTGGTGATCCGAATTAAGGTTTTGTGACGCTTCGAGAAGGGTGAAGACAGCAAGGTGGTTAAGTCAGAGGCAAAGCTTTGATGAGCTGCTCCCGCGTCGAGGCCGCTGTATTAGGTTTCTACCTTCTCAACGACCTTGAAGTTTGAGCCGATATCTGGATCGCGGTAATCTTGGTAAGGTTCGTCGACATTAGTGACGAAACGCCCAATTTTAATGCCTAATGAAAGTAATATTCTTGCTACATAGATTTTGCTAACATTTTCAGAGTTTGCCGCGTACTCGTGCGTGCTTATTTGATCTCGATGGCCTGCTTCTCAACACTGACGACAACTACGCGAGAAGTATTGACATATTCTTGAAAGAATATGGCAAGCCAAAGTTACCATCCTCGATTAAAGCTAGAATGCGAGGTCGCCCCGGCGATGTAGCCAACAGCATCCTGTACGAATGGGTTCAGCTTCCTATACCTGACGACAATTTTGCCAAGCTTTCAGCTTTACAGCACAAGCTCCTGCCTACAGCAGAGCCACTTCCGGGCGCCTGACAGCTCCTCAAGCATCTGCAGCATTATGGCTTACATCTTGCGTGGGTATTGACCAGCCAAGAAAAGACTTTCAGACTCGAGACTAATCACTTTTCCCAACTGATCTCTTTCTTCCCTGAAGAGAATCGCGTTCTTGGAGATGATAGTCGTCTTGGCCCGAACAGGGGACAGCCTTTACCAAACATATTCTTACCAGCACTACAGTCAATTAACAGCGCTTTAACCCCAAGTGAAAAATTCAAGTCAATTCAGCCTGAAGAGTGCCTCGTTTTCGAAGACTCTCTTGCTGGCGTAGAGGCGGCTCATCGAGAAGGAATGTGAGTTATATACTGTCGTCATTTCCAGTTGAATAAGGCGTTCGAAGGACGTAAAGCAGAAGTTCCTGCTGGTCGGACAGGGGAGGCGAGTGACATAGATATGCATCAATTAGGCCAATTGGGTGATGGTTGGGGTGAATGTCTCCCCACGCTGGAGAGCTTTCTGTATGAAAAGTATAGTTTTGTGATATCAAACATAACTCATCAAGCACTCTAACTCTGAATGCATTTTCATATTGTTCATTACTAAAGCCCAGATCAACTCCTTCTGATATGCAGCTTTGACGACGTTTTTATACCTACTTTGAAAACATCTTAGCAATGCTTTTCATAATATAGATTCTGACTTATTCACAACTTTAGTTTCATCCCGAACATGATGAAGTGCGAGCTAAATAGGTTGGGGCGAGTAGGAATTGAACAGGCTGTACTCTCTGTAGATAATCATTGACTGACTAAAAACCTTGAACTATTCTAGGAGCTTTGTAATAGCACGATAATCTATCTTACCAAATGGGGATACCGGCATCACTTCGAGAAAGCGAATCAGTTTCGGGACACTCTGTGGCGGTAGTACAGTTTCTGCTGCTGCTTTTACTTGCTCTTCGCTCAAATTGTGCCCATCCGATATTGCGCAAGCTAAAGCATCCCCAACTACGACAACAGCAACGCGAACCTTTGGCGAAATGGCATTCTCTAGTCTTGCTTGTACATCGTTGAGATCAATACGAAACCCAACAAGCTTTACCTGTCTGTCCGTTCGGCCTATAAATGCCACTTGACCATCAAGTGTCCAGTAGCCCCAATCACCAGTTCTGTACATGCGTCCGTCGTCAGTGGGCCAAATAGTATCCAGAATGAACCGCTGCTTTGTTTCTTCGTCAAGACCGATATAGCCTTGGGACACTTGCACTCCCGCAATGTGGATTTCGCCGGCGACTAGAGGAGGTGATAATGCCCCCTGCTTATCGAGTATGTAAATGCGCGTTGACAAGAACGGTGTCCCAATGGTGACAAATTGTCCTGGCTTGACTTTTTGAGCAGAAGACACCATGTGGCATTCGGTTGGTCCGTAGATGTTGTACGTGTTGGCCTGTCCGGCTGACCATCTATCCGCAGTGTGTTGTGGCAGAACTTCAGAGCATAGGTATATATACTTGAGGTTGGGATAGTCCTCTGGATTCAATTCCGCAGCGAGCGAGGGAGTGGTGAGTAGTGAGTCTGCCACTCGCAAATGTTCAAAAGGCTCCGTAGGATCTTTTAAAATCAGCATGCCGCCATAACAGAGAGCGGAAAACACCTCTAGTAAAGCGCCGTCGAAAGCGGGCGCTAGTGTTTGAGCTACGCGGTGGCCTGGCCCAACATGTAGACGAGCAACAGGGTCCCTAAGAACACTAACGACACCTGAATGAGTGCATTGTATGGCCTTTGGTTTACCAGTCGATCCAGATGAAAAACATATATAGGCTGCCGATAGCGGTTTCGGCTGTCTTATAGCCGGTTCATGATGCCCACTCTGTTGTGGCTCCTTAGCCTCTCGCAGAATTGTTTCGACGCATAACTTTAACTTGCAACCATTGGGGGCTAACATATCAGTATCTTCTTGAGGAACTAAAAACGCTTGAGCCTCAACTATTGCGTAATGATGCGATCGAAGCTGATGTGGTAAGCTAACGCCTTGAGGCGAGAAGATGCAATTTGCCCAGAGAACCGCAAACATAGCAATGACCCAGTTGACAGATCCATCTGCATGGATCAGAACAACGCTCCTAGGCTCCAACATTTTCCGAAGTCGTTGCCCTACAGCTTGAACCATTTCTTTCACTTTATTATAACTGATTTTCTGGTTAGCAAGTTGTAAAGCTACTTCAACGCCTCTATCTAGAGCTTGTTTCTGGAATAACGATGTAATGTCGTCATCTATGCTTTCCAACGATGTTTGGTTTGAGAAGCAGTTTCCCCAATTGAGAATGCACAATTTTTGAGAATTGGGAAGCATGCTTCTAAGACATTCTCCGACGCGTAATGTTCCCGACGCAAGGCTGACCAATGCCCTCTTGAAGAGATCTGTCATGACATGCATTTCGGATGGGGAGCGCCATTCGCTATTGTAGGTAAATCGTAGCCTGCCGGTTGGTGATACATAGAGAGTTGGCAATGTCTCTTTGGGGGCCATGACTTCAGTTTGGTGGCCACCAGCGTACCAAGGGCAGTGCGGTTGGAGATCACTGGATACCACGACAAGTCCACCTAATGAGAATCCGTCCGAAGGATCAGAGTAGGACATGTCGTCCAATTCAAGCACCTTTTCGAATACTTGCTCCAAGAAGCCATGAGCAGTATCATTTTCATTAACGTCCATGGTAAGGATCATGGATGTTGCAATACAGCCGACTGCATGTTCGATCCCCTTGATTGGTAGTGATCGTCGAGAATTGACTGACATGAGAGAAACTGTTGATGTGCTTTGGAGTTTTGAGAGGACCAGTCCCAGCGCCACTCGGACGAGAATCTCAAAGGTGAATCCCGTACGCGATGAAAACACCTTCAAGTCTTCAGGATAAAATACATCGATAGACCTCATTCGCACTTGAGACGATGATCTATCCCCTAAAGCGTGCAGCAGCGGATGAGTTCTTGCTCCTCTATGTACTTCGCGTGTTGCCCAGAAAGCCTTGGCGGCAGCTTCGCGTGGTCCGTGATAGTCCTTTAAGCCTCGTATCACATCGAAAATGGCGTCATTGACCTCCACACATAAAGATGGGTTACTCAAAAACGCGTCAACTTGCTGCAGCAATATATCCAATGACCTGCCATCCAATAAGGAGTGATGATAGAACCAATGCACAACACTCAGCTTCCGTTCGCCTAATGCCTTGCAAGGTGTCACAACTCGAAATACAGGCTCGGTAGATGCCTCTAAACTCCACACGCGGAACGATTCCTCGAGGTCTGCTTCTTCCAGAGACTCGACTTGTTGTTCTGTCCAGTTCAACTTGAATGTTTCCTTTAGCGTTGCTTTAACCAACAATGGGCTGGTCTCCACCTCATACTTGAGTCTAAAAACCCGGTATTGTGACATTGCTTTTTCAAAGGCGCTCTTGAGCTGGGGCAGAGCATCAGTATAGCAGTATTGAGTTACATGCTGAACAGCTGCGCCCGGAACATGATGCGTATAGACAGCAACTCCAGCTTGAATAAAGGTGAGAGGGAGGCCAGTGGTTGGGATCGTCGTTGGTATACGCTGAATAGGATCAAGCGTTTTGTCATCATGATGATTCTGATTTGAGGCGGTCAATAGAAGGCTGTCACTTTGTGATGGCTTGAAAGAATGCCCGGTAGCCAGCTTTCTCAGCTGAGTTTTGTCGAGGAGGCTGCAAAGATTCTTCGCCCGTAAAATAGTGCCAGCGCCAACGCGAACATGCTCTGAAACTTGAATCAAATTGCTAAATTTGATGGCAAGCAAAGAGTCACCACCATTGCGAATGAAGGTCTCGTTTAACTTGATGTGCTTTGGTTCAAGATGCAGCAATGAGCACAGGCGCTCGAGTAGACACTCATCTATCTCCAGCTGTTGTTCCATAGTTGCATTACTTTAATCTGGTGTTTGAGAAATGAATTTCATAGACGACAAAGGAATAGAATGCCTTCGATATAATTTTTTTTTTTTGGAAAAACCAATGAAAAAAAGAAATTTATACTTAAAGGATGTTGTAAATTCGTAGTATACCACCCGGCTAATTGATGGCTTATCAAATGTGGAGACAATGAAATGATTTGTTTGCTTGTACGGTCCCACCCTGACGCCGGGAGCCTTCCGGGCAAACGAAATCCTGCCCCGGTGTGTGATTAAAATACATGCATCCATTGCACGCTGACACTATTGTCAGCCATAGTGCTGGCGATATTCTCATTGCCAGCTTTTCTGGCTAGCCCCATAGAGCTAGCAAATGAAATCCCATGACGTTGTATTCAAAAGGAAGTCTGCCTCCCGCCGAACATGCGGTCAACGCAGACCCCAAGCGAGAGCAAAAGTGCCAGCGACATTCGTGGCGGAAGACGGATCTATCATTTCCGGCTTTTCTTGCTAGCCTCATAGAGCTGGTAAATGGAATCCCATGACGTCGTATTCAACAGGAATTGTGCCACCCGCCGAACATTCGGTCAACGCAGCCCATGCGAGAGCAAAGAACGCTTCACAAGACCTTTCTATCAGTTTTCCGATTGCCTCATATCTTACATTGCCTGTTGATAAATGGTGCAGACCGGCATGTATAATTCAGAGTAAACATTTTCGGAAATCGCTAATGAATCTTGCTTACAAGGCTGACAACTTCATTAAGCAAGCGGGCTAGATACGTAAATAGCGAAAAAGGTTTAGCCTATGATAATTCCAATCCTTAGAATCTTGTTGGATTGGCAATGAGGGTAATCTTGCCCAATTGGTGTAGACTACACACTAAATGTATATGGCAGTCCAAAAAATTTTCAATTCTCTCTCTCTATATCCTTATTACCCCGCTCAGTTCAGTGCTTTTATGCTGTCGGAATATTTGGCACTAAGCAAATTGGGAAAAGATTCGAAACGCCAAAACAACAGCCAAAAATTCCACATTTCTCAATTTTCAATACCTAACCCAGATGACAAATATTAGTGTAAACTCGCATATAAATACGTCTAGGTAGATGAGTCCTTTGTAACTCAGGTTTGTATCTCAATCCAATCGAATTTACCACTAAACCCAATTTGTTCTAACGCGTAAAAAGTCCGAAACTCGCTGCTCGAAAGCCCCTCTGACCTTACGGCCCTGGCCACATGGTCAGCTCAGACAACTGACAACCAACGGGTATCACTACGGGCCAGGCCATTCAGCCGCATAAGACCTGGCTCCGCGCCAGCGTGAATGTGCTGGTCAAGATCATTCATGACGATTAGATTTTTCGGCTTCATTAAAATGAGGCTGCGAGCTTCATATAGTTTGGCTACGTCTAGCATGCACTATTTTTGGCAGACGCGTCATCCGGCAGTAGTCTAAAGCGAACCCTTGTAGCCAGTCAATGCAATAGACTAAACACCCCCCATTTGGTTATAATTCTGAGGACGAAATAGGACCTCGTGCAAATAAACTGTTAAATGCAGATACACTGGCATACTTGACAATGTTACAGTACTGACTAGAAATAGGAAGCCAGATCACATCTCATTACAAACCATGATGAAAATTACTTGTTGCTTCAAAAATGTTAGATTTTCTCTATTGTACAGATTATGACGATCGCCCTGGATTCGCGAATAGCATATTAGCGACATCGGATTTTTCTGATCATATCGCCAATGGATTGGCCAAAAAGCAAGAAGAGGGATTACCAGAGGAGGGAGCTGATAGCCAAATGAATTCACCGGATACTCTTCAATCGTAATGGAAGCGTTCGCAAATCAATCCCCAAGTCTACGTCATCGCTGATAAATATAGAATTAGTGAACTGAAGAAATCTCTAAGAATCAGAGTTATCTGGAATTGTATTAGGCTTCGCCACCCATCACCTATCTACCCTCAAACAATTTCAAAAATCTTCAATCTCATAAAATTGCACATCTATATGGCAAGGCCATATCACAATCATTTTCGGTTCCCGTATGCAACTATCCTCCAAATGGATTGCCTTTCCAGGTAGCTTGTGTCCGTATGTAATGTTCTATGCATAGCGATTAGTTCCATTTGGGGATTTCCAGGTAGAAGAATGTCTGGCACCGAAGATTGACCAATCATATATAGCAAAAAGTATTACAAACTGTAGATTTACATTTTCTTAAGCTTCTGATAATTCATCCCTTATAATGTGAAAGCCTTCGCATTCGCGATGAAATATGGGGAAACCTGTTCTAGACAGGGGAAACCCCATATCAAGGCAAGGATAAAAAAATAATATACATCTCCCAGACATACTCGCATGGACTGAGAGCGACAAATATAATTACCCCACTCAAATTCATATTCGCAGCCGTCAAATACCATGCAAGTTGATGGAAGTTACTAGTAGGTTTTGTCGGTACTATATCGTCAGAATCACTGCTTTCAGAGCAGAAACGGCCATAACTTACCCCTATTCATCACCATCACTGTCAGTACTATGTAAGGGGCACAAGTAATACTCAACTACCGCAGGCAAAAGCAACTGGGAGCCCATGAACAAAGTGAATTCGCTAAAGAACTAAACTATGGACTGACAGACGGACTATAATAACTAGCTTGGGAATTCCACACATAACAGCTACGCGTCACAGGTGTAGCGCGTGTTGCGTGCTCAGCCCGTAACAACTATCATCATAGTCACTGCTTTTAGAACATAGAAGACGGCTATTGCACAAGTTCTCTCTTTTTCTAATTGCAGCATACAGGACATACCCTGATTGCCATTGAGAGTGTGGTTACCATTAAAAGTATATTATTTTGATTAGTTGCCCTAAACCATCATCATTCTTATGAGTAAATAATGTCAAAAGCTTGGCTTCTTATGATGATTTCCAATTATTCATTTAATTGTTTCAATTCCTCTGTCATCCGGATTTTAACGATTTCTGTTTCTGTCTTAAAGGCGTGTTGCTCTACTTTCATCTTTTTAATCTCGACTCTAAGATTTTCAATGATATTGCTCTACTGCGTTATGATCGCCTTTAGGTTTGCGATAAGCAACGCGGCTTCATCCAGAGTGGTGCCTCGTCCTTCGCCTCCGCCAGAGAATTCGATGCCAGGAGTGCCCAATAGTTCCATTGAAAGTGGTTGTGTCAGCTTGTTGCTTCTTGCTTGGCCGTGTGACTCTTTTGTATGGTGATGACGACGTCGGTATTGCGTCGTCAAAGACATCTCCTATTGACGCGTTTTCGCGCGTTGCCATCCAAGCCAGATTTTACGCTTCAACTCCGAGTTTCAGAAAAATAATTGCAAATAGAATGAAGAATCTAACAATCCCAGTGATTCTATGTTCTCCCAACCATATTGATATACAGTGCTCAGGTACGACAGGTATACACATTAGCGTACATTTCGGATAATACAATATTACCAATACATTTAAAATCCCGTTCGTAGTTTGGTATAGCGTCTCGTCCAAATAACTGTCAGATTTGGTTCGGTAATTTTACCACAAAATTACGATTTGAATTTGTTGAACAAATTGGCATAAATCTCAATATAACTAGTGATTTCTTGTAGTAGACAAACTTGCTCTCAAATTACTAGGGGGAATGTCCTCAGATCTGAAGATATCAAGCCCCCATTTATGGGATGTGTTTTTGTCTAATTGGTCAAATCTTCACCCCGTCGACTCGGCACCTCAAAAATCGCCCATATTTTCTAAGAATAACTAGTATCTCGTCCTAATAACAATTCCCTTCGGATAAGACGAAAGCAATTAAAGGACCACAAAATGGAATTTTCAGCGATGCTCTGCTTTCAAATTTGGGATTGCAAATGAATCAACGACATACCCGTTCGTGGATCTATGGTCGCCAGACTTTTTGAGGTCTAATATCAGTGTTGTTTGTGCCCAGACCCTGAAATTGGAGGATCGTTCACCCAGAAACTCAAGCTTTAGGGGTACGTCTTCGCTACCGGCAAAAAGAAAGTAGTGATTCTCTGTGTCCCTGACTTTTCTCCTGGGAATATACAGGCTACCACTAGTTTAGCTATGCCTACCTGGCTATGTAAATATATATTTAATTTAAATAATTATCCAATTTAAATATCCAGTTATAAAGGGATATACTTCTATGGGATCTCTTATGCAATATTCTCCATATATATATTTACAGCCATTTCAATGCACATGGTGATATGCAAAACCACCCTGCTCTACACAAACCTTCTAGCACTCCTCCCAATTCTTCGCTTGCATGGCGATATCTCCAAGTCTACATATGACTTCCTTATTCCCACTATAGAATGTAAAGACAGTATATGGGATCTGTACGTCCTCGCAAAACCTTTTCACAAGCTTCTGCGTTTTGCGGAGGTTGTGGCGAGGAATGCGTGGGTATAAGTGATGAATTGCCTGGAACTGAAGACCACCATGGAAAAAGTCAAACCAGGCCGGGCAGTTCACGTCCATTGTCGTTCGTAACATTTTTTGTGGGAAGCATTCATGCGGCCCAAGATCAGCGGTGGACATAGCGTAGTGAGAAAGCGTGATTTGGACATGAAGGGGCGCAGTGACCATATGAGAGACGAGGACAAATAATATACGATTCCACCAGCCAGGAATACTAAGATAGCAGACGCCATAGCCGAACCAGACCCAAAAGAATACTTGGCCGGCCAATTCAAACCACCGGTGCCACCACCCAGCCCCATGTCTTGGACCGAGGCCGAGATAAATATGTTCCCAGCTTAGGAAATAGAGGTTGAAGCGACCAAAGAGTAGAATCGGGTAGTACGTGTAGTGCTGGTATTTGACTGTAAATCTGGCCACGGCATCATACGCCATGACCCTATCATAGTATGTACTCCGAAGGTTTCCAAAAAAGCGGTGCGACAAGGCAAAAAATGGCATCAGCTCGATATCAGGGTCGTGCTCTGGAGCGTTGGTGACGATATGATGGACATTATGGCTTCGCTTCCACCAGCCCAAACTAAGGCCTCCTAGATAGTCTGCAACGATCATGCCAATAACCGTGTCAGTTTGGAAGTCGTGTGTGATACCCATATGACCTGCATCATGGGCGGTAAAGACAAGTTGATGCCAAAAGCAGCCGAGGAAGATGGCTGCTAAACAGAAGTAAGACCGGTTCAAAAAGAAGATGAAGAGGCCGAAAAGGACAGAGTATCGAAATGCCTCGGTTGCATATGCAAAATAGTTGCAATTGTATAGCCCCGCAGCATGAATGCGCTCATTGAGGGCACGGTATTTCTGGACGATATTGTCTTGGTGTTTCGCATCAAGAGGAGGATATTTGGTCTGATCCAAAACAATCTCCTCCTGAGTTCTGGCATCGATAACATACGCTCGTGGTTTAGTTCCTACTATCAGATGGCTGGCACTGACAGATATGGCCATCGTGGAAGTTTTTCTCCTCCATTTCAAGCCAAATAAATCTTCATCGGATTCAAAAAGGGGAGATGGCGGGTGTGAACTCTCGCCGCTGGATATTTCAAGGTCTGACTGGTTCTCACCATCCGTGCTATCTTCATTGCATGGACGGAAATGACCACCCTGAATGGGAGGAAGGAAGTTTATCCATCTTTCCCGGATGAGGCCTATCTGGAATGCATTCATACGCTGACGTGCTTCGTGCGAGTGAAGTCTTTCGACTATGTCAGTAAACGTCGGGATTCTTAGAAACATATGAGGAAGGAACGGACTTACGCGGTCACTTCATCCGTCGCATCTTTTCCCACCATATGCTTGATGACCTTGTCCCCTCCCGGATGGAACTTGATCCAGGCATCAAGCCTTAGCACTTTGTGGTCGAGAATTATGATGTGGTTGTTGTCAGCAATCATGCCCTCAATCTCTCTCCTTGACAGGATATTGTCTTGGCCTTGAGATGGTTGGTCATATTTCATCATTGAAAGCTCAAAATATGCAAAAATTACATTTATGCAAAGATTTCAGGAAAAGCAGAACGACAAGGCACGGAGATAAATACATTATGAGCACGCTAGGCACGCTGGGACAGCTCATCAACGGGAGTATATCTATTCTGCTACCTAGAATTAGCGTAATCCATTCTATTAATTTTAATCCAGGAACGAGAGGTCAGTGGGTAAAACACGCTATCACAGGGGCGCAGCCTCCATGAGTACAGTGGCGAGAGACTTGTGTGGAGCAAGCCGAATAGGGCGTTGTTACAGTAGCGGGGCACGGATTACGCGCGTATCCAAAGCCAGTAAAGCTAATCGAAATTCGAGAGAGAGGTAATGATAAAGATAATAATATTGTGAAGAACACGAAGGTCACTGCCAATTCAAATTTACAATTAATTTTAACTCCTTTTTTCTTACCAAAATGCTGCCATTTCTTTGCGAATCTATATATTCTTTCATCTTTACTATGTCATTCCTAAGCAATTGGATTTCTCCTTGAAGGTTCCGTGTGCATGCAAGAGCATCTGCCGAAGATTTCTGAGACATTGGGCTTGGTGAAGTCTTTATTTTCGTTGTTGATTGCATGCTGAGTCTAGAATCTAATGTAGAAGTGGATTTCTCTATAACATGACCTAGTACATCGGAACTAGTTTTTCCAATATTTCAGCTTTTGCAGCGTTTTAATCCGTCAGTTGCATGAGTAGTTGAGAAGGGGTGATAACAGGTTAATGAATTTGATGACTGAGGGTCGCATTCTGTCAATTAAATGGAAAATGTAAGCAAAATGAATTTATTTGTCTATAATTGGGCTATTTATCTACCGGGTGTAGGGACAGGCAAACATACCCGCCGTTTATAGTTAATTTATATCAGAAATATGCTCAGGAACATCTTTTCGAAGAATTATATATGCTTCTAGATACAACTATGCGCTCCTGATACGTTAAATCTTCGAGTATACATATTACATACATGGTCTTCTACAAGTATATCGCAGGGTTAAAAATCAAGGTATTGCATGAGAGTGCCTGGCTCTAGGAGGTTATGTTATAAATCAGCAGAGTCCAAGAAACTCGATTTCTGAGTAGGTAAGGAGGACGTTTCGGAAAGTTCTCATTCTAGTCAGCCTGCGACAATCTCAATTAGGTCTTCAGTCCAATGCAGAGCACTACAAGCTTTCTCTGTGAATCTACGGTAAATTTTATAGATTCGAATGACTTAGTATCGTAGATTTGAGAGATTGTGGGAGCGATTCAATATCACCGAGTGTGTAATGGACTTAAGCTTCAATCACAAAAAATATCATCCTTTTTTTCTCACCTCTAAAAATATACCGTGGTGAAGTTTTATTTTAGTTAAAGTTCTTCTTTGCATGCTGATCTATGTCGTGCAAGCTACTGACTAACGAGCTGCAACATCTCTGCCTGCAACAGAAGAAGGGGTGTTTCTCGAGCAAACACAGACATTCTATTCAATACTGGTTCCACTATCTCCATCACTTCGATACTAATTTAACGATGAAAGACTAAATAGAATGTTAGACATTTCCAAATCTTTTGATTTGGCTAATGCTTTGGTTAATCACATTCTCATTGGTGGACATAATTTCCGATCCTTGTCATCCCCACAAATCCGCCAGCCCTTCTAATATTAGACCAATTAGGACTAAAGAAATATGTTAATTATCCCGGCGATTTTATCCGCCACTGATAGGGTCGTATATTTTTTTTAGAAAAAAAAATTACAAGCAGCCACACCAGATGATAAATTGAAGCAGGGTACCTGGACTTCAGTACAGACAGATTCGAAACTTCGCCTATTTACACACCTCTCTCTTTGTTTCTGCCCCACAGCCAGGCTGCCGCCTACGCCTAGTCCAAAACACGATTAGACTGGTATTTTATAATACCACTTCTACACATAATATTTGCCTGAGGCTAATAATTACCACCTCATTAAAATTCAATAAAAGGTTCATTTTAATGAGCAAGATCTTAGTCTCTTTGAGGTGCTGTTGGATTGGCAATGATGGCAATCTTGCCCAATTGTTTTAGACTACACACTATATTTATATGGCAGTCCAGAATAATTGTTGATTATTTCTTTTAACCTAATTACCCGCTCAGTTCAGTGCTTTTATGCTCGTATGCACGTGACCTTTATTGGGTGTCGTACTTTTTACGCGTAAGAACAAATTGAATTTAGTGGTAAATTCGATTGGATTGAGATACAAGCCTGAGCTGCAAAGAACTCGTCTATCTAGACATATTTATATGCGAATTTACACTAATATTTGTCATCTGGGATAAGGTATTGAAAATTGAGTATGTCGATTTTTAGCATGGCGTTTTAGCGCTATTGATCGTAATTTTAGGTGTTTCTAATCCTTTCCCATTTTGCTTAGTGCCAAATATTCCGACATTGAGCATTGGGCATCGGCACCGAGTCGACCTCTACTGGGCTTCGACTAACCTGACACACCTCCTCAGCTTCGCTGCCAAGCTGAAGCTGATGCTGTTTAGAAAGGAAGCAATCTAATGAAGCAATCCCTCCTTAACTCATAGTTGGATTGCTTCAATCAATTCGACTTCCTCCTGCTTGTAGTGTTCAACTGCCAGTTTCTTGGAGATATCAATAAGCAGTAGTAGTAGTAGTAGTAGTAGTATTCATACGCGCATCTAAGCCTAATGTGGCTGGCGGCGAGGCTAATGGACAGTGGGCCTCTCTGCCAATAAAAAAGGAAAGAGAGTGCAGGGCTGTCGGCCCTAGGCCTTGACTACGGGGCGCCTAAGGCACCCCTAACGCAGCCTTAGCCGAAAACTCTGCACGCGTTCCCGCGTCGCCAAACAATAACAAATCAACAGAACGCTCAAACGCTAACAAATGAGATGTGTCACAGACCTATATGCTCAAGGGAGTGGTGGAACGCTGAAAAGCTATGGAGACTAATGAAATATTGTACAACGAGCGCACGCGGCGCGGGGAGAAGGGGGGAAAGGAGTCAAATAAGGGGGGCCCGGGGGCATCAATCGTGTGGTTCGGGTGGCCTGTGTGTCCGAAGGCATTCAAGCAGGGGGGAACTATTTGTATGACAGTCGCGCTCATAGCGGACGTGATACTGGGGGGACGACATGCCTGAATTGGGTTAGGAGACCCGTTCGCAGCATGAAGTCGATACTCTTTTTGACCCAAGCGGGCTGGCTAAGCAGTCGCTTGTAGTCGGTTTCACGTGCTTCGCTCCAAAGTGTCTGTGTACGCAGTCGGGTGAATAGGGGGCATTTGGTGAGAACATGGTTGGCATCTTGCCGGCCGAAGCCGCAGTCGCACATGGGTGAGTCGGCGATCTTGACGTCTGCTAAGAAAGTGCGCAGGGCCGATTTGCCTGACTGTAGTTGGATTAAGGCTGAGCTCCATGCCTTATGAAGCCCCGCATGCAGCAATAGAAGCGCTTTCGTCGGCGCAGTGAATATCTGATAAAGATCCCGACCGTGCTCGGCGATCTCCCACTCTTGCTTCCACCGTTCGGCGAAACCCGCGCGCAGGCGTTGACGGCAGACCGTCACTAAGATTATATTCTGATGCTGAAGCATTGGATCAAAGGTCATACGTGCGGCATGTGGCGTTGCCTGGCTGGGTGCATTGATCCGGGCACGTCTCTCCTCAACGCGAGTGCGGCGAATTGCTTCCATTGCGGCGAGCTTTGCCAGTCGGTCAGCTTCCTCGTTGCCAGGCACGCCCTCGTGGCCTGGCACCCACTGTATCCGTATACGCCAGTGGGCCTTGTGTAGACGATCTAATCGATTGACGATTCGCTGCACGATATGCTGGCCTGACGAGCGCTTAGGGGCTCCACAGGCGGTTATGGCGGCCTGGTTATCGGTGTAGATCGTGGCCTCTCGGGGCCCTGCGTAGTCTGATTGCTTTGAAAGAAGTGTTAGCGCCTCGTGAATGCCTTCCAATTCCCCTGCGTAAACGGTGTGTGTGTCGGCGGAGCCCACAGGCGTGCTGACGCTCCCCAGTGTAGAGTGCGCTGCAGCCCCAATTCCATTGTCAAATCCACTGCTATCGGTAAATATTTGTATCGGGGGGGTCTGTTTTCTCAATTCAGCGAGTGCCGCCTCACGGTCCTTACTGATCAATGTCTCTGGCGGCTGCCACCAGGGGGATGTCGTGAACGGCTGGATCAGCTCTATTCGTTGGCACACCCCCCGTCCCAGTTTGGCGTCAACAGCTGCTTCCAAGCGGTGTAGGGGGGACGTGTATGCGTTGTTCCGGTGCGCATCGCCTCGGATTTGGTGCAGCTTTGGGCGGATCGGCGAAGTCATGATGCGCAGGCAGGCCTCTTCGGCAAGCCGTGCGAGGGTGATCTCGGGCGGGGGGACGTTCAGGCAGACCTCAAGGGCCTGCCGGCTTGTGCGGCGGAACGCCCCGGAGATGCGCTGCAGCGCCTGGTATTGAATCGATCGAGCGGCCTTCTCGGCAGCGTGTTTGGCGGCGTGGAAGCCATAGCCCCCGCGTACGTACCATGTCGAGCATGCGTACATGATCTGAGGCAGCAGCACGGCTGTGTAGATCTTCCGTAAATGGAGTAGTGGAGTCCCCCAGGTGGATCCTGCGATTGAGGCTATTCCAGCGACGAGGCCTGCGGCTCGCTTCCTCATTTGACGCACCTGTGCCATACCAGTGAGATTGGAGTCAAGTTGCACCCCGAGATATTTGATGGCGCCAGTTGGCACGATCTCGACGCCTCGTAGGACGAGGGGGGTGTCGAGGGGGGTGTCCGGCTTGGGCACGCTACGGTGCCGCCGCCAGAAGTGCGTCAACTGGTATTTGGCCGGTGCGAATTTGGAGGCATGTGTTCGCTCCCAGCGCTCTGCGACCTGGTGCGCGTGGGAGAGTGTGCGGCAGTTGTCAGCGGCCGAGTCCCCGTATGCCATGATTAGGACGTCGTCAATGTAGCCCATGGCGAGGGTGCCAGGGCACTGGCTTTGGATATCGTCAATAAGGTCGGCGTTAAAGAATAGGAATAGGATTGGTGACAGGGGGACCCCTGTGGGATGCCAGTGTTAACCGGAAATTCGCCCATGTCGCCCTCGAGAAGGATGATTGATGTGCGGCGTTCGCTCAGAAAGCTTTCAATCCAGCGTACCAGGGCCTCCGGCACCCGCCGCTTGCGTAGATCATGAAGAAGTCGCTTATGATTGACGTTGTCGAAAGCCCCTGAGACGTCTAGGGCTAGCCCAGACGCTACCAGAGCCCCCTCGCGCCACTCCGCATGGGTGCGTTCGAGTAGGAGGTGCAGGGCATGCTCACACGAGCGGCCTCGGCGTCCTCCCATATGGTTCCTTGGTAGCAAATCATAATATTCTACAAGATAGCTCAGCCGTGTGGCGAGAACGGCCTCAAGGGCCTTCCCAATCGTGCTCAATAGCGCGATTGGCCGGTAAGCTTTGGGGTCGGTGTAATCTGGCTTGCCTGGTTTACGGATCACTACCGTGTTGGACTGCCTAAAGTGGGCTGGACAATAATGGCAGATGATACACGCATTAAACAGGTTAGTGAGGTAGTCATCGATGATTGGAAGGAGCTTCTGGAGCACAAGATTAGGGATGCCATCCGGCCCCGGGGCCTTCTTCGGTCTCACGTGACTAATCGCGGCGTGCACTTCATGGATTGTGATTGGTGGCATCTCTAGCTGCTTTGAATAACGGTATTGATGCCCTATATCAGATAAGTCAGCTTCGGGGGGTTAGGGTGCAGCACCGCACGGAGCAGGGCCGCCTTGTCTTGGGGGGCGCTGTATTGACGGCCTTCATAGTATAGCGTTGGGGTGAACGTTGCACGAGGGGACCCGCGCATGCGCACCCATCTGGCCACCTTCCAGAAGCCCTCAATGGACTGCGTGGCTTCCTCAATGCGGCTTCGGTGTAGTTCACGTGCGAGGCGTGACGATTCCTGTTTCATATGTTGCTTGGCCGTCTTATATGACTCCCATGCACGCTCTGTGTTGGCTTGCTTTGCAAAGCGTCTGCGTCGGGTCACTTCCTGTTTGAGTGCGGCCATCTCGGGGGTATAGCCAGGCCGGGAGTATAGTGAGATCTGCTTCCATGGCGTAGCCTGTTCGGCTGCGTCAGTGATGGCTTTAATTAAGGTTGAAATAGCGCTGTCGATCGCTTCCTTATCAGGTAAGTCCTGCGGGCGCCAGCTGCGGCTCTCTATCAGCTTGATGAAAAACTCCCAGTCTGTGGCATCCCACTGTCTGCGGCGGGCCGGGGCGGCTCGGGCAGGCGAGAGGTCAAACTCGGTGTGGATTGGCACATGATCTGCACCGTACCACCACTCCCGGCGGTCCTGACAACCAATGAGGCGATCTGCCAGGGCGTGCGAGGCCCAGACGAGGTCAATGGTGGTCTTGGCGTCGGCTCTCTCGTACGTCACAGTGCCTCGAGGCAGCAGTTGCTGCAGGCCGTGCGCGTCCGCGATGTCGATGAGTTTGGTGGCGTCGTCGTCGATAGCTTCGTAGTCGGGGGCCGCCCAGAGCGGGTGGTGCAGATTGAAGTCGCCTAGGGCGACGTGCAGGCCAGGGCGCGTTGATATCGCGGCTGCGAGGGCCTCAAGGTTTGACTCGCCAGTCGCTCCGGCGCCTGGGTTATAAATATTGTGCACATTCACCACGCCCAAGTTGGTATGGAGCGTCAATGTTGTGAGATCTCTGTTATGGTGGTGCACCTCCCACTTCGTGGCGTCGAGGCGCTTATTGATGTAGAGGCACACCCGGGGACGGTCATCGTAGTTGGCTTTTGGTGTAGGGCGCAGTGCCACGTGAAAGCGGCCCTGCAGGGCGAGTGAATAGGTGGTCAATGGGTCTGTAAGTTTGTTGATATAAGGTTCTTGGATCGCCAAGATGTCGTACTCCTGAAGCTCCTCCTCCCCGAACAGGTGCATCTGCACCTCGTCACGTGATTTCCAGCAATTCGCCTGTAAAATATATAACCGATTTGGGTCTTTATACATTAAGATAGGTTGATTAGGCCCACGAACTGTCTTCGAGGTTAGTGGTCATTGCTTCGTCAGTGGGGCCATAGTCGGGGTCTCTGCGGGTGAGGCTCAATTCGTCGTCGGACGACTCGTCAGCGGCAGGGCGTGCGCTTTGGCGGCGTCGCACCTTCTTGACTGCGTCGACATTGGCCGACTCCAGCGAGGGGGGGGTCCGCGGAGACAGTTGAGGTAGAGGTTCGTGCGTGATCAGTGAGTTCACGTTGGCGTCACTCTGTCTCTCGTCCATGGGATCCTCTCGGAGATATCAATAAGCCTAATTTGTTCCATAAATTCATGGAATTTGCCACTCCTAACTGCTTTTATTAATCCATTTGCAATCGTCTTCTTCGTTGACATATACCGGTGGGGTGCTGAGCGTGTTAGAGCTCTCTGGGCCTCAGCATTACTCTTCGCCATAGATACAACAAGCTTTTAGTGGCTTCAGGGGTTATCTTACTATGCCGCCGACATTTTATGTCCTTACTTTCTGGTCATAATTGAACAGCTTTCACTTACGCTATATAAGCATATTCAAATCTTCCTAGTAGAGCCAGATTGGATATGACTTCCATTTAGAAATGTTCAGAAAATAAGAATGGGGTTTCTTTATAAAATGGAAGAGTGATCTTGTCAAAAATTAATCAATGATCCTTCTGAGGTCGAGGGTCACTCAGGATATTCTGCTAACAAGAGAAGAAGGGCTGTAGGCAATAGACGATAAAGGGTTATTTATCGCAGTGATAATAGTAATATAGTAAGTCGTTGAGATACGAAAGAGTAGTATGCTATTTGATTATGAAGAGAGAACAGGATCAACTAAATACATGATGGTAAACGAGTGTCTATATATACTAAAGTAGAATCATAGCTATCATAGCCTTGCTATGGTGTATGGCTCTGATGGATATGTCTCGTCCATCATATCCATTCTCCCCATATGGCTATGTTGACTGTGCTGGTCACGTGTTGTGGAACGAGGGCTGAAATCGCCGTCGATTCCTCAATAGCCAATTATACCATATAAAAGAACTGAAAAATAACAGTAAATCCTGTTTTTAAACTATTTTGAAATTATACTTAGTAAGTTATATCTCTAAATAAAGAGATGCAGTTTAAATCAACTTCTATCATCATACTAGGCATTAAAATAGCAGAATATCAATAGAAAGACCCTTATTCAAAAACCTTTTCAGTTATTGAATCTGTCACAGAAAGTCAAGTACGACTGTGAGAAATCGGGTTGTTACAGCCAATAAGTTGAGATGATGACACCGCTATAGGACTAGTGGATAACGGCAACAAAGAGAAGTGCTTTACAGCGGGATCTATTGATGATAATGCTGTAAAGCAATGAAGTGGGGCACCGAGCAAATAGAAATTGTTATTGAGAACTTTTTATGGGTATGATTAGACTTTAGTGGAGTATACTTAGTAATTAGGATGATATCTTAGAAGAAAATCTGGTTATGGTGGAAGAAACTGTTTATTTAATTCTGTAGATAGTATCATGTCTCTCACAGTATTTTGAGGGTATTTTAGCTTTGAAGGCATCTTTTTAGACTATAGTGAGCTATTTTGAGTTTTAAACATTGGAGCAAGATCTAATGATTAGATAGATAGCTAATATAAGAATATTTCTAATATTAGCTTCTATATAATAGTTTATAGACTTTTCTTATATGAATCTTTACATGATATAACTTGTGCGAGATTCTTTTAAGAGAGACTTCTCTTATACTTTAAAATATTTGTAATAAAATCCAAGAATATGATTTTTGAATGAAGATCTATCAATCTGGTACTGATTGTTTTACGCTGTAGATAAAGTGTGTCTAAATGAGCATGTCACTTAAATGAATTAAGTTGACTAAAGAGTCTACCTAGGAACCAATCTCTGCCCAGGAAAATATCTTTGCCTAAGGGAAAACTTCTGCCTAGGAAATAATCTTTTCCCAGGATTTTCAGTAGCTTAGATCTGAGGATAATTAGGTATGATATCCATGGATCATTTCTCTAAAACTACTTTCTCTAATCCTGTAAGAAATCCATGATGTATTTTTTAGAGTTATGAAGATATTATGAATATCATTACTGTAATAATTAGCTCTAGACTGCTGCTATCTATTTTGCTAGTCCTAAGACTTTAGGTGGGCTTGAATGTAATAAAATTCAAACAATTTATAATTATTTGATCTAACATAATTTAGTTATTATCTTACTGCTGATTTCTACAAATATAATCTGTTATGATTTTATTCTAGTTTAAAGTCTTATTCTGGTCTTTAGAGTCTATTTTGAGCCCAAAATAGTTTAGTTAAGAAGAAGCGAATTTATGCTCTACTTAATGCCTTTGTGCTTCATTTTAATAAGTATGATGAAACTATTATTAATCAGTATCAAGAAAAAGAGTTATTCTCAGTTATATTTAGAATGATCTAAAAATATGACCTTGCATCTCTAGCCACTTACAAGTGAGCAAAGGCAAAAAAGATAGAGAAGGTAGAGATGAGATTGAGGGGGACAAACTCTTATTAAGAAGGCATATGAATTCAGTGTCCTATGCAATGCCAATGTGTGTTTTGGTATTAAAATGAGATACACTGCCAATAACACAGGGATCTGGTTGTCATTTGTCAAGGTTATTTTGACACCACCAGTCCTGGTTCGTAACCGGTTTGTAGGAACCATATACTGGTAATAAGTAACATACAAGAACTACTATATTGATATTAGACTTATTGCTAATAGTCTTCACAATGGGGCGAAATTAATCGAAGAGTCTGTAAAGAAAAGTGAAGGAGGTTTCGAATCCATCTGTAAGTCATTCAGGTTCAGGCAAGAACTCTATCTTAAGCCTGCTGTTGCGGTTCTATGATCCTATAGCTAGCCGAATTTTCTTAGGCAGCAAAGGAACTTGTCAGCTATCAGCTTCACTGGCTTCGACAACAGATGGTTATCGTCAAACAAGAATCTTTCATGTTTAATCGGTGGGTATATGAGAATATTGAATTTGGTGTCACGAATGTCGAATGGAAGAATGTGCCTAAGAGTGTCATGCACAATTTTACATCACATTAATTGATCAAAGATTACTCGTCATGTAGACTATAGGCGTGGATGATGGCAGATCTCACGCCAACTCCGGCCAAACCTCCGCAACTGTTTTTGCGGGTGTAGTAATTTTGCAGGTCGAACAGTTTTGCGTGGTGCAGCGTTTTAGCAGACGCCACATTTTCGAAGACGATGCCTTAGGGGTCCATGATCTAGCCGCCGCCCAGAATGGACTTCTTTGTTACCTATTCCAGCATATCCTCTGCCTGGGCGTATCTTGGCAATTCTATAAAATGATCGTCTATGGCCACCGCTGCCTGCTTCTCCCGCCTTTCCCCGAGGAACACATATCGGGTTCCCAGCTTATCTACTCGAGTTTCTGGAGCGCGACTGCTAATTCCCCGAACCTTTAGCATTGGAATATTCGGGACCATACCCAAGCCAGCGAACATGGTAAAAAACATCACCATCCTCCACCCTCTGATCAAGCAGTTTCTCAATTTCATATACCGCGTATCCTCTCTTGTCTCAGTCGGGCCCGGGATGAATCGACCGAGACGTTCCGACTGAGCCCCAGTCCACCGGCTGCAGGCCTGTAAACCGATCTCTTGCGCAAACTTCCATGATCAATCCGTTGGAGATTGGAATGTTACTCAGCTAGAAAATTGGTACAACGACCGAGATGAATGATGGTGCCTTTTACTCAAACTCAGCGATACCAACCTTCAGAATGACCCAGGTTCTTGTCTGTAGGAGACACAACCAGTTACCTCGCTATAGCGTCAAGTGGAGGCGCCTTCGTTGGCGTACGGATGGGAAGGAATGCGTTGATTTTCTCTATATCGATTATATGCAATGTGCTTTGGCAATACCACTGTTATTAAGCCAATACGGTTTTTTAATATTGTAGAAACTATAGAAACTGATATTACAACTTGTTTTAATTTTGGGAGCCTTCTCTTGCGCATTTACCCCTACATGCAGATATCATTCACTGTTGATTTGATCCACTATGACTTAGATCTTTTTGGCATCCATCGCGACACCTGAGTGTCCACAAACCCCTTTCTCATACCCATTTCGCCACTGACAGATTCAGACTGCTGGTTGGAGACATCATTGTGACTTCCATTATGTTGAAGCCCCCGCGCCAGTCTATCGACTGCCCACTGCAGTTGTGATTCCGTAGCATAACTGATCGGAGATTTTTTATCTTTGGCCTTGAGGGACGGGTCAGCTCCTGCCGATAAGAGAATATCGAGAAGTCGTTCCCGCGATACCTGGCCATCAAGTTCCGACGGCAGCTGTGGCTGATTTTTTGCTTGCAGCACCGCGGCTGTCAAGAATACAAGCAAGGGCGTCTTACCATCCATATCCTGCGCGTTCAAGTCAGCCTTATATTCGATCAGTAGCTTTGTGATGGCCTCGGCATCAGTCCTCGCCACTGCAACGTGGAGTGGAGTCCGCCCAGCGCTGTCTCGACAGTTTGGATCCGCTCCGCCTTGTTTGAGGAGAACCTCGACAGTGCGCTCTGCGTCCTTCACCTTCGCCGCAATATGTAGCGCGCTCTGCGAGGTGTTGACTTCATAATAGGTTTGCCACAAAGCCCGAGAAGTCTTCAGACTTGTCAATGCCCGAGCTGCGGACAATGTACCAATGCTGGTCTTCTTGTTGGGATCTGCACCGCCTTTGAGCAGTGCCTCCACGACCTCCTCCAGTCCAGGAATAGCGACTGCTTTGTGAAGAGGGGTGATGCCAGAGCCGTTTGTGGCATTTGCATCGGCATGGGAGTCCAACAACGCCAGCACTGTTGCAACGGAGTGACTGTCGACGGCATAGTGAAGGGGTGTATTTCCACCTTGTCTCGTTTGGGCTGTCGCTTTTGCACGACCATTAAGCAGTGTTTGAACTATCTGGGACCCAGTTTCGGACCGTTTAGAAGCTGCAAAATGTAGGGCTGTACGACCCGGATGTGGGTATCCCATAGTTTCGGCGTCCACGTACGCATTGTTCTCGAGGAGCCACACTACCATTTCCGCTGCCTCTGAGTCCGCAGCAAGATGTATAGCGCTCCAGCCGGACATGTCCGGCGTACGCACATCGACAGGGAGAGATCCAATAGATTTCCATGTTGTTGCCCGGTCAGCCAGCCAAGGAAGATTGAGTCGTGCTGCCACAAAGAGCAAACTGGTGCTGCTGGAGAACCCCGAATCTATAATTTGATGGAGGGAAGGTCAGCACGTGACGCTCAAGAGATCGACTGCAGAACTCACATTTTCCAGTTGTCCATCGCTTCAAGAGATCGTACGAGCGGACCCAGCTCAACAGCGCTGCCGAGTCGGCGCTGAAGAATTCTTTCATACCCTTGACGTCTGTTTCGTCTCTGATTTGAGACTCTCGAAGATGATGACCCAAAGCTTCGACCCCGTACTGCAAGAAGGGGTAGCCTTCAAGGTATTGCTTTCTTACCTTCGTAAGCTGCGTCTCATCTATCATACCGTCGCTGTTGACGGGGGGCTTGGGCACTTCACGTTTACGGACGTCGTCAATCCGGAGATACGTCAAGCAAGCAGCCGCCATTTGTCGATGTGCATCCGACGTGGACATTCCGTATCCTCGGTATTCTTTCTCCCCCTCATCATTGAAGACTTCTGACAAGAAGTCCTTCGCCGATTGGTGGCTCAAGTGAACTGTGCCGTCGTGGACAAGGAGTAGTGCACTCCAATTGGTTTCGATGCTGCGCTGCAATGTGCCAATATCTTCATCCGTGCTCTCACCACCAGTATATCCCTTCTCCTCTTTCAGAGTCAATACCGTATTCAATTCTTGCAGCGTCAGGGGTCGGTATGCAAAGTACACCCACATCAACAATGTACGTAATCTGCTGGCAGAATCTCGCTGCTGTCGTTCTAGCATCGCTTTGTAATACATCGCTACATCTGAAGGGATGCTGTGTAGTCTCTCTTTGACATTTATCTCGGTCCAGACACCGTCCCAAGTGCTTAAGTCCTCCAATACCAGTGAAAGCCACATGAACATACCTCTAGAGCTTTCTTTCAACAAGTCTATAGTGTACTTGAGAACGGAATCAGAGAATTCGCTATACTCCCGGATAGCTTTAATCTTCTTTTCCGTGACCTCCTCGATATCACGCTTGTTGTCCTTAGACATGTCGATGCTGTACTGGGGAAGCATTTTGTCGCGGGTGATCTTACTACCTCGATCAGAGATGATGCAGCGCAGGCTAAAATTTGCTCCCTGCGAAGTGGCTTTTTTGTTGACTCTTATAGAAAGGTCACCGATCAGACGAACAACTGCGGGTAGATGAGGCCCGCACTGGTCTAAACCATCGATGATGAAGTAGAGAACTTCTACTTCCGGATCTAGAATTATCTCATCCAGAATCTTTTGCAAGATATCGAGAGAATGGAATTCATCCGGATCGGATCCCGCATTGTCAAGATCCTCGACGCTCTGCAAATGTTTCAGTGCATACTTTGCCAGATTCCGATTCTGCTGGCACATTTTGTAGAAGAGAGTCCTCAGAATCCATATCGGCTTCCGCCTTTTTTCATTCTTGTCGTCGCAGAAACATACAGCCGCAATGGTCTTCCCCGGTACACCCAGCTCCACCGGCGGTGCCTTCTCGACCGGAGATGATCCAGACGGTGTCCTTACGCGCATCCATTTCTCCAGCTGTTTGGCGATGAACTTTAGCAAGACACTTTTCCCACTTCCAGGAGTCCCTTGGATGTATAGGGGCGTGTGTATTGAAGTATCCGTCGCAATCCAGCCACGAAAGGTGTCGTGTTGGAAGATCCATTCGCACGTTCCTGGCTCGGCTCGGCCGATATCGCATCTGTCTTTGCCATCGCCCGCAATAAGAGCATCGAGGAGCTTGTCTTCAACACTCCTCCTCTCACCTAAGAAGGGATTCATCGAGTCTGTTAGCCACCAGTTGCTCAATTTTCTTAGAAAGAGGAAGAAGATCTGTCTCGTCTCACACACCCATATACACGGAGGCTCCTGCAGCAATGTTAATGCCTTGGATAGATTCGCTGTAGAATGAGGCCTCCATATTGCCATAATTTTGACCAATCTGGAGTCCTTTGTTCTCGGACTTGGAGAAGTCCGCAGAAGGCGCCGGCGCCTACTCGAGTCAGTGAGCCACAACGTATCTGTTTAGTTCTCTAGTATTTGAATCACTTCTTACTGACATCTTCCTTTGAACTTAGCAATCTCATTGTGATAAATGGATTTCACAATCGCAGGTACTCGACTGTCTGTGTATGGTGAACGTTTGAGTGAACTGAAGACTCTCGTAAAACTAATCGATTCCTTTCGTAATTATTAACGTCTTCCAAGGGGCTGAAGAAGGAGTATCCATAATGTAATAACGAAAAACGAAGCAACCGCTACGTGTGTAATGATATTCGCTGGACCGTATCCTCAGCTCAGCCTCCGTGTGAGACTCGTCTCCCTATGGGACTACCTCCGCAGTTCAACTTGCGAAAGCGACGCCTCATATGAGGTGCAGATCAAGCGTCGTCCAATCAAGCGTGGTATGCTCACTTGGTTATTTTAACCGAGGGTTGTCTGGAAGGTTATTTTGATTCTTTCTGAATTAGCGCCTTTTACAGTACGTAGGCTCGACCCGGGTCTTCGTCTAACAAACGCTCAGTTGGCCCTCTCACAGCCTGTTGCATATGCAGGCTCTTATCATTTGCCTTCTCTGGGCTGAAGATCCACTGGATGCATTTGACGGACTCGGATTAAGAAGACGTTCATTCCATTTCTCGGGAATCCTGCATTAGTGTACAAGGCCATCATTAATCAGATGATCCTTGGAATAGAACATATGAGTAGGGTAGTATGGTTAGGTACTGTAACGAGGTGGCTCCGATCGGGAAGAGCTGCCAGAAGAGAATGATTTGAAGTCAATAGCATTACGCGATTAGAGATAGGCGCACATCCTGCATTGTTTGTTTTCGATCTATTTTTTAGTGCAGATCCTAGTTGGTAGTTCACTCAGTCGGCCCACCCTCGGAAAATATTGGCAATTAGGGCTTAGCTGCTATAAATGTCTTATAGTATGAATTCGTCGTGTATTAACCTTACAAGAATCTCAGACCTCACATTCAAACATAGCATCCAAAGACTTCTCCAGTACTTCAAAATGTCCATCAATATCGTTAAGGACGCTGCAGACGCCAGACTAGAGTATGATTGTCTTCTGTCTTTCACAGAGCATATATCCCAGCCTTGACTAACAGTCGAGCAATACAGTCTCGTCTTTGTCCCTGGCTTGAAGGTTGACCAAGAATACTGGACATCCGCTGAGAACTCTATCTTTTGGCCAGAAAAGCTTCTCGCTGCACATATTCCCAAGGCACGCATCTTGGCCTTTGAATATGACGAAGCTCCAACCATCGATGCATTTTGGAACAAGCGTGACTTGATTTCTAGTAACTCAGATGACCTGGTGAATTCGCTTTTGGATGAGCGACGTGCCGAAAAGGTTAGCATGATCAATGCCAATCTACCATTGTTAAAATATTGACCTTGGGGTGTCTAAACACAGGCAGAGCGACCGGTGATTTTTGTCGCACACTGTCTTGGAGGCTTGGTCGTCGAAAATGTATATTATTCCTTGACTAAACATCCATATTGGGAACACAAGCTGATTCAGAGCCACATCATGACAAATTTTTAGGCTCTTATGCGGGCGAGCAAGAACGAGAAGAAGAGACAGCTCGTCAATTGTGCCGCGGGTCTTTTGCTGCTTGGAACACCCCATTATCAGCCTGGAACATTGTCCAAAGCGAAGAATTATTTCCAACTGGCTCAGAAGGATGTTCCAAGCGATTCTGAGCTGCAATCTCTATCAAAGCATGTTTTGACAATTCCCCAGGCATTTGCCGAATTCAGACAAGCAAACCCAATCAATGTGGAGAGCTTTTATGAGGGATCTCCTGTGAATATTAATGACCAGGAGATCGAGATCGTGGAAGAATCCGTGGCGAAGTTTCCTGGAGATTCTCCCGATCCTATCATGCTTAAAGGTAACCACCACCAGATGAGCCGGTTTGAGAGCGAGAAGAATAAGGACTTCAAGAATGTGTCCAGAGTTCTTGTGGACTGGGTGGAGGATCTCCCAGAGCCCGAGGAAAAGGGAACCACGAACAATATCTCCAATGCATCTTTTGCTGGATCAACCAACTACGGTTACCAGCTTGGACAGAACACGGGTAACCAGACTGGATTTACGTTCGGTGGGAGATAAATAGGATTTGAATGGGGTAGCCTTAGGCACATTATTCAGCTCCAGGGTGCTTGTATTGGCGCTTCGCTACAGTATCTCTTATGTGGCCATGTCAAGGAGTGATTGCTCGAGATTGCTTCAACTATCTTTCGATCTCTCCTTTTATATCCTTTTAAGTCAATAAATAGTATGACTAGAGATTATACAAGGGTTCTCAAAATCGCCTTCACCAGTAAAAAGTCACATTTATAATTGGTGCCCGCTTTCGCGGTGCTAGAGTAATGAAAGTATTCAACTTCTCGGCGTCCTCGGTCAACATGAATAATAATACCCTTAACCGAAAATTTCCCGGCTTCCAAAAAGAGAAACGACAGCCGTGCAACATTAAGTACACGCCGTGTCCAGTCATTAGAGCAGAAGAGGTCGGGGAAGTGGGGGCAAGTAGCAAGATACAAACATCCAGACACGAAAATAACATATTCCAATTCAGGCGACTTGCATGCTCCGGAGGACTTGCTATGACTCTCCAACGAAGCTCATGCATATCGGGCGCGACGTGGGTTCTCCCATTACATGTCCTTACATTGCTGGAGGGTTGTAGGCCACTTGAGAATAGGGTGTAAAAACAAAATACTTGAATGATCGTGAGACAATATGCGCTCTTATCATGTACGTGGAAGTTGTTCATTGGATTTGATTTTGTGGCGCCGTGATTCAGACCGGATAGAGCTGAATCTAAGATAAAAAAACTGATAATACAAGGGTGTTTTAGCTAGTGGATAACGGTGGACTCTTTCAGCTACGCCACGGTTTAGCCGAGCTGTTTGGATGCAAGCGTGAAAGCCAAATTACGGATCAAAGCTATGACTAACGAGAATGAATGAATAAATAAATCCAAAAGTGCAAGGGTCACCTAGCCAACCTATAGGGACTGTGGAGCACTTAGAAAACAGTACACCAAGCCGTACGAGGGTAGTTCTGAGAGAGATCCCCGGGTTCGAATTATTTCTCTTGCACCAAACGCCCAAACTGAGGCCAATCGTTTGGCTCGTTTTATTTCCTCTCGACGTCTCTATCCCAAATCAATATATGCCTGTTGCAACTATGGCTACTCCAGCGATATACGACCTAGCCCAGTTATGGCAGGCAGCGGTGCAAGACTACGAGAAGACGACGGGGAAAAGTCTTCGACTGGTGCAGTTTAGGAGCATGGAAGAAGTAATGGGCGGCACCGAAGACCTTTCCAACAAATTTAAAGGCTTTCGTGATGACAAAGACAAAGTAGCCAAAGTGCGGACCGCATTCAAAAACAATATGTGGTTGATCCAAACCATTGTCAACACCATACAGACTGTTGGAAATGCGGCCTCGGTAAGTTTTGAGATAATAGCCACCCGAAAAAACACAGATGGTCCTAATCGCCTTCGCTCTCCAGGCCTTCCCGCCTGCCATGCCAGCAAGTTTGATATTTTCAGCCTTCGGGCAGGTCATGCAGGTACGAGATACCGAAGAATACTTTGAATTCTTTCTTTCTGTTGACGCATTTAGTCATTCGCCGATGTCTCTGCCGACTACGACAAAATCATGGGATTTTTCGAATTCACCCATCGATTCCTCGACAGAATGTCTATCATTGACCAGAAAATGCCAAATCTGCCTCAGTTTCAACGGTGCGTCTCGCGTGTGTTCTCAAGCATTCTGAAGATTTGCGCAATTGCACAAAAGTATAGTGCAGAGAAACGAATGAGTAAGCTGCCCATGGTCGCATGCATATTGTCGTGTGTCTTATGTTGTGGCCTGAGCGATGGCTGATAATTGACTAGAGAAATGGTTTGATAGCTTGATGAACGGCACTGACGGGGAACTGGCCGGGGCTACCGCGAATCTGGAGGAGGCCGTTAACGAGCTGAGCCAGGCCGTCGGTCTGACTACTCTGAGGACCGTCGAGATCCTTAACGAGGTCATCCAAAGCATGAACGGCAGTATCGAGTTTCTGGTCTCAAACGCGAATCTCATAGACGAGCGGACAAGAGCTATTGAATCCAACACAAACATCATCATTCAACAGAATCAGGATCTTGCATCCAAGCAGGACCATATAACAGACATGCAACAAGAGACGTTGCAAAAATTGGCTGAACAATCTAAGATGCTCAACGGCGTTGTTGCATATTTCGGATCCATCCAAATGGGCCAGAACTTTGGCAAGAGCTTTCAGAACAGCTTATTGAAGCTGGGTGTGGTCAGGCTACGACTGACTCGTTGGAGTCAGTCAGTGGGACTGGGAAATCTGGACAATGTAAAATCCCTCGAAAATGTCAAGATTTCTGAGGAAGATATTCCAATGGTCAAAGAGCTTCTAAATAGAATTATAGAGAGTTTCAGTGACGCCGAGAGGACTTCAGACCGGATTAAGAAGCGCAATCCTTCCGTCAGTGTACTGGATCCTACAAAGGAATTAGATGAAGTTGCCGCATCACTTCATCAAAAAATAGATGCGCTTGTCAAGACAAGACAAGGCGAGGTGGAACCCGAGGAGCAGACCGAACTGACCCTATACGAAGAAAAGAACTTCACGCGACTTATCGAGGATATCAGTGACTCGGTCAATGACTTGGTCAATCTCTTTCCGGCGGTCCAAGAAGCCCAGCAGAAGCTTTGCGATGAAGAAGTTTCGGAGATGAACAAGAACGAAACTTCCCTCTCGCTACTGAAAGATGCAGCTGATGATCAAGACAATATGCTCAGCCAGACGGTTACAAAGATCATTCAATCAAACACAAGCTACAACAACAGTGTTATATTCCAAGGAACCAACTCAGGCTTTCAAATTGGGAACAATAAAGGCAAAATTAGCAATATACGCTTTCACTAACGTAAAATGCCAAACACGGAGGACACGCTGGCTGTCTGAATTGCGGGCGTATCAACATTTAGTTAATTTATATTCTTTGTCTTTCTTGATTATATCATTTTGATTGATGGACTTATATAGCTATGTATTGCATTTAGTCTTATAAAATATCGCAAGCAGGGACATATTTATTGGTAAATCTACACAGTATCAATTATAAAACGTGAAGCACCGCCTGAATTACGTGACTCCTAAAATAACGGCAAGGACGACAGGCAAAAGTGCGACGCCGAGAGAGGGCACAAACGTGGTAATATTCATTGGGCTCTATCATCAATAGCTTATTTGACTCTTTGCTGCATAGAACTCACGATAATGTCGACTAGATAAGCTTATAACATTGAACCGAAAATCTGACCACATGTTTGGCCTTCCTGACAGTTTCCCCGGCAGACAATTCCAGGCACGACAGTGACTACTTCTACTCCATACAGTCTAAAGAACAATAACAAAGAACCAGATCCTAGCCTTCTTTCAGTATGGGTTTTGCTGGAGAAAGCTTTCTCGATTGGGTTTTTGCAGGTCCTCTCGAATTTACTAGCTAAAATTTCTCCGGCATTATCGAAACTATCTTCACCAAGCGTTCTTTTGACTTCTATAGGTGGTTCAGTAGAAGAGCTATCACTCCAGGTGCGTTGTCGCTTTCTGGAGCTTATGGCATTAGCTTAGATCTGTTGATGTACTTTATTAGAACCCGCCATCATGCACGGTGACACACAATGAAAGAAGACAGAAAGTAAATTAAGGAATTAAAAGATACAGATTGGGTATACTGGCAGGTTAATTTAACACTTTAAGTATGTTGCTGCCGCCATACGATTTCACCATCGGGTTGACTTGTTCAGCCCGCTCTAGAACATATGTAGGTCATAACACCAATTGGGGATATCGTATTGGTAGCCACGATTTACATTCGGCAGCTACACCACGCTCTTCGGCGAAACTCATCTAACTCGTTGACTGGCTTTGTTCGTGATAAATTTAGACTTTCTAAGAGAGCTTTTGTCACTGAAGCTGCGCCTGGGTAGGTTGTTTTGCGTCAACAACCGGGCTGAGGTCTCGTTGGAGATCTCCGAGGGGACGTCGAACAAAGATAGTCAATTTAATTTGCATTGTACCTACAGGGTGCAGAGCAGGCACTCTTGGTTGCGATGGAGGGAACCCTTGGACGGTCCAGCCTCTTCATGCAGCTGAAGAGATTGACAGGGTCCGTGAACATTGCCATGCCATTTCACTAACTGTAGTGGAGCCAAGCCGGTATAAAGCCGATGTAGAATCACATATACCGCGGTGCAAGATATTCCATTGTGCCGGCCATGGGTACACGCATCCATCTAACCCGTCCATGGTTCTGGAGGACGGCGAGAACCAGCCACCGACCGTCGGCAGACTTTTTGAATTTGCATCGGTGGAAATCGTCCCTGTTACTTGCGTACCTCTCGGCGTGTGGGACTAGCGGGATCCGGGATGAGAGATTCATCGATGAAAGTATCCATCTGATCAGCGGATGCCAGTTAGCTGGCTTTCGCCATGTGATCGGGACACTGTGGAATGTGATCGATGAAACATGCGTGGACATGGCAAGAATGACATACGAGGAAATGAGAGACAGCAATGTAACTGATGAGTCTGTCTGTGGCAGGCTACAGACGACAAGCCGACGCGAACAAGGCAGAGATATTGAGCCTGAGGGCGGAGAGATCGGCTCCCTGGACTAGGTTCCATATGTTGATTTCGGGGTGAGATTGCTGCAGCGGACAGTCAAGGTTAGCAACACTTCTATGGGACGTTTCTCATGATATGTAGGCATTTTGGATGTTGACATTTTCAAAGCAGGAATTTAAATTAAGGGACTTAGAGACAGTCTGAAATCACAGATCCTCTAAATTTCTTATGTTTCAGTAACACAGTACATAACTTGAGATTATCACGTGTTTTGTGCTCACCGCCGTCAGCTTCTGTAGCCTGGCACAGTCGCAGAAAATTTCTCAACTTCCGAAAGCAGTGCCCACAATGCCATGAAACGACCAAAGGGAGTGAAAGGGGGTAGAACCCTACCCGCGACCCCTGCCTATGTACCACGATCGCTGGCCGTGATTATTGCGCGTCAACGGTCCTACATTTTCCAGCATCCTGCCGCCGATTCGAAGATCCGACCCCCTGGGAAAAACTGGCTGCAGACTTTTTACAACCGGCATCTCGAACTATGATCATGACGACTCAAGCCAATCGATTGGAAGCGGGATGGTCGTCACACCGAAGAGAAGGGTCATCAATGGTTCACCGTCATCGGGCGAGAGCTGGCGGATCCTGTGCTTCTCCTCGGGAATGTCTACAATATGGACGAGACGGGGGTCCCCCTCAGCGTGCTGGATTCTTTGAAAGTCCTCGTCAGCAAGCATGATCTGAGGGATCATCGCGGAGCGGCAGTAAAACGCACGCTGGTCACTGGAGTCGAATGTATCTCCGTAAACGGACGGTTCTTGTCTCCTCTCATCTGGCCGGCCGCCACGCACCGCGGTACGTGGACCACTCACCCAACACTGGGGTGGCACGTTCAAAACAGGCTCTGCCAATACGGGAATCAGCCTATACTGGATGCAACATGTGTTTGATCCGCAGACACGAGATCGGGCGAAGGGAAGGCTGCGACTTTTGATCAGCGACGGGCGACGGGTTCGGACCTTATGAGTCTCTAGAGGTCCTGAAGTTTTGCTATGCGAACCAGACTATTCTGTGCCAGCTCCCTCCGCACATATCTCACTAGCTGCAACCATATGGTGTCGGTGTCTTTGTTCCGTTGAAAGCTGCTTATCGAGCGTAGGTGGAGTAACTCTACCGGGCAGGGGCGAATGCCATCGGTAAGCCGCATTTCACTTATCTATAGAACGAGCACGACATGCGGCGTTCACGCGCCGCAACATCCGATCCGGTTGGGCTAAGACGGGGCTCGTTCCTTTCGACCCTAATCAAGCGATTCGTGGGATACAGAAATCGCGACCTGATATTCGGATGGGAACTGAGATCGCAGTCACTCAAGGCAGCCCTGTTTCGGAGGGAGATACTTTGATCACAGCACCAGTGACAGATGATGGTTTCATAGTCCTGCGGAACCAGGTTGAGGCAGATGCTAGATCTCTCGACAGGGTATTCCAAAACCAACTGGAGAAGCTCAACCAGGCCGCGAAAAGAGCGATCGCAGAGCAGGCACTTCTACTGGATGAAGATCGACTATTGTTCGAACAGAACACTAAGAAGATGACTACACAGTCGACTAGATCGAGGATCGTGGGACATGCGAAGGCGATGAACTATGAGACATTCTCGAAGCACAACGAAACCGGAACGCCAAGGCGGTTTCGCCGCCTCGTTCCAATTGTCGCAAGAAGCGATCCCAGTCCGTAGACGAGACATCGACGCGACGAGAGGAGAAAGAGAAGGCTGAGCATGAGATACAACAGTGGAATTTAAGTTCGTATTGTGCTGTTCTAGATTTATAAACTTAGGATACCAGTATTCCTTTTCTTCGACACCGATACACCTGTAATTTGGTGTTGTATTCAGATGTATACTTTATATATGATAGTAATCAACGCAATTATTCCGTATAGCACTGTAATATCTAGTCACATCTATTACTATAACGATCTAAGGCATGTGTGAATTCTGAATATGTAGGGACGATTATTCTACTAGTACATGAGAGAGACATGGCTTGGTTCTCTGCTGGGGTTTACTAGGAGCGAGCCAGGTATTTACTGGGGCTCGATGCTGTTTAACTGAAGCTATAGGGCGAATATTGCCATCGATCTTGGTTAAACAGTCGACTAAATCGTCATATTCATTAGGGATTAAGACCTGGCTAGCTAATACAGTGATCAATTCATCAGAAATTCCTCAAAGCAAATAGTCTTTCTTTACTAAGTTATCATAACTACAATAAGTGATAATGCGTTGAAATTCAGCTTAATCTACCCACAAATTCCCGATTCTCTTGAAATAGGTTAATCAGCTTATTCAAAGCTTCTTAATGTTTGTTTGTAACACTGTAAAATATTCTAAAAGCTCATAAAAGTCAATATCAGTAAGAATTTTAAGCGATCTACTCTCCTTAATAAAGGAGTAAATTGGATCAAAGTATCTTTTTCTAGATATAAAAAGATATACAAAGTCTTATATAACCTAGTTAAAAAGCATTGATTATCAGAAATAAACTTAACCTTTAGTTAGATAATAAAGGGTTCAACTTTGCTCTTATCTTCAGTGAATATCTCTAGATCAGAGAGATCTTAATATATTCCTTAGATGGTCCTTTAATAAACAGTAGATCAGATAACTGTTTAGCTAGATCATTTATTGGTTAATTCTCTAAGTTGATATTTGTAAGCTGGGCGATCCCATCATCCAAGGTTAAACCCAGGCGACCGTATAACCCTCAGGGCGAAGTATTCTCGTGTAGGTGGTCATAGTTGTCTACCTCAGTAACCATCATTATTCCCCATCATAGTATTTAAGGTAGTGAGACATAGTTCTCAAGGGTAGAGTATGCTTGCACACGTGGATGTCGTGATTTGAAAATGAAGAAGCAATTCTGCCCCGCACTGTGGAAGCCAAATTAGAAATCCCGTTCCTGAATTCGCGCCTAGAAATTAATCAGTATCCTAATGCACTACCTATCGAATCAAACTACCCATATTGCTATTTTACCTGAATCTATTATGCATCATGGAAGGGCCATGGTCTGGCTCAAGCCAGTTGATCACAACATATGTAGACATAAATATACTCGATTGCAAACGGTGCACGCATTTGCACCCTCAAGACTCTTTCAAAGAAGGTTACGATCAAGATAGTACGACTGCAACTGAGCTGACTAAAGTTTTGTATGGTGGATATATGCGTATTAATGAAATATATGGGTACATGCAAATGAGTATGGCAATTGTATGCATAGTATGGTGTTTCGACTTTCAATAAGGAGGCATCCCGCACAAAGAACACAAGAGAGATCATAGGGCGGAAAATTATTGCCTATTTCAATTTTTATTTGAAATAATCAATCAAGGCGAATCGCCCACTTCGAATATGTTTGTGAATCCAGCGAATGGGCCATTGTTGAAATTCGGACGAAGGCAGCGAATATTGTTTTTCGGCGACATCTGGAATATACTGGCCAGCCAAAACATTTAACGTCATGAGGTTTATTATCAGTATAAAATAGCAGTTACATAAAGGAATAGCATCATGGTATTTGGTGGGAATAGGGATATTATGAAGCCATGACCTGTGAGACGAGAAAATTAAGATGAGCGACGCATCAACAGTATTAATATGATTGAATTATTAATAGATTATATTTTCACGTGACTCGAAGATTGGTCTCTTACCGCCTTGTCACATAGGGGTAATTGATTGGTCAGGATCATTTAGCGGCAGTATGAGTCAGCCTTGCTCTTGGTCGTCTCTCAAATCCCATAAACATCCTAAACTGCCCATTCTTCAACCTCCATCTCTCTCGTCGACGTCGCCAAAGATGAGCTCTCAGGCTTATTACGAGCTCTATCGCGGTAGCAGGTATATTCAGATGCCGCTTCCTTGGCTTGACAGGCAGTTTGTTAAACTAGATTTGTTTCGTGGCTGACTAACGTTTTGAATTTCGCTCTCTGCAGTCTCGGGCTTTCGCTCACAGATACGCTCGATGATCTCATCAACGATGGCCGTATCGAGCCTCAACTGGCTATGAAGATTCTTTCCAACTACGACCGTGTTGTGACAGAGGTCCTTGCGGAGAAAGTGCGGGCTAGACTGACCTTCAAGGTAACCTCACTTTTGCCTTCTAGCCCTTGCCCTTTGATGCAGGCTATGAAACTTTGGCTTACATGATGCTATATTTCTCTATTTAATAGGGTCACTTGGATACTTATCGTTTCTGCGACGAAGTCTGGACCTTCCTGATCAAAGACGTCACCTTCAAACTTGACAATCAGCAGACCGTGCAGGCCGAAAAGGTCAAGATCGTCAGCTGCAACAGCAAGCGTCCGGGCGAGGCCTAAATATATTCGTGAATCTTATCGAGATTGAAGAAGATTGGTACAAATCGCGACAAACTTCCTATCATTTATTGTACTTTTTATGACGACCACGTTACGGAAGGCGTTTGGGAATTGGTGATGCTACATTAAAGAATGCTTAAATACTCACTTTTTTGGCGGGATCAGATACCTTACAATATGAATACAAAATTCTGGACAATATTTGGAACAAAATGACCGTAGTTTTGTAGGGCACCTTGTGCCATATGACGCTTTGGAAGAAGATCCGGTATAAAGCGCGTGGGGCATTTCCTCACTACCTGCACCGCCTTCACCCGTCATTACTATCATATTATATTATCCACGAGCGTCGGCAATCATGTATCGCATAACGTCTTTATTATTATAGCGTTATTCATTAGAAGCTCAAAGCTTCTTCTTTCGCTACTATGCCCCGCTCGCTTCCCTGGCTCGCCAACGATAACAGGCAAGATACTCGTCAACGCGACGGCACGCCGACTCCTCGCGCGCGACGACGCAGCCCTCATACACCAACCAGGAACACTGAAATTAACGGAAACCAAGTATCGGCTCCATGGGAAACCCCAAGGCATCTGGATGTTTTGAGATCCTGTAGGTGTTTTGCTACGATCTATATTCGAATGCGCGGACTAATAATGATTTCCAGCGCGAAGTCCCCCGACATCCCCAGTCTATGCACCTCCGATTGAAGAGTTAGTTTTCTGCGGGACCCAAGATTTTTAACATGGCACTAATCATAGTGAGGGGAAAGGTATATACGAGAAGGATTTGACAATGATGATATGTATATTATGGTCGAGGACGAATTCTACGCCGTCGCGCAGCTATTTACCAGACATCTGCACCAAGCCGAATACGTACGACGAAGGAAAGAGGCAAAAGAACAAAATGCGTCTGTAATCAGGAACTTGTCGCGTCCAACGGATGGAAAAACCGCCATGAGCAAGGAGGCACTGAAGCGGAAGGAATCAGAGAATATCCACGAACTACAAAGACAAGCCTTGGCTACCCCAAGACGGCCGCGCACAGATTCCGACGACGTTGAAGAAACCGGGGGTAGTGACCTTGAGGAGGATCGTGATGATGATCCGTGGTACGGAACTTCGCTACATACGCTGATGACTAGTCCGCGAAAGAACAGGTCGCTTGTTGGGCTGGATGGTATCAGGTCGCATACCAGAGCAGCAGCTGGATATCGCCCCGAAGTTGCCAGGCAAAGGAGTGACACATATCGACCTACTCAAACCACTTCTAGGGAGGAACCTGCTGTTGACCCTGTGGCGATGTCATCGTCAGATGAGGACGATGATTTGGAAATAATTGAGTCAAGATCGTCGAGACCGAATCATTTACCACAATCTTCATTGCGTACTAGGCCGTCTATTATCAAAGGATGGTCTCAGGAGGCGAGTATAGATCCATCAATTCGTCAACACACTGCTATGAATAAAGATCACATGAGACCTTCCCTTTCCGAGTCGGCACGGTCCGCTACAAGTGATCAGCCGCCCACACTCTCGAAAAAGTCACATATACAGGAGGTATACAGTAGCAATGATTCAACATCCACTAGTCCTCGCACAAGTTGCGGCATGAACTTTACCAAACCCAGAAAGAGAATCTTACTCGATGACATAGACGGTTCGATTGAAGTAAAGGAAGAAGTTAGGGAACAAAAGTTCTCAATTCATAATATAATACAGGGCCAGCCTAGAAGGTCATTATCAAATGCATCCTCTCATTCGAGGCACCGTGCTGAGGATAATAGCGGAAAGAAATCGCGTCTCAATAACGTTCCGACATTCTTGGTGTGACAAAGGAGATTCCGGTTCCATCGTGCGTGATTGTATGGTGGTTTGAATTATACGTGTAGTCTCTGAGACTCCAATTGTTTGATCAAAGCGTGCTCCATTTGATCCATGAAGCTTGAATATCCACGCCCGGCAGTTGTAGATCATACGGTCAATTTGGCACCGATTCCGATGAGTTTGGCTCTCAACTGATCTCGTCTTGACGGCTTTTGAGAAATGATCGATTGTCGCGCCGCTTCTTTCTCTGCGAGGACGCCATGACTGTCCTGGCGATACAGGGTGGCACTGCTATAAAGTCAGAAGAAATATTCAATTTCCACATAATCAGGCATTTCTCACTCGTCGTCTGATAACGGCAAGGTAAACTCTTCCTTTCGAAAATTGGTCGGAGGTCCCTAGAAAACACCACAAGTCAATCGACACTCATTCATTAACCCGATCAAAGACGTACGATTTCGATGATTCTCTGCGGCTCTTTCTCACGCTGGAATAACGACTTCAGCCATTGGAGTACTGGCGAAAAACATTCGCATCTCTTCATAGTGATGGTCGTATGATATTATTTTCCAACAGAACTTATTCTGACAGTTGCAGAGGACATGGAATGGATATGCGAAGTCTGGACGACAGTGGAAATGGGTATCTAAATTTGGATGGGTCTATGCAATAACTGAATATAAAGAAATGACGATGATGTATGCGACGCAAAACGAGTGGCAAATACTACACGCTCGAAATCCACGCAAAAGCAAAAATTAACCTGAAGAATGGAGGGTGAAGGTGAATAACAGAAAAGAAAGATCGTCTTAACCCTTATGTCATCGAAGGGGAAGAGTGTGATTTGAGTGAAGGAAGAGGAAGAGAGTCAAGTTCGGTCGTGTGGAACAATGGTTATATACATACGTGCATCAAAGGAGCCCTGCCGTACCTTCTCATCGGTGCGACGTGGAGCGAAAGAAAGCTGTTTCCTCGGCGCCGCCTGACGTGCATGCTAGGAAAATTCTTCGGGTCTTATTCGAACGAAATGTTTTACATGCAACTGCCGATTATGTGCGATAACACACCACGCCTCACGTCGCAAGAACGCCATAAATCCTCCAGTAGAAAAGCAGCGTTCTGCAAGGGCTGTCGTGTCGTGTATGGAAAGGGCACAATTATCGCTGTTATTCAGCAACGCCTCCATCGACCGTTGACTCAGAGATTATCATGAGGTACGGTCTTGTTCTGGGCGGCGCGAATCGCATGAATCCAGGCGCCAGTATCCAGCCATTCATTGGTGCTAACATTTAGACCCCTGGCGATTTTCTTCATGTCCACATAACAATCGATGCACTGTACTGTGAGCGGCCAATCGGACGCATTTATTCATGAGACTAGGCTCCATTATTTGGTGATGATATTTTCCTGGTAATGAAGGGAGACAGGTTTGATGCGTCGCACCACATTCCACGTACCCCTCTCTGCCGCCAAGGGGCACGCCACCTCCCTCGTTCCAAGGCCGCGTGTATCAAGTAGATTATGGTTCTAGCCTGGGCCTTGATTACAGTTACAGTAAGGAATTATGGTCTCTGGGCCAGTCCGTCACTAGATATTGCTACTTGGAAGATTATAATGAGAAATTTGAAGTTTACCCTAATATTTTTTAGAAAGCTATTTACTCCTTGCAAGATGAAATGAAATTGCACCCCCGTTGCGAGTTTTAGCATTCATGCGTACACGTTTAATCCAATCTTCTAAGCTACAAATTGATGTCCATCTGTGGCTGGATTGATAGATGTAACCAACAGTTAAGTGGCATTTTTCATAGACCTTGCTAGGCTTTTCTAGGAGCATCCAAAGTGTAGGGGAAGAAAAGTAATAGACCACAATGAAAAAAATGAAAGATAAATGTCAAATTATTTTGAACTATTTACCCAATGTATCCTAACAAGTGCCAAAAACCGTGACTCGCTTTCCTCCTCCAGTTTTATTAACCCTACTCATCCCCCTTCGATGCATAAGACATCCGTTAGTCCTCTCCCTGTTGCACTCAACACCTGAGTTCTCAGCTGTCAAAGTCACCATCGCGCCGTTTAGCACCAAATTCCTAACACTAATTCCCAATATTCTCTAAGCGCAACAGATTGAGGATGAACCCAAGAGAATGCTGATCGCCAGTCACGAAACACCCGGCGCGCGGGATGACGCCGGCAGTCTCGAGTCATAAACCAACGCACCAAGTACATCCGAATTAATGTCACAGAATTCATACAAACATATCAGCACTGGTACGAATACCAGATCGGTTTGTCGATAAGCCCTCTGCGAGTCTCCCTACGTGTTAAGCGCTGTGGTATTCGATGGCGGTAGTGATCCTGTGCCAGTGCTGATCCATTCCGGCAGGAGAGGCGAACGCAACTGATCATCGAACAACTTCACGATGGTTTCTACGGTCGTCAACAGAACAATAGCAGATATCTGCAGTTAGGTCACCTGCTTTCAACAGACACGGGTACTGGGCCGTACTCGGGGGGGGGGGGGGAGTTCCAATTGACAACTCTGAAGGAAAAATAGATTGTCAATTTTCAAGAAATTGCTAACATAAGAAACAAAGTGACTAGATATTCCGCGTGGCATTTAGGTATTTGGGTTATATCACCTGATGAATTTGAGAAATTCCAAGAAATCCAGAGAGTCTTTGGAGTTATATATGAAATCTCAGTTTCCTTTGACTAGACTTATAAACGGTGTGAAACCTAATTTCAACATCTAGTCTGTATTTGAATATCATTTTTAGGATGCTTGCGTTATATTGACAGCAATGCGGCACTTCTCATGGTTTGCAAGACGTGTCTATAATAGAGTACTCCCCAAAAGAGAGGTCGCAAATAAAACACACCTAGACATGTATATTATTTCATTATTGTGTTTATTTTCCACACTTTCGATGTTTCTGTGCTATCCGTGTTATCATCTGGGTTGTGTACGTAGTGAGCAGGGCTTAATCAGAGGTGGACCTTGAGCTTTGGCATTTTGTTTGTACCTTTTATTTCGTGTCGGTCATTTAGAGGAAATACTAGATCCCCTGAACGTATATTAATTGATGTATCTATGAGGAAATATGTTTCTATCTAATGTTAAATCTAACCCCACGGTTCATAGATTCGTCTCTGTCCTACGCCAACTCTAAATTCTTTGCGTACCCGCTGCAAATTCAAGCAAGGGGGAAATAGAGATATAAAGCAAGGAACCCGTCAGTCTGGGTTGTCAAAGAATTCGTCCATTTGCTTCCATACGTATTCCATTCCAGTAGCATAGCATTACTTTACGCAGCTATCTTAGAAGTAATCCCAATTGGAATGCTTGGATTTTCAGCGTGAATAGTAACTGGGTGGTGATAGGCCGGAATCAAGTAGAGTCTGGACCATTGAAGAACGTGGGAAATTTAAAAAAATCAGCCGAGATATTCTGTATTAGTGTGCGTAGTACCGCAATTCATAAGGAGCTATTTATGGCTTTGTTACCCTATACTAAAGCTTTGCGACCGCTTATGTAGATAGTGTCTATATCTGCAGGGCTAACAGCAACAATAGTCTATGCAACATTGAAATTCGATTATAAGATAGTGATAAATAACTGACCAAATAATCAATGTATACTTGACAGTAGTGAAAGTGGGTTGTACATGTCATTCACAATGCTTCAAAATTCACCAGTGGAGAATGTCTCATTTTCACACCTATCATCGCTGAATAAACTTTGAACCTTGCTTGAAAATGAAGAATGTGGCCCGGGCAATTGGAAACTGCTGCATTCCTATTGATAAAAAAGAGACCGAAAAATACATGTAACCACTAGCTTCGCAATTCGAGTCCGATGTCTGGAGTACGTACACATTGAGGTTAATAGCTAGGTCTAGAAAAGAAATAGGGATTATTGCTAGAAGTTTAAAAGTAATGCAGGCAAGGTTATGCACATTAAATAAAAAAAGTTTTTTGTTTCTTGATTTATTCAATGTTGGATTTAGTTTTCCTGTTGCTGACATCTGGAGCCTAACATTTAGATATGAAATTTCATTAATAGGTATAGACTATGCTAAATGCGCTTCGTTTAGAAGGACAACGTTAGTTTAGATACAAGAATCCGTAGAACAGGAAATAGAGAACAAGAAGACAAGCCGTGACAACCCCGATTGACGTGAACAGAACTAGGAAAACATGGAGTAGTCTTTCCACTTGTCCTCGTTCTAGAGGAGCGGTTCGTCGAGCATTGCCACTATGCTGGGTGGAATTGAGAGATGGAGCTAGTGAGCGAAGAAATGGTAAATATAAGTCCTAGCATGTAACTCGGTAAATTTTATGCTTGACGCTCTTGGGGTGGGAGGGAAGGACACTAGGTGGATGTCTGAGGCGGTTTCGACTTTTCAGTCAGTCCTAACCTTAACCCTAACCTTCCTCGTTCAACCTTTCATGTCGTTATGAACGCAAGCCCAACAACCTTGACTTCTGGCATTGTGATATTAATGTCAGCCTCCAACTGGTTCGTTCTACAATCAATGATCGGCCTGCACCCATCATCTGTGTGGTTGAAGGAGTCTCATTTGTTGGCGCTAAGGAAATAAGTAGACGCCGATGTAATCCTCACGGTGTTCAAATGATTCTTAGCCTACCCACGAAATCACCAAGCCTTCTTGTGTTGTCGCTTTTTTTGCTTCACAACAGCATTCCACGACCCCGTCGTCGTCCCCAGTCCGAATGCCAGAGTAAGAAAGAGAGAGCCACTCCGCTCTATGCTGGCTAACATGGCGTGGCCTTCGTGGATCACAACTGCCCTACTTGGCTTACTCGTCATTGTGATCTTTAAAAAGCTCTTCGCTTGGGCCAACTTCACCGTGAAATGTCACCGCCATGGTTGCCGAAAACCCCCACGGTATCCACACAAAGATCCAATTTTCGGCCTTGACTATGTCATGGGAGAACTCAAAGAGCGAGAGGACGGGAATTCCTGGGCTGGGAAGCGCAACCGTTTTGCATATCTCGGTCTCACGTACGAGGTGAATTCGTGGGGCAGGAGAACGATTATGACGATGGATTCACAGAATATCCGTGAGGTTCTAGGTACATCTTTTAATAAATTCGGTGTGCAAGAGATGCGCATGGCGGTTTCCGGCTCCTTTATGGGCCCCGGGGTGTTCACCACAGACGGAGAGTAGTGGGAGTACTCACGCAAACTGATTGGGCCCATGTTTTCACGGTCTCAGGTATCCGACCTGAGTGCGCTTGACGTCCATCTCGATAGGATGTTTAAGCGGCTTCCTCGAGATGGCTCCACAGTCGAGCTGCAAGGTCTGCTCAAGCTTATGGTATGCTATTTTGGGGTCGTGTCTTAGATTAGATATGAATATTAACTTAGTTTGCTGTTAGTATCTTGACCTCGCTACAGGAATGGTGTTCGGAAAATCAACAGATACTCTTCTTAAAGAGACTCCAGATGACACTGCTCATGAGCTTCTTGATACCTTTGCCGCAGTGTTGAAAAGGACCGGTCTTCGAATTATTTTTGGTCGTCTATGGATTTTTACTGTCTGGGACACAACTTTTGAAAAGCTTTCATCTGATGTCCGTGCCGTAGTCATGAAATACATTGATGAGGCCATCGAAAGACAGCGAGAGCATACGAGGTCCTCCAGCGTAATGAACAAAAAACAATACATCATTGTCGATGAGCTTGTCAAGTCCATCGATGATCGTGAGAAGATTTGTAGCCAGCTTCTCAACATCTTTCTACCCGCTCGTGATGCGGCAGCAGTTGGCCTCAGCGCCTGTTTATTTCATCTAGCACGGCATCCCGATGTATGGAATAAATCGAGAACCGAAGTACTCGCAATTAAAGAGCCCGTTACCCGTGACGGCCTTCGTTCTATGCCTTATATGCAAGCGGTGCTAAATGAAAGTAAGTATCGTCACCCAGTGGAATGGAAATTATTTATTGATCTCTTTTCGCCTTCTGGTCAGGCCTCCGACTTCACGCGCCTGCGGCTGGCAATCGACGTCGATGCACTGAAGACTGCATCCTGCCAACTGGCGGCGGGCCAGATGGAAAATCTCCAATCTTCATATCAAAAGGAGATAACGTCAACGTTGACTTTGCGGCGATGCACTACCACAAGGAAATCTGGGGCGATGACGCTGAAGAATTCCGGCCTGAGCGCTGGATAGGGGATAATGGACATGAAAGACACAGCTGGACATATATGCCGTTTTCTGCCGGTCGACGTATTTGCCCAGACATGGATATCGCACTGACAGAGAATGCCTATGTCCTCGTGCAGTTGATGCGGGAATTCCAGAAGCTCGAGAACCGAGATCCTGTGAGAGAATATGTCGAGTGCACTAGACTTACTACAGAGAGTCGGAATGGAGTCAAGGTCGGCCTCATACCCGCAAATATTTAGCCGGTAGTCGATAGATTGATATACGGAAATAACCTCGAATTTCCACACAGGCTGTGGAATACTTCCTTGTGACTAACCTGAAAAATCTGTGAATTGATTCTTTATTTCCTTTTACCATTGACTATCTCAGAGGTGTAAAAACACCCCTACTTATATTATTACCTGTGATTGCTCGCCGGACGTCAAGTTTGAATTATAGTATCGTCTCCACGCTGGATTCGATAAATGACGTAGCTAATTTCAAAGCCAAAGTTTTGAAGTAACTACCTCCTTCTGTAGAGCCCTAAGCTCCTTAGTGGTGTTTAAGCCAAAAGTAGTAATTTCACCCCAGACGAGCGACCGTTTGGTCTTGTACCACTTGATTATTATGGGTAAAGTAAATGAGGGTTGGGAATCAATGATGCAAGATTCATCCGACCCCGCATCTGTCTCCGATCCGACCCGGCCCGCTTCTATCATCAGGCATAGTCCTTGAGATCGATCCGACGTATAGTATTTCCATCTGCCACTTGTGATAAAAGTGATTTACCCGGTCATCTTAACAAGATCACTCTAACCCTCAATAGTTACAGTCTGTATCAATTACGTCAAGTTACGTCATCTTCAATCTAGCCCTGCGACAAATATTAAGACATTTCGTATAGGTCACTTGTTCACACCGAATCCGACAGAAAACCTTGAATATATTCCTCATCAACGTATACTACATGATGCGAGCAATCGGTAAGTGAGTGGAGAAAATTGTGCCACCGCGTTTAGTCCTTGACAATGCCATCAATCACCTAAACTACCCAGCGTTGAACTGGTGTACTAGCTACTATTGTCCAAGCAGCAAGCTGCATACTGATTAATTTTGCTCAAACCTGACTTTTTTCGTTAGGGATACGCGGTGGAAAAGGTCCTGCCACCTCCCTCTTCGTGGACCAGATCGCCAAGCCCATTCCTGGAGCTGGCCAGGCTCTAGTCAAAGTCCGCGCATTTGGACTGAACCGCATGGATCTGCTGCAGCGAGAGGGTTTATATCCACTTCCACCGCAGGCGCCTGAGAATATGGGCGTGGAATTCTCCGGTGTAGTTGAGAGCTTTGGGCCTGAAGGGCATGAGGATTTCAAGATCGGGGATGAGGTTTTTGGACTTGCATATGGAGGTTGGTTCTATATATTGGGGATTCATATTTCCTTCGGGTACTGTGCTTATACTTGTGGGCTGTGACGTTTTCAGGTGCCTACGCGGAGTACATTGCTGTCTCTACGAAGATGCTGGTTCATAAGCCGGCGCAGTTGTCATGGGAAGAGGCTGCGGGTGTGCCGGAGGTAATGTTGAAATTCCTGTATGATGAAATAGGGCATTGCCCCACTAATAGTCTCTAGACATGGATCACAGCGTCGCAGGCGCTCTTTCTGATCGGCGACTTCCAACCCGGTCAGTCTGTCCTCTGGCATGCAGGTGCATCTTCAGTCTCCATCTCCGGCATTCAACTAGCAAAGGCTGCAGGGGCAAAAGCCATATATGCTACGGCAGGCTCAAAGGAAAAGATTGAATTCCTCGAAAAGGAACTCGGGGTGACAGCAGCCTTCAATTATCACACCCAAGACTGGTCTGCTGAAATCCAGAAAGCAACCGGTGGAGCTGGTGTCAACCTCACCATCGACTTTATCGGGGCGACCTACTTCCAGGGCAATCTGGACGTGGCCGCTCGTGATGGCCGCGTCGTACTGCTGGGCCTGATGGGTGGTGGCAAGCTGCCGGACGGAGTGAATATTGCACCCCTGCTATTCAAGCGTATTCGAGTTGAAGGTAGTACCCTGCGCAGCCGGGATGAGGAGTATCAAAGAAAATTGCGTGACACCCTAGTGTCGCATGCATTGCCAAAATTTTGCGACAAGACCTTTCGGGTATTTGTTGAGAAGGTTTTTCGCTTCGAGGAAATTGAGCAGGCGCATAAGTTGCTCGAGAGTAATACAACCAAGGGAAAAATTGTTTGTGTGGTTGAGTAGAACCAATCCTATGACTAAGGAACCGATGTTGAACTTGGAATTTGTTGGATTGTCGATTCGACAATTAAAACCCCCCAGCCTCTTTGCCTCAGAGCCAATGTTCAAGCCTATCAAAATATTTTGCCACTGCTGGAACAAAATCGTAAACAGATGGGACTCGTCTGTTCCGTATCAAGTGTGTTTGATCATTTAGTATATGTGTCATGTTTAAAGTTAAAAAACTCGGGAATTCTTCACAATTTCCGACATAACTCCGACGGTTCGGGTCTAACAGCTCAGAAAACAATCATCTAGCTGTTATTATTTAATTTAAATTCTGTTTTTATGTTTAGCTTTTTAATGATTAATTTTATAATTAATTTTCATATAAAAGTTAAAACCAGTTGTCAGACATGTATACTGAGATGGGTTACGAGATTTCTTTACGAAATTCCGTGCCAATATATCAATTGATGTACTGAGAACAGTAGTACGGATTTAGTAGTCTAGAGTCTAGCACTAATGACAAGCCAGACAATGCTAGATCTTCCTGTTACACGGATATTTCCGTTTAACCATGGCATGGGAAAGTGACACATTCAAAGAACCCTCTGAATGTACCAAAAAAAAAAAAAAACACCGCCGGCGGCTGGGGCATGCACTTCTAGATCTGAGGTATCTAAACATTTTTATACAGGGGCATGGTAGCCTCAGTCTCTCTGCTAATATACTAAGTTTTTGTTGAGTCGTGCTTTAGTCGAATCCTATTCGAGGTTCCAGTTGGTCAGTGGTGCAACCATGAAGCTCTTGTACCGGATTGCATATGCTCTGGTAAGCATTGAGGTGGTAGGTGCTTTCTTGGTGACAACACCGGGGACTGCTGCGCCGGGGACAACAGCATCCTGCTCAGAATGGGAGCAGATGTCATATTCTCTGACATGCGACATCATTGAGTCGTACTTTGGGGTTGATAGGTACCATGGAGTCTAAGGTTGTGGGATAGTAAGATCGTCCTAAGTTAACTGCCACTGAATATTATGGCCAATAAAGATTTTTAGGTCTCTCTTTTCCCCTTCAGTTTGATCTCAGTTGATATGCATAGCTCAGTCGGCTACCAATACCGCTACTGACCTAAGTTGAGCTGTGATTTCGTGATGTGCTGCTCTGGGTATCATTTTGCAGTGGTGATGTTGCCAAACTGGCTGAGCAAGATCAATTTCTGCACCGTAACCGAGCAAGAGCTGAATCACGTCTAGATGTCCTAGTTCCATTGCCAACTGTATTGGTCTTCCACAACGCATATTTAAATGATCAGATATAATAAAGCTGTCTGGTAGGGAGCCAACCAAGTTATGATAGCCGATATTGGCATCTGCGCCATAAGAAAGTAATAGCTGAACAAGGTGCACATCACCTAAAAGGACGGCCCTAACTAGTGGTGGGATATACTGGTCTGGCTCGGATTTGGCTTCAATTAATGTATTTAGATTCCAATCCCAATCAGGCACGCAAGGTCCAGGTTCTGGCGGTTGGTCTGAATCTTCAAAATCGCACTTCACACCGTTCGCAAGCAATATATTGACAATCGGGATATCCTTTTTGCTCACAGCATGGCCCAACGCTCTAGTGCAAGGTATGCGATCTGTCCTTTGCACAAGAATTTCTGTAAGCTCTTGATTTCCTTTTTTTACTGCTGTCAGTAAAGGCTGGCCTCCCATAGTATAGCCATGTTCCAGATTAGCGTCGGCACCATTTTCAAGAAATAGTCGTACTGTCTCAACGTCTTCCAGTCCTGTAACATAATTTATTGGTGTTGTATGAGCATACTCAAGTTTGACATTTAGATTAATGGTATATTTCTTCAGCAGTGCGGGGATCAGATGCATATATTGATTTACCAGCACTGCTTCGAGCGCCTCCTGGCATTGCGCCGCATCTGGCAAAAAAGTATCGACGTTGGTATTAGGAACATCGTGGATACAAGCAACACCACCTTGGATCGTCCTAGACCTAGCTTGAAAATATCGCTTTTGAGACTGTTTCTCTCGATTTGAGAATATGCATTTTTTAGTCTTTGTGGAGTGATTATAGAAATAGAATTTTTGGTCCTCATGTTGCCACACCAGCTCCCAGTCATCTTTCTTTTCGCTTGCACTTTCATGAGATTCAAAAACAGGTTGTGCTTTCATTTCGCTTGCACTTTCATGAGATTCAACAACAACTGGTTGTCCTTTCTTTTCGCTTGCACTTTCATAAGATTCAACAACAACTGTTTGTCCTTTGACAGCCGGCGGCGTGTTCCAGCTCCAGCCCGAGAATTGATTCTCTAGCCAATTTTTATCTCTTGGGTGTTTTTTTTCTTGTCGAAAGGTCGTTTCATGTTCATGAGGCTTGAAAACTGGTTCATATTCCTGCCGTGCAACTTTTCCCCAATCCAAGCCATCGAAAAAGTGATGAGCTTTGATTTCAGATGCTCCATTCGCTCCTAATCGGTCTCCTGGGTTGCGAGAAAGCAGCTTGTTTAGGATATCTTGTGCAGACGCTGATAAATATCTGGAATATCCAAGAGGTTCTCTGAGGATATTGTGACGTCTTTGCTCTGCGTTCTTGTCGTAAAATGGAGGCAAACCCGTCAACATCTCGAATAGGAAAGATCCAAACGCCCACCACTTTGATGCTGTGGTGACAGTGCTTGTCAATATGTGGCCGGATAATAATTCGGGAGCTAGGTAATCCATCGTAAAATCTGTCGTTTTTTCTATGTTCCTTGTTTCTAGATGCAGAAAACCTAGATCGCACAGAACGATATGCCCCACGGAATCAAGGAGAATATTCTTGGGCTTTAACTCGTAATAACAAGGATCTACTTCATGTAACCTTTCCAGTGCGATAAGGATTTCTGCAGCATACAACTTTGCTCTTTCAGTCTGAAATCGTAGCGGCTGTTGTAGATGGTAGAAGAGATGTCCACCTGGAATGAACGGCCAATATAAACAGAAATGTGAGCGCGTTTGTGCGATGAATTTGAGTGGTGCGATAAAGAGGCTATTGTTGATTGGTGAAAGGAATGACTGTACTACGTCGCAGTGTGGTAATATGTCGGCTTTCTGGATATTAAGGGACATATAGAAGCGATTAGTTGAAAGTTTTCGAAGTTTACGCATAACGCCAAGGCGACAGCATTCACTTCTATATAATTTTTTCGAAGTCTCGATCTGCAGCGTCCTTTTCTTTTCGTATTCGACCTCAACAAGTAATTTTCCAGTACCATTCTCGATTGGCAGCCATTCCATTTGATGAGAGTTTCCGTCTCCAAAAACAGTATTCATTTTCGCATAACCAAGAAATGTATCCTGGCTTCCTCTGCAATGACTGTTCGGGTTGCCCGCATACAGACGTATTGTCAACTTCGCGGATCTGAAAATGTCAAACTTCTTCCTTCCCATTGGCATCCAATCCGGGTTTTCTCTGGTCCCCTGACAGGCGTCGATAAAGATTTCAGATTTTTCGCACTCCAGGATGGCATAAGGCAGCAGCAGGCTTTGATGATTGGTGATTGGAAGAGCTACACGTGGAGTTTTTGATGCGACGTTGGAGAAACCAGTTTCAGGCTGCTTCGAAACCGCTCCATATTGTGGGGCTGAGAGGCCAAAACCCTTGAGAATATGTACTGTCAGTACCCCAGGTCCAGGAAAGTTCTGTAACTCAATCGGAATGATTTCAGGCTCTATCACTCTTCATCGTTAGCCAGTGTCCATGAGATTAACATGTTCACATACTGCGCAGATCATCATCCACAGGAATGGGGCTTTGTGGCCTGATTTCCGGGAAATTAATTACTTCCCCTCCAAGATCTGTCATCTTGCCAAAATGCGTTTCGTTTTAGAATTGGGTTGAAATAGCTATTGACTTCGTGTTGTGGAGAACAAAGAGCGAGAGTATTGCTGTTTATACTCCAGCAATGTCTATTAAAGGAGTGATACCATAGGGAAAATGGGAGTTTCTTGTTAAGGTGTGGGTGGTGCTACGGGAGAGGTACGAGTCCTTGTCATGCTATCGTGATTTTCACTAAAGTTATGTCGTCGTATTATTAATGAATTACCATTACATATACAGAAGGAGTATGCTTTTATTGGTCATTAGAGCTAGCGTTACACACTGGACACCTTTTTGTATTAAATAGAGCTTTAGTCTAAACGAACGGACCGCGTCATCACTCACTGGTGGTGGCGCGGTTTTATCAGTACCCTTCTCGCACGATGGTCATACAGAAACATCTACGTAAAAGGAAGATCCGGCATTGTCTTGCTTATTCATCTCGCTTGTTCACGCGTGCCTAGGTCTAAGAAATTTTCTGTCAATGTAAAAGAAAGCACCACCTAGCAGCCTTTCTAGCGCATTTATTTAGCGTCGCACGCAGTGCAGTATGATTTTCTTTGTTTCTAAAGTACTCTAGGTTATTGAAGGCTAATGCGCTTCCAGCCCCTGCATTGATACCCAAGTCATGCGGCACAGTCCCTGCGCCGCCGGAGGTCCACTTTCCGGTGCCCGTGCCTTTACGTATGAAAGTTTGGACTTTCTGTTTAGATTATTACAGTTTCAAACCAACATGCATTGCATTGCATTAGGTGACACTAACTCCGGAGAGAAGGCGTCTTACAGTGGCACTGAAGTAGTTTTAATGAAGCACTAAGGATTTGTGCTTACACCAACCCATAATAATATATCACTAGGCCTAAATTATTGTAAGATAATCAAAATACTTGTAATATAACCGTTATAGCAAGATATTTTTCAGTTTTTAGCTTAGTCTTATTTATTAGTCTTGGCGCTAAGGCGCGCCTTTTTAGCGCCTCAGTAAAACTATGTATGACAGCAGTGGTATAGATCTCGGCTGTGACAGCCGGCTCAGCATGTGGATGCCTAAGGCGGTTAGGGTTCGGGTTATCATGCCACATGCCCCACACATGTTATCTAACCGCAAAGCGCGGCTGTACATAGTCAGGGTCGCTCAACTAATTTAGCAGGTCGACTCATCTGGAACTTCCAATTTCTCTCCTCATGCTTCGTATTCTAGTTGAATGATACCACATGCTTAGCCTTGTACCGATCGTACCAATCAAGAGCTACAGCTAGTTAATAGAGGTATTAATGCTAATCTTTATATTATTATGAGTGATGCCGTTGCTGTTGGCGACCTTTTGGCAGATGTCGCCGGTCTTCACTTTGTAATATTTGTTGCCTATTTTTGGCGAATCATTTAGCAAATGGGTTCCGTGACGGGAAAAAGTGGGAATCCCGTAACGGAATGCTCCCAGTTTTTCGCAATACCAGTCTACTCCGGGCCAGTAGATGTAGACGATGTAGTTGTGGTTACAAGTCTGTGTCATGATTTTACAGGTTCATTATCAAGTATTTCTATACATTTGCAGAGAAATCCCTGTGCTATAACACTCTTGCTTACAAATAGCATGGAATCATGGACAAGTATGAGACCAGACTAAATTGATTGCTAACTTGTAATTGAAAACCTTTCAAGTTCGAAGCAGATCTTCCACGCCGTACAGTTCACGTCCAATCTCGCCTAGTGCACGGTATTTTGGATTTAAAGAGCTTCCTGGTGGTGAATCCTCAGTCCAGTACTGGGCGTCACGAATTTTTCCATTATTTATCATATCTCCTCGCGTATAAAGATCATCAGCTGGAAGTTGGATTCTTGACTCACGCACATAGTTCCCTTTACGGTCAAGGTAGAGGATAAGAAGCTCGTCCGTGGTAAAAGTCTTCTCATCAGCAACGAGAAGATACGAATGGACTGCCGAGTATTGTACACAATTATCGCTGCATTCAACTGCCATGACTCTGTCTTCTAGTCTCGGCAAGGAAGCCACTTCTTCCCGGGCTCCCTGAGAATCTTCTCACGGTAATTCTGACCCCAACCATCTGTCCTAGGCATGAAACGTCGCGACAATCCACTCTTTGGACCGGTGAGCTCAGGAATAATCTCAAATACTCGTTCCCAGGCACTTTTAAAGTTAAATACAGACTCATCATCTAAAATTTGCCAGCGCATCATCGTATCGACTGTGTCGGGGTCCATATAGGGATTGCCTTCAAATGATGACTTAAACCATTCTACCAATTTGATATTATCTCGAGCTGTTTCCTCTGCTTCTTCTGCGTAATGCGTCCGTAGCCAGATGTTGAGACCTTCATCATCCCATTTGGGGCATCTTATCTGATTCCAAATCTCCCATGCTACCGAGCGCCACTGGAGGGGGCGCCAAGGGGCCAAAATCTCTCGGATTTGGGATGCCGAGGGGGTAATAGCCATTATCTCAGACGTGGGTGAGGGTCGTATCCATTCCTCTGGAATATCGTCTAAGGCGTGGATAAAATCATTTATCAGTCTGCGGTGCTGGTTTTGGTTCTGTTCAGAGGGCTCCCAATGATGCTAAGGAATTGGTGTCAATAGATTGTAATACTCTTTTTGTTCGCTTGAAACTCGATAAGAAATACAAAATAAAGACAAAAATGGTGAGCTCATGCTTGGCTAACTTACCAGCAAATACTGCTCTGCTGGGAATGCCCCCCATGGTGGGAACACTTCGAGCATATCTGAGTTGGTGTTAGGGTCTGTTGTGTTTGTCGAAAGTGTTAGTCGAGAGATATTTGGGAGTATTTGCTCCATTTTGAGAAGTTGAAGGTGCAAAATGAAATGAAGTCGATAAAATTTTCAAAAGATGAAAGGGAGGAGGAGGAGGAGGCGCAGGGAAGGCAGTGAGGAGGCCAAGGTATTTGGTGACTAACTAGTTAGAGCTGTGTTGGATTGATTAACGAATTTCCCATGATTTGAGATGTAAGTACACTTTTTAGTCATGTGGTTATGTCAGATTTAGTGGGGCGATGTTACCCGGTAAAAACCGCCAAAATTATTAGAATAAATTGAGATAATTGCAACTTTCTTAATTGCTTGTCTTGGACAAACTTGCTCCTAAATTACTAGGGGAATTGTCCTCAGTTTTGAAGAATTCAAGCCTCTCACTATAAAACGTGTTTATACCTAATTGGCCTCATTCTCGCCCAGTTGAAGTTGACTCTGCAGCCAATCGGAGCCTTGCAAAATTGCCTATATTAATCTGACATACCCCCTCAGCTTCAAATATCAAATTTGGAGCTGTATTAATTCTTGTCAGAATATAAGATATCAATAGAGTTAATCTCGTGTTCTGGAATCTCGTTATCTTGCAATTAACGTGTTATATCAACAAGGTTGATTTGCTTTATAAATTGGCAGAAATCTGCCTCACCCAACGCCTTAATAAGGCTATTTGTACTCATTTGCTTGGTCAGTATATATTGAACCTTTATTCGCTCTTATTAAATCTCTTGCTTTATTTAATGGTTATGAATATTGATATACCAAAGCTTTATCTGAAGATATGCTATCTCAGAATTCACTAATTGAATGGTTTGCATATTATTGCAGTCAATATGAAGCTGATATTGATCTAATTGAATGGTTTGCATATTATTGCAGTCAATATGAAGCTGATATTGATCTAATTGAACATTCAACTCTTTAAGTAATCTAGACACGTATAAACCTTCCTTAACTGTTTAAGATAGTGCTAATAATTTTATTTCAATAGTTGATATTATAATAGTATTTTATTTATTCATTCACTATCTAATTATATTTCTAAATAGTGTCATTATATAGGCCTAAGAGCTTTTCTAATTAAGGCTATTATCAGTGAATGAGGTATCACTTGCAACAGTGAAGTTATTGTCTCCTCTGAGTTATAATGTATAAGTTAAATATAGCCTTAAATAATTAAGAACCTAGTCTACTGTTTTAAAATGCTTCAGTGTAGGATTAGTAAGAAATCTTGCTAGTCTGAATACTGTAAAAGTGATGTCTGGCCGGGTATTGACTGCAGTGTACATAAGCGATCCAATTTTATGCTGGTATTTGAATTTTGATTCCTCTTGACTGATATTGATATAAAAATAATTTGTTTTTTATTATAGACATTCTAATATCTTATTCTTTATCTACTAATTTAATAATCTTTTCAATATAGACCACTTAGCTGTAACACGGTCTGGCAGGACCGTGTCCGGGGGTGTCTGGATAGACTCGATGTGGGTGAGTTGAAGCTTCACCGATTGATATCGATGCTATAGAGCAATGCTACTAGGGAGGGAGTTATCGGTTTAGGTTATATAGTTAGGGAAGGCTTCGAGCCGAAGGCTATTCGAAGCCGAGTAGGCTTATATTGAAAGTTATATCAAAGATTATACAAAAGATATTGCTTGGTTTCCTCCCTCCGGGTGGGAAACCAAGCCTATATGCCTGAGTCCCTATCTCAGGTCATTGATACCTAATCTAACTAGATAAAGGCATATATAGCGAGGTGAGGGGTACTGGCATCATGCCCGGGGTCTTATGGTATCAATTGTGATATATCACAATTGCCCCCGGGGTATCCCTGAGCCCCCCGGTCCTGCCGGATTAGGCTTGAACATGCTCCCTGGGTCTATCCCTGTTACATTAGCTAAGCTATAAACGCTTCTTCTTTCTATCTTGAATAATTCTTATTCTAAGAAACCATTGCAAATCTTTATCCCCTGAGATGGTATACTGCTTCTAGAGTTATATCATAACATTATTGGCTTTGACTTTATTTCTTTTCAGATAAGTAAGAATAATATTATTAATATAGAAGAAAATAAGAATGTTATTCTAACTCATGCAGTATAATTCATAAGGAACTATTTAAAAATCTAAATCTAATAATAAAGCAGTAAGCATTCTTTATCAAAATAATGAAGAAATACATAATCCATATAAAGCCTTATTAAGACAAAAGATCTTCCCATTCTCTTTATATTCTAATAGTATATGCATATAAATAGATTTTTCAAGCTTGGCATTCATGAAGGCATTTACAATAGTATATTGCTTTAACTCTAAATTAAATTAGATAGTAATAGTGTCATGATCAAAGGGCTTTCACCATAGTGAAACCCTCCAGGCTATATATAGATGTTCTTTGTATACCTTTGGCTATATATATGAGCCCTAGGTCCCTCTCATGTACGATAGAACAATCTTCCACATATAACCAGAATGCACACATGCCTTAGATTATAACATTCTATCCAGTTGGCCAAAGAGACCGTGAGATCATTGATGAGACGTTTGATAAGCTGCATGGTCAGGACCGTATGGATTGGGCGAAGAACCACACGCCAAGTGGATTTCCGGTTTTTGTCGTCCATCGATTAGTGTATAAAGACGGCAAATGGAAGGATCGATCCCGCGTGGTGATTGATATTCGGCCATTGAATAAGCTCTGTGAACCGGATATCTACCCCATGCCGCAGCAGCAGGAGATCATTGCCATGCTGGCCGGCAAGAAGTTCATCTCCGTCGTGGACGCCCTCGCATTCTTTTATCAATGGCGAATCTATGGACCGCATCAGAATCGCCTTGCCGTCGTGTCTCACCACGGGCAGGAAATCTTGAAGGTCGCTCCCATGGGATTTCTCAATTCAGTCGCGTATGTACAGCGCCAGCTAGATACAAAGCTTCGGCGCCATCGCCCATACTGTCGCACCTATGTCGACGACATCGTGATCGCGTCGCGCACGCTCGAGGAGCATGTGCAGCAGCTCGCGGATGTCTTTAGCGATCTAGAGCGTCTCCGCGTGACACTCGCCCCGAGAAGGCCTATATTGGCTTCCCGAATGTAACTCTGTTAGGGCAGCGAGTGGACTCGCTCGGCATGAGCACCCCCGAAGAACGCCTCCAGGCACTGACCGATCTCGCGTTTCCAACCACCCTGTCGGAACTAGAGACCTATCTCGGCCTTGCCGGAGTGATTCGGAACTACATTCCAGGTTATGCCTCCATAGTGGGCCCTCTAGAGGACCAAAGCGCCTGTTATTGAAGCTAGGACCCAAAGCCGGCAAAGCGAGGCGTGCTTTCGGTATTGATTTTCCGAGTTGAGATGCCTGGCGATCCCCAGGTGGGCGATGATAATATGGAATGAAATGGTCTAGCGATCCCTAGGTGGGCGATAGTGATATGAAAATGAAATGGCCTGGCGTTCCCCAGGTGGGCGATAATAAATGGAAAATAAGGCCTGGCGATCCCCAGGTGGGCGTGTTGACAACTGGTCAACTATATGGCAGTCAAGCTGCTACGTTGGAAAAACATCAACGTCTTCTGAGACCGAACATTGGACATGCTACCAATGTTATAATCTAAGGCATGTGTGCATTCTGAGTATATGTGGAAGATTGTTCTATCGTACATGAGAGGGACCTAGGGCTCATATATATAGCCAAAGGTATACAAAGAACATCTATCTTTAGCCTAAAGGGTTTCACTATGGTGAAAGCCCTTTGATCATGACACATACACTTGATTATTACTTGGTTAATTGTTTTATCTTTTGATTTTCCAACTAGCCTTTGGTATTACCCTGCAAGAAAAGCTGCCTTACATTTTACAAATGCTTAATCCATGTATTTAGATGTTTACTCTAATAATTTACTCGGCCACATATTCTTTTTTTCAGTATTTTATATGGTTACTGAAAGTAATGCTGCTAGTGGCATCTTTGGGAAAGGTGGGTAAGCAAGCTCTCCAAATTTAGTATGAAATTTTGCCAAATTACTGCCAATTAATAGCAACTCCTGATTGGTTGAATCTTCACCTTCTGTGAGTAAGGTAATATTTAGGCTAATTAGAGCACTGGTGTTATAATCTAAGGCATGTGTGCATTCTGGTTGTATGTGGAAGATTGTTCTATCGTACATGAGAGGGACCTAGGGCTGATATATATAGCCAAAGGTATACAAAGAACATCTATCTATAGCCGTCAAAGACTCGGGCTTCACTGTAAGAAATGCTGCAGGTCTATCGCATAACAAGGCAATGACTGGTGGTTAACATGAACAACAGAAACTCTACCATGTTTTCTTCCTGGGTCACAGGAACTCCGTCACAAACGTATTCTAATTTCACCACATCATGGTACACACCGACTCTCAATGTTACCGCACTCGTCACTTCTACGGTGACGTATAACTCCACCGTTGCATCAATCGTCTCGGAGCGGCAGAAGTATTGTTGGCTCACTGGCAGCCAATGGGACGTTCCCGAGGACGACTATCCAGACGGCTGCCAGTCTCTTCTCGATGAGTACTGCTTCGTATCGTCTGTTGATGGGCCCATACCTACATCGTCAGCTCATATTCCGGCCGTATGCACACTCACAGAAACTGATTATATGCCGGCCGCAATCATCTCAAGCTCTGTGTTCACTGTGACGCCCACAACGCTAAGCACACTCAGAACATGAAAAGACGCTTACTTATGTCAACAACCGAGAGAAATTAATAGCTGAAGCCCGCGAGTTGAAATCAAGTGGCTCCGAAGAGATTTTTAATGTCTCTGATCAGGGAGAGGGGGAGAGGGGGTTGTTTGAAAGAAACAAATGTAGTAAAAGATGTAGAAATCTCTAGTTGGGGTTACAAGTCCTTGCCATGATTTTACAGGTTCATTATCAAGTATATCTATACCTTTGCAGAGAAACCTTTGTGCCATAACACTCTTGCTTGCAAAGAGCGTGAAATTATAGACAAGTATGAGACTAGACTAAATTAATTGAAAACTTTTCAAGTTCGAAGCAGATCTTCCACGCCGTACAGTTCACGTCCAATCTCGCCTAGCGCACGGTACTTTGGATTTAAAGAGCTTCCAGGCGGAAAGTCGTCGGTCCAATATCGGGCATCACGAATCTTTCCACTATTAATCATATCTCCTAGCATAAATATATCATCATCTGGAACCTTTATTCTCGACTGACGCACATAGTGCCCTTTAAGATCAAGAAAGAGGATAAGAAGTTCATCCGTAGTAAAGGTTGTCTCATCAGCCACAAGAAGATATGAATGGACTGAACAATACTGTACTATATTGTCACTTCCTTCAATAGTGATGAGTTTTTCTTGAAGTCCAGTTGATAAAGCCACATTTTCTCGGAGCTCTCTGAAAACTTCTTCACGGAATCTCTTACCCACAGAGTCTTCGTCTGACAAGAAACGCCGTGATAATCCACTTTTTGGACCAATAAGCTCAGGAATAATCTCAAAAACTCGTTCCCAGTCAGTACCAAAGTTGAATATTAACTCATCATCTAATAGTCGCCAGCTAATCATTGTGCCATCTATACTAGGGTCTATGTTGGGATTTCCTTCAACTGATGACTCAAACCATGCTGCTAACTTGGCACTATCTCGAGCTTTCTCTTCTGCATCTTCTGCGTAATATGTTCGAAGCCAGATATTAATACCTTGGTAATCCCACTTAGGGTCTCTGCTCTGGTTCCAGATCTCCCATGATGCTGAACGCCACCGAAGGGACCGCCAAGGAGCCAGAATATCTCGGATCTGAGCTGCTGAGGGGCAATAACCATTGTCTTAGGCGTGGGTGAGGCTAGAACCCACTCTTCTGGAATATCGTCTAATGCGTGGACAAAATCATTGATCAGTCTACGGCGCTGGTCTTGATTTGGTTCGGAAGAAGGGAGATCCCAATGATGCTAAGAAACAGAGATCAATAGATTGTAAGCCTCTTTTTCTTCGCTTTAAACTGGATAAGAAACTGGATAAGAAACACAAAATAAGGGTAAAGTTAGCAAGCTAATGCTTAGGTTAACTTACCAGCAAATATTGCTCGGCAGGGAATGCCCCCCACGGTGGGAATACTTCCGGTACGTCTGAGTTGGCGTTAGGGTCCGTTTGCCTTATCGAAAGTGTCAGTTGAGAGATATTTGGAAGAGTTTGCTCCATTTTGAGAAGTTGAAGGTGCAAAATAAAATGAAGTCGATAAAAATCTCAAGTCTTAAGGGACGAGAGGGAAGAGGCCGAGGTATTTGGGTGGGCTGGCAACTAGTTGCAGCTGCACGGTAAGCTTATTGCGTGGGCTTGCGCCGGCCCCATATGAGGAAAGATCTGCATAACCTAGCCCTGAGTCCCATGAAATGTGATAGACAGAGTGAAAGTAGTATTACCTTCACCGCGTCCCAACCCTAAAGACAAGATATGTTTAAACGAATCCATTTATATTCTGTATTGCCAAGCAGCACGTTCCAATTTTCGCTCTTCTCCTTCCCTAGCAAGCTAGAGAGACTCTCACTAATCTATTCAGGATGATATTCAGACAGAACCACGCTCTCTTGACCCTCCCATGTCTTCTATCATTCTTTTTACACGAGATATACGCTCAGACGGATGATACATGTTTAGCGACAAAGCCGTGTAAGAACGGCTATTGCAGCAAAGATAACAAATGTGGTTTCGGTTCTCCATATTGCGGCGATGGTTGTCAGCATAATTGCAATGCCACGGCCGAGTGTGGGCAGTATGCAGCCCCTGGCCAAGGCGACTGTCCAATCAACTCCTGCTGCAGGTGATTTACGTATTGATTCTATTGAAATCTATGGTTGCTGATTACATCGCCAGCCAATATGGATACTGTGGCACCACAGATGGATATTGCGGTGACGGATGCCAGAAAAATTCCAAAGGAGGTGGCTGTGGCCCACCACCGTAAGCACTCCCACACAGATAATAACCCATTGATCCTTCTATGAGTTGACCACAGCATCCACTGTATTAGTTCCTATTCCTGTGTCTCGAATTACGATGCCCTGGACTTGAATCGTCGTATCGGCTACTATGGACTTTTTAACCTGGATAAAGGCTGTAATCAACTTCAAATTGAAGAAATCCAGGTGGGGGCCCTGACACATCTCTATCTCGCGTTCTTGGAATTCACCGAGTCATTTATTATCGTGGAGGACTACAGAAATGCACTCTACAGGGCCTCGTTGCTCAAAATTAACTACCCAGCTCTTGGAGTTGTAATTTCAATCGGTGGTTAGGATTTCAACAATCCGCCTACGGCGACTTGCTGGTCAGACAGTATGTGATGTTCTTCCTTTTTGCTTTGCGGTACGAGCTCTTGATCCGCTCACACAAGCACAACAGTGGCCAGTACCTCTGATAACCGACAAACATTCATCAACTCCGTAGTAGATATCCTGTCCAAGTATGGTCTAGATGGTGTCGACCTTGGTATGTGTTCGAGAAAAGGCCTAATACGCAACGAAGTAGCACGATGCTTACTTGTAGTAAATGTCAGACTGGGAATATCCTTCGGCCAACGACCGCGGTGGCGCGCCAACAGACGCAGCCAATTATGTATCTCTTGTCTCCGAAATGCATGCAGCTTTTGATATCTAAAATCCTGATTGGACTCTCACCGTAACTATACCAACAGGTTACTGGTATCTCCGAGGGTTCGCCATCGAAGGGATGCAAGAACATGTGTCGTGGTTCAATCTTATGTCTTATGACCTGGTGAGTAAAAAAAGCTTTTCTGTAGGGGAACGGAATCAGTTCTCATACATTCTTTGTTATAGCACGGCGCATGGGATCAAACCAATCAGTTTACTGGCCCCTATATCTTGTGTCATACTAACTCCCAAGAGATCGATGACGGGCTCAATCTTCTCTGGCGCAACAACATCAAGCCTGAAAACGTGGTAATGGGCATGGCATTCTACGGCCGATCATTCACGCTGGCAGACATAAATTGCTATCAACCTAACGGTGTATGCGAGTTTTCAACAGCAGGGCGCCCTGGCACATCTTCCAGTACAGCAGGTATTCTGTATTATTCGGAGATAAGCTCACGCAACAACAGTCTAGATGTCAGTAGGTACCACAACTCCACGTCTACTGTCAAATACAACGTGTACGAGGGCCATCAGTGGACTTCTTATGATGACGAGGAGTCATGGCATGACAAGATGGGCTTTCTCTCGTCACGCTGCCTCAACGGTTTGATGATTTGGTCTCTTGACGAAGGCACCGGCGAGTCAGACGCGCTCAATGCGCTCATGGGCGACATATCAAGTCTCGAGATGCAAAACGGCGGGCGGTTAACCGAAGCTCAACAGAAAAAGATCGCGCACGAGTTTGGGGCTTACACAGGACAGGATTGCTTTGTTACTACAAAGTGCACTGATGGAAGTAAAGACCAGCTAGGGACCGACCAGGTCTGTCCAAGTGGGTATCAGTCCGTAGCAACAGCACATAACCCTGTCCACGCACCTGGGCAGCCTACACCAGATGAGTGTTCAGAGGGCTCATTCCACCACATTTGTTGTCCAAGAGATGCAATGCCCAAAAACTGCATTTGGAAAAACAACGGTTGTGGGCCAAATGCCAATACCTGCGATAAAGGCAAATTCTTCCTCAACCGAGACACGTCCTCAGACGAAACAGGGAAGGATGCGTGTTTCATTGGTTCGGGGAGCCTTCGGACCCTGTGCTGTGATTCAACATCACTGATCGACAACTGCATCTGGACAAGCTGCCAAGGACCACTTGGGCCTTCAGACCTACCAACATGTCCCGCAGGGTATGAATACCAGACATTTCGATTGGACAAGCCGGACGGGACACGATAGTGCTCGGACGAGTATGTCTTCCAAGTATAAAAAGTTGGCAGCCCGCTGCATGATCAATTCAAGAGTGCCGTCTGTTGCCCTACCGGTCAGACATTCCCGACGTGCCACTGGCCCAATGATTTGACGTCAAGTTCGGACTCGACAGATGCCAATAAACTTTGCAATCCATCTGCATGCGAAGACAATCAGATACAAGTTGCAACGGCTCTGGTCCACCTTCATATTACGGTGACATCTGCCAAGTCGTCGCAACACCTCCAGGAGGGTCAATTTACTATCCATAGTCAAATACACAAAGGACTGGCCTGTAGATCCTCAGAAGCCATGGGAGATCTACTATGACAATTCTACTTCCGACGTAATGTGGTCTTACAGCGACGAGTGGGCTAATAACGATTATGATCCACCAAAGAGTGGAGACAATGCCGATAATGCGGACGACTATGGACAAGATGCTTACAGTTTTGTCATGCTCGACGGACCTCAAGGCTCAATTGATAATAGCTTCTCCACCGTCCACACTATCGTTCGTCAGTCACGGGATATACCTAATATCAAAAGATCCCCGCTCACCACGAATCAGACACTTCTGGAACAAGTGTTTGAACATTCAGAAGAAACGCTATATGTATATTGCAACTATCCGCACGAGTCTGCTGAATGCAAGAGGATATGGATTGATGGAGTCTACCGATATGCGCGCCTTGGAATAAACCTTCGGCTCAGATAGGCTCTTATAGAGGATAGCTCGCTGCTGCTACTACGGTCGACACCAAAAAACCTCCTGCGCCGCCGTTTCATTAAGGTATATCTCGCGCCGCGGGGAGTCCCGGCGCCGATCCAGGGCGCGTTTGGGATCCTGCCTTCTGCTAATAGTAATGCCGTGCCAGCTGCTTAAAAGCTTTGACCATGACAGCGTCCGTCCAGCCCCCAGCTTCAGGGGGCATTATAGGGCAGGTTTCCCTTTTTCTTAGCTCTTTTGGAAAGCATCTTACTATGCCACAGCGCCTGGCAAGCCCTAGAGGTCTCATGTAGACGCGATTCGCGTAGGCTAGAGAGAATTTCTACCGCTCGGGACCTCATGGCCACCATTTTGACAGTCTCGTCGGCTTCCTCGTTCCCAGGGACCCTGCAGTGGCCCGGCACTTAGCATATAGTGCCTTCCCAGCCCCCTGGCCGCGACTATCTGGCTGCTTCGTGGGGCGAGAAGTGTGACCTGGCCCAGGCCGGTCACAGTCCAGGCAGTTTATAGCGACCTGCACGCCCAAGAACACCTACACCTTAATAAGGCCAAGGGGGCCCTTGGTAGCCTTCTATTCATGAGGCTTTGGTAAGATGATAATTAATAAATAACTTCGGCAAAAGTTTTCATGTTAGAGTTTTTCTTGGTCCATATCAGAAAGACTCTGTTTCTAAGGTATTCTTTCAAGTTTAAATAAGCATACTGTCTAGCTTCGCTTTCCTTTGCATGCTTTGGATTTCAGGTGTTTCATTGTGTTTCCTTTAACCAAAGGGCCCTCCTTATATTTCTCAACATCCTGTATTCCCTGGAATACACCCTCGCCCTCGCTCTTGAGTGAATTTTGGTGCTCAGCAGCCAATTCTTGGAGCATCGAATGGTATTTTCTTTGGTCAGCGTATTTATAGTACCCTAATTGCCGCCTCAATGTTTCCCTGGCTTGGTTGGCAGCCGCCTCGATGTCCTCGCTAACACATTTCTCTACTCGAGCAAGTAAAATGCATCCGTCCTTGGAACTACAAAGCTGCTCTCTTCGGATTCCTAACTGTCCCAAGATTGTGCATATCTTGGGGGAGTGGGTGGTTACTCCTTTGCCGTGTTGATGAATGCGGTGCTCCAGTTGCAGGTCCTTCACCATCGCTCTGTCCATGGACTCGAGGTTCTCGTGAATGGAATCTTCAACATATCCGTGGATGGCCATATGAATATCGCTAGGTGTTGGTTTCAGGTAGATGTAGTCGTTGGCATTCAGCTGTTGGATCTCTGTGATCAAAGAAAGCAGGTCTTTGTGTCTTTTCAGATGCCGCTCATTAGAGTTTTTACATCTTTCAGACATCGTCCAGTTAGTGATGGTTGGTATTCTATGGAAGTGGTAAAGTCATGCCAGATATAATATACATACGCATCACAGGATCTTGCTCTGCCTATTCGGAACATTGTATGATGGAATCGGGCACAGGTCTCTGCGTGCTTGCCAAAGCAGGTTTTCCTTGCTGCGGGATGGCGTAAAGGCGTGTTACAAATCCCACAGGAATGTTCTGCCATAAAAGTATACACCATCAGCTATTGGACTCAGATAGAACATGATAGAAATAAGGTATAGCACTTACTCAGGCCAGCTGAAATCTCCCATTTATATTCTTGTACCATGTTGAATCCTTGTTTTTGTCTGTCTGATATGAAATGAAAACGATATCGAGGGGGATTGTGCTGAAAATGATGGATGATGATGTTGAGAAAAGAAAATACCCTAAAATTAAAATAGTATGATGACTGGCCTTGTAGCAGCTATCAAGTAAAGTCTCATACAAGGACGCACCGCCATAAATATCGGAATATAGCTGTTCAATTCTGACTGTTGTATTTTTGCGGGATGGTCTGCAGGGGATTAGCACTCATGTTCTAATTATGCATTAAATTTACGAGACCCTAATTTTAATTGGCGATTAAATGTACAACTAACAAAGCAAGTCGATGAATCTACAAGCGGCTCTCAATGACTGTTTGATTGTCGAGTAAGGGAGATCTCCGGTTATATGGGAGTCACGCGACCGATACGATGTCAATTACAACTCATTTTTACCATAGACACAACAAATATCTGTGTGTTAATCACACCAACGCCGACATACGGCAACCTTCGAGTCAAACAACAATAACAGCAAAAGGAGAGCTCATTACCAGAATAGGAAGGCTGATTACGTACGCACGCTAAGATAAGGCTGTAGCCTGTGCCCCGCCGGCCACGTGACTAGCTGCTGTCAACAATGACCGCCGACTCTTCTTCTCGTTCGTTATTCTTGTTGTTCTATTGTGCCAAACGCCTATTGTCAAACGCTCGCATAAACAGTTATCCGGATTTATGCACCGTCATTACATTCCTTTAACATGGTTAACCCGCTCATTGCCGTCCCTGCGGTAACAGGCCTTGCATATCGAGCGTGGTCGCGCAAGTCGTTAACGACCGTTGGAAGCATCGTTGCCTTCGCTACAGCCGCTCTTCATACTGTCCATCCATGGCTTTTGCCATTTATTCTACTCGCAGTGTTTTATTTTTCTGGGTCTAGAGCTACAAAGGTAGAGGTGGTTGTTTCTCCAGCGATATCCTTAGGCTAACACGTCAAGGTCAAACATGGCATCAAAGCCCAATTAACACTATCTGCTTCCGGTGCCAGTGGAGGCGAAGGCCCTCGAACGCATGTACAGGTTCTCGCGAACTCTCTCGTTGCTACGGTGCTCAGCGTGTTGCACACATATTATTTGTGGAATCAAGGCCGGTACTCAAAGGCGTGTTTGGCACAGGGGGCTGATATTGGGGATATCCTTGTTGTTGGAATTGTCGCGTGAGTTTTTTTTGCCTTCAAAGTTATTATTTCATTTGGCTAATTCAATGCCAAAATTTACAGCAACTACGCAGCAGTCGCAGCCGATACATTCTCGTCCGAACTGGGCATTTTGTCCAAGTCGAAACCACGTTTGATCACATCCCCGACCTTGAGAGTTGTTCCGCCCGGGACAAATGGCGGTGTTACCCTAACTGGCTTGCTGGCGGGTGTTCTAGGCGCGTTTCTCGTATCTTTTGCATCCACCCTCACTCTTCCTTTCTGCGAGGACAGCTGGTCATGGATACATCGGATTCAATGGCTCGTTGGGATGACAATTTGGGGCACACTCGGAAGTATTCTCGACAGTTTTCTTGGTGGATTTCTACAAGCTAGTGTCACTGATAAGCGGACCGGGAAGATTGTTGAAGGTAGCGGAGGTCGCAAAGTGCTGATCCATCCCTCATCAGCTAAGTCTTCGTCAACCGCTACCAACGACGCGGGCAAGTATAATAGCAGCATTCATGCAACCGAGTCGATCGCCAATATTGCCACTGGAGCAAGGGTGACAAGGTCACCTGCAAAGGCTCAAGCAGTCATTTCCGCAGCAGGACCGGAGCAGCCTACTCGTAAGATAGAGAGTGGCCATGATATTCTGGATAATAATGCAGTGAATCTTCTGATGGCAGCGACGATGAGTGTGGGGGCGATGCTTGTTGCTAGCTATATATGGGAAGTACCGTTGACGGTTGATGGGTTTTTATAGTCGTATCGAAGTGTGGTTTCGGATTTTCGATAGCAGCAGGGATTGAGTTCTAAAAACATTACCGCAACATTTCTGCACCCTGATACAATTGTGTTACCATTACACAACTATATAGTACACAACACTTAGTGTAGCTAACCTCACTAGCGGTTTGGGGGCATTGCGGAAACTTTTGGTACCCTCCTCCACTTAGAAGAGCTCCTATATCATGTGCAGCATATCTATATGAACTGTGAGTTGGGACATAAATGGGGCATAAAAAGAGAAGATTACAATATGTATAACCAGACAGGCCTCATACATCTCGTATTTAACTTCATACAGATAGCAAGACACAAAATCTAACAATGGCAAGAATAAACTTTCGTCTCAGAACCCCATTACTAAACCAGGGTTGGGGAAAACCAACAAAGCCCAATATCATTTTCGTTAATAAATAATATCTAGTTCTCATTAAACAGATTTCTCCAGCACCACACCTGGTAAGTATGTTTAATGTAATTGTCTAATTTTCCTATCTAATTAACCATTATCGCAATGTAGAAGTCATCATGGCTGTACTCCACCGTTCATGAGATACTTCATATGAGACATGAGCATATATTATAATCATAATCCATGGCAATAGAAGCAAACGATGTCCAGTCTAAGAGCTTACCCCGACCTTCCACTAACCAGTCATTGGGCTCAACTTCTTCATTCTTAATGATAACTTCATATACAGCATCCTAGTAAATGTTAAGGTTTTCTTCCATATAGAAGCCCATGTTGAGTATATTCAGCAGCATTTAACCCACTCTGAATAAAGCCCTTACAAAAAGACATCTAACAATGCAAAGGAAAACCCTCGTTTTGGTAGACAGTAACTAAACTACAAGTCATATGCGACCGGGTCAAAAGGGTTGATAAGGGTTAGAAAAACATTATTTGCTTAGAAGGAGTAATAAATAATTCTATAGATATTAGATATTTCTGGAATCAATATATTTCCACTACTGAATAGTAAACAATTATAGTGAGGCTCTGAGCCGGCCAAAGTGGATTCTAACCCACGTAGTTCTGTAAGCTAATCGTGTTTCAGTATAGATCACTTAGAATCAAGTCTACATATATAGAGGCCTATGATGTAGTTAGAGTAGAAATAGAGTCAATGTTATTTATTTGTGCACTCTAAGCTGATCTACAGGCAGGGTTGAAATAAAAAAGAAAAACTTCATAAGGATGCTAGAACTCCACACTCCAGGATAAGAGTGCACATGAGAAAGGCCATTTTTTGGTCTGGCCCCCAATGTGATGTGAGGGAATCTACCGCTTTACTTATTTTCGACATTGAACCGAATTTATCTCCTACTTCCTGGCTGTCCTGTGACGTCGTATTTCGGGACAATTACGGGTCTGTCTTCCTTTAGTATAGGGCGCCTTACAGCTAAAAAATTGCGGCGCGATTAGTGGAAAATCTAAGTTTTTAAAATCAGATCCTTAATTTCATTATGGAACCAGTTGATCAGGCAGTTGCTCATCTTGAAACGCTTAAAATATTAGCGAAAAGGCCAATATCACGAGAGTTGAAAATTCCGTTGGTGCAGGTCTGTTCTGCACCTCAGGGGAATTGGAGCACGTTGATTTGCGAGCGCAGAAAGCATTTAGGGGAAAAACACGACACACAATATTATAATATCAGATCACAGAAAGTGTATCAATACACTATCCACAATAGAATGCGAGATAATCAAGGCCTCCACGTGGCCGTGTCACTATTTCCCTTACAAGGTCACAAATCTCAAAATGCATGAAATGCTGACGATCTTTGTTGAAGCTGACAGGGGTAAGCCAATCACGGTGCTATCAGCTGCGTATAGTATCGGGACATTATAAATTCCTTGATAGCGCTTCCTAAACAGTGGGAAAAATGGGGGCTAACGTGTCCCAGGTTACATAACTCTCTCATCAGATTGTAACTATGCAACATTAACACCCACAAATAATGGTCCAACATTTAGGCTTCTACCTTTCTACTCCTGTCACTTGCATAGCCACTACCCGTTAGCATACATAGATCGACTAAAGATGAGTTATAACGTCGACAATTTCCATAACCATTATCTATCACACTAGACCCTCAACCATTTTTGAACCTCTGTCACTACTTTGTTTTCATTTTGTTCAACAAATTTCTCTCATTTTTATATCAAAGATGCGCTCAGAGACCTGTTGGGCTCTTCTTATTGTTGGGGTTGCTGGATCCGCAGCAGACCGTGCAGCGGCCGTCAAGCAGGCGTTCCAACTGTCTTGGGATGCCTATTATGAACATGCGTTTCCTCATGATCAATTAAAACCGATCAGTCAGAGTGGAGATGACAGCTAGTACGTAATGTACTTATGTGGAATAGAGAAGAGGATAAATGTAAAAGAGAAAGAGTACTTCCCTTTACTGACGTATGAATATAGCGGTGGTTGGGGTGCAACAGCACTGGACGGTTTGGACACCGCCATTGTTATGGGTAACCAGGTCGTAGTGAATCAGATTCTGGATTACGTTCCGACCATCGACTTCTCTAGTTGTAACCAGAGCAGTGTCAGTATGTTCGAAACCACGATTAGATACCTGGGCGGTCTCTTGTCAGCCTATGACCTCCTGAATGGACCGGCAGCCAATCTAGTCAACGAGACTAGCAAGGTAACAAATCTCTTAACCCAGGCAGCCTCACTGGCCGATAACCTCAAAGTTGCTTTTACCAGCGAGACCGGTATGCCGTATAATGGGATTGATATCCAGAACCAGACTATCGTGGGAGAACCCACAAATGGCCTGGCAGCAATAGGCTCGCTAGTCTTGGAGTGGACACGACTAGCCGACCTCACCGGTAACGCTGAATATGGAAATTTGTCACAAAAGGCGGCCGAATACCTCTTTAATCCACAGCCATCATGGGTATCCCCATGGCCAGGCATGGTCCCTGATAATTTGAACATTTCTACGGGCGAATTTATCAGCGACTCAATTAGCTGGGATGGCGGATCAGATTCATATTACGAGTACCTGATCAAGTCATATATATACAGCCCCAGCCGATTTTCGTCATACCGCGATCAGTGGGAAGAAGCTGTCAACTCGACAATCCAGAATCTAATGCAAAATACTACCACGGGATCAGGTCAGAATCTAACATACGTTGGGACTTGGAACAATGGTACATTCAGCGCAACCATGGGACACTTGGTATCCTTTATTGGTGGTAATTTTCTGCTTGGTGGATCTGTTTTACAGAGACAAGATCTCATTGACTACGGCCTTGCCCTCACTGAAGGCTGGTATGCTGCCTACAACTCGTCAGCGACGAAGATCGGGCCTGGTGCATTGAGCTGGAATGCTACAGCCGCAGGCGATAATGGCCAGACGGATACATATGATGAACTAGGTTTCTACTACACAGCCTCCTCGTACATGCTTCGCCCGGAGACTCTGGAGAGCTACTACTATGCGTACCGAATCACGGGGGATGAAAAAGTGAGTGAAATCCGATCACGGCCATTGATTATAATTATTCAAAGTATGAGCTAATCCTACCAATTTAAAGTACCGGGACTGGTCATGGGAGGCATTTGTTGGAATAAATTCAACCTGCTGGACCGGCAGTGGGTACGCCGAAATCAACAACGTGGATAACACTACCCAAGGAGGCGGCTTCAATGATCTCCAGGACAGTTTCCTGCTTGCCGAAGTGTGGAAGTATGCATATTTGATCCAAGCAGATGGTAAGTTTCAAAAAGTCATCTGAACATTGCCACAAGCTGATGATATTTGTGATGTAGATGCCGAGTGGCAGGTGTCAAGCAATGGGACGAATAGTTTCGTCTTCAACACCGAAGCCCATCCTATTAGAGTGAGTGGAAACTGATATTTCTCCTATCTGCTGTAGAATATAAATGTATACATAGCGTGAATATATATCATACGCTATCTTTGTCTCTCAGGGCTTATCGTGCCAAATTAAGTAAGCAGAAGCCAATCAGCCGATGATGACGATGCCCCACCGTTATCGCCTCTGGAGGGGTTCTCGCACATCTTCAATCTTCTCACATTTTCTCTGCTCTCAGACTGCGTGGTCGGAAAAATAACTACAATTGCAGTTAAATAATCGCCTTATCATAGAGCAGCTTATATTATCTATCCAAAGGACGACCAAGTTAGCGCTCGTGAGCCGTCATGTCCCTCGAAACCCTCCAAACTATTTCCCCCACCACCAACAAGCCAGTCGTGACGCGTCCGGGAATCTCATCAGAAGAGCTTGCATTGCTGCCGGAAACCGCTCAAGCCGCCTTCAAATCCTTCTCCCAGAATACCACTCTCGCCCAGCGCCAAGAAATCGTCGCCCGAGCGCTGGGAATCCTCGCTCAGAAGCAGGATGCCTTGGGCCAGGAGCTGACCGAGCAAATGGGCCGGCCCATTTCATATACCGGCGTCGAGATTGCTACAGCGATTAAGCGAGGACAGTTTCTGAACCGTGCTAGTAACTCGGTACTTGGGGAGGAGGGCACTGTTGATGGCGAGCCTGAGAAGGGATTCAAACGCTACATTAAGAGAAAGCCTGTCGGGGTTGTGTTGGTTATTTTCGCTTGGAATGTAAGCAATTTACATCTTTTGACGTTGAAATATTAGTGGCTAACATTAGAGATTTACTTCGTATAGTACCCTTACCTGATCCTCGTCAACAGCCTGATACCAGCCATTCTTGCCGGAAATGCAGTCATTCTCAAGCCTTCTCCACAGACTCCTACAATCGTCGAACAAGTTGCTTTGGCTTTCAAGGAAGCAGGGCTTCCAGAAAATGTTATTCAATATTTCCATTGTGGTTCTCTTACTCAGTTGCAGGTTCTAATAAGATCACCCCAAATCAACCACATCTGTTTCACCGGTTCCGTTGCAGGTGGATTAGCAGTTCAAAAGGCTGCTTCTGATAGAATTGTCAATGTTGGCCTCGAGCTGGGAGGGAAGGACCCCGCGTATATACGCGGTGATGTAGATGTCGCTTGGGCTGCGGAGGAGATTGTCGACGGAGCAATTTTCAATAGTGGACAGAGCTGCTGTGCAATTGAGCGGGTATACGTGCACGAGAGCGTTCACGATGCATTCGTGGCCGAAGCGAAGAAAGTGCTCAGCAAGTACCGAGTCGGAGATCCTTTCGATGCCAAAACCCAGGTCGGTCCGGTGATTTCGAAACGGTCAAAGGAGACATTCGAAGCACATGTCGCCGATGCTCTGTCCAAGGGTGCCAAAGACGAAACCCCAGAAAATGAGACATTCGCAAACTTCCCTCCAGATGGCAATTTCGTCAAGCCAACGCTACTTACAGGGGTCACGCATGATATGATTGTCATGACTGATGAGACATTTGGACCTGTTATTCCAGTACAGAAAGTGAAGAGCGATAGCGAGGCTATACAGTTGATGAATGACAGCGAGTTCGGTCTTACGGCTAGTGTCTGGACCAAGGACGTCGCCACCGCTGAGCAGATTATCGAGAAGATCGAAGCTGGAACAGTATTTATTAACCGAGCTGATTATCCAAGTCCAGTAAGCATTGCTACACTGATTTTCACATTCCTCGTATATGAAACTGTCAGCGCTTTTACTAACGGTGAATAGGATCTCGCCTGGACAGGCTGGAAAAACTCAGGACGCGGCGTGACACTTAGCAAGTTTGGATTTGACCAATTTGTGAAGCTGAAGAGTTATCACATCAAGGACTACCCGAAATAAGTATTTCGTCCGTGTTTTGTATGTAAAATATGATCATATGCGGTATCACGGTCTGTTTTCAGACCTATAGAGCTAGCAGTCTTTATAAAGCCGGTTAGGGAAAAATACAAATATAATCACTCAAAGCTCATGAAAGATAATACATAAATTGATCAATACATGTATTTCTGTCCCCGAGCAGAGTTACGAGTGCCTATGCAAGCTTAAACAAAATGAAAGGTAGCAATTGGTAATCATACTGAAGCTTGGGGGGGGGGGGGGGGGGTGGGGTAGGATTTCCAGCTACGGTGGGTGTGATAATAAAATGAAAAGCTTGATTCTTTAATTAACTATTATTACTTGTATTTCATAAGCATTAATGTTTACTATGTTAACCAGTTAGTGGTGAATGATGATTGCAGGCCGGGCCAGCCGAGCAAGCCGCCGCAAATAGCCAGCGAGGCTGTGGCTAGCGGGACGTCATAGGGCGTCATATAAACTTTGCATGAGTGTCAAACAGTGCAAATTACAAACAGAACAAACCAGGCAAACCGCAGGCAACCGCCGGTCTGATTGGCCTGTCGGTCCCTGGCCGACTAATGCAAGGTTTACCTGCCCTGACTCGCCTTAGTGAATGCCTTAGCGACTGCCTTAGTCACACCTTGATGCTTTGGAATCATTGGCGTGTGTCATAACATTCAGTCACTCCTCTGTACCAGGCCCGAGGAGAGGCTCTGGTTGGTGCATCTCCAAGATTCAGCTGAGGATAACGCCCAAAACGGCGTGTTTGTTTATACTCCATCGTAACCCTGGTGGGGCATTGCTCCCTGACGCAGGACGGGCCTCGTCCGAAGTCAACCGCCAACCCTGTTTCTTCCCATCCACACGCCGATAGATGATTATCAATCTGGCCGCCGACAGCCATGGCTGCGGGGTGTTGTGGCCAATCGCCGTCCATGGCAGCCTGGATTTGGCGTACCTGCCCCATGATTCCATAGTGAATCCACACGAGCAGATGTATGCCTCTGTCTGAAGCAGCTCCGCAGCTATCTATGTTATAACGATCGTCAAGCTCTTCTCGATTGTTGTCTGCTATCTTCGTCTCTGTGTTCAACTCCTAATCTCTACGAATCCTGTCATTAGTTTGCGGTCGAAACTCTAGCAATCATGTCTCCAGCGCTCGTTTCGAACAATTCTGCAGTCGACATTATCGACATCCGCGTCAACGGCTCGGATTTCTCGGCTGTCGGTGCCATTCAAGATGGCTTGGATCCACCTCGAGACAAACCTCGTTCATTTCCAACATTACTGCTATACGATACCGTTGGCCTCCGCCTGTTCGAAGAGATCACGTACTTGGACGAATACTATCTGACCAACGCGGAAATTGACGTGCTTGAAACACATGCGAGAACAATCGCCGAGCGACTTCCGGCAAATTCACAACTAGTAGAATTGGGTAGCGGGTGTGTTTTCCTGGCTCGGGAGAGCACAAAATAGCCAAGCATGCCAGACTGGCCAGCGGCATTTGCCCCTCTCGCTGAGATTTTGTATTTTAACAAGCATACAGGAACCTTCGCAAGATCGAGATTTTGCTGAAACAGTTTGAATGCATGCAGAAGAGGGTGGACTACTGGGCGTTAGATCTATCACTGGAGGAATTAACGCGTACTTTTGCCCAAGTCTCACCGCAATCCTATCAGTATGTGCAACTCAAGGGCTTGTATGGCACGTACGATGACGCGATCGAGTGGCTGAAGAATCCGGTCAATAGAGAGCAGCCCACGTGTGTCATGTCCATGGGCTCCTCTCTAGGCAATTTCAATCATTTGGCTGCAGCGGACTTCTTAAGTCAGTTTGCAAAACTGCTCGGTCCTGCTGATTCCATGATTATTGGTCTGGACGGCTGTAAGGACCGGGGTAAAGTATACAAGGCTTATAACGATTCGAAGGGTATCACGCGCCGCTTTTATATCAATGGCCTGGTCCACGCGAACAACATACTTGGTTATGAGGCCTTCAAACTGGATCAATGGGACATCGAATGCTTATATGACGAATATGACGGATGCCATCGAGCTTTTTATGTACCGACAGTCGATGTCTCTGTCAATGGTATTTTACTGAAAAGGGGCGAAAAGGTTCTTTTCGAAGAGGCATATAAATACGATGCTCAAGAAAGAGTCACGCTGTGGCATAAAGCGGGGCTAATCAATGTGGCTGCATTGGGCAATGCATCTGATGACTATCGTATGCGTCTTCTATTATCTCCCCCGCATCATTTGCAGGCCTCCCCCTATCCTGATTTACATCATCATAACACCTCTATCCAGGCACAAAACAAGCTGAAAATAACAATTACTTTATTTGCGCTGAACTATTAACCAAGTAACACTTCTCTAACTTGCAATCATCGTATAGATCTCCACATGCTTTCACCGGCGAGCCTCGAATTCAAAACCCGACCGGCCGAGTATGCTCCTAGCTCGGTTCCCAGTTGGGGGGAGTGGAGATCACTCTGGACAGCGTGGGATATTGTCTCCAAGACCATGGTCCCTCGAGATGAATTGATCTCCAAGCCGATCAAGCTGAGAAATGCTTTGATTTTTTACCTGGGACATATCCCGACTTTTCTTGGTGAGTCCCCCTCTTTTGCTGTGTTATACAAATGTTATACAATACTTACCAGGCTAGATATTCATCTGACTCGTGCAACACGAGGCAAGCCGACTGACCCGAAAATATACCCGCAAATCTTCGAACGTGGCATTGACCCTGATGTAGATAACCCCGAGCAGTGCCATGCTCACAGTGAGATACCTGATGAATGGCCTGCGTTGGGAGAAATTCTAGAATATCAGGAAAATGTCCGTACCCGTGTGCAAAGTCTCCTGAAAATGGAGAAACTGCTACGTGATCGAATTTTGAGTGAGGCTCTCTGGATCGGTTTCGAGCATGAGGCTATGCATTTGGAAACTTTCCTATACATGCTGCTACAGAGTGACAAAATTTTGCCTCCTGTCGGATTCAATAAACCGGACTTTGAAAAAATGGCGCGTGACGCGACACAGAATGAGAAACCGAACGAGTGGTTTTCTATCCCGCAGCAGACATTTACTATCGGCTTAGACGATCCTGATGTGAATGGGGTCCCTGATTATTCATTCGGCTGGGATAACGAGAAGCCTCAGAGATCAGTCACCGTCCATGCGTTTGAAGCACAGGGCCGCGCAGTAACGAATCGCGAATACCTACATTACATGGAACAAAACGACATTCATCGAATCCCCGCATCATGGGTTATCCAGGCTGCAAATAGCTGGAATGGCACTTTCAACGGACACCATACAGACGGAGTGTCTAGTGGCCATGGAAATACCATGTATAATTACTCTGTCAGAACTGTCTATGGACCGGTTGCTTTAGTTTTAGCAGCAGACTGGCCGGTGATGGCATCGTATGACGAAATGGCGGGTTACGCTGAGTGGAAGAACTGCCGGCTTCCAACTTTCGAGGAAGCACGGTCGATATACAAGCATGCCGCCGCTTTAAAAAAGGAACAGAGCAACGGCGTGCATGATAGTGCGAATGGCGCTAGGTAAGTTTCCCAGACCTACTTCCTTTTATTGTTGGGTTACCAAGATTGACACGAAATTGCCGACAGCAACGGACACCATGTGGATGTTGGAAGTGACGTCCAGTTGAACGGTACTCAAAATGGTATCAACCCAGAACCCGTGTTCATCGATCTTTCTGGCACCAACGTCGGTTTTAAAAACTGGCATCCCATCCCTATCACACCTAACGGCGACAAACTCGCTGGTCAGAGTGAGTTGGGTGGAGTGTGGGAGTGGACCAGTACGCCTCTATCTCAGCATGATGGCTTTGAAGCCATGGAAATATATCCCGGATACACCTGTAGGATTTTCTCCCTCCGATAAAATAATCAACTGCTAACGTATAACGCTAGCGGACTTCTTCGACGGCAAGCATAACATCGTGCTGGGAGGTTCCTGGGCCACGCACCCCCGCATTGCAGGCAGGACTACTTTGTAAGTCTACAAAAACCATTTTTAAAATGAAGGAATGGCTAATGAAAATCAATATAGTGTCAACTGGTACCAGCACAACTATCCATATGCCTGGACCGGAGCACGTCTTGTGCGGGATATCTAATCTCTTTTCTTTCAACGTTGTTGATTTGATATTTGACTGCTTTCTCGTCTCCATATTTCGGGTTTGAGTTAGTCGTTTTCGAATGGAACATGACAGGTTGGCAGGAATTAATATGGGGATTCACTGACTGAAGTTTGTTGCTATTCAGTGTATCGAATTATTTTGCTCTCCGCTCTAATCAATCAGATTGTCAATTGATATGCATGACTTGTAGTAATACTAGTATTCTAAACCTCCAAGTTGAACTGGCTGCTATGTATGTACTTAGTCGGTTTGAATCAAAGGCTTGGTCGTGCGAGGCCCGTTTGTATTAGGGTTAGTTAGGGTTAGATCTATTCCGCCTCGAATTATCCCAAGTTAGCAGGAATAGTAACTACTACTTTTATAGTCCTTTATATTCGCTGAATGGAAACCAACATCTCTAATCACGCAGTAATGCTTTTAGTTGGTTAGTCTACTGTGCTTGCGTAATTAGTGGCCATTCTAACGTTTCCAGGCAACGCAGATATATATGCAAGGATCCATAAACCAATGACGTAGAACAAAGATATGGATATTGTCCGAATAGTCCACCAAATGTTTGCCTTCGCTTATTTCGACATCTTCGCACTGCACACCCGCTGCGCAATTTGAAGTGGGTTAGGAATTGTGTTAGGTGCAAATTATCATGTATTCAGATAAAGATGGCTCGGCGACACTTCAATCGCAAACTGTGTATCGTTCGCGCATACGATTGCTGCTACCAATCACTAATTTGCTGTCGTGGGCCGGTTTTGGCATTGCGCTTTTGAGAGGGGATTTCGCTTCGCTGTCGATGAAGAAAGAGAGCATTTTGGAATGGGATAGTTATTTGTGGGTAAGTTTTCTATTCTATAAGGAACCATCAATGTGTAGAACGGACTGTCTGCATTCCGACTAATTCAATGTCTAGCCTCTCCTCATTTTCAATAGTCTCGGCCTGTATAGGAAAGACAATCCTATCGATATTTACGCTGCCGCACTGAGAGGGCTATTTGGATCGGCCCTAATTACTGTTTCCCAATGTCTACGGATAGGTTCTTGTGATACACCGCCATTCTCCATATTATCATTTTTACAACTTTCGACATCGGCTCTTCTAGCGCTCGTTCAGACGCTATTTCCCCGCCGACCAGATGTCTTCATGCCAGAGGGAAAGCTTGTCGATCGTGAGGGCAGCTCATCTGCTTTCCAACGATACTCGATGCAATGGTGCACCAGCGCTCTTCTTCTAGCCGGAAATGTTACGACTGTAAACCAACTCCCCGTCTTGAATTTTCAGACAAGATCAAAGAGTCAGCCTTTACTAGGGTTAGATATGCCCAGAACGATATTGTGGGATCAAATTCTTACCCAGCGTTTCCTTGGGTTTGCTAAACAGTGGACTCTAATGCTGGTGCGATCAGCGGTGTCTTTTGGTTCGCCCTACTGTGTCATGCAGTTACTCAATAGTCTAGAAAGTGACAATGGTCGTACCGAGAGCGCCTGGATCTGGCTGATAGGTCTTGGTGTATTTTCTACCATGCACACAGTTATCAATCACCATTTGATATGGATACAATGGTCAGAAATGGGCATTCCAGTTCGCGCGCAACTAATCATGAGCATTTTCCAAAAAGCACTAAGAATGAAAGACGTCAAGAGCCTGTCAGGAAAGACCAGCCGAGAACATGGGAATAGAAAGACTCGTTTGGCAGACAAGCCCGAAGCTATAAACCTCATTTCAACGGATACTCTCTCTTTCAGCAAGTTCACTGCTGTGAATTACATCATCCCCTCATTATTCATCCGCTTCTTCTTTGCGATGTTGTTTCTTGTGAAACTAATCGGCTGGCAAAGCACACTTGTTGGAATATTCGTCACGCTAGCATGCATCCCAGTACACGCCTTCGTAGTGAACCGGCAGCGTGCTGCAGTCAAGAAGCTGACGGGCGCACTCGACAAGAAGACACAAGCGATCGTTGAGGCGCTGAATGCCCTGCGCCAGATCAAGTTCTCCGCCTCAGAAACACAATGGGAGGAATATATCCACACGTTCAGGGATCAGGAGATCGAGTATATGGACCAAAACTTCAAAGCGAGCAATATCAAGTCGGTATGGGGTGTCACGGCCCCTTTTCTTGTTGCTGGCGCTGCGAGCTTCGCTTATACCCGTCTACACGGCGGTCTCAAACCGTCTATTATATTTCCGATGATTGAGTTGTTGCCTCATCTGCAAGGAACCTTGGGGTTTGCTCCGTTTGTTTTTCAGGATTATTTTGGGGCAAGGGTGAATGCGAAGCGGATGGATAGGTTTTTGAGAAGATTGGAGCATAAGAGTGCTTTAGGAGCGAGTCCCGATGGTTCGGTGACGTTCCGTGATGCTTCGATTGCATGGCCAATTGAGGAAGAGTCTAGTGATAAACACTCTCAGAGGCTTTGTCTTCATGGAGTAAGTCTTGAATTTCCCGTTGGACAGCTCAGTATTATTACCGGGAAGACAGGGTCCGGCAAGAGCCTATTACTGTCTTCTATCATTGGTGAAGCGGATATTCTTGACGGCCAGATTAACGCGCCATCAATGGTAGAAGGACATCCAGTTGCCTTTGTTTCCCAAACTCCATGGCTTCAAAATGTAACAATCAAAGAAAACATTCTTTTCCATAGCCTATTTGACGCGGAAAGATACGATAAAGTTCTCACAGCCTGCGCATTGACACCCGACCTTCTGGCTCCTCCTAAAGGGGATGAGGCTGTGATCGGTCTTCGCGGTGTTAAACTTAGTGGAGGACAGCGTGCTAGACTTTCTCTTGCAAGAGGACTATACTCTTCTTCTCAATTACTAGTCATGGATGACATCTTCTCGTCTTTAGATGCCCTTGTGTCCAGGGAGGTGTTTAATGCCCTGACAGGGGAACTTGGTGTTGGCCGCACCCGTATTCTGGCAACGCATCAGGTGTCATTATGTTTGCCGAAAGCGAAATACTTCGTTCAACTTGAAAATAACACTATCAAGTACGCCGGTGATACGGAGTATATCAGGGACAGTCATACTCAAGAATCGGAGGCGGGATCAGACACTTCAATGCCTTTATCGGTGGAGGATAAGGAGAAGTCAAATTCTGGCGACATCCTTGTCCAAACAAAACCCACCTCTAAAACGGCAAAGCCAAAAGCGAGAACGGATTTGAAGGTGTACATGCGTTACTTTGCTGCGGCCGGAGGCGTCCAATTCACATTAGTCTTTTTCCTAGGACTTCTTGCTAAACAGCTCTTGAGTGCAGTGACAACATGGCTTCTCGGACGTCTAAACTCATCGCGTCCAAATGTACACGGAAACAGTGACGATACTAGAAACATTCTACCGTTGATTGAAAATGTGGACAGCGGGCTGCAAAAGTACTTTTATCTATACCTGTGCAGTTCTATTTCAGCGATCATATTAGAGTGGTTATTCAACCTGTTTGCTTCACGTGGATCAATTCGTGCGTCAAAAGCTCTTTGTCATGAGATGACTTATCGCGTACTTCGCATGCCGCTTTTGTGGATTGATAATACTCCTTTTGGAGATATGCTCAAACGCTTCACTGCGGGCACGAGAATGGTGGATGATTTGGTGCTTGGTACGATATCCGAGTTCACAGATTGTTTTGTCAAACTCGTCGTGGTTATTGGTGTTGGGTATGTCGTATCATGTAGTCGATTCAATAACCAATAATTAACTGTCGTACTATAGATTATATACCTCGCAATATACAATATTCCTTACAATCGCCCTACTATTCTGGTGTGCCCGATTGAGTCGGGACTATATCAAAGCTCGCACGACCGTGAAACACGCCGACTCCAGACCAACCGCTGATATTCTTGAACATTTCACCTCCTCGACAGCCGGGATATCAACGATCCGCGCATTCGGCACAGTCGACCAGACCGTCGAGAAAATGCACCAACATATTGACAAGTTGTCAACGGCGAGACGCCACTTCTGGATATTCAATCGCTGGCTCGGTCTCCAGATGTCGTTTGCGGGGATCTTGTTCAGTATGGGTACCGCGGTGATTCTTCTTTCATCGAGCTCGGTTATTCCGACTTCGGTCATTGGGTGGACGCTCACCTTCTCAACGGAGTTTTCACAGGCGATTTTCAAGGCGGTGAATAGCTTTGGTGTTCTTGAAACGCATATGGAGGCAGCCAGGGCGGTTCTGGAGTATGGGGATCTTGAGAATGAAGACCAAGCAGGTCATGATGTACCTACAGACTGGCCGTCGAATGGGAAGGTGGAAGTTAACGGTCTTGACGCTGCCTACTCGCCCACGCTCCCGAGGGTGTTGAACGATGTGACTTTTACAGTCGAAGGTGGGCAGAAGATTGGGATTGTAGGTCGAACTGGCGCTGGCAAATCGTCACTGACCTTGTCCCTACTCCGCCTGCTGACTCCCATTAATGGGTCCATCTCTATCGACGGGATCGATATATCGACAATAAAGCTGCAGGATTTGAGGTCCAGAGTCACGTTTATCCCGCAGGATCCCGTGCTATTCTCTGGAACAGTTCGGACTAATCTTGACTACTTCGGGCATTTCCCGGAAGAGAGACTCAAACAAGCGCTGCGACGTGTGAAACTGTTCGCAGAACCTGGCGAGAAAGAAGTCTCATCTTCATCCTTGTTTACCCTTGACTCACCAATCAGCGCTGGCGGATCGAATATCTCGCAGGGCCAGAGACAACTGTTCTGTCTCGCACGTGCATTGACCAAGAACACGAAGATTATTATTCTCGACGAAGCAATTTCGGCGGTGGATAGCAAGACAGACGCTTTGATTCGGGAGACTATTATATCGGGATTTAACACGACACTGATTGTCGTCGCCCATCGCTTGAGTACTATTGCGAGCTTTGATAGGGTTATGGTGATGAGTGATGGTAAAGTGGCAGAGATTGGAGAACCAGCGAGACTGTTGAAAGATAAGGGACTGTTCTATGATCTTGTTCAAGACAGCGAGGACAAGGAGCTTCTGGTGACAACAATCGCAAATCAGATGTGATATGTATAGAAATAGAATCTAGGTTGAATGGGTATATACTGTGTAGAGAACGTTCACTCATAAATGAAAGCCTGGTTTGTCGGATACCTCGCAGAACCTCCACAAGCCAGCCTTTTCAGCTGCCTGCTTGACACTCTCTAATTCTATGTCTGTAACTGCTCTGTTGATCTCAGCATACCGGACCTCTTCTTCGGCAACAGCACTCTCTTCTCCGCCAGGCTCGACGATTTTCTTCGCCGCCCTCCTTTTCTTCTTGCCCACATGTGCATCTGGATGGTACTGCTCCATGATATGAACATACAAATCCCTGGACACATTATCCGCCAGCCACTTCATAATTTGCTTCCCTTCCTCTTCTTTCCCTGGCATGACAAGATGTCTAAGCAAGACACCTTTCTTAGCAATCCCATCTGACGTAAAGGACAAATCCCCCACTTGGCGATGCATCTCTTTAACCGATTCCTTCGCGACATCTGCATAATTATCCGCCTTCAACAGCCGTTTCGACGACGATGACGACCAGACTTTGAAATCTGGGAGATATATATCGACCAACCCTTCCATAAGTTTGAGGGACTCGGGGGAGTCGAACGACGAGGTGTTGTATATTATAGGCACAGTCAATCCCATATCCTTCGCTGCGATAATAGCCAATGCGACCTGCGGCACCACATGCTCTGGAGTGACGAAATTGATATTGTGCACATTCCCGACATCCTGCAACTTGACCATCCATCCCGCCAACTCGTCTGGAGTCAGATCAAAGCCATTCCGCTGATGTGCAATGTCATGGTTCTGGCAAAATACGCAGCGCAGGTTGCATCCGGAGAAGAAAACGGAGCCAGAGCCCGTAAAGCCTTGGATGCAGGGCTCTTCGCCGTGGTGCGGCGCTATGACGTTGACCTTGACCGTTTCAGCGCCAATGAGACAGATGCCTGTTGTTTCGTAGCGGTTGACACCGCAAAGCCGTGGACAGAGGTTGCAGTTGCGGAGATGCCCATAGGCGAGGGAGCGTTTCTTGGCGGCGTCGGTGGAGGAGAGGAGTTGATAGCGTGGGGTGTAGTCGTCGAGGAGGTATTGAGGGGGAATTCCAATATAGCGTTTGGGGGTTCTAGGGAGGAAGGGTTGAGTGTCGAATAAAGTGGCTCTGAAGAGAGCAGGTGCGCGTCTTGATGGTGTTTTTATCGTTCGGCCTATGAGCATGGTGGTGGGGAGGCACCAGATCAGTGTAGGTGCAAGGTTGAGAGGACACGGAAGATGAAGACGGCCATTGAAAGAGTGGCATTGAGATAGATGGTCTCTCTTGTTGGATTGCAGTGCTGCATGGAAGTAAGTGGTGGTAGTGAGAGACAGAACAGAGACATTGAGCCGGACCGAGACGTCATAGCCGGCGGACCCACCAGACCGGCCCTATGATCTATTAGCGGGTTTTAGGAATTAATATTTGATAGATGTGTTATTAGACGAGAGGTTACCAGAATATATGATATTTTGATAAGTAGAGACAAGAATTGCCTTGACTACATGAAGCGCACTTGTGTACAGGGTATTCGAGACAACAGATAAAATTCAAAAACCAACAGCAAAGTACATCCGCAAGAACTTCCATAACGGTAAATAAAGACCTGTTTCCTTTCCATTTTGCTCCAACTCCACTGAAATTTTTGCTTGAAAAAGCCATACCGTCATTACAAGGCAAGCCCGCTGCCATCACCAGTCCAGCGGTATAGAGCAAGCACCTCTCGTCGTCGTTGCTGCTGCTCACCAAAATCCTCGGGGATCCGGCCGCGGACTTGGGCGAGCGCTGAGCGCATTACTTTGCGGAAATTGCGCTGAGAAGGGATAGATGGTTAGTTATTGTATAACTTTCAATGTTATTTGGTTGTGTAGAAGGCTTACCTGGTATTCCGTGTTCAGTGTCACGACGCACGCCTCATGCGCCCTGACGATGGTTTCGCATGCCTTGACAACACTAGGAGTGGCGTCACCTTGGAGCTTATCGGCGGTAAGGAGCAATAAGAAACTGCCCTGCAGCAAGTAGATGCCGAAGAAGAATGGCATAAAGCTTAAATCAGGATCGTATTCGAGAATGTCTGCTGCAGCCTCTGCTGCACTTACCGCATGACCCATAGCAGTGATGAAGCCGTCGGAGGAAATCCACAAATCGGTATCGTCTAGGAGGGATATTGGGTCCCACTTTCCAGCGAGCAGAATGTGTAAGACGTGCATGATATGGGTGCCGTATGCGACGACCATTTTGGTCTGCATGAGGGATTCGTTCATGCGGGATCCGGCAGTGCTTGTTGACCGGGCAGAAGGGCTGACATGGTCTATTCCTGGTGCAGAAAAATTTGCCTCGTTCTCCGTGTTGGCGAGAGCGAGAGAGCTGGCATGTCGAGCCTGAAATTCACACAGGCTTTGGCCGTAGATATCTAGCTGGTTGGCAATTTCTGCTTGCTGGTTCTCTCGCTCGCGGCTATTTCGAAAGTAAACGCCAAACCGCGGATGATTCCGTGCATGGTATAAATCAACAATCTCGCCCAAGATGGTCATCAAGGGTAGGAAATATCCAAACATGCTATGGCCAGTAAATTCGAAACTCGGTCCAGCTCGTCGGTAGCCGGCATTGGCAAAATCGCCTGAGTGCCAAATATCATCATTCATTGGCTGCAAGAGGCTTTCACACTCCTTATCTAATAAGGTCAAAGGGCGGTTATAGCATAGCGCGAGATGGCGATCCATAACATAGAGCAGCCACCAAACACGCCTGCGTTCTTCGCGTTCCTCTTCGGTAACATGGCCACTAGAACCAGATGTGCCGTTGGTCATGGAATGTTTAAGCTCCATTTCGGCATTTCCTTCAACATCATCGGCACGCGGTTGAGAGGGTGTTGGTGGAAGTTCACGTCCAAGTTTCAGCTCCCGCGCCAACGACCACGCTGCAGCCCACCACCGGATACTAGCAGCTTTGTACTCACTCGCCGAAACGACAGTTGCCAGATGGATGTAAGTCGCAACATCATCAACTGCGCCGGTAGCACTGCTCTCAGCGCCCAGTTGATCCATGGATACCCCAAACCCACCTAGCGCGACCCCGTTAATCACCATATTTGCAGCGTAGTTTGGAGATGTCTCCCCCGGAGCCGGTCCGTGTATGAGCGGTCGTAGCAGGCCAACAGTCAACTCTAACAGCTTTTGGCATACCCTTCCGCGAGCCGATGGAGGAGATGTCAAAAACGCGGCTTCGCTGGTTTGCGCTGCCACCCAAAGAATACTTGCTAATAGAGCGGGGCTGCACACGCGTGGTCGAGTGGGATGTAAAAAGGCAGTCTTCCGGAAAAGACAGCCCACCACATAAGGCGATTGAGGGAAGAAATGCGACGAAGACGAGCTAGCAAAATATAAGTCGAGAAGATCGCAAGCCAACGATTGAGGAATGATAGACATTAAATGTGGCATGACCGGTTGTAAAACAGGGTATCTCAAACTGCTGGTAGGACCGGTTGGAATATTCAAAGAAGGGAAATTTGCAGAAGGCGACGGCAGTTGAAGCCACCCAGGGGACTGGGCGGGAGGCGAAAGTCCGATGAACTGAGTTGCTGATGGATCTTCGCTAGGGTTTCCGAAGCGATAGGTATTGATATTTGGGTTGTTTTGAGGCTCGGGGTTCATTAAATTGTATGCGTCGTGAAAGCCGTTGAAGCCAGCTGGAATTAGAGCCGGTGGTGAGCGTGGTTGCAAGTCTCGCAAGTCAGGCATATGCATGACTGATCGATCTACGTCATTAATCTGCCCGTAGTTGTTCATCGTGATATTATCGATATTGGAAGGTAGATGCTGGCCTTGCTGGGCTCGCGAATGGGAAGGCTGTGATGGTTGCGGATTGCCAGCGAGATTGGCGATAGTTGGAGTTCGCGTGATCTGCGGGTTTGAGTACGGATGGGCCGAATCATCATTCGATTCGTATGAGTTGCCTGGCACAGAAGGTCCAAGAGACATGGAATTGGTAATGCCTAAATCGGCCGTCGGATTTGATGTATCGGATGGATTGCTCCCACTAGTGGCGGCGATTTTGGCGGCGGCCTCAGCGAGGTCCTTTTTCGAGGCCTTGCCGCGCTTCTTTCTTTCACGGGCATATTCACAGGTCAAGCTAAATTCTATCAGGCTAATTAGTCCTGTAGTCTGATAGATATGCATACGGGGAAGCACTCGCTAACCGGTACAATGCCCACACGGAGTCTGTCCGTCACATTTCGTTCGCAGCTGATTACATTGGTCGCAGGCACGACTGATTCGACGACGCACGATAGCCGCGGGTGGAGCTGATGAATTCTTGCGGATACTTGTCCTCGCCTCTGAATGGGAGTCACGGCGAGCAGGCAGTTTGAATGCGCCATCGGAATGAGTCCTAGAGTTGATCGCTTTACTGTGATTCAACTCAGCTTGCCGTGCGAGATGTAGTTTCTCAAGAGCATATTGCGAGCCCTCAGCAAGGGTGTCTAACCCGGGGGTTTGCGAATGAGTCATGGGAACTATAGACGGTATAAATGAGAGCTGTTGTGAAGAGGGGGCTTTTAACCGGCATAGCAAAGCAAGACCAGTCTGAGCCACTACACTGGTCGAATGCGCACATCAACCGACAAGTGCCAGAGGAGGGGAATTCTTCATTGCGCGAGTGAAAATGCCGAATGATTCACGCCACTGGTGCGATGGTCTTTGCAGTGAGCTGTCTGTCGTGATCTTTCCCTGTTCCTTGCAGGAAGAAGCGACAGAAATCCAGAGAATCAACAGAAGATTCGGCGCTAGTGCCATGGGGCGGTATGGACACGGAAAACCTGTACAGCCACATGCACTAAGCGAGTTACGGTAATAACTCCGTAAGGAATTAGTCAAATCGGCGTCGTGTGTATAAGGAAATGTGCGTGTGCATAAAGCACCCAATTGCAAGTGAGTGTGGGGTGCCGTGGAGAAGCTAGGCGGCCACGAGACGCGGGGAACTCGTATTACAATCAATTGATTTTTTGAAACAATTCATTATTATTATTCTATACTCAAATACGCAGGAGTCGCTTACACCTACATCAAAATATTACCATGAACTTGACCAACTGCTAAAACATTCCGATTTACTATAAAATTAGTTTCTACATTTTCTTTTAGCATTTGACAAAGGGAATCCGCACCGAGACCAATTTAAAACGGTCAAGTCGAATCTAGATACATTAATTGTTATTCTTAAACATACTATCCGAGCTTTTCAATTATTGATCTAAATAATTATTTCTCCACTATGCAGTTCAATAATAATAATGATGAGATTGTGTATAATTCAATATTATAGGTCTCTCTCATGTGTACATGTACCCTATACAGCGCCTAAAATGGGTCTTAGGACATAGTTCATTTATTATCCACTAGTAAGCTTTATTGACGGATGTAATTTCAATACTTCTATATATTAAAAATTGACATATAGTACTTTTATACAACAAAACGCTGCGGAATATCTACATAGCAGCTTTATATGTCAGCGTCAATTCTTATGAAACACGTGCAAGCCGCCGCGCGGCCTGTCATACTTAAATTGATGCTGGCATATAAAATCACAATATCATAATTTCAAGACATGGAAATATTAAAATTTGCTGTGCCACTATATAATAATGTAAAATACCTGAATATGTCCTTAAACTCCATTTAGTCCACCGTACCCTAACTTAGTCCTTATCGCTAGTCCAGATTGAATTTTCGCGCCATTTTCAAATGTTAACCTAGCAAACCCATGGCTTTTGGTCGAGCCAACAACTGCCTATGCGAACTATCCTCAGCATACGACATGCCTGATATCCTGGGCCTACCCCTCGAGATTCTATACTTGATTCTGGACGATTTAGAGTACGCATCCGACGTCAACGCTGTAGCCCAGACATGCCGCCGTCTATACCAAGTTGCCAACAACCCCTACCTTTATCCCAAATTCGCCCAAGCATGTTCCCCAATGGGCCTTGAGCGGATCGCAAATAATAATAATGTCGATGCTATCCGCAAGTTTCTTTCAAGCGGGGTTGACTTTGATCAGCTCTATCGCGCCATCCGCTCCCCACCGGATGGCTTGACTTCCATTCTTCTAAACCTGTGTGGGCCAGAGTACTTTAGCAAAACTATCAGCAAAAGGGACCTTGCAGAAATTGCAATTCGGAGAGGACACCTAGATCTCCTCAGACTCTTCATTTCCGACAATTCTCTAGATACGCACATCCACGAGCCCATTCTGAACGCGACTCGTGACGGTCCACTTGAGTCTGTTAAATTGTTGATCGAGGCAGGGTTTAAAGTCAATAGAACAGACGGCTACTATTTCCCCTTGTTAGCTGCCGCTGACAAAGGTTCTTTGGATAAAGTGAGACTCCTCCTCGATGCTGGGGCTGACCCCAACCTGGAGGCTTTTCGGCCCCCAAGACCCCACGAACCTGTTTACAAACCTCTACAACGTGCGGCAATAAGAGGTCACCGAGATGTAGTTCAATATTTGCTGGAAAAAGGAGCCTTCTACACCCACCACGAAAAGTTCGACGCGGAAGGGATTGAGAAACTGGTTGGCGAGAGCAAGGAAGCTATAGCAACTCTGCTCCTAGAGTCAATTGATTTGGATGAGGAGCTAAAAGATGCAGAAACGCGAGCCTATCTAATGGCATATGCAACTGCGGTAGGCAATGAAAGCCTAGTCCGGCGGCTCTTGATGTTCAAAACCGTAATCAAGCGCCTAGCATTAGAAAAAGCCGCATATCATGGACACACGATAATTGTGAAAATCCTACTTGATGAGGTTAAATCTAGCAGATCGGCCCCCGAACAAAAATCGAATTCCATCGTCTACGCTATTGATGGAGCCATCCGAGGAAACCATGCATCCACCCTGCAGGAAGCACTTGCGTATTGCAGCGAACGTGTGATCAATCGCCGAGGGCGCGAAATACTGCAACACACTGTAGAAAACGGAAATTCTGAAATATGGCAAGTGCTTTTGGATCACAAGGTTTTAGATATCGTTCTCAACGCACGCGGTGACCGCAAAATAGGGTTGGAAGCACTGAGAGACCTTCTATCCATAGCCCTTGAATCTGGGAATAGCACCGTTCTTTCGCACATGCTCGAGCAGGCCGATCTGAGAGCCTTCAATTTCCTAGATAAGGAGACTTCAGAGAAACTCTTGATGACAGCAGCGAGGTGTGGTCAGGTGGACGCGATTAGACAGATTTTGACGCGTGGTGTGAGTCTTAATCCAGAAGACGAGATGTACAAACATATCCTTGTGCAGGCCGTAGAATACAGACAGGCGGGAATCATCAAGCTTTTTCTTGATAATGGTTTTGATGCAAACGGCATGTATCCCACTAAGAACCACGGACAAGACCCATTGCTATGCCTTCTGGCCAGGTGGAGTCCGGCAGGTAGGGCTTTAACAGGTCGGACAGCGAAAACCTCAGACTTGATGCTATCCGCACGCTTGTTACTCAACAACGGTGCTGAGGTAGATGCTACGGGCGATAGTGAGCGAACAGCACTTGAAGTTGCAGTGAGACGCCACCAATTTGATCTCGCAAACGAATTGCTCCAGCGAGGTGCAGACCCGTTGCGTGAAAATCGATTCCAATCGAGCGCAGTGCAAATGATTCTTAAGACTCCCTCGCCCTCACCTGACCAGTTGACACTGCTTTTGAAAAATCTTTCGATTCATAAGCCTCATCACCGTGATTTCATTCATCAAATTCCCACTCTCACAAGTAAATGGTGTGTTATTCCTCACGCAGACCCAACATTGGATATGCAGCGCTGGACTGAGATATGGGATGAAATTGGCTGTATAAAAAAAAAGAAGATTAGTGTTAACCTTGCTGAAGATGATGAGAAGCAGCGCTTTATTATGGAAGCACCAAAGGATTCTGACTGGTGGCAAAGGTTCATCATTATCAAGGAGCTAAGAAAATTCTACTGGCGTACGACTTCTCCAGCTCCTATAGATAGGATCTGAGTTCGATGTGGATTACTGTGTTGCTATTAAGACCTGCAATGATCAGATAGATGGCATGTCCGCATAGGTTTGATAGAATCATCATAGACAGTCAACAAAATCACGTGTATGTATACAATAATAGCTTCTTGGCTGTGCCAGTTGACGAATTGAAAGCTTCCCTGTTTAATCTAGTACACGAGAGGTCAGGGGTTTTAAAGAAGTCCAACTACGGTGTATTACCAATCTGAATGGAATTTTTCGACTGGTTTTGTTGTCAGTGTGTTTATTCACAGATCCTGCCCCAGTCTAATCTATTTATTACATCTACCCATCGTGTCATTGATGTGTTTACCCAGAACATCACTTCAGGAGAATCTCCTTTATCTCCCTCAAACTTACATTGAGAATACGTCAAAGACATTGGAATAATAAATTTATTAATAGATTTTTCCTTTGTACATAATCAATGCGTACATAGTAGTGGTACAGGGTACAGGGTAGATACATTGAAGATAAAGTTCCCATCCCACCCAACAACCCAATCTAATGCGACTCCTTATAAATGCAGCACACAGAACGCCAATCCGTCGAGTTATCCACGTCAAATATAATCAAAATAGATAAAAATACTACTGTACAATCTTCAACATGGAGACGAGACTCCTAACCCATCACTACTCAAAGTGAAGAGGTCTTAGGATTATGTCAGCTGAAGAAATATTGGCTGTTCCGAAGCCGGTTCACGTCGAATTCTCCCTTCTTTGGAATGTCGCGAAATGTTAATGGTAGCCATGCCCAGACCATCTCTTTGTTGAGCTTCTTTTCTAACGGATCAGAGGCAGACTCGGCTTCAGCTTCATCCAGTTCCTGCTGAACGGTCTGGTCGCTCTCATGGTCGAGGCACTGGGGGTCGAGGTCAGAGAACAAGCTTGCGATTGCGGGATCTTTCTCATCGACAACCGAGCTCCCAAAGGACGCTACAGACCGTTGTCCGCTAGGGATAACGCCCGTTCCAGATTCACCAAGGGTAGAGGCAACTGCAAGATCATCATTAGTACCCCCCATAGAGTCGAAAATGCTTGCTGCGGTTTGCATCGCACGGCCCTTTTCTTGCATCACTGGATCATCGGATCGAAGAAGAGTTTGGCGTTGATACTCCAACATCAACTCTGGTAGCATGTTGGACCCAGCCTTCTTGCGATGCTGCAAAATAGCCTGAGCAATCTTGTTGCGTGCCGGGATCTTGGCTAGGAAGAGATAACCATCATATCGAACGCGGAACTCGGCAGCCAGCCGTCCGATGACATTGTCGCTATGCATACGGATGAAGCTGTCGCGCAATGCACCGTTCATCACATCAATGTCACATGCGTGCGTCCAGAAGGAATCATGGACTGCAGCAAATTGTAGTCCTCGGTGGTCACACTCAAGGGATGATAGCATCATATGAGTTGCGTCTAGCGAATGAATGAAATTAGGGGGAAAGGCTTGGAGTTGTTTGCGTTTAGATACTGGACCAGACCCAGTTGTATCTTGCTGGATATTTAGTGACTGCAGGGTGGTGTAGACACGGTGGCACTTGACATTGCGGTACGGCTGAACAACAGGAAGTCCAAGGGGTGTAGTCCAGATGATTGTGGCTTTGAAAAGCTTGAGCGGATCCATCTCATCCTTGTCAACCACGCCACTGGATTCCAATACTTGCTCACCACTGAGAGCCTTGTTTGCCAGCTCATCGAGCTGCTCGGGCGAAATAGATTGGCATATTCGAGTAGCACAATCGCCCAGCCAATACTGGATAGAGTGCGCACCGCTGAAAATTGAGCTGAGAGCTTCAAAAATCGCGCGAGCAACATATGTACAAAGTCCGCGAGGTTGCTCCATATCAGGGTAGTGTGCAACAAGCTGTCGTCGAACTTGGCGGACAGCCCCAACGAATGTGACGCCGTAAACATTGGTCATGACGGTCTGTTTGACAATTTTTCGTCTTATCTTTCCCTCAAGTAACTGTGCAAACTCATTACCGGCTGCTGCATCTCGTCTGACCTTCTCAGACACGTAATCCGACACTCCAGTGTAGATATCTTTCGGTCGGTCGCCAGGCTCTAAATTCACATGCTGGGCACCTTCCATATCTCCTCCCAGGGCAGCATAATGTTGAAGACCATTGCAAGAACCGTCCTGATGAATAGGAAGCCGAGACTTATACTGAGTGGGGTCTTCCAAGCGAAGTGCGTTGCGTAGTTCGCAGCAGGCGGCAAGGCATTGCCATGGGTCCTCGGCTTTGAGGAACCATCGTTTACCGTGCAAACCATTATTCGCTGAGTCAAGAACGTCGTCCAAATGGTCCATAGCGAACTGCTCTCTTTCCTTGAAACTTCCCTTGTCAAAACCGAAAACGTTCGAAAGGTGAATTTTCAACCATTTCAGTCCCGATTCGCCCAGTTGTTTGGGCTTTTTGAAAAGCAACAAAGACCGAGCATTGTCTGCCGACATCTGGTTGAGATAAGCTGGTAAGGGGTAAGCTCGGCCGCGAAAGTCCATGTTGTGAGGTAAATAGAACGTTTCATTGCGATATGCACGTGAAATCTCCATTTGAAAGTTCATAAAGCACCTTTGTGAATGCAGACCGGATCGCATGTTTTCTATTTCGCGAAGTTTCTCATTATATTTGCTCTTCCCTACTACATCGTCTTCTGCTGGCTTTGGTGGCAAGTCGAATTCAGGATCTAGCGGAGGGATCTTGGAAAATTCTTCGCCTGTATTCCACGCTTCAACCATAACGTCAAAGACATCATTGTTGATGGTCCACGCCGTCTTTCCAAGAATGTCCAAGCTTCGACGAATCTCAGGGATGCCATTGTTTTCGAGGGCTTTCTTGATATAGGCTCTCTGCAGCCTGTCCCCAGGAGTACAGCGCATGATTTGACTACGATGACCCAAAAAACCTCCCTGATCAAATCCAGTCCAGGGTTTAGGCTCAGACAACATAGGCATATGTCGCGCTTGCATCGCATGCGGTGTCTCGCGCATCAGCCTCCGGGACATCTCCGGGTGGGCGTGTAATACACCAAATCTTCGTCCTCGTGCTATTTCATACGAATGTTGAAATGCTGGCTCCATGATGATGACAGATTTCTTGGTCTGAGGGTTTTCCTGCATGACTGGAACCTTTGCGCAGTCAAAAAGCAGTTGTAATAATGCACTGCCTATTTTGGCATGCACTTCCACCGGCCAGTGAGAAGATGGATCTAAAAGCTCGTTTTCTTTTGCCAGCTTCTTGAAACCAATGCGGCCAGCCTTCTTGTTGCGATTCTCAAAGATTTTTTTCAGCGCTTCTCGTAAACGGCCGGCATCGGGAGCTGTTTGTAGAATCTTGCTGGCAATCAATTCATTTTGGATTTCTTGGCCGAGGGTGGTTACGATAACTGGGACCTTCACTCCAGTCTCAATACCGGCCCGAGCAAACATATGAATTGTGTGCATTATCGTGAGGGCAGCTAGTGTTTCCGGTTCTAAGCAGCGCAAGAAGATGCCATAATCACGACGTTCCTTGCTGAATTCATCTTTGATCTGTTTTGCTGACATCTTCAATTCTTCTGCAACGATGGAAAGCTCTTGCTTAATTTTTGCGAGAAGGTCTTTATACCACTGCTCCATAATTCCGCTGATGTTCTTCCCGCCATTCGAGGTGTCGATCCCCATAGCCTTCATATCCTCCATTTCCCTATTCCAACGTTCTTTGGCGGACTGAACGGCTCTCTTTTCCAAATTTATCTGACGCGTCCGTTGTTTTTCCTTGTACTCTTCAGGGTCAAGGGGTTCTGCGTCAAGAGGCTCGGCTCCAGCTGGAAATATTGATAGGGTTTGCTTAAGAGAGTCGAGTCCCATTCCTTTCTGTTTCGTTTCGCGAACACTAACTGAATCAGAGGTGTCTTTTATTTCGTCATCATACTCGGGAAAGGGGATATCTTTGAGTTCTTGTCTTGGTAATTCTGTAGGGCATAACTGAGTTATCGCAGAAATGAATTAGCATCTTGATGATCGATTGAAGATGGCAGAATAATAACTCACTTGCGAGATTTCACCTAGGTCTCGTTCACTCAAAATATCCATTGAAAGAACCTCCAACTCGAACCCATTCTCGGCCACCATATTCCAATATCTCCTTATTGTACGGTCGCGCCTTGAACCGTGGAGCATTCGCAGAGTCATCCGCAACATGATAGCCATAGTTTTAGCATCGGGCTTCAAAGTCCCTCGGGGTAATTTAACCTCAAACCACGTCTGTAAAGCCAAAGCTTTGCTCATGGCTTCATCGCTACGTCGAATCGATATCATCTCGTTGACGACAGCCTCGAGGTAATTATTGTGTAATTTCAAAAACAGCTGAGTATCAAATTTATGGTACTTGACCATGCGGTCGAGAACTTGAGCTGCCATTGATGTATCCCCACACTGAATGCAAACCGAGAATTTAGCGATCATATCTTCGATGGAACCTCCAATACCATGGGATCGCTTTACGGACGGTAGCGTCACCAATTGGCTTTCTTGGATGATGATAGCCGGATCATCGTATAGGGAATGAACAGAGACCGGCGAATTTGATTTATCGTAAGAATTAGAGGCGCCGTAGTTTAAATTTTCAAAAGGGACATGGGGACCTGAATAAGAAAGCGGCGAGACATCGGTGGCTGTTGCGAGGTGTCGTGCGGGCTGAAAGGCAGAGTGTCGACGACGGTGGTCTGAAGGTGAAGCCGTTGATGTATTCGATGCATATTCAGGGCGATTCAATCGAGTGTGACGACGGTATATGGCCGGGCAGAGCCACGGTAAGGTCAGCTGCTCGGTAGATTGGCGTAATTGATAGAACACATTTCGACGTTGGGCGGCGCGCGGCAACATGGTTCGATCTTTGCGGCAGACGCCCAGGAATCCGACAATTATATTATGTTTTATAAAAATGTGGTGTATAAAGAGGCGGTCATTGGTTCGGCGAAGCGAAATAATATCGGACAGTATCAACGCTGGAGAGATGAATGCAAAAAGGCAATAAGAAATGATGGTCAAAGTCAGATTTTGCGCTTTTGCTGAAAACTGAGAAGCGAGAAGAGCGCTTCCCAGAATCTATGTAGCTATCTGAACAAGATCTCCAGCTAAGAACCAATGATTAAAAGAAGAAAAAAGAAAGGATGGTTGGCGAAAAGACAGCGAAGGAAGGGCAAAATCAAGATGCAGGGGAAAAAAATAATGCAAAAGGGAAAGCGGACTGATCGCGCGACCACACGGCCGATCGCGTCACGTGATACGTACCTGCCGTGTCACATGACATAGATCCACCTTTCCGGACCTATCTCAGTTAGCCTCCAGACTGAGAAATAGGACAGTTATCTTCTGATTATACACATCATTATAGACAGTAATATGTCTGAGTCCCTGCCTCAGGTCATTGACACCTAATCTAACTTGATAAGGACATATATTGCGAGGTGATGGGTATTTACATCATACGCAGAGTCTTATGGTATCAATTATGACATATCACAATTGACGTTCAGGATATCTCTGAGCCCCCCGGTCTTGCAGGATTCGGCAAAAGCATGCTTCCTGGGCCTGTCCATGTTACAACTTCAAGCGTTTAGTAGAATAGGAGCAGTATACAAGCTACTGTTCGTACTGTAAATGGGCAAAGACATAGCAGCAACCCTCCCGGCTTCCTTGGTCTCTTAATAGCTACAGTGCCTATGCAGCAAGCATTCAGCCTTTTTGCAGAGGGTGTGAGGCGGAGGTTGGTGAAAATCTAACAATATATACGCGGATTTGGTTCTCTAACACGTAGGTCCTAACTACTTACGTGAAGCCGGAAGCGAGCACGATTATAGAGCAAATAAATTGAACCGGGCAAGGTAGAACCGGAAGCCACTGCCTTAGGCCTGGATCAGGCAAATAACCTTGGATTCTTGCTCATAGTAGGCTTGTGCTCGGCTCGGGCAGAGGTGATTGACCTCAAGTCGAAATTGGTCCTAGGACCACAGACTCAAGTGTAGATATGACCCAGGCTTGCTACCGAGAAGCCAGAGCACTATAGCCCTCGATCTTTTCACGTGTACTCAACCCCGGAGCCTCATCCACATCGACTTTGACCAATAGTTTCATATCACAGGTACTGTACGTTCCAAAGTCACGATCTGATCTAGTGTTTATGTTCGCTCTCTGCGACCAATGAAACTGTCCGATGGCTCAAAGTCTTTTTAGCTGGCGCTGTGATCAACGTCGAGGAAAGAATGGACGAAGAAGCCCTGAAATCAAGCGGAAGATTTCGTTACAGACCTTCTGGAGGTGGTGGCACCTAAGTCTTCAAGGGGGAAGTCGGGTATGGGTTGGATAAAGAGACCATCAGAAAGATTGAGGACGTAAGTCATAGGTGCTTCTCGCTAAATACAGGTATTTCAGACTGACGTCCTGGAGGTAATCGCCATTGTGGCAGAAGAGAAGGGTCTCCTTCGCCGACCCAAAGCAACGGTGTATATCGAGGATGTAGCCGAGTTCGCTCGGGTGCTACTTACCACGACTGAAATGCCTTTGAGGCTCATCTTTGGCGTCAGTTTTGGTATCCACGAAATGGGATAGCCTTGCTATTTCGAGCGCCTTCAGGCGCGCCAAAGTAGGCCTTAGCTGTGTTTTGGCACTGCGGGAAAAGGTCCTCACAAAACACAGTGTCACTAACGTTCATTTTTGTAACACTTTTGCCCAGAAACCTGCGCTAGGCTATAAACTTGACTCGGGCATATCGGAGAATATCTCCAGAGCAAGTCGTTAGAGTACAAATTCGACTCGGACATATCGGGATGAGCAAGTCGTATCGCCGATTCCATAGTTTCAGGAATTATATGGTATTTCTCGGTGAGGGGTATCTTCTCTCGCCGAGTCCCGTATTCTTCCACCTGCTGACCGAATATCTGCTTTGGATCTCGGATAAATGCAGAGCTGCATATGTGTATATATATGGAGCCCGGAAGTTGACCTCTCGAATATCGACCCTGCATTGAAATCTTCAAAATATTTACCAAGATCTAAACACTTGTATCTCGGTTCTGTCATGGCGTTCAATCTTCCATCTCAACACCGCGCCCTCGTGCTCGAAAGCATCGAGGCTGGCTTTCAGCTTAAATCGGTTCCGACACCACAGCTTAGCGAAGGCAGCGCCATCGTTCGCATCGAAGTATCTGGAGCATTGTCGTACTTTCGTGAGATCTACAATGGATCGCTCGGATACTCGTTTCCCACACCAATTGTTGGCGGTCTCAGTGCGATTGGCCACATCGTCGCTCTTGGACCAGATGCAACGGTCCTGAAGCCCGGGAAACTCGTGTTTGTCGATTGCGTCGTTCGTGCACGCGATGATCCCAGCGCTCTTTTCCTAACGGCGATTCATGACGGAGGCAGTGATGCCAGCAAGAAACTGATGACAGAAGTCTGGCGCGATGGGACACTTGCTGAGTTTGTCAAGGTGCCGCTGGAGAATTGCATCCCGCTCGACGAAACGAGGCTGTGTCAAGGCTTGGGCTACTCTGTCCAGGACTTGATGTACCTTTCCTACCTCCTAGTACCGTACGGCGGGCTACGAGATATCAAGCTCGAGCCGGGCGAGACAGTTGTTGTGTCTCCGGCGGCTGGCGGTTTTGGTAGCGCGGGTGTGATGGTTGCGATTGCAATGGGAGCTAGGGTGATTGCTTTGGGTCGAAATGAGACTAAGCTGGAGAAATTGAAGGAGCATGTGAAGAGGGGAACACCTGGGGCAAATATAGAGATAGTGAGATTGACAGGAGACGAGCGCGCGGACACTGCCGCAGTGGCAGCTTTTGGCAAGATCGATGCCGCGTTGGACCTTTCACCGCACGGCGCTGCCAAATCGACCCACTTGAAGAGCGTTGTGAACGCGCTGCGACAAAATGGAAGATGCAGTTTGATGGGTATGGCCGAGGTTATCATACCAGCCTGGAAGGTCGTTAGCAGCAACATTTCATTCCGTGGTAAGCTGATGTACGAAAGAGATGACATACTACAGTTTATAAAGATGCTAGAAAGGGGCATGTTTCCAAAGGGAAAAGACTTGGTGACTACCAAGGCCTTTGGTCTGGAGAACTGGAAAGAAGGCTTTGAAACAGCAGCCGAGTACATCGGTGTTGGTCAGACGGTAGTTTTCACCCCATGATTTCCAAGCAGTCCTATAGATTGCACAGTAGTTAGCATTAGTCCAGGCTTAGTTCAGACGTACCACACTTTTAGGTATACATAATGTGAAAGTACACTCCATATGTTCGCATACTTGCTCGCTTTCAGCCAAAGATTCCATAGAGACAAGAAGGTGTTATTGTTGTATGGACAAGGAGAATGGAATGTCTATGGCAGGAAGACCGACATCAGTAGCACAAAGTAAATTAGAATAAATACAATAAAATAGAGTTGTCGACGTCTCTTTTTATTCAAAAAGCAACGCTACTTAAAGCTTGTTGCCTTGTTGAATATAAAGAAAATGTCTAAGTAAGGCATCTGTATCTAAATGTACTCAACAAATACTTTAAATACTATAAGATTTGAGAATAATGTTAGAATTAACTGGTCCGTACGAAGATTCCACTATTCTCACAGTACCCGAAGCTGACATGAAGATTAGCCCCCAAATCCATAGTGTCTACTAGACCATCATATAACCCCCCAATCGGCATAACTTATAATTTCATCTTCCGCCACCCTCCGTCGCAGTGATTCTCGACATATTTTAAATATCCGTTCCTCGCCGTCTGTGACCATCCAAGCACAAAAGTAGTGCTTAAAAGGCGAATTGAATCAACTCTCTAATATATAGACAACAGCCATGTCCTCAGCTCAGAGTCGGATCGCCGAGCTAGCGGCCGCTGTGGCCCTACACACTCATCGAGTCGACAGTTATCTTGCTGAAAATGGGCTACCATACCCATCTTTCGACGCGGATGGCCCGGTTGATCTCAGGCTACCTCCTGAGATCGAACAGTCACGTACTGCAGCCCTTCAAGCAAGCCAAGAGCTCAATGACCTCCTTCAAGGCCCGAGGGACTTGATTTTCAACCATCATGCAAGTACCAGCAGTAATGGCCACCCTTTCATATGAGCTAATAGTAAAGTAGCATAATTCACTGGTGTATTTGAAATTCATTTCTCATTTTGATCTGGCCAATAAAGTCCCCGTTGATGGAGAGATCACATTCACGGAACTGGCAGCCAGTATCGGCGTCGATTACGGTGCACTCACTCGTATTCTCCGTCTCAGCATCGCGCACCGTATATTCAAGGAACCTCGCCCTGGGGTAGTTGCGCATTCTGCCGCTTCCAGAGAAATTGCAGAGGATACACGTGTTGCGAGCTGGGTTGGAGCCAATGTGGACGACATGTGGCCTGCAGCAGGGAGGGTCGTGGATGCTCTTATAAAATGGCCATTAGCAACAGAGCCCAATCAAATCGTATTTGAATTCCTACTATTTTCTTTGTGGTAGTGGACTAATGATAGGTAGGGCTTTTCTCTTGCCAATGAGACCAATCGGTCCTTCTATGAAGAGCTAGATAAAAGTCCTGAGCGAGCGCGTCGTTTTGGTGGTGCAATGAGCTGTTTCACTACCAGTGATGGGTACTCCCTTAGTCACTTAACGGACGGATATCCATGGGAATCCATATCTTCTGGGACCGTGGTTGACTTGGGGGGATCCCATGGCGATGCAGCATTTGCTCTTTCTCGTAAATATCCAACCCTCAATTTCATCGTCCAAGAGCTGCCTCAGGTTGTCGAAAATTCTAAGGAAGAGCCGGGCCTAGACGTCAAATTCATGGTTCATGACTTGTTTGAAGAGCAGCCTGTGCACGGGGCTGAAGTGTATTTGTATCGCTGGGTCTTACATAACTGGCCAGACAAATACTGTGTCAAGGCCCTGCAAGCCTTGATACCCGCTTTGAAGCAGGGCTCACGAGTCCTTGTTATGGACTTCGTAATGCCTCCCCCTGGAACCCTTCCAAACAATATCGAACGGAATCTCAGGTGAGTGGCCGATAACCTCTGATAACCTCGCAATGTCTCGTTCCACTGCTAATCACTACCTACTCAGGGCAATGGATCTTACGATGCTAGAGATTGGTAATGCAAAGGAACGCGACCTTGGCGAGTGGGAGTCTCTGTTTGAACAGGCTCATCCGAAGTTTGTCTTCAAAGGCATGAGACAGCCACCAGGGTCGAGATTGGCAATCCTGGAGGCAACGTGGGCAGGCGGTGCGGAAAGTAATAGAACATAGAACAGTGAATGCCAAAGAATACAGGAAATGAGCATAGCAAAATAGAGTTGTACTGAGCCCGAAAAAAGGTACTAGGGGCCACCCTTATCCAATCGCAGTAGATCAATTTCAGCCAAAGGTTAACAATTTCAGATATCCGGGTCGACCAATCTTTGGCACCGTAAGGTAGATAGGGTAGGGCTAGGACTAAATGCGACACCTGCCCACAGTCAGATGCATGCAAACACGATGGTAGTCTGACGCTGCTCTGGATCCATTACAAACCGTTTTCTTTCAAACGTTTGTCTCGCCCCTCTTTCAACTCGAGCCAGGTTTGCCAGCTGTCTTGTTGCTATAAATCAACCTTCTTCTTCCACCAAAGCACGCTATCCCCGAGGCAGCGCTGCTAGAGGTGCCGCTTTCACGGATGCTACATGAAAAAACGGGATGGAACATATCAAGCCGGACTCCATGTTTGTCAAAGAGATTACAAACGCAACGGCTCCTTTCAACACAGCCTAGGAATTCCTGCTAAACAAAGAAAATACCTCCACTTGATATACATTTGTGTGAGGGATCATTCAGGAAGCAGATTCATGGTGTCTATTCGCAAGAAAACCAAGTATAGAGAAGAGGGTTATGATACAGGGAGAAATCGACACTCTTTGTGTGTGTGCAAACAAGTAAGTCGCCCGACTTCCTTCCTCAGGCAGCGCTCCAACCAAATCGTCACCATTTGAAACAGACAAAGAAACCCTTTCCTCCTCCTAACGTGGGCAAAATCGTTTCACAGTCGAAAAGCATAAGTACCTTTATTCCTCGCAGCGCATACATACAATCAAACATATCTCGCAAAACATCATACTTGTTTGTGCAATCTGTATCATGCCGGCCTTCGTTTGCTGTGGAATCATCGCACAAGACACCCAGGGTAGGTATTTATCTCTTTCTATAATCCGTCTTTGGGGGGGTGATCTCTAAGCATGTATTTCAATTTTTGTATCTCATAATCCAAAGATGGCGCTATCTCACACCCAGACGCACTTGCAACTGTCACAATGGCAGCATCAGGCTAATCTACTGGGCACTAGCCACAACATGACATCACCCAGCAGGCGGTCAATCACTGTCGAGGACGTAGACACTCGCTGGCCGTATCGTGCGGGTTATCCACGCCTCTGCCGCCAGTCTGTGGAATCACACTGTCTTGATCATGAGAAGATGCCAATCTCTCTCGAGAACCTCGAAAGCCTCACCTTACGAATTCGGGAAATCATTCACAAACATGGTTTTGATTATGATGACGGTATCGTTCAAATAGCCTATCGATCATATACCCGCGGGATCTCAGCCGACCCCCCTCGACATCCTCTACGTGTTGTGGGTAATATTAGGTATGACAAAGATACAAGCCACAGCGAGCTATGGGCGAAAGCCGTAACCGAAATATATGACGAAGTTCAATCGGCAGTATACCCGGAGACAGAGATTGGAGTCGAGCTCTACGATGGCGTGTACATGAAAACCTGCGAAATATGCGAGCCCCCCTCACACAGTAAGGAACTTTTGAAAGATTGGGAGAAGGGGCAAAACTATTGTCAACAGATTCTTCAACTATTTGACGGATATGGCCATATGTGGCAGGCTATGGTACCAACTGGCCTACGTGCAATAGGGGAAGGGGCATCCGATCACTCGACCGTCATCTTCTTCGATGCTCTGAATGCGGATGACGATGCATGGGACGCAATTGAAGAACGTATGAAAGCGATACTGCCGCCGGAAATCAGTATTGAGATCCGCCAAGCGTCAAGTCCATTGTTCCTCCAAGATGACCCGACACTGAGCAGTTCTCTTCTGGCACATTTTACTTCCCTTTTTCAAGAACTAGAACGACCCCCACGACCGGCCTGTGCTATTAGTGTCAAGAATAGCCTCGTATCGGGAACGATGGGTGGTTATGTCGTGACGGTATCAAAGGATACTGGAATAAAGACAGCGTTCGGGGTCACAAATGCCCATGTGGCACTTAATTGTAAGGTCCTGGGGTGAAAATCTTTTTAAAATACATCCTACTGACAAAGATGGAATAGCACATGAAGAAGTGACTTTGAAAAGAGGTTGCTGTCGAGACGCAAATCCGATTAAGATTCAATCTCCACCTGAGAAGCATCGTCGAGAATCGGAATCTCAGCTGCGTTATGGATTCACCCAGGCTCAAAGCGATATATCCATGTGGAACGAAGTTATTGAAGCAGCCAACGAGACCGATCCGTATCTGACTGACAAGCTTCAAAAGCTGCTAAGCGTCGCCGAGCGGGAAAATGCAGCCCGAAACCATGCCCTACAGCGTTTGCAGAAAGATGTATGCGTAGGAGCAACACAGGCTGCAACACTTGGATGGAGGAACTATCAAATTGATTCGACCGAGCACGAGCTGCTTATGGACATCGGTCTGATTAGCGTTGATTCGTTAGCTGCCACACATCCCAAAGAGGTCCATGTGAAAACAAGTAACTGTATCCTACTTACAAAAGAAGGTCTTCCTTGTATAAGCGAGTACGATTCGTTTGATACATGGGAGGTTGAAGGACTCGGGCGTCATCCCCACACCGAACCGCATATAAAGGTCGTGGCGAAATTAGGTCAAAAGAGTGATCTTACTATAGGTATCATAAATGACTTCAGGGCTATCATAAATATACCTCTGTATAATAACGGGGTTAGATCTCTACGTTCGCTATCTGCATGGTCTATTTCTACGCCCTACAAATGGACGTTACCCGTCGGAGGTTCTAAAGATGTCCCGACGTTGGCCAAGCCTGGTGATTCTGGTTCGTTCGTTATTGCTGCCGCTGACTGGAATTTTGAAGGCAATGATAATGAAGTTCCAATGTTAGCCAATAGCATTCTCCATCAAGACAGGAAGCCATTCGTTGTTGGCCTACTTTGGGGTACCTCTGAGTCTGGAAAGCTAGCGTACTTCATTCCGTTTGATGCTGTGAAGGAGGAAATTGAATCGCTGACAGGCGAGGAAATGGTTTGGCCCAAAAAGCGTTCTGAAGCCATACCTATTTGGGAAAAGTGTCATGATTTCGACTAGAGTTGCTGTGATAAGATGCCTCCGGGCATCCCTACCCCAGAATGTGTATCAGTATGTTTATAGCTTCGTTTTCGGATACTACTCAAGATAACCTGTTTGAAAATGAGGCCACATAGCCGGGTTCGAATAAGCGTAAACCCTTCAGAAGTTTGGATTATCGAACGTGATAAATACCGGTTGGGGTCAATTGACCACCGATGACAAAAAATAGTGTAGATTCGCATATATAAATTGGGGTAGATAGACCAGTTATGCGAAACTCAGGCTTGTATTCCGAATCGAATCGAATTTGCTTCCATTTGCCAATTATTTGCTTAATAAGCGCACTAACCACAAAGTTCAACAACTATGTACGTACTGTGTAGTTATATCAGAAGCTTTTATTGGTGAAGGCAAGAGCGAAGACCCCCGAGGACAGGATGGGGCTAGAGTGGGCCAATCGGTGACCTTACCGGAACCCGTAATGGCACCTTCTGATTTAGTGGGTATTAGTTGGTTAGTGTATGCTCGGTCAAGCCCCAAGTGGGGCAGGGCCAACCACTGAGGAAGCTCCTCAAGGCTTCCATTCTTGATAATTGATTCTGCTGCCTCGGGAGTGTTCAAACAGATGCCCATACATGCCCATACATGCCGACCTTCCAGGGGTCTGTCCTTCTTCAGTCATGCAGTATCCTCAATCTCAAACCCCTTCCTGGCTAAGTCATTCTCTTCCATAACCTCCTCAATTCCTTCTTTCTTTTCTCTGACTAAGGCAAAGTCTTCTGTTGACACTCGGTAGGTGACAGTACCTAATCGGGGTTTCACCCGCTTGGTTTCATTCCATAGTTCTTTCAGCCGTGTGATGTTGTTTCGGGCTGTTTCGGCTGACTGGGTGTCTCTGAATATGATCACGTAGCCTGTCTTGGTGGTGCCGACACCTACTACCTGTACGTCTTGGTGGGTTCTGTGTTCGATATGGCAGTTCTGATATGTTTGTTGACGGTATCTGCAGGCAAGAATCTTGTGACGCTCTCATGATTGGTCTCGTAGTGGTCGCCCCTGCTCCGGCCGTGCCGTGCTGATCCGGATGCAGTGCAATTCTCTTCGAAGTCGTGGGGTTATTGTGTTGGCGTGTAGTGGGGGTCCCCTGCGACGACATCCGCCAATCCCTTGTCGGCGACAGTCCCACGGCTGACTCTCTGACTATCGTTGCCGAAGATCTTCCTCTCAACATCAAACAGCGATTGGTTGTAGAGAGAATATCATCCGAAGTGTTGGCTTGGGCAGACCATCAGGACATGACAGACCGTCTCTTTTGCACCGCATTAGCATTTGTCGGCATTCTGGAGGCGGTGGAGCTTGGCATATGTTTTGAACAAGCAATGTCCCGTCCGAAGTTTTGTTTGCGAATAAGCTCGATTCAGTGATTGCGTGGATGATCCGTGGCCTAGATTTATTGTAACGGCCTCTTACCAACCTATCTTATTCTATCTGTTGTTCTGCACCATAACCCCTCTACGGACTTTATATATGTTAATATACACAGGTTTCTCCCCGTTGTATGTTGGTAAATCTCTTATAGATGTGCGCAAGACCGTTCGGGGTGGGAGTAAACACCTATAATGCATTTGTTTCTTGCACAAAAATGTGGCTACACTGTCACACGGCAGTACCGTGGTATATCAATGGCTGCCGAGGGACCATATCTGCAGGCGTGCCAGAAGTGGGGCTGGTGTACCTTGATAATTGACGTCGGTGTATCCTACCCCACGGTACGGAAATCGCCGGAACCTTAACGAGCACAGAGCACCTTAGTATACCCAATAATATGCCAGGAATAATGATAGGAGATTGCTGATCGATTCCAGCCCACCTCACATAAAAGAGGACAAGTTGCAGTCGATGTCAGCCATCAAATAACAAAGAATCATGGCTACTCCTGACATCACCCTATACACGTGGCCCACGCCCAACGGGTTAAAGATTTCAATTGTCTTGGAGGAGCTGGGCCTCCCTTACAAAGTGCGGCCTGTGAATCTCGAGTCCAGAGAGCAGAAGGAGAGGTAAGATTGACGTCCCCGTATGGTATCTGTGCTACTAAGCTGCAGAATAGATGGTTCCTCAAATTCAACCCGAATGGTCGCCTGCCAGCAATAACAGATGGCAACACCCGGGTCTTTGAAAGTGGTGCCATTATGCTTTACCTAACAGGGAGATACGACACCGCTCGAAAGATCAGCTACGCTCCAGAAGATCTTCCTGGATACACAGAACAGTTGAGCTGGTTAATGTGGCAAATGGGGGGGCTGGGTCCGATGCAAGGTACCACAATCAAAATATTTTCCTCTACACAGGCTTCATTGCTAACGTGTCCTGTCTTTCAGGACAGGCCCATCACTTTCAGGGCTTTGCACCCGTGCGTTCTGACTGGGGAATCCAGCGATACACTGACGAGGCAAAACGCCTGTATTCTGTGCTCGAGGCCCGCCTGCAGGAGGTCCCTTATCTTGCTGGGGAGAAGTTTTCGATTGCGGACATTGCGTGCTACTGCTGGGTACGGGTATCTCCAAACATAATTGCCTTCAACCTGGGAGATTGGCCGGCAGTGCAGAGATGGCATGATCGCATCATGGAACGAGAGGCCGTGAAAACGGCGTTGAGAGTTCCTGAAGCTCCTATTACAGAGGCTCAGTTCACGATAATCGTGGCGCAGAAGAGAAAGGAAATGATGGAGCGGAACAACGCTGATTTGCATTAATTGGGGGGTCTAGTATTGATATATTTCCAGTATGATACTCGCAACTCGTTGGCCCACTCAAGGACCTGCGAGTGATAGTCAGCGATAGCTTTGACAAGTGCCAATGATGAATTGTAGTTCAACTTATACGTGGCTCTTTCATAATACTGAAATGGTTCCCTCCGACCGGGAATATCTTTAGCTGTGCCCTATCCATAACCATCTCTCATCCATCCCCAGTCCAGCCGTCCCCAGTTCGATCATCAAGTAACCACGTTATGACCTTCTGGTCGCTCTCAGAAACCGCTGGCAGCCGGAAAGTCATCTGCTTATTAACCCCCTCCCTCGCGACATAGTATGTTGTGCGAGGGTGACGGGTGCCCGCGGATAGAGCTGTTGGCATATATGTTTTAAGACTGGCTAATGTTCGCATGACATGAAGGGAACCATAGGTTTCATAGGCTCTGATGCATGCGGTTCCTGCTCCTTGCTCTTTCCACTGAAGCGATCAATTGAGTCGAGAAACTGAATCAGTTAGGCTTGGAGGCATCGGTGGGATGACCAAGGGGCATGGCGCGTCGGCAAGATAAAGCCTCTCTACAGACTCGCCGGTTTCGATGAGTTGCCGCGACGCTTCATAGGTAATGACACCACCAACAGAGTAGCCCAGCAGGGAGTATACCCCATGAGATTGCCGGGGTTGGGTTGCAGCCACCTGTACCACACGCGTTACGGCTCAGCCCTTACATAACTCCTCAACGGCTGTTTACAAAATAAGGTTTTCAGCCGGAACCGAAATGCATGGATCAGCAGGCCCTTTTTGCTGGGCTCTCCAGGAGCTCCCAGTAATGAACTGCTAGCTAGTTTATGAAAGCGTGGTTTTTATCCTTCATTCTTGAGTTTGACCCGAACCTCCGTTCAGCTTTGGGAAACCCGTATTGGCCACCATATGGGGGCACATCCCAGATCATGAGGGTTAGGCAATGGTTCCCCAACAGTGAGAGGGACGGCGATGCGTCTGACCAGTGTAAATCCATTTTTGACTACTCAGCTTGGCCTTTGAACTAGCTTGACACTGACATCGAGGAAAGTTAGTCTGCATAATTCATCCTGGATGATATGAAGTTCAAGAAGTATGTGACGTATGAACCAATTAGTAATCTCAAATTCAACGATTCTATCTTCTACTGTCTGTACATCACAAATTTGAAAGAATCCTATTAAGCAGCCCCGTGTAGCATTTTCTGCGTCAACATATGATGCTCTCTTAGAAGCAAAAGGAGAGAAAATGTAGCATGCAGTAACCGGTGAATAAAGCATGGTGGTATTTATATGACAAATATGTGCGACACTAACGCGAGCAGCACGGTGCTGCTTCATACTCGGCCCAACTCACAGAACGCTCATGGACCGATCACTGAGTGAGGCCTGAGCGGACTGAGAGACTAAAGAAGGTTAGTGAGCGCTCAGTGAACATCTAGTGAGCACTGTGGTGGCTTCACTAAGCGCCCTAACATGCCCATTAAGTGTGTGGAGCTTGCGTATATGATAATAATTCTTAGGATCATTGGATAGCTTATTTTCTACTAACCATTCTAAAATAAGCGGCTGTATTCGGACTTTTCCGTTGAGAGTGACATTCTGGCTCCCTTGAATATTAGGATAAACAATGAAACATGATAGATGTATATCATTGATGTTAATCAATGATGATTTTTCATTGTAACTCAAGTTCTGAACTAGTTCTTCTAATTAAACCGACTGGCTTTGGTAGGGTTATAAGGTTTAGTAAGTTTGCTTCCTTAATTAATCCTTGCTATGAAAACAGGCTGTGATCCCGTTATGCAGTCTAGTTCTATTTCCAAGTATCCCCTTTGTAGTTGGGACAATGGTTAGGGTGAAAATGCAGGTTCATGAGTAGCGTTTCACCACTCTGGGCATTTTATCACATAAAGACTGGTGTATAACTTTTAAGAAAACATCCTAAAATAGGAAACTTTATAGCAACGTTGGGCAAAACTGTGTAATAGTGGCACAACGGCTTCTTGGGCCCAGCTGTTTCCCGTATTGACCCCTATCCTTGATCCTGATTTTCTACCCACTCTATTACGTTATATTGCTCCAAATATGTGATGGTCTCGCACTCCACTCTCAAGGCTCCAAACCCACCTCTGCGAACAATTCCTTGAGCACTCCAGTAATGTGAGATCCATATAACCTCTCTACCACATCGAATGCGTCTAGTTTGACCGTCTCTGGCCAGCTTTTATGTCGATCCTGAGCTCGGACAAGTTGCTGCTTTCCCTCTGGGTCCAATCTTTGACAAAAGCGCAATACAGAGGGTTCGGGAGATGGGTCATCCAGATAGAGATTCGAGCCTATCTCATTGCTGTTGATAAATATACGCCGACAAAGATACACTTCGAGTAGATGGGGGGCAGCCACAGATGGTGGCAGCGACGCCCTCAGCTTTTTCAAGAATTTCTGACTCCGCGAGTAGATCCGTCGCTCGAATGCATCGTCGATGCTAATTAGTAATTTTCTTTTTGCATCGCCCTTTTCTTTGGCGTTAATCTGAGACTGCTCCAAAGCCGGCCTCAAGACTTGGTACACGTAGAACAGATAGCTCAACCCTCGGAAGTCCGTCACTTTCTCGTTCACAGGGACTAGTGCGTAAAAGTCAGCCCATGTACGGTCTTCCGTATGGAGAATTTGCAGTATATCATCCACGCTTGGGAAGGTGTTGTTGGCCAAAGAGTCACAAATCAGCTGGTATACCAGGTTCGCTAAAGGCGAGACCTGGACATCTAGTTTTCGATGGTGAGGAGTCACGCCCTGCCGCCGGGATAGCTCATGGTCAAGAAGGCGGCAGAACACTCGGGAAAGCTGGTGGTGGCGCTTCTCGACGGCGTGCATCCAATGAAGTGCCTCGAGGAAGCTGCACCGCCCGTCGCGGAGACGCTCCTCGAGGGAGTGGTAGTAGTGGAAGCTGGGGATGTCGAGGCGGATGTTTAGTGGTATTTGCTGATATAGATTATTTGTGGATAGGGCTGCAGCTAGATCGGCAATGACGGGGACTGCGCGAGAGAGATATTCAACCTCGTACAAGGTGATTTTGCTTAGGAGTCTGGACACGTCGAGCCGTTGTCCCCGTGGTATACTTGATTGGATGATCCTTGATGTCCAGAGGCACATACCAGAGATAAGGGTAATCTCTTGAACGAGGTCCATGGGCTGCGTTGGTCCTTCAGCTCCCGGAATAATCTGCGCCAGTGGGGTCGAGAAATGCAGGTAGTGGGTGGCTGTGAAATGATTTCCTTCGGGCTTAATGGGCTGGTGATGGAAATGAGTCTTTTCAAACCAGGTAATGCCCTCGGTTAGGCGGGCGTGCCCTTCGCAGGGTGGTCCCCCGACCAATCCGCTACCCATCACTCTTAACGGGGCCAGATGAGTAGATCTCCCATGATTAATGAGGCTGGCGACCTTGACAGCGACCTTGTGGCCCTTGACGAATGCCTTAGAATACTTGGCCGCTTCGTCAGCATCGTCGCTGTTACCGTGCTCGGCCCCCGTATGAGGGAGATGGTAGTATCCTTGAATCGCAGACGAGGTCTTTTGAGTGCTGTGCTCAATATTATGAAAGACAATGGCGGCTAGGGATCCCGCTGAGTGCTGGAGGTCAGCAAGTGCAATATCGTCTCCCATGGTACGTAATTATGATCTTCAGTCTTCTGAACGTCTTTCTGATATCAACATTGTTGGAGGAAGACTAGATATGGTTTGCAGTCTATGTGATGTAATTTTACCTTCGACTGTGAGACAATAGGCACCTATACATGCTAAGACTTGTGGCAGAATACATTGCCAAGGCTGATTGATATGCGGTACACTTATTTTCATGGCACATGCGTGAAACTCCGTTTTCATTGGTGCTGACCTCGACTGGAGTTGATGCTCTCCAAGGCAGGGTTTCAACCAGTACGTACCGTGTCAGTACCTTACCAGTACATTAGTGGTGGTGCTAGCAGTACCGTACTAGTACGTACTATAAACTAGACAGTGGGGAATAGTACTGTAAGGGTTCACGGTAGGTGCAGTCTCAATGCATCGAGGAATGCGTTGATGTTGTTCACTAGTGTCAGTGGTCATTTTCAACTGAGACGGGGTGGCTGACTGAAAATTTCGCTGAATTCTGATTCCGCCTACACAAACCTGCAGGTAATGCGGTCAAGACCCGCATTTTCCTGGCAGGTCCAAGGCTAAGCACGCATGTATTACTGTTTCTAGAAAGACGTTCGGGTTGTGCCCCTCTGAACATTTCAGATCTTGAAGGTCGACCTATCCTGCGACCTACGCACAGTCTTGACCACGAATAGCCTCAATCTCAGCATACAAAGAAGATTATTTTGATAATGGGCGAACTGGTCCCTGCATCAGTTCAACATGGTAGTCCTAGTATCCCCCTCGCTGGCTCTTACACCCAGCCACTCGGAGCTCCTCAACCGCCAAACGAGCCTCATGTAGGTTACTCCAAAATCGATTGCTATGCTCTCTCGTACTGACAAATTTCAGGCTATAAGTGTCTCCTTGCCCACCTGGGAAGCTGTGACTGCCGTAATGGCAGGCGCAGACTGGGCTATTAGCCAACTACAAACCAGCTATCCTAGGTTGTACCTTGGCCCTATCATTTCTCACTACGCTAGCAAAAGGTGTTGATATCTGACAGCCCTATTATAGATTCGATGTTCATAATCGTGTGAAAGAATTGCATGACGCCGTTCTGGCTAGATTTAAGCACCCGACGCAGACGGTGTGCCGAGCGTTTCCATCCTCTGAAGCCGCCGAGCGTTTTATTTCAAGATTAAAAAGAGCAGATCCTTCATTTCCTGTGCATACGGCTCGGTTCCATCTGCCTTCTGACGCAGCTCCAGATATGGCAAAATGGGCAGCGTTCTCAGTCGTATTATTCCATGAAAGCCTTGAAGGCGTGGCGTACGAGTTCTGGGAATGGTTTGGGGACGGCATCTCCAGCAGACATGCGGAGTTCTGTTTATATCAATTCCTCTTCCTAAATTCTGAATCAGATCAGTCTGAATATTGGACCGTGGGCCCAGAATCCCATAATTTGAGTGCGATGACCCTTTCAGAGTGGATTGACAATGCTACATCATACAAGACAGCTATCAAGTCGAGGCTTATCAGCTCAGCAAGGTCAGCGGATCCAGCCATAAAACCCATTGGGAATGGCGATGTTTTCCTCTGTGCAACTGGAATGGCTGCAATCAGCGTCATTGCCCGCACGCTCGCTCGGACATCGGAGGACTCTGGAGCTGTGGTGTACGGGTGAGTGGCAGTCAATGAATCAAGTTGCGCTAGGTATCATGTTGACAAGATGATAAGATGGCCGTACTCTGGTACTCCCCACTGCGTGCAAGGCTGTGGATTCAAGCGGTACATCATGTACGGTCACGGCTCGAAGGAGGATCTCGATTCGTTCGAGTCCTTGCTGGTTTCAGGGATCCGGTTCACAGTACTGTTCTGCGAGATTACGTCCAATCCTCAGTTGTCCACGCCGGATTTGCATCGTATCCGAGATCTTGCCAACCGATTTGGCTTCGTCGTCGTGTGTGATGATACAATCGGCACGTCCGTCAATGTAGATATCTTGCCATATGTCGATGTCATCATCACCAGCTTGACCAAGATCTTCAGCGGTGCAGGCAATGTCATGGGAGGGAGGTATGTATTCCAATTGTCTAGCACTCACAACTCATTCCTATTGGTACTGAACTCTGCAGTATCATGACCAACCCCAACTCCAAGCACTACAGCACTCTCACCGCCCTTCTAAGCACAGCCTACGAGGATCTTTACTTCCCTCTCGACGCAAAGACAATTGCGCACAACTCGTCCGACTTCGCAGCCCGCGTCCACAAATGCAACGAGACCGCTCTGCAGATTGCCAATTTCCTCGAGTCCCACCCAGCAGTCAAATCTGTCAACTATCCCACCATGGTCCCCACCGCGCCCCTGTACGAGCGGTATCGCCGCCCCGAGGGCGGCTACGGATTCCTCCTCAGTGTCATCTTCCACGAGCCCGAGAGCGCCATGCTTTTCTACGACAAATTGGATGTGTGGAAAGGGCCCACTGTCGGGACGAATTTCTCGATTTCCATTCCGTATTCGGCACTGGCGCATGCGAAAGAGCAGGATTGGGCGGCGTCGCATGCAGTCCCGAAGCATATTGTGCGTCTGAGCATTGGATTGGAGGATTATAGAGACTTGTCTGAGCGCGTGAGCCGGGCATTACGAGAGGTAGAAATGAGAGAGAAGATGAGTTAGACCTGTAGTATTGGAGTGGGCCTACTCTGGGAGTACGGAAAACCTAATTGTGTAACTATCCAGTATGTTACATTACACTCAGTACTAGAGTCGTAAGGTAAATTTGAGTGTGTATTTTCCATCACTCCAGTACCGTATTAAATCACACCACAACCGCACACTTGCACATCATTCCTCGAATGTAATGACGTGTCCATCTGCGACTATTTCAGCTAAGTTCACAAGAGGTACGCCGTACTGTCACACTATTAGGTGCATATCATCTCACAAGTGGATCCACGAAACGATTGTATGTAATGTGGAGATGACTGGCCCTCAATGAGGTAACCCAATGGATGAGCACCCTTTAAGCCATCGCGATTATCGAAACTGCGGCCTGCTTGCTTACCATGCCTACTAGTTGTGATTATACGCAAGTGTCGCGACTTTCAGTAAACTAGTCAAAACATCAATGTAGGCGGTCCTAGGCCATATACCATCAAGATGACCAAGAAAGAGTCTGCAGTGGATGTATTGATTATAGGGGCGGTAAGCTGTTCTCATAGATGCGATTTTATAACGATACTCATGCAATTTAGGGCCCGGCAGGGTAAGCTTTTCTGTAGAAATCTCTTCAGGGGAACATAGAAGCCATGACAGATCAAAACTGATGTCACCAGCCTAATAGCCGCCTTGTGGATGGCAAAATGTGGCATCACTACTCGCCTTGTCGAGCAACGGCCGTATAAGCTTCGGGTTGGTGGTGCAGACGGGTAAGTATATGCTCGACTATCACAGGACACAGCTCAATCCGAGGCATAGGATTCATCCGCGCTCAATGGAGATGTTCGAGAGTTTTGACCTCGATCAGGAGATCACGCAGCTATGGGAACCCATCACGGGGTGGGCGCTTTGGTGTCGAAGCACTGAGGGAAGTTTTGCCAGATCCGGCCGGATGGATAATCCCACACCAGTGCGCTGCAGGTGAGTTTAATATTCAAACTGGTCGCGCGGATATCTCATGATGCGTACAGATGGGGTCCGGGGCTTCTACAACAGGGCATAGTTGAACGGATGATCAAACAGCGTATCTTAGAGCAACCTTTTGTTCGCATCGAGTATGAAACTGCGCCTATCTCCTTTGTTATCAAGGAAGATGCGCTAGGTGATCCGGACAGCCATCCCTGTGTGCTTACTTTACGCCATGATGACAGTTCCGGGGTATCAGAGGAATTTGTCCATGCGAAATATGTCATCGGGGCCGACGGAGCACGCTCGTGGATCAGGAAGCAATTGGGATTCAAAATGGAGGGGACCCGGACTCAATCCGTCTGGGCAGTAACGGATCTTCTAGTTGTTTCCGACTTTCCGGAGTACGTTGATAGCAAATCTAGATGAAGATATCTTTACAGGAGACCGCTGATGTACATTCCAGCATCCGGTTATGCACTACAATCAATAGCTACGGCGAAGGAGGACTCTTCTTCCTCCGGCGAGAGCGCGGCCTGACCCGATTCTATGTTCAGCTGAATCGTGCCGATCAGGAGGAGTTCCCTGCTACTTTAATTACGCAAGAACTCATCATTGAAAGACTACAGAGACTATTAAGGCCTTATACAGTGAGTGACTTCCGAGTAAGCTGCCTAAAATACACTAATCATTATGGTTGTAGTTGACTGTCAAGGGTTGTGAATGGTGAGTTACAAGTCGATAAATCAGCCGAATTCTGCTAACCTCCAAATTATTTAGGTGGTCAAGCTATACAGTAGCCCACTATCTCAGTGATGGGATGACCAAGTACGATCGCGTCTTCCTTGTCGGCGATGCTGTGCACAACCACTCACCCTTGGTTGGTCTCGGCATGAACATCAGCATGCAGTATGCCACTCTCTAATATAATGGCTGCAGCTTCCATACTGATGTTACAACTAGAGACTCATACAACCTTGGATGGAAACTTGCTGGAGTGCTTAAAAAAGAATTGAACCCCAGTATCTTATCAACCTACGAGACAGAGCGGCACCCCGTTGCAGCAGAGCTGATTGAGACGGATCGCTTTCATTTACAGCTCTTTGATACGGTCACCGCGACAGGCTCGGAACCGGCCTGGATGCAGGAGCGTGAGGAGGCTATGCAGCCTTCCATGCAAGGGTTCGCTGTCCACTACCAAGACCCGCTCCTTACCGCTGCTACGGATAAAAAACGGAGCCCTGACGCCATGATAGTCCCGGGCAAGCGGTTCCCACAGCTGAACGTGGCGAATCATGCCACGGGGAAAATCTATTCGATACAGTCACTTCTCAAAAGCGAAGGAAGGTTTCACGTCGTTATTTTTGCAGGAGACCTCTCCCAACCACAGGAGCTGAATAGGTTCAATACCTTTGGCACTTTGCTAAAGCAAATCGAGGAACAGATAGTAGGAGGATTCAATGTGATTGCCGTACACCAGGCCTGCAAGACAGCGATCGAGCTTGCCAGCTTGGCGGACATTTTCTTCCCTGTTGGTGAGACAACGGGATGGGACTACAACAGGGTCTATTGCGACATGGAGACAAGCTATGAGGAGGCTGGGATCAGCGAACGTGGAGTGGTGGTGCTGGTTCGCCCAGACCAGTATGTGGGATGGAGTGGAGAGCTGGAGGATACTCAGGAACTGACACGCTATTTACGGCCGATTTTTGCGACGGAAACGCACGGATAGCCCTCTCAAATTTGCGTCGAGCTGGGCAAGAAAATACTGGAGTTTTACCCGCGCGTATTGTTTCAATGAAATTACAAGCCCAAAATACATACTAACGCAGGGCCAGTAAAATATCGAAACTTCCTTTTATAATTGAGAATTGAGAGAAGCTGTGGATACCCACGCAAGGATACAATAATACAGCTTGATGTTGGAATGCAGGGCGAGCGCAGATCTTACTCCAACTACGTAAAAACCTGATCACGGACATCTGGTGGGCCAACTCTGAAGTATTAGCTAGATCATCACTGAGGTCCAATGGAGAGGCGTGTATTCATAATTACCGCTAAACAGACAGCGCTGCCAAGAGGATAATATAGAACAAACAGACTCATGCTCAGCTGTGTACGTGAAATTGTATGTATCTGTGTTCATGTTTGAAATAATACTCAATCATTAGTTTATTGATTTGTTCAGTACAGCCATCACCCTAACCTCAGCAGAAACACATCCTAGCTGCTGTCGAACTCAACAGATCGCCCCGACCAGATAATGTACGAGAGTATCATTCCCTTCCCTGCTGAATCGGCCAGCACAGTCGACAAGTACTGCTGCTCCCATTCCACAAGCCTCCCGTCTCTCTTCGCCGATCACGCAGCATGGACCGTCGACAAATTCGAGACCTCGTATATGATGTGCTGTCAGCTCCAGGCACAAATGTGTGTCTTCATTGCAAGCGACCGCCGCGCTAGACGTGTGCTGGAGATCGGAACTTTCACAGGATACAGCGCGCTAGCATGGAAGGAGGGGATGAAGGCAGTAGGCGGGGAGGTATGGACATGTGATGTTGGTCCGCGGGCGATTGCAGCAAGCAAAGAAGCGTTCGCAAAGTATGATCCAGAGGGAAAGATTCATCTGGTCGAGGGACCTGCACTACAGACGTTAGTGAGCCGTGCAATTCAGAAAGATGCAGCTAATTGGTATTGTGTAGGTTACAAGAAATCAACGCTCAGCCATTTGATATCATCTACATCGACGCCCGGAAGGCCGAGTATATCAATTACGTGGAGACTATTCTTGAGAGAAATCTTCTGGCGGAGAATGGGATAATCCTTGCGGATGATAGTAAGAATCGCCGTCGGATCAGTATTCTGTCCAGGTCAGGGAGTTAATGGATATGGCAGCGATCCATCTCGGGCTAGTGGCAGACAGATCTCCTACAAACCCGCATTCGGCCCGGGAGGACATCGAATATAGCCTTCAGCATGCAGACAATGTGCACAAGTTCAATGAATGGGCAGCCAAGGTATACACTTTCTCAATTGTCTTAAGAGAGCCATGAACCTGTGCTAACTGATATCTAGCATCCTCGGCTCGAAGTTCTCTTGCTTCCCATCTTCAACGGGTTGACTTTGATCAAAATCAAGTCGTAATACTAATGGTTCGCCTGAATCTGAGAATATAGTAAAACCTAGTATTAAGGTACCAAATACCATATTCAACTTAGATTCATATACAAAATCCCTTATTGCCTCATTTTTAGGTAATTCCTTATAACTTTAGTTACCCCTTCGCCTTACAAAGTCTATTAAAACAAGGTCATTTTTATTGGAGATATTCACTTTGGAATAAAAATTCAAGAACTCAAAAATCTATTGATAGATATTAACATATTTATTACACTAACGTAAAATTTAGAATAAAAAATCCTTATATTAAGGAACTCCGATACCTTGTAAACTTGATCCCTTAGTCCTAGGTGTTACGTCATAGCCTAACATCCTGTGCCGAGTTGTTTCTTGTTGTCTCCGCACTAGGTGGCTTAGCTGAAGGAGAACTGGGATTCCAGCAAGGATCTTGCATATTACGTAACACATTTGTTTATGATGTATTTGCTTAATTGCAAAAAGAAAAGTCTTTCAAATACGCCTAATCTCCGCCGTGTTACCTGAATACGAAAGTAACTTTGGTGATGAAATTATCAATCGAACTACCATAGCGTAGGTATCTGAATATCTTGAAAGTCGTTACGAAAACAGGAAAGGGGACCCTATTTTACACGTTCTCGTATTACATTACTTTCAAAGACCATCGTGAGCTCTGTTCTAGAGCTTGTAAGAAGACGTGAGTGAGCAATACTACTTCGAGGAAAGCGTGAGATATTTTGATTACCATACCAAATGACTGAAAAATTACGCATGGCTGTATAGCATGTATTCGTATTCAGTTCCGCGGGAGATATTAGGCAGGGTTTTGTTGATCCAATACACTCCACAAATGCAGTCTCTCGATTTCCACCAGAGATCCATTACTTTCAAGCCAAGCCAGCGATGACTTCGATGAAAATGCACTGTATTTTTGGCCATGTCATGTCTACTCTGTAAGAAGGAACATATCATCCATGTGAAAGCGCAATTAATTTCGTTCTTCTTGGTTCACCATTGAGCACTCCGTTAGACCACATCTACTGTGAACAATGACCTCAAGTTCTAAAATGCAACAAATTTCGTTAGAGGCGACGAAAAGCATTACGGACCCAATCTCGACAATTGACACAGCTCACAGTGACCGAAATGCGGAGCGCGATGCATACGACACCGCGATTCTGCGCTTCATCAGTGACATGAATCTGTCCTCGATGTACGCAGAGAAGGTATCACCGTACCCCATTCTGATGCCAAGAAGCTTCCTCGAAGACATCGAAAAATTTCAAGATATTTTGTTTATTGCTGTATCAAATATCCTGGATCGCTGGTGGGAAGACAGCGAAGCCGACTTTCCTCGTCGCATGCCATTGGAACCTCACGAGGAGAGCGTATTAAAGGTGAGGACCTCTAGGACCTCCTATGTTCACTATATACCGCAAATCTTACAATAAGCGATGTTTAGTGGGTGCATGAGAGGTCAAAACAGGGCCTGATGCAGCATTACAATGAGCGCCCGCTACACTGGAGGCCAGATATACTCCTCCCAGAAGCCGGCCATTCAAACGCCAACCTACCTTTCAAGATTTGCGAGATCAACGCCCGTTCCCCCTTCAACTCAATGATCAAGAGCATCTGTATGTTTAAAGCAGTAGCCTCGAGCAATACAGCCCTCCCTGATGGGTTAGAACCCGCTTCGAGCGCAGATAGGATGGTGGATAGGCTGGTCTCGCTGTTCAAACCGGACTTCCCTCTACACGTTATCTGGCATGAAGGCATTACTGACCCCATCGATGCATTCAGTTCCTTCTACAAAAAGCGAACAGGCAATATACCGCGCGTAGTCCATATGACAGACTTGCGTCTTGTGCCGGATTCCTCATCCCCAACGGGTCACATTCTGTGTTGCGTTGCCGCCGCATCCGCAGACGTTCAGGGAATAGTATCCGGGACAGGGGAACCTCTGGAACGAATTTACCAAGTCGGACTCCAGATGTCCCACCGGGATTACAGCAGCCTCTCTTTGGAAATGCTGCAGCAGCTCGCGATGGACGGAATCTGCGACCTACGCAACATCTTCCTGGTCAGCGATAAACGCATGCTCGGCATAATCATGCAAGAGCTGGACTCTCTCGTGCACAAGCACAACGTCCTCACCCCTGACCAGGCGGAGATTCTCCGACAGGGTATCGTACATACCATTTTGCCTGGCTCCGAGGATATCGTACAACTCTTACGACAGATTCGCGAGGGGTCCGTATCCAAGGATAGCTATCTTCTCAAACCTGCCCGTGGACACCGCGGGATGGGAATATTACTTGGAAAGGACTTGGGGCGAGAGGAGTTTGAGAGTCTCCTTCGGGGACTGGGGGACGCATTACTGCCTGCTGACAGGATATACGTTGTGCAGCCTTTTATTGAGCAAGCACTATTTGGTTTGAGGCTGTCTGATGATAGCGAGCCGCAACAATGCCGGATGACGGGTACATATCATGCCATTGGTGGCTGCTTTGCTGAGTTGGGAGTCTGGAGGGCCGATAGCGAAAGGATTTGCTCCCGATTCCACGGCGCGTTTAGTATTCCAGCAGTTGTTCCCCGTTAGCTCTTCTTGATAGACATGACTCTAGAACCGATCAAATGATACGCCGATATACAAATGTTACCTGCTTCATTTACAGCCAGGATGCGCCACCAAATTCAATTATACGTATATGGTCACTGCTCTCAGAAACTCGTGTAGGCAGAAGGTCTGAGTGGGCACTCTATATTTCACCAATAAAAAGTCCAATAGGCGAAACCACCTAATCTTGACCCCAAGCCATGCATATTAGTCACCAAAGAAATAATCACAAGTACCTGTTAGTTATGGCTTAAATGATATTTATTACAGGTTCCAGATGAGCACATACGGCCGCAGTACGTGGGAAACAGGGCTTCTCGGCCGATCAGCCATACTTGAGCCAAAGTTAATAGTTGTGTGGGTAACTACCAGCAAATCCCAGCTGTCGTGTGTTTTCAGTCTACTTTGATCCAATTAGTACTAGGTGCTACCTGACTATGCTGTCTTGTCCCTATTCGTCTCTCTTCACGCCTCCTCACCTGAAGCTGAGCCGAGTGCTGTCCACCCACGAACCTACGCCATCCCCGGTACCAATTACAATGGTCTTTACCCGTATCTCTTCCCACAGATGCTTTGTGGATCTAGCTGGGTCTCGTTCTCGACATGTATTGGTTCTGATCAATCCCTGAATTTTTAACTAGAATATCGTGCATGTGCAACCCACGTTGGTAATTATCTTTCTAGAGGAATGTTCCACAGTGTATTTTTCGAATCATTGACCTGTGCACGGAGATGCATGTACATATAAGACCGCTAGTTGTAAGGCCTCAAACGCCTGGTCTATAAGCACTCTCTATTGACTCACATATTTGTCCGCTCAATAACATTTTCTCTTTCTCACTGCCTTTCTTCCCACCATCAGAAAGCGTCGAACAATATGGGAAGTTCAGGCTCATTGTCCGAGTTAAAGCAGATCGCGGTGGCAGCATCCCGGGAAGGGAAGCTTGTGATCGCGGATGAAATAGATTGCGACAGAAAACGGCATGAAGAAGACCTGTTTACGTCTGCCTTCACTACGCCACACCCCCATGTTGGCACAGATTGGCGTGAGGCGGATCGTGTGTCCCCGTACCCTGTCTTAGTTCCAGAATATTTCATCGAGAACGCGAAGCAGCTGCAAGAGGCACTCGCAATCGCGGTGGCCAACATCGTGGAACGGTGGGCTGAGCCTGGTGGAGGGAATGATTCGCTTTCACAACGTATGCCACTGCAGCTTCACGAGGAGGCTCTTCTTCGTGTATGTGTTATAATTTCGAAGTACAGAAACTTTACGGACATCTGACACCTGATGTAACAGTGGATACACCAGAAGACAAAAGAAGGCATTATCCCACCTTATAAAGAGCGGATGGGGCACTGGCGGCCGGATATCCTGCTCTCAAATACAGAGCATGGAGATTTATCATTCCGCATCTGTGAAATCAACGCGCGATTTTTCCAAAACTCCCTTATGTATTCAGTGCAAGCTCTTACAGCTTGTTCCCGAATGCTTTCAGGCCACCCTGTGTTGCAGCCTACAGCTGACCCAGAAGATTTGCTTGATTGTCTTTGCGGTCTATTTGATCCGAGTTTGCCTCTCCACCTGTTGGTGGGTTGGGGTAAGCCGAAAGTGGCAGTGGCAGTCAGCAAACTCTTAACGGAGCGAGCGGGAGTCTCAGCAAGGGTCATCAGCCCCTCTGATCTCCGTCTTGTCCCAGATGATACGTCCCCTACTGGGTACAACCTGTACGCAGTCTGCGCAAAGTCCGATCTTGAAACAATTCCTAGTCAGGATTCCACGCGTGACGGCCTTGAGCCAGTTCGTCAGGTGGGACTGTACTTTTTCCAGGACGAATTCCGTCATCTAAGCGTGGAGATACTCCAGCACATAGCACTCCGCTCTGTAAATGATATTCGAACTATTCTCCTAGTAGCTGACAAGCGGATCCTAGGGATAGTGCTACAGGAGCTTGACGCCCTGGTCAATGACTATAAGGTACTCACCCCTGAACAAGCATGCATCTTGCGAGATGGAATTGTTCCCACTGTTCTTCCTGGTTCTCCTGAACTAAATGAATTGATCTCAAATGGTCACTCCAACCCAGACCTAAAGAACGATTACATTATCAAGCCATCTCGTGATGCGGAAAGTACTGGGATTCTGTTCGGAGACGAGCTTTTGGGCGTTGAATGGGACCGCCTACTCGCTGATATGCAGGATCCGCGACTTTATCCTCACCAATTTCAGTATATCATACAGCCTATTGTCCGTCAACCTGCGATCAATATTTCACACGAAGTCGACTTGACACACGGCGATATGAACATTGTCGGCCTCTATTATGCATTCAACGGCCGTTACAAGGCTCTCGGCGCGTGGAGGGCGACACATGGGCGACTCTCTTGTTACTCGAAGGGGGGATTCAGAATCCCCTCAGTGACCATGAAGTAGCTAGTTCTAGGTGTGCATATCTGAGTTTAGTTAAAAGGAAGACTACTTCTCACGAGACGCCAGGGCAGAATGAAGATGGTACACTGAAAGAAATGAGGGCTGGCGGTAACTCCAGAAAGAGGAAACGAGATCACACTATTCCAAGATCTGCCCCGATAAGGAAGTTTTGATGAGTAAGGGTAAAGGGACAGACGATGAGTACTGCTTGCTATTTATGTACTAAGCATAATATTTCAATGTTATTTCGACCTAGGTTGGGAGAATTCTAGGGTCGGTATGGTTATCTCGGCGCGGCGTAACATACGGTAACATACGTAATATATAGTAATATACGGTGAAATTTTCAACTGGTTTCTTGTAAATTACGCGACGTGTCGCGTATGTTTCTAGGTAGGACCACAATAAGAGAGTTTATTCATTCTCACCGCTAAACAGACTGGATTTTTGGCCACGTCGATGATGATCTAGACCAAAAAATGTCTCGATCTGCAAGGACGCGGTCCACTCGAAAGTTAATGGCTTTCATGCAGATCTCTCAGGGTCCACAAGACTGAGCAACAAATTGGGCGTCGGAATAACGGACCGTGCCGCCTTACGTCGGGGCCAGCCACGGTCCTGTCAACCAAATGACACATAGTGCGGAGTGCATAATGCCAGCTGAGCTCCGATTGACTCTGACTAGTGGAGAGGCGGGATCGAAACTTGGCATGAACAGGGGCTATTCTCTGGTTCCTGGCGGGTATCCGAACTATATGACGCGTCAACTATAACTACCTATTTACAGCGCTGACCAGTGGATCGCAGATCAGCAAACAATACTTGCTCGATTTGGAGGAATGGCTACGGAATTACTCGCGGAGCGCAGGAAAAGATCTTCGGTCCACATCTGATACACTAGCGTGTCTTAGGGTTATTTTTCAGCTGTCCACATTCCACATTCCGGGAGCTCGAAATGATTTGGTAAGTGGATAGCTCACTAGCTAGACCACAATACAAGTTCTGTAAATTTCAGTAACCTGAGCCCTTGTACGAAATATCAGGGGACGCGATTCCACTGAGTGATATGCACTAGGTCGACTATTTCAGAAATCGACCGGGCCATGTTTAACCTGCAAAGATTAATGGATTTCACTTGACCGGTGTAGGTTTTCTGTAGTTCCTAACAGGTTGCTCTATCTTTACCGTTTTCAAGCTCCACGGAGACTTGCTAATGGAGCTCCCTCTTCAGATCCCACATGGGTTTCAGAAATCCTTACCAGACCAACAAGATCATAGCACTGTGCTGTATCCGACCCTAAATCTGTCTAACGCGTGGATTAGTGTAGCGGGACTCCTTCCCATCACCTTACTAGGAGCATATGCATACAAAAATCTCGTCTTGGTAACATGGAGAAGCAAGCGTAAGCAGTTGAGTCTACTGTCCGAGTTCTACGCGGACCAAGATGGAGAGGCGACGGCCGAGTCCATCAAAAGGGTCTCAGCACGGAATATCCACCGACAGACGGGAGCATATATTGGACTCGCCGGTGCGGTTTCCATTGCGAAGATTGTACAGTCTCTGGTACTTCAACGACATGGTTTGCCCGTGGTAGACTTGTTGCAAGCTGTTATCTGGGTGAGTTATCATCTGTATTGGGCTATTCAAGACGATCCCCCTCCATATCGCATGGACAATTCTAACTAATAGACTCAAATCACCAGGCATTTCTCGCTCTTCAGTGTAGCGCTTTGTTTCTCCGGCTCCCAACTCCAGTGCATTATACAATTGCATTGCGAGCCGCGCTTAGTTTAGCAGTGACAGTCATCGTCCTCCTTACGCAGCTGTTTCATTTTTATAATCCAGATGAACCTGTGACACCGGAAAGTCTACTACTAATCGTGCTCCAAATTGCGCTGAGTCTCTGCGCTATTGTCTCGAATCTTCTAGTCCAGAGACGGCCAGATGTATTTCACAATGGGATGCCTGTGGATCGAGAATACTCGACATCCTACTTGGGATGGCTTAGCTTCAGCTGGATAGGACCATTGTTGAGAACGACGCGAACATGCACATTGCAGACTGGCGATTTACCCGAACTTTCCTACGGCTTGCGGGCTGAGAGTGCACTCTACACCTGCTTTCAGACGATGGGTGGTGGAGCTTCCGGGTATCTTAGGCTGTGGATGGAGATTCTACGGTCCGAGGTTGCTCTCCTGTCCTTGCAAGGAATCATTACGCTGAGCTCATCAATCCTAGGATTTGTGCCCCAGTTCGCCGTGATGAGGATTCTGGGTACACTGGAGAAGGCGAAAGAAGGCGAAAGAGACGAGGTCCGCTTGTACGCGTTCCTTGCGCTTCTCTGCACCTCGACTATGACAACGGCCATCCTGGATAGCTTGAAGAATTGGATCTCGTACGGCAAGCTTTCCATCCGCGTGCAACAACGGCTGACAGTAGCGGTCTTTGACAAGGCCGTTCGCCGGAAGGCCGGCGTGGCATGCGCATCCAATATAGACAGGACAAAGGGCGGTGTTGTCGACAGCCCGCTGAATCCTATCAACCTGGCCGCAGTCGATGCCAAGACCGTCGCAGACTTTGTCTGCACGACTTATCAGCTTTACGAGGCACCAGCAAAGCTGCTGGTGGCATCAGTCTTCTTGTGGACTCTCTTGGGGTGTGAAGGCCTGCTGGCCTGTGGCGTCGTGCTCATGCTCACTAGCTGTGGCAATTCGTACACGATCAAGAGATATACTCGGAGCCAGCGCAATTTGCACCGGTTCCGCGACCAGAGACTAACTCTCGTCACGGAGGTCGTGCGGGGCATCCAGCATGTCAAATTTGCCGCCGCTGAGGATCAGTGGGAGGCGAGAGTTGGCCAGCTACGGGGCGAGGAGATGCGTGCACAATTGTCCGCGTATCTGTGGCAGACATTCATGTACTCCGTGTACTTTTTGAGTCCGATTCTGCTCTCGGCAGCGGCTCTAGGGGTGACGGTGTTGCGTCGCCGTAACTTGACTGCGACCACTGCCTTCACGACGATTGTTGTTCTGAATTCCATCGAGATCTCGCTGAGTGTGCTGCCGGATATTTTCTCCACGAGCGCCGGTGCTTTTGTGAGTATGCAGCGTCTCAATCTCTTCTTCGCCGAGCCAGATCATGCATCACAAGTGATGCCATCCGAGCTGATCGAATTTCGGGACGCGACATTGGCATGGCCTTCGTCCACGCCGTTCCTCAGCGGCGTAAATCTCAAATTCCCCGGAGGTGCGTTGAGCGTCATCACCGGCGCCACAGGAGCCGGCAAGAGTCTCCTCCTGACTGCCATCCTTGGAGAAGCTGATCTACTCGCGGGCACAATCAGCGCGCCAACTCCGTCCCTTTCATGCTCCGCTGGAGGTGGGATAGCATACCTTCCACAAATCCCGTGGATTAAGCGAGGAACAATCAAAGATAACATTCTGTTTGGAACTCCCTTCAAATCGGACCGGTACGCGGAGGTTCTATTTGCCTGTGCCCTGGACAAGGATCTGGAGCGGTTACCAGCCGGAGATCTGGAAGGTATTGGGACTGACGGTGTGAATTTGAGCGGTGGTCAGAAATGGAGGGTGTGTCTTGCCCGGGCACTGTACAGCCCCGCGCGTACCTTAGTTCTGGACGATTTCTTCAGCGCCGTGGATGTGCATACCAGGACCCATCTGTATCGCCATGCCTTGATGGGAGAGCTAGCCCGAGGGAGGACCAGGATCCTGGTTACGCATCACGTCGACCTCTGCCTGTCCTCAGCGCAATATTTGGTGTCCGTAGGCAATGGCACTGCGGTTGCGACGTCGGTGGAGGATGCTCGACAGGAGCAAGTAGGCAGGGTACACTCTGTGGCAACCGTTGATGACAACGGGATAGAGGATAGTGAGCATGTGATAGAACATATTCAAACTCCTCGTAGGGATGACGAGGAAGATCCAGGCTCGAGCAGGGAGGCAATTCGGGCATACTTGACCCAAGGGGGTTCAGCATTTCTCTGGGCTCTAGTAATTGTGTCATTTATCGGATATAGCGGGCTCATGCTGGGTCGGGTGAGTAAAAATTCCTTTCCTTTGTGATCCATTCAAGACGGTGTTGCTGACCTAACACCACAGGGATGGTGCATCAAGCTCTGGACCAGTCAAGCAACGCCCTCGCATTCTTCTGATCATCTCCGGTATTACTTCGCCATCTACCTGGGACTATCCCTCATTACTGCCATGGTTGGGATAACACGCTGCTATCTCATCATCAATGTTGCCTTTCGGGCCGCTCAGCGCCTGTTCAATCAGATGCTCCATACAATCCTCCGCGCTCCGCTGCAATGGCACGCTGCCATCCCCTCCGGCCGCATTTTGGCTCGGTTCTCATCCGACATGACCGTCGTCGATTCACGACTAGCAAGAGACCTGCGCAACACTCTCGATCGTGTTGCGGACGTCGGCATGGCCCTTGCGGCAGGGTCTCTCGTGAACCCCCTAGTCCTGCTTGTCGCAGCTGCCCTCATTATCCTGTATCTCCGCTTCGCACGCACCTACCTGCGTGCAGCCCGCATGCTAAATCATCTAACGAGCGCCGCAAAGGGTCCCATCTACGGCCACTTGGATGCGTGTCTGGCCGGACTTCCTATCATCCGTGCCTGGGGTCAGGTTGATGCATACCGCCAGTCATTCCTGGAAAAGGTCGACAACCACAGCCGGGCGTACTGGTCTCAACGCCTCCTCAACCGCTGGCTCGGCTTCCGCATTAACATGATCGGGGCTGCATTCTCCGCCGCCTCCGCCGCGCTGATCATATCGCTGCGCCATGTCAATGCTGGGACCGCCGGGTTCGCGCTTAGTTTCACTATGCAGATATCCACGGCCATCGGGATGGTGGTCCGCTATTATGCCTTCCTCGAGCAGGATGTGAATAGCCTTGCGCGGGTACAGGAGTACGCACACCTCGAGAAGGAGCGGTACGAGGGCCACGATGCGCCTGCAGCCTGGCCCACTAGTGGTCGCATAGAAGTATCCGATCTTGTCGTGCGACATGGGCCGCATCTACCCCCTGTACTGCAGGGCATCAATTTCCGGGTGGAAGAAGGCCAGCGCGTGGCCGTGGTCGGGCGCACGGGTGCCGGCAAGTCCTCCCTTGTGCTGGCACTATTTCGGATCCTTGAAGCTGAGCAAGGCCAAATCTTTGTGGATGGCCTCGATATCTCACAGTTGAAGCTGCAGATGCTCCGCGGCCGGATTGCAGTTATCCCGCAGGACCCGGCCATCTTCCGTGGTACGATCCGGTCGAACCTGGACCCGTTCGATGAGCATGAGGATGACGTGCTCCTTCACGCGCTTGAGAGCGTTCGGTGGCCCCTTGACTCTTCAACCGGATTCGCCATCTGCTCGCCTCTAGATCGCGCGGTGGACGCCGGGGGTAGCAACATGTCGCAAGGCCAGCGCCAGCTGCTCTGTATCGCGCGGGAGATCATCCGGCGGCCCAAGATCTTGGTGCTGGACGAGGCGACATCGGCGGTGGACAAGCAGAGTGACCGACTGATCCAGCAGTGCGTCCGAACGGTTTTTGGAGGTGGCTCTACCACGTTGCTAGTCGTTGCGCATCGGCTGGGCACGGTGGCTGATTTTGATCAGGTCCTGGTGCTGGCTGCTGGGAGAGCAGTTGAGTTTGGGAGTCCGATGGAGTTAATGCAAAGGGAGAATGGTATCTTTCGAGAGATGGTGGAGCATGACCAAGAGAGAGTGGTATTAAAGGAAATCATTGCCAGGGGAAGACTAGAGAGTAATTCTTGTAGAGCATGACTTGTATATTATTCTATGATTGAGCATATGTATACTATTTTGAAGACTGGTGTATTATATTTCTCCAATACCCGACAATTGCCATTAATGTTTATATATTCTTACAATAGAATGTCCTGAACTGTGCATATTGAACTATGTTTACTGAGCCAACTCGATGACAGTCGACGACGGCGTTTCTCTGCAGCCCACTGCACAATAGGGAAGGCCAATCGAGTTTTCAGGACAGATCGCACAGTTACTCGATACCTTATACAGAGTAATTAGTTTACTTCTTAAGCTATGCATGACGACGTCATGAATCATTAATGATGAATTATTAACGGGAATGATGTCGGTAAAATACAATTGGCAGTTACAGCGCTACCACCGCTACAATACTCTAGTGTTTTGTTTCAGGTACTAGTAACATTTGCCGTACTTGCTGGAAGCCCATGATACACGTCTAATTAAATTATGATACCAAGAGGAATGCCCCACAGGACCATTTTGCTCGTAACTGTATTTCATGTCCAGTGAAGATCCTATCCATGTCCGTCATAGCTCAAATTATCGATTCTGATCGCGACCGGGGCTGATCGAGCTCCTCCTGTCTTCTCCGTAGGACAGAAGTGCATCGGTAAAGTATTCCACATAGTCATAAATACCCTCGGCAATAGTATGCAATATTCAATGGTCTTATATTAGTTCATCTAAACTTGACTTTGTATGCTCCCTTCTGACTAAATTTACGATGACACAGTTAAACCCAACTGGGGCCATTTCTGGCACTTTCCATACTCTGTCGATCCAAGGCCCTGGAATTCTTCTTGGAGTGTTATTTTTCTATCTTTTTTACAAGTACACAAGACGGATCTACTTCCACCAGTTGAGCGCCATTCCCGGCCCCCGTCTGGCGGCCGCCACTCATCTCTACGAAGCTTACTATAACATTCTGGGACAAGGATTGTCCAAGCGTGCCATTCAATTGCACAGAAGATACAGTTTGTATTGAACTTGCACATTGTAAACCTAGCTAAGCATATTAGACTCCCCCGTCATCCGTCTTGGAACCAATCGCGTCCATGTGGGTGATCCCAGTTACTACCATACGTACGGCATATCCTCCAACCCGTAAAAATAGCACATCAATTGATCAAAATCTTAGCATTTACAACTCAGGCACAAGCTATCACAAAGATCCGGGAGTCTACAAGTTACTCGGCATCGATGGATCGATCCTTACCATCACCGATCCGGAGGAGCACAAACAGTACCGCAGCATCGTCGGCTCTCTGTTCTCCAAGAAACCGGCCGATGACCTTGCCCCGATGATGGCGGGGTTGCTGAACAGATCGGCCAAATCAATGGCACGCCAGGGGAGAGAAGGCAAACACTCCGTCATCCAACGTGTCTATCGGTCAATCTCGGTAAGACAGTAGTATCACCCAAATCCCTGGCTAAACTGAAATGACGCTGACTAGCTCTGGATTCCCATAGGCAGATATGGTGTCATATTTGCTGTTTAATCGACCGCTGGGTTTGATCGACTCACCACACGATGCGGATCATTACCATTCGTTCATGCTGAGTATTGACAGATTTACTGCGATTACCTGGCCTAGTAATGCGGGATTCCTTCATGTGACTCGGTGATATGGCTGACTATAACCTAAAGGATTCTACTACCCGATTTTGAACTGGGTTATCGATTCCTTTCCTACCTTTGTGGTGGAGAGGCTCCAACCAGGCCTGAGAAACTTGCAGGAGGTGTGTTTTCGCAGTGTCCATGAGTCCATTACTCACTGACCCCTTTTCAGCTATTCAAAGGATGGCTAGACGAGAGCATCGCCGCCCATGATGCGGGAAAGCCCGTCGAAGGTCGCAGAACCTACTTGGACCTGATGACTGAAGCGAAACGCAAGACCGGCGAACCTCTCCGCCCGGACCAACTCTTCGATGATATCTTGAATTATCTCGTGGCCGGCATGGAGGCGACTAGCTACGTGCTCTCCTTCGGAACATATTTCCTGCTGAACAAGCCGCAGGCGAGAGCGAAGCTGGAGGCGGAGCTGCTGGAGGCCCGTCCCTTCATTCGAGATGAATTTGACCACCGCAAAATCATGGCGCTACCTTATTTGGTATGTCTCCTGAGCTGATTTCCCGTCAAAGTGTATCTAAGAATCTTCCAGACAGCAGTGGTAAAGGAGTGTCTGCGGTTGAGTAATACCGTGCCGGGGTTCCTACCCAGGGTCGTTCCAGAGGGTGGAGTGAACATTGGTGGTTACGACATTCCGGGTGGTGTAAGCAAGACATAGTCCCATCAATAAAGACCCGAAATCTGACATGGGGATCGAATAGACTCAAATATCAATGATCCATCCCGTCGTCGAACTGAACGAGGAGATTTTCCCGAATCCGCACGAATTCATACCCGAGCGCTGGCTAGGCGACAACAGCCAAGATCTAGAAAAGTGGGCTATTTCATTCAGCAAGGGGCGAAGGCAATGCATCGGCACCAAGTACTGTCTATCACGCAATCCATCGAAGATTTTAGCTAATCAAGACATTTAGTTTGGCGTATATGATGTTGTATGCGTCTATCGCCGTGTTTTTTTCGCGCCTTGAGATGGAGCTGTACGACACGACAGCAGCGGATATGGAGATTATTGACCAATTTGCACCAATCATCCAAGGCACAGTCAAGGTGAAAATCACCACGGATCGGTGGAGGGAATGAGGCGACGAATAAGGACGGGGTGGGAAATTGGCATTCCATGCACAGTACATATAGGTACAGAACCGAGACATTCGGTTTTGCAATTTACTAGTTGTCATTAACCTACTGTCCCGGCCGATCGTTTCCAGGACACAAAACTGGGCCAAGCGCCCTGTAGGTCCGAGAACTTAGCCGATCTGCAAGAATAAGCATACTACTACTCCCTACGTAATCGTATTATTGCATTAGTGGAACTAGCGGAGTGGAGCTTCGTGCATGACCAGCCACGAAGCTGCCTGTCAGCCCCAAGTCTCGAATGAGCAGTGCAGTCGGCGCTCGAGAGCAAAAATCCCGAGCCTAATTAGTTCATAGGAAACTGGCGCACATCTCTTCAGTTTTGTCGAGGTTTTCTCGATTTTTCATAGAGCATTCCGTAGTCTCGTGACATTTGTTCAATCGAGCTGCAAGACGCAGCCTCAATTTAGTCAAAACAAGTGGCCCTGACTGAATACCTTAGCCATCAATTGAGCATGACACTACCACCAGTAAGCGAACGAGCCTCGTTCGAGGTAGCCAAACGCCTTCTCTGTCAGATTCTGAATGAAGGTCTAGTCAGCGGGACTTTGGAGACATTCGAATACGAACAACTGTATCTGTGCTTGTTCAGCAACCGCTGCATCACAGAGAAGCCCGAAAAATGCATCCGCGTGGGACTCCAGCCAGGCTCCCAGGCCCGTGTTTTCATGCGTTTTGGGCGGATCGTGTCAATGGTGCGCCCGGAAATGTTGCAGATGCCTGTTACTATCGTGGATGGGACATCTCAGCGACAGGAGCTTCATTCGGGGGCTTTGTTTCAGTTTGCAAGTAGCTTGTTTACAGAGCATGTCGAGGCATCGACATTGGAAGAGATAGCGTCGGGATTGGATAATAGCAGGGCAAATACAGGTTCGCATAGATTCTCCTGTCTCCCAAGTGATGCTGAAGAAATGGGCAGAGATGTGGTTGGAATTGCACTCCTTCCCTGAGCCATTAGACCTCAACTCGCCGTCCATCTCGTGGGAACGAGCGCTGATCTGGGGACACCCGACTCATCCAGTAAGTAGTTGCCCTCGTTGAGATGAGTCGCCCTTTTAATCATCCAACAGTTTCATAGACTATGCTATGCACAGGAAGGCTTAGCTCCAGTCACGCCAAAGGATCTGCCCGAGTTCCTCACGCCAACGCTGGCATTCGTATCCGTCTTACGGGCAGAGATCTCCATCTCGGGTCCTTTTGAGGAATCACTGAAGCCTCTGCTGACGCAACTGGGCGTCTCCGCTCCCAATAGTGATGACAGAGTCATTGTCCCCTGTCTCCGTCTTCAACTGCCCTGTGTCTACCGCCACTTCCCCAGTGCTGTCCTGGTCAAGATGGTTTCCGGCTGCGCAGACACGCAAGCTTCGATGCGAACTCTCACCCTGCGCCCGGAATTCAACTTCCCCTACCACATGAAACAATCCATCGCGTGCCAGGTCACCTCGGATGTGAGGGCAATCCGACCCTGCCAAACTCTCGGGGGGCAGTTAGTGAGGAAACAGCTGCACAAATTCTTCACACCGGATCTGTGGTGGTTTAAAGAGGTTGCGTCGGTGTCCGGGAGCCAGACGGCTCAGGGGGATACGCAAGAAAACGAAGATAAAGCGCGTCATATTGGCTGCATTCTACGTGAGGATCTGGAAGCTAGAGCGAACGCAAACAATGAAGCGCTGATCATCGCTGGGTCGCTGGCTCAACAACCCGCGAACGACCATCGGACACATGCGGAGATTGTTTTTGGTCTTGAGACTGTTGAGCAGAAGCAGGAGTGGCTCAAAGTGTAACTTTTCTTCGCTAGAAGCAATGGAGGGGGAGACTAATATCCATATAGGTATGTGACAGGCTTTCTACGAGCTGTCCTCCCTTCTTTGGTGCAGTACGGCATAGGTATGGAGGCGCATGGACAAAACACTCTGGTACGTGTGTCTCGTGAAACAAAAAAGATCACCGGATTCGTTGTCCGAGACTTTGAGGGAATCAAGGTGCATGTCCCCACGCTCGAGGAACTCGGCATAAAACTTTGCATGACCTCTCCAGGATGCACGAGGAATCTCGAGAACATCTGGAGTAAGATTCATCACTCCATCTTTCAGAACCACCTTGGTAATCTGGTATACGCGCTGGACCTCGATCGCCATGATGGATGGACGATCATCCGGGACGAGCTCTCTGTGGCCCTGAAGCCGGACACGGATCCGCGAGCCCAGAAGTTATATGACTTTATACTTCAGGATACAATGCCATTTAAGTGCTTTTTGAAGATGCGGATGAACGAGCATTTTAATGACGTGAGTTTTTCCAACCGGTTATAGTGAGAATGCTGACTTCTTTGGCAACGTTACAGTATGATGGTGATGAACCGGATCAACCGAGCGTCAAGGTAACATTCTTAAATCTGTTTACGCCGTTAATTACTAACAGTGTGTGTGACAGCACGATGAGCGACCGCTGCCTAATGCTCTTCTCGTGGGTTCTGCTAGATGGGAGAAAATCCTGAATGATCAGGCGCCGAGAAAGCTCGAGACTTGAAGTTGTCTACATGTGTTTGCCGCAGTGCCTAAATTGTAGCTATTCGACTCTATGTTACTATGGTGATGTCATATAAATATTCATCTAAATCGATGTAGCATCGGGATTGGGTTGTACAGCTGCTCAGGTGGATGCGTTAAATCAATCTATACCTAGTATACAATATCGTCAGAAAAGAATATCACCACCAATAATATCAAAAGCTCTCAATCCCCATAAGCACGTCAATAGCAGCTATGATCATGGCTTGCTTGGCTTTTATTTAAAGTCATCGACTGGATGGTCAGCAAAGGCAATCATATTTCACCCTACTACTTCAGCAGCCAGCATCTCCTCCCGACCACAATCAAAGACTGTCATTCCCCGCTCGGGTCAGTGCTTATAAGCCCATGAATACGTCACTGCTCTGTCTATGTAGAACCCCGAGTCGGCTTGAGTCGCCTTCTATAAAGAGAATAGAATATCGTAAAGGCTGAAGCCTAATGCATAGTCGTTGATCATTCAGCCGCCTCATCTTTTTTCTTTCGATTCTGCTTCATCGCCCATCCGGTCATTTCAGGGTGAGCAGGATCCACACGTGGCGCACTCATCGCGTCCAGATAGCTCTCGCCGTCAATAGCAGACTTCAGCTGTGGTAGAGTCTCGGGTTCGTTATGGATCATATAATTCTCGTATGTAGCCCATGCATCTTCCGTCTATAGCGGGTCAGAAACAATTCAAGAAAAGAAAATGAAAAGGATGGCCTTACATCGGCATCAACCCATTCCAACGACTCCCAGCGCTCCTCCTGCATATTCTTCAATAGCTCAATATTCCCGGAAACAACACTCTCACCACCCTCGGCCGGTTTCACTTTGACATCAACTGGCCGGGCCTCAGGCTCTCTGACAGCTGCTTCCTCTTCCGTATCCTTTCTCCCCCGCATGGCTCGCGCTTTGGAAGTCTCTTCCATGGCATCAAGATGGTGCAGCTGTGGCCGCAGCTGAACCACCGCAGACACAGGCGAAAAAAAAGATTCTCTGTTTATAATCAGCCGTCTGCGCTACACATACATCACAATCGAACCTACTCCCTCGAAACGCGCCAAGCATATACAACGGCTCGCCATCATACGGCTCCTTTATCCTCCCCGCCAGCGTCTGCGTGCGCAATATCGTCTGAGTCTTAGACTTCCCTGCCATCGCTTCCAGCACAGATGACGAAACCTCTTCACCTCCCTCCTCCCCCTCCAACTTCACGCCCCTCGCCGACGCGGCATTCGGATTAAACCCACCGGCAAGCCCAAACGCACCGCCACCCTTCAACACACGACTTTCACTCATCGCCTCGCCATATTTGTGTCCTTTATTAAAATCATACGAGTCTGGAGACGTGTTGATCGGCACGTCGATTTCGACGAGCCCCGTCTTAGGCTTTTGGCGCAGAACCAAAGGTTTTTGGCCCGTGGATTCGGCGTAAGGTCCGCCAGTGTTGCGTTTGTTGCGCTCGCCGCAGTCGCGGTCTGGGTATTGGAATACGTAGCGCGAGATTTGGGAGTCGGTTAGGAAGACATCGTAGGATGCGATGACGGGGTCCTCGGCGTCCATGGTGTCCATGGTGTCAATGAGTGTGTGAGTGTGTGAGTGTGACCCGGAAGAAAGATGGAAGAGCGGGCGGATTTTTCTGGGTTGGTCTTATCGATAAGGAGCTCCACCCCACCGCCGAATAGCTTCACCTTCACCGCTTGCATAAATATTTACGGAGTGAGTTATTTACGCACAATTTAGTTGAAAATACATGTAGAATAGTTAATACAACATCATGCCATTCAGATCTATTTACAATACATTCTTGATGAAATGCAACACTTGCTAGTCAAGCCATACATAACATATCCACTGGAGAAGTTCAATTACCAAATAAGAAAATCCAAATCATTATGAAGCTTTTAGCCCGTTGCTTTGTATACACGGGTAGCATCTACTCCTCGTCCTCTTCCTCTTCAGCAGTCTAGAAAAATATTAGCTGGGAGAAAAAAATCACATGCGGAAGGAAAGGAAAAACTTACATTATCATGGAAGGTCTTGCCCTCAGTAGTCTCATTGATAATACCAGCGCGGATACACCAGTCACCGAATCGCTCGGGACGCTCACCATCCGTCTTACGCTCAAGAGAGTACCGTTTGAGAAGATCCTTCATGATATCGAGGATCTCATCTTCCTTGATCGAAGAGCGGTAGAGCTTGTTCAGCCGCTGGCCGTGGTACCCGCCGCCGAGATACATGTTGTAAGCACCGTACGCCTTACCGACAAAGGCGACTTCGGCGAGCCAGGGCCGGGCGCATCCGTTGGGGCAACCAGTCATGCGCATGACGATGCTCTCTTTGGACAGCCCGTTCTGCTCGAGAGTCGACTCGAGCTTGTCGATAAGCACGGGCAAGTAGCGCTCTGACTCGGCCATAGCGAGACCACAGGTAGGGAAGGCGACGCAAGCGGAGGAAGACAGACGCAAACCGGAGAAGGCAGTATTGTCGAGTTTGTACTTGGCCAATAAAGCCTTGATTTCAGGGAGCTCTGAGTCTTTGATATTTGATAATATTAAGTGCTGGTTACCAGTCAACCGGAATTCGCCTTTATCGAGTTTCGCAAGCTCGCGCAGGCCCGTTCGCATGGAGAAATCGGTAGTATCTTCAATACGACCGTTTTCGATGAAGAAGGTGAAGTGGTTGAGTCCCTTCTCATCCTTCTGCCAGCCGAAGGTGTCAATGTTGGAGATGAATTTGAAAGGGCGGGGCTCGGCGAATCGAAGACCAGGAGGGAGGAGCTCTTCAACCTTGCCCTTGAACACATCCAAGCCCATGTCGTCGATGGTGTACTTGAGACGGGCATGTTTGCGGTTCTTACGGTCGCCGTGGTCGCGCTGTACAAGCATGATCTTCTCGCAGATTATGTGGGTTTGGTCGGCGGCAACGAATCCGAACATGGACCCTGTGCGTGGGTAAGTCTTCTTATTGTTGTGAGTTACACCCATGCCACCACCCGCAATAACGTTAAAGCCTTCAAGATGTCCATCAGCGCCCTTGATTGCGATCAAACCAATGTCATGCGCATAGACATCAGTGTCGTTGTGGGGCGGGATAGCGATAGTGATCTTGAATTTACGAGGCAGGTAAGTAGGACCGTATAGAGGCTCATGGTCCTGAACAGCGTCTCCCGCAACAAGGACCTTCTTGTCGTTGTCATCCTTCAGCCAAATCTCGTGATAAGCAGTGGTAGAAGGGAGCAAGTGGTCTGAAATCTTCTGTGAGATTGCATGGACTTCACGGTGGTAGCTAGAGAGTTCAGGGAGGGAACTGCACATCACGTTACGGTTGACGTCACCGCAAGCTGCGATAGTAGTCATCAAAGCCTTGTTAATAGCTTGCATTGCTGAACGGAGCTTGCTCTTGATAACACCGTGGAACTGGAACGTCTGTCGGGTCGTGAGTTTCATGGTTTCGTTTCCGTGGGCGCTGCTGATAGCATCCATCTGTAGCCATTGACTAGGCGTCGCAATACCACCAGGCAGGCGGCAACGAATCATGAATGAGTATGCAGGTTCTAGACCCTGGGCCTTACGCTCGTCACGCAAGTCACGGTCATCCTGCATGTAGGTGCCGTGGAATTTGGTAAGCTGCGAGTCACTGGCGGAAATAGCACCAGTGCTTTCATCCAACAGCCCCTCGACAATCGTTCCTCTTAAATAGTTAGACGCAGCTTTGATATCCTCGTTGGTCAACGGCGGGGGCTCATCAGGTAGACCTTCTACATTGTCGACTCCCAAGGCTTGCCAGAGGCGAGGCTCCCATTCAGCGTAACCGGTTTGGAAAGCATCCGGGTCTTGGTCGTCACCAAGTCCAATATCAGTGAGCTTGCGACCACCCAAGAAGGCAACCCTAGCATCGAGATCCTTGCCTGGCTTGTTGTAGTAAATCTTGTCTTCCTTGCGAGGCCAGTAATGGCTATCGCCGAGAGCGAAAACAGAGTACTTGATAGACGACAGATCGAGATCACCCGAGTTCTTGACAACATCCCAGAACGCACGACCGTTCTGAGGGAATTCACCCTGTCCCGCAGTGCTTGAGACGAAAACGATGTTCTCTTCGGTGGAAAGATCTTCTATCGGATAATCATCCATCGCCATAACTAGAGTCTTGAGACCCCTAAGGCGACCACGGTTTCCAAGACGATTGGCAATGCTGGCAGCATTGCCGTTGTCCGAAGCGAACAGAATGGTGAGGGGGGCTCCAAACAGTCCCTCCAACAGCTTTTCATAAGAATCTTTGGCCTTGCGTTTCTGTAAAGCGCGGACTTCGGACCCGTAGGATTCAGACAGATTGTTGGCGAACTTAGGATGACGACGCATGAGCTGAGTTAATTGATTGTCCCGGCGAAGGAACTCTTCGAGTTCATTTTTGATGCGCTCAGAATCAAGCGAGAACTTGGGCTCGCTGTCATCAGTGCTGGGGTTCCATCGGTAAAGAGGCCAATAGCCAAGGTCCACCGCTTTCTTAGTCTCTTGGAGAACAGTCAATGGGGAATCGTTCTCCTTGTTGTAGGGCAAGTAGGCCAAGACGACCGATGGACCATCGTATTGGTCAGCTTCCGCCATGGCCTGTAAGACTTGTGTGTAAGAGCCGTAAACGGCAACTGAAGCAACATAGGCGTTACCAAAGTTCATGGCATAAAGACCAATATCCTTTTTCCTGCGAGAAGAATCCGCCGCCATGTGCTCAGAATAAGGTTGAGAGTCGATGATCAGCATATTGACATTAGCACCAGACGCAAGAACATGGTGAACGCCAGAATTGCCAAGATCGTAAGCCCAAGCATCGGATCCAATCAACCACTGTGACTCCTTGTAAAACAGTTTTTTGTTCTCGAGAAGATCTCTCGCAAGTTTGGAGCCATCCATTGTCAACCGTCCAATGACGTCTTCGGCAATGCTATTAGCTTTGACGGTGTCACGAGCGCTCAAGGCCCATTTAGAGAGCCAGGTCTGTGGTCGATCTGTAGCAAAGTCTTTCGACTTGGCAGCTAATTCAACCTGCTTAATGAATCTATCACGATGCTCAGATCGTGCAATCAAAGAACCAAAACCGTATTCAGGACTAGCTGCGATTGTAGATGATATACCAGCATTGCTAGCACCCAGCTGGTTTGCAACGTACAATCGTTTACTGAATAGCTGATCCAGAATCTTGGTGTATGCATTCTCAATTGCTGGTTGTTCGATGTCTTTTTGAATGGCGTGTTCCTCGTGGCTGCCAACTTCAAGGTTCTGGATGGGAGAGTCGGATTGCAAATTCTGCAGAATACCGCGCAGTGCTTGCGCTACAGTAGATACCTCAATGTGGCCAAGACGGTATCCTACGAGCCGCGGGCTTCGCGATTGGCCTGGGGCGGCAGTCAAACTTGACAGAAGGTCCAAGAAGGACGGTCCCCATTTGGTAGTCTTTTTAACCTGTTCTAGGACGGCAATGCGCTCAATAGATGGTGGTATTTGGTTTGAGATCAGACTTCCCACCCATGGACGGTAGAGCCGGGCAGTAATGATTCCAACGTTTTCCAAACCGGAGTTGTCATTTCCTAGAGCATCAACGAAAATGCCGGTAGATCCAAAGATGAATATAGCTGAATTAGCGTTTTGCGGACCAGTGTATTCAATTGCTCGGTAATTCCTTCCCACATTGCTTTCAAGTGTGTGCCAAATGTCCGCGGTCCACTCGAATATATCAGCGGCGTTGACAGGTCTCACGTTGGTGCCATCAACAGTCGTGGCTACGGAGCTCAGAGCGTGGCTATCGACACTGCTATCTCGACGCGAAGATCCCACAGAGGAAGCCTCTTGGCTAAAAGCAGACGATACGGTGGAAGAAAGCGGAGGTGCCAGGCCAGCATCCGGACCAGCATCTGTCGCCGGGGCTCTTTCAACAGCATCCTCAGGGACCATTGGCAGCCGTCCTGAATCCGCATACAGTGTCTCGCCTTCACCGGATCCATTGTAGGATGGTCGAACTGCGTCCAGGTTCAACACCTTCTTCACCACATCCAAATCCTCTAGGGCAATGCTGTCGTCATGGACAGAGTTCGCAGGGTCGAAAAAGTGAATGACACCCTTGCCGGATCGAAGAGCAAGGGCATGAGCGGTCAACGCGATATCTTGTGCTTCTTGTACGGTCTCAGACTGGAGGAAGGAGAAACCACACTGGCGTATCGAGCTGATCACAGAAAAGTCTGGAAATGGTGAGGACTCAATTGCGACATGGATGACGACTGGATGGCTGGCAAGGCGGTAGAGGTGGGGGATTGAAGTCAGGAGGACAGATGAAGATGTGGTGACGGTGACAAGCTTGCCGGATTGGATAGGGTGGAAAGCTGACAGCAGAGGATCTTCATTAAAGCGGACCGCTCGAATCTGGAGAGTATGTTAATATCCCAAGCAGTATGAATTGGCGCTGCGAGTGCGGTTTACCTCGGGTATGCCCTTCAATAAGACGCTGCGATAATTCTCTGTCGCTAATGTGTGCAATGTGCTGGAGAACAGCGAGTCCTTCTGCAGGGACGGCTGGACGGAAACGACCACATCGCTGGCAAGGTAGGCGATTCTCGCGACTAATTGGGCTGTTAGTAGATGAATTGAGGGCAGGGTACATATCTGAAGAGACCTACCTGCTTGCGCAGACGTTGTGACAGAGGCCATGGCAGCGATCACTTTTCACGGCGCAGCTCCGAAACCGCACGGCGTAATACGGGACGAGGGAGGATTGCCTCTTATGACCGCATGAGACAGCTCGTCTCTGCGATGTGAAGGCGTGTAATCTGCAACAAGAGGATTGGGTGAAGTAATCAACCGAGTCCTGCAGAATACTTTGTTTTTTTTTTGGTTTTGTTGGAGTTGGAGTTTGCTGTCGACGCAATGAGGGGAGCTAAAAAAATCGTCCCTTTTCGGCAATGCTCTCGATATCGGCATGCAATTAGCGACGCACTGATTGGCCGCTGATCACGACATCGATGCAAACACAAGCCTAGCCAGGAACAAACATGCCGTTTCGGGCCAGCTTGCGGGGGGGTTCCCGTGATTTGCGCTGTCTCGGTCGAGAGCGATCACGCAATACTCTTGATTGTTAATTTTTATATAATTTTATATACTATTTTATTATTGTATCATTTTATTATCATTTAATTATTATAATTAGTTCTCCTTGGTGTGAATTACTTATGCTATATTATATTACTTATGTTTCGTATCGATTTATTATCTGGTGGCGGTTGATATGGTGCGTAGATTAGATTTATACAAGTTCCGAATGACACGAAGTACATGCACCCTAAATATCAATTGATGTAATGGAGATATTTGAGGATGTTTACTAATAATATTAATGTTACTCGGAAACATGCACGGTGTTCGAATTGCCTCTATCAGCATGGTGGTAGATACGACGTCTGATACGGATTACAGGCGTGACCGTTGAACCCTAACCCTAACCCATGTCTTCCATCGCAAATATGATTCGCAAAAAGCCATGCAAACAACAACATTTGAACGGTTCAAGGAGCAAGCAGATAATATCCCGCTCTACAGATCGCCTATCCCAGAGCCTCTCATCAATGATCAAAAAGAAAGCCTGACAGACGGCATCCCATATCCATTATACCTGCCTGGGAACCACTATCGGGGAGGCATGAGGCATGAAAAAAAAGCCTCTGTGAATTATTTTGCAAAAATGGTCAGAATATGCGTAGTCGTATTTATTCTGTTAGAGAAATATTCATCGTACTAAGGACCTATTACAGAATCTACGATATGAGTGGAATACTGATATCTATTCAGATGGTACATAGTAGCCTATTATCATTTAAGGTAAACCTTGTCTATACTTGATCTTAATTAAAAAGTGTTGATAAGGGATTTAAATTATTATCGTCGAGATACTATATCTCTATCTTACAAGCATTCTGCATTATAAAAGGATAGGACCTATAATATGACAACCAGTTCATTTGGATCCTCTAGTCTTGAAACAAATCTTCATTATTAGCCTCCTCAGGATGCGAAGGCAACATAGGACTGTAATATTAACCCATTCCAAAATGGGGTCCGAGAGACTCCGGCCAATACGCTCTTGCAACCATCTGGGAAGCTTAAGGATCTGTTCCCAGTCATTGGCCAAGTATTGGTTCTCTTCGTGTCTCATCCAACTTCCAGTGTAAAAGCATGCGGGGAGCAGTATCTCTTCATTTACCTTCTTGTTTGCGCTTCCTCCATGGAAAAAGCCCGACAGAATGATGAATCCATCCCCGGGGTTCAGTTCTGCGAAGAGTGTTTTATCCTCGCTGGCAGGTCGGTCGGTGTAATCCCAAAGGTGAGACCCTGGAATGAAGCGTGTGGAATTATTCTGTCTAGCAGTCTTCTTTCCTGAAACGATGAAGCCGATACCAGCGTGGCGGCCCAGTTCGTGTCTCGCAGCAGCTCATTGGTTCTGATTGTGGATTTTGTCATCACTATAACCAGAGATTAGCAATATCTCTCACCTGCGGACGTGTGGGCAGACCTATGGAGATTCTGATCGTGCGCACCAATCCCAGTGCTGAACACGACGGTGTTGTTCTGCTGGGGTTTGGAACTGCTCGCCTCATTCTTTTCACATGGCCGACTATCCGTAATGCAAAGGGTCTTAGACTTTCTCACCAAGCCAAAAGCCCTTCTTGTCTCTGGCGGGAAAAGGTCTCCATCCCAGAGTCTGTTCTGGTCTAGCCATGGTCGAACATCGGACTCGACTTGCCGAATCTCTTCGGGAGTTAGGATGTTACGAACAATAACTCTACCAGACACCTGGAGCGCTGACACGAGTTCTGCAAAGGTGCAGGTCGAAGCTTCAAGTTCAAGAACAGGCGGTATTGGAGATTTTAAAGATTTCGGTTCTTCCCTGGCAAAAGGTATCAGATACAAATAGACTGTAGATCTAGGGCGGCTGGCGCGTATTGGAGTCAGAACATACTAATCGATTCCATTTGTATTCTGAGCTTTTGATCAAGTCGTTTTAATCATATCGTGTCACAGAGCTATTTAAGAAATTAATTTAAATTAAGATGGAGCTTAGAATTACATGTATATTAATAAAATGAGGTTATAAATAAAATTGAATTTATGCTTTATTCCGTACAAACTGTTAGGAATAGTATACATTGTGCCGGTTCGCAGGGCGCCAAAATCCGTGTCCGACCAACCACGGGCCAGTGTGGGAAAGGAATTGCTCAATCCTGTTTCGCCTTAGGGGTATAGTAGTACTAATATTGATTAATTTGATTTAGCAGCGTCTCTTACTGCTTTAATAGCTATATTTTACCATGTATTAGATATACAAACTATAAATGGATCTCTAAATGATAGAAACATTTTGTATTTCTGTATTTCTTTTATCCGGCTTTTGTTACGATCGGCACATGGCTAAGTATGTGGTACATTATCATTCAACTAGAATTCTAAGCATGAGGAGAGAAATTGAACCCTGTACAGCCGCGCGTCGCGGTTAGATAACCCATGTGGGGCGTGTACCGCTGGGCACGTGGAACGCTAGCCCGAACGCTAGCCGCCTTAGACATCCACATGCCGAGCGGGCCGTCACACTGACATGAAATGCTCTGTTTGCGGAATGCTACAAAATTCTACTGAAATAGCAAGATGTTATTGAACAGCCCAATAGGATCTCGTAAATAAACATGTAGGTCCCGGCGCATAAACACATGAAACACGACGTTAGCCTAGGGTTTAACCCTAATGAGTGTGATAGAGTATTCACGTAGGACGCCCACGGTATGTACGAGACACATCCACTGCTTCCGTTCGTCGAGGCGTGTCTCAAATTTCGATAAATAGTATTCATATTTATAACTGATGAAGCACAATACCGCTTGCGGAAAACATTAAGTGAACACTTTGTTCGATATGAGGCAAAGCCTTCAGGATCTGCAGAACCAGTTAAACGCACGATGACGTGGACCACACTCAACTCGACCACGGGATAACAGGGTCCGGCGACCCGACCAGCGAGTCGTATCGTAATCTAAGCCTATAGTAAGTAATGACCCTTCTGGCACCTCCATCTCTACAGGAGACGTTCTGGCCAGAGTTCACTTGGGTGACTATATCCCACCAAAGGACCAGAAAATATCACCACTAGCCAATGATTGGGCATCTTTCCTGACGGTCATGGGCAGTTATTTAATAGGACGCGTGTGCAGACGTTCTGATTGCTTGAAAGAGATGAAAGCGGAAGTAGACAAAGCCCTGAGGATATTCTCGCCTTCAGAATGGTTTCATTCAAAATCACAAAAAGTTGTGGGATCTTCGTTAGATTGTCGAAATAATGCTCTCAGAAGAATGGGAGGCAACTCGAATGTATTTCTGGAATGGGAGGCTGTGCACGTCCACGTTCTCTGGGTCGACATTAATACATACTCATCTCGCGTGCACAGTCGTCTAGGTATTCTTGTCTTGGAATCTGTGGGAAAAGCCCGAATTTAGTCAATATGGGGAGGGGCTGATTCCTTTCTGGGAGACATACGATCCGGCGATAGTTACGGAACAACTCACAAACCTCCCAAAATCCGTCCCAAAGCGTTTGTCGGCCTACCTTGAGAAGCTGCAGGAAGAGGGTGAGGCAAAGCGACGCATGATGCAAACCAGAAAATAAAAATAAAATAAAAATAAAAAACAGCAGCATAGCAAAGGTCGAGAGTTGAGTCTGGGAGATTTTGTATTATTAGTAATGCTGAATTCAATCGATTTTGATGATTTTATATCAAGCTTCCCGGATGTGTATCTGCCATCTTCGGATTTTCTCTATTAAGGTGTTTTGGATACTGAACATTAGAGATACGAGTATACGATGCTCTCCTAGGCTGAAGCAAAAATACCTGGGATGTTGATGGTGTAGATTAACATAATTCAGTACATAAGTGTGCTTAACAGTTGCTAATCAAGACCGGATGAGGCCAGAACGTCGGTACTTTTGAGAAACACGAGGTTCAACATTCGAATAAAATTCGAACCTTCGAGGGCAGGCAGTGTTCAGTCTCAGCAATATCGCTGATTGGTAGCGCAACAATCGACATCAACTCGAAAGCACTGGGGAAATGGTCAATCCTTCCACAATCACTTTGTGCCGATAATCTTGCTAACAAGAGCTGCGCCCTGCAGGTACAAGTGATTCATTTGAGGACAATTTTCATCAAAATAAACCTTGTCCTTCTCAAATAGTAGAATATAGTCTGATCCACCGTATTTGAGGTAGCCGATCTCCTCCCCCTTTTGAACCTGAGTATTTGGTGCGCCCGCCGTTTGTTTATCCCAGTTGACGGAGGAGATTTGAGCCATACCAACTGCGAAAAGTGCCACTTTCCCGATTCTAATATCATCTACTTCTGATTGATCTGTATCAATTACCCACATACCACGCACTTGATTCCACTGATAGCCGGCGTAATCCTGGGCGGTAACGTCTTCAGGAGCATTCAAGCCTTTACGTGGCATCATTCGTCGCGGCAGAGGCAGTAGCTTCTGTTTGTCAGGATCCGCAGTGACTTCAAGATAGACGTCCCCTTTAATCGTTTTGCGGTTAATCACCTTTCCGCTGACTGGAGCATGGACACGATGGTAATTATTTGGTAAAAGAAACGAATGCATAAAAACACCATTATGGAACGTTTTGCCTAGTTCGGTGTCCTGCAGTAGCTGCTCAATTGGCCACTCGATCCCTTTGAATTTGACGGTTTGGGTTTCGAGACGCACTTTTCCATCCTTGATCTCCCAGAAGCCATCAAACTTGGCGTCACACGGACTTGCAACAGTGTTTCTAGGACAAATAGGTCTGTATACCGGATTCACCGTCCGAGAGAAGAATTGGTTGAAAGTCTTCCAGCCACCCTCTGGCTCTTGATATTCAAAGACTGTGTATTCTGGGTTCGTCCTGAATGTCGAGACAAGTTTACCAGAGTCTTCAGTATCCATCCACTTTCCTAGACTGTCGGCGTACTCGTGAAGCCAATTGGAGAGCGGCGTTGTCTTGCCAATATAAGCTGGATCTATGGGGGTCTGCTTCTCGACTATGCCCTTCTGATCAAAGACAAAGTAAAACACCGAAAGCATCCAAAGTGCCTCATCCCTCGCAGACGTGGTAGACGGTACCCATTTCACATAGCGATTGCAATATTGGAGGAAAGACGTCACAGTTTCAGTATCCGTCTTTCCTTCATAGATCCGGGCTTGGAGAAGGTCAACTTGGGCCGTCTTAAAGGCCTCCCCAATTCCATAAGCGAAGTCTTTTTCCCATTTATTTTTGGGATCATAAATCATGTCATGGAGGCTCTGGACAATTGGCTCGTATTTTTCTGTGGAAGGCATTGTGTAGGTACTGCAGAAGACTTTCCGATATTGGTATGTCAGGTGTTTATACTTCAAATGATAAAGATTAGCTGCGGGTTTGGTTTTGGCTACTCGATGCTTCTCATTTCCATGGCTTCGGGGAGGGGGTTTTTGTAGTCAAGGGAATGGGTAAAAATGATACAGTCACTTTTCAGCAATTGCTCTAGATAGCGTCATACATTAGAACGATGATTCCATTATTATTCAACGACTGTCATGACGTCCTTCGTTGAGGACCAGCTGGAACACTACTGTGCATCTGTTCAAGCACAGTGTTACGCGGAGGAATCTCCACCATCCTCTTCAGGATACGACGACACATCAAGCTGTTTTCAGCCCAGTTACATTGAAATGCCATCTAGACCATTTTCTAAGTTAATCTGGTTGTCATGATAACAATATGGCAAGATGTTTGTCCGTGTTCAGTAATCGGTTATGTCAGGTATCCCATGATCTTGCATGTTGAGCTATAGCCCTTTGTGGTGGGCATGTAACACAAGCATTCCACACGGACGGAGCAGTTTTACAGTATGGGGACAAAATTTTGAATATAGCACTAATTACTAGTGTGAGGCTATCCTGTAAAGCGGGAAATTGCGTCCAGTTCTGGTAGTTGATTGCTTAGATCTAGTATAGCGTCATGTTCCGTGTTTACAATTATTTAGCAGCATATTCAAGCTTTTGTCACCTGGCTGTAGGTTAACCAACGAGACTTGGTCCGTCCCAAGGAACGCTCCGGCCCAGAATATCCGAGTTGATGCATCCGGACTGACGGATGCATCAATGACTTTACGAGGTGATGTTATCATGGGCAACCACAATGGAGAGACCTGTAGGTGATGATCACTGCTTATTGTACTTACAGCGTATGGGGTAGCTTTATTCGGTGTCAATTGACGGCATGCACACTTGCAGTTGCACCTTTTGGTGCTCGATGTTTACCCGGCTACTTGCAAGTTTCACTACTGAGATGGTTGCGCCAAAACTTATAAGAGCCGCACTCTTTTCTAGGCTTGTGATAACCCATACCCTGTCATGCCGACAAGGTTGACGACGATCAAAGTGATACATAGTCCCGAATGAGATGATTATATGGGTAGGAGCTATGTTGGGGGGAGTTTCGAGAGCGCCAGGTGAGATGCTGCCGAGGAGTGAGGTCATGTGGCGTAAATCAATGTATTATACGGAACATAGAACCACTAGGTTATCTTGTAGAGATGGTACGCATTAAAAATTCTAGACATGCTACCTAGTTACGCGTTGTTACAAGTTTTCATATTCTACCACAGTACCTAAGACTAATTCCGTACCTATCCACCAATCTTCGGCGAATTCAAGATGCTTTCAGGGAAGGTGGCTTAGCTATTTGTGTCAATAGAATGTTCACCTACGTAGAAATTAAATATTGAATTCTTCTCCTCTGGTTATTATATCTCTTAAAAGTTACGCGAGAGCAGCGCGCCTCTTCAGGCTCAGAATTCCTCCGAATACATTGGCCATTCAAGGTAATATTTTCTACTCTACGGTACAGTGAGTAATTCCTGGCCAAAGGTAAAAGAACCTAGAAAACAAAGGATTGCAGACTGCCTTCTACAAGTCCTCATGCCAGTGAACACCAGATAATTCAAGGCCGACGGAATCATCAGATGTAGGTGTATACGGACAAGCATTACAAGGTTGCTTCGGATCCGTGATGACATAGTTCTCAATCTTCGCGGTTCCATCTCCGACGGCGTTGATTTGATTCTTCGCACATGTGCCACTCAGGGCCCAAAGGTAGCATGTTGGGGCTGGTGCTAATGGTAGGGTATCTGTATGTGTGGAGGACGATGTGCCATTGGTTGAATAGGAGGGAGTGACCTCGATATTTCCCGTCTCTACATCTTTACCGTTCATGACACGGCGGAAGATCTCTAGTGCAGCCTCTGGTTGATATGCAGGAATCATGTGACCGGATTGGTAGATACGGCTGAATGAGTAGTTGCCATGCTGACGAACCTGGCCCCAGATATCCGAATCGTGAGTGATATTCGCGTATCCGGCGGCTTGGAATGCGGCAGATGAATCGTACTGGACATCAAGACTGGCCTGTTCTCCTCCGACCCAGTTGCAGGCGAAGTCTCGGTCTCCGTACAATAATGCTACCTGGACTTTATGCTCGAGGAGATAGGCGATGTCACCGAGATAGCCCAAGGGATCTCGTCGCGGGTAGTCACCCGTGAGATTGAATGCTTTCCCAACCGTATTTGAGATTAAGGTAAAGTTAACGGGAACCCCCAGCGCTTGTTGGACCTCGGACCGGGCCAAGTATCCAATAAAATAGTTTGCGGGAAATGGATCCAGGTTACAGTGACCAATATCGTAGAAACCTCGTTTGCTGGAGAAGATATATGCCGCCTCGACTTCTGCTTGGCAATTTGTGCTGGTATCAAAGCATACCTTATTGACTAATGTAACATTACCATACATATCTGGGTCGTATTTTGCGGCAAGGTTAAGGCAGTTGTCTATCTGGTCTTGACAGCCGTATGGTTTCTCGTAAGCCTCGATTGCGTCAGTCCATTGAACTTTTTCAATCGCAGTAACCCCAAAAGTGTTTCGGTTATAGGCGTAATCTGGGTCAGCTGTTTCTTGGGTGCGGAGATCGATGCATCCATTGATGACCCCCAAGGTGTCTAGGTTTATCGGCTTAAAGGTGTCACGGGGATTGACGATTTTCTCATTCTGTTGATGGAAGTACGCAGCGAAGCCGGGACCGTAGCGACCACCGTATGACTCCGTCCAAAGGCCAACTCGGTCATTCCTGGATTGGTTCTTATAGACATCGAACTCTTGGAGCCACACTTGGGCAAAGTTCCAGAGATGCCGCGCCGCGTTGGCGGTGGTGTTGGCAGTAGACGTCAGCGTTTGGCTGCTAAATGTTCCTGTCTTGTTAAACGGGCCTTCAGTCTCAGAATGCGGAATGACATCTCCACTCAGCAGGTCCAGCGTTCCGTTGGTTGGAATATCGTAGCTGAAGCCAGTCTGGACTGGTTGGTCGATATACAGCATATTAGCATGCTTCGTCCAAGCATAATCGTTGCGGCGTGTGGATTGGGAGTCTTCATTCACAGCGCAGGGTCCATTTTCTGTAAAAGCACCGAACATGGACGATCCTCCAGGTCCCCCTTGGAGCCATATCGACAACGGCGATGTCTTGGGGTCGGACTGGGACTCAAAGTACCAGAAGAATAAGTGAACGGGGAAGTCTTGAATCGCATCTTTCATCGTATTTGCCGGAAAGTTAATATACCCAGCGTATGACTCTGACGCCGAGTCACAGATGCTACCCTAGTAGTCCGCAACTTAGACTAACTCGGTAAGATTCGTTGATCAGTGAGAGCGCTTTCTTACCGGCACCTTATTGTAAGTGATAGTGACGTTCGGAAGTACTTTAGAATCAATCTTAATCAATCCACCCGTGGTGGAAGGGTACTGGGCAATTACCAACCCGGAAAAGAGCGCTGCACCTATCACTGTTGATGTGATCATTGTCAGGAGTGAAGTCTGTTCAAGATCGGGTGCAGTTAGGATGAAGTCAAGGGGGCATTCCAGTCAATTAGCATGGAAGGAAGAAGGCTTATATACTGTGAAAGAGTGAAATAAACAGTAAGTATTGACCTGAAGTGTCTCCATTGCGTCATTATCATTGCCGATCAGGAGTGACCGGAATTTCCGTCATACCTGACCAGGACATAATTTCCTTTCATTTTTGTTTTCAGTGGAATAGCTGAGACGATTCCCTTGACTGAATAGAAACAGGCCAACCAAAGTATCTCATTTGTGGGCTACAATTATATAACAATGACAAGTCATATAAATGCATTGCTCTTCTGCCTACCATATTTTATCTGGTAAACAGCATCGAAGTAAAACATGTGAAATCTAGAGAAAATGGTAGGTGAAGACCCGTTTACAGTACCTTGACTATACACAGTTTTTCCTCTGTGTGTTTTCGACTCTATATAGCTTCACTGGAATGCACAGGGTCCAGTAATGAATAGATCAAAAAAATGGAATGCGTTTGTTATATTTTACCATACTCTTACTATTGTTGAAAGAAGACTTAGTAATGTTATGATTATTCACACTGTCTATGAGAAGACTGCCTTAGAGTGGATAATAATCTGTATGTGCAGACTTCGCCGTGCTAAAGATCCTAATTCTCTTAGGACTAGTCTTAGTTAGATTCACCCTGTCCAGTGGCTAACCTAAGTATGTATGTTGAGAACGCTTGTGTTACATGACACACCGTAATGAGCAATGGATTTTATCTGACGAAAATATTCAGAGGTTTAACCATATTTAAGCTAGATATTGAATGTGTCACTTCTTCCAATACTGCGTGTTGAACTTTGGTGCGCTAGTAGCGATTATTAAACAAATTAAAAACGGTAACAAATTCAATTAAATGTTTAGATATAAGCCTGAGTTACAAATATCTCATATGCGAATTTACTGTATTATTTGTCATCCAAAGACTTCTGGCCAAAATCGGTATTTGTCAGTATTGGGTAATCCCAATTCCCGACGTGTTGCGCCTATCCGAATGTAGGTAGGGGGTCTTATTTTCGACACCGTGACGTGAGATATAGTCTAGGTAGTATCTCACCGTAACTCATCGCAGAAACCAGTGTGAAGTGTCGTCGGGTCCCGCAGGAAAGTGCTGGTGATGGATCTCCAACGTGAAGTGCTATCATTAAATTCGCCAGTTTTCCGCGGGAGTCCCAGAGCTGATCTAAGCCTATTTAAGATTAGACGCGGCTTTTAAAAGTATGTTGAGAAAGTCGGCCGCCAGGTGATCTGGTACAGTGGAGCATTCAGTTTTAACATCTATATACGGAGTGTGTAGATTTGGTACTGAGCAAAAAGAACATGCATATTTGAATTCATGCACGAATGCGACATTTCTAGAGAGATCCCCTTACATCTGCAAGGCACATCATCCTGCCAAGACCCCGTAACCCAAGTCGGAGTCTCCGACCAACTCGGTAAGCAACTGGTGATGCAGGTAACAGTAACATTCGAATGGAGCACCGATGAAGATGTCACAGCATTCATGGAGACATGGCTGTTGCATCGCAATTTTTCGCGTCTATGGTAATGTCTAGGGCAATTTTGAAGAAGCAACGATACCGCCTTCGCCCTATCCTCCCGCCTACAATTACCCGCCCGCCCAAGTCCCGGACACGGATAGCATCGAGCAGACACAATCTATTCCTCAGTTTCTAGTCTTTATCATTTGAAGTACAATACTTCCCATACTTTGAGTAAACACAATCTACTCCTTAGTCAACCTTCTCTATTGCTTGAAACCAATACCCGTCGCATATAACCATCAGAATGACTTCTATACCGCTACAATGTCCAAGAAAGAATACTCGGAAATTGTGGACAAGTTCCACAAGATGATTGAAAGAAATGAACGTTGGAAACAAAATTTTGCTGATGGCATTGGGGCTGCGTTTGGCAGCGCCAAAAAGGACCTTCTCGAAGCCCAAAACTCGGGGGAGAAGATTCTGACGAAACTGTGACATCTTTCGTTGACTTCTGCGATCGCTACTTAAAGTGGGTGCCGACTACCACGTCCGAACGGGGCGAAGCGCACTGGATGCTTTCGGTGTTCTACGTCGTCTTTCGATCAAGATGCCATATTCAAGAGTCGCCAGAAGCAAACCCCCATACATCCGGAGGCTATTCCCAATGAAGCCTCTCTATCCGTATGGATTCACGAATACGCGGATGAACTTGGCAAGCAGATGGACACTTAATAATCTGCTGTGGCATTCGACGCCTTTTGCAACAACCAGGAATACACGGTCTTCCAGTACATAGAGCCAAAGGAAGGCTTAGAAGTCATTCAATGACTTCTTGGCTCAAAAGGTGAATCCGATATACCAACCTATCGCCCCTAGAAACACCGTGGCCAATCGATGTGAAACAAAGTTCGATGGCTACTGGAAGATAGTGGAGACTTTATACTTTCTAGCAAAACCGTCAACTTTGCAGAAATCAGATGGCTTATCAGTAGGGTTAGGGTTATTATATCCCAGTCAGTAGAAGTCTTGATTAACAGTAAAAATATTAAAGAAAAATTTTATCTTGAGGTAACTGCAAATAAGAAACAGAGAAAGCTGCGACGTATTCTGCGATTCATGAAGCCGCACAAAGACTTTAGTACTCCCGAAGACGTTGAAGCCTAGGATGACCCCATCTATCAGTAGAATCAGGTGCATTGTATGTGGGTATTTGATAGATTAATTGGACGATATGTAAATTGAGAAAGTGATCCTTTTTGCCTTTGGTATGGCGCAAATTCCCTGGGTCAATTATGACAAGAGCCCCCAGGGAACTGAATATCTGGGCTTGAATGCAAAGGTCCAAAAAGGCGATTCGATTCACCCATCACATACTAATGATTGTTGCTGTCATAATAAAAAGTGAACCAAGGGCCGTCGGAGATCGTCGGAAAGCCAGTCTCCACATCTATCATGAATTTTCTGGCCCAATGCATTAGTCAACATGACTGAAGTCCAAAAAAAAAAATGACACGAGCAAGGGGTTGTCCGAAGCATATGCAGAATTTTCTGTGTCACCAATTATGAACAACTAATACTAAATGCAATTTCCAAGTTCCTCGGGAAATATCTACAACCGTTAAGCAGCCAAGGAAATCATAAGCACTCCCCATATTCTTCATTCCAACGCGGGAGCTCACCAGAATGTAATTGTATTGGCTATGAAAGTCGAAGTAGGTGGTCGTGTCCGGTATGCACACAGAGTCGTCGAGTCTTGCAGACGGTTCGAAAGTACTCATAAGTTTTCAACTTTCCCATACACTCTACCCTAGACCTCCCTCCTCTTCACCTCTTCAGAACACACTTTCCTACTTTGATCATTGCCTTTAATGAGCTGTAATCTCTGCTGAAAAGAATTTAACTACGCTTTGCTAACTTAAATAAAACATGGCAAACACAGGGAAGTGCCCTGGTTATGAACCCCAGCCGGAAAAAGATCACAAAGGTACGTAATTATCACCCTAGTACCCTTCTAATAGAAACATATCTGCTAATTTTTACTCTTTTTCCTCGGTAGATGACTATAATGACCCTGGGAAAGCTGAAAAAGCTAAAGGTGTCATCAATACTGCCCATATCCTACATTTTACCTTCCCTGAATTGCCCGACAAAGGTGGTTTTCCGACTGTACTCAACTTAATTGGGGGAATCATGCCATCCCCGGAAGGACATGACGTCCTGTATGCCCACGGTTACGTCCCAAAAGAGATCTTGCTGCGTTTTGGTGAGCCTCCAGTGCATCATCTGAAGGTAACAGTTACAGCCAGCAAAGTGTACAGTTATTACTTTGGCTATTCACCTTTCAGCCACGGTATTACTTTCCGATCCGCTGTAATCAATGGAAGCGCAACTTTGCTTCGTTACTCTCCAGATACTCCGCAGTGTAAGGCGGAGATTAGTGACAAGGAGATCACTTCGAAAGATGAGTTGCCGTGGGCACTGTTCAATATTGTTGAGGGAATGTTTGGTAGTGAACACAGATGGAATGATACTCGACATCCCTTTAAGGACGAAGAGCTCAAGCGTGTTCCCGTTCTCCGAGTTGAAATTGACAAGAGTGCATCTCGCCTGCATGAGCGCTTGGGGGTCCTAGGTTACGAACCTGATTGGGAAACAAGCAGTGGAGAAAAGTATTGGGAAGGTTCGATTCCTATCTGGGAAACGTATGGAGATCATATTCAAGGGAACACCAAACGAGACTTTCCAGAGTACCTGAGCAAGGTTTTCATTGATAGAAAGAAACATAATGAGGAGGTGGCAGTGGAGGAAGCAAAGAGGAAGTCGAAAGTTCAAGGATGAGAACTGTCACGGGAGCTTTATGAGTTATTTTAACTCAGAATAGCTGTCGAATCTTCCCTAGGATCTCAATTTAAGCCTCGAGTTTTGTCTCACCGGCATGTTACTCCGCCGTCTGGGTTCGTATGTTGTAGCCAGCATACTATAGCGCTAACTAACCCTAGCTCTTCATAACAAAGAGAATTACCACAGCTCAATAATACTTCCGTAGGATAGAATGACATGATATCTTCAAAACGGCGGCTCTATGTCAGAAAATCTTTTTAAAATCCATATAATCCTCAGCTTGGGAAGATAATGATTTACATCATTATGATTAGATGGAATCAGTTGAAAAGTTTGTAGAATAGCTCTGTATTGGTCTAATATCTTTATTAAAGGTTTATATATATAAGATTGCTCCCAAGGCCGTGGCACGGCACCTATCAATTCAATACCGGACATGCTCCACTGCAGGCAGTCGTGGCGACCGCGGGAGGCCCGGACGGCTGATTATGGGAGTGGGAAGCTATGGAGGAGGAGAGGGGCCTAGGCCCCAGGGTGAAGGACGACAGCTCTGGGCGGCCTGTCATCGGCTGGCGACGCCCGCACGTTTGGCTCCCAGGAGGGAGGCCCCGCCAGACCCTATAAGACCCCCGAATCGCCCTGCGCATATAAGCGGCCTGGGGTGAGGAATTTGTTCGTACATTAAAACGCTAGGCCCTATAAGGCCCACTAGCGCCGACTGAAACGAGACCTTCATAGCTTATAGCTAGGTAAGGTCGTTAAACATGAATAAATAAAATAAATATAAGTGACATTAAGCCTATTTGAAGTTTTTCCCTGTGAGTTGTCTGAGTATCTTCATGAATATGAGATCGTTCAGGGTGTAATCAGTCAGGGCTTGTCTTACTTGATGTCAGTGCAATAGTCGGATGCAATGATAGTCTCAATACTATAACAAATCATTGTGGCAATTCTTAGGACTAATCATGAGTACTGGCTTGTCATTTATAAGACTGAGTGATCATCTCGACGATTCCTATATCTACCTCGAGGATCAGATACCTAGGTAGTCCTAATATCCCGTTAATACACAGGACAAGGCTACCAGCAACTGAGAGTGTCCAGATGAATTTGCTGAATCCAGTCGACAATGTTCTACATACGTGAGGCTAGACAGAAATAGGACGTTCGAGCTCGAGTCAACCAGTAAGATGCTGTTCAATCGAAAAGATAAAAGCTACCTATCTTCCTTCCACCAGGCGAGGACAGAAAAGTAGAAAGAAATTTATAAATCAGATCATCCCATTCAATACTTACCTCCAGCTCCTCAGCCATCATATTACAGTTAACCACCAACTGCCAACAATACTTCAAATACCTCTGCAGCTCATCCCGATTTCCTGGATGAAACGGATCGTCGGGATAAATAAGTCTGCGTTTCACCGTATAATCAGCTCTCTCCATCACATCATAGACCAACTCTTCCGGTAAACTTTTCAGACGTAATACATCCCTGACGACTGCGACTGCAAAAATATCTGGCAAGTACTCTACTTCATGTTTCTTCGAACTGAGGAAATCTTCAATTGGCGCCAGTCCATACGGAAAGTTTTTTTCGTCCTCAAAATACTTGCCTGCACTATGAATACTATAAATATCAGGCATATTATTCTGACCAAATTTGAACTGGTCATCGCTAATGCCGAAGAATGCCCTGTGTGGGTATTTTGCTATTTCAGACGTGCAAGTGGAATAGGTACATGTCCGGAGCGTGCGTTGGTACAATTTGGTCGATCTGTAGTCTGCTAGCTTGCTTGATGATGATGTGGAATCCCACAATGCGGGGAATTCGTAGAGGATGTTCAGGCAGAGATACGCATTTAGGGCTGATTCATAGACTATATCCCAGCCGGCATCATAAACCTGTTGACACTATTAGCCTCATTTTCGTGTTCTTCGATAGGGGAAGGGGATCAGGGCAGAGCTGACTGACCTCGCAATAACATTGTGCCTGTGATTGCCATTCCTCAATATCCACATTAGGATGAGCACAAACACGAAGGATGGGCTCCATCTCTCTGTATAGCAGAAGTGTCTTGACCAGCTCAATATTGTAGAATGCCTCCGTATTCAGTTTGAAGAATTCATAACAGCGGTTGGATGTATACTGTCGTAAAAAAGATGATACTTTTCTTTCCTGAAATGGAATTGCGCATCTGCATCTAAAGCCATCATTATGAGTGCAGAGTCGTCGGAGTGATGGACTCGTTAAAGATTTCGTTTCCGACGGGACCGCCAGATCCCAATGATAGCGGTGTCGCCATTTGTACACAAGTGGACTGATCTTCTGTGTTGTAGCATCTGTTAAAAGAACATCGTCCTCGTTTGGCACGTCAAATCTGGCAAGATATTTCTTGCGCTCACATGCTGTATGTTCTCTGATATTCTTCGCGAATGAAATGGCGAAATGACGAATGTCGTCGGTCTGGTTGGGGTTGAATTGGAAGTATAGGTTGGTGGGCTTGTCTTTGCTGGGTGATTTGGGCGAGTAGAATTTTAAGTTCGACGTCAGGGCATGCCAGGCAATGTTGTGAGCTTGATGTGCCATTTTTCTTCCTATGTTTTGATGAAACCAACTACGCAAATGATGTGCGACGCTAAATTGCTTACCATCATGTCACTTTATACTAAGCCTAGCTCAGGGCATTAGTAACATATTACGGTGGACTATACGTACAACCTTGCCGAAATTCGTTTTCGTAATGTTTTTCATAAAAACCTCTAAATTACAATGGAAATATTAAGTTTTATTACCACACACCAATTATATTACAGTATTTTAAGTCCATCAGGTTTAGTGTTGTAATAATTAGACCCACAGTGTCCAATTATATTTATTTATAAAAGTAGGGCATCTAGAGGAGGCATCTAGAGGAGGCATCTAGAGACAATGGTTTGTCTTTAGGGTTATAGACCCGGTCGACGCTTAACCCAGTAGTAGTAGTAGTAGTAGTAGTAGTAGTAGTAGTAGTAGTAGTAGTAATAGTAGGTGTCCTAGAACGTCGTCTGGGGTTCCTGTCACACCAGCTCAATGGCTAGCAATGTAAGCGAGGCGGCCTCACCCTATGTATCAATCGCAGCTAAGGTTACCAGAAATAGGGAAAAAAAGGGATCTGGGTAGCACCGTACACTTATATGACTCTATAGCTACTCGATATCTCTGCGTCATACCTGGGGAGCGAGTAGTAAGCGAAGCGGGCTATTTCAGCATTTATAACAGCATAGAGCAGACTGCGAACAGGATCCGAGTAGGGTGAGACTAAATTATTCCGGCCCTGTTCAAGTAAAGCTGGGGCATTGTCAAAGAACCAATCCCAATCCTACGTCTCCACATTGCGACTGGACGGCCTACTATGACCCGACGGGAGATGACGGCATAACTCTCTACAACCTTGAGCATCAATGCAGCCTAGCTACGACCTTTCGCTCACTTCCCAGCCCTAACCGTAGCCAAACCAATGATACCGTGCTTCGCATTCCCAATCTCAAACTTGAAGCGAGCTGCACGACAAGTGCGAGTAAGGCGAGCTCACGGCTGTTCCTTGTTGACAGCACTACTCGTACAAAGTCATCTGGAATTATAAGCGGGGTTCTGGAGGAGAAGAAGTCTACCATCGGCCATGTTGGGTATTTTCGGAGAGCTATGGACTATCTCGAAGCACGCCACAGATTGGGCCCCTTCCGAAGATATCATAGTCATCTCCAAGAGGAGGAATTTGGGATTGAAATAAATTATATTGAGGGAGAGACACGACGACTGGATCTTTTGAGGCCGGATATCTTGATGTGCATCTTGCATCTATCAGTCTGGGTGCTCGACGTACTGGCTCGCCAGCGGCTTCCTGACAAGGTTGACAAGTCGTTGGGGGACGGTTTGCCAGCACGCTCTCAGCTCGGAGGCGTTTTTGTACTCTGTCATTTGTGTGCGTACTATGTACTAGGGACGAAGATGCTACATTCTTCTCGAGTAGCCGGGTTGGTAGGCTTATATAGCTTGACAGAGTACGTGATACAAAGGGTATAAAACAAGCGATCAAAGTGTGGCGCTCGTCGTTAGATACTTCTGATAGGTCCTAATAACCTTCTAATTTCCTTCCTAATGTCTTCCTCTGTCTCTTCTCCGAAGTGGGCATAGAAGCCAAGAAATTCCTCAACACTATCATAAAGATTGCTGCGCCAGTCTCCATCATGAACAGCGTACCTCCAGTTCCATTGTTCATTGTTCTGATTACGGCAATAGAGGGCATAAGAGCCGCCCCAAAATAGACTACCACCAATCTTGAATGCTATAGAAACCTCCCACTCCTCCCAAAGATCTATGAAGTCATTGTAACTTTCTACTTCATTGTCCCGAATGGGCACAGTGACATTTTCTGTCATGTCACTCAGCCCTCCATCTTCGATGGAAGATACAAAATCGGTTTGTTGTGCCTCGCGGTGCAACGGCAGTCCCGGGCCAGTGATGCCACTGACAAGCGTACAGAGGTACTCCAAGTCGACCGGGGGTAATTCTGCTACCTCGACGTTCTTCTCTGCGATGCGATTCCGGAGGCCAGTAAAGTATTCCTCTCTTTGCTTCAGATTCACTGCAAGGTTACAGACTCCGTCCAGGCTAGCCAATCTAATAAACTCGGTGCGCACATTGTCGTTGAGTAGACCTCGCGGCGACTTGACTGATTCGGGAACAGTGCCTCGAAGGTACCGATCGAGTTTTTGCATGTGCAGTATTTGGGCGGTGCGTGCCGAACAAATTTGACGGAGGTGGCTGCGCTTCAAAGGCTTCCACCAGAATGCGCAGCAAGAAGAGGTTATGCTGCAACACTGTTTCGCGATACTGGCGCAGTGCGGTTACAATCTTGGTGCGTCGTTCTTCATCCATTTCATCAACTCGTCCTGCTCCTTGTGGTGGGACGAATGTATGTCAACTGGTGTGTGTATGCAGGTAGGTGGCTCTACCGTAATTTGGGACTTTGGTGTCGGTGACTGACGCAGGCTGCGTTCTGATAAAGCTTCAAGAGGGAGATCGGCCGGACGAAAGACCGTCACGGCGTCACGGCGTCACGGCAGGAGCGGGATAATGTTGAATTTACCACATGACTAATAAGGCGTACTTTACTTTTCAATCATAGCTCATTCATTTATCAGTCCAACAAATAGTTAGGCCCAGCCAAGAGGCAGGCCAGCAGCGGGGAAAGAATCCCCTAGGCCAGCCAATCCCGTCTGGGAGATGATTTTCACATGGCGGAGGGAGGCTCTTCCACTCAGGGATAGTGCATAGGCGAGCGTCAGATTATTGATTGATTGATGGATACATCGATTCATTAAGCTGAGTGACTATATTGTCTTCTTCAGCTGCAATAAAATTGATATTTAACTTATATTTATTCTCAAATATACTATCTATTGAATATTTGAAAGTACCCATCTTGGGTGGACTAATACTACAGTACAACCGGTTTATAACGAATTGAGATATAACATATTACTACTTTGTAACAGGTTATCATCAAATCCTCATATAAATTTCACGAGATCTTGATATAACCAGAGCCCTTTACTAACAACATCCACTAATCCCCCAATCCCAGGCCAGTCGAAAGTCACGCCAAAGCCACCAATACAAAGCTCTAAGTCCTCTTACAAGCGCTAAAGGCGTAAATATCAATAATTAATATTATCAATAGTTAGTCAGTTATCATTCAATAGTATTTAATATATTCGCTAAGTGTCTACGTGATTTAGGGTGCGTAATTGTGGTGCGGTTCTCTCAGTTTTCTGGTGCAATTTGTAGAATTCATATATTTGTATGGCCCCACCTCCCTTCACACCTAGGTACGTACCAACCTTGGAAATTGATATCAACATCAAATTACTCTACAGTCTCAACACTACGCTCAAAAGTCTTAGTGAGAATCAAATCAATATGAAAAAGCTTCAAGGAATCATATCTCTAAAAAAGTCTTCACGCTAGAGGCGCGAATTCAAATTCTATACTCGGTAGAGATTTGTATAGGATCATAGTTTTACAGAAAAACCACTATATAACGAATTTCGGCGCTGCAATATTTATTTCGTTATAAATCAGTTTTACTGTATTTTTTATTTTTAAATTACTCTGAGTCTTACCCTCGACCGTGGTGAGTCAAGGGCCTTTTATTAAGATATTATATTAATTATTACAGCTATAGTTAACTAGTTAATTATATATTGGCCGAAAAAATCACTACACCAAAAAGGGGTCCCCCCTCATTAGTGAGGGTAATTAGTTTGGTATTTATTGGCTGACACTATACTTAAAAGCAGCGAAGCATGGCCATTGATTCAAGATGACTGGTAGTACCCTTGCTACACTAATATATTTACTACTTAGGCTTCTGGAGCGGTTAGCCCACCCTGGGCCAACAGGAACATCGCGTTCTAAACTTCAGCACGCCACGCAGAGCCTAGAGCAGTAGAGATGCCTGCTCATGCTCATACCGCCATTTCCGAGAGGAAGAATAACCATGCCACTGATATGTATCTTGAAATTCCCACCATGTCCTTGTTCCACGATTAAGTTGCGCTTTTTTTCCTTCCAGCCTTCCTTATTTGTGAGTCTGGTCACTTTATTTAGTTCGACTGCCCGGTCATTTAAATTTATCTGCTGCGTCCAGCAGACAGACAGGAGGAGAGACAAGGGGAGGTGGAGGAGGGATTGGGCTTGGCCTAGAGGGGATACGTACTAGTGTAAGAGAAGAGGAGGTCCTGCTTTAGAATACCGACCTACGGAAGCCGATAAGCGGGGTTAACCACAAAATTCGTATTTTACATTCTTTACATCTGGAAAAGCGAATTTTAATCCCTTGGGAATGCCTTGGGCCAGGCGTCATAAAAATCGACTGGGGTGCTGTCCTGTACCTTAATTTTTAAAATGAGGAAGTATCGAATTACGCGTGTTAATAAAGTTTACTAGCGGATTACGAATTTTGTTGTTACTCCGCTTACCAGCTGCCGTACGACCAAGCTAGTTAATTTACCGGTATTAGACCAAGCTGTGGGCTCAGCTAACTTGTATGTGACTATTGCCCCAATGACAAGGGCATGCGTGCGTACGTATTGAGTAGTTATCAGTACATCTAGTACTAGTCAGCAGCTTTCACTCATATTAGCTTGAAATTATTTTTACAACCAACCTTTTTGAACCGCTTTGAGCAAGTGTTCGGCACGGATTAATATTTGCGGCGACGCGGAGTCATTTATCATTCCCTCTACTCCCTCTCTCCTACGTGCTTTCTACCATTTTATCTATATGTGGATGTATGGTATTCAAGATGAATACCCTCGAACAACCAACAATTGAAGAGGAGATCACCTCAATATACAAGAAAACCTATAATCAAAGGGGCCTTATCCGATACCACAGATATTACAGAGAACCTGCAGACAAACCTGATTTGAAAACAGACAAAAAAATCGCTTCTAATGAAGCAAAGCTAAACTACCTTGAAAAAAAACTGAAAAATCTTCAGTTACTTCTTGATGAACAAGCAGCAGGATGGGAAATCGTCTTTATACAGACCCAAAATGACCACGATGAAGTCTGGAAGCATGCGAGTCCCGGGCCAGACCTCGCAAAGAGACTACCTGAATCTCACAAGCTAGGTAATTTAACTGCCTACCCGAATCCGAATACCTACAGCTACCTAAGTTGAATGCTTTCTAACCTGTGATGTAACATAGATTTGATGATCCAAGATAACAACCGAACCAACCCTGTCTTAGGCATAAGGTTCATGTTATATCAGCTTCAGACTACGTTAGTGGGATATCAAGAACTGAAGTCGGGCAAGGAATTCTGTCTGGATGCTGAAGATCGTTGGCTAGCCTTTGCGCGATCGAATAATAGGGATAATCTGGAACTCATGGAACGCTCTGCGAAGAAAGAAGCGGAAGCTGCCAAAGACCTATTTCAAATTCTTGAGCCAAAGATCTATTTTCTTGGTCTAACATTGCGCCACTACGAATCAGTCCTTGAGGGTTACGCAAAATCTGCAATGTTCTCAAATTTTGAAAATTTAGGATCTTTCTTATCAGGTTGTCGCCCTATCGAGTGTGGTTGTGGGGAGATACATCTAATCTAACTTCTATTGATGTGCTAGAAGGGAAAATTGTTGCTGAGAACAAGAATGAGCCATTGAAGAAAGGACGCCTGTCAGTTCACATACAATCGATCATAGGGATAAACGGGACATTCATTAGCATCGAACCATACAATTTCTGGGAAATGCCAACTGCCAGGTCTTCGAAAACAATATATTACACAGAGTGGACAGGCAAGGAGATTTCGCTCGATTACGAAGATGTCGATACTAGAACCGAGATTGAATTGCTGATTTATGTGAGCGACAATACTGACCTTAAGATTCCAGTTGGTGCCCTCTGGCTTCGTGTCTCAGACATTATTCATTCCAACAATGCAGCCTCCCATCAAGACGCCGGTTCAACCACAATTGATACATGGTTCAAAATTGCACCTGAAGGAAAAATACACATAAAACTTGTTTTTAGTAAGGGGTTTTCTTTCTAGCAATTCCTGTTGCTGCTTCTAATCAAGCACTGACTGGTGCAAATTTAGTCGAGCATCTGGAACAGACTTTGGAAGAAAACGATCGTCGCGTACTGGAGTACCATCGTGTAAGACTCGGGCATGACTTTCTTTACAAGAAATTTTATTACACAATGCGTTGCGCTAATTGCGCAAAATATTTTTATTATGGCGTGCAATGCAAAAAGTGTCAGGCAGCGTGTCATTTCTTCTGCCTTTTCCAGCTTGGAACGCTTTCATTTCTTGTGCCGTGTCTAGAGACCACCGAAGAAGCAAAGCAACATTATCGTATGAAACTGGACCCCAGTGAAAGCCATCAGTTTGTGCCATTTTTCAATGTATCAGCCAATTGGTGCTGTCATTGTGGGTTTTATCTCTCTCAAGGACAGGGGAATTGCGAGGGCGCCAATAGACGATGTGAAAAGTGCGGCTTGACATGCCATGCTCAATGTCAAGCCTTGATGGTAAGCAGGTGTAGCGAGAAAATTATACGTACATCTACATTCAACAATGATTAACTAGCATAATGTTATGGACAAAGCAGAGATGATGTTTTTCTTATTTATTCTGGCCATGGAACCGGCCCTGGTCTCCGCTATCTAGTTAATATTCAATACATGGACGTAATATAATATAGCTACATCCAATGTCCTTGACTTGCGTATGTTGACTCGAACAACAGTAATGCCCACTATCAATAGAGGATTTTAGCAAATGCTCTATGCAAGTCTTTAGCTACAAGTGTTACATCCTTAGACTTGTTTATGGACCAAGGACATAATATACATGCTACTGTTGCTTCTTTTAATTAAAACAGCCCGTCAAATCTGCCGAGCTGGTGTATGTACATGAAGATTGGTCTGAAATGGAATTGCATGATGTACTAATTAGTGCAATGCAAGTTAACTAGTATAATCATCTTAATAGCTTGTATTCTACTATCATTCAACGAAAATAACATGTTCAATCCATGGGGTAGCCGGGCTGACCTTATTATTATTATATTATATTGCCTTTGATATTGTATTGGGTACTTCTAATAAAGGATAGTTTGGCATGCTATATTGTCTTAGTTCTGGTGCTCTCACTTAAGAATCAGTTATCTCTAATAGCAGGTGTCTTGTGATAACTGTTGCCTCACCGACAGAGGAAAAGTTACACTGTTGACAGGGTTGCTGTGCACAGTGAGCCGAGTCTGTTCTAGCCCGTGGATATCCACGCTCTTGGTGTTAGATGGTCTAAAACTCAATTTTGGTGGGGCCAGGAATTCGTCCGCTCAGCCTACTTAAGCCACAACCTAGTCATGACAAACCACAAAGTGCCTGCATGCCACATACCGATATTACTCCCAACTAGATGTGTAACTCACTAGCTGCTCATCGCCGCTAGTTCCCTGGTTCCCGTGCAAAGGCGGCTGATTTTTGTTCTTTGTCAAGCTTTTTCGATCTTTTCAGCGTCTTCATCCTAGCCGTCACCCTTTACAACTGGCAGTGCCAAGATGTTGAAGTTCAGCCATTTGAATGCAGACGCATTCGAGAACCCCAAGAAAATCAACGGTCGAAAAAGACCCCGCTTTCGGGAGCCCGTGGCATGTCACCATTGTCGAAAATCCAAAGTGCGCTGCGATCGCAAGTCACCATGCAAGCCGTGCCAAGATCGTGGAATGGACACACAGTGCGCTTACTCCCGTACCAAAAGTCCAGCAGTCTCGGAATCTGGCAGGCCATTAGTATCGCCTCGAAGCACAGAGATCGATCTACTCGCGTCGCAACAGCTGGCACCCCACTCCTCCGATGGTGAGATCCACGATCCACGATCGGTCCTGCCCCGCAACCTGTCCACCGTCAGCCATGCCAATAGAGCCTTTAAAGGGTCGGACTTCAAAACAAGGCTGATTGGCAGCACCCATTGGATGGCCGTGTGCAACGATTTGCCCGTAATAGGGGCCATGCTGGAGAAGACCGTTGGTTTTCAACCGACGTGGAGAATTTTCGCCGAAGTCAAGTCTCTCCTCCGCGTCGCAAATTCCGTACCAGCCAGAGTGAATGGAGATGGTAAGAAGCTACTAAATCTCCTTCCCGATCGACCGACCTGCGAAAAGTGGATCAGGCGATTTTGCGAAACATATGGTAGAATCTACCATATAATCGGCCAGAACTGCCTGATCGCGGAACTAGAGGAAATATTGATCGCATCTATCGACGCCAATGAAGTGCACGTTATCAAGATTCTGTTGGTTATTGCGATTGCTATGCAGACCGACAAGTCAGAGCGACTACGCGGGCGTCTAATGCTGCATGAAGCGGAGAGCCGTATTCATACATCGACACGTTTCCAAAAACCTTGTATAGGCGTCATGCAGGCTTTATTGTTGCTGATCATCATGAAGACTATCACTGCCTCTGACACTGACGATATTTATATTCTCATGGGCATCATGGGTTTAACTACGCAAATAGCTCTGAGCATGGGCTTGCATAGGGATCCGGCCTTGTTCCCTGGTGTCACTCCTTACTATGCAGAAGTTCGGAAACGATTATGGGCGTGCTTCTTTCGATTGAACCTCGAATATTGCATTCGGAGTGGGTCCCACTTTAGTATTCGACTGGAAGATGTAGACTGTCCTCTCCCGAGCCCTATCGACCTTCTGACCCTTAACCCGGGAACGATGATGGAGTCAGCTACCTTGCTGAACCAGGCCCAGGAAGCAACGGACCAGGCTTTCAATATCGCTGCAATGAAGCTTGCCATAGTGAGAGCTCTATTACACCAGCGACTTTGCTCCACAACTCCTCTATTATCAAGCGAAGTACGGGATGGAATGCACGCCTCCTTCCACAAGATCCTGCGTGAATTGCCTCCGAATCTGCAAGAGGGAGCTTCGTCATGCAGTCCAATCGAGAAGCTTCAGCAAGCCTTGTTATCAGTGCACGTTCATAGCTTCATGATTATCATCACACTCAATTGTGTCCTAGGAGTTCCTTCTCATAATTCACAGCGGGGCGATCTCTATGAAGCATGGGACAATTCGGTGTCCATTCTCTATCAGTTGCAGGAAGTGTTACAGAGCGACTCTGAGCTGTCTAGTGTGGCTTACCATCTACTTTGGACTGACCTTGCTCGCGCAGCATTGACCGCATGTTTGGTGGTTGGTCGCCTGCGGAGCATCAATCTGGGGACAACTGTCTCCAATGGCCCTCCGCCCACGCTGGTCATGTTTCAACAGCTTTTGCTGAAATCTCTAGACTCTTTATCGCAGATTCTAGCGGGAAGATACCGCCTCGGACCTGTTGCAGCGAAGACGAGACTTATCCTTGCTGTCGCAACAACTGTCACCTCAAACCTGATCAACGACTTTGGCGGCTCAGAACAGGATTCTAAGTTCTTCCAGGTCGGCATCACAGCTGCCGAGGAGGTCGTAACAGAGATGGAGCGTTCTCTGAAACGGGAACACCAAGACTCAACAGTCGCCCTGCTGGGATTCAATACCGCAAGGATGTCAGCTCCACCAAGTGCCCCAACCCCTCTTGCGGCGAGCTGGATGGACCGTGCACAAATTCCAGATTCCTTAATTCAGACGTTGTTTCCAAGCGACTGCGAATTTTACCCAGGCTCAGAATCTCCGGGTCTGGGTATGCAGTCCGATCTATTTTTACCATATTCGATGGCGCCATTCGAGTCTACTTCGACGGTTCAGTCCACGCCTTACGTCTTGTGGGAAGACGTATAAATTCGAATCCGCTAGCACATCATTTTCTTCACCCACACATAGGCAAATAAAGAATAGAGAGTAGGCGCCACCACCCCTTTTTTCCCTTCTTCTCTTCCTTTCTCTTCCCCCACCTCTCTCTTCAACTACTACACCTACCCCACCGACTTAAATGTTGAAGTTCCACTATGTTCACCTTGTCTTCATTGGCCTCTACGATCCTCGCGAGATTTTACGGAGAGAAGTCTATGGAAGAGAGTTTTGTGGCAGTCGTTAATTAAATTAAGCATGCAGATTTACATTTTCTATTGCCCTTTCTATCAAAGTCATGACCTGATCTTGCCTCAGAAATGCTCACAAGTTCATCATATGCCCGCTTATACACAATCTCAAGCCTTCTTCAAAACGAATCCCACCTTGACCACGCGAGCAATGATCAAGCACACACCTCCCGCCAAGATAAAGAGCGCGGAAAAGGTCAACGTGCCCCAGAAGACATCTCCACTGGACGTTCGCTGGTGGTCCAGAAGCGCACCCGCCACAGGGCTACCGATCAACAATCCCAGACCCGACGCAAAGAGGGTCATGCCGATGTTGGTGCCTAGCTTAGACAGATCGGGACAAAGGAAGGCGACTGTCGCGGGAAGCACGGCCTGAATAGAGCCGCTTGCCAAGCCGACAAATACCGAAATGGGGATCAGACCCGACTGAGATTCCACGCTGATCCATGCGAGCATCAAGATACCAGTGAGCAGGACTGACGGGATCATGACCGACAGGTTACCGATCTTATCGGCCATGATGGACGGCATGACACGGCCGGGGACCGAGCCCGCGTTCATGATGATCAGCATATAGAAAGACAAGTCCCGCGACATGCCAAGGTTGATACCGTACTGCTCGACGTAGAAGAATGGGATGTAGAGACCGACGAAGATGAAGAATGCAGCGAAGAGCCAAAGCACAAAGACCGTGTCCCGGAGCGACTCGACGTTGATCAGCGGACCTGACTTGCGAGGCGGAAGACGAGGCTTCATAACAGCAACCGAGATGAGAAGCGTTCCGAACATGATGAACGCCATGACTCGGACCGCCCAGGGCAGTCCAATCTGGACGATCAGACGCCTCAGCACGACGGGGTAGATGATGCCTCCGACGCTTGAGCCGGTGGCAGCCAGACCCAGCGCAGTGGATCGTCGCGTCGAGAAATACGTGCCCACGATGGCAACACTGGGGATGAATGACATTCCGGCGCCAATGCCGACACACAGGCCATGTGCCAGGATAACCTGCCAGTACTCCTTGCAAATCGAAGTCACTGTTGGGTTAGCATTTCTCTCGTTATAAATGGGTGGCAAAGCTCACTCATCATGCCGAACACCTCAAGAAAGACACCCAGAGCGATATCTACGTAGAAATATCCAGCATCAAGAGCGCGTCCACACAGAACTCCAATCACCAGCATCAAAAACGCCTGCAGCGATCCAATCCAAGCAATCGAAGACTGCGACGAGTCTCTCAGCAACCCCGTACTATATTCAGACTGGAATGTGCCGAAAGTGTTCAAGAGACCCCAAGTGTTGAAGTTCAAGAAAAAGGCCCCAAGGACTTGGAGCCATGCTCTCGTGCCTCCATTAGGTGGTGGAGGGGGTCCTGCGGGCTTTGGTGGTTCTGCTGCTACTACCTCTGCCTTGACATGACTGTTGACGGTCGTTGCGTCAGGCTCGAGGTCTTTTCCGAACATGGAAGACGGCTGGGAGATTGCCATTGGGAGTTGGTATATGATCGAACTGAGGTCGAAGTTGAAAGCACTGAGGAGCAGAGTGATGAAGATATCAATGAAGATGTTCAAGTTATATGCCACAAAATACTTGTGGAAGAAATTGACAGCAACAGACGACGGGCGGAAATATATTGCGTGAGGCGAGCTTCTAATCCACAAAACCAAACAATTCAAACAATTCAAACAATCCAACCAAACTGACCAAACTGACCCTGATCAAACCACATCCCCTTCCAACCTAGCACTGGCTAACTCGCAATGTCCAATCACCAGAAGGAACAAACACCACATTAACAGATCTGAAATCTCTCCAGCAGATTACCCCATCGGGAAGTGCACGATCCGGAGTTTAGTTACCTAAAGGGGAAGTGGATAGGGCTGATCCGGGATGAGCCTCGCTCCCGACGGACTTACATTGACGCTTTGGGAATAGTATGTTTTGTGGGGTTGCTGTAAGTGGACACACCCAGTATGTCAACGCCCCTCAAACTTCAAGGTGGTAATAGAAGCTGCTGATGCCTCTTCCCGGCGGTGCCTTGGCGGGACTTTCGAAGTGTTGGATCGGGTTCGCCTGGTTCACTCTGCTGGCGAGCATGGCGGTATACAGAATTATCTACAGAGTGATTTGTCTTGGTAATGCCACTACGCTTTTCAGTGTTGCTGGTGTATCGGAGTGCTGATAGCACATCAGTGCTGTATATAAATCATATAGACCCTTTTAATTAAAAGAAAATATAAGAATTAAGAACTAAGATTAGCGATAACTACCGTATTAAATAACTAAATTATACTAAACTATTCTCTATTTAAATTGTATCAGTGAATGAGAAGCCAAAAAGGCTACACTTGACACCGTTTTTGACATCTCGCTCACCATCAAGATCGCATCACAAGTATCATTATTTCCTACCATACTCCTACCTCTTCCCGCCACATATTATTTCTCACTCCATTTTATGATCATATGATCTTACTTCTAGACCTATCAGTCTCTATTATAGCGCTATATTGACACTCAATTGATCCTTGGCCCAGACCACGATTTTATAAGGAGATAAAATAGAAGATAGCATTTTACAGTAGCTATTAGCTCTACTCTATATCCTTTAGTAAGATGTGCACACTCTATCCTTCTATATTATCTCTTCTCTTCTTAACTATAAATTCCAGCTCTTTCCTACTTCCTCTTCTCTAGAAGCTTAAATTCCTGCTTATATAGCTTTACCCCGGTTATAATATATTTAGAATGGCTCTCTCTCAGAGTATTAACATTATTATAACCATCTTTAATGATGAGAGTATCGCCAGTGTCAACTCTTTAAGCATTTTCTCTGCTGATTTCTCAGATGATTTTTCGAACAGCAGTGTGTCTGACAATAAATCTGACAGCGATAGTGATGACTCAGACTCAGATGATACTGACGATGATAATAAGGTTTAACTCTCTTAGAAAGAATATTGGGCTAAGGTAAAGCAGCTTAATGTGTCTCAGCTTCACAGAAGCGGTGTAGTGATGGTACTCAGAACAAACTGGACAAGACCCGTCAGTATTGGAATAGATAGCCTGTTCTCCAACTTATTGGGCTATGTCAAAAAGCTTACTGATGATATTTTGGCAGATACCGTCGACATATTGGTGTTGACCCTATGCAGCACTGGTAATGGATTTTGGATTCAGATGAAACAGTGCGTTTCTTATCTTAGAAACTTCCCGAATTAAAGAGTTAAAAGATTCAAAAATCACCTTTTAAGATCTAGTAATCATACTACTTCTAGATATCATATCAAAGCTAGTTCAGCTTTAAATAGAAAATCATATCTAATATAACACAATCTAGCAGAGCTATGTCTAGGAATGTCTGGATAGACTAGATATAGGTGAGTGAAAGTGTAATACGGTCTGGCAGGGCCGTGTCCGGGGGTGTCTGGATAGACTAGATGTGGGTGAGTTGAAGCTTCACCGATTGTTTATATTGATGCTATAGAGCAAGGCTACTAGGGTGGAAGTTATCGGTTTTGATTATATAGTTATGAAAGGCTTCGAACCGAAGGCTATTCGAAGCCGAGTAGGCTTATATTGAAAGTTATGTCAAAGATTATACAAGAGATATTGCTTGGTTTCCCCCCTCATGTCTCCGCATTCCTCTCATCTTTTGCAGCCTCTTGATGTCAGCTGTTTTGCTGTTTTAAAACGACAATATGGACAGCTTGTTGAACAGCGGATGAGGCTTGGATTCAATCATATTGACAAAATCGACTTTCTTACTGCATTTCCGAAGGCCCGTACGATGGCATATAAAGCTGACACTATTCGGAATGGCTTTGCAGCAACTGGATTAGTGCCATTTGATCCAGATCGAGTTTATCAACAGCTTACTGTCCAATTAAGAACTCCAACCCCTCCTCCAAGTCGATCAAGTAATACTCAATCATCTTGCTTACAAACACCTCAAAATACACGTCAATTCAAGCGTCAATTGACCACAATTAAAAGGCAAATAAGGTGGCGTACGAGGAGTCCATCTGAAGTTATTGATGAGGCAATTAACCGGATGTCAAAAGCTTATGAGATGAGCATTAATGAGCTTCTAATTTGTACGAAAGGAAGTTCATGATTTACGGGCTGCACATGAAAAAGAGAAGCAAAAACGTCGCAGACCTAGGGCTCAGATATCTCATGAGCAAGGAATTACTAGAGAGGAAGCTCAGGCGCTTATACAAGGCCAGATTGAGGCATCTCAAATTGATATTACTGCTCCGGCTGAGCCTGAGCCTGAGCTGCCCGTCTCGCAAGCACTCGTACGCCGCCAATTTCGGTGTAGTGAGTGTAATACTCTCGGGCATCGAAGGCCTCAGTGCCCTAATCGTACCAGTAAATAATTTTTTGTATATAATTGTTATTTCGGCTTAGAAATTGAGATTTGAAATCAATATAGTAAGACGCGTTCGGAGTGGGTGATCGGGTGGCTGTCCGATTACGTCTGTCCAAATAGGGGGCGCTTATTAAGCCGAACTAGCGCGCACACGTGAGAGGGAAGGCCGATACAGCGGCAGCCGGACAGCCCTCTCACAATTAGTTGCTCTAGATGAACCTTTATGTAGTTCCTCCAAACCATAACATGATCTACATGAACCAGATGCCTTTCCGCAGGTTGGTCACCCAAGGGTGTTAGGTATTGGTTATCTTAACTTGTCATAATTATTGCACATCAGGAATCACCTCCAGCACCGTTTGCACCCTTTCCGCCGTCTACTTCGATTAGCTGTATAAAGCTTGTGTTAGGGTAACTACCCGATGCTGCTCTGAATTTCTTTTGACTGGAAGAAGGCCCGGCACTGCTTTTCCCTTTCGTTGAACCAAAAACACCTGGAAGGAGACGGCTAAGAAGTGATCGCAGGGCGGGCATGCACAATATAAATACCCCAACATCCACTTCAACAATGGACCAGTAGCCGCCGGCGGCGTTGTCCCCTGCCGTGAAAACTACTTCAGTCATGGAATCAATCTAGGTTGGAAATGGGGCCATACATGTTGGATTGGTGCTTGTAGCAAATATTTTGAGCATCACTATGCGGTATATGCTTACGCCGGTGACCCTATCAAATGATTAGGTTCGTAGCTTCCAATATCTTCTTCTGAACCGATGGTAATGATATACTTACAGGAAGCCCACAGAGAACATTGCAATAATTTGTAATTTCGTCGATATAGAAGCCTGAAGCCTTAGCAGAGCAGGGATTGGCAGGGCTATAACCCACACATCAAACACGGCGTTGAGCGCCCCTGCAACAACGACCAATGTATTCTTCTGCACGCAGCTTCCTTCGTGCTCTCCATCCCAGCCCTCCCAATTAAAACTAACTGGGGAGCATTGAAAAGAAAGGGCGAAGAGGAAAGCAATGCCGTAGCACAGCGTCAAAAGGCCAGAGACTTTTATAATCCAAAGCATTTTGGATGAAGGGAAGATGCGGGTATAGAATAGGAGGAAGCAGATTTTGGTGAGAACGATGCAGATGACGTAGAGAAGCTCTTGGATATAAAAGATCTGCTCCAATTAGCCATGTCCGTTCGATGGTATATGAATATCCTTACATAGAGAATTCTCTGGATGTTCTGGAATGAGAGTGTCCAGATATCCTTCCCCAGGCCAGCTTTCCCGACTGTGAAGTTGTTAGGATGCCCGTATTTGCTAGTAAATAAGTAGCTACACATACGCAAGATAGAACCGACATTAATTGCCACCATGAAACACTATGATAGTTAGCTAAAAGTCTCGACCAACGAACTCTACATACCCCAAGAAGCATAGTTGTCCAATCATCCCAACCCAGCTCTAATTGCGTGAGCACTAGGCGTGTGAATATCCTCAAAGCAATAAACAGGAGGACGACAAAGCCAACGCTTGGAATTATGATACTCGGAGCAGTCTCGTCTCGAACTGGAACCCCGCATTCTGTATTCGTGACATTGACCGTAGCTATGCGATCCGTTAGATTAGCGTGCCCGAGTAGGCTGCTTTGCCGACATACTAAGAGCGTCCTTGACGCTGCAGCTCGCCGTCACGCAACTAGACAGCTTGGCTACAAGATCGGTGTTTGTACAGATGCAAGTTTGGTTGGTTGGTGCGCAGGCTGATTGGGGGAGTGTGTCGGAGAGGCATTTTAACTATACGACCTGTCAGTATCAGAAAGCACGGGCAGCGAGTTCCAAATCCTACAGCGCATGCGGGAAGAGACTGCGTCTGGGCGCGTGTTAACACAGATAAAAATATTGTGATGTTGGTTAAGACCGAGTAAAGCCGCATGATGCGTTTCCCACGTGCAGTGGGCGACCTGAGAATCGTCTCAGCGAATTGCTTCCCCAGCTAAGCCAACCATGCTCGTGGTAGCACGAGGATATCAGAAAACGGCGACCAGCTTGATATCAATGAGGGGGCACATAAGTCCAACTTATATCCCGGATTTTGTACGTATTTCATTTCCCGCAGTGGGGTTGGTGGTGCCCTGACCGTTCCCCTAAATTTCCACGGATCGAAGATTCGTAAAAAAGGGTCTGAGAGCCTCCATTTACCCGGCACTAACATCGTCCCCTGCAATAGACGAGTATCGCCGTTGGACGACCGGTGCGCACTAACACCGGGGATGGGGTTTAGTGCGCAGTTGGCGCAGGTAGTGTTTGCCCTAATGCACAAAAGTCTTACAATAATTCCGGCACTTGGCTCGGTAAACAACCTTTTGTACTCGGTAAACAACCTTTTGTACTCGGTAAACGTGTTTGCTCGGCTAACGTTGAGCGATTCTCGAATTATTCAGCGACTTCGCATGCTTCCTTTCCATGCCAAAGAAGAAACAGAAAACTCAAAAAACGATTTTTTTTCAGTGAGCCAGGTACTGTGTGCCAGTCTCCTGAGGAAGCCAGAGACAATTGGTGCGGTGCGGGCCGAAGTGGGACAGTGGGGGAATTGACAGGACCCTTGGTGGGTTCTCGGCTTTGACGCTCGAGAACACCCGAGCACAGCTAAAAATTGGTTGATCAGCACTTCTGGTCATCCTTATTGTGGCAAGGAATACGTATGGTTAATGCACTTTTGTTGCGTGCTACCTAAGCTAGGTTCAATGGTCCTGGGTGGGTCTGTGCACTATACTCCTATCACTGAGGAGCTTACACGCAGGATTCTCCTCGTCTTTCCCCCAAGATCATCAAAAACTGGCCGCAAAGCGACTAGCAACCTCTCATCGGTCACATCCACCCATAGAAGTGGTAAAGTATACAACGAATCTGCATTGACAAGTGATACGCCGCAAGGATGGTTTACCAGTCGCCTGTTTTTCCGATTCACGATGAGACCAATCTCTCAATTGCGCAATTCATGGCGCGATATAATCCCGATGAGGTGCCCGCGGATAAAGTTGTTCATACTGATACTATTTCCAAGCAGCCTATTACGTATGGTGGACTCCGCGAGCAAGCTGCTCGTGGTGCTTGGGGCTTGCAGAAGTTGGGATTACGGCCAGGCGATGTCCTACTGGCGTTGGCGAGCAACTGCGTACGTAGACAACTCAACGATTTAAGACATGCTCCTTCAATCTAGGCTGATTGACAAGACAGAATGATTTCGTTCTTCTAGCTCATGCGACGTGGTGGGCGGGTGCTGTTTTTGCGTAAGTGCAGCTGATCATGGACTCGGGCAAAGTGCGCCACATTGACCGAGAGAATATGTACAGTCCTCTCAATACATCGGCGACACTGGGGGATATTTCGCATGTTCTTCAGATCGTCCGGCCAACCCATGTCGCAACCATCGCACCAAAGCTCGATCTGGTCCAGGCCGCGTTGACTTCCACGTCGATGACGAAAACAAAGATCATGACTGTTCTCAGTAAAGTAGAGAACCTTCCGCAGGTCCGTGGCACTATTTCTCGGCATATGAACCTTGATTACATTGCGCTTGGGCTCGTATTGATATGCCAATAGTTCCCGTGTGATATTATCAGCAAAAGCGTCGCGGAAAGCCTACCACCCTATGATCTCCAGGGCAGAAGCTCCAGGGATGTGTGCAGTACCATATGCTTTTCGTCCGGAACGACTGGGAAAATAAAGGGCGTGCAGCTCTCTCATTACAACCTTATCATGAACACTATAACAATGCGTATTTCCATGCCAGCGCGAGTTAACTCTACTATAAGAGAGGTCTTTTTTGCGCCATGTAAGCTCTCATGAAATTCAAACTTTCAAGTGACTCCATTCTCCCTTCCCGCCCAACGGTTCACTGACACATTTTTCGACTGTTAGATTGCCACATATATGGCCTAACCATAGTGGTATTGTCTGGCATGTCGGTTGGGGCCTTGTATTGTGGTCTTCTAGCATTTGACCTCGAAACTTTCTGTCGGAAGTCGAGCGAGCTGAAGGCTACAGACTTACATATCGTCCCCCCTATAGCACTCGCCCTAGCGGTATCACCCGTCACACAGAAATATGACCTGGCTTCCCTGAAAAGAATTGTCATCTCTGCAGCCCCTTTGAAAGTACGTCTTACCAACGATCTGAAATTCCCCATGACTGAATGTACTGAATCATGCTAAAAGATATTAACCTTAACAGAAATCCGTGCAGCTTCTGCTCAAGAAGCGGCTTCCGCATACGAGAGTATGCCAAGGTACGTAGTTTCACGATTATTATGTTGATATCGAGTATATTGATTCCAACTTAAGGCTATGGACTCTCCGAGGCTTCCGGAGGTATCATACATCAGATAGACGAAGATGATCTTGCTTACGGAAGTGTTGGCAAGCTCGTCGCTGGAATGTACGTCGCAGCGAATCTTCTGAATATAATCGACGCGCTTTCTTGCGCCAGCCGATGGTCCTGGCCCAACGCTAATGTTCATACTACAGAGAAGCTCGATTAGTAGACCCGAAAACAGGCTCAGATGTCCGAGCGGGACAAGAGGGTGAATTATGGGTCCGTGGCTCGACAGTAATGATGTAATGACGTTTCAAAGCCACCTTTTTTGTTTCGAATCCAGTACTGAAAGTACTAATCAAACTTTCAGGGGTTATGCCGGTGACAAAGCAGCAACTGAGCAGACGTTCTCAGGAGGATGGCTCAGAACAGGAGATATCTTGAAGATAGACGATCGTCAAAATTTCTGGGTCACCGATCGGTTGAAGGAGGTATGACTGCTCTTCTCGTCTCCTTACACCTTTTACCAATGACTGTTGTTCAGATGATCAAGTACAAGGGGTGCGTTGAAAACTTTATAGTCCGTATATTTGCCTACTAATCTTTCCTGCATTACCACTAGTTTCCAAATAGCTCCCTCTGAACTTGAAGATCTACTCATACGACATCCAGACGTGATCGATGCTGCAGTCTGTGCTGTGTATGATGATGCTCAAGCTACTGAAGTCCCTCTCGCGTATGTGAGCTTGAACCTTGAGAAGACAGAAATGCCGGATCACGAGAAGCAGAAGGTTCTTGAAAGTATTCGAACCTGGACAGATAACCAGCTAGCGGGCTACAAAAAGCTGAGGGGCGGCGTCTTCCACCTGCAGACTTTGCCCAAAACTCCTACTGGCAAGATTTTGAGACGGCTTTTACCTGCAAAGTTGAAGGAGAGAGAGGCCAAACTTTAGATGCCTTTTCTAAAATGATTGTATAGTCAAAAAGAATTTGACGTGATCTTTCCCAAAAAAGGCACGTGAAAGCTACTCTTAGGCTGCCTGAATATTGTTTTCCCGATAGAAGTTGAACTCTGATCTCTCATTGCTTTTTCCTTTTATTATAGATGCGGCATATCTGTTTTGTCCATTCCCACCTGAAACCTGGCAATATTTTAACAGGATAAAACCGAGTGTATATTACCGTCTTGAAAATGTTTCCCGATGTTGGACTAACGTAATTCACACGCGAGTTGGTCACCCCAGAACACACTCAAAATGGCTGTTTTCATAACGTTGTATCTCAACACAATTATATATAAATAGTAGCTCAAATTTGATATATATATACATGTTATATTAATAAATAATATCCTAATATTTTAGACTAAGGATGTAATATTTATAATGATTACATAAAATTACATAAAATACCTAAAAATATATCGCATTTTTTGTAATATCAATCAATTTATATCTCTTGATTATAATATAAAAATATTATTTATAACAATATTTTATTATAGATAATAAAATTTAAGCTACTATTTATATATAAATTGGTTGAGATACAATGCTATGAAAACAGCCATTTTGTATGCGTTCTGGGGTGACCAACTCGCGTGTGAATTCCGTTGTGTGCAAAGCCGGCTTTGCCAGTTAACCTGTAATTAACTAAATCTAGGTACTAGGCCGTTACTATAGCATATGACTTGGAAACGATTTCTCGTCTTCAATTATCGTTATTTCCATTCTGGTAGATCTTTCCGCTAATGGTAATTTTACGCGAAAAACATAATTGCTTTTTTTGGCTAATTCCATTCGCAACAGTGAATTGACCAGCAGTTCTACTTTGACTTCAGAGAAGGCACAGCCCGATACAACAAAGCTAGTATAGTATATACACAGTCATGGGTCATTCACAACAGAAAATAGAGATCACTGAAAAGGCTAAGTTTTTTTTGTGGTTGGACAAAGTGTAGCCGAGGGTATACAACATTTTATAGGCACTAATCATAGGTACGAGTATAAGAATAAGAGACTTTGACACGAATAGCAATCACTACCACTGTTAAAACTGCTCATTGATGACCTCTGTTAGCTCAGTTAGCTCAGGGGGATCAACATCTGGAGGCTTAAAAGCACAGCATGATTATTGATACGATATAGTAACCAGAAAACTAACCACATCACACATAGCTAAGATCGTAGATTGCAGTGAGCATTCTGTCACACCCACAAATGGCTGCGACTATATGGTACTGCCAAACCTGGTCGAGTCGGTACTGGCTGGCCACCAATCATAACTCTACTGATGCTTGAAGCCAACCAAGGTATCAAAAGCGCTTTATATAGGCTAATATAATGCCGCCTGATGTAACTCCATTTATTTTCTGTTGTTACTAATAACTCGAGTTTAGTCTTTCTTGTTAGTACCTACCATGCACTGTATAGGTATTTCTAGGGTTCAATGAAGTACTCATTTATAAGGTTATGTATAGACTGTACTAGATACTACTAAAATAAAGACTAAAAGACTTCCTTTTCGTTTTGAGGAGACTTGCCGTATTTCTTATCAAGGATCTAATAATTGTGTTGTGTATTATATCTGCCATTGGATAATATAAAGAATTTTCATATATCAAATTAAAGGATATCATGTTAGATAAGATTTGAAATATAAGGCACAACGGGCGTTTGCTTTGAACGTGACCGAGTTAGAGCATTAGGCAAACAAACATGCAGACAGACGCATCAATTGAGGTCATTGTCCCAAATTTGAGCCGGAGGCACACCAGTGCTCTTCAATTTTGCATTTCTCAAAATGAGCAGTTACAAGACATCGGCTTATTCTAGTAGTGTAAAATTGAAGCATCAATAATTTCCTACCATAGGCAATCCCCTCACCCACCTCCTCTCCAAAATCTCCCCCAACACCCATCTCGCCAAACTCGCTCGCGAAAGATATAGTCCCCCTTTATACTCTGGCCCAGCGTATCCCGCCCAAACTGGCAGATCGCCAGACCCATCCGTCAGAGCCGGGATTCTGAAAACCGTCCATTCTAGGCCATTTTCATTCGAGGAGGAGGGAGAGTGGAAGTTTACAACATTCTCAGCGATACGCTTCATCTCTGCAGAACCCTGCGGGGCAAATATCTTGGGGAAGAGCCCGAACAGTGAGAGTTTCCAGCTACTATCCACGTCACGGCCGTCAACCCAGTAGGCGGGGGTAGACAGGACGAGGAGCCGTGGTACCGAATTCGCCGCCATGGCGCGCATAATCGCGGTGAAGGAATCAGCGATGGGCGTGATATGGGTTGGACGGGTGAAGACTGCTGTGAGGGAGACGTATGCGCCGAGGAAGGAGACTACGGTAGTGATAGCGTGGGTTTTCATGGTTGAGGCGAGGGCGTCGAAATCGGATAGGGTGCCTGTGACGATGGAGATGTTGACGTGGGAGTGGAATTTAGGCGGGAGTTTAGATGGGTTGCGGAGGTAGAGGGTTAAATGGGGTGGATGAGGTAGGGCGAGGGATTCTTCAATAAAAGCTATCCCAGAGCCTCCTTGTGGGTTGTTAGTTTAATTGTTCTCATGTTATGTTCCTGTTCATGGCTGCATACCCGTTGCGCCGAGGAGTAATATCTTTTCTGATTCCATAGTGTGAAGTGACACCAATTAATTTTTGTCGTTATGTTGGAGATGCAGGATTAGATATTAGACATTCAGAATTTGATCAATTGATATAGTGTTGTCTCGATTGATGATGTCCACGATGCCATCCTGATTAATAATGAAGACTCGCTGTCGGCTTTTAGTGCTGACAAAGCTCGGATGCATTCAATCGATTAAAAAGAGGGCCCAGTTTCAAAAGCCCGTAAGAATTAAATTATATTGGCTGCGTCAAATCCAAAGTTAACTTATCAAGATTCTGGGTACCGATTAAGTAACCATGTTATCATATAGTTAGGGCAATGTCCATCCAGCCTACCCCCCGCAATGGGGCCAAAGTTTTCAACCCATCCAACGTCCAACAACCCACAAACTAAAGGCTAATTATAAACTTAGACTCCCCCAGTTCCTTTACCCCCAAGGCTATTTCGATTAGTGTCCGCGTTTGCAGCAGGTACTAATCTTTAATACAACGCCTAAGTCTACAATTCTTTGCCGGCCATGATCATTTGCAAGTGCCAAGTATTGAGAATAAAAATAATAATACCTATCGCAAATTTGGATACGTAGTATTGATGCGAAATGCGAAATGCGGAATGCGGAATAGTGGCCCTAGTATTGCACACCTGCAACAGAGAATAAGGCCCCCTGCAAGGGCCTGGTGTAACACTACCCCCAATTTCGTTTCTAACCTTAATATAAGAACCAAAAATCCGGCCCTATAAACAAATTGTTTATCACGTATCGTCTACAAACTGAACTGGGGGAAAGGTGACCACTAAATATCTGCTTATCGTTGCAACATCGGTTCTGGTTGTGCCCTGATTCTCCTCATTTCAATCGTGAAGAAGTCTGATTTGTAGCGTTGTACACCAGGCGTTGAGAAGACCACAATAGCATCCGAGACAAGCAAGCAATGCATTGGCCAAGCCTCATCATTACCGCGCTGACGGCATCCTTCGCAAATGGGCAAGGGGACTTCTCTACCCGTAAGTCAAATGGCTGCAACCATAGGCAAATGGCAACAGTATCTAATTTCAGAAGCAAATGCCACTGGTGCTGGAGGATGGGAAGATGCCTTCAAAAAGGCGTCGTCTATGACAGCCAACCTAGATTTTGACGAAAAGGCATTCATTGCTACAGGCGTGAATGGGCCATGTGTTGGTAACATTCCAGCTATTCCTAGACTCGGTTTCAAAGGGCTCTGTCTTCAGGACGGACCGCTTTCGCTCCGGCAAAGCAGCTATGCGAGCGTCTTTCCTGCTGGATTGACGGCTGCTGCGACTTGGGATAAAGATTTGATGTATGAACGCGGTGTTCGGATTGGGGCTGAGTTTAAAGCCAAAGGGGCAAATATTATTCTTGGGTAAGTCTCTCTCCCTTCGCTCTCACTTCCAAAATAATACACTGAAAGTATATCAGCCCTGTAGCTGGTCCACTTGGACGGTCCGCTCGCGGAGGAAGAAACTGGGAAGGGTTTTCTGTAGATCCCTATCTGACCGGTGTTGCCTTCTCCCAAACCATCAAGGGAACACAGTCCCAGAATGTTCAAGGTTTGTAGGCTCCACTCGACTAAACGCGGGGCTGATATGACTAGCTTGCGGGAAACATTTCATTGGCAACGAGCAAGAGACCCAACGAAATCCAACGACGGATAGTAACGGACAAATAACCCAAGATGCCGTATCCTCGAATATCGATGACCGTACCATGCATGAAATGTACCTGTGGCCCTTTGCAGAAGCTGTACGGAGCGGTTTGTCTGCCATTATGTGCAGCTATAACCGGGTGAATCAGACTTATTCCTGCCAGAATGGCAATCTTATGAATAGCTTGCTGAAGACCGAGCTTGGCTTCCAGGGGTACATCATGACTGATTGGGGCGCGCTTCATACAGATGCTATCTCGAGCACTCGGGCGGGTTTGGATATGCTTATGCCTGGCCCACTGGGCCAGAATACGTCCGTCTTTGGATATAACCTGACAGCATTGGTGCAAGATGGCTCGCTACCTGAGTGGAGACTCGATGACATGGTCAAGCGAGTTCTCACGCCGTACTTTTATCTCAACCAACTTGACTATCCTACTGTCGATCTCGACACAGCTCAAATAAATGGTCAGACGTGGGGAGAGGATATCCCAAAATATGGCTACTCGTTCAATTTAGGTAATTTGTCGGACATCAACCGAGATGTTCGCGGTAATAACTCTGCTTTCATCCGAGAAATGGGCGCAGCAGGCGCCGTTCTTCTCAAGAATGACGATAATCTCCTACCCTTGAAAGACCCAAAACGTATTATTGTGATTGGCAATGACGCTGTCGGCACCACCGGAGGACCGTACTGGCCAGATGAGATTAATGTAGTCATGGCCGTCGGAGGTGGTTCTGGAACAGGGCGAATGACCAATCTAGTCTCACCGCTGGAGGCAATCAAACAACGCAGTCCGAATGCTTTTATCCAAGCGCTCACTGATAATAACGGCATTTACCAATCAACTATGAATACACTCTACCCAGCCGCTGATGTGTGCCTTATTTTCCTCAAAGCGTTTTCTGGCGAGGGATCTGATCGACAGAGCCTACTGCCGGACTACAACGCGGATTCCGTGGTATCAAATATCACCAGCAATTCTGCTATATGCCCGAAGACCGTTGTGATCAGTCACTCGACCGTCCCTAATGTACACCCCTGGGCAGATAATGTAACCGCGATCATTGCAGCCCATGTCCCCGGTGAACAAGCAGGCAATTCCATAATCGACATTCTATATGGTGATATCAACCCGTCGGGAAAACTTCCCTATACAATTGCATTTGACGAGAGCGACTACAATGCCCCAATCGCGGATTTCACTAATGATAACAACGGCGATATGAACCTGTGGCAATCTGATTTCACCGAGGGACTGATGCTCGATTACCGTTACTTTGACTCGCAGAACATTCAACCGCGATATGAATTCGGATATGGTCTGTCATACACCAATTTCTCCATATCCAACCTCCAGATCGCTGCCGCCAGCAATATTTCAACCTACCCGGCGACTCTGAACAGTAGTCTTCCTCCCCCCGGCGGCAACCCAGATCTATACACCGCTCTTGCTACTGTTAATGTCACCGTCAAGAACACAGGCCCCGTTGCTGGACGTGCGGTGCCACAGCTCTATCTCGGGTTTCCGTCGAACCCAGACAGCGGAGATACAACATCTATCCCCCCGAAAGTCCTTCGTGGGTTTGAAAGGACTGCTTCATTGAAGCCAGGCGAGTCAATAGTTGTGCAATTCGAGCTCCGGCGAAAGGATGTTTCGTCGTGGGATGTGGTGAGCCAGAATTGGGCTGTTCCGGTAGGCTCTTTCAATGTCTTTGTTGGTCAGAGCAGCCGTGATGTTCCTTTGAATGGGACAATGAGTTTCAAAAGTTGAAGGAGTAAAGTAATATACTCTGGAACCTTTTTGTCTGAGAGCAAAAAGCGGGCGCAACATCCAATATCAAAGGGGATTAAGCATTTAATATTGAATATTGTTTCTTATTAAGCGGGAAATCCGCCCATTTTTCCGTATACTAAGTATATTCCGCTATCAGACGAAATTTTATCGAGATAGATTACATGGCAACTCTATGCTTATCCGCAAAGGTCTCTAGGAGTTTCAAGAACCGATCTACCAGCTCTGCGTATGCACCAGATTTAAGCAAAGAAACCTCCGACGGCCGACGATGATCCCCTGTTTAGAAACGTAAAGTAAAGCACCCCACAAAGAATTGGATCAGAAGCAAGGAGGTTTTCAATAGGTTATAGACCGTCATCTACCTCTAAGTATGGTGGAGGTGGGGTTATATTCAGTGAATCGGGTGTATCGATCTCCGTTGAGTGACCAGAGGAGCCCGCGAAAGCGTTTCGAAGTATTGACAATCGGTTTGCTGTCATTATTATGAAGTTGAGACATCACTCTGCAGGAGCACGGTACGCGTTACGTTCGACTTATAGTGGTACTTATTTTGACATGGATTCGGAATTGTTGTTGAGAGATGCTAATTGATATCTCCTCCTTGAGGAAAAAGCCAACACGATTTATAGAGCTGGATTGTGTGGCTGAGTATTGACAGGGCGTTTAGCAGCAGCACAGCTCTCTCGTCTCGTGGATGATGCAGCGGCCTTCGATACCAAAACCAGGTGATAAATCATCAAAGCTCTCGAGATTGTCTCATATCTATGACTGTGATTCTCAAAATTCTTCGTTTGCCATTTGAATACTGGTTTTATCAAATGATACTCGATATGCAGACAAAACAATCGAGAGAGGGATATCCATCAAAAAATATCATCACCCCAGCTAGGTTTGGTTCCCGTCATAAGCCTCGTAAACAAGCCATTTTCAGTTTTTCGAAACAATGCCAATCATATTGAAGATTTTCTGCACGATTACTTACTCTCAAATCTACCTTGGGCACGGAGCTGCTGTTCCACTCGTTGGCTTCTTCTCCGCATTGAAATTGGCTGAGATACACTTGCATCCTTCCACATTCTCATATTCCAGATTTATCTCTCGAACACCAGCGACAACATGGTATAAATTATCATTAAATTTATTCAGATCAAATACTAAAGCAAACTATTTCTAATAATTTGCAATGATTAAAATATAAATTTATTTTATTTCATGTAAATCTTGACCCAAAACAGAATAAGCCTAATTCATCAGCGCCCAGACCAGTTGGTTAGATTCAGTATTTCTTTTAGCATCAATAGCTAGCTTTGGCTAAGCGATACAACATTATTAGTCATGACCATAATTAGCCTTTACGAATGTACGTGGTACCCAATACGTTTACATTTAGGATAAGCGCTAATGTAGATACGAAATTTTCGGGTGCCCAGCTTGTTTTGCTTTCCTTCCGTCAATATCCTTTTATTTGTAATTATAAGTTCCTTTGTAGATGCCGATGAGTGCCTACATTGGTGCGGCTGAAACATCATGGAGCAAAAATGCAATATGCAATTCATACGGAGTGGTATATAACATTGCATTTTTCTTGATTTTACACCCATCATTCTGAAACTACATCTCCCTACCAAATTTCTTCTCTAACTGCTCACTCCCTAAGTGTACCAGCACTGGAACGACTTCCTGTTCGAAGCGGTTGCACAGTTGCTACCGCCATTTTCATAAATCGAACGCTGGGAATAGCCCGTGCAGTCATCCCCTTCATAAAAGTCACACCAGCAGTGACTTTCGTGGCAGTTGGCAACGTTAACACTATTGCCGTACTGATAGTTGTAGCAACTGGGCGGAGAGTTGTATTTGCCCGAGACGAATTTTGTCGCCCATGTCACGTCGACCTGGGTGCTGTAGTCAGAGCAGCCACCGTCGTTGTAGTAGTTGAGTTGCATTTGTTCATTGGCAACGGCAGAGCCGACAGCGAGGGCCATTATCACGGCTGGGATAGAGAAATGCATGGTGATCTATCGATATCAATGATCTGCTACAGCATTCAGATCGGTATTACTTACGGCTTGTTGAACGTGGATCGAAGCAAGGAATAAGTATGATCGGAGAAAAGTACTGTTAGGAGAAGACTAAGCTGGCTTGATTCTCTTGAAGAAGTAGTTTGACTGGAGATCACGGTATGAATTTATATCTCGACATTGTCGGGCCCTCGATGATAGTTCGGGGTGTTGACCCCAGAAGGATTAGAAGGATCGAGTCACTCATCCAGTAACATGGACGCTGCACAACCACATCAATATCAAAATAGGCAGTCTGTCAGTCATGTCTCTAAAATTTGAGGTTATCGATGCCGAACTATTCCTGCTTTCTGATGTGGAAACGCTAGTTCTGTTAGCTGCGAGTCTTGGCTGCAGAAACACGTAAAATTAGGTGTCAGCTGTAACATTGAATTGACGTAAAATGGCAAGGAACAAATCGAACGGCCAGGATCGAGCATAAACAACCCAATATGCAGGGAGATCCACCAGTAGAATCTGTACACGTAACAAAAAAAAGAAAGAAAGTATAGGATCCGTAAATGTCTCGATTAAAGACTTACTAGGCCCAACGCCTTAGGGCCTCACAGGTTACCATATCTAGAAATTCTTATTTCGTAAATAAACTGATCATTCTCTATATTTTTTTTGTCTCACATCGGCATCATAAAATAAAATTAAACACAAGATACTAAAAATATTACCAGTTGCTGAAGGCGGTGGACGTACTGAGTTAAAAAAAACTTGCATTGTCCTGAACATCGATTTAGTCCGCGGTAAGCTCGCAATGTAATTATTATGTATCATGAATAATAAAACATTTTGTTGGTTTTATTGAAGCAATTATTGAAGCAATCGAGATTCCGCGCTCTGACGCGTCGGCCGCAGGCCGCGCGAGGACTCACGTGATCTTGTTTGGAATGAGGGTTATAACAACACGTCGGTGTCAGGTTCAGATAGTACACAGCATCATATACGTTTTACCATACTAAATTGAGTACCCTCATAACACCACGTACGCGTACATTCATTTGTTACCGTGCACGTAGACTTCTTGATAAGTCATCCCACACATTTCAATATTAATAAGATTAACCGAAAAATAATTATTATTTTAAAATTACCCTGTAATTCTATATATTTTTCATACATCATTATATCTTAATAATTATTCATAATTATTTAGTAAAATTAAAGAATATATAATATTAAAAGACGGTTTTATATTAGATATTATTTTTAGACTATATTTTCTAATAAAAGTGGCGATATATCAAGGCCCCAAAAATGCCAGTTTTATATGGGAATTAGGGGTGTGCCGGTCGCTTGTATGTGCCGCTCACTAGGGAAATACGTTATGCACCTATCACTGGGCAGGGCAGGCCTGACCGCTATGCTCTTACTGAAGACGAAACCAAACCTGTTGTTTTACCTTCGACACCATTTTTATAATCCCCTCACCTGGAAAGCCGTGTTCCAACCGCGATGTCTTATTATGCGCTTAAGGATACAATCAATCAGTTCTTTTCTGGCTGCGCTATCACGCAGGAGGAATGTGACCGAACGGCAACTGAGCTTACTGGCGAAGTCATGGAGCCGGTTCGGCTTCAAGGTGCTTTCAGTTACACTGTAGCGGGTAGGAAACTCCTTGTGCAATTTCGTGTTTCCGAGTCTCTGTTGGATACAAAAACAGTAGATCTCGCTCGGAAAATCTACGGCAACATTGTACCTGCTTGTGTCAATAGAGGCGTTATAGGACCACCTCCCTCGTTCACTATCTATGTCATGGACAAGGTTCCCGGAATAACTTACATTGAAGCGCCTTTGAAAGAACTTCATTGTACTTCGTGGCAAGAAAAAACGGTCTCGGATTCTGCAATGTATGTTCAATTTTCGTATGCTGTGGGATTACCGTTAATTTATCTAGATTTTTTGCCAACTCATGGATGAACCGAGTTGCGGAGCCTCATCACGCTGATTACTCTTTAGCAGATCTTCAAGACAAATTTGACTTACTATTACAGCAACTTCCTTCGCGTTTCACCCGCATCATTTCCAAGCTACGCGAAGAACTTCCAATTATTTTTACATCTACTTATCCGCTGGTTCTAAATCACGGCGACATGTGTGAGATGAATATCATCGTCGATCCTGTAATAGGCGGTATTACTGGAGTCATCGATTGGGCTGAGGCGAAAGTTTCACCATTTGGAATGTCTTTGTGGGGGTTTCAGAACATGCTCGGTGTTATGAACTCAACGGGTTGGCATTACTACGAAAATTCTTCCAGGTTGGAAGCTCTTTTCTGGGATGTATTCCATAGAAGTGTGGGAATGATTTCCAATGATGACAAACGTGCTATGAAAACTGCAGAACGAGCTGGTTTAGTTCTTCGTTACGGCTTCACTTGGGAAGACGGAGCTTTTGAAAAGATTGTGACTAAGCAAGATTCTTCGATTAGATATCTGGACGCATTTTTACACCGCTTGGAAGATTGAGCATGAAACATTCCTTTTTGTATAAGAGCTGTGCCAGCATCGACCAGCACAAGCTCAATCATTGGCGAAGACAGCCCATTGGTAATGCTTGTAGACCAAATATATCCGTCAGGTTATTTTTAAGAAGGTAGCTAAAGACTTTATCCAATAAAGACAGGTCAATCTAGCTAATATCAATAGACAGGCCTTCGTAATTCTCATAAGCAACTAGTTTTTTTATCTATAGATAGTTTGGAAATATGGCTGTATATATTGACAGTGTCAATATCTTCAATAGGAATAGGCATTATCTAGCATTACCTGATTATTCAGAATTCTAATATATATATAGGTAAGATAGATACAAAATTTATCCTAGACATTATAGTGTATTAAAATTTCTTAGATAGTCTAAGAAAAATTACAAAGAAGAAGTGGCTATACTTCATCAAATAGAAACTGGTTATATCTAAAGTAGTTCTTAGTAAATGCTAAATTTTAATTAGACAGCAAAATATATAGGTTAGATATAATAGCCTATTTGATGATCAACACTGAAGCTATTATGATAAATAGAAAAAGATATAAGACTAAAATTTCGAAAAACGATATTTGAGCTTGTAGTGGTGGTAAATCCTAATAAATAAGAGGTTTTTATATTTTAAAAGGGTAGCAGGCAAGTTGAGAACCACTACCACTATATAGATAAAGCATCACAGGCAGAGCAGGGAACTCTGTCTCAAGGCGTGATAATGACGTACAAAGGAAACTAGAGTGCAGCATGATTGGTTTTATTCTAGAATACCTGCTCTGCAGTACAGATCAAGAGACGTTTACTATTGGCTGACAGTAGGTAAATCTAAACAGTATAGAAGAGGCTCTTCGAGATGACGCGCCGTGCGCTTCTAAGGCGATGAAGTATAAGCAACGCCCTAATCACTCTATAAAGAAGACCATCCTTAGGAGGCCAATGGATTATTAGCGTCTGAATCACCGTCTTAGCCGACAGCTCCCATAGCTGGAACCTCGATAGAAAGACTGTTTTGCAGCGGTAAATATTTGCCAGGCATACGAAGGCATTCCATGCAAGCAGACATAAGGCGGAAGCTAGTTTATATCCAACGCATGTTATACAAGTCACACCATGGAGATTAAGTGCTCCAAGCCACAAAGTGATCACGCCAGAACGGCGCTAGTACCCCAGGCAGCTGCTCCTCGGAGTTCGCCATTGAGGTCAACGGCCAGGGTCTGTTTCTCTAGATCGAATCCTGCCGCCTTTGGCGAAGAAAGCATCACATATCATCAATATGAAGGAAATCGGTTCTCTCCCAGCGCAGGTCCAATCGTATGGAATCAGAAGACTCTCCATATAGGTGAGTGTCGAGCCGAGGCTTGTGGCAATTCGCCGGCTGATAGAACCATTAGAGGCTACGCAGAAATTCAAAAAGCATTCGACCTACTCTCCGAGTATCAGCTCGGCTCTTTACTTAGCTTCCTGGCCAAATGCCGACCCTGATTCGTTTACTTCCAGGTCTGAAGGAGCTAAGTGCCACGGCCAAGAGTTCAGATTATCATCGAGACACGTGAAAAGAGACGAACACGGAAGCCTAAGCGAGCATATCAAACGACTTGTAGCTGAGATGATGAAAGCTGTCAGTAACTAGCCTAGAGACTCCTAGACACCGTCCGATGCAAAACAGCGTATTGAGTGGCCCTAGGTCTCGAGTGTCTGCAACGGCTTCTGCTATTTTTGGCAGATTGAAGAATCATTGGGTTCATAATATGTGTCGACCTTGCTTGATCCATATTGTGTGCCGTTGTAATCCCTGCCGTTGTCAAGCAACGTCTGACATGGCCATGACTGGAATCGTGTCCCGCCTTTAGATGTTGATTACCTCCGAAATGCATCAATGGGTCATTTCTTGCGGTTATGTTAATATCTGTAACGCTGTCATTGTGCGGCTAGTAACAATGGTTAGAGCACAACTAAGCAGTAATGATAATGGTCGAGCTCAACATACAAATTGGGCGCTACTATTCCAAAAATCGCCAATTGTCTCTATCCCTCCAATGCCCTCAAAGGGAATTGTCATGATTGTACTTCTTGAGGAGAGAACGATAGTGAAACACAGTCCTAGCACAGCTTGGTGCTTCAAAATAGATTCGCGCAGACTCCTGTCGCCGCGCTTCCTCCATCGGATTATATATCTCTTGAAATACCACTTTGCCTAAAGTAAATAATTATAGATGACGTGCGGCCCCCAGATCGCAGAGGGTGATCTGCATCGCACCATTGTCTCAAGAAGTCTCTCTGGCATGACACTACGGATCATATACCCTGGGTATGTCAGGGACCACGTGTTTACAAGCTATTTTGAATCTTTCATCGATCATTCACAAATATATGAAGAAAGAAATATATGACTTTTAAATAATGATGATAGAGCTCCGCGGCGTACAACTGAAAAAGAACAATTAAAGGATTTGCAGTGCTCACTTAAGTGTAGGATAAAAGCCAAGCGTCTACTCAGGGTATTCTACTCAAACTGTTCGCGACAAATTCCCTGTCGGACTTCTCCATTTCCAACTATAATCAGCAATATCTTGGGTGATTTAGTATTAATTATGCCTTCACTGGTGTTTTTGGCGGAAGAATTGCTCGCTCAAGCTAGAAGAATTGAGGAAGCCCTTGAGCAAAGCAAAATCTCTCACACATCGTTTGAAAAGGACACACTTGAGTTATTGCCAGATGATATCCAAATGCTACGATGGGATCTTGTCGATACCAGTCACACCTTCCGACAACTCCTCAGAGGTGCTAGACTCTCTGGACTTGATATAGCTTACAGTGTAGGTCTCACATTTGTCTAACTGGACTGTCCTGGTTGATCCTGGTGAACAGCAGTGGACAGAACAACTTATACAACGCATTGTATGGCGATACAAACTAGCTTCCGTCGGACCCATCAATAGCTGTGCAACATACGATGAGATTTCAGAGACCAGTGGGCTAGGTAGATCAGCCGTGCTCCGGACTATTCGAGCAGCTATGACGTTGAACATATTCGATGAATCGGAATCTGGCAAAGTTTGTCATACCGCTATATCGAGGTTGTTAGCAACGGACGAGGGATACTACCACTCCGTCGGCCTCCAACTCGAGGATATTGGTCCTGCGAGCTTGAAGCTGATTGAAGCCTGGGAGAAATTTGGAGAAGATTCTGGAGAACCTAACCAAAACGCATTCAGCCTGAATAATGACGGCCGATCGCTATTCACTCTCCTAGCTGAAGAGCCAGAGCGAGCTCATCGTTTCGACGCGGCAATGAAATATGCCGTCGAGGCTGAGGATTTCAACTTCTCTCAAATCATGAAGGCATTTGACAGGTCAACACTGGACAAATCTGGATCAGTACTAATTGATATTGGCGGCGGATAGGGCCAAATTTCCCAAGCCTTGGGTAGGAAGATTCAAAATCTATCACTTACAGTCCAAGAGCTTCCACATGTCGTGGAACAGGGCAGGAAAAAACTCCCATCTGAGTTTAATGGACGAATCTCCTTCGAGGCACAAAATTTCATGGACCCCCAACAATCGGAAAGGGCACCAGATGCATACTTAATCAGCCGGTGCCTTCATAACTGGAGCGATCGCCATTGAGCTATCATCCTTCGTTCTCTCATTCCGCGGCTTCCAAAAGACTCGAAGTCCTGATCTGGGATTCAGTATTGGGAGACAGCCCGGTAAAGAAATTGTCCGGGAAGTTCAATTTACGACAAGATTTCATCATGGCGACTATTTCCAATGGGAAAGATCGATCGGTGGAACAGTTTAGGCGAGTCTTAGAACTGAGCGACGAGCGCTTCGTGACCGAGAGCATACAAAGACCGGAAGGGTGTAAGCTAAGTATGATTGAAATATCATGGAATTGCTAGCATTGGTCACATTCAACTTGGTAATATCTACCTTTAATGCATGCTAGTCGTAGCCATCATCATGTACTGTGATAGGCATAAATTTTTATCCTGATATGAAGTTACTGATTTGGGTGCCAAATCTAGGGTTTAAATATATAATAGCGGCCTTCAGGAGTTGAAGCCAGGCTTACAAGTTGTGCTAGGAGCATGACAGCCTTGTGGTAAGTAAAGTTATTTAATCAAGATTGCTCTTATCAGCGGACCGCAGAAGAGGACAAAGAGTAAAATACGACGTGAGGTAATCCATAGGCCACAAACATTTTTCAATGTACTCATTTGTCGATGTAACAAATAAACCCAGAAGGTGTGCCCTTCAACGCCTAAGATTCTTCGTCTGTCGGATTCAAGGTCCCGAAAAGGTCATACTCGGCAAAATCAAGCTGGGGAGCAACTCCTTCTATTTTCCAAGCTCCTTCAAATTTCCTGAACCAATGAGTTGTGACTCCATGAGCATGCCCTTTGTTCGCCACAGCTGAAAGTTCGTCATCAGTGTAACGTTGATGGGCTACTCGAATTTGATGCGTGACTCGTACGGAACCATCGTCTAGTCTCTCCCATTTTGCCGAGCCAAGAAAATGTTGAGTTTTCAATCGCTTGCTCCCCAGATATTTAGCCGATGCAAGGATTTCCACATAGGCATCTGGAGACAAGTTCTTGTGGAGGTCACCTTGGAGGCTACGGAAATCGAGGTGTGTGGAAGGGGAAAGGCATTTCCGTAGACGCTCCCAGTCTTTGGTGTCGTAGCTACGTGCCCATTCAAAGGCAATGTTGTCGATCTCAAGATAGTCTGAATTCACGCCGGTTAACAGGTGATATGCGTTAGTATCAATGAAGAAGATTCTGACCTGAATGAGCGATATCTGTGCACATTTTGCCCAACAGTAAGAAGGTCGCGAGGCGATGATGATTTTTTCGGGTTCAGAAATGCTACGTACGGACTGCCTAATTTATATTAGACAAGCAGGAGAAGTTGGGCGGGTTTAATGATTTAATGCAAACGTAGTAAGGATTTCTTTGTTCTCAACTATTCAAGCCCATCATTCGTTATCATATGCAGTGCTAGTATTACACTAATTACAATGTGAGGATAAGTCGCTGTGCATATATTTGTTCCTGCTCTGCGGCGGTGCTTGCGTGATAAACTGCCAATCATTTAGTTACCAGTGTTAACACATGTTTCATATGATGAGCAATGGACATACATCTAGTTGGAGCTTCAGCATGTATGTGAACTGTAATGATCCCGCATAAATTCTTCGTGTAACCTTGATCCCTCCTACTCCCAAGAAGTCCCCTATCGGACGATCGTATTGAAACGGCCAAATGTCACGTCGGCTAAGCAAAAGACGGACCCCTGACATGATAGTGAACCCCTGTTCTTACTGGGCCTCATAACGCAAGCCGATTTCAGCTAAGGAACGCGGCGCTACTCTACTTTTCCAGTGGTTGTTGTAATAAAATATTGGTCCGACATCAACCCCCACGGTCAGATCAGTCGCTGAGATGGCTCACTCAAAACAGGGGGTCGTACGGAGAACCAGCTACCTAATAATAAGAACAACAACGTAAAAACACCACCATCAAACAAGGAGCGCGGAGAGTACCCGGAGAACATGCGTGGGGTTCACATGTCAGGCATGAATATCCCCCGCCATTATCTGCTCCCGGTCGGTCCGGTCAGACCTAAAACTGATCGACAATACAAGACCTGAAAATGGTGGTTTATCTGCAGTTGTGATCACTAGCATTCACTTGGGCATAACTGGGTTCAAGCCCCTCTTCCTGGATGTATGCATACTTCATCTCAATGCACCAACATAAGACGGATGTAACGTACCACTAATTACTCCGAATAGCATACTGTCCACAGAGCGAATAACGGCGCTTATTCGGTTCGTTGTCGTGGAGCCAATTGGAGAAGCTATAGGAAAAGATTGCGTGGCCAATACCCATAATCCACATTAGCATAACCGCGCTGGAGCATACCCGTCCTTATCTCTTGGATGAACTGTAGCAAGTGCCGTTATTCCATGGATCCCAGAATGACACTCTTCTATATTACAGTGCGCGCGGATTAAAAGCTGCACGGAAGGCTACGCCAAGTTCTTCTCCGTATCTTGTCCGCGTCGCTGATATTGATTCCGAGAGGCTCCACAAGGATGTTCTGATTGGAGAGCTTGGCATCGATTCCTTGATGGGAATGGAGGTCGTAGAGAAGATCAACGCCTTTTTCTCAATCAATGTCGATGTGGCAGAATTTACGGCTACAACTGACATGAGCCCTCTGTGTGAGTTGATAGCTAAAGACCAGCAATTTCACTTACAATACGGAAGCCGAATTAAGAACCCTGTCTAGTAGAATTGGCTCTAGCAACGGATCGCTAACACCCACCACAGCTACGCTTTCAAGTGATAAGCAAGATTTCCAACCGGCATACCTCCTGACCTCGCATCCACGCTTAAGTGGCCGATCATTAAGTGCTGCACTTGAGGCTTTTGACATGATACGCGAGGAGTTTGAGGCCTTTGCCAGAGAAAAAGGCTGTGACAAGTTCTGGCCACCAGTCTATCCAGCTCAAACAGGCTTGATTGTTGCGTATATAACGGAGGCATTTACAAAGCTTGGGTGTGACATTTCTTCATTACAGGCGGGAGAGAAGATCTCGAGTGTTCCCTATTTGCCTAAATACGATAAGCATGTCGTTCAGCTGATTCGCGCTCTCCGTGATGATGTCCTTGTCATACAGGTTGATAACGATTGGATTCGAACCGGGAAGCCTGTATCTGTTTGAATTATCCGCTGATGAAAGATTTAACCGAATACTGGTTGATTTCCCCCAATTTTCATCTGAACATAAGCTGTTACATGCTGTCGGCTCGAAGTTAAAAGAGTGTCTCTCCGGCCAAATAAATCCACTCACGTTGTTCTTTGGCAGCCCAGAGAAGCGTAAAATGACGGCGGATCAGTATTTAATGGCACCTATACAGTCGTCGGTTTCATTGCAGCTCTCCAGTTTCATCCAGAAATGCTTCAGTTCACAAAAGATATGCCAAGCTGTCCGTGTGCTTGAAGTTGGAGGCAGGGGATGGTGTCAGTAATTTCTTTTCGTCACTATCTGGCGTGGCGGCTTTTTTGCACTTCATTGAATCATCATTCTGGGAATGCCAAATATTCTGACGTATCGGCTGACATCGTGACAGAACAATGGGCAAGATCGACATAAAAATACATCTTCCGACGCCACCAGAGCTAATCTCAACGAGATCCTGAGAATTGGGGCCACATATTACACTTTCTTGTAATGAGCAAACCCGCTTTCTCAGAATCGAAAGGTTCGATGCTTTATGGAAGCATTGGGTCCAAATGCCCACGCCATGCCCCTAAGTCCCGGGGGATAAAGGTATAATATACTGCACCTACATCATTAAGCGCTCTCAGATAATACGAGACTAGGAAGGCATTGAAGCGGTGCAGTGCCTACCAACGGTTCCAAGAAAATACGGGGTACTATATTAGAAGCGTAATCTGCAACTAGTACAAAATTCATATCCTCTCATACCGATTATATCCACACAATAGTGACCTTATACTTTCACACAGCTCAGATTGCCGAGCAGGAAATACAGCTACCATCTTTTAGGTAGATGGAGGAGTTTATGTTAGACTTGCAGAATATCAATCAATATGAATTGAGCCAAACAGAATGGCAATGTGCGTTGACATGATGCATAGCAAATTTGTACCAGTCTTGTAAAGGAACATAAAGGAGATGTTTGAAAATATATTAAACGTAAAGATCCTATCAGAGTCGCATCTATGGCGACCTCTGCTCCAGAAGTTGTGTCAAATTAATCTCTCCTTTCTCACGGGCAAGCTGGAGGGGGGTCTTGCCCTCCCAATCCACAATCGTACTGTCAACTCCGCGATCAAGTAGATACTCGACCATCTCTTCTAGCGAAATATGAGTCTTTTTAAATGTTTTCTCTCGGATAGCGCAATGAAGGACATTTCCACGGGATATCTCAATGGCTGGACGTTTCGTCCAATCCATGTCTTTGATGTCTTCATTTATGTCAATACCTAGTTCCAGAAGCCGATCTACATTAGCCAAATTCCGGTCCACCACCGGCCCACGAAGCACATTTTTCCCATGAATTGAAGCTCCATTGTCCACCAGCAACGAGATCATATCCGGAGTCGACATACCCGCAGCCAGAGCAATCGCCCATTTACCCTTGTAGTCTTGGACGTTCGGATCTGCACCTTGGTCCAAAAGCAATTTGACAAGTTCTAACGATCTTTCTACTTCCGTCGAGAGCAAAGGGCCGACTGCAACAGAGAGCAAAGGGCCAAGAATGTCAACCCAGTAGTCAACTTTCATTCCGTAGTCCAAATATACCGCGAAAACTGCCGCAGGATTGGCCCCTTCAATAGCTGCAGTGACCGTTCCATCCGGAATCAGACCCCACTTCTTGTCTTCGTTGGTTGCAAACTCTTGCGATTCCTCGTAGGCGGAGGGTTTTGCTGGCCACCATGGCTTGTCCTTTTGAAACTCAGGGAGGTTGGCAAACATGTAACGTATCAGGTCAGCCTGGCCATATCTGGCCGCATCCCGAAGAAGACGCTTAGCGGGTGGTATGGAGAGTGGGTCGCAGGAAGCAGCTTCCGTCAGTGCCGACCGGAGTCGAGCTATATCTCCAGTGGCACACGACTCCAGTAGATCTTGCGTAACTTTGTGGTGATCAGGACCTTGGCCATTATTGGTTAGTTCTAGCTATGCAAATAGCATATTAGGGACTGGTACCGGGTGTAGACATGGTCGGTGGTGGTGCTGGACACTGGTAAGTTCGTAAGAGGTTTTTACCTAAGAAACGCCAGGCGGAGAGTGTTTGTATTAGCTTTGTTTATATTCCATGATTTATATGTCTCTAATGGGACAGGCTTCCCACTTTGTTTTATCTGCACGGAACCTCCCAGAGCTTGGTTTACCGCAAATCTGCTCTACCAAAATATTGTCGGATAGAGTGATTGAAGATGTGATGATCCAGTTGTAAGAAAGATAGAATTGTCTCTGCTGGATGATTCTGTTCAGCTAAGAAACGAATGCTCTACTATAAATTTATCTAACACTGCGATGACATGCAAAAATCTGTGATGCCCAAGTCTAGCTATTACATCATCATTCAACCAACCAGTAACAGTAACGCGGCATTGCAGGGGCTGAGATAATGTGTAATAAATATTAGTGTACCTTAACAGTGTTATAGATACCATTTTTGTTTTCTTGGCTTTACCTATTACCGCTGGTGAAACGTATAGAAGATAATGTAATTAGACATGCATGACCTGTCCCATTCTTTTTGTCTAGATTCGTTTAATCTTGAGGTGGCTTGTGTCTCACCATGCAACCTCCGCCATCCCATGAAAAAACTAGCAACGTTTGTTCTGAGCTATCCGCTAGAAAAATATCTCAATTGAAGTTACTATGCAACGAATCTTCGCTTAAATGGAATTAACAATATTCAACATCCAGAATTCCACCAACAGCCCCCAATCTAGCAGCAGAAGAGTTCTGGATTGGTGTCATCTTCCAATTAAGCCTCGTTTCATTTTTCAAAGGGTAGCAATGTTGAACACTGCGGGCTTCACCCTAGGGTCCTTTCGTTTGCACTGCCGAAATTAAGCGTCACGGCCTTATTGACGAGGATATTGAATCCTCCAAAACGGGTGGCATGCTATCTGTGGGCCTTTGTCAGCCTTGCAGCCTGTTTATTTCGGGTTGCATTGTGATTATTTTCGCCTGATGCACGTCTTTCGAAGCGACATGGACCCTTCAACTCTCTCACAGCAAGTGCTGGGATCTCGATATTCTGGTTCATTATTCGATTACTGTTGGCGGTGAGCCAAGCCTTGAGACAATTCTGGTAAGTTACTGACCTCTCTCATTGTCAGCCGTCGTAGACCTCTTCCTCGCAGTGTACCCGGTAAGGACCATCTGGCGACTCTAGATGAACTTAAAGAAAAAGGTGGCGATCAGCATCGCTCTTGGCTTAGGATTGATGTAAGTATTCCCGCCCTTGCAGGTGCCATGGTTGCAGGATTGCTGTTGATGATTCGAGTGAGCAATGCCAGACGGAAAGGCATCTATCACACGTTTTAAGGTACCTATCACCGCCGCTGCGAGAGACTTCCGCACGCCAAAACCAGAGCAGACCACACGCTGCACTTCTTGACCGATCATTTTTGGCCATTTCTAGCTAAGCTCAGTCAGCGTCAGTCGCGAATCGCCCAGGCGTCGCTCACGGTAGTCGTCAATCTGCCAGACCACCTCCAACCTGCGGACCATGGCTTCGCGGCGCCTCGTCGCGTGGATCAGTGCCTGGATGTAGGGCAAGACGCCGGCAATCCCCACGTCGGTGGTGACAATGAGGACGGCTCCGAAATGACGGAAATCGTGCGGGCGGCCATGCGGTCCCTGTTGAAAGTGATAATAAGATGTTCGTTGATTCTTCTAATCCAGGTGGGATGACTGTCACATATATATACACGTTCCCAATCCCTGTCACGCTGTTTCAGCCACCGGGATATTCAACAGTCCCAGGACCAGCGCCTGCAGCGTCGGCGGATGATACAGCCTGCAGGTGGCAGGGTTGACAAGCTTAACTTTAAAGCCTGGCGGCTAGTCTGGGCATTCGACCCTGAGCGCTTAGTGGCCCTGGCAAGGCAATGCTTCCGCTTAGGGATGTGTTACGATCGGCACAAATATGAATCTGTGGTACCATTGAACTAGAATTCTAAGCATGAGGAAGGAATTATGTACAGCCGCGCGCGTCGCGGTTAGATAGCCAGTGTGGGGCGGCGCTCGTGCCACGAGGCACATGCAACGCTTATCCGAGCCCTAGCCCTCTGTTACATTTACTACATAGGTGAGAAGTGGCGAGAATGCATCGTGCTTAATTTTCTGGTCTTTTGGTGTAGTGGCTTACTGAGCAATACTCCTGGTTATATAGTCGTGATAAAATTATCTGCAATTACTATATTATAAAGGATAGCACGCGACATGATTAATTTGCCATATAGAGTCGAAGTCAAAGTACTCTGCATATGATTACTCCCTTGCAGTTCCAATGTCCGCTAATTTAATTCCAGATGGCTTGATCGAATATGTAGGATGGATTGATGTGTCACATTGATCAATTGTATATTATATATATATTATAACGAAAAACTCGATATGTACCGTCGACGCCAACCGACCCATGCCAGAAACCGGACATGCTATATATAGAGCAACGCCACCATTCCACACCATGAACGCTGCTAAGCGAGCGAAGTCCCAAAATGGGTTGATAAATAGTAATCAAATATCCTCTACTCTACCCTCAACAGTGGGGGCCGAGGGATTTTATGGAGATCGATTTCCTGCACCAAATCACGCCGTAAACAAACATCACATCACACAATGCAGGTTTCTCTGTTTCTATATTATCTGCTTTCGTGAAAGTCTTGCAGATTGACGCCTGCGGTTTCGTTCTCACCGTGAACAGGCTGCATCAAGGAGGCAGCCTGGAGAACGGACTGCGATGGTTTTGGTGGGCCGGTGCCAGACCGGCGGCGGCGTTCCCGCTCAGAGATGCCCGAAATAGACAGGTTGTTGCGTGTGTGTAGTCCGCGGCCGAAACCGCTCATCCAGCTCGCATCTTCTTCATCGGACGAATCGGTTCCAAGCCAGTAGTTTCTGAATACGCTGATCATAGCACGGCCTAGTGTTCCTTGCCATCCTTGGCCCTCGGGGGTATGTGGCAGGAATGGCTCTCGATCAATATCAGCGGCACTAGCCACAGTAGCGACTGAGGTGGCTCGGCTGTGAGTAGGAAGCTGATTATACCGGGGCTGCGAGGCGTTCAGCAGCTTGTGGCGGAGTGCTTGTCTAGCGAACGCAAACATAATCAAACTAAAGTAGAAACGAACCACCCAAAGGACCGAGATCATGATGATGCTCTCAAAACTTTCGGGCTGTCGCACACCATTGCTCAAGCTGGGCGTTCCATTGATAGGATCAGTAGCAATTCCAGCTGGGACGCTGGCCGGGTCCGCGGTGATCCCAGAGTCTTGTCCAGGCGACAGGACATTTCCAGGGATGTGAACGGAGGAAACGTTGTATGTAGGGTTGGTGAAACCGGCGGTATCCTCGATAGTAGAGCCTGGTCCAGATTTAGGTGCATTGTGATAATGCTGAGAAACGACCAGGAACCATGTTACTCCAAATGCAGCCGTATAAGCGGCATTAATAAGCGTGTCGAAAAAGTACACCCAGGCCAGACCCAGGCAGTGCAGGGGAGTTTGCTTTCGAATATGAGGGAAAAGGAGGACGGTGAGAGCGAGAACGGCGAGAGAGTAAATGTACATAGACAGCTGGACGGGTGAGAGATGATAGCCTGTTAGCAAGGCGAGCAGCCCGTACAGGCCACTGATCTTGTTGAGTAGCAGCGACAGTGTGATCAGGGAGGTGCCCGTCTGTAGGCTCATGACACAAAGAAAGCTCTTGAAACGCGGTCAGCTCAGCCTTACAATCGTCACATCGCGATCGGATCGGACGACGACGGTGTAACATACCTTTGGCCGTGGAATGCGAAACAAGCGTAAAGCCATGGTGCGCTCGAACGATGGTCGCAAGCCACCGCCAGCAATGCGATCGGACTAGATAATAGAGTGCGATAAGGGGGCGAGCGTAGAACGCTTCTATACAGGCCGATGCAGTGGTGCGCAAGAGGACGGTGAGGGAGAAAAGTAGGAGGAAGAGCTGAGGGCAAGGAATCAGGCTAAGCGTTCCCGGAGAAGCCGCCTGCCAAGCCGCAAAATCAATGGTCGCCCTGCGCATGACGTTAGCGTTCCCATTTGGGCTTGCTACATGTACATCAATTCAATTCAAATAATCTATTAATGTTGATACAATGACTAGACATGCATAATATATTAATTATTAATATATTATATGCTACGAAATCGAGTAACAAGTGGAATGATATACATGTCGAAAAAGGCTACAAGGACGTCGCGTCATTTATTAACAATGCAAGATACAGAAATCCGGACAGCAGTCTCCATTCAGCACGCACAGCTGTCGTTATTGATAGGCGCTGAGTTGATGTTGACGTCGATCACTGCAAAACGTTAGTCGTGCACTGCATATGGAAGAGAACAACGCATACTCTGGTTTTCGCCCCTTTGAGCCTCGCCCTCCATGCCTGGCAGTGCTTGCGCTATTCTCCTGAATAACTGCTTCACGTTGTGTCCGACCTTGGCGCTGGTTTCGATAAACATGAGGCCGTTCTTCTTAGCTTCTTCCTCGCCCTGTGCCGTAGTTACCTCCCGCTTGTCGTTCAAGTCTGTCTTGTTGCCCACAAGCACAATAATGACATCGTTGCCTCGCTCGCCTCGAACGTCGTCGACCCATTTACGGGTATTCTGGAACGATTTTGCATTGGAAATGTCGTACACAACAACTGCCACGCTGCTATCGCGAATATATGAAGGAATGAGAGACCGAAAGCGTTCCTGTCCGGCCGTGTCCCACAGTTGCAGTCGCACCGTCCGGTCTTCCAGGTACATGGTCTGCACCCACGAGGTCAGTGAACCATCCACATATATATGCCCATCCACATGTACGGTCGCACAGCCCTTTTTGCGAGAGTTGCTGCGGGATGTCCTTTATCTTACCTTCGAAAGAAAGTCAATTCCAATTGTCGCTTGGTATGTGTTGTCGAAAGAGTCGTACATAAACCGTGTGATCAGAGACGTCTTTCCAACTGCAGTTCAGTCAGCACCGTGATGTGTTTGTAGATAGCTTTGTCAACGAACCGCTCTGCTCGCCCAGGAAAACTAATCTGTCGCCACATTAGCCAATTCCAATTGCGATGGCTTGTAATGTCGAATAATGTATACACACTTAAACTTCTTCAGCGGGTTCGAATACGACCCAACAGCTGCCTGGGAAGCCATCGCGTAGGTGGTCTGTCTGTTGCGCTCAGGGGACTAGGTCAAACTAGGCCAGTGAATAAGTGTCGTGTGTAGATATGGTCGCGGGTATGCAGGATGTGCAAAATTCGGATCGTAGGGGTCGTGAAAGCAGCACAAGCAGGAGATATCGGAGATATCAGAGACATCAGAGAAACCAGAAAAATCAGAGAAAACACAGTCAAGCATGACACCAGGAGAAAGGGAAGCGGCCTACGCTGGGGCGGGTTGTCCAATAACACCCCGTAGATGTCACACCGCCCGGCAAATGGACAGGTCGACGTTCATCCGCGCTGCCAGCTCTGTCGCTTTTCCTCTCACGTTTACAGCTCAACGGCGCCTTTGATTCTGCTGCTGCTAGAAAGCTATTGCCTGGAAGTATAGCACTGACAAGCCTCAATTCTTGGACTTTTCCCTTGCATACGCTTCCGCCGAGCCGCGGTCTCAAGCAATCATGGTGCTGTATCCCGCTGCTGTAACGACCACCGCGCTTGGTGTCGTTGGTGCTTGTACGGCCCCCGCTTGAGCGCTATCAGGAATGTGCTGATGATGACTAGATCTGTTATTCCATGGCGAGGGAGAGAGGTTCAATGTATGAATACTGTTCTGCCTGCTATCCCGGGCTTATTCTGACTGTCGATTTAGGTAGGGGAATTCCTCGAGAGTGTATCCCCATTCACATGGGCGAATATTGGTATCGCCATGTGCATTGGTCTTTCGGTGGTCGGCGCAGCATGGTATGTCTGACAATCTGATGGTATATACAGCTCTAACCACCTTGTGTCTACAGGGGCATTCTCCTTACCGGTTCGTCGATCCTAGGTGGAGGTGTCAAGGCGCCGAGAATCCGCACCAAAAACTTGATCTCAATTATTTTCTGCGAGGTTGTCGCCATCTACGGTGTAATCATGGCTATTATATTTTCCTCCAAGCTAAATAGTGTCGACGCGGCAAACGTCTACTCTGGAAACAACCTGTACACTGGGTACGCAGTGTTTTGGGGTGGAATCATTGTTGGATCCACGAATTTGATCTGCGGCATTTCTGTTGGCATCAACGGTAGTGGTGCTGCTCTGGCCGATGCCGCCGACCCTACACTGTTTGTCTCCTATACCCATCCATACTTTTGAGTACTATACTTATATCTACATTATAGCTTCGTCAAAATCCTGGTTGTCGAGATTTTCAGCTCCGTCCTTGGTCTTTTCGGTCTTATTATTGGACTGCTCATCTCCGGCCGAGCCCTGGATTTCCAATGAGCGGCAGTCAATAAACCAACTCCGAAGCAGGAACCCGCTTCGCTCTAGAGAGCAATCCAGCTGAAGCTACTTGACTAGGAGATTCTGCTCCGAGCATATATATGGAATGGGCGTATGGGTTTGATGATTTTTGTCCCGCGAGGATCGCCTTCGCGGCTCGACTTCGCCTGGATAGGCCAATGTACAGTTATTTTATGGCATAGCACTAGCTTGCAACGCGTTCGACATCTTTCACAGCTATCCGAACGGCACCCTCTACATCAGATATCAGTTTTTGCCATCATATAACCATACAATGTGATGCATACTTATATGTAAACCGAAGTGCAATAATAACACGAAGAGTTACTTAAAATAAAACATGGTATCAACTCAATGTCTTCTATATTATTCAACAGACCTAGGATAAACTTATACTAAGTGCAAAGAGTGAATGGGCAATGTGGGGCGGGACATTCCCACCTTCCATCTGGCTATCCATCTATATCTCAACTTCACCCCATTACACCTGCCACACAATATCCAATCTAACATGACTCACTCCCTCAATCCGTTCGCCTAAAGAATAATTATGTCTTCCCCCCTCCGCGCAGCAATCCTTGTCATCTCAGACTCGGCATTCGTCGACCCCGGATCTGACAAGGTCGGCCCCGCCTTGACCGAGATATTCACATCTGCTCAACTACAATCCAAGGGCTGGACATTTCCCAAAGTCGATATTGTACCTGATGATGTGGAGTTAATTCAAGATGTCATTAAGAACTATACTGATAATGAGAATGACTACTATAATTTGGTCGTGACGAGTGGAGGAACCGGGTTTGCGGTTAAGGATGTGACGCCAGAGGTTAGCATTAGATATCCATTTCCTTGCTGCTTTTCGCGCTTGATTTGCCTTTGATGTTGTAAATGGCCGTATTTGCTAACTGCGTCCAGGCTGTTGCACCTATACTGCATCGCCATGCACCAGGTCTTGTGTAAGCATCCAGTCTATAATCAAATAATCTAGCTGACTTTGAAAGCCACGGCATGCTTGCAGCCTCGTTACAAGTAACTCCATGTATGTGTCATCATATTTCATCCTAATTGTAAATTCTTCTACTTTATATGATCAACTAACGCAAACTACATGTAGTCGCCATGATGTCACGCCCCGTCGCAGGCGTACGAAATAAATCATTAATTCTTACACTGCCTGGGTCCCCAAAAGGGGCAAAAGAAAACCTCGAGGCTGTCATTAGCCTCTTACCACATGCTTGCATTCAAGCAGCCGGTGCTAATTCAAGAGAGCTTCATGCCGGCGGGCTCAAGAAGCTTGAATCCGAAGCTGGTGTGTCATCAACGAACAGTAATGCGACCAAAAAAGACAGCCTTTCTCATGATCACCACCACCATCATCATAACCACGGCGGTGGGCATGGTGGGCACCAAATCCCAAAAGCTCATACTGCGCCAGAAGATAGACCACAGTCCAATGACCCCAATGCCGGTCCCACAAGACGGTACCGGTCCTCGCCATACCCAATGCTCTCAGTGGATGAAGCACTCAGAATAATCGCACAGGAGACCCCGGAACCTACTACAACCCAAGTGCCCGTCGACTCTGACCTCGTGGGGTCAGTGCTAGCTGAAGATGTGTATGCTGGAGAGGCGGTCCCAGCTTACCGAGCCAGCATTGTCGACGGATACGCCGTGATAGTACCCTCATCCGGATCAGGAACAAAAGGTGTCTTTCCCGTCGCCTCTGTATCTCACGCACAAGCAGCCTCTATGCCCCCACCTCTCAATCCAGGCACAATAGCGAGGATAACAACAGGCGCCCCATTACCGCCAAACGCGAACGCCGTAGTCATGGTAGAAGACACCATCCTCGCGTCAACAACACCAGATGGAAAGGAAGAAGCAACCGTCGAAATCCTCACGGACAACATCAAATCGGGCGAAAACATCCGAGAACCTGGGAGCGATGTAAGCAGGGGAAGCAAAATCCTTACCAGGGGAGATTTGATATCTGCCGTTGGAGGAGAAATCGGGCTTCTAGTATCGACCGGCACCAGAACGGTTAAAGTGTTCAAGAAACCCACTGTGGGTGTCTTGAGTACCGGCGACGAGCTAGTATTGCATGACGACCCCAGGGTTCTCACTGGCGGTCAGATTCGTGACTCCAACCGCCCATCCCTAATCTCATGTCTACGCTCATGGGGCTTTGAGACCGTCGATCTCGGTATTGCTCGCGACACACCCGCTGGCGAACTCGAGAAAGCCCTCCGCGGCGCCGTCCGCGGTCTGGGATCAGACAAACCACCGGTCGACATCATAATCACAACAGGGGGCGTATCAATGGGCGAGCTTGATCTCCTCAAACCCACAATCGAGCGCACGCTTGGAGGCACAATCCATTTTGGAAGGGTATCCATGAAACCCGGAAAACCCACCACATTTGCCACAGTCCCCTACAAACCATCCACAGCTGCAGGGGGGGATACTGCACAACAGGAACGTGAGAAGAGGCTAGTATTCTCTCTCCCTGGTAACCCTGCATCGGCACTAGTAACACTAAACCTCTTCGTTCTACCCTCACTGCACAAAATGATGGGTCTGGCAAGTACATCAACTGCACCCTCCCCCCTCCCTACGCCAACCTCAGTCGGCCTCCCAATCATATCTGCATCGCTCACGCACCCTATCCCGCTCGACCCGAAACGCACAGAATACCATCGCGCCATCGTAACCGCGTCACGGAAAGACGGGCGGTTGTATGCTACGAGCACGGGGTTGGCCGGGGTCGGACAGCGGAGTTCAAGGGTGGGCAGTCTGGCCAAGGCTAACGCGTTGCTGGTTCTGCGGCCTGGAGAGGACAGGATTGGGGAAGGGCAGCTCGTGGAGGCGTTGTTGATGGGGGGTGTTGTTCCGGAATAGTAGATATATAATGATATGTAATTCATTTGTATATGTTCCATGTTAAGCCAATGAACACTAACGCTATCATATGCTATCTATACAAGATAAGATACACGATAAATGTATTGTTAGTCTAACCAAGTAGAAGTAGAGAACAATTGTACACAGCCCAATATATCCGACTGAAGACGAGATATGCAAATCTAGTCGAAATGAGTTATTTTGTTGGCGCATTGTATAGAAGCTACGCTTTCCAACCCTTCTTCTTCTCCGCACGCAAAGCTAACAACGTACCGCTCGGATCCTGGCGCCGTGCGATCTCGACAACAATGAAACGAACGAAGTCGGGCAGAATCCAGTAACTGCTGTGAGCACTGAGCATATTGAGATACTGAATATTCAGCGGACCGCCGCCGCCGGAGAGGTAGTAGTCGATTTGCCCGTTGTCGTTTAAAAGAAGCATGCGTGTCTCGGCGATTTCTTCGCGCGTGAAATCGTGCGTCTCGAGTTCGACGTTGGATGGGAGCTTTGTTGCGCCCGGTCGTGAAGAGGCGCTGGGAGCGGCGAGGCTGGAGGATAGCGTCTTGTTCGCGGAACTCCAGCGGAATACGCTTCCGAGAGAGGAAAAGAAGGAGGAAGAGGAGCTGGGCACGGCCGCTGGCTTGAGGGAATCGGCTAGCTCGCTGTTGACTGCTGCGTTGACTCGATAGGCAATAGCTGGCCAATGGTCAGTACGCCCAGGAACAAAAGTGGGCTGAGGAATGATTCTTACGATCGGTAGTATGCATGATGTTGTAGAGGTTGTCAACTGCCACACAACCGTATGTTTTAGCCTCGCCAGCAACGCCTCGTTGCATGTCTTCCCCTTCTCTACCCGGTTTATTTCTACCTTTTCGAGGAAGGAGGTTTGCTGTAGCACGGTCAGTGTCAATGTCTTAATTAGATGTGATTAAGTTCATACCTTTATTGAGGAGCAGGAAGAGACCGGCAGGGCTTCCGCAGAGAAAAACGTTCTTAGAGTCAAACTCAAAAACATCATCATGCAACTCCTCCGATTGAAAGTCAATGTCTGGAAGTTTGGTAGGTTGGTTACTCAGAACATCGAGTGCCATGACACTGCCCAAAGAGTGGGCAAGCAAGTGGACTCTTCCATGCTCGCGAAATCCAGGGTTGTTCAAACACCACAGCCGATACACCCGGTTCGCCTCTTTGACAAGTGCTCGAATCATCTTGTCTTTGTGATGTGACAGATAGTAAGGTATATCCAGCATAACATCGCTGATGAGTGTGCGGATCGCAGGAATTGTGTCGGCGGTTATATCTTTGAGAGTATATTGGTTGGCAGTCGGGTCATCGACGTTTAAAGGATCAGACTCGTTATCTTCGAGGGACAGGGTCGACCGCCAATTGACAGGTAGCACCATAATCCCCCCGTGGTCCGGTCGTATATTTGGCCAGATTTCTTCGTTGTTCAATTCCAAATTCACAGACCTGCGAAAACCATTGATTGCGTGGGTAAAGTGGTAGCTCTCCATTCTTTCCGAAAGTTTTTGGCCAATCCCATGGATGACGAGAATCAGGTCAGACGGATTTGGTCGAGACTCTTCAATAGCACATGCATAGCAAATCTGCTCTCCTCTGGAATTTCTTGTCTGGGGTCGCATGATGTAATGTCTCATATCGATGTTCGTCTGTTTAGATGGATGGAAATGGTCCCATTGCTTCCTATCAAACCCACGGACAACAGGTATACCGATTTGGCGACCCTTGCGGATGGAGCTAAGTGGTCGGCGATTCCTTGAAACAGAAGGGAGAAGACTAGGACGGAGGATCTGAGCGTCTTTCCCATCAACAAAGATGACGCTAGCATTTTTATAATGAGTAGAGCCTGGCTTCTCCGCGGCCCCTGTTGCAGCCATATTCTGGGCGAATATGCTTTTATTATCATTGGCCTTCCCAGTTCCATCTACTGCACTGGTGGATGGCTCTCCTTCCTGTACCGTACTAGGCCGGCTTGCGCTGGTGTCATCGTGCCACAACTTGTACATAACCTTCATTTCCGCATCCGCGCCATTCTCGACACAACTGTTGAGTTCATCTTGCCAGGTATCTGTCCAGGCACGCATATACTCGTATCCTCTTTCCAGTTCATTTGCAAGAGGTGGCTCAACCGGAAGCATCGTGTTTTTATAAAACCAGGTGGCACGAAAAACGTCAGATATGTCATGCACCGGGCTCCAGTAGATTGGTTTCATCTATAGTAGTATTTAGTGTCAGGTACTCAAGCATAACTTAAGAGGCTAGTCGAGAATTACCTTCAATCCAGGAAGTTCCACCAAATGAAGACGCGATACTCCGACAGGAATTTTATATTGAGCAGAGTCATCCTCTGCATCTTCTCCGGTTTCAATATCTCTAGCCGTACGATCCTCTCCAGCAACATGCTTGTCCGCCGTGTTGTGGGATTCTGCTTGAATCTGTTCATCTTTAAACTCATCAAAATGCGCGCTGCGACGCTTCGTTATATTGTCTGTGGCGAGATCTGACGGCGTCCCCGATTGTCTTGACGAAGCTCTGGCAAACGGAGATCCGCTAACATGAGCTGCAGCAGATCCGTCCTGGGAACCAGGCATATTAAACTCCTGGTCTTCTGTTCCGGGAGAGGAAGCACTCGTCCGCTTTGCCGCCTTAACTCGTCGTCCCAGCGGCGATACATCCCTCTTCCTCAGCAACGCCGGACTCCCCAAACTAGCCTGGCCCGTTATATTCTGACGCCGTTCCCACTCCTCTAAACTATTCCCTGCAACAGTTGATATAGAGGCAGATGGTGTTATATTTTCTTGCGGTCGTTTACGGCGAGAAACCAAAATAGCTTTCCCTGTCTGCTCGACAGACTCATTTGCTTCATTTCCACGCTTTGTATTCTGGGAGTCCTCCAAAGCTCTCCACGTCTGTTCCAGAGCGATATTATCTCGAGCAGAAAAGGGTTGCGGTGCGAATGCCGTGTTCGCGGTGGCCGACGTGGTAGGCGCTGGTAGTGGTGTCAGAGGGTCATCGATAGGAAGAGACGATGTATAGAAAAACTGAGCATGGATTTTCGGGGGCGTGGTAGACGATCGCAACGCAAAAAGATCCTGCTTTGGCGTTGCACGGAGGCAGTTCGGACCGTACGTATGTACTGGACCAGACGACATTTTGGCTGCTCAGTAAGAAGAAGGATTGGGATAATAATATTATTAACGGGTTCCATTCTCTAAGAAGAAAACATCATGGGCGATTTCTTTAAACAAGCGGTTGAATCAGCTACCAAGACAGCCATCCGGGTCGTGGCCGGCAAAGGGCATGATGGTGCGGAGGAGGGAGGATAAAACAAACCCACGAAACAGAGCTCTGGAGGTCAGTAAACGAGAGTATCTTACCAGTCCGTAGAGGAGAGTTAGAAACAACACGCTTTGGCGACTGCCTGGCGCCGTCCTGGCTTGGCATGTGATCTGCCGCTAGCCACGATGACGTCGCTCGCTTATCAAAACAACGGCATCAACATTTTTTACATTTTCTACACTTTATTTATTATTATCTTTTATTTTTGAAGAGTCTTGTATTACTACCTACGCGACCTGTGACTAAAATACCTTTAAGAGGCAACTGCTTGATGAAAAGAATAAAAAAGAAACCGCGACTGTCATGCGCTAGGAATCGCCAGATGGGTTGACGAGTAACTATATGAGCATCGCGAACAGACGAAGAAAGAGAAGAGATAATTGTACAATAAACATTTGGGTTAGCAATGCAGGTGCGGTCAATGGTAGTGTGTCTAAAAAGACGATTAGAATTGAGCTGTTACTCTGGTTCACCCCGAGGAAGATCTATCAACATCGTTACCGTCCTTGTCGTGCATCAATGCAAGTAGTGTGCTGTTGTCAGAGTGGAGAACAGAAGTAAGCATTGCTATTAACCACGGCGTGGCACAGTAGAGGGAACAAGGTGAGGTTCGAAGGAAGCCTGGTCGACTTTTTTATGCTTCTTTCCCTCCTCGATGAGTTCCATCATCAACTGGCGCAATTTGACGAAGACAGTCATGATTTCAGCATCTGCGTCGAGCATCTCGAGGACAGGGTAGACGTCGTGGAACAGCTTCTTGATCGCGCTGTCAGGCCAGCAGAAGGTGCGAACACCTAGCTGGTTGATAACGCTAGCCCAAGCAGCCATGGTGGTCTTCAAGAGAACCGGGTCGAGACTGTACTTGCCAGTGAACTCGAAGCTGCGAATATTGTGAGATACAATGTCGCGCTGGGTTTTCATGTCAAACTGAAACTCGGGTACAATAGGGCGGTTCTTCTCGTTCCAGTAGTCGACGAAGCGCTTGATAGAGTCGTTGCCTTCGAAACGGTTGTGATGCAACTGAACAAGAAGATACTCGTTGGCGGCCACGACCATGAACAGTTCGAGCTTAGAGTAGATTATGGCCTGAGTCTCACGGTCGAGGCTAATGGTGATGTTTGGTTTCATCACAATGCCATGAAGAAGTTCGGTTTTCTTGTCCTCTGACTTGCGGTCAAGAGAACGACGAATGGAGTTTACCTATCACTGGGTCAGTTTCTTCGTTGTGGCTGATAGTGGTTGTCTGATAGGTAAACTTACGACGCGAACGCCCATGGATCCCACTTTGGTCACCATTTTCTGAAACTGAGTCTGCCTCCACTCCTTTTGCTTGCCCAAATAGCCTTCAGGACCGTAAAGAGTCTTCTTCTTGGGGTTGCCGCTGAGATGGTAAGGATCAATAGGGTCAAATGGAACGTACTCCCCAACCTGTTGAAGGAGAGGAGAAAATTCGGTGGCGATGGCCCAGCTAGGTGTTTGTTTACGACGTGCGCTAGTGATGGTGGGGATTCTGAGTGCGGCCACCTGCGCAAGCAGCTCCTCTTCTTTGTTTGCAAACGTGTGTGTCAGTTTGACAACTGGCTCTGCTGCCTGGGCGGGCTCGACGAAGACGTCTTCGTCCCCGTCTCCTGCATGAGAACTCACACCCTCGCTCTGCTTGCCCTTCGTATTTCCCCCTTGCTCAAACTGCTCTCGAAAGGGGAGGTTTTGACGAAAGATGTAATCGGAGCCAGCGACGGCTTGTACAGGAGTGGCCTGGACGTTTCGGGCCTGCGTGTCACTCGCATCGATCCCATCGTAGGGCCCAACTGCCTCTTCCTGATAGACCCCCAGGTTGCCTTCACCAGCCTCGTGACTAGGATGGCCTTCGCTAGTAATAGTCGAGGCTGGCCAAGGGCGGCTGCTATCATAGACAGACGAAACGGCTCTACCCTCATGCTTCCCCTCGTATCTTGGCCTATATCTATGTAAGCTTCTTTTCCACGCGGCAATACAATCAAAACTTACGTTTCATAAAGTGCTTCGGTGCTCGCGTTCAAATGGCCAGTAAGCTCAAAACCAACTTGCTCAGGGCGTTTCTGAAGCACGCGACGTGGTCTTAGAGGCTCGGGTATCAACGAGTCCACCATACCACGCGCCATCCGCCCAAAAGAAAAGTTAGAACGAGTGGTAGAGGTGGCTGCGGATGGTGTACTGCCATCCTGACTGTCAGGATCTTCTTGAACTCCTGGACGATACCGCTTTGGCAGGAGTAAGGGGATATCATCCTCTGGAGCGGCAGCTATTTCTCCGGCTTTCTGGTTGTCAGATTGGCCTGACATCTTGCGAGGATGGCCACTGAAAGGAATTGATAATTTTTAACGGGGCTGCTTCAGCGGATAACAGATCTTCTGTGAACAGGAAAAGTGAATCTTGAATAGGGGTGCTTCACTGGATAAGATCTTCTGTGAACAAGAAAAAGGATGTTGGGGTGGCAGTCAAGCTGTTCAAAACAGCCTTTAACAAAATTCTTCACAAACAAAGGATGCCTAAGCAACTCCTACTCAGAAATATCTTCACAGTGACACTATTCCAGGAATCAAAACAACAAAATGAGAATAGTGGATGGGTGGATGGGTAAAGGATGGAAGGGAGGGAGAGATGAGAGGTCAAGAACAAGAAGACAAACACTGAAAATTTTCTTGTGGCTGTGGTGGGCTGTTTCCAGACATCGTCGTGGGCAACAAGCTTACCATCATAACAATAAACGAATGGTGTCGCTGTTCATGGGGATTCTGCTACTTGCCAACATGTCGCTGAAGCAGCCATAGCCAAGGCTTTGAAAGGCATGCATCAGATATGAAAAGTGCTGGTACACTGTTATTAGGAATAAATTGAAGCTTTTCAGCTCCGCCAAATTTCTATATCCAAATAAAACTAGCTGCTCTACTTATCTTCACATTGTAAATAGGTATATAATTAAGTTGATTACAACTATGTAACCAATATATAGTAGCAGATAAATATTTTTAGATGACATATGACAAGTACGATCTAGAGATGTATTCAAAAGTAATCAAACAATATTCCTCTTATCAGCATCTATCACTCTTCACCAGTCCTTGTTGCATCAAACATAGGTCTTTGGGTACCACGTGATCTAAGCACTGACATTGTCACACACCAATAGTAGCACAGGCACAGACAGACAACTTAATCACCAGTCAGATATGTGAATGACAGTAATAAATAGACTTTCCCTGTCAGCCTGACCTGCAGCAATGTAACGTGGCGCATCATGTGCAACTTGGCTGTATTAGCCAGAGTCGAATGTACTGGCTTCGGCTGACACCATACTACATAATGTATACTCGTCGACACTACTTTTACTATTCAAACCGGTAGAACACGAATAATACTATGATGCATCATCATCATAATAAATTATATGTTGTAATAATTGTTAAAAGATAAGTGAAGAATGGCCCACTTGCCGAGTTCTTAACCGTGGTGGAGGCTGTCCCGCACCAGCAGCCCGGAAAGACAAGCCGGCAGTTCGCCCTCCCCGCACGTCTCCCAAGCTGCAGCATTCTTAGTATTGATCCTCTAGGACAGCTCCCCAAGTCACATCATGCGCGACTCGCCTCGTTGGCTCCTCCGTCTCCCCCGAAATGCCGCTTATTTCTACCTCCTCCACTTAACTTGCTGCCTTAGAGCTATTTATTTGCCGCTTTTCTTCGCCGTCATGGCGGAGGACACCGCGTCTCAGGGTATTAAGGGACCAAGGTCGCTTCCTTCCGCATTGTTTCTTTTTCTTTTCTGAGTCAAGGAAACAGGCTCAAACAGTTTGTTTTGTTCGGACTTGGGGGCATCCTTCATATATCCACACCCATCTATATTAGTTTGCACATAATCATATAATCATGGCGCCTCCGGATAATAGGTACGACATCGTCATCGTGGGTGCCGGCCCCGTGGGCATCCTCTTGTCGCTCTGCCTCTCGCGCTGGGGATACAAGGTCAAGCATATTGACAATCGACCAGTGCCGACCGCCACCGGACGTGCAGACGGTATTCAGCCGCGCTCGATAGAAATCCTCCGCAATCTAGGGCTGAAGCGTGCACTGATGGCCTGCGAACCAGCTAAGGTTTTTGATGTAGCCTTCTGGGACCCTCTACCAGGGGGAAAGGGTATTCATCGAACTGGAAACTGGCCCAGTTGCCCTCGTTTTATTGATACAAGATACCCATTTACTGCATTGGTCCACCAAGGCAAAATTGAGAAGATGTTCTTGGACGAAATCGAGAAGGCCGGAACCCATATTCAACGTCCATGGACGATTGTTGATTTCAATAATACCGGCAAGGATGAGACATATCCCGTCGAAGTGAGTCTCAAGTGCCTGGATACCAACGTGATTGAAAACGTCCGCGCCAAGTATCTATTCAGTGGCGAAGGCGCACGAAGCTTTGTGCGTCAGAAGTTGGGCATTGAGATGACATACAAAGACCAGATTTCCTTTGTTTGGGGTGTAATGGACGGAGTTGTTAGGACAAATTTCCCAGACATCCAGGTAAGCGCAACTGCTAGTAGCAGGTTCGTGAATTGGTTCTGATCGGCATTAGACAAAATGCACCATCCATTCAGACAGTGGGTCAATCATGGTGATCCCACGCGAGGACAATATGGTCCGGCTGTATGTACAGATTGCCTCTTCTACCGATCCAGATTGGAGTCCCAGGAAAACCGCCACCGCCGAGGAGGTGCAAGAAGTCGCAAAGAAGATTCTCCAACCGTACAGCATTGAATGGGACAGGGTTGAGTGGTACTCTGTTTATCCTATCGGACAAGGCATTTCTGAGAAATATACGCTGGATCACCGTGTTTTCATGGGCGGGGATGCTTGTCACACTCATAGCGTACGTGTTAAACTCAGACTGGCATCCGATGCTTCTCACTAACATTCATACAGCCGAAAGCTGGTCAAGGCATGAACACTGCTTTCCACGACGCACTCAACTTTGCCTGGAAACTTCATGCTGTAGAGAGTGGCTTTGCACGTCGATCGATATTGGAGTCTTATGAGACCGAGCGTAAACAGATTGCCGAAAATCTCCTGAGCTTCGATAATAAATATGCCTCACTATTCTCAAAACGCCCTCCTACAGCAGAAGAAGTGGGTAACGCAAGATCCAGTGCTGTCAATGCTGAGGAGGATGACTTTGTCAAGACCTTCAAGTCGTCCTGCGAATTCACCAGTGGTTACGGAGTCGCTTACGAGCCAAACTTGTTCAACTGGAGTCCTAGCCATCCGGCTACTTCCCCATTATTTAGCATCGACGGTGTCAAACTGACGCCTGGACGTGTTTTTACACCATCAAGCGTCACTCGCCTTTCCGATGCCAATTTTGTCCATCTGGAACAAGAAGTCCCTGCCAACGGCTCGTTCCGCATATTTGTCTTTGCCGGTTCGCCAGTGAAAAACAAGAAAGCCATCGAAGACTTTGCTCTGAATCTGGAGAAGGAGAAATCATTCTTGTCTGTGTACCGCAGACTAGACATCAACAATGTATCCTACTTTGAACGCCACAACCCGCATTCAAAGCTCTTCACAATCAGCGTTATCTTTGCTGCAGACAAGAACGCGGTGGACATCCAGTCTCTACCCCAAATAATCAAGGACTACCACCACCATATCTATGCCGACGACATTCCGGATGTCCGTGTGCCCAATGCCAAGTTTTCTGCCCATGAGAAGCTAGGATTTGATCCCGAGCAGGGAGGTGTTGTGGTTGTTCGGCCGGACAGCCATGTTGCCTGCACAGTCCAGCTAGTTGAAGGAAGCGGCACTGTAGATGCACTAAATGCTTACTTTGGCTCTTTCTCTACGAGCCAGCTTGGGCAGACATCTCCAAGTCATCTTTAATCGTGTAATTTAAGCCATACTATATGGTGAGGCTCGAGTTGTCATATATGTATATATATATATTTTTTCCTAGTCCAAAAAGCGAATAGAAATCATCGAGATTATTTATATTGGGTTAGTTGATTGCGTAAAAGTTGATATTTACTCGTAGTTGCCCTGTTAACATGCTGCTTTGCTACTGATCAACCCCGCAGGGATCACCCGTCGACACCTCAGGCTTCCTTCATCCTCATCAACCCCCGCACCACAGCTTCAATCATAGCTTCAAGCTCCTACACGCAACATCTAGTATCAGACCTCGAGAGCCAAGCTGCAGAAACAACAACCAAAATGCTCTCCCTGGTTCTGACTGCCGACCTGCAGGGGTAAGTATTATCCCGTCGCGAGTGAGTGTGGATTTCTGTGCTGACATTTGCAGTGTGACGGAGCTCCGCCCGAAGGATACTGAGGAAGACCCGTACTATTACACCTTCAAGGTCCTCTGCAGCTCGTGCAGAGAAGAGCACCCGAACTGGGTCAGCTTTACGCGTTATGTAAGTAGATTTAACCTTCGCGTCTCTATTGCCGTCTCGCGTCGCTTCATAACAACCACCATCGATATAACGTCGAATTATGACCACATCGTTGAATCATCACAGAACATATCAATTACTTGAACTATGAACTAATTTATCACAGGAAAAACATGATATCCCAGGGAGCCGCGGCGAAGCGAACTTTGTATGGAAATGCAAGCTGTGCGGGGTGCGTAGTCAACTTCATGGACTCTCTTCGGCTCTTTTTATATACTAACAAAAATAGAAAACACACTCTGCTAGCATCTCTGCAGGGCCCAATGCATACGAAGCCACAGAAAATAACCGGTCGAAAGGACAGAAGGTAGTCGAGTTTGACTGTCGCGGTCTTGAGTTTACACAATTTAAGCCTGATGTAAGAACCACCCATACTTTTACAACGCGAGATGTTTTTAACAAAAATCCGCTTTTCTCGATTCATTGTACACTGATTTTTTTGTTTAGGGCGAGTGGGAGGCCAAGGGAGCAGAAACGTCCACTGCTTTCACGGGTATCGACTTGACTGAGGGGGAATGGTACGACTATGATGAGAAAGCGAGCGAGGAGGTCAGTATCAAGGACATCAACTGGGAGGTCAAGAACGTGAAATAAAGCAGCCGTTTTGATTTCCTATGGTCGCTGATAATTCAGAAAGGTAGTTATTTAGTTAAACTGGCGTCGGTGTATTCTAGTGGGTAATGAATGACTTTTTTCAGCGTAGTCGAAATATGAGCAGAAGGGTTGCAATAATACCATTCAAGAATCTAAACTCGTTAAGTAGGCAAAGAGATGGCCTCAGTAAAATGGACTGGTGCGGCAGTATAGGGTGCCTTCAAGGCGGTGTGTTTCCCGGAAACTTGATTCGCCAAAAGCTCTGCCTGGCAGCTGCCATCTCTGCGGCGGCATCAAAGAATTCGCGTGGTCAGTCAAGCTCGCGTGTTACTTGAGACTCCGATTCACTCCAGTCTGCACATCTTGCTTCTTGAGCATCGTTGTGGCAGTAATAAGTCTCGCCTTGTTTGATATTTTCTGTCCTTCTTTTTTCCCAATCTCATTTGCGTTGTGTGAACAATGAGTGTAAGTCGCTGCTTCCTGTCTGCGATATTATTTCTCGATTCAATCCAGAGCTCAGTGTTCAAAGAATCTAGCTAATCATCGTGTGATGTAGTTCCAACCAGTCAATCCACGTCCTTTTCTCCAGGCCAGGTACGCAACCTCCACACAACATCTTTCATCTAGACCCCCGCTGCCATTCCTCGTCGCAAGTCGAATCGGATCCATGCTAACCAGACACGAAACACAGAGTTGGCACTGAGCTCATTATCCGCCTAAAATGGGGCCAGACTGAATACCGCGGCAAGCTTGAGAGCATCGACTCATATATGAACGTCTTGCTACGAGAAACCGAGGAGTTTATTGATGGGAAAAACACGGGTAGTCTTGGGTTGGTGCTTATCAGGTACATCCTTCAACCAAAAAAAAACGGACAAAAAGAGAAAGGAAAAATGGAAAATGAAATGCTGATTGACTGTCTAGATGCAACAATATCCTCTGGATGGCCAGTGCAGATGGTGTCGACATGACGGATTTAGGGCTGAAATAGTCCAGTCCTCCACTCCATCTTCTTTCCGTACTCTATCCTCTCGTCTCTGATATATCCGCCTGTCATGAAATTTGATATTCTTAAAAAGAACGTGTGTGACGGTGTGTTGGTTTATATACCCGTTGAATCGGAAGAACAAAAGGGCATGTTTTCTAGTACCTCTGAAAATCGCTAGATATTATACGTGGGATCGCCGGCGTTTAATGAATGAATGATATGTTCTTTGATTTGGACTTCAGAATTTCTGAGTGTATTCAATGTATTCAATGTACTCAGGCGCTGTGTTACACTACAGTCCCGGGTATCATTTCATCCTCGTCTTCATAAGACTCCAGACTCCGGTCTTGTATAAAGGCATTTAGGTAGAACAAGTGAATGGACTACTAGAGGTACGTTAATTGAAGCAGCGCTGTCATCAATGCATTGATTCATTTCAGTTCGAGCCGGATTCTACTACGTAGCAAGCATAAATGGATGATGCTGGAGGAAAGCGGCTGGCCGTGGCCAGTAAAAAAAAACGTCGTCACCCAACATCCAGACATTTATGATTGATCAAGTCGATCAGATCAGGCAAAAAAAGCTATCATTCGTGAGCAAGTGGTTGACTGTGACAAGTTAAAAATTAAAAATAAAAATAGAAAAGGTGAAACGTCAACAGCACGACTCGAACGTGCGCGGGCGAACCCAACACATTTCTAATGTGTCTCCTTAACCACTCGGACATGTTGACTCTGATGAAAAGTAGGCCGAAAAACTGTCCTTAGTGGGGTAGTAGTTGACTGTGATGAATAAAAAATTAAAGTAAAAATTAAGCTGAGCGTCAACAGCACGACTCGAACGTGCGCGGGCGAACCCAACACATTTCTAATGTGTCTCCTTAACCACTCGGACATGTTGACTATGCAAAAGTGCGGAATATTTATCATAAACTGTTAATCACTTTCCAGCTGTAAAAGCCAAGAATAAATGACAAACCCTAGAAATCCACGTTGTTATCCATAGCTAGTTTTTTTTGGGCATATGAGAACCTCTTTCATTACAGATTTCTCTGAACTGCTGGATGTAAATTCCAATAGCAACCCCTACATGCATATGGATTGAGCCATGCATGTGTTCAATTGGATATTTTCGGGCTAGTCTCCTAACAAGTAGTTAATATTATCTGTTACCCTACGTATGCTTCATCAGCGTCACAGCCTACAAGTCATGCAAGAGCTAGATGTATTTTCGGCCGCATTGTCACCGTTTAAAAGAACGCGCGAAAGCCTAAGCCTCCAGCTAGACATTCCGTCCTAATAATAGCAGGGTATGGTAGGTTTTTCGTATCTGTTTCAATCCAAAGAATTTTCTTTCGGGATTTCTTCTCCACCAGCCTTGGCGATCGTTCAAATCGAAATCAAAATGTCATCTCTCTACTCCCTTATGTTGTTTGAAGTTGGCGCTTGCATGAAAACTCCACAAAACTGCCGGTGATGTCACCTGCCCTAATTATCTTCTTCTTTCACTAGACTCTAGTACACTTCGAGGTGGTGTGAACAATATATTATCTGTTACGTCAGTGGGAAATATGGATGTGTTGCCCGGGCTGTTGACACCAGGGTCAACTGGCATGTGTGTGGGTGACGAACGACTCTCTCACGAGCCGGTCAGCGGCACGATGAGGTAGGTGGAACTTATCTCCGTAATTCCAGTGCCGGCGCCGATCTCATTGGCGAGGGTTCCAGTAGTATATCCGTATAGGCAGCATAAAAACACATCGTCTCGATCGCCGACAAGATTTGCAATATATTTGCCATCGACGCGACGCCCGCGTTATCAAGCCCACCGCGAAATCGCGAATCGATAGACATGTCGAATCGAATGGCAAAAGCAGGAGGATCAAGTGGATGTGGCATAAGCAGAGACGATCGGCTTAAGCCCCGGTGATGAGGGTGAGGCGGGGCGGTGATTAGTGACTATTATTAGACGCCGGCCCACCTGCGGATTCGCTCAGCGTCGTCCATTCATTCTTTCTCCGTAGTCATCAAGAGGCAGCAGGCAGTCATCGGCTGAGGCTAGAACGGCAACGATGAGATCGTAAGTGACGGTAGACGACGACTAGCCGCAGGCTGAGAGAGGCAGGTTAGGTTAGAAACAATGATGAGACAGCAGGTGTTGCGGTTAGCCACTACGACTCAAGCTCGCATCACCGCCGTCGTCAGATAGTGGTACCAAGTACGTCGTCGCAAGTCCGGCCATGCTAGATATGGAGGTGTGCATGACATCGCGAGAATACTGCCTGTCAGTTTGTCAGTCTCAGGGGATCTTCGCCGCTATGTGGTGGAAACTGTGGGGAGCGGCGTGCGCAATTGGCCGCACGGCGCCAGGTTGGTGGTCTGTAAGCAGTGCGGTAGATAACTAACTGCCAGTATGGATCAGCGTTTGGGTTCGGCTTTGTGGTGATCAGAAGGACCGGTGGCGCGCGAAAGGGGGGAGGGGTGGCTTAGAGGGGCCCGCGCAGTATACGTACTAATAATACAGCGGCCGGACAGTACATAATCATCACTCTTGCTTCTTTCTGCTCCTGCGCATCACCACCATGCTTACAATGTGACTGCTGCACCCGTCTACCGCTCGTTCTATCTGCACTTCGACTCTCGTTCGACACGCTCACCAACCTTTCGCTTGATCATCCCACTATCGCTATCCATCATCGCCATTGTCATTGTTATAGTCACCGTCATTGTCCCTGCAGTTGGCACTGCTCCTGCCGTCGTATCGTTGTGATAAAAGCTTCACTACTGTACGTTGCTTTTCCATTAATTTATCACTAGGAGCAATTTATTAATCAGTTAATTCGAACAGTAAAACTGAAAATGTCCTCGAAATTCGTCGAGATCCTCGAGGACGACGGTGAAACCGTCGCCCAGCGCAAAATGTGCGATTCCGACGTCAAACTCGAAGACGTCTTGGCTGACCACGAGGCCACTGTCAATCGATCGCGCTCATCCACCCAGTCGTCCAGCAAGAGCCAGGAATCCCCGCCATGGAGTCGCGATGGTCAAGACTCCAATGCCTCGTCCACGTCGACCTCGTCATCAACAAGCTCGAATACGTCGCCGACGTCACCTTTACCGAAAATCAAGCGACTCAGAAAATTCACTTTGACCGGCGGTTTTTCGCGTTAAACACTCTACTTCTTGTGATGACTCGCTCTGATGATCTGGATTACTGCACGCTCGCAACTAGACTGGAATGATCGGCAGTCAAACACACCAATATCTACTCTTACACGATTAATATACGAACATTTTCATGACAGCAGGCTTTATTTATCTGGCTTACGAACATCACCTACCCTATCTAACGAAACATGTTTACACGAAAATTGCTTATTCACTGTTTTGATACCCTTCCCCACATGTTCGTCAACTCGCCCGAATCGACGCCATTTGAAATCACAGGCATATGGTCAAACAAGATTGTGTATATATCCTAGAATCTGCCTGCATTTATTACGCTAACAACGATGACCATGGCGTTGTTATTGTATTTACCAGTATCTATAGACTTGCTTCCAAAAATACAGCTCCATCTTCATTCCATTAAAAAACCTCGCTTTGGCCCATAGTTAGCGTTTCAACTATTATAAATATTTTGCATTCCAAAACCTTGTCCAGAACACTTGGACCCATCATTCTTCTCCAAATATCCAAAAACCTTCCAAAAAATAAGGCGGGGGATTCTCCCTTCTCCACATTTCTTTCATGCCTCCATCCAGTGATCTTCCGCGACGCAGCAAAACTAATCTTGTTATTTGCTAGTGCGATAAATAACTGAACATAGACGCCTGGAAGTTTCAATCCGGCGCGTGATCAGGGCACTGTGTTTCGGCCTAGTCTTGTTTCGGAGAGATGGACGACGGGGTTGTCTTGGATTTCGCCAATAATTGATTCACAAGTAGTATACTAGTATGAGTTTACTAGTCATAATGGTCTTGTGTTCTTGTGTTCTTGTGTTCTAGCCTTGGATATTATCCACTCCTTTCACTTGCAAAGCCGAGGTTTGAAACCGGGACCACCTCTCCGTAATACTCTGTACTACTCACTAATTACATGTACTGGGTCTTTGAGATGCCCGATCGGCCATGTTCCTCGGCTGTGATGAAAATGTGGACAAATAAGCGCTAGTCTGGAATAGTCTCATCCATTTTGACTTTTGAATTTTGATAGGATGCGGCGTTGTGAATCTAGACCCTGTTTGTGTCTGAACAGTGCCAGTTTCATGTTAGCAAGTCGCAGTTGGAGTTTATGGATAAGAAGACTGCTGTATCATGAGTTGATATTATTCGGTCATATTTTAATATTAATCTTACCATCTCGTATCTCTCGGCACGACAGATGCCTCTAATGATGCCATTTGCTGGTTACAAATAACTGTGTTCGTTGGACGCTAACGTCTACCAATAACAATGAAAGCTAGATGAAAGGAAATATCTTCGGATCGCAAAATTCCAGGTCTTTCTATGTTCTCTTGACGTAAGTTTGATATGTTCAATCCTTGATATGCGCTTGGTCCCTGATGAAGTACGAAATCGAAGACAGTTATATTTATTATAAATTCGCAGTTAACTTTGCGCTTTTTCTCCGCTAGTGTTTCAAATGTTTATAGGCGATCATCCAATGACGATCATTCTAAATGTCTACATTACTCCACGGCCTAGGATTATTCAGTGCTGGGAACAAGGACTCTGCCAAGGATGTCTGGGTGCTTCAAATTTGGTGTGAATACCAAGCAGCTCTGGGGTACAATTGCTTTAAAATTAGAGGTTCATATGTTGTAAAAAGCATTCATGGTAGGGATTCCATCTATATGATCAAGGTGCTTCTTGAAGTATATCAATTAAGACGTATGTTGTTTTAGAAATTACCATTTGAATATATCGATAGCATCAATTGATGTGTAACCTCAATTTTTGACATACAGGGGTAATTTCCGGTTTTTATCATAATTTATCTAAATCAAGCCCTCTAGGCTTCAAAGAAAGTCATTCCTACTACGTTTTAGAGCTTGTCATCGCCATTTCCTAAGGTGAATATTGCAATATGTATATAAACCATTCTATTAGTAGCCAACTATCAATATTTAAATAAACATAATAAAAGCCACACTCACTGCCAACCCTCAACAGCCCGAGTCAATCTGTTCAATCACGTCAGAAATCACTAACTGACGATCGCTAACCAGCTAATACATTATAAAGCTTTTAACCACAGCTGAAAAAGCTTATCACAATCATTCCATCACCCTTTACCCCCAATTAGCATCCTACTAAAAATTCTCTAAGCCACACGACCAAACCCATTAAAGTAGGTGGCCCGAATAGCAATGCAGCCAAACCCCTGACGTCAGCCTGTCATCAAGACTGTTTGTAGAAGTCGCACCGATCGAATCTTTTTAGAATCTTTAGATCGTGGTCTGTTTGGTTAGTTCACCCTTCACTGGTGACTCTGTCCCGCCTAGACGAATGAGTACTGGTACACTGGGGCGGTGAATTAAGCGGGCGACTAATTGGGACAATTTCTGTCTTGCTAATCTGCGAGCGATCCCCGCAAGCCTACCCTAAATCATTAATTAAGGTTATTCTGCAGGATTTCCCAATGCGGAATATGCCGCGAGCTGAACCCGTCCCAGCCAATCATGCACGGCCATCCCATGCATGATAGGCGTTTTTCAAGCTCAGCCTTATCGACAACGTGGCAATGCACCAGACAGATTGGCTATATTTTTGAAATTGTAGGCGCGCTTGGGCCGGCCTCGCAGCTCTTTCCGAAAATGTTAAGGCATGCGAAGAGCAGGAGCGATGATCGTGGAATGGGGGGGCATATTTATATGGACAGTCTGCTCAATTGATGTTGAAAATGCTGTTTAATTGATTTAATTCTTCACAGATTCTAGTAAATTCTATCTCTTGCATCAAATATTTCAAGAGCAGTCTCACTCGATTATTGAAGATTGCCTAGAAAGATGGGCTTGTTTAGTGATGATAACAGTGGTGGCATCTTCAGTGGAAGCTCGAATCATACGTGCCCAGCCACATCGCTTGACGAAGGTTTGTCTCTATTTCTAGCCATCGTCTGATATATCGTTAACGTGTCTGACCTTTCTACAGACTCCACAGTATTAGTCGTCGGAAACTTTACTTTCTATGAAATCAACAGGATTGTGTCTGGTGCCTTTACCGCCGCCACATGCGTTACTATTTTCACGCTGATGGCGATGCATTCCATAAATATGACAAAATCAAACGAGCAAGTAAAGTACGTCAGATAATAAGCTTTATTCTGTCTACTTTGCAGACAACAAACTAACACTGATCCGCGAAATAGAATCATGAAAATATGCCTGATGATCCCGCTCTACTCCTTGATCTCGTTCCTATCAGTCTATTTCCCCAAAGCCGCCGTCTATCTTGGACCATGGCAGGACTTTTATGAATCTCTTGCCATGGGATATTTCTTCCTTCTGCTGGGAGTATTTATATCCCCCAGCGACCAACAACGGGATCTATTCTTTGCTGCGTTCAGGGTTCCTCAGAAGAAAAACGAAGACTCGCCAATAAACGGCATTGAGTGGTATAGGGTTGGTTTCCAAGGACATAGCAAATTAGAAGAGAGTCGTGGTACTAATTTGATCAGAAACGATGGATTGCTATCTTTCAATACCCCATTGTCGCTCTCGGAGTCGCCGTAGCTACCGCTATCACCCAAGCTGTCGGCATCTACTGCGAAGAAAGTAACAAGCCCTATTTTGCTCACCTCTGGGTATGTATTTCTTCAATATAACTCTCAGTTGAAAAGAAGCTAATTTCCGAAGATCGAAATCATCTCCAATGTGTCCCTCGGGTTATGTTTGACGTCCATCCTTGCATTTTACACTGCATTGAAAAAAAACTTAGTCGGACATCATCCATTAACAAAGCTGCTCGCTTTCAAACTTTTAATCGGTCTCTCCTTTCTCGAAAGTGTAAGATGCCTAATTAAACTCCTACTTTCTCGACCTAACAATGTTGTTACTTAGATCATATTCCTCATTTTAACGTCCACCAACGCCCTCCATGCCACCGCAACCATGACCTACGCCGACGTCAAAGTCGGCATCCCGAATCTCCTCATCTGCGTACAAACCCTGCTCTTCTCTTTATTCTTTCACTACGCCTATAAAGTCAGCCCGTACCGCACACAGTCCAAAGAAGCAATTCTTATCCCTAGCCATGAGGGGCAATACGGCCCTGGCGACAACTACAACCAGCTGCCACCATCGTATAACCAATCGAGAATGAGTGCTGGTCGAGCTTGGTTGGCGATGCTCGACCCCCGCGAGATTCTGAGTGCGATTAAGTTTATGTTTACTATGCGCAGTGAGGCTGAGATGGGGACTAGTTATGATGGTGGCTACGGTGGCAATACCGGTCTTGAGCCTCTTCGGAGGAATAGGTATAGTTATTAGGGATGTGATGATCGAGCTGACAGGGTACCGGGATGAGATATTAGAATCATTTGATCAATTATTTTTCTTTGTTAAGATGTATAGACATAACGTTTACGTGCTCTACATGTAATTCTTGCTCATAATGACATGAAGTGAAAGTATGATTTACCAAAGTGCACATTTTCCCAGGGACGCTGAATTGGTACCTGCAATCCTGGTCCCTAATATTTTCAATTGACCTGAGGCCAACTGGTCATTATGTAGTCGGTGAGGTGAACAAGCGCAGGCAAGTAATTAGTAGGTACGGGAGATCGAGCGGTGTCGGAGCATTCCAGGTAACGCATTCGCAAGCTTTTTTTATTTTACGGTTTATGTTTAACAGCTCGCCAACAGCTAAGCAGCCTTCGTAAATAAAAGTGGCTATACATCGATAAATCTAGCACGCTCCAAAGCATACAAAATAATTATGCAAATATTTTTTAACTAATTTTATAAATGTTACAGATATCACTTTATATTATTGGGCGATGTATTAAATAATTAAACAGAGGGTTTGACGATTGGTCCGGCTGGTGTGATCGACTGTAAAAGAACATCAGGCTGATACTACTAGCCTGATAGTAATGGAAAGTTGAACAGGGCTCCCTATTCTTGACCCCTCTTGATTCAACTGCGATATCAAAAAATGATCTGACACCAACGATGGCCCCCATCTGTATTTTGGGAGAAGTCCAGAAGCATTTTTAACAGGATGCGGGACTTGCGATGCAAGTGATTGGAGCACTGCATGGGATTCTGAATTTGAATTAAGGTCTACTCAAAATAAAGTGGAGATATTAGGGGGCAAAAAACATAAGAGGTTAAAAACGCTGTCGGCACGGTTCGAACGTACGCGGGCGAACCCAAGTGATGTCTGATTCCTAGACTAATGTCTAGATTCAAGTCACTCTCCTTAACCACTCGGACACAACAGCTATCAAAAAATTTCCAGATATCATTCTAAATAATCTAGCTTAGAAAGTGAAATAATAGAAAGAGGGAGCAGCAGTCCAATTAGACAAGGCCTTACCTACAAATGGATAAAAGTACAAAGACAGACAAGTAAGCCTTATAGGTAAATATTAACTGAGTCTAACATAAAAAACTCTGATGCAGCCATACCATTATTAAGCACCTAGAAATACATGTATACTTAGATCTCATAGGTTTATATAAAACACTGAGAGTGTGCAAATGATTTTTCTTCAGAATGATTTGTTGAGTTGTTTTAGGCTGCACAATGCCACACCCATCGCTTTATGTCACCGGGCGGTGTACTAATTAATTAGAGGGTTTGGTGATTGGTGCGGCTGGCGCGATCGACTGCGCAAGAAAAGGAGGCTGATACTAGCCTAATAGCAATAGAAAATGAGTTAGACCGGGCTAGTACTATCCTTGACCCCTCTCTTGATTTATCCACAAATATTCAAATCCACAAATCTAAACATGAGTTCTGACACCCAGGATGGCGTCCCCAAATCGGTGAAGGAGATATGGGAGAAGACGATACTCAGATTCCAGGAACGCACTGGCTTCGCGCTCGATTCTACGCCAAAGTCGCCCGATGATCTACGAAAAACCCTCAACGTGTATTATGACCAGCAGACGGATGATGAGCAGGCGATTAAAGCCAAAGAGATGGGTCTTAAGATAGTATCATGTATCCAGATTCTAGGTGACTTTGCGGCGCAAGGAGCCTCCGGGGTGAGAGGATGGCCGCTAATCACATCGTGTTTCCTATTATACCTATACTAAGCCAGATAATAGGTGTTCGCACCAGCCTCACTCTGTTTCAAGGCCCTGTCTTGTCTTCTTGACATCCCAAAGAAGATCCACAAGTTCCATGGAGAGATCAACTTAATTTTTGCTGAAATCGGGCCAGCAATCGCCCAATTCAGGATATACCAGCGCATGGACGAAAATACTGGCGTCGATGAGTCCTTGCGAGCCTGTATCTACGAAGTTATGGTGAGCTTCATAGATATATGTGCAAATTGGATAAATGTTCACAAGGAAGGTAAATGGAAGAGTTTGAAACATAATACGATAAAAATCTTGCTAGACGATGGATCTGTGCAAACGGAGATTGATAATTTCAAACAGCTCACCAAACGCCAACTCGATATCCAGGCCACTCTGACCTTAGAGGCCGCAATCGACACGAAAGAGTATGTCAACTATATTAAAACCACGACTGTCGAGATTGAAACGAGTACAAAAGCCATCAAGACGGATGTCTCCAGTCTCGTTGAGGCAGATCAAAAGCGAGGTTTGGATGAAACTCGAAAACAGCATTTGACTAGTATCAGAACAAAACTGGGAATTAGCGATGAGCAATTGGCGAATGTGAATGACCTGCGCGACAATATGTGGAAAAACTCCATCGAGAATGGAGGGAAATGGTTAAACGACCTTGATCAATACAGCCAATGGGTCGAGAGAAACACCGCGGAAAATCTACTCTTAGTGACCGGTGATCCTGGAACTGGAAAGTCATACTTAGTCTCTGCCATTGCTCGAGATATCAAATCCCAGGACTTGACCTCAACTTCCAAAGCTGAGCGAAGCTTGATTGGTTATTACTCTTTTTCGCTCGCCGCAAAAGAAAACAATCGTCGGCCAGAAACGGCAGTGAAGATCATTTGCACACAATTGGCAGAGCAAGAATTTGTCTATGCCAAGAATGTGGCTGCTATTTGTGGAGAGAAAGAAGACAAGTTCTTCAGGGATGCTGATTGCCTGCGCCTTTGGACGACTCTTGGCATTGACTCTCCGGTGAAAAATACAACCCATTACATTATATTAGATTCAGTTAGTAGCTTGGATGCTGCGGAGCTTGAGCAGCTGATGTTGGCACTTCAGTACAAGCCACTTCTTTCCGCTGAAGACAATGATAATCGAGTTCGAATTCTTGCCAGCGGTGAACCCAAATCGTTTCTACCAGACAGTGCCGATGTGAAACCCGTTCCTACCATTGATATTACACAGTATAATAGCGATGATATTAGAATATTCATTGGGAACGAATTGAGGAAAGCAGATCTTTTCCAGGGAGAAGATGAAGACTCGAAGCGACTGAGTGAGACCGTCCAAGAAAGACTTCTAACGAGATCAAATAGCAGCTATTTGACAGTTCGGCAAGACCTGGAGAAGGTCAAAGAAATAAGCAGCTCTGGTGGTACAGAGGAAGAGCTGAATCAAGTCTTACTGGAGTCCAGCGCTGATGTAAAGGAATTGGTTCGATCCGATATCGAGACTCTCGAAACAGTACTCAAGCCGAGAGAGATTGAAGAAATCAATCAACTGCTTATCTGGGTCGTTGCAGGATACGCATGGCTTAATATCGAGCACCTCACAGCTGCTCTGTTTCTCCATTTCAACACAGTGTCTCTTCAGCCGCTTATTCAAAAAATAACCGGCAAGTACTCCAAGATATTTACCTTGATATACAGCGATGATTGTCTAGCTCTCAAGGACTATGTAGAGGAACACGTTGTTACAAAAAGGAAAAAACCCAGAGAGTCTGTTGACGACCCGAAGATTAATGCCACTATTACAATCTCCAACGCGAATATGAAGTCAGTACAGCGATTTCTCTGGGATTTGAATAATCACATTTTCAGCCAGGAGTTCTCATTTCAATCCGGATCAGAACTTAATGAGTCCTTTCACGGTAAGATACAGCTGAACCGAGTTGATGCCCACTTAGCGATTATCAAACAGGCATTTGGATTCCTCCGCGATCCATCGGTAGACCACAGAGGGAAGTCAATAGGACTGTATCTGATGGCATATATTCCAAAACATCTGCGGTTTTTGTACAATGTGAGCGGCTTTGACAAGCTCCAAGAGGGAGACAAACAGTATATTGGGACATGTGTCAATGAGATGTTCTCAGTCGGAGACTGGATTGAGAATAACTGGGAATATCGATCGTGGGCCACATGGTACCAAGAACGTGAATCCATTGCTATCTGTTGGAAATGGTTAGATGACGAAGAGGCAATTAGTCGTCTTGGACCTCGCGACAAGAGATGGCTGGACGACATCAAGAAAGAGGAAGACCGGAATCAAGCCCTGTTGACTCCAATCATGACTACAGTTGCACGACACTGGCTGCAGCGTGATGACTGGGATGTGCTAGACGCATGCAAATGGATTCGCGGCTTTCTAGAAATGGTAAGCATTTCTGTTGGGGGGGGTTTTTTTTTGTTTATGTCTTAATTTCCGCTCTAGAGTGAAGCAGAATCAAGTTCCGAATCCGGAAGTGAGACGGTATCATCGGGGGCTTCAATCACCACCAAGGGCCACAGTGAGGATGGCAGCGATGATGGTAGTATTACTAGTGATGACGGTGACTCTGGAGATGACAGCGATGACAGCAATGATAGCAGTGATAACGATGATAGTGACGATAACGAAGATAGCGATGATAGCTCCTCTGTTTCCACAACATCCGACAAAAGTACCGCTAATAAAAGTGAGGGTGTAACGATACAAAGGGCTGCGGAATGGTGTAAAAATGCTCTAGATGTGAAGGAAGTTGATTATACCTGGTGTATCAGGTTGGGGACCACGTTTTCGCGCAGCTCCGAACCACTTCTTGCCATTGAACAGTATGAGCAGGTAAGTAGGTTTCAAAGGCTTAAAATTATGTCCCCACCTGATCATGGTGATAGGCAGCCAGTATTCTACAAGCACAGGATCCAATTAATAAGGAGAAACTATGTTATGTCTTCACAACCCTTGGTGAATGGTCGACTAGTGTAGAGACTGCGCTAGGCTACTACAAGAAAGCAGAGGAGCAAGATCCGTGCAACGTGGAAATTATGCATGCAATTCTTAAACGATATATTTCGGCTAATAAAATAGACGAGGCACGACTTATTATCCAAAAGGTTTTGACTGAGAAGACACCAAATTCGGAATCAACGGTGCTCAGTGCCCTTCTTAAGTCTGTCATGAAAGATACGAATGAAAAGAATAGTCTCTCCATGGTTCTGGCTATCATCTCATTGACTGTGCCCTCCCCCGAATGGAGTGCCGTCGTCCAGGTTGAAATAGAGAGAGCAATTGAGAGTGCTCGAGAAGAGCAGAAAACAGATGAACTTGCGGCGTTACTCTTTCACCTAGGTATTGCAGCATACTATTTCCGCAAGAATGACTCTCGAGAAGAACTAGCAAAGGCCGTGGGTAATTGGCGCGAATGTCTGGTTACCCTGCGTGAGAAGGTTGAGGTAAATGATCGAAGCCGTCTCAAACTCGTTGAGCAAAATAGCATTCACTACCTGAGCATGGTTTATCTTGAACAGCCTCAAGAGGTTCCTGAGGACGTTTTCCAGGATGACCAGGTTATTCCAACTACGAAATATGCGCTTGCGTCGCACTATACATCTACCGGCAAAAAGGATGAAGCACAAAATCTTTTACGTTCTGAAATGGTAGCGGCCTTCAACATTCTTTGTGATGATGATGTCAGCAATGATGGGCTTGGATACTCGATGCTTCTCAGTATTCTGAACCATACTGGAGACTACGAAAATTCCTTTAGGGCAAGTCTACTACTACCCAAATGGAAATTTGATCAAGAAGTGTTGCAAGCACTCCTTACTTCTGAGGACGCATCGTTAAATGACGCTTCTGCGAAGATACTTGAGTTCTACCAAAGTAACTGCCTGAACAGTGCTGACCAGCGGGGTAATTTCGACAAGGTGTTGAATGAAGCCAAAAGGCTGTCAGGGGAAGCGACCGGTGGGGACAGTGAAAACGATTCTGCCTATAAGACGATCTTTTCTATCCTTGAACAGCTTCTTACTTCGTGTGATCACTCATTCTGGTGCGACAACTGCGGTCAGCAATGGGACTATGAGAACTCTCTTCATGTGTGCAAGAAGTGCTACAAAATGGACCTCTGCGATGGCTGCTGGAACAAAATTCGATCGACAGAGCCGACAGTCTTCGTATGCAGCAGATCACACGACTGGTGGGAACAAGAAATGTGGACTATGGAGCGGTATATCCATAGTTGTAAGAAACTAGTATCCATGACATCTAGAGATGGCAGTATTGAACTTATCACAGTATCAAAATGGCTTGGTATTCTGTGTGAGCAATGGGGGCTGTCCAAGGCGGATTGGAAGTTTGAGTAATCATTCTCCCCACTGAGATAGTATCTCAATGTTTCTGAGGCAAACAAGCGGTCACGAGTACCTAGGTGCTCATTGATTGGATGGGACGCAGGTCCACAATATTTAACCCTAACCAACTAGGAACATTAAAGCTGTTGGATTTAGCGTGGTAATTTTACCCTGCGTTACATGGTTGAAAATTCTTGGAACGAATTGCAAATTCTTGATAATTCCAATGGTTCTCTGTAATTGAAAAACTTGCACCCAATTTACTAAGAGAGATATCCTCAGTTTTAAAGATTTCAAACCCCTCATTATTACAAATATCTACGTCTAATTGATCAAATATTCGCCTAGTCGAAGTTGACTCGACATTCAACCAGAGCCTTCCAAAATTAGCCTATATTATCTAATACATCCTCTCAGCTTTGGCTTATAAAGCTAAAGCTCGTTCTATTATCTTCAGGATAGATAATTTCTACAAAATTAATCTCTCACTCACTAACCTCACTATCTTGAAGCCTTTAGGCTATATCAATGAGATTAATTTAGATTAGGAACTCCTTGAACTGAGTGTCTTCAAGTGCCTTTATTAGACCATTTGTGATCATCTTCTTGGTTGATATGTATTGCACTTCAATATATCATCTGTAAATCTCTTACTTTATCTAATGATTATAGATATTAATATATCAAAGCTTAGTTTATAAGTATGTGATCTCAGAGTTCACTAATTGAATGGTTTGCTTGTTGTTATAGTCAATTCAAAGCTTGTATTGATCCAATTGAACTATCAACTCATTTAACAGTTTAGATATATATAGATCTTCCTTAGCAGCTTAAGATAGTGCTAATAATTTAGCTTTAATAGTTGACGTTATAACAATATTTTATATATTCGCTTATTATCCAATTACATCTTCAAATAAGATAATAATATAAGCCTAAGAGCTTTTTTAATCAATTGTATTATCAGCGAATAAGATATTATTTGCAATAGGGAAATTATTATCTTCTCTAAGTTGTAAAGCGAGCGTTGAGTATAGTTTCAATAACTAAGTACTTGGTTTGCAGTTTTATAATGATTTAGACCAGGATTTATCAAAACTTTGCTAATCTAGATACAGTAAAAGCAATATCTAGACATATATTAACTACAGTATATATAGCTACTCCAATTTTATATTGATATTGATGTTTTGATGATTTAGTCAATATATGTTAATATAGAAGAAGTTCTTCCTTTACTATAGAGGTCTTAACATTCTGAAGTTATGCTAGTCGGACGTGTGGTCAAAGAGCTCGGCATAGAGGCATGGACTGAGGCATCGAGTTGCATAGCAATTGAGCATCATTAAGCAACTAGGAGGGCGGCCTAGATGACTGCAAACAATGCGAAAAGACAGCAGACGAGCCACAGAAAAATGATTACTTTCTTAAAGAGCCACGGGCCTGTCCTCTGAGTAACAGCCTTGTATCAGTTGCTGGTTGGCCGATATCGACAGATTGAGACAGAAAGACTACAGGTCAGAGGGAAAGACAAACAGCCGAGAAATGATGCAGGGAAATTAGTTGACGTATCTTCTAGTAAGCTTTAATCTTAGAACAGGACCACGTGCGACAAGGTACAGGCTATTGTCGCTACATATTGGGTGTAAAGATTCGCCATCAAGGGATTCCGCATCCACAACGCATCTGGAGTGGCATCTTTCCATCTCTGCATCCTCAGCAGTGAGCCACTCGAGGCTATAGGGGAGGTCATTCGCGGGCATTTGACCTGAGCCTTTGCAGTATTCGATTTGTACCTCTAAGGGTCCAGCAGCATACAGTGGCGACAATTTGCAGGAAGCCTCAATAGTCTTTGTCAAAGGAATTCCTTGAGGCGGCGAGTAGCTATCACTAGGATCTGAACTCAATAATGAGCCTTTCAGAGTCAAGAAGTCCGACTCCGAGATATCCCCAGCGAAGAATGTTTCTGTGGCCTGCACATCGCAATCAACTTCATCCGAGCCTGCTCGACCCTCCGAGTAAGGTTCTCACTCGAGACTGGTGATGAAGTGTCGCCTGCCGGAGATCCCTGTCGAGTAAGCTCTATACCCAGTGAATCTAACTCGGGATGAGGGAAAGTCATTAGTGTCGACATCGACGTTGGCAGAGTCAGCAGTGTACTCTCATTTGGGCAAGGGTAAACCGTCCTCTCTCGTCTCAACAGAAATGTGTCCAGACTTCTTCTGTTTTGAGTCTCAAGGATATGAATGAATTCTTGCTGCACACTATTCAGCTGTCCAAAGATTGGAAGCCGCCAACCAGGATATAATCGGCCATGACATCGGAGTGTATGCATTTTCCCGTGTGTGGAAATGAAAGTACTACACAAATGGCAGGCATCTTTAGTCGAGCGGATGACTCGAGGAAACTTATTCGCTACTAGGTGAAGCTCACAGTGGAAGACAAGCTGAATTTCAGCATGAACCTTCGCCTCTCGGAATATCTTTTGGGTTTGATTTGAGAATTGATCACTGGCTTCGGAGTCGCTCGTCTGCAATAGACGCCAGATTTGATTGAGATTCGTTATCTTCGCATACTTTGGCGCCGCGCTCGAGATTGTTGGCAAATTTTGAGGTACATATTCGCCCAATCCAATAGGTCGGAATGCCTCTGGAGGGAGATTGACAGGTATAACCCTGGCTTGTCTAACTATTGAAAACTTCTTCGCAGCACGAAACAGAAATCTAGCTGCCTGTCGATATCTTGCAACTTTACCAATCATATTCAGAAGACTTTCTCTCAGTGACGGTGCTATATCCTTATTCGGAATCAGCTCCAGCACATTGTGGACTGTGCCCATCTGTTGTAGCTGATATATACCTTCAACGAGGTTCTCTAGTCGAGGAAGAATTTTGGTGACTGCACTAGGAATGGATTAACTTGAGTACTTCTTTTGCTGTCGATACAAACGTGGTAGCAATCGATATCACGTTTACTCTCTCTATACGGCCGTGGCCAGATTGTCTGACACACTCAATGACATTCTGAAGTATCTCTTTGATGCTCTTCTTCGGCGCTTTCCATGCATGCCGGACTAATCGTAACCGGCCGAGAATACGAGAGGAACACAAGGATACTATTGCGGTAAAAATTTTGCCTTCAACATCAGAAGTACCATGTTGCCCTTCTCAAGAATCAGAAAAGGGACAAAGATTCAAGGCTATACCGCAACACTTACCGTCAAATGCTCTTGCAATCGTAAGGAAAATCTCATCAAATCCTTTTTTCAGGTTGTGAAGGAGGTCGTTTCCGTCACCATGTCGGATTTTGTTTACCGCGAGAGAGATATTGAAAGAACTTGCAGACCGCAGGTATGTAAATTGGGGTCATCCCTTGTGCTCGACGGAAATGCAAGGGTACCTGCCAGGCCGCGTTCTATATGAAACGGTAATGCGTAATTCTGAGAAACACGTAGAGGTTTTAGCATGTTCGACCTAGGCTGCGTCGGAACAGATGCAAAAGGGTTAAAAGTGGAATATTTTCGGCACAGGTTACCTGAGGATCTTGCTCTTGCGCCATGAGTGTGGACAACCTTTCGGCCCGACAACATCTGTAATTATCAAGAACTTCAAGAACACTTGACGGGCAACAAACAAGCCATCGATGAAGTGAAGCTGTTTTGAGCTTAACGACGCGGAACTTGCAGGAAAACGGAAATAGTCCCCTTGGTATTGGGCGGCTAGCTATCATGAGTCCGTGATGTGATCTTTGATTGGAGCCTGCTGTGTTACACAGGTTCCGCACGAGACCAGAATGGAAGACAGAGCATTTTGTGAATACTATTCAATGAGTGCGATTGAAAATCTGAATGTGATTGCTCGTTAGGCCACCTTTGTCATCGTGGTTGCCAGGATTGCGGAGAATATGGTTGGTCTCCATGGAGTGATTCCTGCAGGGCGACAAGCCACAAGTGGTGATAAGAAGTGCAAAACTCCACAGCTGTTGCGGTCGAAGATACTGGACGTGGACATGGTACCGACCGAAAGAATTGCTCCGCGGTAAGCCGGAGAGATTGTCTCTACTGGCAGGATCCCTGAGTAGAGGTTTTAGAGAGTCTAAAAAGAGGTCTCAGCATCTCTATCAATGGTTTCAAACAGGCATTAATTGCTCGTGTTTAAGTGCTGAGCCCACTGATCCCAAGCAGATACTCACCCTAACTCCTCCCTGCACCTTGGCAGCGGCGGGAATATTCTGACTAATTATACCCGGGGTGACCAGATTCTCCGTCGTTTCTCCGACAGTTCGGTCAATCTCGACCATTTAGAGGCATTGGTGTGACACAATAGCATGAATTCCATCGCAACTGTTAGGAGGTAATAGCTAAACCTTATAGAATTTAAAAAAGGCCTTTGAACATTTGGAGAAAATTATGAAATGGTAATGTATGGAGCACATCCCAGTTTGATTACGGATCGTCGATCTGAATGCAATGTACATTTATGTAGAAAATCTCCCCGAAGTAGGGCCGGTTGTATATGGGAATCAATTTGGGCCCATGTAATCTACCGTATCTCTCCCCTGCTCTATAAATATATCGCATAATTTCTTCACCTCCATTTCCGAGGCCTCTAACATCGTTTCGTACAGTCTACGAGAATGAACGAAGTTCCCCCGCGTTTTCGTGGAGCACCCCGTCGGGCCTGCGATAGTTGTCGCCGACGGAAAATCCGCTGCAATCTTGAGCAGCCGTGTGCCAAATGTCGAGAAATCGCTTTGGTCTGTCAATACAATGATATAGCGCGTCGAAAAGGGCCTAAAGGCCTCAAGGCTCCTATTCTGGCCTCGCTGCGATTGACAGAAAACTCAGTTGGCTTATCGACGCCAAGTTGTTGCCTACCTGCTGATAATGTATTTCCTAAGTTCGCGCAGTCTCCTTCGGCGCCGCACAATGCGGCGCCTTGCTCTGTAAGCTGTGACGCATCGTTGCTACTTTGCGAAAGATCCCCTGCTGCTCCAGCCCCAGTGCCGCAGCGAATTTCCCCACCTCAGCTCCAAGCGCATTTTCAGGTCTTCATGAAATATCTATATCCTATCATGCCAGTTGTGGATGGGAATGCTCTACTATTAGATTGCGCCAACCCCGACGCATTGCACCACCGTCGCTATGCTCTTCTGGTTGCCCTTTCAGCTGCTGCCCATTTCCAATTGAATCTCGATATGCCCCAAGGAAACGACCCCAGCGATACATTACAGTCAGGGCACAGCCTCATCAAAGAAGCCACGCAGACGCTGCATCAGTTTGACCCTCTCGATGACCCACACGTCGATACTCTACTCACAATGTTCTTCTTGTTCGCTGCGTATGGAAACCTTCGGAAGCAAGACCAGGCATGGCACTTCCTTAGCCAAAGCATTTCGTTTGTGTATATGTTAAAGCTGAATGTAGAGGCTACGTACTCAGCTCTAAGCCAGAATGACGCTGATATGTTGCGGAGAATTTATTGGCTACTTTTCGTTACAGAACGGTGAGACTTTCTCGCTTTCGTCTTTCTACAGAATCGTGGAACAATGATGCGCCATCTTGATTACTTCAACTAACTGAGTAGGAAGTGCGTACGCATTGCAAACCGGACGGCCTGTCATGCTCCGTGGTACCATCCAGAAACCTGCTGTCTTCCGGTCTCGATCACCGACGATAATGTATGGCTTTGCCAGCCTAATATCGCTGTTTGAAAGTATTATCCCTGAATTCTATGACTGGAATACCTGCGATGTAGGCGAGCCAGGGGATCTTCCATCCCTTTCAAACATATATAAATCTCTTGCCTTCGCATTGCCTCTGCTGGCTGAGGTTTCCGAAACCAGTCGGGTCGATTTTGTCCTCACACAGCATTGGCTTCAAACCCGTCTGTGGCAGTTCTACAAGGATCGAAAATATCTCTGTCAGACGCAGAGTAACATGGAGTTTCCTACAGAAATTCCAGCAATGGCAGGAAAAAATGTCATGGCATGTTTGTCGTCAGTGGCACAGAAGTCCACTGACGCACATGGAATTGGAGCAGTACGTTTTCTCAAGCCGAAATCATCCCTCATATTGCCACCGTTTTGATTATCGCCTTAATGGCAAAGGCTTAAGATGGTTTCAAAGTGTTATCTTCTAACAGTACAGTAACTGAAAGGAACAAAAACTATATGACATCGGCGAATGCGTATTTCAACTCACGCAGCAATTGTCTCCACAAAGAGCCCAGTCTCTTAAGGAGTCTATTGTCGACGTGAAAGATGTCTTATGTGGCATCCTAACCTCATTATCACGGATTCGAGGAGCTCAATCGTATTTATTTCCAGCGCTTCTGCAACAATCTCAGGAACTTTTAGGCTTCGGTGATGTGCCTCAGCCGCTAAGGGAAGCATCTCCCGAGTCGGACGCGATTGAGTAGGACTATGTCCAGCCAAAGATTGCATACGATATGGTGATGATTGAGAACTATGTATCAAAACATCTTTCGTGCAAAAGGAGGGAAACTTTAGTTATTGTTCATCGTGTACTTTGGACCGATATTAGCATAGTGTATTCAGCCTCTGTTCCCCCGCTTGCATCTGTTTTATTCGATTTTACTTGAAGTATTCCCCTCCTAGAAGGCTGTTTTGGATGCAAAGCCTGCTCGAGCCGATTATGAGGAAGTCGTACTTGGGCGAAATAGGAATGGAAGTCGACGCTTGGTTACTACGCGCATCTCCCCATGATTGAGTAATTAGAGGTTTCTATTCAATCGAATGCAAATCGAGTGTCTCACCCGGTAATTCAGTTGATCTTTCTGTCCTCTTTAGGTAAGTGGACCACTAAATAACGTTCCCAATCGGCCCTTCTTCGGAAAATCCAAAAGGTTGCAAGCCGACATTACAAGGGGGCAGTACTCCGTACATAATAACGCAATATTCAAATCCTAACCTGAGGAATTGACTCCCAGGCTGCTTATAAAGCTCTAAAAAGATTACCCAAGGCCTCATTCCCACATCCCGTTTCTGAATAGCTATATTTTCATATGATTACTCACCCTCATTCCCTGTAAATCAATCTTCTTGCTGTTTTTGAAGCTTTTTCTGTGCTTGCGCCATGGACAGTGACTTTTTTCATGGTCGTGAACGCTAGCTGCTTTCCTACTACAGAGGCAATTCGACAACTTGCGACTGCACTTGATGGCATGACGCGGGTGAGATTAATACAAAAACCCGAGTCCAATCCAGCAATGTCCGCCAGTCCCATCGTTATCTCGTCCAGGTTGGCGAGGAGTTAGGGGGACTTTCGATCGTCCTTTGTCTATGAGGCGATTCCCAGGAACGACAACGGCTCTCCCTGGGATAGCCCGAACCAAAATACTCTTGGCGCCTCTATGGATGACGGAATCGGTATCGAGCCGGAAGTTGGTATTAACATGGCCTGGTCTCAATTCGAATATGCTCAGGACGTGGATATAAATACTCCGCGGGGATGACCAAAGCCTTGGCTCCCCCTCCAAATTGAAGATCCGTCCAACCTCTACCAGCTATTCTAGACTCAGTCTGCAGAATCTCCATAGCTTCGCCGAAGATCTCTCCGTCGTAAACGAGATGGCGTCCATTGGTCTCCCTAATCTCACGGCCTCGGATCGGTTTTTTCTCGATAATCGTACCGGATGCAATGGGCAACCCAGGGAACGTGCAAGTTGCAAAGACTAGTGTCCCTGGCTTTAATAGAGCCCAAAGAAGATCCTAGGTGGTATTTTTGAGACTGAAGAAGCAGCTCCAGTTGTTCGACCATTGACACGTAGGTTTCTCCTAGGTACTGCACAAGTTTGTCGAGGTGAAGCATAACGTCTTCGGAAATTGCCTGTTGGGAGCAAACCTTTTTTTGATACTCTCTTAGCTCATCCAGGTAGTGATATAACAAATCATGCTCGATCTATTTTCTCAATCAGCGACAAGAGCTATCTTGAAACCTTGGTGACATATCGCAGGCCCATCCGCATCGAGATTCGCTGTTTTGATGTTTTGGAGAATCTCTCCTAAGATGTCGCTTAATCCCGGCGATTTGATGTCAACATAGACCGTGAATCCTTTCGTATGCTTATCTAAACGGTATCAGCGCGATTCAATATATCTTTATGTACAACACACGGCTGCATTTACGAATCGCAAATATGTATTCGTCCAATTTTGTCGACGTCTGTCGCTGGGGTCGGAACATTATAGCGAAGATCTGGTGGGCGACGGGGTCAAAAAACCATTAAGCGCGGGGATCTCTACGTGAGTGTTTGCGATTCATTCACCGTATAAAAGGTTTCTTAACTCAACACTATATCCACTAGCTCAAACGAAATACACACCAGTCTCAGGACAAATCCGCATGACATGCTGTATGATGCAAGTCTTAGTATGACGGACCAAGTCAAGACTTCAATTCTCCTGTCTCTCCAGAATTTTCGAATTTCCAAAGATCGTTCAAATGCTGTCAATGGCACGTATATTGACATTCTAGCGCTCTACATACCACTATCTACCATTCAACAGACTATAGGGCCTGGGTCACCGCTGAAGCTTTGTGCCCGACGTTCTTCGCCTGAAATCAAGATCAAGCCGGCTGTAGTCCAAAACCGCTTCTATCCGAATGAAGACTACGACGTGGAATTTGTTCGGGAAAATGATATCATATGCCAGTCTTTCTGGAACGCTGACGGCAAATCCAGAGCTTGTCAAAAGTGAACCTGTACAGCGGCTTTCTGAGATGGCTGAAATTAGTTTCGTGGCCGCTTTGTACGCTCTTATGGCTAGTTTAGGAAGATCTCGGTGGTTGATGGGACCAAGAGTGAAGTTCACATGAAAGAAAATTTGGAATTGATTTCGAAAATTGAGCAATTTAGTGGGGAGCATCAGCAAGAATGGCAGGATCCGGTCAGTGGCAATTGATCGGAGACACAGCATGATTCATTGAATTGATACTGATAGAAGTGTACACAATTACATTCGCATTACTGTCAAAGAATTTCATCAACGTTTTAGCGCCCCCATACCCCATCAAACTTGTCCGCCATATAAGCAATAGCATCAGCCCGGAATGTGTCCGGCTCAACATATGCTAAACCCGTCATGTTGACATTGAAAACTATGTTTGACGGGTTTTTGCCACCATAGACGGGCCACCGTAAGCCTTCTTTATTGATACCTTTCTTATGACTGAAAGCATTGCTATTAGGATCCAGATCATTTACAAAACTGATCCAAGCAGTAGACATGATACTAGCCAACTCGTCAAAAGTCGCGGGCTCATTGGCAAACGGATCAACAGCAACCGCATTCTCATAACCTTGACCAGCAGTATTGCTAAATACAAAGGCAACTTCCTGAAAGTGTGTGCTGCCTATATATTCGCTTACCCCATGAACAAGAACATCAAAGTGGTACGAATATGCTGGAACACCATATTGAGCCCAGGCTTCGGTTGTGATTCGTCGGCCGGTATGCATTGTAAGATCCCCTCCGTATGCAGCTGAGCGTTTCCATTGTGCTCCATAAGGTGATCCTGCTGGAGGACGGCCCTTAAGGGTAGATGGAATACCGAGACTGGGAACATCGGGATAAAGTTCGGCGACCTTGTCGACGACTTCTTCAGTGAGCGATGGCGCGCTAGATAGAAGGGATTCCTTAAATTCCTCGGTGGTATTGATACCGGCGATACCGAAGGTTGTACCTTCATCGAAGTTTGTGCCTATCAAAAACGGTACCTGTACAAAGTTTCCGTTTTTGGTCAACTTCGTACCTGACTCAGTGAGGATATCGCCATCTATGACAACGATGCCCGTCGAAGTGACATCGCTGGAGTTGAAGATTGTGTTGAGTTGTTCTGTGGGAACAGTTCGTAGGCAAGCCAGTGTGTCGCTTACACTGCTGCAGCCAGCCCGCGCGACGATATTTTGATAGTTTGGTTCCCAGGCTGAAGCGTTGATATAGTAGCTTGGCGTAATTGGACCACCTGACTGCGCAATACCAGCTCGGAAGAGGCCGTCGTTGCGACCTCCATAAGCGACGAGATGTGTACCCACGGACATTGCACCAGCAGACTCTCCGTGAATAGTTACCTTAGACGGGTCACCACCAAAAGCTGCAATATTTTCCTGAACCCAATGCAATGCTAGACGTTGATCACGAAAACCAAGATTGGTTACACCTGCTGTGGCAACCTCCTCACCCCAGAGGAATCCCCAGCCTGACAATCTGTAGTTCACACTTACACCTATTATGGGTTTTCCGATCTCAACCGACCGCTGAACCAGAAATGACTGATTGTATCTAGGGTCCCTACTCCCACCGTCGGAAAAGCCACCACCATGAATCCAAAACAGGATGGGCAGTTTCGCGTCAGCAGCAACGTTACTCGGACGAACAACGTTGATGGTCAGACAATCTTCGGAAATATCGTTGCCTAGAACCCATGTATCACTGCCATAACCAATGCATTCAGGACTATATTGTGTGGCGTTCCTTGTCCCGGTCCATGTCTCATTGAGTGATTGAGGTACCTGTAACCGAAGTTCTCCTAGGGGCGGTTGAGTATAGGGTATGCCCAAGAAGTAGTCTTGGTTATAATTGGAGTTGTAAACTCCATAGTAGCTTCCGTTTTTTAGGCTTACTGTTGGAGCTCCTTTAGGGACATTGTCGGTTTCGACGTAAGTTCTCTTTCCGAGAACTGCTGCTGAAGTAGATGTGAGGATGTTTAGGAGCATTAAGCTGCGAGAAAGTAGACTGGCCACCATACTGTCTCTAGAGGTTTGTAGACATCTGAACGACAGAACACCGAGTAAATTCACATATTTCAATTTCTCCGCGGTCAAAATGCTCGCATTTATAGCACCCTCCTTTCCTTCCTCCCATTCGTCATGCGGGATTTTCTTGAGAGATGATTTTGATCCGGATGTAATGATCTCCGTTAAAGCTTGACTCTTAGCCAGTCAATGATACATTATTCCGACTAGTGACTGTTGCAAAGGTACAGACATTGCCGGCCACATGATTACCAACAGTCTCCATCAAAAATTTACACCAAATAAGCCCGAAGTAGCTCCGTGTGATAGCCGAACCTACGGGAGAGCCCCGAATAGGCATTAAGATAGTCTTTCCTATCAAATGATCTAAATCTTAGGGTAGAGCTTGCCTAGAGCTATACCCGTCGCGTCGCCTCCCCCCACACTGCGGTTAGGAGTCGGCCAGCGCTCAAGGGCCACCGGGTGTCAAAGGCCAAAATATTGGATACGTTGTGTAAAGTGTTTTCTAGTCCACCAAAGCCATATAATTCATATATAAAATCTAGATAAATAACAAACACATACAAAATTTACCTATTTATCTGAGTATCAATAAAAAACCTATAGTTTTGAGGCTTTATTGGCGCCTATTGTTGTTCTAACTCTAGCACCCCTAGAATATAACTTTTATGTATCCTTAATAAATCATTTTTATAATAGTGTTTTATAAAATGATTCATATTTTTAATATAAAGTGTACCACTCACTTTAATCTAGCGCTTGGTGGAGTTTTGATTTTTATGTTTTGTAGTATTATGTAACACGACCTGGCAGAGCCGTGTCCGGGGGTGTCTGGAAAGACAAGATGTGGGTGAGTTAAAGCTTCACAGCTTGATATTGATGCAATAAAGCAGAGCTACTAGGGAAGATGTTATTAGTTTTGATTATATAGATCTAGTGGGATTTGAACCAAAGGTTATTCAAAGCTAAATAAGCTTATTGTGAGGCCCTACATGTTATAAGAGGCCTATAACCCTTTGGCGCTCATGAGGCACCTTCGGAGGACCTCACAGCGCCGCTGCCAAGGCACTAATTAGCCGAGACCATATAATCCGCACCTGCGGCCACGTAAGCCGCAGGTCAGCAATCAGTCTGTATCTACCCGAACCCTACGTTCGGCCGGTGGCTCCCAACGTTTGCCTGCTTTCCAATAACCGTCTCACACTTATATTGAAAGTTATGTCAAAAAATATACAAAAGATATTGCTTGATTTCCTTTTTTTAGATAGAAAATCAAGCTTATATGCCTGTGTTACGATCGGCATAAACAGGAATTTATGGTATCATTGAACGAGAATTCTAAGTGTAAGGAAAGAATTATGTACAGCCGCGCGCTTTGCGGATAGATAACCGGTGTGGGGCCTGTGGCACGTGTCCCGCTAGCCCAGCCCTAGCCGCCTTAACCGCCTGAGGCAACCAAGGTGCCAATCCGGCCGTTACACATGGTATCAATTATGATAAGTCACAATTGACCCCCAGCATAAACGTGCTTCCTGTGTCTATCCCTGTTACACGAATATATTTATTGTATATCCATGTTTTTCCGGCACAAGATGGCTCTCTAGGAAAGGTTAAATCTTTAACGAGCAAATAATTCGTATTTTCCTTAATTTGCCCATTTGTAGATGGTGCATCTATATTATTTAATTCCTTAAGCCATAGAAAAAACGCCTTTTCTTGGTCTAAAGATAATAAACGGTTCGTAGGTGGATGTGTTGAGCGAGAGGGTAGGCCATTCCACTGATGGGATAGCTTTTTATGCGACACCCTATATTCACGCGCTAATTTGCTGAAATTTGGGTTTTTATGGCGTTGGCACACGCTAGGGGCCTTTGAAATCAATTCCTCCTCTTCTTTGTATAGCTTAGGGGTCATTTTGGCTGTGTTTTTGAGGCTCGTAAATAATGGGTTGAGATTTCGAAGATTTTGGCCCTTGAGCCCCGGCCGACGACGCGACGGGTAGCCGAATAAGCGGCATGTAAGTCCAATCGGGAATATAGTACTCCGTAGTCCAACGGAGATTCGGCCTAGGGCTGATATGATGCATGGAAAAATAAATGTAGGGTGGATGCAATCAGACTAGTTTTTGAGCGTCATAATAACATGTCGCCACGCATTCCGCTCATTCTTACCGAGCTTTTGATAAACAGCCCAAACATTATTCTCAAATATACAGGTTACCTTCTCCATCTCCAAGGCGAGTTAGGTGATCACCAGCAGTGCCCGTTCTGTGTTTCAGCCCGGTCGCGCACTTGAAAACAGTCTATCCAAGTCCAAGTAGTACTATAGCCGCTTCTTCGTACCGCTTCTAGCAGTTTCCCCTAGGGTATTGAGGAGTGAGAAGGGTTCGAGGGGGCCGCTGGTGCGGAATAATCAGCCTTTCCGGACTTTCGCAGCATCCTGATTCGTGCTCGATCCCACGATCCCACTATTGGAGATGGTGGCTCAGTTCAATCAATGCAGTGGATATCGTTGTGACTTCTAGCCGCTCCCGCACTTATGTCGAGATCCCGTCTTCCCCCTGGGCCGTTTTGCCTTAGTCGCGAGGACGGCTTTCTGAATTTCTGCTTTCGCGACAGGTTCCCATGGAACATTTTTCCGTTGAGGTTCGGCAGGGTATTAGATTCCTAGGCGGAATTATCTCCATGCTGGTTTTTCCCTTTCATTTCCTTGTCTCCGATATCCTCCGTTCGCTCGTTTAATGGCGGTAGGTTGCGTATGAATCTCGAGCCCTTATATACGTCGCAACTTTCCAGAGGTGGGTTATTTAGAAATTTAAACTGACAGATGGCATAATCAATCCAAGAAAAAAAAAGGTAAACCACTGAGTGGTTGGCACGAAGTCAATCTAACAGTTTTATTACGAAGCAGGTTCTACTTAGGATTTCTACGATGGAACTGCGGTCTCGACGCTGTGGATAAGTTTCTTGTAGATTTAGTGAGACTGTTTTTGCGGTGGCTAAGAAGATGTGTAACCTCTTATTGACCACGCACACTCTTTCCAGGCTCCCCGGAAAAAGACCATATTTAATGAATCCGAAGTCAGTCCGGTGGAGAGCTGAGGAATAGTTCTATACGTCCGATTGATAACCTCGTCATTCATTGGCTCGCTTAAAATACCGAGAAGCAGGTGTTAACTCTTGCGGACCATCCACATCTTAGTTCGTCCTGGAGACCCCGCACCAAGTTGCACTAGCTAGGCTCTAACACCCAAAGGGTCCAACCTAACTCAGTTCGGCGTACGGTACCAGCAATACTGCTTCACAGCCTGTACCGAATTAGGTTAAGCACAGCTGCACAATACGCCTAGGATTCAAGTGCTAGGATTTAGGCGGAGACAAAGACAAGGTTTGATTGCACTCCCCGCGTCCCGAAGTAGCTCCGTCCTTTGTAGTCTGTCGCGTGCCTATATCATGTTCTAGACCGAGAGTCTATCTCTACTTGTTTGGACCGGGCACCTCAGCGGAAATTATACGAATAGCCTTACATGATGGCAAGGACTCTCGAAAGTTTCTTTTTTTGTCCTTGTCTGCACATCTATAAATACTGAATCGATATGCCACGGAGTCGTCGTGGATCCTTCTCTCACCTTGCGCTTGCGATCGTCGACACTTATCAACAACTGGTGCTAGTCCTTTCTCAATCATAATATCATTACATCAGTTGTTGACTTCTCGATTGTACTCCTTCCAAGATGGATTCTAAATCCCAGGCGACTCATATCGAAGCGGGAGCGTCGAAGCTGGAGGCCGACATCGACGATGGCCTCGTCCACGATGCAAAATTGGCAACCGACAAAGAGCATCGCATGACACTTTGGCAGGGCTTGAGGCTGTACCCAAAGGCCGTTGGTTGGTCGTTGTTGATCTCCAGTGCAATTATTATGGAGGGTTACGACGTCGTGCTGATGGGGTCCTTCTACGGATTCCCTGCTTTTAATCGAAAATATGGCCACCTTATGACGGATGGATCGTATGCTTTGTCCGCTCAGTGGCAAGCCAGCCTGTCAAACGCGATGAATTGTGGCCAGATTCTAGGACTTTTCGCCAATGGTATCATCTCTGAACGCTTCGGCTACCGAAAGACTATGATGTATTCTCTAGTCGCTACAGTTGGGTTCATTTTCATTCTTTTCTTCGCCGAAAACGTTCAGACTCTTCTTGTGGGCGAGATCCTAATGGGGATTCCGCTTGGTGTTTATCAGACTCTCTCTGTTACCTATGCCTCTGAAGTCTGCCCTGTCTCTCTTCGCGCATATTTAACAACCTATGTCAACCTTTGCTGGGTGATCGGTCAGTTAATTGCGTCTGGTGTACTGAAAGGTCTTGCAAATCGGGCCGATCAATGGGCATATCGTATTCCATTCGCTGTCCAATGGGTATGGCCTATTCCTATCTTTATCGGTGTCTTCTTCGCGCCCGAGAGTCCCTGGTGGCTGGTTCGTAAAGGCCGTCGCGACGATGCTGTTCTTTCTCTCAAACGTCTCACATCAAAGATCGACTCAGATTTCAATGCCGAAGAAACTGTCGCGATGATGGTCCATACCAATGAGCTAGAAAAGGAAATTACGCTAGGAACAACTTACCTGGACTGCTTCCGTGGCATCGATTTCCATCGCACCGAAGTTGCATGTCTTATTTGGGCAGCTCAGAATCTGTGTGGCTCTGGCTTGATGGCTTACTCAACGGTATTTTACCAACGCGCCGGTCTGCCGGTATCCGAGTCCTTCAATATGTCTCTCGGCCAATATGCTATCGGTTTTTTTGGCACCGTATTCTCTTGGTTTCTGATGATGCGTTTCGGTCGACGGACTCTGTACGTGGTGGGCCTCGCCATTCTGACGGTGCTGCTCTTCGTGGTAGGCTTTATCTCTATCGCCCCCGAAACTAGCAGCACTGCTTGGGCCACTGGCTCCATGTTACTCGTCTATACCTTTTTCTATGACTCCACCGTCGGCCCTGTCTGCTACTCGCTTGTGGCAGAAATTCCTAGCACGCGTCTGCGAATCAAGACTGTCGCACTTGCGCGAAATTTGTACAACTGCTTTAGCATTGTCAACGGTGTCATTATCCCGTATATGCTAAATGTTGATGCGTGGAACTGGCGTGGCAAGGCCGGCTTTTTTTGGGGAGGTCTTGCGCTACTCTGCTGGTTGTGGGCCTTTTGGCGTCTCCCTGAGCCAAAGGGTAGGACTTACGCAGAGATGGACGCACTATTCGAACGCAAGATCCCCGCACGGAAGTTTGCGTCAACCAGAATTGACCTATTTCACGAAGATCAGGCAGCTGAAACAACCGATATTAAGGCTTAAGGAGAAGAAGCTGTTATTTTCCGCAGTGGGGAAGTGGAAAAATGCGTAGACTGGCAGGTGAAGCCGTGGCCTTCAAATGGAAAGGTGGGGACGCCAAATGATCTCTAGCTAAATTAAATCAATCAAAAATGTAGCTAGTCCTATGTGTGCACCGAACAAAGAAGTATGAGAATCGTTTCGTGTTGGAAGTAGAAGGTAATGGAGATCTAAATTATCCGGGGAAATCGTCTTGACCAATTATCTTGGCCACCGGAGGGTCCGATATTTTCCTGCGGAACCACTCAATCTCAAACCATTGGAAGCATTTGTATGGCTTGAAGATACGAATTCGTCACGACTGTGATTAATTGTGACGACACCTGTTTGATTTTAAATAGATGTTACGAAATTTATTATTTACAATCTCGACTTGATAGCTTTTTGCCATTCCGGACCTCGTCTTGGTACATACTCCCAGATAGGTTGGCGTAAAGCCACAGTACGCTAGCTTGACGTAGCGGAGTAGTCTATGTGCGATATCATTTAGCGTCTTATGTAAAATACCGTACCTTGCTGACCCCGCTATATATTAATGCGCCTATCCTCCGATTGACGTTCTGGAGCACCCCAGCGTCGTCCCGGACAATCTGCGAAGATGGACGATTCCGCCCTACGCCTCCGCGGTGCTCCACGGCGCGCCTGTGACAATTGTCGCCAACGAAAGATCCGCTGCAATCGCGAGCTGCCATGTGACAGATGCCTCGACATCTCGTTGGTCTGTCTGTACAATGATATCGCACGCCGAAAAGGGCCCAAGGGCCGCAAAGTTCCCGTCTTAACCTCGCTGTGTTCAACAGTGAAACCAGACAGCTCGTCAACTCTGACTCACGACTCTCAGTTCATCCAGAATGTGTCTTCCGAAATGTCACCACCGTCTCTAGCGTCGTTGGATGCCGGCCTTTGCTCAGCTTACTATGAAGTTTCGCTGTTACTGTCTGAAGTATTCCCTGCTGCTCCGAGCCCGGTACCACGGCGGATCTCCTCGCTGCAGCTTCAAGCGTATGTCCAGGTCTTCATGAGATATCTATATCCCATCATGCCAGTTGTGGATAAGAATGCGCTCCTGCTGGATTGTACCAATTCTGAAGCCCTGGAGACCCGTCGCTATGCACTTCTGGTTGCTCTCTCCGCTGCTACCCATATACAATTAAACCTCGATTTTGCGCAAGGAATTGCCGGAGTCAGTTTACTCCCGTCAGGACAGACCCTTGTTAGTGAAGCGTTGCAGGCGTTGCGTCAAATCGACCCCCTCGATGACCCACATGTCGACACCCTACTTACCGTATTTTTCTTGTTTGCTGCGTACGGGAATCTCTGCGAACAGCACCGGGCCTGGCATTTTCTCAACCAAAGCATTTCTTTTTTGTACATGTTGCAGCTAAATATGGAGTCTACTTACATGACACTTAACCAGGATGAAGCTGAAACGCTACGGAGAATCTACTGGCTTCTTTTTATCACAGAACGGTGGGATCTCTACCCTGTTCTCCCTTGACCAGTCTGGAACAAGGGCCCGTTTTTATCGATCAATTCCTACTAAACGTCCAGGATAGTGCCTATGCCCTCCAAACGACGCGACCCATTATGCTCCGTGCTACAATCCAGAAGCCTGCTGTCTTCCGGTCTGACTCGCCAGTAACCATGTATGGCTTGAGCAGCCTTATCTCGCTCTTCGGGAAAATTTCCCCTGATCTCTACGAGTGGAACATCTGCGACGTAGGGGAACCATACGACATGTCATCTATAGCGAATATGTATAAGTCTATCGCATTTGCATCGCCTCTACTAGCTGAGGCTTCCGAAACGAGCCAGGTTGATTTTATTCTCACGCAACAGTGGCTTCAAACCTGCCTGTGGCGGCTTTATGTCGATCAACGATACCTCTGCCAAGCGCGGAGTAACACGGATCTCCCTACAAAACTACCAGCAATGGCAGGAAAGAGCGTCCTGGCTTGTTTGTCATCAGTAGCTCAGAAGTCAACTGACGCCCATGGAATTGAAGCAGTATGTTATGTCGTCCCCTTTATCTACCTCTCTCATTCACCGACTTTCTACTTTCATAAGAGATTTCTGTAAATGCAAAGCTAAATATCATGCATTTATGCCGCTGAAAACGCATAAAAGGAACAAAAATTATATGATATTGGGGAATGCATATTTCAACTCGCACAACAACTGTCTCCTAAGACAGTTGCATCACTGAAGGCATCCACTGTTGACGTGAGAGATGTCTCGTTCGGCATTCTCTCTTCATTATCCCGAAGTCGAGGATCCCAGTCGTATTTATTTCCCCCGCTACTCCAGCAGTCTCAGGGGCTTCTAGGCTTTGGAGATGTGCCTCGGCCGTTAAGTGAAGTAATTCCAGCAGCTGAGGCTGGTGACGAGGAGTATCACTAGTCAAAAATGGCGTATGATATTGCGGTGATGTATATCTATGTACTGTACTGTATGAAAAGAAAAATATCTTTGATGCGAAACGACAGGAAGTTTTGTACTGATGAATCTGGTGAGATTTTAGCGAGAGGTTACTCACTATGTTAGAATTTAAGCATAGAGATAGCTTTCAATCCACGCATTGTTGCTTGTCTCCATTCTTCGCCTTTGACTTATAGCTTTTCCAATATTGCCATACGCTGTCCCAAATCCTGAATCTGGTCGACCTGGGGTACGTTTTAGCCGTATTATGGCGGACTAGAAAAAACCAACACTCCGGTAATACCCCGCAATTCTCCGGAAATTCGCGTACGCTCTGTGACCAATCGAATTGCAATGCTGGGCTACGATGAAGTTTACTCACCATCCCGCATTTTCTTTTAGCCCGGCTGCGAAGCTCCGTTTTCGATCCTCTTAGGAGCGTAATCCACTCAATATACTTTCTAATCGTGCCCTCTTCGAACAAACCAGTAGCTGAACCAGATAATCAGACCACTGGGGTTTACCAGACCCGCTGTCCCGATCGAAGTCAGCCATGACACTGTCAGTGAATATGAAATATGTAACCACGGGTCCAAATCTGGGGAATATAATTTTCATCTAACAGGAGCGTCGCACATTCACGGACCAGCGAAATATACCTTGCCTTAGTACGTACCTGGCATAGTGTAACAGGGATAGACCCAGGGAGCATGTTCAAGCCTAATCCGGCAGGACCGGGGGGCTCAGGGATACCCCGGGGTCAATTGTGATATATCACAATTGATACCATAAGACCCCGGGCATGATGCCAGTACCCCTCACCTCGCTATATATGCCTTTATCCAGTTAGATTAAGTATTAATGACCTGAGATAGGGACCCAGGCATATAGGCTTGGTTTCCCACCTGGAGGGAGGAAACCAAGCAATATCTTTTGTATAATCCTTGATATAACTTTCAATATAAGCCTACTCGGCTTCGAATAGCCTTCAGCTCGAAGCCTTCCCTAACTATACCACATAAACCGATAACTCCCTCCCTAGTAGCCTTGCTCTATAGCATCGACATCAATCGGTGAAGCTTCAACTCACCCACATCTAATCTATCCAGACACCCCCGGACACAGTCCTGTCAGACCGTGTTACACATAGTGCCGACAGGCGAGCATTTGGAAGTGTCTGGATATCGTCCCGTTTTCGGGCGAAAGAGCCCTTTCATCTCCGTCAGTCACATCATTTATTTGAACTGGGTGAGATGGTCGGTTCAAGGAGACTGTGACCGGATACTGAAATATTCACACAGTGAAGTTGATTGTGAGATTTCCGTACATCCCTTCATAGAGTGACCGTCAATAGATTGAGACATATCAATACACTGCCGAAAGTACAAAGTATGTGTCCGAGGTTGAGATCCCTTCAACACCGGTCTGGCCGACCCTCCTGCTATTCTGCGCCTGCCAGCTACCAAGCCCACTAATCAATATGGAAAACACCCCCTTCTAGTGCTAAACTGAGCTACAGCAATAACTTGGACGTGCGATATGCAAGGCAGTCTACCCGGAGGGTCTCCTAATCCCAATTTTGAGGTGGTTTTATGCTTCCAAAGACGATCGTATTCAAATTTTGGGGGCTGTCTAATGAAGTGCGGAAGGGAAGCCGTCGCATATTATTTTTGACATGAGGCTGCGGGATTCAGTTGGGATGTATGAGAAAAGATCCCATATGGACAAATACGCACACTGACGAGAAAATAGCGAGAAGACCGGAGTGCAACAGGTGTGCATAACATTGAATGATTCAAACGATCTGCCAAGTACCTAGGAGATTGTTACCGCATCATGGGAATATGAAACCATCCTGACTTGCTAACTGCACAAAAGTGATGGGTAGAGCCGTATAATTTTGCGACGAATGACCCATATTCAATAATATATATTCGCGTAGCTCTCTAAACCCCATGGCTCGAAACGAAAAATTCTGTCATATCAGCCAAAACTACGTCTTCTGTGCGCAACCTATGATGCACCTCCACGCGGTTTGAGACACCCTACACTCTTCGTAGACCATCTCCGCAAGCAAAGCAAGCTTCGGGTTTACATCTGGCTTGTCAAGCTCGGACTCTCTTCGGTTTTCTCGAAAGCGTTGTCCATCCTGCGTAAAGGCTGTGGAGAGAAGAGAAAGAGGAAACATGAGCGTTGTATTCTTCTCTATGGTAAATCCCTCATTAGCAAGGAGTTCGAGAAACCGGACTGCAGTCACGAGCCCGCAAGTTGTAGTCGATAAACAAGGAGTGCAGTTCTCTCGCACAGTAAAGCGCGAATTCTGGTGTTGATCCTGATTGAAGAAATAGAATTGGTCTTCTTCGTAGAGGAAGGGCTCCACTTCCCTGGTAAGTGGTCCGGCATTGTTTAGTCGGCGCTCAAAGAAGATATACTCAAAGCTACCGCCATTATCTAATACACGATGTATCTCTCGAATCCACGATTCTAGAGTCTTCTCGTTACTCCAGGGCCGACTTGGCGAGGTTGGCTGGTGGGTGATTGATATCGACTTGTAAAGGGTCCTCGTGGAGACAACGTCAAAGCTTTTTGGTCCGAAGGGTAACGAAGGCGAACTTTGAGTCTGGACCTCGCGTTGCCTCTGCGGAACCTGGCAAACTGTAGCATAAGGTAGAGTAGCGATTGTATGTGAATACACGCCTGTGTTACCAAGCAGGTATCAGCATCTGGGAACATTGGACCTAATTCTCGGATATGACCTACTGTCACCATTGCCGCTCAAGTCAAGAACTCGGAGGCAATGCCTTCTCTGAAGAGGCCTGGAAAGCAACGGATGACTGATGTTGAGGAGGACAGGATTCAGCTCGAAGCGCTCTGAGAACGGATTTGTGAGGAGCTTAGAACATAAGCAAAACATCTGCGTCGACGACAGGGAATAGAGAGGCGGAAAGGATCGAGATACAGCACTCGAACCGCTTGATTGGTCTGATGTAGGAGAGATGGGGGGGGAGGGTACGTCAGCCCACTGGCTGTGTACGCTGGTGTCATTGTAGCTTGTCACGGCATGAAGGGTCTCTATTGCGGAGGACTGATCATGACCAACACCTGTATCAGAATGGGAGATAATGCCAGCTGTCAGATTAGCATTTTGGTCCTCGGTGGACTTTGTTCTCCGAAGTTTCGCTGGTATGAAGATCCGGGCTAGTCCTCTTTTGGCCAGCGAATGCCTATCCACCTGCCTTGCACCTAAGTCGATCTTGGGTCGTTCTGAAGAGGGTCTTTCTGCGCTTGATGACCTCTGCGGTCGTAGCTGTTTCAGTGGACCTTTCGTCTGACGAACCTCAGTCGTCGCGTGGAGCTGCCTTTGATGCTGCTGCAGCTGCCGCAAATAAGTGAAATTCTCCACACTCATAGCCGGGTGGCTCTCTGGAAAGAAAGGGAATGTCATTATATGGTTCTCTCTGGTTTGCATTCGAATATTTCTTTCGCGCTTCACGTGGGAGAAGGGATCAGCATCCTCGATTATTGGTTATTATAATGGAAGAATGCTCTTAATTAGTAGAGAAGCTGTTTTGCACTGTAAGCAGACAGGTAACACCCATTTCAGAGAGTCTCCACGTTTCCCAGGAATTCGCGAAATCCATCTCTTAGCTCCGATCGTAGTGGACAGACAAAATTTGGAACCGCCGGGGTATGCCAAGAGCAACCGGACGTTCTTCGGACGGATTTTAACTCTAATCATCATTTGGACAAGCCTAATTTTAGGACGCTGTCGTGATCACCTGCCTGTGGCCATCGCCATCACTGCCTATGCTTAGCCTAAACGAACCTTGGTTGCCCGGCTTGCGAATTGTGATCGGTCCAACACTCCGCACTGTTCTGCCTGTAATTATGATTGGCCTTCCGAGTGCGGAATCCGCATGTAGACTTAATGAAGTGGTCTCGGCCCTGAATAGGGCCAACCTTGCGAATGCTTGGGCCGAGCTTCTAGCGTGGTAGACCGTGAGGAAAGTGGCAAAAAGGTCGACAGGGTTGCCGTCTTGCACATTTCTTTTTCACAGTATGACCGAAGACAGAGCGCATCGCTGTGTGTGGGGAATTAAACTTCTTCAAGTTGAACGTCTAAAGGTGGGTTGTTGTGCTTCCAAGTTACTAGGGAAGGGATTGGAGATATAGAAGATGATTGACAATACGTATTGAAGCTTTAGATGTTCTGTGACTTCCGTTGCCTCACGCTCCTTACTACTCAATACATATTCGATAAAATTTTACCGAGGGCAACGCTCTGTTTGTTGCCCACTCGCCGCCCCTCCTCATAGTTATGACTATCTCTCAATCCAGCGGCCAGTCCTCCGCTGCACATGTCCCTCAAAGTTCTTCGCTAGAGGCATCGCGCAATGACGATGCAGATGTTTCCCACCCATTGTCGACGATAATTCCCGGCCTATGCAATCTCACAACTAGCGCCAGGGCCGCAACGTGCGCAGAGCAGAAAATGACTTTCATCCAAGCCTTCTGTTTGTACCCCAAGGCCATTCTTTGGTCCATCCTCTTGTCGTCCACCATCATCATGGATGGGTATGACATGAGCCTCCTGACTAGCTTCTTCACCTTTCCCGTCTTCCAAAGATCATACGGGGACCTTGTGCCAGATTCTCAGACATCACAAGCGTCGTTACGAATACAATCACTCCGTGCATGCTAAATCCGACTGCATGGAACTAGAAGGGAAGATCATGCTTCTTCTTTATCGGAACTACCGTTTTGTGTTTTATATGGTGCTATTTTAGGCTTCCGGAGCCTTCTGGACTTAGTTACCTTGAGATCGATACTTTATTTGAGAAACGGGCGAAAACAGTCAAATTTCGAGTGTTTCAACGCAACTTGGCCAGATCCGGATACAATGACGTAGTCATCATTGGACAAAATAGCAGTGCGTGGCAGAGATATTAATTTTCATTACCCAGTCTCCCCCAGAATGCCCCATCTTCAAATACACACGCAATATTGAAGATAACCAGGTTGTTAGCATGGTGTCTGCTAGTCAGATGTTCTCGGTTTTCTCCGTGGTACGTTGGTGGTTTAACCCATTCATACCCATTCATTATCAGACAACCCCGAGGTAGCGTTATCCCACGATTTTCCTACCTGCCCTCCTCTTGTGCTTGTGATCAGTATCATCAGAGCTCTAGGTCTCTTATTAGGCCATAATTATCCACCATGGAGGTCTGTCAAACCACATTGTAGGGCAACAGAAATATCTTGTAAGAGATGTATTGTGGGCCGTCACATATCTTACTAGCCCACCGTACATTCGTAGCTTTGATAAGCATACTACCATATCCTTCCTTGAAGATAGCATTGACTCCCCAAACCACCGCATGAATAATACTCTCTAGGACAAGGTCTTTTTCCAGCCATCAATGAAACAAGTTAGAGTTGTCAAAGCTGGTGCCTAAGATGAGTATAACTATGTCTAACACGGCGAGAGTCCCAGCTCTTCTCCTGAAGTTTTATAAGCCAACCTCTCTTCCATGCTTGTAAATCAGCGGGGATAGACGGACTATCTGGCTCACAATGTAACATGCAATAAAACAGCCTTGTATGAGGATCTTATGCCAGACACTGATCGAAACTCCCGCTGTTGTTGTTCTTACAGAGCGGAGCTTGCGAAAGTTGTTTCTTAATCAATGACCCTGGTTGCAGATGATCCGTTGTTCCAAATGTTCTCTGCTGTGTTTATGGCTCAGGTCGAAATAATACCTCAAACATATTATTAATGTTCATATTTCACAACAAGCAGCAAGAGAACGATCATGTTACATCACAGATGAGAATGACTAGATTTGCATGCCTGAACAGCTGGGACTATAGCTGTAGTCCGCCAAGGCATTCCAAACATTTAAGTAGTGATAGGGAGAACGAATAAAATAAACCGGAATGAACGTCATCGAATAATATATTGTAAGGCAGTTTGGTTCACACAGTTTGGCGTCAAGAATCTTTCCGACTGTGACGTGCGATTCGTACGAGTGGGAGCAGCTCGATTTTCTCTCGAAATTGCCCGCTGATCTCCAGGTATAAAGGCCTAAGGTTCTTTCATCTTCCGTAGTAGCCAAGATTAGTTCTCCGGCAAGATCCTAACGGATCCCTTACCAGTGGAAACGTCCTGACCATGTACAATCAAAAGAGCGGGCTCGCGGGCCACAGGAGGTCCACGGGTTGGAACTCGGTCACATCACGGAAATTTGGGCGCCGTCCAGCGAGTTTCACCCCAGTATTAATTTAATTTCCCAATCCTCCGCCTCAACGCTTGAGACTTTGGTAGGTCTGGACTCAGTTGTGATCGTCGATTAAGCCGAATGCAACAGGCACACGGAAAGACTCCGGAGATATCTGTTTACCCCGTTAATTTCCCTTGCGGTCTTCCCTGTATCATGTAAAGGCGCGAGCTATCCGTGGCTGAGTAATGGGGTAACAAATTGTATATAATCTGTGGAGCTGGATCCGATAATGACAGAGAAGTCCTCTGGTACGGAGAGCCCAAACTTGCCTACTCATAAGATTATCTATACTCCAAATTAAAAATGAGATTCGTGCTTTCCACTGCTCTTCTGTTCGGACAATCTGTGTTAGCTCACTACAAGTGGCCAGCGCTGATCCTTGACGATGTTGCCACTCCAGACTACGAATATGTACGTTTGAACACTAACAATATCAATCCTATTATGGACATCAACTCTACCGATATGCGATGCAACCAGGGGGGGCTCGATTCCGGGCCGCAAACCAGTACTGCAACGGTAGTAGCAGGAGATACCGTGAGATTACAACACCGCACACTGAGGATTGTTTTGCGTCGGCCACTAATACCAAGCCACTAGATTGGGTTCACGCTTAGCAATTCAATCAGCCACATTGGGCCCGTGGTTGTCTATATGGCACAGGCACCTGGGAATCCATCTGACTGGGATGGCTCCGGTGAGGTCTTTTTCAAGATCAATGAATGGGGTCCAGATTTCAGCACCGGTACAATCGAATGGCCGCAACTCGGTGTGTATATGCAATGACGTGCTCAGAATAAAATCAAATCCAACGTTGCTAACGAGATAAACGAACTGGCATAGGCGTTATGAGCTACAGCTTCAAGGTCCCTCCAAGCGTCCCTGATGGCTACTACCTAATTCGGATCGAGCACATTGCCGTACATAATGCTGCAAACTACGGAGGTTGTCAGTTCTTCATTGCCTGCGGCCAGGTGAAGGTGACTGGAGGTGGATCTGGCACCCCTGGTCCTTTGGTAGCCTTTCCGGGTGCATATCAATCCACGGACCCGGGAATTTTGTTCAATGACTACTACCCTCCGGTAAGTAATTATTCTACTACGTTGGTTTCAATTTTCTGTAAGGTCTAACTGGCGTTGACGAACAAGCCTACCTCCTATGTGATTCCCGGGCCACCGGTATGGTTCGAGTAGTTGATAGGTATTACACGCACTCTTTCAAGACAGTGCCGAAGTCATCAAAAGGATAGCGTGATCAAAACGAGGAACGAATAATTCGAGGTCCTCTTTACCCTTTACAGGTAGTAGGATGTGAATACGTCATGATGTTGAAATGTATTGAATTAATTTAACCTCAAATGTGCTTTTGTCGGTCATGAATTTACCTGCGCTACAATTCCCGCCGTAGTTGATATTAGTAACACAGTACGCGGGAATGAGGATTCCTCATACCGAGGATTTATCTAATAAACCGGAGATTTTATCTTTCTAAACCTGCCATCTTTCCAATGACATCTAATCTCCGGTCGGTAGTTAGCCTTCTGCCGTTGGAGTGAATACGAAATCAAGAGATCGCTAGATGATGGTTCTCCTCACTCTCATCCGTTACGCCAAGAGAAGGGACCGCCTAAATTATTTTAGATGAAAGCTTTAGTAGATTCAGACAAAGGATAAACATATTGGCTATATGTGACTTTTCCTCCTAGAACTCGTGGAGGTTAATTGTAGACAACTAATCGTTAAGGATGATTCTAATGGTATAGTGCCTTTGAATAGGACATATCAATCGTTGCTATTGGCCGTTATTGGCCGTAGAAACCATATATCAAGAGTCATCCGAGTACCATCCAGGTTATTTCCATCACACGTTTAAATATCAACTCAAATTTGTTAAACATTACTAAATCCTTCTGGGGATATTAGTAGTCTGAGTACTAAGTCATATACGATACAGTTACGATATATCTCACAGAGGCCGGCAATAACTCAATAGCTATCGAGGTATATCACAAGATATTCAGATAACTATTCTTGAGAAGATTAATATTCAGCTACTGGGCAATATCCGGCGTTGGTCGTTAGATCAACGTTGGGGCTCACTCGGTACATCGCAGATGAGTGCCCAGACATATGTACAGTATCCATAGTCCGGGCTGGGAGCGTCATCAAAAATCAGGAAAAGCCATCTGTAGTGAGCAAGGGCTAGGGTTCAGTTTCTCCATACTATTTTTTTAATGTCATCACCAACTTCGTATAACTCTCCGCCGTTACTCGACGAAGAAAGCCGTAGTGTATCAAGCAGGTAACCTTAGCGAAGTCTACATGTCCGAAATGCTTCCGTTTTTAGTCGCATAAGAGAATCCAGCAACATTATGGTTGCCGGTAAAAAGTAATTTCCAGAGTCGAAGGTTACATATGATCCGAGTTCGAAATGTGTGACCAGCACCCTCATCTGCAGATCCTCAATATGTCAACCAAGAACACCAGCTTTAAAAGCATCACCACACCGAAGAGTGACCCATAGTTGTGGCTAATTTAATTTAATTTAAATTGGGCATCATCTATACCCAAGTATGGGTTTCATTTTGTATGGTCAATTTGGGAAGAAGGTCCGTTATTATTCAGAATATTCCGATCCTGCTAGGCGCATGTTTCTAGTGAGACATATTATAGGCCATGTTTGGGGGTTATACGATATTGAATTGATAGTCCTATCATTCGAATTAGTCATTCTATCCTCGTTTGTGGTTGCTGTGTATATCCCCCACCACTAAGGCAACTTTGGGCCTGGGCCTGGCCTTCGTAATCAGTATTTAGCAAGCACAACAAAAAGAGATATAACCAACCACTGAAAATCCGCGGCTGGGGAAAATGTCGTCAGCAGCCAATCTATAAGCCTGCTAAATCCTTGAGTTTCAGCATCGGGGTAGCTGGAGCTTCGGCGATCCAGTGACTATCTACGATTCCTCTTCTAATACGCGCATCGATGAGATGAACACCATGCAAATTCCCTCAGCGCTACCCAAGAACTGTGAGGGGACATATTTAATACCGTCTCCCAGTGGGAAGTATGCGTTTAGCGTAAACCGATTATCGTCAACTGCCGGGCCAATTGAGTCGCACCCATGGTTTTTCCATCGAGCTTCATGTCGCGCTCGAGCACTAACAGAACGCAGCAGGGAAATAGCTGTGAAGGTTTCTCAACGCGTAACCCTCCCGAGTCTCGTCATCGGCGTAGCCGGAGCTTCTTCGTAAATTAAACCGATGAAAACCTTAAAACTCTATCCCTCCAATATCTACAATCTCCGATCTCAAAATATGGTCAGCTGGATGGATGCCATGTCGATCACGACGGCGCTACCCCGGAATTATTAAAAGGCGGAGGGTGCACTGAAGGAAATCCCCACTTGCGCCCAACAGGAAGCATTAGCCGGTCCCCGCATGAAACGTTGGACCTGCATCACCTGCCCAAGTGATGCACTTACCGCTAAGCGGGGTTTGACCGTACTACGATTCTCCATGCATGTCGAATTAGGTAAGGGTGAGGCAAATCCACTTATTTCTCCGTCTTTGCGCGGGAACAATGTTAGTGTCCTTGTGTAGCTAGCCTGAGTCGTGCCACAAGCACAATATGCTTCCTCCATGCTCTTTCAGTTCGTTTCGCCATCAATGTCGTAAAGAACCCATACTTCCTCGCGGCCCTGCCCCACAGACCTAAAGGTCAATCTGACTTAGTTGGCGTGGCCGCATCCCCATGCTCTTGCTCCGAGCAACCCCATGCAAAATGTGAGAGACCCAAAGGGTGGACTTCGGTCATTACTGTTGTATACTGTACTAGCGGAACAAGACGAGCCCAAGTGGAAGGACGTGGAAACCTCCATACCGAGGAGTCTATAAGAAGGAGTTACCGGTCCATTTGGTGTTCGGAGTTGCTAAACCTGCCCAAACCTCAAAAATATTTGTTCTGCAAGTTTCTCTTCAGACCACATCGCAAAATGGTCAACGTACATGTGTTGGCTCTTGTTGCTGGCATCTTCTGTATGCAATCTGCGACGGGAGCAGTTTTACAGACACGGTGCGATTCTAGTCCTGGGACTGGAACGACGAATAGCACCCATTGCGGAACCGACTTCTGTACCTGGTGGCATGGTTCCGGAGAAATTAACACAAACACTCCCGTACAGCCTGGAAATGTGCGTCAATCGCGTAAGTACGCTGTGCAAGTGAGTCTCGCCGGTGCAAACACCTTCTATGATTCGTTCGTGTACGAATCCATCCCCCGGAATGGAAACGGCCGCATCTATGCTCCTACGGATCCCCCCAACAGTAACACACTGGATTCAAGCATTGATGATGGAATATCGATTGAGCCTAGTATTGGCCTTAATATGGCATGGTCCCAATTCGAGTACGGTCAGGATGTCGACGTGAAGATCCTGGCCACGGATGGCTCGTCATTGAGCTCACCAAGCGACGTTGTTATTCGCCCCGTCTCAATCTCTTATGCGATTTCTCAGTCCAGCGATGGCGGAATTGTCATCCGGGTGCCAGCAGATGCAAATGGGCGGAAGTTTTCAGTAGAGTTCAAAGATGATCTGTACACGTTCCGCTCCGATGGCAATGAATATGTCACATCGGGAGGCAGCGTCGTTGGTGTTGAGCCTACTAACGCACTTGCGATCTTCGCAAGCCCGTTCCTTCCATCAGGCATGATTCCTCAGATGACTGATGCCAACACGCAGACCATGACACCAGGTCCTATTAATAATGGCGACTGGGGTTCCAAGTCCATTCTTTATTTCCCACCAGGTGTATACTGGATGAACCAGGACCAGTCAGGTAACTCGGGAAAACTAGGCTCCAATCATATGCGTCTAAATCCGAACACATACTGGGTTTACCTTGCACCTGGTGCATATGTGAAGGGTGCGATCGAGTATTTCACCAAGCAGAACTTCTATGCAACCGGCCATGGTGTCCTGTCTGGTGAGAACTATGTCTATCAAGCCAATGCTGGCGACAACTACGTTGCTGTAAAGAGCGACTCCGCCGGCCTTCGAATGTGGTGGCATAATAACCTTGGGGGTGGTCAAACATGGTACTGTCATGGGCCAACCATTAATGCTCCGCCATTTAACACCATGGATTTCAATGGAAATGCGGGTATCTCAAGCCAAATCAGTGATTATAAGCAAGTGGGAGCCTTTTTCTTTCAGACCGATGGACCTGAAATCTATCCCAATAGTGTCGTGCAGGACGTCTTCTGGCATGTCAATGATGACGCGATCAAAATTTACTATTCTGGAGCCTCTGTATCGCGGGCAACGATCTGGAAATGTCATAACGATCCGATCATCCAGATGGGATGGTCGGTTCGGGATATCAGTGGAGTCACTATCGATACGCTGAATGTTATCCACACTCGTTATATTAAGTCGGAAACGGTGGTACCTTCAGCTATTATCGGGGCGTCTCCGTTCTATGAAAGTGGATTGAATACCGATCCAAGCCAGTCCATATCTATGACCATTTCAAATGTTGTTTGCGAGGGTCTCTGTCCATCCCTATTCCGAATCACTCCACTACAAAGCTACAAGAATTTCGTTGTCAAAAACGTGGCTTTCCCCGACGGACTGCAGACAAATAGTATTGGCACGGGAGAAAGTATTATTCCAGCCGCGTCCGGCATAGCGATGGACCTGGATATCTCTAACTGGTCCGTTGGTGGGCAAAAGGTGACCATGCAGAACTTTCAAGCCAATAGCCTGGGGCAGTTCGACATTGATGGCAGCTATTGGGGAGAGTGGCAAATTAGCTAAGTGGATTGAAGCATATGAATGCCCTAATTCGCCTGACCGAAGGTATTGCATGAATACTTTCTCTCACTTATCGACGGATTTAAGGGAAGACTTATTCGTGAGGGACAACTCGGAAAAATTGCTTCTTTGCGTGGCATTTGTACGCATCCCTTATCTATTTTACCAATAGGCATGTATGTCTATACTGTACCTAGAAGCACAACAGATATCTGTCAAATGACTAGCCCCTCTATATTCATTCTAAGCAGTTTAGAAGCTCCCACTTTAGCACAATTCGGAGCAGTGCGGGGAATTCGATAAACACAGGACGGGCTTTCAAGCGCTTTACCACTATAGAATACCCATAAGCTATAATGTTGGCCACACTGGCCCGGATATTTCGAGGTTATGAGTAAAGTGAAAAATCTAAACAAGATACAAGATCCGAGGATCAATAGCCATAGTATTGCTGTTTAAAGGTAAAAATATCGAACACGAGGAGAGGAGTAAAGCAAGATACAAAGCTTCTATCGACCGCTCGATGTTAGGGTCCATGCATCACCAGTTTTCATGACTGGGCAGCGGCAATAATCCGCCTGGATACCGGAACTGGACGAAGCCGTCACCTGAATAATGGAACTACGTACATTAATAGCTGCCTCACCGTGTATTTAACCCCCTGCAGATATCAGTCTAACCAATTGAGGTGTGCAGACAACTCGGGAAGGAGGTTCCATCGGCACCCAAGTAGTGAAGACGCTTAGGCAGTGTATGGTCAACGCAACTTATGATGGAGAGTGCAGGACTAGCTAACACCTTCATCAATATATAGCCGTGATGTCTTGTCCATTTCATCAAATTAGCCCGGTGTGTCGTGCATTTGATCAGTCGAGCATTCGCGTGGCCTCCTGCGAAATTGGTTGACCGAGCTGTGAACCCAGGGGCTGTAAAATATTAATGCCTCAATGGTTCAGGGTATATGTCAGGAAACTGTAGCCCACGTATATGAACCGGCTCCGCATTTCTCTATACGGAACACGAGAGTCTCAGTGGTATTTCATCCATCACCTCTGTGTCTTCTTTTTCAATTAGCAACATCTATCTTAAAGCCATAAAGCTCAGCACAGTTCATACTGCTACTACTTTATTCTCCCACTGAATATCCGGTCGTCCCATGAGTAGCTCTATCCCTTCAGGAAAGACTAAGGTCATAGCATTGGCATCACAAAGCTTCGTGACAAAAATTCGAACGCGAAGGATCCCCCTTGCTCCGGGGAGGTCGAAGAGAGATCTCAACCATGGCTGGACCCACTCGATATAATCCAACCTTCGAATGATCCAGACTAAGGAGATTTGGTGACAAGCAATGAAGTTATCAGTAGCATCTTTGATCAGATGGCGCACATGCAGCAGTTGATACGTGATACCAACTCCTCCGGCGAAGAGGATGACTGTGCCGTATGATTTCAAATGACACGGCCGTCCATATGGACCTTCAACTAGGGCTGTAAAAGATTCACACTTGCTCTGACTGGTTTCAATTCTTTTGTATAGTTGGTTTGTAAATCCTGTTCTTCGTCTTATGATGAGGTAGATTCTGGTCTTCTGACGGGTTGTGCAGAGATCAGACCATGACACCGGGAGCCCCTTCGTTTCATCTGGTACTTCCTCTAGCTCATGCCATGCTACGGTAAAGGGATGAGAGGTCCACAGACCTACGGAGGGTATGTAGAAGAAAATATTCTGTCCAGGAAGTATAGTCCAAGGTCGTGCCACGCTAATAGTCACCATCAGTGCCTCACCTGGAAGCATTCTTACGGTAGTGCGTGTGATAGCACGCCCGCAATTTCTCCAGAACAACACAGAATAACGAATCAACCGCTTTCCTAACTTAGCTGGCAAGGGACATGGCAAGATAATTACGTTTAGAGGGATATCCTACCTGTGTTGTCCAGACTCCCATAGCGGCAAGCAGATACCGTCTTGCATAAAGCTCCTTCAGGTGATACCAAAGACCGGCAATGGCGAGGCAGACAAGGAGGACATGAACGTGGAGAAAGGTCTCATAAAAGGCGTGGCGAATCATTGACAGTGAATGCAATGAAAGAACCATGAACGCGAGGCATGCCTGTTGTCCGCCGTTAGCCGTAATGCGAGGAAAATCGGGGGACAATGCTCACAATGAGTCCAGTGTAAATGAACTCGCTATGATCAACGGATGTCAATACAGCACTCCAACCGACTAATCGAATGTAAGTTAAGACACCAAAGCCGAGAAGGTCCCTACATCTTTCCGAGTCGCCAGCAATCCACATAGCAGCGTGAGTGACGGCCTCCAGCATGATAATACGGCCAATCCAACGATGGATAAGATTGAGATTATCAAACTTGATGCTGAGCAATCTGCTTAGATGGTTGTGTCGCCCGGGCAGGAGAATCAATGGGATGAGGTTGACCACGGCAATGGTTCCTAGGCGATTTCTAATAACAGGGTAGAGGTCTTCTGTAGGAGATTTCCACGGTATTCGGGTCAAGCAGAAGCACCCGTTCATCAATGCTATTATGGTAATAATGCAGAACTGCGGCCGCGTCGGTATGCAACACATACTTGGGAATGCTGAGAGCTGAAGCTCCTGTATGTGTCTATTTCGGAATAATGGAGCGTATATTAGGTGCTTCTTTAATCCCGCCCAAGCTAGGATCGGAGGTAGGTAGTGCCGCTGTGTATCATTTGCCATGCAACCGAGTAATCGCATATACTTTCCCACGCTGAGAATAGATTGGACAGCGAGTAATATAACCACCAATACACATAGAGCACAAAGAAGGGCCCAAGAAAATTGCCTGTTCATCTCCTCGCCTGAGCTTGAGGACACGGTCGTAGTCTCTAATTGATGGTTATCCAGTTCCATACTGTAATATGGTATAAGAGTGGTTTTGGCAAATCAGAGCACCTTCAATTCTTACAGCATGAAAGGGAGAATTGAGATATTTAAATGGGAAACATGGTTGATGTGGGTGGCTCCTTTTACATCTCTGCGCGCTGCAGACTTCGTAACTGTCGTGTATTTCTCAAACCATCAATTTCAAGGTTAAATATCTTCCAGGCTTTGGTGAAAGCTGATCTCTGCAGCGATGAAATGCCCTTGACTCAACTGGCGCTGATACTCCCATCCCGTTTTCGCGGGGAATCAGACGGAGACTCCAGGTCTCGGGATAACATCGGACAAGCTACTTTCACACTGACGCATCCAGAGATGACAAATCAACAGACGAAGCAGACAGACTATCACAGTCCTGGAGTGCATCGACGCGATGAGTTACTTTACGGAACAAGAACGACTGCCTCTCAGGCTAGCTTCAGAATATCTCCGGATCCTAGGGTTAAGGTAATTACTACGTATACCGCCTATATATCGGCATCCTTTCCTGAAGAACCTTGATAAGTAGGCGTTGATCCATCAACGCGTTTCAGATGAAGAGAAAAATACAACTTCAAACTCGTGCGTACTGGAGCTCAGAACGGCTTCATACGACTGTAAAATTCGAATTCACCATAAAGTGAGTGTCGTAATATTTCAAGAAACTGTAGGATCTTGATCAAAATCCCGGCTACTCAGAGGGACTATGCAGAGTATTCCTAAAAAGTTGGCCAGTATGTGCTGCCAAAGAAGAATACGTATCATAGAGTAACGAGTAGAGCTTGGTTTCAACTGTCAAGCCAACGGCAAAAGAGGCACAATGTTCAGCCAGCGACCGAAACTAATAAGTTAAATCAACCCGTAAGTCACCACCAAATCACAAGTGTCTCAATGAAAGCTACTCATACCACTGAAAGCCAATGCGATGATTCCGCTAATCCTAGGCTACTATTCACGGAGACATATCATAGCATTCATCCGACAGTAATCTCAAGCATCCACCTGCCACTGCGTTCCTTAAGTCCCTTTATTATGGAGCCTTCGCGCGCTTGGCGAACAAAATATCAATCTCCAGATAACTAAGTCCGTACGGCTCCGCGAGCCTGAAGTAGCACCACACCAGACACAGCACCGTAGTGCCGACGAAAAAAAAGCACGATTTGCCTTTCCAGTTCTACGCGGATGGACTTAGCATGCGCGACGCAAGGTGTTACTGATGATGCTAGTGATGTTGTAGACCACGCGGCCGATGATGACGGTCTTCACGCGGAGTCGCGTGGAGGGAATCTCCGCAACGAGCATATACGCGACAAGGCCGAGCGTTGCTAAATAAATGGTAGTGAGCACACCAAGGGTCCACGACTGGGCAGCAGTTTCAGGCATCAAGCCAACGCAGCCACCGGTGATGAGAATGGCCAGGGACAGCGAATTACCGCTGGGAAGTGCGTCGACGTCAGGACACATCAGGAGGAACGAACAAACAACGTTTGCACACTCCGTACATGCCGTCCGTGAGATTAAAGGCATCGCGAACTCGAAACCCAGCCTGCGCGTAGAATGGAAGGGCATAGAATGTTTAACATCGAGCCGCAGAGCTGTTGCGTGGCCAACACCATGGTGGTTATCTTCGTGTGCCGGCGGTCCACGCCCCGGAAACAGTTCAGCTTGGTCATTTTGGCGTTCCCATAGTATTTCTCAACATATTTGGTGTGTTTCAGAATGGGTGCGATGAACACCCATTGTAGTGCGAAGGGGAGGCGATAAGCCCATTCCGAGTCTGTATCAACTAGAACGCGGATTATATCGACGCCGCAAGTCTGTCCCAGAACCCAGCATAGATTGATATAGCTAAAAGCCTGACCTCGGAGCGCCACCGGTATCACCTCAGCAGCGTAGGAGACCGACAATGTCTGAAAAATACCCCTGGGATGCCTTCTTGCGGAATTTAAAAGCAAGGCTGTGCTGAACAAAATTACACAGCGGGATGTAAAACACACAACAGAATTTGTGGAGTGAGCAAAGTCGCCAGATTCCTTGCAAGACTGCTAGGAAGACAAATGCGCCTAGGACAAGCAGCACTAATATCAAGGTGCACTGGTAGCCAAACCGGTCGGCCACCAGCCCATTTCAAGGAAACAAATAATCACCCCGGCCTGGGTTCCACCAAGGCAGCTTGCCAGACAGACGAGATATGACACCTGTTGATACACCTAGTCTACTATGCTCAAGGCGCTCGATGTCGGAACAGAGTAAGCCTTAAGAGTGGGAGGTTACATTGACATGGCTTAAAATTAGTTGAATCACTCACATTCGGAGCGATTTGTAAACTCTCAAATTTAGCAGGCTATTGAGGTCTATCCTGGTTCAACGCAAGGCGCTTTTTTCAATTGCATTTCATTACCGAAGTACGGCCGTGTTTTTTCAATGCAGTCTGGAAAAGTGGGGATATAATGAAATTGCAAGTTGCGAGAGCGGGGCCTGTACATGGCAGACGTATTAGTTATTGGTCTATAGTATATATCTCGTGTTTTGTATATTGTTCACTACCAACTTTGCAACTTCGTTGTAAAATACTGCCGATCAGAACGTTATTTCATCCATTGACTGCATATCAGACCACAATATTAGATGGTTAACCGGACTCCGTAGAATTGCCATTGGCTCTTTATAGCAGTTCCCACTCCGATGCACAACCTCATCTTTCCCTACGATTTGATCTTCCATACACAACTACCGGGGCCTAGTGTATCCTTCAGACGTTATTCTTGCATCCACCCCTGGCAGCGCCATTGACACTGCTATCGTAATATTAAACGCGCGAAACCCGCTTGAAAGCTCATATCATGGCCTCCAAGGCCTCGATGGATGATATGTAATGCAGTAGCAGATGGAGGGAGGGTCAGTATCTAGCCTTGAGCAGGAATCGTCATATCCAAACGTAGCGTCTTCCCTCGTTCTGTTTGCAAAAACTGCCGAATGCCCTGACGACCGTCTTCCGCATCACTTCAACCCCTCCAAAGTTCTGCAGTCCTCAAGACCAGCAGGAGGTTCTCTAAAATTATTTTACACATATGCCTGAAATATATCCGCAGTTTGCCCGAGGTGCAGAAATAAGGCAAACCTTGACAAATTCCCGTAATAACCCCGATAATAGTTTGTATAACATTCTTCTCAGATGATTCACGGCACTTGTTAACAATGGGCGTTGGTTGACGGCGATCTTGACACTAGCAGCCACCCAGCCCAATCAACCCGATTCATTGTTTCACCCAGCCTCTCCATTATCCAGGAACAGCCGGAGCGACTATATCAACACAAGCTAACTGTGAACGTAATTCATAATTAAACATGAACAGTCGGCTAGGGGCTCTTTAGATCCACCACTCATGACTGTGATACCCTAGACGCATGACGACTCTTACCGCACCAGCCCTAAGGATAGATCGTGGCCCTCGACTACCTCTTGACAGATATACGCGATGAGAAGATGTTTTCATAGGCCCAGCGTCAAGCATCATTCTATTTAGCCTCGTATCGTCTCCAGACTATGTCAATAGGCTACCGGGGCCAGTCAAGATGGCGGAGTCACTACCTTCCCTGGCTGTGACTCCCCTTGCTCTCGATCCTTGACTCTCAAGTCGGCTCATTTCTGCATGAACAAAGCTCCCCGCTATTTGTCCGTCCGTGTTCTCCGTTACAATGACTTTATTACCCGGTCATTTCCTTACCCGGATGTGTGCATTTTTACGTTATATAATATAGCACATCAGAGCTAGTTCGATCTGCATAGCCCATCTACTACCTACAAGTCTCCAATATTTACAGAAGCCATCTATATCCGATTTACTAGTTGTCTAAGGAATGGCTTTCCACACTTGTTCTTAAAAAGTGAGTGTTCACAGTATAGAGAAAAGCCGTAATCTTTCCATTGAATTTTATTGTTGACTTACAGCGTCAAAGTTTATTGCGACCTTTTACAACTTTCCATTTATCTGCTGGCCATAAATCTTACATAAAAATCTGGGCAGACCACGGCCAAATCAACTTAACCATTGAAAGAATGTATGTATTAGCCTTTTTGCAATCTTGCTAGACTTCAGAAGATACGTCATTTGTCCGTAACTGACATTGTGATGTAGACATGCCTATTACGCCTTACCGCAGAGTCTGCGTGTATAATAAACAGGTCCACACTTATCTGGTGGTCGGGAATTAGTGATTGAACGTGCAGCAAGAGAGATCCGATGAGTTCTTCTTCGGGCCTCCAGGCCCACGCCCGCGCCCATACCTATGCCACGAATTATACGTACATATACGAATATTCACGAGGTTTAAACGGTGTGGATGTGCCGAGGGATATCCTCATCACGCGGACGATTTGTGGCTCACTGGGCTTCGTTGCATTTATTGTTCTCGTAAGTCGGATGTGGGAGAGAGTCCACGCATATATTCGTCACATCAGCTGCCTGTCCGGCACACGCAGACAACAATTGTTCTGGAGCTTTGAGGGATACAGTGTATGGCCAGCTATCAAAAAATATGTTATTCACTCGCCGTTGTTCTGGAAACGACATCATCGCGAGTTTCAATTATCGTCTGCGATGAATATGGGGGTGCTGCCCACTCGCATACATACTATTCTTCTTGTCCTATACGCCGCGAGCCAACTCGCATACTGTGCCATCCTCGACTATGCTGTAAACGAACGGGCGGCTCTAGTTGCCGAGCTGCGTGGAAGGTCAGGAACCCTGGCAGTGCTCAACATGATCCCACTAGTCCTCTTCGCCGGACGTAATAATCTCCTCATCTGGCTGCTGGGGATCAGCTATGACACGTACAACATGTTCCATCGATGTCTGGGACGAATGGTCGTGTTGGAAACAATTGTACATACAACATCATGGTTTGTCAATGCCTCGAATGAGCAGAGCTTTACCGACGCTATCGACCGTATTCGCACCACGCCCTTTTTTGCTCACGGCGCCCTTGGTACAGTCGCCATGCTTTTTATTTTTATCCAGTCTCCTTCTCCAATTCGCCATGCTTTCTACGAGACCTTTTTGCATTTGCATCAATTCGCCGCTCTACTGGCGACTATCGGCGTCTATTACCATATGCATTTGGACGCGCTCCCACAACTCCCTTGGATCTATCTTGTCATTGGTATTTGGATATTCGAACGGAGTATGAGATGGTTACTTCGCTTTCGTATGAACATCAGTCTGCGGAACGGCAGGACGATGGTGGTCGTCAAGGCTCTTCCGGGCGAAGCATGCCGCGTAACATTCCATTTACCCCATCGAGTATATATAAAACCGGGTAGTCATGTGTATGCCTTCATCCCGACCGTTGCGTGGTGGATGTCTCATCCCTTTTCCGTCGCATGGGTCGATCCAGCAACCTGCGTGACGCCGCCATCTCACCCCGTAGCAGCGCTTAAAGGCACAATCGATCTTAATGGGACCAGCCGTAGCCCTAGCCCATCTCGCCTCGAAAAACAAATGATGGACGACGCCCCATATGAAACACTTCACAAACACAAAACATCCATATCCCTCATTATAGCCGCGCGGTCTGGCATGACACGCAAACTGTACAATAAAGCAATGGCCTGTCCGAACAAAACTCTACGAACATTCGGCTTCATTGAAGGGCCATACTACTCCGACTCCTGCACAATGGGCAGCTATGGCACCGCAATTCTATTCTCCGGCGGCGCGGGCATCACGCACCACATACTTCACGTCCGTGATCTTCTCATTCGCGCCGATGAGGGCTCCGTTGCTACCCAGAGTATCTATCTCATCTGGTCCGTCCGTTCGACCGAGTCTCTAAACTGGGTCCGCGAATGGATGGATCAAATTTTCCGACTCCCCAACCGCCGACAAATGCTTATCATCAAACTGTTCATCTCCAAACCCAAGACTCGACATGGGATCAAAAGTCCCAGTAAAACGGTGCAGATGTTTCCAGGACGCTGTCGCCCCAGCGCCATCCTCAAGGATGCGTTGCCAAAAAGGATTGGTGCGACTGTTGTATCGGTCTGTGGACCAGGTGCATTTGCCGATGAAGTGAGAGCCGCAACAAGGGAGAATATGGCCCGGGGAATGACGGTGGATTTTGTGGAGGAGAGTTTTAGTTGGTGACCTATTTCTCTTTGACCAGTCCTGGTTTTTTGCATCATGTAGCTTTAAATTAGACACTAACTCATCATTGTATAGCTAAAATGAGCAGATTAGGTTGTTCATGTACTTAGCATTACCCATAATTATTCGTCGTCGAATAAGAGATATATATCCAAGAAATCTCCTATGACGATCCTTTTCATAAGCCCAACGGACCATGACTCAATAGCAATGTACATTATTTAGGCCATGAATTAGATGGCTGGACGGGAAAATGGCTTATTCTATGCATAGCAGTTATCATCGAGGGTAGGGGTTGAGCCTCATATATAAATCGAGTACACTGGAATCCCAAGATAATAATAAACTACATACATCAAAGACTCTTCTCGTACATACATGCGATGTGCCAATATATCTCTGTTGCGGAAACCCTATTGGGAAATATATTCCATACAAAGCCCTAGATCACCTGTAAGAGCCGCAACACTTGTGAAATGGAGTAAGCGTGCTACATGTAAATTAAACATGTAAATAAACATATAAAACAAGAAATCTTATATCAATATAGTATCATGCTTCAAAAAGTATGCAGACGTGTTGAGAAATGGATTTTTACAAGTGAACACTCTGTATCATTCTAATTAGTTGATATAAGCTAATCTGAAGTTGTATAGATCGACAAGAATGGCTACTATGTAGAGTAGTATTTTCTCTCAGGCCCTCGGTCGAGTCATTTGATCTTTGGAAGGCCGGGAAGGTGAAGAAGCTGGTGAGGAGGCTTATGTCATACCCATCCATGATGATAGTTGACGAGAGCTAAATCGACCCGAAAATCGCTTTGGGATACAGACGAAACGCTTGAGTCATTTTCGGCTCCGCTCGAGTTGCTGTCCCAGCACCAGGGGCAAGGTCGCAGAGACCGGGAAGAGTTTCTAACAAGGGATTGAAAATGTCGCCATCATTGCAAATAGACTGATCCGAGGGACTTGGAACGATAATGCTGCTGAGGAGATGCTGTGTGCGTGCGATAGGGCCCGGCTTTCTCTGGGGCTATCCGGAGGAGGACAGATAGGATTCATTCTCGCGTCATTGGATCTCGCAAAGCAGAATTGGAGGAGGAGATAGTCTGCATTTCTTATTTACAAGTTCCGAGAGAGACGTATCCTAATGTCTGGCGGTGGGAAAATGCGGACGGAATGGGTTTCTGTGCCATTCCTTGCCTGCACTTGGTCCACCATCAGCGTAGACTCCTCTTCGCGGGGTTGGAACATGTGGAGAGAGTTTGTCTCGTGAATTAAGCTAGGTTGGGCCGACTGGAACGAGCCAAGGTACTGGATTAGACTTGGAGTTACTCATAGAACGCCCGTGAGTGCTGCATCCGGCCTTCCAATCCTAATCTAATAAACCACGCGCCTTACCGTTTCACCCTGCACTTTGAACTTTAGATCCCTAATTCCCTTCCTTCCCGGAGAGCCACACGACCATAACCGTGGAGAACTACACTTACATGCGACAGCTGTGGCAGCATCAAGCAGCCCTGCACGAGGATCGACACGAGGCGGCAGCGCAAGAAGCACAGAGACCCTCCCCGTCAAGCGGGACCAGACCATCGTATGAGCAGGCAACTCTACAACTGCAGCAAAATGGAACTGGATATGGAGACAGCGGTCCGTCGAAACTAGCTCGAATTTTCATCCCTGCTAAACTTCGGAGAGCCAAGTCTGTAGAGGATCAGCGTGGTTCTGGGGATGATCACTCCCCCTTTCGGCTCCTCATGCACTTCACCAGTTACAACAAACTCAACAACGACAACATCAATCGCGGACCCGGCAAAGCACATCTTCCGTTCATAGTCTGCCCTCCTAACAAACCCTTTCTCTTAGGATTTCGAGCTGAATCCTCTGCTCCTCAACATCAACTACGCTCTCCTATCCAAACCTCAGGGTACTTGACCCGCGCGGTGTTGAAGGCAGTAAGCTTACACTCCATCCAGTCCCCTTCGTTTTGGCGAGTCTTGCTAATAGCAGGAAAAAATAAAGGTGTGTATAAACAGACGATCATTAGTCTACCACGCGTTGTCGTATGTCAGCTCACACAACCGCAGCTACCGACCAACTTTCCACCTTATTTACCCTTCAAGTTCGAAGAGCTTCGACGTGGTCACTACAAGAACCCCGTATAAATTTATCCTCAACCCACATCGACCACACGTTCTCGATCCGAGAATATGGGTTCGAGATATCCACCGCATACTGGATGAGGGTGGGAATTTCGAATTCTTCTTCTTTGATTCTCACGTCAGCCATGCCGGACCGCTCACAAGACAAATGGAGCCCTGTCTCTACAACTGCCGGTGGAGTTATGAGGCGTGTACCTGCACGCCAGCAGCAACTGCAACACAAGAGGCGATAACTGTAATCCATTTTCTCGAACTCCTTGCCAGCTAGGGATTCACTACGGAGAAGTGTACGACACTCATATTTCCATTTTCCCTGTTGTCTGCGGTAGATTCTTAGGGTATGGTGTAGCCAAAGGGCTATATATACAGTAATGCAATGGAGATGATATTCGGCTTGTCTACGATCGTATTAGGCCAGGTAAGGAATACTTTCATTGCCACAACCTATATCGACCGAGGCTGTACACGCATAACTCAGCGGAAATCGGGAACTCACATTTCAGAATAAGTCGATGCATTCTAGGCGTTACTGTCGCTTAGGTAACCCTATGATGTTCGCTTTCCCGCCTCGAAATATTGTTTTACCGCTCTGGCCACAGTACCGTACCATCATCCATAGGCTAAACCGTATCCAATCTATAGACACCAATTCCCAGCCCCAAAAAAACAGGAATTAACGCCTACGCTGTACTGGGACAAAAGCATTCTAGCCTTAGGGAAGAGTGAAGTAGGTAGAAGCTAGGAGCAGGAACTCACTTGAGACAAGCGAGAATACGGACTGAATGGGTATACATATACATATCTAAATTTACAAGGACAAGACATCCTGCGCTTTTGCGTGGAAAAACATATTGATTCGTAACCTAGCGCTAGATAGATTCCTCATTATCAGTCTCTGACGAGGAATATACTTCACTCAAAGGCTGAGGGACATCTTTAAAGCCCAGAAGTCCCTGAGACTGCTGTAGTAACGCTGGGAGTAAATACGATTGAGAGCCTCGAATTCGGGATAACGTCGTTAGGATTCCGTACAATACATCCCTAAGATCAACAGCAGACACCTTCCATAATTTATTAGTCTTACGGGATAGGTGTTGTGTGAGCTGGAATATGCATTCCCCAATGTCGTATAGTTTCTGTTCCTTCATGCGCTGTTAGCTTATCCTCTGTAGAAATATAGAATAATTAGAAGATGAGAGAGAGGCGGAAAATGAGAGAGGCAAGATAACATACAGCTCCAATGCCATGTGCATCAGTCGACTTCTGAGCTACTGATGATAAGCAGACCATCACGCTCTTTCCTGCTATCACTGGGAGTAGTATAGGTAGATCTGAGTTATACTGCGCCTGGCAGAAGCCCTTGCGATCCATATAAAATCGCCACAGGCGGGTTTGAAGCCACTGCTGAGTGAGGACGAGATCAATCCGGCTTGTTTCAGAAACTTCTTCTAGCAGAGGTGATGCAAAAGCAACAGATTTAAATATAGTTGTCAAGGATGAAAGGTCGCATGGTTCACCTAAATCGCCAATGTTCCATTCATAGAATTCAGGAGATATTTTCTCAAAGAGCAGGGCAAGGCTAATAAAGCCATACATCATCGTCGGTGACTCGGACCGGAAGACAACAGGCTTCTGGATAGCTCCACGAAGCATGACGGGTCGACCCGTTTGGAGGGCATATGCACTATCCCAGACATTTAGTCGGACCTGATCAATAGAAAAGCGTCCTTGTTTCGCAGATTGGCCGGGGAAATTAGAAAGGCTAGAAGACCTACCGTTCTGTGATAAAAAGAAGCCAGTAGATTCTCCGGCGCATGTCAGCTTCATGCTGGCTCAATGCTGTATAAGTAGACTCTACATTCAGCTTCAACATGTATGCAAAACAAATGCTTTGGTTGAGATAATGCCAGGCCTGATGAGTCTTGCGGAGGTTTCCATACGCAGCAAACAGGAAAAACATGGTGAGAAGGTTGTCAACATGTGGGTCATCAAGGAGGCCAAATTGCTGCAGCGTCCGCAATGCTTCATCAAGGAGACTTTGGCCTAGCTGGGGGATATCGACACTGACACTTGTCTGTGACATATCGAGGTTCAGTTGCAAATGGGCGGCAGCGGAAAGGGCAACTAGAAGTGCATAGCGACGGGGATCCAATGCCTCGGGATTAGCACAGTCAAGTAGGAAGGCATTCTTATCCACAACTGGCATTATAGGATATAGATATGTTAAGAAGACGTGCAAATGCGCTTGAAGCTGCGTGGAGGAGATTCGCGGTGGCCTTGGAGCTGGCTCGGTAGTGAATATTTCAGATGGCAACAGTGAAGCGTCATATCCAGCTAAGGATGGGCAGTCATTCAATGAGCTCATAGAGGTTGGTGAAAATCCGGCAATTACATTGTTGATAGGCTGAGCGTCGAGACCCAGTGTCGAAGAGCCATCTGGTTTCACCGAACGCAGAGAGGTTAAGACGGAAGCCTGGCGAGCCTTGGGCCCTTTCCGACGCGCGATATCATTGTACTCACAGACCAATGAGATCTCCAAACATTTGTCACAGGGATGCTCGCGGTTACAGCGGATCTTTCGTCGGCGACAGTTGTCACAGACCCTCGCTGGAGCGCCGCGGAAACTATACATCTTTGCAGATTGTCCGAAATAATGGCAACTGCGGATCTCTAGTGCACCGGACGACGGAAAGTATACAATATTATATGAAGTATCTTATCCACGGGACGCTAGGTGATCCAATCGGGCCTTTTCCGGCGAACGCCAGACTATCCACCGATTGGACAAGCGACTTCCATCCCTCACCGCCTGCTCCACCCGGTACCCCATTTTGACGACTTAGTACAAAATATTTCAAAGCTTTACAACGCCATATAAAACTAAATAAAATATAAGGAATTAATAGGCTAAAAAACTACGTATGAAAACACGCAGGGGGCCATATCGCGCGGCCTCTACAATTCGTCGTAAGTGTGATACTTAGGCGCTCTCCTCGTCACGTGTAAGGGTATGGATCTAATGTCGTTTGTTTTCTTTAATGGATAACTATCACGAATATAGCAGGGGCCATGTGGATACTATCCTCAGGGTGCTTTGATTGTATGGTGTTCACCATCTTCGATGAAAACAAAATACCAAAAAAATACAGCTAGAAATTGCCTGTTTTATGCAAGTCATGAGTTTTTCTATGTTTGCATTGTTTTCAGTCCCATGGGAATTCCCAAAGTCCAAATGGAAGTTCCATGACCCTTTTAATCCTGCTCATGGGACTAACAGTTTGGTCCCATTTCCCAGGTTTTTTGGGAGTTGGGAATTGTCAAGGTCTAGAAGCTACTATTATTCCTTGATGAATGTGTTGTGAACCGTCCGATCGGGCAGTCTCGCTATAACAAAGCTCGTACGGATGAGCAAGAGATCTGATGATCCAAAAACTAGGATATCCATCTATCAAGCGATATACAGCACCTTTAGTTGATCTGTGTAAATTTCAAAAGACTCTTGGTATAGTTTCCAGAGACCCTCCGAACAGAACTTAATCCCAAAACTACTCAAAAGCCACAAATTCTGTGAGAATCGACAGAAATTAAGTGAATATATCGACCGAGGCCAGAATAGCCTATAGGATAGATACACCCAGGAGAATATCCAGACCCTCGTCCAATATTGCTGGATAGGCTGGCAGGAGACAGATCAAAGAAGCCGGAAACCACAGGCTCAGGAATATATTTTTCTACGAATGTGGACTTCCTATTCATTCATGATATGATGCTTCGAGGAGAAGATCAACAGACACTCCAATTTGCAGATCTATTCACTATCTCTATGGAGAATGGACTAACCCCTTTTTAGCCTATAATTATGATGAAGCATCATAAGAAAACTAACTAGTTCGGACGAACTGAGTATATGGGGGTGATGCGACTTAAAGAGCCTTTACTCTATACAATTAGCCAAGCAGCATTCTATCTATTCCAGCGATGAGAAATTATGTAGGAGCCCATCTTTCATTCTAGCAGCGGCAGCAGTGGTATGATTGGCACTTCTTTAAAGGACGTAATATCAGCTCCCCTATCTCGTACGAGATTCAACTAGAATGGACGAACAAGATATTCAAAGCGATTGGTTTATCTTCTAAGAAGAAGACCAATTCTGGACGGTCAGGGGGAGCTTTAGTTGCTGAATTACAGGGTTGGATGAGAATTCTATTCGCAGAGCAGACCATTGGAATCAAGTTGCCATGAGCAACTGCTATCTTGCTGTATTACTTTGAGATGTTCTTAGTACAATGGCCGGATTCAAAACTGAAGATCATAGGAATTATTACCTTCCTAGAACTACAATCTCTCCACTGGAAAGCCTCGTACGAGCACTCTGGCCATGGGTTGATGCATGGCTTATTTAGATTAGTAGGTGGTGAGTTAATTCCCACACCCCCGGCGAACGGAAGAACAGCTCCGGACGACTTTATGCTCCGGTCGACACGTCGGGCGAGCGTAACGGTGAAGCCCGAGCGACGGTAGACCAGCAGATAGAGGGGTTTGTTATGGTTGTCATCATCAAACTTGCATCCGGATTCTTCGTCAGTCCAGCACCCTGAAAATGGAGGCGAGGTGCATAATCCAATTGCGGGAATATATAGTTACTCGAATGATGTCTCCTGCAGTGGCGAGGCATCGTTCACAGTAGCGGTAGAGGAGAGTTATGATACGTGCTGCGCGCCAATATCTCAACATTGAGTAGGAACCCTGAAGCCCGGCGTAGGGGAGAAAATACCTTCAGGCCCCAAAGAACGATTGCTCCAAGTGGGAACCATTGAGTGGGATACTGATTTAAGTGCGTCCATAGAAAAATAAACGCCCTTACCGCCATGGCAATGTGTAAGAGGAGAAAATGTTTCGTAAAATGCGTGGCGTATTGAAGAGAGTGAGTGGACCAGGAGCAGGGCGACGGCACAGGCAACCAAGCAATCAGTTTGTATGGTATCCCAGCTACGTGTAATATTTATCCTGTCAGTCCACATAGGTAAATGGCAACAAATAATAACCTACCATTCTGCACTTTAGGAATACATCAGGCAAACACATGAGCGAGGGCCTCCAAAACGACCACTCGCGCAAGCGAGCAATGAAAGTGGTCGAAGGTATCGTAAGAAGTCCCAAGCAGATACATTAATGGATATTCCTGCCAGCGAAGACCATCAGGGAATCAGGCTCGTAACCGCGACGGTACCACTACGGCACATTGACCGTATACAGAGTGATATTCATAGCAAGAATGCCAATCAGACGAAGTGCATGGTTTCGCTTCGGGAGACATCCCATGTTGATCGCTCTTGAGAGCTGAACATGATGTCAATTGTTAACAAGCGGCGCATATAAGACATGCTTCCGAAGCACTGCGAACCACCCGAGTGTAAGAATTAATACCGCTGCCAAGTGATATTCCCCCTCTGGCTCCGAGATATATCATTATAGCCGGACCTCTCTAGGTTGCGTTGAAGTACGCGAAATTTGGCCGCGCTGGCCCGCTTCTCGAAAAGAATATCAATCTCCAGAAAGCTAAGACCAAAGGGCTCTGGAAGCCTAAAATAGCACCATACTAGACACAAGATGGTGGTTACCACAAAGAGAAAACATGACTTGCCCTTCCAGTTCCATGCGGTCGGGTTTAGCATGCGAGGGGCGATCGTGTTGGTGATAATACTCGTGATATTGTACACCACACGGCCCACGACCACGGTCTTTACTCGCAATCGAGTGGATGGGATTTCTGCAACTAACATGTAACATACTGGACCTAGGGTCATTTGATAAATAAACGTGAGTACAACGATCAATGATCCTAGCACCCATGACTGAGCGGGGGTCTTGGGTATTAAGCTGACGCAGCCCCCGCAATAAGAATGACCAGTGAGAGTGAAGCGCCAACGAGGTAGAGCCGTCGGCGCCCTACCCATGGCAGTAAGAGCCAAGAGATGACATTTGCACCGATTGAAAGCCCATACATTCCTAGCGCGAGGTCCAAGGCACCGTGCACTCGAAATCCGGCCTGTTCGTAAAAATACGCAGCATAGAAGGTTAGTGTAGAGCCACAGAGCTGCTGTGTGGCCCAGACCATAGTCGTAATTTCCGTTCGCCGTAAATCAACACCCCGAAAGCAGTTACGATAGGAGATATTGCCATACCCTAGGTACTGTTCGACCTTATTAGTGAGGCTCATCATCGCTACGGTTTCATCCACACACAATGCCCCCGCACCTCGGCTGGTAAGCCTCAGGAGCGATTTTCGAGCCTCTTCCAGCTTATTTTGACGAATCAACCACCCTGTAATTCGACTGTCAGTTACTTTTTCGGGGCCCCCGGGGAGGAATTGAAGGGGGGGGGCAGGCCAAGGGCACGTACACGGACTCTCTGGGGAAAAAGAAACACCTATTATAATGATCACGATGAAAACCCATTGCAATGCAAATGGGAGACGGTACGCCCAATCAGATTCTGTATCAACCAGGCTACGGATCACCACAACGCCAAGGGTTTGCCCTAAGACCCAGCACAGGTTGATATAGCTCAAGAAGTGGCCGCGGAGCGCCACCGGCATCACCTCAGCTGCGTATGAGACTGATAGTGTCTGAAAAACGCCCCATGGAATTCCTTCATCAAAAGCTTAACACGTGTATCTGCTAACTATAGGGCAGTTGTGGCATACCACATAGTACTTGCGCTACTAGTAAGGTTGTGATATTGCGAGCGAAGACCGCTAGAAACACAAAGGCACCAAGTGCAACGAGTGCAGCGATTAAGGTGCGACGGTAGCCGAAGTGATCTGCAACCAGCCCGTTACCGATGAGACCCAGAATGACGCCAACCTGGGTACCATTGATAAGACCAGCTTGCCAGGCTGGAGAAATCTGATATAATTGCTGCTGGTTGCTGGTATCTTGTGACATGGTAGCGGGTAGAAGTTCACCATATGACTTTTGAAAGGTAGGAAAGGTGAAAAAACTGGTCAGCAGACTCATGTCGTACCCATCCATGATGATGGTAGAGGACAAGAGGATCGACCACAGAATCGCCTTTGGATATAGACGAAAGGCTCGCCGAAAGGTCATTTTCTGTTCGGCTCGCGTTGCAGCTCTTGCGCTGTCTGTCAGAGCGCTAATGCCTGGGACTGTCGTCGATAATGGGAAGAATACATCGGCCTCGCCACAGAGCGGCTGGTCTAATGGAAGACTTTGAAGATAATATTCTGCTGACAAGGAGCTAGTATTGCTACTGGCCTGCGATGCAACAGCCATGACCGCCGCAGGAGATCCAATTTTACCGTGCATGTCGGACATCAAAAGCAGAGGACGCTAGCTGTAATATCTTGAGAAATAATGTAATGCACTTAGAAAGAGCTCGTAAAGTCGTCCACCGCGATGAACAATATTGGACGCCTTTTTCTTCTCGACCAGCCGGGTTTTCTACGGGGCTATTCAAACTCTAAATTCCGTTTGCAGGAAACACGAGGTTTATGGTTTCCTTTGCCACCCCCGCAAATTCGGATAAACCCCGATGTCAATCTCTCCGCATCTGTGTTCACCTCAGGAGCTGTGGACAGCCCAAGAATTTTAGGTCTTGGGCTTCTTTTTCTTTCTCTCTTTTTTTCTCCATTTTTTCTTGGTCTCTTATTTTCTAGATTCTGTGGTCCGGCCTAGACCTTCCGGACTCTGGCGATGCTCTTGGCTTCGTTTCAGCAACCCGACGCACGGCTATGATAATTCAACACCTTTCCGGAGAGCCATCTGGCATTCGGCGTCAATAATTTCGTATACATGCAACGTCTCAGGCAGCAAGAGGCGACAGAGCAGCTGCGGCCACAAAGTTCATCATCCTCGCACGAATCAAGCCTAAAGTCACCAGGTTCACCTCTTCGAAACAAACGGCGACTAGCAATATCTTCATCCCAGGTAAACTTCGCCGCACCGAAACTTCGGAGGGCCATGTCGCCGATTTGTCACCACAGCGAAGCAATAACAATGATGGCGTTGCTTCCCATTCTGGCGCCAGCGATGATCGGAATGGATCTTGGTCGACAAGTTCCGATTGGGCGCCGAGTCGACTTCGACTGGGGCGAGAATGAGGCCAATTATTTGTATTTTATTTATTCAATTTTTACGACCTTACCCAGCTAGAAGCTATGTCGGACTTTTTACGCGTTAGAACAAATTGAGTTTAGTGGCAAATTCGATTGGATTGAGATACAAGCCTAAGTTGCAAAGAACTCATCTATCTAGACGTATTTATATGCGAATTTACACTAATATTTGTCATCAGGGGTAAGGTATTGAAAATTGAGTAATGTCGATTTTTGGCATGGCGTTTTGGCACTATTGATCGTAATTTTGGGTGTTTCTAATCCTTTCCCAATATGCTTAGTGCCAAATATTCCGAGGCTTCTTTAATATAACGCCTTTTGCAACCTTCCAAATGTCAGAATGCACCCTCAGGCGGAGGCACTGCCTTACTAAGGCCACTAAGTGTTTAAGATCAAACCTTCAAACTAGGCGTCATACTTTGAAGTTAAGCTTATCAACTCCGGGGGCCTTTTTAGTGCTTTAGCTGAATAGAGCCTCATACACCCGCTCCAGCATTATAAGCTTGTGTGCGCTGCCGCCAAGGGGGGGGGGGGGGGGGGTGGGGGGTCAGGGGGCTTGTCTCCGGAGGCGTTAGGGAAGGCAGTCTGCAGTATTAGACGCTCCTTGTCATCAAATGTCGTGGCCACTGAGACGTCAGGGTCTGGCCCCTACAGGGCAGGGATAGGCCCCCCGATATTTAGCTTAGTGTATCGCAGCGCTGCCCAGCAGCGGTCAGGGTCAGCGTCGTCCGAATCACCTCTAAGGAAGGCCTCCCAACACTGGCGCTTAGCGGCCCTAATTGCCACATAGTAGGCCTGTCGGGCCTCCCTATGTTAGGCGTTAAGGCACTCTCCGGCTTGCCACTGGCAGCGCACCCGAGCGTACTCGCTCCGGGCGTCGTCCAGGGAGTCGTTCCACCACCGCTTAGAGCGTGCGCAGAGTCGAATTGGCTTGGCATGCCGCCCTAGAAGGTCTGTTAGGGCCTGTTGCACCCACTCTGCCTCCCTAGCGAGGTCTTCCTCAGTGCAGTCGTCCCCTAGAGGGTCCCTATGCTCGTGCATGTTGTGCCACTCTGCCGCATCGACCTCTAGGGCTTCCTTGTCAGCCTCTAGAGCATCGATGCGCCAGCCTGTCACCTCTGCGGGGGTGTCCATTGGGGCATCCTCCGGGGGTCCCAGGCCAGCGTTATATGTTATAATCTAAGGCATGTGTGCATTCTGGCTGTATGTGGAAGATTGTTCTATCGTACATGAGCCACACCTAGGGCTCTTATATATAGCCAAAGGTATACAAAGAACATCTATCTATAGCCTGAAGGGTTTCACTATGGTGAAAGCCCTTTGATCATGACATTTGGGGCGTACCCTGCCCTAGCGCCTGCCCCCCAGGCTCTGGGGGTCGGCGCTGTTTCCAAGGGTTCTAGGGGCCATTTAGAAGCCCTAGACACCCTCACTTAGCGTTAGAATTCAAAAAAAGCAGATATTGTAACAGGGTTAGACCCAGGAAGTATGTTCAAGCCTAATCCGGCAGGACCGGGGGGCTCAGGGATATCCCGGGGGTCAATTGTGATATATCACAATTGATACTATAAGACCCCGGGCATGATGCTAGCACCCCTCACCTCGCTATATATGCCTTTATCTAGTTAGATTAGGTATCAATGACCTGAGGTAGGGACTCAGGCATATAGGCTTGGTTTCCCACCCGGAGGGAGGAAACCAAGCAATATCATTTGTATAATCTTGGACATAACTTTCAATATAAGCCTACTCGGCTTCGAATAGCCTTCGGCTCGAAGCCTTCCCTAATTATATAACTTAAACCGATAACTTCCTCCCTAGTAGCCTTGCTCTTTAGCATCAATATCAACCAGTGAGGCTTCAACTCACCCACATCTAGTCTATCCCGACACCCCCGAACACGGTCCTGTCAGACCGTGTTACAGATATCGTTTTTCCGGAGCAGTTTTTTATTTAGTTAGATTAGTCAGGATTACTTTAGACTCAGTATTCAAAATTATATTTATATAAATCAGTACAGATTTGATAGTATAAAGTAATTAAACTCTTAATTATTAAATTTAATATGATGATTTTTCTTTATGTTATTTAGTTGGCAATTGTTAAAACAAATTATAAATTCTTGATAATTCTGATGATCCTCTGTAATTAATAAACTTGCATCCAATTTACGAGGGGGGTTGTTCTTAGTTTTAAAGATTTCAAACCCCTCATTATTACAAGTGTTTTCGTCTAATTGGTCAAATATTCGTCTAGTCAAAGTCGACTCGACGTCCAATCGAAGCCTTCCAAAATTGGCCCATATCATCTAACAAAAGCATGCATGTCGACGGCCGCCATCGGCCGACGCTAAAGGTTCGCCTTGTAGCTTACAAGATGCAAATATTAGAAATCAATTCAGAGCCATTATCTTGGTAGACAAAAGTGCTATATAAGTAGGAAGTAATACTGAGTATTAAAAGTACAGGATGCCCTCAGTCTTGAGCAAGTTCAATTACATTGCCCATTCAATCTTACAGTCACTATAAAATACTCTCATCTCTAATCCAACTATTCCTCCAAACTATATTAATTGCATGCATCAATTGAACTCCGAACACGATGAGTACCAATAACAGAACTAGTAGTATCCCAAACCGCAAATACATTCTCGTCCTCAGCGCAAGCCAGTATCTCTCAGGCCACCCCATCAGCGAAGTCATCCGGACAGACTGGACGAAAGACAAAGCGCGCAAGATTGCCGCAGAATTCGATAATGTCGGATTCGATATTGATCCGACAGCAGATACGGCTAGCACGCTGGAATCGCTTCAGCGAGTACTGCAAGCGAGATGGTGGGATGGCGTGATTATCGGATGGTGTGTCAGGAGCCATGTGGAGTTTACTGTTCTTTTTGAGCAAATTGTTAGGACGGTTGCTGGGCAGGTTCTTGTGCAGCCTGGTTTGAAGATTATGTTTTGTGCTGGACCGGAGGATTTGGTGCAGACGACCTTGAGGAATTGTCCGAGTGAGTAATCGCGAAGGAGGCATATCTTCCCCCTCGGCCTTCTTAGTTTAGAATAGTCAGATTCACTCTCATAAAGCTTCATGTTTTCGTTTCCCTGAGTACGGTATATTGTAATCTCCTTTAAACAAGCATAAGGAGTTTGGATATCCTTCTAGAAGCAGCATTCGTTAAACTAACCCAAACGCTCACCACCATCAGGCATATTTCCACCTTCCAGAATCATATTGCAATCAACCTATTAAAAGACCTCTTACTTTAATCCACTTCATCCAGCACATCTCTCTAACCCCCACAGTTACATAGCAACCCCGATTTTCCCATGCCACCTAAGGTCCATATCTCTGCCCTGAGGTTGTGGGCTGTCATGCAAACGCAAGACAAAACACACATATTAGCCAACGCCTCTCAGTCTCAATATCTCCTTGCAATATCCATCATCCCTGCAACTATTCCAGCATCGAGTCTTGTTTGTCAGCTCATATCCTGTCATCTTGCATTATAAGACGTTCCAGTAAGCTTTGCTTCTTCACCACAAGCCTACTGGTGTATCGAGATTCAGGATGGGAGACGCGAAGAAAGACCCCATAAGGTGCCTGCAAGGACTCGGCTGCGGTGTCGTCAAGGGCAATCAAATCTTCCATAAAATATTGGGCTACCTCTCGAAATTGCTGCCCAGTAATGTCCAAGTCCTTGGCCACTGCCTAGGCGGTAACGTCGACCTTGCTGCCAAGAGCAAACTCAAAAGCCATATGCTCAAAGGTATCCGATTTGAGAATAGCAGATGACTTGTCAGGCAAGATTCAAGAACTCCACCTTAGCGAAGAAGACTGGCAATTCCTCGTCGATCTGCCTACATTACTTTATATGAGGTGCATCACGAAGGAGAAGCAGACAAGACACGCAAACGCGACGAACAAGATATCGCTAGCGACCGTGAAAAGCCTGCGTCCAAGAAGGCGAAGAAGGCCCCTGGAGTCACCCTGCCAGCTACAACACGCTTCAACTTCTATTTTGAGCATAAAGGTGGTTTCGATTTAGCTTTGCGTTGTAGGCGTTTACGCCAAGCACTTCAACCCCTGGACAACATTCCTATTGAAGTTCTTGAATGGGTCAACGGTCGCTTACACATCGATCAAAAACTAATAGAAATACAGTATCAAGATGTAGGTAATCCCTATACTGGAATTTTATCCGGAGCGAGACAGGTTTTCATTTTGCGATTAAAAACATCATGTCTGGACCGTCTCTCTCTGTCGTGACATATACTCCTAGATACAATTCTATTGTTAAACCAGGTATGTATGTCCTTAAACTAATTCGCCAAAGTGGACCTACATCACTACCTTTCGCAACCAAGTACCCCTTCCAAACGAAGCAGAAAACACAAAATAACCAGCCGAAGAACTTTCTTGACGAGACTGATTACCTTCTCTACGAAGCAATATCCAGCTGCTGATTATCTAGGGTGACAGTGGCCAGCACTTCCGAATTCTTAATGTACGTTAGCTGCATAGCTTCCCTCTGGGGGTTTAATAATATAATAAGTTTATCCTTCTTCAACTACCAATTGGGCTGGAGACGTAAGACTTGAGCTGCTCAAGTCTTCTACGATTGATAACATGCAGAAATATCCACATTTGACAATACTCGCCGTAATAATCCCAGCCCTCTGATTGACCCGTTGACGATCATGCATCCTTTGATATGAACATTTGAAATGTTTATATTCGCGTGCTATAGCCCCCACCAATAGCTGAACCTATAACATTGAAGTAGCGAATCTCCTTCCCGCCTCTAAATCAGTCTACTGCATGTATCCTGGACACCTTCCGAACCACATACAGAGTCAAACACGCTTACTAGGTCAAGTTAGCATTCAATTCTATTTCAATAGCACGAAAGAGAGTGGTGCCAACAGTAATGCAGGGAGGAGGCGATGATCATACGAGGAACTACTCCGTTCGGCCAATCACTTTCCAAGTCGGCGTCCCGCTCGCACTTCTTATCCCAATCGGGAAGGATGGGGCTGTGGTTTATCAAGAGGACATATAGACGGTGCGGGAACATTGAAGGGGAGGCAGGGATATAAAGATGGGATGGGTAGCGTGTTGCTGATTATTTTGTCAAATCTAAGGTGAGTTTCGTTTTTTTTACTATTCATTGTTCCAGTCGTCTATATAATGTATGTTTTTAACTAGGAATAAATAGACCCAACTTCTCCCTCGGTCGTCAGGTCAATCCAGTGTACAAATGAGCCGAAGGAATTGTTTTTTATATCTGCATTCAGTGCCTCGGCGTCCGCGCGACGCCATACTTCTTCAACGACGGTTATGGCGCCGATCACTGATTTCAGACCCAAGCGTCGGCACATGCCATCGAGCTGTTCTCTGATATAGTCCCGCCATCTTAGATAGCCCACGACTCCGTCCTGGTTGCAGGCGGCGAGGGAGAGGACTTCCGGGCTCAGTACATCTTTTGAGGTCTCAAGTGAATGCATCACAGAGTATATTTTGCTCGGTTGTAGCGTTGTGCCGGCAACGATCAGTGGAAGAAGGAGGGAAGAGTGTGCGCCGGACGAGAATGGTATTGTGGCCGCAATGCTCAGGATACGCGCTGCCATAGCCAGCATTTTCGCATTCATTCCCGTCGAGATAGGTAAATCCCCGATTTCGTATCCGGGAGGAGATGGTGTGGTGTCAGTGGATACTCTCTGTCGAAGGAGCTCCGGGAAGTCAAGGTAGAGCTGAAGAAGAGTTGCCAACTTGAGCACCAGGCCTACGCTTTGCAAGTGGCTTACCGGGGTAAGCTCATCGTCGGTATGTTCCACTTTGTCAATCGCAGGAATTTGATATCGCAACAACGCCCGTTCCACCTCCCAAGCTTGCTCTACCAAGTTCGCTTGCCGTCGATCACAACAGTCGGCAGCAGCATTTCCAAAAACACGGCGCAGCAGGGACTTATGTCTCGCTAAATTGCCGGTCTTTGCCCAGAAAATGAAGAGTGGAGTGCAAATACCCGTCCAAGGGTTAGGATAAATTGGGTCTACATGTTCTTGGTCGCAGAAAGGGAAAAGATAATCGACAACTTCCACCGGCTGAGTAATACCAGTGCATGCCGAGCTTTCCCAGAAGCTGATAATACCAACAAGGAAACTTCGAGCGGATGAAGAACAAGCCACGGCGAGCGATGTGTTGGATGATTTTTTAATGGCTGAAATCCAGTTTTTGAACAGAACTCGCAAACCTTGGAGATGATTTGCCGGTGGTATTGCAGGGTTGTGCCATGCCTAGACGTTGTTAACAGAGCGAATAGTAATACTGGCGGGAAACATACATCAGTCAAGCCTAGTAGTATACAGCTAATAAGCACTTCCGGACCAATGGGACCAACACGAGACGCCGTGACCTGCGAAGACGGCTTGTCACCGGTAATCATCATGACCTCTGACTTCATATAACGAATTGCTTCGATTTGATGCTCAAAAGACGCAGCCATCATATCACTTCTGTTCTGTCCCATCACGGCCGCAGACAGTGCCATCACGGAATTGTACAGAAGCGGGGATGTGAGCATCAGGTCGGCCACGACGACACGAAACGAGTTTTTTGGAGAATCAAAGCAACAGCTTACTAAACAGACTGAAGTGAAATAGTGTCGTGAGATGCTTGTACTTCGATCTTCTAGGTATGCTGGTATACCGGTGACCTTCGTCATGGCCCACCTTACCTGCGTGCTGGTCGAGGATTTTGTCTCCGTCCGTGCGTCATGTCGATAGCGCAGTGGCGAAGAACCTAATGGCAATTCTGTTGTGCCAGTCGGTGATGAAAAAGGTGACGATGGTGAAGCGGCTGTGTTGACAGTTCTCCTGCCCGCCGACTCATTCGATCTGCGACGGCCGGCAGAGGGAGAGGGAGCAGATGCCGACGATGATGATGATGATGATGATGATGATGATGATGATAAGGGGATGGTCTTAAAGACAGATCGATGTTTCGACAACGTCGTCCCAGGTAGGTGATTGACAGCAGATGAGGGCTGCGTGAGGGTCGCTTGCAGCTTTCTGACGCCATCGGCAAATCCGGGGACGTCCTGTTGGGATGTTGTTGGTTTTGTCTTTTGTTCAGGGCTTGTCTCTAAGATCTGGTACTTGGAGGACCATTTCACGGGCCGGTTGTAGCCGGGACAGTCATAGCCTTTGCGTGTGCATTGATTACAGTTGGGGACTGTCTCGTCACACTTGATTTTCTGTGGGGGAGAATTAGACCGTTTAGAAGCAAGTTAGAGTAAAAGGAATCACCCACTCTTTGTTTGCACCGCTGACATCCACCTGGCGGATCGCACGGGAATTAGCAGAGGCAGAGGCAGACGATCATCAAACACAGCAGAGTCAGTCGAGGGGAAAGTGGACCTACTACGCGACTTGACTTGAGTCCGAGAAGCGGGCGGCGCTTCCGGCATGGTCACTGTCGAGGTGGGACTTTTGGGTGAGCTGAGATCAACGACGGGGAAAAGGGAGCAACAGCAGCAGCAGCAGCATCACCGCAGTGTTGAATTTTGTTGCAGCTGTTGGATATACTAGATAATATCAGAGATAGAATACGAGTAGAATGAGCATAGCAGGGGTATGGGGAGACTGTAGAAAGGAGGCAGCGGACGAAGTGCAGTGCAGCCGGGCTATCGGCAGGCGAAAGACCCGGACCGAAAGGACGGGGTGCTGGCCAAACCTTAATAGTATATATTCTCGGATTTCTAATAACTACGTAAGCAACTAACTATTCTACTAACGTTACTGTATTTTACTCTTTATTTATCGGATAGTTATTGTTTTTTACTATTTTAGTTATTAATAAATGCAGATCCTCCTACGCAAAGGGAATGCTGACTCCGCATACACATAGTCTGGGGTATTTTATTGTGAAGGCAATCTGTTTTCGATGGATGGAATCGTCAAATTCAGATAAGGAATCTGAAACAGGGAGCAAAAAAACGTCGTCAGCACGATTCGAACGTGCGCGGGCGAACCCAACACATTTCGAGTGTGTCTCCTTAACCACCTGAAGGAGAAGATTAATATCGTGTGACCGCACGCATCTTATTTAGGTCTAACTTACTCGGACATGGCGACGGCCAAGTCATAGCGTGGGAATTTAGCTAGAGTTCTACTCCATCAAAGAGTAGCTGTTCAGTATGCATATAGGTGGAGGTACATGATCGATAAGATCATTTTTCATATTTTGCTTTTCATAATAGTGAACCAAAGCGATGTGGACGTTGGTATGGTCACAAGCAACCTCCTTCGCTGCTCAGATGATTTTGCAGCTAACCGGCCCGTACTTGGCATCCCTTTCTTGGACTCTAATTCGCACTAACAGAGGAGCTTCTTATGGGACGTCTTTCGATACGTTTGGTGTCCTCAAGTCAGTACTGACCCGATGTTTTGTGGATGACTTGGAGCATCATAAGCTGTCACTACCATGATGCGCGGTGAGCCTGGCCTTCTATATAATTGTTATTGGCTGATAGCTAGACAGTTGATAGATAATATGAATTCCGTTTAATTCTTAATTAATTATATCCTGGTCTTTCATTCGTTGGTGGCATGTCCGAGTGGTTAAGGAGCTAGTTTTAGGAAATATCCGTACCACTAGTGGTTTACCGCGCGCGTTCGAATCGCGCTGCCATCAGATGCCCTTTTTTGCTCCATGGACCCATTAAATGAGGGAGGGGGAATTTGTTCATTTGCTAGAATACTGTTTAGGTAAAACAAAGGCTTGATCAGAAAATGCATAAGCAAAACTTGTAGTCTCATAGCTACGGTCAGAATAGGACTCTTTCGTTTTTATAGATAACTGAGAGAGAATGAGGTCAAATAGCATACATTTGGATAAACTAGATAAACTGACTGTTAATGACTCTGGCTGAGTTGAATAAGGAGTAATTAGAGAGATGAAAATATTGGCATATAAATAAAGTGTTTGCACTATGCTGACATTTTTTGTCTTTTTCCCTCTCTATCTGTAATCTTCCTCTGAAAAATATTTGCTTTATAGCTTACCAAGTTCTCTTGTTTTATTCTTTCCCTAGTATTCATTTCCAGAGCTTCCTCTTTGCTGATACTAATTTAGCAAAGGTTTGAAGACCTCGCTATGCGTGCAAGGCGGTCTAGTACCGGTGAAACCTCAACTGATTTGAGCAAGGGAGGACCAAGGAAAAGGAGAACTCTGAGCGTGGGAGAAATCGGAGCGCACCACAGCCCTGCATCACTTCGACGAGAGGTGTGCTCTCGTGTTGAGCGGGTTACAAATATAAGGTCAAGCCTCTATCGTCAAACATATCATGAGTTTCTCTGCCCACTACTCAGGTTCGCTGCTAGCCCAACGTTCAGTTCATGGTTTATTGAGCCACTTTTCGCATCAGATGCCAAATCGTCTGAGATTATTAAAATCAGAGAAAGCATTCGTACGTACTCCCCCCGTTAGGAAACGCGTCCATATGTTACTATCGATCTTGCACACTATCAGTGCAGCAGCTCCGGATAGTGATAGAGCTCCTAAAACAGCAAAGAAACGAATGACCAGCAATTCGAATTTGCTCTTTCTTACCATAGTCAATCCGTACCTACAGTTACTGTCAGATATGTTGGGCAAGTCTATGGGGAAGGAGGATAAACCACATGGAAGAGATCAAAACGGACTATTCGTAGTGGGTCTCTTATGGGCATGCTTGTGGAATCTCTTAAATTCCACAAACTTGAACATAATTCGAAATTGTTGACAGTCGTATCCAATTTTTCGATCTCGAAAAGACAAACCCCTACCTTGGCTGCAAGAATTTGACTAATCAGATGGAGGGGTGGTTGATAAGTCTCTTCAAGCCTTCAACTCTACTCAACCGGCAAGCAGAGGGCCAATTAGCCGACAATGGCCTGAACTCTACCTGTGAATAAATCCTATACAGTTGCCATACTACGCTTCTAGCTAAAATCGACAGAAGCATGGATCATTCCGATGCAACAGCTGAGATTAGCAGCTCTGTTACAAGTCTCTTTCACAATTGGTGGGACCACGCTCGACAAAGTCAAAAATTTGGATCTAGTACAGATCTTTACATCGAAAGCTGGTGTGGCGAGGATCACTAAACTTTCACTAGATTCTTCCCTGTCAGTAATTGTTATTCGCTTTACTCATCCTGGTTACAAGAGGACTCAATCATCAGCCACGGAATATCATGTCCACTGGCTTTCTTGGTTTTCAGCTTGGGTCCACCTCGATACTGCTATGAACATTCTTCAGGCTGAACAGACTTCTACAGCAAACCGTGAGAGTCTGTGTCAAAAAATTTTCGAGAACACGAGAGCCAAATTGCAAAATTCTGGGTTCTACACCTATCTCACATCAGTCAATCAGGAGAGGGCTAGGGAAACCCCAATGACCAAGCACCTAGTCCCCATGATAGATAGTGAACGGATTCTGGGGTTACCAGAGAAACGGAAATCAACGAAACGAAACGAAGCTTGGAGGAGGATGCTGCATTATTTCTTCCACCAAAAAGTTGGACTGATGAGGATTGCGCCACCTTAGAAGAGATGATACAGTCGGGTAAAAAAAATCAAGAAATGACCTCAGCATGCTTTTCTCATTCTAACAAGCCTATTAATTAGTGATCTAATTCATTTAAAGGTCCTGGGTCGTTCATCGAAATCTATAGCGATGAAAAGAGAGAGATTACCGCAGAGGGACGAAGAACATGCACGAATATCATCTCAATCTTATATGGCCAAACCGTATTTGCGAAAAGAGAATTCTGATGCCAAAAAGGTCAGTAGTATCTGGAACGGATGAAAAAGCGAACGCTCCAAGACCTAAAGGCATCGGGTCAAAGCAATGAGGAGATTGCTAAGGTCAGGAGCCTGCTTGTATTGATTTCGCAGCTAACCTTTCCTACGTTTTGAATCGTAGTAAGAGAGGCGTGTCTCGTGTATGGAGTCAATTACAGTCGCGGGCTGTCAATACTGGTAACGAGAGTATGAAGCATCCAGATGGAGAAGCTACTAATTAGTAGTGAATCACCACAACTCCCTCACCGGCCTAAAAGGGCTGAGCATAGGTCAGGATACGAAAAGTCGCAGGGAAACATAGAACAGTAACTTCATCAATTGAGATGTATCCTCATGTAATTAGCCACTTGCTCCCAAGAAAGAATCAATAGATACACGTAAACACAAAAAAAGGGGTATAGAATATGTAGTATTGCGGAGCATTAGCGACGCAATTATTTGTATTAATTTTTGGACACACTTTCAAACCTCGAGCGGATCAATTGCGAAGCCTGAGGCTGAAAAGCCTTTCAATTGGCAGGCCATTTCATACACCTACAGTTCACTTGCTGGCTGATTTAGCGTGCTAGAGATAAAATCCATGACCATCCAGAACATTCAAATACCGACTCGCCTGAATAATAATAGGGACGCGATCGTCGGGTGGCGCGGGGTAGTCGCAGCGGCGCGCCTCAGACACAAACCAGCCGTTTCTATTTAGGGACACCGCAACAACGTCCTTATTATTATTATTCCCAGCGCGCCAATTCATTCAACCACAAGACAAAATACAAAATGTCAGCATTCGCGCCCACTGCCTCCAGTGGCTCTGCAGCCCCCAGTGAATTCGAGCTGCAACGCTCCGAACTGCTGCGCGAAATCGCTCTTGTCAGTTCCATCTTTTCACCATCTTACCCTTAACACACACCCATCGCTAACGTATGTGATTGTCGCGCAGGGCATGGAATCCGTGCTGCAGAATATCAACCGGCTGAACCGAAATCTGGAAAGTATCATTGCGGTACGACCCGTCAATTCGAAGTAGAGGAGGGAAACTGACAATTGACGCGTAGGTCGGGAACGAGTTCGGCTCGGTCGAGGCGTTATGGAGCCATTTCGAGAATTTCATGGATGCCGACGAGACCCAGCAGCAGACGGATGAAAAGGAGGAGGAAGAAGATACGCAGGCTGCAGAGAACGAGGAGACAGTGACAGAGGATAATTGAAATGATTGTACGATTTTACGCGTTATGTAAAGATACCCGGCGTTATTATTCGTGAAATATATTCATTGATTGACTAATGAAGTCCAGCGCCAAACTCCTACTCCATGCATGCTTGATATGCCTCGCGGCCCATGATAATGATTCACAAATGAAAGGAACAGAGAAGATGAAACACAAAAGATCCATATCGAGTCGATATCGATCCAACACATGGCATGGCCGCTCATTATCAAGATATTCAGCAATACACAAAAGAAATCCTTGCGGATGAAACGAAGCAAACTAGAGAATAAAAGAGGACCAGAGTGGATACCTCGCGGTCACTTAATACAATTCATATCCATGCGCGTCAACCCATATCGCGTGTTGTCAAGAAAGAGAATAGGCATGCCGAGGGCGACCAGGCGATCGACAGGTCCAAACGAACTTACAAGATCTTGCAGGTCCGTTTCTTGATCTTGCGGCCTCGTGGCGCAACTTTGCCGCTGGGGCCTGAATCGGAGTAGCTTTGCTCTTCGACGCCCACTGCAGTGTTGACGGCCAGTTCAAACACCTCGTCGACACCGGTCATTTCCTTGCTACTACACTCGATATAGGCAGCGCCCATACGTTGTGCAACCGCCTGGCCTTGCTCTGGGGTGACTGGGGTCAGTCCTTGTGTCTTGAGAAGCTCGATGCATGATCTCTTGTTGCGTAGATCCGATTTGAGGCCGACTAGGATGAGCGGTGTGGTAGGGCAGAAATGGAGGACTTCGGGGTACCACTATAACCTGTTAGCTTGACCTGTTATCAACTTTTGTACTTTCTTACCTTGTCCATCACATTTTCCAACGAATTCGGGCAGTCGATAGCAAAGCAGACAAATAAGAGATCCGTTTCTGGGTACGACAGAGGACGAAGTCGGTCGTACTCCTCCTGCCCAGCAGTATCCCACAGGGCGAGCTCCACCGCTTTGCCTGACCGAGCATGGATAGTCTGAGTAATGTAGTTTTCGAAAACGGTCGGGACGTATTTCTACTCAGTCAGCCTCCCTCCAGGTTCTAGATTCTCCTCCTATTCTGGATATGAAGACAGCTTACCTCTGGAAAGTAGCGCTGGGAGTAGCTGATCAGCAAACAAGTCTTGCCGCAGCCGCCATCGCCCACAACGACGAATTTCTTCGAGTAGGCCGGCGGCTGGGTGATGTTGGTGGCTTGTGACATCCTGCCCGACGACATGCTGTCGTTTGTGCTGACGGTTCCGTTGCTGACTCTGATGCTCTGGCTGCGATCGCGGGCTCCTCGCGGGATCACTGAGGGCGGAGGGGTCTTTTCATTGTTGTAGACGGACTGCCGTCTGTTTGGGGCGTAGTGATTGTTGTCGTAGGCCACGGCAGCCATAGTTGGACGCTAGGCGGTGTATAAACAATAGCAATCAATAATAGACGGTTTCGCTTGCAGGGCTATTTCGAGACCAACAGTCAATCGATGCAATGGTGAGATACAATCTGTAGAGCAAGAGGCGAGAGCTTGCAGGAGGAAAGGAAGGGAATTTGCACAGCAGAGCAATCAGCTAAGAGATGTTATTATTTCAGCTGGCTTGCCGTGCCTGCCCTGCCAACGCATGCACCACCTCTTGCCTCGACGATGACGATCCCGCCTGGCGATGTGAAATGAAACGCCTTGGCGGGTTGTTTATCGGCCGGGCTGCCATGGCAACGGCGGCCACTATTAGGCTACTGCCAATGAAAACACTAGGAAATAACAGCTTCCGAGGCCAGGGCTGAGTGTGGCTCTTTTTGTCTTTTTTTAGCCAGGGCTCTGCCAATTTGGTCGATTTGATGGCGCCTTGCAGGGAAATGCTCGATCGGAACATCACGATGGATGTGTCGCGATAAACTAGAGCCATCTTCACAGGGGGGATTGCTTTTTTTTTTTTTTTGTTTTCATTACTCGGAAGCGGCGCCGCTAGGGGCCATGCCGAGGACTACACTACCTAAGTATAACTGAAACAACAGCTCTATACGACCGGGACTTTCAGGCGTCACCCCTTGGCATATAAAAGAGTCGCCTTTACAGCATGTGGATCACGTGACTACTGGAAATCTGACACTGTTGGTGATAAAAAGAAGGATTATAAAAATAATTTTTACCATTGCCCTACCTTGCGGGGCCAGGCAAAAAGACTCCGAAACGGGGAATCGAACCCCGGGCTAATCCGAGATCTACTCTTCATTCAATGAGAGGGATTTATGTTACCATTACACCATTTCGGATTCAGATTCCTCATGATGAAATACCAAAATATCACTTCAAGGGATCAATTGATTTTGACATCGTCTTGGCAGTCCAGCGATAAGCAAAAGGGAAGACAGCATCGACACCTTGCATGGTGTTATTCCCATGGAAGCCTATTGTGCGTTTATTGGCAATGGCCTTATTAACCGTATCTACCAGTTGGCTGAAGCATCAATGGATGGTGGTGAATCGGTGATAAATCGATGGCGATCCCCAGGCATATAACATCACAAATGTACATACGTAGTATTGATCACATGCATAGTCTCGAGTATATATATAAAATCGATTCGGCTAAGAGTTGCACTTGCAACCACATCAAATGTATGTATTCTCCCAAGCATGCGTATTAGTTGATGTCATCGCTAGATACAATACAATAACATCAATTACACATAAATCTATCCTCAATGGCACAGCTATACATGTAAACATGAATGTTAAATACATCGATGTAATGCATTGCAGATAAGGCCCACGTGCCCAGCCAATCGCGCCTGCCGACAGCCCGGCTAGCGTTCGCAACTAAAGCCAGATCCAACGGTGCCTGGCATTCTTTGCCCTCGAACCACCTGGCCATGAGCAGATGAGTAGCAATTGTCTGCTCATATGCCCATCTCGCCAGATAGACTCAGTTTTTCTTGCTGTGCCAATTCCATCTGAAATGCGCTGACAGTCGCGACGTATGGAGGACTGGACACACAACTCAGTCGGAACCGCATTACGGAGCACACACAGCCAACACCATGGAGAAGAAACCCAACGGTCAGCCTGATGCGGGCCTGCGGAGCTTGAATCATTGTATGGACTATATCCCACTCTTACTTGCCTTTTCTTCCCTGATCTAATCTCGGAATGTCCTCCACTGCTGTGACTAACGTGACACCCAGACCAGAACAGACTCCCCAAATGGCGATACTGGCCTCGGCAAAAAATCCTACCGCTGGTCCGATACGAGACTCCATACCTGGCCTGGCTGCAGGAGAAGATGCGCTCGCCCACGCTGGACTCGTATTTCGCCTTCACTGCCAACCTCGGTACTCATACCTTTTTCACCGTGTTCCTCCCCATTCTCTTCTGGTCGGGATATTCGACGCTTGGACGCGGGTAGGTTTTGTCGCACTTGCAAGGCGCATAAATCGTGATCGTGTGGACTGCTGGTAACTAATTGGTGTTGGTAGAATGCTCAATGTCCTGGCTGCCGGCGTTTTTTGGAGCGGCTTCATTAAAGATCTGCTCTGTCTTCCTCGACCATTGTCTCCCCCGCTGCAACGCATTACAATGTCTGGATCGGCTGCGTTAGAATACGGATTCCCCTCGACACACTCAACCAACGCTATTTCCGTAGCCATTTACGCCCTGGCCTTGCTGTGGTCTCCCGATAATACACTTAACCCGGGGATCAACTTTTCGATGCAAGCGGCTCTATATATTTATGCAGTGTCTATAATTGCTGGTCGGCTATATTGTGGAATGCATGGGTTTCTCGATGTAATAATTGGTTCTGGATTGGGTGCATTGATTGCCTGGGTGCAGTGCCAGTATGGTCTGTTATTCGACAGCTGGATTATTGCTGCGACAGGAAAGCAAATCCTTATAGTTATCTTGACCGTTCTAGCGCTTGTTCGAGTGCATCCCGAACCTGCAGACGATTGTCCCTGCTTTGACGACAGTGTTTCGTTCGCTGGTGTATTCATTGGAGCTCAAATATCCTCTTGGGACTTTGCAAAATCTGACCTGGCCTGGCCTGAGCCCAGCCCTGACACGATTCCTTACCGATTCGAGACCCTTGGATGGTCCAAGACGCTGTTGCGGATTCTCATCGGTGTTGTCGCTGTTTTTGTCTGGCGGGAGGTTATGAAGCCGCTTCTCTTGCGATTACTTCCTCCTGTCTTTCGCGGCCTCAAAAAGGCTGGTCTGCTTCTTCCTCGTCGATTTTTCACCCAAGCGTCGTATGTTGTCCTTCATGGTCTCAATTTCCAATTCAAAAGTTGAATGCTAATCGTGATCAGGGAATACGAGAAGGTGCCTGGTCATCTCAAGGATAACGACGTGATTCCCAGCTTTTCCGACATCCCTTCCATATTCACATCGATGCGACACCCGCGTCGGCGAGCTGTTTCGATCGGTCCACAATCTGAAGCTGATGCGTATGAGACGTTGGCATACCGGGAAAAGCGCCGCCGGGAAAGCATATCTGAGCAAACACAGAACCGCGGCAGTAAGCAAACATACTATATCCCGGTCCCGTTCTGTATCTAACATGTACAGCCGACGGACCCATTCTGAGCAATCGCGCTCCATCCAAACTAGAGAAATACGAGCATATGATGGGGACAGGCAGTCCTCGCCAAAGCCCCGAAGCACCGGCGGCGCCGACGCCACCGGTGGCCAATGGCTCTACTGACCAGGATGAGCAGGCGATGTTCTCCATGATCAAAAAGCCCCGTGTCCGCTACGATGTTGAAGTTGTTACGAGGCTCATTGTATATGCTGGTAAGATCGAGTCTCATCATTTGGCCTCTTTTGCCGGCTAACGCCTCTTAGGGATTGCTATCATCGTTATAGACTATGCCCCTTATATGTTTGATTTTCTTGGTCTGGCACCTTGATTTAACAGGTATCTGCTATGCATATATGTGGCGGGATGGCATTCGATCGCTATTTCTATTGTCTGTGTTTAACTTCTTTTCTCTTCTATTATACTCTATTACTCTTTATTATCTTATTCCTATCCATGCTCTGAATACAAACAAGACTTGTAGCAGCCACGAAACCATAGACTATAGTCGTCCAATTTCTAAGCTTCCTCAAAGCCTGCTATCCAGAATCAATACCGGCAAATCAAGATACCCCGTAAAGACAGAAAAAAAGGCTGCGAACTTGCAAAACCTTTTGTCAGCCCTACAGAGCTTCAGCCTCCGGCATTCAGGAACCACAGGTCACGTGCAGAGCTAGCGCGCGGAAGCTTGGCCTTTGTTGTTGCGCCGAGCTTCAAAGCTTCTCACTTGCCTCGCTTTGCTTTGCGATGCGCTGCGTTTGCCTCCGCGACCTCTCCTGTTTCCACCAGAACGCGATCGCTCTCACAATGACCTCGAGACGCAAACACGCTATCTGATTCGCTTCTTTTCTTCACCACTACCGTAATGTATGGCCCTAGACCCAATTGAGCCGTCGCCGCATCATCCCCTCCCTTTCCTCTCTGCGCCCAGTCTCTTCTACCCCTCCAATTTCTTTTCCTGCTCTGCTTCTTTCTTCCTATCTCTTCATCCTCTTCTATACTCTGCATCTTGACGGATAGAAACGCTCGCGACCTCGCTTTTACAGCAACATCTTGATTCTATTCCAAGAGATTCAACTTCTCTTCTTCCATTCTCAGCTACAGCTCTCTGCGCATTCTCGTTCGCGTGTTTTTACACTGTGCAGCAACCTGTCAATTTTCCTGCTGTGGACTTGAATAGACGTTCAATTGTCCCGCGCGACGCGCTGGCACACCACCTCTCTGCAAGCAAACGGCCGACATCCGATGTTTGTCAACACGCTTTCATCTCTCGCCAACAACGCAACCCCTGCAATTCACTCTGAATTACCGACCCGCCTTCGCTCGGGGTATCAAGTTGGCTCAGGTCAAGCTCGATTACGCTTATTCCCTCATAACACATTCTATCACAACTCTTACAAACCAAATCTTCTCGAAGAAATAGGGAAAACAATCAACCACCCCTCACCACTCCAAATCGCGCGCTCGTCAGAAGCCTACAAATACGAACGAAATGGACGATATTACTATGACTGATGCCACCCCAGGCGAGCCAAGCGCTCTTCCGCCCTCATCGCTCAACGCTCTCTACCCTCATATCAGTCGTCCAGCCCCTTTCACTCCTGCTCCACGTAAAGCGAAGACCACATTGAAAAAGACAGATGGACCCTATCGCGTCGAGAAACCGTGGACCCGTCCTCCTCCTCCTCGTCCTAAGTATCATCGATGGGATCCTCGCTTTAGATCCTTGCAGATCGCTCGCGGACAACTGCGTGCTCAGAGATTGGCAGAGGAGGAAGAATCTCGTCGCACTGAACGCCTGAAGAGATATGGGACTAGCGAAGAGGATGTTGCACCTAAACGTCTTCGCCCTACCTATGAGCATGACGGTTCTTTACAAAGACAGGTTATGTTGCCAGGTGCATTTCCCCAAGAGCAAAATGGATCAGCGCCTCATCCGTTTGCAGAGTTTCTTATCGCTCCGCAAGCTCCTGTTCCCGCTCCCACTCGTTGGCGTAGAATCCGTATCCCTGTCAGTCGAATTGCTCTACTTCTTCGCAATGCCAGACGTGGGATCCAGCAAAGTATCCAGACTGGCATGGATTATGTTTCTGCTTTTGCAAACCTCTTTACCAGAACAGTCGAGGAGCACACACCAGCTGTTGAAATTGTTGAAGACGAAGTTCAAGCTGAAACTGAAAATAACGAGGCTGCTACTCAGCTATGTGCTGAATTGACCCAGCATGCCTCTTATGAATCGATTGCTTTGATATCTCATAATGACCCCGTTGCTGCTCAGCTTCAGGCTGAGTTGAGCAACCACGTTTCTCACCTATTTCCACATACAATCGCCCAGTCACACAATGATTTGGAGGTCTCTGCTAACTCCATTTCTGAAGTCCTCAATATGACCAACGAAGTCGCCCAAGAAGCCCATGATGCTCCTATAGCGGATGACAATGCTAGAGCCGTGGGTGATGTGATCTCACGGCCCTCCAACGCAGACGGGACCCGACGGGAGCAGGAAACTCGACCTACTATCGGGAGAATGACAGTACGTCAGCCTGCAGCCATTGACGAAACCAGACCCTGGTATCCTCGCCCAATGATCTCACATAGGCTCAACTATGATTTTGATCGTCCCGAAGATCCTAGTATTATACACGGACGCCGACGTATTCACTTCATCGTTCCTGGGGTGGAATTGACTGAAGCTGAACGTAACTATCTCCGCGAGCAAGCAGATGCTTCTTCAGAGGAAGAAAAAAAAGAAGTAGGAGAAGAGGAAGAAGAAAGACCTGCTTCACCAGCACCTGAAGAAGCCCCAGAAGACCTTGAAGCCTCAGAAGTCGTTTTCGAAGCACCGACCGTTGAGGCTGGTGAAGAAAGAGAAGGAGCTGAACCATCAGACGAAATAGAACGCGATGAAGCAACTGCGGATGTTTCAAATGCCGAAGAGAGCCAGGAGCAGCAGGCTGAAGATACTGCTGATGCTGCTGAAGGGGAGGAAGAACAGCAATATGCATTGATTCCGCCATTGTTACCTTGGTTACGGCGGCCAATCCTCCCCCCTCAAGCACCACACCCACTAGTTCCATCATCACGCCCTATGTCCGAGGCCGAGATCGAAGAAACTCGTGATCTACTCTCAGCTACCAGAGTCACACCCGCCCCGCTCGTCGAGCCAACCCAGCGGCCAGATCTAGGTTTGAACCCAACGACCATTCATTGGTGGGCATCCGACACCCCTATGGGAAGACCAGTGTCGGCGGTCCGCTTATTCCATCCCCACAGTCCACCGGTGAACATTGCGAACCGCACTGCACCTCTCCAACAGACTGAATTCGAAGAAATTCTAAGAGAACAGCGCAGACGTCTAGCTAGAGAGCGCAGCCAGGCTTTGAGACGTAACCGCGTGCCTAGGGGACAACCCGCCGTCAGACCTCTATCCGAAGAGCGTGAAGAACAGGTCGAGGCTGCCATGTCTGCCCCAGCGAACCGTGTCCTAGCATCGACATCCGAAGGCGCCGAATTGACCCCTCAGAAACTACGCACATGCTACCAGGATCTCGCTTGGCTCAACGACGAGGTTATTAACGGCCACTTGGCACTTACCGTCGATTACTTGCGCGCCAAAGCCAGCAATCAAGGACGCGGAGCTGTACCCAAATACTACAACTTCAACAGCTTTTTCTACACCAAGTTACGCGAGGGCGGATACCAAGCCGTTAGCCGCTGGGCTCGACGCGCGAAGATTCACGGCGAGGCGCTATTATCTGTCCAAACACTATTCATTCCGGTGCACCAGAGCTCTCACTGGACGCTCCTTGTCGTGAGCCCGGCCAATCGCACAATCGAGTACTTTGACTCGCTTGGTTCACGCGCGTCAATATTTGCCAATAATGTGAAGGACTGGCTACGCGGCGAATTAGGCGAATTGTATGATGAAGATGAATGGACCGTCCTGCGCACCCAGTCCCCGCAGCAGAATAACGGGAGCGACTGCGGTGTCTTCCTGCTTACCACTGCCAAGGCCGTAGCCCTGGGCCTGGAGCCTACGGTGTACGGGCCTCGTGATGTTCCTCTATTGCGGAGGAAGATTGTCGCTGAGTTGCTGTGTGGTGGGTTTGAGGGTGATTTGAATCCGGTTGGGGGGACGGGAGAGACTCGGCTCTAAAAGACAAACATAAAAAACGTTTCCCCCATCCCCAAAAGGCAGAGCAAAGAGCAATTTGAGGATAAACGTTTGTTCAAAAGCTTTGTGTTCAGTTTGGCTTGTTGGCATGATTCCTTCGGGCGGCCCCTGGATACATATGTTTAATATTCTTCTATTTGGCTGTATGCGATTCAGCGAGCCGCCCGAAACATTTTTCTTTTTCGCGTGCATTATCTGCTGTTTGGTTGACGGCAGGCACTCCGATGCCTTTGTTGTTGTTTACAGCGATAGCATGATGGCGTTATTTGTTTGGGCATTGGCATGAGAAGGCGTTGGTTGATATGCATTGTTTGTTTTGTTTTGTTTTGTTTTTTTTCCTCTCGGTTTTTGCATGTATGTGTGATACCCCGTCAGTCGAGTCGAATCGTCCTCCTGACATGTCTTTTGTTCTCATTTGAGTGTCTTCGCGACGACTTGATTTATTATTTCTTTTTGTTTCTTTATAGGTTTGTTTGTTTGCTTGTGAATAGAGCTGATCTCTATCTAGGCCTGCTAGGCTGTTATTAATGAACTAGTCGTCGTCATAATTCCATTTCTATTGTAAATTTTAGTGAGAGTAGAGTAAGGTATCAGGGTGTAGGAGTTTGAAGGGGTGACGAGAGAATGAAAGGCATGTATTATGGATTGGCTATCAATCTAAGCTATTTATACACGGATTGTATTTGCATCATCCAATTCTGTCATGGCACGTCTAAAAATAATGAAACAGGTTGATCCCTCGTCTATAGACCTGATACCCAGAATCAATCCCAAATCGATGTGTGTCGGATGTGGAGTTTTGGATGTCGGGTTTGATTACATTACCTCTGGTACACCTGGATTTGCGACGCCATCTATACGGCATTTAACATTGCATGGTCTCGGTACATCGCCGGTCTGGTTGTAGGCAACTTCGATCCATTCGATGCCCAAATGAACACTATCACCGATCGTCAGATTCCCTGACCACAGACCGCCGTCGCTCCAGAGGTTGATGAGGAGTCGGCTGGGGTCGACTGGGATTCCATAGGTCATGCTGGCTTGCTGCTGGTTTTCGACATACCAGCGAGACATACTGGGGAGCCAATCTAGTCGATATGTGGACCATGTTGTCCACGGGATAGGTGCATCAACAGCGACCTGGGAACCAGGGATGATGAGATTACGGACTGGATCGTAATCAGGCTGATTTGCGTAGTGGGCTCGAGTAGGAGGCTCAGAAGTCAGGATTTCAATGTCGGACTCGCTGGTTCGAGAGAAGAATGTGAATATCCCAACACATGCGCCACCCGAAGGCATGAACCTTTTTTGTTTGCTTTGCGCGAGACGGGGTGATGAATAAGAGGTAGAAGCAGATACAGTGTGGATTCTCCGATGCAAGCTTCTCTCGTCTCTCGGGGGAGAAAGAATCTGCTCACCGTTTGATAGCAAGCGCAGACGGACTCGTAGCGAAACATGCATGAAATTTTGGATACGACTTTCTATCTCAGCCGTAGAAGAATATCTTTCGAACCTGGTCGTCCGCATCGCGAGAAAAGTCAACCCCCCAGCAGGATGACGAGTGAGATAGACATTCTTGTCCGAATTGACAATTGTAACCGGGAAAAGAGGGGTTCCTCCGCGACCCCAGTCCTGAACAGCCCATTCACTGGCAAAGGGGGTGTCTTTCAGAAGAACAGGAGTGGACTGCGGATCAAAGTTCATGAGCGGAGCCTGGCCTGCTGGGTGGAAGTCATGAGTTCTGGCGGCCGCAGCGTTGAGAGGGACCTGACGAAAGTCCCAGAAGCGGTGGTGCTGGAAGAACCCTGGATCGGGCCCTGAAACAGTGTAGCAATCGCAGTTTGCGATGTTCTGGTTTTGAAGGATAAGTGGGGGCGGCTGGTCTATTTCAACGTGGTTGATGGATACGACGACGGGGACAGCAGTCAGAGCTGCCGATGCGTACAGCAGATTAGTACGCATGATGAGGACAGGCTAGAAGGGTTTTCGGTATAAAATAGGATGTGCCTGGCTAGAAAACGAGTGAAGATGCAACAAAGGTGAGGAAGAGTTTGAAGGGGGCTTGTTTTACAGCTTTACAGCCATGGCAGGAACCCTATCCTCACTCCTTCCGTGCGACTCGAGGAAAGAGCACTGTTGTTGGTGGGACTGCCATAGCCTTGACTACCGACTGACATACAGAAGAAGCCAAGCCTTGCAGCCAAACCACAACCATGAAGTCCTTTATTCTATACCCTATATTCTATTCTTCATGGATTATTCACCATGATAGAACAGGAAGTTATGGAAGTTGTTGTATTGCCCAGTTAGGCAATCGGAAGCCTATTCGGGAATAATTGATGCTATTTTTGGAATGTCACGGATTACGGCCATGTATCGGACATTGTGGGTGCGATGCAACAAACAGCGTCACCGCCAAGCTGTGCTGGGCCAATAGTGGGCCGCCATCGCAGACCGAAAGAGGGGGCAAAACCAGAGTACACCATTCGATTGGCCTAGAGAGCGCCACCGGCCGATAGCGTCAGCCTGACAATGCGCTTGCGGCCCGTATTGTGACGTATTGTTACAAACACGGCGCTAAGCAGCACTAGCTGCTAGTTCGGGCAGACCGATTGGCCACAATGCGGCGCTAGCGTGAGCGCTTGGGCCAGCTGAGAGCCTGAGACGGACGGGTCACGGAGGCGATGACCTTTTGCTGTGCCAGCGCTCTTCCCTTGCGCGAGGTGAGCCTGACCGAGCAAAGGGAGGAAAGGGAGGAGGGAGGCTCGCACAATGGAGACCGCCGGCTTTATCGCCCTCTTCTCCCACTCTTGCCACACTTCCTCCCGTCACAGACTCACCGGCCAGCGCCAGAACTGTATATTCTGTATATTGTCCGCCAAAATTGGCATTCACAATGGATTCTACCGCCTAATTGCCCCCCATACGCCGCCCATTTTACCATGACTGCAACCCTGGAGAGGAGCCTCTCGCGGGCATCGAGTATGTCGATACCAGTATCGAGCCCGCTCCTCTCTGTCCACCACGACCTAACGCCGCCTGCCATGTCCGATCCGGGTATGTTGCACCTCCACGACCGCATAACGTTTCTGGACTCGCGGATCAGCGAGCTACGGTCGACTGTCCTGACGAGAGATGGCTACATCGATCGCCGGAACCGGGAAGACGATTACATTCGACGGGAATTCGTTGCCCAGAGGACCATAACCGAGCGTATCGATGTGAATGTGACGTTGCTGAAGACGGACGTCAACCAGCTCAAGTCGGGGGTGTCGAAGTTAAAGTACGATCTTGGTTCTTTAGGCACAGATACCGCCTTCTTGCGCACCGATGTCGACCGTCTTCAAAACAACGTCCAACAAGTTCAAGCCGAGTTGGAGGCACTGCAAACAGAGGTTGGAGGATGTCGTACGGAGATCAAACAGCTGCATACCGCCGTCAACCTCTTTCGAAGCGAGTTGATGACGCTGCAAGACACGTCGCGTCGTCTGAACAACGCGGCCCAGCGCTTCTCCGTGATGGAGTCTCGCATGGCTCAGATGGAACGCGTGCGATTTAACTCGTTGGCCAACACAATTCACGCGCCAATCAACCCGGTGCCCAAGATCGATGAAGATGGAACACTCCGCTATCCAGATTACTTCCCTACCACGGTCTGGAGGTTCTGGTGTTTGAAGAAGCGAAGTCGAGGTGAGCAGGTTGATAAGATAAGCAAGTACCTTTCTAACATAACAAACAGCCCGTCGTCTCGTAGAGCTCGCTGAGTTTTACGAGTTGGAGGGATTCGAATACTGGGGTCGCAATCATCGAGAAGACTTGACGTCTTATGATGACAGCGACTCCAGCGATTCTAGTGACCGACCCAACAATCTCACACGTTCCGAAGCAACTTATCAATACCCAGAAGCGTGCCATCAAGCTCTTGCTGCTACCTTGGGATTGAATTACTATAAGATCCGGAAGGAAGCTGGCGAGGGCCCCAACGCGCATATAACGCGTCCGGCCAAGCGGTATCCCGATGAAACTGCATTGAGCAATCATTCGGCTGGAAAGCCAAAGCCTGAGAAAAGAGCGCGACGGCCGGGCGATGTACCGCCAACGGTACTCGAACGACTTATCACTGGCGTTCCCTCTATTGTGTCGAAGTCGGTGTCGTCGGAGCATGAGGATAAGTTAGCCTGGCGCGCGCCAGGCGGCGGATCTGAGATATCCGACGAGACCATGTTCAAGCTGAAGGGAATATTGTCTGGCGAGGTCGGCGCGATTTTGCGAGCTATTGAACGTGGCCGTCTACACGTGCGGTCTGAGCACATGGACATTTCGCCGACAGAGTCGAAGCGCGAGGAAGCCGTCAAGGCCGACGACGCCATGTCGGCGTATACTGTGCCCACGGAGATATTGTCTCCAAGCGAGAAGCTTTTAGAGACGACTAGTCCATGACCTCACACCTCATCTACATCTCGTCCACATCTACCCATTTACCCCATCTACTACATATTATTTTATTTAGCGATTCGGCGTTTAACGATTCACGTGGTGATACCATTGCATTGGAGGAGTTATGGCTTGTCAGGATATTCTGACTGTACATACCTATATAAAAAGGGATGGGTTGACCGTATTTTAGTGCGTCTATCTGTATATAGATATTAGATACACTCGACGATCAATACATACCTGCTGCTACTACATTCATCCTTGTAAAGACTACAATGGTTTTAATCGTAATAGTATACGTGAATTTATCGGTCTAGAATGTCATTCTCATCAATTGATACCCAACTCTACATCAGAACTTTCTGTGTTGATAATAAATACACGTATAATACATATACAAGATACCTGTCTATTCATCTGTTTGGACCGTAACGCGACTTTCACCTTCATCCTCGTCTTCACTCCCTTCATCTCCCGCACTATCCTTGCCGTCCTCGCTATCCTCATCTGAAGTTGACGACATCGACGATCCCTCACTACTCGTATAATCCACCTCTTCCACATCCACCTCGTCCTCACTCTTCAAATCCGGATTCTCTCGCAGATACACCTCCTCAAGCACAAATCCTTCCTCCTCGTCTATCCTCTGCGCGGGTTTATCCAAAACATACACTGTCGGAAACTCCAACACCGTTCTCCCACGCAGGACATCCGATAACGTACTTTCCCGCTCCAACGGGACGAGAACGACTTGGCGAGGGGTGGGGGTAGATTGGCGATGGAGGTAAAAATAACGCTCGCCCTCCTCTTTCACAGCTGGAAAGACTCGAGTGTAGGCTTGATCGAGCGGCGTCGTTTCGAGACAATTCTGTAGAACCCTCTCTTTCGTTGCTGAGATCCATTCCACCGTCCAATTCAAACACTTGTGCCTGTCATAATCAGCGCCGACTCTCGCTAGAGATTAAAAGCAAAGTATACTTCTGATGCACCCGCGACGCATTGTCCTTCCGCCGACTCAACCCCCTCGGCGCCCTAACGAGTTTGACGCCCGCCATCTGGACAGCCTTTAAAAACGCCGCTTCGCCTTTAACCAGCCTCCCGCCCTTATTATTATTATTGTTGTTGTTGCTCCTTTTCCTCTTTCCATCCTGCGCGAGCATATACTCATGCTCCAACTCGATCCCCCTCCGTTCCGCCTCCCGCTCGGCGCGCTCGAGGGACCGCTCGATACCGGTGATAAAATTGAAATCGCGATCCAGCGCATCGGGGGTCGCGAGCTGAGGACGGGCTAAGTATGCGGCCGGGTCGCGCTGCCCGGTGCATTGCGACCATTTCTTGTGTTTGCGTGTGCAGGGCAGCGAGCAGGTGCGCACGAGACAGCGCGGACAGCGGTATTTCGGGGGGAGGTGTGGCTAACTTGTTAGTTTTATCAACAGTAATAAATAATAAAAGGGAGGTGACGGACCAGATTGCGCAGAGGTCGCTGAGGAGAGGGCCTGTGGAGGACATGGTTTGTGTTTAATGTTGCGAGTGACGTTGGGAAGAGATTGCGATAAAAATTGTTATGGGTGGCTTATCGATAAGCTAGCTCTCTCTACACTACGAAACAACTATGATGATTACAGCTCGATGTAAGTATCTGAGTTTTGAATTAAAGGTACAGTTAGTATACTTTTAGATATCAACCACATTTATTATTCTTATTTCGCACTTTACGGTCAGGTTGTAAAATTGGAGCTGTGCCGCAGTGTCTAATGTCTCCGCTACTAGAGTACATGTAAATATAATATTGTAGGCCAGATTTAGGGCTTTGTGTATGTACATGTAGAACATTTAGTGTAAAAGGACAAGCTTACACCACTGTTTATAGTTACAAATACATGTTCTACCTATCCCAGTACTTCCAGCATCTGCCTGTTAGCAAGCACTTGAACCAATCATGATGCGCATACTGTATTACATCGCCATGCAGTCTCATTTTTATCGTCTACTTCGAGATACAGTCGAGAGGTCCCGGTGCTCCGAATCCAGTTTTTCTCTTCTAATTGCATTTATAATTCAATAGTATAGAAACTATAAACCTGTTGACGAATTCATGTTGATCGGACCGAAGCACATTCACATGATCGACGATCAGCCAGATATATCTGACTCACCCGAAAACTCCCATGCGTTCCGATCGATTCTCGTACTACTAGAAATGCAGAGTAATATTATGAGAAACAAGGAATAATAAATAATAAAATAATAAATGATCGATGACGTTTGCACAGCCTGAGCAGTGCCCCGAGGCTTGATGTCTACGTGGGGTAATTACATATGCAGCGATAACGGAGTTAAGAGATAGATAATGGTTGTATTGATCGGATCCGACAGATCGTATGCTAAACTAGTAAATATGCTATGCTACGCTAACAAATGCGATGGTATTCGGGTATTCGCTGGCCAAAAGGCGTACATGAGGGGTATATTGCTCAGGTAAACATGAAGATGACGAAGATGGCGAAGATGAAAGAAAAATGATCGGGCACAAACAGGCAGTGCCCCGCTGAACAGCAAAGATTAAGTAAAAGAATAGGTCAGATAAAGCAACCACAGGTGAAGGCGCAGAGGATCGGTGAGAAAGGTATGAGTCAGAGTCTCATCGCGACGAGGCGGTGAATGCGGCGATGGACGATTGGTGGGGTCCACAGGTCTAGTTCGGATGCGTGTTGTATTGTTGTGTGTAGTTGTTGTGGTGGTGGCGTATAGCCGGTACCGTATTGTAAGTAACGGCCGTACCTAGTATACGAGTACACCGCGGCTATGCCCTACAGCCTTTTTGGCTGTAGATGTGGTGGTAGAATGGATGGAGAGACAGCGCCAGCGCGTCCAGAAGCAGAAGCAGAAGTTAACGTAACGTTAATAGCGAGTAGTCTTCGACCCAGACGAGGGCGACCGCCGCTTCTTGCTGTCCGAGGATGAGCGTCTCTTTTTGTGTTTCGCGTTTTCGCGCTCTGCGGCAGCCAACTGGGCGACCTTGAAGGCCTGTTGCGCGCGGGCGTGTGCGTGCACATGCGCAAGAAAACGCATGCGCTGCTCGTCCTCGGCGGCGGCGGCACGCATTAGCTGGATCTGCTCCTCGGTGGTCATGTCGAGCGGATCTGTCGCGGCAGATTCCTCGACGACCGCGCTGCTGCTGTCGTCTGGGGGAGAGGTTGCTGAGGAGTCGATGAAGAGGTCTTCGTCGGACAGGTACGAGCTGGCGGTGGACTCGCCCGAGGACTGGTTCCAGAGCGACGGCCGGTTGGGCCACGAGGGAAACGCGCAGGCTGAGCTCATGCCCATGGTGCTGGAGAAGGAGGACTTGCGCGGTGTGATATCGAGGAGTGAGTCGTTGGGCGTTGGAGGCGGCGCTGGCGGTGGTGGAAGTGATGATGGGGAGGGTGATGACGAGGCACTGCTGCCGAAACTGAAGGCGAACCTCATGGTGTGTGATTTTGTGTGATTTTGTGTATGGTGGAGGAGATCCGGGGAAGTGGAATAGCCTGGGGTCTTATAGAGTATACTGGATGTATGGAATGTTTGGAGTACCGAAAGCTTGTGATTGTTCGGGTGGAGGGCTGTTCCGGTAGGCTGCTCCGGTGGGCCAGGCTGCTCCGAGGATTATCGTGCCCTAAGTGAGGCGGAGGGTGGATATGAATATGAATATATGGGTATAGTAGAGCAGGGCTCGAGGTTGAGGTAAAATAATAAATAAGAATTAATAAGAAACAAGAAAATAAGAATAAAGTGCTTGATCGCGCGATAATAAAGAGAATGATAATATACGCCGCGCAAAGAGCGGTGACGGTGACAGGAAACGGCCCCTGGCAGGCAGTGGGATGCAACAAGCGGACGCCGAGGGCTTGCAGTAGTGGAGAGCCCCGTGGAGCGTCGATGTGACGGTCAGCCAGCGGTGGGGGTCTCGCTGTCAAAGTCGGTGACTGAGTCCAGACTATCGTGTCGATTGGGCCGTGGCCGCACTGAGTCTGCAGTTGCCGGCAGATGACAGTCCTGAGTCAGCCCTGTCCAGTTGTCCAGTCAATAAGGCGATATATATGTCGGAGTAGAGACGAGTGACAATAGTGAAGCCAATAAATACGCCGCTTTCTGCTTCCGGCAGCACACGGCGTTGTCGGAATGCGAGATCAACCCTTGCGGTGAGCAATGCACGATCGATCTGGACAACACTTTTGAAGAGCGGTGACTCATGCAGTTAAGACTGAAGTCGCAAACGGTGTGCTGATTAAATGTTGCCAACGATCAATTGTCAACTCAACCACAGACGGTCCGGGCCGCGATGGGAGTTCGCTCTATATACACCGGCTTCTCCTATTTTCAATCAAATTATAATAACAATAATATAGTATAATTTAATATGGATTCATCATTTTTTCCAGCCGATCGGGACGTAGAACAATCCTTCGCTCCAGGAACCGCGTTGCTGGAGCGAATTCGCAGCTAGTCCATTTCATTAATTATTAAATTATCTGGGCTTGCCGCATTCTGAATCGCGCCGCACTGATTGTCCCGATTAGGCAAGACGGTTCCATCCTATATCCTATTATCCCTTAATAGCCGATTTAATAATATGTACTATCATACCCAGAATCCTGGTAGGACCTACGCGGCCGCTAAAGCAAGCGTCCCCAGAAGCCTGGGTGCCTTGCCGTTGGGCCTATTAAAGTAAAATCTGCCCAGTCTGGATAGAATACATTGTGGGATAGGAAGAGACGCCTTGCATGGTGATGTATATGTTTATGTATGTTGCAAGATTCTTGCACACATCGGTCATGTTCACTACCAGATCGTACACATCATGCGCCAGGAAGAGTGGACAAAGAGTGAAAAAGAGTGGAGGGAATATTCCGAGGATCTCATCTGCACATTCCAGCCACAGGAAGAATCCCCCTTTATTCCTGTATCCGTAATAGTACTATCCTACATTATTCTATAATTCGATTGGCAGCGCTAGCCCGGGGAAGCGCATAGCGCCTCCGCAACCATGGATCCGATCCGTCGGGTCTGATTTTTTTCTTTTTTCTTTTGTCTGGACTCTTGCCTCGGGAGAAATAATGAAATGTGATTTCGCATTGTTCTCTTTACAGGTAGTTAACCGCTACCATGGAAGACAAAAAGCTACCGAGGCTTCGGTCCGGCGTCGGCTCTGGCCCGACAAGGAATCACAGGCCTGGGGTAAGTTGCCGATGGGGTTCCGGCGGCTATTGTCTGCGTGCGGATTTTCTTTATTATGGTCATTCTGATCATTCCTGATGTCGACAAAGAGTAGGACACTACCAAATCAAACAATGAATCGATCATGTACGCCACAGCGCCGCTTGAATCATTGTACATGAGCTCGGATTCCCCGACATACCATACCCCCCCCAAACTGATCGGCCTAAGTATTCGGATGTATCACATTCCTGTCTAAACATGTCCTTCAACCTTGATGTCCTTGCGTCGTGGCGAGTATTCATCTTGCATGAGAGGAGTGGACGATTACCGTGCATAAGTGCGGTACCCGTCCGCCACTGCGTTCAGCCACAGCTGGTGCCCCTAGTCTCCGATCTGAATTGTAATACGTAACATCTCAATTTTAATAACATTGTCCAAACAGGCTACGGAGTACTTCCGTCGTAGGTGGGAGTACTCCCGCTTCCGCGACACACTAACAGCGCCATTGTTATGTTGGCGTGGTCTGGATCACCCTTTCCTGACTCTACCAACACTTGGCTTATCTTATAGTAAATTATCATGAAATAAGCTATCGGCCACTAGGACGAACCGCGTGTATGCTGCAACGGTGTTCATTTGACATTAATGTTACATGGTTCAACTTGGACAATAGTAACGCTCCGATCAGGATGACCAACACCGCCATTTCGCACCAATAGGGATTCTTATAGCACTATAATAAATAATAAATAAGTGATAATAATTTGGCGGAATAGTTATAATGAACGCGATAATAATGAACCGACATGGATGTCGTCTTCTAGAAGCGGCGCGGAACGGAGCTGAGCAGTTAGTTAAATAACAATAATATTTATTGATAATTCGATCTGCAGTCAGGTCAGTTCAGCATTGATAATGTGTGATGTGATTATAGAGCATGGCCCCAGCAGTTAACCCCAGCAGTTACATATGTGTTGGTTACATATTTTTGGATGCAGCCACCGTTGAATGTCGGGGTGATGTTTTACACTGACACTAATATTTTCGCTCCCTCCCGCTCTATCACATTTTTATTTATTATTTTATTTTGTACGATTGCTATGTTATTTGTCATAATTACGAGTCGATCGCGGAATGCCATCCGTAACCCGTGGGGATTAGCTTCGCGGGGGCCGCTCTAGTTCCCGGCTGTACACTTCCATCACTGTCTATCACCATTCATATTATTCAATGTTCATCGGCAGACCGCTGATTCTTATACCCTTTCATGCACGAGGTCGAATTATTAGAAATGATTTCCAGTAGTACAAGCCAGCGGAAGCGGCCCGTAAGCCCACAGCCAGTAGCCTACGGACTCCGGAGTATTCGTTCTGAGTCAGTCTCAGTCAGACGGGTAGCGGGCCGTATTTACTATCCGTATTTAGACGCAAATCTCTCCTATTATTCGTAAATCGATAATCACCACTCATAATTTGTCAACTGAGATGTGATCGTCGATTCGCCCGTGTGCACAAAGAATGCGGAGGTGCGGATAGCGGGACCGCCTTGTTCTTCAGCATCACTTGCCACGCCCCCTGCGTCGATCATCGATTCGTGGCAATTGCTGGCCGCTGCTGGCCACTGGATGGCCTGTCCGAGTAATGTGATGCCGCGGAGACTGCTGACTGGAGGTAGTAGACTGGCAATCACCGTGATAACAAACGATAGTCTAGTTTAAGAGCCTGAACCGCCGAAATACGATCCCACGCTGACCAGCCATCTATTCATTATTCACTATACCGCGTAGTAATTATTGTCATCGGGGACTGTCACATCTCTTGTGATATGTATTATTAATGGTGTGTCAGATGGCCAGGATAAATCATAATAATAGGTAGGCAGAAATTATACAGCGACTGCTGCTGTGCAACCGCACGATCTATTTCTGGCCATTTCTGGCGCGTAGTGCGCTAGCCCTACATATGCATCGCGATACCTAATCACCAATAAATCTGTGGCAAGATAATAATTATTTAGTACTAGTATTTTTATAAATTGCTAATAAATCTGGTTGATTGATAGATCTACTATAGAGTGAATTCTAATATACACATCAAGACAATAGGAAGGTGTCCAGCTTATCTTATCACGCGATAACTGAATGTCTCCGAGGAGATTTCGGAGTTTCTCTCCTTGGATATATTCCATGTTCACTGGATGTATTAACTTACTGGATATTTTACTGAATGCCTTATCAAGGTGACTTGTTGACATATGTAACGTGCTGTGCAATGATACGCACAGTGCTTCACCGCCACAGGGTCATCACTTGACAACGGGATTTGACAGCAGGATTTGACAACAGGATTCGGGTCGATATCATAATCATAACATGCGCGATGTCGAGATCCTTTATACGTAAATCCTGCAATTCATGTATGGTGTGGTTACGCTATCGATAGGGTTATTGACAACCGCCGTCCGCGCCCGAATTGCACGTGCAAAACCACCTACGTCATGAGGATTACCATCCTGCGCAGGGAAAGTGAATGGTTACTCCTTCCTATTCAGTCGTGTGCAGTACTTATCTAACTAATAATACTATCATCATTATAATACAGCGTACAGAGTATGTGGAATCGATCAAGATTGTATTAGGAAGGAGAGATATCCAACAGTGAATCAGTGCAACCCTGTCTACGAAACGTCGCAGCCCGATAGTAGCCCGATAGTAGGCCGGCAATAGCCCAGCCAGGTGTCGGAGACTCAGAGCTGACACAGAAAATCCTATTCTAACTAAATAATAATATTCGGAAAATATTGTCATCAAACCTACAGTACCAAGGCACGTCGAAGGTTGGCTACTCAATCGAGTAGTCTATTGCGCCGCGTATCCTTACGTCCATACATTACTTACCGTACCGTCACACCTGTACACGGCATTAGCCGGCGAACCTACTTCGCTTTTCCCGAGGCCGATTGATTTATCAATATTTGGTACGCTAGAGAATCATAATTCAAGATGAATACATTGCCGAATTTCCTTGTCAGCTTGTCAGCCTATTAGGCTAAACTGAACTGCATGGACAACTGGCGGTCTCTGATCTTGAGCAGCCATTTGCGGAACTTCCACTACATACCAGCCTTGACATTATATTTAGTAATTAGTGCTTTAATATTTTCCATTCGAACATCTAATATTCACTCTCGAGCCTCAACTAGAGCGCGATGTTCCGCGGTGCGACCGTTTAACTTTCATTCTTCCATTCTCCCATTTTCCGTTTTCCCGGTTGAAACCTTCCCACAGTTGAACATTGAATAGATTTTTTTTCCGGTCCGGCAACCTTGACGTTGATAAATTGCTAATTAGGTTACGCAACTCCTCCGGCGCCCCGACTTGACTGTGCGGTGAAGTTTGCCTCGCGACATTTCGGAATCTTCCCCGCATCTGACAAATCTCGTGGGGGACGTGGGGTTTTGCCATTATTTGGTTCAGTAGTATGTTGAGATAATCGAGTGGTAATGATTGTTGTCGACTGGGAAAATGATCTAGAGCATCTCATAGCTGATGATCGCCTCAACAGTTTGTAAATAAAGAAGGGGAGTTGATACGTGCACCCCGATTTTTACAGCGTACACCCGAACTAATTTTTTTTGAGTCTAGCTGGAAATAAATTTTCTTAGTAAAATACTAATAAATTTGGTCGCTTTTTGGCCCATATAGAAATTTTCAATTCCTCGATTTTGAAGCGATTTTTGACCGAATTAAAGTGATTGAGGTGTACGTAGTAAACTTGTAGGGGGTCAAATTCACCGCCAAATTAATATAATAAACTAGATTACGGTGCACATCCATTCTTAACTAGAAGTCATATTTGCCTAATAAAAACATGAAAATTCATTTTTATGGTGTTCTAGATAACCGCCTAAGCCTCATCCTCAGTCTCATCGCCATATTGAAGCATGTCTAGGGGTTCCAAAGCCTCTATATTGAGACCCTCCTGAGATTGAGTATGCTAAGATCCCAATATTGCAACTGGCTGCGAGGGCGGGCCACTAATGACGTTATAAAACGTGCTTCTCAGCGGGATAGAAGCCCAGTCAAAGTAGAACCTTATTGACTCAAATTCGCTGCTATTTTCCCTAGTATTGAGCAATTCCGAAGTCGTTGATATTGCACACTTTCTACTTGACGCCAAATTTACCCCTATATCGATATTCGGGGGTGGCGCACTGCTACTTCCAATAACGCTGCCTGCACCGCTTGTATAGACCGTGTGTTGATTATCTCGCTGCGCGCGTATAACGCTAGTAACGTGCATAGATTGACGCGCAGATTTATCGACTCACTCCTCCAATATAGCGTTCCTGCGCGTTGAGGTCTTTCAATACCCTTTTTTATACGCTGTAGGCCTGCCGCGGCGTTTCTCAACAACGGTAGGCTCCAGAGCGTGAAATTCGGACGCCTCAGGCACGTCAATTCGATTGTCATATGAGTAGCAGCTTCGGGTTCGGTCAAATAGCCAATAGAGGTGAATTTTGGATAATAATATAGGCTCATATTATTGTCGGCTTCGTCGCAGAAACAGCTTGCTTGATCCACTAGCGAGGTTATACTGAATTGTTCGGGATTCTCGCCTTGTGAGGCTATACCAGGAGGACGCCAGTAGGAAGGAGGTCAGGGATGGCGATTCGGACATTTTTACAACATCAAAAAGCGTTGATTTGAGCGTTTTAGATAGTTCAATATAAAGTCAAGCTGATTTATACCCCCCCCAGGCTGCACCCTGGGGGTGATTTGTTAGTATTGGCAAGAAGCGATGAAAGACTTGAAAATTTTTATAATTTGAAGAAACGATCAATACTACTAGTAAATTATTAGAAACGCTGATTACACGCCTTACCCAAAGAAAACTAGTTCGGATGTACGCTGTATTTTGTCGGGTGCACGTATCAACTCCCATAAGGAAGCTGTAAGTTGTATTAGGCTTTTCAATTCACACTTGAAGATACCGCTATTAAGAGTGGGACCAACGTTGGAATCTTGATTAGGCTGGCAATTGGAAATCTCTCACGCTTATCAGACAACCTCTAATATATTTCCACAATTCTATGAGCTAAAAGAATATACCCATAAGGGCTATGAGAGCCACATGCTACAACGCCTTGCAAGTGCCGCTTTACATGTTTTGCAACTCTTCGACTTTCTCTCGGCGCCACTCCCGTACCCTAATCTATACTAGGTTTAGACTGGTATTTAGGTAATTTACGATACGTACGGACGTACTAGTACAATGATTTGGTAAGCTAGTCATGGTTTGTAACTTAGTTGTCTATACTACTATCAACATACCCAGCCGTCGTTTGGGATTATATTCGTTCAATATGACCTGAGCCGCGCCATTAATTAGATGAACTTTAAGTGGTTTCGGAGTATCAAACGTTGTCTACGTCATATCTGTGCCTAGATGAGCACTATGCTAGAACACAATAATGTGCACATACTATATGTATGTTGCAAGGTTGAGACTGCACTACTCATATGAGTTGTGTTTTGTCCAGCTGTATGCTGAAAATATGGCGGCACCAAACTAATCCACATCTTGTATGTCTTGGCCTTCGGCCCTAGGCGAGGGTGTTCTAGCAGCTATGATGAGCTTCGCACAGCTGCTGTAGAGTCTGCTGAGACTTCTCGCAAAGGCTGCAGACAACTGTTCTCAGTGAGCGGTGTTTGATCTCTTAATACATTATACTCATCCATCCAATCATTAAGAGAACGAGAGGATGACATAGATTGCGGGTGGCTGGACCCTAACACTTTGTTTCTCAAATGAGAGCATTGTTTCATCAGAGCTAATGCATCTTGTATTTTCCCCTGAGATTTCCAAGTATAAGCCAGGTTCGCCATGCTGGTCAGAGTGTCAGGATGCTCCGCTCCCAGCACGGTCTTAGATGTCTCCATTACTTGCACCTCCAGCTTCTCAGCTTCATTCCATCGACCCTGATTCCAGTAGGTTGATGCCAGGTTCGCCATACTAGTCAGAGTGTCGGGATGCTCTGCTCCTAGAACGGTCTTAAATGTCTCCATTACTTGCATAAACAGCTTCTCAGCTTCATTCCATCGACCTTGATTCCGGTAGGTTGATGCCAGGTTCGCCATGCTGGTCAGAGTGTTGGGATGCTCCGCTCCTAGTACGGTCTTAAATGTCTCCATTACTTGCATAAACAGCTTCTCAGCTTCATTCCATCGACCCTGATTCCAGTAGGTTAATGCCAGGTTCGCTATGCTGGTCAGAGTGTCAGGATGCTCCGCTCCCAGCACGGTCTTAGATGTCTCCATTACTTGCACCTCCAGCTTCTCAGCTTCATTCCATCGACCTTGATTCCGGTAGGTTGATGCCAGGTTCGCCATGCTGGTAAGAGTGGAGGGATGCTTTGCGCCAGCTTTCTCCTGGTTGATTGTCATCAGTTTCTTATAAAGCAACTCTGCTTCTTGATATCTTCCATCACTGGCAAGGCAATCTGCGACCTTTCCATTCAAACTCAAGTAATTGTTCTCCTGTACCACAAATTCATTTTCATGCACAACTGCTAAAGCGTGAGGAAGGTATTCCCGCCAAAGTCCTCGTTTAGTGTAATGATTATCTGGAAATACATTCTGCATATGATCAGCCACCCTGTTGATCCAGTGACTGAATAACGCATTCTTCCTGAGCCAGTTTCGGGTCGCAATATGGACAAGTCGGTGCATATTGATATCCATGTTTTGGCTATTCGTAAACGAGTATGCATTTAAAAGCCCTAAAGCATCGAATTTCTGCTTTCTTGATGCGGGCTGAGGAAGCAGTGACTGGGGAATGTTTCGAGGGTCGATACAGGCCATGAAAGATAAATAGTCAGCAGCCAATTGATCTTGCTGCTGGATCTGTTTGAATGATATTAACCAGGTGGTGATCACGGGATTCTGAATATCCTTATAGCGTCCGGGATCCCTAAAGTCTTCGCTTAGGAGTTCGATAGCATCTCGTTCCTGCTCTTGGAGAAGTGCCAGGTAGGTTAACAAATCGATACCGTTTTCAATGATATATGCTGATGCCTGCGTTATTGCTAAAGGGAGAAAGGCCAGTTGTTCAAGGAGAGCAGCGGTTGTGGTAGTATCTCTTAGCAAGTCCTCGTGTGCCAATGTCTTGTCTAAGATTCTGACTGCCATTTCTTTATCCACATCTGGAATGGAAACAATATTAAATGGTGCCAGCTTCATGGCGAGTTTTCGGTTTCGGGTGGTGAACAGAATCCAGCCGTGCTCACTCTCAGGGATAAAATCTTCAAGAGGTGGAGCTGTGTGACTGGCGGCGAACCACATCTCTGCATCGTCTGCATTATCAAAAACAAGAAGCCATTTTCCTGCACGCTTAGAGCTGAGGTGGCTCTTAACCTGTTCTTTGACCTCTGCCGGATTCACATCACGAAGTCCGAGTATCTGTGCAATGTGCAGGAACATCTGCTCAATTATGGCATAGCTGGTACAGGGGATCCAGAAGACTGAGCACTCCTTATCTCGGTCCCGGATGCGGTGTGCGAGCTCCAGGGCCACTTGGGTCTTCCCGACCCCGCCTAGCCCGGTGACAGCGATTTTCCTAGGACCGTCTTGCATTGTAATTAATTCTTCCAGTCTTGTGATCTCATCCTGACGCCCGACAAACTTGGGATTCCTTGCGAGCGGTACTATCCAGTGCCTCATCTTCTTGTTGTTCATTAAGTTGGCATCTGAACGGCTAACAGGAATGGCCAATAGCAACAATTTTGCATAAGCAGCCGCGGTCAACGCTGCATATCCTTGCCACTGTTTCTGTTTATGAGAGTCGCAATAATCGCATATCCCTCGGATCACAAGCGTTGGAAGCTCATCCATCAGCCCGGCCGCCTCCATTTCAAAGCAGAGGATCCTATACTGCTGTGCTAGGCGGTCTCGTGTTTCCGAGTCCTTCATCACCTGATCTCCCGACGCAATCAACCCATAGTGGATTTGAGGTGTTCTCGTCTTTCGTGGTTGTCGCTTATATAACTCTTCTTTGTTGCATTTTTCACAGCCATCCTCACCAGCGCCATGATGATAGGAGGAACGAAATAAATAGTCCGTATGCTGGTCTGGAGGTGAAAATCGTTCTTGCATATGAGGGTTTTGCATCAGGGCTTCGTCCACTATATGACAAAGAGCGTCTTCACCGTCAGTCATTTGTCTTGCCTCTAGTTGACTCATATGTGTCAGAAGCACCTGTGGTGGTTTGTTCAAGGTTCCTGTTGACTCAAACTGGCCGTCCTGAATCGCCTTGCCATAATCATACTGGATTACTCCGCTGTGCTTCCCAGCTGGTTTGCTGACCACTACGTCGCCTAATCGAATGTCATGACTTTTGTCCGGGACTCCGCCTCCGATCCCCACCATCAATCCATACTGAAGCTGAGGAAAGGTCGAGCGCATGCGAGATACAACGGTTGCGGCAGACACTTTGCCGTATATACCGGTTGGTAGGCTGGCAATCACAACATAGTGGCCGTTTAGTTCACCAAGGTGGTAGGCATTCGAATCAGTGGAAGGTCTAGGTAGCAGACTGTGGGTTCTGTCTAGCATACTGCGGGCCGCTGCTGCTTCCAGCGGCAAGGCACATATCCATGCGACTGTATAGTCATCGTGCGTCACAGTTGTCATTGTGGGTCATAGAGGAGGATCAAACGGGCCAAATATAGATGTCTGGATAATGGCAGAATGAACTGTGAAGCTTTTTTAATAATGAGGGGAGAATGCAAAACACTGTTCATGAGGCTGAGAAGGAGGGGTAACAGCGATACCTACTCCAAGGCTGCTGACATCTTCACACACGGTCGCATAACATTGGGCATCTGCATGGTAATTAGCTGAAGGCAACAGAAATGCATAGCCAAAGTACACCAGGATATGTAACATGCATCTGTTTTCAAATATCCATTCGATATGTCACGTTACCCTTTCTGTTTCGATTCGCCTCGTTTGCGTTTGAAAATGCTAAGTTCTGCATGCTTAAATACGAGCGGCAATACCTTGTTTTGTATACATAGGTTCAATGCTCATCATAAAATACCAAACTTACAGGCTAAACCTTATATAGATTAGATTGCGGCAGTGGCGCTGAGAAAGAGTTGAAGAGTTGCAAATAATGTAAAGCCGTACTTGCAAGGCGCTGTAATCGCTTTAGGAGTTGAGAGGTATGTGATGTCAGGAACTTTGGATTTAGTATATTCCATGTTTGCTTCGCTTCTGGTCCCGGGAATATTCTTTCCTTACATCGCGAGCAATTGACACCGCATAGTATGAGTGTTACTGGATTAATGATTTAGAAAACTTGCAGGCTTCTCGCTTGGTGGGTCTATTTAGAATTCTTTCAAATAAGGCTTTTGATTGTCGGACCTTGAGACACACATCGCTAGAATACTAAAGACTTCTAGGTACAATATGAATCTCATTAACATTTAGAGAACAGGTCGTAATGTAGTACGCTTGGTTTAGCGATAGACAGGTGTACAATTTCTACCCCAGAGTTCCTCGAAGCTACAAAACATCGGTCTGACGGCCAGGTAGAACAAATGATCATGAGATCCGGAATTCCAGGTGTCCAGCCTTATCATGGCCAAGGGATAGTGATTGGAGCTGCGGTAACATCCCCCTTCTCAACTTCAGACCAGCCTTTTTTGATGTGGCAATTCTATCACCAGAGTCTCTGCCAGCGTCCCTCTAGCTTTCTGTTGATATTTCCAGATGATTATCTGCTCGTTATCAAATATTATAAAGATAGAATTGGTCTCAGATGTGGCTCTTGAGGTCTTCATTTTGTTATTCGGTTTTGCAAGCTGGACTTTGATGTGCTTGTTCTCCACTCACCTGATATGGAATGGGTCTGACAAGTCAATATCGATTCACCCCATGCCTGTGCGCTTTTTCTCCCTTGAATCCAATCCTAATATTGACATCGTTCTAAGAGACGTGCGTTTTATAATTCAACATACAGCCAAGCATTAAACCATTCGCAGGTCAATAATGCACGCCAAGCCATTCTTATAAAGCGTCAATCTATTCATTTGGATGGCTTCAGAATCCAGAAATCTAAAATGCAGGTCAAAAAGGATCTTAATGGCGCATTTCTCACCATTGAAAGTATAAAAGCCGCCATGAAGAAGTAAAGAAGAGAAACAATATAGTGATTAATGGGGGTAGATATATATAGTACAGTGAGTGGCACTTCTCTGTAAATGGCGGATGTGGGTATGGGATGATTTCCTATTGCGGCGGCACCTGAAGGGAAATAACCCACTATATGCTGTAACCACCCTATAGCTCTGTAGCATATTGTGGAGAGGCAATATTTGCAATAATATTGAAATAGTTGTAGTGAAGAAGTGAAGCTATCTAAACTATCGAAGCGTGCGTTTGTGTTGTTGTTGTTTGGCGAGCGGATGCCTAAGACATCTTACAAGCCTTGATAGGACCCCTACGGTTGATTCGCACCTGGTTCGAGACCCGACTGATAACTGACCCATGTTCAAGCTAATTAGAGCGTGATGTGGTTGGCGCCGACGTATTTGGCTCTACAAACCCCAAGTGTCCAGCCTGCAATGACTCCGGAAGAAACGTGGAAGAATATATAGTGATCCACGGCTTCTCGTACTCCACAAGGAATCTTTCTGCCAGTTGTACGTTTCCAATGGGAGATGAAAGATTGTTATGTTGACATCCGGGCTTAATTTTCACGCCATTAAACCGGTCTTCAATCCACTGGAGCCAAATCCGTTGTGAAGCATATAATGAAGGATTATGATCTTGCCCAGCCACTGAAACGTACTCAATACTTACATTATTCTTCTGGGAAGCACAGGTATTTTTGAAGCCTAATGCAGATCCTTCAGGTATCACGACAGTGTCTGCAGATCCTTGAATGATAAGCATTGGGCCACCTAATGGCCGGCTGCCTACAGAGTAATCTCTTGCAAAGTCCACTGCTTCTTGAGATAGTGGCCAGGATGTGTTTGAGTAAATGTCCTCGGCGGTAAATGTGCCAAATGCTGCGAACCCCGCATCGTTACAACCTCCGATTGATTGAACATACTGAAGGACCTGCAATGGCACTGGGTTGAAAATGGCGGTAAGATTAAGTCCGTTTAGGCGAGATATGGTAAATGCAAGAAAGGCAGTGAAAACCGATGATCCAACTGGGGCTGTGTTTGCAATAGGAAATGGTGGAGGCGCTGCAGCGATTGTACCTAGAAAGCCAGGAATCGGACGAATAGCTTGCCTCTCCCCAATTGCCCAGGCAACACCCCCTCCCTCAGAGTGTCCAAATGAAACCCAGTCTTTCGACAGTTGGGGGAACGCAGATTGCGCTGCCATGACGCTATAAACTACATCATTGGCGTGCAACTTAAAAGCAAGGTAGTTAAAGGCTTGATCGCTACCTAGCCCAACATAATCTGCAAGTACCACTGCGTAGCCCATAGATGCTAGAGTAAATACCGCGCGGAAGTCATACTGGAGATTTCTCTGAATTGACACTGCACACTGGCGGACAATACCACTAGTACCATGAGCCCAAGCCACCAGTGGAAATTTATCTGAATTGCGGAACGGTTTTGGCGTGAATGGCCAAAGGATTGCGGCCGTGGCTGGGACCACTTGGCCAGAATTGTCAACCGAAGTATACATGATCCTACTCAGCGACTGCCCTGGGGGGATATCATATAAGCTAACATTAGTGTGGTGCTCGACCTTGAGGATTTGTCCTGGTTTAGCCTGCGATATATTCGCTGGGGTGGCATAGAAAGGGTCATCCTGTATCGGATACGTGACAAAATTCGGGAGTTCTGTTAGAATATGGCTGGCTGAGATCCTGTTTTCGATACAGTGAAGGTCCGTGGAGGAACATGATGTCAGATCAAGCTGACAAAGAGCGGTTGCCGCGAGGCTGAGGGATAAGAATATTCTTCTGTACATGATGTCTATGACCATTGAAGTTTGAATAAGTACCAGCACTTGTTTTGCTTCTAGTATGTATCTTTTATATAACTCTTCATTCGCAACATCTATTATTGAAGATATACATTTAAGGCTGATTTTCATTGGGCTTCTTTGTACTGGGGATTTTCGATGCGGAGACTAGTATGTTTTCAGAAGTTTTGGTCAACTGAACGATCTTTTATGTGGGTTTACAGGAATGATGGCGCAATTTCGATTTCAAGATTTAAGAACTGGGATATTACGGCCGTTGTGAGAGAACCTCGGACAAGGTAGAGCGAGAGTATCATAGGAAACTTTATGTCTCGGTTTATGTGGACCTGGAACCGTAAGGTTTCCCCATGGGGTCACAATTAGCTTCTTAGTTTTGCAGCAAAACAAGTAAGTTTAAGTTAACTAACGCAACTTAACTATGAAGTGCTATGTAATTAGTAAGCAACTTGCAATATGATGCTCGCTCCCCGTCCGGAGAACATACACCGAGATGCATAAAGGCGGGGCTACTCCAGGGCCAGTTGAAACATCTGTCTTCGGGACATATGGGATTTTCGTTAATTTGACTCCGCAATTGTTTGCGGGACCGGGCTTGAGACGGAATAGGGGCATTTGTAAGCGAAAAATTCAGCTTTCAATTCAGTTAAAAGTTGCAAGAGTTATTAGCTAAGTTAATGCACTGCAAGAGATGTCTAGTTTCCCGGACTGATGCTTCGCCTGCAGGATTTGGTAGAGTCAGTCGCCAGGCGGAATTTGTCATTCCCCGACAACCACTATTAAACTACTCCGTAACTGGTTACCAGTTGGAGATGAGAGTAAAGTTTCATTGGAGGGTTACGGGCTTGCTCACAGGACAAGAATTTTATCTATATCCATTGGGGATTTATGAATATGGAATGGGGCTAAATTTCGGTAATAGTGCTACTGTGGTTATTTAAATGAGTTTGGAGAGGCTAAACTCACAATATAAATTGTTAAAGATGTGAAGAGTATGATTAATATGCCTGATAAATAATATGTTCTTCTAGCTACAAACCCTTTATCTTAAAGTCAATATATTTTTTTCCTTCTAGATTAAGGTATGAGTTGTATGAGGTATCATTTATATATTTTCCGATCCAATATTGCGAACGACAACACTAAGAACACGATCCAAAAGGCGTTTCTTGCCACTGGAATTACCACGGTTCCTATCTATCCTGGGGTGGACTTTTCGGCTCCGCCTAATGAGGAGGATCCTGCTGGAGCTCCGTTCTTCGGACTTCTAGGACATATCATGAGCAGGACCTGGATACCTCTTAGCGCAGCATCGGGCAATGTTTGGAACCAAAACAATTACCAAAATCAAAGTATGGAACCAGAAAAATAGCTGGTCCGCAGGTGGGGATCTCCGCGATTTAGCCCCTTGTATGCTGCTTTTGTCCAAGACGTTTCTAGCATCATCACTAGGTAATACGATGGCTACTATGAATGAAAATAGTGCAGGAGGTATGAGCTTCGGGTCACATATGGTGCGAGCACTTTTCGTTGCGGGCCGCCCTATAGTAGCATAATTCTCGTATCGATTGTCTTGTACCGCAAATTTCTCCATATGTACCATTACTGTGATGCTTCCTCAAATGAAAGATGCCGTCGGTTGGGATTTTCATGATATCTGACTAGTTTCGTATCTTCATCTTCACTGAGAACACTCCGCCAGGTGAAAGCTATTCTAGTGTACATAAAGCCTTGGATGTTAAAGAATCCCATATTTTCCATTCTCTTTTCACCCCACAGAGCAAAGTCATATTTTAGATATGGTGCAAATGGGTGACCATCCAACGGAGAGAAATGATTATTCCTAAGGACTCGATATATTCTGTAAGCCGGCGAATCACTGTACCATCTAGCTTCCGTGATGCAACGACGGCCGTCATGCTCTTTAGGGTCCTTCCACAGTGCACATTGATAATGCGATTCGTAGATGTCTAGAGTTAAAATAGGCATTCGTAGTGAAGAGGAATCAAAATGACTCAGGCTCTCCAGGAATTCAACTATTGTAGAGACTTGTTCTGGGACATATCTAGGACTTTCTCTATAAAAGCCGGCTACATTAATACCTTCCAGAAGACTTCTATCGGAAGTTGACCAATGCTTTAAGCGACCCTGATTCCGAGCAGTTTGGAGCTCGGAAAAAAAAACGGACTCTCCACATACCTTGGATGGTCCGTTGTTCCTCAGTCCATGTGGGAGGGCCAGTAACCTCCATGGCTTCAATCCATTATAAGTAAATGTCGGATCAACTAAACACGACGGCTCCATTGCCATTAGTCGCGGCAAGTAATGATCTAAGCAGGAGGGTGAGAGAATATGGATTCGATGGTCTAGTGTCAGAAACTTGCGCAGGACGCTGGAGTTGGCATGTAGGGGTATATTCAAAGGTTTATATGTTTTCGACCAACCCTTAACTTCTTTTAGATTCTGGCAATGATAAGAAGAAGTGGAAATACAAATTGTCGCTTGTAGGAGTGGTCGCACTGGTTCTGGTACTTAGGTAGAGATTACAGTCTCCATGATTTTTGAGGCAGCTTCTTCAAAAATGGGGATGAACTTCAAAGCCGCATTGATCAAACTCCACAAGGCTGAAATATCAGTGGAGAATTTCAAAATCTCCACCATTATTTCAGGAGGCAGATCGTATATAGTGGTCTTTGAAAGGGACATGGTGGGCTACTTGGCGCGATGTCGAATAAATAGGGAACAGGAGCATGTAGAAATGTGAGGGCCCGGGTTCCGTGAGCAGGACCCCGCGTTTGGGAGTGACCAGCTAATGTCATGTGCCAATCAAGACTAGCTGACGTTTCAATGCACACTATTTTCGGTCGAGGCATTTGACATCTAGATGTCCTAGTTATTTAGATCAGAGAGTCGCAAGTTCATGTCGAAATATATCTCCGCGTCACGGACGTTCCAAGGTGAATGATTCTGTAAAACCTGCCAATATTTGCCATTACTTCTTGACGAAAACCAATAGACTTTCACAGTCGTTTGAGAGTCTGATATCACACGAAGACGTATAGCCCGTGATATTCCGAAGTCTGATAGCACTGGGAGCGGCAGGTTATTGGCAACAGGCAGAAGGGCAATGGGACGAGTCCATATCAGGATTAGCATATCATGTGATATATGTAATGTCATTGGCTACTATCTATCCAGGCTTGGGCCCAGATTGGAGCAGAAAATGGACTAGCTCCGGAGGCCACGTTTGAGGGCCCGCCTGAGAGGGATTGTGCCTGACATTTGTGTCACTGTTTATCTGCCATGTTCTGCTCTGTTCTGGTAAATCGAGTTCTGTTGGCCTTTTTGGACCTTGAAGTTGTATCACTGCTGGTGTTTCCAGTACATATTTCTTACGCGATATGATCTGGGCTCACAATAGCTCTGCGCAATAAGCCGATACAATAGAACGAAAATGGCATCATCCCACCACCTGATTACAGACTCTGAGAAGTAGATATATATTTTACTTCTTTTATATCGCCATATATTATTAAGAGTGACTTAATATCTCTAATATATTAATACAGGTTAAAAAAGCCTCAAATTTACTCCATCAGTAATACCTGCTCAATATAGCTAGGCGGTTCACTAACAAATGGATTAATAAGATAGGTAAGATTCTTACCATAACTAAGGCCTTTAACATATTTGCTTACTTTGTATGAACGGCGGTAATTATTTTCTTTGTTATTTATTAAATCGACAGATAGTCATATATCGAAATATTTTGGTCTGTTTTAGGATAAATACAATTGATTTTCGAGAACATTGAAGGTGATAATTGTAAGCAAGTCTTGGCATTATGGAAGTAGTTCTAAATAGGTAAGGATCCAACACGAAGAGATCCTTTAGTTAGGCGGCAGACTAAATCCTATTTTTTTTTTAAATTGTTTTTTTCTGTGAAAGCAATACTCCATAGCGAAGAAATCCAAAATTCAAATAAAGGTGTATATGAAAAGTGGACTTTTAAGAACTATGTTCCGCTCAGGATACGTTCCCTGGCTTATTGCAGTCCTGATCTTCCCGGCAGCGTATACAATAATCGGCCTTCAAGCACTCAACGGCACTTTGGACGCAATTGGACAGCTGTCAACATCGTCTCCGCGGATTCTTCCTCGCATAGACAGCAATGAACGTGTGCGCACGGTATACACAGGCTTAGGGCTCATAGATGAGACATTAACTAATCTTGTGCTTTTCTTTTGGAATGTCATTGATGGGACTTACGCTCCCATCGCAATCTTTGCACTATGGATGGCCGGACAAATTGTTTGTGTATTGGTTGTTACTACGTTGGAGGGCTATAGGAAGGTTAACCATAAGAAAGCTATTTCCTAGTTAGTATTTCCTCTCTTTCAAATACTCGCGAACGATGAACGCAGTTGAACTTATTTACTTAGTTTCTCAATTTGGGGTATTCTCTATCAGAATATTCCATGGGGAGTCATGATGCCTATATATTATGCTCTTCATTTGGTAACCTCACCAACAGCTCAGCCCCATATATCTTCTATAGATAGTAAAAGTAGAGGCATAAGAGAGCTGGTGCACTTCGACACTTTGGCATTGCGTGTGTTGCCATTTTCTGTGCTGGTAGGCTGCATTTTACCGACAGCTCTGCTCGCTCTTCCATCGTCTTCATTTATAAGCCATGATTTACGCCAAGTTTTGATTGCTTTCTGGCAACCATTTCCTGTGTGGGTTGGATTGTGTCAGGTAATTTTTACCGCATGCATTCGACCTAGTAACCGGACGGGAAAAGACCTAGTGGAAAAATCTCGCAAAATTGTTACTAGGATATGCACCCTATCGCTCTCCTTGACACTATTTATCAATGTTACCATATGGTATTTCATCATTGTTTCAGGGAGCTATTCCTGGGGCGAATCATTCGGCGGGTCAAGCCTTCTTCAAAAGTCTATAGAAGTCTTTGTCCCGGTTCCATTGTCTGAAAAAGTTACTGTGGAAACATTGCCTAAGGGATGCCTTTCTCTACTGCAATATGACGCTTATTTTGCTTGCGGCGCCTCCCTGATCTGGGCTTGTGTTTTGTATTGTCGAGTAGTCGGGGAACTAACGCTTTCGGACCTTATATGGGGACTTGTGATTTCCTTGATATGCGGACCGGGAGGAGCAGCATTGTTCATATTGTGGAGTAGAGATGAGAAGATTTTTGATCGAGATTTGAAGAAGGATTGATCTATTTTGGCTCTTATCTATTGCAGGATTTCAAAACTTGAAGAATTGATTGGTCAGATACCCTTCCATAGATGTTGTTTTGCGATCATCTATAGTCAAGGATTGCTCATAATCAACTGCACAACCATGCACTTGATTTTAGAGGCTATTGCTAATCCAAGGCTCGAATACGACCTTGAAGCTTGAATCGTTGGAAATAAGCAATTCTTTTCGTTCCTATAGCATGCATCCATGCACATTTATCAACTATATAGTGTTTACTTTAAACTATATAGCCCTTTTTAAACGTCCACGACCAGTATTGGTTACTAATTGACGACTTTAACTGGGATTGCTTTACCCACAGCGAGCCGTCATGTGTTCAATCGCTCATATCAAGACTTTAGTTCAAACTTCACACACTTTCAATGTTGATCTCATTGGATGAATTCAACCAAAATAGTCGCGGTGATTTGATTTGATTTCATTTCAATTAACGATTTTCATACGGCGTACTGGGGGATCATCTGGAAATCAGCTCGGCTTCGCGGAGAGCGGAAATCTAGGTTGCGCAGCAAAAAACCGAGTAAAAAACCGACTTATTTAGAAGATCTAAAGTCAATCGACTAAAAAATTGATTAAAAAACAAAAAGAAAACATACAACAACTGGGATTCGCTGGTGGTCACCCACCCAACTACTAACCAGTCGGCGTGTGGCTTAAGTACGGCTGAGCGGACGGGAAGCCCTGTTTTCCACACCCTATGGTCGTATGTGCTATGAATAACTTGGAATAGAATTATATAATTACCATATACTATGCTCAGGTGCTATATACCACGATGCCTTCAACCGATATTATTGCTTGACATCGAATATGGTAGAGTTGAAAACACTAGGAGATGTGAATGAATAAAACAGACTTTGCCTTGGCTATGTTCCGATTGAGCCAAAAAGAGGATGTTAGCTTGCCAACCTAATAAATTTCTTATGAAGATTTAAGGTACAAAAGGACTATTTGGGCAAGGAGGCACAAAGAAATCCAAGTCGGTCGGGTACGAGGTTCCATTCGGGCTTGTAATAGTAAGCCTGTTCAATGCCGGCCCATAACCATTGGCGTAGATGAACGTGATAAGCATGAATTCTCCCGGTACCATCGAGTAACTGTAAGTATGAGGCAAAGTACTTGGCTGCGTGTAAGAAACGCCGCCATCGGTGTTGTTGTTCTCGTAACTGGAATATGCCTTTTCTCCTCCCCAAAAGAAAATAGCATTATCCTCACCCAGATACGGTGCAATCGTATAATTGCCGTATTGAGTTGCGTGCAGATAGCCCTGGAATACGACGGTCCATTGGGAGCAATCAGTAGCTTCTACCTGTCCAGGTAGCTGACATAGTATGGTAGAATAGCTAGGATAGTTCTCGGACTCGAAGTTGATCTGTTGGGTTGTACCGTTGGTGTAGTAGCTGTAATTTCCATTCCAGTCAGATGTTTCATAGCCACCACCACCATAGCCACAGGATCCACATCCCTGGTCCCCATCGGGATAGAAATAGTCGTTTAAGTATTGATAATAGTTTACGCCTGTAGTAAGTTACATCAGTTAATCCCAAGGACAAGTATGAAAAGGGACACGTAGCAACACACACCCTTATAGACACTTGGAGTAGGGAGGATCTATGTTTCTGTAACTGTACTAATTATTGTGGGGGTGATTGTACTGGTGGCGACAGCAGTAGTCGTGATGGTCTCAGTGTCAGTACTAGAAACGCGTGTCAGTAGAAAGGTCATATTTAGAAAAAATTTGGCTAGCTGACATGACATTAAAAGATCCTGTAATCTTGGTACATGGCAACCCCGACAACGAAGGGGGTACAATTGTTATAGTCGGTGCTGGTGGGCAGCTCAATGAGGAGGCGGTAATAGTCACTGCATCGTCGCGCTTCTCCAAATGTAAAGGTGGGAGAACATATGGTGGAATAGTTGTTGCAGTCGGCAAGCAGTCAATTGCAGTAGGTGTAAAGCTGGTGATGGTTATGGTGTCGATCGATATCTTGTAAAGACATTAGAGATGATTACCAACAGACTGCGAACTAAAGAAGAAGCTGGGAAAAATACCAAGGGCAATCCAGTTACAGTGACTGTATTGGTCGCCTGAAAGTCGAGATTAATCAGAATACTCTGACATCCTGCGGGGGAAATGAGCATACCGAGGTCACTGTCTCCGTAGCTGTCACCGTATAATCGCCAGAGAGAGACCAAGTTGTAGTGGATGTACAACATGGAAGAGGAAATGGAACTGATAAAGCGGCCGTACTACTAAAGACAAGCGAGGCAAGAAAAGCCAAGGCCAGGAAAGATGCCATATCTGCTTTGCTCATAATTAAAGAGCCATTATGAGGGGCGTGAATATCAAGAGTGATTAGCTTTCTGATTTGATTCTGGGTAATTGTTTGAGGCCATGGCTACCTTGGGGTCTTTAAATACTTTTTTGCCAGAGCCTAGATACTAATTAATGTAGAAGAAAATCCTTAAGCATCATAATCGAGCGTCGGTAACATTTTGCAGGGTGTGTGATGTAGAGAACCGATGTGGCTGGCTGGTAAGTCGCATCCTGCAACAACACTTCACTCTCCGTTAGTGGAAATCTAAAAAGAGACCGGTTGACAGGGTAATATTAAAATTTATAGGTGGAATAAATAATACTAACACACTTGTGACCGTTTCCTGACTCTGGGAAGAATGATAAAGCAAAAATGAAGAAACTAGACGGAAATGAAATTCCGTTTAGGGACAAGTAACTAATAGTAGATTCTCAGCTTATTGCATTCAACCACAGAAGCTTATTTTTGAGCATTGTAAGCTAACATGATAGGTAGGACAGCTCATGCAGCTAGCTTAATTCTAGTTGACGAATTTTTGCCCTCCGACTGACTAGAAAGGCGTAAACTAATATCGTCAATTTCTAAAGATAAAACCTAGCTGGATTTTGCTACACAGTCAAAACTCGACTTTTACGTAGGTTACATACGTGAATAGACAGTAACAAAGTGGGAATTTAATGGATATTGATTCTCGTACTAATGGTAACCTTTCTCTATCTTTTTCAAAAAATTCCTTAAGAGGTTGGCCATTTAATAATATTTTGTAGCTAACTAAGAGACCGGGCTTCTCAGTATACTAATGGAAAATATTCCCTAACGGGGGTGATCGGCACGGCGCCACGGGAACTGGTGTTTGTGACAGTTTGACAGCCGGGTGGGGAAGACTGCGTGTAGTTGGTGATCCACGCTGATCCCTGCGACTTTCATCTAACTAATTACAAGGTTAAAACAGCAGAGAATGTGGCGCGCCGAATTCTGGAGACTTTATGCACATTAGCTGTTCAAGAAGCTTTTTAGTCAAGAGTTTTCGGCTGAGCTAGACATCAGCTAAGACCAGCTCATTGTATCATGACAAGAGTTTTCTAGTTGCCAAATATGTAGGCAAACTAAAAGTGAAATGCTCAGGAACTGCACAAGCTGAACTGTGTCACGCGAGCTAAGAGTACTTAGGCATTTACGTGACCTTGTACATCGCGCGATAGGTATGAAAAAAATCTGGTAGCCACCATAAGCAACCAAAGTGCATCTCCAAATGCTGATAATCGTCAATAAGAGCAACATAACCAGTCTGTCGAAGAGACAAATACAACCGCAGATAATGAAGAAAACCGAAGAGCAGTTGATCATGTAGAACAAATTTCTCGCACGGGCCTGCGATCGACCATGCACGTAGTTAGTTCTATGGGGCTGGCAAATGCGAGAGGTATTTGTCCCATACATCCCTTTTCGGGGCTAACACTGACAGTGCAAAGTCAATGATCGCCTTGTGTCTAGTTTGCCCTTCAGCCAGGCAGCGCGCCAGACGTTAGGTTCTTGTTCTCACCAAAAGGGTCGGCGTTCATCTGAAAATGCGAGCTTATCATATGACTTGTCTCTACAGGATGGGATGCTCATTGGTCAGCTCGCATGGATCTTGTCATCTCAATCAAAATTACTTGACTATCTAACTACCTAGCAAATTTTCAAATGTCGTCCGAAGACTGACCGAAGCCTTACATGCTCTTTGAGGAAGCTTCGAGGGCCTATTGACATAATCAGCACGTCCAGGATTGTTTTTTCATTCAGTACAGAGTATTTACGGTAGCATTTGAATAATCATTATTCTTGCCTTTAAATGCGATGTATCCGTAGTGTGAATAGCCCTGCCTCACTTCTTGTTCAACGTAGGATGGGTTCAGCAGCACGGATCCTATTGGATCCGACCCTCGGCATTGGAGTTCCGAACCATCCACCAAGGAGCATGTGTCCTGTCGAGTCCTAAGACTGTAACATTTCTAAGATAAATTGTACATTGCCTTGGCTGTCTGGAAATTGTTTGATCTGCGATGGAAACACCACGGTAGGGCAAACTGTCTGCTGTCTCGTCTGAGAAGGGAGAGGTGGAAACTCGTGGTTCTCGGACAAGATGAACATTCGTTTCTGATTTTCTCGTCTATCCGACCCCTGTGACCGTTTTTGTTTTTGTTATCTGCATGGAAACCAACTCCTTCAGTTTCCATTATTTTTCTTTGTTTTGGTCGTTTTATTTTTGCCCAGAATGGCTCGCTCTACTTCTGGGTTGGAAACTCGCTTCCTCCCGGGCCAAACGTGCTGCGGCCGGCGCAATCACCAATTCAGTAGGTAATTCCGCCAGCAAAAGGACCCGTTTGCGAATATAGTACAATGGTTTAGTACACCTCGTTGTGACAACATTTCCGGAAGATAACAACCTTCGAGGAAACTCGTGTTCTTCACGATATTCGCAATTTTTTGGTCTAGCGCGGGGATTGAATAATGTTGCAACTGGGCTTACAGTGCGAATATGGCACATTTCTGTATTTAACCTGTGTGAGTCTTGGCATAGCGACAGGTAAAAGAATGATGCTACTACTATACTACTACTACTTATAATACGTACCTCAGCACGGAGACCCCGCATTATTATACTGCCATAGACATTTGCATTGCACTACAGATAATTGAACTCCTTATTCCGTTCTTCATGCTTTTCAACTTACGCAAGGTTAACGAGTGCAAGCAAGGTTGGAAAACGAGGATGTTCTGCTCACTGAGGGTGACCTATGTCAGTTGCAGGTCACAGCCGATATTGGGGACATCGCCATTCCTGCGCGACGATAGTTGCAGAAAGGATGTCATTATGTGGTTTAGATAAACCTGGCTGAGTGTTTCTGTTGCTTGAATGTGAACGTCAAGAATTTTCAAATGCGTCTTATGTAAGTTGGTGACGGTCAGGGGTCTTTCCCACCGTGCACGATAATCTAGGCAGCGCGCTTTCCACTCAATACCATGAATGTGGCAAAGGCTGTTTTGCCTTCTAGTAGCAGATTACGTAGCTTAAGATTAGGGTTCGTCGCCATGATTTCCTTTAAATGTGACGAGATTGTTTCGGTCATATGAAATCGTTGAAAAAGAGCAACGCTTGAGACGAGCGTTTATTTAGGCTTCGAGGGAAAGGGACTGCCCGTTGGTTGTCCATGAAGCGATTGGGGACCATAGACGAACTCTCGGTATCTTTATCCGAGGAAAAAGCAATTAATCTCTGGTGAGGGATCTTGAGAGAAATTATGTGACTTCAAGTTCTCCCCTACTCCTTCCTAGTCGAGCTCGGCCCCCCGCCGCCGAAGGAGTCTCCATCGGGATGTTATGTGATTGGCTTTTGGACTTGTGCCGGCAGATGAGCACTCGCTCAACATAGAATTCGTAGTCGGTCTTATATGTTCACTGTTTCCTCAACGTAAGTGTCTGGTTGTTCGCTACGTAGAATATAACGTTTAACCTACTCGCGCATTGCAACCATAAAACTTCCATCATGTCTTGCGTCGTGGCTCTCGATACATTTGACCCGGTCGGCATAGAGTATATGCGCCAACTCTTTCCGGAGATCATCGAGCAGGGAAACCCCTTGCATCCTGAGTGGCTAGAACATGCCGTTGGACTCCTTGTAGCTAAGAGTCAAGTGACAGCAGATATGATCAAGCGAGCTAAAAAGCTGAAATTCATCGTCCGGCATGGAGCCGGCTACGACAACATTGACGCGGAGGCCTGTCGAGCAAACGGTGTGGTACTATGTAATGTGCCGGGCATCAATGTAAGCTCGTTTTGTTTCAATTTTGAAGAGAGAAACTCCTAGCTAAAATTCAAAGGCCGTCAATGTGGCCGAGGTAGCACTCGCACTAACGTGTGCGTGCGCAAAAAATCTTGTGGAAGTGACGCGACAGATGCGGGGTGGCACGAAATTGAACAAAAGGTGCGAGTCTATATATTCGGCTTCAGTGTTGACTGGCAAGACATTTGGAATTGTGGGAGGAGGGCGAATTGGGCAAATAACAGCGAAGAAATTGTATGTGAAGCACTTGAGGAAGATGAGAGTTCGACAAAACTAACTTCTGCAGCATTGGCGCTTTCGATGGAAATATTATGCTGTTAGTCGTGTTGCACATAAACGCTTTATAAATACTAATTATTTTTTAGGTATGATCCTTTCATTTCCGACGACAACCCCGGTACCTGGGCCTCAATCCCGCATGTCAAGGTAGACTCGCTAGACTCCATGCTGCCCGTCGTTGACGTGCTTTCCCTCCACGTGCCCCTTCTTCCGACAACTACGGGCATGATCCAGCTCCAGCAGCTCAAGGCTATGAAACCCACTGCTATATTGATTAATTGTGCTCGCGGTGGCGTTGTGAATGAGGAGGCGTTGTGGCGAGCACTCAGGGAAAATATCATCGCGTCAGCTGGTGTAGATGCCTGGGTGAAGGAGCCCCCTACCAGGGAGGTCTATGGAAATATTTTTGATTTGAGAAACTTGGTGATGAGCCCACATATTGGCGGCTCACCTGCGGAGGTGCAGACGGCAACTTGTAAGAGTATGTGTGACCATATGAAGGAGCTGATTGATGGGAAGCCACCGAGAGACAGAGTAGCGTGAAACATGTTGCTGAAGACAAGGCATCATTTCTGGGAGAAAATAAAGTATGGCGGGAGCTTCAAGAATATTTGAATTATTAGTTAAGTTAGAAAACACGGTTACTGCATTATATGAATTATTATGTGGACATCGGTGTTATGAGGGGTAAAGTTATGACAATCCTAACCCTAGAGTTCCATGCATGTTTCCCTTGTTAATAATAGCCTTTATCATTATTTAAAAATTTCTCTCTCCTGAATGGAGATTTTAACTTGATAAACATAGTATTTTAACGTCCGTTCTTTGCTCGCGATGTGGGTTGGAAAAGTGGTCTGCCTCCTCTTTTGGCACTCACTGAGCGTCCTTGGGTCGCCCTAAGTTGGCAGACGGTACTTAGGAGCAATCCCAGAACTGGGTTGAGTCTAATATTATCAATAGTTCAGATAATGTTGCAAGCCTACGGTATCGTCGAAAGGCGCTGTTGATTCAAGTGTTGTTCGCAGATCTATGGGCCGCAATAATTCGGATAATTTCTATGGTCTATCAATCAAAGAGACAGCATATTCCGTTTCTTATACAGCAATAGAACCAGACATGAAGAAAGGAAGCGTAAAATAAGGCCATCAACATTCTGTTCGGCCCAGCCTTAGTGACATTGAAGTCAATGTTATCGAAAATGGACCATTATGCGATGGCTGTTGGGATGCTTTCTCTTCGCCGGTCTATAATAGCCTCTTTCATGAAAGGACTGCGCGATCGAATTTCCTTGCCCCATTTGAGAACGACGAATGGAGTAGAAACAAGTAATAAAGACACGAATGCGAGGAGTGAGCTAGCCCAATGAAGGCCGAGATCTGTGTACATTGCTGTTGCAGCAAGAGGGAGGAAGGAAATGGAGATATTCTCGATTAAACCCACGGCACCGAGAGCGCTCGCCGCATACTTACTGTATGCATCAACCAGATAGTTTGCATTTCCTATCACAACAGCTGTAATTCCAAACCCGATCATGGTCAGTCCGACTGTAGGAGCCATCCAATGTATGGTGGAGAATGATGTCCATGCATACACAAACATTCCACCAGTGACACCAAATAGCCCTCCAATGATCGAGGCATATAGTCTAGCCTCAGGGATAGGCGTACCCGGAGTCTCGGTATTCCGTACAGCGGAAGCGTAATACCAGTGATTTGTGAACATGCAAAATGCACAGCCCAGAATTTCCCCGACGACAATAGCAATTTGAACGTACCCAGTCTCTACAGGCCCCCAGCCGTATAGCTCTCCATACACCTGCTCGACTGACTGAGTAAACAAGTAGATTATTCCTAAAATAAAGCCGGCCCAGAGAGCAGCTACAAAAACCACTGATTCCGTGCATAACATGAAAAGAGGTCGTTGTATGCTCCTGATCAAAACCTGATATAACGGTGTATTATCAAACTCCGCTACTGTATATACTTTCCTTCCCTCGCGACGCAGCTTTCTGGCTCTGGCAAGCAGGATGGCGGGTCCACGGGTTTCGGGAAGGCCAATAAAGAGAATAGGAAATAGAACGGTGGTCCAAACCAATTCAATATATCCAATCCAGCGCCAAGGAAGAAACTGAAGTATAGCAGAACCCATTGCTGGGCCCATACTGGTTGCTGCAAGATAGACCGTAACGTAGAGACATATCGGAATGCTCCTGGCTTGATCTCCGTAAAAAACATTCGATACAATGCCGGCGACGGCGTCGCTCATGAGCGGAACGCAACCTCCACTAAAGAATCGCACTGCAACAAGAGTTGCAAAATTTGGAGCTAGGCCGACTGGAATAAGAAAGCAGATGAAGCAAAAATAGGTGACGAGAACTACTGGCCGGATTCCGAAGTCTTCCATGATAGGAAATAAGAAGAGGGGGCATACGGATGCTCCCACTCCCCAAGAAGTAACGGGCCAGTATGAATAAGGAAAGCTTTTATCTGAGATGTGAAACTCGTCGTTGATTGACTTGTGAGCAACAGTGAGAATGGTTCCGTTCACAGAACAGATAAAACTTGCAACAAGGCCGAGTCCGGTTGCCCACCATTTTTTCTTTAACGGCCAATTGAAAGGGTCTTGGGGGTCATGTGGCCCATTCCAGGTAACAATAACAATGTTTGAATCTAGAAATGGCATTTTATTTCGTGATTAGGTTTGTACTTACAGGTATTTTAAGGAGATTCAAATGAAATGGTATGTATAGACTAACGTTCAGAATTGGAGATAGGTACCACCCGCTCACTCGTCCCAGGTTTATCCATTGCAATTGGTGCTGGAAATAACAGATTTTGCTCCAATTACCCCGACGTGAATAATATAGCTATACCACCAAAACGACAGTGATAACAGTATTGAGAGCTGCCACCGTTAATTTTATGTGGCGAGTTGAAACGAAAATTTAAACGATGAGAGAAGAAGTAGGATTGACGAGAGCTAGGTATAGTGAGCAGTCGATAGATAAATTGATCAATTGATGTACCAGTAGGATAAGAAAGACGGAGCCATGGTATATGTAGTCGGAGAATCGTCGAGTTTAAGTACAGTGACTCCTGTCTATCTATATCCAGACTATGACTGAAGCGGTAATTGACGAAAGTGGTAGTAACTTTTTTGGCTAGTCTTAGATTTCCCTTTTGGACTAAAAAGCTGTACGTACTTACTTTCTAACCCAATTAATCTTAGAATCTAACAGTTAGTGTCGGTTAAGTTCCCCACACCGCTGACTAAGGAAACAAGCAATTTCCTGCGAATCATCAAATGCTACGCTTTCAAGCTCCTCGCCTCTCAGCCATGAGTTACCAGGCCAAGCATCGATGGTGACGTACAGTTCTGATGCAGAGAGCGTGATTACTGGGATGATACCCGATTTAAAGTCTTTACGGGATGCCCGAGAGACATCTATCTTGGCAGCCGGGATTTTCCCTATCTAGAAAACCGGCGAAAAGACCCACAACGCGCAGGACAAACCGAGGAGAAGCACGAATTGCATGCAAACCGTTGCAACTTGAGTTCATTATCGAGCGACCTAACAGAAACCATGAGACCAACAAATCTTCCTCGGTGACCAATTGCTCATATTCAAAAGCGCTACTGGGACCTACCACTGCTTATCAGGCAAATTTTGGGTCTAATGGTATGGTCACCTTCGATAACCGTTTCAAATGCTTAATATAATACTTGTGCAAGGCTAACATGGATTTAATCTCCTAGTCACTGCCTGTGAAGAGACTCGGCATTCGACCGAGACGCCATTCCGACCTTTGGGCGATGAATCACTGATTAGGAATGACGACTCATGTGACGTGGTGACAACTCATAAGAAGAGCTCTTATCCTATCTCTATTCCGCCGACTGTACTGTACAACAACCTTTTTCAGCGCTTTCAGCCTATCCTCGATAGATGTGTGTCTATTTCCCTCATACCTCATCCTGCCATCGTTTACTAAGAGCTATAAGATAACGACGATTTTTGCAAAATCCCATTGACTACTGATTTACGAGCGAATCCCTTTCAATACCGAAAGGATCTCGACCCGGAACCCGCTTGTTTAGTCCACGCTGTAATGGGTTTAGCTGGCCATCACGTCGAGAGCCGATCTTCTCAAAGTCATCGCCATGTGGCACTTCAGATGCTTCGCGAGGGTCTCAGTATCTACAGTGATGCCAGAGATTGCTACTCTATGCTCGATACGATCATCATTATATTTTCACTAGACGTAAATTGCGACCCTTTCTCCCCCATACGGCTCTAGCCTAACTTGAACTGACAATGCCTTCTAGGAGACTCAGTCTGCCCTCGGAAACTGGAAAACACATCTCTTAGGGGCTTATGGTCTCCTCGAAGCATGCGGTGGTTTCGAAAATTGGACGATGTCCTCTAGGTTAGAGGTACAAATAGGATTGCTTACATGGTATGTAAGCAAATGTCGTTAAAACATGTGAATCCTTGCTTACCTTATAGGTGGGATGCAATAATCAGCTTAGTGTCTAGGGAAGTCTGCGTGTTTCCTTACACATACTTCGAAGCCATTCAGTCAAACAATAGTGGTCCAAATCGAGAATGGGATTACTTTGGGCTATGCGGGTGCCCATTGAGTCTCGTCAAGATAGTTATGCGACTGGCACGCCTGAGCGCAAAAGAGCAGATTTCAGACTCGGTGGAACAAATAGAACTTTACACGAGTGTAATATCGGGAATTGAACAGTCACTTGAGGCCTGGAACTATACTTCCCACGAGTCGACTTTTGACAGCGAAGAGTCTATGCACCAGGACCAAGATCGTATGCACTGCTCCGAAGCCTGGAGGAATGGTCTTCTCCTTTACATATATAGGGTGTTCTATTGGAAGCCTGGAAGCGACGTCCCGATGCGTATTTTATACCGCGCAAGAGTCATTGTGGACCACATTTTTGCGTGTCGAGATGAAAACATGGTTTCCAGACAGGCCTTGTTACCGCTCATCTTTGCAGGCTGCGAGTTGACAGAAGCGTCTTTGCGGCAAAAGATTATTAAACGCTGCTCTGTTTGGAATGACAGAACCAGGTATTATATATTTAGCAGCGCCATACCTCTTCTTGAAGAGGTATGGGCTGAGCAAGAGAAAAGAGGATTTGAGAACGTGTGGTGGGGACAAATAGTGGATAGACAGCACATGTCGGAGTCTCATAATTCTCTGCCAATGCGAATTTGCTTTGGATAATTAAGCAAAATACCCAATCATCCTGTGGGTTGGAAAACACATGTAATACTCTAAATATGAAGTAGACAAACAGATGAAAGGCCCTCCGCCGAAATCCTGTCCGTTCTCAATTTCAAGGACCCCCTGGCATTTCGATGCTACTAGGAAGCTTCAAGGCAAATTACACACTACATACATACATACATACGTGCCCACCTTATTTGTCGTTTTTCGTATCGTACATTTAATGCTGCTTATTCCACCTGTCCCAGGACTAATTGGGACAAGGCCCGTAGCGAAGGTTCAACCCACAGGTGTTACGATCAGCACAAATATGAATTTGTGGTACCATTGAACTAAAATTCTAAGCATGAGGAAGGAATTATGTACAGCCACGCGCGTCGCGGATAGATAGCCAGTGTGGGACACCTGCCACGAGGCACCTGCCCCACTAACCTCAGCCCTAGCAGGCCGTTACAATAGCGAGCCAAACGTGATTAATATGGCCATGTATACTAGACAGGTTGATCCTTCTTATGGTGGCGGTTGAATGGCGACTTCGGCTACTTGGCCGACGCTTGGATAAGAGAAGTGTTTGAATCCTTGCACAGACTGAGGTAGTAATTATGGCTGCAAAACCCTTATTTCCGTATTCGAGGTTTCAATAGGGGTCCCCGCAGGGACGAACCCAGACGGTACTGGTGGGGCTTCAAAATTTGATGTCCAAACGGTACCTAAGCGATCTTGGCTCCCTGGTCCTTTTTGAGAAGGGAAGAGAGGAGACAAATCCGTATTGAACTGCGTTGGCGAGTTAGGACTGGTGAAGGAATAAAACCAACAAATACACAAATGTATTATATAGCCTTTTCCTGTAACCGATTGCATCCAATGTGACTATCAAGTGAAATGATTCAGGATTAATCTTCACTGACCGTACCACTAGACCGTCCTAAATCGTACTATGGATAGAGCGTATCTAGGAATTCGCGAAAGGTTGCACTTGAACTGAATAATTCCAAGCACGTTTTGCCTTGCGAGTTAACCAAGTTGGTCAACGCACCCGCTTTCACGAGTAATTGGAAGACCGTCAGACATTCCCGCGGACTTCTGATATGCATGTTCTGCATGGCTAAATGATGAAGGGCTGTATTGTGTTCTGAGTCCCCGGCATTGACATCTACTCCTCCCTTTACAATAACATCAAAAAGTTCCGTGCGAGGTTTATTCTCGCCAGACATCGCAACTCGAATTAACGGGGTTTGCCCCGGTTTGTTTCTGGCTTCCAGATCCGCCCCGGCTTGAATGAGGAGAGTGACGGCCGTGGAAGAAGCAAATGCTACTGCCCGATGTACTAAGGAGTGGAGGCCATAATCAGGATTATCGTCATAAAAGAAACAAATTCAAACCAAATTGAACTTACACGGGGTGTCCCCCTTGAATATCCGGCCCAGTACTTCTCGAGAACCACAAACATGAAGATCAGCCCCAAATTCTAGTAAGACTTCAAGCATCTCTATGTTTTTAGGGTGAGTGCATGCCACTAAAAGCGCTGACTCGCCTCTCAGATCCAGATCATTCACGTTGACTATCTGGCTTGCCAACAGATCACGTACGAAGCCGGGCTCGGAGGCATGATTCAAAACTCCACTGGTCGATATATCTAACTGGCTGAGGTGTGGACGTAGAAGCTCAACCATATCCATACAAGAGGCTTGGGCGAATGCGCTAGGAGTGACATAGGCCCCTAACTCAATAAGCAGTCGGCATGCATCGATTTGATTATACATGACAGCGCTGTGTAACACAGTGTCGTCCTCGTAGGTCGGGATGATGTAGTTACAGTCGGCTCCACGGTCTACTAAAAACCGAATGAGCGTGAGATCTCCAATCTCAGACGCCTGATGGAGCTTTTGTTGGTGCTAGTTAGATACGGTACATTTGATTATGGAAAATAGGGCCCTAGAGAGTCAGACTTACTATCGTGCCGCCCATTTCCATGAGCCATGAATGAATATCATAACCCCCTTGGCTCAGCACCAGGTCGATGACCTCGTAATCCTTTTCGGAAATGCTCCGTTTCAGCCACAGTACGAAATTCAAAAGAGGGCCTCCCATCTCACCACGGGTGGTCACGTCGGCCCCATTCTGTAGGAGCTCCTGGACAATGGCAACGTGCCCATTGTGGGCGGCAATGTGCAGGGCTGTTTTTGGTCCCACTGGCGAGACATCCCTCCGGTCGATATCGGCGCCATGAGAGATAAGCAATTGGACAAGCTCGAGATGACCGCATTCAGCGGCTCGGTGCAGGGCTGTTTCGCCTTCCCAGTCTTCCCACTTCGGGCACGCATTTACATTGATTTCTCCGCTAGCCAGAGCCTCCTGCATCGCTTGCATGTCTCCCGACACGGACGCATTGAAAAATTTTCTGTAGTTGAGTGTGTCAGGTGCCCAGATCGGCGGTGCCCATGGTCGATCGACCTCTTCCATTGTTGCAGACCCAAGTGAAGCGATTTGATAGTGCCTTTTTAATCGATATCGAATTACGGTGCCCGGGATGTATTGGTGACTAGAATACAATACTAGCCTGATACGCGCTTTTTGAGAGGGTGGTGTTCTTGCCACTATACTAAACGTAGAAAAGAAAGAAACAGGCCGTGTTAACTGCGGGATGAGTGAGGCAATTTTACTAAATACAGCGCCAAGTTGGGTGTTTCTTTTCTGGACTGCCCACGTGACCCTACTAACCCAAGAAAAATGCCCCAAGGAAACCAACACTGTTGTGGATTTCATATTTACGCGCCCGTCACTTTGCACATGCATGCATGAGAACATGGTATCTCCTAGTTATCGAACCCGAGGTGACGAGCGGGTGACCGGCCCCGTCACTTTGCATATGCATGCATGAGAACGTGTTAGGCGCCTCACATCCAGTCATAGTATCAGCCGCAGCTAGTCCAATTAAGGAACAGTCTCATTACCTTTATGCACATGGACAGATTGATGCTGATGCAATCTGATGCACTCTTCCCGCAGTGAAATAAAAAGAGCCACGCGCCAAGTGAACCCGGTTATCAATTAAGTCAGGAAGTGCCGGGAATTGCTATTTTTCTCCGATAGTTGATCGCTCTCGCTTTAAAATGGTGTCCATATTTTCTCTCTTTACAACAACCTCGAACTAACAAACAGCCCCCCTTCTTGACTGGCATTGCATTTGATCTGCCAGTAAATATGTTTCTGCTCAGGGCTCGATTACTATATTTCTTGATAACCACCGTAGCGAGTCAAGGACCGGATACACAGCCTCTCAAATCTAAAGGAATGGGAAATGGCAACATGCTATATCATGCCAACGGCCAGAAACCGTTGCAAGAGGAGGCTAACCTGTACGGCGACTGGAAGCTCTTTCAGCCCAATGGAGGAATTGCAGTTTTGGATGTAACAGTATGTACACATCGCAGCGCTGACCAGTTGATTTCCACACGCACACATTGCGACGCAGACTCTTAACCATGTTGCCAGAATAACCTTACCATAGATCTCGGGTACTTCATCCAAGTGGGTTTCGGCACTCCGGCTCAACGTCGTCCCGTAATGTTGGACACGTCGTCCCTAAATACTTTTATACTTTCAGTTAATTGCAATTCGTGTGCTGCCGCCACAGATGACGAGAAAGGGTATAATTCAAGCACGTCATCCACCCACAAGGACAACGGAACGTTGGTGGATTTAGACTATATTTTCTTGACGTCTTCTGGTCGTGCCTCGCAGGATTCAATGGCTCTCGGACAGGTCGAGATTCAAGACCAGTGGTTCCAGGAATCTCTGCAGATGAACTGGCGGGGCGTTTCGTATGACGACGTATCCATCATTTACGGTATTCTGGGACTGGGAAACCCACATGCTAGCGATGCAGCTAAGGGCTTCACCTCTCTGTTGAAGAATGCCGCCGTTCAGGGCATTCTAGAGACCAATATCTTTGGATTGAAGCTTGCCGACCCCGGGCAACTAATGATAGGAGACGTGAATCAACAATTGTTCCATAATCCCATCACCTGGTTTCCTCTCAGCAACACCTCAACCAAACTTCTCCTGCCTGAGGCCTGGCAGACACACACAGGCGCAGGTGAAGTGAAGATTGCATTGCCAAGTGGACAGTACCGTGAATGGCGACTGGACGGCTACACAGCTTTATTCACTAGCGCTTGGCCCTATATTTACCTTGACCCGGACACTGCAGTCGGCCTGATGGAATTACTTGGCTTTGATTTCGACCAGTTTCTCCTTCCTCCAAATGTGCCATGTGCGGAGCGAGTATATATGCCCGATGTGTCTCTCACAATCGCCGGGCATACCTTTACCCTTTCGCCTTACGATTACACGATCGAGTGGACGTTTCCCGGAAGCCCGATGATTTGCGTCTCGGCTTTCTCCACCACCGACCTAGAAGAGGACTACGATCCCAAGCAGATCATTCTTGGCTCAGCATTCTTGAGAAAATATTACAGCATTTATAATTACGATTCCAAGGCTGTGGGCTGTAAGTCTCGCTCTTCTCTCCTGATTGACAGCGGTGGCTAACGCAATGACTCCCCATAGTCGCGTCTCTAGTATGAACGGGCCGTCGACTGAATTGCGTTGAGTTGGATTAATTGCAGTGTAATCAAGTTACCCAAAAGAAAAGGCCATTCAATCTGTCTATATCAAATATTGTGGCTAAACCTGCCAAATTTACCCATCAATTCAACGCAACAATCGGGACACTGCCATACTTTTATTGACTTCCCTCATGCCACCAAGCAGCCCATACCCGACCGCTGCTTGTCCATGCAACGTGTTTCTTATCTTTGTGCATATTATTTCTGCTCTTGACACCTGTACCCTCCATATACTAGGAGTTCCCTTTTTTTTCGAGAAATAAGAAACGAAAAGAAAAGAAAACAAACTAGCTTTACAATGTCCCAATCCGGAGATCCTCTCTCCAAAAAGACATCTTGATAAACTTGGTCGTTCCTGTAGTACGTGTCTATATAGCCAAGACCGGTAGTTAGTTTCGTAGTTAGTTAACTAATTAACTATTTATTATGTTAAACTTTTTAGGCTAATTCTTTTAATTCTAACCACATGATTTTATTGCCTGTGAAATAAAGATCTCTTCCCTGAGAGAATCGCATTGTGACACCCATGCATTTAGAGATAAATAACGAATAATTACATCATCAGCTAGAAGAAATTGTCAAGGAAGCAATTTAACCCTCTATACAGGCTTCCTCCTTATCTTGATTCGTTTGGTCGTCCGCAACTTTTGCCGACCTCTCCAGAAAATCATCCGGCGTCTTATGGATTGGGACAGGTAAGTAGGACTTCCATTCTATATTAGTCTCGTGATACCACAATCTATGAAGAACATACCAATCAGAATAATGAAGAGTCCCGTTTTGCCAACTATTTCTAGGCGAAGAACATCCCCAGAGAACGCTGGGGCATCCTTATCGGAACTATAACCACGAACTCCCATAGGCGTTGCGGCCTCTTCTATAACGTTTACGTTTGGCAGATCTGCCAGATCACACAGCTGACGAGAGAACGTGGTAAGGCGTGCTTTTTCTTCCTCAGTCCGAGACGTATGCGGTATGACTGTGGCCGTTGCTCGGCGCTCGTTGTTATCATGTCGCAAGATTATTTTCGTAGCGAATTTGGTACACAAGCCATCTTGTCGAGGAAAGGGTATGCCGCTCTCCCCCTCAAGGACGGAGCTCTTTCCCGTAGGCTGGTCCCTGCAGACTACCAACTGTGGTAGCGCAATGTGATCACCTACGCCGTTGGCTCGAACACGGTCGATTTGATTGAGTCTCAGATGTTCGAGAAGAATGGAGATTATCTCCATCTGCGTCCTGTCTCAAATCAGGAGTAACCCAGTCATTCTCCGAAGATTTCACCATTTTTGCAACTCCGAGAAGTTAGTGTCACAAGAAAAGCCAAACGACTAATCTTGGGTATAGAGATCGGCCTTTTGGAGGGCACAGTTGCTCTTATAGCTGTCCGAGCCTGAGTCAAGCCAAAAATGCGGAATAATATCCAGTCCTGTCGAACAACTGAAAGACTCAATCAAATCGACTGCGTTCGAGCCAATGGTGTTGGAGATTTTTTCCCGCTGTCGCTACCGCTATCGGTATGATGCTTGTTTCGAGCCGGCACACCAATGCCGGCTATGAGATCTGAGTATATACCAAAAGCTGCTTTCAAGCGGAAAGTATTGTCTGTTTTAGTCGTGGCCAGTCAGTTAAATGGATAGCGGTTGGTTTCGGGCTATCTTTTCATTCCATCCGATTGCAGGTCTTACAAGAAGGAGGAGTATGATGCTTTTAACCGGACTGTAACACGCATTCCTGTTGGTGGAATGTCCCTCGAAAATTGGAACAAGTCACGACAATGACGCAAGGTGTGATCCATGATACCTACACAGTACATAATACTACTTCTGATTTCAGCAAATAAAGTAGCAAACAAGATACGTGTTTAGATCTTCGGACCCTTGTTAAGTTAGTTAGTGCGTATTAACTTATACAATAGAATATAGGGGGTTATATATAAGAACAGGGCAGTAATTGAAACCTATAATTGATATACACCAAAAGTATAGAGAAATTATAGAAAAGACTTAGCTATATAAATATACTTATTTCTATTTAATTTAGTTGATCTTAGCATAATTCTTTAACATAATTTACTTTGATTACACCAAGAGGGTCAGCAAGACAATCCTACTCAAAGTATTACAGCACTTCAAGGCATCTCTCTTACTTTAGTTATATTCTACTTTAACTCAACCCCTTTGGCGACCTCAGTATATAAATTCTAGTTACCCTCAAGGAATCTCTGTGTGGTTCAACACATCGTATCGTCTCTCGACATAGCCAGTGACAACTAGAGTGGGTCCAGGTGCGTGACAATCATTTTTTACCCTCTATATATTACAAATCAGCGTAGGAACGCTGATATCTTTTACAAAAGGGATAATATGAGGTTTTATATGTTAAGAGAGGTTTATAATCCTTCAGCGTATATATAGTATCTTTAGAGGGCCTTATAGGAGCCCTGCTAAGGCCCTAGTCAGCTAAGATACTATATATTCTGTATTTGCAGTTATGTATGCCGCAGGTCAGTAATCAGTCTGTATCTACCTGGACTGTACGTTTGGCCGGTAGCTCCAACGCTTGCCTGCTTTCCAATAACCGTCTCACATATATAGCCTTAAAAAAGGAAAGTAATTATTAATAGTGTTATACTAAGATAGTATTAAGTTATTTTCTATAATAATTCTATAATTAATTTGATAAAATCCTATAGAATAATCACTAAATGGATTCTAATTGATCATCTGCACTGAAGATGTTAGCTTGTCTTAGCTGGTAATTTTTGTATAAATTATGTATTGTCCCTACCTTCGATATAGGCCGCCGTAGATGGAGAGGTTCATCGAACAGACTATTTCAGCAATCAGGAACCTAGCGAGAATAGGTCCAATCGTCTTTACCATTTCGCTTACTCCCTTATTTTAGATTTGTCTTTAATGACTTGAAACTAATAGACCGGCTAGAGAGTCTGACAAATTCCCACATCGTGGCTCAGCCTTGCAGAAAGCCTTGCCTTCTGCAACCCCACAGTGTGCGTCAGTGAGCAAGAATTTCCGACGAACATGATCCCTCGTAGTACTTTGCAGCAGGTGGAATACTACAGAAAATGAAATACTCTCACTCAGACTACACGGTCGCGTGGGTTTGCGCTCTACCACTGGAGTTAGCAGCCGCCGAGGCGCTGTTGGATGAAACTCATGATCGCCCCGCACAAGTCGCCCCAGCTTCAACTACCTATGTTCTCGGAAAAATCAGCGGCCACAATGTGGTGCTGGTTTGTTTACCATCGGGAGAATATGGTACCATATCCACTGCAAGTGTTGTATCCCATATTCTAGCAACCTTTCCAGCAGTCCGACATGGTATTCTGGTTGGGATTGCAGGAGGGGTGCCGAATAATCAGGTAGATATCCGGCTTGGTGACCTGGTCGTCAGTGAACCCACTGCAGATTCCAGTGGTGTCTTTCAATATGACTTCGGGAAAGCGCTCCACGATGGCCGATTTCAACAGACACGGACCTTGAACCGACCATCACCGATCCTCTTAACTGCAGTGTCTCAGCTCAAATCCCGTGAGCTGCGAACTGGAACTAACGGAATCTCTGTTATTACAGAGGAAGCTTTAAAACAAAACCCAGACATGGCCATCAGATTTTCTAAACCTCCAGCAGAGGATCGCCTTTTCCAGGCCACATATAGTCATGTCAACAATGAGGATACTTGCTGGAGTTGCGACCGAAGTATGGAGGTCAAGCGCGTCCCACGGCCATCCACAGAGCCGCATATTCACTATGGAGTCGTTGCCTCCGGAAACCAAGTCATCAAAGATGGTCAAACACGAGATCGGATCGCCAAAGAACATCATTGTTTATGTTTTGAAATGGAAGCAGCCGGCCTTTTAAATGAACTCCCTTGTTTAGTGATTCGGGGGATCTGTGACTATTGTGATTCTCACAAGAATAAAAAATGGCAGGGATACGCAGCATTTACAGCCGCCGTTTACGCAAAATTCCTTCTTGGGAAAGTTCCTACCCATCGCCAGTCTCTGCTCACAGGAAGCCAGAGCTATCCCAAACCGTGCTGGATGGTGCCATTTGAGAAAAACCCCCGATTCATCGGTTGTTCCCGCGAAGTGGCGAACTTGGAGGAGAAGATCCTTGGTGACACAGGTATGCAGAAAGCGGCAATTTCTGGCCTAGGAGGCGTCGGGAAGACGCAGATAGCATTAGCGGTAGCTTACCGGATCCGAGAGAGAGACCCTAATCGGTCAATTTTCTGGATTCCTTCCACCAGTGTTGAAACTGTTGAGCAGGCCTTTCAGAGTATCGGAGAACATTTCAGCCTGCAAAATCCGGCATCTGCCGATATGAAATTGAAGGTACAGCGGTATCTCAGCTCGGATCGAGCAGGACCGTGGTTACTAATTGTCGATAATGCGGACGACATGGATATGTGGACTAAGTCCATGACATCTCCCGCACTCAGGAGTTTTCTTCCACACGGGACACACGGCTTTATCCTCTTCACGACCCGGAATCAGCAGCTGGCAACCAAACTAGTTGGGCCAGATGTGATGCAGATTTCTGAGATGGATGCGACAGTGGCGAAGGATCTTTTAAGGAAATCCTTGATCGAAAAGGAACTGACTGAAGACAAAGAGTCTACAACCAAACTAATTGATCAACTCCATGGACTTCCGCTCGCCATTGTCCAGGCTGCCAGTTATATCAACGAAAACTCTATCTCCCTGGCCCAGTATATGATTCTCCTGAATCAACAAGAGAGCGGCTTGGTTGAACTACTCAGTCACGATTTCGAGGATGATTGGCGATACACAAACCTAACCAATCCGGTAGCAACAACCTGGCTAATCTCCTTTGATCAGATCCGGCGATCCAATGTCTTGGCCGCTAATTATCTTTCCTTCATGTCTTGTATTGATCCTCGAGAGATCCCACAATCACTTCTGCCGAATAATAATACTTCACTTCCGCAACAGATCCAGGCACTAGGCGTACTGAAAAGCTATTCCTTTGTAACTGCACAGACGAACAGCCAATTATTGAGCATTCACCGACTGGTTCATTTCGCTACGCGTAGCTGGCTGCGCAAGGAGAAGAGATTAGATTATTGGAGGCTTCAGGCTAGCGAGCGGTTACGAGAAGCTTTCCCGTCTGCTGAGCCTGAGAATCGGCTTTTGTGGCGAGCGTACCTACCTCATGCGCAGATCGTCCTACACAGCGTAGAATCCTTTGAGGCTGGACAAGGGAAGTGGAGAGAAGAATTGAGTAACAAGGTTGGACAATGCCTTTTTAGTGACGGGAGGTATACTGAAGCCGAAGCACTCCTTCGACAAGTATTTGAGACCAGACAAGTCGTTCTAGGCCCGGACCACCCAGGCACCCTGACGAGCATGAACAATCTCGGCTTGGTGCTTAATATGCAAGGGAAATATGAAGAGGCAGAGATGATACATCGGCAGACACTTAAGATAAAAGAAAAAGTGCTAGAGTTAGACCATCCAGACACACTGGCGAGCATGAACAATCTCGGCTTGGTGCTTTATATGCAAGGGAAGTATGAAGAGGCAGAGATGATACATCGGCAGACACTTAAGATAAAAGAAAAAGTGCTAGAGTTAGACCATCCAGACACACTGACGAGCATGAATAATCTCAGCTCGGTGCTTAATATGCAAGGGAAGTATGAAGAGGCAGAGATGATGTATCGACAGGTACATAGGATAAGTGAAAAGGTGCTAGGGCCAGACCACCCAAATACACTGATGAGCATGAACAATCTTGGCTCAGTGCTTAATATGCAAGGGAAATATGAAGAGGCAGAGATGATACATCGGCAGACACTCAAGATAAGTGAAAAAGTGCTAGGGCTAGACCATCCAAGCACACTGGCGAGCATGAACAACCTTAGCTCAGTGCTTGATATGCAAGGGAAGAATGAAGAGGCAGAGAAGATACTTCGACAGACACTCAAGACAAGTGAAAAGGTGCTAGGGCTAGACCACCCAAACACACTGACAAGCATGAACAATCTTGGCTCAGTGCTTAATATGCAAGGGAAATATGAAGAGGCAGAGATGATACATCGGCAGACACTTAAGATAAGTGAAAAAGTGCTAGGGCTAGACCATCCAGGTACACTGGCGAGCATGAACAACCTTGGCTCAGTGCTTGATATGCAAGGGAAGAATGAAGAGGCAGAGAAGATACTTCGACAGACACTCAAGACAAGTGAAAAGGTGCTAGGGCTAGACCACCCAAATACACTGACAAGCATGAACAATCTTGGCTCAGCGCTTGATATGCAAGGGAAATATGAAGAGGCAGAGACGATATATCAGCAGGCACTTAAGATAAAAGAAAAAGTGCTAGGGCTAGACCATCCAAGCACACTGATGAGCATGAACAATCTTGGCTTGGCGCTTGATATGCAAGGGAAGTATGAAGAGGCCGAGACAATGCTTCGACAGACACTCAAGATAAGTGAAAGGGTGCTAGGGTTAGACCACCCAGACACACTAAGGAGCATGTGGGGTCTATCATACACCTGGAAAAGGCAAGGCCGACATGTCAAGGCTCTCGATCTCCTCCAAACTTGTGTAAGCCTTCAAGGCATCAAGCTAGGCCCTGAACACCCGGAAACCAAATCGGCTACCGCTCTCCTGAACTATTGGCTTCAATCTAGCTGCGATCCCAGTGTCATTCCTGAAAGTTCACAGATCGTTGAGGATGTCCCCCAACGAAAGCCTCGCAAACGCGACATTATTCCTCGACTTCTCCGGAAACGATAGCCAGTAGTCTATTTGTACTACATCTCTTTAAACAGTACAAACCTCAACAGCATGGGGTAAGGTATTGAAAATTGAGGAATGTCAGAAGAATTTGTCAAACACGTCGGATTAATCAGGATAGGTCATTTACTACAGGAACAACAGCTTAAGTGACATCACTGACCCAAAAATTTTAATCTCTATGCAAAAGAGACTGGGAAATTTATATTAAGACGGTCGTCACCAGAAGTTTCCAGCAGATGCATGTGACATCTGATGTGAGAACCCGTCGCAAGATCCAACCTAACGTGTTCAAGAAGATCAAGTATCAAGGTTCGATTGGCTTGTATCGAGAGCTCTGTACACTAAATACCAGAAGTTTGTGGAATGTTACGTTCCAGTACGGTCTGAGAATAGTTCAGGAACTAAGGATTATCCGTAACTAAATATGCTGGATTAGGGCGTGTTTCAGCCAAGATTTTGTAATCAATTCTTCGAAATTACTCTCTAAGCTATCTTCTTTATCATCGAAATAGTTATCTCCCAACGTTATTTTGATTCTTAGGCTGAGACGTAGTTCTGTAGGACATCTACCACTCGGAGTGCCATGTCGCTTTTTAGGGCTCATAGTGCTAAGCACTACCCTTATAAAATCCCAATAAAGAGGCGAGTGAAAGGAGTCGCTATATCAAAGTGCATGTCGCAGAGTATTTATAGGCATCAGAGAAGACCTCATGAGTAATCAGGCGTTTCCTTTCGGAACGCGGATTTACGTTTGCCTAAGTGAGAACTGTCCTGACTGAAACCCCCTGTCGGAAATATGATCGCTACACCGTGTTTCCTCTTTGGGGACTGTTGACATGGGCGTGGTAAGAACACGTCCAACAGGATGGGCTCTGTTGGTGGCTATATCATGTATTTGCCAGCCGTAATAACCTTTCCTAACATCACAGAACGAAATCGCCACGTGAATTGCTCGGGTCTGTTGCCTTATCTCTTTATTGTGGTTTTGGGTATAGTTACGATAGTACCTATTAAAAACAGATACTGCGGAATTATAGATTTAGTAAGAAATTTCAAAAATAAAGTTCAACATAACATTTGGGAGTTTGTCAGATAACAGTAGAGCAGGAATTGGCTCAATTGAAAGTAAAGCAGTAACAGAAGCATGATTCCAAGAATATCGACATGCAGTATGGTGACAAAAAATAATGCGCAAACCACACGGCCTATTGATCCTTCCTGGTAAATAATAACGCGACAAAATCAGTATAAGCCTCAAAAACTTGATAGGAAGAAAATCCCTCATCGAGGCTTAATACGGAAAGTCCAACCTCATCGACCCATCCAAACCGACACGGATAAGGGTTGCAGCGGGTCGCAGTGTTACCCTGAAGGATACTGCATGTAAGATAAATTGTGTTAATTACCTACCTATCATGAGGTCATGAACAATATCCAGTCCAATTTCATATTGGTACTTTAAATAGTGGAAAAGGGTGTCCGTATTTTGGACCTAGTTAAAGTAAACCCAGAAAATCATCAACACAGCATCAATTTAGAGTATCTGGATTATCAGGGAAAGTGGAAATCCATAAATTTATCTTCCTAGGTTTGGAAGTTTTCGGCTTTTTCTCTGTGATAAGCTAAGTCTCTCCTAAGTATATAAGGGCAGTTTCTTAGCTCGTAAGGGATTGTTCTCCAGCTTCTAAGCCACAGGTCGGTACGAGCAATAAATCCATGCCGATCACTCCACCCCACCAGGTTCATAAATGCCTCAATTAGTGCGAACAAAATAGGGAGGTTCAGCCTGGTTTACGAGTTGTTTTGCGGGATTGGAAGCAGTTGCGCCTCGCATTAGGAGGTCGAGAGAGTCGGCATTTTCAGCACAGTTTAAACTTTCTCAAGAATTCATACCTCGGAAGGAGATGGTATGAAGCAGTCCTTTCTTTGTTCAATGTCTCAATTGAGAATGGAGAGTAAGGAATAAAAGTAGTTATCTCGGCCGACGGATTTACCGTATCAGGCTCGAGAGCATTACAATGAGCTTATTCCAGTTCCAATAACACGATGCATGTGAATAATATAGCTTGGTAGTTGCGTTATTAAATAATTTCCTAAATAAGATTTATACAAGATGAGTCATAGACTAGATGGCGTAATTACAGTATATCACCAGGCACCAACTGAAACACCAATAATTAGTTTGCATGAGGGATTAATCGCAGTATTATATTTAACCTACTTAACTCATCATTTAAAGTTTAACATTTTTGGTCTCGCACATCCTTAATCTCTTCATTGGCAACTAGACCTCTTCTTTTACCGATTCTGAGTGTATTCGGCTTCTCAAACTCAGTTGAATAATTTCATTCTAGTCTTCTGGACACAGCTTGCTACTTGGATACTTAGATCTTGGATACATCTTTTATCTGTGCTGACTTCACACCGATGAAAAACTACCGCTCGATTCTCAGCAATCTTGTTTTCATAGATTTGGGCTGCATGGCAGTCAAGTTTTCTGTCGGCATTGGCACAAAGCGAATCGTTTTGCCTTGAGGGCCGTAAAGGCAAGGTTTGTTCGTATCAACTCCTACAATTAGCTGCGATGGGGTAGCTATTTTACTCTAGAGACTATTCAATTAAAACTCTCTGGTTCACGTCTTCGACTAAGAAGAGAAGGGCTACAAGAGTCACCGGTTGTCGGTTCGGCGAGTTGCGCTCACTTGGGCAATTATGATCCAGCTATTCAATCGTCTATATCGAGGAGAAATCTAAAATAGAAATAACAACAAGGGGAGAGGAAAATAACAATGAGACCAACAATCATTGAACACGGTGCCGACGACATGTCGGTACTTGAGCTCACTCCCGCAGACCAGGACCTATGTTCCTGCTTGCAAGCCGAGCCGATCATGATCGAAAACACAGAAATGCAAATTCGCCATACAAAAGATAGCTCGGTTCACCCTGGAGTCATGGCTCTGCAACCATACCCGCACAAAGTGGGAGGCCACTCGGCGCTCTACCGATTCTCGGACGAATCTATCTGCAAGCAACTCGACAAACACGAGCATCAGTTCTACGAGCATATGGAACGGAAGAACAGGGACATGGTAGCCTTTTTGCCAAAGTATGACCCGGCCAGAGAAGCAGAAAATAGCAGCAAGGTGAGCTAACAAATTACTGAACCTACAGATACATCGGTGTTTTAGCTGTAGCCGTTTCCGATAATATGATCCCCTACGTCGCGATGGAGGATAATATGCATATCGTCCCGGTTGACATCCTCTGGAACAGTCCGCGACTAACCAGGGCCGACGGCTGGCAGTCCCGACGCAGACCAAATAGCCCTATCTGCTGGGGGGTCACTTGCGTGAATACACGATTGCGTGGGAAGGTATTCGAAAATGCGTTCGGGGGCATGGGTCACAGGCAGCAGGTACAGCTTCGTCGATGCGATGATGTCTTTGCAGATAGGAAGCCATACGTCCCACATCCCACTTCTTCTATCCATGATTGGAATGAAGGAGACGAACTTTTTTTCATGGACGATCTTGCAGCGACTATGACCTGCAAAAAGGTTGATGATCGTATCTTTGCCGCTAAGCAACGGGGGATGGTGAGATTCAGAGAATGCATTTCTTTTGACCTCTTGTCCGCCCATCGCCGATTCAATAACACTGACAGTCTTCAGACTGCGAGGGACCTTCGACCGTTCCTCCTTCTGGAAGATCTAACCGCTGATATGAAACGACCCTGTGTTCTTGATATCAAAATGGGCACTAGGCATTATGGAATCGACGCTGACGAACAAAAGAAAGAATCGCAGACTCGGAAGAGTTGGAAAACGACTTCAAAAACTCTAGGAGTCCGACTTTGCGGAATGAAAACCTGGAACGCTGAAAAACAAGAGTATCTCTTTGAAGACAAGTACAAAGGGCGGGAGATGAAATCTTGTCGCGAGATTCAGCAGGCCTTAGGCAGATTTCTTTGCGATGGTGTCAGCTATCAAAGAAGCGCTGCAGAAAAGGTTCTGGTGATTTCACAGCATTTAGAGAGACTTGAAAAGCTTGTACGAATGCTTCGCGGATATCGGTTCTATTCGAGTAGTCTCTTGATACTCTATGATGGAGAGGTTTCGCAGCCTGGTAAAGGTGCGCTCTCCGTACAGGTTAAAATGATTGATTTTGCAAATTGCGTTACACCCCAAGACAAAATTCCACCGGACTGTCCTTACCCGCCACTGTGTCCCTATGAGCCTGACCATGGATATCTTCGCGGGCTCAACACTTTGAAAATGTGCTGTAAAAGTCTCTTGGGCAGTGAGAGAGTAATTCAAGAGGGCAGCTTGAAAACGAAGTCGAAAAGGATGTGAGTTTTAAATCTGTTTGTGCGGTGCTTGATGTAGCTCGGGTGAAGCTTTCATTATTTGGTTGTCTGCATGCTAGCAAAAGTTTTGTCGTAGTGACCTGTAAAGCATAGCAGTATTTAATAAGAATGTGTAGGTCTACTCGAATGAACTTCTGCTTAGATTCGAATTTACTGCCATGTCCCTTCTGGTATAGTCGTAACCTCCAAGGATTCCAGGCTATGTACATACTCCCGAAATCTCGAAAGAACACTATTCCCATTCCATAATTCCTCTTCCTTTCCTTCTACTGTGCTCAACTCAGGTACCCCAACTTGTTCTAACGCAAAATACGCCTCCGACGGATCCGTAACAGGCAGCTGTAATCACACTATTTGTCTTGATATATCCAACTGCGTATGGCCCTAGAAACGCATTTCTTGCTCCAGTCGGGTCAGCAAACATCGAATTTTGGCCGAGCATTTTCTCAGAAGACGAAGAAGAGTTGTTATAAAATGTAGGAAGCCAAACAGGGTTAATATTAGGTATCCTCAAGATACAACAGCCGTGTTCACCTGCACGTATAATCGCGACACCTGTGCCGTCGCGGCCGATGCCCCTGTCAATAAATATCGTAACCAGGCTTTTAATCTTTTCTTTATCTATAGTCGTAGATGAAGCTGGTTCTCCAAATAAGGACAGTAACTCCAAGTGATTAGGAGAGAACACATCAACAAAGGCCACAGCATCCAGACATGCCTGCAAATTGTCCGGTTTACATGACAGAGTCGCAGGTTCCCAGATTACCAGAGGCTTTTCTGGTAGAGCCGGTATAACCTTTTGTAGAAGAGAATGAAGATCTGAAACACGAGTAGCGATGGTTTGGGGGGTTTCCAGATAATGATATGCTTTTGACTTTAGTAGTTCGGTATTTGCCAAACTTCTCTCCTGAACAGTCAGAACTGGGGTTGTGTATCTGAACTTCTTGGCTGGGCAATAGGTTAGTCAATTTGAATCTTTTATTCTGAATACAATAGAGAGAAAAAGTGAGAAGAAAGATTTGCTTCAACAATGAAGACACAAAATAAATCGAATGAGGGAGTGGGCTTACGTGCAAACGTAGTATCTCCATACTCTAACAGCCCCCTCGTTGACAAATTGTCCGCCTCTTTATCCGTGTAAAGTGAAACTGACCATCTTTCCAATTGGCGTTGAGTCGATTCCAGAAAATCGTGCTCGATATGGAGCATCCACCCAACTGACTCAGTTTGTGGAGGAGGAAGGAATAGTCGAGCTCACCAAGCGTTGCTAGTAATTAATACGTTAATTACCGAGATATGCACACATATTTAGTAGGTTTATCATCTTGTAAAATAACCGTAAACCCCAGAGCTGCCAAGTATATTATTCAGTGGCCGCTGATCTGGAAAGCGGATATCGTCGAGCACGACCAAGCCAAGGATGGTAAAATAGATCCCATTTTCAAGCATGCTATTGGTGAACGTCAACTAGTGCTAATGTAAAGAAAACTACAATATATAGATCTTTTCTGCATCCGCTTCCTGGTGACTTGTGCAAATTAGAATGAGTCGTGGTTATGATCGGATTTATATAAAGATGAGATCTAGATTCTGACCCCTCATCAGTTCATGGAGGCGGCCTTATTTACCGCATGCTAGCTTGTAGCAGGACGATGATCCATCATAAAGAGTAACCTCACGTGTTAATTAGTGGCATACTCTGAAGATTTTAAAATAATCACTAGAATAAACTCTTCAAGGGGTGGCAATTCTAGGGATCAGTAATTTCCATACCCATAGTCCTAGTTCCAGTCTGATTTAGTATTATGATGAATTGTTACATTTCGAACCTTCTCGAGCAAATTTACAAAGAGACAATGAATTGCTTTGATCAAAGATAACAACTACTTGCAAGTCTGCCCATCCATCCCATCCATCCACAAGTCACGTTCACGTAAGAGAAGAAGTTCACAAGGTATAAGAACAAGACATGAATGCTGTTTGCCAGCTCGTCTCAAATATTAAATATCATTTAAAACGAATCAATCAACTGTAAAGTAGCTGTCGAACAATCGAATTTCGATGGCGGTTTCCATGTCGGCCTCTCGCTTACTAGAATCAGTCCGTCAGTATGTATATAAAATCCATGTAGAGATCAAAGCATACAGAAATCTCAGCCATAGTTTCATCTCCGTTAGTAGCCTGCGGAGCAGTGCCATTTGCTGTAGCGTCAACTGGAGCATTCTCCGATCCGACAAAATAGTCGTCCATTTCAGCATCTAACTCCTCGGCAGTTTTCTTACGCTGAGTTGGGTTTTTACCCTTGCGTGGACGTCCACGGCCGCGGCGGCCAGCAGCGGCATTCTTTGTGCCAGTAGCGGGTTTGGGCTGAGCCTTGGGTTGACTATGATGAAGTTAGTATTCAGTATATATGGAGCTAATAAGAACGGAGGTGGTCACTCACGCCACGCGCTCGCTAAGAGGCTTAGGCGCAGAGACTTGGGGAGCATGGGTTGCATCGACGACTACCTCAACCTAAACGATATTAGTAGCTACTCATTTGACCGAAAGAAAATACATACCTTCATCGGGCGACCGTCGACAAGAGTGCCATTCAGCTCCTTCGCAGCCTTGGCGGCGGTATCAGGCTTGCCAAATATGATTGACGCAATGCCCCGGCTAACACCATTCTGGTTGTAGGTCACGGTGACCCGCTTGACTGGACCGACTGTCTTTGTGAAGTAATCCTATAGGGTGAGACTGATCAGCATTTCAATGCATGTGAAGTATCGAACTGAGACGCCGTGGATTGAAGCGAAGCGCGCGCAAAATCGGGACCGAAAGCAGGACACCAGCGAGCACATAATGACCATCTGCACATTGGAAAGGCTTGTCTGAACAATGGCTAAAATCCAAGACCCTCTCAATATTTCAATCATGCCGTCAGCCATCTCAAGGGCCTTCATTCTTTCCAAGTCAAAAATCGGCAAATTTAGGTACCGTCGTAATCCAGCCACATGTGATGCATCATCTCAAACAGTCTAAAAAGAATGAATAGCATGGCAATTACCACACGGGTAACGGACTAGGGTGTTGAAAACAGCCTGAAAAGACGAATCACCATCGCGAAACTAACCATCCAACAGGCTAGAAAGAAGATACTACCCATGACAGGGTGCATGTGCGGCTTTCCCACTTTGGTGTCAAAATATGGCTCTTTAGATGTCATGCTCACTGTTGGACCACTAATGCGCTCGCTGATGCCCCATATCAAACGAAAAGAAGAAACCCATCAAGGTAGATTGAAGCCAGGTGGTGTATTTCACAACCACATTATGCACTGTCTGCGATACAATGATCAGGCGTCGTCAGGTAAATGATCGAGCCACGTATCAAGACTGCGCGAGACACGACAGGGCTCAACTCTCCAAGCAGTAGACTCGATGATGCGAGTATTGCTGAGAGGAGCGTCCGCCTGGTGCTGGCATTCGAACAAACACGAGCAGCTCATAAGAGTTGTCATTTCGAAGCGAACGCGCCTCAAAGGTTTCAAAAAGACATGGCGATAGAAACCCAAGGCGTCACGTAACCCCTCGATTAACATACCTTGATACTGTTTTCGCTGACATCGTGTGGCTGTGAGGGATCAGTATGCTGTAGTCTATTTCTTAGGTTGGTCAAACTCACCAGTCCACTAACGATGATTTTGCTTTCATAGACAGGAGAAGTAGGGCCGATGGCGGAACCCTTGGTAGTAGGCCTGGCTGGCTTGGTGTTTTTCTTGATTCCACCAACAGGAGCCTTGGTCGTGGCAGCCTTGGCTGGGCCACTGCGGCGGCGATTGGCACGGCCGCTCTGGCGACGAGACTTGGAGATGTCTTCGAGAGACTGGTCAAGCTTGGAAGACATGGTCACCGAGTAACGTGAGCGTTGGATAATAGATGAAACGCGCTTGGCGGGTGATTAAAGCGGCGGAGAGGATAGCCGAGGTGTTGTCCGAGACAACGATGAAAAATTAATCGCGGGGAATAAAATGGTATGGCAGCGACAATACGAGCGACACTGCTTCGCGCTTGATAGAAATTTTTCGCGTCGAGGTGGGAGGTGAATAGGAAGTTGATGGAGAGAGAGAGAGAGAGAGGGAAGTGAAGACGTGGCTGGCGCGGTGAAACGGAAGGGGCGGTTCCGTTATGACGAGGAGCGCTAGGCTGGAATAGGCGGCCCCCATCGATTCTGGCTTTCAGCCCAACGCGCAGTCAATCAGATAGAAACTTGGTATTACTTCCAGCAGAATAACAGCAGAGGTAATACTGTTCTGCATCTTATTTGTCCTTTTTATTTGATTTGTCGAGTTTATGGTGTAGGTTGCTCAAGACAGCGCTGGGCTGGAAAAATGGCGGACAACTACGGACTTGGATCTGCTCGAGGAACTCGTAGAAATCCAGCGCGACCATCCAGATTCATAATAATAAATTGCTCATGACATGCATGCAGTTCATTATAAAACAAACAACTCCAGGTATCACGCCATCTCACCCAAATCCCGCAGAGAAAATAAAAACGCCTATCAGTAGCTATATGAATGTGTATATACTCGCTATCAGCTCTTCAATGCCTCCAGCCGACCTCGCATTTGAGCCAGCGTAGCTTCTTGGTCCTCGAACTCCGCTTCTACAGGGGCTGCCTCTTCCACGGATGGTTCGGCCTGCACAGGTTCGACCTTGGAGAGTCTTCCCTGTAAGACCTCCTGTAGAACTTTGTCAACCTCTGCATCGGCCTCGTCTAATTCGTCTTCCAGGAGTTCGTCATTAGGCAGCGTCTCGTCAACAATTTCCTCGATGATTCCAGCCCGAACGAGCTCTGTGGACAATTGACGCATTGTGCTGTTGAGCTCCGGCAGGCGGACTAGGGTATTCACATCTTTCATAATGCCAGTCGATTTTTTCAGACTGCCCTGGATCTTTCGGACCGAGAAGGCCTCATTCACCTGCATTTGAACACTCTGTAGTTGCGCTCGACTTGTTGTCAGGCGAGTAGTTTGTTTGCGGATGCGTAGTAATTCACGGGCAAAAGTCTTGGTTTCGGCGGTTGCTTGTTTCGCCTGGGACGGGTTTTTCTGTGCGCGACGGGACGCACTTACGATAAACTGTCGGGTCTTCGAGTCGAGGGATTTGAGTTGGGCGATGTCGCGGTCTAATTGTCGAGTGTTTTGCCGGATAAGCTGGTTGCATTTTCGCATCTGCAGATCGTTAATGATGAAAGTCAAAAGAGGCGACCACTCGAGACAGACCTGGACTTGCGGGTCTGGGCCGAAGAACACTGCCTTGATCGACTCCATGTTTGGAGATTGTTTAGAAGAGACCCCCTTTAACAGGCAAGATTGATGATAGGATGATATGGGCGGATCTGTCGGGTTCCCTCCTGGCTGCCTGCAGCGGATAGTTGCTACACTCGAGGCGGGGGGAACAAAGTAGCTGTGGTACGTAGGAAATTGATCTCAGCAGCTGTGCCGTGCAGCCACAGGCGACAGTGAGCCGAATGTGAGGAGGGAGCTGAGCTGTCTGTAAGAGGACTGAGGAGAGCAGCCCGCAGTGGCAGGGCAGACTGGCAATGGCAGTGACGTCGCAGCCAGATTGCTGCCTCAGGCGCGACGCCTCGCCAAGCCAAGCCAGCTCGCGCAAACAAGCCAAACAGGTCAAACAGCGCAACAGGCTGAGCGACTGAGGCTTCCAGTAGTTTCCAGACCACCGCCTAATTAGTGCTACAGAGCCAGTTGCTCATTCGTACACACTTTCGTATCTGCAAACCAAACTCCTAACTCTCGCCTCTCACCTCTCGCACTCTACATCCTTGCCCATCGCCATCCCATCACAATGTCTACCCTCACACCAGAAGGTATGTATCCCCCAGCGAAGCTCCATAGCGTGAAACCCCGCACTGCCAGCACCGCCAACAGCCCAGCCGCACACTATCCGTCGGGGTAGCTTGAGGTCTGCTCAAATGGCGGGTGATCAGTGGCTGCAAAATTGCATAATTAAGTCGAGAACCCATGTGTCTAACTCTGCGGTGCTAGTTACCTGGGCGCAACGCTCTTCCGACTCCGACGAGACTCGCAACTACCTCTACGTCTTCATCAACGTCCCTGATGTCCCCTCCTCGTCAGCCGACACCAAGATCAACCCAACCAGCGTATCTTTCAAGGGAACAAACATCAAGGGAGCCAAGTACAGCGTCACGCTTGATCTGTATGATGAGATCGACCCTGAGAACAGCAAGACTAGCCACAGCCCACGTGGAGTGGAGTTGGTTCTCCGAAAAAAGAAGCTCGGACTTGAATACTGGCCTCGTCTTTTGAAGGAGTCCAAGAAAGCTCACTTCATCAAGACCGACTTTGACAAGGTTTGTGCCCACATCTAAGCTTCGGCGTACATCTTGGTCTAACGCTTATTCTTTTTCAGTGGGTCGACGAGGATGAACAGGACGAGGCCGCAGACGACGACTACGCAGCCAACTTTGGCGGCTTCGGCGAGGACGGTGGACTTGGCGGCATTGACTTCTCCAAGCTCGGTGGGGGTGGCCTGCCCGGTGCGGCTGGGGGTGAGGAGGAGGAGGAAGAAGAAGAAGACGTAAGACACTGCTTTCCTGTCAGATTATTTCTCTTTTCCAGTGCTAATAAAATGTTATCTAGGACGAAGACTTACCAGAGCTTGAGGGTGACGAGAAGCCCGGCAAGAAGATTGAGGAAGTCGCTTAGAGATCTTTACGCAACCTTTCTCTGTTTCCACCCGTCAACGGGCAAAATTTCTGTTTCCCTGTACCTGCAAGCCGACCACCCCAAATATATTATACCGTTCAAATAATGATCTTGACCTTACTTATCCAATGGCCATGCAAATTATGCCTTTGTGCTCCGTGTAATAGCTAGCTGGGAAGGAGACCATTACCAAAGGTGCTTTTCTACTGTACAGGTATTCATTGGGCTCGGACAAGATGAGCGGACGAGAATGGATGATGAACGAGTTTTAAATTACGAATAAAACAGGCGCGTGATATAACTTGGGTAGTAATATTTGGTTTACCACGGAATTGATTATTCGCTCATGCTCATAACAAGTAAAAACCACACCACTCTCATCAACGAAACGTAGCATGTCTTATCATCATATTTAAATCCTACTGCCCCTGCGCAGGATCTGCTCCAATGCTTCCCTAAGCAGTACTTATCCTGAATCGGCGGGCTGATCGGTCCACTCATGCTCCTCATTCTCAACATAAAACCTCACAATCTTCACATCCGGGGCCCTCACACGCCATGACCCTGCCCTCAACACCCATCAAGACAGGACTCCGCTTCACACCATGCAAATCAAACCACCGCCCACCACCCCCCATTCCTCAAGCATCCTTCGGCGTTCCCACGCTACGCGTCACTGGATTTCCACAGCCAGCTTTGATTGCTCGTCCATCGGCATATTTGGCAAAGAGGCTTGTTGTCTGGTGTGAAATGGTCCCAGTGCGGTTGCGGGCTGAACGGCAGGAGTTTGGAGTAGAAGTCATGCGTGGTTTGGATGTTGAAGCAGGCTAGTTTTAGATGGTCCATGCCGTTGAAAGGAGGTGGGCCATGCACGGTTTGGTGGATTGGTCGGCCATGGTGGGATTATAAGGTGGATGGGTTTGTATGAATGATGGGAAGTAATATTGTCCTTATTTATGCTACTTCCTGCTTACAGTGGGGGTATCCAAGAGACGTGTAATCCGCAGCTAGAGATGCGGCAGGATGTTGATATGTATGTAAAAGATTGAAAAAAGTTGGTAGATCTCTTAGGATCTCTGTATGCAAGGGGCTTTCAAGTTGATCTTTATAAAACGATATCGTAGAAGGGTACGGGATGCTTCATATCGGAACTTCACATTGACCTAATAGCTGACCTTTTTCCCGAGGCTTCCCAGTAATTTACGCCCAAGTCCTACCGTGCACACAACCTAATCTACTTAATACTGGTGACTGTGGCTATGGCCATGCTCATGTCCATGACTGTGACTGTGGCTGTGATGGTGGCCACCGTGTCCTCCACCTTGATGCTGTTCATGGTGTTCATGATACTCGTACGTATGTGACCCTGATTCCGGGGCTTGGTATTCGCGGCCCTCGTGGAAATTGCCGTGGTATTGTTCATAGCCCGACGGAGGCGGAAGATGGAACCCTGGTTCATATTGTGGACGTTCGAACGGAGGGTCATAACCGTGGGCAACAGGGGGAGCAGCTTGGTCCTGATACTGATGCTGAGAAGGATGCGACTCGTAGCCCTCCTGGTGAGAGGTAGGTACCTGAGGTTGCTCTCCTTCAGGTTGATCTCTACTCAACCCACTCACGCCGTGGGAAAGCAGGTTGCCAAACCCACCAAATTTGTTGGCGATATTGGTGACGTTGGAAAGCCCTGGGATAGGAAGTTTCTCGAGCTCGTTCCAGGGGAGAGAGGAGCCGGAGCTTTGGTGGTGCTGTGATTGCTGTTGCTGGCCATGGCTGCCTCCGTAAAGACTACTTATGGCTGGGAAACCCCCGCCGCCGTGCGAATGGCCGTGTCCACCTTGTCCGCTGCCTGAGGAGCTTCCCTTCAGGTTCTTACCAACCTTGACGGCTTCTGCGCTCAGTACGTCATTCAGGTTATGGCCATGATCAGACCTTGACTTGACCCAATGATCAACAGCTTCGAACATGGTACGGTGGGCCTCGTTGTTCATATCCCTGACTGCCGGATGGTGGAAAACACGCAAGCAGTCGTCTAGAACCTGGTCAACGGGGACATCGACATGCTGCCAAGCATATATAACACGCGGAACAACGTATCTCAAAATAGCAGAGGCAACTTGACCTGCAGGCTCATTGAGGATGTTTGCAAAATGATCCTTTGAAAGCATGGAATGAGTGGGGTCGCTGCAGTGAGGATCTGACCAGACTTCGTATTGGTGTTTGCCAGAAGATTCCACAACGCCCAGTGATCCAGTTTGCAATGACTTGGAGGCAACCTTGATCAGCGGGCGAATGAACGGGGCTAGCAGAGAGAAGACGAAGAGAGTAACAGTTTCCGTAATCTTCTCGACAAGGGCTTCCAATCCGGGGATCTTCTCAATGATTGAGTTGATACGTCGCACCACCTTGTCTCTGAACTGAAGGATGGGGTAGATCTGGTTGACGGTCTTTTGAGGGTCAAAGTCTTGAAGCCCCTGTAGTCGTTCTGAGCCTCCACCGCCTGTTTGAGGGGGTTGATGTTGGGGTGCGCCATAACCTTCTTGCCCGTATGCACGACTCTGTTCGAAACTGCCGTACGCTGGATCATCGAATCCGCGAGAAGAGCTTGTATAGCCAGTATTTACATTTTGGCTGCGGTTCAACTCTGCCTGTGCCTCGGAACGCTCTTTCAATTCTTCGGCTTCAGAGACTAGTTCTTTTGTACCAGGGACCTTGCCGAGAAGACCAGTCAATGCGTTGAGGGGGCTGGATCCCGAGTTATTCTCAGCATTGAGAAGCGCATTGTCCGCCTCGTTCAACTCGGACTGGGCAAAGTGATCATTCGCCTCGCCAAGGACCGAGTGGAAGAAATCCACCATCCCAAAAGTACCCGTTACAAGCGGGAAGACGTGATGACCATGGAGATTGATTTGCGTGGCGGTGCCGACATGGGGGAATACATTAAGCATGCCCATTTCACGCAACGACAATTCACAGTAGTTGGAATGAGCGCCGAAATCTTCAAGGGTGTGGAGACCCTGGCCGAGACATCTGAGCGCCTCACAGAGATCCTCCTCTTTGCCTTTGTCACCGCCACCGCTTGTATACATCCTCCCGTAATGGATGCTTCGAGACATGCTGTATTTGACATATGCAGCGCTTGTAGCCCAATCTCCTCTCTCGTTTGCAATGTAGTTTTTCATACCAGTTTGCGGGTCGATTTCGAGCTCGATTGGGCGGATGGGAGGGCGAAGTCGTTTATCGTACTGTCTCGCATCCTCATTATCTGCGTAATCCTTGGGGTTGCTAGTTGGAAGTAAGCAAATTGAAGAAAGTCTCTGGCGACGGCCACCTACTCGATGTGCTCCTCAGGGCGATAGACGCCAAGTCTGTCCGCAGTGACTTCGAATTCCGCAGTCGCAAAACCAAAACTCATAAACGAAAGAACCCAAACCAGAACCCGGATTGTATCGGCTTGCAGATTCTTCAAAGTGCCAACATCCATTGCCTGGGAGCTACTCGAGTTAGAGAAGAACGGTAGTTAATCTTGGTTCTTATGCTTACTAGTCTCGTAACCAATTCCCGAAGTATACCCGCTTGATCATAGTCGATGTCCATTTGTGTCCCTTGATAAAGGCAAGCGCCTTGATGGTATCTTCAATATCGCCATGGCGCCAATTCTTGCCCTCGACGGTGGAAATAGAAGCGATGTCTTGCGAGGGTTAGCAAATTTCTTAACATACCAGTTAATACAGACAACATACTGCCAGCTCCAAACGCGTTTGCTTTGGCGGGCAATAGCACCAGCAGCACCAGCAAGAAGAGAAGAGTGGGCGATATGCCCTTGGAGACGGTCCGTAACATTCTGTGCTGTAGCTGGTTTGTGGTGAGCACAGTGACAGTTGTGCCTGATCAGCTTGGCTCTTTGAGTGTACCCCTCCGCCAAGATCTGATAAGACTGATCAATGCGCAGCCGAGGCGGTGTCGAACAAGCGAGCGTGCCAAGAAAGAGGGCTTACTGAGAAGAATTATATTGGGAATTGAATCCAAGAGATATGCCAGGAAAACAGTAACAAGGGAAGACAGGGCAGCTGAAAACCCAAGGCACTAAAGACCAGCCAAGCCTCTAACACTTACAAGTATGGCGTGGCGATGATCGATCGTCGTGATCGCACAATCATGGATCGGACGCATGATTGTGGAATGGCTAGGAGCTTCTCATAACCAGGAATGTCAGGATTCTCATTTGCGAAACCATTGGTCTCTACGCAAGATTCATTCGAGCTCAGGGCTTCAAATTGCATAGTTGAGCGTGCCCAGTGGCAGTGTATGTGTGCACGTGATGTGATGTCATCGGGGTCTTTGAATCGATCGAAACTGCAGATTGTGCATTGCAGAAAGCAGAACACTGATATAATTTACTATCGATCGATCAGGCAACCCAGGCAAAAAATACCACCAGCAAGTGGTAACATGGGCATCTATGTAACAGTGACAGAAGCTGTTGGCGCTATCGATAACAGCTCCCCGCGTGGATAATTTGTGCCGAGCGGGGTATTAACGCTCTTCAAGCAACATGTGTTTATTATTACATTGATCGTGAAGCTATAAAAATTCAGCAGACCAATGTAACGTCGGCTGATTGCTCGGTCTGTATGGCCTTTCCGGCGCCGATACATTAATCTGCATCTCATCAAAATATCTCTTGGGTGCTTCTCGATCGCTACTCTTTTCTCTCTTCGCACGGCACGACACAATGCCTGACTACCTCGCCACCCTCCAACGCGACGGCTTCGTCGTGATCCCATCGCTCCTCTCACCCTCCGAAGTCTCCCTCCTCCGCGACGCAGCTACCAAAGCCACTATTCTGGCACGTTCCGGTAACTGGCCTTTTTTTCGCACTGTGCCCAAACAGTTCCCTCCCTGGCCGAATGTCGCGCCACCAGCGTCTGAGGGCGGGATATGGGGAGTGCAGCATCTCTTACACCCAGATATGCCAGGAAGAACGCAATTTGCAAATTTCTATTTCTCAGAAAAGATTTTGACGGTTGTGGAGGAGTTATTAGGAGTGGGGACTGCACAATCAACGAGCAGCAGGTCTACGCAGAAGGGGGGTGAAGAACAAGAAGAATTGTTGGTGATGGAGTTGTTTAATCTGCTCGTCGCTCCCGAAACCAGAGACTTCGAGCTCCGATGGCATCGTGATGATGTCCCCGAGACAGTTCCCAGTGACGAAGAACTGAAGCTATTGGAGGCAAAAAGCCCAAATGGACGACAATTCCACGCGCAATACAACCTCGCTCTCTGCCCCGATACATCGCTCATCGCAGTTCCCGGATCACACAGGCGTGTGCGTACAGAAACAGAACGAAATGCAGATCCATATGAATCGGACATGCCGGGACAGAAGATTGTGAAGCTGGAGCCTGGGGATGCAGTGTTTTATGATAGTAATATCTTGCACAGAGGGGTGTATAAACATAAGCCAGAAGGCAATGGGGAAGAAACAAGGTTGACGCTTCATGGAAGTGTTGGACTCCAGGGGACGGATGGAAAGGTCAGAGCAACCGCAGTGCTGCAACATGGTGTGGGAAAGTGGATTGATCGAGAGGATGCTGCGATGCATGCTGGCGAAAGGGCGGAGAAGATGAGGCGGAACCTGATTGCTATGGGCCGAGGAGAGGATGTGGGATATTCTCTACAGGGATAGATCTATCATACCCATCATCATATACCACAATATGGTCAATAAATATATACATGTAGGCAAAATGGTTGGCTGGCGTCGCACATGGTATATAACATAACTTCATCAAAAACGAGAAACGAGAATTCCACCCAGGTCGTGAAATAGAAAAAAAATTAATCCTTTCCTAATTTCCGGTCCACCCATTCGGTGAAGACTGGTTTGACGCTGATCGCGACGTGTTTGGTAAGCCCCGAGCAGCCGAGGCATCTGTCTCTGACGGCACAGACGAAGACCCAGTAGGCGATCTCGAGCTCCTCAACAAGCGATGTATAGATCGTATAGCTTCTTCTGGCGACTGGCTACTACGTACGATGCTAATGATGGACGGTACCCATGCTTCATCGCAGTCACGGATAATTCTGTAAATATTCTGCATTAAAGACTGTTTACCCCGCCAGAAATTGGTCTGAGGGTGTTGCTGGAGTTGATGAAAGGTGCTTTCTGCAACAAAAGACGGCGCAAATGCTGGGGCAGCTGCGTGTTGAATATTCGATGGCATGCCTTGCTGGCTATAGAGTAAAGGTGTGCCCATTTGTAGACTGTTGTTGTCACCATAGTAGCCAGGAACTCCCCAGTCAGAAGCATTCTCTAAACATTCTCATCAGCATGATCCCTTGTGATGCCATAAATGTCTTTTACGAACCCAGATACTCAGGGCCTCTGCCCATCGCCTGGCCAGGAAATGCTTCATGAAACCCCATCATGTTTGAAGGCGAATAGTGGGTATTTTCTACGCCATTGGATGGTTGTCCTGGGAAATTTGGCGCATACTCCAACCCCATAGTATTACTGTGCATTACCATACCAGGATAACCGGCATTAAATACAGGGCCTGCAGATGTATCGCCATCATACCTATCCGAGGCGGTTCTCTTCTGAGCTTTTCGTGGCCATGATAATGGCTCGCCTGTCACAGCGTTGTCATGGTCTCTATTAGCGGTATAAGATGGCGCAGCAGTGGGACTCTCGCTGCTTGTTTGCTGCACATCTGTATATCGCCTTTTTAAACGATTGAGCTCCTTTCGCAGGGCATCTATCTCATCGGCCTGGCTGATCTGCTGGCGGTCTTCATCATCGCGCAGATATTGGCATTCATCCTGCCAGCCGCGGGCAATACAAGACCGGCATGGTTTTTCACGATCGCACTAGACAGCCAGTCAGTATCCTACCGATAGGCAACGGCAGAATAACAATCACAGACCTTGACCTTTCGTTCGCGACATTTGATGCAGGACTGCTGCGGACGGTGTTTGGTTTTGCCGGACTCCCCGTCGGTTTGGGGTGGCTGGTCCATGACGTAGTTAGGACATGAAGTTATACGCGCTTCGTTCTCAAGCCATTGGCTGGCCGGATTGATGCAGTGCGACTCTCGACTTGTCTGTCCTTGACTCTGGACGTGCAGAATTAAGTGGATCCCATCCGGAGAAATTGCCGGCCCTCCATGTGATTGCTTGCTGCCGGCCGTGGTTGATCAAGCGGCTGAATGGGGTAGATCTAGTAAAATATATGTTGGAGAGATCGCCGATTGAGTAGCATTGGTACGGGAGACCATTGGGACACAATGGAAATATTTTTGCAGTTGATCTTGAAAATTAGTTTATTATAATTAAATACATAATATGTGATATCTCATATTACTGAACTTTAACAAACACTCTTATACTTGTACGAAGTGTCTGAGGACTGTAGCATATAGTGTTAAAGTATGGAGCTTTCCTGCCCTCATCTGCATGTACACCAATTTCAAATGTAATATCAAATGTAATTTCTTTATATAGTGCTTTCTTTTATTTAAGACACCTATCAGTCCTCGGCCAGACTCCAAGTGATTCGAGTTAAACGAATGATTCCTTGGTTTATCTTACTTCCGGAGAATAGCATCGGCCTGCGACCATAGTTGCTTACACTCTATCGACACATTACGAACATCTCTTAGTCTCTTTACCAGCCAGTCACGGTGGACAGGGTCATGGGTCTCGATGGCAGCCATAAAAGTACACCAGACGACGCGGCTCTGTTTTCGAAGATCGCTGTCTTGCTTGTGGCGATAGTAGAGAAGATTGGTGATTTTGAATACAGCCTCTTTGTGAAGGTCGTTTTGGGGGGCCGGGTCGTTGAGCATGCGGTGGTAGAAAAGTATGTTGGCCCAATAGAAGGATGCAAATCGCGTAATTACTTCCAGATTGGATGTCCATCGGCTTTTGGGGGACTCGTCGGCTATGTGTAGAAGGTCGCAATATCTCTGAGAAGAAGCATCAGGAATCGTGGATTTCGGGAGGTATGGTGGGTAAAGAAAGTGAGACTCTTACCTCCCGCAGATCCAAAAGATGGTCTAATATTGACGAAGACTTTGTATTTTCCGCATTGTGACGCTTTCCTCCTGACCTCAAGTCCGATATGGTAAAACGAGCCAACAATACTAGCCATCCCAGCTCAACTGGTCGATACAATTCAGCGTCAGCGAGCATATGATCGCCCGATAAGGGTTCCCCCCAAAGCCGATGCCCCCCGAGTCGCGATAACTGATACAGGCGCATAGGGCTTAGTGCTGGGTTGTCGGAGCTGAGGAGTAATTTTAACAGGGAGGAAGACACTCCAAAGCTTGTGGCTGTTATGTCAAGATATCTATATCAACGTCAGGTGAAAACTACTCATACTAGACGCCATGCTCAGAGTCGACAAACAGTGCCCAACCAGTTAACTGGCAAGATAAGACCAAATGGGGATCGGAAACTTCCATGAGAAGATTCCTAGATTGCGTATGTCGCTTTTCAAAGATGGAATGATCGCTGATCAGTGCCCAGAAACCTCGTAGGTGAGTTTGCACACGATCGATAGACCCTGTGAATTGGAGTTCATAGTGAATCATAAAGATTAAAGTAGCCAGCTTCGCATCAACAAGATCTCCTTGGGTTGGGCCGGAGAGTTCCTTCAGAAGCTCTTGAAGCGCTTGTGTATAATGAATTAGACCCTCATCGACTGGGCGCTCTACTGGATTATGATCATTTTTCAAGCCGCTTTGGTGCATCTCACTAGCAGACAGAGCAAGAATCATTCGCGTGACCAGCTTGCTGCGAGGGGCGATTACTTTGACGAGGTATTGGAGAGCGCCCCATTCGAAAAAATCATAAAAACAATAGACGGTAGACGATGGGAAGTACTCAAGGGAAAGACGGTCTTGTTGCGACAGGATAAGAGAATTGGCACATGCTATATGTCGGTCTGTCAGGGCGGGCTGTACTGAAAGCTTGCTGTTCGCAGGGAGATTGCGCCGATTGGCGCCGCGGAATAGAGACTGCGAGGTCACTTGAGGGGGCTCATTGGGCCATTCACAGGAGAATCGATGCCTGATACATTGGTTACACTTGAACCGCGTTTCATCACACTTGACCTTGCGTTTTCTACACGTAAGACAACCTACACCCGTTAGTCTCAATAGGGTATCCGCAGGCGTTATATACTGACCAGTCTTTGATCTTTTCGCTCGCTCTCTGACCATTGTATTATTTTATTACTTAAGGTGTTCTATGCTTTGAGAAATCTTGACTCGTAACGCTTTGAAATATTTAGCATATCAGCACCTCATTTGGGAAAAGTAGCCCCACGATGAGTCACAGGCAACGCTCCTGGCAAGCTAATTGAAAAATACCCTTCCAGCGGACCCGCTCTTTGCAGAGTTAGCTGCCATGGTGTTGTTGGAAAAAAAAAATCGGATTTTTGAAGGTTGTTTAGTGGTGAACTTCGGACCACTCTGCAAGTGGAAGGGATGTAGTTGTCTGCTAAGCGACAAACTCCTCCCGATTGGTCCACAGCAAGCGACACTCAGAACGCGATTAGTTGTGTCGCCAGAACACGCAGTCTATGAATAACAATGGCAAAAGATGTCGAAAGCCTTGACAGGAAAAAGGCTACCTAAAAGGACCATAATAATCTTGTAGAAATGTATAAATAAGTCCATCGACTCTTGCTTGTATAGTACATTAAAAAAAAGTCTCAGACACACGCAAACAACTATTCAAGCATGTCTCTTCATCAAGTAATCGATCTCGACAGAGATCTACCAGAATTATCGACCAAAGAAGTCAATTTCCATCCACCAACGGGACTTTCTTGCTTAATCGTCGGAGCTGGAGTTGGCGGCTTGACGACGGCCCTCGAATGTCGCCGCAAAGGACATAGGGTGCGTGTCGTTGAGAAGTCCCCAGCCCCCAGCACTGCAGGTAATTCTATCGTTCCCATTACCTTCATGTCGTTCAAGTCAGAATCTAACAACTAGCGATTTAAGGAGATTTCTTTTCTATTGGTCGAAACATCATCGCTCATTTCTACAACCACTGGCCTGATCTTGCCGCCGAATGTGAGCGAATCAACTATTCAGGATTGATTGCCTATCATAAAATCACAGGGGAACGTCTCTCTGGTCCGGAGCCCGTGCCAATTGGTGAACCAACCATGACACTGAATGACGGATCGGAAAGGATCATCCCATTTAACAGACATCATCGTCCCAGATTTGTGGCAGCACTTCTAGCTCAGGTCAAGGATCTGGGCATCGATGTTGCTTTTGGAACCAAGGTTACGGATTACTTTGAGGACTCTGATAGACAGAGAGCAGGAATCGTACTTGAGAGCGGGGAGAGGATCGAGGCAGATGTAGTTATTGCAGCCGATGGCATCGGCACAAAGAGTAACAAACTCGTCAATGGCGGTGATACTAGGGCTTATTCCAGCGGAATATCTATTTTCAGAACCTCTTTTCCCGTGGAATTGGCCATATCGGATCATGAAGTTCGAGATCGATGGCCACTACTGGACGGGGATTTGCCTTGTCTCGAGATCTGGGGAGGGTGCGTGCTCTAAGTCTTCTGTTGATATTTAATCTGAAAAATGGCTGACATTCCCAGTGATAACATGTCCTTCTTTGTACAAAGATACTCGGATATAATGTGCTGGTTGATGACTCATAAGGTATACCCTTTTCTTGAACGATATGACGTAGTACTAATATCTGGTAGGGCGATGGCAGGGGCATTGAGTCCTGGAACCAAACAGTGGATATGTCAGAAGTCCTTAAAATCACCTCAAAGATACGTGGGTTCCCTGAAGTCGCTGAACGCCTGATTAAGACAACACCAAAGGACGGTATCATCGACTGGGAGATCATGTGGCGTGATCCCAGGGAGAACTGGATTTCACCGGGCGGAAGAGTTGTTCAAGTAGGAGATAGTGCACACACGTTTCTGCCTTCGTCCGGGAGTGGTGCCACACAGGCGATGGAGGACGCTATCTCACTCGCTACTTGCCTTCAAATTGGTGGAAAGAGTAATGTTCCGATAGCAACAAAGATTCACAACAAACTTCGGTAGGGTCCCCATCTTCCCCTTTACCCTTGTGTACATCCCTCATTAATATAAAAATTTGAATTTCAGATTCGAGCGTGTTTCCTGCGTACAGCTAAGTGGCTTTATGAATCACCAAAAGCAGAGCAACCCAGTTGATGATGCAGATAGCGAGGATGGACCGTCTTTCAAAATCAGCCTCGGTAACTGGATGGTTATGTACGACTCAGAGAAGTATACATACGCACACTACGGCGAAGTGCTTAATCATCTCTTTTCTGGGGCGCCTTTTAGAGCTAAAAACATTCCACGGGGATACACATACAAGCCATGGACGATCAAGGAACTGCTGGATAAGGTTGAAAGGGGCGAGAAGCTATATTTTGAGGGAGATTGGTCTTGATCATCTTACCGACTAGGGCTAATGGCTAGTTATTATTTAGCCAGTCCTGTAACTGAACCATTGGAAGTTGGCTACATGTATATTCCCTGGGCAGTTTCGGATAAATCTTTAATGAAGAATATAAAAATTATTTAACAACAAAACTCTAGTCTCATTCATTATTGTGTTTAAACATTGGTAATCATCTTTGCAAACTAGCCCGCTCAATCACTGTCAGCAGAGCAGATCGCTTCAGCAGCAGACAGATGCTGTTCATATCGAGTAGGATAGGCAGATCCTTGAACCTTCTGGCAGAGTTCACCAACATTCATGCTTCGCCATCCACTAACCTCCTTCATTTTAGCAAAGAACTGTGCAGCCGACTTTGCAGGATCCATGTCTGCGGCGATATTGGGATAGTACATTGCGCGCTGCTGGAAGATGCCAATGCTATCGTGGTCGCTGCCAACCGCATCGTGCTTGTATTTCATCGATTCTGGAACGGCCTCGTTTGCGTAGACCAGAATGCTCGACTGCGCTCAGTTAGACATGATTGGGAAAAGACAATGCAAGGGGAATTTATGAGTAGGGTTAAGCCATACCTCAGTCAAAGCAGTTGCAATGCCGGCAAGACAGCCCTGACGACCTAGACTCTCCTTTTTGGCCTCTGCGATAATGGCTCGGGCATGGGACGATTGTGTAGAGTCAAGACCCGGAAGTTTTCCTCCACTGCCACCGGTGCTACCACACTCACCAGTGACGTAGCCACTAGTGCCTGTGCTAACGTAGTAATCAGTGACATAGCAGCCATCAGAAGTCTTATCCCAAAGGGAGTCTCCATTAACATCAGTTCCAGGGGCCTGGCAAGTGATCGAGACCTCTTCGCCCTTGTTGTAGGTCTTCACGATCGAATAACCCGTTCCCGGTCCAGAACGGCAGTGAAGACCATCGGTTTTGATGGGGTAGGCGTTGGAGATGGGAAGGATTGTCACGAGGGACAGTGCAATGAGCGAAGTAGCAAACATTTTCAAGGTAATCAGCTTATTAAAACTGTGGAAGTGAAGATGATAGATTGTTTTTGTTTGACGTTTAGAGTATTCAATTTTGTCTTGATGATCGTGTGTATTGAGAAATGAAAGAGAAGATTACCCCTTATATAGACTACTTTTTTTTTGATTTCGATATTGAAGGCTTGCTGGCGACAAATTCCAAAGATCGTATTGACAACCCCCAAACCTATCCTTGTATCTAAGCCACGGCATTTTCGCTCATGTGGATGTTATATCAGCTGTTGAGCGGCACAATGTTAGGAGCGAAAAATATCGATGTGAAGCATCCTCAATAGTAATTCAGCTCCCCATGGTAGATTGAAGCTCTCTCATTTGTGCTTGAAATTGTCCGTGATTTGGCCCACATTGAGGGGCGGGGGCTGAATCTCGTATTGGACGCTCAACTTTGGAGAAAATCGGAAATTATTCAGCACTTAGTCTACATTGAAGGTTATTTAAACTGCAGATCGTGGCTGAAGGCGATCCTAGCCACCAATTAGCGCTATTCTTGTATTTTAAGCTTTCGAGTGAAACTTGGTTGTTTGGGGTCGATTTACATTTCCAGGGACGTTGATGTTACTAAAATGCTTGTCGATGTTACAGAAACTTGCTAAAGTAGTATGTACTAACCAAGTACAGGTGACGAGCACCTCGGTGCATTATTTTATTCAGCTTATAACAGCACAAATAAACGAGTCTAAGCCACATCTGCAGTGTATCGATGCGGAGAAGAGTAAATATCACCTGGCTATTCAACGACGCATCCATCCCTACACTGCACTATGATGATCTTTACTCTTTACGCCTCCACTCTATGGCCGAGGAAGCCAATTAATAAGAATTAGAACTTGTTTGCTTTGAGGTTAATTTTTCGCTATTTCCACGTTGCAGCTGGCCTAATACGAACGTTAGTCCGCTTCATTATGCCATCCACCATGTCTTAGAGAGTGATCGGCCCCTGCAGTAGAGGAATAGGAGTTAGAATACGAGAATTTCAGCTGGTATTGCTCAAAAGCATCAAGTGATCATGGCTGTGCATCTTGATGATAGTAATTCATTGAGATAGTCCACGCGAAAGATTTCGTAGACCAGACAGACATAAAAGCGACCTGTTTCTCACGAGCCTACCTTCCATCATCATCATCATCAACACGATAAAAAGTCAAGTCCAATCGACATCTATCACCCAAATTGAGAAAATAACCTTATTGTCAATCCTAATTTTCCACTTAAAAGCCAAACACACCATGTTGTATGTTCCACTCTTCACTGTTTCTATCGCGGCCGCAATCTCTGCGGTCAGCGCTTACCCTATCGACGGAGACGGTGTTCATTGCCGTTCAGGCCCTGGAACTGGTTACTCGATTGTCAAGACATACGGCAAGGGCGAGGATATCTCTATTACCTGTCAAGCCCCTGGCACCGACGTTAACGGTGATAGTCTTTGGGACAAGACTTCTGACGGCTGCTATGTAACCGACTACTATGTGAAAACTGGCTCTAGCGGCTACGTGACCAGCCATTGTCCCAGCACCGGGGGTGGAGGCGGATCCGGCACAGGTATTGTCAATGCAGCAGAGAAGGAGAAAGGTCTCCCATACGTCTGGGGAGGTGGTGGATGCCATGGTCCTTCTGGAGGTGGTTTTGACTGCTCCGGCCTGACCCAGTACTCTATCTGCCAGGCCTTGAACAAAGAGATTCCACGCACAGCCCAGACTCAATATGACTCCTCACTGGGCAAGCGTCTTCCCCGATCAGAAGCGAAAGAGGGAGACCTACTATTTTGGGCCGAGGGCGGAGACTGTAAAAATAGCGTATCCCATGTCGGAATCTTCATTCGAGAGGGTCTGATGATTAATGCTGCTCACACTGGGACTCCTGTTAGAGAACAGTCTATTTGGACATCGTATGGAGGAGAGAGCATCTGCCCTGATGTGGTGAGGTGAGTATCACACAGTCTATGTTGATTTAAATGAAAGCTAACTCTCTGCATAGATTCTGGTAAAAAAGGTGTTTCAATGTTACATTTCCATTCTTGTGTTACATATCCTTGTGTATTCGTCAATTGATGTCAATTTTTGGTTTTAAGCTTCCTTAGGATTATAAATCCATATCTGTATAAACTTTTGTCCTCTGTGGAGAATGCTTTGAATTATACTGCGGTGCCAATTCCATACATGCATCCATGTAGAATTGTTCGGGATCAATTACTCAACAATCTACATATGTGCGCTCGATCTGCAAGGAACGCCTTCTACCACACCTTTAATCAGCCACACACCCGATACACCGTCTGGGAACTTAATTATCTCTCCTCTGTATCGTTGGCCCTCTAAACATGTAGATTAACCAACTTTTTAGTTCCTCAGGTCAAATGGCAGTGCCTCGGCCGCCATATGTCAACTCAATTCAACTCACTTGTCAAACACGAAAACTATGTATAGTTTTCGACTCATCGGCGTGTCCCGAGTCGGGTTATTTGGGTCCGAAATCGGCATTATGAGTGGGATTACCAAACACATCAAGAAACATAGACAGCATCCATTTCATTCATCGAGCACTCCACAGTGATTATGGACTATACAGGCTATCCAATCAAGCAGATTAATCCTGCAGATGTCGACGGGAAGAGGGATGTATTGCAACAGATTATCGAATTAACGGCCGATCCGTTCAAAGGCAATCTGCCCGTCGAAGTATTTGTTAAGAGCGGGGTGCAAGCCGCACTCAATTTATCAGAGCCATGGCAACAATTCTACGTGATTGATCCCGGCGCACAGGAATTAACTATTGTGTCGTCGTTTCGAATTATGCACAAAAGAGGCATCCGCAACAATATCAATTTATTGATTGGAAATGTTCATACTACTCCGGAATACCGGAATAAAGGCTTTATTCGGTATATGATTGGTGAGACTATTGAGAAATATGAGATTCCCGGGTATAAATTCGGAGCAGTTGCGTCCGACAACGAAGATGCAGACGCTTATATTGCCGAGCACATTCGCCCAGACACATACGAGTACTATTGGACTTTATATTCGGGGGTGTCGGAAATGTATGCCAAGTTTGGCTTCAAAAGTGTACCCGAGATGAATTGGTTGATCTATGAAGAGCCAGTGTTAGACAAATCACATCCACCACCATCTGGTCTAGAGCCATACCAGGGTGTCGGGACGCAAGTGACATTCTTAAAGACCGACTCCGACCTATCCAACCTCAATCAATACTTTTCCGATCCAGCGTACGCTTCGTATGTGAATTCTGATGTGTCGCCCATGGTGCGAAGTACGAGCTTACACCACCCAATGGTCCACAACTTCTACGCTCGAGACGCTGTAGCTAGTGCCTATTACGGGCGAAGCTATAATTACGTTGGACTAAAAATTGCTCATTCCGGGATTGGCAAGCAAACATTTGCAATATTCAGTGGAGCACTCGACTACTCTGGGATTCTGGTTCAAAAGCTTTTTACCGATTTGAGAGTGGATAATGAGAGCCAGCGACAACTCCTGGTCCAGGATCTGGCCTATGTGGTCAAGTTCTTGCGACATGTGCACGTCGCTGACTACTCACTTCTAGATCGTGATTTTATCAGCTCCATAAAGCTGATGCTTACTACCCAGGATATATGTACGAAAGACAGAGAAACCCATGACTATGTTATTAGCACGTTGGAGAAGTCAAATTGGCGATTGGATACTTCTAACAGTTTCTTTCTGCCAATGATGAAGGACTGGGCAAAGCCTGGTATTACTGAAGGAGTCAAGTGGATTAACAATGGCTTCTGGTGTTTTGGTTGAGCAAAGATATTGGTTTGTAAGAGTGATGGTAATAGAATGACGAGTCGTCGATCTGATCAACATCACTATAGGAATAGTTATAGAAGCCGATACTAGTAATTGCCCTTCCCCTGTAATACCTCACTATTTAGCTATCCGTTGAGGAGCAGAAGAAATGGGCTCGGTTGTTCTAAGTCTTCAAGGTTGATATGAGGCCATATATAAACCTCTCTCACTGAAATTCTGCAGCAGTTGAGTATGATACAGGTTTGGGGAGATACAGTTTCTCAAATACTGAGGCTGGTTCGTCCAAGTCTAGATCCAGGTCTTGAAAATTACTCCAGCACTTGGTAGACCTCTCTTCATCCAAGCTGTATACCTCATGAGATCCAAACATGGCAACAAGTTTTTGTGTTGAGACTAATGATAATATCGGGAAGTTGACTTTGACGGACGAAGGGAGAAAGTTGGCGTCTAGTTCTATGTGCTGGTCTGTTCCATTTGGTGATACTAAATCAGGATCTGTGTGTTATGATTAGTCGTGAGAGACTCGACGTCACCGCAGAATTGATGGTCAATGATCATAACGGTCGTTACAGTCACTCTGGGTTTGCAGTAAGCTGGCTGTATTGTTTGAAATACACAATGGTGTGTTTTGATTCAATGATTCAAGGTAAAAGAACCCTTCCTCATGAGTAGATGTACAAATCTCGCGACCTGGCTACCTACAATCCGTGTCGTTAAAGAACATTTTAACAACCGCAAACACCAAACCGACCATGTCATGTCTATCCTGTCATAATCATAGCCCCCAGCAATCCCAAAAAACGATTTTAAACACATTGATCAAGGAATCAACAAAATCAAGTCCCTTCAATTGATGGTTTCCGGCCGTAGATGAAATGATATTTGGCGTATAAGTGCTTGCTCGGATTCATGGCCACCTTCTTTACCTCATTCATGGAAGTCTGGAATTTGTCGTAGCTGACGCCTAATATCCGTGTAAACAGGGCGAGGGAATACGGCTCAATTCCCTCAAGACAGCAGGCCAGATGAATCTTGCCGATGCGTTTGAGTCGTTGGTCGCGTGGCCAGGGGCCAACTGGGCACTGTGCGGGTCAGCGAGCCTTTCTCTTATTTGAAACTTCATCCAGTCTAGGGATAGTACCTTGTAAGAATCATCAACAACATCCACGAACCCAGCCGCCTCGAGCCTCTCCCTCAGATTAGATGCAACCCCAATACGCTTCCCAAACCGGACACTCGCTTCCTCGAGCCTTTCACACCACTCTCGGAGCAGATTCGGGCCCTGATGCGTGCCATCGTCCGATGTCACCGTACACTCAAATTCCTGCAACTCGACCCAGCCGCCTGGTTTCAAATGGGTATGAATCCTGCGCAACAATTGATCCCAATCACCAATACTCCCTGCCATCGCACGACCGTGTATAAAATCAAACGACTCGAGCGGTGAATATACCCATTCGCTTTCCACGTCGTCGATGAAAAACTTGCAATTCGACGGCGAGTAGATCGGCTGGATGGGGCTGAGATCAGAGCCTAGGATTTCGACATGCGGAAACAGTTCAGCGACTTCGAGCGCCCAGTTGGCAGTGCCGGTGCCAAAGTCGAGGATCCGTTGGATGCCGGTGTCCTGGTGGATGGGCGAGCGGAAGAGTCGACCGTTGAGAAGCTCTTTCCAGAGACAGTGCATCAGATCGAGACGGTCTTGTTCGCGCTCGTCGTTGGGGAAGGGGTATTGTCCCTGGACAGCTCGTTAATGAATGGACATTATGGACGGCTGTGTGATAAACATACTTGGCGGTATGCATGGTACCTAGAAACATCATATTGTGATTAGCCGATGGAACACTAAGCAAGTATATGGTGTTGGTGGCATCCTACCTCCGCCCATTCTCCCACAGATAGTCATACACCGAGCTCACAATAGACTGGCTGGACTCGAGGATAGAGCCTTCATCGTAAATGCTCTCGCTGTCGCTGGTCTGCATATGTCAGCATGCAGCACAGCAGGGGTCGACAGCGTCAAGGAGAGTGGCGTGAAGCGATGACATACATCGACTTGGATAGCCGCATCCTGCGAGGGCTGCTGCTGCGACATTGGCGATGGCAGCCTGTCTCCTTCTCTCTCGCGCGCGTATTTGAAAGACGGAGAAAAGGGAAAAGGGCGCCATCCTTTGTCACGAAAGAGCCAAACAAAATAGTGGCCGGTCGTTGCACAAAGAATCACTTGATTGACTCCACAAATTTGCGGCGCTGTGCATATCCGTTCTACACATGGCTCTTAACACACGATTATTCCCTGCTACCATGTACTACCATGATGCCTATTCCAGACAGGTAATAACCCGGCAGCCAATCGCCAGAGCCATGCTGCTTCTTTTCTTTTTCTAGAGCATCTCCCCAAGAACTCGCTCCCAGCCAGTCTCAGCGCGCGCGGTGGGGAAATGACAGCCTTGACTGAGTCATGCATCGACCACTGCAGGTGTGACTTGTCATGATGCATGCTGCAGCTGCATGATTAGCCCGTAGGCCGATTGGCCCGTGAGCGATCGTGTATAGAGCTTTTATCGCCCTACAGTATGTCAGTCTTGCAACCGAATCTGTGAGTGCCAGTCAATGTAACTAACTATAAGCAATTTCCATTTCTTTAGTGATGTGTGTATTTGACTATTGTCTAACGTTGAAGTAGTTGGGCAACCTGCCGAGTTATTATATTGCTCCCTTCTTTAAAGGATGCCATGTATATACCTCAATTTCTATTGCCGATATATTCATCATCTTTTTCAATTTGAGTATTATGAGTTGTTCCTAGAAACTACAAGGTTTGCGACGGATTTCACTTCGATGGTCTCTGGACAAATGGGCTCTGCTCGACCAACCAAGTTCGATAATCCATCAACCCCGGAAATTCCTTTCTGCACTGAACTACATCTCCACCGTACCCGTTCTCTTCAAACCACCGAAACATGTCTCCCACAGTATCTTTCTTAAAGAACTTCACGGCAGAACCGATTGGACACGGCGCCATGGGCATGCTGGAACCCACTACCTCCTGAAAAATAACCTCTGCTTCTGACTGGGTCAGCTCATCCCCGACTAAAGTCATCGCCACATTGCGATATTTCCCAGGATGGGTAAATGCCTGAGCGGCAACATAGCCGATGTCTTTCGTGGAAACGAGTTGCAGAGCTTTATTTGGGCCCATCTGCTCCCACATCCGCGCAAACCCCTTTCCGTGGATATCGGCCGTCATATTCTCGAAAAAAGTGACGGGTCTGAGAATCGAGTAGGTCATGGCCTGCGGACTAGCAGCAGTCATTTTCTGCAGATGCTTCTCAATGCTGAACTTGGCAGCGAAGTTCTTGACGAAAGTGGGATCTAACTCCGATTTCTCGGGGCCGCCGCGATCGCCAGAGGCGTAGACAAAGTGCCGAACGCCACGGGCGACAGAGGCTGTGACCAAAGCTTTACCCTGCTTTTCTTCCTCTGCAGAGTTGACCTGGACCCCGAAAACACCCCACACTGCATTGCCATTGAGAGTGGCCTGGTCAAAGATTGCATCCGGATCAGCCAGGTCACCTGCGATAACGGATACGTTAGGTCTGCGTGCCAGGGCCTGCGCGCTGTGGGAGGCAGTGTCGCGCGTGACGGCAATGATGTTCAATGGCTTGTTATTGTCATGATTGTGGTTATTTTCGGCGAGGAGGGCATCAATTACAGCGGAGCCTTGCTTTCCAGTCGCGCCGGTGATAAGGATTGTCCAGGGAGTTGCGCTGGCCATTTTTTATATGTTGTTTAGTCGTCTGTGAAGGTTAATGAAATGTGTTCAATTCCTTTATTGTAGTTCTGGAGGGATTCTCATTACATTTGATATTTTAGTTGATTGTCGAAGCGATGATCAATAAATGATAAGATGTATTGTTTGTTGTGCTCAGCAAGTTCACGGAGAGCCATTGATCCTGTCCAATGCGCATACTTATATATATATACATCTATATATGGTAATTATTAGACTAGCCAGTGCTAGAGCAGTAAACTGGTCGGCCGTAACGGTTAGATTCATGCTCGGGAAGCGGGAGAACGAGAAGCGGGAGAACGACTGGCCGCCAATATCAAATCGGTTTTAATGCTAAAATGGCTTCGTTCGGCCGTAGCTCTAGTATAAGAACGGTGCATGAAAACTACCCGAAGGCTCAATTCATACATTTTTGCATCATCTGTGAATACGACGTAGTAATAATCCTGAATTCAGCTAGCCAGATATTGACTTGATACATTACACACTTTAGTCGTGAGCGACATTTAGCCTAGAGTTATTGCTTCTTCAATTCGTGCAGTTTTTCAAGCCACCGACCGCTACGCAAGATATGGAATGTCTACGTACAAGTAAAGAATAGTATGTCTATGCTATGTGTAGAGCGAGTCAACGTCACATCGTAACCTGTTTCTGCCTGTTTGTCTTTTAATTACATCATCTATATTGCAGGTTTTTTCTTCATCCCAAACTCCTCAGTTTCTCCTGCTCCGACGGTGTCAGCGCGGCGAATAATTCTTGAAAACCTGGCTTCGATGACGCTTCTTGGAAGAACTGCAAGAGGAAACCTTGCGTTTCATCATCTCGCTTTCGAACGGCAAAGACGCTTTCACTGCCACCCTCTCCATACGCCATAAGCTCTTGCTTCGTGACGCCTAGGCTAAGGTCTAATGTATTGCTTGGAATATCTTCCCACTCATCATCATCGCTGCCACCTGCCTCTTCCAAAGCGGCGGCAGCAGCCGCGTCAATATCCTTGTTGCCAGACGCACCAGCCAGCTCTTCTACAAGAACCTTGATGATCTTCAAATTGGCCGAAACGCTGGTGAATTGGTCTGGATTGTTGCGAGCCTGAGACCGAGTCTTGATCCGCCCAGTATCTTGAATGATGAGATCACCTTTTACCTGCACTTGCGCAACGCGAGGATCCTCGAGGTTATACAACTTAGACAGCGCAATGATATTTTGTTTGATCTCGTCATATCCAGCAAAATTGACCGAGTTTTCCAGCCACTTACTCAGCACAACGTTCAAACCGCTGTGTCCACCAAGGTTGACTTGCGCTAAGAAATCAACCACCTCGCGAGCGCTAATCAAGGTTAGACGGGCGAATACAAGAATAAGACTCTGAATAAATTGGGGCTGTTGCGCAGTATTCAGACGCTGTGCAACTGCTTGGAGTAACTGGGGTAAGTAAGGGCCCAGCTTTTCCGATCCTGCTTTTTCTACCAATTCTGCAGCAAGCTGGCCCACCTCAGCTGCTGCAATGTCGTCCACATTAGGTCCTAAGAGACGATCGATTATCACCAAAACAGTTTCGATAGCTTCCTTGCCTTGTTCTGGTTCGCGCCATGAGATGAATTGATTGAAGTCATGGGCCAAGATGTGACGGACTGCCAAAGTAGCAGGACGGATGAGCTCTCCATCATTGGAGTCGAGTAGTAGCCTGTTCAGCTTCGGCATGACAGTCGCAACGAATCCATTAGGAAGAGGTTCCGAGCCATAGTCAGCCAAGGCACGAAGGAGGTCGGCAGCCAGAACGGTAAGCGCGCTCTCTTCAGTCATATTTCCAACATCAATAGCACCAGTTAAAGATGGAAGCACTTTCTCACATAGTCGCACATACGCATCAAATCCTTGTTGCGAAACGTATTGCACAATGTCTTCGAACGCTTCCGTAACAACCATCACTAGATGAAAGTTGCCTGCTCCGTTGCTAGCCACATTGAATAAAATATCGAGTGCTGCTGAGTCAAGAACAACGTTGGCTTCAATCATGATCGTGTCACGTAACGTTTCGGCAAGAGTTACTTTGAGATCGTCGTTATCTGCATCCTCCCTTAAATCATGGGACGAGATAAATTCAGAGATCGAGCTGATTATCGGGATTTGCATAGGCTGTGTTGTGGTTGATGGTAAAGCAGGTAAAAGATCTTGCAGAACACGGATGGAAGCAACCTGGACAACTTCGGATGAGTCCTGTGAAATCGCTTTCATCGTGGCATCGAGGTAGCCAGCCGCAACTTGCTGGAATCCGGTCTCTGCTGTTTGAGCCAGCGCACCAGCAACGAGATATCCGCGAGCACGCAAGAAATCCTGTTCATTTTGAAGAGCCAATTGAATGCTATTGGTGAAACCAGATGCCACATCTACAGGAATCTGTTTCTCGACCTCGTTGAAGTCGCGCAGCAGTTGGTTCAGAACATAGAGTGCGCCCTCTCGTAGCTTCCATCTAAAGACAATCAGCGATGCATTAAAATGTCTAAAAAAGGGACATACGACGATGAGGAGTCAGCAAAAAGATTGTTGATGTAGCCAACCAATGCTTGTGCAACAGTGACTTTGAGCCACTCTCCAAGCTTGATGAGAAGATCACCACTACATGCTCTTGGTGTATAGTTGGCTGTAACAGAGGTCTCCTCTGACAAAAAAAGGTTCACGTCAATCTCCCACAAGCCCTCCTCTTCTGTTGTGATTTGAGCGTAAGACGTAGCAAGTTTGATTATTTCTAGAAGCCACCCAGAAGTAGTTGCAGCTTGGCCCGCATTTTGAAGTTGTGCCTGCAGTTCGGCCTTGACGGGTGGTGCCTTGATCAAAGCCTGCATGAGGTCGATCTCTTCAAGAACAAGATAGTCTAGTGTGTATGGCAAGCCATCAGCGTCCTCCAATCGGCCCTGGCGCTCGTCCTCGATATACATATCGAAATAGTGGCCTTGGATATTGGACAATTCCTCCCACAGTGTAGTAAACAGTTGAGGGCTTTGTGTGGTCAAGAGAGTCGGGAAAACCAAGCGGATCTTCATTACAGTCTGTTATAAACAGAGTTAGATAAAGCGTATTCTCTGGCATGAATATTTACTACCAACCTTGACCGACTGTAGCTTCAACGCGATTGCTCCCCTCCATTGTGTAGGGAGATCGTCCTCCTTAAATTCATCCTCTTCACTTGGACGCTGTGGTAGAGGTGCCTTCATCACGTTCAGAAAGAAAGGGGACCAGCCGGTAAGAGCTTCATCCATGAATTGTTTGACGGCGGCTTTGTGCTGCTCGAGCACCATTTCCAAGGTGTCAAAGCATGATCGGAAGACCGAGACAGCCAATGCTCGCAGAAGAGACTTGCGTGACTCATTCGTGGCCACAGTAAATAGCGTCGAGACAAGCTCGCGGGCGACGTTGAAGAACTGCTCCTCGCTGAAACCAGTATCCACCAAGTCTAGCAACACCTTCAATGCACCATGTAAGGCGCCGTCACTGCTATTCGGGTCATTGATGATGCTGAGGAGGGAGGGAAGCAAGTCTGGCCATTGGTCAGGGAAGTCAGCAGCAGCGATTTTGCTCGCAGCGTAGCTGGCAGACGACTTGACCTTGCGGTTGGTCTCGGTGGTAGTGGCGAGGTCGAGGACAGCACGGCGCACAGTAGTCTTGTTGGTATCATTGATGAGCACTTGGCCTTTGAATTCATCAAGATTCGGGGACCAGGCAGCTAGGATAAAGGCACGCAAGACGGATAGGGCAGACTGACGCAGAGCAGCATCGACGGAGTCGTGAGATGCAACGGCGACGAGCGACAGGGGAAACGCTTCATTCGAATATAAGTGCAGCAGCTGCAGCTCTGCAGATTTCCGAGTGTCGGCGGTAGGGGATTGGGTCGCTGCCAGCAGCTGGAGGAGCTCCTGCTCCATGCCAGGCAGTGTTGTGGGATAGCAACAGGGGAGAAGTCGCGAGCTGATTATAATCAGTAATGAGTAATGAGGTGCTAGGTGGTGGCCAGCATTCGAGCGCGTCGTCTGACGCGTAATTCAAAGTGAGAGCTATTTCTCTCTCTTTTTTTTTTTTTTTGCTTTTTCTCACGGTGGTTTCCCCTTTAGATCTGCCCGTGGCAACAATCGGATCAATAAGAACAGCAGTAACAACAGTGGAGGGGTAACGCTCTAGTGGGTGCTAACGGACTAAGGGCCTCAGGCAAGCGCCAGCTAGTAAGGTGAGGTAAGAGCTGTATTTTTGGTAATTCTGGTAACGGCAGGAGGCGATACCGGGCGGGCTGGCTGTGCTATTATTGGTCGGCGGCTGCCGTTCTCTCACCTTCCCATCGCCAGTTTTCAGGACCCTGAGGCTGTTATTGGTCAGAGAAAAAATACATGTTTCCACCCAGAACAGACCCCGTCCCCTGTGCCTACCGGTACTGTTCCTGCCCACTATTCACTGCTATTACACTACTAACTATTACTTGCACTTACTATTTATTCTATACTAAGCATACTAAGTAGTTACTTCCTGATGACCACAGCATCGCAATGTTCTGCAGCAGTATTCACGATTGCAGCCTGCTCCTCCTATAACCTGATGATGGCTGCAGATCCACGTCCACCTGCTGCTTTTGCGTGCCCAGCATTGCTTTCCCCACAGTGTCCTCGGCACTGGGGATGGAGGTCCGGAAGATCGTTCTCTGACCCCGATTCGCAGCGTGAAGGGTGATGTCCATTGTTGATGACGTTTTGGGCGATCGATCATCTCGTCGATGAGCACTGTGAGCTGGCGATTGCTCATTATTAATCGGCTTTTCGCAGATTGGCTTACTTGAACCGTCTAATCGTGCTTAGTATCACTACTTGGATACGATGAGTCCACGACTTCCAGCGCCAGCAGCAAGGTAGCTAGCTAGCTACTTTCCCGACTCGTACGTCGGACGATGAATAGCAATGGATTAACAATAATACTAGGATCGCCTTGGTATGGGCCGTCCGAGCCTACAGGCTACACGCTGCACGTCTTACGATGGGGCTCGCTAGCCATATCATTGAGCGATAGGGAGGAGTAGAGCGCCTATGACGCTGTTGCAGCGGGGCGCTTGGGGCCTACTTTGCCTCGCGCTGGCTCACGGCCCTCCCCAGAGTCAGCGCAATGCTCAGTGAGTGATTCCTAGGCGCAGACTCCTACGGCAGGCCCGTACATGAAGGCTCGACGGTCGATTGCAAGCCCTAATGGCACATTATGATATTCCGCAGAGTTTGCTGCTTAGGGAGGACCTTGGATACAACCAGCCGCATTATTCATAGCATCTGTAATAGGAACCTCCGCGACCGGTCAGTCCCGAGATCCTACTTGGTTTCTTACGAGGGGCTAAGTCCTTAGTGCACAATGGAAGCTGGATAACCTGGAAGCGGCCGACTGGAGGCAAGACATCCCCGCGATAGACAGCCAAGCACGTAGGATCACGGTGGCGGTTGGCGGCTGTCTCAGTTAATGTTGCCATCGAGCAGTCCTGCTGCTGCTGATGAATAATAATAGCTAGTGAGCGAGGACTGCTCAAACTCGCAGATGCCAGAGACAAAAGCCCTCGAGTGATCGACAGCCTCTATCCCACCATGCGGTGGATCAGGGTGCGTTTTGTAATGAATAGAATCGCAACGTATTTTTTTCCTGTTGCGCATCCAAACCCATGACGCAGACACGTGACGGCGGGCGTGTTCCCAGCATATTCCTACACCGTTGGTCCTTATGCGCTGCTCTGCTCTGCTGCCGGGCACTGTTGAATCCCCTCCACCGCCAAAAACACTCCTACCCCCATAATAATCGTGAGCCATCCAGAACATCCAGCACCCACGTCATTTCGCACCACCACAACCTGAAGCATCTGCTCTGACCATCAACGGGCCGACCAGCCAACGCGCCGGGCGTGTGTCTGCCGATATTCTGCATATTGTTCGCCCTCGTTCTCGTTTTGCGCTGCCCTCGTTACTGGCGCTGGACTCCCTTTTCCCACCTTTCGCTGGGCCGTGCTTTCCTGGCAAACACGGATCCCTACAACGGCGACGCAGACGATAACGACGTCGTGCGCTTTCTCGCCTAGAACTGAGCCCTCCCTCACGCCGACTAAGGCGTCTCGATAGAACCCCGATACAGAGAAATGATTAGCTATCGAGGGGAACAGCAGACAGATTCTCCCAGACTCCTCCACGACCACCACTACTGCGGACACGACGATAGCGAGCACCCGACGTCGACTCCGTAAGCTCACCCTCTTCCCCATCTCCCATCGCCAGCTGTCGTTATTTGCTCCATCCTGCACTGCAGCATGGCTACGACCAGTGAAACTAGCAGCACCAGCACGGTCAATGTCAACAGCATGACTACGACCACCACCACCCCGCTCAGTGCCCCCAACGACTTGCCGAACACGCAAGCCGCCATTGCCGCCTCCTTCACCAACTTCCTCAGCGTTGCCATGCACCAGATCCTCTGGTTACGAAACGTTTATCCACGAGCCACCTTCCTCCCCGTGCGGGCATATAACTATCCCGTCCGCCAATCGCGCCATCCCAAAGTATGCGACTATATCAACGACGTGGCCATCGCCGTCGAAAGTGAGATCTTAAAGGGCACAATCACCGCCGTAACCGTCATTATTTCCTCCGTTCGCACAAATCAGCCGATGGAACGGTATGCCTTTGATCTGTCTGGTTTCCCTCACGTCCCCGTGGGAGAACTCTATACCACGTTTGAAGAGCGGAAAGAAGAGGCCTCCAAGCCAGCCTCAACTGCCCAGACCATCGATTTGGAGGCTCAGTTTCGTGCCTGTTTAGCAAGATTAGCGTCCGCGTGTGCTCGATTGACGCCGTTACCCCGGGATGACGAGTTTGGTTTCACCGTGTGCATAGAAGTGCGGGAAGATGCTCTGCCCCCAGCGGGCACCACCAAAGAAGAGCAAACCTGGATAGTCGCTGAGCCAGGCCAGGTGCATGTGCGATCGTGTACCGCCCCGTTTTCCGTTAGTAAAGTGGGCAGTCATTCGCAACAACCATTACTCCCCAAAATCAACGGCCGGGCCAAGACGGTACCAGTGAGAAAGGTTGAAGCTGGCGAGTTACGCCTTGAGTTGTGGGTTGAGGAAGCTAGGCAAAAATTCGAAGAACGACTAGTCACCTAGCAGCTGTCCTTTGATCGATAGCGTCCTCTATTTCTTTCTGCCTTTTTTCTATTTGGATGGTCCTCGCTTTCCCTTGTAAACATTACCCTTTTCATCTTTTCTCTAATTTGGAACAGTTTAAAACACCGGATAAGAATTAGGGTTCGGAAAAGTTCAATCACATTCGACTTGAATCTGACTTGAATTCGACTCATTGGGCGTGAATTTGGTTGGGGACACTGGAAATGAAATGACATTTGATGATATACGAATTCGAAGCAACATCATCATCAACAACATCAACATCATTATTATCATCATTATTATTATGATCACATCATCATCATAGAGTGGAAGGGCGCTTGTTGACGAAATTTGATTTAATAGCCCTTGGGATTGAGACTCTCTCATTTATTTACTGCATTGATGCCGCGTGTTTCTCCTTTGCTGTTCTTTCTGCTGCATCAGTCATCGTTATCTCCTTTATTTTTTAATTCATTTCTCAGCGTGGCAAGGCAAAGTAAATTGTCGCATCTATGACCTTTTTTCTTTATTTTCTCTTCTATATCATCGTCGCAATGCGCATCGTCCTTATCTCTCCAAGATTGTTTGAGACTAAATTCCGTCTTATCTGTCTTGTTTATTCTCTATTCTGATATATATGTGTTGGTCGCAAGACAATGCATAGTTTGTTTTTTATCTATCTACCATTGTCGATAGTTACCTACCTACGTACCAGATATTGATCATACGAGTTCATGTCTACTCCATTCCTTTCTCGTTTTATTGGTATTTGAGCTTGATCTTTTTCGAATCTCTGCACTTGAGCATGTTTTGCAACCTATTTCGGTTTTACTGATTTACGACTTTTGCTGATACCTTTCCACGATACAAACAAGACCCCGCGGGATACATACACACCTATACACGACATCATTTACGTTCAAATCAATTCTGCCAGACCGCGGTTCCGTTTCCCTTTTTTCGCGCTTAGATTGATGAACATGACGGATAATCATGAAGTTGACTAGTTGTTCGGTTGGTTGGTTTGTATGATGATGAGTAGGGTGACACTGTGCTTTTCTCTCTCATTTCTAGCTATGCCGTGTTTCTCGGTTGTTTACTCTTCTCGACCATTGATTATAGGATTCGATTTGTGTTTAGAATTGCGGTGATGATGTGCGATATATATGAGATAGTCTGATCTTTAGATGTTATAGCACCTTTACTGATTAATTAATTATATTATATGCTCTGATTTGTGGCTTATTACAATATATTCATCTGTCTTGACGAGCCATGTTGATCGATCAAACAAAAGTGAAATAAACATTATGAGCGCCTTCAACGCAGTGGGAATCATATCAAACAACCGTGTGCAATTTGTACCCCAATGCAAAGGATGTGGAGTGAGAACAATCAAAATAAATATAAGTCATATGAAAGAAATGATGTCAGTGATAACAATAAGCATCCAATACTATGCAATTTAGAAAGTATGCCAAGCCTGGATTATATATAAGAATCGGATCGTCCAAAGATAGTGTCGTGTATTTGGCATTCAGTTACAGGGTCATTACATTTCAGTTCGCTGTCGATACAGTTGTTCTTCTTGTTGATGCAGTTCGTATTGTTGCCGTTGTCGTTGCAGTCGATCTGTTTGTTGTTCCAGCTGCGTCATGAGAGCTCTTAACTCATCAGTAGGAAAGGGAGGAAAAGGAGGAAAAACAGGAAAACGATCGGGTACCGGGGCATGGTTTTCTCGTAGTCCCCCCATCTGTAAGTTTCCTGTCTGTGAGGGTGCAGCCTGCCTTCTAGCGGCCATAGTTTCTCGCATGAACCTGAGGCGTGGATGTTCTTCCAGTGGCTGAGGAGGTCCTGGCTGAAGAGGATGTGGTGCGAAAGCGATGCGGTCCAGCGGATATGCTTCAACGGGTAAACGCGCGGGTTGATTCATCATTGGCAGGGGTCTAGGATGCCAATCGACATGTGGCAGCCTCATATCTTGAACATTGTGTTGTCGTAATGGCTGCCCAAGGTATGCAACGCCCCTTCCAGCTCGAGGTCTCTCACGACTCAACGATTCAGCTGCGTCCTTGTTTTTTATTTGCAGGTACTCAGGCTTGATTTCCCCGTTTGTAGCAAGAATCTTATCAACAGCTTCCTTCTCGGCTCGCTTGACTTCATCCCGCTGGCGGTGATGGCCGTAATCAATCTCGTTTGGTGGACACTTTGCACCGCGATGAGGTGCGAAATGGTTGTATCCGACTTTTGTAATGTCCTCCTTGCACACATCGCAGATCAATGTACCGCATCTACATTGAATCTTGTTGCAGCCGTCTTCCTTAATGATGGCAACTTTGCATTTGGGGCATGTCCGGATTAGGGCTTGGGTCATTGCCTCTTCGACAACGCGGCGTTCAGGAACGCCCCTCTCCTTTTTCGCTTCATCGCATGTTTGCGGGATGTGCGTTTCGTGTCGACATAACCGACAACTCACTTTTTCACAATCCGGGTTTTCGCAGTTAAACTCCTTGTTTTCATCCACAGACGGGCATATAGCTATGTAATCGCAAAAGGGACATTCCTCCAGTCCCTCGATGTGGGCCTGAGAAATTTCATCGCGTTGCTGCAAGTATTCGAGCTTTTTCATGAGTTTGTCGCCGATTACCATTGTCAGAAGCTTCTTGTTGAACCCTGCTTTGCATCCGCTCACGTCAAAGCAATGCAGGTCGTACTTCATCTGTCCGACCTTTGTCTTGGCTCCAGTTATAACGCATTGGAAACAGAAGAAATGCATATTGTCGTTCTCGCAGGGAAGGCTTCTATTGGGTGCGATCTCGGAGAAGCAGCACTGGCAGTCGATTAATGTGCCGGCGTTACGATATTTTTCTTCGTTGATTCTCTCATCTTCCTCTACTTTCTTGGCGGCTTGGATTTATTAGAAGCTTATTTTCCCAAAATGAGGTGGGTTGTTACCTTCTTTGTCAGCAATACCCTTTCTAGCCCTATCCAATTCACGTCTCATAGGACCGGGTAGATTTATTTCATGTCGCGGCCGCGCACGACGCAATCGTATTGATGGATCGGGATTCTCCGAATGGTTAATCGTATGAAGTGCTTGATATGCGGCTTCCAAGGACTGGTGGAGAACGAACTGGCGACGGACAACTGCGAATTGTAAAAAGGGGAACTCAGCTGCGAGTATTCTGATTCTATAAACATGATACGTGAGCATCACAAAAACACATCCGGTTTTTAGGGGAATACATACGCCTCCAGGGAATAAGTCCCATCACGTTTGCTCCGTGCAATATATAATCCATCTTCTTCCTCTTCACCGTCACTATTTTCTTCATTGTCTCCAATTCGTCGGCGCTTTTTCACAACCTCTTTTGGATATGAAGGTCTCATATTGAGGATTTCATCAAATGCTTCGTGTGCTATTTGAAGGAGGCTGAATTCGTCACTAATCCTATCTATGTACCGCGCATAAAGTAACATGAGGAATGTTTCGCAAATATCCGGGAAAATATCCTTTATCATGGTTTTGAAAGAGATTTCTTTGGTGTACTGGTATCCTCGCACTGTGTCCGTAGAAGAAAAGACATTGTTGTTTGTAGGACCATCGGCGGTCAAGTCTACAACATCAATATTGGGACGTACATGATATGGATTCATAGTGTTGGGTCGTCTATAGTGCGGGTTCACACGGCCCCTGTTTGGCTGAAAGGGTCGAGAGTGTATGGAAGGAAAGTGAGATGGATCGATACGGCTAGGAAGGTTGACAGTGGTAGGTTGAAATATAAAATCCGTTTGTTGAGGAGCCTGGCAGGGCTGGAAAGGCTGGAAAGACTGGAAAGGCTGAAAAGGCTGAAAAGGCTGAAAAGGCTGAAAAGGTTGAAAAGGTTGAAAAGGTAAGGTTGGTTCAGGCTGATTGGCAAGGCTCAGGTTGTTGTCGAAGGTGCCTTGTGGTAGTGACTGATCAACGGTCTGTAAGAATTGATTAGTTGTGTTCAGATAAGGGCTATGGATACGTGATTGAGGAAAATGAGTTTATTGATAAAGGGGAACCATAGAACTGGCAAAATGCCTTGTAATTTTCCAGGAAGTATTATACGACCGCCAACAACAAACGGATAGAAAATCCAGAGATGGAAATAAGCAAACGCGGATGCAATAACGCAATAACAAAAAGAAGAAGACACCCATATTTCCAGGCTCATGCCTGTAAATATACAACATTTGCAATAATGTGATATAAGTTAGAGTTACCTACCTGGTTGATATTCTCGCTCGGCCAGTCAAAGCCACCAGCAGGTTGCTGATCGAACCTGTATGGATTGTAAAGATGTTCCTCTGGTATAGGGCCAACCCAAGGGTTAGGCCAGAACTTGTCCTGAAGGTGTAATGGTGCTCGGACTGGCGACAATAGTGAATTGGGCATGGTGTCTTGCATGTTGTTTGGAAGCCGAGACGCAGGGTGGTATGGGTGATTGAGTGGCTGTCGAAAAGACGCTGGGCGAGGACGTGAGTCAGGAAGCCTGAATTGAGAGGAAGAACTTACTATACTGATAGCCTCCCATGTTGTCCATGATCACCACACACGAATCGAAGCTGATCCAACAGAGGTCAACCCCGAGTGTCGCGCGTGATGTCTTCAGCACAATGGCTGTTCAGAATTTGCAGCGACTTTGTCCGGGAATCTGCCTGATTCTGATTAATTATATCTGTTGATGTCATGATCTATCATCCACAATTCTGCTGTTTCTGTGCATTCATGGTGATGAGAAACCCCCCACGTTGCCTCTTTGATGCTTAGTTCAATTAATGCGCGGTCTAAAAGTGTTGCCGTTAGAAATGCGACTCTGTTGCTGGCCCAATTCTTGCCCATTTGGCACAGATATGCCCGCCTATGCCCGTGTCGCCTGCTTCTTACTCGATTTAGCTCGATTATTGCCCTAGCTCAATTATTGCCCATTGCGTGCGCCATAACCCTGCTAGCTCTGTGTCTGCCCGCCTAACGATGGCCGCTGGCTCTGGTTGCGAAGGAGATGAAAGGATGAAGTTGGCGAGGTGGAGGACTGTTGGGAGGAGGGTGTGCAACGCCGAGCAGGGCCAGCGCAAACAGACGTGCAGGGAAGGCGCCCCTCTCCTCTCCCTCTCTGGTCTAGACTGCAGTCTGGCCTGACGACTCAGGCCGTCCAATCGACATCAGCACCCGCCATCTCCATCTTTGTTCCTTTCTTTTCTTTCTCTCTGTTTCGTTTCTTTTGTTTCGCGAAGGCGCCTTGGTAGGCGACCTCGCTGATGACACCGCCGACATTATACAGCCTCCTCTTCTTTGTTGACCTCAACCGTTAACCGCTAGACTTGCGATCAAACAGCGCAGAATATTCCTAATAATGAATGCATCGCCGAGATATTGTCCGGTCAGCCAACAAGGCGCTCTTGTCATCCCTCCGAGCCTTGTCGGATATATTTTCTCGGCATCATATGATATCCATAATCAGCTAGTGTGTGTATATATTTATATATATATATATATATATTGTCTCTAGTATGATCTATAATATATAATTATAGAGTATGATTGTATACTCACCACCGTACAAGAAGGATCTACATGCGCCACCAGTCACCCACAGCATGGTCGATCATGTTAAATATAATTAGCAAGCCTATGTTTATATAACTCCATAAATTATCACTGCAAGTAATAAGTATATAATTATGCCCCACAGGCCGCATAGCGATCGATAATAGAGTTACCATTGGCGATCACTTGATCTCGCTTGCCATCGGATTTGACCGGCCCGGGAGAGATCGTGATGCGACGTTAAAGACACGAAAACGTCTCCACATTTGAGCCTTTAGAAGGGCGTGCAGCACTAGCATTTGATTTAAATTTGTATTTACGTTTATAGTTCTTCAGTCTGGATCAAGACGATCCGGAAGCTCATTTATGTTTGCAGTGAGAATGCGTTATGCCATGATATTGTGTATATCTGGCTTCTTCTCCTTCTTTGGCTATTCGACCGGCGGGTACACTTTCAGCGTGATTTCCCGCAATTCGGGCGATGTTTCGTAGGCGGCGATGAGGATCTCCGCGATAGCGGGTTTCAGCAGTTGTTGTATCGGCTGGGTGTTTCGTTAGTATGAGATTCCATTGTAGAAAGGTGCTAGTGTTTAACCCAACACCTCGTTTTTGTAATCTTTGCTCCAAGCCATATCTCTCGCGGCTTACGCGAAGCTGAGCCTGTCCGGTCTTGAGCGACAGAGCAGGGACTATCACGCAGCGTGTGTATGCGACCACTCTGTTCTCAATCTCACGAGGCGCGGCATGGGCTTTGCGGATCGTTTTCCTGATTGTGTGTGCAGGCTTGAGCAGATCGATCTCGCTGTCATCGTCGCTGGAGCTCATTTTGCCGACACTCGAACCAGGGACATAAACATAATTCAGCAACTTTTCACTTAGGGGGCTGTTGGTGAGCTGCTTGATGACCTCAGCACTAGCCTCTTTTACACCATGTTCTGAAACCAGCGAGGATAATTTATATACATCCATCATATATTCCGGGCTTTTTGGTAATTAGGAGCTGCCGAGGACGAAGAGCAGTTGCTCGGTCGATGCGCCCACCACCCACAGCATTGCGGTGATGGTATACTCGTAATATTTCGCTCGGTTCTCGACGAGCAATAATGGTGCCTTCAGCTTATCAAGGTCTCAGAATGGTTGCGTCGCAGCCAGGTGAGAGGAACCGGGCGATTTTCAAGGGGGCACTGCATAACCGATTTAGAATGCGACCAATATTATTGTGACGAGGCAATTTTCATCCAAGTAACCGCTATGTGGACGATCTGTCGCTGCTACGATCATCAAAATTAATAATTAATAATTTTTTTTCGTTGGTAAATGGTGGTGGCGGTAGAAGCCGACGTACCAGTACCCCATATATTTTGGGATTTTCTTGTTTTTGGAGGATCCCCTCAATGATGCCCTGTTCAAAGCCTCCTGCAGATTTTCTGTAATGAGAGCGAGCCGTTCAGCCGCCATCATTGTGGTCAGCATTGTCAAAGTTTGACTGTTGAGACGTTCCGCCTGTGACTTGCGAAGAGGAAAACTTCGGGTGCATGAGTCACTCTTGAAATAGCCCTCCAGGTCCGGGATGGGGTCAGTCAAAGCCCCTGGTATGATTTCCGATATGAGTTGGCTAGATGGAGAGCAGGAGAACGAGTGACTGTATCACGACTGGAGGATGACGATTGGGACTGCGCGCGAAGAAAGGCACGCACTGGCCAATCAGGTACGAGGTCTGTTGGCCACCTCGACAAACAACAAACAACATACAAGCAACACCCAGGCTGAGGCTCCAACTCGACAACTGGACATTGAACAGAATTCTACTAGCAGATCGAGAGCAGATCGCAGTGATCGCCGTGCAACTGTATATACAGTTCTAGACAATGCTCGGTTTCCACCGGCCCGGCAAGGCTCGTGGTCTCCACATGGCGTCAACAGGGCGTACAACGTCCGTCTGATGGTCGATGATGTATGGGTCTTGCCGTGGCGCGGGGGAAAAGTAAATTCAACTGACAAGGTTAAATACTTCACGATGAACGGGGTCGTGTGACAGCGACAGCGATACTGACAAATGACGGCAAGTTGATTACTCGACTACTTGAAGAGAGGCGAAATATTTGAACGACGCAGTTTCCACTCGTTTCAGACCAGAACGTGTCTCGTGCTACTCGTCTCTGTTTCGTATTTGGTTGAACTGCACTACGATCATGGGATCTGCTGGCGTTTCTCTCGACGGTGACCTCCTCGCCGGCGATTCGCCTCATCTCGAGCTTGTCCTGGCCACGCCAGAAGAGCACCTGGAGACCATCCGCATGAATAGCAGGGCCTGGAAGGGACTGCTCGATCTAGACCAGTACATCGAACGTGAGCACCGGCTGTCGCAGCAGAACTTGACCAAGAACGGCGCGCTTACTTGCTGGATCCTCGTCGATGGGAGGCTGCCACCCAACTCGCGAACCATTCTCAGCTCCTGCGAAACCTACCTAAAACCCGCATATCTCGCTTACAAGGGAAATGTCGAAGAGATCATCTGTCATGGAATTGGGAGTGTCTTTGCCCGGCCAGAATTTAGAGGCCGTGGCTATGCTGGCCGCATGATGGAGGAGCTGAGCAAGAAACTCGATACTTGGCAGTCAGAAAACCAGCCCCGGAAGCAAGGAGTTTTCTCCGTGCTGTTTTCTGACATTGGCAAGAAGTTTTATACAAGGTATGGCTGGAAACCATACCTGTCCTCGCACATGACCCTGCCGCCAATCAACGAGGACCATCTAAAGGTATCCGTTGCCTTGGCTAAACTTCCTGTAGCCAGACCCATGAGCGCGGAGGACGTCCGTCAGTCCATGTGCAGCGAAATTGTTGAGCACAAACAACGCAATCTGCTCCAGGTTGCTTCTCAGAAGTCGCCAGGAGCAAAAGTAGCAATTTCGCCGGATTATGATCATATGCTTTGGCACTGGGCTCGTGAAAACTACTACGTAGAAATGGGAGTCTTCGATGATAAGAAGCCATCGGTTCGAGGTGCAGCTGTAGACTCCCAGAACGTCTTCTGCACGTGGGTTCGCACTGTTGGTGACACTAAATCAAGCCACACACTGCACATTCTGCGATTTAGCTATGATGAGCCAGCGTCGCCATCAATCGAGTTGTCCACCATCGAGGCTATTGCTGCCGTTCTTCGTCGGGCGCAATTCGAAGCACATGCACTCAACGTGCAAAAGGTGGAATTCTGGAACCCGACGTCACTAGTAGTCAAAGCGGCGAAACTGCTTGATCCAGATGCTCAAGTTTTCCATCGCGACGAGAGCAGCATATGCAGTTTGAAGTGGAACGGAGCTAAGCAAGGGCTAGGTGATGATGTGGAATGGTTCTGGAATGAAAAATACAGCTGGTGCTGAGGTCTGCTTGATTTTGTCGTCTGTTTTAAGCTGGGACTTGGGTTTGTATTCTGTCCGACGGCGTTTTCCATCGTCATGGTAGACGAACTGGTTATAGATGACGATTGAAGACGGCGGCATGCTTAGCATGAGATATCCATGCAAGTCGCAATGCAAGTACTTTATGGTTTCCAATGGTCTCTTACTTTCTCTGGCTCTTGAATCGCTCATGCCAGTTCCGAGAATTCTTAGCTGTAGTCGCTGTAGTCGTACCTCCTCCGGCCTCTTTCTTCACCTTGTTACTCTCTGACTCAACGTAGCAAATTGAAACCGGATCCGGCGTCTTGTAGGAACTCTCCTAAGAAACCATTAGTTCCGAAGCATGATTGCGTTGAAATTTACTTGTACTTACAGGTAATTTATCCAGGGACGCTTCATTTCGCCATGACTCGGGTAACAAGTCTTTCCAGATACGGATGAACTCAGAGCGTCCTACAGAAGAACATTCTGTCGAGGCATACGCTTCGAGATACGTCTCACCGATCCATCTTACACAAACAGTTTTGTCCAGATTAGTCCCTGAAGAGAAATTAGCGAGCACCTCAAACCCTCAAACCCATATAAATAGCATAACATACACCTCAGCTCCTGCTCATCCAGGCTCGATATCTTCGAACCAGACTTCTCAGCAACCCTCATAACAATCGCATCAAACAAGGATCGAGGGAACAGCTCCTCCTCCTCATCATCCCCCACAACAGCCTTCCAGAGATCATTCGCAAGGAATTGCCGTTCCAAATCAATGCTCTGCAGCACCGATCCCTCAAGAATTCGCTTCCATACATCAATTTTCGTTCTTGCTGACGGCCGAAAAGCAGTAACTTCTTTACCATCATTATCAAAATGTACGAAAGCGCCAATCTCACTCCACGCCGCGTTACACTCCGCTGTCGAGAATGGGACATCATCGAATAACTCCCGTTTTATCCTGGTCTTCTGAGACTTGGTTATTTCTTGCTGACCCCGAGCATCGGCCATATCAATATCGCCTTCCGCACTTATCCGATCGTACACCTTTATCATGCTTCTCATGATCTGTGCTGCCGAGCTGGTCTCGTCTAATTTGTGCAATTCAAGAGTCGATCCGCACTTCGCAATCGTTGATACCGTTCCGGGGACATTCAAATCATTCATCGACATATCATCACCATTCACTTGCTGTCCATTCCTGTCACTCGGGCGTATAACATATAACGAATTCGACGAATGGACCTGTCGGATTCTGAAAGTTTTCTCGCTTGTGCATAGGTTCACGTAACCGGCGTCTTGCCCCGCTGCCGAATCTGTTTGGGGGGATTTGAGATATAGACTACGTATCGATCAGTACTTCGAGCATCCTCACGCATATATGTCCAGACTCACGTTGGCGCATTGCCAGAAGAAAGCAATTCGAGCACTTCGGGCGTTAACTCGAGAAGACGGAAAGCTTGTTGCGGGGAGCTATGAGCAAGGCGTATGCTGTTTGCCTCCTGGGTCGACATGATTCGGAGGATGAAGCGACAGGCAATAACAATGAATGATGTATCAGCAAAAACTATCTTTGCGTCAAGGAGTGCCCAAGGAACACGCTGCAAATTGCGCGGGGCAGGAGACGCGCCGAGGGACGTGTTTGGTGCACGGACCACAGCTTATATGCGAGACTTTGGACTGTAATGATAGTAGCTAATTGATTTAATATTATTATACTATTTTAATACAGGCAGTGATATGTAGGTTGTAATGTTACTGAGGTATAAACAGTAGATAAACATGATCCCGACTCTCAAGTTTGTAGGAGTAAAGACTAGAATATTGAATATAGAAGTAAGAACCTGTTTCAAAAGAATGAACAGCAACCGCCCATCTCGTAGCTGTATAATTTTAATACATGAAGTGAACATGAACATTCAAACACCAATGACTGAGACTATACATGGATAAATATGGCATAGTCTTGGGCACATATAAATCACTGGTCGACACCCGTAACTCCGGTCCAGGCCAAAAATTAACACATCAAGAAGAAAAACCAATAAAATCTATGAATGGTCGGTTAAATATAGTGAAGAGATATCAAATATATTTACTCCATTTTGACTTTGGGGGAGTCTGCTTTGGATGCTTTCACATCGTCGCGTGCCCCAGTGTTGTCCTTTACTTTGGAAGAGTCCGCCTTGGCTGCTCTCACATTGTCGCGCCCCCCAGCGTTGTCTTTTGGTCTGGGAACGTCTGCTTTGGCTGCTCTCACACCATCGCCTGATCTAGTGTTGTCTTTAGCTTTGGAGTTGTCCTGAGCATTCGCTCTGTCAAGAGAACTTTCTTTTTCCCCTTTCGCGGCAGGTCCTTCTTCGCCTCCTTTGCGCTCTTCTTCAGCGGTTTGTAGTTCTTGCTTCTCCTTTTCCTCGAGGCTCTTGACCGCAGCGCCGTCCTTGGCCCATTGAGCTTGCGGATCTTTGAAAGTGTCTTTGATTTTCTGCTGGCGCTCTTGCTCCTCTTTTTCCTCCTGTTCTCGTTGTTTTCTTTCCAATTCCATTTCCTCCATGTGACGTATATCGTCAACACTGGGTTCGTACAGATGCCAAATCGTGTAGTGTGGAAGCCCCACAACCGAGTAATCCATGCGTCTCGCCATCTGTAATTGCGAATTAGCATAATGAATAGCATATCGGGAATATACCACGACATACCTTGCCGAACCCTTCCGTCTCTGCGTGCTTTTCAAAGCTGAAAGCGGGGAAATGGACACCAGATCGGAATACCTTGGCCTTGGCTAAAATACTGACTCCCCCAACACCATCAATTTCCATTTCCATGTCCGGATCACCATACGGGTCCCTAAGGTACGCTAAATGCGGTCGCCAAGTGGCGTATTCCGCGTAGCCTTCAACAATAACGGCGTCTTCGTCTAGTGTGTCTGCCAGGGAAAGTGCTGTCTCTGACTCTTGCCATGAGTTCAAATCGTACGGTTGTTCTCCACCAAGCCAGTCGGGAAGAGGTCGCCAGACGTCTACATGCCAAACTCATTAGTATTATGGTCACAAACGAGAAAAGGAAAATAAACCCACTTGGTACAATTACGTCTTTGTTATGTCGCATTAAGTCCTCCAAAATCGTAAAAGGTGCCGTTTGAACATCGGCATCACGCCAATAAACCCAGCTATGCGTCGGTCGCAGCGTGGCGCTCAAAAGCCAGTTTCGGGCCTGAGCCATGAGTTTTCGTCGGCCAGCTTGCGCGGCAAAGCCATGCCGGCTTTCCACGTCCTGGTTGACTTTTTGTCCGAAATCTTTCTCAATAACGGAAATCTCGCCATACGGCATCTTAGGGTCAGGGTCTTTCTGCAGTTCTGAGAGCAAGCTTGAGAGTAATTCGAGCGTGTTGTCTTTTGAGTCGGAAACCAAAAAGGCCAAGTCAATCAAATGATGAGGATAGGTCAAGTTTCGTAGGTGTGAGAAGAACATAGGAAGGTGAGGTTCTGCGTCGCGCAGCGGAGTGCACATGAGAACTCGTTCCTCTCGGTGCCATCCCATTGCCGTGCCCTGTGTTTCGGAAAGGTCATAATAGCGAACAGTCTCTAATGAAAGGTCGTCATGTGTGGAGGAAAATAGCCCCACCGATATAGTTGGAATAAGAACGGCGCGCCATGAGGGAACGATGAGAAACAAAATGAATAACGAAATGGCTGCGATGAATACTAATTTGAACAAAAGCTGCCTTCTCCGCCGCAGTGCCGGTTGCGAGCGTGGCTGGAACCTGTCAGGAAGCACCAAGATGTCAGTCCATACCATAGCTCATCGCTGGGCCGATTGCCTACCTGTGAGGTGATATGGAGAAGGTCCCGCCTCCGCTTCGCGGATAGGCACTGTAGCCATTGGGATAGGCGTAGTGCCTGTTCATCTCTCTAGCGCTGACGGCATAAGTCGACTAATAAGAAAGCTGCAAAGGACAAGATGACGCGTTCTCGACTGGGGACCCTGATCACAGCACCGGAAGTGTCTGTTCTGTCGATGGTACGCACCAACTTCCGACCCCGTAGGCAACGCTAACAGACAAGGCAAGACAGTACAAGGCGAGAAAAGGTCGAAAGGAGAGACGAAATCGCGCGAGGCGATCGCCGGAGGGAATGACCGGGAGAGTAGTGACTACGAAAGAGTAGTAGTTGCGACAATGCAAGCAATATGAATAGGAATATGAATATTTAATATTCATATCTGGCCAGAGAATGCGGACTTATTGCGATCTGCGGCGGCTGACTGTTGGCTGGCGCTAGACCCAACCAGGACGTGCCAAGGATACGTCAAGTGCGGAGGAATGACGCACTCGCCGCCTTCCTGAGACCCTGCAGCCTCCGTCCATATCGCCAATGGTTATTAAGATTATTCAGGAAATGCGTTCATCCTTCGAAAATTATTCCGTCTGGCCGGATTTCTGCTCCGTCACAACTTACAATTGCCATTTCCAACAATCAACATGAAACGTGCCCGCAGATCTTCGGGTAATGACCCACCACGCTGTCACCTAACGGATTTGGTAGAACTTCGATATCTCTACCTAGTATTTGCAGCTACGATTTATTCGCCACGGAGAAGCCAGATACATATCCTGCTGTTAGTTGCACCGTAGAAGGGCGAAGTATATCAAACGTTTATCTTGAGGGCATTGGACTTTTGAGACTTTTTTAAAGAATCTTTGTTTTTCAAAAATAAGTGTTTCTCAAGGTTATTTTTTGTTTCGTTGCATTTTAATATCTGGTCTTGTGCTATTTAGTGCTACGTAAAATATTCTAGGAACCAGGGTTGGATGTCTTCGTACCAACATACAATCAGTCCGTTGTTGATATATTCTATCGTTCCAACCTTGGATAATTAGTTAGCCCTGGTGTTGCTGGCAACTCAAATCTTTGAGACTCATCTCCAGGGACTTCGTATCGATGTTGCGTATGCGTGTGGTCATTGAAATCTCCTGGTGGTTTCGTGTCTTGGTCATTGGACGCCTTACGAAAGAGTGAATATGACCTGTCGTTCAACTCGAGTCCTCGGGTTTGCTGCTGATTTAATCGCTTACGCCGTCGAAGATAAATAAACATACCCAGACCTATCAGGCAAATAACAGTTACCGATGGGATGCTGGCAGCGACTGCTACTGTCTTTTGGTGTCCTTGCAAATCGGCAGATGAGGGAGTCACCGCAGCAGGCATCGATGATGAGGTAAGTGTAGGCTCTGATAATATACTTGGAACAGAGGTCGGTAAGTTTGACAAGGCTGTGGTGGTTGTCAATGAGCTTGATACAGATGCTTTCGAGGTCGTTAATATTGTTGAACTCGCCACTGACGACGTTTGTGTTACACCGATGGTCGTTATAACCGAGGGAGTGCCTGCAGAATAGAACATTAGGACCAGGAAGGCTGGAAGCGATATGTAGCAGGATTGAATGAGTTGGTATAGGTACCTTGGAAAATAAGCACATTCTCCTCCGCAGTGCAGTTCACAGCCTGGTAGTTGAAATCGATACAATAATACACATCTTTGCTGGTGTTGCTGCATTTCTCAATTCCTTCTCCTCCAGCTGTGTTGTCCTGATCTGGTGCATTAGGATTAATGCAAAATAAGGGACAATTTGAGCTCCGCCAGGTTTGGTCTGTGCAAGACCCTCGTACGTAGAGCGACGCGTTAGTCTTCGCTATCTCATCTCCGGTAGCCATGCAAATATTATTCGAAAGGCATGCATATCCTTGTCCACAACAGGTTGATGGGCTTGTACCTCCCTGACATGGTGTATCTTGACTAGAAACGTCTCCGTTGGGGTAATAACAAATGGAGTACGCCGGGGATACAGAAATCAAAAGGAGTACGAGAACAATAGGCAAAGCACGCGTACAGAGCGTCATCGTCGGTTATTGATTCTCATGGAACAATCTCTAACACGCTGGTTTTCACCAAGTCAAAAGTTAGACGACCCATGATTTGGACTCTGGGCTCTTTATCTCAAATTGACCGAGGCCACGTCGTCTACCCCCGACCAAGTACCCTGACCGCATCTACATTGCGCCTGAGTAGTACTAGGTGTAACTAAAAATCATTCCTTCTGAGGCGCCTCTGTATTACTAGCGAGATTAGTGACAGGGAGGGAAATGACAGTCAATGATGCCAAGCGGCGCTGATTTCCATAGGGGGAGTAGGCTACTATAAACAAGGTGCATAATTGGGAGATACCTGAATCACCGTGCACGCATGCATGTGCTTACCTGGGTTATAATCATGTCCACATGAGTTAACTAAACCTGTTCTTTGTTTGCTGTGCTCTAAATATGTCGCGTCTTGGCTTTGTACTCTGTGATAGGAAGAAGAAGAAGAAGGAAAGAGGCGAGGCTGGTGGTTTGGACATGGAACTAGTGCGGGCGCAAAGTAGCCGGCTTGCAGGGGAAGTCACTTTCACGCTCGCCAATCGGGACATATGGCAGTGTGACATGTCGTCCAGCTTGCGCCTCAGGCGGCTACATGCATTGATCGCTGTGTTTTGTGTTTCAGGAATGAGGGCTGATCCCTTGGGCTATTTCATAACCTCACATTGGAATTGTATTCTGTCTGACTGAGATCCAACCTCAATATATATATCCATTTTTCTAGTAGTGCCGCTCCTTGAATAAATATCAGACTCTCATATTGTATATTTAACCTTTAATTATTACCCCTCGTTCATCATGAATGCCAGATTACGCCGTGTCCTTCTTATTTCATCCACTTCGGCTCTTCTCTGTTGGTTTCTTTACGCCTACGGAAGGACTATCCTGCATTATGACCCTCTTGCAGCAGAACCGGAAACCAACAAACTTCATACTGATCCAGAGGTAGTAGAGCCAACATCCCCTGATGAAAGCCAAAATAACTACCAGAATGAAGATGAGATACAAAAAGAATATCTCTGGAGCACCCTTCCCGTGCGATATCCAGTCTCGTCGATGCGACCATTACCTACGCAAGTACCTCTAGAGCTCCCCAAAGTCCAGGCAAGTCACTGGGGCCTTTCTCAAACCAAGTCAAATGTCCAAAGACAAAGACAGAAAGCTGTCAAGCAAGCGTTCGCGCGTTGCTGGGAATCTTACAAGTCTCGAGCATGGATGATGGACGAAATTACACCTATCGGCGGATCGTCAACAAATTGGTTTGGAGGGTGGGGAGCAACTTTAGTTGATAGCCTTGATACTCTCTGGATAATGGATATGCGTGATGAGTTCAGGGAGGCAGTTGCTGCAGTTGTGAGTATTGATTTTGAACATACAACTCTTGGCAGTGTCAACGTTTTCGAGACAAACATTCGCTACCTGGGCGGATTTCTGGCCGCTTACGACCTGAGTGGGGACTCAAGGTTGCTGAAAAAAGCCATTGAAGTTGGGGAGATGCTTTATGTTGCCTTCGATACGCCAAACCGAATGCCTATCACTCGATGGGACTTTAAGTCGGCCGCAGAGAACGGCGAGCAAATAGCCGAAGAAGGAACATTATCTGCTGAGATCGGCTCGTTCACAATTGAATTCACTCGTTTATCCCAGATTACCGGCAATCCGAAATGGTATGATGCTTGTCAGCGCATCATGGAAATCTTTGATAGGCAGCAAACTGATACCAAGCTGCCTGGAATGTGGCCGATGGTGGTCAATGCTCGAAAAGAGTTATTTGCCGAGGGTGATACTTTCACCCTGGGCGCAATGGCTGATTCCCTGTATGAATACCTCCCAAAGACATATGCATTGCTTGGCGGAGTATTTCCGATGTATCAAAAACTGTATGAATATTCCATGGACACTGCGATCAAATATAATTTCTACCGTCCAATGATCCCAAATGGAGAAGACATCTTGATATCCGGCGCTGTACAAGTGTCTGAAGAAAACGGAAACCAACATATCACCATTGATGAGTCAGGCCAACACCTAGTATGCTTCGCCGGAGGAATGCTCGCTCTCGGAGGCAAGTTATTCGGCAATCAATCTCATATCAAAATTGCAGAGAAACTCACCGACGGCTGCATATGGACCTACAATACCATGCCCTTAGGGATAATGCCCGAAGTATTCAACATGATACCTTGCCCTGACTCGTCGAATTGTCCTTGGGATGAAGAAACCTGGAAGCAAGAGGTTCTAAAACGATCAGAACAGGCACAGTCAGGAGATTTAAACAAAGCTCAAGATATAATCGACTCCCAACGCCTTCCTCCAGGCTTTACAAAAATCTCAGATACTCGATATATTCTTCGCCCAGAGGCAATTGAGAGTGTTTTTATTTTATATCGAGTTACGGGCCGTGATGATTTACTCGATTCTGCATGGGCTATGTTTGATACTATCCAGAAACATTCCAAAACGGAGCTAGCTAATGCCGCCTTGTCCGATATTACAGTTACGGATGGAAATCCTCCAAAAATAGATTCAATGGAGAGTTTCTGGATGGGAGAGACACTAAAGTACTTTTACTTGGTTTTCAGCGATCCGAGCCTCATCAGCCTTGACGATTTTGTCTTCAACACAGAAGCGCATCCGATGCGGAGACCGAAAGCAAGCTGAATTCAAATTTTCGTTTAATTACATTTGTTTTATATATTCTAGCTAGTCTAGAAAGCGTAATCACGAACAGAACTATCAATAACGGGTGTGTAATGCGCTATCTCTCACAACCCCTGATTCTATATCAGCAGCAATGGTTACAGAGTCCATAGAAGGTTTTCAATCAGTGTCTCAACAATAAAGGTATCAGACTTGACAAGTTGTTGGTTTTATACAGGCTGGAATTGATGACGAGATATGCTGCTAGCAATATCAAATGTCTGTGGATACCTTCAAGACAAATGACCGGATAGACATTGAGTGTCAATGCTTCGATGTCCCTGTGTATACTATAGCACTTGAAAATACATATGCCAGAGCTCTCAACAGACTTGGCTAAATTCCAGGTGCAATCAATTCATAAATACTTTTAGAGTCCTTTATTCGCCATTCAATATTAGTAATGCCATAAAGCCAAAATACAAAGATTTTGGTTTTAGATGATCCTAGAAATGGCAGATGAGTGGAGAACAAATACAAAGTCAATAGAGAAGGGGATTAAACATGATGCAATCAAATTCTTACGAGATTTAAGATTATTTTTCGTATGCTCACATCTCTTTCACTTTGGACGGGATTAATAAAAAGATTCTCATTTCTTGAACACAATATATGTTAAGCTACAGAATTTAAAACCCCCCTAATCGTACAAACTTTCTAAATATTCTTCCATTAATTCCCAGGCTCGCTTAGGAAGCTCGCCAAACAACCAACAAGTGTCACCATTGAACCTTCCCAATACGTTCAACTTGGGTATTGGATAGGGATTGCTAAGATTTGTAACATAGCCAAATGTCATGGTTCCCAAAGGGTTCGTTCTCGATGACGATTCCTGCCCTTGGCGTACAATGGCCGAGCTGAAGTCAATGTCAATCCGATTCGTAAGTTTATTTAAGTTGTTGACTATGATAGGCATCGAGTCAGTGTTGTTACTCAACGCATTCGTGTCGATATTCGCCTCGATTGCCCCCAATATAGAGACCAGAAATGTAGCAAGTTGGTCTGGTGCAGCTAGGTTGGCGATACAGTCCCGTTGAGAGAAAGCAATCGGGCCGATAGGACCTGTTGCAGTTTCAGTGGGTAAATTATTGGATGCTACTAGGAGCATGTTCTGCGTATAGATGCCTTTGACCTTTGTTAAGGCTGGAATGAGTAGTCGAGCGTTTATGAGATTCATTAGATTGAGGGGCCGTTGATCTGGTTCCGCTCTTGCTACTTGTTGTATTGCCCATGCCAACAGCAACTCATCTTCCTTTAGAGATTGGCTTCCGTCAAGGTAATCATCTGAACATTCGTCCTGAAGACGATTTTGAAGTTGTTGTATGATATCTATAGGAATACAGACGAAGCGTTCTTCCCCAGGAGAAATCTGTGGCAGTGGCTGCTGATTTGTTTCTTGGTTCATGCGCTTCAGCAGAGGGGTTTCCCCTTGGCTATTTTTATACTTGCTAGCCATTTCGGCCAGTATATCGTGTTGTGCCCCTAGAAGTGGCAAAACCTCATCTTCTCGTCCCTCCAGCACTAATCCTACCATTTTGTACATGGACAGATAGCCAGTGGCATCCCAGGTGATGTGTGGATAGGAAGTTGCTATTAGTGTGGCATCAGTGAATGTTGTGATTTTCACCGCTAGCTGAGGTACATCAGTATCGATCATTTCCTCTATTGAGGCCGCAAAGTTTGGTCCCATGGCAAGTTGTCGAATTTCAGCGGGTGGTGCTTTAATACATAACCCATCGGATGACAGGGGGAACTCGCCGGCGGAAGGATGATCTGCAATAGCACAATCGAACGACTCATCAGCGAATCTGAAAGCAGGTCGTTCTGCTGTATATTTTCTTGGGACATGGATCTCCAATTTTCCATTCTGAACAAGACTGTGAGTCTACTATCACGTCTGAGTCGCCCAGCAGCATCGATTTGGGGCATCTTACTTTGTATCTCAAACGTCCCCCTAGCTTTTTCCAGTCCCCTATTTGGAGGAGAGCCAAAAGAGCGTCATGTATTTTTTGAGCGTCTAGCACATCGTTGAACAGGAAGAAACCGGAATAAATGACGTGCTGGATGAGAGTCCCATCCAGTAAATGTACCGGATAAACATAATCATCCAACTGCTCATGGGCTTCATGAAACGTGGCGCCCGCTGTGCTGGCATTGTAATGCGGAAGGATACTGGCGGAAGCCATTATAATGCCCCCTTTAATATGTATTCAACTTTGGAATTTACAATCAATGTAGAATAAAGGGCGAAGCAGCCTTAATTATCGAGGTTAAGAAGCTACTTTCTCTCGGTAAGGCTAAAGCTAAGATGGTTAGGTGCTAAGGTCGAGGCTTTCGATCGACTAAACTTGAAAAAAAGCGTAATAAAATCACGAGACGCCCTTGGAGACAGATGAAATGAGCTGACAAGCAAGGGAAAGTTCTTACGCTACTGCCGTGTCCCTCGGGGAAAGATGCATGACATGCAACAGATCGATCCAAAGACAATATTTTCACATACACGTGTTTTCTCATGATATATCAAATTTTATTCTTAGTAGGACTAAAAGTTATATACAGACCGGTATCAGTCAACCACGAAAAGCCTGAACATGACATACCAGGCATATTACAGAGCAGATTTTCTCATGACATCAACGCGGCAGAGTCAGCAATGTGTATCGTTTCGAGGAAGTCAGGCGCTTCAAGCAGACCGAGTCGTCTGGTTTCGCAGAAATGAACAGTCTACGGGTCCGACCCTATTGGCAGGGTGACCTACTCCTTGCGTTGGAGTAAACGAAGTTCACTACTGGCGATGAACTTCTGAAATTCTCCAGCTTTCGGCGTAAGCCACCATTCTGTCCCACAATATGACGGCGCCACAAACTGGTCGCTCTGGATGCCAGATTTGTGGATCTTGTCGCATTCCCGAGCCAGGATCTACTGAATGTTTCAACTTGTGTTTTCATTTAGGCGAAAGTCGCTACTTGAACTCTGCTTGCAAGTACGAAGTGAAAGTCCGTACATATCATATCCCTGTCATCGCTTCGAAGCTGTATATGTCTTTTGCCCTATCCCCAACAACGACGACCCGCAATGTCGGTGATTACTCCTCCGAACTATGTATTAATGTCAGCCCTGTTGGCGCCCACGCTTTCAGAAATTGGCAGTATATCCTCCAGGGGTTCCCGAGAAGATACGGCCTTGCAGAAAAGCCAATGTATAATTGCTGTAGACTCGCTTGGAACCCTGCGGGGATTGGCCTCTCTTTTTTCTGTTGTTATCTGAAGCAGGAGATGTTCCTGGTATGTGTTTCGATTTACGCAGTGGGCTATGGAGATCAGATCGACCAATAGTAGTTGAGCTGTTGTTTTTAAGCTTCTCGGGTGGTCCAGATTGGGACAAGTGGGCGACTATGGGCGGTATCCTTGCCTGGGTCCTGCGTCCCTCGACTTGTATTGTTTTCCTTCCTCCCTTCCTTCAGCGCGAAGGGGCAATTTGCACCTTCAACGACGACTGGACTGACCTCTGTATTCTACCTGGACTCGTGTGGAGCTTATCACCGTACGAAGTCATAGCCTCACAGGATGGCCCATTCCTGCGGATGCTCCGTCTCAGCGATGTGGCTGCCAAGCTGCACAAGTTGCTGGCACGCCATCCACGGTTGGTTTCGTTTTGATAATAGAAATTCATCAAACACATCACCGGGATCAGGACTATAGATGCATCGACAAGGTTAAGTTTTTAGGCCAGAATGGACGAGATAATATATATGGGTCCTTAGTCCCGACGGCCTTCAGTCCTTGTAATATATCAGCTCCGTCTTGCCCGACAGGAGATGTGCGATCCCTCGATTTGTTTTCGATATATATCTCACACGTGTCACATATTCACAGATTGGAAATTTCCGAAATAGTTAAACTTGATTTCACCGAAATAATTTCTCAACCTTCCACCCTTCGAGACGTAGGAACGATCTGTCTTCTCTTCGGGATATTTCATTTAGACAGGATCTCGTGTTGCGCTGTACATAGTCACCAGTCGCCAGCCAGGAGGAGGTACGGCGGTCTTTTAGCATGCCTCCAGCAGATATTGCCATTGTGGGCATTGCATGCCGCTTTGCTGGTGATGCGAAGTCTCCCGAGGCTTTTCATGAGATGCTTGTCAGAGGCAAAGACGCCTGGACAGAGACTCCGTCTTCACGATACAATGTCAAGGCATTCCATCATCGCTCTCGGGAGAGAAGTGGAAGTATGGTATGAATTGAATGTTCATTTATTTTATTTATTCGAATTTAATTTGGTACATTTATTGATAATGAAATCTTCAGGTCTGTCGTGGCGGCTACTATCTAGAACAAAATCTCTCCAAGTGGGATGCTCCCTTCTTCGCCTGTTCTGCCTCAGAAGCTCGTGCTTTTGATCCTCAGCAACGCTTACTTCTCGAGGTTGCATACGAGAGTCTCGAAAATGCAGGAATACCGATCGATGCCATTGCAAACACAGATGCCGCCTGTTTCGTGGGTGGCTTCACCAACGATTATAAGAAAATTGTCTCCCGGGATCTTCACATAATGCCACAGTATGCAATGACGGGATGCTCTTCATCAATGCTATCTAATCGCGTTAGTTGGTTCTTGTGAGCGCCCCATCTCCTTTCCCTCTAAAATAAAATATTGACTTCCGGTAGTAATCTCCGCGGACCATCCGTCACTACCGACACGGCCTGCTCAAGTTCGATAACGGCATTACATCTGGCATGCGAGACGATCCGATCAGATTCAAACAAGACACGTTCAGCGCTAGTGGGTGGAACAAATCTCATTCTAGATCCAGATGATCCTTGTGCACTCAACGCCCTTGGCTTTTTAAGTCCTGACAGTCGTTGCTTCGCATTTGATTCGCGGGCTAACGGCTATGCACGGGGAGAGGGCATAGCCATGATTGTTCTCAAACATATCGACGATGCCATTCGTGACGGAGACCGCATTCGTGCTGTTATTCGGGCAACAGGACTCAACTCAGACGGCAGGGTATGTATAGACAGAACGAGTGGCTAGGGGATATGGCAACGTTACTAACGATAATGGTACACAATCTAGACCGCCGGAATATCTCTACCCAGCAGTAGCGCCCAACAACGATTAATACTCGACACATATGAACTAGCTGGGCTCGATCCTGCTGACACGCAGTATGTCGAGCTTCACGGTACCGGTACCAAGGCAGGCGATCCGGCGGAAGTTGGTGCTGTTTCCAGAACAATTGCTACAAAACGGAGCACTCCACTTTATTGTGGCTCTGTTAAGACACAGATTGGGCATACAGAGGGAGCAGCTGGCATTGCGGCTGTAATAAAATGTGTGCTTGCGATGGAGAATAGTGTCATTCCTCCAAATCTTAACCTCTCGAAGCCCAACCCTCGCCTGCGGCTTGGAACCTCAAACATTGTCATCCCAACATCACATGTAGAGTGGCCTGAATGTGCAATACGAAGGTGTTCAATTAACAATTTCGGTTTTGGGGGCACAAATGGGCATGTCATTCTTGACGATGCGCGCAACTATCTAAAGCGCCAAAAAAATGCGTTCTTGACTAACGGAATATCAAATCCAGGGACTATTCAAAAGACAGAAACTATCACGAACGGAAAGTCTATCCATAGTCAGGCTCGTCTCTTCATTCTCTCTGCGCCTGAGCAGGATGCCATAATGCGACAGCGTGTGGCACACTCTGACTACGCGGAAGCACGCTGCACCTCTGATACATTGGCATACCTTGCAAATACTTTAAGCGGGCGTCGGTCGATCTTTCAGTGGAGACATGCAGTAGTTGCGAGCTCTGTTGATGAACTCGTAGCTCACTGGAGGGATGACAAACTCAAGCCAGTCAAGGCCAGCACTTCTCCTAACATCACCTTTGTCTTCACCGGACAAGGTGCACAGTGGCACGCAATGGGTCGGGAGCTGGTAGTTTTTGATGTATTTGCGAGATCCATTCGGGAGTCAGCCTCATATCTTATGGCTGGTTTGGGCTGTCAATGGGATGCTTGGAGGGAGCTTATGGAGCCGGAGTCGGAAACAAAGGTCAACCGGGCTGAGTACTCTCAACCGCTTTGTTTAGTCCTTCAGGTTGCACTTGTTGACCTCCTGGAACACTGGGGTGTTAAGCCTTCTGCTGTTGTAGGTCATTCGTCGGGTGAGATAGCCGCGGCGTATGCCGCCCGAGCCTTAACTCGGGAGAGCTGCTTAAGAATTGCATACCACCGAGGCTTAGTCTCTGAGATATCCAAGCAGCGAAACCCCAATGGCTCCATGATGGCCGTTGGCTTATCCACAGAGAATGTTCAACCATATTTGGCTCAAACAGGAGGGTCCATCGTTGTAGCTTGTGTCAACAGTCCCGATAATGTTACGCTTGCAGGAGACAAAGCCGATTTAGTACACCTACAACAGGCTTTTCATCAGGAAAACGTATTTTGCCGCCTTCTCCAAGTTGAAAATGCCTACCACAGCCCACAAATGCGTAGTGTCAGTGAGGAGTACCGAAGCAGTATCAACGACATAGCTCCTATGAGCGACTCATCGATTGCTTTTTACTCTACCGTCTATGGCCGTCAGATCTCAACAATGCAGCTTACAGCTGAATACTGGGTTGATAATATGTGCTCAAAGGTTGAACTTGTCTCTGCTCTCGACGACATGATATACACAGATCCCAAGGAAAGACAAATGAAGAGCAAGGCCAAATTACCAAGCCTATTCGTCGAGGTCGGTCCTCATGCGGCATTAAGTGGCCCAATTAAGCAGTTTAAAGTTGCTCGTCCGGGTCTAGAAAATTTGACGTACCATTCCCTCCTTTTGCGAAAACAAGACGCAACACTGACAGCCATCAACACTGTTGGCTCTTTGTGGATGAAGGGAGTTCCAGTCAATCTCAACCGAGTGAGTCTTTCTTTATTCCAGTTTACTTTCTCCCCTTCAAGGTCCAATTTCTAACATACCACATAGGTGAACCAAATAGAGGAGATATCTCAGTCAGCAACGCTCTTGGTCGACTTGCCTTCTTACAGCTGGAATCACTCTACATCATACTGGCATGAGACAAGACAGTCGAGGAATCACCGCTGTCCTCTATTTCCCAGACACGATCTCATCGGCTCACTAATAGAAACTTACAACCCCCTGGAACCGGTGTGGAAGAACCACTTGCGCGTGTCGGAATTGCCCTGGCTCCAGGACCATCGAATTCACGGTGACGTTGTGTTCCCGGCAGCCGGAATGATTTGTGCTGTAGTTGAAGCCTCGCGTCAATTTGTAGTGCTTGAGAACTCCAGTCGTGACGTTTCGGGCTTCGAGCTGCGTGAACTTTCCATCTCGCAGCCTCTTTTGATTCCAAATAATGATATGGGAGCTGAAACATATTTGCATTTGAAACCAAAAAAACTTGGTATGGGTAGTGGAGTAGGACCTTGGCTTGAATTTTCCTTTTACTCTTGTCAGGAGAATGATGTGTTTGTGGAACACGCTTCTGGTCTTGTGCAAATCCAGCACTTAAAGAAAACAGCCGAGGTAGATGGAGGCAAGGAGCTGGAGGAAGAAACCAAGGCGTATCAGGAGCGATGGAGATCTACATCAGAGACATGTAAGCAGAAGATAACTAACAGGAGCCACTACGAATTCTGCGAAAGCCAAGGCCTCTCTTTCGGTAAGTTCTAGTGTCATTATTCCAAGGTTTAAATCGGATTACTTATAGGACAATTTGATTAGGTAAAACATTCCAAGGTCTGTCGAAAGTTCGTCAAAATGGACTCACTGTAGCCTTTGAGACAAAAATCCCAGACTCGCGCGCTTGTATGCCGGGATTCTGTGAAAGCAGTTATCTCATTCATCCCGCAACTCTTGATGCGGTGCTACAGGTAATGATGATTGCCATTCCCAGAATGGATGGCATTCAGAAACAAGTCTGGGTTCCAACCAGTGCCGATTCGATTCAAATTTCAAGCTGCATCTCTCGAGACTATGGGAGTTTTCTGCACGGAGTATGTGAGTCTTCCCATAGCGCAGTCCGAGAAATGACGGGCTCCTTTTTGGTTGGAGACGGGATATTTGATACTTTTCCTGGGCTCATAATGGACGGCTTCAAATTTAAGGGGCTTGGACCCACACAAAACTCATCCGAACTACCAGTTGAAACCAGTGCAAAGCTATATTCATCAACTACTTGGAAGCCAGACTTGGATCTTCTCGACGGGCCAGATTTACGGAGGTTGGCATGCAGCCAATCTCAAAGTCGCAGCATGACCAAATTCTGCTCCATGGCGTATGATATTGTTAATGAAATGTGCAGACAGGCTGTTACCAAATTAGACCTAAACTCGAACGCACTTCCACCTCATCTGCAAAAGTACATTGGTTGGATGCGAAGGCGGTGTAAAGTCTCGGTGAATGGTACTGGCACACCTTCGTTATGTTTGGAAACCGTTTGTCACGACATTTGTGAGGACGAGGATTGCGAAATAGAGAATTTGAGAGACTTTATCGAGAAATATCCTGTAGACGGAAAGCTATTGCGCCATGTTTTCCGCTCTCTAGGTGCTATTTTCGCCCAAAAGACGATACCTATCGCAGCTCTAATGGCAGAAGAGAACTTTGCAAAGTTTTACAAGGAGGCCTATGGATTAAGTACGAACATTCAAATTTTGCGAAGGTGGTTTGATCTCAAGGCACACAAGAAACCAAGCCTGCGAATTATCGAAATAGGCGCTGGAACAGCGTCGACATCTCTCCCCGTATTACAACAACTGGCAGACGATGAGTCGGGGACGCCCCGGTTTTCTAAGTATACATTCACCGACATATCTCCTGGGTGGTTTGAAAATGCAAAAACTGTACTGCGCAGCTGGAAGTCTCGCGTTGAATATAAGGTTCTGGATATTGAGAATGACCCCATCGAGCAGGGATTTGATGTTGAGTCCTACGATGTAGTACTCGCTGTTAACGTACGTTTTAGATTTTGTCCTATGTTGCACTTACTAATTATTTTAGGTCCTCCATGCTACTAAATGCATTGACAAAACTCTTGAAAATTGCAGGCGTTTGTTGAAGCCTGGCGGCAATCTTGTCCTTGGAGAGTATACTAACCTAGATGATTTAACTCATTTCATTTTCGGCATTCTGCCTGGTTGGTGGGCTGCTGAAGATGGGCGACAAAGTACACCACTACTCCTGGAGTCCCAATGGGACAAAGCTCTCAAAAATGCTGGATTTTCTGGCGCCGATATTACGCTCTCGGACAATGATGACTCAATAGTTCACAGGATGTCGACCCTGGTTAGCACTAAATTGCATGAACAGAAATCAGCTCTGGCTAAGGACATAATAATCGTTGTCCCCGTTGACTGTTCCTATTTTACGAAGAGCCTTTCGTCTTGTATTTGTCGTGAATTTGAAGCCATTGGTGCAAGAGCTGTAGTTAAGGATATTTCCACAGCGGTAATTGAAGCGAGTGGGAAAACAATTGTCTCCCTTCTCGACTACGAAAATTCATTCCTCGAAGATATTCAAGAGAGTCGTTTTGACCAAGTGAAGCAGCTTCTTCTCTACAGCAAAGAGATGCTCTGGATTACAAGATCGGATCCTGCTGATGCCCCAGGCCACCCTACCAAACGCATTGTATCTGGTTTGTTGCGTTGCCTCAAAACCGAAGATGCATCACGACGACTCTACGAGCTACATTTTTGCCATGAACTTTCCATTGAACTAAATGTAACAAGCGCCGTTATAACTCGCAGACTCTGCAGGATCTGGGATGATTCAACGGACGAGCTTGAAGAGATGGAGACTGAAGAACAAAATGGAGTATTCTGCATCCCTCGCTATATGCCAGATAAAGCCATGAATCAAAGTCTAGCTCGGGAGGCGGAGTTAGATGTCTCACCGCAGATCAATGACCTGCTCCAGGCTGACCGGCCTCTAAAGTTGACTATTGGGCAACCTGGTATGCTAGATACGCTTCATTTTGTCGATGATGATGACCCGTCTCAACGCTTGCTCGACGAAGAAGTTGAGATCGACGTACAAGCGTGTGCCCTCAACTTTTTGTAAGTCGAATTTCTCGTCTAATAAAGAGTATCACATGTCCTGGTACTAACTGAACAGGGACATCATGATTGCAATGGGTCAAATTCAACGCCCTGTCTTTGGTCACGAGGCTTCTGGCATAATCCGCCGTGTTGGGTCCAGGGTGACCAAGTTCTCTCCCGGCGATAGAGTTATCTATATTGGACAAGGAGCTATGCGGACTTGTATCCGATCTCATGAATCGGCTGTCCACGCATTACCTACTTCAGTGTCTCTCGAGAATGGAGTTTCTATTCCCATTGCCTACACAACTGCGTACCGATCTCTAGTAGAAGTCGCAAGGCTACAGAAAGGAGAATCCGTACTTATCCACGCTGCAGCTGGTGGTAAGATACCTTAGAATACCCGACCATCACTTTCGATAAAAGCTAATCGTGCTGCAGGGTTGGGTCAAGCTCTCATTCAAATTGCGAGAATGCTGGAAGCTGATATTTTTTGTACGGTGGGTACTGAGACGAAAAAGCAAGCTATTATCGCTCTTGGTATTATGCCAGATCATATCTTCAGCTCCCGCGATCTCTCCTTTGCTAAAGGCATCAAGCGCGTCACAGGAGGTCGAGGAGTTGATGTTGTCGTGAATTCTCTAGCAGGCGAGGCCCTACGCCAGAGTTGGGGATGTCTCGCACCGTACGGCAGATTCATCGAAGTCGGGAAAAAAGACATCTTAGGAAATAGTGGGCTTGATATGCAGCCTTTCCTAAAAAATGCCGTGTTTGCTGGCGTTAATCTTGAGGACATGTTGGTCAATGACCCGCGTCGCTGCTCAAACCTGGTATCGAAAGTACTGAAGCTGTTTGAAGATGGTGCTATAAGCTTTATCAAGCCTATCGTGGTGCAAGATTTTACGAATTTGGAGTCTGTTTTCCGAGAAATGCAGCGTGGAACTCATATTGGAAAACTTGTACTCCGAGTCACTCCCGAATCACGAGTTCCAGTCAAACCGCGGAAGTCTGTTCCCTTGAAGCTAAACCCAGATGTAACATACTTGTTGGTCGGGGACTCGGTGGGTTGGGTCGAGCGCAGGCGCTTTTTATGGCAGAGCACGGTGCTCGCCATATCGCATTTATATCCCGTTCGGGGAGCGCACGAGAGGAGGCAAAGGACCTTCTGGCTAAGTTGGCAGCAGATGGAGTTGATGCAAAGTCATACGCAGGTGATGTTGCAGACAGAGGCCAGCTCAGAGAAATTCTTCTCGATATTTCCCAAAATATGCCGCCAATACGAGGTGTCATTCAAGGTGCGATGGTACTATCCGACAGCCTTTTTCATAAGATGAGCCATGATCAATGGATCACTGCCACAAGACCTAAAATACAGGGCAAGTATATTTTGAGCGAGAATAAGCGCATGAATACTAACTTCATTACAGGAAGCTGGAACCTTCACGAGCTACTTCCAGACAATCTTGATTTTTTCATTGTTCTTTCATCGCTGGCTGGTATCATCGGCTCCGTGTCGCAGGCGAACTACGCAGCTGGAAACACATTTCAAGATGCATTGGTACATTATCGACAATTCAAAGGCCTACCAGCACAAAGCATTGATCTTGGGGTCATGCGTGGTCTCGGTTATGTTGAAGAGCACAATGACATCGGGGCCCGGTTGAGTCCTTTTAGACTGGTTCGTGCTTTCCAACATTCCAATTTCAAATCACAATGAAGACACCAGCTAACGGTGACATGACATATAGGCGAGTGTGGATGAGCAACAATTTTTCCATCTCCTCCGGTGCGCGTTGGCAAGTACATCAGATGGCCAAAACACGTTATCGAAACAGCTACTCGTCGGGGCTGGAAGTGGAGGAATCATGCAGGATGCACAAAAAACCACCCCAGATGCTGACTTCTACTGGCTTCGAACACTATCACAATTTTCTTACCTTCGGCAAATGGATGTCAAAGAAACCGATTCTTCCGATACCGAAGACAAAGATGACGAGAATAGACTTATTCATCAGCTTAGGACGTGCAAGTCTATGGATGAGGCCAATGATATAGCACAGGATGTGTTGCTGGTGAGGATTTCCAAGGTCATCACAGTGCCTGTGGCCGACATAAATACGTCCAAGCCAGTATATACGTACGGCGTGGACAGTCTGGTAGCCGTGGAGCTGCGCAATTGGCTGTCAATGCAGGTCAAAAGTGACTTAAGTATCTTTGACTTGACTAGCAGCGCCCCAATAAGCGAAGTCAGTAAAAAGATTGCATGCAGGTCCCAGCTAGTTCCAACCGCGGTCAAAGCCCAGGACAGTGTCTAGCTAGAAGTGCTGCTTAATATGCCAGAAACATTTGAAAGTAGGAATATGTGTTGACACTATAACATTCCCATTTATGAAAGCTTATAAACACTTTGATTCCATCTCTATAAGCCAGTTGGAACTGGTAGAGTATAAATCGATGTCCTTCATATTTTCATTTGTTAATTAAGGATTTGTTGTATACTACCTACCTCCAGTGCCTTTGTTTTTATCAATTGATATAACTGACATCTAAAGTAATTCAATGTTATCTTCACCAATAAGCGACAGCACAAGGAATATTACAATCATAATACTATCAATTAATATAAAAAACCAAAAAATAAAAAATAAACTACTAGTTTAAAGAATCTCTAACAAAGGTCCGCTGGAATTAGAATGGAGCATGGCTATAATATTACCTTTAAATCCATGATATATGATGATTAACAGTCATTTTTCAAATAAATAATTAGTTCTCAATGAAATAGTATTAACATAGCCTTTACATCAATCGATACATGTAGATGGGATCACCCTAGGAAAATAGTGCCTCAATCTTCTGCCACGTCAGATTTGTAGTCAATGCTGTCGGTCAACCTCTCACTACTGTCTTAGGAAAGGCAAAACTCGCGGCTGTTTGTTTTTCTCGTACATCATATCTTCAAGTGGAGGCGGGATAGCCGACGGTTTGAAGGGTGTAATGCATGTTTTTCTCCTTAGACCTTTTAGGGTTATCAGCATCGGAGCCAGTTCCTCCCCTCTCGCTGATCCTCACTCGTTATGTCTGCCTGTAAAGGCTGTGTGGAGAGAAGTGATAATGGCTTCGGTTTTTGGGTAGTGCAGATATTTCGTCCAGTGGGAAATCCAATTCCTTCGGCAGAATTTTCACTCTATTATCGCCTTACTCTTTAAACTTGCTTTCACTATTGAGATAGTTTTGGTTATTTTACGTATAATGCAACACGAGATAAAAACCTCTGAATTGATGGCTATTATTCCTCCCATGAGTCTGCAATCTTGATAATAATCTTACCCCTTGTCCGGCCCGTCCTTAACTTTGCAAATGCTCTCACAGGCCCCTTATCCTGCATTCCAAAAACCTCGTCAACATAGGGGCGAACTTTTCCCTCCTGCATTAATCTCCCAAGCTTTGCATAATCTTCGGGTTTGTTCACTAGGTTCATAAACTCCCAAGGCCGCTTACCCCCTCCCAGCCAGCTGGGCCAGTATGTTTTGTACAGATTTCCTAAGATAAAGCTGGGAGTAATGGCAACCGCACCAACCTGCACATAATGTGCATCAGGGTTAGTAAAATGAGGTACAGACCAGTAGAGGTCTGCTGGTAAGCCGACGTTATCCACTACAAGGTCGAACGGCTGCATTTTTTTCAGTTCGGCGATCACATCACTTTTCTTATAATCAATCACAGTATCTGCACCTAGAGTCTTACACAGCTCCACATTGGGGGTCGAACAGCTCGTCGTAACGTGGCACCCTACCGCCTTCGCAATCTGGATTCCAAAGGTACCGCATCCGCCGCTACCACCGTTAATGAATACACGCTCGCCCGCGCCACCTTTGATCTTTGGAATAATAGATTGGTAGGCTGTTAGGCCTACGGAAGATGCACACGAGGCATCTATCACGCTCACGCCAGGAGGGATTGGCACACAGCCGTCCCGCGGCGCAATTGTATACTCCGCCAAAGTACCAAACTTGGTGGGCGCATTTAGGCGGCCGTACACGAGCTGGCCAACTTGCAAGTTCTCTGTAGTAGATTCCTTATTTAAGCCCACGGCCGCGACACGACCGGCGAAGTCGATGCTGGGAGTAGAAGGACTACCCGTAATCAGACGGCCGAGGAAAGGGATCTCAGGGAATTTGTAGTCAACGGCGTTTAATGACACGGCGAGGACATTGACCAATACTTGGTCGGCTTGGAGAGAGGCCGAGCCATCAGGAAGAGGCGCGTGTCTATCTAGTCTAAGATTTTCTTCAAGCGTAGGAGAGACACTAGAGAACTTCCAGGCTAGCATTGTTTTGGGAAGATTTGAGGCCATGTTGTTCGCGAAATGTTTGGTTTGTGTTCATGAAGTTACTCAGGATGCTCAATCTTGTACAATATCAATTGCTGCTGGTGAGAAATTTCGAAGGTGCTATATAGATCTGCGCAAATGTGTACTCTTATATACTCTTACATACTGAGTTATAGTATAAAGCTGTACTTGGAGTTGGCGAATCAGAGATCCGGAACAGGGCAAGCCCCACTATGAAATCGGCCGCCACCAACCTATACAGGCTAGCAGGATCATAGTGGATTCCATAGAGGGTGTGAGATCAACAGTGTTCGGGCTCTCATTGGTTGAATCGGGCGAACTCTGCTCCGGTTCGACCAATGATAACCCGTCATTTCTCTGCTGTTCAGACACTGGCAGCAACAACAGTCGAAAGTTGAAGCTATTCTGCTGCCTGCGAATCCTGGGGGCGTCAAATTAATAATCTGATATCGGAGATACTCATCGATCTAGAAATTCCCGGCACAGATGAACGTTCGCCTCACTTCTCTGGCTCCTTAAATCCTACAATTTCAAATGTCACTCGCTAGTCCTCTTGGGAACCTAACTGTGTGACCGGTGTGTCCGTGCTACTACCTCGGCTTGTGAATAATTCAGTTCAGGATTGTCAAAAAATAATGGGGAGCATGTCTCAGTTCAAGCTGGGAGTATATGATTCCAAACAACGGAATGAGCAGCATATCTTCAATCTTCTCGTGGGAGAGGAAATCGAAGGGAAAAGCCTTGGTGGGAATTGAATGAGCAAACGGCAAACGGCCTGAGTGAGAAACCCAGAAACAAATGTTACAGGAGAATATTGTCACTAACTGCAGTGGTTATACCAATGGCAGCTGAGCTAGAGCGGTCACGAAGAGAACTGGAAGAAGCAATGTCTAAACCACTCTCAAGAACGAACCTAAAGAAAGCGAGAGACAGAAGGTTTAATTTGGTTAATGACTTATAGAAGAGGACTTCTAAATTGAACTTTTAATTGTTATTGACTCGGCGCTATGCTAGAAGGTGAGAGGTAGAGGGATCATCGAACAGTAGCTCCCTTAAGAGTCTTCACAGTCACAACACCACCAGATTTAGTGACAAGTTTACCAACGGCACCGGCAGCCGGTGTCGTAGAGCTTTCTCCGCCCTGGAGAATAGGAACCTGTGTGCTATCAAAAGCAACTTCCAGGCTGTCTGTGGTAGTGAATCCCGGCTGGAATGTTTCCCAGACTTTCTTCTTAGGATTTAATTGCTTCTCAGGCTCACCAGTGCTCCAACCTTCAAAGAACACACGCTCGCCAGCAGGGGCATCAGCAGGAGGGCTAGCCAGCTCGACGGGGCCAGCATGAGAATCCTCGCCCTCAGCAACTTTAGGAGATGCAGCCAAAACCATGGCAGCCGACTTGATACCACGCATAGTGACGGGTTTCAGATTGCAGACAACGACTACTTTGCGGTTTTGCATTTCCTCCAGAGGTACGAGACCGTTCAATCCAGAGCAAACCGTGCGGACGGTCTTGCCAGTAGCCTCGTCGACGGAAGTATTGTCACTTCCAGGTGCGTCACCACAGTCAATCGTCGACACGTACAGCGAATCCGCGTTAGGATGATTGACAGCGCGTAAGATGTGGCCAACGCGAAGGTCGATGAGGGACGGCGAGGGGGGGGCAGCCGGTGCTGCTGGAGCTTTCGGCTGCTTCTCCTTCTTTTCTTTCTTCTCCTTTTTCTCTTTATCTCTCTTCGAGGCAGCAGGTGCTTCCTCTGCTGTGGTCTCCGGGGCCTCGTGGACAGCGTCCTTTTCCTTCTTCCCCTTGGTTTGTCCAACAACCAGTGTCTTCTCCTGACCAGCGGTTAAAGCCTCAGCCTTCTCCTTCTTCTTTCGCTCCTTTTCTTCCTTGGGATCAGCAGCCTTGGGGACAAAGCGAATATCATCCAAATCGATCGCGACCTTCTCTTCGTCAGGAATTTGCAGAGCGAACAAAGAACCGTTCTGCACAAAGTCGACGTGTCGCACTATATAATGGTATCCCTTCTCGCCAGTCCGTTTCTCGGCATCCCATCCCTCAACAACAGGCCCCAGCACAGCATACGCTGCTATGTCTGCAATAGATGGCTTTGTGCCGAGTAAAGTCGTTCGTGTGGAAAGGTGTTGGTTAATGTTACCGAGAATGGTGTCAGTGACATGCTGGTCACCTTTGCCCAAAGCCGTAGTCAGTCCACGGATATCATCCAACCATTGCTTCACGTCTGCCTTCTCGGCGTCACTGTAGCTGCTGTGAGGGAAAATTTTGGGGGTCGCATGAGCGAGGTCTAGTTCGGTGGCATCGGGGGAAATCGCGGTTGGGTAGGAGCGGTAGAGTAACGAAAGCAGGGAGCTTTCAGGAGCAGAAGCAGTAGCCATATTTCTAGAGGTATGTCCACGCAGTCGTGGTAGCAGAACTGTAGTGTTTCGATGAAAGTTTTGGAGGGGCGTGTCCGATATTGAAATTTGAGTCGGTCGGCGCGGGGTTATTCCAAGGGCCCGCAGCAGTAGAGCCCGCGGCGCTGACGTGAGGGTCCTCAGTTTGGGCAAACAGTGAGGCCAAGCTACCTCACGAGGTTGCAGAGATGGCTATAGTATCGCCGAGATAGCTATGCAGCTGAAGCTATTCAGCAATTCTCCTTAAAAAACCGTCGGAACTTTCAAGGTAACTCGTAACTGCCTAGGGTTGATGGCCCACATGATGAGTCAGCTGCAATACTGTAAGGGCCATGCTAACTGTTTTGGGAATCTACTTCTATTTTCTGTATGCATTATGCAGTGATATTCGTTACATGTGTTAATGTTTATTTACTCAGGAATATAGCCAAAAGTGGCGTCTTTCTATGTAAAACATATGGTGCACCCACAGTTGACTCTCACGATTCCACCCAAGATAAACAGTAAAAGGAACAGTGGCTTATATGCCACGCGGACGTGATATCCTCTTATCGATTCAAATCGCGCTCATATTGATCAGGTAGGAGAAGCCAGGCCAAGCGAAGGGCCTCTTTGGTCGAAGACGACGAACATAGATTTCAGGAAGACGTCCCCAAAGATCATAAACTGGTTGGCGCCGCTGGACTGGATGCCGCCGTAGCAAACTGTTTAGGTTAAGGTTATTAACACGGTCTGGTTCAGAGATATTCCAAGACAACTTACAAGTCTGACCAGTTTGCGTGTCCTTTCCAACCGTGGCAAAGTTGAGAACTGTAGCAGGGACGGTGGCGAGATTTTGGCCGCCCACTGCAATCGAAAAGCTAGGCAATGTCGCGCCACAGGGAAACACATATCCACCAGCAGTCTGGTCCTGCATCGCACCTTGGACCTGAGCATAATACGCTTGAGCGGCCTCGGGAGCCACAAGCATCAATGAGGTGCCGGTATCGGCAATCGCAGTAGGGGCTGTTGTGATCTGCTGCATAGCTCCGCTATCTCCAACCTTGAACAAGGTTGAATCAAATTCCCAGAACCCATTGGCCGAGTTAACAGACACGTTGGTGATCTGACCAGTGAATTTGGCTGTGTCGATTTTGCCAAACTCGTAGGATCCTTGGTTGCTACCAGATTTGAGAGAGACAGTCATCACGGGCAGGGCTAGCGAGCTAGCGACATTGTCGAAGAAAGTCTTTTGCTGTGTTGGTTTGACAGTGTTGAGTTTCGAAAAGGCGAACCCGACAAGGCCGTTGGAAGAAGTATCAGAAAGGAATGAGCCAGAAACATTCTTTGCAAGTTCAACAGCCTGGGTTTGGACTGTCGCGCCACCGATATTGACGATGTCAGTACCAACATTACCCGAGGCTGAGGACCCGTCACCGTACGAGATGCTGAATGTCTCTCCCTGTAACATTTTGAACGAGGTTGAAGTTGTAGTATCAAAGACAGTGTGTCCCTTTTGATCAGCAGCTGGCAGCTGCGAGTTAAATACCCAGCTAATCAAGTTGGTAAACTTTCTACAGTACCAGTAGCAGAGATGAAACTTACAGATCAGAGGAGCCCGTATCGAAATCCATCATCACAGTCTGGCCACCAATACTGACTGGAGACACAAATTCAGCGTCGTTAGCAGTCGCAGTAGCAGAGACTGCTCCGTTTCCACCAGTGCCCCCCTGGGCAGCGTTAGCGGCATTTGTAGCGGTCTTGGGGGTATCGATAGGCTCGTATTCGAGTGCCTCCAGGCCAAAGCTCGTAGACGAGATATTGAACTTGCGGTAGGCCTTCTTGATAGCTGACAAGCCATGCGGGATATAGTTGCTGCGCCGAACACGTTCCACTTCAAAAGACCTGCCTTTCAAGTGGCGCTCTGTCGGCGCGCCGAGAGCGAGTGTGGTGATTAAGAAAATCGTGTAAAGCACAAATGACCGCGACATTGTCGAGACCTGCTAATAGCCGTTGGATAGAATAAGAATGGTCCAGGTAGTGAAAAAAAACTAAATAAAAGAGCCTAATGAGGCAAAAGGGACGTCTCTCCAGGTAATAATAGGTCCAAGAAAAGAATAGATCCAGTCCAGACCTGATCTATAATAGTATGAACAAATGAGAAGGAAGATAATAAGAGGAATTGGAATATAGAGGCAAACCTCTATATCAGCAAGGTCTAAGACAAAGCGCACGAAAACAGCAGGGCCAACATGAGAGCAGAACGAGGTAGATATACAAGACCGCAGGGCCGGTCAAATAAGAAAGGCATGCGCTGGGCCAATCATCTGGCGCAGTCATTAATAGCAATGGCCCAGACAGTTAAAACGGACATGTCCCATGGTCCGTTTGATATTCGGGTCTTCGTGTTCCACCATTGGGATGACCAAGCCCAGGATGGTCAGTCGTTGGGGAGACCGGGGAGCTTTTTTGGGCAGGCCGCACAATATGGCGCGTCCATGCGCTTGCGCGGCCTTGTGCAGGACATTGTCATTTGTCGAATCGTGAAGGAGCACGAATAATAGATTGTGTAGCAAAGGCCATTATTGAGCGTGAGAAAGACATTGGCGGGCTGGGCAGCCCTGAAACGCGGGCTTGGCGGGGCGCGGCCAGCCAATCCGCGCCGCCACCGCACTCTGAAACGTCCCTGCGACGGCGTTCGTCATGACTTCAATCCTTCCTACATGCGACGCTCTGTATGGTATGGCTGAAGATAAGTCTAGATGCATGACAGACTACCAGAGTTGGACTAGCCCTAGCTCTCCATAGCCCCGCCCGAGCTGCCAGCAAGCTTGGACATGTACCAGTATTCCAGCTGTGGGAACTTAGTGACAGAGGGCCGATATTACGGACATCGACTGGCGGTCCCTTTGCAACAGGCTCTGTATCACCATATTCAGCCAGACTCAACCCCGTGCGATTCACAACTAGTATCATACGCCCAGAAGGTACTGCTGGAACAGCCCAAGTAGCAAGCTCAAACTGTGACGACTAAGTAGGACCGAAATAGGCTTCATAATATCTATCAGGTATATCTGCGACATTGAAGGTACAATGGTTAATTTCCCTTGACGGACATCATATCTGCGTCTCACATAGATGCAACCACAAACGCCTAAGCAATGTTCTCCAGCCAGAAATGCAAATCGCTGTTTTTAAAATAATGCAAATACAAGACATGATCAACAAGGTCATCACGAGAGGCTAGCCGGGAGAACCTTCTCGGGATCTTCTCCTAGTTGTTCTCCGACGGCTCGGACCACAGCCTGGATAGCCTTAGACGCCGGGCTGTCTGGATAACTGTCGACAAAGCTTTCGCCAAAATCACAGGCCATACCCACACGAGGATCCAGTGGAACAGACCCTAGGAAAGGAATGCCCGTCTTTTTCGCTAGCCGCCGACCCCCGCCAGTCGTGGGTCGGAAAATATATGAAGTCGTCTTGCACGAGGTACACACGTACCCAGCCATATTCTCGACTAGCCCCAGAATACGGATGCCAGCTTTGCGGCAGAAATCAATCTCCTTGCGAACATCCAACAATGACATTTCCTGAGGCGTGGTCACCAGTACGGCGCCGTCGACTTTGGCTTCCTGAAGAAGTGAATTGACCGAGAGGTGTTCATCCGACGTGCCAGGAGGAGTGTCCACAATGAGATAGTCCGCCTCTCCCCATTCCACATCCTTGAGAAACTGTTTAATCAACCCATTCTTTTTGGGGCCGCGCCAGATGATGGCGTCGTCTCGATTTGGAAGCATGAATTGGATGCTCATAGCTCCCAAATTATCCGTCACCCAAACAGGGCTCCAACCCGCATTGCTAACATGGATCGACTCCTCTTCAACACCCATCATCTTTGGAATAGACGGGCCGCAGATATCGGTGTCGCACACAAAGACGGTAGATTCGGGATTCGAGGCGAAAGCATAAGCCAGCAGCGTCGAAAATGTCGACTTGCCTACACCTCCTTTGCCGGACAGAACTAGAATTTTGTGTTTGACTTGCGACAGTCGTGCAGTGATGAGGGGAATGTCTGGGTCAGGCCCTTTGGGCGCAGAGGCGCAAATCGACTGGTTCGGACATCCTACGCACGCATCGCCTTGGCCGGCTTGTTCGGATTCAGGACCTGGACAGTGCTCTAGAGTCGATGTTATTAGCGAGGCTGTGTTAAATGATGGAGATTGCGACCACATACCAGGCTCAGGCGCAACTAGGTTCGAGGTAGGTTTGGCAGCGGCTGCCAGATATTCCGTTGTGGAACCTGTCAAAGCCGGAGCCATCTCTAGGTTGCCGAGATTGTCTTGATCTGTATATGAATTTCAGAGACTAGATGTAAATGACGGCGACTTAGCAAAGCAAGATCACGGTGAGGGACAGAAAAGTCGCGATTTGCGATGCGATGAGCCGATAACGGCCGATGCTGACAAACTGCGGGGTGGCGACAAATCGCACCGAGTTGATTGATGCAGGCTCTTAGGAGATACCAAACATCAATATAAAAGAATTACAATACGATAAACGAATAAATGTATAAATCTATAATTAGTTAACCTAAATGTCGTTTTTTATTATATGAAATTGATAATAAATATTGTGCACTTGGTTGACTTCAGATATTTCTGTATCAATTAATATGTTGGGCTTCTACAGTTAGAGGCTGAAGACTCAGCAAGTAAAGATTCTCGTATTCTCCAATTACTAATAGGCTAGGTAGGGCAAATACGCTAAATTACAAACATGAGCATTACTAAGTTAACTAGGCTAGCTTATCTGACTACATCAATTGATATGTAAGAGGCTTCGGCCAAATCAGCCGAGAAAGGAGAACGTTACCCAGCACATTCTCGGCGATGAACCACAGAAGCGCGGCTACTCAATGCCAACTGGTCGTCTTGAAGATGCTACGTACACCTAGGTACGAATGAGTCGGAATGACATACAAAATCCAGCATGTCGACTATGCCCTCTTTGCTATGACAGGTGGAGACCGTCGTATCATGTACTTTTTACCATCTCCTCAAATTGTTATATAAGGCACATGGTGCACCCGTTTCTGCAGCTCATGATCAGCTTGCATCAACATAATACGGTTTGATACCCAATCCAACCTCTCTATCCTCAATTAATCCGTCGCCAAAGCAACATTTAATTCAATTCAAAATCATACTCTTAAAGCGGGCCGGCAACCCAAACTCTCAACGTTAACATGAGTATGAAACAGGCGGACATGAATATCCCCATCCGTAGGGTCATTACAGCACATGATCCCAAGGGAATAGCATACTTTGCCTCGGATGATATCCTAACGCCGTACGATCCAACAACCGCGCCTGACTTCCTAGCACCAACCCCCGAATCTAGCTTCGGAGTCATCCAAATTCATCGCTCGCGTACTTTCCCGGTGAATAACCAACGGCCTTTGACCTCAGAGCCGAATAGAACACTGGTCCCGCTGGCTGACACAAAGGGTCCTTCTTGTCGCATTATTGACCTGCCGCCAGCGGAGTCTGGGTGGATGCACCGCACTCTCAGCCTCGACTATGCCGTCATTCTCAGCGGCACGGCAGGTTTCATTACCGATGGAGGCGAGGAGAAGATCTTGAAGGAGCATGATGTCATTGTATGTAGAGGGACAAACCATGAGTGGGTCAATCGTGGCGAAGGACTTGCTCGAATTTTTGTCGTGGTCATTCCTAGTTTGCCTGTTGTCACAGAAGATGGTACGGTACTAGAGAAGACACAGGCGGGAGAGATATTCGATCCGAAGGAAGAGGATGACTGATGGATTCTGACCTGTTGCGAGACGGATGCTGCAATGGAGTACCCATGGCATAATGTCATTACAAAGCTCAATATCAATTGATCTATCGGACCCCGGATATTACACTATACGAGCACAACCTTCTCAGCCATCCACAAAGCAAAGGCTTTCTATGTATATTGATCCTCTATGCCAAGGTAGTAGTACTCCCGCTATACACAGTTGGTCTAATGAAGAAAATCCCGACCTCGACATATGTATTGGTAGTTATTCTCTTGTGCAGGAATAAGCGGGAATACTTCCCAGTACAGCCAATCAGCAACTCGCTACTCCGTAAAATACTCGATCTATAAAAATCGTATTACAACTATATTTCCCGTTATTACAGGGTGGAAGGCTTAAAATGATACATGTACTACTTAAAGGACATTTCATCCCCAGCTTTGCCTTGGATACTATTATAGTGTGCCACACCCTGTCGTGTTCTTGCACATACCAATAAGTTATAACTATTTCACTTGGGGATCAGATGATTCCATTTGGTAATAAGATGCAAGACAGGTCATGGGCAGAGCAATGGCTGCATATGCTAGACACCGAAAGGGCAAGAATCGTCTGGAAAATAGCTGGGTGGGTTAGCGAGCGCACAACTATGATTAGCTCCAGCTTCGCTGATTGGGCCGGTTCCTCGATGTCCCCCTCTCTGGCGTCGCACACATGCTGCATATTCTTGTTGGGGACTGGGTGGAGCAGCAGCAATAGTATTAAACGGTCCTCAGTGCGTCTTTTACAACACAACATAACACAACAACAAGACAACATGTTAACACAGCTGTAGACGTTTTGCAGGAAGAGAAATAAGCATCCCGCTAGTCCCAAACAGTCCAATGCGCCAAACCGTATTGATCCAAGTCTTGGCAAATCACAAGCAAATCGCTCCTTCTGCGGCTGCGGCTGTCGTATAAGTCAACTCAACATTTGAACACCAAACAACAAGAAGAATATTTCATTCTTTGCTCCTCGCCCTGCCAGGCTGCCGTGGCTTCAACACCATGGACTCTGCCAGCACAACAGGCGCCCGTCGCCACGATGAGGGCCTGCGCGAGCGTATCCCGGCCTCTCAGCCAGTTGACGTCGATGCCGTCGGCAGTGCCCTGGCGAGTGCTGGCTACCTCGATGAAAACGAAGAGACCAAGACCAAGTCCAATGCGACAAAAACTTTTGGGAGAACTCCGGACGGTACAAGTAAGTGCCCAATTTAGAAAGAAGAAGTGGAGAAAAAGAAAAGACGAAGAGCTCGGAATGATCGAGCGATTGCACTGTGCCCATGCGACAACCATCCTCCAGCCTTCAATCTGCCCGTATGCTTCATGAGGATAGCTGCTCATCGTATGGTTTCTAGTATTCACCGTGCCGCAGACCCATGACATGGTCTCGCAGCTGTTGTCTCCGTCCGAGCCAAAGAACCTCTCCGATCTGATAGTCCTAGCCGCACTTGCCTTCCACATCCTAACCTTTGTCGTTCTCCCCTCGACCGCCAGGATCCCCGTCTTTGCCGTTATCTACCTGTTCTGGAGAGTGTCTTACAATGGCGGCATCGGGTGGCTGCTTCACAACCAGTCACATCACAATACAATGATGCAGTGGGCGAAAAAGTCCAAGATTTTTGCCAATCCGTCCACAGGCGACAACCCGCACCCGAAGCTATACAAACTCATCAAAAGGGACATGGAGACCATGATACCAAAGGATTATTCTTTCGATGATGCCCCCTTGGAGTACAACACCTGGCTGGTCTTCCGGCGCCTCGTAGACGTGATCTTGATGTGTGACTTTACCTCGTACTGTTTATTTGCGGTGGCCTGCGGAAACCGTCCTGGAAATGAGACCACAATCATGACGGGCCTGAGATGGGCTGCAGGAGTCGCCTTAGTGCTTTTCAACCTGTGGGTGAAACTCGACGCACACAGAGTCGTCAAAGACTTTGCCTGGTACTGGGGCGATTTCTTTTTCCTGATTGACCAAGAACTCACTTTCGATGGTGTATTTGAGATGGCGCCTCATCCGATGTACTCGGTGGGCTATGCTGGTTATTACGGAATCTCGTTGATGGCTGCTAGCTACAAGGTGCTCTTCATTTCGATAGTCGCACACGCTGCTCAGTTCGCCTTCTTGGTTCTGGTTGAGAACCCGCATATTGAAAAAACATACAATCCCCCCACCCCTCGCAAGCGTCCAGCTGAGCATGATAGCAACGCTAGCACTCCGCCGATGTCTCCCATCAACGACACATTTGCCTCTACCACTACACATGAGAAGCCGCAGGTCCAGCCGCAACCTTCACCTGTCCACCACTTACTCGGACCTCATAACTTGGATCTTCATCGGGTAACTGACTCATCGATTATTCTAGTCCAGATCCTCATTGCTGCCATTACTGCCCTTACCCCATCCACGCCTTTCTACCAATTCTTGTTTGTGGCTAATGCTGCTCTATGGAGATGCTGGTATTCCATTGGTATTGGATATATTCTCCATCGACAATCCCAGTACAAGTCTTGGACGCGTCACTTTGTCAAATTCGGTGATAGCACCGAGGAAGCATGGCGTCAGTGGAAAGGATCCTACCACCTGAGTATGACGGTTTGCTACGCTTCCTTCATTGCAGCATCCTGGAAAGTGTATACACTTCCTTCGGATTGGAATCATGGATTAGTGTTACTTAAGCATGTGCTCGGCGCGAGCATGGTTGCATTGCAGATCTGGACTTCTGTCAGTATCTATCAGTCGCTAGGAGAATTTGGATGGTTCTTCGGTGATTTCTTCTTTGATGCACACTCGAAACTAACCTACAGTGGCATTTATCGATACCTCAATAACCCAGAGCGTGTTTTGGGTCTGGCCGGCGTCTGGGGTGCAGCATTGATTACGAGCAAAGGCCCCGTCATTTTCCTTGCCTTGCTGAGCCATGTTCTAACACTAGCCTTTATTCAACTGGTTGAACGGCCTCACATGCAGAAACTCTATGGCCGAAGCTTGCGTCGGGACGCAGGCCTGGTAAAGAGCTTGAAGCGATCATTGCCTCCTCCTTTACAGCAACTTGGCGGTAGCGTAGACCGTATGGTGGATGAGTCTTTCGAATTTGTTGAGGAGCTTCTAGAAACCGCTCGTCCAAAGTTGGCCACGGGGGTAAACAGTTTCATGAAGGACGCCAAATCACTCTTCCGCCAATATCCCGCACGAGTCACCATTACTCGTCTTGACGATGAGGTCGCTGCAGGTTATGCTCTAGAGGACTATTCGCTGCAGATTGAAGGCACCGAATCTTCACCGTCGGCACAGGTCGAACGCAGCAGTGGTAAAGAAGGCGCCCGTGCTAGAGAACCCTTAGAGAGACGAGGCGATCTGAAGAGCTTGATTTTCGAATACGGCTCCCCAATCAAGGTCAAATGGACTGCCCCTCTGAATCACAGCAAGAAAGACTGGGTAGGCCTGTACATGGTCACTGACAATACCAGACGAGAGGTCACTCGTGTTTCATCTCAAGGCAGGTGGATCGCCACGAACGAAGGCGCCTACGACAGCCTAACCTGCGAAAAGGGCCTTGTCACCAGTGATATTCTCATCTCCGCATCTCGTCGGAGCGATGGCGAAAACCGAGATTGTGCCTCTGGCGAAATGGTTTTCTCTGGCGATAAGCTCTTTTGGACGCAAGGTGTCTTTGAGTTTCGCTACCACCATAACGGCAAACACAACGTCATGACAATTTCCAGACCCTTCGAAATTAGAATCGGCCGCTTCGACGAGGAAGATATCGAGGTCGATGATACTGGAGTCGTTCAAGCAGCCGTCGAAGCTGCATTGCTACCAGTTGTCCGCAATTGCTTCGATCGAGACCCGGAAATCGCGCCTGAGACTGCCGAAGAGCATTTCGGAAGTCTGGTGGAACGAGATGGAAAATATGCAAAACGGGTTGTGTTTGCAGTGCATCAGATGTAAGCAACCCTTTTTCATTAAAAGCTGCTATACTAATATTCGTCAGGTTCGGCGTTGAATTTGCGCCAGAAGTTGTCCGGGCTGATGGAAATGTTCGCAACATGGCATGGAGAATATGCAATGCGAAGAAAGTTCTGGTTCGTTCTTCACTTTTACCCTAAAAATGGAGGAAGCTATTGCAGTATACCGTAGTACTAACTATCTACCCCATCTCAGGCCCCTTATAGCATGTCCAGATCTAGAGGAACCTCGACACCCACGATATCTAAGGACTAGATTAGAAGAAACGTCATAAATCATGAGTGACGACATAGAAAAATCCTTTCCTTTTCAGCAATACCAGTCTCGTTCGAAAGAGATATGAAATAGACTTGACAACGTCATTATATTCCGTGCACTTGATTTCTTAGAATCCATTGAAAACAAAGCTCTCAAAAAAGAAAAGTTAGGGGGAAAGTGGTGTTTTATGGCTAGGAAGCAAAAGATACACGCATGGCTTAAAGGGAATGGTAAGAATCAATTCTTGTGTTGATAAATTTTCATGAGCCACGATTTTTTGGAATTGTTTCTTTCTCTGCACATGTTTTGATCTCCAGGTATTACTAATTTATTATCCATCCCGACTTAACTTTTGAATTTTTAAAAGCGAACACGGCGCAGTAGCTAATTTTATTCTTAAATCTTTATATAATGTAAATACATATTTAGGCACTCGAGGTTTGCTCCTACGCGGAAAAATCAATTGATATGTTCTTGGTTAAATGATTTGCATTAAGATTTGTAGCTATTGGCATGACTGCTGTTCTACGAGGAACAAAACTGGTCGATAAGCTGATATCTAGTTAGCCAACATCCAGCACACAGATGGAATAATAAAATCAAGAGTTAAATTGTCGATCAGCAAGCCGTGTTACTCATCCCATCCCCTGCTGACACTATCCCTAGGCATACCACCCAAAACGAGCAGTAATGCCCAAGGGCAGTAACCAGCACAAGTCAAGCATAGGAAGTAATATAAACAAAGCGGGAATAAACCTTCATTCTAACAGGGTTGTTCCATAACAAAAAGAACTCCACAACCAATCATTCCTCGCTTTTGACAAAGCAAAGTCCGGTATCAGGGAGGGTTGTCATGGGCCTGAAAGGATTGCGAAAGATACTCGTAGCACGTCTGTATTTCATCGCACAGCTCGAGGGGCGGTCTCTCCAGAGGAGAATCATTGAATGGATTGACTAGTTGTCATCATGAAGGCAGAGTGGGCGAGGGGAGCTAGCTAGCTGGAAGTCGGAGTGCACTTACGTTAGTAGCAAGCCAAGTCCATAGTTTGGTTGGAAGGTTTTTTTTTGGGGGGGGGGTTTCCTATGACAGTGTAATGTCAGCAAGGTGTCGCAAATACGAGCCGTGCAAGTTTTAGCAGATAGGTGAGATCAGAAAGTTTTGGTATGGTATTGGTTTTCTTCAACAATATTGCAGAAGCAGAACTGAAAAATAGGTTTTTCATCATAAGAGATTCGAGAATAGAAAATTTTCGCAACGTACCTTTACGCAGCGTGGCCGAAAACCCTGCTGTGCTCAATTACAACCTGCATTATAAATTCAGTCAGCACGATTCATGATAAAACATAAACCAATAGAGACGAGTATGATCGATAGATATCAGATGGTAGTGCATGTTGTTCATGGCTCATAGAAGTCGCCGAACAGAGTTTTGGTTATAAATGTCCTCCTGTAGATGTGCTGGAGAGGTAAATGTAAGGCGGAACTCACAGTTATAAGGTCAGTAAATACAAGAGGCAAACTAGCCAGGCATCTCATCCAGATGTTTTGGATGCAATGTGAAAGCGATTATTATCGCATATTGTGTGGGAGAGTGAAGAAGTGCGAAAGGAAAAGACGCAGACGGCAGGAAAAAGCTGCTCACTAGTGCCTGCCCCACACCCAGCCCGCAAACCAAACAAGGCAAACATCCCAATTTCTGCCGTCACTCGCATCTTTTTGTGGTTTCCAGCTCAACGTCAAGAACCTTCGATATAAGTGGAATCTTGGTCCTACAATATACTGTGACAATGACTGATAGAAGGAGAAATAATGGACCCCCAAGCGGTACCAGGGCACCTGTTTTTGCCTCGTTGCTGCGCTCTACAACAGGTGAAGCAGCACAGAGACCGCACAGGACGAGGAGGCCCGATGAGCTGCGAAAGATATGTAAGTCTAGCGGTTCGAGCTTACTGCGTGCCGTATGACTATATGCTAATCTACTACCTGTTAGTTTTGAAGACGGGCCTAATTCCCTCAGCCAATGGGTCATCCTATCTCGAAATCAAACCCGCCAGGTCAGTAGATAACAGGTCACTGATCGCACCTGCGACATCCCTGAAAATTGCATGCACTGTCCACGGCCCTAGGCCTCTCCCACGTTCAGCAAACTTCTCGCCTAATCTTGTCCTCACAACCCATGTAAAATATGCACCATTCGCTCATAGACGACGGAAGGCGCATATTCGTGATGCCAGTGAACGAGATCTCGGTGTACATCTTGAGACTGCCATTCGAGGTGCGATTATTGCAGAGCGCTGGCCGAAAAGCGCTTTAGACGTCACAATAACGGTTCTTGAAGTAGAGGATGATCGGTGGTGGGGAGATGCGTCCGGCTGGTCTGATGCATCGTGGGGGATGATGAACGTACTTGCGGGCTGTATTACGGCGGCAGCGGCGGCAATTGCAGACGCAAGGATTGACTGCCTCGATTTAGTCTCTGGAGGTGTTGCAGCTTTGGTTTCTGATGATGAGCAGACGGCAAAGAAAGATCAGTCGCTAGGTGGTAGGCTTGTCCTGGATCCTGATCCGTCTGAGCATCAGAATATAGTTGCAGCTTGTGTTGTTGCATACTTACCTGGCCGAGACGAAATAACGGAACTATGGCTGAAAGGCGATACATCTCATGGCCCTCTAGTAAAGGGAAAGAGAGCATCTGGACATGATATGCTGATTGATGGTGCGGTTGATGCGGCAAAGGGTGTGCAGACTGTGCTTTCTGTAGCTGTGATGGAGTCTGGTGAGCGATTCACAAAGCTTTCACATCATTTACAAGATATGAAAGCCGATACAGACATTGAAATGAAGACATAGGTATGTTTTCGTATTTATTGGATCCAATGCATAGAGCGGTGTTCGCTGGTCTTGGAAGGACGTAACGCAAAGAGTTAGCTATGGCTGTTATGAGTTCAGAGCATGTCTTGTTTCTTTATCAATTCTTCAATTTTTCAGAGTCTAGGTTATTCTAATATTTCTTACCTACACCAACCATTCCATAGCTGGCAAGTGCGGCTTATCACTTACTTTCACTTTCCGGTTTTCAACCACAATTTCATTCCGAAATCAAATAGATGCAAACCTCTGGTTTCTATATGCCTGTTTTCAAAACTCTGGCTATAGGCAGGTAAGCATTACACTCTACTTTGTGTATACATGGCTGTATTGACACTCTACGGATTGGCTTTGATGCCGTCGGCAGGGCAGTTTGTAGCAGTGCCAACGCAGCTAGGAGGCGCTTCTCATATCGAGGAAAAGACATCGAAGCAAGCAGCAAGCAAATGAGGACTATCAGTCGAAATACAAGCTGCTGCCGATGTCCGAGCAGGTCTCAACAGCCGCCCACTTCACAACTCCCAGACTTAGAGCAGAGTCTCTATGTGCCAGCGCCACAAAATTCCATGGTTAATAAAAGGCAGAAAGTGAAGGCCATCGTGATTGACTTCACCTTGGTGTCTGATGATGAGGATTGCGTAATACAGACGAACTTTCGAATGAAGATATTCCGTTGATGAAGAAACGAAAAAAGCTGAGCCGGGAGCCATGCCTGTTCCTGCGAACCCGTCAATATTGTCAACACACAATAGCACGAACATGGACTTTTCAGGGAGGGCATCTTCAAATACAGTATCATATTCATTGTCATACATGGAAAACCCAATTTCCTCGACTGCGTTGGCGTACCCAGACACTCAAGCCTGGAATGCCATATCAGATCCTTCTTATGATTCAAGGCCTGCAATTATCAGGTTGATAGACTAATTTCTGAATCCGCGCAGTTTAAAAATGCCCATTAACATCCCAAGTGTTCGTTCTAACAAGCACCATTAAGCACGATACTCATCCAGACTGAAGGCGAGTTCTTTCTCTTCGGCGATAGTCTGTATGCAGTACAATCCGGAACCGAAACGCAGAAACCAGCAAATGAGAACATGCCTTGGGGATTTGGTGTTTTTTAGCAGGAATCCCGTTCTTTGCGCGAAAAATACGGTGTAGAGTATGAATGTATTAATAGCTTAGCGTCCCAAAGACGTCTTATATCCTCGGCACAATAATCACCTCTTCGCCGTGGGGATTCACTATTCAGCCGTACCCTGGGATAAATATTCCATCAAACAAACACTTCCTTGTATATTAAGAACGCATTTATCCCGTTCTCTGAGAGTATTGGTAAACTGTTCATTAAAAATCCCGAGAATATGTAGGCAATGCCAAAGTATGTAGTCGATGTCAGACTCGTATAGATAGATTCATCGATACCTCGGTACGGGTCATAGAATCCCCCAGGTGCCTAGATCGAATAGTGCATGCAATTAGAACTGTATACCGTCTTCTTCCGACGCTTTCAAATTCTTCTCGTTCATCACTTGGCTGCTATTGTGTGCAAGGTGCGAATTAATAATTACTCAACGTTAGCAGATCAAAGTTGACCAATATCATTTGAATATGCGACCCAACCAAAGACATCAACCCCGCTGGGTAGTATACTACTCTACATAACTCAGCATCGGACGAAGCCCCAATAACAGGAATATCTCCGGTTTATATCCTCTCTCATTCCTCTAGACGCTACCCTTGGCACCCGCCACGGCTAATGTCCCCCCCATGGCATCGCGTATATATTGTGGGGTTACATCAAGTGCCGAGTATACGGCTACGTAGGTTAAATCTCCGCAAAACATGGGGCAACACGATATTCCCCGCATTGATCTGTCATGCAATGAGTCTCACGTGGGAGCTACATGGCGGTGACATTTGAACCGTTCATGAGAAGAACCGCCCATACATGTGGAGCGTATACGTGTACGAGAGAATCCTTCTTATAGCCTCGAGCTATTCCATAGCGTGGTCTGCCCTCCTCCAATTATTGCAGATCAATTCAAGCCTAACCTTCAACCGCAGAAATTCCGCATTCATCCGCGGGGCTATTTCCAGCTGACCAACATGTCCACACCATAATGGGGCCAGCGATGCTGGCAGAGTTGACCGGTGGATCACCTGTAACCGAGGATGAGAGTGGCCATCATGCCATCTATCTCATGGACGCATATGATGGATGAGGACGGTAGTAACCGTGAGGACAACATGAGGAGGGGTAGAAAGTCATATAATAAGTAGGGCCAGCAAAGAGATGGCGTTGATTGAAGGCTGCTATGTTCGTGGAAGGCTGTACGAGGTCCCTTCAGGAGCTCGGCATTATGAAGCACTCTTTGATCTTTGCGTCGTGCCTCTCCCTCGGCCTTGCGGCTTCAACTCCAACTGTCACCATTTCCTATCCACAGGCTACCATTGTCGGTCTCAGTGGCGACGTTGAGCAATTCCCTGGTGTACCCTTTGCCCAGCCCCCAACAGGACAACTGCGTCTCAAGCCACCACAGCCCATTACCGAACCCTATGGAGTCTACAATGCCACCTCCAACCCGCCGGCATGTCCTCAATTCGTATTCAGCTCGGTCATCAACGACGCAATCCCCACGGCTGAGATCGGCCTCCTTGCTGACACACCATTATTCCAGAAGGCACTCGACGAGTCTGAGGACTGCCTTTATCTCAATATACATCGGCCTTCGGGGACCACTGCTGACTCAAAATTGCCCGTCTTGTTCTGGATATTTGGCGGTGGTTTCGAATTGGGCTGGAATTCTATGTACGACGGTGTACCATGGGTGACGGATTCAGTCAAACAGGGACTACCCATAATTGTGGTCACCGTCAACTACCGAGTTGGAGGATTTGGATTCATGCCAGGGAAGGAAATTTTGGCTGACGGCTCTTCGAACCTGGGACTGCTGGACCAACGCCTCGGACTACAATGGATTGCAGACAACATCGAGGCATTTGGTGGAGATCCTACTAAGGTGACGATCTGGGGTGAGTCGGCTGGTGCCATCTCAGTCTTTGATCATATGATCATGTATGATGGGAACAATACGTACAAGGGCGAGCCTTTATTTCGAGGTGCAATAATGAACTCGGGAAGCGCTATCCCAGCCGACCCTGTCGATTGCGCTAAAGGACAGGTTGTATATGACACGGTCGTCGCGGCCGCAGGGTGCTCATCTGCGGTTGACACACTAGATTGTTTGAGGGCAGTCGACTATGAGACGTTTTTAAATGCATCCAACTCTGTTCCGGGGCTGCTAAGCTACACTTCTGTTTCTCTGTCTTATCTACCTCGTCCAGATGGCACAGTCCTCACCGACTCTCCTGAGGTTCTAGGCCAGGAAGGGAAATTTGCCCGTGTCCCTGTGATTATTGGCGATCAGGAAGATGAGGGGACACTCTTCGCGCTTTTTCAATCGAATATCACGACCACGGACGAACTGGTGGACTATCTTTTGACAGTCTTCTTCCATGATGCCAACCAGACTTTGATCGAGGACTTCGTGTCGCTGTACGCCGACATCAGCACTGACGGCTCGCCATTTCGCACGGGACTCTTCAATAACTGGTATCCAGAGTTCAAGCGCCTCGCAGCAATTCTCGGCGACCTTACATTCACCCTAACACGGCGGGCGACACTTGAAATTGCCACGAGTGTGGCTCCCGACCTGCCCGTATGGTCGTACCTGTCATCTTACGACTATGGCACGCCGATCATGGGAACATTCCATGGCAGTGATATCCTCCAGGTATTTTTTGGTATCCTTCCAAATTATGCGTCAGCCAGCTTCCGCGCGTATTATATCTCGTTCGTGAACAATCTCGACCCGAATGTTGGTAATAACTATTCGAACTGGCCGCAGTGGAGCGAAAAGAAGCAGCTGCTCAATATGTATCCCCTCTACAGCCAGCTGATTATCGACAACTTTAGGTCAGATGTAGTCGACTTTCTGTTGCCTAATATCGCGAGTTTTCATATCTGAAGGATTCAAACCCAAGTCTGTGCGATGCTTGCATGGAGAAATAATTGTGTTTATGTCATTAAAAAAATATAGTTTGAGCACGTATGCACCATTGTAACTCAACATTTGAAAAATGTCAACATATTAATTACATGTAACGTATCAATTGATGAGGCGCAGTCTTTTTATACCTGATAATCACACCTCCCACAAGCTCATTTGTACTGTGTAAGTGTATGTTAAACGGGATGCAAGTCTGAAGTATAGGCAAAAATTCTACAATTACCTCCAGCGGTACATCGCCATACCGGTTGATACAGTGGGGGTACATGTATAAAGCATGCTGGAGCGATAACTCTAATAACTGCATTGCCGGGGTATCCTTGTCGACTGCACTAACAGCGACATGGAAGAGCTTAAGTTGTGATAAATTGTTAAAATGTTCAATTTATATCCTGTACTATGCAGCACCTGTTAGTGATCAATCGATGTAGATGCTGCTAGGAACGACTTAAATTTGGTCTTATTACACCGCAGCGTATTATGAAGCGATCGTATCGGACTACGCAGGGACCTCGATCACCAAGGCATATCTTGGTCTCTAAGACGTATCACCAGGCTAAGCTGCGCATTGTTCAAATGTTCCAGCTTTAGCGGCGATGGCTCGTCATACGAGTAAACTAGTTTACTAATCAATCCGTTCTCCGTACGCTCTTGCTTATTATTTCGTATTATTATTAACTAACTAATTCAGTGTAGTTAGCACAGTTAATAATACACTACGGCTACTATAGTTCCCAAGAGACGCGTCCCAAGGCTAAGGTGCACCAGGAGGGACTGAGTCAGGGGTACACAGGTTCGTATTAGTATGAAATTAATCTTAATGGATTACTGTTATTATGGCCATGTGAACAAAGAAGGCACAATAATGCCGACGGAACTGCCAGAATAACCCGTCCATTATGATATTATAATGTACTATTATCGTCGCTGATGCTCGATGCTGATGCCAACGCAGCCGGTCTCCGTATTTATTTTTATTATATTTAAATATCGTCTGAGTTCGGGTCCGGTGCCCTAGTCAGAGTTCTTACCGAACCTTCTCTCAATACATTATCTCCGTACAACTGTAACAGTTTTCGTAGCCTGCTGTCTACATTCTAATGACCGTTATGGTTACAAGTTACAACTTACGATTCAATCGACCTGCCAATAAACATCAACCCGGAGCGAGCCTGATGCTCCGGCCGTTGATAGTGGCTGCGTGCGATGTGATATAAGTGGCCTAGCCGCCTAACAGGTGATGGCTCTACCATCACAATAAGTCTCGTCACTAACAAGAAACAACTACTACTAGCAAAAAGTGATGCGTCCTTGGCTCCACTGCTACTAGCTAGTCAGGGACAATTTAGACTCGGGCTCCACTGACCGCCGATCGGCCCACCCCCAGCCAATGACAGCGAGTGATACCGTGCAGCTGCCCCGCCCAGACACGGCAGCTGGCGCCAGCTCGTGCGGCCCCACCCTGCAAACTTTGTCCAAATTGAAATTCGTACGGTGCGCAGGCTGCAGCACGAGACTGAGATGGATACAGAGGAGAGCTTCCTAGCAGTATAGGGCCGATATCGTGACGGGAGTCGAGTTTTGAGTATCAATGCCTCAATCGATAACTACTTCGCAGTAACAATAAGAATAATCATCATATGGGTCAGCGCAATCTAGATTCTGCGTCCGACTAGCTGCCTGCGGGTTGGGGCCCAACCCATGGATCCTGTTATTGCTTTAGCTAGGCTAACCAAGTCAAGGAAAGTACAGCCAAGTGAACCACTCCTTTCCATCGTGGTGGGAAGCTCTTGGCCAATCCAAGCCATGCCTCGGCTCCATCCCAGCAGCCAGCGGGTCGGTGCATGGTGCTCTTTCCCTTGGTCGCTGCGTCGCTGCCTCGTCACGTTACTTGACGCAGCAGTTATGGTCATTACTAGTAGTACTCGTGCTTTTCTACTTGCACTCTTCCAGCTGCTAGCTTGCTGTCTCACCGATGTGACTGCCATTGCTCTGCTTCGCTGTGCTGTGCCGTACATGCTGATTGCAGTCGTTCGATTGCGTCCTTTCTTTTTGTGCCGCATTCTGGACTCGTTCCTTCCGCTTCTCCCCCATCTCGTCGTTCAATGTCTGGTCACGGCGACCGGTCCGTGTCCATTACATGAAGGCTGAAGCGAACATCGACGAGATCAAGCCAGGATGGTGGGCTTGAAGAGACTCTTCAGCTCTGGGGGATCTCCCGATGTGACCATCTCACGAGACACCAGCTCGCCTTTCCACCCGAACGACTTCGCTTCCTATTCTTCCTCCAGACCTATAACGCCGAAATCCCCCCCAGCATATTCGTCCAATGCTCTGCCAGATCTTAATCCGCATTACGTGGGCATCGAGCGACAGTTTGAACAACTACACGAATCCTTCTACTCGCGGACCCTGTCCTCCCTCCGCCAATTTCGATACAATGGCTCTGCGAAGAGTGTCTCGCCTTCGCAGAACCCGAAGCATGTCGATGTCATCGAGGCTTTGTTCTCGGGCCATCGCTATCGAATGAAGCCTATATCCTTGTCACCATCTACTCCCTACAACGAAGACATTGCGGATCGAAATCTGAATGCTAGCCCTGCCTCTATCTCGAGGAACTCCCACTACTCTCGAATAGTGTCCACCTTATACCAGGAAGATGTGGCAGATCGGAATATAGTAAAATCGAGGGCAGGCCCTTCGTATCGCTACAGCTCTCGCTCAAGCTCGCCCACCCTTCGGTCCGATAGCCCAGGGGATAGAAGCTCGAAACAAACATCCCGTGGTCGTCCTGTCGTACAAAAAAGGGGATCTTCGCAATCAAAGTCGCGGCCCTCTTCAGAGACTCGCGAAAATACAAATTTAAAAGCACCGTCGCCGGTTCACCAGTCTACTTTGAGAGCGCAGGCTTCTGCGCCGGATTTCAGAAACCCTCTACGGACGCCTGATCTTGCTAGTTTCCCACGGCCTCCAACGGCATCCGCTCCTGAAGCTGCTACTGACAACACATCTACAAATCCAGCCCCACCTTCGCTGTGTAATGGTCCGAAAGCTAGAGTAGGGAGCTCTAAAAACGACCATTTGCGGGTAAAACGACCCGGTCTTCCTCGGTCTGGCTCGTGTAAGAATGTTCTGGACCTCAGCATTGATACTTGTATCACGGCATCAAAAAGACCAAGTATCAAGATAGAACATCGAGCCATACAACCTCCAACTCCTAACAATCTCACTGTTCCACAGAACCATAGCATTGCCGAAATTGTAAATAGCCCGCTCCCAGCAGTGACACCGAGCGCCTGCACGCCAGAACTTTCTCCTAGCTACAATGTGGATGATATCATGGGCATGTTCAAGCAAGCCTATATGACAACCCAAGCCACCACTACCGGTCATCCCACCTTTGAGACATTGCAAGATGCAATCATTCGCGAGATCAATTCACATGATGCTTTCCGCTGCGTACCTATGCCAACAACGGAACCCCCCTTCACTCCGCCGGCGTCCAACAATTCGTTTGACGAAATGGTTCTACTACCTCCCCCCGGACCCTCTGGTAGGGCTACGAAGGTGCCTGCAGAAAGGGAAGGCCAGCTTTCTAAAATGATCCGGAAACGATCTTTCGTTCGAACTAGAGGCAAGAGTATATCATCAACTAAGGGCGGCGAAAAGAATGTGAAAAAAGAATCACATTCATTCCTTTCCAAAAGACGACATACATATGCCCAACCTCCTACTGCCGAATGGCTACGTAGCATACAACAACCCGCTGGCACCGTCACTGTTCCTGTTGCTGGCAACGATACTCTACTTCCTCCCACAATCAGAATACAGGCTCAAGCAAAACAACCCCGCAACAGATACCATTCCAAACGCAACTCAGACCCAATTCCTCCATCTCCAGGTTTTATACCTGCCAAATCTCAACCTGAATACCCCGGTTACCAAATGGATTCTCCAGTTCCGAGAGTGGTGTCAAATAATAACAGACTAGCCGTTCCTGGACAGAAAGAACAAGTCACGGCCAAAGAGATCCGCACTGTCGATGACAATAACGTTATGTATATCCTCAACCCAGAGGCTTCTGTTACACCTCTTGAGCTTATCAGCGCGACTCAGCATGGCTACAACCGACATAATTTTACTCTTGTGCCGTTCCAGACTACTGTGAACGGAGATAATGGAGTATCTGAAAGACCACGGCCTGTCAACACAAGGCAGGTGCCGCTGAGACAGAGCAGTCTCGGTTCGGCAGCATAAAAGCAATATCATGGCGTTTTTGTTTATTCAAGGGGATTCACTACGCTATTCGGGCACACACCTATCACTTTATAATTTCAGCCTCTTCTCTCTTTTACCTCTCATTGCTAATTGGATAGAAAGGAATGGATGGGCGGGTATCTTGCCTATCAATGTTCCAAATGGACCTTCTCACTTGTATATCTATCACATTTCGATTTACCCTCTTTTCTTCTTCATTTATTGATACCATATGACATTTAAACATAATTTTATTTATTTACTTCCTTCCGGTGTTTGTTTTATTTAATTCGTTTTCTTTTTATAATAGAATTCGAATATCTGAAAACATACATAAGCCGGAAGGGGTTACATGAATGACGTCTTCATGGACACATGTACTGTTCCTGGTGCTACTCAACGCTCATAAAAACTGTCAACATCGAACAAGGATATCGTGGCATCATACACACAATGAAACGTTGATTGCGTTTGTAGCACGTCTTTTCAATCGTGTATCTGGTTAATCGCGTCTAGTAGGAGCCTGGAAACAAAGAGTTTCGTTAGTTCATCTAAATTTTAATACGTATAGGAACAGGATGTGACGTACGTCCAAACATGCACCATTTCTCTGCGAATCTCTCGCAATGCGGGTTTAGACACTTGGTGACACCTGCCTCAATACCCTCGGGCTGGTCAAAAGGAATGCACAGCGATTTCGCACCCATGCTTGGTGCGCGCGCATCCTGGGGTACGTCGCTATTCTCCTCGGCTTTGCGGGCACTAAGATCCTTGATCTGGTCCTCGCATTCCTCGGTCAAACAGTGAGGGATAAGAAGAACATTCTTTTCATTCAACAACGGAACAAAGTCGTCCCACTGGGTGAGCTGCTTTCGGTGTTCCCGGAATTGCGCATCAGCACGACGGAAGAGATCGTTGTGAATCGTGTCCAGGAGTTCAGGGATAGCAGTGGTGAGATTCTTCAGTTCGATTTGGCTCTTGCCATCTTTTCCGGGAATATCACGACGGGCTGCGGTAACAAAACCGCCCTTGGATTCGCCAGGGCCAAACTCGAGGCGCAGTGGAACACCGCGGAGTTCCAAGTCGTTGAATTTCCAGCCCGGGGAGTAACCTTCGCGTAAATCGCTTTCTGTTCGAACACCAACAGCGGTGAGCTTGGCTGTAAGTTCATCAATTTCCTTGTATAGAGCTTGACGCTCCTCCTCAGTGGTAGCCTTAGTGACGCCGACGGGGACAATGGCGACTTGGACTTCGGCAACGCGGGGAGGGAGGACAAGGCCCTTGTTATCACTGTGGATCATGACCATGACACCAATGGTGCGAGTGGACAGACCCCAGGAGTTTTGCCATACATATAGCGGGGGTTTCTTCTCGTCGCCCCTGACCGCTGGGTCTTCCACAGTGATATTAAACATTTTACTAAAGTTTTGGCCCAGGCAGTGAGAAGTACCACCTTGGATACCACGTCCAGTAGCAGGAATATATCCTTCAACCGTGGTAGTATAGTAACCACCGGCAAACTTTTCCTTCTCCGTTTTCTTGCCTCGCACGACGGGAACGGCAAGGAGATCTTCGTAAACATGGGCATAGTGGTCTAATATCTGGAGGACCTCCTCTGCTGCACCCTCTTCCGTCAAATGCGCAGTATGACCTTCTTGCCACAGGAACTCTCGGGTTCGCAGGAATGGCTGTGGATGCTTGAACTCCCAGCGGACCACGGAATTCCACTGGTTCAGCCTGAGGGGAAGATCACGATGGCTTCGAATCCATTTCGAATAGTAGGGGTACATGACAGTTTCGGAGGTAGGACGAATGGCGATTTTTTTCTCAAGGGGGGTATTTCCTCTGTAGATAACGTCAGCTTCTTTTCTTCTTTTTTCTCATGATCTCAGCTGTTCACATACGCGTGTGTAACCCAAGCAACCTCAGCAGCAAAACCCTCAATGTGGTCCTTCTCTCTCTGCAAAACGTCTTCCGAAACAAACAAAGGGAATGAACAATTCCTGACACCAATCTTCTTGATTTTGTCGTTAAACCAGTTCTGGATGGTTTCCCATACGAAGTAGGAAGCAGGCTGGCCAGAATTAGTGGTAAGAAAGTGAATAAAGGTCGGCGAGATGAAGTCTAGAACTGACCTTCAAAATAAAGCAACCGGAAACATCATAATAGTCCAGCATTTCTCCCTTGGTCAACACCTGTTGGTACCAGCTGGGGAAGTCCTCTTCCTTGGAGACATCGATACCGATCAGGGCAGCACCCTCGATTTTCTTCTTTGGGGCTTTGGAGGTAGGCATTTTCGCTTCTGATTTTCCAATTCCCTTGTTGGCTTTCTCGGCTTTTCCAGCCGCCAGTTTCGCTGCCTTGGCAGCTTTTTTGGCGGCGTTTTTGGAAATTTCGCCCTCGGGAGCCTTGCCTTCAGCGGGGTTCTGTGTACGGTCAGGCAGACCTTGCGCTTCTGCTTGATCCGACATAGCCTCTCGATGGACAGAGGGTAATTCTAGGAGAATCAAAGAGCCTGAGGCGACCTCGCTTATATCTCGAGAGCAGGACGCCAGTGAGTAGCGTCGATGCCTAGCGAAAGGAGAGAAAAGCAATGACTCAGGGCTACCTTTCCCCCTCGCTTCTATTAACTAAGTGGGATGAGAAGGCGGCCGACCGCCTTTGACCGGCAGAATGGCTCCCACCGCCCTCCGGCGCTTAGGCGTCCCACTAAAGGAAAGAATCACTAGAAGTCTTCTAGTGACCAGAGCTCGACAACTACCTACCATCTTGTCTTTCTAGAGTCTGGTCGTAAAACATGACTGGGATTTTTGAGCAGCCGCGCAATGCCGGCACCCTGTGTAAGTCACAAACGCAATTTCGACCTATGGTTCGTTGGTATACTGACTCAGCTTCACACAGTTCTCGGCGGGCAGAAAATTAGCGGTGCTGATATACGAGACCAGAACGGTGCGTGGCGGCCCTTGGTTGATTCCTAGTCGAATGCTATGCTCATTAAATCTTAGTCCTCGCAACGCAGGCAATCTCCAATGTCGTCAAAAGCTCCTTTGGTCCGTCCGGGTTGGATAAGATGATGGTGGATGATATCGGAGTGAGGAAGGATTCGCGCTCAAGTTATTATCATAATACTGATTTTTATTCAAGGATGTCACAGTTACGAATGACGGTGCTACCATTTTGAGTCTTCTGGATATTGAGCATCCGGCTGGCAAAATCCTCGTTGACTTAGCCCAGCAACAAGATAAGGAGGTACGATTGCTCTTGTTTGTCATGTAAAGGTATTCGAGTTCATGATTTTGCTTTATAGGTTGGCGATGGAACTACATCCGTTGTTTTGATCGCCTCCGAGCTTCTTCGGAGAGCCAACGAGCTCGTGAAGAACCGCATCCATCCTACCACCATCATTACCGGTTATCGATTAGCTTTGCGCGAAGCCGTGAAGTACATGAACGAGAATATCAGCACGAAGGTGGAGAATTTGGGTAAAGACAGCTTATTGAACATTGCCAAGACATCGATGTCCAGCAAAATTATTGGCGCCGATGCCGATTTCTTCGCCAACATGGTCGTCGATGCGATGCTTCTGGTGAAGTCTACAAATCAGAGGAATGAGGTCAAGTATCCAGTCAAAGCCGTGAATGTCTTGAAGGCCCATGGAAAGAGTTCAACAGAATCGATCCTTGTCAAGGGTTATGCTCTTAATTGTACTGTCGCATCCCAGGCGATGAAGACACGAATAACAGATGCAAAGATCGCCTGCTTAGATATGAATCTGCAAAAAGAGAGGATGAAGCTTGGTGTTCACATCACGGTTGACGATCCTCAACAGCTTGAGAAAATCAGAGAAAGGGAGTCTGGCATCGTTTTGGATCGAGTAGAGATGATACTCAAGGCTGGCGCCAACGTTATCCTTACTACAAAGGGCATTGATGATATGGTTCTAAAAACCTTTGTTGAAAAGGGAGCCATCGGTGTCCGACGCTGCAAGAAAGAGGACCTCAGACGAATTGCAAAGGCGACGGGAGCCACTCTCATTAGCACTCTATCAGACTTGAATGGTGACGAGAAATTTGAAGCCTCGTACCTTGGTTACGCCGAGGAAGTTGTACAGGAACGCATCTCCGACGACGAGTGCATTCTCGTCAAGGGCACAAAAGCGCACTCTTCCGCGTCGATTATCCTCCGCGGACCTAATGATTTTCAACTGGATGAGATGGAACGGTCTGTCCATGATTCCCTCTCCGCTGTCAAGCGAACACTGGAAAGTGGCAGCATTGTCCCTGGCGGTGGAGCGGTAGAAACTGCACTGCATATCTATCTCGAAGAGTTTGCCGTTACTGTAGTAAGTTCAATAACTTCGATTTATGAGAGCATAATCGTGCCAAATTAACACGTTTCCCGCAGAGCTCACGCGAACAACTCGCCATTGGGGAATTCGCCCAGTCCCTCCTCGTCATCCCCAAAACTCTAGCCGTCAACGCAGCTAAGGACTCATCTGAACTCGTTGCTCAGCTTCGTGTTCGCCACGCTATTTCTCAGCGCGTCCAGGAAGGTGACGCCAACGAAGAAGAGAAGGCTATCGCCAAGAAGAAGACATACCGTAACTACGGCCTTGACTTGACCAAAGGACGGGTTATCGATTCGGTTAAGGCTGGTGTGATTGAACCTAGCATGAGTAAGGTCAAACAACTAAAGAGCGCTGTCGAAGCCTGCATCGCCATTATGCGCATCGACACTATGATCAAGTTAGACCCTGAGCAGCCAGCTGAGGATGATGGCCATGGCCATTAAATGGGAAGCTGTTTATAAATACAAAAGCTCTAGAATTAGTGTTCGAGGTAATTGATCTACGAATGTTTAATTTAATCGATCTTCACATGTCATGATGCCATACATCAATTTATGCAGACTTCAAACTTTTCTGGTAAACTCTCAATGGTGTAGATGTATAAATGTCTTAGTTCAATTGATGTTTTGGCTGAGTGACAATATCCTACCTCGCTTGCAACATGAAGAGTCATAATACAGATATATGATTCCTGAGGTAACACCGTCAGACCATCCTAGATATATTCAATGCTAGCCTAGCAATAATCTAAACATCCAAAACACCTTACAGATTTCCATGACAAGTCACGCGGATGGCGCAATGTAACAAACATAGTTTACCAAGACAACCCGGACGAAAATAAGTTATATAGAATCATTTGATGAATGCACAACAAGACAAGTTTTGTCCAGGCCATGCAACGCAATGAAGTTGCGCTAAATGCAATTATGCATTGAGAAAAAGGGAATACCAGAACACCACGCAATGCAGAAAAGCCACGTCCTTGAACAAAAATCCATAATGGGATATAGAATGCAGAAGAAGAGGTAAGGTTCAGAATGCCATTAAGTGTGTTCATTCCAAAATTTGTTGATTATTCTTCCTCGTCGTTGTAAGAGTGTGGGGTTTCAGCCCAACCGCACCTCCAGCGTCGACCATCAGCTTCGCCTCCTGTGCGCAATTCTCGAGCATCTGCTCCTTCACGCCAGCATCTTGCACTAAAGTCATCACTCACGGTGACTAATTCCCCTCCATGAGCCCAAGCTACTGCTGAAACTTCCTTTTGATGCCCTCCTACAAGTCGCGTTCCAGTTTGATAGGTAGGGACTGTACTCTCCGGCCGGCCAGAAAGGCCGATTTCAGAATTGGCACGTCGCAGGGCACGTCTTGTTGAGGGTGTTTGAGCTTTTGTAGGTGACTGGGCTTCGTCTATTGATTTGCTTGGTACAAGGAACTTCTCGTCAGTGCTGAACAGAACCGCAGAGTGCTCACTATTCCCCACGGCGAGCATCTCCCCCCTGTCATCTTGCGCTGGTCGAACTGCTGTTTTAACATAAAAAGACGATACCTGTAGCCCAGGATGGCCAAAACGGTAAAGGGGGCCGAGACCTTCTTTATTGGGTCCACCGGTCCGCCGTGGTCGATTATTGTTTAGGTTGATATCCGGAGAACCGCCGAGAATCAAGTGCGAGGTTGAATAAGCATATACATATGCATCTCGGCATAGAGTATATAATCTAGATCCATCGCCGTTTAATGCCATGGATGTCACGCCCCAAGATCTATGACTGACATGACAATCAGGTTCACGAGTCGTGGACAACGGGACCGGATGTCCTTTACGAATGTTATAGGACGTACGCATGTCCCATAATTTAACGCAAGCATTGGCTGAGGACGCCGTCACGAAGAGGTTTTCACGGCCTGCAGGTAAAAATGAAAGAGATGTTACGGCAACATTCTCCTGACTTAGTTGAGTTTCTGGTTTATCCAACGTGGCTAGCTTCGAGGCTCTGGGTATCAATGTATGAGCATCTTGAATAGTCCTGATAGGTTGGGGGTAATTGATCTTTGGCAAAGGAGTTGATGGCTCGTCGTCTTCCGAGGCCAATGAACATCGTATTTGTAGTGGCGGCATCTCATGACCTCTACATCTCAAGTCCCAGATATTCACATTACCATCACGACTGCAAGTCGCAACCATCCTGTCGTTTGAGCCAGGCTGAAACTGAACATGTTTCACCGAGGCAGAATGATTAGACAAGCAATGAATCGGTTTTTGGGTAGTCATATCAATAATAAGGGTTGTTTGATCGCCAGCAGCAGTTGCGAGAAGAAGATCATCGGAAGAGAATTCGAGGTTTAAAATCGAGTTTCCATGTGCACGAAATGACAAATGTGCATTTGAAAAGCCGTTCTTCACTCCTTTCGCAGAATCCAAAAGACGGATGCCCCCTTCTTCATCTCCAATGGCGACAAGGGAATTGGCTTTTCACAGAATGAGCACTCTGAAACATGAATTCATACAAACTCTTTCAACTTACTTTTGCAAGGCGCAATGCAAACTGGAAGTGCAAGGCGATCTCCGGATATGTTGATGCTCTGGTGATGATCATCAGGTCGTGAGCTAAAATTAGAGGCTTGGTCTTGCCATCCTAGAGTATTTTAGAAAAAAAGCAAGATTAAAAAGGTTATACACCTGACTGTCTTACCAGAGCCATAATTTGAACGCAAAGTGAGTCGATTCATACGACCAGAAACGCTTCTCAGACATAGTCCTCCAGATGTAGCGAGAGCCTTTGACCTGCGTAAAGGTTGAGCTGGAGGTGTGGTAGAAAACAGTTGCTTCTGGATAGACCTTCGAGGAGAAAGAATCCTTTCCGGGGATACGGGAATGTAGATATCATTGACAGTTTTATCGGCCTTGTCAGTACCGCGGTTCTCGTAGACGGCGGTGGTAAGTCGTACTTTTCTCAAAGGAGATGATTGCGGGGGAGAACCGCTAGAAGAGAAAGATAGTTTTCTTTTCCTGCTCGGGGTTTTTGCAGGTTCTAAGAATGGACTTTTGAGAATTCCGTGGTCCGTTGAGTGGGTTTTTGCAGCTTTCATGAAGGCTGGACCACGTCTGTTCAAAGACGTGGATCCAAGCTCCTTCAATGCTTGCCGACTGGTGTATACACCATTACCTGTGGAATTGAGGGACGATCGGGGTGTGAAGAATTTCCTGAACGAACGAGGCGTCACTGGAGGCGGTCTCTTGGGCTTTCGGCGGTACCCAGCCTCGGAGACGATGGATGGAGGAGACGAAGGTATCTCGGGAGGGGAGTGAATGTGTACAGGATCTGACTGGGGGACATCAGTAGCATTTCGGTCTCCCGCCATTGTCGATGCATGCAGAGAGAGTCAATTGCAGGTCCTTCTCATCAGGAGCGACAGAAATCGCCTCGGGGTGAGGGAGCAAGACTGGGCTGGCGGTGGGCCGGCCCTGCATAGGCGAAGCACGAGGCACGTCGGCGCGGTGTCGCGGGCGTGTTCGACGCGATGCTAACTAATTAGATAACCAAATGCGGAGTGTCACGTGAGGTCGTAAAATCGCATTTTGCAAAAAGTTACCACGCTAACTACAAGAGGAATAGACCACCGATAAGACTGTTATCTTGCGGTTACAAAAAAAACCTTCGTTCCTGCACCCGCACGTCTCCAAGTCACCAACAGAGCAACTGACGGATTGTGTGTCAGACTCTCGTGCCATGGTCGAAGATGGCTCCTATTAAACGGAAAGGAGCTACAGCCGAGCCTTCTGCGAAGCAGCAGAAGCGTGCTCGTGTCACCTCGGAAGAAAGCAAAGCAGAGTCCGGCCTGCAGAAAAAATCCAAATTGGGTAAAGAGGTTCAAGAAGCAGACCGCAAGTCCGCTGTTCGACAACAGGACTCTGACTTTTCAATTGTCCGTGATGAGGAACCCTCGTTTCCTCGAGGTGGTGGAAGTGTCCTCACCCCATTAGAGCGCAAGCAAATCCAGCAACAGGCCACTCGAGATGTTCTCTTCGAGCACAAAGGGCCTAGTAAAACTACTAGAGGTCTTGTTGAAGACGATTCGGATGTCGACATTGACATGCAAGATGCAAGTGCAGATGTCAAACCCGCAAAGAAGCCGCGCAAGTCGCAACATAAAAAGCAAGCAAATCAACCAAAACCAAACAAGGAGGGTGTTCGGATTGAATCGCTCAGCTTCAAGGTACGTCACAGATCATAACAGTACTAAAGATATCATACTGAATTTTAATAGAGGTTAACTGTAGGAACAATGGTTCTTGGGCAAGTAACCAGCATTAATGCCAACGATATCGGCCTAGCTCTACCGAACAACCTCACAGGATATGTTCCTTTGACTGCGATGTCGAAAACATTGGATCAGAAGATCGAGAAACTACTCAATGTGAATGAGGGTGAAGAAGATGATTCAGACGAAGAAGAGGATGCCCTTGATCTCAAGTCTTACTTCTATCTGGGTCAATATCTACGTGCCTCTGTGACCTTGACCGGAAACAGCTCTACAGAGGCGGGTGCCACTAAAATTAAGAAACGCATTGAGCTGTCTCTGGATCCCAGACAGACAAATTTTGGCTTGTCAAAATCTGATTTGGCTGAAGATGTTTTGGTACAGGCTTCTGTGGCAAGCATTGAAGACCATGGCTTGGTCATGGATATCGGCCTCGAAGGCCAGGACATCAGAGGTTTCATGTCGTCGAACGACATTGACTCGGAGTTGGACTTCTCTACAGTCAAAGAAGGCTCTGTATTTCTTTGCGTTGTGACTGGGTTCAACACGAGCAAGACTGTCGTCAAACTCTCGTCCAATCTCCGAGCCTCTGCATCAGTAAAAAAATCTCACTTTCTCACTTCAGCCCCCACTATTAACACCTTCTTGCCGGGTACAGCCGCGGAGATACTCGTGACTGATGTATCAGATACTGGTTTGGCGGGCAAAATCATGGGCCTCCTCGATAGCACCGTTGATATCGTTCATTCAGGAGCCAATTCTGGATCTGTTGATCTTACGAAGAGGTTTCAGACCGGTACTAAGATTAAAGGAAGAATAATTTGCACCTTCCCGGCCTCCGAGCCTTATAAAGTCGGCTTCTCGCTTTTGGACCACGTCTTGAAATTCACCTCGGCTCGAAGTTCGTCATCTAGCAACAACTCAGTTCCTTCTATCTCTGCGGTTCTGGATGCAAATGTCGTTAAGGTGGAGCCTGGTTTGGGACTTTATGTGGAAGTTGGATCACCAAAACACTTAGGCTTTGTCCATGTTTCAAGAGTGGCCGATGGGACTGTGGAAACAATTTCGGCCGAACACGGCGCTTTCAGACTGGGAAGTACGCATGAGGCTCGTGTTACTGGGTATAATCCGATCGATAATCTTTTCTTGCTATCATTTGAAAGAGCCATTATCGACCAGCCCTTCATCCGACTTGAGGATGTGACTATTGGCGCCGTGGTAAAGGCAAAGATTGAGAAGGTACTCATTGGCCCGAATGGAGTTGACGGAATCATCCTGTCGCTGGCGGATGGTATTACTGGAATGGTACCATCGATCCATTTGGCTGATACAATACTCCAACACCCTGAAAAGAAATTCCGCGAGGGGTTGACAGTATCTGCCAGGATTCTGTCGGTGGACTTGGAAAAGCAACACATACGGCTTACACTCAAAAAGAGTCTTCTCAACAGTGATTCTGCTGTCTGGATGGATTACAATAACATTGTACCAGGAACTCAATCACCAGGAACGATAATTAATATTCAACCACACGGGGCAATTGTTCAATTCTACAGTTCCGTAAAAGGCTTCCTACCCGTATCGGAGATGAGCGAAGCTTATATCAAGGATCCCTCCCAGCATTTCAGAAAAGGCCAGGTTGTCAATGTTCACTGTCTCAATGTGGATGCAGCTTCTGAAAGACTCTTGGTTTCTTGCAAAGATCCATCAACCTTGTCCGAATCTTATAAAGCGGCTTTTGATGAGATTCACCCAGGTGTCGCTGTCGTGGGTACCGTTTTCCAAAAGTCCAGTGACGACTTGCTCTTGAAACTCGATAAATTTGATGTGATTGCGCAGTTAACTGCAAGCCATCTTTCTGATGGCGATATCTCAAAACAAAACACAGCACTTTCAAAGATCAGGGTTGGACAGAAACTACCTGGTCTTGTGGTTTTGAACGTTGAACGAGCACGCAGATTAATTAAAGTGACAAATAAACCTAGTCTGAAAAGATCACTAAAAGAGGGTAGTCTTCCTTCTAAATTCCAGGATATTCACGAGGGCATGTCTGTTACTGGTTTTGTTAGAGCCATAACCTCTGTGGGAGTCTTCGTTGAATTTCTTGGTGGTCTTAATGCCTTGTTGCCTAAGCGTTTGATCGACGATGAGCACATCAATCAACCTCATTTTGGGTTGCATCTTTTCCAACCCTTGTCGGCCACCATCCACCAAATAGATGAAGATTTCCGGAGATTCACGTTGACTATGCGCCCATCCATAAAAACATCAAACTTTGCGAAAACAAAAAAGACAAATGAAAGCTCTCTTCCAGAACTCGAGCTGCTTTCAAACCCAGTCGACGAAAACATTAAATCAGTGGCCGACTTTATTGTGGGAAAAGCAACCAAGGCCAGAATTGCTTCCGTCAAGGACACACAAATAAATGTTGTTCTTGCTGACAATATACAAGGCCGGATCGATGTCTCGGAGGTTTTTGATAAATGGGAAGACATCAAGGATCGCAAACGGCCTTTGTGTACATTCCGAGCTAAAGAAGTCATTGATGTTAGGATTCTAGGTGTGCACGATGCTCGCACCCACAAATTCTTGCCAATCAGTCACCGAACAAGCAAGAATCCTGTTTTTGAGCTCTCTGCCAAGCCTAGTGTGCTCGCCGCCCAAAACTTGAATCCATTACAACTGGAGCAAATGAAAGTTGGCTCTGCAATGTTTGGGTTCATTAATAACTTTACTGAGGAATGCGCCTGGGTCAACCTTTCGCCCAATGTTCGAGGTCGACTACGGGCCATTGACCTCACCGACGATTTAGCGAGCTTAGCTGATCTAGAAAATCAATTCCCGATTGGCTCCGCCTTGAAAGTGCGCGTGATAGAAGTCGATGCGACGAAGGGACGTTTAGATCTCTCAGGAAAACAAAAGTCTGCCCGGGAGTTAACAATTGATACTCTTTCAAAGGGCATGATTTTACCTGGAAGGGTTACAAAGATCACAGAGAAACAACTTACAATACAGTTAAGCGAAACGCTTGTTGGACTTGTAGGTCTCACTGATATGGCTGACGACTACTCTAAAATCGACACGTCCGTTTACAGGAAGAATGAAGTTCTCCGCGTTTGCATTATCAATATTGACAAGGAAAAGAAGAATATTTACCTCTCACTACGACCATCAAAAATTCTGAGTTCATCGCTTCCTGTACAAGACCCAGAGATCAATTCGATAAGTCAGTTGAAGGTCAACGACGTTGTTCGTGGTTTCATCCGCAGAGTTGCAGACAATGGTCTTTTTGTATCGTTAGGTCACAACGTTGTCGCTTATGTCCGTATTTCAGATTTGTCTGATTCCTATCTCAAGGAATGGAAAGATGAATTTCAGACGGGCCAATTGGTGAAGGGTCGCGTCTCTGTTGTCGACGAGGAAAACAACAAATTACAGCTGACTTTGAAGGAATCGGCATTAGACCCTAACTATAAAACGCTTTTGACGTTCCGCGATTTTAAACCAGGTCAAGTGGTGACAGGAAAGGTTCGAAAAGTGGAAGAGTTTGGTGCATTCATTGTTATTGACGGTTCGGCCAACGTGAGCGGTCTTTGTCACCGCAGTCAGATGGCGGAACAAGTTGTCGAAGACGCTAGGAAGCTTTTCGAGGCTGACGATAATGTCAAAGCAAAAATCTTAAAAATCGACACAAAACAGCAGAAGATCTCTTTTGGTCTCAAAGCTTCGTACTTTGAAGGTGATGAGGATTCCGATAGTAGTGATGAGGGTGGAGCCTTACTGGACAGTGATGATGATAGCGATGAAGAATCATCCCTAGGTGGAGTTGAATTGGATGATGGCGGCAGTGATGTAGTCATGGGTAAAAGTGGACTAGACGATCATCTAGGCGGCCTTGACGTTGGCGGTTTCGATTGGACGGGCAATGCCAATCTGCCAAAAACCTCAAAGACTATCAACCATGCAGACAAGAGCGATGATGAAGATGATGCCAAGAAAAAGAAAAAGCGCTCTCGCAAACCCGAGATCCAAGTTGATCAAACTGGAGATTTGGATGCTCGTGGTCCACAGTCAGTAGCCGACTACGAACGACTCTTGCTCGGTGAACCAGATTCTTCAATCTTGTGGTTGCAATACATGGCATTCCAACTTGAACTAGGAGAGGTGGAAAAAGCAAGAGAGGTTGGAGAACGTGCTCTTCGCTCTATCAGCATTGGACAGGATACCGAAAAGATGAACATTTGGGTGGCTTTGCTCAATTTGGAGAATATCTACGGTACAGATGACAGCCTTGAAGAAGTATTTAAGAGGGCATGTCAATACAACGATACCCAGGAAGTTTATGAGCGGTTGATTAGCATTTTCATCCAATCTGGAAAGAACGAAGTATGTCTTCCTTCATATATATGCTGTGTGTTCGTGGATTAACTGGTTTATAGAAAGCGGATGAACTGTTTCAAACAGCGCTCAAGAAAAAGATCTCCTCTTCTCCAAAGTTCTTCATCAACTACGCCACATTTCTTTTTGATAATCTGTCTGCTCCTGATCGTGGTCGTGAATTGCTTCCTCGTGCTATGCAGTCTCTACCCACGTACACTCACGTTGAAGTCACATCCAAATTCATCCAACTCGAATTTCGATCCGCCAACGGAGATGTGGAGAGGGGTAGAACCCTCTTTGAGGGGCTTCTATCGTCATTCCCCAAGCGAATTGATTTGTGGAATATATTACTCGATTTGGAAATGAAGCAAGGAGATGCTGAGCAGGTGCGCCAGGTGTTTCAACGAGTCCTGGGTTCGGCATCAGACGATTCAGGGAAAAAGCTCAAGGCCAAACAAGCTCGCTTCTTTTTCAAAAAGTGGCTTTCCTTTGAGGAGACCCTCGCCGCCACCGAGAGAGGAAGCGAGAAACGGGTGGAAGAAGTCAAGGCTAAAGCGGCTGAATATGTGAATTCGCTCCAGGCCAAGCGATAGGGATAGATTTTCTGGAGATGAAGTACTTTGGTTTTGTTCTGTCTTTTCATTAACGGACGGAAAAAGCTAGAGGCTACGTATATAAAATTGATATTAAGAGGTTCCTAGAGAAAAAAAAAACTTTTTTGTTCTGCATTTTCACGTGTAATTAACGGGATGTTCCTTCAAATGACTTGCAAATGCATATACCTATGAAACTCAGAGGCGATTTTCATTTATGGCTTCAATCCGCACAAATCGATGTATTAAGCGCAGCATATAGTTTTCTTATCGTATCAATTCTACTATGTACAATGGGATGTGTCTCAATTGATGTTTTGAAGATGTGAAACTCAAGAACACCCAGAAATAGATTGAGATAGACCACTGAATGTTGCGTAACAAATTTATCATCTACATCTCATTTCATCCTCTCTTTTCTGCCATTAAGCGTCTGTACTCCTCGACAATGCTCTTCCGTTCTTTAGCAAGTTCCTCTCGTCTTCGCAAGCTTCCCGCAGCCACAGGAACGTTTGCAATGTCTACCTCGGCGCCACCAACACCTCGACGCACTCTGAATATCTCTCTGGGTTTAGCTAAAGACTCCGGGGGTGCCTGCACAACTTCCAGGGGATTCAGAGGCCTCGCTGCCCTCTCGCGTGTATTGAGCTTCGCCCAAGGATCGTCATCATCGTCATCATCCTCATTTCCATCAGCACTCTCTCCCTTGCCCCGTCTCTTTTTCTTGGACGCTGACGAGGTTTTCTTTTTCGCCTTGCCTTTGCCAGCTTCGACCCGCCATTCTTTCCACAGCTCATTGAGATCTTCATTCTCCGCTTCTCTGAGCTCCCGTGCTTCTGCCTCTTTTTCCCGGATTCGAGCTTCCTCCTCACGCCAGCCCTTTTGAAGTTTGCGCAAGTGTTTCTCATGCTTTGTGATCCGCTCTTCTCGAATTTTCGGCATACCTTGAGACTGCGCGGTCCGTTGCGAACGTTTCATCGCAGACAGGGGCATTTCTTGATCCACGCGTGCCGCGAAGTCAGATAGCTTTTCGCCTGGTAGAATTTTGAGAGCGAGCTCCTTCCCAGAAGACTTCGTGTCTGTAGCATTATGAATTTTTGAAGAAGACTCATTCTTCTCATCTTCATGTTTCCGTTTCTTTCCTCGAGGTTGGTTATTCCCGTCATCTAGCCCGGAAGGCATCTTGCCGAGTTTTTGGTATTGCATCAGGCGCGCAAAAGCACGCGGGGTGTCGTCTCCCCATTTCGAAGTCTCAGCCTTTGGCTTTGTGCCAGTTTTCTTCACACCAGATTTCGTCCCTCCATTCTGTGGTTTGGCTTTATGAACCGAGAGGGGTTTGGCTATGGTCGTCGGGGGGAGATCGTAGGTTCTATTCAAAGTCAACTCGGTTCGCGGGGCAATTGCGGGTATTTGAGAGGAAATTAAAGTCACAGGCACTTACGACTCATCTTTCTGGCGCCTCCTATGCTTGTGAGGCATTTTGGGGATAGTTGTCGTTTATTTGATTGTATGCTAGGGGAAGATAGATTTTCATCACGATAACCAGCCATCCTTATCCCTTATCGATAAACAGGTCACGTGCTTGCCATCCGGAGACTCCGTCAGACTTCTAGTCCATGTTCGAGCACATGGCATATTTACAATCTTTAATAATTATTAATCATAATTCATGATCCTGAAAGAAAAGCTATGGTTCTGATTCTCTATCAATGCTTATCGTGGTCCTGGGCGAATTAAGGACAAAGCCAGCACAGTACAGTGCCTTTACCCGACGAATTGGAAGACCTTAACGAATCTGATGAAGAGATAACTCCATTGGCTGACGACGAAGTTATCCCTGCAGACATCAGAAAAGCTCTTGCTTTTAGTCAATTGCGTCAACGCAAAAGAGAGAAATAAATCCCAGTTTCGCGCAAGCCATATGGGACGAAATTCTTGCGTTTGCTAAGAAGCATATAGAGACATCTACCAAGATAAAGAGTGAGTCGCGGTAAACAGTCACCCCTGTTACGAGTGGCTGCTGATTTCTATAGCTATCGCGACTTTATTAAAGCTTGCATCGCTGGAGGGTGGGTGGAGAACATAGCTGTTGATTCAGAATTTATTGGCCACCGCTCTCTTATTACCAAGGAGATGAGGTTCAAGCATGTAAATGACAAACAAAGAGTGAAGATTTGGTATATGACGAAACAAAAATGGCACTAGTTCTATTACGCCCGATGATGGCTGGAAGGCCTCCTCAAGCACTAAAACTCGTTCAACAAAAATTTAATGCTACAAACTGCCTCGGCGTTTGCAGTCATGGTGTAGGGATTAGTTAAACCTTCAATTAGGCAAGCGCGGCGTGACGGTGGTCACGATCGTCAACCCCAAAAACGACCACTGTTTGAAATGGTCGACAGGCCAAGTACTTAGGAATTCTCTATACGCAGTAGTATGATGTTGACAAGTATGCACTTGATTGTCCCTAAAGTCGATTTAGGCAGCCATAACTTGGCTCCATCGAACAAGATGGTGGCGCAAAACAAAAACGGGATAGACCCTCATGTCCCGCGATATGCGTGGTCGATCCCGGCATCAGCCCTAAGAGTCTATTAAAATGTTACTACGGAGTCCTAATACTACTAGTATAAATACCACATTGGCTAAACAACCATAAAGAGGCCCCTTGTGGGTGTTTTAAATACGTTGTATAGTCAGTCTTACTAGGTATAAAATGGGTGGTTAGTGTGCAATGGGGCATATGACTCGTTCCGTTGCAGGATTTTGGGGTTCAGTAGGCTGTAAACAAAGACCATGTGTACATTGATGAAGACTGTCGCTCGCTTATCAAGGGTTAATTGATTACTTTGCCCTGAGGCACGGTCGTTTGTCAAAGCTGCTTATCAGATCAATCACGCCCACAGTCCCTCGTGGTTTTCCTCCTATCCTCCCTCAACACCCACCTACACGTAACCTTCTACCACCACGATACGATAAGAACGACGCCCAAACCAAGATCAAGTAAGTCGACTTCCTTTTGAATTTGTCTCTGACGACTTTCCTCTCCTGCTCTTGTTATTCGTAATAGAGGCCTGGAACGGCTCGAATACTGCGTCGAGAGTTGAAATCTGTCTTTTACTTGTGCACTCTAAACGAGACAAGGGCCTGTTTGGATGGACCCTACGACACTCAACATATAGTTTTCCTTATCAAAGGGCTAACTTTTGTTTAATATAACAGGAAATCTTCGTGTCCAGACGATGTCGTCGTCTGGAACATCTCAGCCTAGTACTCAGCTGGCGAACTACGCTTCACCCGTACGTAGTAACGCGTACGAACTGGATTTCTTGTTCAAGGATCGACTAAACCCAATGATTGTCACAGCATACGCCCCATGTTCAACTTCCGTTGGGGTCATATGTACCACTGGAGATATGTCCAACCACATTTTCGACCGAGGCAGAAGCAAAGCAGCCTGGCACTGGGGAGACAAGATACCTGCAGAATCATTCGTGTTTCACGGTAAATTCCAACCAAGTCTTTGCTCTGGTAATTGATCCCATTTCTTCTAGAGTTTTGAATGCCCGAATCACTTTCATTTTACTCAGCAACTCCTCAACAAGATTTTTGTCAAGAACGCCAGCCATATTTTCACAGAAACCTGCCTTCTAGTTTATTAGCACAAATATAGTTGTCGTTGGTCTGAACTCACTAGAACGTATCGAAGAGGTAAAAAAGATGTAGGGACCAGTAGAGGCAGTACGAGATCCAAGAAGGTGAAAGAATGGGACGGTAGCGAAACTAGTGTTCAAGTGAGAAGCGTGTGGTAATCTCACACGAATGGGCAGAAGTAACCACGCTCACTGCGGGGTGGCTTTTGACTCCTTCACTTCCTCCACGTTGCGTCTGCTTCTCTCATCACTGTCTCGAGTGGCACACTCTAGTTACTACAAAACTACTCCATCCTATCCAACTGCAGAGACAGCGTCTATAGTCGTCATCTCGTTCATTCGCTTCGTTGCATATCCACCTTCTCGCAATCCAAGCACTCACTCTCACCAACTGACCAACAAATGCTTTTCTCTTTCGTTCTATTTAACCAAGTGAGCAATTCAAAACAGGATTACAATGGCACCAATACAAATCCAAAACAAAATAAAGCGGCTATCATAGCAAAGGTCAGAATTCCCTCTATATCTGAGTATGATACGGACACGCTTGATATTGAGGCTTTACGCACGTTGGCGAAGTTTGACTTTGACACCAATATTGTATGCACCCCTCCACTTGGGACTATACACGTATTTCTACTCATCTTTCAAAGCTAATCCCACAATGATTGTGGTCCAGTCAGCAAATGACGATGGTGAACAGCAGTACTCGAATTCCCCAGCCAGCAGCGTATGTAGATGTCCAAGGATTATGCTGCCACATTGAGGAGTATCTTGGCGAGGACTGGGTAAACAAGTCGATTGTGAGTTCACTACTTTCAAGCCAACGTATCGTATCAGGACTAATTTCTAGACGTCCCTTGAAAACCTGAAACCTATCGCCGTTCCCAGCTCGATGAGAATCACGCCACATACCCGGCAGCTTACAGGGGCAGCAAAGATGGATCACCTGTGCCGCTCTAAGTTTAGGAGTGGGATATGTGGAGACCCACCAGGCATGGTACTAGCCTGTAATATTGAAATATATATAATATACATGTCCCCCCTAGGGTGCCCCCGAGTGCCCCCGATGGCTCCCGCTGCCTCAGAGTGCGACACTAAGAATCATATAATTCGCATAATAGACGATATAGGAATAGAGTATATCTTATAATATTAGAGGTTTAAAGGCTTCTAAGCCAATCAAATTCACTTGCATACCTAATTCAAAGTGGTGAAGGGTCAGGTAGGCGTCAAGGGACTTGGGCTGAAAAAGCTGTCACCTCCATATAGTCCACCGTAAAGCCTTCTTCTTGACTGCGATCGACCTCGGTAGAGCCGAGCCTGGCTAAGGACATCTTTCTCCCCATTAGCGTCGCTGGCCAGAAACGTGCGCAGGCGACTCAACCCAGTGGCACCGGACCCGCTGCCGACTGCATCTGCACGTACAAGAACCCCGTCCTCGCCGCGGATACACCGGTCTACAAAGAATAAATTTTCGATGGATACAATTTCTTGGCTGAGGGTTTTGGGTTTTCTTCTCAATGATGTAAGTCTATATCAATGGTACCGGTACTTCGGCCTAGCTGGCTCACGGGTAATATCACATATTAGAGGCGTAATTGAGTCATTATGCTTATTGTATGGAATCGGCATTTCCTTCTTCTCGGAAGACTTTGTGCAGACATGGGGCGATCCCAATGGTCTTACACACTGGCCAACTGACGCAACAAGGGACATCCTGCCCGTTACCTGTCATTCCCACAACGACTATTGGCGTCCAGTTCCCTTATTTTCCGCTCTTAACGCCGGATGTATTAGTGTTGAGGCTGATGTCTGGCTTATCGATTATGAGCTCTACATTGCTCATTCAAGATCCGCGGTAGCTCCCAACCGCACGCTATACTCTCTCTATGTTGACCCTCTTGTGGAACTGCTAGACAAGCAGAATCCCATTCCAAGATTTCATCCTGCCAAAGACCAGTCACTGCATGGTGTATTCGATACTAACCCAAGCCAAACTCTCGTCTTGTTGATTGACTTTAAAACGGACGGCCTAGAGACATTACCCCATGTGGTTTCGCAACTGTCACCCTTGCGAGACGGGGGGTATCTAAGCTATTGGAACGGGGTTGACTTTGTCGAGGGACCCGTTACAGTGGTTGCAACAGGCAACGCACCTTTTGATTTGTTGACCGCCAATTCGTCTTATCGTGATGTCTTCTTTGATGCGCCTCTTGACATGATGGAGGATGGAGAGCCAATACCTCTTCGAAAGCGTGCAGCAGGCCAGGAACAAAGTCAAGGCAACACTAGGATCCCAAGTGTGGTGGATATAGATACCTTCAACCCATCGAATAGTTATTACGCATCGGTATCCTTCAGAAAGTCCATTGGTTATCCGTGGCATTTACATATCACTGCAGATCAACTTCGGCACATTCGAGCTCAGATTAATGGAGCGCATCGACGGGGGCTGAAAGTCCGTTATTGGGGTACTCCAAGCTGGCCCGGCAATCTTAGGTATTACATCTGGAGCATCTTAGAGCGAGAAGGGGCCGATATCCTTAATGTCGATGACTTGAAGAGTGCAACTGGTGAGGACTGGAGACAGCGGGCATCAGATTGGTGGTTTTAGTGAATATTATCCGCGGTTTCCATTTTGTATTGAAGAGTCAAGCGTACTTATAAAATAAGAACATACCTGTCATCTTATGATAGTAACTGTGGGCGTACTATACAGTCTGATAAAGATAAGCTCAATAGTGAAATCAGTATTAGAGAGCAATTTCTACGTTTGGTTGAGCAACTCGGCACCGTTTTTCTCTTTAATATAGACTGAGGCAAAATAACTATCATCTGCCACAATATTCCATGAGTTTACCCTAAAGACATATTAATGCCTCTTCCCCAAACTCTCGGGCAATGCTACCCTCTTCACGAATCAACTGACCCAGCCACTCCCGGGCAGTCTCAAAATCTTTCGCTCCGAACTTGACTAGAACAAATCCTGCGCGAACACGAGCTGCTGTCCATACAACTTGACTTTGTTTCACAGACGCTACTGAGGCATCTGCTGGCGCAGATGACCAATTTCGCCCTCCAATGCGAGGCTGTGATGTGAACATGTTCATAATGAAAGAGCCCAGCTGGTCAAATATCGGTCCGTACAAAATGAGGGTGCCTATAATTCCATGCGGGTACGTCCTCTCTCGGATCAGGCCGCCCGTTTCACTTTCAGTTCCACTATTTTTTGGCGGATGACTTCCTGACTCGTCATCTAGGATGACGGCGTCACGCAACAAGAGACGCCGTTTACCGGTCTCTCTATCTTCAGACCAGACTTCACTGCGGCCTTTCCATAAGCTGAAATCCCAATTTTCTCCGCGCGAGGTACGCCCCTGGGTAACCCAATCCAAGGCACAGAAACTGCTTCTCTCCTTGTCCTTTTGAGACCCGTCGATCGTGAAGAGTTGAATTTGTTCATACCGACTATCTTTGAACGGGACTGAAGGGTCAGGAAGGTAGCAGAGGCCCGCCTGGCTTCCAATAAAAACATTCAACGTCTGGCGGCTTCTATCGTCGTTCGGTGTTGAAGTTTCTTGATCCTTGGTTGTATTTCCCTGAGCTGGTACTGTTTTGAAAATCTTGGTACTTCCCTGGGGAGTAGTTACTACCAGTCGAGCTCGTGGATCTAAAGTGATCGAAACATCAATGTGATCACCGGGAAGAAGGCCACCACCATATGTCAACAGATACAGATGAATTGGTTTTGTGACGCTCGATGTTTCTGCAAGAACCGATTGCTCAGGGAAAAAGCTCGGCGAACGGGACAGGAGCTTGAGAGGGTATTTATAGGTCAATGTTTTAAGGACCGGGTTAGCTGGAGGCAATACAGCAAGTACCACTTCCCCCTTCCCAGAAGTCGCAACTGAGGAAGCAAATGGAGAGTTGAAAGTCATGCCTCTTTGCTTGCGGGCAGCTAATCTCGCCACGAGAGAGAACGACAGCCAGCTAACGCGGGCAGCAAACGTAATGCAACGCCACACCCATCTGTATGTCTGCTGTATGGGCTAGACACGGGGGGCTATGCCATCTGTTAATTGCCAATATGTTCTTCTGGCGTTGATAAGAGCTCCAGCCTCAAGCCTGGCGCTGTCAGCTGATGGCAGATGAGGCCAGTCCCGAAATGGAAGGACATAGGGTTAGGGCTAACCATTATCGATAGACGTGTTTCTAGCTAGTCCCGTAGTGTACTAGTCGTCCCTCCGAGGCATTGCCGCCCAATGAACCTGCCGCATGACGGGGGGCGTTTGGTCTTGCCCTCTTGGCTCTTGGTCGCGCGTTCCCCCCATGCATCCTTAACATTATCCCACCTCCAGGTATTCCCATCGCCTGTTCCCCAGAGGGCTGTTCGGCATTGATTCGCCCCATAGACTCTGCGTGACGTGTTGCACCTTTAAGGTCTTCGTGTTCTGCGTATAGTTCTCGGCACCCGAACCAATCAATTCGTTATCGCGCGCCCATCAAACGGGACGCGCGCGACGTGGTACTGACATCGGTCCACCCCGGTACGCTCATAAACGTGGATTCAATTGACACAGGAAAAAGGACGCGGACCCTGAGGGAAACGCAAACCTGAACCTTTTCCTCCTCACACAGAAATATGGATGTTTCCGATGCGAGATCGTCGGACGCCGAACTCGACGGCGCGTCCTCCAGTAGGCGGAAATCTGGACGCGCAATCAGAAAACCGCAATTGTTCTCGGAAGCCATTCACAGTATAGGGTTGAACGTACCAGAAAAGAGAAAGCGATATTCGGCACTGAACGATGAGCAAGAGAACGATGATGAGCAAGAAGATGACGACGATGACGACCAAGAAGAATCCGAAGAGGATCTAGACGAAGACGCAGACGAAGAAGAGGAGAAGGAACGCAGAAGAGTCACGCGCAAAGTGGCAGCAACAAAAAGGAAGACAACTCCCAAGACAAATGCGAAACCCAAGTCATCACGCGCGACAAAGAAGCCAAAGACTAATGGCACTGGAAAGTCTCTTGCAATACGCCCTGCAACTAATGGAAAACAGAGCAAGAAACCCACCCCCAAAAAGAGAACCGCTCCACCAAGACCGATTTTCCGTGCCACGACGGAAGGCCTATATGGTATTTATTCCCAAACTGTCCTTCGGAAACGTATAATAGGCTAACAACCTCAAGCCGATGTATTCGAACAACAGAAAGACGTCGAGGCGGTTGTCGACGAGTGGCTGTCAGGCTACGAGAAAACCCCGATCGAAGGCTTACGCGCGCTATTCAACTTATTTCTTCAATGTACAGGCGCTGACATTTCGGTGGATCTTGCCGACGTGACGGACGAGGACCATTGGCCTCAACGTATACAAGACCTCCAAGAGGCACATCTCGACACCGAACCTTCTGAGTACCCCCTCATATCGAAAGATAAGAGATTTCGCAATTTCAAAACCATTGTGGTGGACTTCTGTGACTCATGGGTCGCCAGTCTTCATGAGTCTTCACTGCTCTATAACACGTTCGCGCCTGGATTAAAAGCCGAAGTATGGCTCAATACTATGTCAAGTGCTAGTAACCGAGCCTTTAGACACACAGCGACCCTGTTCTCGATCTCAATAGCAACTTCACTATGCCATATTGCCGAAGGCGTGACCTCTACAGTTTCCACATCTCGCAAGCAGTTAGAGAGTGAGAAGAGAAAGAAAACGGCAAACAAAGGCAGGATAAATTCCATACAAGAGACAATCCAAGAAAATGAGGAAAAACTCGAGGTCATAGACGCTCTACTAAGAGAAGCCTTTGATACTATGTGGGTCCATCGGTATCGAGACGTCGACCCCAAAATTCGCAGCGAATGCTTCCATGGGCTGGCCAATTGGATCCAGACTCATAAGGAAATGTTTTTCGAACCCCAATACGTACGCTATCTAGGATGGGGACTCTCGGATGCAGTCACTCAGGTTCGTTTAGCTGTCGTAGCACAGCTTCGCCAGATATATGAAATCAAGTTCAGTATCGCAACGCTACGAACTTTCACAGGACGTTTTCTCCGTCGACTTGTGGAGATGGCTACAAGGGATTCCGATACCAATGTTCGCGCCTCCACCGTTGAATTGCTTGGGCTTATAAGAAATCAAGGATTGATGGATAACGCAGAAGTTGATCAAGTTGGCCAGCTTGTATTTGATATAGAGCCCCGTATTCGTAAAGCTGCCGGTCGCTTTTTTGCCGCAAACCTTCAGGAAATCTATGAGACCCACTCTGAGGAGATGGCGGAGGACATCAACGAAACTTTCGGCGATGAAGACGATGACGATGAGTTCGAGGCCCCAAAACGATCCTGGATTAAATACAAGTGTCTTGTTGACATTTTACAATCCTACGATGGGCAAGAAGAACTCGCGGTGGAGAGACAACGCCTAGGTCCTCTTGAAGCCTTGTCTGGTGCACCTGTGGAGTCTCGTTTCTTCCTGGCGACAGAAGCGATATACGCTCATACGGAAGAACTAGGAGAGTGGCAATTTCTTGCCGGATACCTTCTCTACGATCATTCTCAAGTAACCGATTCTCCCCCGCAGGATGAGGCAAGTAATGTGCGACAGTTCTATGCATTGGAAGAAGGACAAGACATCATCTTGCTTGAGGTTCTTGTCTGTGCAGTCAAATTGCGGATCTTGGAAATTGCCAAATCCGACATCAACAAACGTGGACAAAAGATCAAGTCTCTAACCGACAAAATTCCTGAAATGCAAGCAGAGACAGCCCACAGTCTTACTCGAATTATCCCCCGCTTGTTGAATAAGTTCGGCGCTGTTCCTGAAGCCGCATCAGCTGTCCTCCGTCTGGAACACCTCGTCGATTTGAATATGGTTCAGGATCTCCAGAAAGACGCCACTGCATATACTGCTCTTCTCAATGACATTAATCGACAATTTCTGACACATTCTGACCAAGATGTCCTTGCTGAGGCTAGTGTTGCTTTCTTGCATGCTCGAACATCGGATGAGATGAAGGAAGCTATGGAAAGCAAAGTACAGGAATTATGGGACGACATGATCGATATTGTTGGTACATTGTCTCAGAATCAAGATGTCCAGAATGGATCATCAGTCCGCAAAAACACCCTAACAGATCTGGCCAATACTGTGACTAGAATCTCGAATCTGGCGACTATCGTGGATTGCACTAGTATTATTGAAACCGCGCCTTCAGTGGAAGCTAAAAATCGCAAAGAGAAATCGGTAGCTCTATTCAACACACTCATTCACTTCTTGAAACGCGGGCTTCGTGATGAGGAGACAGACCGTGAATTACAAAGTCTTGAGACTGAGTTGGTGGTCAACAGTGCGAAGACTTTACTCTTTTACTTCATGTGGAAGGTACAGAATCTATCTAGCACCATCAAGTCCGGGAATGCCAATTTCAACACTGCATACTTCGAAACATTGACAAAGAGCAAGGATATATTTGCTACTTCCTTAACGGCCGTCATGCAAAACCGGTCGGTTTTAGACGACATTCGATTTATTGCATTAACCACTTTTTTGGACTTGCAAACACTGTTTGGCACACTTCGCAATATTGGAACGCATATTCAGGGCGGACCAGAACAAGTAGACGAAGATATCATCCTACAAACTCAAGGCTTAGCACAAGAAGTTATCCCTTCGACGCAGGCCACCATTTCCAAATTCCATGAAGTTGCTGAACGAAATCTAGCCAAGAAATTAAAGAAGGATATAAATTCGGCCGTTGATGAGGAGGCCCCGTTAGAGTCAGCCCAAGATATTAAGGACCTTCCATCAGATGACGAAGACGAGGAGGAGGAGGAAGACGGTGATGATGAAGCAATTGCAACCGAGCGCCTCCGTGCCACCATCCTAGCCGAACAACGACTTTGCGAACTTACTGGCAAAATCGTCCTGGCGATTATTGGTCGTGTTCTAGATGCCACTGGATCACAGCGTGGGAAACTCAAGCAGAAATTGCTTAAGAACAAATCCCGACTAGGCAACAACTATAAAGAAGTTGTCGCGTTTCTGGAAGATCGTAAAGCGCGACCAGCTGCTTCTCGTCACAAGGACAAACAACAACCTACTAGTTCTACCGGTGTCGATAAGTATAAAGATACAGCGCAATCAAACGAGCTCGTCGAGCTAGAGGATGATCCAATTGAAGATGATGATATCGCAGAAGCAAACCTAGTCGTCGATGAAGATGAAGACGAAGACCTTCTTGCCAGGGATCTCGTGGAGGAAAATATCGATGATGGACATTTTGATAATGAAAGCGCTGCCAGTGAGGATGAAGCTGAAGCGGAAAATGAAGATGAAATAATGGGAGATTAGAGTTTTCTTGCTACGAGATTGAGCGAGCCTATTTTCTTTTCCACGTCACGATTCTATTTCTACATTTTTTCAATCTTTTCCAAGGGGATTATGTACAAGAGACGGCGCCGGTTGCTTTGCTTTCCTTCCATCTGTCTTTCAATTTTCATTCAAATGTTGCGATGTTAGTTCATTCCAATCTGTATTGAAAGATATCTTATCTTGTCCTTCATGTGACGATAGTTTCTCATTCCTCCCATCCTACTACTGATTGATTGGTGTCGGTTCTCTATCGCTGTCGAATCAGTTTACGAAAGAACTTAATGTTGAGCCAGCACTTGAGTTAGATTGATACCGTCGTTGCAATATTAATTATTTACGTGATAACTCCATGTGAATTCTTAGATTAAATCCCGTATGATAGACCCCTAAAAACTACATGTATTTTAAGGGTATAGATTTAGCATGCCTGTTCTACAAGTAACCGAGCCATGTTAGCAGTGTCTCAGTGTGTTACAACATCAATGGAGTCTAGCTTTGTGATGTGGTCAACATATTGTTAAGACTACTACATTGCTGATTCTTGTCATGCACAAGTGAACTGAATTATCGATTCAACTTATTTCATATTGATACTAACAGGGTCAAATGGGAGGAAGGTTCGTTCATTTGAGCTGTAACGGATTGGGATTTGGTGAAAAATTCGAGCGTAATCCATTTCTAAAACCATCGGATTTGCGGCTTACTTCGAGTCTCGTTCATCAGGGGGTGCAGGGTTTTGGGTCATTCGAGTGAAAAAGACCAACCAAAAAAACGTACGCCGAATGTATGAGATGTAATGCGACATTGGAGGTGTTGACATGGACGTGTTGAACATGGGAAATTACATGACTGTGTATCTTGTTTACCGTGCCTGAAAACATCATAAAAAAAGGGGATAGTGAAGAATAAAAAGGAGTCGAGGGGCGCAGTGTACCCGCACACCAATAGGGAGTATGTGGGCTAACGACTGGATGTGACATTGACTTGGTTCTCCAAGGAGGAGTGATTGGTCCCAGCATTGAAGTGCTGACAATATGACCTAGTCAATGTACCTTGTAGATTGTTGTTTCGCAAGGGGAAGAATGCCAGTATCACAATCTGGGAGGCGACTTTTTGGTGCACTTCCAAAAGCTGAGATGAGCGTTGAATGGATTCGTGATGACTTGACGCATTTTACATGTCCATCGAATCACCGCCACCATTAGCAAAATTAAAGCCACCAGGCTGTTGCTGGTTGGTACCAAGGGCAAACCCGGTCTGTGTCTGCTGAGGAGCCAGCTCATCGATATCACCACCAGCTTCATCCTCATCAGAAAAGTATTTCTCGATGATGTTGTATGCCTTCATATAAATCTCCTCATTGGCGTTATTCTGGCATTCGTGAATCTTCTCCATACCACCAGCTTCTTCAATGAATAGGGCGTAGCGGTTGAGATTACCATCACCAGCTTGGGTAGACTCCTTGTCCATTTCACCAACCTTGAGGATATTCTCCAAACCATCAAGAGCGACTTGGATGATCTTGTTGTCTGGACATGCAAGGAGGTCGCACAATGGCCTGATGCAACCTTGAGATACTAGGTAGCGGATCTGATCAGGCTTCTGCAAACCCCCGGATGTGGCATTAGATATAGCCCAGCAAGCTTCCTTGCGGGTCTTGAAGTCGCCATTAGAGAGGAGGTTGACGAGAGGTGGGATGATATTGGCATCAACAACTGCCTGGATTTGGACGGAGTTACCAGCGGTAATATTGGAAATAGTCCAGCAAGCTTCTTTGCGAATTCCATCCTTAGTAGAGCTAAGGAGAGAAAGTAGTGCAGGTAAGGCACCGCAGTTGATGATGACCTGGGTCTGCACGTCATCACCAGTGACAATATTTCCAACGGAACGCAAGGCAGGAGTCTGCACAGATGTGGAGGCGTGTGTTAGAAGCTCAACCAAGCGGCGGGGAATGCCAGCCTCGATAACAGCCTGTATCTTGTCGTTAGAGCCATCGGATAGGTATGAGATAGCCCAGCAAGCGTCGATGAGGACTTCGTCATCAATCATATAGATCAGCTTCGCAAGAACGGGTAGAGCGGGAGAAATCTAGAGAATGTTAGATTCTACGTGCAATAAAAGAAAGGAAGGGGAATTTTTAAGACAATGGTAGTCTCATGCACTTACGGTATTCCAGTCTGGCTGAGGGCTTTTTCCACGGCAGAAGTTGCTCAAAGTCCAGGTGGCATTACGGAGCATACTCAACTTGCGGCCATCGCTGATGAGAGCCAGGAGAGGGCGGAGGGCACCGGCAGAGAGAACGTAGTCGCGGCATTGAGGGCTGTCACCTGCAATGTTACCCAGGGCCCAGACAGCTTGTTCCCGAACATCTGGCTCAGGGCTACTAAGGAGCTCGACGAAGATGGGAACAGCACCGGCCTCGATAACAACTTGTGTTTGCTGAGCAGAGCCAGACGCAATGTTGGTCAAGGCCCAAGCAGCTTCAAATTGAACCAAAGTATGAGGGGAGCGAAGAAATTCAACGAAACGGCTGACAACACCAGTCTCGATGACGCGTTCGATAGGAGGATTACGTTCCTTTGACAGCAACTTTCTGAATTTGGTGGTGGCTTGAATCTGCTCATCAATCTGGTCCGAGAAGACACCTTTGACCATTTCTGGGAGTTCAACGTTAAGCTAGAAAAATACTAGTTAGTCGGGGTTTGCATGGAAGAATGAATACAACACGAGTGACCTCCCCATCCTGCTGGCGCAATAACAGTAGATTACGGAGGCAAAGCAAGGCAAAAGTACTAAAAGTAAAGCGCAGAGTGCGGAGAAAAGGGAGAGATGATGTCGCAATATAGAAAAGCCCAGCTAGGAGAGGAAGGCTTACCTCGCCTTCAATGGTGCCGCCTTCCTCCTCGTCGCTATCCACGACCTGGCCTCCAATGATATCACCATCGCTGGTTTGGATGCCTCGCCGTTTAGCGAGGTTCTCTTCTCGTTTTTGCTTTCGGATCTCAACTTGTTGTTCTTCACGTCGGCGACGAAGCTCATCAGGCTTAAACTGATTCTTCGCCTTGAACTGCGTCCGACGATGCTCTGGGATGTAGCGGTCCGCCATGGCTGAATTGCCGGTGCTTGTTGTGTGGGGTGGGGTAAGTCAGAACGACTGAATAAGGAGGGGGGAAGGAGGTCAAATCCGCAACGACGCAGCCTTCTTGGAGGTCGTGACACGAGGTTGCAAAAAGGAAGGCCTGCACAGAGGAGGGGTGGACAGTGAGGGTTGGAAAAGAGGAGGCGAGGGGAAAAGTGGTGATCGATTTCTTTTGGAGGTGGGCTGGTTGCTGTTGCCCGGGTTTTGTTTTCGGTCTGGTCTTGGCTTAGTTCGCCGTGGCCCAGTCCGGTTTAGTCTGGTATACACTAAGCGCCACCCGCCTAAGCGGCTTTAGCGCCTGCCCGTGCGAGACGAGACGCGACGTTCAAGAGTGCATCCACCATCCATAACAAACGCACCATCACTAAGCTGCCAATTCCTAGCATTCTCCGTGGGGGCTCCTAGATGGTTGCTTGCTGCGAGGCTGCTGTATATCTCGAGCGAAGTCTGCATCTATCCATGTCCTGCCGAGACAATTTGCTATTATGTGTTTACTATTCCTTGCACGAGATGCATATAAGAAGACGCATCGCCATCACTACTAGAAACTTGAGCTGATCCTGGCGTCTATGGAACTTCTCTGCATATATCTTCTGCCGTACCAGCGCATTATACGCGGAAACCCCCACTTCTTGGCTCTCAGAACACTGTTGAAGCGAAGACAATGCCCCCAGTAATTCCGCCAAAATTCTCCAGGGTTGACACAGCACGAAACTCGCAAGGCTATCACAGTGTAATTGGCGTTGTGGTTGATTGTCTGCCCAAGCGCCAGTCGAATGGGACCTCGTTTACTGTGACATTCACCCTCAAGGATTCGGACTACGAATCCGGAAACAAGCATTGGGAAGGTCTCAAAGTAAAGTATTTTAAAAATGACGAGCATCTACTTCCAGACGTGAAAGTAAATGACGTGATTCTTCTGCGCCAGCTACGAGTAAGTGCAACATCCTAGCTGTGGTGATTCCAGTACTGATATGCTCGAAGGTGCGACTTTATCAAGGGACATTACTTGGTGTTGTTGCGAACACCGATCATGTCGCGTGGGCTATCTTCCGTCAACCTGAGGGCTCAGGGTCCTTGGTCATGCCAGAATGTAGCGCTGGGTCTCAGGACCTCTCGCGCGAGGAGACGGCTTACGCGAATTCCCTACTAAATAGCGCGACGCACGCTCAAACCGGCGCTACATCGAGTCAAACGCGAAAAGCAGAAAGAAGGGCGGCCGCCATTGAAGTGGTTGAGAAAGCCCCCTCTATCGCTACCAATAAAAGAGACAAATTCTGTCTGATAAAGGGTTTGACCCCAGGTGATTTCGCCGATCTCATCGTTCATGTAGTTAAGACTTGGTACGAGGATGACAAAGTCAACCTATATGTCACCGATTACACCGTGAATAAGTCTCTTTTCAATTACGAGGACAAGTCTGACGACGAGGACGAAGGTCGCACTGGCGATAAATTCGGCTATCTACCAAACAATATACGCCCCAGTCAAGTGTGGCGTGGACCAACAGGAAGGATGACCTTGCAGATAACGCTGTGGTATCCGCATTCTACATTTGCTAGAGAAAATGTCAAAGAGGATTCTTATGTATCGTTGAATAATGTCCACGTCAAATCAGAGAAACAGTATGGGAGGACGGAGGGCATCATACACACTGACCGCATATATCCGGAAAAATTAAATATCCACATCTTGGATAACGAAGACGACGATCCGCGTTTTACAGAACTCAAGAAAAGAAAACGCGATTATTGGAGGCAGAATAAACTCAAGAGAGGGCAAATTGCCGAGGACCTGGGAAAAGACGGCTGTTCAAAAAAGAGCACAAAAAAGAAGAAGAAGGAACAGAAGAAGGAGCAACCTATCCGGAAAGAAGAGGGACAGACCGAACTTGATATAATTCGCCAGGGAAATAAACCCAACCCTTACAGTACGACCTTCACGCCCTTTCCCTTTTATTTGCAAACGTCGCTAATAACATCACTAGTACAAGCAAAAGATCCTGCCAAAAAATCTCGGACTGTTTTGGACATTCTGACCAATAGCTCTCATAAAATCTCTCTCCCTGGCGGCATCGAATATCGGCTTCCCTTCCAAAATGTCAAATACCGCACAACTATTCGAGTTGTCGATTTCTTTCCCCCTAACATTATCGATTTTGCCGCTCCGTACAATCCAGACTCCGGTATGCTATCTGATGGTGACATGGATGGGGACGAACTTTCATCGAGCGCGAGCCAAGTCAGATGGGAATGGCGTTTCTGTCTTCTTGTCGAAGACGCAACGATCACACCTGGCCAACCTCGAGATCAGATTAAATTGTATGTCAGTGGAGCTGAAGCCGAATTCTTGCTCAAGCTTGATGCTGTAGAGTACGTCATTCTGTTAACCCCCTTTTACAAGAAATATGGTCATTAACTTAGAAGTTTCATTAGCCTACGAAAAAATAAGAACACACTCCTTAGACTCAGAGAAAAGCTGTGCATACTATGGGGTGATTTGGAGGAGCGAAAAAACATATCAACTAATGATTCATTTCATTTACAGCAGAAGAGTGCTTCTCGGTTACCCTTTACCTGCTGCGTTAAGGAATACGGAGTTCGGTGTCCATGTCAAACGGGTGATCATCATCTGACGGATTCTGAGCACCGAGGTCAATGTCTCGGCTGGGAAAGAAGATTTGCTTTATTTGGCACTACGATTCATGAAGATTAATAATAATACAAATGAATTTATTATTAACCTGACTTATTGATGTACACCAAGAAGATAAATCCCGCACTTTTCGATTCTTTTTCACTATTAAGAACATGTGGTACCCTAGAGAAGCACAGGAGACAACCTTTTTTAACCCTAAATGCAGAAAAGTTAAGTGGATCTTTAAAAGAAGCCCGAATATAAGTAAAATAGATATCAAACTGTCCGTGCTTTTCGCAAAGGAGACCTCCTTACCAGATTTGCGCCTCATTCACAAAAAAAGAAACCAATCCCACGCCATACGAAGTTTTGAGTCCCATCTACCTCAGTATTGAAAAGTTAACCGCAATAGCCTATTTTGTTCTAAACCTTGGTTGTTTTAACAACAGTGAGATCTATCCCATGCTGTGCAGGTTCGAACCGGCAGTTGCTGCCCCAGTGACAGTCTTTCTTACCGACCTCGCTTTGGGGGCAACGATGCCCATAAATACATTTTGGGTCCTCACATGACATTCCAAAATGACAAGGTGTCATACGAGCTACCGCACGCAAAACTTCCTTTTCATCCCTAGTAAGTTTGTGGTCGTGGTCGTGATAGCAATTTGTATTAGGACAGCTCCCCAGTAAGAAGAAGAGATTGCAGAGTTTCATCTTCTTTACTCGGTTCAATTCATCTTTGGAGAGGTTTTTGAAGTCCATGCGATCAATCCTCTGACCAACTTTATTTCGCTGTACCACAGGCTCACTTGTCGGGGCTGGGCTGGAAGGCTTGTTAAGCTGCAAAGTCACGTCACCAGGATTCAAGGCAGTCACCGAAGCCCAAGAAGATGATGAGATCGGTGTGTTGCTGGAACTGGAAGATGTATTTGTGGAAGTGCGAGTCAAAGTTGCCCCGGTAGGATGAGGCGATAACATTGCAGTATGAGTCTTCAATGGTGTCTTGACCACTATTTTGGTGGTTCGGAAGAGATCTGGGAACTGAGTCACACGATAAGAATTCTTAATGGATTCCAACTCCCTTTCAAAAGGAATGCCTTCCACCAAGGATATCCGACCAAGAAGTTCAATATCGGCTATTGTTTCTTCCAGAAGACGCGCATATCCGTTGTCATGAGAGCACCCTAAGAAGATCTGATGGCAATGACAGTTGTACAAATTAAGCTTAAAAGTTTCTGCATTATAGTCAGCCAACTGTTCTTCAGGGAGAATGGCATTTGATACGTACCGGAAATTTTATCATCAGCTCTGTCTTTACCGTGTCCAACGTCCACAAAGTCGAAGAGCAGGCGACTTTCATTAAAACCACGCACAAAATCATCTATTACTGAAGGCTTATCAACTATACCGGCATGATAACAGGCATTGCCCAGGCCGCTAACGTTTGCATAGACACGAGTAACAAGCTTTGGCGACGTAACGTTGGGCAAATTCCGCGAAACGTAATGATTGAGCGCGGACGCTAGCTGGTTTGCGGCATCTTTACCACCTTGTTCACCATTGCGAAGGTACTGGTCGTGAAATATCATCCCGTCGCCATCCAGGAGGACAATAATATACGGCTCACGGTCCTTAAGATTTCATGGCATGTAAGTGGCAAGCTCATCTGCAGCGCAGCCTATCTGCTCACCATTATTTTCTTTATTCTCTGGATTTGATTCATCAGCTCCATCTCATGGAGTTGAATATCTCGATTGAAACGTATTTCACGCTCGCGGTCGAGCTTAGTCTGTTGGTAGACATCTTCAAGTTCGTTCACTCGTCTGAGCAGGTCCTAGAGCACGCAGTGGTTTATGTTAGCAGGGGGTGGGCAAAAGAAGACAAAGTAAGGGCAATAAGGGAACAAACTTCAATTAGATCATCCTTATTCTCGTCTATGAGTTTAATCTGCTCGTAGCGTTTGGCTAGCGACTGTGAATGGCTGCCTGGCATCATTTTTAACCGCTGGCGGCTGGAAGGCAGAGTGACGGCGGAATAAGAGAAGAGCCAAGCATAAAAGTCGAAAAAATAACAGGGAAAATAGGCCAATGACGAGATGGGGAGTCGAAGGCTCAAAATACGGTTGAGATGGGGTCCTAGATGGTATTGCCAACGCAGCTAGGATCGATATTCAATATTTCTGAGAGATCGCAGACCGAAAGTCACTTTTCCCTGACCTCTCTTTCTGCTTTGGGATTGGCGCACCTGGCAACCGCCCAAAGTGGAAGGCGGTGGAGGAGCCTAAGGATAAGGCGGTGAGCGGCAAGCCAGCCACTCACAGGCCGTGTCTCCAAGCGCCGGCAAAAAGGCAAACAGGCATACGTGGAGAAAAGGCGATAATATCAATGCTGAATATCACATCCACCCCGTTTGCTCCTCCTTTCCCATTGTGCTACCTTGTTTTCTTCTTCCCCGACTCCATTACTTTGACGGTCTTCTTGTGGACTTGCCATTGACACCATGGGTCGCTTCGGTCTCCTTCCTTTGGCTTTCTTCTCGCTCCAGGCGCTCTTTGCCGGATGTCATGCGACAGTAGGTGTGCCCTGGCTCATCGTCTCATTGAACCTGCCTCTAAAGTTTCTCCCATGCTAATACAGCCTCAATTACCTCCAGGAGGCATCAGAAAGTGATGAGGCTCCCGCAGCCCCCGCCCTCGCAGTCAGCGTGCAAGCTTCCTTCCCTTCATCTGAGATTTTTGGCATCAAGCTTGTCAACGGTGAAGCATCTCAAGCTTTGATATCCTTCACCAATGATGAAGAAGTCCCTGTGACAGTCAACTTCATCGGTGGCTCTCTTTTGACCCTTGATGAGTCTGCCACTCCTGTGCGCAATCTGTCAACTGCCAACTATGGTGTCGAAATACCGGCCGGAGAAAAGCAGACCCTGCCATACAGCATCACAACGGAGATGCATCCTCAGGACTTGCGCTTGAGCCTTATCTCCGTCCTCAGTAAAAATGTCACCCAATTTTTTACCGTCCAGGCTTTCAACGGAACTGTCAGTGTTGTCGAACCAGAAACCAGCATCTTTGATCCTCAGATGTAAGAACATCCCGTCTTCGGTGTAATAGCAGACATGAAGACTAAATATACGCAGCATCTTCCTTTACTTCTTTATCCTTGCCTTCTTTGCCGGCATTGTCTACTTTTTTTACAATGTTTGGGTTGCACCGTATTTCCCCCAGAAGCGCCGCGGCCGTGGTGGTGATTCAAAGAAACCTACAAGTGCTGCCAAAAAAGTTGACTCGGATGCTTCACCAGTTGATGCGACTTCTGCTGGCGCTGCATCCGGCTTCAACTCTGAATGGATCCCCGCCCACCATATCCAGAAGCCCGAAGCGCGTAAAGTCAAGGGTGCTCGATCTAAAAGCCGCGCATAACTCGAATCATTACTCCATGACACATGAAGAGCCACGGCTTAGATGTCCATCTGGCTCGCAATATTGGTTTAGACTCCGCGGGGTTTTCCATGCTCATGTCTATGGGGGTTTGATAAAAGCTGAGAATCGCGATTTTACTCGAGCGAACATCGAGTTATCTTCACAAAATTGTGTATTATAGCAAAATTTTCTTTGATTGTTCATGCATCGTCTTAATCAGACCGTGTGATAATCAGAGCTTGGACAGCACACTGGATACAATCATAAAATATATAATCATATTAGTCATAAATTAGGGCGGTTAAGACCTCAATCCTATAACCTTTTCCATTGTTCGAACTCCTCCGCTAGGTGATCCTTGAGTTGCTGAAACTTGTTGCCGAAATTTCGAGAACATCGCCAGCAGATGAAATCTCGCTGCAAGTAAGCTTCCCTACCCGGATGGCGCCGCGGATCATTCCGTGCCAGTGGAAAATCGTCAATGTTAACAAAAAATGGAGTTGCAAAGCTATTGTAATGTTTTCGGTGCTTGAGTCTGTCGCTGTATCGGTCTACAGACATGACATGAATGTGTAAATGGCTCATGGACGGACGCGCATGAATACCCGTCATGATTTCCTTCTCCCAATCTCTTCCTGGTGGCAGGTCTGCCGATGGTTCTTCTTGCTCCATCACCTCACGCCGCGCTTTTTCTTGCTCGGAGAATTTACCATATATCCTACGCAATTCGCCGGCTGCCAATTTGCGCAGCTTTTTCACCTCAGTCTGCACCTTTTGCAAAAATTCAGTATCCTCGAAGGCATCGAATGGGTGCATATAGAACTTTGAGGAGTCGCGAGGCAGTAGTAGCAAGTGAAGAGATGACTTGGGGTATAGATCGTAGATTGCAACAAAGTCATCGTTATAATAAACTACGGTCGACGGTGGGTATGACTCTGGATGCTTAAGGTAAGCACCCAGGCCATCACGCATACCAAATCGCGACCCTTTCGTCTTTGTTAGTGTTGTTGCCTTCGAAGGCGCCGTTAGTTTCTGTTGTTTGGTCTTGGGGGACATGAGCTCTGCAACTGAGCTTTGCATTAGATTTGAAAACAGATGATATTTCCAGGCTAACTTTACACGCATTTCTTTTCACGACTTCTCTGAGGGTTCCTTCTGGAGCTGCTGCCACTGTTTCCCCTGATGCTTCAGACCCTGGTACTTCAACATCCGAAGCATCTGAGCCTGAAATATTGTCTCCCATGGCACCGCGAAGCTGGAAACCATCAATAATGATGGATAGTAGGATCGGATCATGATGTAGCTGAAGCCTTGAAGGGAATCTATAAGCCCCACTATGACCCACGAATGTCGCTCGATCCGGACTAGCGCAGGACAATGTGCAATTCTCTGGGAGAGCGGTTTGAATAGTCCAGCATCTGGTTTTCGCTATGACAGCTGAGCTGAGGAAAACTCGGTCGGCCCTCTCCACGGGCAGGATTGCATGTGGTAATTTTCCGCCAGAAAATGGGCACAAAACCAAAGGGTGGTGCCCGTGGAGGAGCAAAGCCTGGAACGAAACAAGCGAAAGCTGCAGCCGAGAAGTCTTCACTAAACGCACCGGCGCAACAAAATGAAGGCGAAGCGAAGAAGCCTACAGTTAACCAAGTCATTGGTGGTGCATCATGGACGGGAAAGCTTCCCGTGAACATGCTCTCGGAGCACTGTCAGAAGCAAAAATGGGGGAAGCCAGAATATACAATGGTACGAAAGGAGAGCCATTTTGCTAAACTGTAGCTATCACTAGGAATTGCTAACACACACCAGAAAAAACACTCGGAAGGGTTCGTATCATCCGTGATCTTGAGTAAAGTCGATCCGAAGACAAAGGAAACCACCACCTTGCCTCCAATGCAAGTCCCTCCTACCCACAAGGCACTTGCAGCCCAGCCTACGGCTTTAGAAGCCAGACACTTTGCCGCTACGTACGCACTTTTTCGTCTTGCCAGTGACAAGAATATACATGTGATGTTACCGCCAAATTACAGAAAGCTATGGAAGGAAGATTTTGCCCAACTTAAAAGTGAGGCAGTCATGCAAGACAAAGCGTGGATGTATGAAGCCGATCCGTTCTTAGCCAAGCAAGAGCGTGAGGCGGCTGCTGCAGATGCAGAAAAAAAGAAAGCTGAGCGACAAAAGGCTCTGGCTAAGTCAGAAGATAATGTCGATCTGAAAATGGGAGCTGGTGGTAACGCCGTGCTTGGAAAAGTTTGGTCTCGTGCGCCAAAAGTTGATTTGGGGAATAAGCTGCGTCGTAGCATCGAAGATATTCTACGGTACAAGGCAATCTGGAATCCTTATAATGTGAAAATACCAGAGGTTCAGAAACGAGACATTATTAACGAGTACTCTCGCCTCGGCTTTCGTCGGAGCCATATAGAAGAAGCCGTCGCAGAATGTAAGGATCGTGAGGAGGTTCTTGAATGGCTTCTGCTATATGTGCCAGAAGATGACCTGCCCCGTTGGAGCTTCCCGGAAGGATACTCGGCCGGTGTGAGCCTAGCAAGTGGTGATCTGGCGCAAGAGTCAAAGATAAAACGTCTTGCTGCAGCTGGGTATCCTGTTGATATTTGTACCATTATTTTGGATAAGAACGGCGGCAATGAAAATCTGGCCGCCGAGGAATTGCAGAATGCTTTGGTCCAAGATACAGTATCGCCTGCCTTTTCAGAACTTATTGATGACGAAGATATTTGGGCTGTGGAACATGTGACTCTGGAAGCTATATTCGGCGAACGATATACGCAAGTCTCCAAATCAGTATGTCAGGTTGAAGGTGAGGTTTCGGGACTCCCAAAACCTGTCACATTTCGGTTCCAGAAACCATCTACTGGATACCCGAGTGATCCCCCGGTTATAGCAATACTTTCGGACAGTCTTCCAGCATATATAAGGCTAAGTGCTGTCCAGAGAGCAATACGATACGCAATGGAAAATCTCATAGGGCAGCCAATGATCTTTAGCATTGTGGATTGGCTAGAAATAAATATTCCTTTGGTAATGGAGAACCCAGGCAAGCTACGTGACATTGCCAGTGGTGTCAATCAGCCGGCTGGGAATCAGCTTGCGTCTACATCGCTTCCTATCAGATCAAGTCGCAAGAAGTTCAGCACTTTGAAATCACAGTCGAACCTACATAACAGTATATCATTACGTGAAGCCTGGATTGCGAAACAGAACACGCCGGGTCAAATAAATATGAACCATAAACGGCAACTCCTGCCCGCTTGGGCAATGCAAGAATCTATCATTCAATGTGTCAGCTCCTATCAAGTCACCATCATTTCTGGTGAGACCGGTAGTGGAAAGAGCACACAGTCGGTACAGTTTATACTCGACGACTTAATTAAACGCGATTTAGGCGACAAAGCCAATATTGTGTGTACGCAACCCAGAAGGATATCAGCGCTTGGGCTTGCAGACCGTGTTAGCCAGGAAAGATGTTCTACCACCGGGGATGAGGTCGGTTACATTATCCGTGGCGACTCGAAATCCAAGCCTGGGAATACCAAAATTACATTTATGACAACTGGTGTCTTACTTCGACGACTACAAACTGAAGCCGGGCCAGATAACGACATTGCAGGTTCACTCGCAGATATTACTCACGTAGTAGTCGATGAGGTTCATGAAAGAAGTCTCGATACTGACCTTTTACTTGCTCTCCTTAAAGATATCTTGACTCGCCGCAATGATTTGAAAGTCATTCTGATGAGTGCGACATTGGACGCAGAAGCTTTCACACGATATTTTGGCGGATCAAATCGCGTGGGTCGTGTGAACATACCGGGACGTACATTTCCTGTCGAAGATTACTATCTCGACGATGTTTTGCGCCTGACGGGATTTGCTACTGCTTCGGCTGCAGTTGACAACGTTGATGGCGGGAATCCTCTAGAGGATGACTCTATAGGCAAATCACTTCGCTCTCTTGGAATGGGTATCAATTACGATTTGATTGCTTCGGTTGTGAGATATATTGATTCCCAGCTAGGGTATGATAATGGTGGAATTCTGATCTTCCTGCCTGGTACTATGGAGATCGATCGCTGCCTTGTTGCGATACGAACAATACCAAACATCCATGCCTTGCCTCTTCATGCTTCGTTGCTTCCAGCTGAACAAAAGCGGGTCTTCCAAGTTCCTCCAAGAGGTAAAAGAAAGGTCATTGCTGCCACGAACGTCGCTGAGACCTCTATTACCATCGAGGACGTTGTTGCTGTCATTGACTCTGGCAGAGTGAAGGAGACTAGCTTCGACCCTAAAACCAATGTAGTGAAATTACAAGAAGTCTGGGCCTCTCAAGCAGCTTGCAAACAACGACGTGGTCGAGCTGGTCGTGTCCAAGCAGGAAAATGCTACAAACTATACACTCGCACAGCAGAATCCAACATGGCAGTGAAGCCCGATCCTGAAATTCGCCGCGTGCCTTTGGAGCAACTCTGTCTATCTGTTATGGCTATGAGCGGAATTGAAGATGCTGCTGGTTTTCTTGCAAAGACTCTCACACCTCCTGAAACATTGGCTGTGGAAGGCGCTATGAATCTTTTACATCGCGTCGGTGCTCTAGACAATCAAAAACTAACCGCACTTGGGCGACACCTGGCTATGATACCGGCAGATCTACGCTGTGCAAAACTAATGGTGTACGGATCTGTCTTTGGATGTGTCGACGCATGTGTTACTATCGCTGCGATACTTACATTGAAAAGCCCATTTGTATCCCCTCGTGAAAAACGTGAAGAAGCGACTGCCGCCAAGGCTTCTTTCTCACGGGGAGATGGCGATCTTCTCACAGATTTTGCAGCTTACTTACAGTGGTCTGATAGATGTCGAGTTCAGGGATACTGGCAAACTACAACATGGTGCTTGGACAATTTTCTATCCCACCAGACCCTGCGAGATATATCATCTAACCGCGCGCAATTTCTGACATCCTTGAAAGACGCAGGTATTCTTCCAATCGACTACAAGGAGCTAACAGGCTCTCCTTCTGATACTCCAAGTCGTTGGGACTACAACACCCGAAATACCATGCTTCTTCGAGCCTTGATTGGAGGTGCATTCGATCCTCAGGTTGTACAGATCAGTTTCCCGGATAAAAAGTTCGCAGCATCGATGACCGGCACCGTCGAACTCGACCCAGATGCCAGAACAATCAAGTTCTTCAATCAAGAAAATGGCCGGGTTTTTATCCACCCAAGCTCGAGTTTGTTTTCGGCCCAAAACTACTCTAATGCAGCGTTTCTCAGCTATTGCTCAAAGATGGAAACGAGTAAAGTTTTTATTAGAGAGTTGACGCGTACGTTCAACTACATTTCCTTCTTTTATCCTTTCTTATTAGCAACCATAATCTTAACTGACCACTGTCATTCTCAGCATTCAACGCCTACTCACTTCTCCTCTTCGGTGGTTCTATAACCCTCGACACCACGGGCCACGGTCTAATTGTTGACGGTTGGCTACACCTCCGCGGCTGGGCACGCATTGGTGTGCTCGTTTCGCGGCTACGAATGATGCTAGATGATGTTCTAGCAGCAAGGGTTGATAACCCAACGTCTGATAGCCAGGAGCATGAATATCGAGTCATAGATCTCGTGAAGAAATTAATTGAGTTTAACGGGATGGATCAGTGATGTTGAGTCTCATTTGTGTTTACAAACATCTCGACTAGTGATTTTGATCCTTCATATATCGCATATACCCGTTGGTTAGCTCTATATATTTCAATATTCATATAACTATACAGTCAGTATACATATATAAAGTATGGCGTTTGAAGTAGTCGACTAATAGATCAATTTTGAAATTATCGAACGGTTATAATAACAATGAAGTTTTGATTCGACCAAGTAGACATTGATCCATTCATCTGTTACATCTATCAGTCGACATGTGTAGGGTATTTCCTAGTGGCACCGGTCATTGGTTGTAATGCGGCTGGCAGTCGAATGTAGCTGTCAATTGATGGTTTTAGAAGGTAAGCAGCATAATTAGTTTATGTGGTTCCAACAATGACGGAATAAACATTCTTAAAAGAGAATATCATTCATTTCTTTGCTTGCAGGATATATGAAGCATGAATACATCAAGCTTTGCTTGAGAACAGAGAAAGGAAAGGAAAGGACACGAAGGAAAGACATCTGGTCAGCAAGCAAGTGAATGTTTGTCCATGCTGTGCAAAACACCGTGAAAAGACGCAATGCACTGAATAGCAGCAAAAGAAAAACCTGTATATTATTAAGTTCCAGCACCTTGCCATACTCCATCGTGAGAGAGAAAAATGAAATGAGAAAAATAAGCCGAATAAATAAAAGCATGGTCCCAACCGGAAGAAACCCAATGAAACAACGCCTTCTAACTCCATACCATTAGAATAATAAAGGGAAACCAGTGCCAAGTCACTTCTGTTGGCTCTATTGTGTCAAATGAATATTGGCATGAACGGAAGAATCAATCATCAAAGCCCAATAGTGTTGAGGAATATAGTCAGTTGGAGAAAGGAGATCCAAGATAGGGGCAAGTTATCAAGGGCTCTCTAACCGACTTTAGAAAGGGAATCATTTGTACTATAGGATATGCAAGGAAGATCTGTATATACCAATGCTAAGGTATGTTGGCGAATTGCAATGATCTCAAGCACGAATGAGGAATTCGAATGAACGCTTCAACATTCCACTCAACCGCCGTGTGGCTTGACCTTATCTAGACGAAGCGATAGTTGTCTTTGGGAATGTCGGGGATGCGAAATCCTTTGGTTAATTCAGCCTCGACGAACAAGGAAGAACGTTTGAAGCGACGATCCGAATACTTGTCGTAGATTGCACCGTGATGTTTCAAAGGGTTCTCGCAGCATTCAAGAATTATGCTCAAGAGGGGATGCAATTGCTTGTACGTATAATTGGAATAGTACACATGAGCGTGTGACTAAGATATTGTTAGAAACCGAATATGGAGAGACACTCGTTCTCAAAACTTACCCAATTGCCCTTGCACAGCATTAATCGAGCTAGGCAATGAGCCCCTGCGGCGGTGAAGCTTGGGGGGCTACCGACAAAACGCTCATCCATGATAGTGACCTCTAAGAAGTACTTTGCTAGTGTACGGGTATCAAGATCGTAATCGTCAGCTTTACTGATTCGACGCAGGAAGCTCATTGGCCCAGGCCATCCTAGTTCGAATTGAAGCATGCTAAGCATAAATTTTTCGGCTTTCAGTATCTCATCCACAGTATAGCCGCCATCAACCATGTAGACAATTTCTTGAATCGAAGGACAGTTGATCTCCTCATACTTGGCAGCGATGAAGATTGCAGTAGCGCCGACTAGTTGTAACTTTCCGAGAGAAACAATCTTGCAAGAGAGGAATCGGTCGATATAGTTGACAGAGAGGAACAATGTCTCTGGTAGGAGCGAGAATCGGTGATGAACTTGTACAAGCCAGTCCATGAGAACGGAGCGCATAGACCACTGGATCTCTGCTTGATTTTCCATGTAGTGGGCGTTAGGTAGCATTTTGATCTGAGTAATTGGTCAGTAACAAATTAGTCGGAACATACAGTGAGATAATTTCTCACCTCCATTTCTCTCATGTACTCAAAGATTTCATCGCCGTATTCAGCCACCATGCTGGTGTCCCAGGTCTCGTCCTCGATATCCTCAGCGGTGCGAGAGGTCTCGACCAATTGCTTCGCAATGGCAATTTCTTTTCTTGCCTTTTGGTTGTACTTGGGGAAAAGGACAGTAGTGGCACCGCCAGTGGTATTCTCGCTACGAGACCGGTAAGAACGGGTGGTGATATAGCCATCATCCTCGTCGTTATAATCCTCGTCATCGTCCCAGTACTCTTCTGGTTCTGAGGGACCGGCTCCGTGGTCGGAGCGGGCGTGTAACAAATCGAGTGAACCTCGCGGGATGCTGGTTTCGGGCTTCTGGGTACCTTCAATTTCTAGCACGGCCTCAATTTCTGAGAGGCTTTGCTTAGAAGGCTGTAGGGGCAATTTATCGTCTTCCTTCACTTCAGACTTGTTGGGTGATTCCTTTTCAGAGACATTTGGAACAACGATGTAGCTGCCATCTGAGTGTATGTCAAGAGTTGTTGGTTTGGCTTCAACATCGCTGGTGTTTTGCAAATCCTTCGAGAATTCTTTAGGTAGGAGCAATGCATCTTTTGCCTGCGCGCCGTAGGTGTCATGCAGTGCAGCAGTTGTCGCTGAGCGAGAGTTGTAATCTTTTTTCACCGGATCACTTGTTCGAGGCGCTGATGGCTTGACCGTAGAAGGCCTAGCCTCAACCACAGGTGGGAGATGGTCTTTGAAAACTGCGTTGCTGCGTTTTGGAAGTAATTTGCGATTGTTGGCCGAGTGATATGATGAGGTGATATCAGTGAATACCTGCTTGGAAACATTGTCACTGTTGCGGGAATTGTTATTGTGCGGAATTGCCTTGACACCAGTAACAGACATAGGCCGCTGGGCAGGCTGTGACAGGGCTAGAGACATTTTGTCCTGGGCAGTTATTCCCGGCTTGCTAAGCGGAATGTTCTTGCCAGCGAGATGAATATCATCCTTGCTAGCTCGTGTATTGCTAACATCCCCAAAAGCTGTACGTTTTGCGGTATTTCTCAGCCCTCCATTCTGCATAATAGTGGACAAAGCAGGCGTCGACTTGTTTCGCTGGTGGATCGTCATGTTGGGGAGAACACCAACAAGTGCGTTCTCATCCCCTCGAACACGAATTCGTTGCGGCTAGTTAAAAATCATTGTTAGCAATGGTTCAAGCCCAGGTCAACACGTAGATACTACGTATCGTATTAATCAACGGTGAAGCTGGCTCGCCTACGACACCAAACTCAGGAAGGGATGAAATTGCGCGAGGAAAGAGTAAAAATTTGAAGCTTAGAACCTAATCAACATCACTTACTCTTGCATCCATCGTCGTCAGCTGCCAGAATACAGTCAATGTACGTGTCGTGGTGGATGGCTGTTCACTGGTGTTTCGTCCCGTCTAGCAAGGACGATGAAATTGCCTTTCGACAAAGCCTCAAGAACGAGGAATCCAAAGGCAGGTTAGAAATCAGGGGCCATGAGATGAAGGGCGGAGACAGAAAATCGAGGCGGCCGGGCGGCCAGGGATCAAAAAAGAACGGGCGTGATCCAAAGAGGCACCGCAGAGGGCGGTTCACGGCAGTATGTTTGTTGTTGTTGTTGTTCACGGGTTGCTTAGATGGATGTGAGTGGGCAACAGCGGCATAAGAAAGCATGTATAGCCAATCAGCAGCCCGAGTTTGCACCCCACAGCAGCACAGCGACACTGCAATAGGAAACGATAAGAGGTCTTCTGTGTCAGCATACAACAATCATAGGCTATAATTATTATTCTTGCTTCACAAGGATGATGTTGCTGAGGCAGATGAGGCCTAAGTTTGGCTGTTTCTCTGTTTGTCTTGGCGTTGCTTGTTGACATCAACAAAGCTAGAGCGCTCTGGGTCTAGTGGGCCTGGCTGACATAAGCCCACATTTGGCATGTTTGCACCTGGGCAGGCGGCATGACATCATCTGTCGCGTTCCGCCAGGAGAGCCGGATAAACAGAATGGGCTCGTAGCTGCACAACCGGCTGGCTGATGCGGGCAAAAAATTTCTCGAGGATGAAATGAGTCCATGCGACAGTTCCGACACCAGGTCGATGCATGCGCGACCATTGGTAGGGCTGAAATGATCCTGGATAAGCGCCGCCCGATGCGACGCGCTTGCCGGACCGGCCCGTCACGACGGCTGCGCGCAGTCACGTGACGGCACAGTCACCGTTTGGGCCCGAAGTCGCCTCATGTTTGAAGAACGCAAGTGCTCACGGAACAGACGGCGCATCGACGTACGTCCTCCTTGCCATGCGGTCGCGGTCACAGTAGCAGTCACATCCCACCTGGTGCCTGGCCGCGGTGGGATTGACGTGGTCCTGGTAAGGCGAACCCGCTGCCAATCATCCAGTCGTCCATCGAGTGCCGACGTTGCGAGTCAAAGCCACACCCCAATGTAATAATGCCAGAACTTAACCGATCGTCCGCCCCGGAACCAGCGGTGTCCATGAAAGCCGAATCCACTTAATGGCCAAATCGACAAGCCCCAAATTTCGCCCAGCCTTCTGCCGCGTCTGGTCGCAAGCCAAAATTCATTAGCCAAGCAGGCCTGCCAGTCTCGTAGTGGGAGAAACCTGGATCGCCAGTTCCTGGTCAGGAAGATTAGGTGAGTGATCTGGGCTGGCATAGCGCGAACGGTGGACGAACAGCTAATAGCATCGCAGATGCGCCAGTTTGCGCTTTGCCAGACATTTCCCCGAGCGCGCTCTTCTTCAGAGCCTGCTGGCTGTTTCGAAATTCGAGTGAAGGTGTACGATTACACAATATCTCATGGCCAGCTTGAACATAACGTAGTGCCAAGTCCGTCGCATCGCCTTGTGCTCCGGCACCCTGGAGACAGGCTCTCCTGTTGCATTTTTGTGACAAGTTAGAATTCCCGTAACATAGAGGAAACATCCAATTCTTCCCATGCGACCTTCAGAAATAGCATATACGACTGGAGTTGTTGCGGTAATCGGTTCAACCTTTCCCGGACCTCCCGCTATGTGTAACGTCTTTGCGCAATCTTGCGCCATATGCGAATTTCTATATCCAAATGTCAAAATATAATGTATTTTCTTCTTATGCTAGTATAGTGCTGAAATGCGATCCATTCTCTACGCAGTCTATGTAAAGCGACAGGCGGACCGATGAATAAGAGTCATCGCTCCAACAATTCCGCATCTTGGAGGGGTCGTCACGGCGCCATCTTGAAACAAAAACGCCCCATAAGATCTCCATCATAAATCCATAGCATTGCTGCAAAACACTGTTATTGTGAAAACGTGTATCTCGGTGCTAGAATGTCACCGTATACATGTATTTCACCTTTTCAGCAGGGCCAGGCACCTAACCGAAATGCATGGTATCGTTTATACAGCCGCAAAATGCGCTCAAGCTACCGCATCACGCTGGCAAGATAAAATGCCCCACGTCTCTTCTCTACTCGGAATTTAAAAGATCAGAACCAAGCGCATGAGGGAGCCAGTCAAATGCGTCATTGACTCGCCCCCGTTTTTGGCAGAGTGTTTGTAGCGCAGGTCGAATTCAACCAGAGCAAATCACCTGAGCGCAGTCATCTGGACTAATTTGCCAATGGTTGGATAGCAATGTCCGTCGTTCTGACTGGCGGGCTCCAGTGCGACTGGGTTTGGAGCAGACTAAGCCAATCCACGATTACAACAACAATAGAAGGGCCGCGAATCCGAAAAGCAATCTAGCATGTTCCCCAAGGTATCTTCAGCGCTGCCTGCCGGTGCTTGCGCCGAGCCATCGGTACATGTAGAGCAGCGCCAGCCGCAGGGCCTTGTCGGGGGCCTTGAGGCAACTCGTTAGTCTTTGTTGCATCTACAAAATATAACAGCGTGCAAGTCATTCCCTTATTTGGATGCTTGACTGACTTGGGCCTCGTGTGCGCGCATTGTTCAGAAACAGATGCGATTCCGAGGCCTGGCAGAACAGTCAGTAACTTCACTAGAGGCATCGGTTGCGCAACACAGCACAGCAAAAAATGCGGCCGTCGAATAGAAAAATCAGGTCAATATCAATTCGCAGTGTAAAAAGCGCACGTAGAAATAGCAGCGTCAACAGTAGATAATATTAATTAGATCGCAGTAGATGGCGGTGGGTTCACCCGGCGGCCAGCATGACCCAGCAGCCCAGGTCCAGGCCGCTTTTCGCTTCAGGTGAAACCTCTCGCTCTCTCGCACCCACCCGGTTCCCCAACTCCTCCTCTTTCCCAAGAACTCGACTCCTTCCCCCTCGCCAACCCAGTGCTTCGTTTCGTGCTTTGCGAAAGAAGGTGAGTAGACCATCTGCTGCCACTGTGCCTCTTGTTAGCCTCTATCGCCAGGCCCAATCCCAGCCAGCTGCACTAGTCCCAGCATGATACCATCGCTAACATGCAGTCTTGCACCCTAGGCAGCGCATCGCCCACATCGACTCCCCTCTCGCCCAACATCGCTGGACTATAATCGTCTTGCCTGCTCGCCTGTGCCAAAGCGACTGCAATCAGCTGCAATTTGGCCACAAATAGGTATGTTGTTCTCTCATCCTGCCCTATCCGACCATGATCACACACCATGTCAGACCGCTTCACTCGCAGACCACCTTTCTGAATTTCCCCATCATCAGCAACCCTCTAGTCCAGTCTACAAATGAAACCTAAATACATGCTTTGAGCCCTATTCAGACTAACATTGATGTGCGACGCTAGTTGTGTGTCCTCACTTCTCGAGCAAATTCTCGGACGTTCCCACTCTCACACCCACACACCCTGTGGATTCCCATCGTTGACCCAACGCTTTGCATCGCCCCCCAATCCTCGCATCAATAACTCTACGATCCTTTCCAAGACCAACTGCCTGCTATTATCTGATCGGTTCGTCGCATTCCGCGAGAAAGCCCTCCTCGAGGCTCGACTCTCGCAGCTTACATAAAGGCAAGGCGCTCTAGGCGCCCTGAGCCTGCGACACAACCTTGTCGCCATCAAACGATGAATACTATAAGAAATACAGACCACCAAGCTGCAGAAGGCCTGGCTAGCTTGTCGAAAAACTACGGTGACATGGACCCCTACCAAAGCGATGTCATGTCTCAGCAGGCATCCCCAGGTCAACCTGCGCCCAAGAACGTCTCGTTCGAGCTTCTTCTAGATGAGAACTCGAAAGTCCGGGCTCGCATTCCTATGCGAGTGCAAATCTTTACTCATGACACAACTGACTCGATTGTGACTACCGTCAAAAATTTCTACGGCATCTACGATGGCGTCGCTAGTGGGGTTAGTTTCGAAGATGAGCACGGTACTACGCTTATTGCGAGGTACGAAAATCTTAGGAATAACATGACGGTGTATGTGCGGGTAATTCCCGTACATACTTATTCCAATAGCTACGAACAACACTATTATGAAGTTGCTCCACTGGACACTCGCAAGCGCCCTAGCCTTGAGGAGCCATTTCAGATGGCACCACCTTCACAAGCTGCTCAGGCTCCTGAGTACGTCAGACCGCCTTCTCGTCCTCTATCACGCACTCACAGAACGAGCATCTCCCCGTCCGGTAGAGGTCGTCGAAGTGCTTCACAGCACAAAGGGCCCTCAAGGACCGGGAACAAGAGTAGAGGGTCCAGTGCTCATGGTAGCTTTGTCGAAGAGCCTCTTGCTGGATATAGTGACAGCGAAGGTGGGCATGGCTCAATTAGTGGTTCTAGAAAAGCTAGGAGCGAACAGTTTGCCAGCTCCGAAATTAGCATGGAGAACATTGTCCAGGAAAGTCGTCGCAAGAAGCCCAAGTTCGAAAGTTCGGTATGCATGCTTAACCTCCCTTTATCTTTATATCTTCTGTCATCTAATCTTCTCCTTCTATAGGAATTGCCACTTTTTGCGCCTCCTCAAGTGCCTTTGACAACCTCCACGTCCTCAATATCCCCTCAACGACGATCGACTGGGCAAGACGGTGAACCGTCTCCCTTCGCTCGGCCTGTTCAGCGTCCATTTAACAACAGACACCCATTGCCCTCACCTCAGAGCTATGGATATAATGAAAATGCGTATGGAAGCAGTTCAACCAAGAGCTCTGTCTATTCCACTCCAATCTTTCCAGAACATGGACATCGACTGCGTCCCTCTGGCGGGCCCTACTCGGGCTCTGGCAATCACCAAACGGTTCCCGGCATTCTACCAACACCCGATCCTACTATCGCCAGTTGCATCTCTGACGAAGATGTGGCCATGCAGCTGATTCGTCTTGGCGATGCATCCAACTTTTCCCATGGTCGCAACTCGACATCGACCTTGGATGATGCCTTCAGCGGCGCCGCAGATGCTTCCTCGACGGGGGCCACAAGCGATGGAGAGTTCAGCGAGAATGAAGATGAGGATGAACTGCCTGCCCGATCGAGGCAGCGCCTCGAGTCAAGTCCAATCCTGCCTCCTGGACACATCAAACAACACCACAAACAATTGGATGATATTTTACCCAGCTATGACAGCACAGAACCTAGTGGAGATGAATATGACAACGAACCCCACTACGGTAGCCATGTGAAAGACGAATATGTTGATGAGAATATCGACGAACTTGGTGCACCTCGTGCCAAAAAGCAAAAGACAAAGTCAAATGGCTTTTTGTCCAGCAAGAGCCGCATGCAGAAACCCAATTCCTCACGAAATGGCAAAACTGTCAAGAGCCGGAATGGTGCTATGTCTCGCAAGTCCAAGTCGGGTCTATCGACATCAATCGAACCAAAGACAGAGACAATTGTCCAAGCATTAAGCCCTACTCCGTCTCGAAAGATATCAGGGTCTGCTGCTAACTTCCAGCATCCACTTGCTGCCGATGAAGAAGACCTTTCTACCAAGCCTCGTTGTCAGCGATGCCGTAAGAGCAAGAAGGGCTGCGATCGTCAACGCCCCTGTGGCAGGTGCAAGGATGCCGGGATTGGCCTTGATGGTTGTATCAGCGAGGACGAGGGCAATGGGCGCAAGGGTCGCTATGGACGCCATATGGGTGTTCCTGTCAAAAAGGTGCTCGAGCCAATGGCAACAAGTGAAGTCGCTGACATCCCATTCTCGGCACCTATTATCAGCCCGCCGCCCACGAGTCTGGCAGATAAGAATAAGAAGCGTAAACGCTAATATTCTGACTTATGCGGAGTCTGGCTGGACTTGCAATACATAATAGTCATATACTATACCGATACAAGTATCGTGAAAGTCGATCGATTGATTATCTGAGCCTAGCGCTCGTCTATGATCTCGGCGTAGGCTCACATACAGATTGCTGTCTCCTCTTAAAGGAGAGTTTCCCTCGATTTGTCCACTCTTCATACTATCCACTTGCTATAATTCAGTTGCGATATTTACACAGTTAATGACGCTTTCATTTTTCAGCACTCTGGGATTAATCCCCGCCGCATTCGCTTAACGATTTTCTCATATTTTCATCCCGAAACGAATCCGCTCATTCAGTCTAGTCGGCCATAATGCGCCTTTCATATTGCTGCCACAACATTGCAACTCGATATATTTATTTCTTTATGGATATTTCAGTCAACAAATCCTCTTGTTTGAATATCTATGTTGGCGTTTCTCTTTCTTGACATGCTATTACTTGTCTACTTCTCGTGTTGATCTTGGTAGCCTTTGTGATCTTTCTCTGTTATTATCAGCTTTCAAGTGTCACTCCTTTTTCTTCCTGGTGTATGTGACTCGCATCTCGGTGGTAGGCCAGGTAGTGTCTACTGGGTGGAGACTAATGAGGGAAGGAAAAGTTACATAGTCATTTTTATTCAATATTGTCTTCTTGTTTTATATGACTAGCTAAGCGTGAGGTCTTCACATTTTCGAGTCTGTTCGATCGTCACAGGTAGTTTTAGTTTTCTTAACGAATGAATGGTTTCAATTACACATGTAGCCTCAACTCACAGCATTTATTTTTACGGTAGTTGATATCTTGTATACAAGATGTGTAAACGTGCAGATATTGACCATTTCAAAAGTTACAAATTGATGTGGTAGATTTCATAGTACGAACCCAATGGAATGTATCGCATGCCAAGACCGGTTGACACCTTAACAACGCGGCAACGAGTCCAGTCCAAAGTAGGACTAGTGGTAGATAAGATCCCTATCGCAAGCCGCATTTTTCTTTTTTCGTGAGGCACACACCACCACTTATTGGCCTCGACTCACAGCTATAAGCCTAGAAGGGCTCCCGTCTCTGCTCTTTTCAAGTTACCAGATGAGCTTACCCCCCCTGACTTAAATGTATTAGCCTCTTTGGATGCTTCTATCCCGTTTCCTGATGGTTAATTAAGTTAAGCTTCCAAGTCCAGCCCTTTCTGATCGATGGCAACGCCCGCATAGTGTCCTACTACCACACCTCCCGCAATCGCACGTCGATCAGCATGCCTCCTAAAGCAGCTCCATCGGCCTCTCGCTCGACGAGGAAAACTGCGACCTCATCGGCGCAGAACGACGAGCAAAATGCAGCATCCCAACCCGCTACAGACAATACACCATCAAATCCGCTCTCTGGACGACCCCCGGTCCAGCGCCTCCAGTCATTAAACAAACGCACGCCAGGTGGTAGCATTAGCAATAGAGCTTCTATTGGTCTCGGTGATCCCAGTCAATCAAAGCCGGAATTAAAATACAAACCTCGTGCTGCGAATCGCCGTACGAAAGAAGCGCGGGATGCTATACTAAAATTAGAGGAGGAGAGACAACGCCAGAGATTAGCAGATGCGGCAGAAATCCAAAGATCCCGAATGCCTAGGGCTCCGAGGGCGAGGGGTGGCTTCCGAGGTCGTGGAGGGTCGTTTATGCAAACAAGTGGCCCGATGAGTATGGGAGCGGCCAAGCGCGGTCGTGGCGGTCGATTCGAAGTAGATTCGCATGTGTCCTCAGTATCCAGACGCAGTATGTCTGGGTTACCTGGAACAACGGGTGGTGATCCGGATCTAGGTTACTCCTCAGACGAAGATGAACATGCTGCTCGAGTCAGCATCGATCAGATCAACTTAGACGACGACGATTTAAAAGATGGAGATGACATTGTTGTGGATAAGAAGGGTAAAAAGGCTGTCAAATCCTCACATATGTCCACCATCAGAGTTCCACTGCCTGTGCGAGTCCCTCGACATGAACACGAAGAGCGAGTGGTCGGTGTGAACACAGAAGCGAGCTCGAGTACGTCGGCAGAGTTGCGACGCCAAGCGAAGGAAAAGGCCAATACGGATGGTAGTCTTTTTGTTGACGAAGCTCCCGGGGCTGTAGAAAAACCTGAAGATGACAATATCAAGCCAGAACCGACAGACGGTGATGTATCTATGACTGATGTGCCACATGTCGGTGCAGAGACTGCGGACGAGGATGAAACGCCCCTTCCTATGCAGATCGCCAAAGCTCGGAAGAAGGTCACAGTCAAAGATCCTCGAGGTTTACTACGAACAAGGGAGGACATAGAGGAGTTTGATCGGCATAATGAGGACCTTAGGGTAATGAAGGGTCTTCTGACGCTAGAGGGAGAGACAACTTCCGAAAAGAAGAAAAGCGAAACTGAAGGCGTTGAAACTAACGGCGCTCAAGATCCAAAGGAATCACTTGAAGAAGAGGAGCCGTCTATGGAAAAAAACGCTGGAGAATTATTCCTGATACAATTCCCTCCATTGACACCGAATCTAGTTGTACCTGGCACGGGAGAGCCCGTTGGATCAGGAAACCAACCCGGTATTGACGACGACGACGTCGCCTTCACGCACTCCAATGCCACCCTAGGGGAACCCGAAGTAAAGAGAGAGGATGGAGACGAACCCACCAGGGTTAGTTTCGCAGCGACGGCATCGAATCCACTTGTAACTGCGACAGAGCGGGCCCTTCCAGCCGGGCGCGTGGGACGTCTCAATCTTCACAAGTCGGGCAGAGTAACATTGGACTGGGGGGGCATCAGCTTTGAGTTAGACAAGGGAGCCGATGTCAACTTTGTACAGGAGGCATTGATTGCCTCGAAGTCTCCCGAAGTGTCTGGAGAGAAAGACAATACTGAGGAAAAATGTGTATGGGCCATGGGACAACTGAGTGGTAAATTTGTTGCCAGTCCTGAGTGGAATTCATTACTATGATTTATCTACGCGCCAATTGATAAGACATATTTCATATCGACGTGAATCGCACACTACCACACCTGTATAGACTAGGATCCAAATCAGCAATCTCGATGCCAGACGAAATCTTTTAGGAACAAAACCGCTTTGACTGATACAAGTATTATATTCATATTTCTTTCCGATATACAAACATGCCATTATATGAAAATGGCCAATGAGCTCGTCTGCATTTGTCCAGTTCACGATGTTCTCCACATCTTACACTTCTGCAAAGCCTGATAACTAGCGTCTATAACCATTCCCACTGGTCCCTGACGTCCACTAGAGTCAGGCCATCCAATGGCACTCTATACTTATGCAATAGCTCCCACTATAAGTGGGGCTTAGTGGAGACGACCCGCCATTTCCGCAGCTTAGACCACTTAAGCCTGTTTTAAGGCTTTAGGCAGTACGCAGCCGGGAATTGCATGACGTCGGTCTGCGCGTGTCACCATAAGAAAAACAAGAGCTCGGTATTAATTTAAATTTAGAAGTAGGATGAGGATAAATAGTTTTCCCAGCCCTACAGATAATAGGTGTACAGCAAACGAAATCGTGCCGACGGAGAAGAGAGCCGCGTTGCAACCAGACAGGACCTGCTAGCCAATCTACCAGAGAAGAATCGATATTCGATATTGGCATGCACAGAACCTGGAATCAAATGGAGCCTCTGACCTGTGAAAAGCGCTCTCGAAGCGCCACTCTCCTCATCCTCCCATATCGACCGCAATTCTGTATAAAAATCTGGAAATTGCTGCAAGCAGCGGGTATCGGCCAGCCGCCTGTCAGTGGTCTAGACAGCCGGATAAGCTTTGGCGGCCCCCACAGCTTCCGCCACTATTGGCCTACTGCAGAAAATGGCGCGCCGTGCACGAGCCGCCTTACGCAAAGTGGAAAGCTACCCGCCGCAACAGGGAAAAACCCGTCGCTCAATAATTTCCGCGTTTTTCATTTGCTACGGCACCCATAGCTTGCAACCTGTAACAGGTCAACCGTTCACCACCCCCAAGCTCCTCTTCTCCTGCTGCTGCAGGTACCTTCCTCTTTTTCACCACCTCCAGCTCCCCTTTACTGAAGGCCTCCCATTCAATCGCTTGGATGCGCCTGCGCCGCAGTGCGACTCTCGTCCAACATTCGGCCGCAATTATCTCCTGACCGTGTACCTGCTTTCCATTGCTGGTCCGAGAAAGACAACGCCGATCAAGCTTCCGCATTCTGCCGCCGAAAGTTTCTTATTATTGCGCATACCATCCATCAGAAGGCATCAATTCCGGAGCCAAAATTTGGATGTGAAGAAAGTACTATATAATTGTCAAAGAAATTATTCCCGTCGTGTCCCAGGACCCTGCTACCTCTGTCGTTGAGAAATCTCTTCCGGTGTATATATCGTGTCGCGAGCTAGATTGCGAAGGAATTTGTACAGATCGTCCTTATCCCGCCTTGTATGGGGCGATAAAAGCCGGCACAATGAGATTATCCATCACAATTGTGCTTCTGCTGCTGTCGGCTGTCGTGGTTCTCGCGGGTCGTCCCTCAAAGAGCGAATCGGGCTGCCACGCATTGAGAACAGGCTCAGCCATCGCGAACTCTCTATGCTTATATGAAGAGTCGTCTGACCCTCATCAAGCGGTTTACGACACAAACCCTATCGTCGCATTAGCAGACTCGGCCCAAACAGAGGCCGACGACTCTCTCTACATACAGGCTATTGAGCCCGCGCAATCTCCATGGCTGGCAGCTGCAACAAACGACGGGACAGGATTAGAGCCTTTGAAAGATAAGATCGGCGCCACGCTGACTATTCGCTCTCGTCTTAAAGCACGGAGTGAGGGTGCATTGGGCAAGACGCCATGGATCGGCATGGCCATGGGGCTGATGTGTACAACATTGGCTGCAGTGGTGCTAGGATGACTTGATACTTTTTTTTCTATATAGACAAGCGTCGGCTACTTTCCCGGGCTTGGTCCACGTCACTTGGACATGGATGATTATACACTATTGCATACAGGTGTCTCGAGTTGCGGAGTTATACATTTATCGGGGCGTCGGCTGTACATTATTTCGATTCTTCCTGGATATTTAATCCCTACATATCACTACCTGGTTTGGGCACTGTTGTATGTTATCTAGTTATCTACTCATGACACTGGCTGTCGTTTACATACGCTCGAATAAGCTTCAATCTATTAACTGAGGTCCGATCTGCATGTATAGCTGGTTAATTCTAGTTAATTCTATCAGCATAGAATATTCGTCTTAGTAGCCACTCATGCTGTGCAAATACCTGGTGTTGTATGCTAGTTTTCTGCTTATCCCCTGGTCTTTCAATGTTGGTTCTGAGCGAGGCTGGCGGTCTTGTGCTGTGAGAGGATTGACATAGCCTTGAATTCGCCATTATATGATGCATATCGAGAGATGGCCCTGTATTTTATTATAATATTGAATAAACACCATATACGTCGTGTATGTGCAAATTAATTAGCATCTAGGAATAAATTATAACAATAGAATCTGACCCCAGATTTGGCCCCACTAGGAGGAAAGTAAGATCGGTCTGCTCGGAAGGATCGAGTTACGCCCGACTAGTCACTCGTTTCTCTGCTTTCTCTTTGTTTAGGATGCTTTTTTCAACAATGAATGCAGTAAGAGACTTTATGCTATCAAATTCTGCCTCTTATCCTTATCATCCTTTCATCCACCACCATCCTCATCCTCATCCTCATCCTCATCCTCATTCTACCCAGGTCACAACACTCGATACGCAGCCATCGTGACTGGTAACATCATGAGCAAAGGCAACGCCAAGTACGACCACCCTCCATACACCCCGATGCCCTCGCTAGGCCATGAACTAGGCATCATGTTTGGCTTTCTGGCCGCATGCGTGCTGACTGTCGGCGTATACTACATTTTCTGGCAAGGTACGCCAAACATCATTTATAACACAAGGATATGGAAGTTAATCATATACTAAACCCGTCCAGCCTCGCAACAACGCGCCGCTGCTCGCGACGATGCCCGGCGTAAAGACCTGCGTGCCCGCGGCTTCCATCACGAACGAGGCGGATACCACGACAAAGCGCTGGGGCGATATGCGAGCCGGGACCCGGTTGCGCAGACCCAGGGACAAACGCTGCAGTTCTTGACTGAGCCGGGTCAACTGGATGGTAATCATAAACTCGCAGGCCCTGGCGTGGATTCTGTCGCCCACGAAGCGATTATATTGCGTGCCGAGACGTGCAGTTCAAGAGGGGGGAGGGTGGATGCTTCCTCATCGCCGTCTTTTGAGGGTCAGGAAATGCAGACATTTTCGACGGATGGCGAGGCAAGCTCGAGGAGTTTGTCGGCTGTGCATATGCACAGGGCGAGGGATTTGTTTTGACTGTGTTCACTCCAATTGCTCTCTTTACGATGACATGAAGATACCACCCCTGCGCTCATGATTTACGCATAACTATCATATCAATCAACAAATCATCAAATGTTCATTAGGGTATCTTGCAGCTATATCTATATACTGTATTATGTAAAAGCAAAGGGAAGTATCATGTACAGATCGGAGTATCAAACCCTCGACCCCATCTCACACTCCCCATGAGAACAACCAGCAATCCAAATCCAACAGCCATGCTGGCTCCTCCATACTGATACGCAAATCTCCTTCTGCCCAGACTTGTCAACTCGGCAACCCACGTGCTCACTGTCGTAGCACAGCCGCAAAAGCCATCCATAACACCTTGTAACACCTGACAGCTGACCAATATCGACGAGAGGGGGTCCTCACCGCCAAACAGTGATCTATTCGTTCCACTGGGAGAAACCGCCCATCCCGTACGAGACTCTGCCCCAATTCCTGCAACGTGCTGCAAGTCATAGCACATGCCCAGGATGCCCGTGCCAATAATATTCACCGCAAATGTGCCCAATGGGAAGTACGCGATGCGTGGGTTTAATATCAGAGATAGGTAGAAGCGCAGCAAACAACCAAGCGGCGCGAAAACAATCGCAAAGACCACCTCACCACGCCATGCATTCTTCGGTGGCCATATGCTCATGAAAACCGCCCCAACCCAGCATCCCCAACCCAGCAGCACAACGACGCGATCGAGGATATTCCTGGTGAAGTGAAATGGGACGATAGGGATTAATGGGTCCAGAGCGAGAGCCAGGTGCGCGCCGAGGTATAGTGCAGATATACTCAGACACACAGTTAAGGTCAGAACAGCGACAACCGCCATAAAACTGTCTCCTCGGTTCCTGTCTAGCCTACTCCCGGAAGAAGGGTCAGGCAAATCATTTGACAACGCCAGAAATGCATCCCTCATGAAGCTCGAGAAACTCGTAAACGAGCCGCAGAATCCCGTCGTTAGCCCAATATATAAAGGTATTGATTTTTTTACGTCTTTGTGTTTTTTAAGCCATCCTCCCTGGTCTGAAGATTGTGTTCCAGTACGTGGTGGATGTCCCCATTCCTCGCGAAAAAGGTTTCGATCTTCAATAAAAAATCCCATCAAAAGGCAGCCGCCAAAATTAGCCCATAGTACGCCGGTAACGATAGGAGCTCCAGGATAAAATGTCAGCGCCTGTAGCCCAAGACGCGCGAGGGTACCAAAGATAGCGAAGAAAATGAGGTAGGAGATTGTGTAGAGTTTTGTCGCAAAGGAAGATAACGGTAGGAGCTCGGAGGGCGGTCTCGCTTGAGAAGGTAGCTGCTCGCGGCGTGTCGTAGTAGGCTCTCGAGTCGCTGGGGGTTCAGACACGAGCTCTGCAAGTGGAAGCGATTCGTCACCTTGTCGCTTGTCACGATCACGGTCTGGCTGATAGAGCGGTGCACCATCCGGTTGTCGTTGCGCGTCGGTAGGGGGATCAACAGGGCGTTGTGCTATCACTTCTGAGAGGGGCGCGACTGCATGCTCTTCGTCAACTTTCTCTGCTGTTTCATTTACTGTTTCTTGCGGCATTTGTAGCGAGCGATTCAGCATTTGCAGGACCTTGGTGTGGTACTACTGTTCCTCGGCGATTGCAGCAGTGCAGTTCAAATTTTAGCGCATTTCAGGTGTAGCACGGTTTGGTGGCATTGATAAATATGTGTATCACAATGTGGCCTTGACTAGACAAGAGCAATAGACAGGTCACAAGCAACACGCGAAGCTGGTAGTGGGAAGTATCAAAGCCGTGAAAGACGAGCAGTTCAGGTGGACCCGCTCTTGATCGACCCGATTCTAGCCTCTCCACTTGTCCATCTTGTATCAATCAACTTTGCCACAGATTTACATAGCCTACATAGTATTTGTTACGGCTACATTAAAAGCAGTTCCATCCCCAATTGTTTTTATTGTCAAGTGAACAAATATAGTACAGTGACTATCGCAAACTCGCAAACAAAAATCAGAAATTCAAAACAGACAGATAACAGCAACAAAATTCGCGCATAACATTCAACGCAATGCACAAGAAAAGCATGCAGGAAGCTGAGAGGAGACGAGTGTCCGGATTATCGAAAATCCAAAGCATTGTATGATAAAATGAAAATCTAACGATGCAAAGGAAAAAAAAAAAACCAAGCAAAGGAGCATCAAAGTCAAGCCAACAGTCCAGGAGACCGATAATCAACGAGCGATAAGAACAATTAATATGTAGTGCGACATACGCACAAAACAAGGTATCAAAGGGCCAAAGGTCTGTCCAAAGACATGCAAAGAAAAGGAGTAGGGTTAAGAACAATATTAAATGGCAAAGCCAGAATCGAAGAAACACACAGGACCAGCCGAGTGTAGACACATTGCCTTCGCTAACCATCAAAAACCGAGAAGACGCACTGACCGGACTCCTGTGAGCTCTCAAAAAACACACCCAAACCAAATGCAAACAGAATGCAATCACAAAGAAAAAGATATTCAAAGGAAGCTACCAGCAAGAGGTCCAACAGCACCAAATACAATGACACCATGCCACCCCTTGCCAGCCTTCCCAACCGTATTTCCACTTCCTGCCGGTGACCCAATATGAAACCAAATACCTAAACGAGAGTAACGAACCGGAATGCAAAAAAATTTCAAGGCTTGTGTCATTGGTGGTGGAGGCTACGTCGTATTCGGATTTCTCCACGCGCAACCAGGACCCCAAGACTAAATGAGTGACGAGAACATTATAATCGATAATGATCAATAGGTAGATTGCAGAATGAAAACAAAATAGTTTCATCACAAAGGCGAATCCTAGTAGGCGGTGCCGACACTTGCAAGACTTTTGGTTGGCATCGGGTGAAGAGGCTGGTCTTTGGCTACCTGCAGAGAGTCCTCGTAGCCCACCAAAGCCTGCGAGTGAAGCTTGAAAGATTCGCCCATGAGTTTGGTTATTCTGGTAGAGGTTAGCATTCTGAAATCTGACCTGAAAAGAGAAAAAAGCTTACCCCCAAACAACGACACCGTCGAGAATATTACCCCAAACACGAGAGACGGTTGAGCTCAGTTTACCAAAAGCATCGATTGCGTCGTCGTCAAAGAGGTTGCGCACCTTGCTGTAAATTGCAATTTCGGCTTCAGTGGCTGGCTCCTCGTCATGTTCCAGGCGATAGAGCCATAAGCTGAGAATAACCATTAGGTCAAGGCCGCACAGTGGGTGCTCGACGCTCCAGTTGGTGGCAGAAGTTTTGGCAACCCAATTGATTCCTTGAACGGCAGCAATCTCAATGCATTCAAAGCACTGTTGGATGACCTTGTTCATCTCTGGAGAGCGCTTCACCTTGTCGCGTGCAACAGTCATGGCGGCAGCTACTTCGTAGGAGGAATGGTAGCGGAGAGCCTCTTGAACGGACTTGAGATCAACTTCCAACCGAGCGCGTGTGTTGCGGTAGATAGCCATGGAGTTGAAAATCAAAGGGTGGCCCTTCTGAGGAGTACTCAAGGGAACCACAATAGTTTCTGCTTCACACAATTCAAGAGAATTTTCCCATGTCTCTAGCGCGAGTCGAAGCTTGTACTCTGTCACGACGTCCTGGAGAGCCTCAAAGCTGCGTTTGTGGCTCCAAACTTGAAGGAACAGCGCATTAATCATGACGCGAGTAGCAAAGGCGCTGTACCGGGTCTGTTCACCCTGGAATAAACGATCATGGGCCTCACGAATATTGACCGGAATGACAGCACTGAGCGTTTGGCGCCAGGACTCCTCATCAGTCACGTCCATATTCCACAAAGACTCCGACGAAGGCAACTCCAAGCTGTCCAATTCGTCAAAGCTCATGGCAGGGGTGTGGTTGAAAGTCAAAGTGAGCATGCCGAAGAAGATATAAACAGCATAGTATGTTCTGCGGCACGACTCGTCTTCAATCCACTGTTCACGACTAGGGTGTCGGCCTTCACGAGCCTCGGTGCGAAGCTTTAACTGATAACGATTGCCAGCGACCATCTACAAAATTAGTATTAACTTCATCAGAAACAAGACTACTGACGACTTACATTAGCCAGCAGACTCTTGATCGAGCAGGTCCATTCCAAGCCCTTGGGATCACCACTCCAACTCTCGAAAACCATGTTCAGTAACGTACTTTGCATGGCCCATAAGGGACATTTTCGCGAGTCGAAGTTATCCTTCTGTTGCAAGAACTGGTTGACAAGGACTTTGGAACCGACGTGCAACATAAAGGCATGCTCCCGTTCAAATGTGTACAGAGCACCAATAGATAAGACGGCAAGCAACAACGGTGGTGAAGCTTCGGTAGGCCTGAACGATCCCTGGTGCAAGAATGGGAGATGGTGATGGTAGAGATTGAAATACGTGGACAGGTACTTGTTCAGGGCCGAGGTAGATGGGAGTTGAAAGCCCTCTGGTAAGGTTGAAAGGCCGTCGGCACTCTTGATGTTGTCCACGATACGTTGTCTCTCTATTTCGTTAGCAAGTTGAGGCGCCTTTGGTAGAGTTAGAGCCTGACTAGGCCCTGGGGACCGCCGATAGTTGACAGGGCTGACAGGGCCAGTCATAGAAGGGTAGGGCGAGAGCGCATTTGGAGTCGAGTTTCCAGATACGGGGAGTGAGTCCATGAGAGTGTGCAGAGATGGAGCGAGCGTATCTCTAGCCGACATGTGTCGATCCATCATAGACATCTGGTGGGAATGTGCGCCTCCGTCTTGTGATGTAAAACTCGACATCGGATGATGCTTGGTCTCGGTAGGCGAGAGGAGAGAATCCCATGGCATTTGCGGAAGCGTCGCGTTGCCAGACAGGTACGATGCATGCTGGTCCAGAAGAGAGCCACGGCCAGGCGAAAACGAAGGCTCCGAGCCCGTACGATCTTGGACGTGACCGGTAGCGGCTGCGGCGGCCTTGTGTTGGAAGTCTGTCATCAACATGGCTGCAGTTTCAAGATCGACCATACCGTCGCTGCTTGCCTCGATCTGCTCGAGGGTGGCTGGATCGATGGTAATGGAAGGCTTGCTGGACGACGCGGCAGGAGCAGGCGAGCTCTTCTGTACACCACCATTCCCACCACGCCTGCGGCCCTCACTAACCAAAGGAACACCTCCATCCTTTGCGTGAACGGTGCGGTCATGACGAAGGAGCAGGTCTCGGCGGACAAAGGTACTGCGACATTTCAAGCACTTGAAAGGTCGTTCTTTAGTATCTGTGGATTGTCAGCTTGTTTCCTTTCCCCTTCTTGCCTCTTCTTTTTTTCCTTGTTTCTCGGGTATTGGTTGGATGGGTTATCAGGACATACGTGATCGTTCGTGTCGGCTGCGGTGCTCACTTCGGCTGAAAGCACGATTGCAGAATTGACATTTGTATTTCTTCTCTGGCGCTGAAGTCTTCTTCGCGGGCGAGTTGGCAGCTGCGGCGGGGGCAGTAGGAGCCATTTGCACAGCGGGTGTGGAGCGGCCTTGACGTTATTCTTGTCAGATTGTTGAAGGCGACGAAGAACACGACTGGGATATGAGCCGGACGGCAGGCGCCCACCGGTTGTGTAGGAGGTTTAACGACGTTGAAGAGTCGCGTTGCTGTCTGATCATTCCTTGGGCGGGGGTGGGTAGGAGCGAACACGGACGGGTATAACGAGGAGGGAGGGGGAAGACGACGAGCCCAGCCACAGGCGGACAAACAAGAGAAAAAAAGATTAGAATAACAGGACCAGAAGCGAAGGTCGAAGCCAGAAAGCCTGCGGATAGACAGCTAACAGGGGGCAATGTGGAGGGGAGGGGTGGAGAGAGAGGGAAGGAAATAATGTTGAATTAAGAGGGAGTAATTGGGAAGATGAAGTGGGAAGGGGCAGGAGAGAAAAGAGGGAAGAACGGCGGGCGAGGAGGGGGAAGGCAGCACAGCGAGCGCGGGAATGTTCGAGGCAAGAGAGAGAGGGAGAGGACGTGGGCACAAGAGGGACGGGGCGATCGCGCGGTTAGGGCCACGACGCAGGCGTGGCTTTGTCTGTGGTTCCCCGGGGCGACCAGGAAGGGGCGCTGCTGCACGCTAAGCAGAATAATTGCGACGCATCAAGAAGAAGAGATGGAGGGAGGAGGGAAAAGGGGGGCGGCTTGCTGCCACACACCGCCCGCGAATGGGGCCACGCACTGCGCCCCACCGGCGGTGGCTGGCCACCGCGCCGGCCAATGGACACGCGTACATCCATGCGCTATCCTTCACACGGACTAGCGACACCCCTCCTGCGAGTGCCTCCACGCTACGCAGAGGGTAGCGTCATCCGCCAACTTCCAACTCCAAAACATCCCCCAGTGCGCACTACTGCTCAGTGTTCACCCCCTCCGAGACGTCGCTACGTGCTATCGTAAGTTGCGCCGCCGCCCCCCCCAGCCCACATGGCGGCCCTCGCAACCACCATCCCGGTACTACCGCGTTGCTGACCACTCCCACTCCCACTCCCACTGCCACTACGTCTCGACTTAGTCGTCTACTGACTTTACTGCTCTTTCTCTCTGCTAGACTAGCCCGTCACATGCCACCACCGAATGAGCTCATCGTGCCGGCCCAGCGAGAGAAAGGATCGAGCTGCGAGGCACAACCGCAATCTTGGATAGTCCGGATGCGGGGCCGCGCCAAACTGCCCCTCATCGGCTCATCCTGTCTGCGGCTGTCTGGCCCCTCGGTATTACGCTCAGCCCTGGTTATTTTGGAATACCCTCTATTTAAACGCGTGCCACTTTTTGTGCGAGTGGCAAGGCATCGATTCCTTTGGCTGGTGTTGACAGAATCCGGCTTTCCTCCTTCCCATCATGATATTATTCACAACCAGTCTCGATGCTTATCTGTCTAATATCATTATGATAGTGCAGCCCGGTCAGTCCGCCTCCTTGCCAGCTTGTACGACCCGGAGCAAGGGCAATACCCTCTAAGCACACCCCTTTACCAGATCCCAACCATGACTCCATGACTCCATGAATCCATTATTACGTGCCACCCGTTCATCTGGAGGCCCTTGCCCCTCCCAACCCCTCCCCCTCCCCCTCCAGGAACAGGTGACCCCTCCAAGAAAATTCAGTAGCATGTCGGTTGGTGGAAAGTCGTCATACCATGCGCGCCATCGACAAGATTGAGTAAAATCGTCCATGTCAAAGTCGTTCGGGGACCGAGCCAAAAAAAAAAAAAAAAAAATCCGATGATCCTTGCAGCGCGTCTGACAGGAATAATCGTGTCCAGCATCGACGTGTTAGTTGTTTACCACTACTATCGTGACTAAGAGTCTAAGCAAAACGGAACGGGTTCCTGCCGGCTAATGGCCCGCCGCAACCAGTCAACGCGCGCCAAATTGGCCAAATATAAGCTGTCACCGGCCACTCAGAGGTTGCACACAAACAAGGGCGGCCAATCACGGCTTGCTGCGTCATTCTCAGTAATAAGTTTTAATATTTTATTGGTTTATACCGGCTCCTCATAGGGCCTAGGCTGCTATTGAGAGAACATCCTGGCAACTGGTATCTAGACATTATTATCCGTATTTATTGGACAGGATATGCAGTGCCGGCCGTTCCTGCTGATCGAAGCCTAGACTCGCAATTTCCGAATCGACAGGCCAACCCCACTCGGCGGGTTTCTGGATGACGGCAGAAGCCGGCTTCTACTCTCAACCCGGCATTATTCTCCAAGATAGATAGGATACAAGACGGTGAGCTATCGAGACAGCATGCGGATACGTAGTACAGAATACCATGTAACTAATTAATAACTATTATAGTGTGCGATTCACCGCCTTCGCTATTCTCGCTATCTGCGTGCAAGCAGAGCGGTGAGGTCCGGAGAGCCTCTAAGATTGGCAGGCAGGACGGCAGATCGATTGGCCCAACCCCCCTCCTTTTCTGGCCGGGCTCCACTGCGGACCGGCCCTCTGAACCAGCCGTTTCGTTATCCTGAGTACAGCTTAATATCTCATTAATTCAATCTTGTATGACGAAGATGGAGAAGCATTACTATTATTAATGATGATGATGAAGACGATGATGATGATGATGATTGAGTTGATTATCACGACGATGTTCGAATGACTTGTCCGATTATTATTCCTGCAAACTCAAAGTCAATTCAATGCCACTGCGGGACCTGACCTTAGCGGTATGGCTGGCATCCCTTGCTGGTGCAACTATCTGTCTCAATTTTCGAGCTGATGGAGACCTCCCCGTATTATTGTTGATAATGTATAATTTATTATCCATCGCATCTGAGGGACGAGAAGCTGGCACCTGTCTATGTCAGGACAGCAGAGTCGGTGAAGAGCAAGCTCAGCGACATCTATTGACCGCCTCTTCGCCTGTCAGATGAAATGCCGTGCCTAATTCCACCGCATAATCAGTCGCATCTTGTTAAAAATCCATTCGTGTCTATGTTATGACTATAAGGCATTCCAATAGCCCGGGTTTTACTTAATTTCACCTGAAACCCCCCCCTCCGTGGATAAAATATCCCTGCGAGAACCATAGAACAACATAGAACGCTGATAATACTCGGCTTACCCAACGCAGCGGAAATTGTGGAATCCTCACAGGACATTGGAACAACGACCGTTTGAAACCTGAAAGTTTAACCTTGGCCTCGGGTCGTCACCATCAGGGATCTTCCGCCTATTCTATTTCTAATTCAGAAGCCACCTCCGTTAGGACACCAGGCTAGTTCGTTGGCAGGATTATTGAGGCCGCAGTGGATACCTTAGTAAAAGGGGGCAATTTCCGGCTTCCCCGACACGCTACCGATCCATCGTGGCATCGTCTATCCGACAATTGTTATTTCTTCCTTTCCCTCGCCCTGACGCTCCTGAGAAATCTCGAGAAACCAACCCTGCAATTTGCACGGTGCCGGAGAGCCGTCTTTGAGCTAAGCTCATTGATGGCATATCAACATAACGTGGAATCAACAGGTAATCGTATGATTAATATAGAGGATTATTGATAGATCGACCTGCAGTGCATCTCCTCGCATCTGCCTGCAACAGCCTCCGTCCCACGCTGATGGGTGTAGCCGCGCTCTAGACTCCTGACTCCTGAATCGTATCCCACGCGCCAGCAAGGTTTCGTCTGTTGATTCGCGACTAATTAAGTGGCTTGTTAGATGTAGTTGCGAAATGGGTGTAGGTGCAGATGATGGCTGGTTCGACGAGTTGTCGATCGTCGATATGTACTAGAATGAGAGCTCATATCTTGAGTACGCATAGATCCAAAATATCATCTCTTGTTCCTGGTCCAATATTTTGGTGCTGATAAAGTTTTGGAGGAAAAGGGATAACATAATCCCCACCCGAACGGCCACCACAACCTAGTGACCACTATGCTTCCAAAACGCGTCCCATAACAATTCCATATAAATTCAACGCGCTAATATACCACCAATTCGCAATAAAACCCAAAAAATTCGGCTGAACAAGAGGGACGAATATTATTAGCTATTTCCAATTTACAAAATAAAAAAATCCCCAATATTGGACGAGCGGCAAAGATTTACAATATTCCTCGAACAACACTGCGGCGCAGACTAGATGGCACTCAAGAAAGATCTCAAACACGAGCTAATGGATATAAATTGACTGAATTTGAAGAGTAATGCTTGTCAAATGGATATTAGATCTAGATAAACGAGGATTTCCTCCCTGGCCAACTCTTGTACAAGAAATAACTATCTTCTTTTTCAACATAGAAATCAGCAGGTTGAAGAGAGTTGGGTATACAATCTAGTTCAACATCACTCAGAGCTTAAATCATAATTTTCACGAAGATATAACTACAAGGGTACTAAATGCAAAGATCTGAAGATAATTCAAAGGTATTTTAACCACATACAGAAGCTATATTGAAATATAGCATCTTACCAAAAATATTTATAACTTTGATAAAACTATATTTACTATAGAGCTTTATACAACTGCAAAAGTTATAATTAAAAGCGATTAATATAACAGATCATATCTATTACAACCTGGTAATCGAGAATGGGTGATTGCAATTGAGGCAGTTAATTCTACTGGATAGGCTCTGCCTTCGTTCGTGATTTTCAAAGCAAAAAAATGCCTACAATATAGCTGGTTGAGACTCTTTCAGCTAATTGGAAAATCACTATTAGTGATAATGGATGGACAACAGATAAGATTGACATGGATTGGCCCATTAATCACTTCATTCCTCTTACGAATGTCTGTGCAATGGGAAGATATCGAATGCTTATTCTTGATGGCCATAGAAGTCATTTAACTGCTGAATTTGGCCATACATGCACTGAGAATTATATTATCCCAATCTATATGCCTCTGCATTCCTCTCATCTTTTGCAGCCTCTTGGTGTTAGCTATTTTGCTGTTTTAAAACAGCAATATGGACAGCTTGTTGAGCAGCGGATGAGGATTGGATTCAATCATATTGGCAAAATCGACTTTCTTACTGCATTTCCAAAGGCCCGTACGATGGCAGGTAAAGCTGACACTGTTCGGGATAGCTTTATGGCAACTAGATTAGTGCCATTTGATCCAAATCGAGTTTATCAACAGCTTACTATTCAATTGAGAACTCCAACCCCACTCCAAGTCGATCAAGCAATTCACAATCATCTTGCTTACAAACACCTCAAAGTCCACGTCAATTCAAGCGCCAATTAAGCACAATTAAAAGGCGTATAAATGAGCGCAGATCAAGCCTATTAGGGGTTATTGATCAAGCAGTTGATCGCATATCTAAAGCTTATGAAATGAGTTCAAATAAGCTTCTAATTGTACGAACAGAACTTCATGATTTACGAGCTGCAAATGAGAAAGAGAAGCAAAAACGTCGCAGATCTATGGCTCAGATATCTCATGCGCAAGACCTTACTAGAGAAGCAGCGCAGGCGCCTATACAAGGTCAAATTGAGGCATCTCAAATTGATATTACTGCTCCGGCCGAGCCTGAGCTGCCAGTCTCGCAAGCACTCGTACGCCGCCAATTTCGGTGTAGTGAGTGTAATATTCTCGGGCATAGAAGGCCTCAATGCCCTAGTCGTGCTAGTAGTTAACTTTTTGTATATAATTATTATTTCGGTCTGGAAATTGAGAATTGAAATCAATATAGAGAGCATTCTCGGGCGGAAGTGGCCACTCACTTGTGGTGGCCGTTCGGGTGTGGATTACGTTAAAAAGCGGAGTCAAAGCTTGTGAACCCTTGTGTAAACAGTTCCAAGAACTTATCAAGTTGGTATATTTAGATGCACCCAGATGGCTTTATCCAGTTTTATTGTTCAGAATTAATAATTCAGGGCATTGAAATTGCTTGTTTAATGACTATACTCACTAGTTAAACAGCTGACGTGGAGCATCGAAGTCCAAATACTATTGTAGCCTCCAGCTGTCAAGGTAGTATACTATATATCAACATTGAAATCAGCTTTGCTGTCTATTATGGACGTATGGCAAGTCATATGCGCAAATAGGCTTGTTTGTTTGATGCTCAACTTGAGAAATTCCATGCTTATGGTAGCATCAATTAAGCCAGGCATGGAGTCAAGTGTTTACATAACTAGTATATATTTAATTTAGGGAATGTCCAATCTTATATATTCCAGCAACCAATTTGGCATCTATCCATGTTCAAGATGCCTCAGCTACAGCATTGGACTAGATGAATACTAACATTTGAAATATGAAAATATACACCAGTGGCCTACCCAACAATTTAACCTCTATTTTTATTGCTCAATGTATGTCAAGTATTCAGCTGCGTGCACCTGCCTATTGTCGACATGCCGCGATACCCCATCTCTAGACTCCTCCTGACATTTGAACCTGTTGATAACTACCATTGCGTCTTTTCTTGCTTCTGCACGCTCTCTTCAGATATCGGCGCATCCTAGAATTAGTCGCTTCTCAGGAATATGGGCCGCCGTGCAACCATGGGAAGATTTTTGAAGGGTCAATCGCAAGAGACGCGAGATGGAGGAATTCTTTTGGTCTTTTGGCATGGCACCCGTATCCAGACATAATATTGATTGAACCAAAACCTACGAGGATTAAGCAAAAAGGCTTGCTATCTCACAATTGGGGTGGTCTGACTCTTGGTTTGACACGATAGGACGGTAGGGTTCACGAAAGAGTGGACTGGTCTTTACCTCCGCACCACCTTAACTATTATGGTCTCGATATCAATCAGCTAATGGCTCTAAATAGACGAGATTGTTAGTAGACCACTTCGCGTTACCTCTGATGGCTGCCTGCATGGACTCTTTTGATGACGGTAGTGGGACTCGAGAGAGGCTCACGTATATTTTTATGAATTTTACTCATCTCCATGACTCATTTCACCATATTTACCGGAGCAAGATTCTACAATATCCTGCAAATGTAGAGAGAAAATCGTGGCCAAGTCTTCTTTGTTTGAGTTGTAAAAGATATCTCAACACACTCGGTCAGGGACAAAAACTATTAAAAAAACTCTGGGATCTTGGAAGAATTCAAATTTCTATATTTTAAAGGACTAATTTATTCAGGAACCTGTTCATGTCTCTCGGCATTCCTTCATTCCGCTCACCACCTAGAGGACACAATTGCTGTTTTGCCAGAGATTGCGCATTCTCATTCGTCTGGAAACACCAGGAGATATGAAATTTTAATAAGATATAAATACAGGTATACGAAAACCCAGAAAGAACAGTACGAATGTGCTACGGCGATTGAGACACTACGTCTAGTTCTAAATTTCGCCGTCCGTTAGGATACCATGCATCTTCATTAGATAGGTGTGCAAGTTAGACCCATAGCTTCTTATGTAGAAAAGGATAGATTGCTGATGTGACCATGCCACCAACGTCCTGCCTTGACGATATACCTACCGATGACCCTCAGGGTTTATTTCTTAATTCAGAATTATATAAAACGCATATCAATGAGGAAGACATGGCCCCCCGCCCTAAGCAGGAGCAAGACGAATAGAATGATCTTATACATGCAGGGAAGGGGTGAATAATATGAGCGAAGTAGTCCTGCGCAATCCTGTATTCGTTGTCAGAGAAAACAACACAGGGCTGGAAGAGAAGTTTGCAAAAGCCTTGGAAACTGATATGGCGATAAGTTACGAAAGTGAATTTCGAGGACTCCCGGGCATGTCGATCGTATTCGAATTATACTCTGGATTGAGCGAGGCGGCTGTTAATGTTAAGGGGGTGGTAATCGGACTGGATAAACCTAACTAGCTTACCTCTGTGATAGAACAGTTCTCACACGAATCATTTTCTTTGTTCGGTCCCCTGACAATGAACTTTCAGTTTAGAAGTGTCACCGCACTATCCTCTGCAAATTCACTATATGTCGCCTCAGCTCTACTGCAGGATCTTAAAGTCAAGTTTTCTCCTTTTAATAGAAAAACCGATTATTTCCCTTTGAAATCTACTCCTATCATACAAATGAAGGTGGCGAGCAACTTCTGGATCTCGGGTTCACACCCAAGCTGGTTGGCTCTTCCGTGACAAGAAGTGAAGATAAATTCGACCTGTACAGTGTGACGACAAAAGGTCGAATAAGCAGGAAAAAGAGCACGAGTTAAACTGTTCACTTCACTATAGTTAATATCGATACATTTATTCTTCGTGTTGTACCCTTGGAATTTTTCTAGCATAACTCGTTAGGGCTTGACGAAACTGGCACCGGCTACCCCCAGTAGAGAAACATGTTCGTGCAGCAAATTCAATATCTATAGAAGCCTGTGGAATGACTTAGCATGGCACAAATGTAATTACTATGAGCCTGTGAAAGGTGATTTACTATGAGGCTTTTACCAAGGAACCCCACATCTGATATCGATACGGGTCGCTGATAAGCCCGCAATCGGACATTTTCGCATCGGGGGCGACTTCACTTGTTCAACTACCTCTTCTGTGTCATCATAGCTGGCCCAGCATGACCACTGTTTTCACCAACGGGCGCTTCTTCACGGGGAGCGGCAGTGGTGGCCAGGACGATGCCTCTTTTGAAGAATGCATGGTCATCGAGAATAACACAATCACCCATGTTGGCAGCGTGACCGACGACGCAGTCACCCAGGCAAAAGCGAATGGTGCTGCCGTCCAACATCTCGGGAGTAAATATATTCTTCCTGGGTTTATAGATGGGCATATGCATCTGCTTCTTCTAGGTCAATCGCTCCAGAAACTCGATCTCGACGGCTGTACGAATCTCAACGAGATCCGTACCACTGTCAGTGCATATGCAAAATCTCATCCAGAGACTCCTCGGATTCTGTGCAAAGGCTGGATGCAGAGCATGACAGATAACGAAGCTCTAGCATCAATGCTGGATGATCTTGACTCTCGCCCAATCTATATCGATGCTAAGGATCTGCATTCAACCTGGTGTAACTCGGCAGCACTCCGGGAATTAGACGTTGACGGCATGGCTGATCCTCCCGGTGGAACAATACATCGAGATGAAAATGGTAAAGCATCGGGGCTCCTCAGTGAAGCTGTTGTCTTCTCGTTGATTTGGCCACATCTCGCACGTGTCGCTTCCATGGAGGACAAATTGAATGCACTGCGCGGTGCTATCTCTGCATATACTGCTTGTGGATATACGGGCTTGGTTGATATGGCAATGGATGATAATTCCTGGGAGACTCTTCTGATATTACGACAGCAGGAGCAATTGACTCTGCGGATCGCTGCTCACTGGCTGATCGTTCCCTCGACAGACCCTAGCGCGGATCTCGCACAGGTAGAGAGAGCAATTGAGCTCCACGGCAAATACAACCTACAAACTTCACCTGAGTTTCGCATTGCAGGAATCAAAGTCATCTGTGACGGTGTTATCGATGGATGCACGGCCGCCCTTCTCGAGCCGTATACTCTGAATGGCATCTCATGCGATCCGCTCTGGCCAGCAGAAAAGCTTGAGCCAGTGGTGCGACGCGCAGTGCAAGCAGGGTTACAATGCGCGTTGCATGCCATTGGCGATGCCACTGTGCACACTGTGCTGAATGTTCTCGAGGCGCATGCCAATCGGGACGGCCGTCACCGAATCGAGCATCTCGAAATGACGACGGCTGAAGACGCAGCGCGGCTGGGTAAACTCGGTATCACGGCATCTGTGCAACCGGTGCATTCAGACCCGGATATTCTCCGAGCGTGGCCGTCACTTATCGGACATGAGCGGTGTCGTCGAGCATTCGCATACCGAGACTTTTTGGACGGCGGAGCTACTTTGGCCTTTGGTTCCGACTCTCCCACAGCGCCGTTTAAGCCATTCCCCAATGTGTACACGGCGACGACAAGGAAGTCTGCCCGGCTGCCCGACTCAGATGAGACCGTGAATCCCAACTTCGCGTTGCCGTTGGTCACGGCCATGACAGCTGCAACGGCTGGGGCGGCATATTCGTGTTTTGCAGATAGCATTACCGGGAGGTTGCAAACAGGGCTGAGTGCTGATTTTGTTGTGGTGGATATGGTGTGGTCGAAAGATAAATTATTACAGGCAACTGTAGAGGAAACTTGGTTCAACGGAGTGAATGTGTTTCGGGCGAAGACAAACTAGGGTGTACATATCAATTGATGACATCTGTTGCTGATTGCCAACTGATATTGAGAACGGAAACTGTATATATTGTATGATACAGATAGAATTGCTGTTGTACATGCATTATCTGTGCGGATATTCTGTACTTCTCGTTTGGCATATATTCGCTCAAAATGAACTGATATTTCAATAATGTTTTTTAAATATAAGGACATATGTAATGCTAATCAAAATGATATAACATTGAAAGCCGCCTAGAGTTTATTGGAAGACAAGACTCACAAGACCTACGCAAGGCGTTGCAAGTACAACTCGCAATTCTGTGGCCTTTCGGGTCCTGTTTATATCCAATGTGCTCATGCTGCGTCCTGAATAAGATATCTGTCAACTTCATTGATGTGATATCTCCTTGCTTGGAAAAGTCGATAATGTACCTGACCGGAGCCAAACAATAGAAGTTACAGGTAAATAGATCTAATTACTAGAAATATCATTATCGTCCTAAAGAATCCATAGCCCCAGACTAAGTAAGGAGACAGATCGATTCTTTTCTTACGGAGGTTTTTCCTGCTGGTATATCATTCAAATATGATATCGGCGCTCCGAATCAGATTGTTATCCACAGTTTTGAAGCCTGGACAAAGGATTAAAGTAATAAAGGAAGGGTCAAAAGGTGATGAATCACTAGATGCGGGGTGATTCCGTTGATAGCTCAGATAGATAAAATCCGAAGAACATCAGACATGTGATGTTTCAGATGTGAGTTATTTGATGTCCCTTTTCTGTGACTATTTCTTGGCGATTAGTCGACTGATGAAATTGTGATTGTTCTGACTCGTACCGCTCTGTATGGAGGATGGAGGTTGACTGCCGAACGCCCGCGTGTCTCGGCCAAAACGGTCACGATCGTCGATAACCGTCCGACCTTACTAGTGACTGCAATCAATAGCGCCGCTTCTTACGGGTGGCGGCCTGTGAAAGTGCCAAATTTGTGCGAATTCGTATCAATAAGGAGTATTATTTTGTTGATAGTACGTTGCAGACTAAAAGCGGCACAATTTCGGGGTTGCTTTACAGTTTGTACTCCCTAACTTATTCCGTGGACTGGAGGAAAGGAAGTGTATTTTCATGAGCTATTGAGACGGTAATTTTCGTCATGAGGGACGAGCATTTCGGCCACCGAGGTAACACGTTATTGATCAGACCACGTCGCAGCAATATTAATCATATGAATCTGCAGTCAAACCAAGGCGAGGAAAAGTGCAAAAGCCCGTCAAAACCGTTAGCAAGATCGCAAAAGTTAGACGTTGATCGTCTCAGAGGCAGTCGATCAACAGCTGTCACCCCCTCAATTGCATAAAAGCTAAAGAGGACGGACCCAAGGATCGATTGATGCTTAGTCTTGAGCCTTGGGCTGAACTTGAGACTAGAAAGGTCCAAGGTTTTACGCTGTCCTCTTTACTACCCGACGGAAGTAATTGTTAACCGGAGTGCGTTGCATTCAATATTTGACAATACTTAGTAGTTAGAACTATCAGTGCAGCGCAAGCCAGATTAATAAATTACCAACATATTAACTGCCGAGCACGGTCTGCTCCACGAGGATTGGTGTACAGTTAATCTCCTGCGTAGTCATACTGAGCTGTACGTACGTCCGGGCTGCAGCTAAGACAGATTATTCTCGAAGAGTAACATCATACGTAGAGATCCTTGTTCAAACGTCGAACAGGCAACATGAATTCGTTCCACTTTCCAGAAGTAACGCCATGCGCCAACGAGTATCGGTTACGAGAATGTTGGTTTTATGAAATGCTAAATAGCTTGTGGCAGGCCAGACGATTCACACATAGACCAGGAAGAATTGAGTATCATTATTGTCAGGCGAGACACATGCGGTGCCACTCCACCCTGATAGTTAGAGTTTTGCCTATAAGATGCCCCTCCAAATGCCGACTTTACAGCGTTGACTCAACTTCGTGAATGCGCGTCATGTATGCACGGAGCAAGCCTCGCAGCCTCGGCGAAGCAACGGCTTTGCGCCGGCACCTGAGCCTCTAATGAACGGGTCCTGCCCAGCGACTGCCTCACTGCAAATCATTGTGTTCGCCGGGTGGAGGTTACCGCGGTACTGTTCTATGCGCAGGGGGGTTTCGGCAATGCAATTTGCCTGGGGAGCCTGGGGAGCCTGGGGTACATGCAGATGCGATGCAGATGAAGTGGCTTGTACGGAGTCAGTTGTAGTCCCTAAGTTCAGAACTTGTCACGACACTAAGAAAAAGATTGTTGTTGGTGGTTTTGATTGGTGTAGCGTGGATTAGGGCGACCAATTTCCAAGGGTATCCTCGCCACTCGCGATTCGCTCGCTCGTTCAATTATTAAGAATACCATGGTAGTTTGCCATCTCTTGGCACTGGCTGCGGCGCTGGTGCGAAGTTTGGACGAGCCAGCCAGTGCCCATCGCGATCTCCCCACCCCACAAGCCATCTAACAAGTAAGAAGTAAGAAGTGAGAAGTAGGGATAAGAAGTGACAAGAGGTGATGCATTGCCCATATCTCGCGATGGATCAGATAAGCAGCTCACGCGACGGGACGATCTGGGTTCGATCATCAGCAATAGTGAATAATCTCGCAGCAGTCAGTTTCTTCGCGGTGGGAGAGCGCGCGAGAGAGAGAGGCAGATGACGGAGGGAGCGCTTAGTCATGATCGGCCCAATCATGTACCGAGTGCCGCACATAATACATGGACTCATGGAGCATGGCCTGTAAGGACGTCGTACGGGCGGCGGGCCCACCCCGCACAGGCCCAAGCGAGCGCTGGCCAGTCAGCGCCCGAGGATAAATTACCGTACGGCGCCGTGACTACTGCTGTAATGCTCCTCGTGTCGGCCACTGCCGCTGTCACTGCCGCTCCTGCTGTATGACTATGTATGTCCATCATGTTCATATGAATATGAAATAAAAATGCTAATTATGAGCAGGAGGGCTACTAGGCCTTATTATTACCAAAGGCTTCCATTCACTAGTATCGGACAAGAAACCATGATGAACAGCCCCAAGGATCAGTCCATCGCAAGCAGGACAATGCTCCAATAACTGCTGTACTGGCATACACCAGCCAGTATGAGCATAATAAAAGAGCCGAACAAGAGATAATTAATTATAGAACTACCATATAAAAAAAGGAAAGAAAGAAAGAAGCCAATATAAGGAAATAAACAAGATTAAATAGAGAATAATAGTCCTGATGATGTACTCTTAGCCACCCACAAAGACGCCCGCCGTGGCTCCACCTCCACTGTGCCGCGCCTGGTCGGTCGCTAAGAGGGCGGGAAGGCTCTGGCCCTCGCGTCGCTTCCTGCCTCCGCCGACCGCTCGCCCGGTCCTTGGTGGTAACCACCGCTGGTCTCTGTCTGCCTCTGCTGCTGCTGTTGCTGGATGTGACTTCGCCCGCTCCGTCTCATGCTCACGTCTCACTCCCTCTCTCTCTTCTCCTCTGCCCTTCCCCATTCCCCTTCCCATCGTCTTGAAGTGCTGTGCAGTTGCCACTGATTGTCCTCCAATGCGCTGAAGAACATCGCCCGCTCGCTGATCACGCTCTCGCTCGCATCTCATTCTCTGCTGGATCAAAGCACACCACCCCTCCTTCCATTCCCGCCCCTGGCTCCTCGCTCATCCGCCTACGCCCGGCACTCACACTCGCCTCAGCTGTCCTCTCTGCTGCCTCGATCAGTCCGACTGTACTGCGTTACATACGCCGAATCTTCCCGCCAACGCAACCCTAACACTCCCTCCGTCATCCCACCCCCTCCAGGTGACCGTGGGAAGTGTCATCTGTCCCCCCGAGTCATGAGCCTGTAATATATTCTTCTTCCTTGAATCTGAAACCATTGCACTCGCCAAAGAGCGGCCGGGAAACCTCCATTTCCTGACTGCTGTCGAACGTCATGTATCAGGCTGGTGTGGAACCCGTGGCCCTCAACCTGCACTCCGGCTTTGCCTCCAAAACTGGCGCCTTTGCGACTACTCTGCGCTACACCGACGACGAGCAGTCTGACATGGTAGGCTCGCCTCCCCGCACTGGCGGTGGCCGCCAAAGAAGTCACTCGATACAGCAAGAGCTCGGTCAGCCGTCACCACAACGACAGAAATCACCCATGAAAATCACCGAGCCCCCCCCGCCCTCTATGTGAAAGCCTTATACGACTACGATGCCGATGATCATACGAGCCTAAGTTTCCGCCAAGGGGACATCATCCAGGTCCTCAACCAACTCGAGACTGGATGGTGGGATGGTGTCATCGGCAATGTTCGTGGCTGGTTCCCCAGCAATTACTGTGCCGTAGTGACCAATCTCGACGAAATCGAGGAGCTCAGCAGCCGCCGCATGATGACCGATGCTGGTGACACCAGCGCAGAGTCTGGTGTCGACGAAGATTACGAAGACGAGCATGAAGATGAACTGGATTTCGATCACAACCAGCGCGATTCTCATCCCATCCTCCCCATCGAAGGCGCTGGTCCAGTCGAACAAGAAGAAGCCGCTTTCTGGATTCCACAAGCAACACCTGATGGCCGGCTGTTCTACTTCAACACTTTGACTGGAACTAGCACAATGGAACTACCGCTTGAGAATCCGTTGCTGGCGAATGAAGCCGGCCCTCGCGATCGCAACAATTTCTTTGTTCCCGAGCAGACGCGCCCTCCTCCTGAAATGATGGCACGAGGTGTTGAACGTGATGAAGATGATTATGACGGTTCTGGCTCGGAGGGCGAGGGTGAGTCTTTGATGCTAGCCTCGCGTGATTCGATGTCCCGGAGACGGCGCTCTTTAACCGACGATGTGTCTCCAGCTACGTCGATGGACTCTCTAAACCCATCTCCAGTCACCAAAGTTGCCCAACAGGCGAAGTATACCGGACAAACTTCATTCCCACAATCTATTGCACGTCCGTCCAATCCATCATCATCGATCCCGCGACACTTTGTTGATGATACACCGGAGTCAGCAATTACTTGGTCCGACTTGCTAGAGAATATGCGCAATGCCATTGAAGCTTATAGACAAACCATTCGCAGCGGTGACAGCGGCGAATACGTTCGAAAAGCGGAAGCCATCTCCGACCACCTTCGCCTGTTACTTGCTGCTGGATCAGATACTACAGATAACCACTCTGGAAATCCTTCCATAATTTCATCCAATCGCACCCTCTACCCACACTTCCGAGATATGATGTCTAAGTTTTCTAAACTAGTTTTATCTTCTCATATTGCTGCATCAGATTGGACAAATCCTGATTCCGCTACAAAGTGCCTGCAGGAAGTAGATGGTGTTTGGCAAGGTGTTTGCGGCTACGTAGAGGTAGCGCACCGACAACGTGGTGAAACTATCAATCGGATTGTGCCTGGTTTTGTACTCAACAGCTTCACAGGTGGGCACTGGCTTAACAATGGCATTAAAAACAGCGAATCCGGTGCTACATCTTTCTTGGAGCCCGAGAGTCAAGATTTTACTCAGGAGGCATTAGTGTCTCTTGATGCTGCACTGCTTGATCAGATCGACGTGATGAGAAAATCACTCGCACTAAGTATCAGAAAGCTCGAGGAACAATTAGTTTTGGGCCAAAAGGCAATCACTCAAAAACAACATCGCTCGTTAAGTGACACTATTTGCCTTGCAGCTCTTAGCGTCATTGAAAAGTACCGACCCTGGATCATGACGGTGGAGTCAATTAATCTAGCTTCACTCGGGACAAGTCTGCAGAACCCCCAGCTGGTCGACTTTGGTATGCAGAAACAGCGAGTCTATGAAACAATTGCCGATCTTGTCCTCAGTTGCCAGTCAGTTTCCGCCCCCCTAGGCGATGAATGGGCTGAATTGCGAGGGGATTCTCTCGAAGATCGCTTGAATACTGTACGAAGTGTCGCTCGTCAACTTGAGGCCTATACGTCACAAATCGGATTCTCGCTATCGCTTTTGCAAGAGCAGATACCAGAGCAATCTCGAACCACCAATGGCCAGACTCACTTCATCGATGATGGTGGTATACTCGACCCTTTCCAGAAGAACACCAATCGTGCGGAATCTGGAAAACGTAGAGGGACTGAATCTTCGGTTCAAGCCCTGCCTACGTTCACCATAGGAATCGAAGATGAAGATACGCAAGTACGTCGAAACATGAACAAAGCTCATCGTTTCTTCGGTCAAGCTCCTCCAACTACAATTACAAGGGAGCCACTCCGTGAGCCAGTTGCAGTACCCGAAGAAACGCCTTGGTTCTTGAACTTCGATCATGAAGGTGAAGTGTTCTATGATAACAAGTCTGACGTGCCGGCTCTCAAATGTGGCACCTTGGAGGGATTGGTTGAACAACTAACCCGACACGATAAACTGGATGCATCTTTTAACAATACTTTTCTTCTCACATACCGCTCCTTCACCACAGCCGCTGAACTGTTTGATAAACTCGTTCAACGGTTCGGTATTCAGCCTCCATATGGATTAAATCCCGACGAACTACGAATGTGGGTCGACCGCAAGCAGAAACCCATTCGATTCCGCGTCGTGAACATTTTGAAAAGCTGGTTTGAAAACTTTTGGATGGAACCGAGTGATGAAGCAAATATGAATCTTCTCCGACAGGTTCATGATTTCACTAAAGACTCGATTGCAACAACAAAGACTCCAGGTTCTCCACAACTTCTAAGCGTAATTGAACAGCGTCTACGTGGTCAAGACACCACAGTGAAGAGACTTGTTCCTACCCAGAGCATGCCTATCCCCCCCCTATTTTACCTAAGAACATGAAGAAGCTCAAGTTCCTCGATATAGACCCGACTGAATTTGCCAGGCAGCTTACTGTCATCGAGTCGAGATTGTACGGAAAGATTCGTGCAACTGAGTGCTTGAACAAAACTTGGCAGAGGAAGGTAGCTACTGGGGAAAGCGAACCAGCTGCCAATGTTAAAGCTTTGATTTTACACTCGAACCAGTTGACTAACTGGGTTGCTGAAATGATTCTGACTCAGGGCGATGTGAAGAAGCGCGTCGTTGTGATTAAACATTTTGTCAACGTAGCAGATGTAAGCTTTCTTTTTGTGTGAATTGTGTCGCCGTCTCTCGCTAATTCTTCCTCAGAAATGCCGTACCCTCAACAACTATTCTACGCTCACATCGATCATTTCAGCACTTGGCACTGCTCCCATACATCGCCTGGGCCGTACATGGGCCCAAGTAAGCGGCCGCACTTCTGCTGTTCTCGAACAAATGCGGAGGCTCATGGCGAGCACGAAGAACTTCGGTGAATACAGAGAGACATTACATGCAGCGAATCCTCCTTGCATTCCATTCTTCGGTATGGTGGAAATCAAACTCTATTTCTGGGTGCTTGTCATATGTGTGTTTGCTAACTCTTTTTATAGGTGTGTATCTCACCGATTTGACTTTCATCGAAGACGGTATTCCGTCACACACCCCTTCCGACCTCATCAACTTCAATAAACGAGCCAAAACAGCGGAAGTTATCCGCGACATCCAACAATACCAGAATGTTCCATATCAATTACAGTCAGTGCCGGAACTGCAGGACTATATTCTGAGTAACATGCAAGCAGCCGGCGATGTTCATGAGATGTACGACCGTAGCTTGGAAGTCGAACCAAGAGAGCGGGAGGATGAAAAGATTGCTAGGTATGGCAAAAACACCGACGTTCCTGGGAACTTAACTATTGCATCAATTGTAGCAGCGATTCGTTGAACCCATTCTTCTGGCACAAAGCGTTCCAATGTTCCCTTTAGACATTCCTCTTCTCTACGCCCATTTTCACTTCTATCCTCTTTATTTCTCGATTTTTCCTTGATGATACTTATGTGTGATACGACGATACGTCTTGTCTGCCCCTACTTGTACCCGCATATTTGCCGGACTGGTCTATTTTCACCGCATTCATGTGGAAGCACAGGAGTATATACATAAAGGCCATCCATCTATCTATCCTACATTTTCTCCGCCGATAGGCGACGGATATCCTGCTGGCATTTGCATTGGCTTGGCCATATCCACTTGTTGACCGCTTATCTTCATTGTCCCTTTTCAGCGTCTCTTATCATTCCTTATCTCATCACATCTGAGACACTGCGGGCACTTAACTAACGTTCCTTGCGTAGACTCCTCTCCGAATCAGGCTTCCTATAAGCTCTGATCGACGGTTGAAACCTGAAACTGTCCGTGTCGCATGTTGCCAGCCCCGGTACCCCTGTCGAAAACGATGTCACAATTTTCCTTCAGTGGGGTTAACCGTCTTCCCGGCAAATCTCGTTGCTGGGACCATGACATGATTTGGGTCCCACGTGGTTATTCTCGTTGTAGCTGGCGATTCGCGAATCGCGACCCGCTGATTTGCGTGCAACATTGACGCCATAAGAATCCTTCGGTATCGCCTATCACGGTCAACTCCATTTTGCCTAGCCGTCTTAGCCGCCGAGCTCCACTTGTTGCATGTATTGCATAACATTTCCCACCAAAGTCTCGTCATTTTAATTACTCTCGCTTGCGATCTGCAAGTTTCCCTGCTGATCGCCGTGCCATACGACACTCTACTTTACCGCCCATTCTCACCAAACAACTCCATCGATCATGATAACGACCATGAACTTTACATTTCACGACTAGAAATTTATGACCCGACGTTTCGACATTGGTATCCTTGTCGTTGCTATGATTTACTTATAAATACTCGACACATAACATCCCCGACAAGAGGTTTTGTTTTGACAAATTATTCTGTACATACATGTATTCTTCCACGTTTACGTATATTATTTCTTACGACGGGAAAAAAAGAAAATTGTCAATGATGTACCTATTTGGTTTGTTTTGTCACTATATTATGTGATATATAATCATTTGATTTTCTATATCAATAGTCTTATATTTCATTCGCCTGCTATTTTTGTCGCTCTTTAGGTTAGCTTTTCTGGGGCATTTATGTGGGTGTAGCGAAACCATAGGTTGGTGTTGATGAGTGGTCTGAAATTAATGACATGCTATGAAATCTCACACTATTTACCACATGGCTCATTTGGCTGTGTATTGAGTTCGTCGATGTCCTGTTTATTTGACACAAAACTGGTGGCCTGAACTATTTGGCTTTTGAAGGGAGGAACGAACGCATCAGTGATGTGATCTTTTCTATGAAAGCATTACTGCCATTTCCTCCGTAGAATATTCATTCATTCTATGTTGTTTATCTCGTGACAATATGCTTTTCCTTGAACTTGGCCAAAAGCTATGCACGAAATCTGAAGATTAAGCATAGTCAAAGGATTTCACGCTAAGCTTGCGAACTGCGGTTCTCAGCAGTTTCCCTGATACCTAGAAAGAGAGTCTTTTTGATATCAACGGCGACGAGGCCGCTAACCTCTTCCGATACAATGCGATGTCCATCACGAACAACTTTCCCTAGCTGTTGGTCCTTTGCAGCCCCGCCTCTATTCGTTCCCCCTTCAATCCCGCGAACCACTTTTTTAACCTTCTGACTTAAGTCCATAATCTGCTTGCTTCCGTAGTTACGGGTGGTGAAAAGCGGGCTTTGGCTGAGCGTCGCGACCCAATACTTATTCCATAAGAGCGAAAGAATTTGAGTGTCTAATGTGCTCTTGAAATGTGATACCTCGAGAGCGTAATATTGCGAAGCGTGTGCGCCAAAATCCTCGACCTTGTTCAAGGGTATACTCTGATATTCATCGTCTTCGGCTTCCTCCTTTGGAGCCGTATAGCCCTTTGGATACGTACGGAATGCACCAATTTCAACTTTTCCAGCAGATATAGTACGATCTGGGTCAATCACAACAGCCACAAAGGGGTCACTCATTTGTTGCATGGACTGAGTCGAAACGTCGATGCCGGATAGCCAACATCCGTAACCCGGGTGACTATGGTACCAGCCAACCGCATTCTCCATCCTGCCCGAATCACGACATGATTGTAAGTATCCGACCATATATTCATTCGCATCGTCCTGGGCATTCACACGCGTTTCTGTGCCTTCGACAGGAAGTCTGAATGCATCGGTGACGACGAACGTCTCCGCGGCAATGTAGCCTTGCATCAAGCCCATAACCTCCAGCGATCCTCCAGACCGTGCATGCATAACCATTTTGAGTAGGGCGACGGCCGAAATCCTCACCGACTTGAAGTATCGAGGGTCATTCTTCCATGGCTTGGCGTCTGAGAGAACTTTGTGAGCGGCTTCATCATAATCATAAAGAGCATCTCTTTTTGGATCGGCGAGTTGAACGGCGTTCTCGAATTCTAACTGCATTAGAGTGCCCTGTTGATCTCGGTGAGGTTTTTTGGGATCGACTTACCCCAGGACTGCTGTGCAGCCTGCATGATGAAGCTTTGAAAGCTTACAACAAGCTTTTTGCGAGTATTTTGGAGATCAAGACGCTATATGTGTAGATAGGGAATACCGCCAATAAAAAAGATCAGTCTTCAATCACAGCTTTCAGTAGAGAAGAGGTGTGCCACCGCAACAGCAGCAAGTGAAACAGATAAGACAGCTCCGATAGTCGATGCGGAGACCGGCAGGTGGGGTGACGGCTTGTGTGCCTGAGGCACAAGCACCAGGCGGTGGCCAGTGGCAGAAGCGTGCCTGTGTCGGCGTTGCCCTGGCGACGCGTGAAACCAGCTGATCGCTCTTACTCCTTCCCACCCTATATACATACATACACATCACTGCACCACGCCAGTCGGGCAAGATCTCTCGCTTCTTCCTCGATCACGCACCACCTTATGGCATTGAAATCGAATCCGCTCGACTGATTCTGCGTGCTCCTGTCATCTCGAGTTTCTTCTCATCTGCTTGTGTTTCCCGATTTTGCCCTTCCACCCGGGAAGACGGGCCTGCTTCGCAGCCGTCCTTGACATTTTTGTTGCTATTTTCTTCCCAAGAAGCACACACGCACACGCGAGAGACACGCGGTTGCGGCGTCCCATTCTCTCATCATGTCGATTGACACGAGCGACCTGACCACCCAGGTCAATAAGATTATCAGCCAGCTGCACGGGATCTTTGATGATATCGGTATTCCCAACCACGCAAGGGAAGCTCGCGAAACCGAGGTACGGAGATCAAGTCAAATTGGATATTTGTAGCAAGACTTACTGAGTTCTTTGTAGCTTTTCGCGGCTCTTTCGGTCACTCTAAACAATCACCTGCGTATTATTAGCAAGTAAGTGCAGCCCTAGTTGTATTGACATGGCGTGGCCGAGCTGACTTGGTGTTATTTACAGTGAAAAAAATGCGATGGTCGAGGAAGCAGAACATCTCATTAAGACGATAAAGCAAATGGAAGCTTCCCTAGACGACGAAAAGACAAACGGGCAATACGACCTTGACCATGGAGACCTTCGGATTACGTTTCCTCTGAACAGGTGCATCGTCCTTTTGAAAGAAAAGTATTCCGCCATAAGCAAATTACATCGTGAACGTTTTGAGCAAGTAAAGAGTTCGTGGCACCTCATCCTACACACCGTCATAGGAATGCAAGCTGACTTTTTAATTAAGAACTCGTGGAGGCATTAGAGTCCTACTCGTCTCATTTAGAACCATCATTCGTGAAAATTGCTCTACCTCCCACATCACCCGGCGCTTCAATCCCCCCCAGTTTTGACCTATCGCCATCCTACGTCACTGCACTAGATAATGAGTTTACTCGGGTTTACGAAGAGTACAACAGACGCGTTCACCTTGTGACAGTGACATCGGAAGAGATTATTAAACTATGGGCAGAGCTTGGAACACCACAGGCACAAACAGATTCCACAATTGTCAAGTTTTACCGCGACTCACCAGAACAACTGGGCCTTCACGACACCGATCTCGGAAACCTTAAAGGGAGACGGGATAAACTTCTGGACGAGAAGAGAAATCGTGAGAAGAAATTGAAAGATCTCAAAACTGCCGTGGAAGGACTGTGGGAGCGTCTCGGAGTTGATGAACGCGATCAAAAGGCCTTTCTCGCAGCGAACCGTGGCTGTGGTCTACGTACCATCAATGAATTCGAAGAAGAGTTCGCTAGATTGAACGAACTTAAAAGACAAAATTTACATCTGTTTGTCGAAGATTCGCGATGCCGTCTGCAAGAACTCTGGGATAGTCTTTACTATTCTGAAGAGGAAATGCTGGATTTCACACCGGCCTTCTCAGACGTCTATAGTGATGCTTTATTGGAAGCACACGAAGCTGAGATTGCTCGACTTGAAGCTATTAGAGAACAGCGGGCACCTGCTTTAGAGCTCATTGGCAAACACAAGTCTCTAATCCACGAACGAGACTCTCTTGTGGCCTCAAGTCAAGATGCTTCGCGTCTTATGGCTCGTGGTAACAAGGGAGAGAAGCGTGATCCAGGAAAGCTCCTTCGAGAAGAGAAAATGCGTAAGAGGATCTCTAAGGAGCTGCCAAAGGTCGAAATCGAACTCAGGAAGATGCTAGAGAAATGGGAAGACGAGTACGGCCGGCCGTTCCTTGTCCATGGCGAGAGATATCTTGACGAGCTCACCCCTACTGCCTCTAAAATGCCACCACGCTCGAAGACACCTTCCGGGCCTCCAGCCAGTGCTGTGAAGCCCAGACAAGCTCCAGCAGCTAATTCTGGAACAGTCAGAGGTGCTCCACCACGTTCAGCAACTAAAACACCTACAGGGACAATGAGACGCAATCCTCCAGCAGCGGCTTCTGTTTCTGCCTCAGCACAACAAAAGTCTCCTTCAAAAATCCCTGCTCGTGTTCCCTTGGGAAACATGCCTCATGGAAACAATTCTCCAGAACGCCGTCAGCCACAAAATTCATATTCTTCGAACACAATACGAGGTAAAATGCCACCACGTGCTCCACCCCCCAAAATGCGTGATTTGTTCGCGGAGCCCAACGAAGATGTACCGACCGCTAGTTATACCGTGGAGCCTTCAAGGTGCGAGAGCGTTTTTTCTAGCCGAAGCGTGCGGCCCATTGGTCTGGAAGATGTATATGACGATCGTCAACAACGGCAGCACCTGAATAATTCCATTATATCGCGGAGTAGAACCGATACTAGCTCCCATGGTTCTTCTCAATCTCTTTACTCTACAGCATCACGAGAGATGGCATATCCCTCCGATAGCTCGTACTTGCAACGTCAGCCACCGCCTCCTCCAGCCTTGAGGCATGCTTCCAACTCAACCATCCAAACTACATCAGGCTCAGAGAATTGGGAAACCTTTGATGATGCTTCTGAACCCGAGGTTGATGCCAGTGACGTCTATTATGCGAAGCTGCGGTCAGCTCAAGGGAAGCGCATCGCGCCGGATGATCAGCAGCACGTGATACAGATGGGTAAAAAGATGAAAGGTATCCGTAGTGTGGGATCTGACGAACGCATTATTGAGCACAATGGTCAATTTGTCAGAATTGAAGGAAGCGATGGAGGTTGGACAGATGACATGGATACATACTAGGTCAACTATCCTGCCACTACGAGTATCCTTTTGAACGATCAGCTACGGTCTTATGATTTCCATGCCTGACGTGTAAATGTCTTGATTGCGTTTGGTCCCTGGTTATCAGATTCATCCTCTATTCTTCGCTCCAAGCAGGCGCTTTATATTCAATGACGAACTTGGTGTCAAGTATCGAAGCAGTGGCATTTGCTAATGGCTTTTTGGCATTGGAGTTCTGGTCTCGTGATTTCCTATTCTTGTATCCTTGTCATGACCGATAACGAGCGCAGGTAAAGGTCAATCCGGGAACGTGAACCTTTCTTTTCTTCTCGTTGATATTGGAATCTTGCGGTCTTTTTCTTTTTTTCTTCAATGGGGGGTTTTAATTTCATTTCATTTCTGCACAGGAAGCCTATTCTGTTTTGTACGATTTTGGTTTGATATTCCCATACTTACCTTATTTTGTTTCTCGTGTATGTATTTGCCTGCGTCTGGTTTTCATTTTTGGGATATGTCTGTACAGAGAGTTGCTTCGCCGCCTTTTGGGTTTAACCCTCAAGGATGTTGGAAGTGACAGATTCATGAGCTGAATGGCTGTACATACATATATCACACTAGCCAGTCAATCGATCAAATAATCATCTGTTAAAGCCACCAAAGGTATTATTTCCCCTAGACTCAGTATTTTCAAATCTCGCTGTCAGAGATCTAATTATTTCAATAACCTAATCTGTTTTACATCTTCTATTATACATTCTATACATGTAGGCTTTGAAACCCGAGTATAACACATATAGACATCCGTTAAATCAATATTACTTCGGCGCCAAAGAACCCATCCACGAATTATCAGCATTCTTCTCCATGCCCGACACATTAACAGTAGCTCTAGTTAGCTTGATTGGCGTTTTCGGCACTCGGCATGTATTCTGCACAACTGGTGTTGTCAGTTCTCTTGCTCCCTGGAGTCTACGCACAGATTCAGCACGTCCCAAGATTGTCAGAGTTTCAGGGATTCCAGGACCTGGGGCGCCAGCTGAAAGAGCCCAGCGGAGGTAATGATATAACTCCTTTTTGAATGCTTTGTCTTGCGCGATTGGGTTTGCTGCTGCAGTATCAGTATCGCTAGGAGAGTCACTAGCGTTTAGACTACCAGCGAAATTATAGGATTTTATATTCAAACGGTGAGTTTCAATATCCCAGTGGCTTTCAGGGGTGAGAGTGAGTGCAGCTGCAGCGGTATGAAGAGCTGAAAGAGAGACGGTTGCGCTTGACGCATTCTTGGTGGTAGGTTCGTAAGCTGGGCGGTCTGAAGGGGCGATGAAGAATGTTTTGTTGCGATTGATGAATTCCTCAGGGCTGGTGTATGATTTTGCATCTGCTTGGAGGAGGAGAGTAACTATATCCCGAACAGGCCTCTCTGTCTGGATGTTTGTCAGTAACGTTGAAACTAAGCAAACGTCCACAGATTTAGAAGATATAAACTCGTCGATTTAAAAATCGAAGGGAAAAAAGAGAAAAACATACAACAGCTGGGATTCGCTGGTGGTCACCCACCCAACTACTAACCAGCCGGCGTGTGGCTTAAGTACGGCTGAGCGGACGGGAAGCCCTGTTTTCCACACCCTATGGTCGTATGTGGTATACAATTCATATAACTTGGCCCATATGGCGCATAAGGGGAACAATGGTTTACAAATAAAAGCACAGAATGAGAGATCAGAACATACGCTTTGGTGCTCTGCGGCTAAAATCTCTTCAGCAACGACAGAACTTTTGTCCTCTAGCTCTTGGATTTCTGGGCCTCTCTCGCTTGCGCATCGTTGCGCATGAGCTTTCTGTAGAAACCACATTTTTTCAAAGGCCACGACGGTGTTGCCCTTCGTGATTTTGAGATTGAACTATATTTAGTTAGTCCTGACTGCAACGCTGAAGGATGGTAGGATAGATCGTACCATCTCCTCCATCTCCTTCAATGTAAGGACATCTGATTTCGAGGTATGAGACCAGCCCAACAAAGCGGCAAAGTTCAGCAAAGCAGAAGGCATGATCCCTCTATCTTTAAAAAGCGAAATGTCGATATCGGCATTGCGCTTGCTCAGTTTGTGGCCGTCTTTATCAACGAGAAGGGGTACATGGGCAAATTGGGGGGGGCCCAATCGAAGGCGTTGTAGAGCGCGACATGCATCGGGGTAGACGCCATCCATTCCTGCCAAAAAATAAGTCGATGAGCCATTGAACGGCATCAGAGCTACCTACTGTCCCCGAATGACATGCGTTATCTTCATTTCGTGATCATCGACAACGTTTGCCAGATGATAAGTTGGGTATCCGTCAGATTTGAGGAGGATTGGATCCTCATATACCCGATCTATGAATTCCAGTTGCTTCTTACCACCAGACCGGTTTTGCCCTGTTTTGCCGTATACGAGGTCATGGAACATCGGGTACCCGTCAGTTTTCAAACGAACAACATGCGCTTCACCACCTGCAGCTCTGTCTTCGGCCTCTTCGGGGCGTATACTTGCACATTTGCGGTCGTATCCGAGAGGAAGCCCCTGTTGATTGCGGTGTCTAGCGAGCGTATCCAGTCGCTCGGCGCTGCAAAAACAACGATATGCATGACCAGAAGATATGAGGCTGTCTGCATGCTTTCGATAAAGCGCTGTTCTTTCAGACTAGATGGTATCAGCGAGGTTGTCAGATATAATCCGAGTGTGCATACCTGTCGATACGGCCCATAGCGGCCACCAACATTGGGCCCTGAAAGGGTAGTCAGAAATATGAGGACATCACAGTCTTAAACAGCCCATACCTTCATCCCAATTCAAGCCCGCCCATCGAAGGTCTTCGTACAAGCGTTCTTCTGCTCCGGGTATTGTTCTTTTCTGGTCTGTATCTTCAAGGCGAAGTAGGAATTGCCCGCCAGTCTTTTTCGCCACTAAATAATTGAACAGCGCCGTCCTCAGTGAGCCTAGATGAAGATATCCGGTGGGGGAGGGGGCGAATCGCGTCCTGGCCGGCACGTTCAGAAGGGCGTTTTTGTTCTTGCCGGTGCGGAGGGCCTGCGGAGGTGGTGAAATGCGGGATGCGACAGAAGAATTGGCTCTGCACTGGATGCAGATCCACGAAGGACGAGCGGTCAATATCCGCCATCGAGGCGTTGCCATGGCGCACGGGGGTCGCAGGCTCACAGAACGCAGCAAGAGAAGGCAAACCTGAAGCCAACAGGCGAGAGGCTTGTAGGGGACGGGAAGGCAGAGGCAGAGGGAAGCACCGACGGAAGCTTCGCCTCTAACGGCGATAGCGCAACTAAAGTTTGATTCTTGCCCGCCAGAAATCTTATCGCAGACCAAGCGCTCAATCTATTCACACTGCGTCCAGAGAACGCTCGTTTTTGCTCGTTGCTTTGTTGAGTATTTTGGATTCTACTGGTTCACGTTTTTTGGTCCACCAACACTTGTTCCTCGCATATTCTAAGCGTTTATGTTGAGCAAACTGTTCCTAAAACTCGCGAAGTCCGTTAGATCTCAACCCCAACGGCTTTTCTACATTTGCTAATCATCTTCAACAGTGGACGGAACAACCCATATTGACCTCTATGGTACGGTTCTGTTTCGGCTATAAGTTGGAGATTCCGCTAATGCTTATGTTTTTTTAGAGGTCCTCAGCGTTGAGCGCACTGCTTCCAAGGACGAAATCCGAAAGGCTTATCGCAAGGCGAGTTGGGACCTGAACCTGAAGACCGAACATGCTAACAGTTCTGCTTCTTCTCCAACAGGCAGCGCTGGCAAGCCACCCAGACAAGGTCCCAGAAGACGAGCGAGAAACAGCTGAAATCAAATTCAAAGCTGTGCAGCAAGCATACGACATTTTGTACGATGAGGAGAAGCGCGATCTGTACGACTCACATGGCATGGCTGCCTTTGATGGCTCGGGCAACCCAGGAATGGGGGCTGGGCCTGATTTAGATGACATTTTGTCTCAAATGTTTGGTGGCATGGGGGGAATGGGGGGTATGGGGGGTATGGGTGGCATGCCGGGATTTGATGGTCCTGGAGGACGTCCCAACAAGCCCAGGAAAAGTCCAAATGAAGAGACAAAATATGAAGTCGGCCTTGAAGATCTTTATAAGGGAAAAACTGTCAAATTTGCCAGTACCAAAAACGTGATCTGCGGGCTGTGCAAGGGCAAAGGAGGGAAAGACAAGGCAGTTGCAAAAGAATGTTCTTCATGTGAAGGCAAAGGTGCGATAAATTTTCAGCCTCAAAACACATAGGGTCTTGCTGATGGACTTTAAGGATTCAAGAATGTTCTGACTCGTCTTGGGCCGATGTTGACTCAATCTACCGCACCGTGCACTGTATGTGACGGACAGGGTAGCTTTTTCAGTCCAAAGGACAAGTGCAAGAAGTGCAAAGGAAAGAAGGTCACCGAGGAAAAGAAGATGCTTGAGATATACATTCCTCGAGGAGCCAAGTATGTTGATTTCAGCCCATCATTATGAAACCTTTCATTGACTGACTTGTGTCTAGGGAAGGAGACCAAGTTACATTGGAGGGCGAGGCCGACCAAGTACCTGACCAGGAGCCGGGCGATATAGTCTTCCATCTAGTTGAGGTTGAACACCCTGTCTTTCGTCGAGCGGGGCCCGACCTCACCGCAGATCTTGAAATTACCCTTGCTGAAGCCTTAGCCGGCTTCTCTCGCGTGGTTGTCAAGCATTTGGACGGACGAGGTATTGAACTCAAACATCCCAAAAGGCCAGGCGACGTCCTTTCCCCCGGGCAAGTTTTGAAGATCTCTGGGGAGGGAATGCCCTTAAAGAAGAGCGATGCTCGCGGAGATCTTTACCTAGTAGTTGATGTCAAATTTCCTAGCGAGGGGTGGGCTCCTAGCCCAGCCGTCCTGGAGAAATTGAAGGAAATTCTCCCCAAGCCCGACCCTCCAATTGAAGCCGACACTGTTGACGAGGTGGACTACGACCCTAATGCTGATATCGAAGACTTTGGTCAAGGTGATCCCCGTGGTGGGTCTGGATGGGTTGATGAAGACGAAGGGGGCGAGACTGCGCAGTGTGCAACTCAGTAGTCTCCTTCTCATAGACTCGTACACCCGCATTTTAATGATTCTTTGCGTTATAGATAATCCTCGTTCATTATGATGAAGGAAAGACCAGTTCTCGCCACTCACAAACCTGCTATATCATATTCATTTGGAGTTTTGGTTATTCTAAAAACGGCTTTACTTGATGATTACCGACTACACTTACGAGGGCATGCCTAGTTCTTCTCTTTTCCGGTTTCACAAGGGATGATGTTACGGTTCTTTCAAGAAAAAAAGGAAAGAAGATTACCGTCCTTCTTTGATACGACGCTTATGATGGCATTGATTTTATATAGCATGTATAGATCAAGATTTGATCATTGAATGCTGTTCTCTCTCTTCTCCCAGTGACACCATATCTCATAATACACGAGTGGAATCTTGTAGACATTGCATATTCAATTCGGCAACAAGCACTACGTATGTTCGATGGACCGGAAGACGTAAAGAAATATGCAGCTCAAGGTGAGGATAGTGTTTGAACGCTAAATTCAGGGTAAAGTGATAACATCTAAGAATACTTAAGACTCGTACATCTTTTTATATTGGTCAACTACATCAACGATGTGTAATAATTGATGGTGATCAAATAGCTCAACCGTCATTGGCTGGTCGGAGCAACTCCGGTGTTTCCGAGGTTATCCCTCACTGCTGCAGGACGGACAAGTCTCCGGGTCACGCAAGTTGCAACTGAAACTCACTGGTATTGAAAAAGACATGTTACTGAGCCGCAAAATGGGCGTTAATAAGAGGTGAATGGATGGGTGAGGAAAAAAAACTCCCCGTGAGTCATTGGACCATCCCATGAACAGCATTCTTTGCTTCTTCCTCCACCTCTCATAACCCCGTGTACTCATCACTGCCAAGCTGGTTACAGGGTGGATTTAATAAAGACAATAATTAGTAGCTACAGTATCCACCTATTTACCAGCTTCTTGATACTCGCGGCATCATACAGAGAGAAAAATATCAGTCTCTAAAGTGACTTGTGGTTCTCAGCAAACCTGTGAAGGCTGCACCTGCAGTGGCCAGGAAAAGCAATCTATCAACATTGAAGACTGCCAGGAAGAATTGCTGGCGTTGCAGAGGCGCACTCAGCAGCTAGAAACCACATTAGCCTCGCTCAAGGTAGATGGAACATCCAAAGAAAAGAGTTCGCCAAACCAAGGACTGCGTTCCCGCAAATGGTTTGGCAAAGAAACCGACCCAGCCATGGGGTCGATTTATATAGAGCGGTACCTAAACTACGGTATGACGAGGGAGGAATTAACATCAGGAAAGCCGATTATTGGCACCGCTCAGTCCGGGCCGGACCTGATGCCCTGTAACAGATACCATCTGGAGCTGTCCAAGCGAATCCGGGAGGGCATTAGATCCGCGGGGAAGGTATCGCATTTGAGTTCCCATTCACCCCATCCAAGAAAGCTCTCGACGAACAACTACTTGTTTGGACAGAAACCTTGCTTAACTAGTCTTGTGGAGATCCTTTATGCGTATCCTTTGGATGGTGTGATGCTTTTGACGGGCTGTGACAAAATAACGCCTGCGTGTTTAATGGCAGCGGCTACTGTGGTGAGTTTGGCCAATTTAAACCGAAGTTTACTGGTAAAATGGTGAATAATGATATGTAGAAATTCCCGCTTTATGCCTCAATGTTGGCCCGATGATCAATGGCTATGTCAAGATTGAGTTAGCCGGTTCGGCAATGGTTGTTTGGAAAGGTCGTGAATAGCTGGCGGCTGGAGAAATGAATCGTGATCAATTCATCGACTATGTCTCCAAGTGATAAGTCAAACAAGGAAACACTTTTAGCATTTGCAGAACTAATGTGGACATAGAGCGCCATCTGTGGGTCACTGCAACACCATGGAACAGCATCCACTATAAATGCTCTCAAAGGGGCATTAGGAATGGCTCTTCCTGGCTCCGCAGCTATACCTGCGCCTTACCGCGAGCGAGCGCAATGTGCCTACGAGAGTGACAAGCAAATCGTAGAATTGTTGTTGACAGATAGAAAGCCTAGTGATACTATGACGCAGGAGGCTTTTGATAACGCTATTGTTGTCAATTCAGCCATTGTGGGAAGCACAAATGCAATCGCAAAGCACATGGGTGTTGATTTGACTGTTGAGGACTGGGACCAAGTTGGCTTCAATATACCGCTACTGCTCAACATGCAACCAGCAGGAGAATACTTGGGAGAAGAATATTTTCGTGCAGGCGGTCTTCCCGCTGTCATGACTGAGTTGCGTGATGCAGGGAAGCTCCACCCTAATGTACTCACCTGTACTGGGCAGTCTGTTGCAGATAACGTCCAACGTAAACACTCATAGGATCGTCGAATTATCTGTGAGTATAAAGACCCAATACTGGTAAACGCAGAGCTTCGTCATCTCTGGCGCACATTATTCAATTCGGCAATCATGGAAACCTGCGTGATATCGGATGAGCTTAGGAATAAATTCCTACAAAACCCAGACGATCCCGATGCCTTTGGGGGCCCTGTTGTTGTTTTTGATGGTCCCAAGGACTATCACCAGCGGATCGAGGATGAATCGACACCAGTTGACGACCGAACACTCCTCATTATACGCCGCACCGGCCCGCTCGGCTACCCAGGGGCCGCAGAGGTGGTAAATATGCACCCACCGGGTCGGCTGCTGAAGCAGGGGGGTCCATTCGCTACCTTGTATTGGAGATGGCAGGCAATCGGGAACTTCAGGGTCTCCCTCCATTCTGAACGCAAGCCCCGAAGCAGCAGCTGGACGAAATATTGCATTGCTAAGGGATGGTGATAGGGTAAGGGTGGATCTCAGATAGTGATGAGTTGACATCTTGATGTCAGCCGAGGAGTTGAAGAAGCGAAAAGAAATTCTAGAGAGCATGGGTGGGTATCATGGACCGGAAAGTCATACTCCATGGCAAAAGCTTTTCCGAAAGGAAACCGATCAGCTGAATGAAGGAATGGTATTGCGGGAAGCTGACAAGTACCAACGAGTGGCCCAAAAGTGGCTTGAGCCTAGACATAACCATTGAAAGACGAGATATTGGATTTATTTCACCAATATTTGTAAATAGTGCAATGCTGGAAGAAGAAAAGTTTGTTCTGTGACATTGAAGATAGAATCTCAATTCTCGGCCAACCATGAGCGTAACTGAGTTCACTATTTGGACGTGTGATCGGGTAGAAGAAGAATGTAGAGAGTGTGCTAATGCTTTAACATGAGTGCAACGATATCGATGTCGCACTCCCAATATGGAGTAAGTACTACTCCGAGAGATAGGTACATCAAATGTATGCACTCTGTGCATATCAAATATTGAATATTCTCATTTTCCAAGTGGTGAAAAGCAGACTATCGAATCGACGACTACTGAAGAACACAAGTCTAGACCCAAAACAGTATAACAGCATTCTGGGCTGAAATATCTTTCATACCGAATTGACTTGGCGGTCAAGCCAGATTATCAGGTTTCATTCTTCCCTCAACGTGGCGTCAAGGATCATTTCCCATTTACATACGACATATCAAGTGCTCGTACGACATCGAACGAGGGTGGCCAAATCACATGAAACGGCCAGTATGATTGACGTACGGAGTCCATTTCAGAGAGTATGCGATCGGAAAGGCCAGGAATGAAAAGATGCTTCTCGCTCAAAATGGGCAACGCCCACACATTGGCGTTTGCTTCTATCCTCGGATCAGGACAAGTAACGAAAAAACATCGGGTTGGGAGGCAGTCCGAGCATGGCAGGCACACCAGGGTCTGCATCCTAGAGTCATTATCACGAATATAAATGGCTCGGCGAGGACTGAACACGAATGCCATTCGACTGGCTCAGCGATTAATGTGATAGCTTCACGTAGCGTGGAGCACGGGGACGGGCGCCACGCGTTTTGCTGATCAGTTTACTATCATAGATTCGTAGGACAGATGGAGCCTAAGCATGGTGCGTCTCCCGAAGCTGCGGTTACTAATTAATTAATCCGCATTTCCACTCCGTCGAACTTGAAAACGTCGTAATCCTGGAAATTCCCCATAAACACATAGGTTCCGTGGTATCTATCGTGGGAATGGGAAGTCGGGCAGTGAGCAATAATCGGAGTGCTGCGTGAAAGCCTGGAAGGTCTTTTCGAGCGACAGTGGGTACTTCCCAGCGACTAGGCGAGCGGTGTTGTGGACAACCCAATAATTAATAAGAATATCGAGGATAGCACCAGGAAGAGACGAAGATGTGAGCTGACTCTGGGAGGCGTCGTGGAAGCAGAGGCACGGAAGCTCTCAGCCGCCCCCGGTCTAGCCCCCGTTAGTCCTCTTACTAAGGTAACTAAGTATTAGCCCCAGGAAAATATTAAACACACACGCCACACCGCGCCTTTATTATTGCCAGCATGCAATAATATTAATACCAACAGCAATAGTCATATTTCTTTTTCTTTCGTTCTTTTTGATCGCTCTCACCAAAACAGTAGGGCTGCAGCTAATAATACGTACATATTTATTGCTGCCATCCTTATCGTCCAGTCAGAGTCGCCATTTCGGCCATGCTCTCGCTGTAGTCGACAACACCATCTACCCGGACTCTGCAGATATTTCTCCTTCTGCTCCCTTCTCACACACTCCAGCTCCTGGCGGTGACGTTGGACATCCTTGTCATCAATTATTATTATTTGATCTCTTCCAATACCTCATATAATCAATCTCCACCCTCCCCCGAGCTACCCAGTTTTCTCTCTCCTGCATCTGTCCGCTTAGGTGCCAACCGCCCATTCCTGGTGGTTATCTCGAAAGTGTCTCCCTTACTTCTCTCGCAAATTCCGGTGGTTTGATTTGCTTGTCTTCTCTATACAACATGGCCATGGCTCAATAACCTCGGCGGCTGTAATAGCCGATTCTTACAATTCGAATAAAGGTCCACACCCGACCTCAAGGCGACCATCTTGCGAATCCAATTCGATTCTTTCTCACCTGCTCGACGAATACTTCTTTTCATTCGTCTCACACCAACATTACCATTTGCTATGGCTCCAAACATTTTCATTTGCTTGAGAAATGCCCTCTGTCCTCTTTACTGGCTCGAAAAAGGTACTCGAGTAGAGGGTAAGGTCTCCAAAAGTGAACACTGGGATTCCCCAGTGCCTGGCACCTACCGTTTTATCCCAGGGCGCGGATGGCATCTTATTCGCCGAGATGATGATGAGGAAGACAGCAACCAGACCCCGGTGCCTGTCGTCTACTGTCGTATCGTCCATCGATACCTCTTTGCATCAGAAATGGAGCAGCGCTGCCGCTACCACAAGGTTGTTCTAAGAAAGGATGAAGACGCTCAACGATGTCTCTTCTTCCGGCTCGACGATGGCTTCACCTGGGTTATCGGGTGGGACTCCCGGGGTAAATTCATTCCTGGGCCTTACCGTAAATGGTGTTATGATAAAGAGACTATGACTATGCGCCGGATGACCTCTTACGAAAGCAGCTCGGCTGCAACCTCACCTTCTACCTCTCGAAGCAGCAGTATTGCTTAGTAACAGATCTCGTCTCTTTGGATGAGATACTTGGACAGCATAACTCTTCATATGACTCCACCATTCCTACTTTGCGAGTGATTTCTCGTGAGCGATATATTTAGAGCGATAGCGTTAATTTAGACATGGGTTGGAAAAGCAGGCGCATGCGGGACATATTAGACAGGGACAATACAATTACTTATAACATTCGCAATCAATCTTATAGGAACGTAACTTACGAAGCAATGTGATCGGTATTTTGCACCCAATGATAATAACGTCTATATTTTTTGATGGTTATAATTTTGACCCATCCGCAACAAACAATTTCCCCAGTCCCTTCCTGATAGTATCATGCATCCCACTACCGGATCGAGGTCTCATCGTCTCCCTGTCCACAAAGACATGGGTAAACCCACCAACGACTTTGACAGCCTCCTCGCCTCTCTTGAAAACACCAACTTCGTACGTGACGCTGGAAGAGCCAAGTTTGACTGCCTTGAGACCCAGATCTAACAGATCTGGAAACCCGACGGAGGCAAAATAGTCACAGTAAGATGACACCACAAGTCCGATTTGATTGTGCGTGTCGGCAGATTTGTTCTCATGAGTTGGATCAAGATCACAGTGAGAGATAAGGTACGTGTTGATAATTGAATCGAAGAGGAAGGCGTATATGCTGTTGTTTAAATGGCCATACATGTCGTTGTCCGACCTACGAATATGCATCAACAGGGTTCGACATTTTCTAGGTTTAGGGATAGCCCTTTAAATGTATAGTAGCAGTGTTCAATCTTACCATCGAGTTCTGTACTCCAGTTGGAATGGGTAGTCTTTTCGCGTGCGAAGTTTTTTGGATGGGGTTGCGGGCATTTTTCCAACCTCAACGTTTTCACTGGTATTCCAGAAATACCGATCGATTGAGAAGTATATATCTCAAATCGATTTATTGAAGTTCGGGTAGATTGTAATGTTGCCAGGGCTGAAAAAGGGGGTTATGAGTTAATCAGACCCAACTGGAACAACTGAAACCGTACAATTAACGCCAGAATAGGTTACCTGCGCGTGTATTAATATTGGATCAAGCCAGCTGCAGGCAGTTCACGGGATCGTTGCATGGACGAGTCCGCTCGGAAATGCTGCGGACCAGCCGAGGTCCTTTCTTCGACGATCGGATATCCAATCAGGCACAATTGATGTACCTTCGCAAGCGCCATGCTGCACAGTGAACATGGAATCTCTTGCCCGTATTTTAAATATTTGAAAGTTATTATAATCCTGTATAGGCATCGCAATGATAATTTACCATTTGATCGCATCCAATAGGACGGACGTAAAAGCCACTAGGCCCGTTCTAGCCATGCTCGCCACTCTAATTGAGTGATGCGGGCGCCGCCAAACCGGAAAAAATATATAAAAAAGGGACAAATCAACATTGGATACAGAGAACGAGCAACGGCAAATGATGCTATAGTCGATTGTGGTCGGCTGTGCAGACAGACATACAATATAAAGAATTTTGTTTACGAAACTGCCCTCAATCATTGCACACCTGGCTAGTCGTCGCTTTGAAACCGTGTTGGCACGGCGATGCCAAATACTGTCTCGATCCGTTGCCCTCGTTCCGATTGATACAACGAGAATGGCTATCCCTCCGTCTGATCTGGTCGAAGAACCGCCTGCTGTTGCTATCACTCCATGCGATCCTCCTGCTCCGTATTACTTTGAAGGCGGCTTGCGACGGGTGAAGCCGTATCACTATACCTACAACACGTATTGCAAGGAGCGATGGAGGGGTAGAACACTCCTGGATATCTTCACATCCGAGTTCAGAGATCGGCCCGCCGAGTACTATGTATGTATCAAAGATCTCAGTCATACCACCTTACAAGTGTAGTCATCCTGACAGACCATCTACTTTCACAGAAAGAAGCAATCGAAAACGGCTCCGTCACTGTTGGAGGGAAACCTGCAAGCATAGATACCATTGTTCTCAACGGCGCGATTGTCTCCCACACAACCCACCGACACGAACCACCAGTGTCAAGTCTTCCAATCGGTATCATTCATGAAGATGATGAAATGATCGTGATTGACAAACCGGCCGGCGTTCCGGTTCACGGCGCGGGTCGTTATTTTTTCAATTCGGTCGTTGAAATCATGAAAGCTGACCGTCCTGGCTTCAAACCGCTCCCCTGTAACCGGCTTGACAGGTTGACGTCTGGTGTTATGTTCATTGGGAAGGATCCAAAAGCAGCAGACAAGTTTGCAAAACAACTGAAAGAGCGGACGCTACAAAAGGAGTATGTTGCTCGCATCAGCGGACGGTTTCCAGATGGGGTTGTTCTTTGCGACCAACCCATCATGGCTGTGAGTCCGAAATTGGGACTAAACCGAGTGCGTGCTACGGGGAAGGACGCGAGAACAAAATTCCGCCGACTGGCATATTACCCACCAGAAAAGGCCGATACGGATGCCAATGCTCTGGGTGCAGAAGGAAAACCACCGCCGGGTCCGAACGAGGAGGACGGTTATAGCATCGTGCACTGTTTACCATTGACAGGCCGCACTCATCAGATTCGCGTCCATCTTCAATTCCTAGGATACCCAATCTCCAATGATCCGATATACTCCAATCGTCGGGTATTTGGACCAACACTGGGCAAGCACGATGATAGCGGTGAAATGGACAGCGAGATATGTGATCGCCTGAATAATATGGGGAAGACAGAGCTGGCCGATACCACCACCTATCGCACACATATAACATGTCCTCCACAAGTTCCAGCCGAAACAGACCCAAGCGTGGTCGAGGCAATGTTGGCCAAAGAACACGAAAACGCAGTAGAAGTTTACCATAAACGCAGGGGCGAGAAATTGTCTGGGGAAACCTGCGATGTGTGCGATACGCCGCTCTACACTGACCCGGGCTCTCATGAGCTCGGTATTTACCTGCATGCGGCACGGTATTCTGACCACGCTCGTAGCTGGTCGTATCAAAGTAAGTTACCAATATGGGCTGCTCCGCTGGCAGGTTTCGAAGGACCTACAGAGATACCCGAATGGCGTGATCCTGGTGATGGAGAGCAGTTAATCATCAACAATGGCTACGAGCCGAAGGAAGAAATCACAGACGAGACTAGAGAGGAAGATGTTTTGGCATTGGTGCATGGAGTCGGGGTCGTAAATATATCCCAGAAAATAAGGAACGGGGAAGATACTACAGATTTGGTAGAAAGATAGCGTAGCTTGCATTTTTCAATAATATAGAATCATTTAGAATGCTGACTATTGAAAAAGGTCTAAGATTTTGAAGAAAGATTTTGGTTTTATTTTCTGCGCTAGAGTGTCACTTGTATCCTGTTTCTTGCCTCTATCGACAAGAATTCTAAGAAGGCACGCAGAACAGGTAAAGATATCATTTCTCAACGTTTTGGCACCGAGCGCCCTGAAATCCAACAAAATCCACGATCTCAAGTCAACGGGCCGTTCGTTACACGGATCGAGTGTTCGTCATTATAAGTCGACCCTTCATTTTTGAAAATTTCGTCCCCCCAGTTGATTGCGGGAGGCATGATTGCAATTTCTTTCGAAATTCGTAAACCACCACACATAATGCCATAGATAACCGTCCCTTCCAAGGGAAAAAGCCTGCAACGCGCGAAACAAGAACCAGGAACACACAAAAGAAATAAACCCTTTCGATAATGCATCGCGAATTTATGACTCGGTGGTGACGCGGGCCTTGGCGTTGGTAACCTTGACACCGAGAGCCTTGGCCTTAGCCAAGATCTCAACACGCTTACGAGAGGAGACTGCGCCGGCGATCCTGGAATCACTTGTCAGTCAGGTTCTATAGCGAACAGCGGCTGTGGTATCGAGTGCCCGCGATCCTTTCTTCTTCGTCTTGGTATACATACTCAGCGGCGTAGGTGCGGTTGTGCATGAGCAAAAGCTCAACGTCCTTGGGGTTGTGAACAAGGAAAGCCTTGTAGCCGGAAGGCATCATGTGGCGGGTCTTCTTGTTGCTGCCGTAGCCAATCTGTAACAGTCCATCAGCATCAGGTCCATCCCAGTACGATTTGACCGAAATTTTTCGATTTCAGCTCCAGTCGGAAATGCGGTGTAGAAACGTACGGATGGCATAGCAATGGTGCCCTTGAAGCGACGACGGACACGGTTGTCGATACCCTTGGGCTTGCGCCATGCTGATGGCACGCACTGTAGTCATGAATCAGCCTTGCTGCTCCCAGCCAAGTCTCCTTTCCTCTGGATGTCTACCTTGAAGGTGTCGGATTGATGGCGGAAGAAGCGCTTGGTGCCTATATCCCAGAACGCATGTCAGCGAAAGGTACCCATACCAAATCCCACTCGATGATAGCCATTCGCCGTCGTATTCTCCAGCCGGGGTCGACAGAAAACTGAGCCGGGGGAACTAACGCTTCTTCACGATCTTAATGTGTGTCTTGGCCGCCATCTGTTGAGAAAAGCAAAACGGGCTGGTCAGCGATCGGGTGCCAGTGTAGTATCCTTCGACAGTCAAATGCTCACCTCGTCGGTGTTGTCGTGAGTCTCGCTAGCTGGGCGTCGAGAGTTGTCGTGACGGGATCAGAATTCGCGATCGCAAAAAGACCGCACCAAGGTGGATGCAGGTTGCGCACTAGCTCGCTAAGCGAAGGGCGTACCCTACTCCTTTCCATTTTCGGCTACCGCGCCAAGCTTTGGGCCTGAGGCAACCAGGCAGCCAGCATTTTCTGGTTCCGCCGTAAATTCAAGTAATTGCAATACTATTTAATACAACTTAATATACTATTTAAAATGTCGATATTAATTACGGTACGATATCTACTGCAGTAGAAATAGAATAACAAGGGTCTCTGCCGAGGTTGGTGACTATGGAGTAAAACCAACCCAGCGAGCCGTCACAATGGCCATTCATAATATTAAAATTAAATATTATATATTAAAAAATGCTGCCTTGGTGTATGTTATTACTATTGTAAATGTATGATGTTGCACGGACGGACAGACACGCTAGACGCGTCGGCCTTCCCTTCCTTCCCGCATCGGCAGCTCTGCAGCTCCCAAGCCAATTCATGACAGGCCAAACCTCAGCGTCGCCGTGGCCAATCCGACCCCATAACTCTTGTCGACCACAACCTCGCCCAATTCTATCAACTCCTGTAGTGAAAACCCGCTGCTGTGCCCCGTCTCTGTTTACAGATCCTCCCACACTACCACCCTCGCATGGTTCCCTAACCTTGGCTGCGCCAGCTTCCCCGCTCTCATAGCAACTATGCCTGCGCGCACTCGGCACACTACAGCCTCAACCGCTGAGGTGCTCGAAGCAGAGGAGGATCAACATGGACTGCAAAAGTTACGATTCAATGAGCCTTTATCGTGGCGGGTGGGAAAATCCGCCATACCTGTCGCGGACCTGCTGGACCGCCTCCAGGTACTTGCGCAAGAGCTGTCTGCAATGGAACAGGATGAGATCGATAAAGGATCTCTGAGGAAGGTCTCCCAAGAGCTTGCTAATGGGCATCTTTTGGCGCACAGAGACAAGGGAGTTCGAGCGTGGGTTACGAATTGCATAGTGGACATTCTGCGCCTGTGTGCTCCTGACGCGCCGTTCACTGGAAATCAATTAAAGGTGCGAAATGTGTTCAATTCTTTGCCTGGCGGTGGCACTTATATGCTGACTGATTGTTGAAGGACATATTTACATGTATTGTGACATCTATTATCCCTGCCCTCGGAGATCCCTCCAACGCCTATAATGTACAGCATATCTATGTCTTGAACTCTCTGGCCGAGGTGAAAAGTATCGTTCTTTTGACAGATTTGGACTCTCCCGATGCTCTTGTTTTGCCTCTGTTCTCGTCCTGCTTTGATATCGTCTCGGGATCATCCAAAGCCTCGACTGGTGAGCAAATCGCGAAGAATGTCGAATACGATATGACGCGACTGCTTGTGACCATAATCGATGAATCTCCAACTCTCGCCCCTGAGGTCGTGGACATAATAATTGCCCAGTTTCTCCGCGTTGACCCTCACGTCATTGAACAGCCTGGAAAGAAGGGGAAAAAAGTAGAGATTGATGTGAATCAAGACACACTTTTGCTCAAAGACTATCCGTCGGCTTATGATATGGCCAAGGCCATCTGCCACGCATGTCCAGAAAAAATGACGAGCCATATCAGTCAATACTTCAACAATGTCATCATTGATGCATCTGCTCCATCAGGAACTTTAAATGGGTCAAAGCAGTCTTCAAATAGAAGACACAGCTTTGGCGAGTCAGAGGATGAAGCCGAGGATATAAAAGAGCTAGGAAAGGCTCATAGATTAATACGTGAGCTGTGGCGCGCTTGTCCTGATGTGTTACAGAACGTAATTCCTCAGCTGGAAGCCGAGTTGTCAGCTGAATCAGTCTCGCTCCGTTTGCTCGCCACAGAAACTATCGGTGCCCTTGCTGCAGGTATTGGCATTGCTGGTCCTCCTCCAGCTGCACCAATGGACCCATCCGCATACCCACCGGTAACTTTGCGCGATTATCCTGAGATAATGCCTCAACCGAGCGTCCTGCAAACACCATTGGCTCCCAAGCCTTTCGCGCAAGCGCATTCATCTGCATACGAGAGCTTCTTGAGCCGCCGTCAAGACAAATCTGCTTCCGTTCGCTCTGCATGGGCTACCGCTATAGGCCGCATTCTGCTTACCTCTGCTGGAGGTTCGGGTTTGAACGAGAGTGATGAGCAGTTCATGGTTACGAGTTTGGCTAGTATGCTTCGTGACGCCGATGAAAAAGTTAGGTTGGCTAGTGTAGATATCATCGGTTCAATGGGCTTCTCGGACATCATGAATAAACTTGCAATTACTGGTGGACTCGCATCGACTGATTCAGTCATCTCGATCCTCGCGGAACGTGTCAAGGATCGCAAACCGCTAGTGAGAGACCGTGCCATGAGGGTTTTCGCCAAGATGTGGGGTGTTGCTTCTGGAGAGATAGAAGAAGGTAATGAGCAAGTCATTTCAATTTTCAAGGACGCGCCTTCCAAGATTTATGACGCATTTTACACGAACGACCCTGAAATCCAAGCCCTCATCGACCGTGTTCAATTCGAATATCTGCTTCCTTTAAGCTACCCCCCAATTAAATCAAAGCAAGGAAAAACAAACTCAAGCCAATCTCAACGACTGCGGGGCTCGCAGGATACCCAGAAAGACGCTGAAGGGACAGTGGATAAAATCAGAGTACAGAGGATTCTTACACTTCTAAAAGGTCTTGATGAAAAATCCAAAAAAGTGTTCTTTGCATTTCAGGGTCGGCAGATAAACCTGAGAACGGCTCTGACAATCTATTTACAGACGTGTGAAGAGTATAATGTATGTTTACTAGGGCCGTTGCATCTATATTTCTTGAATTGAGAACTGATACGATACTAGGGCGGCGTTGTGGAAAAAGACGAGGACCGAGTCAAGGCCCAATTAACTCGGGTGATCGATACCCTCGCCAAATCATTGCCAGACTCCTCGCGAGTGTCAGCCGATCTCTGGAAGTTCGCAAAAATGCACGACCGAAGGAACTACCAACTCATCCGTTTTGCTATGGCTGCTCAGAGCGATTATCGTACGGTCACCAAAGCCGTAAAAGAGCTAGCCAAGAGGATCCAGAGTGGAAGCACACCTTCCTTATTAGAAACTTTAACACCTTTCTTGTACCGCTCAAGCTCTCTCATTTTCAATCGCAGCCATATATCAGCTATCATGGAATTCTCACGTACCGATGAGAAGGGCTTGGCTAATCCAGCTCAAGAGATGTTGAAGGAGATATCTTCCCGAAACCCAGAAGTATTGGAAGCACAGGTTCAAGAAATGTGCAAAGATTTAGAGATGCAAGCACCCTCTGAAAAATCTTCCGATGATGTCAGCGTCGAGGAAATACTCAAGGCTTGTTCGGGCTTCGCTAAGAAGCTGCCTGAAAAACTTCCTAAAGAGAGGAAATTTCTGCAAGCATTGAAAAACTATGCACTTTTCAGCTCTTCACCTCGAGCAGCGAAGCATGCTGTTTCCATCATTATGGCTGTTGCCGACAAAAAAGAAATGTATGCAAAAGACTTAGTACAGAAGTGTGTCAAAGAATGCCAATTTGGGTCGAGCCACTTCCTGACTCGTCTGGCTACGATTGCACAACTGAACCTCCTCGCCCCCAAAGAGACCGATGCTGAGAGTACTAAAATAGTCTCGATTGCTATCGATCAAATTTTGCTGACGAACCGGACCAAACAGCCGAATTCGGAGTATATCTGGTCTGATGAGGTCGATGAAGAAACAAAGGCCAAAGAGCTCGCCCTCAAAATCATTGTTAATCGGCTCCGTGGGAATGAAGGGTCAAATGATGAAGAATTCCGTAACCTTGCCGAGCCTGTGTATAGTACTTTGAATAAACTCGTTGCTGGTGAGGGCGAGATCTCAAAAAAGAAGGACACACCCAGCACTCACAAACCTCATTTGCGTCTTCATGCTGCTAAGCTACTGATCAAGCTCTCTGCCTCTAATGCATCATGCGATCAACTGCTCACCCCTGAAGATTTCAACTTGTTGGCTTTAGTTGCTCAGGATCGTTTGTTGCCTGTAAGGTTGGGTTTCATCAACACACTACGAAAGAAATTATCACAGAAATCCCTCTTAAGTGTTCGTTGGTACACAATTCCCTGCTTACTTGCCTTCGAGCCAAGCCCGAATTTGAAAGAAAGCACCCTTACATGGCTTCGCTCTCGCGCTGCTGTTTTTCACAGGCAGATGCAAGCTATTGCCAAAGGAAAGGAACAAGCTGTTATGGAGTCCATGTTCGCTCGGCTTCTTTCATTACTTGCCTACCATCCAGATTACCCGCCATCAAACGAGGATGTTGACACTCGACTGGCTGAACTTGCGGATTTTGCTCGATACATTCTATTTTACTTATCCGCAGTTGCGAACGAGAACAATATCTCGTTGATATTCCATGTGGCACAGCGAGTCAAGCAAACCAGGGACGGTATTACCAGGTCTGACGATATTACAACAAGACTTCACACACTCTCAGATCTAGCCCAAGCCACGATTCGTCGTTTTGCAGATATTTATGCCCAGCAAAACAAACTCGGTGGCGCAAGCGGTAGTGCAAGTATCTTGCAGACTTACCCTGGAAAAATGAGACTGCCTAGTACCTTGTTTTCTGCTATGACAAGCCACAAGGAAGCCCAGGACGTTGCCGATAAAAGTTTTCTGCCTGAAGATATTGAGGATGCTCTGGATAGTATTGTGCGATCCTGGATGCGTCCCAAGAAACAATCTCATGCTGCAACTTCGAAGAAAAGGAAGAGTGAGCATGTAGACACAAATGGGAATGGTGAACCAAAGAAAGCCCGAAAGCAAAAGTCAATCGGTGCACAAAAGTCATCAGGCTCTGCTAGCACCAAGGTCTTTAGAAAGAAACGTAGCGACGAAGATGGATGGACATCTGACTATGGTGGCGATGAAAAAGCGGTCTCCTCAGCACGGAGAAGGAGTGGGCGCGGTGTTGGAAAAGGTGTCAGCTATGCTGATCGTGACAGTGACGAGGATGACTTAGAGATGGAATACGATCAAGACGAGGAGGACGATGAAGACGAAGATGACGACAACGAAGAGGAAGAAGAAACTAGAGCAGCATCTGAAGACACCGATGAAGATGAGGAAATGGATGATGCCGAGCCTGCACCACCCCTGAAGACCAAGAAAAATTTGCCAGCAAAGAAAGTGTCATACACAAAGACTGAGACTCTTCCAGTGCGACGATCAAGTCGACGCGGATAAATGTTATGTTCTTACCCTTTCATGATCAAAGTCGATTGAACTTTTTCTCGTTCTTAATTCAAAATACCCATCTGTCTGCCATGTTGACTGTTTCAATTGTTGCAAGTTAGTCGGTGAAAAATCTCAATGTCACTCTTTTGTGCCCATATACTTCCCTTATTCTATTCTACGGTACGGCCTATATATTTGTTTTTCTTCAGTATGCTTATTTATGTTCTATACCTCTTTTCACAGTTGCATGAGGTCAAATGATTGCCAAATTGATTGTTACTCACTACTTTTCCATCGATGTACCTTATTTGTTGTAGTTATTAATGGGCAATGGAATGCAAATAGCGATGATCTATAGCGTCAATTGATAGCGTTTGAGAAGTTATTAGCAATAGTCTTGATAAGGCCCCCAACATCATGATGCAGCGTTTAAAGGAAAAGTGGACACATTGTAATTAAGACAGGGCAACAGCTTCAAAAGTGTCTTATAAGGAACGCTCGGTGGCTGGTACATATATACTTTCCAAGAACGACATTTGCGACTTGGCTTTATCCTTCAAATGTTCTATTGTGTACGCTTTATAAATTGCGTATTTGCACCGACGCTCAATGACTCGGGGGACCCCGCTGATTTTATTTCGCAGCGCCGAGCATGTCTTGTTCTTTATGTACTAAATGTATGCTTTAAGTAATGAATAAAGAATAGTAATGTTCCAGAAGAGAAAATGATGCTTGATAAAACAGAAACCAGCGGTTGAAGGAAAGAAAGTAGACACCCTGCGTCCTGGGCTAAAGATGGAATAAAATCGGTTTTCTTTTTTACATGGAGGGGTATTGCTTGACAGAGGCTTGAATCGTCACAGTGATATAACGGGTAGAAAAGATATGAGAGCGGGGGTTATGACGGTGCGGATGATCCCCCGGTTCGTGCTAATCTTTCTTCCACGCGCTCTTTGTGTTGTCGGTTTCTTAGGTGGACTTCAAAGTTATCGACTGTCATACTAGGCCCGGGTGTATACAGCTTCCCGGGACAGTCGAGACAACGTATTCGAGGTAAATACTGGTACTTTATTCTTGGATCAGGTTGCGTTGTACTGGGATTCGGTACTGGCGTCATCGTTGTCGTGTCGATTGCAGAGTATCGCATTACACCCTCAAATTGGTCGTTAGGGTAATTTCGTTTGAGCCTTTCTAACCCAGAGGCAAGCCAAGCTGGAGCAGGCTAGTATTGCGTGTTATCATCACATAGTAACCAAAAAGACAAAGAAGCTCTGAGTCGTGGGAGACATGAGGAGCTACCTATGAGCATTGAAAGAACTTACCGGTGGAGGTCCAGTTTGGGTAGGTGGCGGAGCATCAATAGCTCCAATCTGTGGTGCTGGAGCGTGAGAATGTGCCGCACTGCTTGCGTTGCTGGATCGTATTGGAGTGGCGTTTTGGTGTTGTGCACTTGGAGGCGGCATTACGCTCTGGATAGGGGTCTGTAAATGGGGAGTATTGCTTTTAGACATTGTATGCCCTGGGAGATTAGGCGTCGAAGGCTGTTTTCGATTCCTTTGATCTTGCAAAAAGAATTTAAACCTTTCTTTGGAAATCTTGAGTCTGACGATAAGTTTCTCTGGCTCCTCCGAACTTTCCTCTCTGTAGTCTCGTCGCCGTGGAACTCTGGTCTCATGGTGAGATGGCTCTGGAGTGGCCGAGTGGGTGAAATTGGCTCTTAGAGCCGCTTGGGCGGCGGATGCCGCCCCTCTCATTCCTCTTGTACGGGCAGTGCCTTGGGCCAGGTGAACCCCGATTGCTGGTGAACCAACGGAAGATTCATCACTATCTGACAGATCAGAATCGTCGATCCCATCTCGTTGTCCTGCACCTGAGCGTCTCGTCCGACCAGTCCCCGATCGTTTGAACAGATGTGTTTCGTCAAGTGAAGAAGCACTGTTCGGTATGACAGAGGACACAACCATTGTGCGAATGGTACGTTGGCGATCTTTCAGGTCTGGAAGAGCTGGGCCACCACGACGATTGACAGATCGCTTCTGTCGCCTTTGCTCTCGGGATATTGAGACTTCGGTTCGCTCAAGTTCTGCCTCATTGAGCTCGTAGAGGTATGGGGTGTATTCTTTCGCAGCTTGAAATGGTCGAAATGTGGAGGTAATTGGAGAAGGTAAAAAAGCGGTTTTAAGGTCTGGATCATCAACGGGGCGTCCATCAAATGGGTGTGCCGTGATGTATAGGGACCGGGTGAAAAGCTGAACTTGTTCTCGAATCGAATGGGCAATGGCAGTGGTGAATTCACCGGACAGGGATAGATCATTAGTCATTTGCAAAGCAAAGTCCTCGGGGGAATTGTAAGGGTTGTTGATTTCCCATTCAAATTGATCAACTAAGGTGTGTTGACCAATCGTGATATTCAGTTTTACCAAAATTCGCATTTCATCATTTTTATATGCATCGTATGGCAGATGAGGGTCAAGGGCCTCTTCTTCCATGAAAACGTGTGGGAAGTAGTCACCTAATTGTTCCTGAATACTTTGCGTAATTTGTCGGATCAAAGGCGCAGATGTTTCAAGTGCAAGGCCCAGATCTTCAACCAGTTTCTCCGCAAATAGCTCGGGAGAAGTCACTCTATCATGAAGATTCCATGTAAAAGTGTCACGGATCTTAACCTTCTCCCAATCACAGTCCAGACGAATTGGAACCAAATCTTCTTTTAATTCGCCTTGCGCTTTGAGGTCCTTCCTCGATACACGCAGTTCTCTGGCCTTTCTCCCTCCTGGTCGGCGCCGATTAGACGGGTAGAGTAATTGAGGGTGTTGATTCTTTAGGTCTGTTCGCGCATTGCCAAAGCCTTCGTAGCCAGTACCGTATAGGGCGGCGGGGTTCATTTGGGCCTCTCGACGTAGGGCTAACAGATGGTCTCGCTCGACGCGTTTTTGCTGAAGAATATCTTGGCTGGAGTGGCGGGTAGCTGCCAGGGCATTGTGCTGAAACTCGCGATAGACATATTGCTCTATGAGTATTTTGTCAGCTGGTGTTTCTCGCACGCGTACCGGAAGATGTTCTGTAGCAACAGTGGCGATGACGGAGCCTGATCGGGATCTTTTGCGACTGGCATTAATACCGTTGGTGCCATTTGCCGGAGACGGATGGTCATCGGCATTGTGATTTTGAGCGGACGATAGGCCGGATGCAGCAAGTAGAGCTTTGGCATTTTGCTTTGATTCAGAGATCGAATCTATCTCTGAACCATTGGCGTCCTTGTCTTGCGATGCGCTGGAAGGCTCAGGCCTTGTGTCGTCTAGCGAAGTTGGCGGCTGTCCATTATGAGAGCCGGGAGAAAGTGAGTCGCCAGTTGGAAAGACCGAATGCGAGAGATCCCGGTCGGATACGCCGGGCGAAGGCATGGTTTAAAGTCGATCGATAAAGCTGGCGACTAGAGACGTGTCGTGTCTCTCTCACGCGAGACACGTGGAAAGCAACTCGCGATGACGAGAACACCAGCCTACGGTCGCATCGTTGAAAGGGCCTGAGTGGGAGCAATAGACGTGTTAGATTCTGGACAGTCAAAGCAGGATGCTATATCAGGCAAGGATGATACAGCCATCAACTGGAGACAGGGCATGGTGGCTGATGGCCAAACAGAGGAGGATCTGTGGCGGTGAGGTACACGCCCAAGACGGCCGGCCATCATAGCAGCACAGACGCTGGCAGGGTTTTCAGGAGCAGAGCAGGATGGGGGACATGGACAGCAGCAGCCGTACGTACCGAGGCAGCAAGCAAGAATACAAGGCGCCAACGAGCGGTAGGCGATCGATGTATGAGAATGCCGGAGTATATTTTGTCGGGGGACGTGCAAACAGGATCTGGATCTCTCTTACGCGCAGGGGTTTGCCAAGCGCTGGCGACAAAAGCAGGAAGGCCAGCAGCAGAGCCGAGTCAACGAGAGCTGGGAGGGATCGCACCGGGTGTGGACAGCGGTCACAATGACAGTCACAGTCACAGGTACAGGTACAGGCGCTGTACAGTGGTGTCACTGGCGTGGCTTCGTGGTGCGTCACTGGGGCAGATACGCTCTGGTTGGTTTGCGTAGAGAGAGAAGAGAGAAGGGCTCGGGGGCGCTGCGACTGCGAGTGTCCACCTGTCGCCCTTCCCGCGCCTTGCCGGAAGCGGAAAAGCCGTTTTACGCGACACCGTCCTGCCGGATTGATTGGCTGAGAGCGTTGCTGGGGATGGTTCTTGGATTGTGGATGTAATAATTAATAGTAAATGTACGGAATAGTAGTTATGCGCTCTCCGCGCTGCCTCCATCGCAGCCTCGTGTTACGTATGTGACGTATGTTACATATTGCATATTATAAAGTTATATATTACACATATTGAGAGCCGAGGCCCGTGTAATTTCGGCGTATCAATACGACAGTGGTCATTTTGCTTTTGCCTCCACTTTCGCGAGTCACGTGGATGCTTGGTTCTGTCATCTGCGAATATTATCAAGAGTGAATTTATTAAAACTGTCTTCTCATCTACACATACTATGTATGTCGTTGAACGAAACCATCCCAATGCATCAGGTCACTGTTCGGTGTGTAGAAAGAGATGACAAGCGTATTCGTCACGTAGCATCTGAACAACTACACTATGCATACAGATAGCTTCATGTTAGAACCGCATCGACCACGACTGCGCGGTGATCCGAGTTGAACACGCCGTCTTCGAAGCGATTGGGCAGGACAGCATACCCCCGGGCCGTCCACGGCGATTTGCGCGTGTCTTGGCCTGCGCCTGGAACAGGCCCCAGAAGGATGTAGTCTATCCGTTTCGCCTCTTCGTCTTCATACCCGAATCCCGTCCAGGTGATTGCATCCCCATAGCGTTTTCCTGCTTCTATGAGCTTTTGGCTGTCTACCAGGGAGGAATTGGCAGCAGTGAGCACTTGATACGCCTCCTGTTGCTCGTCACTGTTGAAGTCACCGGATAGGACGACGCCCGATATGGATTCTCCATCGGCCCCGTGGAGATAGTCGTCGATTTCACGGAGAATGATATGGGCAGCCTCGAATCGAGACCGGGAGCCCTGATCGTCAAGGTGTGTATTTAACACCAAGGTTGTTTTGTCCGTCGCGCGATGTTGAAACGACCCGATTGTCACAATTCGAGTGGAGGCCGAATCCCATGACTTGGACGGCTTCTCTGGGGTCTTGGAAAGCCAAACCGTTTCCCAGTGTTGCAGCTTCCAGATGCTGGGGCGGTAGAATATAGGCGAGTACTCTCCCTGCTCGTCGCCATCGTCGCGACCAACCCCAATGTAGTCCCACTGCGAGTCGTTTCCTGCGTCCTCGTTTAGGCCCGACAAGATGTCAGCTAGCTGCACATGAAGGACCTCTTGTAAGCATATAAATGATTGTGGGACATGCTGGGTGTTGTAGACTAGTTCGTTGAGGAGACGCTGTTTCCGATCCGCCCACGGCTTTTCACCTTTGAAAGGCTGGGACGTGGCATAACGGATGTTGTGGGTGAGAACACGGAGCGGCAGAACGTCTCTCGGCTCCTTCATGACCCACTGGCTCGACCGGATCTCGTGGATGAGGCAGCAAAGCAAGACCAGCCCGTGGATGAAGCTCAGCGGCAGCGCCATGATGCCGGGGCCGACGAGGATGCAGGCTGTTCAAATTTTGTGGATGAACAGTCATCGACAGTAATCGGCAGTCATCGGCAGAGAATGGGATGTGTTGGTGTTGCGGCGTGGACAGCGCGAGGGTGTATGTGCATGTCCATGTTTGACATAGTAGGAGTGGTGGTGGTAGAGCAGGTGCAGGTATGACGTTGCGTCCTCAGACGGCAGCAGCCCCACCACGACAGCCTGGCGCACACACACTATTAGCACTGCTGAGACAGACAAACCCCGCCATACCCTCATCTATTTAGTACCTTCCTTGCGCACACGACAGCCGCCTCGCATTGCCATTGCTTCGACGTGTCGTGAGCCTTCTGTATCTATTCTATCTTTCTATATCGAACGTTTGTCTCGAGCCTCCCGGGCTAACGAGGAAGATCTGCACGCAATGGCGGAGTCCGAGGTTGGTGAGTGAACCATGCTTTGTCTTGCGCTACACGTGTGCTGCCTGGCAAGCCAGAGCTTCTTGGAGAAACCGGCATGGGAAGCTAACACACCTACTTTCTCTCCTTCAGACTACACCCTCAACAACCCTGATACCCTGACCAAGTACAAGACCGCTGCGCAAATCTCGCAGAAGGTGCTGGAGGCCGTAACAGGTGAGCCTGGGACATGGCAGTGCCCAGGATCCGTTGACTGACACTGCTGAATGGTAGGATGGTGCCTTGAGGGAAGCAAGATTCTCGAACTTTGCCAGAAGGGTGATCAACTCCTCGAGGAAGAAATCTCCAAGGTCTACAAAGGCAAAAAAATTGTCAAAGGTGACCCGCAACCAACGCTTAAAGTCTGCCTTGCTCTTAGTATTGACTGTGTCTTCTCCCAGGCATTGGCCATCCCACTACCGTATCACCAAGCTCATTTGTGACTCCGTACACACCCCTTGTCTCTGACACAGAGGAGGCTGAGACGACACTCAAGGCAGGTGAGGTCATCAAGATTCAGCTTGGTGCCCAAATCGACGGGTTTGGCACAATTGTCTCCGATACGATCATCGTCGCCAGAAAAGACTCCCCCAAGGATGTAGTGGAAGGTCGTGAAGCTGATCTTGTTCATGCTACCTATTATGCCAACGAGCTTCTCTTACGCTTGATGGTCCCCCCAGGTCTACTGGCTTCCGGCACAGACGAGGAGAAGGTAAAGGCCGCTGCCCAGAAGCCTCCAACCCAGAGCAAAATTTCCAGCTTGATCGAGAAGGTGGCCAAGACATACGGTTGCAATGTCGTTGAAAACACTACTAGCTGGCTGTTCGAGCGCAATGAAATCGAAGGTAACAAAAAGATTATCCTCTCACCTGGTGGTGGTGCCAAGGGTGAAGGTTCACCAGACGTCGGCGAAGTCTGGGGTGTCGAAGTTGGCCTGAGTCTAGGTTCTGGAAAGGTCAAGACATTGCCGCAACGAGCTACTTTACACCGCCGCACCACCACAACCTATATTTTGAAACGTCCAAGCTCTCGCCAAACTCTTTCCGAGATTGTCAAGAAGTTTGGAACTTTTCCTTTCAGTCTGCGTCAGCTGGATGACGAGAAGGCTGCTAAAGTTGGTGTTGTTGAGTGTGTTCGAGGTGGTGTAGTTCGGCAATACGAGCCGGCCGGTGATTCGGATAACGAGCCAGTCTCTCGTCTTCTGACTACCGTTGGTAAGCAACTTAAAATCCGAGTCTTTCAAATAAATCAAGCTAACGCTGTACTCAGCCATTACTAAGAACGGCTTGACCAGGCTGGCTGCTCCTCCTGCCCCTGACCTAACCAAATTCAAAACTGACAAAAAGATCGAGGATCAAGAGATCCTTGAAATTTTGGAGCAACCTCTATCAAAGGCTAAAAAGTCATCCAACAAAAAGAAAAAGTCAGCAAAACCAGCTTCCGGAGAGGCGGAATAAAGAAATGCAGAGCACGGGAATCCTTCATCCCGCTCGAGTAGACACAGTTTGAAAGCGCCTATTCCAGGGTGCTGATAATTCTGGAAATTAAAAGGCAAACTTACTTGGCTTTCAAGAAGAAAGCTGGAGCACTCGAAATACCGTGGATGTTGCCATTTGGGCGTCAAGGTGGCAGTTTATAGTTACGAACTACTTCTGTCCATAAATACAACGCAAGCTAAGCGAGCGAAAATTAAAAAAATAGTGAGAGTGCAATTCTACGTAGATCGCTGGTAACATAGTCAACTGCATATACCCTTCCGGATGTCATGTTGGTGACATTTATTTGAGCATGAGGTAGCAACAGGTAACATGCTCATCCAGACTCAGAACATAATGTTACGATCAATTCATCTGGATTCTGACGATAGACCAAGAGAACTTCTAGATATATAATAAATAGGTATATCCATAATATGCCAAGTCGAACATTTCAAGCGGTAAATCAAATCAGCTGTAGAAAAAATTGAAAACGGCCACTATCAAAATAACCCTTAACGGTCCGGCTGACTGCAGCTTGAGTCAACCAACTGGTGCTATGCAGTGTGCAGTGGCATTCTTTGGTATATCTCATTGCCAATATCATCTCATGTGCTCAGTCGTACACGAATTCATGCATGCGTGGAGATATCATTGTTACCGGGTGCCGTTTCCAATCTCGGGATTTTTGATGTCTTCGGAACTGGAGTCAACCGATCCATCATAGACCTACCTACCTGTTTGCCCCGTGGCGAGTCTTTTCCCAACCCCCTCTTTTCTAGACTTCTCTCGCGTTATCACATCCTCACATATTCACCTCGTTTTTTTTATTTCTTCCATATCTTCCATTTCTTGTCGTTTGACAAGACAGCGTTTCCTCGAAATCACACCCCTTACACCGGCATCACTGCCTTTTTGAAAGCCTAATACTGTTTCCTTCCCTAACATCTAACTTCTCTCATCCTCTTGACTGTATGAGAGGATAGATGGTTTTACCATTGATCACACTGAATTATCTGAATCACTGCATAGTGCATCACATCTGCTCTCTCGTTGGCCTCTTCACCTGGTTCTAAATTTAGGTACTGGTCTCGCTCATCATCAAAATTTTACCTTCTTCTACCCGCTGGAGTATTTAATACTTATAGGCAGATATCTGCTACTCTGCAGAGATATCTTGGGCCTGCAGCTGTTCTAGCTTTTATTTTCAAGCGTGGCCTAGTTTCTGCAGCCCATCCCCCAAACCCCTCCATCCCAAGTCGATCGGCTTCGCATCGCCATTCTCTATCACCACCTCCACCCTCTTCCAAGACCATCACGGCCATTAAAAAACCATCAAATCATATGTTTCTTTTCTTTTGGGTCTTTTAATTTTGATAGTTGTGCTTTTGTCACCGTTTATCGCACCAACTGAGAGACCCTCGATTCTACTCTTACGACAAGCCATATAGGCGCATTTTCTTCAATCTCTGGAGCAGGGACTATCCTCAACTGTTTTCCCATTGTTATCGCATCTCCCTCGGAATCGTGTTCACTGTAGGTGGTTAAGGACTCCTGTCGTTCTCTGCACCTACTGAGTATCGGGACCGTAGGACTCGTTCCTCTCGACAGAATCACTGGAGAAGCCAAACTAGGAAGAAATTACGCAGTATTCTACAGTTAAGAGGACTTAAAACGAGCGAAAGCCTTTGGAAAGACTTTCTTGCTGCTTTCGCTTCCTTCACTACGGCTTTGCTATTAGAAAGGGGTAGACCCCTGAATCTCGTTAGGTAGACTGTCCTCTGGAGAGAGCCTCAAACTTGATTCGTTTATTCGATGAACTAGCAAACATTCTACGGAATCATCGATTTTCGTCACCAAGCAGAAGAAAAGGGCGCTGTTGTGTTCGGGGTTTTCCTTACATTTGCCGGTTAGGGCGTGACTGGCAGGAGTTCCCGAAAAAGTCGCCTACTCGACTCTCCCGGCCTTCTTCCTTTCTTCTCTCCCTTGACCCGGAGATTACGCGGGGGCAGTCCACGATTCAGCAGCAGAGCCTGGTGCTTTTGCAACCGGCTTTGGAATCATCTGTCTGAGTGAGTTCCTTCCATCCCCCCCGAATTGTTTATTGGGCTAACCTGGTCGCGTAGGCGCTCCCCTGTCCGGGGCCGATCATCTTCCCTTCAGCCCTTGGAGGAGCTATACAGATTGACTCCAAAAACAATGGCCCCAAATTTACGCTCTAGTTCTCGAGCAACACCGCATAATTCCCGTCCTTCTACCCCGATAGCATCTCATTCGGCTTCAGAATTTTTCGACTCTTCGAGACCTCGCAAGCAACGCCGCACCGGGCGACACTCGCGCATCGGCGTCGAAATCCTGGACACTTCCCGTGAGAATACAGCAGAACCCCAACCACTGGGACAGTTAAGCAGTCACAAAACAAACGTGGATCAAAAACTGTACTCTCGACATCTTGATGCCGAAATGTCAGTGAACGGGAAGTTGTCAATCGATCAGTTGATCGCGAACTCCAACTGGGATGAGCCTACGTTGAGAGAATCGCAGCCGAGTTACAAAGACTACACCTGGTCAAATGCCTGGTACGGTCAAAATGCTGCTCTTTCGTCTATGCGACCTTTAGGACATCTACCTTCAGCGGCGGACAAGCGTAAAGCTGGGATCAAAGTGCCGAAACAGATCAAAGAGGCCAAAGAGCATAGAAAGGTGGCGAAGAAAGATGCCAGTCAAGAAAATCTCATATCTGAAAGCAACACGCCTGTCGCCACATCTGACCCTGCGTCACTCCCGACTTTCACCTCGACTGAATATGACGTGGAGAAGCTCCGGTCTGTAGTGCAAGTCGCCCTTCGCGTCGCAGAGGAGGCTGGCAATCGAGCCGTGTCACAAGGACTTCGACGGCTGTGGGATCAAGGCTCCACCGATCCTTTTGCTCTTTCCATTCTAGATAGTGTGATGAGGAAGAACCCCGATTCAGATCAGAAGGCCGTATTCAAGACGGTTATGCGAGACGCCTATAAACGAAGCAATCCGGCTGATAGCGCTGTTGCTCCAGAACCTGTCAGTCGCTCGCTTTCGACAACCAGCGTCAGTTCTTTGTCCTCGACCAAATCCACAGGTCCAAAACCAATGGGAACGCCCACGACCGGAACGGCTCCTCTGACTAGGGGCAGGAAGAGAGGCCGCGACTCGGAATTGCTGCTCGTTTCATCTTCAATGGTAGACGAGGCTGCCCCGCAGAGTGTTCATGTAGGGGAAGTTTTGGATCACGAAGAACAAGAAGATCTGGCGTCGATAGCTAAACGCACTCGTCGCGACAATTTTCCAATCGTCGCAAGGGAAAGTCAAATTCGCTCTTCTTTGGCTACAGAAAGCTCGATGGATTCATCGTTCGACGAGTCTGAGCCTGAGGTTCCGGATGAGAATACCTCTAGCGAACGTGCTGCTGCACGCGATGGTTCCCAAGAGAACAGGGATTATTGCCATCAATGTCAAACTAGTGGATCGCTACTATGCTGTGATGGCTGTGTTAATTCTTACCATTTCTCTTGCCTGGAGCCGCCGTTGGATCCTGCAAACCCCCCGAAGGACAATGGTTCTGCCCGACGTGCGAGGTGCGCCTTTCATTTAAATCCCTTGTTAAGAACCTTGGACAGTCAGAGCAAGAATTCCAGCTTCCTCACAGCATCCGCCATTACTACCAGGGCGTGCAATCTGGTAAAGGAGGTGTGTACCAGCAAGTTGCAACCAACTTGAGAAGTGGACCTCACGGCCGGGGTAGACGAGAGGGAAGGGCCGAGCAAGAATACCTAACCCGGCAGTTTGATGCAAAGGGGAAGCTCATTGTCTGTATCGCGTGTGGTTTAACATCCAATGGGACTCGTCCGATGATACAATGTGACTATTGCCCATGTTGGTGGCATATTGATTGCACAGATCCTCCTTTGCCTGGACCTCCAAAACAACTACACCCTAGTGACAAGACTTACCACAACTGGATGTGTCCTAATCATATTGATCACGAACTCTACGTTGTTCACACTGAGAATGGGTCTTATGCGGGCAAATCTCGAATTCGACGGCCTAGGAACCCTCGCGTGATTGACATCGATATTTTACCGGAGGATTCAGAAGTCGAAGAGCTACAAGAAACGGAATCTCAAGGAATTGTTTATCGGGTTTCAGAACAGGGAGTGAAACTCAACTTCATCGAGCGGGTTAAGCGAGAGAATCTTGATTTTGATATTTGCGTTGCTGGTGCTGAACGATATCGAAAGTACGCTTCTAAGAAATTGGATGAATTGGTAGAGCGAGCAGCCGAATTTTACCAATCTGCCGCGCCACAAATTTTATCAAATACCGAAGCTGAAGCATCGATATTGGGCTCGCGTTCTCCAGCCGACCGCGAAGCTATCGCCAACCTCGTCTCTTTCGCAACACAAGACCGTGATATCCCAAAAATCCCATCGGATCGAGTCACCCCCCTGATTGATGCACTGCTTGCCTCTTCTGAAGAAGGTGCTCCACATGCTCCAACCGAGCTGGAATCACTTCAAGCGCTCCAGGAGCTGATTAGTCGCCGTATCGGAACACTACAGAAATAATTGCTAGGATGCGCTATTTAGATTATTCATGCATATTGAGGTTTCTTACAAAAAATATCAAGAGTTTTACCCCCTATTACACGCGCATCGACATACATTGCGACGATACATTCTTAGAGACGAACCAAAAAACCGGTTTCGCTTTAAGATTTTGGACAGACTCAGCAGCGCTGTTTAAAGCTAGCCTGCACACATGTATCATAGAATGAAATTGGTCGTTTGATTAGGAATTCCCATTGTGAATTTTGGGAAATTGTTTTTCGGAGTTTGCATCATGTTTCTTTTCTCTTCACTTTTTTCCTCTGGGGTACCCTCTGGGGTTTGTTTGATCATTTTCAATGGCGAGAAAGGGACTTAGGCATCGTTTGTTTGTCATTATCAGGGTTGCAGCCCATATTTTTATCACCAGCATACATTTGGCAATTTCGCGAAATTGTCACGTTCTACTTTCAATGTTGAGCTTGTTTATTCTGTCTTATTGTCTAAAAGCATTAGTTTTGTAATTAAACTTCGTGCCAAGCCAGGCCACATTCGTTGTCAGCAGTCACTTCCAATCTTTGTTTCAATTATTTTACGACTTTACACTCATTGATTGACCAGAGTTTTGCGACTGATGGTAAAGATAAAGCTCTCTAAGAACCCCTCCCCCCTAAGTGACAATGCACGTATGAAACAGTTACAGTACAAGCTGAAGTGACTACTAGTACATCGATTGATGTCATGATGGCTAAATGATAACTGTTGTACAAAAGTAACATATAACTAGCCAATTGCGTAACGTGGGCAATGCTATAAAATCCGATATCCAACCCGAAAAGAGACATATCAAGAAGAAACATGAAAATAATACCTAAAAGGGATTTACGAATGGCGTAAATCATCACATCATTCTTCTTAGAGAACCGTCGGCTAGGTCATTCATAGGAATTTTTTCGGCATGCTGTTGCGTCGGCGTTTGTAGAAAATGTATACCCCAGCAAGAACGAGCTGGAAGGCAATAACGACGCAGATAAAGAGTCCCATGCGAGGCGTTGTAGCAGTGATCACTGATCAGAGAGAGTTAATAATGCTTCTTGTAGATGTGGTTGTGTTTTGAAGATACATACTGTTGAGAATGGAAGTTTGTAAAGCCTCAGTCAAGCTGACGTGAGATGTCTCGATTGCTTTATGAAGTTGTGTAAACTGGTTTCGATAGTCCCTTCCTTCTAGATCGCGCTGCAGACCCGACAACGCGTTCTCTATACGTTTTAGACGGTCATTTACCTCATTGAGACGAGCGTCATTTTGCCATGATGAGCTAGAGGAGTCCGAAGAATCTGACGACCCTGATGAGCCTAACGCGACTTTATTGAGAAGCTCCTGGTGACGAGAATCACTCTGCTGTGAAAGTTGCGCAACGTCCTGGCCAAGCTGCTGGAGACGGTTGTTTATATCGTTGAGTGCGCCGGAGTTGATCGAATTAGTTTCATCATTGTTTGTTGTGGCCCGAATTGGCACTTGTTGCTGCTGCTGTGTCTGTCCAGAAGTTTGGGGACCCGGAGTCACGAGGAATTTGAAGATTTCGAATGAATCTGGGTTATCAGGTGTAGCAGCTGTTAATCCAAAGACGTTGCCTGATGGTAAAACGACTTTTGGCGTCTGGAAACAGATTTTTTGGTCCACGATAACCTCGAAAATGCTGCTAGTCTGCTTGATCTCAATCATAGAAGGACGTCCCAAGTTGCGATATGGGTAATCACAGTGGCCGAAAGCTAGGCTGTCGACATTGGTGTGTTGGTTGTAAGCTATCGAGCCGTCGTTTAAAAAGCCACGAACGCTTCCGCCCTAACAAGGAACTTTAGCATCGAGGCCAGTATTTTAGTATAGTAATCAAGTGATGAAAGCTCACCCGTCCGCCATGGGTATCAAAGGTCAAAACGAATCCGTCAAATTTTCCCACTGTATAGATGCTTGAGGAGCTAACCTGGCTCTCTCCGTCCTTAACGTACCATAATTGGAGGTTACCGCTACCCCTCTCTTGACCAGTAGCTCTGAACTGGAACTCTGCAGTCCAGCTAGACTCTGAAAGACTGAAAAAGAAAAGTTAGTTAGCGTATTACCGAGAATCACGTAAGCTGTGCACTAGAACATACGGCTTCTCAGCCCATAGAGAGCCTCTTGTGTGCCCGGGATAAGGTGGTGTGAGGATGAGCTTGTCAGAGAGCTTAAAAGGAGTCAGTTTTTTATTTACAAATAGCCATGGACCACTCTCTACTAACAACTCGTGGCTGGTGACCTTCGCCCTTAAGAGCCCATCCTGGGATGCTATCGGAGCTTTGAGAAATCCTGGGAGAGGAACTTTAGTTGCACAACTAGTCGGTAGAGTGGGTTGGATGGACTCACTTATCTCCATACCCAAAGCTGACACTTTCTATGACCGACTGTGCACTGACCGCAGTCAAGTAAAGAGCGAGAGACACCGGCAGCTTCATATTTGATCCCCGGTGTTATTACTGTGGATATTCAGTAATGAGGCAGGATTGTGACTACACAACAATTGGCCACTATCAATCTCTTTGATCTTCCAGGCAACCCGCAGTCGATTACAATTGGCAATCGCACGCGAGCAAACCTTCAAAGCAATAGGTACAGCGGGGTTATAGTATGAAAGGCACTATTAATTGAATCGAGGAAGGAAGCCGGGGAGGAGTGACAATGCCCGGGAGAAGCATATATGCATGGGAGTGGTAATACGTCCTTGGTCGTAGTAGGGAGGTTGATGAATACATTTGGCCCGCCGACCAATTAGCTTCTTGACAGCTTGGCCTCACACATCAGATTACAATCAGTCACGTGCATCGCAACTTCCGCATCTCCGCAACACGGGCGCTTCAAGCTCCAGCACCAGTCGTCGCATTGAGGAAGAACCCTTTCTCCGTTTGTCTCGCGATGCAACCAGCAGCAAATGCCTAACTTCTATCCTTCGTTGGCGCAGTGCGCCCTTGTTGCGGCGGCCTTCAAGGTGCTTCTCTTTCCTGCCTAGTATGAACAAGCTCAAAGGTTTCTTGCAGTATTAAGTCATTGACGTTTTGTATAGCAAGTCCACCGATTTCGAAGTGCATCGCAATTGGCTCGCCATTACCAGCTCTCTTCCAGTTCAAGAATGGTATTACGAGGTATGACACGGAGAGCAGGCTTTAGGAATATCTTTTTGAAGTTTGTCGCAGAAAACTTCGGAATGGACTCTCGATTACCCTCCATTCTTTGCTGCCTTTGAATGGCTTCTTTCGAAACTCGCATACTACGCTGACCCTGCTATGCTGATTGTAAACAACCTCGATTATGACTCATGGCAAACCGTCTATTTCCAACGCGCGAGCGTTATAATTACGGAGCTGGTTCTGGTATTTGCACTGACTCGGTAAGCGGACCTGCTCTCTATGTATTTCGCCTCGCTAATGTGTTTTTAAATGGAGATATGTCGAGTCTGTCTCTCCAGCCAATAAAAGTCTAGCACATATTGCGAGCTTGTCCGTTCTACTATCGCCGGGCCTTCTTATCATCGATCACATCCACTTTCAATACAATGGGTTTTTGTACGGGGTCTTGATCTTGTCGATTGTCTGGGCACGCAAACAATCGACTTTACTCTACAGCGCAGTGGCCTTTGCAGCTCTCCTGTGTCTCAAACATATATACTTGTATCTGTCTCTAGCCTGGTTTGTATATTTGCTAAGAGTTTATTGTCTTGATCCGAAATCTATCCTTCGACCTCGGTTTGTGAACACGACCAAGCTGGGACTCAGTGTTACTAGCGTTTTCGCGTTGGCTTTTGGACCATTCGCATACTGGAACCAGCTGCTTCAACTGAAAAGTCGACTCTTTCCGTTCTCTCGCGGTCTCACGCACGCATACTGGGCTCCAAATATTTGGGCAATGTATGCATTTGCGGATCGTGTATTAATTCCATGTATGAATTCCCTCCCATCCGAGATTACAGGCCCAAGACTGACATTACAAAGTTGGCCCTCGCTTAGGCTTGTTAGTCGATTACGAAGCCAGACAGAGTGTTACTCGAGGCTTGGTAGGTGACAGTTCTTTTGCAGTACTACCACAAATCAGCAAGGAACAAACTTTTGCTCTCACTTTTATTTTTCAACTGGTACGTTTGCATTCCTGTCAGTGGACTCTTGAAAATATATTCATACTTTACAGCTATGCCTGATCAAGCTTTGGGTACGCCCAGACTGGGATACGTTCATTGGCGCTATTACATTGTGTGGTTACGCGTCCTTTTTGTTCGGATGGCACGTTCATGAGAAGGCTGTCCTCCTAATTATTATCCCATTCAGTCTTATTGCGCTCAAAGACCGACGATATCTCGGCGCCTTCCGGCCTTTGGCGGTAGCTGGTCATGTCTCTCTCTTCCCTCTCCTTTTCACGGCCACTGAGTTTCCCATCAAGACAGTGTATACGATTTTCTGGCTTATTTTGTTTCTCTTCGCCTTTGACCGGGTCGCACCTGTCCCCGAGCGACCGCGAGTGTTTTTACTTGACCGATTCTCCTCCTTGTACATTACTATCAGTATTCCACTCATACTTTATTGCTCTCTGATACACCAGATCGTCTTCGGCTTGAACCGGTATGAATTCGTCCCGCTCATGTTCATGAGCGCTTATTCCGCGTTGGGGGTGGTGGGTAGCTGGATTGGGTTCATGGTTGTTTTCTTCACTAGTTAGGAAATATGTAACTGTGTTGATATGTTCCGGAAATCAATTCCCACACTACCATCATTTATTATTATTTCTCATCGAGCTATGCATTTAACTAAGTTAACGTATTTCACAAGTAACTCGGCAACACAAGCAACCCGGCCACCCATGTAATGCATACAAAATAGCCATTTTTTGTATCTCAATATCTCAACAAAATTATATATAAACTGTCGATTGAAATTTACTATGTCACTTACTTAGTAAAAAAAAATATAAATTTAAAATGAATTTTAAAATAAATAAGTAGATCTTAAAATTACATTGAATAATATAAAATACACAAAATTACACTGTTTCTTTTATATTTTTTATTAATTTTAAGTTATTATCACTAATTTTTATCTATATTATTATTAAGCTCATTATATAATATATATTAAATTTTGGACTATGATTTATAAATAATTTTGTTGAGACATTGAGATACAAAAAATGGCTATTTTGTATGCATTACATGGGTGGCCGGGTTGCTTGTGAAATACGTTAGTTGCCGACTCTCAGTCTTACATAAGACGATCAAATGCGATTTTCACGTGGATCACAGATGTCTCCAGCGCCCCATATTAAGGAAGCCTTCCACCAATAATAAAGAGCCTCAAACCGGAGCTTCTCTGGACCCATGGCTAGGCCGCGAATGGACTAGCCTGCGGGATCCAAGCCCCTTCTGTCGCGAATCATCCGTGATTCTTCTTTCTTCTGAATGTGGATTGCTATATGATTCTTGTGATTGTTGTAACACGCCTTTCTGCACTGATTGGGCCTTGGAATCGAGGCCGATCAAGCAAAGTATCATCTCAAGCGGACGGTTGGCTGCTATGCTCGGATCCAAGCACCGGGCATAGCATGCCGCATGTTTTGTTGTTTGCTGCCTACGTCATCTTAAATTAGGGCTTCAATGCCTGCGTCAACAAGCGTGCTTGACAGTAGAGCGCACGAGATTCCCGTCGATGGATAAGAGATGCTAAGGGGATGTATAGATTAATGTCTACTTATAACTGAAGCTCTCAAGAATTCAATTTCGGTGCTCAAGTTATCTGTCTTGCTGGACCAGAAATCACTTCTATTCGGGAAGACGCGGTGGGATGAAAAACATTTATGAAGCGCATCTGATTGATCACGCTTCTTTAGACATTGAAGTAGAGTGTGCATGACAAAATTCACTCTGTGGTTTTCGGCCTCTTCTATAGTATAAAAGACAGGCTAGATATTGGCGTTTTGGCTATGCATCAGCCTCGTCATGAACATCTTGCCTAAATCGCAAACAGCATCATTTGATATCAAAAGAATGAAGAAGACTGCGGAGGATAGATGCCGTGGCTGATTGCTTTACATATCAGGCGAGGACGGACGCTCCTATATAGTTCCACATACTCCGGCAATGGATTCATAGTGAAGAGCATAGCGAGGCTTTGTATTAGACAAATGTTGCAGCACAATATTACCTAAATAGGAAATACCTGCAGCAGCAGCTCTGACGGCAATCCGAAAAGAGCCCCAGAGGCATAAAATGCCTTGGTTGTGGTCGTCTTCGACCGTGCTGAGGCAGCTGTCCCCTGGTTGTAGCGTCTGATGCTGGGTGGCCACGGTATCGTAGGAAGGTTGCGGCAGCCGCAGATGTGATTGGCTGGCGGGAGAAGAAAATCGGCTCAAGCTGCAGTGACGCAGGTTGCAGGGACGGCAGCGCGCAACTAAGCGTAAGACTGTAGCATGGAGCATGGAGCATGTAGGATGTATGCCGCATGTAATATGGCCAGGGAGAACAAGGCGGCCCGGGTCTCCGGCGCGTGGTCTAGCTCCTGCCTCAGGCCAGCGCTCGTTCTTCTCCTCGTCTGGCCCAATGAGCGAGCCGCCTGGGCCGGGAGCCGCCCTGTAGTTCCCTTCTTGGCCTCCACCTCTGTCGCTCTCTCCTCCTGCCCTTGTCTACTCCTGCTGTCTTCGCTCTTTTCTTCCTTTTCTCCCGCAACATCTCGATACCTGTCAGACCGCCGCTGCACATCCCTCGTACCCCGCTACAATACGCGTCTATCCCGACTTCTGTCGTCTGTGGTCTCACCAAAAAATAAAAAAGAAAAAAAAAAGAGAAGCTACGCCTCGCCACAACGCGCCCTCCGCCAGTACCCCCCGACGCACCGCCCAATTCACCCCGCGTCAACACCGCGAATTTTAGCAGAGTAGTCGCACGCCTGAGTGAGCCTGTATTCAACCCAGGTCTTTAAGGCAAGTCCCCGTCCTCCGTTACTTGTCCTGTTTCTGTTTATCTCGAGTATCCGAGCTCTCCCACCTTGCGATCTTTCTTAAGTCCCGGATCCCCATACAGTTTTGCAATGCATCACATGCTAAATTTCTCTCGTGTCATTACAGCATCGTCTTGGACGAAACTAATTCTTAAGTTGCCTCTAGAACCAGAGTTCCACGACGCGCCGTTTGAGAGATTCATGGTGGGAAAGTCGCCGCATCCTTCGTCGGCAGGAGATAATGGTACGAGGTCTTTCCGATACAACCAAGAAGACATGGAAAGTAACGTCAGGGAATAGGTGTTATTCAAGAGGAAGCCCGTCCAGTATCTTCCGCAGCCTACAATTGAAGATGAGAGCTCAGAGGTATGCACATGATTGCGCATTAGTTCGGCATAATCCTTTTCCTGATCCATGATCTGATTGAGATTTTCCATAGATTTGGGTCATTGCCGAGACCAATGAGGTCTTCACCACCTACGAGTCGTTCCTCCATAGGAGGGATTTCTACAAACAGCGTCGCTTCATTTGTGAAATCACGGGACATTCGGGCTTGACTTTTTTCGAAGCTCTACAGAGTGAAGTGGGTCGCTTGATCAATCAATGCCATCATCGTATATTGACTGCGACTAGATGACAGAGTCTCGGGAGCTCAACAGTGCTTTTCCAGATGCTCTGAAAGAACCTATACTCCGACGAGTGCAATTCTCGACTGTGTCAAGAGTCGACCACCTTGGTATGTTGTAGAATCGTTGCGCTTTGTGTCTGGCTAACAATGGATATTTTAGTGGATGAGATATATGAAGTGAGTTTGCATGCCATCTTGATTGGGACGAAGAATTCTGATCTAGTGCAGGAATTCAAGCAAGACTTCTATCCCGGAGAACATGTTGCCACAGTATTGAAGGACAACACTCGTCTGCACGGCATCATACGCGACAAAATGAATTTCCCTCGGCAATACTACACAGACGGCGGTGTCAAGTCAGAAGCTTATGCTAGATACTTGGTAAGAATAGTCGACCGGCCTAACGAGGAGGCTTTGCTTGATCAAGATCACATCACTCGCGACCGGAAAACGTTTTCCAAGCAGATGCTCCGCGCTTTCATCAAGAACAACACCACTCGAGAATCATGGAATGGAGCCCCTTGGTTGGTGAAGCCGGGAATCGCAGATGATTATAAAATTGAGACGGATGTACCAAAACACTTGCAATATGGAGCTCGAGTTGCCGAAAAGAAAGCCCTGAAAAAGGCAGACCAGGAAGGGCATTTTGGGTTTTTCTCATCCAAGAAGTTACCTGAACTGAAACCGGCAACTGGAGTAGTGTCAAAGACAAAATTATCGTCCCAAGAATTGGCAAGAAACAGAGCGGAACAATTTATCGAGTACCAGCGCTCACTTAATGGGGACCCTTCTTTCTTGGTCTCTAAACAGCAAGGCGGAGGTCCTCGGCTAGTCAAGGATTCCGAGTCGGACAAAAAAATCATGATTCCAGTAGTCACCATGAAGGCAGAGCCGCCCCCTCCGCCTGTCATTAAGTATCCAATCGAAGATTTGGATATCAAACACGATTCAGGACGAAAGCCTCGGCCGAAACTGAGATTCGATGTGGATGCTACTCCTGATTTAGCTGATGATGGAGATCTACTGCCGCATGATATTAAATCAGAATCTGTCAGCCATTTTCTTGAGACTTGGAATACATTGAACGTGTATTGTGAAGTGTTTCAACTGGATTCTTTCACATTTGATGACTTTGTGGAAGCAGTTCGGTTTTCATCGCATGATGTCGACTGTGAGCTTTTTGTGGAAGTCCACTGTGCTGTGCTCAAAAAATTGGTGAACACTGAGAAGGATGATGATGGCGCTATTCAGGTATCCCTTCCTGATCTACCCCAAGTCTCATCTGACGAATCAGACTCCGAGGAAGAAGAAGAGTCTGAGGACAGCCCCGAGCCAGAGCCAATAGTCACTCGAATGACAACTAGGGGTAGCTTAGCCAAAGCTGAGGCTGCTCATCTGAAATCACAACTAGAAAATGGAGGACTCTCTGAGTCAGGCGAACCTAGGGTGCACCGGGCTACAGAGTTATTGGAGCAGTACGGCTGGATTGAGCGACTGCGAAAACGGGATTTCAAAAATGGCGGCTGGCAGGTAGTTATGGTTGGACTGTTGTATCAACTGTCCATGCGACCGAAGATGCAAAAAGTCTGCGAGGAAATATTGGAGCACCTCGTTCCCTTGGATATTGAACCAACCCAGGAGAGTGTTTATGCGCAGTATGCGACGCTTGATGTCAATCTTCGCATTCGAGCCCTTCAAATCATCTGCATGCTCAGTCTGGAGACAAAGGCTATCAGAAACTATCTCGAGGAATGTAGTAACCAGATGACCGAATTTCGCAAAGAAAAAATGGAGCACCAGCGAGCGCGAAAAGCTGCGTAAGATTGTCCTTGATTCTACTAGATGTTCATACTGATTAATATGTGTACCTTCACAGTCTCGAAGAATTACGGAAACTCCATATTGAAAGAAAAGCACATGAGCCTGAACCTGAGAAGGAAGAGACTGAGAAAGAAAAGGAAAAATCAACCAATGAAGGAAAATCCTCAGTTGACGTCGACATGGTGGATGCTGCTTTGGCCACGAAGTCTGAAGACGATGTCGATACTGATGAAATCATGGATACCGAGGATGAGGACCGCCGTGGGCCATCTCTTCGCGGAGGAACCGATCGGATTCTGGAACGCAAACGCCGGCAAGAAGCAGAACGCGAGCGGAGAGAGCAACTGGCAAAACAACCAAAAGGCTCAAAGCAATATCAAAGAATATTGAAAAAGATTGAAGAGCAGGAAGCGAAGATTACCGAATTAGAGGCTGAAATTGCCATCGTTGATAATGATCTCCGAGAAGCCGATTGCCCAAGGACTAGATGCTTGGGTAAGGATCGGTTTTGCAATCGATATTGGTGGTTTGAGCGCAACGCTATGCCTTATGGAGGTCTTCCGAACAGCTCAACAGCCGACGCACAGTATGCGAACGGCCGTCTATGGGTACAAGGACCAGATGACATGGAGCGGGAGGGTTTTATTGATCAACCAGAACATCTCAGGAAAATATATGTCAAAGCGCATCGAATGACCCCGGCTGAACGCAAAAAGTACGAGGAAGGAGAGACAAGTCTCTTGACTGCTCATAACTGGGCGTATTATGACGAGCCTGAGCAGTTGGATGAACTCATTCGCTGGCTTGACGCACGTGGTCTTCGAGAGATTAAATTGAAGAAGGAGCTGCAGCTCCAACGTGGACACATCACTAAGTACATGAAGGCTCGCAGTGATTATCTCACTCGAACTGCAGAACGTGCAGAATCCGAAGAACTCCCGACAAAGCGTATGTCTACAAGAACAAAAACCTATGTTGATGACGGCAGACATCGTTGTTTGAGGTGGAAAAATACAACGGCGCTGAGTGAGATGGGCCACCTTCATGTTGACGCTGGGCGCGCCGCAAAGCGGTCGAAGAGAGCGACAGATGAAGTGAAAGAATTAAAAGCTATAGGCAAACAAGCCAAGCCTCTATCTCGACAAGGCTCTCGATACAAGTTCTAAGGGCGAGAATGAGAGGTGGCATCTGTGATCCGATGCCACAGTACATGTTCGATTACTGGCACGTTTCCAAGCCCTTGCATAATTTTACGAGCAACGAGTCTTTTTCTTCAAAATATGACACTGTTAGAAGTTTTCTAATTTACGAGCGGCTGTAATGGCTGCATATAAAATGCATGGGCATTGTTTGATTACACGGCGATCAGTGGTGTTTGGGGTTGGTGATTCAAGTTTGACATGGGAGTTGGATAAATGCAATGCAGACCGGCGTGTCATTGCCAGGTGACTTTTGAGGCTTTAGCGATCGCATACAACCCATACAACCCATACAACCCATAAAGATCGATATAATTGACATAAGGAAGCCGGCAACATCATTGCTTGGGATGGGTTGGCAAAACAATACTGCGACGAGTAATAGTGAATAAGTAGATGATGTAATAACTCGAGACAGTTCCATAATTTATGAACTGGGCGGGCAAAAGTCACGCCAACAGCAGTAATGTGGTTACTATATTATTAATATTGGTACGGAGTAGATAATACCTAGCAAATAGTTAGCCAATAGGGCATCCGGCATTGCTCATAGTAATAATGGAATAATGCATATATTGGTCACGAGACCTGCTCGCCTCGGCCTTGCCGCGTCTTTCCGCACCGGCAAAAACAGCCAGTGGCAAGCACCTCCGAATATAACCAGCACTCTTTTATGGTTGTTATTCTTCTAAATCCTCCTATCTGGCAGTTCTTGTCTGTAAAACAAACTGCTGTATCGACCAGGCGTCTTCCCCCACACACGCGAGGAGTCTGCCTGGCCTATACCCTCATCTTTTACGACCGTGGATGACGTTTGTCGATCCCGAGCCTCTGCGATATAGCCGAGCCGATAGCCTTCTTCGGAAAGCCATCACCCTCCGCGCCACTTTCCGTGGCACCGGACGCTTCTCCACACTGAGCAGTGAGAAGACCCCCCGGTTTTTGTGCGAGACAGGTTCTGCAATAATTCAATGACCCGTGCCTCCCCAGATCATGTTCCACTTGCATCCTCGCCTACTCTCTATCATCAGGCCGCGCAGGCGAGAATAAGCCCCCTTGCATCCCCGGCGGACCGGCTTCCGCCCCCAGTGAGCGTTATGGAGGCAACCGGCCAAGCGTCTACGTTACCTCCTCAAAGCATGTCGATTACCACGAAGACCTCGCAAGTGTCGGACCTTTCGAGCGAGGCTACATCACAGAAGCCTTTAGGAAGCACCTTGAGTGGTAGAAAGCCGGTTGATAAGCGGAGTCTAGAGTATGTGTTGCGTAGTGGATTGGCAGGTGGGCTAGCAGGATGCGCTGTAGGTTTCATCTCAGAATAGCTATTGGCTTTGAGAAAACACCAGGCTCTGGATTTGCTGACATTTTTTTTTTGTATAGGCCAAGACCGCCGTAGCGCCGCTTGATCGCGTGAAAATTTTGTTTCAAGCATCAAGCCCAGAGTTTGCTAAGTACTCCGGAAGCTGGTCTGGGCTGGCAATGGCAATGCGAGATATCAAGCGATTTGAAGGCACCCGTGGTCTCTACAAAGGCCATTCGGCGACTTTGCTACGCATATTTCCGTATGCTGCAATTAAATTTCTTTCTTATGAACAAATTAGAGCATTGGTCATTCCTTCGAAAGATAAAGAGACTCCGTTTCGGCGTTTAATTTCAGGGAGTTTGGCTGGAGTAACTTCAGTGTTTTTTACATATCCACTTGAAGTAGTCCGTGTCCGGTTGGCCTTTGAAACTAAACGGACTGCTCGTTCGTCGTTTAGGACGATTTGCTGGCAGATATACCATGAGCAAGCTTCGTCGCGCCCTGTCGCAGCGGCTTCCAGCAGTAGCACGTCGGCTTCCATGGCCACAGCCCAAACAGTGTCTTCTGGTATCAAGGCTGTCACACCCCGAACAGGTCTAGCCAACTTCTACCGCGGATTCACCGCCACAGTTGTTGGAATGATTCCATACGCCGGAATGTCTTTTTTGACACATGACACAATCGGCGATATTCTACGTACACCAAGCCTTGCTCCACACACAACAATTCCAAAGTCAGAGATATCGCCCTCATCTAAAAGGCAACCTGGTGAGCGCCGTGTTCAACTTACCGCGTCCGCCGAACTATTCTCCGGTGCCGTCTCTGGTATCGTTTCTCAAACCTCGGCATATCCAATCGAGGTTATCCGCCGACGTATGCAGGTTGGTGGCGCCATGGGGGACGGCAAAAGACTCAATATGGCTGAGACTGCTCAAAAAATCTATTTGGAAAGGGGATTCCGCGGCTTCTGGGTTGGCCTAACCATTGGATACCTCAAAGTCGCTCCAATGTATGCCATTAGCTTCTTTGTTTACGAACGCGCGAAGTGGTACTTGGGAATTTAATGCATCCTCTTGCATACTTCCTTTCCTATGATATATGGATGTGAGAGAACATTCAATATTCCACAACAGCGACGAGACTACTTTGATCGACTTAACAACAGTCTTCAGGATGCAAAGCTTTCAATTTCTAGCCGTGGTATGAAGCTTGAACTTTAGACCATCTGCTTTTGGCGCGCGCGCGCGCGTGTGTGTGTGTGTGGATGGTTCATTTTGACCACCACAGAACCCACAATTTGCATCATCTACAAGGAACTCAAGTCACTTGTTGACATTTGCATATCGTTATTTCAACAATAGATACATGTTTTGCTATAAATCATCTGGTTATGAGCTTTTGGCTTGTCTATATCTTTATGGGTCAGACAACACAAATGATACCCATGTGTCCGACGAGGCACTTGTTTTACTATATTTGTCGAGACAATGACTTCGTGTTATTATAGGTCGCTGAATTATTCACGTATTCTTTTGTTCGTGTGTATACTTGGAAATAATCCAACTAGCCATAATACGTTAGAAGACACTGATAATTAGTGTCAATAAAAATGGTACATTATTTCAATATTCATCCCCGAATTCTTTGGCATTCTTGTGTGTTTCAAAAAATTTTTTCAGGAATACCACTTGCATATGTATAGCACGCACTCGTATACTTGAGAGATCTTTCCTAGGGCCCTTTTCTAAATTGGTTGAACCATTATTCCCTTCGGCTTGTCGCTTTGTCGCTGTCAGAAGCAATCAGTGCAAACACACCACGTGACCGCCACGATCAGCGCGTGATCGAGGCTAGCGGGGAAAGAAGCCCCTCCAGCCTAAAGCGGTATAGCCTCCAGGCTCATGATGCATTCCGATTGACTGATATAATAGTGCTCTTTGACTGCTCCTCGTCGCTGCGACGTATCAAGAATCAAGAACAGGATGGATAATAATAAGAGCACCATTATTGTTACTCCGTGCTCTTTCTTGCCCATTGCTGCATGCTGTGGTCGGAAACCCTTGGCTAGCTTGCAGGTGCCTAATATTTGAGACGTCAACTGCATCCTTGGTCCAGTTTTCGGCCTTTTTGCAGATGAAGGATGAGTCGACTCGTTTTAATTTTCGAGAATAAGACCAGCACATCGATCTCGGCCGTCGGCTACGGAGATCTAATAATGGCATAAATCTGAGATACCCTTCTATTTTTTTCACTATCCTTTGTGCGACAACTGGTTGTCTTGACTCGTACGCATGCATATGCATCACGCTTAGTTATGACCAAATCTATCGTCCATCTTGGCCAATGAAACGACTGCGCTGCATAACAGACGTTGTTTCGGACGTCCTGCTAGTTGGCTGACCGACCAACCTGCTTCTGCCTATGTGGCTTTCAAGCGACATTGAATTCATGGGTCCAAAAATAGGAAAGATAAAGAGCGAGCCATACGCATAGCTTGCTCGGGTGGGCACCCATTCGCTTTTCCTGACACGATCATAACAATGCAGCCCTTTTTGATGTCTTGCCTGATTTGCCCCAGGTTAAAAGAAGAGGTCTCTTCAATAATCCCCGATTCAAGCGCCCTGCAAGTCTAGTTGAAAATTTCCCAACGTCCATCTTCTACACCATTCGATCGATCAGTTTTGATGCATACAATTGGTTAATTGCATCGCCGTTTCAGGGAGCGGGGGAGGTGAAAAACTAGCACTAAATAGCCATTTCCTGTTCCTGAATGGCATTCATTCTGCAACGATTGACGGTATAATCGTTGCTGAGCTTGCTCATTATGCCTAGCAATGAGAGGACGCTGGTTGTTCGACGGCATTTAGAGGTACAAAAGAGATTGCATCTATCTCCTTATATGATTACTGCAGCGACCGGAAACATCAGATTGCCACTGAGCACAATGTACGACTTTTGCCTGAAACCGTGCGCCGTGTATATTACAACTCCACTGGGACCCGCAAATGCAGGCCATGAGCACCTCCTCTGGATCTTCAATTACTTTTGCAAGAAGCTCGATATGAAGGCCGCTCTCGCAGATGACTCAGTTTTGATAGATGCGTTTCCTTGCAAACTTCTTGCCTGTTGGTCGCCTAGCAGTCCTCAAGATGTAAACCAGATCCTACAGATCCACCGAAGTGTCTGCTCTCAAATCGAGGATCGACAAGCTGTGCTCAATGCAGAAGACGCCTTGGTACCGGGTGTAGATAGCAGTCGACACGGGGAGTTCTATCTTCATCCGCTTTTTCGTTCTATTTGCATTATTATGGATCGTCTCGACTGGCAGGAGCCTGAAATACAGGTACTTCGTACCGGCGAGGATGAGCATCTACGCATTGGACCAATTGATTTTGACCCATTAAGGTTTGCCTTTTGGATCAGTGATGACGGTGATGTCCTTCGGGGAAGCTTTGGGAAAGTCATATCATTGATCATGGAATGGAAACTTCGTGAAGATGACGCTAGAAGAGAAGTAGAGGAGCCTCAAGAAGCAGAAAATGACTTTTAATGCTTGATGCTTTGTATTGATACCCAACGCTGGAATTGCAGCTGACCAACAAATGATTGGTATTTTTGTTTTAAATAAAAGTTTATTTACTTTTGATAAACTTAAGCAGTCTTCAAATTTCGCAACACGCATTTATGTACTACCATAATCCACCATCATTAGAAAGAAACGCCATTTGCCAGAAACTATGAGGTAATGTGAATATATTTCAAGTCATCGACGTGCGAGTGGTGTAAGTTTACTCGGCGTCTTCCATGTTCAACTCATCAAACTCATCGAGCAATTCATCCATATTGATTTTAGGCGCTTCATCATCACTTTCGTCTTCGTCCATCTCATTAGCGTCTTCGATGACATCCATCTTTTTCGTGGTGTTGCGATGGTCATTCTTAGATTTATAAAGGGAAAGAGTGCTTCGAAGCTCTTGGTCTTCTTCAATGTCACGCAAAAACATTTCAAAATCGGCTTCCAAGCGATCTTGATCTTGCTTGCGGCCACCAACTTCTTCTTCTTCTTCAAGAGCCATACGCTTAAGTTTCCAGTTTCGAGACTTAGGCTTCTTCTTGCGAGCGTAATGTTTCCTAACTAGAATAACGTCTGGTATGGTCGAGCTGTATTGACCGCTTTCCTCAATAGCTTCGAAATTGGGATCATTGAAATTCGTGCCGGTCAAATGGTAGCCTAAAGCTGAATCTCCGACATGAAGTACGCCTCCCAAATGGGTCCTCGTGAAATATGTAGTATTGTTAACTCCTAGATCTGACGCACGTGCAACCGTTACTTCAGCTAGAAAGAAGCGTCCTTTGGACTCTCCAACCGGTTCGATGTCAACGACAATGAACTCGACAAGATCTTTTACATCGGCAAGATTGCTGAATGGTGACCTCCAGTATACTGGTGTCGGAACATCGGCGGTCTGTAGCGTGTTGGGGTCAAGGAGGTTAATTGAAGTGCCGACCCGATAACACAACGTCAATGGCGAAATGTTGCCTAATGATCTAGCCAGTTTCAATGGAAGCGCTACAAGATCGTCCTTGCAAATAGGAATCAGCTGAATTGAGAACGTCAGCTTGTAGGAACGTGTCGATTCGTGAATGTCCATAGATATAAGCTCTTGGGATTTCTTAAGTCGCACAGGGGTCACAGATGACAGGAAATCCACTAATTTTTCGGCATGGTTTCGTTGCGCAAAATAGAAGTCCAATCCATCTTTTGCCTCTTTGATGTTGATTGTATCACGATGTGCTCGGTGTTTCAATATCAGTTGCTCGAGGTACAAGAAGGTTCTCTTGTGAGGGACCTTCTGGCGCACCTGGACACCTAGGGACAAATAACGTGATCAGCAAGGGTAAATTCGAAGGATATGAAGGCGACTCCGACTCACATGCGCGCCAAGAATGGTGTGTGAACGACTTGGCACAGTCCGGACACTGCTGTGTTGAGACAACGTACTCAACCTCGAATGTCTGTTGGAGGATGGTTCCTTGGAAAGCCTCTTGTTGGATAGTTATTTTAACCTTGATCCGCCTTGAATGTGGCTCTGTCCAGATGAAGCTTGCATCAATAATCCGAACTTTCGACAGGCCTCTCAGTTTCCGCAGGCATAGAGCTAGCAACTCTCGTGATTCCAAAGCAGCAGTGAGCCATGTATTTGGAGGCTGTAGCCACCTCTATATTCTCCACATTAGAGTTTGTACTCGTAGTTTCCGACATTGAAACATACCTCGCAATCTTTGCAGAAATGGAGAGTCGACTCCCGTTGAATGTCTTGCGTTACGTCGACCGTCGTTCGAATACAGTCATTACAAAGTGCGCCTGCGAAGTTAGTATCATATCACGCTGCAGATTCGAACAAATTGAAGACACACCGGCAGATGAGGTTCCGTCTATAGGACTGCCACAGTTGTAGCAGAGGATTCTAGAGAATTTCAGCCTGTGTGTGGGTTCGCATTAGAGATATAATACGCACGTTGCTTCTGGTTGCTGCTGCGCACTAATGTCCGAAATTGGGACAGGCTCGTCCAGGTCCATAGACATTTTTGGCTCGATTCTCGTCTTATCGTGGTATGAGAATCAACTATGGCGGGCGACATTTGCCCCTCATAGAAATAATATTTTTTGTGTTTGTAATGTTTGCATTTTCTGGGCTAGTCTCCTCTGGGCTAGCGCTGGCTCAGCCCGATCCGTCAATCATCGATTGATTAATTATTACGGTTGAGTACCTCAACGTTTCAACCGCGCAACAACCAAGCTGCCCCCAGCCAACAATTCCCAATGGCAGCAGCTTTGGCCAGAAGTGCAAGATGCCAAACGTGTCGTAACAGTATTTTGCAAACGTTTGCCGCGCTTTCAGGGCTTGCAATCTCACAAACAGCTCGCTTTCCGATCAAGCCCCAAATTAGGGGCTTCTCCGCTCCTCCATGCTGGAGGACAGAGTCTTCAGACCGCAGTATAAATGCTGCGGCAACCGACATGAATCAAGAGGGTCAGCAAGTCAAAGACACACATAAAGCATCCCAAGCTGTGCCATGGTATTTACGAGTCGAAACCCATGCCGAGGAGCCCCATCCTGTGGCCAGACGACAAGAAATACCGCCCGTCCCCGAAAACTCCCCCCCGATTATAAAAGATTTATTACAGAATATCTCGGTTGAGATTGGCTTGGATGACCTGGCTTTGCTTGACTTGCGAGCTCGGGATCCGCCTTCCGCTCTGGGAGGCAATGTCATTATGATTATTGGCACCGCACGAAGTTTAAAGCATTTAAACGTTTCGGCCGATCGCTTTTGTCGATGGCTGAGGTCCGCATACAAAATGCGACCGAACGCCGATGGACTGCTAGGTCGTAATGAGCTTAAAATCAAGCTTCGACGCAAGGCTCGTCGTGCCCGTATTTCAGGTGGCTCTGGGGCATCAGTCGCAAGTTCAGATGACGGCATCACTACAGGCTGGATATGTGTCAATGTCGGCTTTGTGGATGATCCCGGTGCCATTAATAAGGTTAAGGAAGGCGTGTTTGAAGGCTTTGGTAAAACCCAAAGTGGTACGAGGGTGGTTGTGCAGATGTTCACTGAAGAAAAAAGAGCGGACGTTGATTTGGAGCAACTCTGGGCTCCAAAGCGGGAGAGTCAGATTAAAAAGATTGAAACACGCCTCGAGGGTTTAAATGAGAATTCTCAGGCATTTCAATCCGATTCAAACTTACTGGGTCATGAAAATTCCAGCCGGCAAGGGTCGAACCCTTTCGTACCTTCGCCTACCAGATCTTTTGGCCAAAGGAGAGAATTCAGCACCGATTCCAAACGTCAAAAGACTGTATGGCCAGATTTCATTATTAATCTGGACAAGGATGACTCGGAAGCAGTAAATGGAAACAAGAACTTGGGTTTATTACACTCATATAGACGAGAAATTTACTCTTGTCCTACAATAGAAATGGCTAGAGGTCTGCTTGGAGATGGCCCGGATGATCGTATTTCCACTGATTTTCTGCAGAGATGTCACACTTTAGTCGAAGGGGAGCATAGACTACAATCAACATTGCAACTGATGTTGGCTGCTGCCGGGATAAATACTCGCCATCCAACATACTCGAAGGAATACTTGTGGACAGTATTCATGGAACACACTGCTTCTGGATTTGAATTGGATGAGTCACTGGCTTTTGATATCGCGAACTCATTTCTCAGCCCTCGGTTGCCACGCGGAGAGCAGGTTCCAGCAGCGCTTCGAGAATTTGACGTCGAATCTGCATTTCGTGTTCTTGATTTCCTCTCTCTTCGAGGGACGCTTACGCTGGAATACCGCATGTTCATTCTACTCTATAGGGCCTTACTTACTGCTCCGTCAAACGAAGACGCCGATGTTATACTGCAGAAATCTCGACGCATCCGACAGGTCATGGACACACTTCATGGTGTTGTTGACTGGAACATGCCCGAGTCCCAGAAAATCATGCAGTTGAGACTGCAAGTCAAAGATACCGAAGGCTTCTGGGAAATGTGGCACGCGATACCCTTTACTAAAGGCACTAGAACGAGCGAGGATTATGAAGTTCTTTTCCGAACACACGCCATTGTGGGCGATCCTACTCTTGCGCGCCACTGCGTAGTGACATGGTTACCCATGATGCAGCGGGAAGAGCCCCCGATTGTACTAAACAGTGATCTTATCAGCGATATTGCAACTTGTATATACACCGCAGGGTACGACAACCTGGATTTCAACCCGGAGCTGTCTACCGGATGGTGGGACGATATTCGCCCGTCCATCCTGAAGCAGTTGGAGGCCATTTGGAAGGAAACGCCACGCGCTTAGCAATTATCTTGTTTGTATTCTATTTCACTCTTGTATATTAGACACCCACAACCTGTAACACCAGAAGCCATATGCACATATCACCTATAGGCTAGAGCTCAACGTTTGTATCAAGAGTAGGAATATTGAATAAGGACAGTTAGGGCGCAGGTGGGTCACATTCCGGCTGGACCTCGGCTTGCCCGAGCGGGCTGTCGACCCGGGGCAATTCTTACTCCAACAACCCAGCGAGTTACAGATACTGTCCAGTCCCTCCGAGCACTTGCGTCGTGGTGGTATTGATACCCGTCCTTGTAGTGCTGAGAATGTCTGTAACGTCTTACATCTCCCTCATCATCCAAGATGGAATATATGCCCGGTTTGCAGAATGAACTAGACGACTTGAAGCCGTCGCTGTTTGGTAAGTCGTCCGTCGCTCACACCCCAAACGTCTCAGATTGTCAGATCATATCATCGACATCAACATCAAAGAGCTAATTATTTCAATGAGCAGAGCTTCTAGCCGAGCAGCAACTTTCGTCTCTTCTCCCTCCATCGATTCGTTACCTCCTTGCCGTTGCGACACACCGACACCCTCGGTACTTGCTCCGAGTGCTCAACAATTTCGATGAGCTTTATGCACTTTTGTCACTTCTAGTCGAGCGCTACTACCTCCGCGCGTTCGGAGGATCATTCACGGAAAACTTCTACTCCCTCAAACGTGAACGTGTCGCCTTTACGAAGAATGGAGAGATACCACGTGCTCAGATGGGCGCTGCGGCACCTGTTCGGGAAACCTTAAGATTGCGCACAGCTGACGTTTGGAAGAACCTGGTGGTTATGGTGGGACTGCCATATCTAAAACGGAAGCTCGATGAAAGTTACGATATCCATGTTGCGCCACAAGCTTCGTCACTGCTTGGTGGACCTCGATATAATCCTAACGACGGGCTTCCAGCAAACCCGACAGTCAAGCAGCGCTTTATGTTTTATTACAAATGGTTCTTGCGGAATATGTACCCGTCTGTGAACGCGGCTTATTACTTCTCGATTGTGGCATTCAACTTAGCCTACCTCTTCGATAATACAAAATACTCATCGCCGTTTCTTTGGCTTATCGGCACGCGTATTCGCCGACTTGGTCCTGCCGACCATCGTGCGATTGCAAGTATACTTGAAGCAAAGCCAAGCAGCAACAACGTTCGTCAGCAACAGCAGCGGCCTGGCTCTGCCTTTCTTGGTTTGTTAAGCCCGCAGAACCTCTACCCTCAAGCATTATCATCCTTGCGATATTTGCTGCCAGTATCCATCTTCGCACTAAAGTTCCTCGAATGGTGGCATGCAAGCGACTTTTCGCGACAGCTTGCCCGTAAAGCTACCGAAAACCTAGATCTCCCAGCCCCCGTTGTCACTGGCATGACCGATCCCTCTCACAAGAAGACAGCACAACCACCATCCTCAGCTACATCCTCTACCTCGAACCTCAAACCGGCCCTGAAGAAGTCCTCTTCCCACCACCAACCGCCAGTCTCATCGACATCTTATTTACCAATCTTCACAGTCCCGTTGCCAACAGCAGATTCAGGCAGTGCTAGTGCATGTCCTATATGTTTGAATCCACTCACAAACCCTACAGCATGTCAAACTGGATACGTGTTCTGCTATAGTTGTGTTTTCCATTGGTTGAATGGCGAACATGAACGTCAGATGGACTTTATGAACGGTATCGACGGCGGTGCTGCTTGGGAGGATGATGAAACTAATGCCGCTGTAGAAGGAAGAGGCAATGAGAAGGACCAAAGCAGCCAGGAAGAAGACGAAGTGGCGGCAACATCAAGCAAGACTAATAAGAGTAGAGAAGGCAGGTGGGAAAGCGGTAAGGGAAGATGTCCTGTCACAGGCAGGAGAGTACTCGGGGGTACGGATTGTTTGAGAAGAGTTTTGGTTTGAGGATGGATATTCAGACTTTATTGGCTGTCTCTCCATTAGTGTAATAATTGTATCTATTCGCATACAGTATACCCTATTGTATATTGAAAGGTTTACATTCAAAGTATTCTCGGCTTTCATTGATTATAATTATGTGCTATCTTATCTATAATGCGAATGCCTCTTGCTGAGAATTAATGGGTAAGTATACCGCTAAAGTAGTTGTGAGAAGAGGATCCATGTCAAGAAGGAACAGTATACGGCTGGTCATTATCAAAAATCAAATGCGGTCGTTCCTCGGCAACCTTGAGAATGGTCTGGGCAAACAGCGAGTTCGCCCACGCGAACCACGGCCTTGAGTAATCGGTCACGTTGTTGACATTGATGGATTCGTGAACCAAGCCAAGAAGGCTTGAGTTGAGAACCATATTAATGGAGTCCAAGATTTCCGCGTCGTCGTTACTGGTTTGAGCACGGACGAGTAGGGACATTGGCCAGGCGGCGGTAAGGCCAACTAAAGCAGCATTCTTTAGTATTTGAATAATAATAATAATAATAACGTCTGCATTTATGAGCATTGACTTACCATGAGGTCCCCCAATTCCACTGAAAGCCGAGCCACTCAAGTAGTAAGGATTTCCATTGGCCTTCAAAATCATCTTGCGAGTGTTTTGATATACAGGATCCTCTAAGTCAACATAGCCCAGATAAGGAAGAGACAAAAGCGAGGGAATGTTAGCGTCGTCCATGAAAAGACGGGAACCATATCCGTCGACTTCGAAGGCATATACGTCACCGTAGACGGGGTTATTGACTATCCCATGTTTCTGCACGGCTTCGCGAAGATTGTTGGATCTTACGCGTAGATCGTTGATGAGATTCTGGTCTCCACCAGCCTGTGCAAGAGTGTCGGCAGTTTTCCCTAATTGAACTGCCATCATGGCGTTAGGAGGAATGAAGAATCCGAAAATTGTCGCATCATCACTAGGTCGGAAGGCACTGCGAATCAAGCCTGTGCCTTTGTTGAGGGGGTTTCCAACGCCGTCCAGGGTGAGAGTCTCAGTTCCGAGGGTAGTTTGTCGTTGGAACGTATATACATTGGCCACAAACTGACCATCGGCGTCAAAGGTAGGCTGCGATTCAGCATCTAGCAGTTCGAGGACGGTGTTCAGGGCTTTATACCACCTATCTGTCAAATACTCGGTTGAACCCGTTGCATTATGGAATTGATTGCCAAGGGAGAGGAAAGCTGCCAAGGAATCAAGCTCGTATTTACATTCGAAGACAACCGATGGGTCGTATGTAGGGTGAACAGTGTCCGTTTGAGAGCTGGCAGTAGGCTTCAAGCCGCTGGGCGGTGGGGGTTGGAACGCATTGCAATATGGGGATTGAATGACAAACTCCGCCTGGGTTTGAATGGCACCAAGGATGAGTTGGTACAGCGCCTCGTCTGATTTAGCTAGAGGCTGGTACGGCTCCAGTTGGTTCGTGCTGTCACGTAGCCACTCTGCGGTGATGTCTCCAGTAACGATGAACGACTGTGCGCCCGTCCAGGACTCGGGAACTGCCCGTCTGTTATTTGAACTCTTTGACGCAGAAGAAGTTGAAGAGTTGACGTGCCACGCAATGGTCGTGTCCAGGGTGTTCGGCAAGGCATTGGTGAACAATTGAGCCAGATCCTTGTTGACCAGACGGGCGGTCACGTCGGAGATGACCTTTTCCACAGAGTCCGAGACAAAGGTCCGGCACTCAGCAGCAGGACGTTGGAAGGGCAGTTTGAGAGGACCATCGCTATAAGGAGCACTAATTCACGCCACCGTTAGTTTGTACTTAGAGCAGAGGATGCTACAAGACCCATGGGACATACTGCGGCACTTGGGAGTAGTCAAGGTAGTCCGGACATGCGCGACGCAGAAGAGCCGGGTCGTCTCGAGGTACTGCAGTGCATTGGCCGCATGTAGCAAGCAGAGCCAGCGCGATGGTGGCCGCAGCCGGAGTTGATACCGAAGCGATCATGGCGGATGCAACAGACGATGAGGCGCGCGATAGTGATGGGAGAGGAGCACGCAAGTTGGCAGCTGTCGATACACAGGGGTGTCAGGACCAGAAATGCAAATGCATCGGCGGAAATGAAATAAACCAGTCCATCGCGTCCGACTATAGCTAATGTAAGAAGAACATTCCGATGGCGGACAGCAAACAGTGCAGGCGGGATACGATGCATGTGCTAGCAATCGCACACTAGTATTCATAACAACAACAATAATAACAATTACAGCCAGACGATCACACCCAGGCCACTCGCTAGCGCCATACAGCTCGTTGGGGAGAGCTGGTAGAGCTGGCTAGGTACCCAGTAGTAATTAATCGACTTTCCCCCGCCAGAAGCCTGTCCTAAGGCAGTAAACAGTGATGCTGATCGCGTGCGCCGATGCAACCTCCCATGCTAGTAAGTTACGTTACGTGCGGAGTAGTCCTGTTTGTGTTTGTCTCTGTCGTTCCTCGTGCATGTATTAAAATTTAATCTCTCGTTCTGTGATGCGCTGCTCGCTGACTCGGCCAGTTTCTACCGACGGGCATTGACTATTACTGTGTAACACTGTACTGACGCGCCCACGGCCTCCAGTGTTCATGTTGTATGGATCAGAAAATAGCATCATTGTGAACCCCGCTTTTGACATCCTTCTCCGTCCATCGAGTTAGTGGCATCGATATCTGGAGAAGTTTGCGATCCGCCACGTTATTTGTCTTAGAGGGAATTCTATATGGACCACGGACTAGACTGCTCTGTGATATACTGGAACGTTAAATAGGCACATCACCGCAGTCATGACAATTGTAGCAGTAGTATTAGACTAAACTTCATTTGTCTATCTGTGTAAGAGTGTACTCAGGTCGCCATAACTGGATACCTACTGCTTTTTCGAGAAGAACGACATGATGTTTCCCTGTCCAGGTTTCTTCTCTTTCGAAACATTTGCACTGATAGCGGGCTTCTTCTTGGGTGGCGGTGCTGGTTCGTCCTCAGAGAAAGATTCCCAAACAGGTTCCTCCACGGTGACTAGGTACGCCGTTAACATATTTTTTACATGTACCAATGGCGAGTACTTACCAAGGTAGCCTTCCTCATCCTTTTTGGTTTTCTTCTTCATGATTTTCCGCTTGCCTCTGCGTCTTCCGTTCGTGATTGTGATTTCTTCTTTCGATTCCTCGGGCTCGGGCTCGGGCTCAGGTTCAGGTTCAGGTTCAGGTTCAGGTTCAGGTTCAGGTTCAGGTTCAGCTGCTTCCGATTCCTCTGCCGCAGATTCGTTCGAAGCATCAGGCATAACATCATCTGAATGGCATTCAGCATGAGTAAATATAAGTAGATCGAGGCCGATATACCATCATCATCTTCCATCATTTTCTTCAATTTTGCCTCTCGTTCTTTCCTTGACTCTCGAGTCGAAGTGTTCCTGCGTTCCACGCTGTTGGCGAAAGGATCGCGGTCTTCGTCATCTTCGGCATCGTCGTCGAACATGCCTGTGATCCAATTAGCACTGACCAGGGGACAGTCAACTAGATTACACACCATTTCCAGAATTTAAATTTTGCGCCTTGAATTAAAATATCAGCATACATCGTAAATATTCACAGGTAAAATACGTACAGACTCGATGCCTGAGGCAGGAAATTCTTCCTTCCTGACCTTTGGCTTGGTCTTTGCGAAGGAAGAAAATAGATCGCCTTTGTTCTGCTGAGTTCGAGATTTTTCCACAGTCTTTTGTTGCGGCTGTTTAGATACAATTCCTTGATCAGTTTTCTTCTTTTGTAGAGGCTCGTCCTTCGGCGCCTGTGCAACAGATATGCTAGGTTTTGTAACGGTCGGTACAGCTGTCGGCGGAGGCGGTTTCATTGCTTTTCTTCGTTTGACATTCTTATTTTGAATCATACCCCAACGTGCTCCAAACTCGAGCGGGTCCTCCTCTCCATAAGAAGAGGTTATCTCTCGGCTGACATCTAGCAAGGAATGGAGGTCCTGGAGCGCATTTGGCTGCAAACTGTAGATATGGATCGTAGTGATAGACTGAAAGGTAGCCTTTGCGCCTGTAGCCTCATGTTAACAAATCAAACCAACCATTTTTAATGGCGGACTACCCTCGAGATCCTCTTCCCTAGTGAGTAGGAATGTTGTAACACGAGTGGCATGTTTACTATGTTCGATTTCGTCCGGGTGTGGCAATGAGCTCATATAGGGGCTGCTCTTCATGAATGTATCCTCTCCGTCTTTATCTTTCGACACCCCATTTTCGGCTGGTTTCCTCTGTCCTGCTGGTACCCCGCAGATCAGATATGTCGCAGACAGGCTCTTTGGCCGTTTTGCATTCTCGGTGCGATGGAAATCGTAGAGCATTCTGGCTCTGGTTTAGCATGTCTCGCAGGGTGGATAGGAGATGGTGGATGGAGGCATTCGCATACTGCTTGGCAATGTTGCTGTGGACTTTCAGGACTCGACTGAGCAGCCGATAGTTCACCTTGAAGCAATGTTAGTATCGCCAACGGTGCGAGCCATGAGAGACCGAGTGAAAAATGAAAACATACAGTGCGTCTCTCACTGAGCACAGTTTCAGCCAGGTAACTTTTGTAATCGGCCGCCATTGTGAGTACAGCTAGTTGTTGCGAAAGAGGAAGAAGAAGAGAAGTGCGAGGGGAAGGAAGCTGACAACGCGTGCCACTTAACGCGTCCAGGCTTGGCGCCCGGCGGAGGAAAGAGCGACCTCAATTACCTCCCAGATATAATTAGTACTACTTCACTTGCGGCTTCGTTTGCAATTCGTATTTTACTGCTGTTGCTGCGCAATCACCCCCGATTTCTCAGAGGGGCTTGCGAAATGCCATCTCGCTATGGACCACTCCTTTGATATACCTGACTCAACGGACTGGCTGAATACACCGCTCTCCGGCGTCGCGTCGCTCGAGTCCGCCCTGCGCTGCCAGGTTTGCAAAGACTTCTTCGATACCCCTGTCATCACGTCTTGTTCGCACACATTCTGCTCGCTCTGTATCCGACGGTGTCTCAGCGCTGAAGGGAAATGCCCGGCTTGCCGATGTGCAGACCAGGAACTTAAGCTCAGACGCAACTGGGCGGTTCAGGAGCTCGTGGATACATTCAAGAACATTCGACCGCATATGCTAGCCCTAGCACAAGAGAGTGCTGCTTTAGACCAGGAAGACCCTGATTCTTCACAACCCGCGACCAAAAAACGGCGATTAGATACCGCAGACGAAGAGGGACAATCACGCCCAGGGTCAAGAAGAACAAGATCGCAGGCGAAGGCTCGTGAAGCTCCGGTGGTGCAAGTGCCTCCTGAAGAAGATCCTGAGGACGAAGACTATATTCCCGGTATTTAAAATCTCCATACCCTTCTGAGCGTGTCTAATCCTTTATTTTCTAGATGACGGTCTTGTCGCATGTCCCATGTGCAATCAGCGAATGAAAGAAGGAATAGTATTCAGCCATTTGGATATCTGCAAAGGTCCCCAGAAAAGCTCAAAGGGATCTCGGTCTAACCGGTATGTCTTGGAAGAATATGCCCTCACTGTATACTGCTCATCAAAACTACTCTAGGCTACCTCAACAATCGTTTCAATACCAACAGCAAAGCAACATTCAACCACCCGATCGTCTTCCGGTTATCAACTACTCCCTGCTCAAAGAAAACGCACTACGCAAGAAAATGAAAGAATTAGGTATACCAGACTGGGGGCCTCGGCCTCTGCTACAAAGACGACATACTGAGTGGGTGAACCTCTTCAATGCGAACTGCGATGCAATCGTTCCGAAGGCAAAAAGAGACTTGCTCAAAGATCTGGACATTTGGGAACGAACGCAAGGCGGTATGGCATCAAATATGGGAGCGCCAGTAGGACCCAATGCCGTTATGGCGAAAACTTTTGATGCGACTGCATGGTCGACGAATCATGATGATGACTTTAGACGTCTTATAGAGAACGCGAGGAAGAAGAAAGATGTGAAGATTCGTGAAGATTCAAAAGTTCCCCAGCCATCACAGGGACAAACAAACGTCACTGGTCTGCCAAGTGATACAAACGAAGCGAGTAACGTTCTGCCCATTGAAGCACCATTCACGCCGTTTTACAATGGCAAGTCAAGTTCCGATTTGCAAAAAGAACTATATAGCGAAGACGTTATAAATCCCGACGGGTAGAAGTTAAGATAAAATAATACAGAGGAGCAGCCAAGGTGCAGTGTTAGATCCGCCACTCGCACCTCAACAGTCGATTAAACTTGTATATATCATTGAGAGCTTAGCATACATACATCAGACAATCATAATGAAAGAAAGCACGGGAAATATACAGTCGTCTTACCAAAACGAAGACAGACGGTGGATATCCCGCAAATCCTAAACGAAAATTCATTCTTCATTGCGCAGGAGTAGGCTCTTCTTCAACCTGCTTCTTCCTTTCCATTTCTGCCTCATCCAGAGACATATTAGAAAGCTTTCCAATACTCACCGCCAAAAGCGAATCATCCGCTGATTCCGTATTCTTCTGCAGTTCTGCTAGTTTGCGTGCTACTTCTTGTGCAGCATGTTTCTGGCTGTCTAGCTCTGCTAGCTTTTCTCTGGTATTCTTTTCTTCTTCGTCCTCTTTCTCTCGCTGTTCCTGCTTCTCAAGCGCTTCAAGCTCGGCATCAATCTCACCTTCATCAATCACAGGAGCGGCCTCATCAATGGCATTGCCAATTTCGTCGACTTTGGACATCTCCTCACGAAGGTTCTCGACCACCTTTTCAACAGTCTCAATTCCGCCCGTTTGGGCATGGAGACTACGCAAGACGCCAGTACTAGCTTCCATAACACGTACAATCTCAACTTGACCAACAGCCTGCTCGATCTTGTTGTAAACTTCCTCTAATTGATTCAATGTATCAGATCGTTGCTTGAGATTGTGCTCTGCAATTTTTCTTGACTTGAGAGCGGAGAGTGCTGAGATGCGATTCTTGTTATTTAGTGAGACTTTAGCAGTCAAGTTTAATTCATTTATCTTCTGTTCTAGCTTGAGAGCCTGTTCTGTGAGATTGGATATCAGGGTCTTTATCGAAGCAATAGTTGAATCTTCATGCGCAATTGGTGAGCTGTCACCGCCACTGTGAAATTTTATAGTCTGTATAGAATTATTAGCTATGCTAGTAGAGCAAATATGGGTGAGAAAGGGAAATACCTTTCCATCGTATGCAGCGGCTTTGATGTCTCGGGATAGATGTAGGAGTAGAATATCAAAATCGTTATCTGAAAGCGCCGTACCCTGGTCTAGCACTGTTGCAAACCTCTTTACAAACATCTCCTTGGAATATATTCGATTTAAAGGAGAGATGTCGATGCCCGTCGCTGTATTGATAATGCGTTTTGCAGCTTCCTACCAAACAGCATTTAGTTATCAACGACAACCCATCTTTGAGATGAATTCCGCACCTCTAAATTCTCAACAAGAACTAGTCTCTGAACGTCGAGCGTAGCCCCGGTACCCTCGGTCCCTACCACCAGTCCCTTGAGTTGCCTCAGACTCCAGTTCATGACGTTCCATGGGCTCAGAATTCCAGGATCAACAACCCGCCATCGACTAGTCTTCAAGCTGAAAGCACTAGATTTATATAGCTCTAGTGGAATCATCCTTCGCTTTTGGACAGCTTCATCCTGCAAATTGGAGATGATTTGATTAGCATCACAGGAAGGTCGGCAGTCGAACAGGTCAGGCTTACGAAAACGCTCCCCAAAGCCACTGGCCTACCCCATTCTGGGATTTCGAGGTCACGCAAGAGATTTTCATCAGCACTTAGAGAGAGGTGGTCCCTTTTCTGACCAGAGGCGCTATTAGAAGCAACATATCCAGCCAGCGCCGCTTTCGTAAGGGCACTTTCCCATGCAGCGACATTCACAGCGTAGCCATCGGGATTAGTATTCTTTTGGATGGAGAAATCAGAGTACAGCGAAGGTAGCCGATTTCTGTTGGAGCAGAAAATATTAGTGAATTGGCAATATCACGGCAAGTCGTGACGCGTACTTTCTGAAAGCATCTTCATGTGAAATAATGTAATCTACCAGCTCGCCCATGGCGACATCCGCCAACACACCTCCGCTCGGAGGTTAAAGGTGGAAACAGGATAATATGCGAAAAAAAATATACCGAGAACGGAAGCTTGAATTCTCAACCCGTTAAAACTAAAGATAGGGCCGTCTGAAGGCAGTTCGATGGGTTGTTTTGCATGTGGGCACAGCAACCTTATCGATAAGATATCTGTCTGATTCTGGTCACGTGATTGTGGCCCGGAAATCGCATTGACATCGATTGATGTGCGAGCTACATGTTTCAGCAGTTGAAGGGTTCGTTTTTTTTAAAAGATCAAATGTTACTATTTCCTTCATGTCTGTTCATAGTTAGTTGATATTTGAAACCCCAGAATTCGTAAAATGAGACCTAGACTCCTGAAACGCAACATAAGTTGTCATGCCATCCCGTATATGCTCGTGATCTATATATATAAGAGTATCTGTGCTGGTTTGATGTCTGCCATACATCCATACATCTATTCAAAATCGTCGTCTAGAGATTTGGGTCCATCTCCTTGATGTTTTAGCGGGTTGAGAGGCCCGTTTTCAAGCTGCGCCGAGGTCACGATCAGTGATCTGCGATTCGACCGCTTGTCCAGTTTCTCGCTGGTTTCTTCCGTTCCCAGTTGTTTAGCGACCACAGTCTCGTCGCTAGTATCAACTCCCTTAGATTCCAGGTATTCGACCTTAACGGCGTGTTTGAGGTTGTCAATAAATTCCCGCATGTCTGGCATCGAGAAGATGCCATCTTTCTCAAGGACCTCTGCGTAGAGTCGATCGGCATCCTCTAAACACACCGAGGCAAATGCAGGCTTTCCTAGCTTTAACCAGGAATCGCTGGCCAGTATACTCCACATTGCCGCCTTTCTGCGACGAGATCCCCATCTAGCACCCCCTGTGCTTGTCTTTGATGCATAGCAAGCTGAGACACGCTCAGTGAAGAGAGCTTGTCCAATTGGCCCAGTAAGCCCCAACTCCATGACACGCATTGCCCACCTCGCGGCTCCTTCGGTGGCAGAACCTCCCCTGGATTTGAGTAATTCAACCGACAATGTTAGACATCGCAAGGTGTTCACTGCATCAGAACACCTAGTGAGGTATGAGTAACAGGCGGTGTCAATCATTTGATCAATCCCTTCTAGTTTATTCTTTGCGGTGGATGACAAAGGATTCAATAGCATGCTCAGCGCGCACATTTCATGTGCCCCCGCATGATATTTCCACGCTTTATCATTAGAATAGTCTGATCGGACTAGGTCGTAAGTAGATGCGGCGAGTTTGTAATCTCGCAACATGAATGCAAAGTCTCCCAACTTTCGTAAGATTGCCTCTGGAACCTCAGGCTTGTAAAAGCCTTGCATGGCATCATAGTTTCCGGTCATACTTCCGGCCGACCCAGAGGAGTTCGATTTGGAACCGGATCCAAATCCTGCCCACCTTCGGGACATAGACATGAATCGACCGCTGAGTCCACGGCGACGTGACGCTACCTGGTCGTTCCATAGGGCAACTTTATTTTCCATGAATGGTATAACAGATTGGACTACTAATTCGCGTACAAGGGTTTTGATAGCAGTGACATCGCTTTCAAAGAGGTAAGCAGCCTCGGTTCCAAGGTCAATTAATGCGCCTGAGGTTCCTCGATTAGCGGGAGTGACGGATTGAGAGCGTCTATTCTTACTTGTTTCGTTTATCTTCGACAGTTCTTCTTCCGGGGAAAGCCATTCGCATAAGGGAACCTCCATACTGTCATCATCAGTTACTACACACTGGTTACTTCGCAGCCTGAGAAGGTGGCAATGTAGCCCAAAATGCCGTTTCATTTGGTCATAAAGTTTTGTAGACTCGGCGATATCGTCCCTATCCTCGTCGTGGACCAGGACATAATAACGAAGGAATTCTGCATGCACGTAAGGAAGCGGCGCTTTATTGCCCTGGGTAGTTTGCGCGTAGAGTTGCCGAAGGGATTCAAGTGGAGTCTTGTTGCGCGAACTGATCGTAATGACACATGCCACTGGATGAGAGAAAGTTTCGTGTGGTGTGGGAGAGTCGACCGATAAGAGTCGACGTAAAAGCAGTTGATAAAATGGAGAAGAGAGAGGAGTATTTGTCATCGGAGTCTGGTTGAAGTGCGACCATCTATGTGTCGAGTCGTCAAACGAGTCTAGTCGTCTTTGAAGGACTTCTTCAAGTAGGACAAGGGGAGATGTCGGAGGGGAGGTAGCATCGATTTGCTGGTTCTTGTGAGAGTACAAATCCACAAAGTGAACACTGTAGTCCTCCCATGCGCGACTTGATCCCACGCTATCTCGTACAACGACCTTGCCAGCGATGTTCTCGCCGAATGGTCTCAAAAGCTCTCGAAAGCCACCATTAAACCCCTTTTGTCTCACCAAATCTTCCGTGTCGTCAGACGCAAAGATCGCAATAGGTGGTGCGAAGGAACGAATGATTAATGAACGTATGTTGTCCCCACCATCTGGCAGACTTCCCAGTGGGGACCCAATTGATGCTCTATTTGGTAAGGAGACCGAACTGGACAGCCTGCTGCTGGGGGAGGCAGAGCGGGACGGCGACTCATTTCGATAGGGCAGCTGCGCTGTTGATGCTGCTATGGAGGGGGAATCGCGTGGTTCAGAGCTGAAGGTGCGAGGCGACTGTATTGTGTCCGCAGAATACGTCGATTTCGGCACGACGATGGGAGCTCCTGAGAAAGATGGCGGAGGCTTGACCGGAGATGCATCTTCCGGCGATGTCATGGACGACTCCAGAATGCCGTATTGTTGCGGAGGAGATGTCAGTGTGTAGGTGTGGCTGCATCTATGATTAGGGGATGGCGAGATGGCGAACGGGTGGTCATGAGGGAGAGTCTTCGAGTTGTGCGTTGTGCGTTGTGCATTGGATGAGGCAAGTCGCTGGTGTCTGGACGGAAGCCGTCATGGACGGTTGGCGGCGGCCTGAGGTGGGTGGGATGCCGCCCGACAGCACAATACAACTAATTACTTCTTGGTTATTACTTTATTTTACTGCTATTATCATTGTTGTCCTTACTCCTTCCTTCCCAGATCATAGGCAAGCCACACGTGAATCACACAAACTCCGCAGAGACAAACGTCCAGCCTTGCAGCCTTGATTTTCCTTCGCCATCGCACACACCAGCACAAACAATTGGAATGAGTCATGCTGCCTGCCCATCCCTATAAATGCTGAGGCCCTGGTCGCCCTTCTGGAGAAAAAGCATCCAGCATTTACGCCAGATTGGCCATCGCGAATACTCATTGATCCCCGCTTTGAACGTCCCCGTTCATGGCGGATGCTTGCGCCGCGAAACTCCTGTGTTGAAAGTTCCACAACTCGCCTATTTCATGCCTCTCCGTGAACCCGAAGAAAAAGATATCCACCGCGCGAACAAGAGACGACGCATTGTCACGTCGCCTGGCCCGTATCTAATGAGCATGGGAGTACAGGCGGAGGGCGTCCAGCAGCCCCTCCCCAGAATTGAGCTCACTCCGCTCGAAAATCTCATCCAACGACTTTTGCTTGATGTCAAACACTATATTGAAACGAAAGAAAAGCCCGAGGGAGTGAAGACACAGGAAGAACTGGTGCTGCGTTTTACTGGGGGATGGGTTCGAGACAAGCTGCTCGGTGTTTCTAGTCATGACATTGATGTCGCGATCAGCACCATGACTGGCTTCCAATTTGGAAGCCTCCTAAAGGAATACCTGGATGACCCGGAAAATCTAGCTAAGTATAAGGATAGCGAGAACCCGACACTAAACGATGATATCGTCAAAATCCACAAAATCGACGCAAACCCTGAAAAGTCCAAGCATCTGGAAACCATCACCACAAAGCTATTTGGCTTGGACATTGATTTGGTGAATTTACGAAAAGAGACATACACAGAAGAAAGTCGAAACCCCCAGATGGAGTTTGGCACGGCGGAGGAGGACGCTTTACGACGTGATGCGACTGTCAATGCAATGTTCTATAACCTGAACACTGGAACACTTGAAGATTACACTGGGAAGGGTCTCCAGGATTTGGAACAAAAACTCATCAGGACACCCCTAGAGGCATACCAAACATTCAAGGACGACCCTCTCCGTGTCCTTCGACTCATTAGATTCGCTAGCCGACTGGGGTATCGTATCGATGACGAGTCTCAAGAAGCAATGCAGAACAAGGACATTAAGGAAGCACTCAAGCTAAAAATCAGCAAGGAGCGTGTGGGAGCAGAAGTAGAAAAAATGCTTCGGGGTAAGCCGTTCAAGTCACTTTCAGAAGAGACGGTCGCTGAATTCTAAAAAAGGTCCCGATCCTAAATCTGCATTAAAATTTATCGACTCGCTCTCATTATATTCCACCATATTTGCGAATCAACGCGACGATACGAACACAACTACTGATTCTTGGCACCTAGTATACGACGCGTTTGACAAGATAGCACGTCCTTCTGAGACTAGTGACGACATCTCCCAGAGAACTAAGCACGTACACGATATCCTCATTCGTGACGAGAATGATACCTACCATGCTTGGTTGGTAGCTGCGTTTGCTCCCTGGGCGCTTGTACCTGCACGTGAAACCAAGTTCAAGTCGGAGAAACCTCCCGTCATTGTACGGGCAGCAGAAGTTGCCAGAGACAATCTACGCTCTGAGAACAAAGTGGTCTCCCTGTTGAAAGACTCGGTCTCTCACTTCGAGGAGATGAGAATATTCAAGAACAATTTGATCTCGAATGCCATTCCTGGAACAGCGCCTGAGGTCAGACAGCATGTAGGCCTCACTATACGATCTTGGAGGAAAGATTGGCGAATGATAGCTGTGATGGCATTGCTTCAAGAAATCATGGCTGGGGCAGAGTTTTCTACAGGTAAAGTAAATGTTTATAACTATAAACATCGCTGCTAATTGCTTACTTAGTGATCCTCGAGTATGATCGTTTTCTTTCATACTTGGAGACAGAAAACCTCCTGGACGTCACTGACTTGCGGCCGATTGTCAATGGCAATGAAATCTCAGCAGCTCTCGGGGTTCGTAGTGGAAGATGGTTGAGTGCGGCTCTTGAAATGATGATTGAGTGGCAACTACTTCACCCGGAAATTACAGAGAAAGAAAAGGCATTGCAAGAAGTGAGACATAAACGAGCGGAGCTGGGAGTTTAGCATGCCTATCTAGATACCCTTGAATACTATTATTGTAGACATACTTGATAAAACCACCATCCTAAAGAATACAATAATATTGGCTTGCATCAATTAAAGCTAGTCCTAGGAACAAGAAGTATTTAATATTTATTGTGGTAATGGGCTTCTCGTTATTGCGGATAAATGTGGATTTCTGCTGCGGTCAACCATCACCCGCTTTTGATCGCCCGCCGATAGTTCTCGCTTTGCCAATACCCCATGTTGATACCGTCACGCACCTGAGTAGCAGCATTGTCGACTTTGTTTTGCGAGGATATTCCACCAAATGGAGAATATCCGTCTAGCAGCGCGCAAGTACATCACGGAAACTGGCAGTGAGGATTTGACTTCTTTTGCGACTGAGGCCAGCGGAGAAACAGTAACAATAAAAACGTTGTGGGCAGAGATAACTTCCCACGATGCCCTTGATACCTCAACAGTAAGTACCATAGTTCCAGTAGTCCTCAAAACATAGTAACTAATACTTGTTATAGTTAAACGAAGACCTCCTGGTAGTCCAATATGTACTGAAGCAGTGGAGTTCTAGCGGACAGCTGGGGGTTGACGACAAGCAAGCAGCACAGGCCATGTATGTCTGGCTTGCTCAAGCATCTCTACCATCTCCAGAATTTGCAGAAGCATTGGAAGCGGCATATTTGAGTGAGTTATGGCGTCCTCATATATATGTGATGGCCACACAAAGTCTCAATTACCGTTTTTACAGACTCCGAACAGATAAAGCTGTCGAAAACGCTCAACGCAAAGCGATCGACATTGAGCCTTGCCATATCATGCATCCAAACACTGAATAGCATATTTCCTGCTGCGGAAGCAGCAAATTTGGCAGACATTATTACGGCTCTCGCAAGTTTCACAAATAAGAGAGACCCATGGACAACAAGCATAAGTTACAGTGGCGCTCTCGCAGTTCTTGGATTATTTGTGCAAACAAGAAAGACTGTATTTTGGGAAGTCTTGGAGCAGATTTGCGTATCAAAAATAAGGCCGATATTTGCAAAGACAAAAACACCAGCCATTACTGCAGCTGGTCGAAAGAATCTTCACCCAACGCCTCAACCTAGATTCGACGGAAATATCTTTAACCCTGAAGCAAAGCCCTGGAAACATGTCAATGTATATGTGACAACTGTCTTGGAATGGCTGCTCTCAGAATACACAGTAAGTCACTCACTCTTGAATGATGCATGGACGATCCGGCCTGACAGACGAATCAACGATAGCCTTCCGACGCTTCACGCCTTGAGAGCGATTTTCATTTCTACATCCCGCCAATATTATCTCTTCTTGACGATGAAAGTTTGCCATTCAAATTTCGTGGATGCAATCTTCTCTTCAGCTTTCTCAAACCCATACAACCAAGCAACTCTGATCTCCTCCAGCGGACGAATCTATCTTCGGTGTTTGATGACGCTCTGACCCCAAACCTCCTCTCTCTTCCAAAAATAACCCCAGAAGAAGAAAGTTTACAGTTACTCAAAGCAACGTACGAAGCGTTATTACTTACGATTCAGACCCGATATCATACTAGGCAGGTTTCGTTATCCGCTGTTAAAACGCCTGACCAAGCCGACAAGAATAAAGCAGCCTATACTTCTCGAATAACAAAGCTCTTACGTGACAATATCATTTCATCATTTCACCATATAAGTTCATATACACCGACCTCCATGGAGGAGCCGTCCACCTTAGTATCATTCCCATATCCAAGGCTATCAACCTTCATTCTGAAAGAACTAAGGATAATAACTCAAGAGCTCGGTATCCATACATCGAAGTATCTACAAGAAATAGTACCTATGATTTACAGTACTCTTACAAATCCATTTGGAACCGCACACCCTCCCTTACTTGAGGCTGGTGTTGCTGCAGCACAGGCAGTTATCTTCAATTCACATCCGCGCATATGGCGGTATAGAGGAGAGCTTCTGTCTGCTTTCTGCGAATGTTGGTTACACGTTTATCAGGATGAGAAGGAAATGGGTGACCCCAATTCTAACAGTCGATTACGTGATGTCATGAGAAGGTTGCAAGGAGCCGTCTATTTGTTAAAAACTGCTGTTATAGGAGCGGATAACCTGAAGCAAGAGGATTTCGAAACAGTCAATTGCGTAGGTGTGGTTGGAGCCGATGTCATCGACATAGAGGCAGAAATAGAAGCACTGATTGGGGCAGATGAGGATTTAAAGGGGCTCTTTCAAGGTTCTGCTGACGGAAATTTACATAATGACTATTTTGAATAATTTATCTAAGCAAGCCTGCATTTGAAAGCAACATTGAAGTATTAATAGTAGATTGGTTGTATCGGGTTTCTAGAAGTCATGATCGTACATATCCTGATCTGTGCTGAGCGCTCACTGTCGTAAAACCAACCTGCATGAGGGTAACCTGAAGATAAGTCTCAGAGGGATATGCCGGTGTTAAAGCAGCCAATACTACGTCTAACCATTTTCTCTAGCGTTGCACGACTTTACAGTAGGGGTACGCAGTTCCGAAGTCATGTGACCATATACAATGGTATATATACTTGAGTATAGGAGGATTTTATACAGGAATAAAGGAGTGATTAGATATACAATCTGTATACGCACAGATTGTAGGGAACTTGTAGGGGGATAATGGGGATATAAAGAAAACCAGCGGGAGAGCGGTGTTAATATAATTGAGGCCACGTGAGAAGCCTCCAAGGCATATATCAGGCATCTATTGACCATGCCGAATCATCAACAGTTAGATCCACATGCAGAACAGGGGCCAAGGGAGGCTTTGAGCACATGTCAGCTTCCAGGAAAGAGAATGCAGAAGTGGAATATTACCCTTGGTGCACTTATTATCAGTGAAGTAACCGTTAACAAAACAGTGAAAGTCTGATGCATAATCCCAGGTACTACTAATGTTAGAGGAGGATTCGTATCGACTGGGGGAAAAACGGCATTTTAGGAGCCGAACTCTGGAAACAAGTACATACCAGTTGCCGTCATAGCAATCACCTTCGTCATAGCACGTGTAAAGATCAGTTGCGCCTTGCTGGAAAGTATAAGATATACTAGCACTCAAACTTGGTGCCCTCCGACAGTGCACACCATCAGGTGCATTGACAATTGCACAATACTCCTGGCCCCTTTTCTCAAGGGATAGAGGCTCCGAGGCCATTGCTCCAGTGGCCAAGAGCATAGCGGGGGCAAACAGAATCCTCATATTGGTTGTACTTATAAGAGTATTACTGAAATCAACTTGGGGGACGAATTGAATGAGAAATGAAGGAAATTTATACAAATCTCTCTCTCTCTCAAATGAACCGGAAAGGCGAGGCGAATTACACGACTTTCCACGCTTATAATCGACGTCGCGCATTGGCCCAACATTAAAAGAGCTCGTGTTTGCCCACTAAAATTCCGAATCTGCGCTGAATTTGATCCTACCCCCAAACTCTGAATTTTTAGTTTGGGTGAATACGAAAGTGGGTACAAAGTCTTTTATATAAAGGGCGCACAATTGTTATGAGGGCATTTTCAAATACGTGCAATTACAATATTAAATACAAATACATGTACATCTAGATTAAGACTATAATTTATTGTTAACTCTATATTATTGTCTATAATTAGGCTATAAGAGCTTTTATAAATCCTTTTAGTATTTGACAAAATACTATGGCGTTTGCGCTACTGTATTAGTAAATTTAGCAATGAAGAGACTTTTTGAGCCCTCCTCCGTATCCGTATCCGTATGAGAATAAGAAATCTAGATATCAGCTTAAAATGGTTCAAGATTAACTTTGTCTCGTATTATTTCCTTCTCAGCTTAGATTGAGTGTAATTACGACGAACTGAGCGACCTCAACAAGTTTAATACTGTATAGATTGTGAACCCGACACTTTTCGTGGTTATTCCTGAAAGGTAATTAGCATGAAGGGATAGGAAATAAGCTTCAGAATAAGAATCTCAGCCAACTGAAATGACATCCCCCCCCAAAAAGGTAATTCTATTAAAAATTGAGTTAATTATGAGCTTAGAATAAAGCATATCAAAGGAAACACGGCTAGTAGCTAGTACGCAGGCCTAATATGAGATCCCGCTTTCACCATCTATGCTAAGTCTTTTAGTGTCTTCTCTCGTCTTCCGTAGTCTTGTTGGTCAATGAGGTCGCGCGGCATTTCTCGTGGTGAACCAGCAGTATTCTCCGCAGAACTATTTCCCCTTATTTTGGCCTCGGCAGTCATTAGGAGGCGAGTTCCGCTTAGATTACCAATCACCTGTCCATGATTTAATGAACGCGGTGTTCGAGGCGGTCGAGCCGGGTGGTCCTTTGTTGAATAAATTCAGCACGTTGATCAATCAAGACGATGAAAAGCGACAAGACAGTTGTACAGACTACAGTTGTACAGTCTGTATAGTCATCCTCGAAATCGAGTTGACGACTTCCTCGCCTTTAGTGCATAGAAATAATTGGGCCTTAGTTAGGATATTTCAGAACTAAACCTGCCAAATCACCTTTGGTAAATTGACGCTGCTGGGATATTTTTATTGAGCACTCACTGAGCCTCCATCACTACTCCTAGCGTCAGTGGGTACTGGTCAATGAGTGATACCTGAGCCAGGCTGAGCATAAAGCGGTGCCATGCTGCGCGATCTAGCGTCGCACATATTTATTATATAGGGAATAGGCCACTCAATATTCTGGGAAATTCCACCAAGGAAACTGATAGATCAAAATTCAACCCTTTGCTTGAATAGACTCTTTCCTTTCAACCATTGCCGATATCTTTTATATCTCTTCTTATCATGATCTTCGGCCACAACTGTCAAACCCTCTTCATTCACTTTGAGGAACTCTGCATAATCAGTCAAGTCCTCCTCCGCGATGAACGTGTCTCGCATATCGCCAGCACTAACGCCACAGGCTTTATTAACATATTCAAGCAGCTCTAGGTTGGCACCTCGTTCACGTAGGGAAGATGCTGTTTCCAAATCATCATCAGACGTCACTACTAGCGGAACTTTGAGAGGGTGGTTGATGTAGCGCTCGTACTCTTCGGCTTCATTAGACGTTACCGAAGGATTAAGTGAGCCCTTTACTAATTGGTCAAGAGTCCATTGCGCGATTTGTGCCTTGCTCGGCATTACCCCTGTGCTGGAGCTGCCTGCTAGAGATTCCGAAAGTAATGGCACCATAGGCTTGTTGCTTGATCCAGTGGGATTTACCGTATCTTTCATGATTCCGGCTGACGGAGGTCGTTTTTCTGCTGATGGTGGTTGACGTTGCCAGGTGTGAATGGGTTCCATGACATCGGCGCCCCGATAAGTGCCGTCTGATTGATTATTTTTGACGTCTGGTTCTTGTATCTTAACACCTTTCCGTTGATTTTGCAGAGATGCTGTACGCTCTCGACTGGCTACTTCATGCTGGAGAGTTCTGACAACGAAAGGACTCAAATCATAACGCCCACCTTGCGTGGATCGGAAAGGAAGGTACTTTAGGGTCGAGTTCAGTCTCAACGGATAAATCTTTCCAAAGGATGTTAAAGATAGAGGACGGTAGTACTCCAGCCAGTAGTCGTCGTAATATGTGATAGGTTTGTCTTTAATTGTTGTTGGAGGAGGACAGCAAACGAGTACATCTCTGTCTTTTAGATTCTCGGGGGTGTACCAAGTGATGTAATTTGGCCTTTTGATATTTGACCATGTTCGTGGATCCGCGTGGTGTAAATAGTAGTCTGTCGCGAGATCCCAAAGCATTGGTTGTCCGTGAGAAAATGTGTAATTGCCAAGAAAAAGATTATATGCCTCTTGGCGCTGAGCATCTAAGAAAGAATTATTGTAATATCGTTTGAAACTCTCCACCATGTCTCTCGACTGGCTAGTCCATTGGTTCGTCTTTCGATAAGTTGCCATGGTGTTGACAAGGTGTGAGCCACCATACTGAATAGCAATCGTATCACCATGATCATGCCACATGTTGGTAAACATATTGACGGCATCTGTATCGTATTCTATTTGCGTTTCTTCAATTACTCCAAGTGCATGTAGTTGGTAGCCCAATGCCCTTTTGGCGATTACGAACTGAGCAGCATTTGTCCGATCCAAACAATCAATACAGTTTGTCCTTACTATTCCGCTCTGAAGTTGCAAACCCGATTCTGGATCCTCACCGTTTCTAAAGAACCCATTGATAGGCAAAGCCTGAGAGGCAATATCTTCCAGTGTTTCGATTACGTTTTGATCACGACTCTTGGAGGCTCGACTCATGTCCCATGCTCTGTATATGATCTTCTTATTAGTTGGCAAGAACTGGTTGAGGTAATCTATAGCATTGCCATATTCCCTAAGTAATTTTGATTCCCGGGGTGTTCGCTCCCTCGCCTTTATCAAATTGAGGACGTACACAGGGGCCCCGTATCTCTCAAAAAGGTTATCAAAATGCAATGCAGCCGCTGAGTAGAATGGATCGATGAGATTTAGTTCGATGTCAGGCTTCGGGCTCACACCAGTGCTGTCTTGAGTCCAGTATAAGGGAATGCTTCCACGGTGTTGCACATATGACGTATATCGTGGATTCGCATACAGCCTTGGACCCGGTGAATGGAAAGATGTTGTTGTCATCTCGGAAACGATCTGCTCGGTTTCCACATCGTTAGCAACATAACCAAGGTCGTTCGATCCCCGTTTGAGAAATCGTGCACCCGCAAAGAATCTCGAGCGACGCGCGATAATCGTGATATAGACCGACCGGCCGTAAACTGACAGCACAGACTGGTCAACATAACCATGAATGATAGGAAGACACCAGTCGTAAGGTTTTTTCAAATTGGCGACAACAGGGCTTAGTAGGTGATGGTTCCATACAAACATTGAATTGTGATCATGGACAGGTAAGCTGGAATAATCTTCCCGGAAGTGCTGACGTTCACGGCAAATGTTGTGTTGTAATGTACGTGTGATATCGTACGAGTTGCTGAAATAGAAGGATCGGGATAGATCAAGGTTATTCAATATACCTATGTAACGAGCTTCCTCTGGGTTTTTATCAGGTCTGATACGAGACGAAGGCGATGTGGTAAGAGGAACCAACTCTGTTCCATCGACTTGATAGAGAAAATGACCACCAATATTGGCCACGGAGCTTCGCTTTGTGACCAGCAACATGTAGTAAGCTCCTGTGAACCGAATAAAGCCTAGTAATGCCCACGCACTACATTTGAGCTTCAGACCACCTGAGCTCTTGTTCCCATCTTCGATGGTTTCAAGGAGTAGGTTCATTTCTTGTTTCGTGTAGACGATATCATCCTCGGCAAGACTCAAGTCATCCGATCCTGACGTACGGTCGATCTTGAGGATCCGATAGCGGGTATCGAGCTGGTCAATTCCTACCAAGTAATATCGCGTGGATGTTTCATAGAGAGTGAATTTGTGCATGCGCACTACACCGTCTTCGCCAACTTTTTCGTAGAAGGATCCTTTACTTTTCTGAGTTGAGGTTACTGGCGAGCTTGTTCGTTCGAATGACGGTGCCAACGGTTCTTCGTCTCCGCATGTAGATACTTCCGGAAATTTCCCTTCAGCAGAGGGCGGCGGATTATAAGACAGCTGGGGGAAGAACGCCTCTGAATCCTTGCCTGATTGGTCGGTCCCATCATCCCTGGGAGTTGACGTACTGTCTAGCGAGAGGGACTTGGGGAGTGGTAGGCCGGTACCCGACACTGCTGATTGAGAGTTCGTTCGTGATAATGAGGGGTCTGAGAAGGAGGTCTTGAGAGACTCTGACTGTGTTGAATGTGATGCTGGGGAGTCATGAGCAATGGTCTCGGCGCTGTGGTTGGCGGCTGCCCGGCTCAGCTCATCTAGGCTCTCCATTCTATCCTAACATTTGGAACTCTTCTCTATCACACCCAGAAACCGGCAAAAGGTCCAAAGGAACAGAGACAGTGTTGCAGTGCTTGAGCATCGATCAGGAGAGCGGGATGACGTTGGGGTGGAGCAAGTACATACAAAGGCTTGGCGTTTGCAGCGCACCGTCAACTGACAAGCAGCGAGGCGTCAAACACTCAGTTTCAGGTATACAACGGCTACTTGGGTATTGGTATACAAGTATACAATTGCATGTTATCTATGCGTTGACATTCTCTTGTCATAAGGAATCATACCGGCGTCAATCATGTGACTTTATCTCTTTCTCACCGCCTTTCTACAAAGCAGACTGACCGCCTGGATTCTGCTAGCAGAAAATGCCCGAGACATGTGATCCATGGCCGCCTCAGGCACCAATGTTGGGAAGACTCGCGTGTATAATAACAATCTATTATTAATAATATCAAATCTCCTCATGCTTGCTGGCACTGCTCTCGTTAGCTGCGGGGTAGGCCCGTTAAACAGAAGTTGCGGGGGGAATTAGTGAGGTTTGACGGTTAATAGCCAAGTTCCGAGGCACAGTCGATCGGTGCCATATTAGTGCGATTCTACTAAACCTCTTCGTTAGTTGCAAGCCCCTTTACGAATCTGAGATTTACTGTCAACTATAAGACTGAGGGTTGAGACTGAAGTTAATATACCGGTATTTCGCATACGGACGGTTCTACAATATGCCACGCACACCTCCCCCCATAACGGCTCCATACAGTGAGCCACTTCTTCCCCAGCTGGATATTGAAAACCCATATTATAATGAGACACATTATGACTTACGGCAACATGTTCGCGAGTATGTCGATACACACATTGCTCCATATGCGCAAGAGTGGGAAGAAGCTGGCCAAGTCCCCGAGTCAGCGCGACTTCGCCATCATCAACTAGGGTTCGGCGTCGTTCACCCACTGACTAACCCCGACGATGCTGCGAACTTGTCTTTACCTGGAGGCGTGCCGCACGATAAGTGGGATACTTGGTGCTCACTTATTGTTAATGACGAATTGACCAGGTGTGGATATGTCGGCGTCGTCTGGGGCCTGGGAGGGGGAAATAGTATTGGAGCTCCTCCAATTGCTCGCTTTGGGACTCCACAGCAGAGACGTCGCTGGCTTCCCGGAGTGGCGAAAGGCGAAATTCGATTTTGCCTTGGGATTACAGAGCCTGATGGTAAGTATGTGTCTAAACAAAGAAAAAAATGTCTTACTAATTATGACTAGCTGGTTCGGACGTAGCCAATATTAGCACCACTGCCAGAAGGGAGAGCAATCATTACATTGTAAATGGCGCAAAGAAATGGATTACGAACGGGATATGGGCCGACTTTTGCACTGCAGCTGTACGGACTGGTGGTCCCGGACGACACGGGATAAGTGTTCTCGTAATACCTTTGAAGGAGCTCGGTGTGAGCCGCAAGCGTATGCATAACTCAGGTGTAAATGCTAGCGGTAGGTGTTGTATGTCAATGGAACGAAACGCTTTGGCAGCTGACCTCTACCTCAGGGTCTACGTTTCTAGAATTCGATGATGTACGAGTTCCAGTGGAGAATCTAATCGGCAAAGAGAACGAAGGCTTTCAAATAATTATGTCAAGTGCGTTTCCCAGAGCTCTATAGTGATTTCTAATTCCTAACTCTTTTAGATTTCAATCCCGAACGTCTTTCCCTAGCCTGTGCATCCCTCAGATTAGCTCGGTGCTGTGCTGAAGACGCGTTCAATTATGCAGTACAGCGAGAGACATTTGGCGCTCCATTAATCACTCGCCAGACAATTCAATCTAAGATATTCAAATTCGGGCAATTAATAGAGCCCGCCCAAGCCTTCTTGGAACAGCTGGCGTATATTATCGAGTCTACAAAAGACCGCCCTGATGTGGTCAATATTGGAGGCATGACTGCGCTGCTGAAGGTAATGTCTACCAGGGCCCTTGAAAAGAGCGTTCGCGAAGCCCAGCAAATTATGGGGGGTGCTGGATACAACAAAGCAGGGAAAGGAGCTCGTGTGGAGCAGATCAGTCGTGATGCGCGTGTTCACGTTGTTGGAGGTGGCAGTGAAGAGATTATGATGGGTTTGGCGATAAGAGAGGAGACAAAAGCTCTCAATGCTCGACAAAAGGCAAAGTCGAAGAAAGCGGCGAAATTATAATTTGAGGTACTTTGAGTTTAAGTTGTCTAAAAGCTTGGAAAAGCTGGCGGTTGAAAAGAATACTCACTATATTAATCCACAATTCCTTACAAATACAGAGTGCCGTGAGGCAGTAACACTTCCATCCGGTTCACAGTGAAGCCCATCAATCATCCATCCCATTCAGAGGTACTTTATTCCCAACGAATACTCTCGTAGAGGTTTCTCAAATTCAGAAACCATTTGATTCTTGAATTGGAAGAAAATATCATCTACGCAGAACATGCCGTCTCAATCATTGTAACCAATTCCAGTAAAGCTTTTCGGATGTCTCTACACCCCAGCCTTCTTTGTGGATCGGGGTGAAGCATGCCTTGAATGCAGCTTGACAAGTATTCACCAACAGACCTGTTGTTGGAAAGTCTAATTCCTCCACGGTCGACCTTTGCCACAAAATCACTTGGAATCTTGACACCATCATGTGCCCCGTGATGGGTTAGCTCGGATAAAACCAACTGGCGCTCCATTTTCGTGTTCAAACGATAGGTGAGCTCAAACAATATCACTCCCAATGCAAAAACATCGAGCTTTTCATCAATAACATACCCAGTGGAGGTATGGGTTGAGTCAAACTGAGACTTTCGTGGACAATAAAACTCCGTTCCAACCTGTCGAAGTCTTCTGGGGCTGTCCTGGACCGTGGTGACATGTGGAACCTGTGGGTCAGTGCAATGAGATACATCTGCAACCAGTCCAAAATCTCCGATACGAGGGCGGTACATATTTCCGACAATCTCATTTTTCAACTTGCACAAATCACAGGCATCCTTTTCGTTTTCTCGCACCGAGAGGAATATATTGGCTGGTTTAAGGTCGCGATGAACAATCCCCTTCGAATGGAGATATTCCACGCCTGAAAGTATTCCAAGCATTAATTTTAGGGAAGGAATGATATGGAAACAGTGGCGTGGCGCTGTGTAAGCTTGCATATCACTGCGGAGTACTTGACGGGGACTGAGATATGAGCTAAGAGTAAGAGGGTGTAGGGACATTTGTATATGAAGTATGATACTTTGGTTTTGTGGATCATCACGCCGCATCAGTTGTAGTTTGGATGGATCCTCACTCATATCATTCGTGAAGATATCCGTGTCTGTCTTGTCCCATGTTGAAGAGTGACCCTGGGAGGCCCCCGGTTCAGGAACACTGAAATTGCGTTGAATAGATTCAACGTCGTCATCATCTTCGTTACTAGTTGTAACACTCTTTTTAGAAAGAGACGATCCGCTCGTGAAATGACTGTCACGGCGGTAGCGGCGTGAATTTGACCAAGGGTTTGCTTCCTGGCTTGGTAAATTTGATGTCAAATCGTCTTCTCCTCCGTTACTAGACAGACCAAAGACAATACCGAAGCTCTGATCCTCTTCAGCGGGATCCTCCTGTACGGACTCAATCCTACTTTTTATCTCGGGTTCTGAATCTAGAGACGGGGGACTCGCCATGTACACATGGTTTTCCTCAACCCAGGCCCCAAAATAACGGACAACGTTCTTATGTTCTAGACGGGCCAAAGTTCGAATTTCTTTCAATATATGCTCTAGATGCTGTACCCCTTCCTGCTGTAGCATTTCTAAACGCCTCTTGCTCAAAGGTATCTTTTTTATTGCGTAGCTCTGTCCGTCCATATGGTGCCTTGCTTCGAAAACCTGGCCAAATGAGCCTCGGCCTAGCAATTTCACCTCTATGAACTCGGAAGTATATCTCGACAACCGGTCAGAAATTGGACCAGCTCGAGTACTCATCATTGCGAACGGCTCGCTAGAATGCTGAGGGGCCCGCAATAGATTTGTAAACTGAACAAAACCTTCTGAGTGGGTATGGTGATTGTCGTAGGCCGGGTACCTTTTCTGCAAGTTCCAGATATTCTCCTGTGAGGGAGTACGTGAGACAACCGCCGGTCTGTGTTTCAATGTAGGAACAAGTGTTTTGACTGTTGAAGATGGTTTCTTTATTTCATTCTCTTGTTTTTTCGAGCGAGGTCGCCTTTCTGAGGGTACCGTGTTCACTCCTTCGACAGCAGTGTTTCCTAGCACATCTAGATTGTCACGGTAGTATTGACGGATTCGTTCCCAGTCATCATCGTCGATGCCTCCAGCGACAATCCCATGACTGGACAAAAATTGGGACTTATACTGATACATTTTCTTGGCAAGTTGTTTCACCTCGGGCGAGCCTCGTGTGAATCTATTAAATGACCCGGGCTGCGCATTTAACCAATCTTCAGCACGACTGAGACAAAAGAATTCGAGCAAGGCAGATGTCATCACTGCCGCATGTCCGTCCGCATCAAGGTCCAATGCACCGCCTAAGACACCTCCATTTTCAGGAGGTCCTGGTCCTTCGAGCAGTAGTTCTTCAAGGTTCATTGAGGGAATCTCTTCCTTGTCAGGAGTACCGAAGGTGTCGGCGTTATTAGTTGATGCCAAATCGTCGTTATCACTTTCCTCGGAGCTAGAGTCCGGATCAGACGATGAGATGTCCGTGGGTGAGCGGAACATAGACATCTTGACAGGTTGCACGGAAATTGGGTATACTTTGTTTAAGCATCTGACAAGGGCGACACGGCCGGGATGAAGTAGTATATAGCGTTTTCATGAAGTGTCTAAGCACCTAACTGCACAACGGAAGCCCAAGGTTGATGGCTGAAAGAAAAGAACAGGTAGACTCGCAAAACACAGGGACATCTGTTCATTCAAAACACTTGTGGCGGGGTTACTCCATTGCGTAGAACATCGCATTCAAGGTTGAACCGCTATAATTGAGTCTAGCGCCTGATATGTACAGAGAAACGAGACCTTTCCCTGATCCAAGGCGAGGACCCCTACATATGTACTTGTTCATCTGGAGCGAGCAAGCTGAAGGTTGGCTGAGCAGGTGGTCACGTGTTGCCATTTTGACTCACACACCCCACTTTTCCCTCACTTGCCCAATCAAAACGCGCGGAGGGAAGAATCACTGTAGATACTGCTGACTGCTATTTCTTGTTTATTACAGACTTTGCGTTGTTACACATATCGCCCATATGCGATTGTTTGTTCAATACGCAGGTGTATTATTGAACGAGCTAGTAATAGCTTACTCTCAGACCCCTACTTGGAGAGACGGATATTGCTTCCTGTTTCCATATGTTTCTATGCAAGGTGGAAGTGGTCAAGGAAAGGGCGCAGCGCTGATTTATTATTATTGTCTCCTCAGTTTTCGCTAGGGTAACAGACATGTGTCATATCTCGACTCGTCATTTGCAATGATATCATATCATCAACAGTGCACCATGACGGTCAATATGAGTGGAGATGTGCCGACTCGTCCATGTATATCCGCATGCCACCGCATCTCTCTCTAGGCAGAAGACTAGGAGACAATGATAATGCATGGCTCGACTACCATCTTTTTTGTAGGCGAGACAGCTGCTGCAGAGCAACATTTCTATATCGCAATGCGGCTTAGTTGTCAAACTTAGCTGGTTACACCTACGACCTCCATAGGCCACCGAATGATATCTCTCCAATAAGGATCGAACAGGGTATGTATAGACTGCAGCAGTTGCCGAGGCCACTCTTTGATCCACCAAAAATCGTTCATCATGTGTAAAAGAATGCAAAAATGGGCCAATGCAACCAAAGACATTGGTCGCCGCTCCCTTAGGCTTGATATGAACGCCGGTTTTACAGTAATAGGCCATCTGAAAACCGATATAGGGTCAAAACCTGAGTGGATTTGTTCAAATGATAGCGACAACTCAGATAGCGCATGCTCGCACACCGCTGTCTCCTCAATGGTTTGACCAGTGACAGTCAAGTCGGTATTGAGCTTGAAGAGAAGAGAAAGTTTTTCATCAACATCGGCAGGTATTGGCTGAGTTTCTACTGTTCGTATACTAGCCAGTACATTTGGTACCCAACTATTGGCAGTCTTCAGCCATTGTGTAGATGTTTGAAGGATTTGCGAGACACCGCGGCATAGATTCACAACTTGAAGCATCTCATCGATTGGAGACAGTGAATGGACGCCAGTAGTTTGTGGAGAAGCAAAGGCCAATACGGCCGCAATGCTGGAAAATGCAAACAGAGCTTCACTGTTAGATGGTGTGATATTGTCAAGAGCTTTTCGAAATAAAGTCAGTGCTAAGGTTTGATGACCAGCGGCAAGCTCGTCATATCCCTTGGCTCGCTCGCTTCCCTTATTTAAATATGCGAGGTGTGAAGCCGATAGCGCGAGCAGCCCATGCATTAAGAACGGATGAGACAACGCGATTTTGGGCACCTCGTTCTGAAAGGAAGCAGAGAATTTATCATGACATGAAATAGTCCTGTAGCTAACTGTTGAATAATGATGCATAAGTTCCAAGTCACGTAGATGTAGATCTCCTGGGAGGTGCCCGTCTCGTTGAAGATCCAATTTGTTCAAAGGGTCCGGCTCTGGGGATACAATCATTGCAGGGGACGGTGAGGACGTCAAGGTTACAGTTTCGGCAGTGTTAATCAGGTCCATTGACGAAGATCCGAGTGAAATGCGCTGCGCAGGATCATTTTGCGCTAGCAGTCGGCTTTTTACAGGAGACATTGAATAGATGCAGTCTATTTCATGTCTTAAGCAGTTATTGCAGCTTGGGGTTCTCTCATCGCACTAAAATACGTATCAGTATAGCCAAGTGCAAGTCATATCGACCCATAAAGTTGGATACCTTGATTCGCCGATGCTTACACTGGACACAGCCCAGCCGGCTTTTGGTGTGCGTTCGTCGGGATCTCATGCTTTCTGTATCAGTAGAGTGTCTCTTGTAAAACCGAAAGATGAATTTTCTAGCATGGCAAAGCGACAAATGCGCCTCAAATAGCACCAAGCCGTGTGATCAATATAAAGCATATCAAGCGATCCGGATGAACATCAAAAACGAGATGTTCCGGCCGCGAAGATTGAACAACGTTGGGGGCAAGCTGTTCATTGTTAGGCGGCGAAAAGCGAGATCAGCAGATATATGGTTAGCATGGTACAGCCCTGCGTTTGTGGCGGGGATTCTCGCTCTCCTCAAATGCGCACGGAGACTATTGTATTATTCTTTCGTTTCCTTTCCACCGTTGCCGTCATCGTCAGACGGAACCACTGGAGATGAATAGATTGCCTTGCTGCCTTGCTGCCTTGCTGCCTGGCCTATTAACGCGTCACGTCACTAGCGCGTCTGGAAGGCGATCTGGGCCCCTCTAACTCTCTAGCCAGGAGTGCGCATGCCAAACAAATGTTTGACTGCATTGCCAATGCTATTTGCCTTTACAAACCTTCGAATGCTCCAAGTACTCGTGGTAGTTTGTGTTTCTGGATTTCCTAGTTCTGTCTTGCATGGTAATCAACCATGGCCGAAACCGCTTTGAAGCCGCAAAAACGCATCCTCGGGGATGCGACGATGACTTCTGGCAATATTCAACCCAACAACGCGTCCAAGAAACGAAAACTCGATGCAGACGAATCCTCAGCCCACCTGAGCATCCCTCCAAGGAGTAGTGCTTTGAAGAGCTTCGGCTCGAGCCAACCGCAACAAAAGAGCCGCTTTGAAGAAGACTTGGAGAAGCTTACCCAGGATATTCATGGGCTTAAGGAAAACAATTCCGAGAAAGATCAACAATGGGAAAGGCCTTCATTGGAAGATTTTGATCCGGCAAAGGACAATTTATGCTTCCAGCAAGTAGATGCTGAGGAGGGTGCTCTAGGCGGCAAGGCGACTGTGAAACTTTTTGGTGTGAATGAGGTTGGTGCTGTAATGTGGAAACACGCATTATAAGCTTGAGCTAACGCCATTCAGAAAGGGAACTCTGTCCTTCTCCATGTCGAAGATTTTCGACACTATTTTTACATCGCCGCTCCAGTAGGATTTCAACCGGAAGACTGTCATGCATTCACAACTTTTCTCAATCAAAAACTAGGGGGCTTCGAACGGGCCGTTCACTCTGCAAATGTTGTGATGAAAGAAAATCTTTACGGCTTTCAAGGGAATGAGAAGAAGTGGTATATCAAAATCACGGTTATGGACCCCAAGCATATCGGCAAATTGCGCAACACCTTAGAGAGAAGTATCTCATCATGCAACTTCAAAGGCTTATGGGGGACAAGCGATGATGGAGGCATTATGACATTTGACAACATTCAGTATGTGTTAAGATTTATGATTGATACTGGGGTAAGTAATAACTCAAACTCACTGCGAATCTGCATCTGACCATGGAAGATTTCCGGTATGTCCTGGGTGGAAACCAAGGCGCAGAAGTATCAACTGGTTCCCGTACATCAGAGAGTTTCAAATTGTCAGATTGAGGCTCGTGTTTCTTATCACGACCTGATCGCTCACTCACATGAGGGCGAATATGCAAAAATGGCTCCATTGCGAATTCTATCGTTTGATATCGAGTGTGCGGGGCGAAAAGGAATTTTCCCAGAACCAAACCAGGATCCTGTGATTCAAATCGCCAACGTAGTTACACGCCACGGAGAATCGAAACCGTTTATTCGAAACGTTTTTGTCCTGGATACCTGCAGTCTTATCGTCAACACTCAAATTTTAGAGTTCAGGGACGAGGCAAAATTACTAATGGCCTGGAGGGACTTTCTCGAGAAAGTTGACCCGGACGTCATTATAGGATACAACATTTCGAATTTCGACTTTCCATATCTTCTCGACCGAGCGAAACATTTGAAGTGTAACAATTTCCCATATTTCACTAGATTGGTCAACCACAAGTCCGAAGCAAAAGATACCAATCTATCTAGTAAACAAATGGGCAATCGTGATACGAAGTCAACAAACACAAATGGCCGAATCCAGCTAGATCTTCTTCAGCTAGTTCAACGCGATCATCATCTCCGAAGTTACACCCTGAACTCGGTCTGCGCTGAATTTTTAGGCGAACAAAAGGAGGATGTTCACCATACTATGATCACTGAGCTGTTTAACGGCACTGCTGATTCACGAAGACGACTGGCTGTGTATTGTCTGAAGGATGCCTACCTGCCACAAAGGCTCATGGACAAATTGATGTGCCTTGTCAATTATACCGAGATGGCGAGGGTCACAGGTGTGCCGTTTAATTACCTCTTATCCCGTGGCCAACAGGTCAAATTCATCAGTCAACTCTTCCGCAAAGCGCTCCAGCAGGACTTGGTCATCCCAAACCTGAATAAGCAAGAAGAAGGTGATTACGAAGGTGCTACAGTTATTGAACCTATCCGAGGTTATTACGACGTCCCTATCGCTACTCTTGACTTTGCTTCTTTGTACCCGTCCATCATTCAAGCTCATAATCTTTGCTACACTACCCTTCTGAACAAGAAGGCCGTTGATCACTTTGGGTTCAAACAAGATGAGGACTACATTGTGACACCGCACGGTGATATGTTCTGCACACCGAGTGTTAGGAAGGGTTTGCTGTCTCAGATTCTCGAAGAACTTCTCGCAGCAAGAAAGAAGGCCAAGAAGGAACTGGCCATTGAGACCGATCCTTTCAAGAGAGCCGTGTTGAATGGTCGACAGCTTGCTCTGAAGATCAGTGCTAACAGTGTATACGGTATTACCGGCGCAACTGTTGGAAAGCTTCCTTGCTTAGAGATTGCTAGCAGTACCACTAGCTACGGTCGTCAAATGATCGAGAAGACGAAGTCAGAAGTCGAAGGAAAGTATACTATAGCTAATGGGTATTCGCACGATGCTCAGGTCATCTATGGCGATACTGATTCCGTCATGGTCAAGTTTGGTGTCAAGACGCTTGAAGAATCAATGAAACTAGGGGAGGAAGCAGCTGACTATGTTTCATCAAAGTTCATCAAACCGATCAAATTGGAGTTTGAGAAAGTGTATTTTCCATACTTGCTTATCAACAAGAAGCGCTACGCCGGTCTTTATTGGACGAATACGAAGAAGTACGACAAAATGGATAGTAAGGGCATTGAGACTGTTCGTCGTGATAATTGTCGACTTGTTCAAACAGTTATTGAAACTGTTCTCCATAAAATTCTAATCGACCGAGACCTCGAGGCAGCACAAGAGTAAGAATCGCCAATTCATTTGTCAACATGCTTTGCTAACTTTTCTGTAGTTATGTCAAGGATACAATATCTGATTTGTTACAAAATAAAATCGATATGTCAAAGCTGGTTATTACCAAGGCATTATCAAAGTCGGCTTACACTGCTAAGCAAGCGCATGTTGAGCTAGCAGAGCGTATGCGCAAAAGAGATGCTGGCTCTGCACCGACACTTGGGGACCGAGTCGCCTACGTGATTGTCAAAGGTGCGGGCGGGTCGAAAAACTACGAAAAGTCAGAAGATCCTATATATGTCTTGGAGAACAACGTCCCCATCGACACGAAGTACTACTTGGATAACCAACTTGCCAATCCCCTGGGCCGTATATTCGAACCTATCTTGGGTGAGAAGAAGGCCGCGCAACTGCTTACTGGTGAACATACGCGGTCTATATCTGTTGCTGCGCCTACCTTGGGCGGGTTGATGAAGTTTGCGAAGAAGACGCAGACTTGCATGGGATGTAAGAAGCCTTTGGTCGGTAAGGATGAGATGGCAGGAGCTGTATGCGAGAACTGTCGCCCCAGGATGGGCGAACTTTATTCAAAGACGTTGATGAAAGTCTCTGACCTCGAAGTGCGCTTTGGGCGTCTCTGGACACAATGCCAGCGCTGCCAGGGAAGCTTGCACTGCGAAGTCATCTGTTCGTCGCGTGACTGTCCGATTTTCTATATGCGAATGAAGGCGAAGAAGGATGTAGAAGACGCGGAGAAAGAGCTTATGCGCTTTGATTATGATCCAGGCGCATGGTAGTCAGTCGACGAACGGCGAGTGTTTTTACGGTTGAGTTGGTTTTGGTTTCTTCGCCTGTGTGTGTATGTAATAGTGCTGCAGTTATTTTGGCCTGGATATGGATCATATACATGGGGGTTTCCAGAGTAAACAATCATGCCTAGCGATTCGATGTTATATTGTAGACGACGCTGGCCCCAACCCAATTGCGGCGCCGGAGATAAGCCTCATGGACGGCAGTAGCGATGCGCCACTAAGGGCGACCTAACTGGATCTGGCATGCAGATGCAACTAATTGAATTCGCCATGTGGAGACCTCTCCGGATTGCTTCGATGCTTAAATGCGACTTCATGCGCTCGTTGATTCTGCTGACCCTGACACGACAGTTTTATTCTATACAGTGCGGCACGAAATGCGACCTGCGGCAGATCCTCACGCGGTGCCGGCCTCGTGTGATGAGCCTGCCCTACCAGAGTCGCTGTTGCCAGCCGTAAGCAGCTCCTCCTGTGTCCTGTTCGTTTTCCGCAGCTAGATGACTGGTGACTGATGAGCTGTCGAGCACTTTGCAGGCGATAGACAGGTACGAGTCGGGTCTATTGTCCCATCTGGGCCTGGTCAAGCGGCTGCAAACTGGAGATGGAGCAGTGGCACACCAGACCGTTTCCCAGGTGCTGGAAAGCGCCCAGAGGTTGCTGGATCAGTTCTCGGTGCTGAGGAACAAACTTGTTAGCTCGCCACTTTCTAGCCTTGCTCGTCTTTTCTGCTTACTGATGAACCCAGGTCTCCTTGGCATCCAGCGATGAGCCCGCAATAAAGAACGGGGAAAACTCACAAAGTGAGCGGAATATCCACCGCGCGACGGGGGCGTCGCGCATTTCGAAAATGACTGGTAATGGATCCAAGTCACAAGTTCCGCACTCTCACGAACCTTGCATTTCTCCAACTCTGAAGCCTCGCTATGCCTTGAAGCGCACATGGGTGCAAGATACCGATTCGGGAATAGAAGATCGAAGCGATCGAAATGATGACGTATCGCAAAAGCGCCCAAGAACAAAACTAAAACTACCTGGAGCAAGCAACGATGTCAATGACTTTGTACCAGTAGCCTTGCAAAAGGATGACATATCCGAAGAAGTAGAACAGCGATTGAGACTTCGAGAGGAAAGGCGAGAAAAGCGCAACACAGTGTCGACGAATAAGCGGAAGAGAGATAGCACCACAGCTAAGGATGATATCGCTCTGGTTAAGGCAGAACAATTAATTGGCAAACGTCACAAGGCAGAGCCATTTGAATAGCGACCGTTCCTCGACATACTAGACCAGTTTTGGCACGATTGTTGGCGGATTTGGGTTTCTCCATGAACTCTAGACGTCAACAATACCAGCCCATAATAGCGACAGGCACCCGAAAGCGATGAATCGTCTGAATCGATCAAATTAGGTTTATTACACTCCTGTGAAAAACAATGCCAATATGCTACAAAAATACGAATTGTCCAAAGCGTGGCGCATCAATTGAGGCTATGATATATTACGTCCCTGTGGTGGAATTGCATCTTCCCCTACACATCATAATAGCTGCGCCTACAGCCAGACTTCACAATGTGCATTACCGCAAGATTACCGGCAAACTCAATGGCAACCCTCCAAACCATTCCATGGAAATAGATAGCCGGCATCAATTCAATTCCAAAATTGGACAAGTACGAAATTGATACTTCGAGTATAAAGCAATCCTCGTTTTTGGCCTCTGACAATCCTTTTTTTCTCTCCTCACCCTACTCCCAGATACATGATACTGGCCTAGTACTCCCCTCAACAAAAACCAGCTTGAAGTGAAGCCCCCATTGCAGTCTAAAAGAGCTCAAGGCGTACTGGGTTTTTTGCGTGTTCTGCTAAAAATTCTTACTCGTGTGCCTTAAAAAAAACGGCCCTTGAAGAAAAAAATGGTTAATTGATTTATGATATCTGGAAACCTCTGAGACCTGCACTGGTCTACCCCTTCCCAAGCTCCCGATCTCCTTCTCCGAGAACTTGACAGTATACATCGTATCCAACAATCCGCCCACCTTACATATCTGTGGCTTCCGTTGAAAATCCACTCTTGCATTTCATCTTGCACACATCATTTAAAAGCATATTTAAAAGCATACTGCGTGCTTGCTTCATCATGGCTTACACCGCACTTCAATCCCCTCACCAGGGCAACAAGTTCCCTGGCCGATGTGGCGGTCGTCATAATTCCAATGCAAACTTCTGCAAGCATTTTAACCGCCGCAATAAGGCGCATTTCTCAAATGAATTCGTCAAAGATATTGACGGCAACATCACCATGGGGGGCGTGGAGTCTGCAGCTTCACGGCCCTTCCCTCAGGGACACCAAAACCCGGGTCCCCATCGCGGTAATGGCCGCAATCGTAATAATCGAAAGCGTAACCGGCATCAAAAAACAGGTCCCCGTGGTCCTCTCCCGCAACAGCGAAGGAAGGGTCAAGCTCAAAACGGGGCAAAATCATCTCACGCTCCACGAGAGCTAAACTTCTGGGAACAAGTCAACTGGGAACTAAAAGACACTCACATGCAGGACACTCCTGCACCTGCGGAATGGACCCAGTTCTCGTACGCTAATACGAATTGGCTCCAAACTCAGATGGACTACGACGATGACGTTGTCATGGGTGAAGCACCCTCGCTCACCATGTCCCTTCTACCCGAGATGATGAGCCTGATGAGCGTGCGCTCGTGATCGCACCATCAGAGAAATCTCTTCTATATGTCTATTATTGATCCTAATGTCCTGGTGAGCGTGCGCTCGTGATCGCACCACCAGCTGAAATTTTACCTGGAAAGGGGTTTGGCAACGGATGAGCGCATGCCCGTGATCATGCCATCCGGCCAAGCAATGTATATGTCTATGACTGAAAGGTCTATTGAATATTCTATACTGGCACCTAGCTCATGCGGGTTGCCGTGATATCTATGTTGTTGTATCGGAGAATTTTTGTACTGCAGTGGCTTCTGCCTTTGCTATCAATGCTTAGCCCTGTGGGGACGCTCGCAGCGGTGTATGCATTCATTTCAAAAGGTTATTCGGGTTGGACAATGGGATCACTTGCCCTTGTGGCATTTTATTTCGGGAGGTCGCCAGGACCTGAGGCCTGTGCAATTTATCGGTTATGAATCTAGGCAACTTGCCGTTAACGATCTTTACGTGGTGTATCTCACAATTTGGGGACGTCTTGTCAAAGAGTCTTGTTCAATTTATGTCTGATTCTTCTCAGTATGTCAAAAAATTTGAAGTTCTGTATCCCCGGGGATCTTGTTTGTTGCCAAAATAAAAAATTTCAAAGTCTTGTCAAATGTTCTGTTTACAATTTCACTGTTTGACTCTGCATAGCATTGGTGTTTTGGATCTGTGATGATGATACCCGCAATCTTTGTCATGAAATTATGGTTTTTGGGATCTCGTCGACCACAAAGATGGTCTGACATGACTGTTGAACATAGCATCCATTAAAACAATTGAGTTGATACGATTGGGTTCTGTCTAGCCCCGAAACTGGCTCATCCCTCAAAGTTAGATAGATTGAATTTCAAGGTCGCAAAGACCACGTACATCCACCACTTCCTTTCCAATGTCTAATTACATATAGTCTTGATTTGTAGTACCTGCTTCATACAAAGGTTGGCGACCACGCAAAGGAGCGCTTCATGTTGTCCGCCAGAAATTTCTCTCGTTAATCAGCCACCTAAGTTGGTGTTTCGTATCAGTTCATTTCAGTAACAATGTCCAATTGATGCTCGGTACTGTTCAAGACAATTTGAGCTCTGTTCTCCTTAGATAGGCATGGTTATTCTAATATACAACCCGATCCACTGTCAAATGCATACAATAATGTACAAGAAGCGAAAAGCCGGATGCTGTCAAAGAAGCCAACAACCAAACTCCTACTTCTCTGGGTCGTTCTTCGTTTCGTCGTCAAACCTTTTCTGGTCCCCTGTCTTGCCCCAGTTCCACACGTCCCATATATGCTCCATGATCAAATCACCATACCCTTTCCCCTCAGCCAAAGCCTTCTGCTCCTCTCTTAGCCTTTTCTCCTTCCAGCCTTCGGCCTCCGAGCCCATCCAGATCTTTTCCGGAAGGGATCGGTCGCCAAATCGCTGGTTGGCTTTGTATTTCTCTAGATCCTCCTTCGTGGCCATCGACGCCTCTTTGGCGGCACGTAGCTGGTCTTGAATTTCTGCTGCCTTTTCGGTTGGAAGCGGGTTGAAAAGATTTGCTATGCCTTTCGATCGCGCATCATGAGATTCTGGCCTGCCAAAGTATTTCACCCCGATATCGTCGAGAATGCCGCGACCATCCGGATTTCTGTCTCGGTAGATGTGGTTGGCCGAGACAGCAAAGGCGGCGGACAGAGCGAATGTGTTGAGATCGAGTTTGCGAGGAGGGAGGATGATGAGGATGGGTGCGCCGACGACAAAGGTCCATGCAGCGTATGTTTTGAATTTGAGAAAGTCCTTTGCGCGGCCGTCTTGATGTACGGTGTCGGAGGGATCTGAATTCGAGGCCATAGCTGAAAGATCAAGAAAACTTCAGGTTCTGGGACCAGCCCGGCCGTGGTAGCTAATGTGGTGGGACTGATAAATGTGCAACGGTTGAATTAATTCCGAGGTGTCTCGATAGACAGATCTCCGCCGGCAGATCACGTGACATTCACTGCCATGTGGACGATCTCCACATGGTTAAGAAGTTCAGCCATGTGGTTTGTTTGCATCCATATGCCACTGATTATTATGGTGACAATGAAAGACTGCGACGAGAGAGATACCTTCGCAACTTGCGGCTGAATGGATATTGCAGTAGTAACATGTCTGATGTACTGTTGTGCCAGCTGATAACGCGCGCATGACGATAAGGAAGACTTCCAGGCTCAGACTCAGCTGCAACGTCGAGGAGAGAGTGATCGATCGGCTCGCCGGCACTTTCTTGGCGACAGGGTGGAGCGCTATCGACGACGTAAAGTCACTAAATTGTAACACCTGTATCACTAAGCCTTAGTAGCGTAAGCTTAGTTGTTCGAATAACAGAACTAAGCATCCATGGTGGGTCCTTTTTCAGCTGGCCAGCGGCATTTCCCATTTCCTTGCGGAGCGACAGCCGACAGTATTCGCTGTAACAATCATTTATGCCGACAACGTGCAGGGCCCCAGAGACTGATCATCGGCTAGGAGCCTAGTAAGCACACCTGATTGGCACGTTATGGTCTGCAGAGGATGAGAGAGTTTCAGAGAGAGTCTCAGAGAGAGCGGTGACCACCCTCGGCGCTGTGGCACGCTGTGGGGAAGTCTTGTAAGGCAGTCGGCGTTATGTCGATGCGAGTGCGCAGAGTGCAGACGGTTGTGCCTATCATGGCGGTGGGTGGCTATGTGGTGTTCCTAACTTGGCGAGGACTAAATTATACTCTGCGCTGTTAATACTTAATAGCCTGTTATGATGATGTGGCTTGACCTGGTGCGTATGCGATATTACGCACCAACGCCGGGCAGGACGCATGAGGATACTGGTAGTGGAAACGTTGACGGAGGTGTGGCTGAGGATGGGAATCAACAATAACTAGTATGAACCAGGGATCAATAATACGCTGTGACAATGACAGTACTCACTACAGAGTAATTACTCCGGAATCATCAGCAGTGGAAGTGGTGGTGGTGGTGGTAATAACTGAAATGGCCAAGCTTTCTGCCGACAGCCGGCAAGAAGCGTTTGTCTTTAGCAGCGTTGTCCTCCTTAAAGGCCGCGCCTTCCCCTGAGCCACTCCTCCTTCTCCTCCACATAATAGTTACTGCTCTCGCTTTCCTGTTTCATTCCCACACCAGCATCCAGCAAGACATACTCCAGTCACTCCATTCACAATGTTCGAGAACGGCTTTCTCTCCTTCTTCAAGTCCTCAAAGCAGGAGGAGCCCCAGCCTACCTGGAATGCCACAACCATGACGATGGAGCAGCCTGCTAACTACACCGGCAGCCAGGAAGCCCAGCCCGTATGTTTTATGCCCGGCTTGCAAGTGCACTCAAATGCGACTAACACTGGCGCGACCAACTAGGCCTCGTCTTCTCAGGAAGAACAACAAATGAAGCTCCGCGGTGGCGGTGGCTGCTGTGATGTTTGCTGCGGATGGTAGGCACCCTCTCCTCTAGCATTGTGCATGCTTCCTGAAGACTCGTGCTGATACATGTGTGCGATGCAGCTGCGCCGGTTTGCTCGCTTTCGAGTGCTGTGAGGAATGCTGCTAGACGAGCCGATTGATTCTCATCCCTTCACCTGCTTGCGCATCGTGATAATTTACGATCTTGCAATGTTTTGCTCCTCCTTTGGCCCTCGTGGCCTTGCGATACTTGTTGGCTGCTGTGATACTCCGACTGATGCCTGTCATACCCTAGCTTTATTTTGACTTATTCCTCTCTTTTGTGTCTATTATTAAAAGAGAGCTAGTCTATCTAATGGCGAATGACTAGAGCAATTGCTACAAATTTCAAACTTGCCGTAGTCGCGATAACATTGTGACTTCCAGCGTCAGAGAGTATTGACGTCACGTTCTGAATATACACATACACATAATACTAATAATAATGTGCCGTATGTAATTGGGGGTAGGCTAGACATCTTTAATATGCCCTCTACGTCATGAGTCGAGCTAAAGAGGCTTGAAGACCAAAAAAAAACGGTGGCGCCGATCTCATTTCGTACAGGATCATCATGAAACATGCCGAAGCATTCGAGAGATGATTCTACCAAAAGAAATAACCATCTTCCGACTCAACTGCCATGGTGTTAATCATTGATGGGGACAGGGTTATTCTTGTTACAGTTACACTTCCTGATGAGCTGTATTACTATCAAATGGTGTAGGCTGTACGGGCCATACAGTTTCATACGGATACGTTTCTTACACTAAGGATCAGTCAGGAACGTCTGCGGGTCTGGTGGTGCGTCGCAATAATTATTGGTCCAGGAACGCAGTTACGTTGTTGCCTGGTGGTTATGGTTATACAGCCTAGCAAAGTGGCATGTCTAAAAAAAGACAACGCAAAAGGATCCACTACTAATTATCCTGGACACTGCTGGTTTATTCTGGCGACGAGATTAATAGTTGAAAGCTGAATGCACCGATGCGGCGTCTAGAAAAAGATTAGCGTAGAGGATTATGCACCAGCGTCATCGAAAAGCCACTCCATCCAACGCTCTCTAGAAGCGCGTCGCAGCGTGGTACTTGATAGTAGTGTGACCATCGTCAAAGAAGGAATCCGATTTCACAAACCCACCAGTCACACGCTCCATAAGTTCCGGTCCGTTCTGGCGACGAGAAAAGTTGCACTTCTCGCTCGCCTCTGCGTGAGACACTAGCGCCGTGACCGTCTTCATCACCTTCTTGCAAACCGGACACCTAAAGGAAGGCAACTGTGAGCATTTAAAGGTCACCACGAGGCGAAGACAAACGTACATAAACTTCTCAGACCGATGAGAGATCAGGTGCTCGGCAAGCTTTTCAGGGGTCTGAAATTCCTGCTGGCAGCATTCAAAATTGCCCGAGTAAGAGTTGAGGTATCGGTTTGGATCGAAATGAGGCCTGTACGTGCGATACAGCTTCAGAATTTGTGATCCGAGGTGAGAAGGTGTGTGTGAGACCAATTTACGACAGTCGGGCTTGCTATCTTCTGCTGCATCCTGGGTCGCGATGAACGTCTGATGAGCCCCCGACACTCGGTCATTTGCATAATCGCGCTTGATGTCATACGCGATCTTGTTGGCTCGGCCTTTGTCTGGGGTCACCGAGTGGTTTTCGGGATCCGTCGCGGGTGTCAATGATGGCCAATGCTTCCATGAAAGCGTGTCAGTGATGCGAGGCTGATGGACAAGTGACTGGCGTCTTTCACCTGGCCAGGTTATACCACCACGTTCTGTATCCTGCGTGGCTGGCTCAATGGCGTTCTCTGGGTGGTGTGGACCTTCCGAGATCAGCCGATGTGTGGTCTGAGCCTCTAAGATTTTGACATCGCGCTGTACCATGAGCGTATGCTTGTTCAAGCCACTAACACATTGGTCCTTTTCGATATGGTTGATATAGGTATTCGCGGTCTTGAAGATCCTGTCACAGTTCTTCCACGGGCATTGGATTTGATGGTCGATGGGATGGGCCTAGTGATTGTTAGCACAATCCATCAGCACAAAAAGATGGTGGGAGTCATCCTCACGCGACGAATGTGGGCATCTCTGCCATCGTGGCTCTCGAATTGCACGCCACAAAAGGGGCAGACAATATGCTCGTCACTCTCAATCTTGTGCTTGAGAAAGGCCTCGAAGTTTGCAAAGTCGATGTCGCAACGCAGGCAATAATCGTGCTCGATGTCCTTGTGCAAAGATCTTTTTTCGTAGGTGTCAAATGACTGCAAGCACTCAGCGTATGTGCACGGAAAGCGGCGATGAGAACTGGCTGATAGTGCCATGTTGGCTGGCCGTGGCGTGTAGAGAATCCGCAGCAATAGAAAGAGTTGTATGGTTGCTACGAGGAGAAAGGAGGAAGAATAAGATAAGAAGAGGAGAGGAAGAGAAAGGCGCGGAAGAAGCGGCCCTGCCCTCTCTGGGTACTTTACTCGATGCGTTTGTCATTTCAACCTCACTAAACAACAAGTAATAAGTAATAACTAATCACTACTAAAGATAATATCATGTCGGATTTGCCTCATTCATCATTCATCCTTCATTTTCATCTCAACCTCCCCCCTCCCCAAAAATGAGCCGACAATGGAGACTGACTGGCTACCTTGCTAGAATCGGGAGAAAGGCAGCCTTGCGAGAGCGGTCAGCTTGGGTCTATCTCAACTTCATCTATATTCGCGTCACATTGAACCCACTCACCATTTGCCCCGCAGAGTGATGACCGCCCAATTGTTTCCATCCGCATCGGTCTCCTTCTCTACGTTCGTCGAAAACGAGATGGCGCTCATAATCCCGTCACCGAACTTCTCATTCAGCACCGCCTTGTACGCATACCCGTAGTTTTGCACAATCTCGTACAGTCGGTAGACAAGTGGCTCCTTCGGAGGCATCTCCACAGAGCGGCCGCGGTCAGGAAAGCCGCTCAGCTGCTGCTCAAGGAGCTCATGCGAGATGTCGAGTGCCTTGGACAGGTTGGCGATGTCCTCTGGCGATGCTTTGGCCTGGCCGTAAAAGATGGCTGCAGTGGCCACCTCGTTGCGGCCAATATGCTTTGAGATGTCCTCGAAGCTCAGCTTCTTCTGTGCTTTGGCAGCAAACAATGTCTGCGACGACTGAGGGAGGTATGGGTGCTGCGAGACCTGTGCGCCTTGTGAACTGCTGTATGGGCAAGCTTTGGGATGCATTGTACGGGGTGTGTCCACTTACATCGAGAGTTGCTAGGTTAGACATGGTTCGTCAAGTGGCGTGGATTGGAAGCGGGAGGTATGATATTGACACTGGGAATTCTAAATGTATATCAATTCAATGTTGATTCTACGGGAGGTCATCGTTATATAAGGCTGCGGCGTTGATGAGGACATGGAGCGGGGTGCGGGGTTTCCCCTCACTACTTGCTGTACACAAGGTAATTATGAGGTTGGTGAATGTCTTTTTTCCCTTTTTACCTTTTTTACCGGGTCGCTGCTTGTTCTACGGAGGTCGCGTGCCAGTCAAGCTCACATCAATTGATATATCAATTGATGTGAGCTATGCCCCCGACCCTGGCCCATAGGAGGGCCGATGGCGTCGGTGTGTTAGTTTATATTCTAACGCCAAGACGCCAAGCGAAGCAACCATATTAATTATTGTCATTATCATCATCATCATCATCATTATCATTTAATTAGATGATCAGAACCAAGACGACAGGGGGCGGTCTTTACGGGCGAGACCAAGGCCACCAGCTGAGCCACAACAGGCGATGTCGTGCGTAACCATGTAGCGCACGCCAACGAGAGCAAGCACTGCCACACTGAGTGGGCAGCCAACGCAATGGACTCCCAGTTAGGAATAGAAAGTGTCTGACATGACAGCTCACTGGACAGGCGATGGCACGCCGCCTAATCACCCATGCTTATGGCGGGGCAGAGCAGGCTGGATCGGAGGCCCGGCTAAGAACAAAGCAACAATAGGACGAGCTGGCTGATCGAGCGGGGTCTGCGAGAAAGAACGGATGCCGCTAATAAATAATAAACGTCTCTCTCATCGCGGGCTGGGATCACACAGCTGTCAGCACATCTGGAATGACCGGGCCAGTAGCCAGAGGAGAATACAGACACGCGATTCCTTGCTAGACACGAAAGAACAGGCAGCATGTCTGGAAACGAGAACCCGCTGGCGTATGGCCGCTACTACGGCGAGCGAGCAGAAGGCGACAGCAGCGAGCGCGGACTGGGCGACTCAGCGCGAGGTTTTCTGTCTGACGGGGTGAAGAAGTTCAAGGACCACTATGGGAGCAGCCAGCAACAGCAGCAAGGCGCCGGGTACGCGGGGCACGGGCAGGGGCAGGCGCAGCCGTTCCAGGGAAACTACGGCCCTCCACCGCAACAGCCACAACCACAACCACAACAACCACCACCACCACAACACAGCCAGTACTCCCAGGATGCAAAGCAGGACAGACTGTCCGGCTTCCTAGGCAAGTTTCAGAATACCGTGTCGGACGTCGGCGCCCAGCTGGCTCAGAAGATTGGCACCACCCTGGATGCCGATGGCTACTCGCAGTATGGACCCAAACCCACCGATCACCGCTTCAAGAGCTTTGCACCGCCCAGGGAAAACAACGACGTCAAGTGGCACGTCGATGGCTTCACCTATTTCTGGGCCGTCTCGCAGGCTCTCGAGAGCGCGAAAGAATCCATCTGGATTCTAGACTGTAGGTACTACCCATACCCCCGTGAGACGCCTTCTATGCTTGACAGCTGACCGTGGCCGATCCAACCAAAGGGTGGCTTTCTCCTGAGCTATACCTGCGACGTCCGCCAGCAAAGAACGAGAGATACCGCCTCGATCGTATGCTCCAGGCTGCTGCCCAGCGAGGCGTGCGCGTAAACATCATCGTCTACAAAGAGGTCGAAAAAGCACTGACGTGTAAGCCCCCGAGATGTCGTGTAGAGGAAAGATGAGGTAGGGCGAAACGCTAATTACTCCATCCATAGTATGCTCGGAGCACACAAAGCGCGAACTAGAAGCGTTGCACCCCAACATTCTAGTCTTCCGCCATCCAGACCACCTTCCGGACGCCAATGAAATCAAAAGCGACCTCACTGCCTCCTTCCAACACCTGTCTCTCGACAGCCCAAGTCTTTCGAAACTTCCCAGTGATACCATCAAAGCATTTTACGGCACAAAGGGGGATACGGTTTTATTTTGGGCACACCACGAGAAACTGCTTCTTGTGGACGGCAAAATTGCTTTTATGGGTGGCCTTGATCTTTGTTTCGGCCGCTGGGACACTAACCAGCATGCTATTGCAGACGTGCATCCCGGCGACCTGCAGGAGATTGTTTTTCCTGGCCAGGACTACAATAACGCACGCGTACTTGATTTCCAGGACGTGGCGCATTGGGAGCAGAACCAGCTAAATAGAAAAGTAACTAGCCGTATAGGATGGTCGGATATCTCTATCAGCCTACGTGGACCAGTGGTGGAAGATCTGCGACGGCACTTCGTAGATCGCTGGAATTACATTTACGACACCAAATACTATGCCCGCAATGAGACAAAGTATCAGAAATTGAGTCTCTATCGACAATATGGCGGCCAGAGCCAAGGTGGTGCTTCTGCTGGACCTACTACTCCAGTTCCGGCAGGACAACAACAACCACCACCACCACCCAACCAAGGCCAACTAAGTCAGGAACCGCATTGGCAGCAACCGCAACAGCAGCAGTCGCAGCTGCAGCCACAATGGCAAGGAGGCCAACCATCATACCCGCCAACCCCTGGAAGTCATGGACAGCAGCAACCGCAATGGCAAAGCCAACAACAACCTACCGGACAGCTCTCTTACCCACCGCCTCCCAGCAGCCAAGAACAGCAGCAACAGCAAACACAGTGGCAAAGCCAACAGCCCTCAGCTACACAGAGTTATCCTCCTCCTGCCAGTAGCCAAGGAAATGAAGGGCAACAGCAGCAATTATCATATTCTCAACAACAACCACATTGGCAAGGTCAACAGCAAGCCCCCAGCCAAAGCGAGTATAACTCTAGTACGAGCGCTCAGTTAGGTGGACAGTATTTCCCCCCACCACCACCAGGTCCGCCCCCATCTCACACTGGCGGCGACCATTCAAGCCAGACTCAGATTAACCAGGACCCCTCTCATTCAGGGTTTGGCTCTGGCCAATACAGCTCCCAAACTTCAAACCCGTCACAGGCACCGTACTTTGCCCCGCCTCCAATTCAAGAATCACAGCATTCTCAGACCCGAGGCTTATCTGAGGGAGGGGATCTTTCACGAGGTTACACCGACAATCAGTCAAGCTACAATTCTGAATACCAAGGAAATGGTCGATCCACTACGCAGAATATCATGAGCGATGTTAGAGGCCTTGGCCACTCGCTTCGTGGCCAGCTTGCCGGCCAAGTACATCAATACCAGGATCGGTACATTACTAATTTGGGACGAACATATGGCAATCAGTGGTGCCAGGTTGTGCGAAGCTGTTCCAAGTGGAGTGCGGGTATTCCGACTGAGCATTCTATCCAGGATGCCTACATTGCTGCCATTCGCAACAGCCAGCATTTTGTATACATTGAGAACCAGTTTTTCATCACTGCCACTGGGGATGAACAAAAGCCTGTACAAAATAAGATCGGTGCCGCCATCGTGGAACGTGTCTTGCGTGCGGCTCGGGCTGGACAGAAGTACAAGATCATTGTCGTTATCCCTGCGGTTCCTGGATTCGCAGGCGATCTGAGAGATGATTCGTCTCTTGGAACGCGAGCAATCATGGAATTCCAGTATAATTCGATTAATCGAGGCGGACATAGTATAATGGAGCTCATTGCTAAGGAGGGGTATAATCCAATGGATTATATCCGATTCTATAACCTCCGCAATTATGATCGGATCAACACTAATAGCACGATGGTGCAGGCCGAAAAAGCTAGCGGTATAAACTATGAAGATGCTCGTAAATATCATGATGCCGCGGAGGTTGGCTATGGTGGTTATGGTCCTGGAGCACCTGGGGGCTTTGATACTACCCGACCCTATGACCAATATCAAAAGGCAGCCTCAGCCCACCCTTCAGCCACCTCTGGCCGTTGGGACTCGGTCAGCGAGTGCTACATGCTTGGTGGTGAAGACATTCGCAAAGTTCCATGGGATAGTGACCTACCCGAAATCGATGCTTTCGTTAGTGAAGAGCTTTACATTCATAGCAAGGTATGAGGAAACATTCCGATCAGTGTAAGCGTTCTTAACAGATTATTCCTAGGTTTTGATCGCCGATGACCGTATTGTTATTTGTGGCTCGGCCAATTTGAATGACCGATCTCAGCTGGGGACTCATGATTCTGAGATTGCTCTTGTCATCGAGGACCCCACGCCCCTCGAGTCACAAATGGATGGCCAACCATACCGGGCCAGTAAATTTGCAGCTTCGTTGCGGCGGGAGTTGTTCCGTAAACACCTTGGTCTACTCAAGCCGCAGGACTACCACCGGGCAAACGCCAACTGTGAACCGGTCGGTGTTCCAAACGAGACTGATTTGAGTTCACCGGAAAGCCAGATTGTTGCGGATCCTCTTTCCAACACGTTCCAAAGTTTGTGGAATTCGCGAGCGCGAACAAACACCGAGGTCTTCCGCAAGGTGTTTAACCCCGTCCCCGATGACTATGTCCGCAACTGGAATGCATATAAGGAATTTTACGAGTACAACTTCCGTAAAGCTGATGTAGAGGCGGAAGGAAAGCCGGTCGTCAGGCCAGGAAGATACGAATGGGGTCATGTAGTGCGTGACAACTTTGCGCCTGGGCCAGAAGGGGCCCAGCAGGTGAAAGAATTGCTGAGCCAGGTGAAGGGGACTCTGGTAGAGATGCCACTAATGTTTTTGATTGAGGAGGATATCGCGAAAGAGGGACTGACTTTGAATGCGTTCACTGAGGAAATCTACACTTAGTCGCTGTGATATGCATGCCTTCTGCCACTCAAAGGCACAGGTTTGGAATAAGGCCGGACGTTGTTCTTGTTATGAATGTGAATTTGTCAGCCATTGAGATCATACTGCATTGTTTTGGACCGTGTTTCTCGTATTTCTTGTAGCGCTAAGAGCAGGTAAACGACGCAGGTCCAGAACATTTAAATCGAAAGTAGTCCCCAATCAGATTATCTCGGAGTGAAAAGCTGTGGCTAACCTACTGCATGCAGTGCATTGAGTGGGCTGGCTGTTGATATTCCTTGATATTGTTCTCGGGTGCCTTGGTGTGTGATTGGCCGCATCCAAAGAACAATACTAAGCAAGCCAAACAACAATATCCAACACCATCCTGAAAGCATTGACTGCAGTTAATATATCATGTACTCGCCACAGTGGTCTCCCTTTTACATCTGCTCATTGATATTCTGCTAGCTGTACCATGGTTGACATTGATCCATCGTCCAAGCACCATGCCTCTCCTGGGAACGATTGGTCCGATATCCAACACGATGGCAAAGATGAATAGATACGCGAGTGGACTAAAGACATAGTTGATTGTTATTATTCTCTAGTGACTTCGTGGACAAAGAATACGACTTCTAGATCCCTATCGTCCTATTCCCTTGTACCTATATAGCCATGTGGGTTATCTTGTCAAAGCTCTTCTTTCTTCTTTCCTCTTCACGAATCCAGAAAAAGCAGCTTGACAACCTGACACTACGATTGTGACACCTCGAACCTCCAAAAAGTAATATCCTCTCTCTACTGTGCTTTGATTACCTTATATACCTAAGGCCCCTTTGGTTTTAATGCTCGCTTGGCTTGTTTCATATTCACTGACCTACCCGAAGAAAGAGTAAAATCTTGGAACCTTTGCGGATTCAGAAACAAATATGACTCCGGATATCTATGCTACTAATACCAGTATGGGACCAATTCAATGCTATGATTAATATCTATTTTTGCTGACACCTCGTTTAAAAATACAGTATCTGCCTCAATCAGCCCCGGCAACGGGTGCATCATCATGTAATCCAAAGTGGACTAACATGGGCGAGAATTGGGGGTAGCACGTCCTCCTCTTGCCATATCTATGATGTCTATTTTAAAAAAAAAATGATTTCTTGCCGCTGGAACGACGATTCGATCTTTATTGCAACTATGAAAATGACCCAAAATGGGGTTTGATTGACCCCGAAACACTTCAGATCGCTATTCGTTTGACTTTGAAAGGAAAGGGAAAGGAGAACAGGATAGTCGTTTATTTTCCCTCAGAAATACCGTTTCTGTTTTCATTGCAAAAGTTATTCCATGGGCAAGAGGGTGTTTATGTGGATGCGGATGCTGAAATATCTACAGTGAGTGGTGAGACCACAAGCCTGGGGTAATACCTATGAAACTAACTAAGCGCAGAGGCCTAATTGGTTCATCAATGATGGTGCTTATTCAACAGTAGTCCTTTCGTCTCACGACTTCGATCGATCTGGTCTATTTACTCGTCGCTCTGTTAGGCCGAATTGGTGCTATGGATAGGTATATTGGCAAACGCTTCTTTACATAGCTTGCTAGTGGATTTCTTTTCTTCCTCTCTTTGTTGAACTCTTGAATAGCCTGTTTATTTCGATTATTCTTCTATTTGATATATTTTGATTCTATCCTAAGACGCCTCGGAAGGTATCGATTTGCTCACTAGAATCGACATTGACCAGGGTGGCCTTAGTATTTTTATGCCTCAAGCTGATTTCTATGATTTACCTGGTAATATTTATTCCTTAACGCTTGTTGATATCTTCTTACGACTGTGGATACGAGACTTTCTTTAAATATGTATATGCTTTGAGGTTAATCGAGAATTCTTCAGCTAAATATTCGGTCGCTTTGAGTTGTTTTTTATGAAAATCCAAGAAAGGTTTTCGAAGAGACTATAGTTCTAGGAAATTAAAGCCCAAGGGATGGTGGGATGAAATTCTCTTCCATATCCCTGCCCATATGGTACATATGTATTTGCATTGAGACGATATCTGTTTCGATGTTGTTCGGACTTTCCATTTCAAGATTGATCTAAAAGGCAGCTGCACTGATCGAGCATCGACATTATCCCAAATCAAGTGTAATATAATCTAGAAAAATAATACAATGACTTGTGAATGATACTCATGCTATTTTATGACCGAACCAGACACCAAGGCATTAATTGATAGCGGCATGGCATGTAAGATAGCGGGAAGTACTGGCCAAACCCTATGTAATTAATGCAACTATCAGCTCATGAGCCCATTGGTCCTATAACAATTGATGTTGACGAGTGTTAATGCAATTTGAGGCTGTTGGTAGATGGTGGTTCCTGAATGAATAGACATAATCAGATGTACTTCGTATACACCCCGGTGGCTATCTGCATAGTATCGCTATAAACAAGGACATCTGGAGTACAATTGTGTTCGTGAACATTAAAAATCCAGGTAAAAGTCTGCAGACATGTACATAATATTCAGAGGTCACATTGCATGATATCTACTTTTCGAAGGTCAGACTGCAGTTGCAAATCTGATCGCCTCTACCTTGGAAATGTCAAATGTGTTCCTACCACTTCCAATAGTCTCTTCATCGTGTGCAATCAAGTCACCGAGCTTCTCTTCTACTTGGGCAATGATGTGTGACAACAATCCGACCGACCGCGCGAGGCCTATGTGGCACATATCCTCGCCAATGGCTGCTTCGATTTTGCCATCACCGCCATTTGCTGACAGGTCTTCTTCGAGTAACTGGCATGTTGATTTCAAGCGAGGGAGGAATTCGGTTTTAAAAAATGGGTAGCCGTGGCTTAGTTCTAGCTTGTTGCGTAGTTGAGTGGAGGAAAGGAGAATGTAGTATAGACTTAAAGCAGCATGGGTATAAGGGGCAAGTGCTTGTGAGAATCGAAGGAATGCGGCGACAATATCAGTGGCTATGTCCATGGAATCGAACTCGGCTGGGTTGAAAATTATCGGGAAGAGAACGGAAAAGTAGTGAGGATTGAGAAACACGGTATTTTGACTTGATATATCTGCCGTCGGAGCAAGAATTTCGTCTTTCAACCATCCAACCGCAGTTTCACGGGCGTATAAAAGATCTTCATTTTCGAAGATTTTTCGTATCAGCTTAAAACGAGCAGTGTCGGAAGGATGGCTTCGTGCTATGGTTGATGGAATCCTGCGGAGGCTGTTGAAGATCTGGCGGGAGCTACACGTCGTCACGGCCAAACTTAAATCGGTATACTGTTTCTCATCGATCGGTTCACCTACTTTGTCGTGAGATGAAATCGTGGTAATTGTTAGGAGGGCGTCATGAAGAGCTTGAGGTTGTTCATTGGGAGTCCCAACACCAACGAAGTTTGCGAAAATTACGGCAAGGTCGGGATATACTGGTATATGCACCGGTTGAGATCCAGAAAACAGAATAGATGCCGAAGAGCGTGCTGCCAACATGAGGAGCGCACCATGTCGTTCTAAGGGTATCTCATCTGCAGTTTTTGGTAGCTCGTCAAAATCGAGTGGGGGAGGGCGGGTTTCCACCGGCGAGGTAACAATTTGCAGCAGATATTCATCTTTGATACCAAGGTCTCGAGATAGTGCCTACAAATGTACGCATGAGTCTCGCATGACTATTATTAGAAGAATGGAGACGAGGACAAAAGAAAAGTAGACAACGTACACATATCTTTCCAATGATCAAATCTCTTTCTTTGAGGTGCTCCGTCGCTGCATGAATATGATTTTTTGAGAGTATATCGGCCAAATGATCTTCTTTTCGATTTAATTTTTCCTGTAGCCGCAATGCCCAGGACAGTCCAGATTCTTCTGATGAAGATAAACTAAGAACATACGACTTTAACAGCTCGACCAACCCAAATTGAACGAGTTTCTGTTGAAGACTTCTATCATCAGAAGCGACAGGCACATCGTATACAGTTTCCGGGTCAGGTGCAGATGCCTGAGAGACCCGCACGACAGAGGAATCACTAGTTCCACGAGGAGGTACAGCAGGGCGTTTTGTGGGTGACAAGTCTCTCAAGAGCTCCAAGAGTGCGTTTGTTGTTTCGTCAGTGGGCATTGACCCATACGCCTCCAAAGCAGCCTGGAGAGAGGTTGCAATAAAGCGGCTGGGGTATTTAGTCCTGATGCGACTGTGAAGGACCGAAAGCATAGCGTTCAAACAATTGAATTGAGCCACATAACGGGAAGGCCCCTTTACAGGGACTGTGACAGCTTGCTCTGGACCTGTTGTCGCGTGCTGTATTTCCTCGTCGTCGTTCTCGTCTGGCTCCAACTTCATCAACGAGTCCGAGACTCGAAGAATGACCTCGCGAGGATTTCCTAGCCGGGCAATATCCTGTAGACATTCCTGGGACTGGGGAAGCATTGGCAGGAGAATCTGCACCAGATCCCACCCAATGTTTGTCGTGAGAACTTCATCCTGTAAGAGTCGATGGAGGGTCGGCAGGCGCGCGGGGGTGAGTTGATACTCGAGGATAGTGAGATAGGTCAGATAGTCGGTAGCTGGGGGTAAAGCCGCCACGAGGGGATCCTCTTCTGAAGTCATCTCTGTCTTTGTCAAGGTGTATTGCTGCGCGGATCATAAATCGAAAGCCGACGAAGTTGGTTGTCGAATGCGTTGATGTTTGTTTCTCTCGCGGTGAGATGCCCCGCCCGAGGCTGATGACATCAGTGGCAGAACATGACCGCCCCGAGTCCTTGTACCGCCATGCATTTATTACTGATTGGCAAGCAGTAAGCAAGGGCTTGTTGCTGGTTGCCAGCTTTTTTTTTTTTAAAAAAAAATTCAGTTATTGTCCGCTTGGCTATCGAGACTTTTGCAGGCACCTGGCAGCTGCCCAAAAGCGTCTTCTTGGCTGCGAGTTCTCCACTTGGGCCTCCACTGGCTGGTCCAGAGTGCTCTGGTGGCTGGCCTATGAGTAGTAGGAATCATACTCCAAGGGCGAGAATTGCACGGCAGTGGGTTATGAAGGATAGCGAGCATCTTTGACCTAGTATATTTTGATCCGCACCAACCCCAAGAAGACAGCGCTGGATTGGCTATTTCTTAGAATTCTACTCATTGTAAGCCCCTGGAAGATAGATTCCTCCAGTGAAGGTTTTTGCTATACGCTACGACTAGCTCTGCCCGAAATTTCGAATAGTATATGCCGTCAATACGTATTGGGTAATCGGGGCAATCTGCAGAAGGCGATCTGAGTCTGAGATAGCTCGAAAATGTGGCATCCCACTGTAGAGCGCGACCACATCAATTTGAATGGACATCGAGTGAATCATATCCCCCCCCCCCCTTGGGATGATAGCGCTACATCGAGCAGGCGATTATCGTTGCAGTGTCAATGTCGAGTTCAAGTCGAGCATAAAAATCAACGATCCAAAGCGGGGCGCTAGCAGCGTTCGGAGTTCAGCGACTGTCGACATGAAGCCGAAGGTGCCGGAGGGATGACGATCAAATTGTATCCAGGCTGGCCTTTTGTCGCTATTAACTGAGGAGGCAGAACGCTGGACAGTGAATAGTGGTCGCTGATCAAATCGAGCAGGCTATCTTAGTAATGTCCTCAACCCAAGGCCATTCTCAGGAGTCAGCAGTGACTCAGCACCAACTAGCTGTCGATCGGGATTTAAGCAGTCGAGATCACCCAAACGCCGGAAAGTAAGGCCGTTCGCAGGCGGACAGAAGATGCGCTATTGGTCGAGGATAGGATTAGACTCGGCGACGTCATTTGCAACTGTACAACAGGGAACACAACGAACGAGCTGTGTTCCTGAGAAGAAGAAGAAGAAGGTATACTGCAGCTCCGAACCATCCGGCCGGGTGGGCTCTCTTATTCTCCAGCTGCTCTCGTAAGGAGCCATCCCTCTTACTAATAATTTATAACCTATTCTTCACCAACCTACTATTCCTACTCATTCCGCTCCTAATAACCCTTAATTCCCCTCGAGTGCCCTCGCCTCGTCTTCCGCCAGCACGAGGAGAGGATCTTCAGCCGTTCCAGGATCTGCCGGCTGCTAGTCTCGGTGCTCCACCCGATTCGCTCTCGCTCCTTATTTTGTATGCAAATTGTCAAGAGCATTAGTTTATTGATAATATTCGTCCAAGACGCATGATCCTTTTCTCTCAGAAGTCCGGATTCGACGTTCGCCTCTCCCGTGGCCAAAGACCATCAAAACCCAAGATGGCAACCGAGATGCGCTCCTTTTACACGCCGTCAACATCAACCCAAATGTCGCCGCACTCGCCGTCCATTGTTGACGAGCTGATAAGCAAATATTCCTCCTCAATGGCTGCGGTGAACACCGCGAGCTCTCTATCTCCGGCATCGTACGGAAAGCACCGCAGCCTGGCCCAGCGTCTGATTCACCGCGTCCGTTTGGAATACTACCGGTACGAAGTCACTTTTGGCGTTTACGTCATGAGCCCCGGCGAGAAATTCGTCGCCAACGCCTTTGTGTTCGTGTTTATTTCTCTGCTCATCTGGGCCTCACTGCTTTACCTACCGCAATTGCTTTTCCGAAAAATTGCTCGACTCGCCTGGTTGCTGACCGGCCACAGCGATGATGTCGCTGTTGTCTTTGGTATCTTCGATTCGGCGTATGCGACATCGTCGGAGCCTGCCATTGCTACGAGTACAAGGGCATCATAACGAAATCGCCTTGTGAAGCATCAATTACAGTTCTTTAAAAGATACGCGCTTGTTACTTATGTGCATTTCCATGCCGCGCATGATACCGGGGTTGGGGTCGTGTACACGGTAGACCATGCTCTTTCTTCCCTGCTTCTTCGCGTCGTATACCCAAGCAACTTTGAATTTTGTTGGAGCGACCATCTTCCAAACTCGGCGCAATCGTGGACTCCTCTCAGCGTTTTCTTTATTGGTTTGGAAACAAATACGATGGATCGTTTTCACGAGCCAGAACTGTGATTGCTTGAATCACACCAAATCAATGTACCAATAATCATGACAGGGACAGCTAGACAGAGGAGACGCACATGCTTCTCCCAAGACTCCTTTATCCATACAAGACGTTATTATTAATGACAAGACTATTATAGATATCCATACCAGTATCTATGCATGATTTCCTAAACTTGTTTTCGTACGTCGGTGGAACGTGATAAGGATATTATTATTTGATAAATGGGTCATCGATTGGATAAAGTACACGATGTGACGGGTAGTATCTCTGTTGTAGATATTCTATGTAGATCTTTGTGGACATATGATCAACCATGGTATACTATTTGGTGTCAGTAATCTAAGTCAACAGAAAACTCATACGAGTGTCGTGTATCATTGTTCAATTATCATTGGGTGAATCGTAGGGACAAGAGGCTGTGCCGGTTTTATATGCAAATAGCTGTGGATCGTCATAGCTGCCAAAGCAAAAAAATATAAAATCAAAAGGGGTATCTTAGTGCTGGTAATTTGCGAAATCGCTCGGGATTCTCAAGTCGGCGTCAAATTCAAATTTCCTACGCTGCACCAGTTTTTGACAGGCTGCGAACGACCGCAATGAATCAGTAAGGATTTTTAAAATAGCAAAGAGGAAGACGACATACCAAGCACGTCAGATGATAGCACCATGAGCAGTTCGACTTTGGATATTTATAAAAATCCGTAATTAACAGAATGAATCCGATGATCACAGCCACTAAGGCACCCGCACGCACAAGCCACCAGGCCCACCAGAGGGGCTTCCTACCCTTGAAGAAAGCCAATGGGCGGTTGTATTTGAAACGGTCGTTATTGTTATCGTCATGACTGTTGCTTTTCCTGTTGTTGAAACCATTCGTGCGGTTCTCGACCGGAGATGGGCCAGCACCGCCGCTCATGACGACATACGGTGTTCGTTCGAGACCGATTCGTTCTCGGATATAGTTCGGAGACCGCATCATACAGAGGCCCATGGCTAATCCCATGATAAACCCACCGATATGCGAGAAGTTATCCAAGCCCGGAAGCAGGCCCAACACAAAAGATATAGCGATTTCGAGCACAAGGAACAGGAGCTCAATCCAAGGACTCCGTCGCTCTTTCCATGTATAAAGTAGATCCAAAACGAACAGCGCAAGGATGCCAAACAAGGCCCCCGACGCCCCCGTGGATGAGATGCCCTGAGCTGCGTAGTTCCCACCGAGCGCAAAACCGAAGATACCGCTCGCAAAGTATACCAGGGCATACCGCCACCACCCGATATTCCGCTCCATATCCGCCCCCATAGTCATCTGCATTAGCATATTAAAGCCGATGTGAATGATTCCGGCGTGCAAGAACATCGGAACGATGAACCGAAACCACTGGTTTGGTTCCGGTTGATCATCTATGGAACCATTTATTTTGGGATTTGGCACACCGTTAAACCCGCACAATTCTGATAGAGTACATTTATTGCTTGCATCCTGGGAGTCGGAGGAGGTCGTATTTGGACAATTCCAGTAAATTGTTTCGTTTGCGTTTTGTACTCCGGGGACATTCTTCATGCAAGGGACGAAACGAGCACCCATATTAATCTGGACATAAGGGGACGGCCCGACCATTGGATTGAAGCTTGGGTGAATTTCGATAGGGCTCCCCGTGAGCTTTGCTGAAAAGGTGTTAATTTTGGCATTTCTCTCCTAACAAAACGTGCAAGACCTACCGCTGTAAATTAACTCGCCAATGAAAACGCCAACATCAATGATTGTTAATAGATAGGTGACCCAAGGGATTTTGCTACGGAAGAATCCACGTTTCGCGGAACGCCGCCGCCGCCTGTCGCTCATGTCTGGATCCATGGGCATGTCAGATTGATAATTTGTATTCTGATTCACCCAGCGAGGGTCGTTCATCTGGGATTGCTGCACATTCGGCTTTAGTGGGATGTCTTCTCCATACTGATCAGCCAGGTGGTTTCTGCCACCAACGAATGCGTTCTCGTCTGAAAATGACTGCTGGCTGTGTCGAGGATCGTAGGTCCCTGAATGTGAGTCGTAGGGGAAATGCGAGAGGGTTGGCGAGAGGGGCGGGCCGGGAAGGGGTTTCGTCGTCGAGGGTTCCAGATCCTGTTGCTGGGATTGTTGGTGAAAGCGATTATCATTATAGGCAGGCAGTTGCTCGCGCTGTGATGGTTGCGGTTGGAAAGAGTGGAAGTACTCGTTGGCCGCCATGCTGGGCGACGCAAATGAATGAATCAATCAATCAATTATTTTTCATTCAATCGATCAAGAAGTGTTGATGGCAGTCGATTTGGTTGTCTTTGTACTATTTTGCGCCAGGATATAGATAGAACAGACTAGGTATGCGTGTAACGGCGATGAAACTGGAACGAGTTGCATCCGCCTCGGCTGGAGAGCAAACAGCGTCGACGGTGAGCAGACACGACTAAAACGATGGACGGGAGTTGCAGCAGAAAACAAGCGAGCTGTAGGCAGAACGAAGTCGCGAGAGAGGGGGAGAGAGAGGGAGAGAGAGAGAAAGCAGTTGTGGTGTGCTGTGTGTTGTGTGTTTGGAGTTACGAGTGTACCTGAGGAGTGAGACAGGCCAGGGACGCAGCAGGGAGGCGGTGCGCGGCCAGGCTCCACCAATAAACGTCATGCCACCTGTTCACCAGAGGACTAACTATTATTATTGGTATTTTTATCCGTATAATAATATCGTAATATATGACAATGTTATTAAATGCACTGCTGAGGCCACTGCCACGTTCGTCGCCGACACGCGTCGTCGTCTTCAGGACAACAGCGTGTGGCTGTGGTGGCCGTAAGGCTGTTGACCGATTGCTCCGTAAGATACATCATATTAATATTTATTATTATTATTCATAATATTCAGTAATCGTGTTCCTCATAATGGTATTCGTAATAACCCAACACCATTAATAATCGTCAAATACGCATAATAATAGCCAGCGCAGTCGTCGAAGGGTTTATCGACAACTACAGCCGGCCGAACTGGTCCGCTCCTTCTTCTCCCTTCTTGCTCACCTCACTCTCCTCCTCCCTTTTTCTTCGGCATTATTGTTCTCCCCCCGCGCCTCTGACCTACTTGCTACTTGATGGCCGTCGTTGTAATCCCGAAACTTCGACCCCGTGAAGACAGGAAGACTGCTTGATTTGTGTACCGCCGACCACGCCGCAGCTCGATTGTTGTGCAGCTCGCCTGACACGTTGAGAGCAGGCGCACATCGTGATGACCTTGCGCAGTATCGAGCGCCAATATTCGCTCAGTCGAATTTGAATATCCATCCAGTGCCGTACTGCCGCTCGCCGGTCGCCGCTTTGAGTCAACCCCGGCGTTGATGAACACACAATGGCGACGTTAGGCTCGCCTGAGATGTCGCCGAAACGGCGTCCCCGGACATGGGCGAGAAAAATCGAACGACTGTGTGTTGTCTTTTTTGGATACGTGCCGTTAGCATTCGTGTATGGCTTGTCCACCTGGGCGGTCTGGGTTGAGGCTGGCGTTGGCTTTCTCCCTAATAAAAGCACCTGGATAGGTATGGTGCTGTCCCCTCTCCATCGATCGTCATTTGCAAAAGCTAATAACCGCCTCTACCTAGGCTTCCCCAGCTCCACGATAGGCATTCTTTTGTACATACTACTCAATCTTTCGTATACAGTCGCTGTATTTACAGATCCTGGCTCACCCGTTACTTCGAGCTCCCGAAGTAGTGGTCGGGGCCAATATAGCCATCTTCCGACGACCGAGTTGCCCGAATACCAAAGCTATACTGTGAATTCGCATGGTGGTGCAAGGTTCTGCAAGAAATGCCAATGCCCCAAACCCGATCGGACCCATCACTGTTCAAGTTGCAAGCGATGCGTTTTAAAAATGGACCATCACTGCCCGTGGCTGGCCACGTGTGTTGGGCTACGGAATTATAAAGCTTTCTTACTATTTCTAATCTATACCTCTGTATTCTGCTGGGTTTGCTTCGGCACAGCCGGCCTTTGGGTGTGGGATGAGGTGTTGACCGAGGTGTCATATATCGATACTCTCATGCCAGTCAACGTTATCTTACTAGCTGTCATCGCCGGTATCATTGGCTTGGTATTGAGTGGTTTCACAGCCTGGCATATTAGCCTGGCAATGCGTAACGTCACCACAATCGAATCGTTGGAGAAGACACGGTATCTGTCTCCTCTGCGCAATGCTTTGGATCGACATCGTTCTGACAACCACACCACCAACGACCATAATTCTAGTATAGGACCAGGTGACGACAGTTTCGGTCATCGGCTTCAGGGTTATGGACAACAAATTATCGAAGCGCATGCCAATGCGATCCCAGGCGTCACTCGCGTGGAAGAAGGTGAGGAGCGACAATCTCCTCCGGCTGAGAACCGCGGTAGCCAGCAACAGGATTATGTATCGTTTCTACGAGAATCAAATACAAATGGAACTCCAGCTCAGCAGGCGCTCCATCGTTCGTACGAAGAATCGGAAAGGCAGCGAGAGCGGGATAGGTACGAGGATTACCTTGACTCCAAGGATAACGAAACCATGCCAAACCCATTCGACCACGGTTGGCAGCAGAACTTGAGGCATTTATTCGGTGATAACCCGCTTCTATGGGCTTTGCCAATCTGCAACACGTCAGGTGATGGCTGGTACTGGGAGCCTAGCGCCAAGTTTCTCGAAGTAAGAGAACGTATTCGCCAAAATCGAGAACAGGAATGGTCGAACTGGTTGGAGCGGCAACGCCAACAAAGCTACGAGTACTGGGTGAATGGCACGCATCAGAGACAAGCTCCCACCAAGCCAGTGTCAATACAGCGCCATGGAAAAGGTGGGCAGAATGGCGTTTTAGGCGCATCGTTCGACCGACCAGGCACAGGTGTCTCGATGAAAACTCTACGGCCCATGTCACCACGCATGCAGCACGACGACACTGATGGTGAGAACTATGAAACGAGCTCCGACGAAGATCGCCCAAAACATACAAAGCGAGGAGGCAATAAAGCCGAACGAGTCCTCGGCATCTCGCGAGACCAGGCTGGAAGCTCGAGGGACGAATGGCGTGACTGGGACTAAAGTGGCAGCACATATTATTGGGATAGCTGTTGATATATTTCATCGAAGATTTGCTCGGCGTTCGTTGCGGTTTGCATATAGGGACTCGTAGATCATCAGTAGCTTTGGAATATGTAACTATGGGAGTTTAGTCGCCACTGCAGGCGAACACAATATTTGCGTGAAATTAAAATGACGATGGAATGAGTGGCGTGTATTTTATTATTAATATCATCATTATCATTATTATTATTGATTACTACATGTGCTACTACAGATCCCGTGGTATTCCGACGCGTCCATAACGCTGAGCTCTGTTCGTCAGCGCTAAATGCCACTTTGTCCATTCTTATTCCCCCTCCCCCCCCAAGCAGTTATTATCGTTATTGCTGCAACTTCGCCGTCTCGTCCGCCGTTTTCTTCGTCCCCCCTTAGATTACATCTTTGCGTGTTTGCAACAATTTTGGCGTTGAAATGGATTTGCGAGAAAACCCAAGAACTTGATCAACTCGGTCTGTAACCGACTTCAGTTGCTGTTTCGTTGCGTCACTATCTGATTCCACTCCAGCCTCTCGATATAAAAGGCATCTTTTCGGCCCAACAACGATCCCCCGTGCGCTGAAAAGGAAAATACAGCCCTGCTGCAAAAGATCTCCCCGCTGTACACTTGCTCCTTCGGTCCTCCCGCTCGCTCAGCGCCGAACGACATTATTTTACCACGACCTCCAAGATGTCACCCACAATCCGGCGCTTGATGAAAGAGGCAGCTGAACTATCGGAGTCATCTTCTTCACCATCGCCACATTTTCACGCCCATCCCGTTTCCGACTCGAATCTGTTCGACTGGCACTTCACAATGACGGGCCCGCCTGCTCCGTCCCCGTACGCTGGGGGTATCTACCATGGGCGCATTGTTCTCCCGCCGACATATCCATTGCGACCGCCATCATTCCGATTTTTGACACCTTCTGGAAGATTTGAAGTAAACCGCGAAATCTGTTTGAGTATCAGCGGCCACCATGAGGAGACGTGGCAGCCTGCATGGGGGATCCGTACCGCGCTTACAGCTATCCGGAGTTTTATGGATGGAGATGCAAAGGGACAGCTGGGCGGCCTAGACGCCACGGATGATGTGCGCAGGATGTGGGCCGAAAAGAGTCGCTCATGGAAATGCGACTGCATGGAAGGAAGGACGAACGAGCAAGTCTTGAACGACTGGCGAGAGCTCTGCTTGCAAAAGGGTATCTCCGTTGATGAAGAAGGGAGGGAGACAGTGCCGGCAGAGCTCAATTTGAGCTACAAGAAGTCGTCTGGACAAGAAGAAAAGGATACACAAGAAGGATCTGATTCTCTGGGCCAGTCAGAAACAATAGCGACTGTCTCGCAGAAGTCCCAGACATCACCAGCTCAAAATAGGGCCCCGCAAAACTCACCAACCTCCCATCCTCAACCACAACCTCAACCCGCACAGTCAGAGGCTCCACGACCAACACTAAACATCAGTCCTTCTCCTTCCACAACCGCACCTACTGTACGAACAAATACTCAACCGAGCGCGTCTCACGATAACCCCTGGCTGGACCGGGCTATCATTGGCGTATTAATAGCCTTGGTATTTATGATTATGCGAAGAATTGCTGCTTCGGACCCTATATAACCTTTATCTGCCACGATTAGTTATAATCTATCCATTCTTCCTATATATATACCCCTTATTATTATTTGATAATTTCCATTAGTCTCTTCAATATGAGATTCGGCGTACTAAAAAGGAGTTTCATAAATGATATATTAGCACCATTTTCATTATCATGCATTGGGAATCCAGCATTGGGCCAGAATCCACTATCGTTATTGCTTCTACCATGATTTTATAATGCTTTGAATTTAATGTTGTGGAATCATTATCAAACAGCTGTTCTGGTAGATTCTCACAGACAATTGGAAGCCATTGGTGACATATATCAATTATTAACGTCACTATTTAGAAATATAGCAAGCATTGCTATGAATTGAGTGATCTCGGAGGAAAAATTGTCAACCCCAGAGGGTAATATTTTAAACATTTGAAAAGATTATAGATGTTTTTGCCAGAGCATATATTTTATACACTTCAGAAACGAAAGATGTGTCGAGATCAAGGTAAAAAGAAGACAGAAGACACCAGCACAAGAAGGCTGAAGACAATCAGTATAGTAATAGTGCATACCGCATCATGTGTCCAAAACTAGCCACCAGTACTCCTTTACTCTCCAAACAACCTTCTTGTTGCTAAATTCCTCCCGGCCAACGAGGCCCACATGATCTAGCCACGCAAGAGTACGTTCAATGTCCCAGATCGCTAGATATTGTTGGAGTTGACTATGTATGGCTCCAGCGTCGATGTTGGGCCGTATTGCAACAATACCCACGACGGCGGAGACAACAGACTGCCATATTCCTTGATTCAGATTGCCATTTATGTCTAACCACAAAGGTGGCCTTTGCCCTTCGAGCTGGCTGAGGTCCCCACATCCATCGCTGATAATATTATCAATCGTTGGCACGAGATTTATCATCTCTCGAATGGGATTTCCATATTCATAGTTTTGGCTATCTGGAGCAACAATCATCTGAAACTTGTATTTTGCTTTGTCCAATGCACGGGTCTCGTAATTGCCTTGTGTAAGACCAAATGGATTGGAAGGCGGATCGATAGGTGAAATATGCACACGGTACCTCGCAGCTAATTCCATGATTGCCAGGACCTCCCCATCAACAGCATCGTATTGGATATGCGATATACCGTCGCTTTTGAAGTCCGCGTCGAGTTTTTGTTTGAACTGTGCAGCTTGTTTGAGCATGTCTAGGTCAATCGATCTCTTGCGCCCAATTGCATGATAAAAATTATCTGTCAAGCTGAAGTTACGTCCCGGAATAACGCGGCCACGGTTATCTTGCATAATCAAACGGTCGCGAGTTAATTCTTTCGTGCCTTCGTCAATAGCATCGCTCGGGAATCGCGAAAGCTTTTGTTTTGCATCGACAGAGTTGTATGTTTCCTCCTTTGCGATAATGTTGGATAGTATCCAGCACTTTGCGTTGTCTATCAAGTCTCTCTGTCCTCTGCCATGTCTTATCCTTTGGGTATCCATCGTAGCGATGTCTAGATATGGTTTCGCAGAATACATTGACTCTCGTTTCGCAATAGTTATCGACGGATTTGGGGTGTATATGGTCTCAAATTGATCGCCAGGTTGAGCAATACGATATTCATGTAACCCTTCGAAATGTGCCCTAGAACCTGGCAGATTTGGCACCTCTTGTGTTGGTGGTGTGTGATGTTGTGTAGTGGCCCATGTTGTTACAGCATCCCAATCATAAGCTGCCATGTTAGTGAAGTTGATGCTTGGCAACGCGCAGTTGGGCTTTCGATATTCATCAAGTAGCCCATCACGAATTTCGACCTGCATTTGTGCTAACTGACGTCGATCACGGTTCAGTAGTAGTTTACCAATGCGGCGGACAAAACCAGTGGATTCCCTCGGAAACGCGTTCTCTACAAGATCCCAATCAACATTCTTGCCATATGAACCGCCTGAAAAAATCCTGACAAGAACTATTGCGTGTCGAAGCCTGTCGACAAATTGAGGACCGATGTCTCTGAGACCCTTTTGCCTGCGACGTCCGATCGATGGTTTCACTAAATCAGCAGCCGGAGGGAACGAGTAGACGGCGTATTCAGGGCGTTCGGTAATCACTGGCGGAGTACTTTCCAATAGTTGTAGCCTAGCTTGTGTGGAAATTTCATGTGAATCGAAGTTATGCAATGCTGGCTGTTTAAACAGCTTTGTTGCAGACGCCGTTGAGCGCTTCTGTCGCCGAGCCTTCGCCGTCGAACGTTGTCTTCTCCCCGCACCGTCGATATCAAATTGTATGAAACCGTCTATCGGCACTTGTTCGAATGGCTCTTCAACAGCGTGGTGAACGTATGCTAGGTTGCTAGCTGACTGATCAGACCGGGCCTGTACCGCTCTCTGGTTAATCATCTCCCAATGTGAAACATAGTCAATTTCATGGACAAATTGATGATAGGGAGACTCGACAGCTGCCGAGATATCATATCTGCGCCGTCTTACGTCCGCGAGAGCACGTTCTAGCGGCTGGGACAAGGGGTGCTCGATGTTTGTGGATTCAGCCATCTCTATCGAACAGTAAGATTCCCGGGGTTTCTGTTGGGTTTTATTGGGGACCTTCTTTATAGGTCCCTCTAATCGTTTCCGCTTAGCTGGTCTCGTAAACGAGGTCATACCCTTCGAATCTAAAACTTTGCCATTCTGATGAATACCCATGAGCCTAACAGGCTTAAGTAGACGTTTCTGATTAACTTCCTCTCTTCTTTTCTCCTGTGCGATAATAAAGGCTGGTTTGTTCCGAAGTTTCACCGTCATTGCAGGTTCGACAGGCGCGATTTTTGTATAAACCCCTGATGGAGCTCCGGTTCCACCACGAACAATCTTGGCGATCTCGGGATCTATCTCAATATTGTTGGGAATAAAATAGCTAGACTTCAACATTTGTTCCTGGAGATTTATTACTACCGGATCGGTGGGGTTGATAGCTGGATCCACGACGAGAGTTCGAGTGACCATTTCCCCCTTCGGACCTCTCCCGCTAAATGTTAATTGGCGGAGCTTCCCAGCGTCAACAAGATACTTTACTACAGACTTCACAGTTCGCGAATCCGGTTTCTCGCTGTGTTTGTGATGTTTGATCCAGACAGTCGCAAATGCATGCCACAGTTCGCTGCTGGAAGGGAATGCCCCCCCTGCTTGTTCAATGAGAGTTAAAACGATATTACGTCTCTCACGCGCCACTGAACCGTCTTTTTCAAAACGTCTGCTTTTCGGAATAGCCATTTTAGTCTGTACTTCGACCTCATTAACCCGAAATTCAGCGGCAAGATTAGCTGGTGTAGAAGATGAATAATCTGTAGAAGAACTTTCTGCAGCAAAACTGCCTTTCGAGGCATCTTTTTGTGATAGGGAGGGTGCTGGAGATTGCTTATGTGTTTCCGAAGTGGTTGACTGTTGGGTATCAGGAGGTGCAGTAGGCTGTACATTGCTCTGCATCATGTCTGCTGATGTAACATGTGCAGATATGGCGACAGCTGCAGTTATTTGTTTGCTAGACGTTGTAGGCGTTTTTTGTGGTACTGTCTGGGCTTGATTGGACAAGGGTGGTTCCTCTACTAATTGCGTCGATGTCGTGAGTACTGACTCGGGACCCTGCTCCGCCGCGACAAGCAACGTAGTATTTTCAGCTTGGTCAAGATCTCCTGACGTTTGTATATATGACTTGAGAAAGTCTACCAGCGTTGGGCTCTTAAATACTGCGATACGACTTTCCTTGGGTCGACCTTGTCTTTTTCCAGCCGGCCGCGCCTTTCCCCTCGAGGTGAGATAGACACCGGGACCGGGTCGTTCCATTAATCGAACCGCGACATGGGTCCAACTTTCATCCATACCAAAATTAGCAAAGACTTCTTTCGCAGTCTTGGTACCTTTCTTAAGCTCAGCCTCTATTCTTTCCGCTTTCGACATCTTTCCAAGTGATATAGTAGAATTTTGCATGTGAGATGAGCCAGAGAAATCTTCATCTTGCGGCACTTCTTCTGCCGTTGAGCCTGGTTGAGATTCGCCGATAATTTCCAAGTTCGTGGACCGTCCGTGCTCGCGTTGAAACAACGCAACTAAGCGACGCAAATGGTTAGAAAAGATTGATTTAGCTGGACGAGATGTAGATACTCACATAGTTGTCCTTCCTCATTGACTATTGCTATGGGATCACTTTTTGTTTCCGAATAACTAGTAAGACCCTTAGACGCCACCACACAATAGATATCTCGTTCGCTTGTTTTGTTTCGTGGAGCTGCAAAGGGGGCTAAGCCATCTTCATCCGTCGTCGAAGGCGCGTCAGGCGGCGGTAACACTAGTCTAGAGCTCCGAGCATCTCTGGGACGAAAAGCAACTGCCTCCCAACCGGTCCGACCACTATCGACTAACTCTTTGAAATGGGGGTACGTATAGTGCACATAATGTGTAATGGTACCACTTTGGGCGGTGTCTCTAATAATGGCGCCATGTTTCAGATGAGATGGTTGTGACAGCTGCCAGCCCTCAGACATCCGATTCAGTGTGTTCTCGCTGGGACGACGGAAACCCTTGCCGAAGCCCTCCCTGATAACTTGGGCATTGGTTCTCCCAGTACTTCCACTTCGAGAAATAATGTCTGCGATTAAATTGGGCACACTGATATCGGGGGTCCACTCAATTGCCTGGTGTTCCGAAGTCTGTAGTTCAGATGATTCCTCAATATCTTCACTATCCTGATCGGCCGTGGAAGCGACGTCTTGGTCGATGGATTGGAAGAGGGTTTTGTAATCGCTTTTGAAAAGCTTCATATCAGCATCAGTGGGTTCTCGAAGCATTAGGACGCACGGATGCAATGCCTTCATAGCATCATGAAATTGTGAGCGGGCCCTAACCCGTCGGACACAGCCGATGGCTTCGAATTTAATAACAGTTTTGCTAAGAATACGCCATCGCCACTGATCTTTCAAGCCAAGCTCATCCTTCAAGTCGTTTCGAGAGATGATCTGATGTTGCCTGAGCACTCTGAAGAGATTCTGGGCGAATGAATCGACATCGACGACTTGAGTCGGTGGCCTATGCTCGTCCATTGAAGGAGCCAATGCATTGTCAAAGCTGACGGGACGCGCGAATCTTGAAAACACGCAGAGGCTAGTTTTTGCTGATTTGGCTTGCACCTGACGCTTGTCAATGTAGCCTTTGGTGTGGAGAGCATCGGTACGTTTTGGCACGGATCGATTGTCCTGGCCACTGCGGCGAACTAGGTCGGTCTGCAATATTCCCTGGGATCTACAGGAAGCAACGATTGATAATAAATCGAATTCGCTGGCAGGGACTTTAGTCTCATCTTTTTCGTGTCCGGTCAAGGCTCGCCAAGTACGATCCTCGGAAACGAAGAGACGAAGGTTGTGAGACTCTGTATCGAGGAGTTCTACTTCGGATAGAGCGAGTCCGTTGTACTCTTGATCCCGGCCAGCACGGACTTCGGGGTTGAGGGTCAACCACTGCCAGAGATCCTCCATGAGTGCTCGATCCAAGACAAAGTTGGAAGTACCAGATGCCTCATCCTGGTGGAAAGACCGCACCCATTCCCAGACCTGGGCTAGCGAGGCGCCTGGGACAGAGCAAGGTCAGCATGTTGTTTCTATCCCGACCTTAGTGCGATGGATGATTGTGGGGGGTGCATGAATTGGGTGATGCAAATAAGAAGCATAAAGAAAGAGAAGAAAATTAAAGAAGTAAAGGTTAGGTGATGCAGGGTGTTCCGAAACAGGCAAGTAGCGGCAGGGAAGGGAAGGAGCAGTAAGAGGCTGAAGAACGCTCACCATCAGTGCCGTTGATCGCAATCTCCGTTAGCAGAAGCTCGATGAGGTCTTTGATCGCGCCGGCCATTATGGGCTGTGGCGTGGGCGGAGCTACATGTATCTGTCCCGCTCGTTGTTTTTTGTCTTTTTTGGTGTTGCTTTTAATTATTCCCGGTCGATCTCGGTTTCGAACGCGCGACGAGGGAAGGAAAAGCGTGGCGCTGCGAGGGGCGAAAAGGGAAAAATGCAAGATTCCGGTACTAACCATATTTGGATTCCTGATGTGTGGCTCTCCATTGGCGACGAGGTATTATGTAATATAGATTACTCATCCGCTTCACGTGATAGCAGGTATAGATAAAGCCGCCTCGATTATAGATTATCTGCCGTATCATCTTAGAACACAAATCGGCGATATATAACAGTGCATGAGCAAGGCCTATGGTGAAGGAATTAGACGGCTGTCACCATCCACGTTGTAAGCACGGAGAGAGTTGTAATTCTGACAAACTATATTCTTCGAACTAGTATCAGTTAATTGAGTAGCTATCGCCGAAGCTTCGCCTCAATTACATGGAGTAACCCCTAGGGCTACATAGAGGGAGAGGGCAAGACAGAAGAAAGAGAGAGGTTTGAGAAGACCTCGGTTAGTGTTTATGATCTATTCTGAGCGTATGGTGAGTGGATAGTTAGCATGCATGGCCTGCATATGCCTTCACAGCCGAAAGGTTCAGCCAGGTCCAACCGACGCTATTCGCATTCGGGGACTATTATTGGGTGAAAGATGGGAAGTACTCCATCCGTCCGCAAAGAAAAGGCGCATAAAAATTGGATAGTAATTACACTTTTGTTCAAGCGGTTGAGGGCCCGTGTACCGCTATCCTATCACACAGTCACATGCAGCACGTCACGTGTTTCTTAAGACCTAAAGCCTAAAGGTTAAATGGTGGTGGATTCTTATATTGTGTGCTAGCCTACTAGGTGAATTCAATAATTATTTATGTTCCAACTAGGAGATAAGTCAATTTCGCGCTATTATTATCAAAGCCACCTGGCCATGCTCAGATCAAAATGGTGAAATAATAATACGCGCAATACATGTATGCTAATGGGTTGTGCAACGTTTATCTTTGGAGCTTGGTCGGTTAAGTTGATGTGATCTAGCTTGCATGCTTTTTCCTTTCTCGGCTAGCGAATGTTAGCAAAAGAAAGGTTCTGTTGAAAGAAAGAAAAAACGGTGTCGAAAAAGTAGAGGTGCCACGGAAAGGACACAATATGGCAGGCCTCGTATCCACTCGCTTCCTGCCCACCCCCCACTGTTCGCTTGCAGAATTACCTCTCGTGCAACAAAGATTCAGCCTTTCTGTTGGAGGGTCTCCATTCATCCATACGTCATGGATCGCGATGGCCATGCTGTGGAACTCTCGTCTTCGGCTACTCAAAAAAGGAGGGGATACTGGACCAACAATATCGCTGGATCTTACTGGGCCCGATCTGGCATTTTTGACATGCGAGATTTGGTACATTCTTATACGTATACTTTTTTCTTTTTCTCCCTTTCCATCATCGTGACAGCTTTTTATCAGACAGCCACATCGAATGATGTCATGCGGCGTAGTACAACTTCAGGTTTGAGCTGTAGGATTGATTTCTTTTTTTTCAGTTTCGTGTTGTTGAGATTGACAAAGAACGATGTATTTCGAGTCTCCAAAGGGATTTTAATTTTCTTAGAGGAAATCAAATAAAAGAAAAGAGGAAAAGAGAGAGCCAGGAGCAGGTCTGGCTGACCGACTGATTCATCCACAATTGGGAGTTGCATTGTTTGCGGCACAGCTTCGGCTACAAATAAGAGGGTCCTGTCGACCCTCCCTTGGGTATAAGGCTATGCGTGGGTTAGGCGGGTGATAGACAGGATAAGGCAGTGACCTAGCTGTGCGGCGCTTATGACAGCTGCATCCGTCTGCATGTGGATTGTGACTAATAGGACATGCGTCCTGTCTATATCCTGATCCATGACTGGAAAGGCATCGGGCCGGGATATTTTTGACCGTTGGGTTGTTTTGCGTCGGGTACTGCTCCATGTTCTTACCGTTGCGTTTATCATCGTCGTCGTCACTTCGTCTACTACCACTATTACGTATCTTTCCCCCCTTTTCCAAGCTCTATCCCGAGACAGTGACTGCGGCAGTGGGTGGACTCGGTTTGCTGGCAGTGTCACGTCAGCAACGGAAGATACGATTCTTCTCCAGTGCGACCAAGCCGGGTCCATCGGGCTAGTTGGCAGTAGCTCTTGTAGTCGCTGACCCGCTTAACCGGATTTGCCAGACCGATCGTGTCAACTTTCCCAGCAGCCGCTGGAGAAAAAGCAAGCAGAGGCTACCTTAAGGCTATTACGCATTAATATTATTATTAATGGATGAATGAGCGGCGGTAGAGCCCAAAGCGCAGCCAGAGCGGCGCTAAGTAGCCTCTAGCCTAAAGGTGCCACGGGAAGTGGAGCCGGCACAGCACGCCATTGGGCCGCCCTCATCGTCCCCGGTGCCCCTAGTGGCCCTAGGGCCCTGCTGAGCCCACTCCGCAGAGCCCACCCCCTCCCCCCAGCGCCCAGTGCCCACTGCCAGATGCTGTCAGCTTGCGGCCTTGCCTGCTGCTAGCATAATATTAATAGTAATAGCGATTGTTTATAAATAACTACCTGTCGCCGGCTGGCAAGCTCGACTCGACCTGTCCGACTGGAGCAACAACTTGAAGTCATAACCACCACGCATGACCCCTACTGGCACTACTGCGTCAGCGCTGCGATCAGACAGTCACACTAGTATCAACCGGGCTAGCTTCCGCCGGGAGCCGTGCCGAACCGTCCTGCCCGCCCTTTTCGATTGCGATAAAGTATAGTAGTATATTGTCTATATTATTATCGCTGTTATTGTTATCATCATCCGACTCTATTCTTGCTGCCGATTCTCTCTTCTACTTAACTGTGCCATCAGCACTCTTTTTTTCCGGATCCCGCATCAAAATTAATCATCAACACATTCCTCAAGACTGTCGCTATGCCGCAAGACACGGCGCCATCGGCCACGGATTTTGTGGCACACCGCCAGCAATGGGACGCGCAGCTCGAGGAGACTATGGAGCAAGTCAGGAGAATTATAGGTGAGCCTCTTGGGACTTGTTCTGTTATGAATTTATGCGTCTTCTATTTGGCCTGCCCAACACAGCTAATCGAGCGTTCGTAGAAAGAGAACGACGCAGCCAACAAAACGACCGCACAGAACATACCGAACACACCGAACACAACGATGACAATGACCACAGCATGCATCAGGCTCGCAGAGAAGACGGACGGTCCCCGACAGAGATGTCTCAACAAGAGGGAAACTCACCCGAGACGCAATAGCATGCCCGGGTCCTTCTAACTTGCCGTTGTGTATCGATTATTGAATTACCGGGTTGTCGACGGGACATGCGGCACCATGCTGGCTCTTGGTTTTGCATTGTTTCCATGTTTTTTTTTGGTGTCGGACGGATGGGATGGGCTAATTATGCATTGTATTTCTATATATTCGCCGTTGATTCTTTGGCCGATGACCTGGTCTTCCCATCGCCTTTTCTTGAGGTATTCGAGCCCGTTAAACCATTGGATCTACCGTCACCTTCGATCTGTTACAACAACAAAAAACCTAAAAAAAATAGAAAAGAAAGGAGCGATCCTATGAATCAAGGAATGTGAACAAACCCTTGCCGCTTGCATATTTCAAGCCAGAATACCATTTTCCGAAAATCACCTCCCCTGTGGTCGTATCAATACATCCACCTTGATTTTGCTGCTGCTTAGCCGTCAGCAGATTAACTGTGGCTGTTGTAAGAACTGATTCAGTATTGTTGGAGTAGACCATAACCGATCTTTAATGCGGATTAACTTTGACGAAGGATTTGCTGGTGCAAATAGCCTCTGGCTCCCAGTTCTGCGTCCTTCACTTCGCCATCATATTAATTAGGTTAAAGCTGCCCGGGGAACTCGTACGTACGTACCCCCTTTTTTAAATGATACCTCAGCCTTCCAGTATATTAAGACCAACTGCCGTGCCTTTTCTTTGTCTGGCATCCTGTCAAAAACGGGCCCCGAGTCAATTCAACAAAACTATGGATTACCACGACTATATCGTCTCACGTCACATTGCTTTCGACATCTATATCTTTTCAACTTGAACACTGTGACTGTTCTGTACAAAAGTAAACTTGCTGTTGCTTGAGTTGTCTGTTCACTACGTATGGAGTACGTATGGATTACGCGTGCAGTACGCATCACCCCCGCATCTACATAGAGAGATTTGTCCATTCTAGTATTTAGTACTAGGTTTTACAATACTAATTGATGGTTGTTAGTGAAACAAGTGTAGCCTCAGCCGCCACAACCCTAAGTATTTCACTGTTGTATGCCAACTATAAACAGCTGGCCCACCCCCCTCTATTCTGCCATCTTTCTCCAACCGCTTACAGAAGGCGAGATAGAATAATGATATACACGGAGCTAGGCCAAATCAGTGAATAGACCACCTCCGTGGATCAAGCGCAGAGAACAATCCGATTGAAATTTTATTTACAGAGAAGAAGGGGGAATGAAATGAGAAAATAATTGTGGTCATGGCTCCCAATTTCGCGTGGCTTAACCCCTTGTTAAATTTGGGTGCATGCCTGACATTGGAATGTACATATGCATGCACGTCATCAGCAAGGAGTCAAATACAATGCTACACACTGACGAGCGGCTACTTTGCAGGGATCCAATTGATATAGCCAAAACATCTCTGGATTAATTAGGGCCAAACTGTCAGAGCTGGAAATGTTATTTCTGATCAATCCACTAATTAATGCATAATATATACTGATACTGATTTAATGTTGATTAAGTATCATTGGATACTGCATATCACGGCAGGCCAGGGTTGCAAGCCCTAATGGGCTTGAGCTTGATAGAATAACCCCAGCCATAGACACTGTTTACTTAAGCATGTGAAGAAATGTAGAAAATCCTAGAAATATTTCTTTGTAAGTTTTTTTGGTTGTTTTGTCACCTCCCCGAGCCTACCCTATTTCCTGATACGGACGTGGTGTAGGTTTTATTCGAAGAGGGCTGGCGTGCGGGGAAATAAGCTGGTTTTGCGCGGCGGAGGGGGAGGCGCGCTGTATTTAAGAAGTTTCTGTGCTTTTCACTACAAATTCATTCCTGAGATTATCGTCTTGCACAGAACCTTAGCTGTAGGATGGCTTCGAAGAGTCTTGGTAATCAGTCTATTAAACAGCACTTGAGGCACTGTGGTCATCTTGTCTACATATGATATCCGACTTGTGGAATCATTATGCACGGAAGTTCCTCGTTGGAGTTGAATTATATATTGAAAAGCTAATAAATTTTGCAACACAAAATTGCCTACATAGTGCATTATCAACTTTCCAAAAAGAGACACAAGTGGCCCGTATTAGAAAAAATGTATAAGAGGTAAACCGAAGCATAGTACGTATGCAGTTTATTTTCAGCTTGATTCATGGAAACAAAGAATAAGACCAAAAGAAAAGCAATAGGAGAGAAAGGAACGAAAAGGATGCGGCAACAGCCATAGGTGCTGCAAGGTACGAGTACCCAATATAAGATATTACCCTCCCATACTCCCTGACCATCCAATATCTGGAAGCATATGGGCACACCTTCCCCATTCGGAGACTGAAAAATGGGCTCAAAATAAATCGTCATTCGAAAAAAAAAACACCCGCTCATGCCTTGCCCCCTTCAATGGTACTCATCTCAACCGGACTGGGGGTACGCGACCGATCTTCAGCGCCAACCGTCTGAGAAACACCCCACGACGCAATATTCTTGTTAATAGGGTCTGCTTCTGGATCTAATGAGGGAGAACAAGTGCCCACGGGGACACCGCTGCGCCGGGAGTCATTGTTGTTATTTTTGTTTCCCCGTGAACGGCTATAGGCTTCCGAGTTAAACCTGCTGCCAAAGTACTGGGGGAAAATGGCGCCGAGAATGATGCGGAGTGAAGGCATGCAAGCACAAACAATAGCGATATCGCATTCGAGGACAGACCAGTACACAGCCGGCGCGTTGTCATCTGTTCAGATTAACATGTATCAGAAGAGGAAGAAAGAGGCAGCATACATGTTGTGTTGGTAGATTTGGAGAACCGGACAAGAGATTCGAGACGTAATATACTGACAAGGGTGATCCTATCTCACCGAATTAGTGAAAGGAGTCAAATAGCCAGAATAATGAGCGGGAAAAAAAGGGGCAAATACAAGAATCCAATAGAAAACATAGATAAAATCTGGAGCTTCTTGTTCCAGGTTAATTTCAACCCTAGCAATAACGGAATCGGCAGCGAGATAATTGCTACATCAATAATAATTTCGATAGCTGCACGGATCCATGAGAAGGTGTTGATATTGATGCATTTGCCGGCGTATTCGCCAGTCCAGCCGTCCCAGAAAAAGGAAATAGGAGTGCACTGGAAGATCATTGAAAAGGCATTTGATATACCGAAGCAAATGGCAAATGCACCAATACCAAACGCGAAATATCGGAAGAGTTGAGAGTCAAAGACGCGTAGATAGAAGGCCACGATGGAAAGTTGGGTAAACATTTCGGAGATCATGTAAAATACCTCGGCGAAATAAAGTTGCTAAGCACTGGTGTTAGTACTTGAGAAGCAATTGATGGATTGGAGAGTGGGAACTTGCCTTCAAGGTCATAGTAAGATCATCGAATGGAATCGTCCAGATATCGCTACCCATTCCAGATCTAGCCACTATAACTCGTCAGCAAGCCTATAAGGAAACGCAGGAATAATCTTACTTGGAAATAATAAGAAGTTCAATGGACAAGCAAACACCTAAAAACGTCAGAAACAAATTTCACGTAGACTGAACACACCTACCAGAGCAGCAACAATGAGGCGATCATCCCACGCAAAGAACTTATTAATAAACAAACGCGCACAGACACGAGTAATCACAAAAATAATTGCTAGACTACCAAATGCGGCTGGAACGCCTATCATTGTCACTCTGATATCGTGGGTTGGCATGCCGCAGGCTGAGTATGTGGCATTAGTTGTCGCTAACCAAGTCAGCTTGACAAAAAGCAACTAAATAATAGAAAGAAATCCTACTTAGAGCTTCTTTTGGAGTACAAGTTCCATTGCCTAGACATAACTGAACTGCACTCTGAAACCTAGTATCTGCACAGAGACATGCAATATCTTGCGAAGCACATTGGGTTATTGGAAGTGACTGCTCAAAGCATGTGGCCTATAAAAAGTTAAGCTTTATCAGTCAAGTTTTTTTTCTTCGTTCATCTGGGACTGATAACCTACTGCGCAACCAGGCAGTTCACTCAATAGACTAGCGTGGCCAATGACTGCAAAGAAGGAGCAGATTAGAAAAGCAAAACTGGTATTCATTTTGTGAAAATTGCAAGTCGGTGCTAATAATAGAATTCGCAACAAATGCTTGAGAAAGAAGATTGTCTACTACGGAAGACTTCCAACCTTATATCTTTCAATTCCTTGTGTTTATTAACTAGATGATAAATGGAACAAAAAGAAATAAAAACAAAGTAAACCATAAGGTCAGAACAAAGAAAAAAGAAAGGTCAACTTAGCTGCAAGGAGGCTTGGTTTGCTTTACTTATCCGAGAGTCCATCGCACACACGGGACGTCATTCAAAATTAAGGCTAGCCAATCACCCACGTATAAGCCTTCTAGGGGCCTCTTCAAACCTGGATGTAATCCGACATATCTACTCACACGATTCGTAGCTTAATGCAAGGCTAATACCCCGGACTGCATCTTTTAAAGTTGCTACGAATATACTAGTAGCGGATGTGCGCCTCCCGGCGCAAGGGAGAAGATAGATCAGCTTAGTCTACTCAGCACTAGTTGATGTATAATAAAAGAGAACTCTCCGAAGCGGGGTCTGGTAGCTTGATCGAGAAATCAGTCATCCTTTTTGTGTTACTGGTAACACAGAGCACTCCGTGTACACCATATGACAGTTCCCTAAAGTACCCGGGACCCACACACTCTATATGTAGCAGCGATGTGCCGAGTGGTCTGTGTGCGAATATACACGTATGGCCAAAGATAAGACACAGAGTTCTTGCCTCTAAGCTGCAGCACATCTATCAAAAACAGCGCTCAACACTTAGGTTGTTTCGCTTTTCTGAACCATGTAAACTCATCCAGGTATTCTTAGTTACCTATTTGTATTATGGATCATTTCCTTTTCTTGAACCCGTTTCTGACTCAGAAAGAAAAATTCGCTGGTGGGGATTATTGCTGTTGTTTCCTGTAGACTCCCTCATTACCTATATACACGTAGTAATTATATGAATACTACCTAAAGTTGACATTCTCCAGAACCTTAGCATCGCTTTGCGGCCAAGGGTGAATCTTCTCAATATTCCTAATTAAAGCTTCGTGGTCTGCAGACCGTGGCTTGATCGTAGCCTTGAACGGAGATGGATGACTGACAACGCCGGGCTGGAAATTCATAATGTCCTCAACCTCCAGTCCTTTCGAGTTCACATGCTTACTAATGCTGAACACAGCGAGAGACTGGGCAACATTGATGTAAAGAGATGTATCGGCTAGTAGTCGGCCAGGGCAGATGCGACGGCCGAAACCAAAAGCCACTGCGTGAGGGTCTGGTTCGGGAATAGGATGTTCATCTGTGGCTAGAAACCTCTCTGGCTTAAATGTCATGGGCTCTTTATATACAGATGGGTCATGGGTAAAGAACCTGTTCATTAGTCTCTTTCATATATCGGGAAGGGAAAAAGAGAACTTACCATACGTTTGGCATAATATATGACCCCTTTGGAATAAAGTAACCTTCACATACATCGTCTTCTGTCGTCATATGTGGCAAGCCCATAGGCGCAACAGGGTGCCATCGAAGAATTTCCTTAACTATTGCATCAATATATGGCAAGTTTGCACGGTCACCGATTAGAGGTAGTCGGGTAGTGCCCACAACCCGATCTAGCTCCTCCTGTGCTTTTCGCTGAACTTCAGGGAACTTAGTCATTGCTAAGAAGAAGCAAGCAAGAGACGAGACAGTCTAAAGCACCTATTAGCAAAGAGTAGCTCACATTTTAACATTGTAAAAAACAAACTGTATCGGCACCGGCCGCGAAGAGAGACATGGCAGAGCATTTTACGGTGAAGAGTTCCTCGGCATTTGTTATCGGTTGCTGTAAAAGATGGGATAAAAATGATGGTTCGTGGACGCCGGCAGCCATTTGGTGCTTGACAAAAGCATACGGCCTTTCAGTAAGCTCTGTTAGAGTGTCACCCCAGTTTCGCGCAGTTTTCTTGAATGCGGCACCAGGCAGCCACTCTGGGATGTGTTTCACTTCAAACAGGTCAGCGTAAGGTAAAAATTGCAGCTTTCACAGGGGATAAGATTATACGGAATGGAAGAACATCCACCAACCATGCACCGGGTACTCCAGCTTTGCCAAACTGATCCATAGCTCGACCTGCTAACTGCACGAGAGGGTCTGGTTTGTGTGGTTCAGTGCTATATCCATACGCAATCTTGAGAATGACTGAGCCAGCCTCTCTGTTTCTCGATGAATACATTAGCAACTAAATAATTATCTCAAGTCGCCTCGACATACGTTCGGATATGCTCTGTGAAATTTTCGGGATCATTCAACACACGCAGTAAAAAATGCCCGGCCTCGACTTCCTGCAGGGGATTGAAACGGGTTGATGCTACTTGCGAGCCGAGCACTTTCGTCATGTTTTTACGAAGCGCTCTGAATCGGCTATTGTATGGAGAAAGACCAAGGGAGTTTTCCCAGCCGCACCTGTAAAGCATTAGTTAGATTATTTGTTATGAGTTATTCAGATCATTGAATGGTTCTGGAAAATGTTGAATGAAGCATTGACGTACATTTCTCCCGCAAACGTCTGCTTTGGCCGCGAAGAATGTTTTGCCGAGCGTTTTTCCAAAAGCTCAAAGGCTAAGCGAACATCATGAAGAATAACTAAGGGTTGGCCCATTACGGTGATAGAGCTGATGCCCCCTGGAATAATTTAGCAGACCATTTGATGTTTTAAAAAAAAGTATTACACACCGTATAGATCTTTATGCTTTAGCCAATGCAACCATTCTTGCTCACCCGGCTTAGGAAGATCATTTAGGTTGCCTAGTAGCAGATTGGGCTTCGGTCCTGGAGGTAGTGGCAGTCGTTTCGCAGATTTGAAGTGGAAAATGATTTTGTATACAAGGTAAAACCCCGTGACTGCGAGCAACACCGACATAAATGGTATCCAAGCCATCGAAACAATCCTTATGTTGCCCTTAAGTGAAAAGAAGACGAAATGGCGTGGGATTGATCTAAGTGGCACGAAGAGGCGGGGATCTTGTTGATTTATCATTAATAACGAGAATAGTGCATTGTTTCCCAGGACCAGGGGCGCAACTACTTGGAAACTAACTTAATTTGCGAACCCGGAAACTTTGTAATACATGACAAGAGAGGAGAAGGTTGGAAGAGGGGTGCAGGAGATACTCTGCAGGATCAGTCCGGATTGAAAGGCATCATGATCCACTGGGGAAGCTGTTCCTGCTCCCCACATAGCTATGGGCACGCATATTGGTGCAACAGGCTTGAGCGTGATGTCGACGATAATGCTCGGTCGGACGCTAAATAACGTTGGCCTGCGAGTCGAAAGCATGCATTAAATTTACGGCGGAGACGAAGTGTCAAAGCGGGAGCTAGGAGTCTTGTGTAATCCGCTGCTTATTTTGCCTACCCAAAAGTTGATACATCATATCTTGCTTATCGAAATCGCCCCGGAAGGTTTACGTACCAGACTATTTGCTATTTGAAAAAATTAGACTGTCTTTGCATAAGCACCCCCGCTACACCACAAGGCGTTTCCCATGTTTTGTGTCACGATAACAAAGAAAACGAACCGATTGGCCAGTCATCTTCTGATATCATCGGACCGAATTTTGGATGAGGAAGATATGAGAAATATAGACAGGACAGGACAGGACAGGCCCGGCCCAATAATAGCGCATAAATCATTTGATTATCATAGAGAGGCATCCTAGAGGATCTTCCATACTCTAGAAATGTGGCGCTATTATTTGATTTATTATTCAACTATTTTTTTTCCTTTGTCCAATTTGTGTCCTGCTGCCCCGATTGTTCAAAATTCTTTTTATATTACGTAAGTGTCTACATATCAATTGATCAATCGCGGTGGGATGTCATTGATGATCAGGGGGTGTATCTTTGCATCTTATGATATGTAAGTCGGATTTTAGTCTCGCCTGGATGAGAAACCGCTGTAGTAGGAATTTTATTTCGTGACAGGGTAGTGCGTATATTTATAGATAGCTAGAGCTAGCTTATTATGCCATTTACTAGTAGTGTACTGAAAATAAGGCTATTGATGATTTTGTAATCCACTCTTGGATACGAAGCAATGAAGGTTGCTCGGAATGTTTAGTGTCATCTGGAAATACCACATTTAGAATTAATAGCCACATGAAAGTATAATTCAAACCCCAGGGTGATAACCAAAACTGTCAGTCTGCATATAGCCTAAACATATGGAGCCGCCGTTTTCTGAAAGTTTCCTGCGGAATAACCACACAAAAGTAAGGATTGTGTTAAAAACGGTGCGTAACTGAGAGTGGTCTTAACATTTTTCATCGAAGACAGACAGTTTGTTTCTACCTATAAGGGTTTATTGTGGTTGGAGCTATAATACCTGGAAATACCCATCTTCATCAGACCACGGTGGTGCATCGACCATATCTACTTCTGATATTTCTTCGCACGAAGTGGCAACATGATTTCTTCCTGAGAGCGATTTCATGACTTCTTCAATAATACCGGTCACATCTGCCGGCAGGGTCTTCATGGAGAGATAAATGATGACGGCTTTCTAGCATAACCATTGTCACTTTGAGCAGGTAGATAACGTATTTCCTCAAATAAAGGCTAACGGGCAGTTGGCGAGACCTTTTCTTTTAGAGTTGGATTAATAGCGATCAATCGAGTGGCATTGGCATTCGCACTTACTGCTGGCAGGAAATATTGGCTATTAAAATGTGATCTCATTGTGCTGTTTTCAGAATCGAGAGTTGAGTTATCCTGATCACATGCTAATACATAAAAATGTTGGTTGTCACAACATTGTTCTAAGTGCTGATCCTACCAAGAAAATGAGAGAACAAAGTGTGTTGTTATATATCCGTCCTTTAATCCCAGAATTGCCAGATTTTGCTAGACATTCATCGATCTTGCGAAAACTAAGCTGGAAATCTTGTACTTGGTTTATCCCTTGTGCTAATTTGCTGCTTAATGAAAGCAATTTTTTTCTTCAATCATTCCTTGGACAAAAGATGTCAGGCATGTTGTAATGGCATTGTTGTATGTACAAAGAATCCAAACCCTTTCTAGGTTAATAAACGGCAGTTTATATGAACAAGGCAATCCATTTTGGTGACATATAACACATACAAAGGTCCTCACACATTAAAGTAGATACATTCAAAATCATGGAAATATTCGATGCTGAGGTTTGATTGCAAGTCAAAAACAGAAAATTCTCAACGGAAATGGGATTTTTGAGAAAGTTTATAACTCAGTAAAAAACCGTTTTCTTTGAATTAAGTGGAACTTATTAAACGTTACAAATGAGGAAGCAGGAGCTCCTCGGGGTTTGAAATAAGTATAATTAAATGTTTACGGATTTAAAACTGTGAGATCTAAGGTAGACATGGGCCCTAACAAAAATCAACATCTACGAAAGGTTGTTGTAAACAAAGCTATTTGACGGCGGTAAGGGCCTCAAAAGAGGAGTTAATACTTGAAGAGATGAGCCAGCGACTAAAATATGTTTTCCTCTGCCCAGAGAGTGTTCATATCATGTCCATGAATAATACTATTCGGCCTGTGTGTGCCCAGAAAGCCCGTTTAAAAGCTCCAAAGTTTTGATACAGATAAAGAAACTCGGATTTTTCATGTTAAAGACTGTAAGTGATATAATGGGTGTGGTAGGAAGCGAAATGTATTCCTAGACCTCGGGTAGTTATTTAACGAAAAATACTTTATATGTTTATCTCGCGGTTCGTGATTCGGAATAGGTGCATACCGGCGTAGGATAAATTAGTTAAAACATGCTGCCTTTGGTGAGCTTACCGATTCTTACCTCTGGAAAACAATGGGACTCACCGAGTAACGATGAAAATTTCTGTCGCGCTCTATAAGAAGGTTGTAGTTCTTCTCATTCTTTCGGGGAAACCATTCTTTCCATATTGGCACAGTCAAAGCCATGCAAACACTCGATAATAGAAGTACTATTTACATCCTGAAGCTGGCACCAAAAACCCCCTTGATGGCATGTAGCCGAATAGCAAAATTCAAAATATTCTGTATCAGTGCTCATCCATGTGATATCGACAGTGAATGGAAGTTGTGAGTCAATGGCGAGTCCCTGTAATGGATAAGTCACGTAGCCGAGCTGTTTGCATGAGTTGTCGAAGATGTATGCAAACTCCCATATGATTGAGTACTTGTAGTTGCCATCGGTGTAAAGAGGCGAGCCTTGAAAGTTAAGTTGACACACGCCTGGCCCCTGGCTAGTGCAGTACTTGGCTTGTGAAATCGCGAGGAGCAAAGCAAGAGTAGTGATACTGTAAATAAACGCGAGATATAGCATGCTTCCTCCTTTTACTATGTGGACAGATAAATTGTCTGTAACCGTGAAAAACTAGTATTATACCTGGAGCTCTTCTCCTAGGCATCGAAATTACTGATCGTTTGCTGATGGCAAACTTTCAGATAGACGTGGAGGTAACATGGTAAATATAGAGATGATGTCTCTCTATGATCTCCATGTCTCGTCATAAGTACATTGGTTTTTTCTTTATTCAGTGCTTCGGTTAATAAATTTTAAATGTTGACCCTGTATCTATTGACAAATATTTATTTATAGATTGATGACTGCGCCGGAATAACCTATTGTTCTCATGGAACAATATTAAGCCCGCATTTGAGCAGCGACTGAGCACTTGCTGAAGAAAGCGAGACTGGAATAGAATCATTATTGTAAGGCATCAATTGATATTTATATCCGACCTCCCTGGAGCCTTGACACCCAGGTGCCAGCTTCGGTTGACGTCTGCTGACGTACGTGCGATATGTCCCCAAGTAATTCAAACAAAAATTCAATCCAAATTCAGCAAATCAACGCAAAGATCTTGAAACTGCCTATGGTAAGAGTGTCCGACTCTACCAGTAGAGCAGCTACCTTCTCCAGTGATACCCACGCCGCCGGAATATCACCATTGGCGCGCCACACTTACTGCAACTATCATGGTAGTAGCAATTCCCGCACTACCATAGAAGCTAACGTCATCAAAAATTTGCGGATACCTGTTCATTTTCAACACCCAAGCTTGCGAAAAGGTAGTTTGGAGAAACCTACCAGAATGCGCCGATAAACCCCCAGTGTCGTCTGACAAATGTTACCAAAGCCACTATACTGGCAGCGTCTTCCCGGTAATAATCAACCGCATACGTGATATTAATCAAAGCGCTGGAATATTCCCCAACACTCGAGGAATCAAAACGAAAATTGCGCGGGCATGTCATTAATGCAGTGCTTCTCGGACTCACTGCAATGTCTATACACCGTGGTATGGGTATGCAAGTTTTTTCTCAAGTTGCTCCTTTCTTATTTAAAATCAATTCTGGTTAATTGTTATAATAGTACGGCGCGAACTTTAAGATTAAATCAATTAACCCTCTGTCAGCCGGAAAATAGACCATTTGTACCACAATAAGAAGCCCTATGCTGAGGGTGAAATATTTTTGGTCTAGCGGTATTTGTGGCCAACACCTTTCTAGTCGTCGTTACTTTGGTAAGGAGAATTGGATCACTTTACTATCAAGATTAACTTTTCATGTTGAGAACTGCGCTTGCGGTAATCGTCATGTTATGCATTACTACGGGCATGTCGGAGTTTCGAAGGTGAAATGGAAGAGTTGCGAAATTGATAGCGGCATTCCTGAGATTATATCAGTGCTACATTTTTAAGAAGCTGATCCAATATTTGTCTTCATAATGTAAGCATGTTTCTATGAGGTTAGCGCGAAGGAAGGTGACTACATGTCTACTAATTCGTTAGCAATTAATTCTTCAATCCTGAGGGCTGGAGTGGCGAAATACTTATCTTTATTGGAGTTCCGTAATCCAGGCGTTTAGAATTGACTGTAAATGGTTTCCTAACAACAGGAATTCAGATATTGACTTTTAATAAATAACGTCTAGTAACGCAGGTTATAAGGGTGTCGATCACTTTCTCGGCCAGGTTCCGAGTAAGGAGCCCATAAGCCGACACAGAAAAATGTTATATTATTGATCTATCGAAAGATCAACAGTGAGCATCGAATAGGATCAGCAGTGCAATTATTCATCCAATCCTTCTAAATTCTGCTTTGGCGGCTTCGCTTGGCACCGGGAAAATGTGGATATGCCCGTCAAAGGATAGCGCAATGATTTCGAACTCTACTAGCAGGATTGTGAGCTAAAGAGTTTGAATAAATAAATTACATGACGCTGAAGAGAATATAACCAAGATGAGAGGATGGGCGGGTGAAAGGAATGTATGGTGATTCGCTGATACATGTGAAGATCTGGTTAGCCCGATCCGATCAAATCTTCACCATCCATACGCATCGACGGGCATGTTGTTTCATTGAAAATAATTTTTAGATTTTACTCATCAACAAGCCGAATATGTGTTTATATTGCATAAAGCGCGCAATTTAAAACACCAAAGCCATGCCAGCCTGTTCAAAGGAGGGAGACAGCAACTACATACAAACGTACTTCTTGAAGGAGACGGTCTTTTACATCATTACCAGCGAAGTCTGTATGTTATATTCATGTGGCCATAAAGTTTTCCAAGAGTTCCCGAATGCCAAGCTTCTGGTCATGTTCATGTTAGTTCCAGCAGTCCCGGGTGTTTCGATTGGATGCAGGGGGCATCATTGAACTAACATGGCAATCGTATGGTAAACTTGTATCACGGAAATTAGATGGACACAAACAGGAACTTCATTCTTGTTATTTACGAAGTGCCTCCGATGGTGCAAACACATCAGACACACGGACTACGCTCACGACCCACTACGAGGGAGTATACATTAAACAGAGGGAGGTAAATTTCAACCCTTAAGATAAATAATATTGAAAATTTTGTAGAAAGACCCTAATATCTCCTATGCATAAGGCGGGAGGACTCTTCCGAATTCTGATGATGTGCTCATGAAATAAGGAAAATAAAACATTGGGTGAAACTAGTAGTCTTGAAGCTATATAGAGAGATAAATACAGGTAATTACACTCCATTGGAGAAGGCGAGTCCTCCGGCATCGGCATCGATTTTCATTGATTGTGACAGCCCACAGACCTCAAAAAGCTTTCTAGGACCTAGGCCCTCGGGGGTGCCTACCACCCCTTCAGTTTTGAGTCTCTCCAGAGCAGATTTAATGCCCATGTAAGCCGGTGCTAATGAGGCAAATGAGAAGATCATGATGCGAAACCCCATCTCCTTAGCTTCATAGGTTGTAATCACGGGACCGGCACCATTTTCCACCATATTGAGTAACAGCGGCCAAGGGGCTAGATCTTGAACGGCTTGACGGGCCTGCTCCTTAGACGTGAACCCTTCCAGGAGGCCAACATCGGCACCAAGATCGCGCGCCGCTTTGAGCCGATCGATACACTCTTCGTAACCGTGCTGTTGTAGCGCATCAGTCCGAGCAATTAGAACGATGTCTGAATGCAATCGGTCCTTGGTAAGTTTGGCGGTACGAAGTCGCATTAGGTATTCTTCTTTGCTAACAACCTTCTTTCCAGCTAAGTGCCCGCATCGCTTACTGAGTACTTGATCTTCAATGTGGAATCCAGCCACGCCGGCTTGGATATATTGTTGTACCGACTTCGCCACCATGAGAGGTCCTATTTTGTGATAATGGTCCTGATTAGTAAATTTTTTATTTAATTTTTGGTGGATGATGGAAAACAAAACAAAAACTAAATTGACAGTCGGATCGTCATTTTGATAATAAAAATAAAGCTCACTCCTGACTACATACCTCCATATCCGGTATCCATATCCGCAATTAGCGGTGGCCCATTAGGATCGAGGTTAGCAATCATCTCTGCATTCGTTTTCATATCGTGAAGTTGAGCGAGACCGAGGTCGGCCATTCCTAGTCGAGATGCTGTAGTACCTGCGCCTGTCTACGAAATTAGCCTTGTTTCATGTCATATGTACAACGTAGTGAATTAGATGGACACACCATGTACATGGCTTTGAAGTCGAGTTGCATTGCAACACGTGCTGACAGGCCATCATAAACACCGGGACAAACAATCAATTCATTTGTTTCGTTCAACATGCGACGGAGCTTTGTTGATCCGGAAATAGGTAGGAAGTGAATATCAGGTTCCTGTTCACGCCCTGACCCATTATTGACATGATACTGGCCGTTGGGACCAAGCGTTATGGTAATAGCCATGGTGTTCAAATAATATCTTCGAGTATAAATCCAGCAATTTAGTAGAATAATCTGGCGTTTTGAAGATGAGACAACACGTAGAGAGTAAAAGCAGTCTAGGATTGGAAAGAAAGGAAAGGCAAAGGTAATCTTCAGGGAAATATGCGTTATTTATATACCTCTTTGCTCTTTCCTAGTAGCCAATTATGGTGTCGCACTCATCAAAGATAATACTCGGTGGTCCTGGTATAGTGTCGATCTAAATAATACCAAGACGTTCCATTGCATGCTAATCGCGATAAGTTTGCACTTTCCCGGGCCTCCACTTCGTACTACATCATATCCTACCAACATGCCGAAATGACTGTATGCGTGTGGGTGCATGCAGTGCGAGGTTTGATTTATCTTGTGGCGTTATTACTGCCCGACCCGTCGGCATATACTCAATCCTGATCACTTCTTCTAGGAATTGCTTTTTCCTTTTTTTTTTTGCAATTAGATTTACTTCCTGCGAGAGAGTGAAAAGGACTTGTTCAGAGACTCGGAAGTGATTCTTGGCTTTCTGTATACCTTGGCAATGCCAACTATAGTTCAATACGCCCCGTGTGACGGTTCTGGCAACCCTTACTATATGAGAGAGTAGTAGCGAGGATTCGCCATCCTCAATATTCTGCAGATTTGGCGTAGCAGCTTACTGAGCAAATACTTCCGCTTACGAGGTTGTGACCTTGCGTACACCCCATCCGGTGCTTTTACTACGCATGTCAGTCCCATGGGTGGTATATGCAAGCGATACTTCATATCAATACTCAATAATCCACTATGGTCGGATAAAACTGTCTCGTGGAAGCCAAATATCAATTACTCCGACCAACCCCGAACTGTAGCTTTGTTGAAACGGAAGCAATATTGTCAATGAAGTGCTGAGGAGGACCAAGTACGAGCGTGATAACTGACTATTCAAAGATTTAAGCCTACTAAAGCATAGTAGTTGGCATACATGCACATGGGTTGCCAATCAATTTGTATTACAGCCACATGACAGAAAAAGCAACGTCTTGTCCATGCATGCTTATCTCGGAGGTGACCTCGTTGAATAAACAAATCCACTCAGTCTTATTATTGAGAACCAAAGCATAATAAATCTACCACCAGTGTATGGCCAAGAAGAAAAGCTGAAGCAGCGGGCTGTTCTTTACCCTGGCACGACATGGTGGAGCTTGGCAAGAAGCGCTTCATTCTCCAGTCCGCGCGGTGGAATCACTTGGCAACCCCTCCCCTCCTTTTTTTTGGCCTGGTAGGTGTTTTCCCTGCCGGCTGAATAACATGTATGCATGATGTTGTTAATGGCACTGATGGTAGTAGTCTAATCATTTATATCCGTGTGGCGAAGCCTAAAGAGCTAGTCAATAGTGGCCAAATAGACAGTTCAATGTCCGATATGTTGCCAAGAATCCGAGATGGAGCCCCCCTTTGTAATTTTTCTCTCCAAATACTCTGAACCCTTCATTTATCTCTAGGCCCCGGAATAGAGCTAATACGTGCCAGCGATCAGGCGGCACTTTGAAGATCCCATCAGATGAGCAGGACTAAGCGGACTTACTGTCGCGGACTTCTCGGTCTAGACAGCAGCACAGCCCCCAACATATACAGGTCACTTGGGTCTTGGCATCTTGGCGACGGAATCCTCGCGCAGTCACGAGCAAGAGTGGTGAATATATCTAACATTGAGGTAGAGAGTGGATGCCGCATTCTGGAGGTGGCTAGAGAAGAAAGGGCGATTGCATGGACTCCCGATATATTGCCTTCTCTCCTGATGATAGGGCCATCAAACACATTGATGCATCCATAATATCGCCGAGCAACCTTTTACATTGTCTAGTGTATTACTTATTGCCTAGGTAATAATATGGGAATACTTGACTTGAATGGTTGGGTTAAATCAAGCTATTGCTTTGTAGAGGCGATATACAACTTGGAAAGTGAACCCCAGATTGCTTATCAGATTACCGAAGAACATCTCAACAACCCGCTCTACATTTCTGCTTACAAGACTTACAAGGCTGTGGACAAGCCAAATCATGCTGGTGTATGTTTTATTGCCGTTTGATATTGCAAAAAGCTGCACTCTACCAGACCCTACACCAGAACCACCTAACCTTTTCGTCGATATTGTTTAGCATTTCAAGATGGAAATTTATAAACAATCTTGACAAGATCGCGTGATACTATCGATTACTTCATTTCAACCGAGTAATAACCTCCACCGTATTTATTTTCTCCCCGATCCATTAAATCACCACAGCGATTAGTATTATTATTTCGCCCGTATACTCTACATATACTTCAATGCTGTATAGATTAAGCTGGTTGGCTCGATTTGCTACAAGATTTTGGAACGGCGACATTTCACTACATAGACATTAGAAATCGATGCAAAGCCTCTTCATTATCCAGTTGACCAATTTTTCGCACTATTTTTTTTGGAGTTATGTCGGGTCTTGATTTGCGTGTTAAGGTTTCTAATTTTGAAACTAATATTTAATTGGAACGTCAAGCTTCACGTGTGTTGACATCACATATGTATATCACTCAGGTAGATTGAAATTACTGCGACCTGACTATTCAAGTGGTTCATTTGTTTTCAGTTTATCCAAAAAATTATTCTGCGTTTCATATGCAACGCTACTCGTTGGGCAAGCTATTTCTGAACTAAAATGGGAATTGTCTCTAAGAAATACAATCATGGTATAAAAACCGCCGGAATATTGCTTGTCTTCGCGAACGCAAATGCTTCTTCCCAACTTTCCAAAGTAAATTCCTTGGTTTGTGAGTTATCCAGTCTCAGCACTCCTCTTTCTATCAATTTAATGAGCTGTTTGATATCGTCTCGGGTACACATCCATGTTCCCTGGAGTCTGATATTTGCATGCATAATCTTCGAGTGTGGAATTGGGATGTCGTCTTTGTACCCACCCATCAGACTAACTCGGCCTTCGTGACGCAGGGACAGAATGGCTGCTTTAAAGTGGGATGAGTTAATGGCAGCTCCTGGAGAAATATCGAAAAAAGCATCGATGGGTTGAAACTTTTGCAATGCTTTGACATCACTCTCAACAATGCCGGAAATAGGCAATGTTTCGAGCATGCCGCGGTGTGATAACGGTGCCATTTTATTAGAAACCTCCTTCAGCTTGGAGGCATCACGACCCATGGCAATGACTCTCGCTCCCATTGCCAGGGCTACTTGCACGGCAGCACCACCGAATCCACCTGTAGCCGGTGCCACAATTACTGTCTGCCCAGGTTGCAAGTTTATATCTCGGAGTCCACCGTACGGGACTAGCATATGTCCAATTTCTGTCAATTGCCGTGGTAGGTAGTTCAATCCTCCATCCGCTATGGACCCCAGCAGCACTTTCTCGTCAAGGCGATCGCAGTTCTCTATGGGGATCTTTGCATATTCTGCAAAAGTGCCATGACGCCATTCACCATGCATTAGCCTACGACTGCCATCGGTATGACCTTCGTGGAGACCGAGTATGAAAATAGAACCGGGATCATCGCGACCGCGAATCACGCAGTCAACAAAGACTAAATCACCGATATTCAAGGTTGTTGCATCGGCTCCTAGAGCTGCAATGCGACCAATAGCGCTGGTCCCAGGAATCATTGGGGTAGGATATGGATACTGGCGTGTTCCATCGTAGACGTCCTTCATGTACGATATGATTCCGGATGCAATAATGCGGACAACAGCACTCCCTGGTGTGGCTGTTGGAATATCGATTTTCTTAACGACTGGAGGCTGGGCATATACCTCTTGAATGAGAGCGCGCTGTGTTTTTGGCGTACCCGTGGCCATGGTTTTACACGAACTGTATTTCTTCGTAGTGGGCTACCGGTATATCCTAAGTATTCGTTTATGAACTGATTGCATCCGTACATGTAGTCTTCAACTATTTTTGCTTGGACTGGCGGAAGGCAATTATATACTGTTGGATCCTGTCCATTGATTTGCTATATTCTCCAAATTTTCGATTCGGGGAGACTCTGGTCCCGGACGCGAGGTATTCGCATCGCATTCCTCCGATGTGAAACGGCAAGGCAAAGAGACACATAATTGGCATCTACCAATGAGAGATGCTACAGTGCCAGGTAAAGAATGTGTATGGTTCTACAGTCCCATGACCTGATGGAGATTAGACGTGGAGATTGGAAACGATCTCGGAGATTGTCGGGCTTAAGAATCCATTTCAGATGAATTCGTCCACGCCCGACGACAAATATGACACACCTCCGCATTAAATTCGACAAATTTCATAATTCACCTAGTATAAAGCGTAAATACATAAACAAAGAAATGTTTGATTAAAGAATTTAAGCCATGGATTGAGGACATATGAGGTATATGCCGAGGCCTTAATGTATGTGGTATACACTCGTAAAGGAAAAGGTTTGAACATAGTATTAAGGCTTTCTCCCCTTCGCCCGTATTTGCACTAGTTTATATAGACTTCTTGGGTTCCCGCCCGTAGACAATGCAAAAAGTTCAACATTATCAATATTGGTATGGGGAGGGTTTCTACGTACACCATTTTTGTGGTGCTATATTTAATTAAACCTTTGACATCCTACTAGTAGTACTGCAGACCTTGAGGCACATGATAAAGTCCCACGACATTGAAGCATTAGGCCATGCCATGTGAAGGTTAAGGTACTAATACGCCTCATCATACCTGAGCTCTATGCCGTCGCATAAAATACAGACTGGCATGTTTGAATGATTCCTTGAAAGCTATTGAAAAATCCAAGTCCCTGCTTTATTTTCAAAAGACAGCCAATATAGTTTCAAGTCCCTCAACCGTGGATTAAGCGACCCCCTCTTTGATTCCGTAGCGAGATAGCGACCAGTTCTTCAGCGTCTTTGTATGTAATGACGATATCTTCCTTTGATTTTATTATTTTTAACCCTACGTTCCTTTGCACAGTGGGTATTATATGGAATAAATAATAATATCAATACTTTGTCATTGTTCTGCCCGGACTAGCAGGTAGATGTCAATTGACCTTACCGATTTCTCTCTTATGCAAAATCGGAGATGCTCCGAGACCTCGATTTTTACTGTCCTTACATAGCCCTCATATATTATTAATTGGACTGGAGATATATTATTGGACTCAAGTTCATTTTCAACTATCTTTAGTCAGGAAGCGTGGGATCTAGCACAGATTTTGTCACATAGCAATACTCAGGAACTTTAGCGATATCCGCTCAGCTGTCCAACACATTTAGAAGATTAGACTAACATTCTCATCACCTCCACCAACAAAGTATTAAGAAAGAAAGAGAAACAGGAAAAGAACTTTCGGATTTCATAAAATATGGAATCACAATGAATGGATATTATAATTTGATGCACTGCTTAGCTTGAGCATCACCTTTGCGTGTCCGGCTTATTTTAAGTATGATTGCAATAAGAATGTCCACATCTCAAAGTTCAGTAGCTTCGTGATGATAATGATTATTCTGCTTTCCAGATTACATGAGTCCTTTTTGTTGTCCTTTTGGACATCTTAAAGATATGTTGAACTCCATGTTTCCGCTAGGCTAAAAAGCGAACGGTTAATAAGCTCTAGCCATCATAATTACATATTATGTAAACAAGATAATGTCAACATTTGCTCTGAAGTTTTTTATTGGCCAGTACATGCCGAGCTAGCCTCAGTATGACGGTCAGCGAATTAGCTTATACTGTTCAAGCTTCTAACTAGTTCGTAGTCAGCATGGTTGAGCAATCCTGCCAAATGCAACCAACTAAACCCAAGTGGATTCGACCATCCCCTGATAACATTACAGGGTTGTTGAATCTTACATGTAAAGATCCACGGATTCCAAGCCAGAGGATGGTTCATTTATAGGAAGGTGCAGCAGTGCTTCAGCATCTGCTTTTAGTAGTTGAATACCAAGATACTGAAACCAGTAATATCGGCGCTACACCATAGCACAGGAATGACAAGCAGCGCTGCAGTGTCTCCCTCAAGCAACTTTAAGCTCCAGATTCGCGCTTCCTCTTCCCCCACCAGGCAGTGTTGTCATAAGAATCAACATCTCGCTGCTCCGAGGCTGTGGGAAGAGCAGTGGCTGTGGATGTAAAGAAGTGCTATAGCGGGAATATTCTTCATGTAGATACAAGAAGTACTATAGCAGCAATGTTCTTCATGTTGACCCAAGAATTGGCAGACTTAAAATTTTCAGGTATCTTTTCAGACTTAGTTTGTTGAATATTTCTAACATCTCAAGAATTAATTGTCTCCTTTGAGGGAGACACAACTCATTTATAACTGAGATTTAAAGAATATGAACCGTCGGCGCTACACGGCATCCAGGGCTAGTGGCCAATACCGAGAATATCTGACATTTCAGTCGGGAGAATTGGAACAGCTTAAACTCAGGTTCATTACATTAAGGGAAACGATTGCACAATTACATATGCACTTGATGCAGGATAGATAACATAGCTCAAAGCCATGCTTTTGTTCCAATACCACTTCCACTTTCTTGCTAAGCCCAACAGTGAACGCAATTGAAGTCTGACGAACCAGGTCAAAGGGCAGGGGTATCAACAATTTAGAGTTTAAACCAAGAAGCGTACGAAGTACGACCTGTTCAATTGTTGGGTCGCAATCTATACGAGGTTCCACCATATTCCTCAGGCTCTTAGTCTATACACAGCCATTAACCCCATCTGCCCCGCATTAGTTCCACGTAATGTATTTATATCCTATGAAGCAAATATATTTATTTTCTATGAATATCAATAGCGTGGCCACTAGTGAACAACTCTCCATCTCTACAGTAGCATGATAATGTCGAAAGTGCAGTGGAGTACCATTTTAGTTTTAGCTGATCTCCGTGTACCAGTTCTATTCCAGAGAATCCTTTAATTCATACGGCATACGGAACATATGATAGTAATAATAACAGAATATTCTCGACTCCTGCCTTTCTAAAAATACACACTCAAAATATCGAACCATGCCCTTCCTCGCACGACATTGAGTCTTAGAAACTAGAGGGCTTTTCTAATTTCATGTCGATTAATTTCGCCTTTTGGAACTGGCAAAATAATAGAGGGGCCAAGCACGAATACAGACCAATATCGATAGGGACTTGGCGGCTATGGCCTATAAAACATCATACAAACATTTGCACACGGATTCAGTGTCCGATGAAGACGACTCAGGAAAGCTGAGGTCATGGCAACCAGCCCGATCCCTCGGATATCGATGCAGTCGATACCTTTACATAATTAATATAGTGGTTTCTTGGACGCTAGTTTTGGGCCTTTCGATCACACTGATCCACGATCGCACGACAGGTTTAGATAGATTTCGACAACATAAATTATACCGATTCCAACTCACGTATTTTCCGGCTTAAGATGCCATTGATTACGAAGTAAAAGTATTTCACAAATGACAAGAAGATATGCCCAGCGAATTTCAAGGGCCATCTTTTCCAGAACTGGACCGGGCGTAGGAAGGCCTTTACGGTGGTAAGTTTAATTCAAATATCAACGAAAAGCGAAAGGAAATAACATGAAGAAAAAAACAATCAAAAGTTAGGTGGAATTTCGTCGATATCGAAGGAACAAGCCATGATGCTTGTGAATTATACGACTGAAATTCCTGGCCATGGGGAGAATATGTTGTGCAGCTCGACGTCTTCCACCAGTTGCATTGTCTTGTCAGTAGTTCTTTGTTTCTAATGAGAGTTCTTTTTAGTTGACAGTTCGGAGAATATGATTCGTCAGGAACTGGCACCTGTATATTTCACTAGCTGAAATGATATGCTCAACTCTACTAATATCGATTGGAGGCCACCAAAATGCCCGTACAAAGACATACCAATGATGGAAGGGAATAAAATGAACCCCGCTCATCCTGCGTATTGCAATGAAAACATGGGACAGTCATTTATGAGCCACGCCGACGTATCAATTGTTGTATGTATGACAATGGGACGACGAGCGAGAAGCAACATATGGATACTTGAATGTGGCACATACGTGTAGGAATTATGAGAAAATTCAATAGTGGGCAAAGGAACGGGCATACAACGAGGAGTTTGACCACCATGTCAAAATTCCCATTGAATACACTGTCCCGATTTATGACTAGGTGGATAACACAGTATGAGAGGTGGAATATTTATGTAGATATATCCACAGGCCAGAATCGAAGAAATAATAGCTACGGGTGTCTGTTGCAGCAATGGGGGAGGATTAGCCTCAACTCGATAATAGGCTAGAATATTGCTGGATCGCTTTTTAGTCTAGGAGTAATTAATTCAAAGAGTGAAGGGGGCAAACTGACTGGCCCACTGTTTGGTCGGTTGTTGTAGACGCCACCGCAGATCGGCACACTAACATATACAGCCGAAGCTTTCTAGCTACGGCGGACTAAATCGACTTTGACAATGCAGGCTTTTTTCGTTCGCAGTCCTTCCACCCCTAGTATTATTTTTAACCAATTAAACCATATATTTTGAAATAAAATGAAATATTCACACGAATTTATTACGAATTTAACTAGTGGCCTAGTTTCTTACTGACAACGCCATCTCGGAGGGAGTAAGTTATATATATTTTAATATTACAATATTACTGTCTAGTATAAACTAATTTGAATTATTATTGCTAGCTATATTATATAAACCAATAAGATCTCTTAAGTTATGTAGTAATCAAATGAAAGTGTGTAGAAAATAAATCATGTTTTCGGCAGAAAATCAAATTCATTGCATTTGTCCTTAAGATCGATGTAGTCCGCCGTACCAGCCGAGAAGATTATTTTAACACTTGGCAAATGCAACTATTAATATTTCTTCGCGCTTACTGTTTCTTGTGTGTTCCAAGAACCAAATACACCCTCCTTAATTGATCAGCAAATGTCTTTTCGTTCCATATCACCAACTGCTTAATTAGTCGTGCTCTATAATCGCCGACTGCCTTGTACGCAAAGGACGCAATGGCGGCAATTCCCGGAGAAACCTCTTTGGATTCCACTGCGCAACAGGTCAACCGACTACAATCACCCACGACAGGCGTCATTCCGAAAGATACCGCGAGGTCGAAGGGTAAAATGGGTTTACCTGCTTTCCTAGACCATTTTAATGCGCGCGACTTGAAAGTGTTCTTTCGGTGCTGGGTAGCCGCTTGGGTGGCTTGCTTATTGTTCATCATCAACCCATCGTTGCGCAGTCTTGGAACCGCCACTTTTTTTGCCTGGTGAGCTTCTTTCTATATTGTCTTGCTGTGAAATGAATATGTATGAATTGGGGGTAAGAGAGAAGAGAAACAGAAATACATAGTGTGAATGAGCTTGACTCAAACAAATATTAACATCTCAATAGTATGGTGCAATTCATGCTTCCTCCTTCAGGAATTGTTTCTATCTATCTGCTTGGGTCACTGACCCTTTTAATGGGTATGTTTCTGGCCTGGGGATGGGGTGTCATCGTGATGAAGGCTGCACTAGCCGCTCGACCGACGGCAGAGACACAGGCTCGTTACGCATCATTGCAGCAGGCGGCGAAGGCTCAGGCCAATGCTACAGGTATCTCCCCTGTAGCTGCCGCTCAAATTTTGATATACGAAGGATACATGTTGGATGTGCGGGTTACGGTTGTTACATACTGCCTCGTTTGCACGTTCATCTACTTACTGGTATGCATGTGCTGTTTTGCGGCTTCTCCGTATCCTATGGAAATATGAAGACCGATTGATTGGTGATAGGCCCGACTACGCGCGAGTAACCCCAAAGCAACCTTTACTGCTATATTTGGCACTATAATATCTGATCTTTTTCTTAACTACGCCCCCCTCTTTCCTTCATTCCAAGGAACGCTGCCTCTGACGCTAATCAAACCTGCCGCTATTGGTGTGGGGTTGGGATTTGCCTGTTCGGTTTTTTTGTTCCCTCGCTCCACCTCGCATGTAGTCCTTGATAGTCTAGAGGATATGATGGAACATCTCAAATTGCCATTGAAATTTACAGCATCTGCAATTGGGAAGAGAGAGGAGAAAGACGACCTGGACCATCTACGTCTAGTCCAAAGTAGAATCATCCAAGAATATCGGAAGATGGAGCCTGCTTTTGCATTTTTGCCATTGGACTTTTCTGTCGGCTATTGGGGTGCTCGAGATGTTGAAAAATTCAAGGAGCCGACGCGGAAACTGGTGACGGCTATTCTAGCACTACTGGAGTTCCATGTGACTAGAGTCTACAGTGCGTCTCGTAACGAGGATATCCTGCTGAAATACGGAGATAAAGCCCGACTTCAGAACGAGATGGATACAAAATTTGATCATGATATTGGTAGGTATCAGCGCTCTCAACTTGCTGAGATGTTGGATGGGTTTCGCAACGCTGGTGACTATCATCTTAGCGGTGCGGCAATTCAGGAACTCGTTGGAACTGGCACATATGCAACTGAAGTATGCATTGAAGCATTGGATCTCTTAAAACAGTGTATACACATGGCGAACTGCCGAAGGTGGTTTCGACGTCCGTCGAAAGAAGACCATAAGGCGTTGTGTAGGCGTATATATACTGCGCTTGAAGATCTGCGTCGTGTTCGCACTTCTTTTGTGCATGATATGACGGAGACCCTGATCGCTAATTATACAAGTTTTTTCGAAGAACTAAGCTTTACGAATGAGACAAAAAAGCAATTGAGGGATCTTGTGATTAGCATGGTCTTTGAGGAGCATATGGCGAATGCAATAGATAAGACGGAAGCATTGATGATGCAGATTTATACCGTCTTCCATACCTCCAACCGAATTCGATTGTGGTGGCCTCTCAGTCTAACTCGTGCTACTTCTTGGGTAATTGGAAAGGATTCCAAAGCACCAATGATGACTCCATCTGCGGATGATGACCCTGATCAAGCCTCCGATCTCATCAAGGTTGCAGAAGAAAAGCTTAGAATTAGTCGTGGATATCGTACAAAGCAACGGAATGCTGTTGGCCGAGCCATCCTAGGAACATACCACTGGTTTACCTCGAATTCGGGATTATATGCCCTACGAATGGTCATTATTACCATTGCTCTGGGTATACCCGGTGTGATTCCACATACCGCAGGTTTCTACTACCGCCAGAAAGGACTATGGGGATTGATAATGGGGCAGACTAGTCTTCTAGTCTACATGGCCGACTTCACATTCTCCGTAATTTCTAGAGTAGTGGGTACTGTTGCCGGTGGTATTTTGGGATTGCTGGCTTGGTATATTGGATCTGCTCAAGGTCCTGGGAACCCCTATGGACTAGCTGCAATTGTCGGAGCCATGCTTCTGATATTTGTCTGGGTGCGGTTGTATTTGCCTCCGAGTTTGCTCCAAGGAGGGATTATGGGTGGCGTAACCTTCTTATTGGTGATCGCATACAGTTATGATGATACGTGAGTGGAATAAATTGGAAACATTAGGAACTTCAGAGCGATACAAACCAGCTAATACACATTCCAACAGACACATTTTTCAATACGGCAGTCCTGGTGTAGGGTACGCTGTTTTTTATCGGCGAATGGTCCTCGTCTTGATTGGAGTGGGAGCAGCCATAATCATTCAAGTTCTGCCACGTCCGCCATCTGCTTCAAAACACGTCTGCAAAAGTCTTTCGCGATCGATTCGCAGCTTGTCTGACCACTACGCACTACTTCTCTCTTGTTGGGGACATTCTCAAGATCATGGAAAGCTTCTAGCAGAGTCAGTTAGCCTTCAATTAACGCAGTCATTGGTCGGATTAGATGACCCGATAGCACTCCTGCGGTTTGAGTTCTCTAGTTCTCGCTTTGATAGCAAATCCTTAACTGACGTGAAACGCCTTTGCCACTCCATCAACCTGAACCTGCGTCGACTGCTTGTTCTTTCTGGGTCGTTGCCACAAAGCTTCCAAGACCATTTGTCCCGTCAAACTGGATTAATCGACCATCGCATTATTGGCGAGGTCATGGCTATTTTAGCAACCTGCGAGCAGGTGTTGAAAACAGAAGATTCACTGCCCGAGATCCTCCCAAGCCCACTTGTGCGGCGTGCCTATGAATACGGTGCTGGTCATCTAGGCGAACTTAAAATCAACCCAGAGCTGGTTCGAGACGAGGAGTATCGTAAATTTTGTGTTGCTTTTAGCGCTTACCTCAATTTCCTCGGCAGTATTGATGAACTTGTTCTGGTTATGAAGGATGCTCTGGGAGAGGCACACTTGGTATCTAAGTCGTTGGCTGATTTAGTTTGAAACAATTGAGAGGGTCAATTGATATACATACATACATACATACATATATATATATATATACGGGCAGGCAGCATTACTTAAACATGAGCCTGGGATAATGAAACAGGATATACGTAGACTAGAGACATTGCAGAAGCTAGAAAAGCAGTAGTGCAAGGATGGGAATGACCCGCACTTGTGTATTGTCCTCTATGTCGATTATTCATCCACCACAGTTCTTTGTGATGTCCTCCCTTCTCGTGGCCATTATTGAACATGCACTTCGTGAGCCAGTTTCCAAGCTCTGTCAAGCAATCAATAGCAACATAGTGACTAACGACCAAGCTCCGTCATTTACCAGCAAACTCCCATGGCGTAGTGGAGGATCTATATATATCATCAATTGGAATAAAATTTTCTGTAGCCTACATGTTTTATACAAAGAACGACGAGGAATAACCATACCTTGGTCATTGAGCTTCTTATGCCATTTTTAGAGCTCCAACAGTGATAAAGAATCCCATGGCCGTCTTGAGACATTGATGAATTCGGATGTTCCAGTTCCCGTGGTGCAATATCAATTTGCCCGACGGTTAGACCGATTCCTTGCTGCTTATAAATGATCGTAGATATATTTTACTGAGTTCCTCCGTAGAAAAAAAATCACGCAGTCCTAGTTACATGGTCATGTCTGGCGGCATCACGTAGGTGGGTATCGTTTAACGTTTGTCAGATTGGTTAGCAATCTACGGCTTTAAGGTTAGCGTTGAGCGAAATGCCGAACTATTTAGAAAGGACAATATTTTCATATTTGGAGTATATGAAGGGATGGCTATGGTTTCTATTTGATATATTTTGGTAATGATTCGAACATTAGAACCATCATTTCATTATTTGCGAAAACTCGTTCGGAATTACCGCTGCCCTGGATGAGTATCAAAGACCTCAAAGCACTGTTCGTACTTCTGAGCTTCTTTATTCTTCTAAAACAATCAAATATTGTCAGCCAAGTCGAATGGGGAAACATTGCTTATTGGAACGCGGAGCGTTTCTTGAAGTTGCATTGAGCGCATCTGAACATTTCAAGGGTTGAGTGTGTCTAAAAACCAGTCGCACATATAGTGTTGTGAAGATTGCATGATGATCAAATATAAACCTATATATTTGGGTTCTTCTGGACTATTCATGAGTGCTGTATCAAAATCTAGAAACCGACCGCATTTATATGTATCAATTCAGCCTCAAGCCGCCCAAAACAACAAGGGGAAAAAGGAAAGAAAGAAAAAGAAAATTGTAAGTAAACTTATTTGCTATAATTAAAACAAAAAAAGAAAAAAAGAAAACTGTATTACGAGGTAATAGTCGCAACACACACTAGTATTGCGACTAGAGTTCTACTCAAGGCAACAGCAGCGCGCAGCCGAACCATCACAGGCAACTTCATTACTGTTAAGTCGCACGTAGTACGGATCTTATTTTTCAGTCTTGTAAATATAACTACGCTGATCAACAAGCTTAGCTCCCTAGCGTCTTGGCATAGCCCCTATGAGGTCCCACAGCGAACCATAAGATGGAACCGTAGCGTGCGCGGTGTGTTGGTTAGGAACTTAGGCACTCATCGGAGTGCGAATTTCCGCTTGATATCAACGAACTCGCTCATCTTCTTCACTTTTTCTTTCACTACCGTGCTGTGTGCTATCAATACCCCGGGCTTCACCATGAAGTTTATGAACTGCTTGCCCCTCACTTTACTAGCGCTCTGTGCTCGAGTGTCTCAGGGATATACGAGGTAATTTTCCATGCCTGATGACATCTTCAGAAGAGCTCTACTGTGTCCGTGGCTGACCCGTATTTGCTCTGCAGCAGAAGTACAACGAACACATCCACGTCCTTCTATCTCCAGATCCAAAAGAGTTCCAACAAGACACTCAACAGCTACTGGGGCTATGTCGACCCCTATATCTCCGCTGACAACGGTGTAGCCTTCCAGTTCATTCCTGAGAAGAGCAAAGCCACCAACTTCTCCATTGAGAACAGCAATCTAGCCGGCTACATGCCTGGCTATGTCGCTGGCAGCACCAACGCTGAAGGCACGCCGTCCGGTGACGCCATTTACATGTCGCCTCTAGAACTCCTTAATCAGGGTGGTGAGCCCGTGGTTACGGCTAAAATTGATGCAACCACTGGTGTCGTCACACTAAGTAACACCCTTGGCGATGGTACAAACCGCCAGTTACCACAAGCCTGCTTCATCTCTAATTCCGCCGGCCCTTCCGATTTTTCATTGCCCGTGCTTGTTGTTGGCGAAGAATATTTCACCTCTGATAGATGTGCAAACGTCACTCTCTATTGGATTCCCGCTGTCAATTAATGGAAAATATGGACATTTCTATTGTTCAATGCACCTTTGAACTATGGCGTGGTAAGACATTTGGATCTAGTAGCGTATAACCCTTTTATAGAGCTTGAAACATCTACAGTCATCTGACAGAACTTTGAATATATATGTAGTATTAACATTTTCTGCCTTTCGCTGGCATTTGCACAAATTTATATAGACTAGACTTTTTGGGGTCCCGCCCGTAGATAACGTAAAAAGTTCAATGTTATTAATATCAATATTGGAGGAGCCCCTAAACCCAATCCACTATTATAATGCTATATTCAAACCTTTGTCGCCCTACTGTATGTCATTTGAAATTGAAAATTATAATAATCGGTGGAGCTCCCCGCATTACCTTAATGCCATAGCATAGAACATCAGGAACTTGATCTACTTGCGATTCGGTACTACTGACGGAGACGAGAAGGTTCACGATTTTATTTAATATCTAGAATATGGACGTGTTACCAGAACATTTAGAAGATTTCATGTGATTGTGAGGTTTAATCTTCCGTCATGATTCCAATATAGTGAAATAGCACTTGCCTCTAGGGCCCTTCCCCGATATCCTCATTTTCAAAGTCATTTCCTTCCCGGTACCATCTAAGAAATTCTACGATGCGAAGGGGAAGGTACGGATGTATATTCACACCCATTAGAAATATGACAGATAAAAATGCCGGTGGTGCTCTATGTTCTACCCTCTCTACGCGGATGCCTAAATGTCACCTCTATATGTATACTATCATATCTCTTTCTATCTTAATTGCCACTCCGGTTATCAGTTAATTCCTTACTACGTATTTTTTTTTATCAATGAGTCGCTCACCGCTCTTTACTAAGCGCCGTTGGTCACACATCGATATTGAATTAAATAAATGTTACGTTACAATTTCGTTTCCGATCTGCCGAAACCACAGGTTTTGTTGTTGGGGCAAACTAGCGTGAAAGTCAAAAGACTGCAGCCAATTATATGAAGCATCGTCTGAGCGTTCCTGGGAGTCTGTGGGAGATAACGACTATTTCCCCACATCTAAAGGTGTCAGAAAAGGGAACGGTTGGCATCTTGTTATTCGAAGAGGTAAGATCAAGGACTAACCGCCAAAAGAATTTGTGTTTCCCCAGATACATAAAAAGGGCTTATCGTGATGTTTTATGGAATGATGATACTACTTGGCATGGGCTGCAACATTGCAATCTAGACTAGGTTCAGACTGGCTTAGTCTTGGTGGTGACCTCGAGTTGAGAATATGGAACAAGCATGGAAATAAATAAATAAATATAGACAGGAGACCTTCTTACCTCAATTATTAGAAAATCACTCCCAAGATACAAAGTGACAGGACTGCAGTTGAAATGGCCCCTCATACCTCTGCTTCGCTGCTGGCAGCTATCACCACATGGATGATATCTGGTAGTCGCGCCTCAATCCAACGCCCTGGTCTGTTGCCCACGCCGCCCATGGGTTTCAACGACTGGTCTCGCTTTGAATGTGCTATTAACCAGAGTGTGTTTACTGAAACGGCCGATGCTATGGTGTCCAAGGGCCTATTAACTGCCGGCTACAATCGTATCAATATTGACGATTGTTGGATGGCGGATGCCCGAACGGAGGAAGGAAAATTGACCTGGAATGAGACTCTATTCCCGAATGGACTGCCTTGGCTTGGAGAATATCTTCAAGACCGGGGATTTCATTTTGGTATTTACGAGGATGCCGGCAACGAGACCTGCGGAGGGTATCCTGGATCATATGGATATGAAGAAGTCGACGCGCACACCTTTGCTTCCTGGGGTATTGACTATCTAAAAGTTGACGGATGTCACGTCACACCATCAACTGAAGATGAGTATCACAAAAGATATGCAGCATGGCACAAGGCATTTAGTAAAATGTCGGATCCATTGATATTTTCTCAATCCGCCCCGGCCTATTTCTCGCTGTGGCTGACAGGGAGCGACAACTTAACGGACTGGTTTACGGTGATGGACTGGGTGCCTTACAATGGGGAACTTGCACGACATTCCTCCGACATTCTAGTATATGTCGGGGTTGAAGGGCTTTCCGGATGGGAGAGTGTGATGCAAAATTACAACTATAACACCCAAGTTGCACGCTATCAAGTGCCCGGGTACTTCAACGACCCTGATTTTTTAATTGCCGACAACCCTGAATTAAGTCTCGATGAAAAGCGTTCCCAGTTTGCGCTTTGGGCATCCTTTTCGGCACCATTGATTATCAGTGCTTGGATCCCGAGTCTACCAGATGAAGTGGTCTCGTATTTGAAAAATTCCGATTTAATTGAGATCGACCAAGACCCTCTGGCACAACAAGCTACCCTGGTTAGCCGGGATGACTCATTCGACGTTTTAACACGCAGCCTTGCTAATGGAGATCGTGTGGTTACTGTGCTTAACCGGGGAAATAGCACGGATGATATCAGTATCAGTGCTCTGCGTCTGGGCCTGCTAAATACAAAAAGGACCTACTCCGCTAAAAATCTTTGGACTGGTGAATTCATCAGATTTCAGGGCTCACTGGAGATAAGAGGACTTGCCTCACACGCCACTGCTGTCTTTCGTATAAATCTCTCGGGACCATCATCGTTTGGCGTTTCCCCTACAGGTATGATTTTCAATGCCGCATCTACAAAATGTCTCACTGCGGGGTCCAAAAGCGAGGAAGTAGAATTTACCACCTGCGCCGCCACAGATGCTCAAGTGTGGCAGATCAGACCACTGCTCAGCACTATCAGTCCCTTATCAGCACCAAGCCTTTGCCTTACAGCCACCGCTGGAAAAGTTCTATTAGAAGACTGCGAGCTACTCAAATTCACACAAGAGTGGGAGTATTCAGTATCAGGATATTTGACCAATAAGCATACTCATGAATGCATGACAGAGATGGCGGGTGCGAGTTTGAGTGAATGTCAATATGAGGTTGACAGTCAAGTGTGGTCTCTTCCGGCGGGCGTGAGAGTTAACTGGTAGTTTATTTACATGATATTTTCAATTTCTGTTTGCAACCCTTTGATCAATCTCATATGAGTAGACAAATAGAGTACAATCAAGACAAAAAATTGTCTTTGAGGGCCGAGGTTGTCGACATTACGTAGTCCAGTGAGCCTGTGCGCAGTGAAGCAGAATGTAGCTTTGGCTACACATTGTGATTGGCAACTACTTAATTTACGCTTACTTCCTAGATATACCATTGAGTCTCTACGCGACGGAGAGGAATGGCGTTGAAATATAAGCGTCTCATACAGAATTGAACTATAGATGTATACTTATCAGCTGTCATGATTTGCACACGAATTATAATTGCAGAGGGAAATCGTTCCTATCAGGAATCCGAAAGAAAAACAAAAACTAATTGACAGCCATGAAATATCGCTTTTTGGTAACAGACTGCCCTGTGCTGGGTACCTTTTGCGCATGGACTCCATGTGGGCGCTGGTTTCGTTAGCTTCCGAGGCGTGAATAAGAAAAACTGACACTCACATAGACTGCATCAACAGGCACTGTCCAGTCGTTGATTGAAAGTGGTATATATTCGTATGAATACGTACTGCGTTCTTCCTCGTCACTTATTCCATCGTCGGTAGCATTATGCGACTTTATACCTGCCGAGTCCGATGTATTCATATTTTGAAACAACTGCATACTGTCCATTGACATGCCGGAGAGAGGATTCGGGAGGTTGAATATCGACTCTAGATCCGGGATACTAGGCAATAGGGATGTTTCTATCGATGGTATGAGAAGGCTCTCGTTCCCATTATGGTTATCGCTGACGGGAGACGAGACTCCAATGCCGCTATAATTCTGATTTTCTCCATCATTAGACTCATCATGCCACTGCAGGTTTTCGTTCCAAATTCCCAGATCCGAAAAGTCATAGAAGAACAGGTTATCAGAAGCGGGAATGCTACAGTCGATCTGAAAGCCCAGGTTAGCATCAGTTTCAACGTTGCTATCATCATTTCCGCTCTTTGGCATTGCCGTGGTCACTTGTTTTGCCGGTCTGCTCATACTCTTGTTTGTGTCGGGGAAGCTCTGTGGGGATCTTCCTCTGACCGTAATAGCCGCGCTTCGGGCTTGACAAAGAGTTTGACTGCTACCATCTTCCAATTGTGCTGTGACCCTGACTCTCAAATAGAAATACTGCCAGGTGCCACGTTTCTTGGCAGTAGCATGACGGAATTGTAATTTTTCCCATGCAACCGGCACGGTGGTTTGCTCGGTTGTAGGACCGCGGTATGCTAGATCGACTTTGCATAACGAGTCTCCTGCGCCCCTACCTGGGATTTGAATTGTCTTGTCTTTGGGTAGCAACTGGAGAACACGCACATCGCTCCCTTCGAGACTCTCGGTCGCGTCCAGCTCAGCGTGCAGACTAGTGATCTGCAGCGAACTCCCTGTGTGGATAGCCCGCACCCCTGCCACTCCTGCTGGTATAAAAACAGTTCCGACAACTTTGAATTTGTTCCTCCTATAAAAGATCAACTCTAATACATCACGGTGCTCGGCGCCAGTAATTTTGTCTGGCTGGGAGAATCGGCCGCGTAGTTGAGAATTTATCTGCAAATTGGATGGCAATTCATTTCCACTAGAGTCTACCAAGTAGTACTCGCTGCTCATGGAACAAACCTGTAGTGCAGTCAGGTTCTCAGTGTCGAGTTGTTGTTTCAAAGTGTCATCGGCTGCCTCGGAGGCATTGAATGCACGGCGGTGGCGAAGGTTAGCCTGATTTTCTTCGCTATCTTTTTCGTTGTCACTGAAAAGGCTCTGGTCGGACATTCTGACGGGTAGTATCTACATTGTTTCGCATGCCCTGAGGGGCCTCTAAGCGGTAGCAATGTGAAACAAAGTTGAGGAAGCGATATCACATTCTTCTTCTTAATATTATTATGCTAATCCGCTGCCTCGCATTGGGGCGTGCGGGGGCACGACTAGTCTAGGAGGAGCATGGGGACTGTAGGATACAAGGTTACATCGGCTGTCTGAGACGACGAGATAAGGTTGGATCTGGTTGCATTCGGTCTGATTAATCCATAACTATTCATGTTCACGTTGATGTTCATGCTCATTGATGAAAATTCAATGCGATTGTTAATACGGCTGTAAGGCATCGCTATCTTGTGAGCATGTCTTGCTAATACTAAGAAACTCCGATACCCGTTGAAAGCCAATATTTGCCAAAATCGCAGGGAATACGGAGTCGCCCACCTGTGTTGTCAGTATACGAGGAAATAAAACACGATAGGAAGAAAAAGGAACGCACGATAAATATTTGGGCGCTCAAAAATCCTATTTCAACGAGGACTGTGGCCGATTTCGCCACTAAACCATGCACAACTGAAGCGGCTTGCGAATTACTCGACACGACGATGCCTGCCAAACCACCGGTCTGTTTGTCATGCACGGGGAAGAAGGGGTTGATTTGTGATGACGAGTGGTATAGAATAATTGAGCCGATTATTTTGTTATTGCGAATATCCCGCGCTAGCACAATTTTGCATCCTTGTATATCTGCTCGAGCGCGTCGGTATAGGTCAGTGATAATGACTGGATGCCGTAATGCAGAATTGGCGACCCCAAAGCCAGTGCCCATAAGTAGGTGATGGTTAAGTTCGTCCTCATCTCTGGCACATATAGGATCATATTTGAAGCCATGACTTGACGCAATCTTCTCGGGAGATGTGGTTGCCTTCCAGTCTCGTAGTAGGCGGATCGCATGGAATTCATGGTGATTCCAGTTCCCTACGTCCCAACCTCTAGGATATTGTATTACACCGTGAGTATATATAAAGGGCAGAAGGGAGAGGAAGTACGAGAAGAAGAGTAGTTTTGGGAGGACATACCGATTTTTTACCCATCCTCGCAGACTCAACTGATTTGTGCTTAGACGGTTGGGAATCCCAGCAAAAATAGCAGGCAACTCCGACCCGAACTGCACTATTTCAATACCAGGAAGTCTCTGTAGATAGCCCATAGCATGTTGGTGTAGGGAATATCCGATTCCTCGTCCTCTATGATCCGACGAGACAACGATCGAGGCGATACAGCCTCGGGCCAACGTCTCGATGTAATGCGTTGCGCAGAAACCATAAACCTTGTGTGTACTACTATTCCGAACTACAAAGTGTTCAGACTTTATCAACGGTTCATAGGTAGTAAAATACGAAGATACTTCGAAACAGTATGCCGGATACTGTGCTTCGGGATCGCTGAAGGTGTTCGATGCAGCCATGCGGACCTGATCGAAGAGGTCCTGCAGCGCGTGTTTGTCTCGATTTGGTTGAAGCTTTTCAACCAGCCAGAGTTGCCGATGGAGGGTTGATCGCGACCGTAGCTGTCGCGCCGTTGGAGGAAGCCCTACCGCCTTAAGCTTTCCGAATAGGACCCGGACGAGTGCCTCCATTGGGGGTCTGGTCAGATCGTACGTGCAAACATACGTTGGAACTTGCTTATCTTTCATAAAGTCGTACGGAGAGCTTGCGGCGACGACAATGCAAGGTTTCCCCCCCGAGCTTATCCTTTGAGGTGAAGACTGTATTTGATACTGGCTCTGGCACAAACTGACGATGTATTTGGTGAAGCCGTACTGATAAACATTACGGACACCGTCGGCCGTTAGTAGAATGACGGCAGCAGCTTCTGAGACTAATTTTTCATGCAGTGGACTGATTCCGCTGGCCGTGTAGGAGGTATGCACAACTTTGCCACGCCACCTCTTCGCGATGGATACCCCTAGGGCATGAAAAGTAGTTTCTCCTTCCAAATAACTATGCCCTTCGCGATTATTGTAGTGTCTAGCGATATTGATTGGTCTTGGGGAGGCCGATGCCTGGGAAATGTCTGCCATATCAGGTAGTCTTTCAGGCCTGAATGGTTCCACAAGAGGAGTTAATAGTAGGAGAACCTCTTCTGGATGGACATCATTTTGCAGTGGGATGTTATTCCCGAAATCCCGTACTAGCGTTATCGAAGCTTCGTACGCCGTCCGAGACAGAGTTTTATGTGCAGATTTCAAAGCATCCAGCCTTGCCAAACCTCCTGGATTCCATACTCTCTCCCAGGACAAATGTCCAATCTTCATTTGACGCACTCTATTTGAAGCGGATTTGATATGGATTCTTGATATTAGCCCAGATTTCACGGCAGTGCTAATTCCCCTGATGGCTTCGACCTGATTTGAGTAACTTTGACAAAGCATAATCATGTCGCATCCGGCATTAATAGCCATCGCAGCTGCCTGGCTTACTCCAACTCCTTCATAAAGAGACTCAATCTCGAGGCAGTCAGATAGAATGACACCGTCAAACCCCATTCGCCGCCGTAGCAGACCCGTTACCACACTATGAGATAAACAAGCGTATTGGACCTGTGCTCCCTTGACATCCGGCATGCCACAGGCACCCACTAGAACTGCATCAGTGCGATGGTTAATTGCTGTCTGGAACGGAATTAGTGAAGAAGACAACAGCTGATCAAATGTGCCCGACACGATGGGTATATCAGAAGGTGAACCTAAAAAGTCCAGGTTCCCGTAACCCGGGAAATGTTTCGTGCAGGTAAGCAAGCCACCAGCTCGATATCCCAGCATGGACTCTAACGCTTGCTCAGCCACATGTTCTGGATCTTCACCAAATGAGCGAACACCCATTGGTTGTGGTCTCTCATTGTCAGAATGAACATCGAAAACCGGGCCCACAAGCCAGTTGACACCCAGACAGCTAAGCTCTTTAGCAGCTGCGCATGAGACCGTTCTAGTTAAACCTTTGTCGGAGGCTCGGCAGGCTGCAAGGCCCATTGCAGAGGGGAATTGACGAAAGTAGTCAGGGTCGAATATGGAGTTAACACCGCCGTTCTCTTGGTCTAGACTGATGAGAAGTGGTTCGGAGTATCCGGCATCGTAGGCTAGTTTTTGAAGAGATTTTATCAACTATACTATCAGCATCAATCAACTCCATATATTTGTGAGTCTGATTCTACCTCGACTGCTTGGGCGGCATCTGTTGTGAATGCAAAGAATTTAGCAATACTCGTCTTTAGCCAGCCATTCTATCCTAGCGCCCACCTTGTAAATTCTTGGCCTGCAATGCGATCGTTCCGACATGGTACTCTTCAATCAAGGATTTAACCTGTGGCGTGATGGCAGTACCCTCGAAGCCCACTGAGAGCAAATAGCCAATCTCCCTGAGGAATGGAGCTCGTTAGCAAATGTAAGGCGTCGTCGTATCTAATTTTATTAAAATCGAAAAGCTATTACTTCTGTATGTCATCCTCCATTATAGAGTCAGAACAAGCCGCCGCGTGCCATCGATCGATGCCTCTCGATTGAGTCACGATTAATACTAGTCCGTTGGTATAATTATTGAGTATCGATGCGGCTACCCCAGACCACAGCTCACTGGCACAGCCGCGGTCGCACTAGTAGATGCCGGTGATGCACTAATCCCCAGCTAGTATAGACCCAAAAAGCGTTCTGATATTCTGGCGATAAGCAAGAAAAGGAAATAATAATCGATAATGTAACGTTACATATGATTTAATGTTAGGGCTGCAACGTGCCCCGCATTCTTTCCGGTGCGCACGTGATACGACAGCCCTAGCCCTACCATAATATTTGCTCGTATAATGACAGCAACCACAGTATAAGTTGGGAACAACATAACTTCAATTGATAATGATGACAGATGTTCTGTATGCGGAGACCGAACAATAACGATATCAAATGTAGCAACCACGGATTCGGTTTCTCTATCCCTCCAAAGAATATCCCACATTATCTCCTCTCCCTAGGCTAATCAGGTTGCTCCGCATATTCTCGGCTCGTTCGCCGACTCCTAACACAGCATCGTCGCGATTTATCCAGAATCCAATGCCGTGCTGTAGCACGGCTGTTGCGCGAACTTTGTTATCCGCGTTTGTGGTATCCTTCAGCCCCACACTACCGTGTAATGTTAACCGGGTCTCGTCATTACCCTCAGCTTTTGGCTGGTAAATGCCGCGATGCAGTATGTTGCTGTCGTAAAAAACAGCATCACCTGGCTCGAGTTTGACGATAAGTTGATTCGGTAGCGTTGGTTCATATGGTCCTGCCGCTCGCTCAATCTCTGTGCGCACACGTCGATGCGATCCAGGTACCACGATGAGTGAGGTATCCGGGCAGAGTGCTAGATTGTATTGGGCATGAGACTGCTTCCCTTCAGGGCTTTTGTGACAGAGCAGTTCTAGCTCGCGCTCTGGGCTTACTGACTCGGGTATGTCATCTCGGTGCCAACGCAACTCGAATGCCTTATTTTCAGGCGCGACAAGAAGATTGAATAACTCCATTACAAGCAGTTCCTTCTTCGGCTCACCGCGAGAAGGCTGAGATACTCCTAGTAATTCTTCTGCTACCGCAAGAATTTTCGGTGAGAAATATGCCTTGATGAAAGCCTCACGGTCTGGCATTTCAGGGTGCATCAAATGTTGGACGCCCCAGATACCACCCTCCGACGACGGTGGAGGGGTGTTCGGCCATGGAGGGAATTGTTTGGGCACAGATCGTAGGTAAGGCCAGTTCCCAGCGCGTGTCATTGAGGCCGCCTTGCTGGAGGCTTCGCGGAGGATAGCTACCTCGTCTGGGACCAGAATGGAGCGAACGATGACGAAGCCATCGCGTTGGAGTGCTTCAAGATGAGGACTTTCCGCCGTCGTAGCTGTGACGGTGCTCGTAGCGGTAGTCGTCATAGTTATAACTTGTTATCTTTTGGATGAACTTGTTGACAATGGCAATTAAGTGAGATCGTTGTCTGCTTCTCGTGGGATGGGAAAGAGACTATCAATGCTTTGTATATATAACTTTAAAAGGACAGGATTTAAATAAATTGATATTTGAATCGAATTGATGTATGTGACGTGTCGAGATTGTGTCACATCTTGAGAAGCTAACGTCACATGTTCCAGGATATATCAGAAGAATTTGCATTATAAAATTCTCTCTCGAAGACATACAGCGTAACAAATTACCATTTTCCAACACCCATGGACAGTTATAAGTGACGATGAAACTTGTCGCACTGTGGAGACATCTGGAAACTTGACCAACTAATACCTCTGTGCGGATATGTTGCCATGCTAGATAATTATGTAACGTTACACAAATGCTCGACACACTCATTACCACTTTCATGGTTAATTTAGACAGTTATCAATTTGAACTCCCGACCCTGTTGGGATAAAAAAACAGACCACGCAAAGCAATCACTCTTATCAACCAAGTACTATGATAGTTGTAAGTTACGAATGACTCAGATCCACAACATTACATATATATAGCTACAGTATTTCTAGAAATGCTAATAATGCTAATATCTAGCAACAGCAAACGTACTAGGCGTTGACTCCTAACTTACCAAAATGAGCACAAAAGAGCCGTTCTGTTTGCGATGGGGGATTATGGGTAAGGATTAATGCGGTTCTATCTTTGCCTGGCGGGTGTTCTGAAACTGACGTCACACAGCCACAGGAAAAATAGCATACAGTATGTTTGATTGTGACGGGAAAAAAATACAAATAAAATAATACGCTTCTAACACACCAAGCTTTTGTAAAGGATCTTCTAACTAACACCGAGACACGCGGTACCTTGGATGTTTGCCATATAGTGGCGGCAGTGTCATCGGCTTCCTCGTCAGAGAAGACACAAGCCTTCATTAATAGCCTCAATCTGTCTTGCACAGGCTACAACTCTTACGATCAGCTTGTGGCGGACAGTAATGTCGATGCTATTTATATAGCTACTCCTCATTCACATCATTTTCAACATGTCATGATGGCGCTCCAGGCTGACAAGCACGTTTTGTGTGAAAAGCCGGTGACCGTAAATGCTCACCAAGCTCGAATTTTATGTGAAGAAGCTAAAAAAAGAAACCTTTTCCTAATGGAGGCCATGTGGACGAGATATCTGCCTCTGAGTATTGAGGTCTTGGAGACAATTCGTCAGGGAAGAATTGGCGAGGTTCTGCGAGTAACAGCCGATACAAGCTTCGGCGACGAAGTAGAAAAGACATGGGGCACAGAACATCGGATGCTGAATAAGAATTTGGCTGGGGGTGCATTACTTGATTGTAAGTCTAGATATTCATCTAAGAGCTGAGTACGTATACAGACAGAACTAAGTGTCACTAGTGGGGATTTATAGTCTCACCTGGGTGTTCCAATGCCTGTATCATACACTCCCGGAGTCGCAACGCCAACCTCCATGCATGGTCTCTGCCCAGATGACTTTGAACTATCTCACCGGAGCAGACGAAGCTACTTCCATCCTAGTCACGTTTCCAACAACCACGCCAGATAACATCCCAGAATGGAAGTCGCAAGCAATCGCCACCACCAATCTTCGTGTCTCAACAGACCCAGACGGCAGAGGCACTTCCGGACCGGCAATTCGCATTCAAGGTACAAAAGGCGAGATTCAAGTCGATGGGCCGTCATTTCGGCCAGAACGGTACCGGGTCATCCAGTGCCGCAATGAGAATAACCCAACAGAAGAGCATGTTCGAGAATATGAACATCATATACCAGATGGTCATAGGGGTATGTACTGGGAAGCCGACGAAGTAGCACGGTGTGTGCGGGATGGAAAGCTTTTCAGCGATACATTGCCGTGGAATGAGATGATAGTTATTATGGAGTTGATGGATGAAGCTCGTCGGCAAGGAGGGTTGGTATATCCCAAATCAATCGAAGACACTCACTATTAGCTCTTATAGCTTTTTTTCTGACCCTTTTACCACTGTTCATCAAAGCTTGACATATTAATTGATCCTGAAGATATGTAGTAGACTATTCCTAGGCCGACAATATGGCAGGGATGACAATGCATCAGAGCAATACTAAAAAAGCATCTGCGATTGCCGCATGCCCCTGGAACCAATTTCTGGAAGTGGATAGCGTGAATGACCTCGGATGTTAGCATTGTAATCAGGCAACGAAGGCTATTTGGGAAGACAAACTGCTAGTACTAAGCACTAAAACTAAACTGCATTCACTCCTGGGTGCATGAATTGGTCAAAAAGGTAGAAGGTCAATTGTGATACTTAACCTCGTACGAAACGGCTAGACCCCCTATTAGGCAATTTAGCTGCTTTAATACTTTGTAGTCAACCCCCTTCCATGCAATAGGAAATCGGGCAACCGATAGCGGATGCTGTATTTCGGTCCCTGCTGGGTAATTATAATTGAGTCAATAATACCACTTGAGTTCGTTAAGGGCGACTTCCAAAAGATGTATATTATTTAAGCATATACGTAGGCGTCGAAAGTTTTATCTGCCTAGTGCGTCGTGAGGGGCGGCGCATTTCCAGATGACCTTTTGTTTCAGCCTAATCCGGAGTATTGTGAAGATAGCGCAAAATCTGAATTTCCATATTTGTAGCATTTTGAAAGCTGGACCATGCAATATCGCATACCATAGCATTCAACATTCACCACATTATAATTTTACAACCAATTTTGTACCCGTCACAGTCTTGACCTGATCCAGCACATGCTGTATTTCGTTTAACCCGTGACCAACTACCTTAACTGGCAGTGGTACCTTATACTTGCCTTCTTCGATCAATTCGGTTATTGATGGAATGACATGCTCTCCACCTTGCATTTCTATCAATGACCATCCGCCAACGTTGATCTTCGTCACCCCGTCTGGTACTGGGACATCAATGCCCGAAACAACAGCCGCATATTTCTTTGAGCCAGCTGAATCGAGACATTCACAGATGGTAGTATCGGATGCACCAGCAGATACACAGTCTATGATCATGTCAACTCCATGGCCCTCTGGTGATGCGGCTTTAATATCCGATGCCAGTGTACGAGAGCGATAATCAAAGAGTCTGGTTGCTCCCAGGTCAAGGAGGTGAGAGTGGTGGGAAGCCGAACTAGTAGCGAAGATTGGCAAAGAGGAATAAGCTAGCCGTAAGAGTTGGATTGCGTTGGCCCCAATAGACGAGCTGCCCCCTAAAATGAGAATCGATTTGGGCTCTCTGCGCGATGTAGATAACGGTTTAATCGCAGTAATCGGAATTCTCAGATCTAGACTGTATATTGCAGAAATCGCAGTAACGTAACAAATTCTGTAATTTTTAGTAAATATACGAAATAAAACCAACCATATAGCACTTACGGCAACGATGCAGCCTCCTCAATTGTAATGTTCTTTGGCTTCTTGGCTACGTACTGTGCTGGCATGATGACATGCTCCTGATAAGAGCCACCCCATTCGTTACCGTGGGCTTGTCCGGCCATCCATGCCGTAACTTCGTCCCCAGCTTTGATATGTTTGACATTGGAGCCGACCGCTTCCACGACTCCAGCTCCTTCGATGCCGAGCACATGTGGCCAGCGAGATATGAAAAGTCCAAAATCACGTTGCTTCCAATCCAATCCATTGAGTGCAACTACTCGTTGGCGGATGAGAACCTGATTAGACTGAATTCGTGGTTTGGGAACGTAGGCGATTTGGAAGGGGCCACCTTTCTGAATACACTGCAGCTGAGCTGTGGTCTCTGCTGTTCTGGATGACATATTCCGCACAGATAGAGAAAGTGTTTGATACAATGGACTGTAAAATAGATGACTCTCATGTATTCTGCTGTGTAGGGTCACAGTTGATAGTCGTCATGAAATGATTATTGCCGGCTATTTATGAGTTGAGCGCATTGAGGACTCTTCGAAAATAGTTTCCCATTACGTTTTGACGAACCAAAAAGTACCGCATGGCGCTCTGACTGGTAAACCAGGCATTCGAAGGTAGCAAAGTCTGATTCGAGGCAATTAATATTTGGCATTAAGGCGACAACAAGAACCTGAAACCTGAGTTGCCTTCCTTGGGAAAGATTGCACTAAATTGACCTCATTAGGTTGGCGGCGGCCGACATGAAGGTTCCATCAGGCGTGGATCATAGGCTATCTCCGAGCCTATCAACCCCGTCGCCCAGAGTGCTTTACTACAAGTGGCTAGTGGCGGCCGCTTCGGTAATGGCTATACACCGGCAAGGTCATCATTCGCATCTACCAAGATCAAAACACGATACGGCTATCGCCCTGTGCCGTCGAAGCTCGATGAAGCATACTGATGAAATCCCATGTGCAGATCGGACATACGGTGATAAACATGACCGAGATTAGTAGCAAAGTTATGCACGCTCAGTATGTCTGTCACGCATGCAACGCCAGGAAGAAGGCATGCGATAAAAAATTGCCGGCATGTGGTTTCTGCTCTGCCCGCAATCTGGATTGTGAATACGATGAAAAGACATCCAAGAAGAAAGGGTTCCTCAGAAAGTATAACCCAGGACGGAAATTTGTCACCATTCCTCCTAGGCAAAGTACCGATCCTCCTGGCCAGTGGTTGTTGTTGCCCACAACGACTCAATCAGTCGATGAGCTGGTGCACACACACGCCCTTTGTTTGATAGGGTCTATGGAATCCCCATCGCAAGGCCCTAGCGAATTATACTTTCGAACCTTTCATCAGTGGTATCCTATCATTTCGCCCGAAGCCTTCCAACATGTGGAATCCAGCTGCTGCCGAAGGAATTGCATTCCACCGGCTGACTTCTCTATCCTACTCCTGTCTATGTGTATGATAACGTCTCTGCCAAATCAGAAACAACCGTTCTTGCTTTCATCATATTTCAACTGTGGGGTCGTCTATACAACTACGAAATCGCTCTTCGCCTTGGTTCAAGCTACCAGATGCAAGTCCGTGAGACTAACTCAGGCAGGATTTCTCATTGCCGCATGCGAATATACTTGTGCGCACCCCGAAACTGCGTACATATCTTTGAATACCTGTCTTGCATTGATGGACTTCCAAGGAAGCCAAACACAGTTCTCGAATACATGCGCGGTCGAGCGAGGGACCAATGGCGTTAGATCAATCAGCACGGATGAAAGTAACATGGTCAAAGCTGTAGCAACTTTAGAAAGGTAGGACTCTTCCAAGCGAACTGCTTGATCCATAGCTAAAAGACGCATAGGATGATTCTGCTTGAGGTTGATCCAAGTCGTGTAGCTCGAACAAAGTTTCTAGATTGCAGCGAACAATTTTCTCATAGGCAACAGCGACTTGCCCGGAATCCAGCCCTTGATACTTTGCCACTATCGACGTATCTGGGCCATTTCTACCTGACAGAAGCACGAGAGAAAACCGTTTGCGCCCTTGACCAAGTCTTGCATATCATACAGCTCACTACTGCTAATGAGGAACGCAAATCATTTGCTGAGATAATCTTAGAGCTTACTAACACTGACACTGAAATTCGCTATTTGCTAGGAGTGTTAATGGGCGAAAGCTACGAAAAAAATGTGGATTTATGTACTCCGGTAGCGCTCTGCATCAGGTACGTTCGATTAGAGAGTACCTTAAGCAACTGCTGTTGATAAATATTGCCAGGTCTCTATTTTTACTGCATAAACATGTAATCGACTTACTATTGACTTGTCCCAGTGAATATAGCGATCAAGTAGCCGATATCTCCAGAGCGGCACTGTCCACAGCTTGTGAAATGGTTGTCGACGCGGTTCAATTCCCTAATAACTATCAGAGTGGGATGATGCCGATATGCTGTTACTACAATCTTCGCACAGCAATCGAGTTTCTAGTGGAACAAAAGGGGACATCCGCTGAGATTGACATTTTACGACAAGCCGAGAGGGCCTATCGCAGCAAATGTTTATTTTGACTAGCGAAAATAATGATTGAAATTAACCTCGAGGCTTGCGCTGGCTACAAACAAAGAGGGCGTTTTCTTTATGTCGCACGTGACCGCCCATACCTGCTACATTATTTATTGATATATTAATGGTCCGTTTGAAAACACTTCAATATCCCAACTGCTATTCCAATTAAACTATACCTGGATTTCTAGTACGGCATTTCATTGTTTTCCAACATGTCTACGGAGCCGATTCATGTGGTAGCCTCCTTCATCCCGAAGCCAGGAAAATTATCAGAGGTACGCGAAGGACATTCTAGTCTGGATAACATAATCTGAAACGACCCTCTTCAGTTTTTTGAAGCGGTCAAACCTGTTGTTCAGCATCTCGAAAAAGAAATCCCCGGGGTTCACCATGTCTACTGTTTCCAGACAAAGACTCATGACAACAAGGATCAAATCACGTTTATTGAGAAGTAAAGTCTCCACGACTTCGTATATAACTGGAGCAGGCAAGCTAACTGTAGTTATTGCGCCATAACAAAGGTTTGCCAATGCCCAGACCCTCCAAACGCATCATGACTCTCGGTTGTTCCTGGATATGATTGCAAAGCTCGAAGATTTGATAGAGTTCTCGGATGTCAAGTCTGGCTCTTTGGTCCTCGGGTTCGAAAATCGGTGCTAGTTCACTCATTCAGTCGTATTCGGTTTCCCAACAGTTTCTCCCTGTCCGAAGATACCCATTGACTACACGACAGTTCATGAAATCAAACGGAAACGTTGCCATTCGGATATGTTAAGCACCAGGTCACAGACATACCGTCTTCTTCCGTAGACATACCCGATTTATGGCGTCGTTTACCACCTGTATGTCCCAGTAAAATGAAACTTTATATCTAGTTTCGAGTTACTCTGTTCCAATATTTTTTCCCCAGTGTCACCGCACCTGGCTCCTTAGGGTAACCCTACCCAATAAGTTCGACGGTATTGACACCAGATCTGTGTTTAATACTTTGGCAATCTGAAACCAAAGCTTGAACTACCCTATCATCATAATATGTTCACGTCGATGTATTCAAACCCTCATAGAATAGAAACGGCTGCAAGGCATGGATATCTCTGACTCCCGCGTGAAGATTCCGCGGTTCCCTACCATAGCCGTACAGTTCGTTGGCAAAGCACTCCAGGTCTTTGTAAAAGGTCTCGACGCCCTGAAAACCAGCCAATCCAGCTTGTCGCAATTTCTCCGGATTTTATGCACTTATGCGCGACCTAAGGGCATGGACTAAATCACAGTGGCGCACGGTATGTTGAATCGTGATGCTGGACTTCGAGCCAACTATACCGTCAGGTATTGGCGAAATCGACTTCAAAAACTTTCCTCCCTCGCTCTGTTGTCTTCTCTGATCGGATGGCTGTTTAGTGTATAGATAAAAAAACAGGCCTTCTGATATTTTAGTAAAGAGCACCATGATTCTTTGTGGAAGGCGAACATTCGAACAGGTTATGTGCGGCCAATATTATATCCTTTCGTCAGAGTCTGGGTGTCAGGCACAAACAAAAATCCCCGTGCATATAAGATATGTCAATCGATGCAAGTATACAGTATTTAATATTACAGAGGGCTTTATTTAATATTCCGAGCATGGTAGAACGTTGCATGAGATTGGATATGTCCATGTGCCCAGTAATGTGACTTGTAGCTTCTGCAAAGAGATGGACAAATTCTTTCGGGTTTATAGTTGATAATCAATTTAAGCTCTGCCACTAGATTAAAAATTGATGGCACGACTATTCTCAGCAGCCTTCTGTAACACTTTCCAGGCTTCCTCTAAGGAAATCTTGTTGGCTATATCCTCTCCACACCATAATCGGTATTGCTCTTGCACCTGGCGGCCCACCACCATAATGCCTTCTATCACATGCCAGTTGTATTGATCACCCATCTGGATAAGACGTGTCCTTCGTGGTTTATAGCAGAGGTCCAGTAAGACCCCCTTCTGGGTTGTGGTCTGGAGGAAATAGGTGAGTATCTCCCAGCCCTCTAGCTCTTCTGCGCTTTGGGGTTTGAAGTCTGGGACACAGCCGACGATATAAAATGGACTTAGCGCCTGAGAAACATCCCTTGCCATCGTGAGGGTATCAAGATGCACGAGCGACAGATTGGGCCCATAAGACTTGGTGTCAAGCAGTAGTGCATCCACTTCCCCCTTGTCGCGGTTCACAACGTATATCGGATTGCAATTCAAGCGTTCATGCAAGGCGTAGATAGCAGCGCGGGCCGCACCCCCAGCGCCAACGATAAGGGCTGGTTTGCCCTTACCATTGCTAGACGCCGTGGCTAAACAGGCCTCAACCCCACACCAGTCAGTATTAGAACCCAGCAACGAGCCATCGACAGCCCGGTAGACGTTGTTGCACGCCCCGATTTTGACGCAGTACTCATCCAGCCCGTCGAGATGCTCCATAATTGCGGTTTTGTAGGGCATAGTGATCACACCCCCAGCAAAGGTGGGTTCCCTGAACAGGCGGATGGCGTCCTCGACCCTTGCGCATTCCTCCACCTTAAACTTCCATCCCAAATCGAGCGAGTAGGAGACGAAATCATGCAGCGGGGGAGACAAAGAGTGACCGAGCCCGATGCCAACAAAGTATGTGAAGGTGCGAGGATCGCCGTCACGGCCTGACATGGTGGTCATTCGTACAGCGAGCTATATAATAATACATGTAGCCTATACATATGTTGTTGATTGCTAGTATGAATCTATCCCATAGCCAGTCACTCTTTCTTCCAAGCCACTGTTAATTACCAACTCTCCACGCGATTGGACTTTTGTCCCAAGCACGCGGGTAAGCTGTCACATCGCCGGCTTTTCACTTATCCGACAACCGGCACATAGCGTTACAGACCGACTAGTTTACCCCAAGTGGCTAGACCATGACAGCTCGAGACCTCCTCTCCAGTACCAAATGATATTATTTCCCTGGCCGTCGACGGTGCAATGTCCGAGTTCCAATCCACATGTCTTTATGGCCCATATCAGATCCCAATCCTAGTGCTATCCCATGGTGGCCCGAGAAGTTCAATGCACCAGATTTTGCGGTACCTACATGTTTCCATTCTTATTCATCTGTTTTCACTCTAGCACGAGTTTATAGCCCCCAAAGTCTTGGCTGCAGCTGAGGCTGCAGCCAAAATGTACAGATGTGCCTACGCTACGTGTTGATAACGTGACTGTAGGGCAAAATTCTGCCTTGTCAGCCAAGATCTGAGCAGCTTCGTTAATGGGATTTGGCGTTGGTGTTTCCTCGATGATTTTACTAGCATTCACGCCTAGGCACGTCTGTATTTCCTCATACTATTTCAAGTGTAACCTGTACTATAGTGGGCCTTTTAAGGCAGGGCGACAGCGGACTGCTACCATAGCCTTCGTTCATATGCGTAGACTCATCGGTGCCTATCTTTGCACCTCAACCTAGCCAATGCTCGAATTACATAAGAGTGTTAGGATCGAAAATACCGCATAGTTTGACTGTGGATAAAATAACTCTTCCATGATAGACAAGGCGAAGGTTGATGTGGAATAAGCGAAGACACGTGAACTAATCGGAATGGCCGGATAAATCAGCATGATACACCACCGCTGCCAGTCTTGCACAACCAAGCTACTAAATTTCTATCTTATGAGAGAACAAGCGGTCGCACGACAAAGGACACATTTGAATTGTCTTTCCTGCAAAATACAACACGGTGGAATAGCTAAACTCAGACATAACCTATGCTAGTGAATGTTATACAGCCAAGATATCTTAGCATGAAGTCGCCATGTCTGGACTATCTTGCTTGATTCGTCGGTGTATAGTCATCGCTACTTCAACCATACTACTGATGGTGTTTCTACTACAAATCGATTATTTGAAGCTTATCGAATCACTGCCTCATCAAACGCCTGCTGTAGATCCACGTTGCGATGGCCAACAACATCCGCTATCTTCGCAGGCTTTGCTGTATCCAGGCTGTAAGAACAACGACCGCCTTGGATCAATCCCATCCACCCCCGCATTGTTTAACTACACGTTACCTCTTCGAACTCGTGGACGAGATATTGTGGATGCGCGGGGTCAGCGGGTCAAGCTCGCCTCGATCAATTGGTATGGGGCTAGTGACGTGGGCTACATCCCTGCTGGATTGGACGCCCAACACCGAGACGATATTGCGAAGTTAATCCGCAGTCTGGGTTTCAACAGTGTGCGACTACCCTATGCGGATGAGATTGTGCGAGATAACCCGTGGATTCCAGCAGAGAAACTAAGCGCTAACCGAGACTTGGTGCGGCCGGATGGGAGACATTCAGAGGAAGGAGAAGGGGCACTTGCTCGCGATGTGTTTACTGCCGTGGTGCAAAGTCTCACAGATGCGGGTATTATGGTAATTGTTAACAATCATATCACGCAGGCCACCTGGTGTTGTGGCGCCAACCCTTGTGATGCGGTCTGGAATAACGACTGGTTTGGAGGATCGTTATTTTGTAGAGTGAGTCAGACAGAGCAACAGTGGATCTCCAACTGGGAGACCACAATGCATCCTTTAATATCCAACCCGGGTGTCATTGGCGTTGATCTACGTAATGAGCCCCGGGGTCTGTGGGGAACGTTGAGCTGGGACGACTGGGCTGGAGCAGCAGAAACAGCGGCTCACCGGTTACTTACTCTGAACCCCGACTGGCTCATCGTGGTTGAGGGCATCTCATCTGCCAACGACCTCTCCGGCGTGCGCACACGACCAATTGAGCTTCCTCCGGGGTATGCCGATCGTGTGGTATACTCGGCTCATGTGTACAGCTGGTCTGGCTGGGGCGCGTTAAGACCATATTCGGGACGCACATATAGTGACTTTGCGACGAGTATGCGAAAGAACTGGGCCTTCATCATCGAAGAGAACCTAGCACCTGTGTGGATTGGAGAGTTTGGAACGGCCGACCATCCCAACAGTGGAGATCGCAACTACTGGAATAATCTCATCTCGTTTCTCGGCGATATAGATGTCAGCTGGGGCTATTGGGCGCTAAATCCTCGAAAGCCAGCCGGTTGGGAATGGGAAGGATACGGTCTGGTAGGCGATGGATGGGATGAAGACTCGGTCCGGCGGGACTATCGGTTGAATGACTTGTACCATCTTGGTTTGAGGCCCGAGCTGGCAAGCTGAGATACCACGGCGCTGAGACAACCAGATGGAGGCCCATCTCTCTGCTCATTCGTTTTCCCCCCCCAACGGCCTCTTGACGCAAGAGTCCGCAGAGGCCAGGCAAATGGTTCAAACGAACAACCACGCGTTGAGGCTCGAATGTTCTGGTGCCTATGGAGAGAAGCGGAGTCGGCATGGAAGAGTGAGGTCTTTGTTTACCATGAGGAGCAGGAGCAGGGTTGATATTCGCAACTGGTTGCTGCGAGGCAATCAAAAGATGTTTGTATATGTTTGCCTCTCTACAGCCGGCCAATCACGACGTCCCATCCGCACCACGCGCCCCTAGGCACACGTGATCACCACTGTGCCCTACTAACTGCATTGAGTGCTTCTCCAACTATTCATTATTGTCTTTATGCTTAGGGCTAGTATTAGGGTCAGGGCTAGGTTCTGCGCATCTGGTGAGGTTTCCATGAATATCACAATGTACAAGAATCTGTCCTGTAATTGTGCTACTCTAGAAGGGGCGGCGTCAGTATTTCTATGTATAATGTCTATTGTCTAGATAGAGTGTATGCAATAGTAGACTCGATTATAGACTTTCCCTTCAAAATCTCTTCAATCTGCACCATCCAAAGATATCGCCCGCTCTCTATCCATTTGATTTCGAGCGCGAATATAGGGGTCAAGTTTCCAGTGACTTTGCCGAAACTGTCTAATTAGATCTTGTCGCCGCTCCACCACTTCAGGTGCTTTAGTGTCATCTACTTCGCCATAAGCAACACTGGTTAGTCTAATCCACTCTACGGTCTTCAAGATAAAATCTAGGGCAATCGTCATTCTCTCACTCATGAGCTCATCCCTGGTCGAAGTATCATTCATCAGGTTGTTCTCGCTAGGGGCTGGCTCAATGTAACGGTACGTCCATTCGTCAGTGCCGCCAAGTTCTTTGCAAATGTTCTCGGGGGCGATGAACTTTGAAAGTTCATCTAGATTTTTGGTGAAATGCACTTTCGAAGCGACAACAGGGTCCATCAATGGACGGATGAGTTTCCACACTCCTATGTAAAAAATTCTGTTGAGCCAAGAGTGATGTGGTATAGAATGGAAAAATATCATCCCACCTACCGGAGAAGATCCACGGTGCATTGTGAATTAGCAAACGTCCCAGGCATTCTGGATAGTTGCTTTCGAAGCACTGGATAATAAATTTGACAGGCGGGAATTCCTAAAGAGAAATCGTGCTTAGTAAAACGTCCAATATATAAATGTTCGTGGTATTTACCATATTCGAAAGAGTGAACCCAGTCATATCAAACAATATGGTCTATACAGCTGTTAGCTACTGGTATATTTTAATTGTACCAAACGAACTAGACTTACACCTGTTTCCACAGGTGGCTCCAGTAACAACCGTGTCATTTCAATAATATGAAGAATATACCGTTCTAATGCTTCTTCACTTTGTGCCCCTGGCTTATGTATGCGTACCGTAACAACGATTATAGGACGACCATCTCTATCAGCACCATGTAGATATGATTTACCCATTCTCAATTGAGACAGAAAATCCTTCCCTTTCTTTTCTTCTGCCTTGTCTTTCTCATTTTGACTTTCTTTCAGGGCATGTAGTTCACCATTTGGCATGATGTCTTCATCGACATTACTTTCAACACGCCAGATATAGTTGGACAACATCATCGAAAAGGCCTTGTGGACATCCCACTTGCGTGCACGTAGAAATCGGAGCAAGACTGCATCAGGACTATCTTGCTTCACCATGTTTAGCAACGACCAAGCCATTTCTCGTGGCGTCATGCTAGACAATATTCGTTCCATTGATTTCACTTGCAACTCATTGAGATCTGTCTGTCGCAGCCGGCTAATCAAGGATGATATATTTTCTTTAGAAACTTTTTGGTTTGATATAGTCTGTACCTTTTGACCGTTCGCTTTCTGTCCATTTATTCCGGAACCCGATTCTAGAGCTCCGTTAGGGTTGCCTTCAGCCTCTGAGGGTCGTGTGGTTTTCCCGTCACCATCTTGCATTGTAGATCCATTTTTATTGGTGGCAGATTGGAATGCTGCTATTACTGCAGTTGGCGTGGGATCTCGAATTTCATGCAGAATTTTGAAGACAGCGGCAGGTGAGGTTTTCTCCGGTGGTAAATCGACCCCATAGATAGAAGACAGGAAAGTCAGTGTAGGCGAGAGGAGAAACCCCCAAAGCTCTCGTAGCTTCTCCTCCTGCTCTTCCGATAGATCATCTACATATCCTGACATTTTTTTTTCAAAATAATATCTTTGGTTGGGATACGTTAGGTACGTGGTGAAATGAAATTCGAGAACGTCAAAATTTAATCTCAAAACGGAACCATCTCTCTCATGGGTGCGAAAGCTAATTTAAAACTAAATATTCCTGTCGATTGGGACACGTTCGTCTACTTCTCATCGTAAGCGAACAAACTAATACCCCGACCTCGGTTCATTGCCGGGGTGGAGAAAGCATATGAAAAATCAACCCCGGATTGCATACCCCGCATTGAGTTGAACCTTTTCCCCTGAAACCATCTGCCGTTAGGGCAGACCCAAACCACATGAACAAAAAGATCAAACAGTCTATAGTCTACATGAGTAGATCACGCCCTAGAAGAACCTTATAAGTGTTATTCTCTTGCAGATAAAAACAGTCACTTTGAATGTAGTTGTTTTCTTTTCTCCCCTGGATAGGTTAAGGAAATATAGAAAGTCGTTCTCTGGCCACGTTACTTTCTATTAAGTACCGAAGTTTGGGAATTAGACAAATCTTAAAAGACTATGGAAATAAACGCCCAGCCTTGTTATCTCTTTCCAGTAAATTCAAAACTCTTCGACAGCCACAGATTTTAGGTGTCAATCCCTTACCTTCTTTTTAGGCAATATTTAATGGATATCAAAATATGAATCAATCACAAATGATTCATCCATCTGGTGAGACTCGATAGAGAATCAAAAATCAGCGAAGTTTATAAAAACATTGTCAATAGTTGCCAGCGAAAACTCCATTACAACTAAGGCCATTGAAGATAGGCTGATAGATATAGACTAGAACATTAGCGAGAATATACTTCCTTCTCTATTTTCCGGGTACAAAGAACATCATTAAGTACAGAACTCGGTAATCCAGCAGTCAAGGTAATATTACGATTATTCATGTTGGCATTCTATTAAAATATTCTTTATGAATCGTTGGAAAATCAGTAGAAGTGCGTGCCCATTCCCTTGAACAAATCTAAGGAAACTGATGTTCAATATCACTTCTCGGTGCCTTTTCGGACGGTATGCCATATGATGAGACTATTTCACTGTTCTATTTTAACATACACTTACTAGACCGATCGATCTTTCATGTTCCTTTAAAACCATCAATGACTTAATTATATGTCAATCGATACTTAAAGGTTTTCTTCCTCTATTAGAAATGCTTCAATTCCAGGAAGCTCTTAATATTCAACAAACTACCTTTTTAGACAATGTTGTACGTCATTCCCATGCTACTGCTTCTAGAACCTTGATATGTTGTGTACCTAACCTATGCGGTTGTCGACTGTAGAAGCCAACCACCATAGGTCTTACTGAAACGGCACACCTCGTGTACTCATTGAAGAGACATTGAAATAGTAACACATAATTGGCAACCGAATATTGACAGTATAGCTACGTTTCGCTTAATAGAATGGCTGCTATCAGAGCATGTCACACCCTAAAGGGCTTTGCTTCCTATCCTTTACAGTTTTGAATTCAAAAAGTACCACTAAAGGGGATCATTGTGATTTGATACAATCTGTATATTGCCCTACATCAAAAGAGGCTTATGAACCATACTTAAATATGGGACCAAATGAGGTGTAAGAAAGCTTTTACCTGAAGCGCCTCCAAAAATATGGGGCCTAAATGTCATCATAATAAGGCTCTACAAAGTTTAATTGGAGAGAATAGTGGGTGAAGATCAAGTGTTCATTACAGGGGTGGCAATAGAGGTAATAAACTCTTCGTACTCAAAACACAAAAACATTGTTTAGTGGTTTTCAGCTAGTTATTGGCGCGCAACTGGCTTTCTGGGCAGAAATAATGCCCAGTTGATTTGACAAACCATTTAATGCAGGCCCGATCCCTGTAATATTCTCCTTATCAAACAATCTAAAGTGATAATTGGGTCTGTTAAAGATAGCGGGCCTATTGATCGCATTAATTAAAATCTAGAGTCACATGGAAAACTCAAAATAATTGTATATTTGGAAAATATTTCGGCAGGCAGAGTATATTAACGACAACTAAGACGGTCCAAAACAATTGCTACTAAAATACACAAGATGGGACCCTGGATGGAGTATATAGGCACAGTCAGAACTACATCGACTTCGTCATCTTTCACCACCAAATCTGGGACTAGAAGTCATCTGACTATTCAACCCATATTAGAGCCGTTATCTCTAATAGCCAATGGAGTAGTTATAAATTACATAGTACTGTATGATAATCTACAGATTTCTACACAATTTCTATATTAAGGAGCAAACGTGCTGAATAAGACAGTGAATGAGAAATGTAGACCCTATAGTGTTATGAGCGTGTTCATCAATCTAACCATCATGAACAATCTTAAATACTTAAAGATAAATTATCCTATAATTGACGTGTGAAGCATGCTTCGATTGTTATACCGTAAGAAGTAGTATCGAACCAACATTCTAGTTTAGATCTGTGCCTCCATTAAGATACTAGCATCAAATTGGATATTTACCAACGTTTAACAGAATGTCAATTCTCTAAAGAATGCTCGAGGTCTCCCTCTTAGTACCTTTGATCATAACATTCAGTACCTTACCACTATACATGTATGCAACCTTTGAACATTCATGCCATAACAGATATTTGCGAATATCACTACATATACCTACACCACTCCGCTTCTTAGTAAATAAAACCACTTTATTTTTTCAGACTGAATAAAACAAATTTTAAACATGCTCTATGGTATACAGATACTAGAAATGCTCAACCTGATCAGTTGATGGCGACTCCGCATACAAATTTTATATAAACGACAAAGTATCAATTTCATCAGCTTTCCTTGATGTCTCGACTAGAAGAATAAAAATAAAACGAAAAAGAAGCCATACGCGAATATGCAGGAGTGTATTATTATTCTAACGTGTTTTTAGAGGATAAAATTGGACCTTTTTACTCCTTAATAGAGATGCCAGCGACCTCGGAGTGACCCTTTCCGTTACACATACTTATATCAATCGAGATTTAAATATGCTCATGCACATGCGATATATGTAAATGATTTCTCATTACTATTACGAGCTCAATCTATATAAAGGTCATTTAGAACTAGTTCCTAACGATAGACGACGAAAGAAGTCAATACTGTCTATGCATGACGAATAGAATACATATAGCAATAGACGTAATCATGAAAAGACGAATATAATAGAACCAATGGGTATCTTTCGTAGAAGAGCCTTTCAAAGTTGCAAATCTAACACTGTCAATTCCAGGTTTAATACAAGCATGAATCCAACTAAAATTCACATATATGATGGTCATGCAGGTCTTAAATTGTATAATTTCACTCGGTATTTCCTATAACTTGCCATATCCCCGCCTATCCGAAAATTATTTAAGCCAAAGACATCGGAAAAAAAGTTCAACGAACAAATCCTGATCAGTAACTAGGAGAAACAATATTTAAGTAATTAGACTGATAATGAAAGGCTTATTCCCATTCCAAATTTATAATACCACAATACATCCACTCTCTGATATGTTCAGTAACCTGAGAATAGCACATATTTAACATGTTCGATAAAATATAAGTCAAACCATAAAGTTCTTTCTAGTTTTGCCAGTGCTAGAAAGCCAAGTCTCGTGCGAACTTTCCACCTTATCAGGTCCTATAAATGCAAAGGCGAATTTCAGCAGAGAATTATATAATGCCATATACAATTCGAATGCTTCGGGTATTGCCGAATCCTCTTTTGCTCACTTCAAATGCCCAAAACTTTGTATCGCACGACATCCCTTTGCCATTGATTCTCCACGCAGAATATTTCCGATTTGTTAACACCCAAACAAGTGCAAAATAGAAAATACTTTTTCCACATGCGCATTTCCCCGATCAGTCGGAAGTAGTCGAAGCTTAAACAACTCATAGATTACGTGGCTACTGGCTGCTATGGTAAAGGTAAAAGGAACAAAGTGGGGGGCAAAATGGCCTAGTCCACGTGTCAGAGTCCAGATGGTGGGGTTTGCTATTTCATAGTATATATGAATGACATTGAAATTCGGCTGAGTTCCATCCACAGAAGAAGGAGAATTTTCTTGGGAGTTACACGATGACAGTGATTTGCATTCTCTAAAAAGGAGAGCACTGGATATTACAGTATGCTAATTGTCCGCAAGTCATCGACAACTCAATTTTTGCTCCATTTTTCTGTACCAGGCGTTTCACTGCGCCACTGGCGCTAATTAGGCGCACTGTTCGCATGAAAACGCAGGAATAGATAGCCATCTAGAAAGCCGGTGCAGGTTGTTAGAATCAAGGAGTACCATGAAACTATGACCCTTGTAAGAAGTAAAAAGGGATAATCACACAGACACGATTCCGTGTGTATCTGTTATCAATTGTCCGAAAGTGAGTTACTGACAGGGCCTTTTCCTGAACCAATGCGGAGCACTGCGTCGCATCTATATACGACCTTACGTACTCGATCGTAATTAGGTACTATCGGTGATCTGCTTTTTTTTGGCCATGGCCCACCCAGAGTATCGGCAGGTTATGTAACGACAGGCAGATGGGGCGAACACACCTTACCCAGAAGCTTGAAACGGCACTGGTAAAACCGGCCGGCTGGGCGCGTCAGCGTGTGATGTTATCTCCATTCTGGCTGCTCCCGCCCCAGCCAAATTACGATTCAGGTGGAAATTGGGGCGTCAGTGGTGACAATCACCACCCTGCAGGGATTAGGGATCGCCATTACTCAGTCAGTAGCGTTAGTAGTGCTCCTAACTCCAAGTCGAAGCCACTCCGGCTAGGTTCTTTTTAGAGGTGCTTTACCTGGCCGAGTCCTAAAAGTATTAATCGTATCACCTCTCTCCTGCATTCAGTTTCGCTTCCGTCAACTCTCTCAGATTCGAGCTCTCCCAACCGGTTATCCTTGACCTCGGCTGTGGGGTTCCTCTCTAATTCAGTTTTAATAAATATATTATTGAAGTCATTCGTTAGCATCATAGCTTTGATTTTATCGACGCTCGCTTTGGACCTAAACATTGAACTCTTGAGTTGAGGCGCTTCTCTTTTCCACCGACTCCTGACCTCGCAATGGCTCTAATACGTTCAAATGCATTGCCACCAAAGCCATGGACCGATATTTTCACAGATGACACCTGCATCGATCGACGAAAGTCTCAGCGAACAGTACCCATGAAGGTGCTGGCCCTTGGCGTAGGTAGAACGGGAACTGCATGTGGGCAACAGATTGACCATAGTAACGCGAAAAGTCTTGCTAATGTGATCTAAAAGCGTTACGTGTTGCTCTTGAACGGCTAGGATACCTTAGGTGTTACCATATGATGTGTGCCAGCGTCGAAAATCCCCCAGACTGCTTGATGTGGCACGATGCACTTGCTGCCAAGTATGATGGAGTGGGAGAATTTGGCCGTGAACAATGGGACCAACTTTTGGGTGACTGTCAAGTATGAGGATTTTCTGACTTACTGTGCCATGAGGGCTAATATTCGGTGTAGGCCGTGTGCGACTGGCCTGCCTGTGCCTTTGCAAAAGAACTCATCGAAGCTTATCCCAATGCTAAAGTGATTCTGACCACACGCGACGTCGATTCGTGGCACGCGTATGTGATTTCTATATTTTCATCATTGACTAGCTGCATGAAAATCAAACCCCTGACGTTTGAATTCTAGGTCGGTTATGAAAACTGTTCACTGGCGCGCTACAGATCCCGAGCATCGCCTGGTGTCTCACTTCAGTTGGGCTGCCAGCATGTATTATCCCATGCTGAACAAATTCTTCGCCACTTTCTTTCGTGGCGACTTCCCCAACCAGGGCAAGCAGGTCTATTTGGATCACGTGGATGAAGTACGGCACTTGGTGCCCCCTGAGCGGCTTTTGGAATACAAAATCAGTGACGGCTGGGGCCCGCTTTGTGAATTCTTAGGTGAGGAGGTGCCAGATGCGCAATTTCCTTGCGGAAATGATATGGCACATTTCAAGAAGCGATGCAGCACTCGTAATCGCCGACAGATGATGAATGCTGCTTTGAAGGCATGTACAGTTGGAGGTGCAGTTTTATTGACCGGGCTGGCCGCAACCATGGCCTTTGGGCGATTCTCTACACGTTGAATGAAGATGGACGGTTGTTGCTTTCTCGATTTTGTCCAAGGACGTGCGCTGGCGCCATTGTTCTGGACATCTTTCTACTTGACCCTCACGAGAGCTCGTAATCAAACTATAGCTGTTCTTGAATATTGTCTATGGTTAATTCTCCTATTAGTATCATTCGATCATGTGTATAAAACTACAATACGAAACTTGCGTGCAATAGATAACATACAATAGATTTATATACATTATTTACATACAATACTCCGTAGATTTACATCAATAGATCCTGGAAGAGCCAATGATCGCCCTGTGGGAATCGCCAAGGCCGCGGAACTCTTGGCATGCAATGTCAATGCGGGCCGGCCGCCAATCGGGGCCCGCAGCCTGCGCAATGGCCCCCATACGCCGCGTCTGCCACCAAACAATATATTATAATGCTCCGTGATTAGTAGGAAGGCTAGTATCAGCTTCCATAAAGCTGCCCTAGCAATCCTGACCTGTTGACATTTCCAACTCGTCGCTAGCAATATGCATCTACGCCGTGAACATGCATCAGTTGGGTGCGGCTGTTTGTGTCCAACCATTCCGTCAATTCTTACTCTTATTCTTATTGTTATTGTATTGTTATTGTTACTGTTATTTTAATTGTTATGATTATAAGAGGAGAACTCGGCGACCCGGATGTCGGATGCTTATCTCCCCACCGACAACCGCCGTCCAAAGATGCAAATGTTCTTCCCTAGTGGACCTCGGCTGCCGACATCCACATCTCTTGCGTGGACTCGGGGCTTGGCATGACGCGGCGTTGCTAGTAGATGGAATGATTGGTACGCTCTTGGCGAACTAAGGACCAAGTTACAACGACGGGGTAAGCATTGCATTGAGCCTGACTCTTGAGCATCGCCCAGGGATGATGGATAATCCGATCAGTGCTGTCTAGCAGGAGTTGTATGTAACCATCCTTCCAGAGACAGCAGCAGTTTATGGTGTTGAATAATGCCAGCTATCCACCAAACCCTTGTTAACAAAGTAACGATGTCCCATGTCATTATCTTGCCCGAAGTCGTATTTTTAATAGTGGCAATCTGGCATCAACCACAGCGTGAATCGCCGCCCCACATGTACAGCCTCGCTATTTCTTCCGTGTTATCTCCCCTGGCCATGCATCTGTGCAAGGACGGTAAAGATACCCCGTACTCCGTAATACCATTTTTAAACGTGGTTGCCACACGTCCTTCATGGACATTTGCGGTGTCGCCTTCCTCGAGACCTGAGTGATCGACAGGATGGAATTTCAATAATGGGTTTCGCTTTTCATTAATCTAATACGGATAGCAATAGTACCACCGTACAATCCACTTAGTGTACTCTTCAGTGTCTTGCGCGGTGCGTCCCCGCTCGCTCCCTGGGATGGATGATGGCTAACTTTAGCTACTCCGTACGGTGTGGTGCTTCCATACCGTACCACTCCTAGCACCATTGGGCATGTGCTTCAAAGCCTAAGCCTTGAAACCACATTCCGTAGCCGCGTAGCCTGAAATAGATAATGGGACTAGAAAGGTCCTTGGGGGCCAGCTGTTGCATCCCCACTTGCTTCTGGTTGTTAGACTCGTTTCATCCTTGCTACTTAGCGGCTGGATTGTCTACTTTGCAGCGAGAATAATAATCTCGAGAACAACGCCCCTCATTGCCACACCGATCAACTAAGGCAATTTATACATATACTTATTGATTATCAAATGACCTTCATTCTATTCCTTGTCTTTCGTTGAATGTCTTTCTGAGGGCAGCTACCTTGTTTCTCCCTTGTTTTTGATGATATAGTCGATAGTGAATTTGCGACAAGCCATGATCATCCAAGCATTCCCTTCTTTTACGTTTTCATCCTCGATTTTCTTGTTATGTTTGTTCCAATTTATTTTTCACGGCGTGGCCGGGGTTCCAACCAGGACGTTTAAATCGGTGAGTGATGCAATGAAAGATGGTTGTTTCCAAAGTCACATTATTAAATGTACTTGGTATATGCAGAGGCCGGACCTTAACCCACCTATATTTGTCGTTCAACATAGCACCCCAACTGAACTGAGCCCCGGATATTTTTTCGTTACTCCTTCTGACGGCGAAAACCCTGGTCCTCATATTTTTGATAACTATGGAGTGAGTGCTCTCTATCGGGGTCCCAGTTATCGTTCTATAAGTTGACTAGGAATAGAATCTCGTTTGGACTGGTTGGGGCAATTCGGGACCAGGTATTTCGCACGGGATGCACGTATGCCCTCACGAAGGCAAGGATCATTTGTGCTTTTTCCAAGGTGCCCAAGCAAAAGGATATGCCCGTGGACATGGCCTTATTCTCGATAACCACTACCGTATCGTACGATCTGTCCAACCTGGCGGTGGGATGTCATCAAGCGATATGCATGAATTCAAACCAATTGGCGATGGCAAAACTGCGCTGATGACGGTCTACCAGCAGCGCCAATTTGATATGAGTACCTGGAATATCAAAGCCGGCATGGGCTGGGTAATGGAAAGCATATTCCAGGAGGTTGATGTTGAGACGAGTGAAGAGCTATTTGAATGGAGGTCTCTCGATCATGTTGACCCATCAGCCACTTACACATGGCCAGACCACACAGACACCTCTGGAAATGGTTTGGAAGCACATTCGTCGTGGGACTACTTTCATATAAACTCCATCGACAAGAATGCGGACGGTGATTACTTGATCTCCTCTCGCCATACTTGCGCTGTCTACAAGGTCTCTGGCAAGGATGGATCGGTCATTTGGCGGCTACACGGAGCTAATCCCTCGTTTCGAAATATAAACTTTAGTTTTTCACAACAACATGATGCCCGATGGTTGTCAGAGAATTCGACGCATACATTGCTATCGCTTTACAACAATGGATACAATGGCTTTAACCAAACCCATGTGTACTCGTCTAGTATGGTTATCCTGATCGATCATCGAGATATGACTGCGACGATGATTAAAGAATATGCCCCTTACGCCAACAATGTGATTGCTTCAAGTCAAGGGAACACACAGGTGCTTAAAAACAAGCACGTTGTCACCGGCTGGGGGAATACTGGATATGTGTCCGAACATAATGAAAATGGAGATTTAATATTCTGGGCCTTGATAGGAAACGGGGAGACGATGAACTATAGGGCCCAGAAATTCGAATGGGAGGGCTATCCGAGTGATAGTCCCGCAATGTGGACATATTCGAAGTCCGATAACGATGAGTCACCAATGACATTCTACATTAGTTGGAACGGAGCTACTCAAATCAAAACCTGGCGCTTTTACGGTGCACAGAATAGAACTGGACCTTACACCCTACTGTCTGAAGTGTCTAAAAGAGGATTCGAGACTTCATATACCCACGGTGCCTTTTATCCCTGGACCTATGCTGAGGCCGTTGATGAGAAGGGAAACGTCTTGGGGTTATCGTCTGATAAGTTCACCTTTGTTCCCTCTCCTGGTCTTCGTGACTTTTGCACGGATCAACTGTGTGAAAATACCAATCAATATGGGCTACCTGGTGAGGAGGGCGCTCAACCAATTGTTCCTCCAATGGGTATCAAAACAGTCCCTTGGGCTCTAGACGAGGATGTAGTTAACAGGACAATTCTGTCACCTGGACATCAGACACTTGGCAACAAACAGACTGGCTACAAATTCACACGCGGTACGTATATGCCCCGGAGTCTAGCATAACCTTTACACGCTTTGCCCAGTTGCAATATCTGACTTACTCCTTAGGCCAACTTGCTTGGGGAATTGCCCTACTTGGAGTGGTAATAGCGATTGTTACTGTTCTTAACTGGATATACTTTCGCCGACCCCATCGCCCACAAGAAAAGTTCAACCGTCTGAAAGAGCGAAATTCCACAGAGGAGCTAAACAATCTCCATGTAAAGCCTCAATTCTCATCTTTACCTTCATCGTGGTGGAACCCCCGACGATGGATGCGTAACGAGGAGGTGTCGCACAAGTACTCTTCATTGTCTGGGCAAGATCAGCAAGATGACATCGAGAAATGAAGTAAGAGCGTTTACGCATTTAAAAAAACCCGATGGTGGTGTACGATAGAATCAACTTAAAGAGCATTTAATGACTATGTAAATATCAATTGATAAGGCTTGACATGAAAGCTTAATTGAGCAACGAATTGCCAGGGCCTGGCTCTTCATTGTTTGACCATAATAAATTATGTAGTTTCGTAAGGTCGTGGCTGCTTTTATGATTTGGATAGGTACATGTGTCATTTAAGACATTACTCATTACGAATACAGAAAAGGAAAATGATGCAAAAGACAAACTGGAACTTCTAAAATATATTACCGCTGTAAAGTATGTTACTATAAATGAAAAATACGCCAAGACCTCCGGCGTCCAGTGCTAAGTCCTTAGCTGACACAATGGAAACTAAACTAGGAGAGACCAACGTGACTATAAACGTGGCTTGCCGCGTCATGACATGATGGTTGAAGGCGAATGCTGTCTGTCTAGCCGCTATAATCTTCTACTCATGAGTTTTGTCGTGTCACCCGGAGGGGCAGACTGTCACATCACATACGGATTCGGTCCCAACTTAGGGCGTGGCCAGTATAATACATTGATCATTGAGTATCGTACACTTCCCTGCGTGATAGCCAAAACTCCCAGCAGCATACACATCAATTGTGGATCTGCACCGCCACCGATTACTATTGATCGGGCGGAATAAATATTTCCTAGTACCATTTTTTTCTAAAATAGTATTAATGGTTACCTGGCTTGTTTAAATACTCCTCTCAACCTTTTCTATCGCCGACGACGACGAGGAAGGAAAAGGAAAAAGGGAAAGAAAGATCAAGTCAATAACAAAGGTCTTGTTCTAGCCATATTATCGTTGACGCAACTCCCATGGAGTGGCAGAGCCATGCGCGCCGGCGCTCTCAACCTGTGCATAATGAAGCAGTGGAACGACAATACCAGGAACTACAACGGAGATGTGAAACAGAGCCTGCAAAACCCCTACCTGTCACATGGATGTCACTGCCTCGTAAAGGCCAGCTTTTGGTATTGTGCCTTTGTCGTGTGTTTGATTTTCTGCAAATTGCTTCGCTCCAAGCCTATATGTTCTATCAGCTGAAGTCATTTGACGAAAGCCTCTCCGATTCCGAAATCTCGACTCAAGCAGGCATTCTTCAGGGCGCGTTCACAGCTGCTCAATTCGCTACAGCCATTCCTTGGGGTAGAGCTGCCGATGCTAAATGGGGCGGTCGGAGATTTGTCCTACTGATTGGTCTGCTAGGAACAGCTGTGTCATGTTTAGGTGTTGCTTTCTCGACTTCATTCATGCAAGCCGTGATTTGGCGCTCTTTTGGAGGTGCGATCAATGGGACTGTGGGGATTATCCGTACCATGATCGCAGAGAATGTCAAGGAAAAGAAATACCATTCTCGTGCTTTCCTAATATTGCCAATCGGTTTCAACATTGCTGCTTTGTTTGGACCAGGCAAGTTTGAACGAGCTCCTTCTTATTCTTGCCACGCTTCTAATCTAGCTTCGAGTTAAACAGTAATGGGTGGTATGCTATCAGACCCTGTGAAAAGTTACCCCAGGCTGTTCGGCCCAAATTCTTTATTTGGGGGAGAGTCTAGTGTTCAGTGGTTAATCAAATATCCCTATGCCCTGCCTATGCTTGCGAATTTCTTTTTCATGTCAGGGTGCGCTTTGCTAGTAGCAATTGGACTTGAAGAGGTATAGGATTTTCTCGTCCCTTGAATGTCCATCTCGAGTAATATTTACTAATTTTTTGTCAATCTAGACACTGGAATCCTGCAAAGGTGAGCCAGGGCTCACTTTCTATATACTCAGGCTTCTTTACCGTGTACTTGGAGTTGTTAGTTCATCTACTCCATCTCGTTACTCTCATATCTCTATCCATCATGATGAAGACGGGCCTCTTCTTGACCCAAGAATAGAGGACCATGACATAGAAGAGAGGGTCAAGAAATCGAGGTCTCCCATAAGCAGGCTACCTTTCCACAGAATCTGGACAAAGAATGTGCTATTCACGCTAGTGGCACAAGCCTTTTTTGACTTCCAAATGGGGTGGGTAAAACCAAAAAGATTATAGCCGAGACAGAAGGCTAATATGCATGCAGCGCCTTTAATAACATATGGTTACTTTTTCTCTCAACACCTCGTTATGATGCAGATAACCCGACTAGTCCTACTCGGAAGCTTCCATTTCTTTTTACCGGCGGTTTGGGAATGCCACCGCAGAGTGTCGGATTTGCTACGTCTATCCTTGGTATCATTGGCATGGCGCTGCAGTTCACTATCTATCCTTCCATAAACGGTCACCTAGGAACTTCCAGAAGCTATCAATATTTTCTTTCGTTATTTCCGATAGCCTACGCTTTTGCACCGTACATCTCTTTAGCACCGTCGTCAACTGCCCCTCCGGCCCAGGCCAGTGGTCCTTGGGTTTGGTTCTCCATCATAATTGTCCTCTTTCTACAGGTTACTGCCCGTACATTTACCCTCCCAACGTCTATAATTCTACTCAACAATTGCTCCCCTCATCCTTCCGTTCTAGGTACCATACACGGTATCGGCCAATCGGTCTCTTCAGCATTTCGAACAATAGGTCCTATATTCTCCGGTGCTTGGTATGGATATGGTCTTGACGTTGGTATCGTGGGGTTTGCCTGGTGGATCGTTGCATTAGTCTCTGTCTTCGGGTGCTTAGCATCAGTATTCGTCTATGAAGGGTCGGGACACGAAATACTTCTTCCTGGTGAGGATGAGGTTGAACTCAAGTGATAGTAATAGCTATAAAGAACTTTCGACATGTTAGTATTAAGAAATAGTCTTTCGGTTTTATTAATAGAATTAAGTAGCTAGGTTAAAACATCATCTCTAATTTATTTTGCTTTTAGCTGTATATATGTAAACAATTAGAGAGCCACTATAGACCTGCAAGCACAAGTATATGGATTGGATCACTGGACACACCTGTCTAACTAAGATATGAGCATGAGAAATTCGACATGATGGAGTTGTGAATGCATGAATGTTTCAGTTTTCATCATTGTTGGAGTTTCTTTTTCCTTTCCACCGGTATTGACAAGGCCCACTACCCCTTAGATCTACAATTTCGGAATCAAATACAGTCAGCAACCATTTTCTCACATAAGTAGAACTTGTGCATCAAAGCGACCATGCAAAATATATGACTTAGACTATTCTATCTATTCCTTTATGGGTCCCTCCCTCCCTTTCATTCTGTTATAATTCGCCTTTTTACCTACAGAGAACTCTTCGATATCCAATTCAGTGCGATTCAATCAGCTATACCAAGTAGATAATGTAACAACTTTTTCCTTGGGACGCATTGAGTTAAGTCTTCATGTTATTTAAATAACGAGAAAAAGACTGGTAAAGCCGACAAGCTGCTAAAAGTAGACATGACTGATGATACTTGATTTTAACATATCGCCTTAACCGATGCTGTACTCCCCTTTGGCTGCTTTTTGGTATCAGACGCCACAATCTGTCTCATTCAGCATATCAGCACTTCTTGGAATCCAGAGACTTGTCCAATATATTTTCCCATGGTCATCAATAGAAAAATGGGGATCAAGTCTAGCTCACTACCCAAAAATGGAGAACATGAGAAATGCACATTGGTTTTCTATGCTGTTACACAATACCACGACGTAGAATGCTTACGTCATGCCAAACTATTGTCTAATGAAGTTAATAAGTTGTGCAGTCTTAGAGCCTTGAGTGCGGTATAACTCAATACCATATGTGTACCAAGTTGTTGTAATTATATGAAACCCGAGACAAGCGATTCTCATCCCAAAGAGTGGGACAAATCAGAAAACGCGACATTGGAAAGTGAATCCGTAAGCAGCCCCTGCCAAAATTCCCTTCAGTCTAATTTCAGCAGGTGCAGTTTAAGTAACAAACTTTTCAGGCGCGTGTTGGACTATGGCGTCAATCACAATACCCACAGTTATTTCCCCGAGAATGCCCCCCATGGATAGAGCAGCGCCATATGCAAGGCCAACATCAAGTAGCTCTTGTGGAATTCCTCCGAGAAAATGCTAGCAACAGTGACACCATGGAGTATCGAAGCAAACCCATACTGCGCAGTCTAATTGAATACAGGGGAGATAACCGATGTATACTAGGCAATTTTAGTGGATGGGACGAAGAATTGGTTCCAGAGTAAATACAACACTTGGAATTTAGATTGGAATCTTAATCGAGAGGTATAATGCCGCGGAATGAGCTTCATATCACGTCTTCATTCTGTGTGGCTTTGACTTGCGGAACCGCGAACATAGAGAGTTTCGAGGAGATAAGGTATGATAACAAGAAGAATAATACCATCAAGGATGGCCGCAAATTTGAAAGTCCATTTCTAAAAGAGGACTGACCAATAATCCGCTTTAAAATTGGCGTATGCGCCCCTAGGGTTAAAATGACAGTGAGGAGGCCCATTGCGTGTCCTCTTTTGGGGTAGAAAATAGTTCACCACCGCAGGCTGAGTGACCATTGAAAACGCGTACGACGATTAATTGCTTAAAATTTGCAGAATACACAGATCCCAAAGCAGACTCAAACCCGATAGTATGAGTGAGAAAATTTCATATAGATTTTTCAGAGAGATCCAGAGAAATGGGCCCGTTTCAACGGCTGCAAATAACGACGGTGGCTTGTTGAGATACGTCAACTGCATCGATGCAAAGGTCTTTGGCCATAGGCTTACAATCTGAGCTTATCATAGGCGTGTTAAATATTATGGGCAAGCAAAGACAGATTTGAATCAATGTGGTTATATGGCAATGCTCAGCCTTTGTCGTATGAAATGTTAACAATCTCTGACCTTGAACCAGAAGTGAAAGCTAAATGGGTCATTCAGGTGGTCTGATGCTTATGTTAATAAAGCATCTTGGTTTTGCCTAGCTGTTGGGTGAATTTCCATCATCTTGTCAGCCGGGACTCTTTGCACACAAAGACCGCTGTAGCTCTTCTCTCGCTTCACAGTTCGGCTCTAGCAGACCAAGTTTAGTAGAAGCGAAATGAAAACCAAACCCACAATTCAGCCGTAGAAGAAGCTGTCTCTGATTCGAAACATTCATGTATTGGGTTAAGGAATCTTATAACCGCTTTATTAACCGTTGGCCACATATACCACTACCCCAAGAAAGGTTTACCTTTATGGATAGGGCTGTCTATTATAAAGGGGTTTAAGGAATATACATTCCTATAATCTCTGGATAATATCTTGATGAGATATGGATGGTTTTTCTATAGGTACATGGGGAATCTAGGGGCCTATGATAAAGACTAAGGTACCAAAGAATACCTATCTATCAACGGGATGGTTTCAGAATGGTGGAACCCTACAGACCATGACGGTTAGTGGTAATATAGAGTGTATTTTTATGCTGGCATTATCCTTACGATTGCCTTCTCAACTCTACCACAATCTCCCACCATCGGCATTATCGTCATTAGCAAGCTTGTTAACACTAACAATTTTTGACCTATAGACTTTTTAATTTATCGATTCAAACCGGAATTTATAAAACATTGGTTATTATAGACGACTAAGGATATAGGTATATTAATATTTATCAACTTATACTAACTAATACTATATACCAATGTAACCTCGACATTGAAGGACTTGCTAGGGTATAAAGTTTGATGTTATGTACATAGGTACGTATGTAGGGTAGCGACCTCAGATGCTTCCAATCTCATCTTTTCTGAGTATTTTTGTATATGAGAGTAATAATTGATGAATGTATTGGTAATTGATATTTTAATCTCAATGCTGTGACCTGGAGGTTATTCGATATTCTTATTACTCTTATGAGATAAGATCAGCCACTTTTACCCAATATGTGACATATGGCACCTGTAATGTAGAGAACTAGTTTGAACGAAAAAACAGTAAGCTGCTTGGCGGGCAAGAGTTCAATAAAACCCAAGCTGCTTCATTGAACCGGCTTGCATCCACAGTCGCATTCGGTTGTGTCAATGCACCAGTCTGCGATGAATCCAGACTTTTTGGCCTTGTAGACTGGCCGTTCAATGCCGTATGATATTGAATCTCTTTGCAATTTGGCGCTCTATAGCTTATTGTCATGATCTATAATTTTCCACGAGGGAGGAATAATATTAAAAACAATCCTTTGATAGATGGATGTTTTTGCGTACTTTGGGCTATATATTAGCCCCCTATGTCCTTCATATATTAAGAAAACCATGTCACATATGTCATCGAAATGGATATTTTTCTTAGATTCTAACACTTATTCCACAATGTGGAGTATGAAATGCACCGATGGATGAGAGAAGCACGACATGGCAACTAGACACTCATGTACAACACCGAGGAGACGGATCGACCGTATAAAAATTCTCATTCCACTCGATTAGTGTCATGCAGTGACTAACCGAGACCTCCTGTCTGTTCACTCCGACCTAGGGACTATGGAGGGTCTTGGTCGTCTTCTCCGTTGAGTGGATGGGCATAGTGTATCCATTAGACATCGCTAGAAATAGCTGACCTTGAGTCATCATCGCCGAGGGTGGGGAATTTAATTAGTTTTTAGGTCTGCCTCGCTGCATTGTTCCCTCAGGAGGGTTGGTAAAAGGATTCCTCGTGTATTTCCCTTTAGAGACTGTATGTGTTTATAACAACTAAGGAAGCAAAATGTTCCCAATTGATATGTTGAGTGCTACAAGTTGATTTGCTTCTATTCTCTCTACATTCACTTCCCCGATGCTGGTTGCAACGGGCCTATTCAACTTGACATATGTCTTGCCCATACTAGGGAAGATACTCTCCGGGAGAGACCAACGCGTAAGATTAAAGGATTTCACTATTCTGTAAGGCTTCAAAGGAACTAATTAATTTCTATAATCGACTGTAGGTCGATCAATCCTTCTAGGAATCAGCAAGTAGTGGGTGATAGCTTGCATGGTTAAAGAGCATGTCTATTTCTCATTATACTAAATTTACTAATATTAAATTAATATATAAATATAGTCAAGCTGCTTTCTATTATTTAAGAATTTTTATTATCTAGAGAATATCTTCTATATAAATAATATAAATTTATTCTTTTATTCTAGTCTGTTCCAAGTTAGTGTAACACGGTCTGGCAGGACCGTGTCCGGGGGAGTCTCGATAGACTAGATGTGGGTGAGTTGAAGCTTCACCGATTGATATCGATGCTATAGAGCAAGGCTACTAGGGAGGGAGTTATCGGTTTAGGTTATATAGTTAGGGAATGCTTCGAGCCGAAGGCTATTCGAAGCCGAGTAGTCTTATATTGAAAGTTATGTCAAAGATTATACAAAAGATATTGCTTGGTTTCCTCCCTCCGGGTGGGAAACCAAGCCTATATGCTTGAGTCCCTATCTCAGGTCATTGATACCTAATCTAACTAGATAAAGGCATATATAGCGAGGTGAGGGGTACTGGCATCATGCCCGGGGTCTTATGGTATCAATTGTGATATATCACAATTGACCCCGGGGTATCCCCGAGCCCCCCGGTCCTGCTGGATTAGGCTTGAACATGCTCCCTGGGTCTATCCCTATTACAGTTAGTCACTATAATTATGGTGAGTTTCTTGAGTAAATATATGTAGAATCTTATTTTATAGGATTCTAACTGGTTTAGTGATAGTCTCACGTTTTTGTAGTCCTTCTGTTAACATCCATTGTTACAGTGTCAATTTCTTATATTTGGTCCTTTGTTGTGAGTAGACAGTATAGTGTAATTCATACTATCATCATTCTATTTGTACTCTGTACCCTTTTGATAGGAAATTGATATATACCCGCACGTCAATTATGCTTACTGCCAGAATACTTTATATACTATAATATAAGACTTTTATAATGCGAGATAGCCCACTTTTGTAGTACTAGTACCATGTAATTTGTATGGCAAAATTCTGCATTACGCTGTTATGCATCGTGAAATATCAATAGTCGTCGTTGATGCGTCGAAGGCAGTGCTATGTTTATCACAGGTCTTTCTGATTAGCGTTTGACCACGTTGGTCACGGCAATGTCTCTTCTACTAGAGATCTCGTATTTTCCTTGTCCTCATCGACAACACGCTACGACATTCTCAGTGAGTCGTCTGCTACCTGTTTATTGGCGACGATGAAGTTAAAGAGGAGAAATGAACACATAAGTTCAGACTATAATGTACAAAATAGTGGGTCTAGATCATAATATATGGTAGCCCGCACAGGACGCACAGTTTCGCGAAATCATAGAAGTTGAAACCATGATAAGCTGTAATAAAAATGTCGTATGGACGATGAACCATACGCGAGGAAGGCAATGACGACTCATAATATCATGGCTTTTGTCCGTTACAGATGTTGTGGGTGCACAATACCTGATCTATAGATAGCACCGAACTATCATGAGCCTGATGTAGACCCTGATGTACTATGTATAGGTACCCCAGGTAATTTCATTTGAAATCATCATCTGCCCTTCCTCCCAGATGGTCGCCCAATGTGGCGCAACTTGGCTGTAGTTCAGATGTAAAATGGACGCCGCAGCGGCACGTCACCGTCCTCTAATAAAATAATTGAGACCTTTACTGTATTTTCCAAAACCAGGAGTCAATGAACCGTCATGTTTATGCTATATGCCATAATCCATGTCTTACGAACCATTCAAATCAACAAGTCAATGAACGCTCAATTCACGCACGCAAGACAGCACCACACTGATGTATCGAAGGCACAGAAACAGATAATCATTGTATGATGCCAGCGTAATTATTGTAAAATAATTAATGTATTTTTGTTACTCCAGTCTTACTAGCTTATTGGTAACGTTCAATGTTGGGCCAAGCTAATTGCTAACGATCACGACATCTACGCTACGGAAACGAACGGTGACAGCTTGAAGGGAAGGGGAAAAAGAACAACGACTTGAACTACCTCATAGTGCACGCCCATACTTTTCCAAGATGTCAGTTAACGTCACCATCCTCTAAGTGCCCGACGTCAACAACTTGGTCTCGCGAACTCATCAAAATGACAGAGATGTCTACAGAAAGTTCAGACCGGTTACTGAGAACACAGGACTAAGAATATATCTTGGCAGTTCACCAGCACAGTATCGGAAGCAGTAACTACAGACCTTGCTGGAAGCAAGCCGTTCCATGGATCTTCGCCGGTATATTCAGTTTTACAACGGGAGTCTTGTGTCTTCGTGAATTCAATAGGGATTATTTGCCTGGGGTTTCTACAGATCTGTGTGAGTATCTCAACCGCTAGTTATATCTCTAAGAATATAAACATATGAATATTAGTCTCTGCACGTTCACTTATTGAATTCGAAGAGCGCAACATGAAAAGCGATGATGACCATCTCTATGTCGGTCCAGCAAGCCCGGAAATCGATCAGCATGGAGAAGTCTTCTGCAAGGTATTTTGAGAGATTATAAATGAATTGAAAGCGTTGAGTAACTATATGCTATAGGCCTGAATATCAATCTATATACTACTGAAATTGGCAAATTTGCGCAAGATACTTTTCAATTGCCAGAAGATGGCACGTTCTTTGCTGGATAGGGGGCACAATTCCAAAATGTATCTATTGACTAGCCTTTTAAAAGTTTACAAGTCTATCACAGTCTACACTGCCTTATGAGTTTTGGCTTTAGAATAAAGGTATGCCTGGAAATATTTAATTCTTAAAACCAATTTTCGATCACACACAACCGCCTGAGACAATTTTTATACTAAGCTTATTACAACCATACCCATGTCGCCAAAGAGTCTTATAAAATGGAACATGCAGATAATTGTATTAATTTTTTTGAGACATAGCCTTTGTGTGAGGCGGATATTTCCCCCATGATTTGGTACGAGAAGCCAAGGGACAATGACTCTAACGAGGGTATTCTCCGCAGTTTAGCGACATCGGCATTGGCTCTAGATATGAATACTATACATACATGTCGTAAGTGGGAACCTATTCATGAATGGGCTTCGAGTCGGATATTTAACCATCGTGAACGAAAAGACCTGGTACAAGGAGGCGGCAATATGTGGATATTGGATTGATATTAAGCATTGGGATTAATAATGACGTGGACACCTTATAGACATATACTCTGAATATTTCGCAAAGCTATGCATAGCGTAGATTATACCATGAAACTTAGATATATTTTGTAGAAAAGTGCTCAATCAAACAAATGAAGTCAAAAGAAGCCTTGGCAAAGTTTTTGAACCATGACAGCTCCACCTCTATTTGTGTGTAATAATTTGTGAGGGCGATGTTGCCCCACTTCAACTATTGAGTGCTGCTTCGAGATGGCATCATGTTCTTGGCACCGTCACAATACATCTTATTCAGACATTTTGTGGTTTAAGATCATGCGATTCGGACTCGGAAGAGAACTTTATTGCATTAATAATTATATACGGACTAGTCTATCTAGGTCCTTAAAGTTTGAAACGTATCTACTTGTGTTCGAAATGGAAGGCAATTTGTAACCATATTTACTTTTAATTCAAATGCGGCCCCTGAAAAAATACGTATTACATCCAAAAAGTTGATCTAACCTGTTTTCTCCGGTGCTAGGTTCTTACTCCTAATTTTGGCGGGAATATTGATATAAATCACCTCGGGAGAAATTCGAAGTGGTTTCGTATTCCAGTTACGTTATTGATATGTCAGATAAGATCAATCCCTATGTGTGTGGCATATATTACATGCAGGTAAAAGGTAATTTGAAAGGATGATCTGATCGTGCGATATTTTTTGCAGATATCTGCAGATTATCTCTTACTACAGGTACTGATTTACTGAGCTCTAGCCTTGACTTGAAACATTTCCAAATTTCATAACTGATCTGCTCAATGTCTCCAGAGCGTATATTCCGAGCATATAAACACCAGTAAATTGTTAATTATATTCGTATAGCAGCAAGGGCAGTGATCTAATAACATAAAACGACATATTTATGTGATCACGAAGGCACTGTGAAATAGATTAAAAGAATATATTTAGTACCGGAAGGAAGGCCATCAACTTATGAATACTTCAGATCCAATACAAGAGATCTGAGTTATGCATACTTATTTATAAATTTAATTAACTTCATCCTTGTAGTAGGATCCCTTATTCTAAGCGTTACAGGCTAAGCGCTGGATCGCACCTTTCTAGGTAATAACTAGCCTATATGCTGCTCTGTCAGCAGTTCGTTCTTTATCCCACAAGGAGACTAGTATCATGCTTGGGATTGGAAGAGGCTGAAATAAAGGCTGTTGGTTGGTTGGAATGGTATGGTGCATGCGGTGACTTGCCTCCGAATTGGGGGCTAATTTATGATACGACATGGGTTAAGGCAAAGTGCGACATATAAACATTGTTAGGATTAACTCAACCAGGTACCAAAATCCTCATTCTTGTCCACGCCTTTCGAAGATAGGAAGTAACATATGTAAAATATATAGCATATTTTTTCTATGTAGAATCAAGACCCACAATGGACACCAATTTGAAGACTTAATACAAAAGTATAGTGTTATTGGAGAAAAAGCTTAACCCGCCCCGGAAAAGATTCTGTCATCTTACCAGTTCGGGGCTTTGCGCTTTGCTGAAACCCGTCGGCCCCAAAAAGCCATTAATAGACACCCTAGCTATCGTCTCTCCCTTAATCTTGTCACTAGGAAGCTTTATCTAACGGAACTTTAAGCTAGATGCTTAAAATATGCAAATTCGTAATCGCCTGATACTCTCTGATAATTACATTATGCCATCAATTGTTTGGGTAGGTAAGAGATGACAAAGTAACTAGGTGACTTGAGAACAGAATGTACAAGGTCTGACATGGTAGGAGGGAAGAGAAGAAGCATAGCAGGAGACCCTTAAATGCATGTCTATATGGCTTAGATTCATCACCTAGAATAGGAAAAATGTCCATCGGCGGCTTGCTTTCACGTTTAAAAGGGGCTGTCAACCTGAAATAGTCCCTATGTACGGTTCCGGAAATGTGGCTGAAGGTAGCTCCATCAACGGATGCTACTATGATGACAAATGAAACCACTGAGTTATTAGGACTATCTAAAATAATCAATGCATCATGAGCTTGAAAAAAAAATCCTACGCTCTTTAAGGAATAAATCCGATGACTAGTCAACTGATTAGCAGTAGGTATCTGACATACGGTTGGATTAGGATCAGAACTAAGCTTTTCAAGGACTAGGAGAACATCATCAGATTGTTTCTAGAAAGATATTCGGTGTCTTAAATTGGTCGAATGCTACTTCTGAAGCTGATCCATCGGTGCTAGCCTAGCGGTCATCAACTATGTACTACGAAGGTTGCAGTGGATTCGGGCTAGTCTGCTAATAGTGCCCTTACATACACCAAATAACTCAAGAAAATCCCATAGAATATGAATATATAGAATAATTTTCCCATTGAAGTTTTGAGAAACATTTTTATTAGTTAGTACCGACTGTCTTTCGTTCTTTTACTTTGGTGCTTAAGTGTACTCGAATGATCACGGTGATCAAGCCAAAAAGCACTGATTCATACCTAGTGGACATTGATCACTTTAAAAATTCAAATACAAAAAGAAAACTAAGGAGTATCGTCCGGAGGTGTCTTCATGTTGGCCAATATTGTGTTCCACAATCTCCTCTTCATCTAATTCTATCATTGCATCTATTATTAACACATAATGCGTGCAGTTGGTTGGCGGAACATTGTTACAGCAGTTACTCTGGCTCTATCATGGCAGACTGTCTCGGGAGCAGGCACATCTTTCCTCAATCATACTGAGCTACTTGCTGGCCTTGAGAATCCCGAATGGTTTGAGCAGAACATACCCTTTCTCGATCTTCCTACAGAGCAAGTGCAGATTCAAGAGGTTTACTACTATCGTTGGGAAACCTACCGAGAGCACCTTGTTTATACTGGAGCCCAGTATGGCTACATGGCTAGTGAATTCTTGCAGCCAGTTAGCTATGGTGCACCCTATGGCGGCATCAATGCTGCGGCAGGTCACCATATCAGTGAAGGACGCTGGCTCCGTAACCTCCAGTACGGCCAAGATGTGGTGAACTACTGGATTGCAGGGCCGGGACAGCTCAGCAAACCAACCACCTTTCTTGATAATCCTGATACTGTCGACTGGGCGCACGAGTATAGTTTCTGGGCTGCAAGCTCAGTGTGGAGACAGTATCTGGTAACTGGAGATAAGGGTTTTGTAGTTGGACAATTAGATAACCTCGTCACACAGTACCGTGGCTGGGATAATCATTTCAACGACACCATAGGGCTTTACTGGCAATTCCCCGTCTGGGATGCAACTGAGTATAGTGCTGCATCTTACAACTCAAGTGATCCGTACCATGGCGGCGCCGGTTTCCGTCCTACCATCAACAGCTATCAGTATGGAGATGCCCGGGCAATCGCGGCAATTGCCAACTTGGCGGGCAATTCAATGGTGGAGGATGAATACAGCGGACGGGCTGACGCTCTCCAGAAAGCAATGCAGGCCAATCTATGGGATAGTGAACTACAGCACTTCATGCATATGGCCCGCGATGACAATCCTACCGGCGCTTTGCTCACCTCGCGTGAGCTAATGGGCTTCATACCGTGGATGTTCAATATGCCACAGGCGTCCGACAGCGTCGCCTTTGAGCAGCTAAAGGACTCTCAGGGCTTTGCAGCCACCTACGGTCCCACAACACTTGAACGACGCAGCCAATTATTCATGTACGAAGCCAGTAACTGCTGCCGTTGGGATGGACCATCCTGGCCCTATGCCACATCGCAGACCCTGACTGCTGTAGAGAACGTTCTCAACAATTATCCACCCCAGCAATACATTTCTGCAGCTGATTACATCACTCTACTTCAGCAGTATGCCGCGACCCAGTTCAAGAACGGTCAGCCATATATCGCCGAGGCTCATGATCCCGATGCGGATTCCTGGATATACGACTCTGAGGATCATAGTGAGGATTATAATCATTCGACTTTCGTCGACAATGTTATCGCCGGGCTCATCGGCTTGCGAGCACAGCCAAATGACACTGTAATAGTTAATCCCCTTGTGCCGTCATCGTGGGATCACTTTGCCCTAGAGAACGTGGCGTACCACGGCCACAATGTGACTATCATATGGGATAGTTCTGGGTCGTCGTACAATCAAGGCCAGGGTTTGAAGGTCTACCTTGATGGACAGCTCGCTGGTAACCGTAGCACGCTAGGTTCGCTCACAGTCAATGTTGGCCCCGTTATCGACCAAACAATCAACCAACAAGTCAATATTGCTGCCAACGGCCAACAATTTCCGTTTGGAGCCACGCCATTTGCTTCTTTTACCTTCCAGCACGACAATGCCTGGAATGCCGTTGATGGCATCGTTTGGCGTACTGGGATCCCTGAGAATAGCCGTTGGACCTCATACACCAGCCCGAACGCGCAGGACTCCTTTGGCGTGGATTTCCAGCGTTCTCAATCTATCTCTGATGTGCGGCTTTATTTCTATTATGACAATGTTGGCGTACATCTACCCGCTAGTTTCGACCTCCAGTACTGGACGGGTAGCGCCTGGACAACTATCCCCAATCAACAGGCCGATGTATCGTCTTCTACGTCGAATGCCGAGACGGTAATCACCTTTCCCACAGTCGTTACCTCAAAGCTGCAGGTTGTCGCACCGAATCCCGGTGCCGGGAATGGCTGGGGTCTTTCCGAGTTCGAAGTGTGGACCCCGGCGATCTTTGAGCTGCAAAATAATAACAGTGCGAAGCTTATGGGTGTGGAAAATGAGTCGAAATCAAACAATGCAACTATACAGCAATATGACGACAATGGATCGGGGGATCATCTCTGGCAATTTATTCGCACCGCAGGTGGCTGGTACAAGATCATGAACCTGAATAGCGGTCTCCTACTGAGCGTAGAGGACATGTCAACGGCCGACAGTGCGGTTCTCCAACAGTATGAGGATAACGGAATGGAAGATCAACTTTGGCGTATCGAATCACAGAACAGCGGCCTATTCCTCATTAGAAACAAGCAAAGCGGTCTTGTCGTGGGCGTCGATGGCGAATCGATGGACAACAGTGCGAATGTCGTTCAGTTTGAAGATAATGGAACCAAAGATCACTTATGGGCTATACTCCCAGCGGTTCCTGCCAGTTGATTTAATAGCAGCATGCACTCACTACGCTAATGCACTACCAATTATACTTGTATATAGAGTTTGTTTTTGTGCGGAGTTGACAAATCCTTGAAGCATGGATTATATGATTATGCAAGCAGCCTATTATCTCGAATTCAAAGTAAACTTATGCCAATTTTAATTAGAGAGTAGGGAAGGTATTGGAAATTGATGCTGCGATTGGTGTAAGCGTATATATAAACACATAGAATGCTTGGATGTAAGATCAATAATAGGACATCACATATCCTGGTATCCAATATCTAGAGTCAGAAAGGTCTGTTCTAGTCTTCCATGCACATAGCGTACGACCCAATCAGACATCTAGAGTTGGCAGACGCGAAAATGGCGCCAAACAATCGGGGTTCTTTCTTAGTTCTTAACGGACAAAGGCATCTTAAGCTCTTACGTAAAATAAAGAGAATAGAGTAGCAATAGAAGTCATATATATACCCTCCTTCCATTTCATGCCTCCATAATCAATATCTACCCAAGACCTCCTAGCCTCCCTAGAAGAGCAACAATACATGACCACGCCAAGGTATCCAGGTCGAGTTAATGTATCTTTCCATATAATTTGTGTGCTAAGGTGCTTGAGAGCGGCCGCTGCGCTAAACTGAGATAAACGTAGTAAGAGTTGATCCTAAAGCTTATTGGTAAGAATATATTGATAAGTACCGATACAACTAATTAATAACTTTAGCGCCAACATCTATCTTCGATTAGCTTCGAATGGATTACCCTTTTGCCTCATTCCCATTCTCTCTTTTCTCCCAGTGGACAAGGTCCCGGCAAATGCACCACGACCTCTACCTTTTTCGCTCTTAGAACAGCTTCTCGAGTCATGTCTCATCCTTGGGTAGGCCCCGCAATAAATGCTAGCTCTGCCAACCTAGTTCTATCCCGTCCGACTTAAGTGCCCTAGCTTGTTTCTATTATATGGTTGCAACGAAAAATCGCAAAAAATGGGTCTCAGCTGGTGTAACTCTAACGACCCCGCAGGCTGGTGTTATCAAGGGGAAAGCAACAATAATATGTCAGAGTCACCGCTTGAGCGTGGACAACTTTAAATACTAACTAGCCTCGCGCATAATGGAAATGCTCTCGTCTAAATCTTTGCAATCACCTCCGTATTGCGAAGAGTGAATAGAATGCGATACTTGAGCGGCCTAGCCTGGGGCTGGCTTGGTACGGTCAGTGCCACTAGCCAGACCATATCTACTCAAGGTATATACGACCTGGTCAAGCGACGAATTCCCCAGCATGTGGACAGCTTCGAATTTTCGCTTGTCAATGCGACACCAAGTGTAGTTCTGTCCGCATCGGAGAAACCAAACGATCAATTCGTGGTTTCGACGAGCGACGACGGGAAGATTCTGGTAGAAGGAAATTCGATCAGTGCACTGTCATCTGGGTACGGGCCTGTTCTCCACTCATAGCGACCAGTGAGTCTGGCGCTATGTAGAAACAATGTCGCTAAGTATGTTTATCATAAACAATTACCACAGGCTTCACAAATACCTGTCTGATATTGCCCATGTCGGTATTTACTGGTACATTGGGAATCGCTTAGACCTAGCGCCAAGCGAACTCCCTCGTCTAAACGAACCACTCAAGGGCTCCAGCGTTGTGCCCTGGCGTTATGATTTGAACACCGGTATTATCACTGGTTTACAGATCGCTCTTATAGGGAGATCTCTCGCCATGAGGACTGACGCTGATTATGGGATCTAGTGACCTTCTCGTATACCGCATCCTTCTGGGACTGGGAGGAGTGGGAATTGCAGTTGGACTGGATGTCTCTCCATGGGGTTAACCTTCCTCTTGCGTGGGTTGGTTTCGAGAAGACACTAGTCGAAGTCTTCCAGGAGATTGGCCTGACTGACGCAGAGATTTTCTCTTTTCTGAGTAGCCCAGCCTTTCAAGCCTGGAACCGATTTGGGAATATTCAAGGCTCCTGGGGCGGCGAGCTGCCGTACTCGTGGATTGAGAACCAGTTCAACCTACAGAAGCAAATCGTCGCCAGAATGGCGGAGCTTGGAATGACACCAGTACTTCCTGCGTTCACTGGATTCGTTCCACGTGCCATTACCCGCGTCTTCCCCAATGCATCTGTGGTCGAGGCCCCATCGTGGGGTAATTTTCCGCCGCAGTACAGCAACGATTCATTTTTGGAACCGTTGGATGATCACTTTGGCCCATTGCAGAATAGTTTTATTTCGAAACAGAAAGCTGCTTATGGAAATGTGACTAACATCTATGCCTTAGATCAATACAATGAGATAAATCCATTCTCTGGAAACACGACATACCTGACTGACATTGCTGCTAGCACAATCAACAGTCTCAAGGCAGCGGACCCCAACGCCATTTGGATGATGCAAGGCTGGCTCTTCTACGAGGCAGAGTCATTTTGGACCGCGGACCGTATCGAGGCTTACTTGTCCGGGGTGGCAAATAGCGGTGACATGCTGATCCTGGATCTCTTCTCAGAATCGAAGCCCCAGTGGCAGCGCACTGATTCCTACCACGGAAAGCCTTGGATTTGGTGCATGGTGCACGATTATGGAGGAAACCAGGGTATATACGGACAAATCGAGAACATTACCCAGAATTCTATGCAAGCATTGGCGAGCTCACCTTCAATGGTTGGGCTCGGCCTCACAATGGAAGGCCAGGAAGGTAACGAAGTTGTATATGATCTGTTGCTCCACCAAGCCTGGTCCGAAACACCCGTTGATACTGAACAATACTTCCACAATTGGGTGACAGCGCGGTACGCGGGCTCGGGCTCAATCCCTCAGGGCCTTTATCATGGATGGGAAATCCTGCGCGCGACTGCTTATAATAACACAAATCTCACAGCTTCCATATGTGTAACAAGATCCATCTTTGTGAATGAGCCTGCCATCTCCGGTCTACTCGACTGGACCGGGTTTGATCCCACCATAGTGGTCTATGATCCAGCAGACCTGGTTCAGGTATGGAAATACGTGTTTGAGGCGGCCGCAGCACAACCAGCTCTCTGGTCAAATCCTTCCTATCAGTACGATCTGGTGGATATTACGCGACAGGTGATGGCGAATGGGTGGGGCACGATCTATGCAGACTTGTGCGATCTATACGCCCAGTCCAACGCATCCAGCGCCGAGATATATGCCCAGGGCGCTAAAATGATTGGTCTTCTCAATTCCATCGACACTGTCCTCTCCACCAACAGAAATTTCCAACTCAGTCGATGGATTGATGCTGCTCGTGCTTGGGCTCAAGGCAACGAGTCGGAGGCGGCATACTACGAGTATAGCGCCCGAAACCAGATCACGCTCTGGGGCCCTAATGGGGAGATCGATACCTACGCCGCAAAGGATTGGTCAGGGCTGGTATCGACCTACTACGTACCGAAGTGGCAAATATTTGTTGAATATCTTGCGTCGACGCCAACGGCAGACTACAATCAGACTGAGTTGCATTCTCAAGTTTTGGCCTTTGAGCTCAAATGGCAGACTGAGCCATTAGATATAGAAAGCAAGGAACAGGATCTACAGTACGTGGTGAAGCAGGTCGTGGAGGCTTGGCCAGATTTGTTCAGTGGTTAAATTACTGGGTATGAGCGGAGGCCAATTTATCAATTGGTACAAGATTTCATCCCAGACCTCTTTATTTTAATACAACCAAATCCACAGTCATAGTTCTGAGATGCAAGACAACTAAAGGCTCATTTCGCCTCTTGTAAAGAAGCTGGCGGTACATCAGCGACATTGGGTCGGTGCAGTACGAAAGGAAATGGTTGGTTTCCGTGCTCTGCATTTCACGTCAAATGAAGGCGCTCTGTTCTACAAAGTCGATTTCGAATGTTAATGTATTTGTATTCAGGGCATCTATTCCATGCGCTATGTCGTCGCTTGCCCAGCGACTCCACCGGCTCAGTCCGCCTTCTCCATGTAAGGTAGACACGCCTCAGAAATATCCCCGTAACCTGGGAATTTGACCATCTTCTGGAATGGCTCCTCATTCACCGCTCTCGCAGACTGAAGGCACCCCGTAAAAGGAAATCAGTCATACTCGGTCGTGCGCCAAGCACAAACGGCCCATCGGCCTTGTTCGTCCGTATCGGATCGTTGACGACGCGCATGCGGTCACCCACCGCGTTCCTGTACTCCTCCTCTTTTTCTGGTTCAAGAAGCAGGTCCTCGAGCCGGTGTCCAAGCATAGCCTCGCGCGGCATCACCGAATTTGGAAGGTTCCATCGTCCACAGCGCGAGCTTTAGCCTCAATCTCACGCCTCAGCTCTGACGTTATCACTACCGTCAGGTTTGGTAGGTCAACTCAAGAAATTGCACGATAGTGACTGAGTCCATCATAAAATTGTTACTCGGTACGTGTTGGATGGTAGGGACCGTATATTTGATTTTGGATTCCGAAGCCGATTCAGCGGGGACCAGGTCGCTAGGGTTATTGCGAGATTTACATAATCACTGAATAGATTCTGATTGGTTAACTATGTGTACTGAAGGTGTTAGCTCGTGTCGGCTGGTAATTTTTGTATAATTTACGCATTGTTCCTAACTTCGATTTAGTCCACCTTAGTTACGGTCGCTTGATGATTTCAGCTGAAAAGACTTCTTTACGCGCGAAGCGGAGATTTTTTGGCTGTGTATTGGGATCTGAGAAGGTAGAAAATGGAAGGGAGGGGGGCTCGAAGTGAAGAACGTGATGTAGAAAAAAGGCCAATGCAACTCATAGTTTTCAATGTAGGCTCAATGTCAGGAAATTCGAGAAAAATGATCCGATAAGGGATAATCTTATAGTTAAGCATCAGGCGGATACGCCAGACAACGGGAGAGAAGCAGACGTTCTTGTTAAAGGCCAAGTCATACAAAACAATCTCAGGTTCGGTTCGGGCGTCCATGTTGTGTGCTACCTCCAGTGAAGACTACTCAACCACTTCCAGATGTCCTCCCACACACTCCGCAGAGCACAGGGGCGCAGCTTAATCAATACCTAGGGGGTGTGAGCCACGCCTTTTACGGGAGGCACTGGAATCAGGCCTACTAAGCCCCTCCTCGACCGGTCTCACTTCAGCAGCGCTTTCCTTCTATTTTAAAATTGTACTAATTTACGTTTTGACTTATTTGTCATTGGTTGATGACTGCACTCGTCCAGCAGCTTTCAGAAAAATGCCATGTGCGGACGTCGTGCTCTGCTCGACATGTTGATCTCTTCGTCGCGGCACACGACATGACAGTCATGGTTTATCTGAAATATGGATTCTCCTTATTCAATAGATCGGTCCGCGGATCTACACTGAGCTCGATGAGCTCTATCTACATCCGCCGCTTGTGATAGCTCTGGTAGCCTTACCATATAAGAGAGTAGTGGCGAGGATTTACCATCCTCAATATTCTAGCCTTTTCGCGCAGCATCTTAGGGAGCGAATACTCCCACTTTCCAGGTTGTGATATTATATAATACCGCCACAGGAACTTGGAAATAGAAATTCCTATAATGGTGAAACTCAGCTTAAAAAAGCAAATTTAATTATATATATTTTCAAACTAATAGATTGTTGACTCATTAATAATATTTCTAAAGTCATTTATCAACTATATCGCATAAGTCATCAAATATAGTCAATTTTTATATTTCTTTGCGTATATATATTACTGTCTTCCACCCTACAAGAAGACCTGCTCATTATTAATGTACAAGCTAACTAAATAGAAATGTACTTAAATTATTCATAATACCTTGAATTCTATATAATCACTCTATTTATATACTGGGGTGGATGGTATGACATCTCCCACCAGCACTACCTCGGTACTATCATCTACCACAAGCACATTAATTACCTCCAGTATTATGATATCTAGTATTATAACCTATTCATTCACTTTAACATATATTTCGAGTCTCCTAATATCTTTATTAATAACGGTATTTGTCACGTTCGATAATCCAAATTTCTGCAGGGTTTGCGCTTATCCAAACCCAGTCAGGTGGCCTCATTTTCAACATATATCTTATTGCTTAGCTAGAGGCCCATCTAGCCTTAAAGAATTCATGCATCTAATGTTTGAGACATGCATGGATTTTGCAATCCGTTTAGGCGACTCTTTATTGGACTACATGCAACTTCGCCGTTATTCCAGGCCTAATCACGGATTAATAATTTTAGTGCGGCCTGGCCTCAGTACCATTTGCATGTGCAAACGATTGACAGATCCTTAGTCTCGTATCCTTGAAACTCAGAACAACTCGGCTCTCGCCATTGTTAAAGATGCCATCTCATGTAATGAACTGGCATGAAGTATCTCAAAGATGGACAACTTGGCCCGGCTCGCTGCAGCCAGCCAATTCCGCAGCTTGACCGCGACAAGTGAATCGACACCGTGAATCACCAGGGCTTGATTCAAGTCAATATCCTCCTCATTGATGTTGAAAATGGTAGCGAGCCGCGCAGCGATTGCTTTTGCTACCTCCCCATTTGCTAGTGCAGTCTAGTACTTGATTAAAGCCACGTTATCTGCTTCCCTCCCTCATTCAGTAACTTCACGTTTGCTCTCTCTTGATAACGATATGATCCATCACGTAGCTTAAACTATCTTGTATACTCAATTAAATCCAGTGAGGAAGAGTCCTAAACCACGGTATTGCGCTCATGACTCTTGGTATTGTAACAATTTCGCTAATATATCCGAAATTCTATCAGCGCCGGAGAACATGTTTATTTTCCCTATGGCTTCATTTTTAATGTAAGATGTGACCACATACCTTTCTCCTCTCTGGAGGGGACAGATTATTCTGTTTGCGACTTCGTCGGGGTGCAGTATAGGCAACATAAAATCCGGGGCCGGCTGTACAATGCCTTGAAACAGAGTAGTCGAGATGGTACCGGGAAAATAAGCGCTTAACTTCACATGGGAATTTCCATGTTTATGCTTCAACTCAGTCCGTAAACCCTCCACAATTGTTGTTACAGCTGCCTTGCTAGCCGAATTATCTACCACACTACTTACAGTGAGGAAAGCAGTAGCGGATGACATTACAAGCGTATGGCCGCGATTTGCTGCAATCATGGCTGGGAGGAATAACTTGAGACAGGAGAGCGCGCCAAAGACATTAATGTCGAACGTGGACCGAATAACCTGTTCAGAAGCTGCAAGAATCGTCCTCCCAGTAATGATAGCAGCATTCCTAGTTGAGCGGTTATAACACGCGAACTTCGTTGACATCATCGAATGGTGAGACATCAAGCTCAAAGAAGTGTGTTTTTGAACCTAAGCAAAGGATCATAGTTTTCGTTCAAGTATTGGCGTATTGATACGGCCGCTCGCGAGGAAATTCATCAAAATAACGCACCAAGTATAAATTGAGGTAGTTTCACATCCAAAATGGCGATCGTCGCCCCGAGCTCTGGCAGTTTGTGGACAAGGCTTGCTCCAACCCCACAAGAACCTCCTGTGACAATTACAATCTTATCTGGCCAACTAGGGTTAAATCGAGGTCCTGGATTCAATGCCTTGCGATTCGTTACACCATTCAATCGCAGGATCCATGATGAGGTTATCCATCCCAGTGTTGCTTTCCAAAACCAAGATTCGCGATACAACCACTCCGTCAGAAGCCATTAATGTGCCACCTCTGGACTGGCCAGCTGAGCCAGGAAGCGCATAATAAATAAAACTGTTAATATAGTTGTGTTGAAAAAATATACAGGGAAAGTTACTAAGATTTTAGTTTTATCCCACATTGCTTTTGGATTGGATGCTGAAACAGAGGAAAAATTGCAGAACTGAAATCAGATTTAGACCGGTTTTCTGGAGACATTGGGCTTCATTGAAATGGGGCTTGCTCCTAGACTCAGCTGTCGTGTGTGGTGATAAATGAAATGATGCACAAACTGCCAAGCCATGCATGTAACATTAACTAGGTTTTCAATAAATATACCTCGAGAGTAAGAAGTCTTATCAGTTGCTAAGCATACGGGTTTGGTGTTATCACTATTACATGTAATCTTCAAACCTGTGTGCGATGTGTAGAGAGGATAAAACGGATTGAGTCCATATGAAATTATAGAATCAGGTCTATCTCGACAGCAAGATTCATAGATCTCATGGTGTGGTCAGTGGTCAACTCTCCGACAGTACACAAAAGCAGCGTATCTCGCCAAAACTGTTCATACCAAACTTTATCAGACCCTTATAAGGCCCCTAGCGCCCACTGAAATGAGGCCTTCATAGCTTATAGCTGGGTAAGGTCGGTAAAAATGATTAAATAATAATAACCATAGATATCATAGCCAGAGGGTGATATATTGCTCTGATGGATATATTGGAAGCGACGTATCCATTTCCTTTATCTGGCTCTATTGACTATGTCGGAATATTTGGCACTAAGCACATTGGGAAAGGATTAGAACCACCCAAAATTACGATCAATAGCGCCAAAACGCCATGCCAAAAATTGACATTACTCAATTCTCAATACCTTACCCTTGATGACAAATATTAGTGTAAATTCGCATATAAATATGTCTAGATAGATGAGTTCTTTGCAACTCAGGCTTGCATCTCAATCCAATCGAATTTTGGCACTAAACTTAATTTGTTCTAACGCGTAAAAAGTCCGATAGATAGGGAATGGTCATGTCAGGGTGGGTCTCTGACATGACACGATTTTTTTGTCAGGTTTGACAAATTTCTGGGGGCCTGACAAAATACCCCCCTTTACTAACAAATTACTAGGGGCAGTAAGTATTTTTCAAAAATCCAGAAATTTTTAAATTTTTTCCCGAAATATCTGGAAATTCTCTGATTCCTATCTAAAAAAAACAAAAATGACACTAAACTCAATAAGGAAATAGATGCTGATTTATTTTTATTGCATTTTTGAACGAATTAGGCTCTTGTAGGTCATGTCTGGCCATGGCAGGCCAAGGCAGTCTGCGCAGCCTGCGCGTAGTGAACTAATGCCTCCTGAAGGCCAGTTTGGGGGATCTCAACGGCCTGCGCTTTCTCTGCTTGGAATGCCAAAATTTGAGGCATTTCACCCCATTGAGAAATAAGATTATCTTCCTGAGCGAGTTGTATAGCTTCCTCCTTATCTTTTGGTGTTTCTTGCAGCGACCGTGAATTCAAATAGATAAATGTAACCATATTAGTATGCTTAGCCGTCATATGATTCCTCGATAGCGTTAATTGGCGATTTTGAGCAGAAAAAGCACGTTCTGAAGGCGCAGACGTTGCAGTAGTGTGGAAAAGACGTAATGCTAAGCTGGATAACTCGCTAGAAAGTTGAGATGTCGATTTCTATATGAAATTATTAGATATTGAAAAAATGAAGTTATTTTATGCTTACCTGAATCTCCTAAAATGCTTTTGGATTATCCTTATATTCTCAACAACTAGATTGGAAAAATTCACCTGTAGCAGAGCGATATTGAGCGAATTGCAATGAAGCTTCATGGGGGTTATTTGGACAATAGCATTGAATAATATAAAGCACTTTTCGTTACAGTATTAGAGGCATGACTTCATCTTTTGTAAGAGGGTTCAGGTAATGAGCTGCCCAATGTAAATCTAACACCTAGCAGCGCATGCGGTCATGAAAATTCAACTCCAAATATCGGCCTATATCGTCTCCAATTGATATTGCTTTTTTAAAGCTCTCAAGATGTTACATAATAGAACCCCAGCGTTGATAAATATAGCCTGCATGAGATGCTACAGCCTCCGAAGCCTTTACATGTTTATGAAGCGGCTTTAAAAGATGAAGTAATTGGCTGATATTATCCCAAAAATCCATGGAGTGAAGAATTGCCTTGATATCCTCTTTATAAGGGTTATTTTGCACGTACTGGATAAGCGCTTTTTCGTTGTTTTTGAGACTCAATAACATAGTATATTGACTGCCCTAGCGAGTAATAACAGACCCTAATAATGCACGTTCTTTACCATATTCTTGAAGCTGAATTTGACGGAGAATTGCAAGCTGTAAAGGAGCGTAATTGAAGTGAGCGATAATCTGTTGAGCGTTTTTGAAGGTATTTGCAATTGTTGGCAATTGTAGTAGATCTTTTATTATAAGCTGCAAGCCATGAGAATCACAACCTAATAAAAAGATGTTTTTGGTCTCTTCTCGCGTGGCTAAAATATTCCATAACGAATGCATAGTGTTGCACGTATCTGTTGTAATTGAATTGATTTTTGAAAAATCGCTATCGATTAGATCATGAAGCTATTCAAATGGATAAAAATTAATAGATTTTCTTTTGAAATAATGACTGCTTTTATTTCTTCGATAATCCAATCTGCCAAATTCTTTGTTGTTGCATTTTTATCCTGTAAATCTCGCGAGGCAATAAAATAAGACCGTTCTGAATTTGTTATTGAGATATTCATAATACGCCGATTACGAATATCTTCACTCTCGTCGATAGAGACGTTGAGATATTGGGATTTTGTGATTTTTTGAAAGACCTGTTCCTGTACAGTAGCATAACAATCTGGTAAAATAGAATTGATAATTTTATTGACTCTGGGGATCTTATATTCAGGATCTAAAGTACTTACAAATAGCTTCATTTCTGGGCTATCAAATGTGCAGAAAGGCCTTGCACCAGTAAAAATTGCTATTCCTAATATGTCATCGATATCTGCATGCGATTTTTTGACGCCAGTAAAAGCCATAGAAGAGAGAGTTAATTGAGGCTCTTTTTTTCGATATATTGAGGCCCAAAAATCATTTGGTAGAGAGTTCTTGAATTTTTGACAATTTATAAGGTGTTTTTTTTGATGCGTTGAGTGAATAGTGCTTTGGCGATAATGAGAGTAAAAAGCGTATTTGACCTGTTTCTAATGATTTTTTGGATTAGTAAGCTGATTGAAGGGCCTTTAGATGTCAAGATCTTACTTTTCCATCTATATCGCAAGTTATATAGGCTTTTCTTACTAACTCTGAGGATAGATCTGAAGTACGGAGTCTTATGTGTCGGTTTGCCATTTTTTAGGAAAGAATTGAGTGAGTTTGGAGAGTAGAGGAGGGTGCAATTTTTGGACTGACGGTGCTGTTAACATATACTTGAGAAATATATATATATATAATCATGGTGTTTATGCGTAGTTGCAGGGCAACTAAAAGGAATGCTATTCTATTGGTTGATTCACTTTTCTGGCAAATAATATCGCTTTATTTGTCCCCACTTTGCCCCACTTTAAATTACACAAAAATTGTCAAATTTGACAATGACAAGGCCGGTCGGGTTTTTGACCAGTCCCTACCGATAGACTATGCCAATCACGTGCCCTGCCACACGCCAGAACCGGCGTCGTATTAACTGTACCAATTAATACCTAAGTTAGTTAGCTATTAATTAACGTAGCCACTTCGGGCCGGAAATGCGCTATATATTGATTTCAAATCTCAATTTTCAACTAAAATAATAATTATATATAAAAAACCAATTACTAATGTGATTGGGATATTAAGGCCTTTTATACCCGAAAATGCTATACTTATGACACTGAAATTAGGAGTATTTATTTATTTATTTAATCATATTTAACAACCTTACCCAGCTATAAGCTATGTCTCGTTTCAGTGGACGCAAGGGAGCCTTATAGGGGCCTAGGCCCCTAATTCCTCCTACTGCCTGCCCCAGACTGGTGTCTAGCGTTTCCATGTACTAACGAATTCCTCGTCCCAAGCCGCTAATATGCGCAGGCGTACTGTAGTTATATAAAGAATTAAGAAAATAGAGGTAAACTCAGTTTCTTGGATAGTGGGGATTCTCGCTTGGTGGGGACGCCTTCCAATCAATCAAACTAGACAGACTTTGACGCAATTTCCCTTCCGCCTAGTGTGCTAAGTGCTTTCAAGAAGTAGTTACATGTTCAACACTTCCCCTCCCCCTAACACGAAACACGTTTATCCTTCTGATTTTTTTATTCCGTCGCCTTTTACTTCATAATTGACTAGAATAATATTACGAAACATGACTTCCGAGACTACAGCACTGCTCGCAAGCAATACACAACAGCAGAGGAAGACGAGGGATTGGTGGGAGTGTTCAACAGTGTTCCTAGTTTTTCTGATCAACTTTCTGCTTCAAGGTAGTCTATTTATTGTGTTGGCACCTCGCATGCAGATCTATGAGTCTATATTATGTCAATACCATGCGCCAGGGAATATTGGAGAAGTAGTACCAATGAATGGGGATCGATGCAAAGATCTAGATGTCCAGGCCGAGCTGGCTTTCATACTTGGCATGGAGGAGTTTTTGACGGTATTTCTAAGTATGTATACTTGCATGATACTGAACAGAAATATAAGAGTGAAATATACGAGTGATGATACACCGATAAACTCACCTTCTGCCTGCAGGTGTTCTCACCATCCCGTACAGCCTTCTGGCTGATCAATACGGATGGTCCTCTATTCTATCACTATCACTCTGTGGTATCGTATTGGAGATGATATGGCCTTTTTTTATTTGTAAGTCATTTACAGCAATTTTCTTAGCTGTACTGAAATTCAACGATTATATTAGGCCTCTTCGCAGGCCGTGTATCGCTTTATTGGGTGTTGTTTGCGGTTGCATTCGAGGCCATAGGTGGAGGAATCATGGTTTCAGTCACGATGCTTCAACTGATTTTGTCTTTGCTTGTATCACAGGAATCAAGGTATGCATTGACTTACATTCCTACCAATTACATTTGACTGAGTCCGCGAAGAACGCGTGTTTTCCTCTATTTGGTTGGAAGTTCATTCATTGCGACAGCCATTGGACAGGCTGTCTCTACTCTACTCATGAACACTAATGTATGGCTTCCAGCCTGCTTAGGATGTGGTTTAACCCTTTTGGCCTTGGCTTTATCTCTTCTTTTAGACCGAACAATGGTCAGGCGCGCCGCTGATTACTCGACAAATGTAAACTATCGGGAACCACGCCTGTCTCCTAGTCTAAACAGTCGCCCAGCTAGAGAATTGTGTCTCGTACCGCTCAGAACGCTTCAACAGAACCCTCAGGCCGTAGCTATTCTCATTGCTACCTTCACATTTCCTCTTGGCGAGAATTCAATGGTGAATATTATCTTGCTTTACATTTCGAAACGCTACGGATTGAGTATCGCAGAGGTAAGTTTCCATGTTCCACCGTCTCTCCTAAGTGAAGCCAAGATTGATCAAAAGGCTCCTAGGCCAATTTTCTGGTGGCGTTCAGTTCTATTGCCAAGCTTTTCACATATCTAGTGGGAATCCCCAGCCTGGGTTACGTACTAAAAAAATATAGGGGCGTAACTTCATTTGGTCGAGACAGAATTATCGTCCAAGTTGAAGGTATTCTCCTACTAATTGGGGCATTATGTATTTCCTTGGCACCCACAGTCACCCTGACATTTTTTGGTAAGATAAAATAGGACGGTGGTTTTATATATACGAAACTGATAGGTGCCAACCAGGTATAATTGTCTCTTCTTCTGGCATGGCCATCATCACCATCTTGCGGTCTCTGGTCACAGATCTTGTACAACCACAGGACATTACTATAGTCTACTGTCTGATGAGCATGGTGATGCGGATAGGCTCGGGTATCGCAGGGCCAATATTCGCATGGGGATTTGGTTTTGGTATGAGATTAGGTCAAAAGTGGACCAATTTACCGTTTCTCCTTGCAGCTATAGTTTTCATGGCAGGTACAATAGTACTGTCATCTATTCCTAAGACTCCACGGCTCAGAACCGACGAGGAACCCGGACCACAGGGGACCAACGGTGAATAATCTTCAGCAAGAGGCGAGTGAATAGATATATATATATAGATATACTTCATTAATACCAATCAGAACTTGATAGAAGCACTTAAATCAGACCGGCTACAGATCTTAGATAATCGTTGGTTTTTGGGCTGCTTACGTAGCAACATGTCTAGTTTGTATCAAAAAGGATCAACACTGGAATGCATAGAAACTAAAATCGATAGCAATATATCGGAAAGTTTGTAAGGTGTCAGGAAATAGGTCAGCTAATAGACCCAGACCCAGCCGCAAGTTCCTCAATCTCCTTGAGATATCCAGATTCTTCACATAGGTGACGGAACATGGAGTCTGGATCCCCACGATGGATAAGAAGTTCTCTGACAGAGCCCTGCTCAACTACACGACCAGCGTCAAGGGCGACAACTTTGTCGTAGTCAGCGATTGTAAGGAGCCGATGTGCAATTGTTATGATGGTAGTACCGCGAGCGACGATGGTGCGCAGCGTCGGCGACATGGTCAATAGATGCAGTAGCTTCATCAAGAATGAGAATACGCGAACGTCGTAAAAGGTCACGCGCAATGCAAAGTAGCTGGCGCTGGCCACGTGAGAGAGCAGCAGCATCTTGGTCTGAATAATTACCACCTGCCTGAGATCCGACGTCGGACTTGATTGTTGACGCAGTGCTATTGGTGTCAAAAAGGCGCACAGTCTGTAGCGCTGCGATCATTTCTTCGTCAGTGTAGCATCGCAGCGGATCTAGACTGTTTCTTAATGTTCCGTCGAAGAGTCCAGGGTCCTGAGGCAATACGGTGATGACCTGCCTGAGCTTTCCCAGTGGTACAGATGCAATATCAATTCCATCAATCTTGATCCCACCCGTCTCTGCGGGGAGACCTCGAATCAAGGCGAGGACAAGTGTGCATTTACCTGCACCAGTTCGTCCGACTATAGCGACTCGCTCGCCAGGGTGTATTTTCGAATCCCATCTCATTCAATGCCTGGTCCAAATCAGGCGCATATCGAGTTGAAAACTTTTCGAACCGTACATCTCCCTGTGCGGGCCACTCTTGTGGGATATCATATACGGCTTGGGAAACACGGTCAGTCTCCTGGCCGACCTCTGTAAACTCCACAATTCTTTCTACAGAATTGAGATTTTGCTGGATAATAGCATGAACTTGTACGAACCTCATAACATTTTTGGTAAATGTTGTAGAGTGGGCCAGTACAAACCCCGCATCTCCCGTGTTAATAGAATTCCAGAGTACAAAGGCCCCAGTGAAGAATGATAACAACGAACTGAGAAAATTTACTTGAAATGTCAACCAGGATTTACCTGTCCATTGCAGCAAGTAAGACTGGTTTAACTGATCAACAAGCGTCTGGCATTCAACAGTAAACCATGATGTGCGTACAAATGCGCAGATACTGACAGAACCTATAATTTTTTCTCTCAATTGTTGGTATAATAGTGATCTCTGAATAGATTCAAAGCGTTTCAGATCTCGCGCGCCATTGATATATATTATTCCAATAAAGGAATAAGCTAAACAAACGAAAATTGAGATCGGAAGAAATGCTGGTAAGGGAGCTGAAATGAAAATAATAACCATAAGCAGGGATACTAATAGTTGCAATGCACTTATAAAAAGCCCAGCAAGTAGCTGGTCTATTTCTTGAACGTCTTTGGTGAGCCTGTTAGCGATTTGGCCAAATGGCACCCGGTCAAAGAAGGAGAATTTTGCATAGGACATTGACCTCAGCACACGTTTGTATATCGCAGAAGATGCTTTGAGTGAGCTGTACAATGTGAAGATGTCCCGGGTGAAGGTTATGAGTAACCAATAAACAGAACCAGCTTAAAGTGTACAAAGAAAGTAAGGCAAGCAGGTGTAGATGGATTGATGACACAGCTGAGATAGGAGCTGATTGGGGGTTATCAGGGCCTTCACTTTTGTTCATTTAAAAACAGGCATTTGACAACGTCAATTAGAATCCAAAGAACCTCCAACGGTCAGATGCCGAGATAACGACGTACGTAACTCCTCTAGAATTGGAGGCCAACTTTGCATTCATTCTAAGCTGTGCTTTCTAAGCTCATCACCGTATCATACTAGAGCTTATCTAGCAATTAGATCAGCAGAAATATGCTAGTAATTTTTATTTCATATTTTATTAGATATAAATTCTTCTTTTTTCAGCATACCGTAAGGGTGGAGAGCATTGTACAATACCATTGAGACTGCTGTTCTACGGCCACATCAGGTTCTGTCACTTCTGTATCCTTGTACTAGGCGGGCTATTATGCAAAAAGGACAATCGAGAGTGGCCATTTTTCCGACATCACGTAAATACGTGGGTCTATCGCGCGACACTAGATAGTCTCAGTTAATAACTGATTCCAAGACAATACAATCAAGAAAATCTATTATTGAGACTATCCCGTTTCAATATGTGCATAATGACTAACACTTTTACAATCGTATTACAAGATATGATACGAATATTAGAGGTAATACCAAGATACCAAAATCACCACTAGTTATACCAAGACCCCAAGAATGAGCGGGAAAGCCAAATGCGTCTCCGCTCATTAGCCTGCCGCTAACTTACTAGTTTAAGCTATCGGGTTGATCTCACGGCCCCGGATTGGGGGGCGGGGGGGAGCTTTCCCCACCCCGTGCTGCTGCACAAAAATGGCGGGTGTCGGGTGGATCCTCCGTACATATACGACGGAGTACTCATTCTGTGTACTAATCTATTGAGGTTATTTGACTGTTAGATATATGCAGCTCATCCTAAGGTTTATTTGTGTTTGGATGTGGATAACTGCTGTATGGTCGAGCTCAGAATGTAGAAAACAGAAAACTAATACTAATGAGGGGATTAACTACTTGCCTTCAGCTGCTAATATAGTGCTTGTAACAAATTGTGTGCGGTCTCCTCCAGTGAATCTTTCTACTGTATCATCACAGCCAGATTTGTGATTAAGATTATGTTCTATAATGGAATTATTTTCTGCATCTAACCCCCAAGAATCAATTAAACTAACATGAAAGCTTGCCTTTTACCATAATTTCCTCCACGTCACCGGCTTCTTCGACACAACCCTTTGCTGGAGTTTGTGTACGGTACGCTGTCAGCACTGACAATCCATCCTCTGTGATGTTCGAACAATAGATTTCGAGTTTGATTCTTTTTTTTGGTTACTTAGCTTATAGTAGGCTCAAAAGCATATACATTCCACTCAGGCAAGACGAAGGTTACCAGCATTATCGTTAAGGTGGAGACACCTCAGACACTACCGGGATACACCCACAAACTCCCAGCAGTTGCAGAATAAGAAGTACCTTGACATGGAGTCACATTCTCATAGCTGTCCTGCCTTGGTTGTATCTAATGCTATATTGTTCATCACAATATACTGGATAAAGGGACTAGAGGGACAAAGAGGTGTACAGCCTCCTAAAGACTGGGCTATACCTCTAGAGATACCTACACAGTAAAAGCCATTCTGGTGGAATACTGAATATAGCGGTCGCAACCAGGAATTGCAAGATGAACTATGGAATGAGATTACCTGGGAGCATGCGAATAGGCCAACTCTCAGAACTGGCCGGATAGTATATCTCTGCTAGGCGATGATAGCAAAGCTTTGTTTCTGCTTGAAGCGTACCACGAAGTGCATGGTCTTGGCATTTTGAGAAAGGTTATGAGTCAGAGCTTTTCAGTGGTTGATTTCAACAAAAGCGAATCAGCACAGGCACATGTTGCACATTGTTTCGATTACTTGCTGCAAGTATGTTTGGTTTTATCGTCTACTCAAAAGTCGGGTTAGCGCTCACTCGATTTGCTAATTTTGAACCCACTCGAATATCTTTTTGGTAATAGGTTGTTACGTGCAATGCAGATTCTCATCCGTTATATACGTTTAGCGGTACCCAAGTAGGCTATGGCCAGCAACACAAATGTAGGGACTGGAACGCGCTGAGGGACTTCGCCACTGAACATTCAGCCTGCTTTTTGATAGGTTCAAAATCATTCGAGGAAAATTTTGGGTTCTGGCATGATGGAGATGGTTTGATAAATAGGACGGAGAGAAAGGAAGATTGATACTAGAGTACTAGTAGTCCATTACTTCAAGTGGACCATCGTGGCAAGCAAATGCAATACTCTGGAGTAAAATTAGCGATTTGTTTCTCGTTGAGCATATATATGATCGGGAAGTTCTTTTCATAATTATATTTATGGCGTTAGTGTAATTGAGATAGGCAATGCTTCCTAACAAGTGGGTAAAAGATCAAGGGCGTGCGTACTGGATTGAATCTTGACTTCGGGTTCTGAATATTTTACATAACATTTTTTCCATGTTGATCTAGAACTGGTAAAACTGTCTACTTACTCCACGATGCATGGTATACCAATAGGCATAGCTATCAAGTCTGTAGCAAGGACCTGAAGGACCTATATGGCCAGCAAAAATTAAGACAAACATCGTAATTAAGCAGACAAGGTTATTGCCTCTCCAAATAAAACTCAGCTACCGAACTTGTGACATGGAGCTCTTCTTGTGAAAAGTAGAGCAGCTATCATCTTCCAGTTGACTAACTACCTAACAAGTATGTACATAATATTAGAAAAGAATGGATGCTTTCATTCTAACTGGAGCACATCGAGGGGTTAGATGATCGTCTTGTTAACGAATACAATTAATATGTGCAGATGCTACGCGCTGCAGTAACAGTAGAGAATTTGGAAGGCTCCGATTTCCCGTCTAGTGTCAAGCACAGAGTCTTAAATCGCTTGGAGAAGGGCTATACCATGGCTCGTTATCGAGTCAAAACGGGAGAATTTACCGCCTACTTTACAATAGGAGCATTCATCTCAGTTGCAAATGTCCCTATAGAAGACGTTTGGGATCGGCTTTCGAATTCAGGCAGTGATCTTCAGGCCCTCGACAAACAGCTAGGCAACGTGGATATTACTTACTCGGCTTCTTGGCAGCTTGGAAGAACCATGGCAATTGCTGATCAATCCTTTGTCACTAGTCTCGGACTTGTGCGCAAGAACATCTATGACCTCGGGATGTATTACTACCAATTGGAACTGCTGTCCGAGCGCTCTCGCTAGCAGATCATTGCTGCACTCCATCCCTGGTGCAGTCTCTCTAGTCGCTGTAGCATAGTAGGTAGCTTTCTGTCACAAATTCTCAATCGAGATCTCGGCGCTGGTTTCGCCCATCAGTGAACATAGTCGATCGACCCTATGCTGGACGATCTTGTATCAACATCAAGGGAGAGAATGAAGACTCAACTGAGAAACACTTTATTCGAGCTGCGAAAGAGATTTCCAGTGCTTGTGACGAGGGAAATCCTGACAAGCCGTCCAGGACCCGGTATAATGAGTTCAACACCCCGTTCTCTGCAAACTGGATGACAGTTCTCAAATGGGTGCTGGACCGGCTCGTATTTTCTAACATCCCATCCTATTACCTGATAACAGATGGCGGTCATTTGCCAGAGGAGAGCATTCGGTTCTTCGAAGTTGACACCCGGTGGATGAAGCAGTGATTGATGGAGCCTTGAGTTTAGCAAACTACATCGATCAGGAGGATGACAAAGTTCGAAAGGCTATCTTCCACGCCATCAATCTCTATCGTACAACACCAATCTCCCAGCTCAATAGTGAAAGACCACCATTGCCTATTTATGGATGCTATGTTCGGTCAGCCTTGATAACTCAGTTTCCTGATCTGAAGATTGAAATACGACTAGGCGGAAGGCCCATGGACTAAGAGGGGCTCCTCCTACTACGCCATGACATTGTCAATGTGGACACGATGTTCTACTTGTTTTCTAAACGCCATTCTGCGAGTTCCTGGGATGAGCTCTGGTTCACACAGCCCCTACATCAACAATCATTTGTAGCAGAAGCTGCAGTGGATGCTGAAAGTATCACGACGCCGTTCCGTAGGGCATATACGAATAATACATGAGAACAGGATGGAGATGATATCAATGAGCCTATGAAAACTTCCTTTTGGAATCGAGAAGAACGGTCCAATGAGTTGGATGGGCCCAGCATGTCTGGTGATCCCAATGACCCTGAAAAGGGGCCTGGGATCATTTATCACTGGACTGATTCCGAAGACTCATCAGTGAAGGTACGCCGATTGTCAATGGAGTATTATGCTCAACTATAGTTGGAGACAGCACAAAGCGAGATGGACGAAACTCGCTTCGATGATGACTTTGCAACATCTGCTTTGATGGCTTTCTAGATGAACTCGTTCGTGTGGAGGTTAAAGATCAACATCAACGGCCAAAGCTCACTAGCTACCCAGGTAGAGCGGGTTAATCCCTTCGCCCAAGAACCTCAGGCCTCAGTTTCGCTCCCGCTTCCTACACCACCTCAAGCTCTCGATAATCGTCCAAAGTTTGTATATAAAGTCCGATCTATGGATAATCCAAGCAACCGGCAGATCTTCATGACAAAGACCCCCAAATATCTCATCTTCAACGTCGTTATGGAAAGTGGCTGGGGAACATTGGATACGAAACTGGAGTACATCAGGCTCACTTTACCCTTTAAAGCGCCGCGCTCGAAGCGTCAGGCGAAGCCGCTTTGATGAAGTCATACTTTGGCCATGGAGCTTATATGCTCTCCAACGTTCGTTTCAACCAGTTAATCAGCTTCCACAAGACTGATGGAGTCAATACACACATTGTCATTAATTTGATATCCCGTAGAGTCACCACGGATAGCAGCACCCCAGGTGTGTGAGTGAAATATTGTCGAGAGCTCAGCTTCGTCTTGACAGGCGTGTATATCTACCGCTACGAAGACGAATACCGGCGAGTCTCGTATAACTCTAAAGTTGAAGAGAAATACAACGATAGATAGAGTCTAGAGACACCCAATATTGAGGAAGAAAATCTGCTCATACAGGTGGAGGAGGAGGCCAGAACTATGAATGAAGCCCGTGCTGCTTTCCTAAAATCCGCAGTACTATCATAAAAGCCCTTCGATCAACTCCAATCCTGGTATGACTCATTTGGCATTCCAGACCAGTTTCTCGGGCCGTTTTTATCAAATAGCCATCGCACTCCTTTTCTACTTCTAAATACCATATATAAATATATTATTTGGTAGGTGTTCTTAAACACCTATGTTTTTCCAGACGTTATGTAGAATATGTATCGCTGCTGCAATGCAGTCTAGCCTGACAAGCTAGTAAGGGGCAGTGTCGGCGTAGGCGTAGGCCCCATACGCCTTCATCCAGTTCCATACCTCCTCTATAGTGTTAAGGTCTGGTGAGCAGGGTGGCCAAAAAATGAGTAGAATACCTCCGTTCCTGCAAAATCTTGCCTAGTTTCCCCAGTATTATGTCCCAGCGCCCCATCTTGCATAAGAAAAGATTGATATCTTGATTTTCTAACTTTTTCTGATGTAGATAATTAGCTAATATAGGAATAGTATGTTCACGACATCTTTGAGTATTAATAGAACCCCGGGCTTTCTCCTAAAATAGATCAAGATCTTTAGATTTGCCATGAAAAAAACCCAAAACATCCAGCCACGACGGCGTGGTGGTGATATTCGAAGGCAGTCTTCATGGAGAATCACAGCTGGTGTACGAGTTATATAGATTCTTCTATGATATCCACCATTAGCTCAAATCTCACCAGTTCAAAAGACTTCCTTCCATTGCTATAGTGTCCAATTTACATGGTCTGATACTCAAGCTAAATGTATGCGCTTAGTAGGTTCAGAAAGAGGAGGTTTTCGAAAAGCTATACAGCAAGAATAGCCACGTTTCCTGAGTGCTCGAGATAAAGCGTTTCGAGATATACGAAGACTGAGATCTTGGATAACCTTATCATATGGCAGACGGCGGGTGCGCTTAGAAGATATTATAAAATTAATAGTATTATCTAACTCGGCATCTGAGAGCTTAGGTGGTTGGCCGCGTGTCTTATGTAGTGTATAGGTCTCAGACTAGCCTGTATATTGAACCTGCCGGTAGATAATACCTGTTGTGAATTGATGCTCGACCAGATAAAATATAGAACTTCAGATACGGAATAAATTCCGTGTAAGGATCAGTTTGAACTCTAATCAATCTGATGCTTAACCTGTATATAGACCCTCAGTCCTGCAGATGTAATGAACAATCAATCTTTCTTTGAACTACAACAGGTTATGAGCCCGGGAGCGATCTCTCGGGCTATATCTCTGGTTGCACAGACTATTCGGATATATATTTTCTACAAAACCTCCACAATTGCTACTTACTATTCCGGTTGAAGCCCCACTGCAATGGATTCCTAATTTAGCTCGTCGACCTCATCGTCCAAGTAGTAATTAATTATGCTATCTGGAAGCGGATCATGACCTCGGACCTAAAAGCCCGACAAGTTTGGCCGGTAGTATCGGGCGAGTTGGGATGCCCCGATTGCCTGTTCAAGTTCAGTAGTTATAATTCTAATTGTTGATTCTATTTCTACAATAAATTATGCCTTTAAGAATCTATACTGAAGAATTAAAAAAAGCTATTTATATGAATAGAATAGATCTAGATTAGATAATATTTAATATATTTACTCTTTATATTTTATCTTTCAGTAAGATAAAATAAAAAAAATTAGTTTATCCGTCTAATCATCTATTATATATATAATGGTGTAGTTTTAGTCTTATAGAAGAATCCTGTCACTTGTACTGTCACTTATACAGTCACTAACCTAGTTATTAGGAACCGTGTGGGTGACGGCCCGTCACCCACTTGTCACCTCGGGTTCGATAACTATGGGTTATTGGGAAGCGTGCGGGTGACAGCCCCCGCCACCGGGTCCGATAACTATCCGTATATCCGCTGCAAAGCATATGCAATGGGGGGATTGCGACGATCACCAGTGTCATCTCGATACTGCCAACTTCTTCGTGATCGGCGTGATCTTGTTAGAATGGCAGAGTGTTAAGTCTGTCTCTTCCCAAATCATCTCAAATCTTCTCGGCTAATCAGGGGCTGCTACTTCAGAGCAGTGAGAAGTCAGTTCAATTGTAAATATTCAGGGATAAAGCCTTTGGCATCAGGCGGAGATTCAGAATAAGATAAAGAAGCTACTTCTATTCAATTGAGACGTAAATTTTTTTGGTAAACTCATTTGATCCACTGGCGGGTTGACATAACGGTCAATCTAACAGATCCCAACAGCTGCCCTCCTATCCCCGAGCACGACCATGCAGCACCTATCTACCGGCACTCCCGGTGCTAAGTAAGTTTGCTGTTTTTTTGCTCGGGTCTGCCGGATGTGAACGATGTTGGCGGTTCCGGATCAAAGTTGCTAGAGTCTTTCTCTCCTAGAAGTATAAGAGAGGCCGAGCTGGACAATTTTCACACAATTCCTAGAAACAAGTCAAGCATCTCAAACCATACTTTTAAACCAAGCACTTTAATTCCACTATGATTCCAACCATTACACTCGAAGAGCATTTCGTCTCTGAAGCCGAGGCTGCTTCTGCTGGGCAGCCTCCGGCTATTGAGCTGTATGATGCCACCGCGCTTTGGCGAAAACTCCGAGACCTTGGCGACGAACGCATCAAGGACATGGACGAGGGAGATGTTAGTTTTCAGGTTATTTCGCACAACGCAGCTTACAATTCCTCGGACGCTGAAGTATGCCGCAAATCTAATGATGAATTATACGGAGCCATAACTAGGAACCCAACCCGTTTCGCAGGTTTTGCCACGCTTCCAATGGGCGATGCCGCCGCCGCCACTGAGGAGTTAGAGCGTTGCGTCAAAGAGTTGGGATTTCTTGGCGCCTTGGTATGCAATCATGCCAGAGGGGAGTTCTATGATGGCAAGAGATATCACCAATTCTTTGCAAAACTGCAGGAGCTTGATGTGCCTTTATACCTACATCCTACGAACGCCTGGAAGGATACCTCGGCTCATTATGAAGGAAATTACAGGCAGGAAGTTTCAATCGCTCTTGGGGGATATTTGTGGGGCTGGCACTCAGAAACAGGTCTACACTTTTTGCGCCTATTTCACGGCGGACTATTCGATAAATTCCCGAAGCTCAAGATTGTTCTTGGACACAACGGAGAGATGCTGCCATTCATGATCGACCGTATCAATAACTTCTACTCGAGACACCCTGACCAGACGCGCAGCTTGATGACAGTTTGGAATGAAAATATATGGATTACTACCAGCGGCATGTTCACCGTCACACCATTTGCTACGCTCATTCGCTCAACCTCGGTGGATAGAATTCTGTACAGTATTGACTACCCGTTTGAGGACAATAAGGATGGGCAGGAATTCCTCAAGAAACTCAAGAGGAGTGGCTTTGTTACCGATGAAGAAATGGAGAAGATTTGCTATAAGAATGCTGAGAAACTTTTGAATTTTAAGCTCAAGGCGCTAGAATAGCATCTCACCGGGATTGGTTTATGCAGTATTTAACTCTGGCAGCATTCTTGGGTGAATGCAAGGACCTTCTTTTTTTCTTTCATTCTTTTACAGTTATGTGTGAGGTTGTCTATTCTTGAGAGTTTGTTATGGTGAATAGCTTCGATGGTAGGTAGATAGGGCAATAGGCTCAAAATACAATTCCAGTCACTCATTAGCCACAATTTATCAGTCATGCTCACGTGTCTGCGTGTGTGTAAACCGTGATATATCTCTGTTATTAGTATTTTTTTTTTCTTTGGCCGTGCTGTGCATGCTCGCGTGTTTTCGACCATCCGCATCAATTCCGTCTAGTCTAGGCCCTTAAACCTGCACGCTGCAACGGTTTTTGATGCCATGTCTCGTCGCTATTTGGTACTCTAGGTTAATGTGAGATAATGATGTTGTAGAAAGCTAATTCATTCTAACTCTCAGAATCTGAGTGCTTAGATTATAGAGACTTGGGAAGCAAATCACTTCATTAGTAGTTGGACATATTGGTTGGTCCATTATTGACTTGGGATTTGTACTCCTTAGTTTCGTTTCGGCTGAATTTAGTGGAATAATCACGGTAGGCCAGTCGCGAATGTGGTTAACAATCGCGCTTTGCAAAATGTAGACGTGTTGCTAGCGTCCTTGAAAATACTTTAAGCAATCAATGATCTCAATGAACAAATATGCTCTGAACCAAAGACAGAATCTGTATCAGAATCAACAAAAACCTGTTTTACGCCACATGCTTTTTGCCGAAATCCTCCAGCCAAATCGTGACATATTGCAGGGATAGAATAGAAGGGGTGCTGGATAAATAATATATGACAGAGACAAAAATAAAAAATGAAATATATAATGAAAATAGAGAATTTTTATTTTTTATTTAGATTATTGATATATAAGCGTTCTGTCAATTCTGAGGCCCAAGCATGGTTAGAAAAAGACAACCTGAGCCGAGAGCTTTTCTAACTCTATTACAAGTTTTTCATTCCCATTTATATCTTATTAATTTTATTTCTGAGGCTACCGGATATGAGATGTTAAGTGTGAGAGCATAAGCTCGCTGATTGTGACTATATTTTACTGTATTTATCAGTGGTATATCTATTTTGCCTCATAGGCGCATAACTCGGACCCCTTAGCTAGTTGTCTCTTATGATTCTGTGATTTCAGCCAATTCCTTCTTGCTATCACTATAAATAACTGTGCAAATATTCAAGCTTGTATGTTGCATTCAGACACCCGTTGATTTGTTTTCCAAGGTAAACGTCTGCATGTGCCCGACCGCACTGGTATCCTCTTCTGATAACCCACCGGAGACTGCTAGCAACTCTTGAAAACTTTCAACAGTCATAGCATGCGTGCGGCGCGTCTCTATTAGGGAAATATCGACATATACAATCCAATCTAAACCTCATATTTTTACATAATTTTAATACTAACGTAATCGGACAGCCACCTGCCCAGGACAGCCACCCGCCCACTTGCTTCCGAATTACGCGTTCTATGTTGATATTGCAATTTCAACACACCCCCACTCCTCCAAGACAACCCCAATGGGCAAATGTCGCCCGAGGAGGCGAATTGGGAGGTAGCAGTGGATGGCAAGTTGTTAATTATGGGCGTAAGGTCTCTAAAGCGGTCTCTAAGGCCTCTATGACCCCTAGTGAGATGCGCCCTACCAGGGAGGGCAGTAGGGAGGACCGCAGACTTATCTTCTGCCGTGAGGGTGGCCCAGAGGCCTCCAAGGACACTAAGCAGGACATCTTATTGGAGCTGAATTGCAGGCTGGCCGTGGCCGGCTACCCCCCCCTTTATGAGGGTAATTGATGCAGGCTACTCTGATATAGAGGCCCTGATGGTCCTATTTAATGCCAGGGGAAGTGCAGAGCGCCTAGTCTCCTAATTCCACGCTGAGCTAGTACTAGCTTGTAAGGAAGCTGACCCTGTGGTTATAGTGGTTGAAGCTAATGAACAATGGCACCGCATTAATGTGCATAGCGTGCCTGTTGCCCGCTATGGGAGGGCACAGGGGATGGCATTAGCCTGTGGAGAAATCGAATTAGGTACTGAACACATGCTAATGTGTGACCCAGGCTGGTTTAGGCTCTTAGAAGTGATTAAGGTCTAGAGGCTATGAATCTCTATTATTGTTATAATATTAGGCACTTAGATAGGGCCTAAAGGGTCGTCCTAATTCAGGGCCTGTGCTTTGGGGGTTGTCGATATAGAGTAATCTCTTTTATTGAGGCTCTAGTAGAATCGGTCTGCCTCTGATACTGTGGTATAGGGCATATAGCCTTTAATGTATGTGGGTAGTGCCCCTTAAAGTTTCTACTCTGCGCCGGGGACCATAAGGCCCTGGAATACTGTTATAGGGTAGTGGACTGTTTTACTGAGACTAAGCCCTGTTCCTATACTCTGGTCAAATGTGTTAACTGTGGGGGGGCGAGCCGACTCTGACAGCTGTCCGCGGGTGCGAGACGCTTGAAAGCGCCGCTGACAGCGCCTAAGAGTGTGTATTGTGGTGTCTTTATTTATCGAAGTATAAGCGAGATTATTGGGGGGGCCTGAACCCCTTCAAATCGGAAAGAAGACCGTTGAGGGGGTTGACATGGACCCAACTGCCACCCTTAAGGACCTCTGGGGCCTCTAAACTAGACAATAAGCCGCTGAGGTAGCTGAGGCAGTCCAAAGTACATGGAAGCAATAATAGCACCTACGCCTCTCTGAATCAGATGAAAAGCTGCTAAAGTCACTCCAACAGACATTTCTAATGCTATGGAGGGAGGCCTCTGGGAAGGCTATAAAGATGAAGAAATGCTCATCGCGATAGTGTCTCTTCTGGGAGTGAGAGAGACACTATGGAGAAGGCTCTAGATCATAATATGATCCTTAGTATCAGCGGTTGGGTGATCTCTGCTGGTAGTAGCTGGTCAGATGCTTTCCCCGAAGCTCCAGGCCCTAAGAGCCTTCAGGCTTCGGATTAGGGGCACTAGCAGCTTTAGTAGTATCGATATATTCTACCTTCAGAGTAGATAGAGAGGGGTTTGAACGACTTATCTTTGCCTAACGCGAAGGCATACACCTTCGGCACGGCTTAACAGTGCAAGCATGCCTTAATATGTAATAGGCTTTCCACATATCGGAGAGATTCGTTTTGAACCTCCCAAAGCATTTTAACGAATATATGTGCAACTCATTGGACTTCACTATATCAGAAGCCTAGCTGTTCCTCATCAATACAAAGGTTCTGAGCGAATTCATAGTCACACTGATCCTCCCATTTTTTCGCATCATTGTATCGGCGTAGGGCGTCAATACGCATCGAATCTGGATCTTTAAATATGCGAAGGAGGTACATTTCGAAGTCCTCCCATAAGATATTCACCGGACCGCCACGTTCCTTTTCAAATAGCTTATACTGAAGGAATACTTTCTGGTCCAGACTGTCGAGAGCTTCGCCAACCTTATGTCTGGAATGCGCGTCGTACCAATCCATATAACTATCAAACCAGGACTTGGCACGGCTATAAAGGCTTCATATTCAGCAAAAGATTACCCAGTGTACAGCTTCGATACTTTGAGTCAGGGAGCACAGCCTCCGCCTTCATACGACCGCTTCCCTGATATTGTCGATAGAGAATCGGAAATCTCGCCACTAAGAGATTCAATCTATCTCCACAAGTGTAGAGCTTCGCAGCAAAGCTATACTATCTCTGCATCTTCCTTCAATCAGGCCACCAAGGCAAGCAGTTAATCTGGAGATAAGCCCTCCAGACCAGACTCCGACCTCTCCGCCGGTTCGGCTATATGATTGGCCATAGAAATCCCATATCTTAGAATATCATTCATATCTTCCCCAAAGGTTCTGGAAAAATCGCCGGGGCAGCAGCTTGCCTCGTGGTAAACATACCGCTACAGAATAAAGATAGATCACTTACTAGAAAAAATTCATCAGTTCGCTAACCTCTCCCCAAATGTCAGATAGAAGCGTTCAGAATGTCAAGAATGTTTATAAGAAGCAGGCACACCAGAGGGTGCAAGGCCGAATATAGGGATCAATTAGCATACAAACTGAACGCTTGAGATCCGAAGGGACGCTTATTAAGCTGAACTAGCGCACACACGTGAGAGGGAAGGCCGATACAGCGGCAGCCGGACAGCCCTCTCACATATATATGGCTGCAGATAGTTATAGATTATATAGTGTCTTAGCTAACTAATGTCTTGGCAGCGGTGCTGTAAGGTTCTCCAAAGGTGCCTCATTGGCGCCGAAGGCTTATAGACCTCTTATAACATGTAGGGCCTCACACCTATTATTAACAGATAATATCTATATATCTAGATCTTAGAAAAGAGGCTAGAATCCTATTAGCCTTAATAAAGATTCTAAATTAGTCTATATATATAAATAGCTTAAAATAAGAAATTCATTAATTTATTAAAATACTAAGCATCAGTTTAAAGTAGATAGTAAAGAGAATGAAAGGTTTAGACCCCTATAAGACCCCTTAGCGCCGACTGAAACGAGACTTTCATAGCTTATAGCTGGATAAGGTCGTAAAAATTGATTAAATAAATAATTGTTGGTCCTGGCATAGTGCCTAGCGTGATACTAACATTGTTAGTAAAATTAATCGTCAATACTAGAAGCGACGGCCTGCATTGATGAAAGGGATAACGTTCCCATACCCTAATATAAATGGGGAATATGGGCAATTAATAAATGCCCCTACTCCAGTTTGCCTAGCACGGCGGTAACGTTTGTTAGCAAAATTAAATGCGCCTACTAGTACGGACATTTTGCATTGATGATAGGCACCTTTTGCGGCTGTCCAATGAGCACGGTGTGCATTCCTCGCGAGCTGTGTTTCAGCGAGAGGCGGTGGGCTTTAAACCAGAAAACAATGCATTGAGTGGCGCAGCACGCCAGCTCGTTCGGTGGGCGGGATGTTGGGCTATGCCGGAATTAGACGATCTATGCTGCTATTAGTGGAATAAGAGAAGTGTGTTTGCTTAAATCGGAAGCATCTGGCCAATGTCAAGTGGGTTTGGAGTAGTGACGTGGGTGGGACCAAGGCAAGCAAGGGCTATCCAGGCTGAATTTTCGCTCGATTTTAGAAAGGATCCACGTCGCCAACTATCTGAAACTTAACTAACTTAACCATATGACCATAGTATGATTTATAAGCCACAACCCAAGTTTAAGTTTAGTTGATGCCAGTCATCATGTTAAAAATCCCCAGTGAGCTACGTGAGCTACGTTAACTATGACGAAGCCATGGATTTCTGGCAATTTAACTGATGAAGCTTTAATTTCCTTTTTCACTAGGTAGTTTCTAAGCAGAGCGGTAGGATTCCGCCTATATCACAACTGATCAAACGCCTATAAGAACCGGAGGATAGTCCATAATAATTTCATTGCTCGAGATCTATATCTTTAATTACTTTTTATTATCAAACCCTAGTCACCTGCATAGTGTTCATATATCAACAATTATGCGAGCCGTGGCATACAGTGTAATCTTTCAAGGGCTCAGCCTTGCAGTTTCCTTACCCCTAGCGGACTCTTTTCCAGGTCATGACTGTGTCGTAGACAATCGAACTTTGGACGAGATCTATGCGGCTGCGCAAAAGGAGAGCGGAGAGCTGACTGTCTTTTGGGGTGGAGATGGTAATTCTTGTATCCGTTTGCCAGTTTTGTTTAACATGCAAGCTAACTTGAGATCATAGAAATCAGTCAGGGCGACCCAACTATTACCGCATGGAATGCTCGGTTCCCCAATGTGAAGCTCAATTTGACCGTCGATGTCTCGAAGTACCTGGATAGTCGTATCGATCGCCAATTTCAAAAGACTGGCGATGATGGCGCTGACCTTGCCGTTATACAAACCACTCATGACTACAGCCGCTGGAAGAGAGAAGGCAGGCTGCTACCATATAAGCCTGCTAATTGGAATAATATCTATCCGGCCCTCAAGGATCCCAATGGGGCATTCTTTGGCATCTTCGTCTGTAAGTCACGACATTTGGGTTCTCTTGATTTAGCCTCCTTTTTGGAGTAAATAAGAAGTAACCATTTTATAACAGACCAATTCGGAAGCCTTATCTATAACAGTGACCGTCTCAACGAGTCCCAGCTCCCGAATTCTTACGCTGATTTCGTGGACCCGGCCTGGAAGGGGAAGCTGGTTCTCACCTACCCAAACGATGATGATGCCATTGGGTACCTCTTCTCAGTTCTCATTGACAAGTATGGGTGGGAATGGTTTGAGACTCTCTCACAGCAGGATGTTCAATGGATTCGTGGTACAGGACAGCCGACAGATGTTGTTGCTAAAGGTAACACCACCCGGGTGCTGTCCTTCACGTCAAACTTGACTGGTCCAAAGAACCTCGCCAGCAAGATTTTGGATGTACCACGTGTATTGTGGCCACAGAGAGGTGCCATTTTTTCTAGCACAAAACGCCCGGAAAGTGCGAAATTATTCCTAAGCTGGCTGATCAGTGATGAGTTCCAGCAAGGACTAGCGTCTGAGGGACGGTATTTGTCTGTGAAGAATCTTAACTCCACTTCAGGGTCCGTGTGGAATGAACCGAACACTGGTATAACTCAGTTTGGCACCTTCATGGAGGATCGAGCCAATGTAGAATGGTGGAGATTTCAATATGAGACGACCATTGGGACGGCCCAGGGCGTAAGTCCTATCCTTTCAGTGTAAGGAAGTAGGACTAGCCTCTAGGGACCAATACCTCAATGAGAATTTGAAAGTTTCAAACAGTGGTCAACAACTCGTCACTGAATCGAAGACCACAGTGAATATTCTGCTAACAATAGAGGAATCATAAGGTCAATATCAAATAATAGAGTACTATTCGCAATGATAATAAAAAGATCCTTTGTCATCTGTTGAGGTTTATGCTACAAATGACAAAATACATCTTATTACATATGTGAGGAAGACTTTGTAAACTTCCATGTATGTAATGGATTACGTAAATCAGATGCCCAAAGTTATATCCATATATTACCAAGCTTTCTCTGGCTAGTTGAATGTCATTTCAAAGCTCCTTTAATTTTCTAACTTCCGCTAGCGCCGTTCTTGCTACCATACAATTTCTCATTGTAGGGGTACGAGGCAAGCGCATCAAAGAACAAAGCTGCAGCATCAGAAATAATTCCTCCACTGTCTAATGAAAAACCAAATTTGATTTACAATCAATCTGGACTTCATGTTGTATATATTTTTATAATCTCTTACGCCTCACTGGAAAGAATAATTAATCAAACTTTCCTTTGGCCTACAACAATCATAAAGGGAGCTCCGTTTGACATAATCTCGGTGTTAAATCACTTAAAGATCACTCTGAGAAGAGAATAGTGAGTAAGGATCTCCACTTTATAGGCAAATTCTCAAGGTACCTCACAGCGGAACAATAACGAGGCCAATTAACCCCGGAATTTTCGGCAGCGTCAATCCACGGGGTAGTGAATTCTCACACGGTCGACCCTTCTCCATCCGGATACAGGATACATGCTTGTGTAAAACTATTACCAAAGTACGGCAAATGAGATTTTTTCTTGTAAGATGACTCGGCTACTCTTTATACCATAGGTTTCTGGGAATTTGTTCGACTCATTCGCTCATATTTCAGCTGTTTTGGCACTGTTATTTTGGAGAGATAATAGGTCGGCCCTCTCTCGGGGACCTCCATCCATCTATCACGGCTTACTGCCGTAGCCATGGCAAATGAGATTTGGATGGGAACATTACTGACATCTTGGTGTTTTCTCATCACATTTTCGTTTTCGGAGACGACGGGTCCAACAACGTGTTCAGCTTCATGATTCCGTCACGATTACTAGATTATTGTAACTTAGTCAGGAGTACTTGATAGTGCAAACTTTTTAATGTTTTTAAAGGTTTTATGGGATAAGTAATAATTTCATCCCTACTCCTCAGCTGCGATAATTATTAAATCCTTCGCTGTAACCTTCATTGTAGCTTACCATGACAAGCTTGTATCTTTTACTACGGTTGACCCCAGTGATTTTATTGGTGTCATGGGTCTCGCAGCTATGCTGTATAGTGAATATAGGGCCTTCGTCACAGTAAAGTCTCTCCACTATGACGTAAATCAGACACAGAAGTTGGCCGGGCATGGATTCGCAAATTTGCATGATCCCTGTATAGCTTGAGAATAAGAAACGTACTAACAAAATCACCGGCGTCAACCATAGTAAGCTAAAAGTCAATAATGATAGCGAAATTAACGAGAATTAGCGTACTCCCGAGTTTGCGAGGATATCCCAGACCAATCGGGCTAGAAATCTGTCAAGTGAAAGAATACGTAGCATGCCTGGTGTAATGGCCAACTTGACATCTGGAAGTCTCAGGCCACTAAGGCGGCTAGGGCTTGAATAAACAGGGCATGTGCCACTGCAAACCGAAGCCACAAGGTCCTAAATAAATAATGTGTTGGACCTTGGATGCGACCTCAGCTCGCTGTCTCACCGATCTCCCTTACATTAACCACCAAGTCCCTATTCTTATCCTGTTGGTTGGTCTTTGTCTGAGACACGTTTCCTTCGAGCCGATGTACACCTGATGCCTCATAACACGTGGCCTTGTACTGGTTATCTAACCGTGATAACACAGCTAGGGTGGTGATATAAAACCAATTCGTATGAGGCTAAGTGTAACAAGAATCGATAATCTGTAGCTAGTAGATGTAACATAATCGGTAAACGAGTGGCCACTGCAACCGAGCTGTCACTTCCAATACACATATAAAATAGCAATTTTTAGGCTCTAATAATTCAACAATATTCTTAAAAATGATATTCGAAAATTATCAATAACATAGAATATATATTAATTTTCATATATTTAAAGATATAGAAAATAATAATTAATAATTATCTAAATTACATAGATATCTAAAATTACAATGTAATATTTATAAGATATTGTAACAGGGATAGACCCAGGGAGCATGTTCAAGCCTAATCCGGCAGGACCGGGGGGCTCAGGGATACCCCGGGGTCAATTGTGATATATCACAATTGATATCATAAGACCCCGGGCATGATGCCAGTACCCCTCACCTCGCTATATATGCCTTTATCTAGTTAGATTAGGTATCAATGTGTCAAAAGTTGTCAACAACTCGTCTCAATATCGGAGATATTAGAGGATATTCTGTTAACACAAGATAAAAGAGTAATATAAGATCAATATCAGAAAGCTATCTATCAAGAATGATAGTAATAGTAAGAAGATTATTAAATACTAAATAGTAGTATGCTATTTGAGATGAAGATAAAAGACAATCAACTAAATACATGATAGTAAATGAGTGTCTATATATACTAAAGGATATTGAAGCCATGCTTCAATATCTAGAATCATTACTTCACTATATAGAAGCCATACTTCTATATATCGAAGCCCTGCTTCATTGGATCACATGCTTAGCGTATGCTAGAATCAGGCATCAATACACAATACTCATATTACTGCATTAATAGCTAGGCTGGAGACATAGCCGTTTTCAGCATCATTCCCACAATACATAATTGTACTCAATAACAATTTCGTTCATTATTGCTTAAATCTTGTTGGGTGCTTATGTAATAGCGTCCGCTATAACATTCATTGGCTGTGACTTATCGATTCTTGTGACACAATGACCTGAGATAGGGATTCAGGCATATAGGCTTGGTTTCCCACCCGGAGGGAGGAAACCAAGCAATATCTTTTGTATAATCTTTGATATAACTTTCAATATAAGCCTTCTCTAACTATATAACCTAAACCGATAACTCCCTCCCTAGTAGCATTGCTCTATAGCATCGATATCAATCGGTGAAGCTTCAACTCACCCACATCGAGTCTATCCAGACACCCCCGGACACGGTCCTGCCAGACCGTGTTACAATCTTTAAATTCCATTCTCACTACACTGAAATTAACAATATATGCGTATTTATAAAGCTGATAGCTTAGACTTAGCTGAAATAGTAATATCAATTTAAGATGTTTTAATCTAATCTTATATAAGTACCTGAGCTTTTTCTTTAATAATTCTTTATTTATAAAATATCTATTTTCTAGATTATCTATGTTTTCATTTATTTTTTTTATATATGTGAGGCCTGGCAGCAGCGAGAGCGCTGCAGGCTCACAGAGGCTTATAAGCGTGCCAACCCTGGAATTGGGCAATGGCCCAATTACCTCAGTATTACTTTTTGGCATTTAGAGGTTGGCAGTGCCAAGGAGCCTTACAATATATAGCCAATAAACCAAAACTTTTTTTTATATAATAAAAAGCTTATTAATATTTATTTTATAAGTTTTTAATATCTAATTAATTATTTTATTAATAATTTTAAAGAAGCTCTTTATATGTTAACTTATTTATTTTTTAATTATAGTTAATTAATGCTTAAATTAATATGGATTTTAAGATATTTATGTCAAAAGTTGTCAACAACTCGTCTCAAGATCGAAGATCTTAGAGGATATTCTGCTAACACACGAGGAAAGAGTATTGGGAGATCAATATTGGAGGGCTATCTATTAAGAATGATAGTAATAGTAAGTAGTCTGTTGAGTACTACATAGTAGTATGCTATTTGATATGAAGATTAAAGACGATCAACTAAATATATGATGGCAAATGAGTGTCTATATATACTGGGGATATTGGAGTTTATGCTTCAATATCTAGAATCGCTTGCTTCTACACCCAGAAACATCTGCTTCGTCAGGTCATGTGATCGGGCGTATGCTGGAATTAGACATCATTTCGTAGTACCAACTATTACTGTACCAATAGTTGTGGCACAGTGAAAGCGTAGCCGCTTTCAGCCTTGTTTCCTTAATATCTGATTGTACTCAATAATAATCTTGTAATTGCTCCCTGCTGCTCCCTGAGCAATCCCCACTTAGTGCCTGTCGTTTGCACTTGTCTTATATATATATGGCGCGTATATATATTCTTATTGGGTGCTTATGTAATAGCGTCTGCTATAACTAATATTCATTGGCTGTGATTTATCGATTCTTGTGACAATTTATAAATAAGATGATTAAATATTATTTAATCAATTTAAAAAAAAAGATTAGAGTTTTTAATTAAATAGTAAGCTATTAATAAACTTAATCTAGATTAAATAGTACTAATCTAGTTACTATAAAGTTATTCTAAATAGTGTTAGCTTTATATATTATTATATAAACCTTTAGAAATATAATAAGAAAGTTAATTTTATTAATATAATTAAATTTAAACTTTATTTATTATTTAATAAGCTATCATTGTCAAGGTGCGGCAGGCGGATGGGATCGAGGATTGACGATTGACTGGTCAGACCAGGCGGACGGGCAGACAGACAGGGCTGGGTGCAGAATTAAGGACAAGACGTAGCTCAAAGAGCTACAACAGGATTCTTGCAGCTGGATAGCTTTTATTGGAGTCGCACTAAAATGCAACTATGGTTACATTCGGTTAGACCAGGGGAGTAGGTCGGCGGGTTGGACAGGCGAGCTGGCACCGTAACAATCATATTGTTATTTTAAAATAATAAAATAGCTGACATAAAAGACTGTAAAAGATGAGAGAAGTATAGAAATATATAGATTAGAATAATATTATTCTTAGTATATATATAGTCAAATTTAATAACTAAATAAATTTTATAGCTATTAAGAATAAGTATTTAATATCCTTCTATTTTTTAATTAATAATATAAAAAATAAAGTGATATTTAAACTAATATATTCTAATATTATTTATTATCTATCTAGTATTATTAATAATGATTTTTTAATTAATTAAAAAAATATTAAATCAGTTATATTATATAAATTTTATAGCTTTAAAAATTATATATAAAAATAAAATCTATTTAAAAGAATTAACTATTTTAATTATAGTTAGATTTTATGTTTAAAAATATATTAAAATCTCTTTAAATTTTGATGAAATAGATAGATAAATAATATAAAACTTATAATTAATTATTTAAATTATAATTTTTAATCTGATTTTTGAGATATACTAAAAGATAGATACGTAATGATGAATATTAAAGAATAGATACAGATATATATATATTTTTTCAGATAAATAGCCTGTATAATATAAACCAAAAAATATATATAAAAAATAGAAAAGATATTATTGCCACCTGAATAACTTTTAGATTATAACTCAAATATTAAGAATTCATTATAATATTTATAAAAATATCCAAAACAAAGTCCTAATTCAAAAAAATAGAATTCAATTATGAAAAGCTGCTTTGGAAATGATTATTTAATTAATAATAACTAGTTGTATGGATATAAAACTATAAAGGATTAGGGTTAATCCTAAATTTATTAGTATTTTTAATGGAAATCCACTAGGATTCAGATAGATAAAACCAAATCGAAAAATCTAAATTGAACCAGACCCAAATGGGCCTCAAAAAACCATATGGTTCTGGATTTGGTGAACTGAACCACTTCGGTTCACTATATATAGGACCAGAACCGGACCATTCGGGTTTCATTTCGGGTTTGGTTTGGTCCGAACCGAACCAAATGACAGCCTATTAGCAGCACAAGATATAATTACTAAAGATATTAAAAAGGTTATAGCTACTATAAAGTTTAAACACTTTAAAATAAGCTTTGTATTAATCAATGAGACTTATAAACTTGGTTTAAATCTTTAGAACAGTGGGCTATTAAGATTGAGATAAGTAAGGGCTATATAATCCAAATTCTTTAATGATCAAGAGATAGATAAAGCTACTCAATCATTAGAAATTGGACCGGTATCCAGTCTTAGTCCATCTATTCCTATTCTCCTTATGACAAAAATGGTGATAATAGTTGTATTTTGTACACTATGGAGGGGATTGTAACATTTCACATATAGCTTGGTCCAGATTATATCGTCGATATCTACAAAGTATCTAATGAAATGCACAGGGTAGTATCTACCTTGCATTTGCAGACATAACCTCATTTATTCACATTTACCGTAGACAAATACATTACTTCCTTCCCTAAATCACAAAGCTTCTCCAGCCTTCCTTCTCAAATACTCTATGACGACGTCTGGAACTACCAACCACGGTGTATGCGATGTCTTGACTTTGTCGGTGACCACGTGCCCGCCGTTGCTGCGCGCTTTCTCAACCATCAGCTCCTGCACAAACAGGGGGATTGCACGATCATCTTCACACAGAAGATAGGATGAAGGAATAGCAAGATAGGCAGCGCTAGTGGCGGGAGTATTCTTCGTAGCCCAGGCATGAGGGCGCAGAGATTCGGCCCACTTCTCAGCATCCGGGACATCATGGAAGAATAGATGGACTGGATCGCGGGCTGAGACGGTACCATTTGTCTCCTATTACCCGAATTAGCTTCTTAGTCGTCCAGCATAGCAAACTGTCTACTACGCATTGATGCACATACATCACGAATATACCAATCAGGGGGCGTGCCCCCAAAAGCTCCAATAAGACTCTGTCCTATTTCTGGAATAAACGCAGAGATGAAGGCCAGATGAACTACACCGCCAGCCTTGCCTTCTTTCTCACGGCTAGCCTTACTGAGGCCGTCCAGTGCGCTGTTCACGGGCAAACCAGACCAGCTGTGGGAGACGACAATTACATCCTTTCCTGAGTCAGCCTCGGCTTCCACAAGGCTTCGGACGGCTTTAATATCCTGCTGGAGGTCCTGAACAGCGGGTTTCTGCTGAACCGAGGGGAAGGCAACCGTATGACAGGTATAGCCATGGGGCCTAAGCTTCTCAATGATAGGGTCAAAGGCGGTGGGAGGGTACCAGGCACCAGGAGCGAAAATGAGAGCAGGCTTACCCATTGTAATTAGTGATGAGAATGGAATGGAATGTAGATAGAGCACAAAGGAAGAACGTTAGATTTTCGGACTTTTTGAGTTGGGAGGTCTAATACTGTAACGGCCGGCTAGGGCTCGGGTAAGCGCGGCACGTGCCCCACACGGGCTATCTAATTACAATGTGCATGGCTGTATATAATTCCTTTCTTATATTTAGAATTCTAGTTTAATACTATTATAGATTTAGATTTATATTAATTATAATATAATTCTAAAATATTATTTCAATTGCTTTCTTTAGTATATGTTGTGCTGGTGAGTGATGCGTCGAAATCCGTGTCTAGCCAACTGTAGGCTGTTACGCACCTGGTCTCATGTTACAAAACCAACATACATGAGGCTAAGGATAACCTAAGCCATTTAAAGGCAAACAGTCCTTATGTTACTGTCAGATTAATATGGGTAATTTTGCAAGGCTCCGATTGGCCGCCAAGTCGACTTCGACTGGGCGAGAACAAGGCCAATTAGATATAAACACGTTTTATAGTGAGGGGCTTAAATTCTTTAAAATTAAAAATAATTCCTTTAGTAATTTAGAAGCAAGTTTGTCCAAGATAAATAATTAAGAAAGTTATAATTTTATCTTAATTTATTCTAAATAATACAACACTAGGACAGACCGTCAATCATTAACTAACTAATATATTGGACAGGCTATAGCTGTAAGTATAATATCTGATTATCCCTAAATAAGTTTTAAATATGTAGAAACCTATGGAGAAATATAAGGCTTAATACTATCCCTAATAGTGTTACAGCAATTAGTTAATTAGCCTGCAATGCTTTTATCCCCATGTTTGCTATTAATGTTATGTAGTAGTCTAATTGTAACACGGTCTGGCAGGGCCGTGTCTGGGGGTGTCTGGATAGACTAGATGTGGGTGAGTTAAAGCTTCACTGATTGATATTGATACTATAGAGTAAGACTATTAGAAAAAAAGCTATTAATTTAGATTATATAGTTAGAAAAAGCTTTAAGCTGAAGACTATTTAAAGTTAAATAAATTTAATATTAAAAGTTATATTAAAGATTATATAAAAATATTACTTGATTTCTTTTCTTTAGATAGAAAATTAAGTCTATATATTGTAAGGCTCCTTGACACTGCCAACCTCTAAATGCCAAAAAGTAATACTGAGGTAATTGGGCCATTGCCCAATTCCAGGGTTGGCACGCTTATAAGCCTCTGTGAGCCTGCAGCGCCTCTTGCTGCTGCCAGGCCTGACACTCTACCCTCCCTAAAAGGCCCTTCTCTTGAGGGGCGCCTCTCTCTAGAGGCGCTGCTTTGCACGCTTCCTAGGGACTGCTTCCACGAAGTGAACCACGCTTCGGAGCTTCCTGGGGACTAAAGGCCTTATAAGCTTATACTTAAAAGACTCTTTGGAACCGTCTTTTATAGGGGGCAGGAGTGCCAGACTTGCCGAGCAAGATTAGGCTTTGACAACCCTATCGCGCAGTTCCACACCTGCGGGAATCGAATCAGGGGCCTCTAACGTCCCTAATGGCCCAATTACACTGTAAGGCTCCTTGACATATATCTAAGTCTTTATCTTAAATTATTAATATTTGATCTAACTAAATAAAGGTATATATAGCGAGATGAGAGATTAATATTATATTTAGAATCTTATAGTATCAATTATAATATATTATAATTATTTAATATAGAAAATCTTAATTCTATCTGAGTCTTTATATAGTAAGTGTATTACTTATGTTTAGAAATCTTTATATAGGGCCGGCCTTCGTGGTCAAAAGCTGAATAAATCCTTTGCTCATAAAATAGAAATGTAACAGGGATAGACCCAGGGAGCATGTTCAAGCCTAATCCAGCAGGACCGGGGTGCTCAGGGATATCCTGGGGGTCAATTGTGATATATCATAATTGATATTATAAGACTCTAAGCATAATATTAATATTATTTACCTCGCTATATATATCTTTATCTAGTTAGATTAGATATTTATGATCTAAGATAGAAACTTAGATATAGGCTGTCATTTGGTTCGGTTCGGACCGAACCAAAACCGATCTGAAACCCGAATGGTCCGGTTCTGGTCCTATATACAGCGAACCGAAGCGGTTCGGTTCACCAAGTCCAGGATCATATGGTTTTTTGGGGCCCATTTGGGTCTGGTTCGGTTTGGGTTTTCGGTTCGGTTTTATCTGAATATCTGAATACTAGTGGATTTCCATTAATAATAATTATATAATCATTTCCGAAGCAGCTTTTTATGAATTGAATTCTTATTTTTTGAATTAGGACTTTGTTTTGGATATTTTTATAAATATTATAATAAATTCTTAATATTTAGATTATAATCTAAGAATTATCTGGATGGTGATGATACCTTTTCTACTTTTTATGTATATTTTTTGGATTATGTTGTATGGCCAATGGTTAATCTATCTATCAGAGAAAATATATATATATATTTCTGTACCCGTTCTATGGTATTCATCATTATCTATCTATTTTTTCAGTATATTTCAATAATTAGATAGAAAATTATAATTTAAATAATTAATTCTAATTTTTATATTATTTATTTATCTAATTCACTAAAATTTAGAGAGATTTTAATATATTTTTAAGAATAAAATCTAACTATAGTTAAAAATTCTTTGATACGGTTCGGTTATCTGAATGAAAACTGGACCAGATTCGAATCGATCTAACCATAATTAGTAATTCTTCTTTAGCGTGGTTCGGTTTCGGTTTAGAGAGCTAGAACCGTTCGGTTTTTGGTTCTGGTTCCAATATTAGAGACCAAACCGAACCGACCCACTTTTGGGTTTGGTTCAGAAACTCAGGACCAGAACCGAACCAAATGACAGCCTACTTAGATATATAAGCTTAGTTTTTTATCTAAAAAAAGAAAATTAAATAATATCTTTTATATGATCTTTAATATAACCTTTAATATAAGTCTATTTAGCTTTGAATAATCTTTAGCTTGAAGCTTTTTTTAATTATATAATTTAAACTAATAACTTTTTTTCTAGTAGCTTTACTTTATAGTATCAATATTGATTAGTGAAGCTTCAACTCACCTATATCTAGTCTATCCAGACATCCCCGGACACGGTCCTGCCAGACCGTGTTACACTATACCACACCCAAGAGGGGTACTGAGCTTTATGTCACAAGAATCGATAAGTCACAGCCAATGAATGTTATAGCAGACGCTATTACATAAGCACCCAATGAGATTATATATATGCGTTATATATACATAGGATAAGTGCGAAAGACGGACACTAAGTGGGAACTACTTAGAGAGCAGCAGTGATCACGATTGTTATATAGTATAACTAGGTATTATGTATTAATGCCTTATTTCAGTATATACTAAGCACGTGACCTCTCAGAGCTAGGATATGAAATGATCATATCCTTAGATATAATATCCTGTACTAAAGGCTTTGAAGGAGTATATTTATAGATATATTCTATTTAGTATATATAGACACTCATTTACTATTATGTATCTAGTTAATTATCTTTTATCTTCATATTAAAATAGCATATTACTATTTAGTATTTAATAATCTTTTTATTATTACTATTATTTTTGATAGATAGCTCTCTGATATTGATCTTATACAATTCTTTTTTCTCTTGTGTTAGCTGAATATCCTCTAAGATCTCCGATCTTGAGACGAGTTGTTGACAACTTTTGACACTTTACTCAGAAAGAAATCAATCTAGGCGCCCCCTATACATTAATACGTACCCTAGGGTGGTTTAAATCTCTGAAGAAGATTAGAAAAAATGGACTAATCTACTCTATAATTGTTATTACCCTAGGCTTCCTAGTTGAGGCTTGAAAAGTTATCTTCTAGAATCTACGCTTTGAGGATAACTGCTACAAGGTAAATCCCTATATCGAGGCTCAAGTGAAGTCAGTCTATTCTTAGTGCTGCGGCATCGATCATAAAGCCTTTATGGCGTGTGAGTAATATCCCTTCCAATGTTATAATCTAAGGTATGTGTGCATTCTGGTTATATGTGGAAGATTGTTCTATCGTACATAAAAGGGACCTAGGGCTCATATATATAGCCAAAGGTATACAAAGAACATCTATCTATAGCCTGAAGGGTTTCACTATGGTGAAAGCCCTTCAATCATGACACCCAATGTGTGCTCTACATGGGCGATCACGAGACCTCGGAGTATCGCTATAAAGTAGTAAACTGTTATGCTGATACTAGGTTCTATATCTACACACTAGTTAGATATGCCAACTGTGATGGAAATAATTACGTCAACTCAGATAGCTGTTTTAAGATGTGAGATGTTTAAAAGTGCTATTATTAGTGCTTATAGAGGCGTCTAAGGGTGGTGATTAAGATACCCTTTATAATGAAGGTAAAGGTAAGAATTTAAACAGCTAAAGGCCCTAATAAAACCCTTAAAGTAGTCATTATAGTGGAAAAGGCTGTTATAGAATACCTAAACAATATAGTAAAACACTCTAAGCACTCTAGGATCTACTAAGGCAGGTAAAAGGCTACAGTAGCTTTAAAAAGTGTTATTAAAATTGCCTCCAAAGCTACTCCTGATATTGTCACAGGGAACACCCTAGAGACTGCTATTGAGATCCCCTAGGAGGGGTTCAGGGATGAGGAGACAGAGGCAGCCGCAGTGCCCCTTCCTGCCAACGATGAGGGCATGGAGGACACCCCAGAAGCCCAAAGCGAGCCTGGTGCCCCCCGAGCTCCCGGCCCGACTACCCCCGCCAATGTTTAATTTACAGCATAACTGCGCCAGATCGTATACCTATGTTATAGACATGCTATAACGCGCGCCCTGGCACTCGGTGTAGAGATTGTATATCTACAAGAACCCCCTAATCAGTGACTTTAGGCACCCTATCTTTATTTTTTATTAATCAAGTGTTTCACAGAGTGATCAAAGAGAATTCATAGCTGTATGCTAAGATATAGTAGATAAGATTAGAGTAGAGACCTAGATCAACCTAATACACCATCTCTATATCCAGATAGTCGATGTATTAGAGCCTTTAAATAGCAGCACTTAGAGATATATCTAAATGGTCAACTGGTATAATATTGTTTGAACTGAGATTAAGTATAGTAGGATCTTTTTCTTATTATTAAAGATAGACCATAAAGGATGCTAACTAATTAAATATTATAAAGAATTGATATTTAATTTTAGAGGACTTCAATATTTATAGGTTAAAATAGAACTCTCTATGATCTTTTCTATAGATTACCTGTCTTTAGAGACGCTTATCAAAATCTATAATCTAGAAGTTAATTATAGTTTAGAGAAATATATAAGATTCTATGATAAAGATTATAAATGTCTTTCTATAATTAATTTAATGTTTATTACATCTTCTTTAGAGCCTTTAATAGGCCAAGAAATAGAGGAGAATAAGCTAATTGGTTTAGACTATATATTTATAACACTGGCTTAGAATCCTTTGGAGGATGTTCTAATAGATATTTTTATAGAGATAACAGGCTAACACATTGATGCCCTAGAGACTGACAAGGAAGCCTTAGAGATTGTTATAGTAGAGTGATATAAACATACACAAGTATAGAGACTCTCTAGGAGATAACTGAACTGAGGAAGATCTCATTATAGAGATAAAGTGGATATAATAGATATTAATAGACCTTCTAGAAAATATGCTAAACCAATTCGACTCTGCGCACGCTCTAAACGGTGGTAGAATAACTTCCTAGACGACGCCCAGAACAAGTACACCCGGATGCACCGCCAGTGACAAGCCAGAGAGTGTCTCAACGCCCAATATAGAGAGGCCAGACAGGCCTACTATGTAGCAAATAGGGCCGCTAAGCACCAGTGTTGGGAGGCCTTCCTTAGGGGTGATTCGGACGACGCTGACGCTGACCGTTGCTGGGCAACACTGCGATACACCAAGCCAAATATCTGCGAGCTTGGAGCCACCCCAATTAATGCTTCAGGTATATGGGAAAGACGGTATAGCCAGCATCGACGCGAGATATTATGATTTAGAAATGCGGTTAGTACTGTTGGTCGCTTTTGATTTGGGTTGAATCGGTGTTTCAACAGAGTGTTTCATGTGCAGTCGTATCACAAATCCAAGCGAGATATTATAATTTAGAAATGCGGTTATTACTGTTGGTCGCTTTTGATTTGAGGTGAATCGGTGTTTCAGCAGAGTGTTTCATGTGCAGTCGTATTGCAAATCCAGGCGTTGCCAGTGTCACCCGCGACAAGAGGAAATACACAGACTTAGCTTCCCCTTCCAGATGTGGTCTTTGTGAGTCTTTTCGTCCTGCCCGTTCTGGCGATCGCGTGTGCTCCGTAGCTGGTCGTGATTCGTAGCAGTTGTATTAATCAGTGGGATGCGGATCCTTTCCGCCAACTGCCCGCCGCCCACTGCTGGCTTCAAACGTTGCAAATTCTCACGATGCCTTTGCTTTGTCTCTCTGGTTGAATATAACGTGAGACATTATCGAATAATGTGGGATGGCCGCTTCGTTTCCAGCCAATGCGCTTGACCAGTCATTACCATGCCAAGCGATCCTAGACAATGTCACCTTGAGGTTTTGGATAGAAGGATCACACCAATGCTGTACGATCGTGTAGCCTCCCCCAAGCCCTAATCATCTTCTTACTGCAAATTAGCGATCCTAACTGTGGATTCTACTATCGATAAACATATATGCTCTAATCATGCGCCTTTTTTGTTTGGCTGACTGCTTTAAGGCTGTCTGCTAGCTCTAAAGCCTCCTCTCCCAGTTCTTCACACAAGGCACTGCCCCATAGACATAGATAGAATTGGGTGTTTATTGTGTGCTCCGCTGGTTGGGATAATACTACTGTTAGTTCCCCCCATCAGAGTTACAATCCATATCGATAGCCCTAAAACGTCTCAGTAGCTGGCTTAAATATGAGTGACTCATCCTTTTCTGAGTTACTTTTTTTCTTTCTACTTATCGCGCTGTGAACAAAACTCCTAAGATGACTCGAATTATTTCTTTAACTGCCCTGGTGGCAGCTCTTGCTACGTTCAGTGCAGCTCGCCCGTCCTCTCACACCCACGCTGTCCACGAAAAGCGTGGTGCCATCTCTGCTCGCTGGAGCAACGCTATGCGAGTCAGGTCCGATGCTGATATGCACGTCAAGATTGGCTTAAGACAGAGCAATCTTCACCACGGCCACGACATATTGATGGATGTGTAGGTGAAAATCTTACTCTGTATGTGACTTATAGCTAATAAAAATCCTAGATCCAACCCCTCTTCCAAGAACTATAGAAAGTTTTGGACTGAGGAAGATGTTCATAACATGTTTGCTCCATCAGATGAGTCTGTAAGTGCCGTCAAGCACTGGCTCGCTGACTCTGGAATTCACGATATTCGCATCACGCACTCTGACAACAAGGGCTGGTTGGCCTTTATTGCTTCTGGCGACGAGCTTGAGAATCTGCTACACACAGACTTCTACGAGTATATTGACTCCGAGACGGGTGACAAGGCTATTGCCGCTGAGCAGTACCATGTCCCCAAGCACATACAAGGGCACATCGATTACATCACTCCTGGTATCCGCCTGCCATACCTCAGGAAGCGTAGTAACGTCAACAAAATATACAAGCCGGCTCAAACTCGCCATGTCCCTAAATTCGCCCCCATGAGTGCTAACACTATCGCCTGCGACAAGCTTATTACTCCTGACTGTGTGGCTGCACTGTACAATATTCCTAAAGCCACAGTTACCCCTTCACCCAACAACTCGCTCGGTATCTTTGAAGAGAACGACTACTATACCCAGTCCGATTTAGACAGCTTTTTCACACACTTCCCTTCCTATAAGATTCCTAACGGCACTGCCCCTACTCCAGCTTTCATTGACGGCGCCAAGGCACCCGAACACTTCGGTGGTAGTGAGTCCAACTTGGACTTTATGCTCGCCTATCCTATTATCTATCCTCAAAATATTACTCTGTACCAGACTGATGATCCTTACTACGCCACAGGCTCCCACTCTCAGGGATACTTCAATACTTTCCTGGATGCGATCGATGGTGTATGTTCTGCTCAAGTTTTGAAATGAATCATTTGCTATAGAAATCACTGATTTGAATCTAGTCCTACTGCACATCATGTTATGCTGGCGAGTGCGGTAATGATCCTCTTGATCCTATTTACCCGGATGTCAACTCTACTAGTGGCTACAAGGGCAAGCTTATGTGCGGTGTCTATAAGCCTACCAACGTTATCTCAATCTCTTATGTTGGTTCTGAGGACTCTATTCCTCGGTACTACTATGAGCGTCAATGCAATGAGTAAGTTGTAGCACGTCTCTTGGCGACAGGCAGAACTTAATCAGTGTGAAGATTTATGAAGCTTGGTCTCCGTGGTGTGTCCGTCTTCTTCGCCTCCGGAGACTCTGGTGTCGCCTCTCGCAATGGCTGTCTTGGAAACAACACCATTTTTAACCCAGAAAGGCCTGCTAGGTGAGTTCATGTTCCTTATCTGATCTATGTCTAGATATTCTTAATACATTTTTAGCTGCCCTTATATCACCAGTGTTGGTGCTACTAAGCTTCCTGAGAATCGTACAGTCAATGATCCCGAGGTCGCTGCCAACGACCCAGCTGGACATCCATATATATCAGCCTTTGCCTCAGGTGGTGGTTTCAGCAACGTCTTTAGCATCCCTAACTATCAGGCTGATGCTGTTGCCAAGTATGAATCTTTCTATATTTATTATTCAATGATGAATAGCTAATGCTATCACAGCTACTTTGAGAAGCATAATCCTCCTTACCCGTACTACAATGGCAGTATACTCGGTGAGAATGGCGGTCTCTACAATCGCTCTGGCCGTGGTTACCCTGATGTCTCTGCTAATGGTGATAATATCGCTGTTTATAACAATGGGAAATACACAATTAATGGCGGTACTTCTGCCTCCGCCCCTATCTTCGCCTCCATTGTCAACCGTATCATTGATGAGCGTATCGCCGCTGGTAAGAGCGGTCCTTTGGGCTTCTTGAACCCTATCTTGTACAAGAACGCCGATGCCTTCAATGATATCACCGAGGGAACCAACTCCGGTTGCGGAACTGATGGGTTTTCCACTGCGCCTGGCTGGGACCCTGTTACTGGGCTCGGGACCCCCAACTACCCCAAGTTGAAGGAAGTCCTCTTGAATATCTAAATCTATTATACATTGAGTTACGCTGTAACGCGCGCACTGCACATACAAAAGTTTCCCAGCGCTAAACCGCGAACATATTAGCATCTGCTGAAACTCATTCAAAATTATCTCTCAAACTCAACTATATCTCACCGCATAGATTTTATATTCTTTTCCATTCTTAAGGAACTTTTCCTATCCTTAGGCAATTAATTATGTCTCAGCCCAGTCTCAGTGCTACATCATTTATAGTGATATCAGAAAATAAAAATAAAAATAGTACTATATTTTCAATATATTTTTATATTCTTTCTATATTTTGAGTTATTCTCTATATCATCTACTATTTCTACTATATTTATCAGAATCTAAGCTGCCACCTCTTCAAGAAATATCAGTTATTTAAGCATCAATAAAATCAAATTAAATTATCCCATCTATTTCAATTAATTGTCCAATCCTTCGCTGATATAATACAGCCTTTAGATAAGGCTAGTAAGATTTAAAGACTGTTAGCCATTTATGATTTTCTCTACCATCATGATAGCTATAACTTAATCAATTAACATAAATAATATTCAATAATATTATAATCAAGAGTATCAGTGACATGTTCATCAGTATAAAGCTATACTTTGGCATAAAGCCTATACATAGATCCTCTTTAATCAGCACTAAAATCAGCAGTATTTCACTGTAATTCTTATGAATGCAATTTAGCAGTCTGATAATTCATAATATATATCCCTATATGCTAATATTCTACATAATACTCCTATCTTTCTTTACTTCTTATTACCATCATCTATTCCTGAGCATACCTTAAAGCAGATTATAGATCAGTTTGATAAGTTATAGAGCACAGTACCATGCCTATAACTGAGTAATATAAATTACATATCCGATCTCAGTCTTTGGTTAAAATAGACCAGCATCCATACTCATCTGGAGAGATTGATTATAAGTGATCTAGGACTGTTATATATACTCTTCAAGCTTAACCAAGAACTGATGCTGTTTCTTATCTGCAAGAGTGTTGATTATATACTGAAATAGACTATGTCTGTTCTCATATATAATCAGAATATAGAAACTTGACAGTTAAGCCATCAGAATGCTTAATTACTGAATATCTTTTGATAGAATAAAGGCTTTTAGGATCTAATTATAGATCTACAGAACTCTCAATCCTATTAGAAATACATTGACACATAAAAGCAGCTAATCTACTACTGAGAACAGATAATGGAATAGAATTAGCTGTGAGAATCGCTTTTCAACTCAATCCACTAGTAGCTGCGGGCCTAGATGGACGCAGCTGATACTATAAAGAATCTGGCTCAGCTGGGCAACCTAGATACTTTCTCAGATTGCTGATACTAGCAGCATCTAGAATAGGAGCTAGATGATACTGTTCTAGAATTCAGTCTATTCATCATCTAATATTCAATCTATTAACGTATATTTGATTCAGTGTTGATTTTTTATACTGTGATGCTGTTACGCCATTGCTATTCTGCCGGATCAACCCACATCGGGTTAGGCTTCCCGCATTTACACCGCCTATTGGTATTTAGCTATCGTGCACGCTGCCGGCACCTTAATATATTTAGAATAATCAATAACTTCAAATCAAATGCATTTCTCAGGCTTTATGCCTAACAGATGCGCTTCTAAAGTACTAAACAGCAGTAATATATGACTGTAAGAAATTACCTCTCTCTTCTATCCTAGCTGATCTACGACTGTTAGATAGTCATTCTAGCTAAGATTCTAGCCAACATGCAGGACGATATAAACACTAATGTAGGTACCCAGATTATAACTATTTAGAACTAGTAGATATTGAATGACACTATAGGTGTCATGATCAAAGGGCTTTCACCATAGTGAAACCCTCCAGGCTATAGATAGATGTTCTTTGTATACCTTTGGCTATATATACGAACCCTAGGTCCCTTTCATGTACGATAGAACAATCTTCCACATATACTCAGAATGCACACATGCCTTAGATTATAACAATAGGCCCAGTAGCTAAGCTATTAGAGAATCAGCTATTCAGGTTCAGTATTAGATGCACTGAGATGCCTCTTATATATGTCACAAGAATCGATAAGTCACAGCCAATGAATGTTATAGTGGACGCTATTACATAAGCACCCAACAAGACTTAAGCAATAGTGAACGAAATTGTTATTGAGTACAATTACGTATTGTGGGAACGATGCTGAAAACGGCTATGCCTTCCACCTAGCCACAGCTATTGATGCAGTAATATGGGTGTTGTGTATTGATGCCTTATTCCAGTATATGCTAGGCACGTGATCTATCAGAGCTAGGATATGACATGGTCATATCCTTTGATATGATATTCTGTATTAAGGGCTTTGAAGGGGCATACTCAGAGATATATTCTAATCAATATATATAGATATTCGTTTACTATTATGTATCTAGTTGATTGTCTTTTATTTTTATCTCAAATAGCATACTACTATTTAGTATTCAATAATCCTTTTATTATTACTATCATTCTTGATAGATAGCTCTCCAATATTGATTTTATACTACTCTTTTATCTTGTGTTAGCAGAATATCCTCTAAGATCTCTGATCTTGAGACGAATTGTTGACAACTTTTGACAATAAAAGACCCTCATAACATTTAAAGAGTTATAGATAAGTAATATCACCTCTAACAATGGCAAATAACAGTTATTCATCTTCTGATGGAACTAAGCAAACTTTAATAACCGAGCTTAGAGACGCTCTTATCAGAATTGCTGAACTTAAGAATGCTATAGCTCAGCAGCACATCAATAGCTCAGGATAAGGATTAAAGATTAATAAAATAAAATTATTTTTAGAAAAGTCTAGAACACTTAATACATTTCTCACTCAAATGAGAATCTACTTCTCCAATAACGTCGCAAAGATCAATACTAAGGAAGTAAAAGTATTGGCAGCATCTAGTTTCCTAACTAAAGATACTATAAAGTGGTTTATACCACATGTTAAAAACTGGCTTAAAATAAGCGTCGAGCAGAAGAACCCAGAAATAATTTTGATATTCATAAGTTATAGATATTTTGTTACTAAGCTCAAATAATTTTATAGAGTCATTAATGAAGAGCTTATAGCAATTCATAAGATTTGAAATATTTGATAAGTCTAATCTATAGAAGAATATATGTTGGCATATCTTTAAGTCATGAGCAACCTTTATTATAAAGATTAAGCATACTATGACTAATACTATAATAGACTTAAGGAAAATGTTAAGGACATAATTTCAATGATAAATTCTTAACCAGAAATCTTCTATAAAATAATAGAAGTAATATTGTAGATTGATCTCTAACAATATAATCAGCTTATAGAAAAGAAAAACCAATATTGGGGAAATCGTTAAGCAAATACCCTATAGCTAAGAAAGCCTTACTATGACCGCAATAGAGACGTCAGGATGCAGCTTAACGCTGTTGTTAGTAAGAAAGAGAAAGAACGAAGATGTAAGGAAAGAGCTTGCTATAAGTATGGATGAAAAAGATATTTTATAAAAGAGTGTCGATAAAGGCAAAAGTCCAATAATGTCAGCCATCAAAAAGTAATGACCATCAACTTACAATTCTCCATTCTACATCAGGAAATCACTGAGACAGACAGTGAGAAGAAAAGAGAGAATCTTAAGAAAATATAGAATAGAATTATTAAATAGAGATTTAAATAGAAATATAAACTGGTTATAAAGCAATAAGGAAGCCTTAAGAAATCTGATAAACGTATTAGAAAGATGCTCGAGAAAAGCATAGCTTAGAAAGAAAACACTAAACCGGAAGAAGCGCACCTTTACCAAGAAAATAGAGTCAGGTATTAACCCACTTGTAGGCAAAAGCTACTAGTAGAATAGTATGATGTAGATTAGAATACTGATAGCTTCTCATCAGAAAGTGAAACCCAATACAATCTAACGTTTTGAAACGATGATCAAAAGGTGATAAACCATAAGGACTCAAATCAAGAATTAGATATTCTACAGAAATTAAAATTAGTAGAATCCATTAATTGATTATCTTGAGAATGGCTAATACAGAGGCCCATCAATATTAGCAGAAGAGACTGGAAAAAGATCCTAGAAAGTGGAATAACAAACCCAAGATTAAGTCAAGACATCGCAGAAACAAAAAGAGAGATCCTAGGAACCCTAAAAGAGTTCCTAGAAATAGAATACAAGATTGCAGAAACTCAGGATGAATTTATAAAAGATATAAAAAATAAAGAACCATGTTGTTACACGCTTTCTAAGACAATATATTAGAAAGAATTATTTTAGACATAATAATAACACATTGATATATATGAAAAATGTCGAGAATGGACATTCAGAGAATATCTAGTTCACAGTAAAGACAATCTTAAGTTAGCTGAGGAAATAGAATGGCTATCTTATTTGAAAGGAACATATCTATATAGTGGAGTATTAGGGCATGTATATAATTGCATCTATCACTATTATTCTAAATTAAGTGGATTCAGCTATTTAGAAGTACATTGGATGTTATACTTCGATAAAGTATATATATATCACTGGATGAATAAAAATTTATATAGATGGTTTCCTGTGTTATCAAGAATCCTTCATCAACCAATATTCGAATGTCCTAAGGGATATAAAGATTGCTAGTGTGTATATGAAGAGATGAGACACCTAAGCTATAATCATTTTAAAAGCGTTAAATGCAGGGCAGACAACTGCTATGTATATTAAGGAAAGACAAGAGTGACTGAAGAAGAATGGGTGTAATTTCGAGAAGTATAGAAAAGATATTACTTATAATATATAGAGAAAGTTACTATTGCAACAGCTATCAATGATGAACTAGTAGAATATATACCTATTATATAAGCTATAATTCATGGGAAGCCAGTAAGAGTGCTCATCGACTCTGGAGCATTGGCAAACTTTATTAGTGAAGAATTTGTCAAGAAATATAAGGTACTAACAAAGTAAACACAATGATGGTAGACAACTGCTGTCGCGGATAGAACTATCTTCAATGAAGAATATCTATAAATAGTTGAGAATGTGATTTTAAAGTCAGGAAAATATGCCATAAACACGACATTTAGAGTTTTATCTCTAAACCATAGTTGCTATAACACAATTCTCGGAATGATCTGATTGTAAAGATAGAACCCAATCATTGACTAAAAAAGATGAACGTTGAAGATCGACAACGTAACATTGCAAACGAATAGAGATATGGAAAAGCAATTTAAGATGAATATTGCTAAGATTAACAAAATAAGGCAAAGAATAGTACCAACTTAACCAAAACCAAAGGAAGTATATGAAAAAGAACTTATAGAAGTACTTAAAAAGCTATTAAGAAAGTATTATAATTATATTGAGTTATTTATAAAGAAAGAATATTAATTACCAATATATCTACCTAAGTATAAAGTAACCATAGACCTAAAACCAGGATCAGTATTGAAATAAGTTAAGCAGAGATAGAAATCAGCATAGAAGCTTAAAGCTGAAGATGAATTTGTCAATGAATTTTATCCAGCTAGATATATTTAAGAATCCAGAATAGCAAATTCAGTATTGAATCTCTTTGTATCAAAGAAAGATTTAATGTTATGGATAGTACATAACTACTAACCAGTCAATAATTAAATAACAGATGATGCGAACAAAGCATCACATTAGAAACAGAAAAGAGATTTATTACAAAGAATAAAAATCATAACAATATTCAATATTAAATAGAGATATTACAATCTAAGAATATGTAAAGAAGACATCTATAAGATAGCATTCTTAACAGATAAAAGACTCTATGAATGGATTGTCACCTCAATGAGATTGAAGAATCTATTAGTATAGTTTGTGCAGTATATGACGCATGTATTTAGAAAATATTTAAACGATTTTGTCACAGTATACTTTGATGATATAATAGTATTCTCAAAGGATTCTAGCAAACATGATGAACATATCCAAAAAGTCATAATAAGACTCATAGATGCAGGACTCATATTAGAAATTAAGAAATATGAATTCAATATCACGCGAGTCAAATATTTAGAAATGGTTTATACACTAAATGGGCTTAAGATACTAAAAGAAAAGCTAAATACTATCCTAGAATGGTCAGTTCTAATGAACGTCACAGATGTGCAATCATTCTTAAGAGTCACCAGCTATGTACGAAGATTCATAGAAGGATATGCCGCCATCACAACCCTATTGACAGAATTGATAAAAAAGAACAAACTATTTGAATAGACAATAGCGCATCAACAAGCATTTGAAAAGATTAAGGAACTTATTAAGCATGCACCAATTTTGAAGCTATACAACCCAGAATTACAGAACGTTATATGAACAGACGCATCAGGATATGCAATCAGAGCAATTCTAGAATAGGTTAATAACAGAGAAACGTATACTATCGCATTCTACTCAAGAAAATGCATGAAAGCTGAACTTAACTATGATATGCACGACAGAGAACTGCTAGCAATTATCGAAGTATTTTAACAATGGTGACATTATCTTTAAGGATTCAAGCATAAAATTATCATGAAAACCAACTATAAGAATCTAAAATACTTTGTAATAATTAAGGAATTATTAGAGAGACAAATACAATGGTATAAGGAATTATCACGATATAAGTATGCGATCAAATACGTATCAGGAAAATAAAACATTGCTGTAGATGCACTAAGCAGACGATCAGACTATGTGATTAGCATCGAAGCATTGAAGATAAACATCTTAAAATGGGACTCAAGAGTGTTATGACATAACTATAATGCTGTTCTAACAATAGCTATTAGGATCGAAGAACTAGAATTTAGAAAATAACTAAAGAAAGAAATAGAAAAAGACAGGTGAATTCAATAGGAACTATGTGACGGAGTAGTAATACCGCAAGATAGACTAGCGGTATGGAATGGTATAATCAGAATATCATAGATAATAACTATAGAAGTCATTAAGCAGTACTATAATCTACTTAGCTAAAGACATCAAGAAATCGATAAAACAGTTAAAATAATAAATTAATCATATTACTTCCTATATCTTAAAAAAAAGATTGAAGACTATATCAAGCATTGTAAAGACTATAATTAGAATAAATTATCAATATATAAATCTTATAGAAAGATACAGATACTTAAAATATTAAAGAAAGTATAGTAAAGCATAACCATTGATTTTATCTAAGGATTATCAGAATTAAAGGAATCTATCTTTGAAATAATCTATACTGACACTATAATAGTTGTTGATAGATTAACTAAATATATGATTCTACAACCAGTGCTAAAAAATATGATTGTAAGACAATGTGCAAGCCTTATACTGTAAGAAGTATTTTTATGGACCGATTTACCAAAGAAAATCATCATAAATTAAAACAAGCTATTTATAGTAAACTACTAGTAAACAATTATAAAAACATATAGAATAGAGCATAAGTTATCAATAGTAAATCATCAATAGACTAATAGTCAGTCTAAAAGGATAATTCAGTCAGTTGAATAATACTTACAGAATTACATAGATTAAAAATAAAATAATTGGGTATAAGTACTACCAATAACACAATTTATAATGAATAATACAATGAACGCAATCATGAAGCAAGTATCACATTTTTTAAATCTTAGACACTATCTAAGAATGATATAGTCTAATATACTAAAAAAAAGATTATCAGAGATAATGATAGTATAAGCCAAGAATCTTCAGACACTCTATTAGATAATTTCATAAAACATTAAATAGGCAGAGTAAAGAATAAAAACCTATTACAATAAAAAGTATAAAAACATATCAATTCTTAAAAAAAAAGAGAAAGTTTACCTTCTATAATGAACTATAGAATAGAAGAATTTTAATATTCTAAATAAGAGATTAAGCAATAAACTTAATACAGTCAAATATAGATCTTTCAAAATTAAAAAAAAACTCACTAATGATAATTATAAACTCTAATTATTAATAAGAATAAAAATATATCCAGTGTTTTATATCTTATTATTAGAATCCATAGAAAATCTAGAAAATAATAAAGATGAAGCTGGTAA